ATCCATCGGTGCTGATAGGAAGCAGATCTCGATAGACCTGTTCCGCATCGCGCGTGACAACTCTCCGTTGCGCGGGTCCATGGTAAGGAATAGTCTGAAATTCGGATGGGGTTTGAGGACCCTCGCCGATCCGTCCTCCGTTCGCTGCTCATTCAGAACCAGGTACCCATTTGGCTCCATAAGAGAATTGAGTCGATCAAGAACGGAAGGGTTACAAAGATTGGCATTATCCAGAACAACCCATTTTCCCTGTTGAATAGCCTGGGTTAACACTCCTTCGGTCCACTGAAAGCCCACTTTTTCTGATTGCCTTGACAGTCTCAGTAATGTCTCGCCCTGTTTGACGTAGTCATCAAGCCCTGAAGATGGGTAACTTCGCAGCAGGATAGACAGTGAAGTTAGGAGTTCCTCTAGCGAGGGACTTTCTGTCTTGCAAAGTTGGTATACTTGCAGAAAGTCAGACGGGAAGTGGAGAACATCAGGCGCAGAATAGGCTGTGATGATGTGACACTGGAGGAACACGGCCAGATCATCGATAAAGGAGAGGATTTCTCTTCTGAAGTCAATCTGTTCGAAACCTCCAATAAGATCCATAGTGTCTGTATCCGCACTCAGTGCTAGCTCAATCAGTTGGGCGCCATTGATAGCTGCAAGTTTACGCAGCACTGTTGTCTTGCCACACCCAGAAGGACCGACCAAAATACTTGGCCACGTTTGTTCTATGCAAAGAATCAAAGACTGGAGGACAGAGAGATCTCTGGGAATAATTCTCAAGCGTGGTTCGAAGAAGCGTTGCAGAACATGATCTCTTTGCATGACACCGAAACCAACCTGTAAGTAACTCGGAGAGAGATTGTGGTAATATGTTGGCGTATCAGGGTTTTCTCCAAAAACATTCCTGTAGAGCTGGGAGACCAAAGATCGATCCTCTTCCGTGCGGAACCTCTGACTGATAACGACGTCAAGGAAATGACGGGTATGGATCTGTAGACTGCCTCGGTGAGTCAATTGAAGCCATCTGGAAATATCACGCAAGTTGATCTCCCAAGGGCCTCCAATTGCTCCTAGACGCCTGTCCCGGGATATGCTAGCATTTAACAAGGATACGAAGTTAATTAGCTTATCAGTCTGCTCCGGCGGGCTGCCAGGAAATAGTTTGGTGCAAATCCGGTTCAAGTCAGTGTCGCTGAAAGAATCGGCATATACCACAGTAAACCGGTTAACGAAAGATGCCGGGAGACCTTTCCTCCCACCGCCTTGGTGATGAGGGTTCTGTGCCGCAAATAGGACAAAGTCCGGATGCCGCTTGAAAGTCTGATCCAGTTCAGCAATGTACACTTGCTGTCGATGGTCCAGACACGAGTTTAAACCCTCGAGAACCGATTGGGATGCCAGATTCATCTCGTCTAGGAGGACCCAGCCGCCGCGCTGCATAGCTCGTAGGAAAGGTGCGTCCCGCCAACTGAATTGTCCAACGTCACCACCTTCGACAGGCACGTCTGAACCAAACAGATCTGTAAGATCTGTCTGGTCAGAAAGGTTAATTCTCGTGAGGGGTTTTCCGAGTGCTCTGGCGAGAGCCGCGACGAGGGTAGTTTTACCAACACCTGGACTACCCTCGAGAAGGATCGGCTTTGACGACTGCAGACCTCGTGCGATTCTAATCGAATTTGCAATGGTCGTGGGAGCATCCATTATAAATTCGGGGTCAGGGGTCGAATCCGCTCCCATGGGAAGACGGAAAGGCCCAACACGGAGAAAGCCATCTTCGACAGCCACGGTCGCAGTCTGATGGTATACGGGAGAAGCCTCGAAACCAAATAGCTCAGACAATTTCCTAAGGCAAATGTCGCGGCTCTTCACTAGATTGTCAGAGGCTACAGAGAGCATGGCGGCAGGGTTCGCTCCGAGCGTGTCAATGTATACCATGGCAGCGCCATGCACAACCGCAAACGCGAGATCGGAGTAAGATGATGATTTGTTGACGAAGTCAACCCAGGCTAGGACATCACGGATCGAAATTGAATTGGCCGAAGAGTTCTGAAAGACGGATTTAAACCATTTTGCGAACTCCAACATTGCTTTCGGTATACTTTCGGGTACTGGGACAAGTTTGGATGTCAGAATCGGCAAGAGGTCTTCATCTTCTGAGAGTTGCGGTGCCCATATTTCCGTCAGTCGATTCCTAAGCGCTGCTGAAAGTTCCTTCTTTCCGTAATCGCCTCCCGGGTTCATCGTGGCTAAAAACTGGAAGCCCTCATCTGCGACGACCAAAGAGTCGATAGGACCTTTCTCGGCAAGGAGCAATGTCCTAGAAGGCTCAAGGACACTGTTGAGCCTTTCAAGAACAGAGTCATCGGCTAGAGAGATTTCATCGAGAAGGAAATATTGTCCTGTTTTCATGGCTGATACTAGGCTTCCATCAGACCATTCGAATAGTGCATTAGACCTGGCGAAGTTCCTCCTAATGCGCTGCAACAGTTCAGGACTACATGCTTGCAGTTGCTCTGGGCTGGTTGCCAAATAAAGCTTCTTTAGATCGTTCAGAGATTTGTCTTCGACGTCGCTGTCCAGTCCTGGTACTGTCTTGAGCATGACCTGAAGATCTTGGAATAGCTGCTTTTCAATAGCAGCCCTGTTTCTCAAGGGCCTCTGTGCACCAATTAGATCGCCAGTCTCCATGTTTACATGAGCATTGACAATGAACAATTCTCTCGCATGAGCCTCTGCAATGGCTTGGCAAAGCTGCGTCTTGCCGCAACCAGTCTCACCAACAAGGAGTACGGGCTCGTTGTTTTCAATTGCCTTCGAAACCAATATGAACAGACGCCTCATAGCTCTCGTCCAAACGATACCGGTGGGAGGACGCTTAGCTCCGCGGAAACACTGCTCCAGCTGAGAGGGGCCGTATATAGCATCTTCGTCAATCGGAACTCTCATAACATCCTCAATGACTTTCTTTACGGCCTCTCTCTCCTGTGGGTTTCGAACTCGTTCTGCAAGCAGCATAAAGCCGTTTAGCGCCAGTTGTTCACGGGTGTCAGCTCTTCGAAGGGCCCAGCGGAAAAGATCACGAAGGGTTGCGAAACTATTTTTCTGTTCGAACAGTCGATTAGACTGCCGGAGGACAGAAAGCTTCTGATAAACTGAAACGATCCGGCTGCAAAAAGAGGGTGCAATCTGCGATCTCTCTTTCAAGATATATTCCAATTCACTCTCTGGGATATCGTCGAAATGGAGCTCGAGGAAACGGTTGCGAAACGCTCGCGATAACACCTTCCGTCCACCGTAGAGACCCGCAGGATTCTGCGTGGCGAAAAGCATGAAGTTCGCATGTGGATGAACGACCTCCTGCGTCTCTGGGATAAAAAGTTCTCTGTTGTCATCAAGGAGACGATTCAACGCCTCTAGAACGTCCGAGGGGGCTAGATTGAGCTCGTCCAGCACGATCCAGTAACCATTTCTAAGCGCTTCAACAAGAATTCCTTCCTGATAGCGCAGGGTACCATCATCGCCCGAGACGTAGGACCCGAGATACTCTTGAAGATCGGTATGCTCATGATTGTTGATGCGGACAAATTTATTCCCGGAGATCTTTGCAAGATATTCGATCATACTGGTCTTACCGGCAGAAGTCGGACCCTGAATCAGAATGGGGAATCGTCGTGTGGAGCTAGCCCTGACCAGGTTCTTCAGGTTCTTTTCAATGTAAGGTGTAATAATATAATGAGGCTGCTCCTCGGCGTTAAAGGGTCCCTTCCGCATCCAGTAGTGCTTAAACTGCACATACTCTCTGCCGTCGTAGGGAGGACGAGGAGTCTGGCCCAGAAGCGACCTCGCGTTCTTCGCAGACCCAAATATATGCTTCTCAAGAATTGGCATAAGGAGACGCTCCGATTCTTGACTAAGAACCGTGAGAAAACTCATGCTGAAGCCCTCAAACATGGATCGACGGAGACCATATATTTGAGCATGATCGATAACGTAGATCAGGGTCCGCACAAGGGTACGGATACTGAAATGCGGCTTCTGCCCAGCTCCGTCTGTTAATCTGTTCTCAGCGTTCAACTTTTTGGCTTCCATGTACAAGTGCGCAAGATCCGCCGCCGCTCTGAGGTCACTGATTGTCAGGTCCCCTAGGTATGTTTGCACCAAACCCAGCAGATCGTCCAACTCGCCATCGGGAGAGTGTACGTAGATTTCTGTGAATCGAGACCGTAGACTAGGCGCCAAATCTCGCTTTCCAGCATCGGTAGCAGGATTCATAGCGCCAAATATACGGAAATCAGGGTGTCCAACAACTCTTTCCACATCACCAGCTTCTGACAACAGAACCGAAGGCGATCCTTCACTGCCGTGGTGGAGGAGACTGGCGATGTTCTCCAGCGTATCAGGTGATGCCAGGTTGATCTCATCAAGGAGAACCCATTCTCCGTTCCTAAGTGCCCGAACAATCTTACCTTGAACGAAGGCGAAGGTGAATTTCGTGTCGCCTTGCGCAACCTGCGCCTCGAAATCACCAAGCTGGGTAGCAAATACTTCCCATTTCTTTCTAAGACCTTGATACTTGGGCGAGTCAAGCTTTCTCTTCTTTGAAGGTTGCTCTCGACTGTCTTCGTGGTCTTGAGAAGACCGAGAGGGGCCGAATATACCGTTCGCCATACGAACAGCTTCATGCCACAGAGTGACAAGGCGGGTCCAGTTCCCTGCCGCTACACTTTTGGCAACAGAAGAAAGGAATTTCTGATTCTTCTTAGCCGAGAAAGTCATTTCGAAGAGCTGGTTGAATTCATCGAGCATCGGGACAGCCATAGAGCGAATATTTACCGGCTTGAAGCCACCAAGGAGGTCAGTGCTCTCACTCTGTTGCGACAGGTTCACAACAGTCAGCTTTTGCCGCATTAATGTCGCGAGCTGTTGGATCACTGCAGTTTTCCCGATACCAGTCTCTCCAACCAGCAGTAAGGGCTCAGCCATCTGAATTGCGGCTGCAGCCTGTTCCATGGTCTTCAGGGCTGGTCTGGTAGGAGCGAATCGGTTGGACGTTCTCGACTTGGATCCGGTTGGAATTCTGAGTTTCTGGCATCGCTCTCTGCCGAGCTGAAGGCTGTTACCGCTATCAGAATACGCCGGTGTGCGCTCATGAAGGCAGAAATGGGCTCGCTGCGGGGATACGTGCAGAGCTTCGGCAACAACAGCGGCCAGTGAGTCTTGGACAGTCCTGTCCGGCAAATACTTGATGAACACATCAACAGTATCCATAAAGATGTCATCCTGCAAGCTCTCAGGAGTCGCCTCATGTCCAGACCTGATGCCTAGCTGCTCCAGCCGCCTATGCGATCGTTCACAGAGCTTGATGAGGTCTCGAAGACCCGGACTTCTACCCTGTGAGCTTCTCAAGGCAAGGCTTCCGCGGAAGGCTGAGCATATACGGGTGTAGACATCCATGAGCACCGGCACCCTTGTCGATAGAAGAGGGAACTTCTCCGTTATGATGTCTCTGATCTCATCCATGTCTGGAGAATTTACCCGAACTTTCTCCCATAGTCTGCTTCCAAGCATGGCTGTACTAGGCATAACTTCTTCGCCTGTGGTGTTCAGCGAGGTCTTCATTGTCGCAATGATCCTGAATCCATCCGCGCACTTTATCCGTTCTCTTCTGGACGGGATGATCAACTCCCCTTTCTCGATTACTGGAAGAATGAGACCGATGACCTCAGAAGGAGCTCGCTCCAAATCCTCGATCAATACCCAACGTCCCTCTCTTGCTGCCTTCGTGAGGACACCAGGTTGCCACGTAAAGGACCCTGTGACAGAAGAGGTGGCATACATTCCAAGAAGACTTTTCGCATCAGTCTGCTCGTTCAAATGCAAGGTGACCATGGAAGCTGCCTGGCCCATCAATCCAGCGACATGGTTGACCAAGGAAGTCTTTCCAGAGTTAGACAGGCCCGTCAGAAGCAAAGGGCGCGGAAGAAGCAATGATCGGGCGATTCTTCGAAGATTATCCACTGCTGTAGGAACGTGCACTAGAGGCGACTGTCCGGACGATGCTTCCTGCAGTCTGGGGACGAGGATACCACAGATATCTGCGGTACGACTCTTGAAGCTCCCCCGCAAAGACTCTACTTGGGACAGAGAATCCGGCTCTGATCGATTCAGCCGCACCTCGTGAAGGCGCTTCTCCAGTGTCTGCCATCGTCGCTCTTCCCACAAGCTCAAAAAGCGGTAGTCAACCACGACGTCCTCCCACGTTTCTTCGATGGGCTCATCACCAACATGGGCGCTAATCATCCTCTCTGTTGCCATGTCGGCAGCACGCATGTAAATGCAGAAGCAGCGCACCGCCAAATACCGTACGCATCGGTTACCATGTTGGAATAACGACTGCAGTTGCAACGGCGACACTCCAGTTGAAAAAGCCTCTGGGTCGAATGACAAGAGTCGAAATATCGCAAGAAGCAACGTACGCAATGTAGCAGCGTCTAGATCATCTAGACTGCTTCCCTTTGCCACGGCCAAAGCCGGTAAAAGTCCATCTTGGGATGATATGTACTGACTTGCAAGGGTTCTCAAATAAGGCGCAAATGGTAATATCCGTGAAAATGCCGATAGAATGCGTGTGTAGTGGGACTGGGAATCTGCACCAAGCCATCGTGCTGCTAAGTCGACAAAAATCGGCTCGTACAATGCAAAAATTCCCTCCGTACATGACGGTTCTAGAGCGCCCAGCGCAAGCGCGTCTAGAAATTGGGAGCCTGACACAGTCCGAATAAGCTGCGCCAGCTCATTCGGAAGCCGCTGAAAAACTTCAGACTCTGAAAGAGTCGCCTCATAGGCAGGTCGACCATCCATTTTGGGGCCTGCCACCGAGGGATCTCTTTTTTTCTGTTGAATTTTGAGCAGAACTCTTGTAAGAGCTCTTTTTGTCCGCGGAAACTTTTTTTTGGTAGGTCTGTTTTTCTGCCGCGATATGTGGCGTCGGTGCCCTCACCGCCCGCATCTAATCGGGGAGCACGAGCCACATCTCCGTATCGGCTCACTCGCCGATCCGTTCTAGTTATGCTATCGACATCAAGCTCCATGGAGATGGTTGGCGATCCGACACCATATGACAAGCCATGCCAGTGAATTCCGGCTCCGATAGTCAGGGCCCTCCGGCCACTGGACGCCTATCGCCCGATGACCCTCTGCAAAGCGACAATGAAGATTCCGGCGCTGATCCTGTTTCAAATCACCAGAGGGACAACGATCTCTTTGCGACTGACCCATTGGCGGAGGAGCCACAGCAGCCGTCAGTTCACGCTTGTCTCTATCAATCGCCTATTACTGACTGTTCTCATAGAATTACTTTCAAGCCACGACACAAGCGCCCTTCGCGTTTCAGTCTGTCCAATCTCTTCTCCTCAGACAGCACGCCTGGTTCTTTCTTGAGAAACGCTCGCTCAGGATCGCAGCAGCAGCCAGATGCGGAAAGATCAAATACATTTCCGACACGAAATCAAGAACCCGGACCCGGGGGCGTAGATGGGACCAAAGATGGTGGACCGCTGGATTGGTACGTTGAAGGACCAGGGCGAAGAGTAGGATACGATGATCTCACGGCGATCGACTGGATCTTCGAGTATACGAAGGAAAGACAGAGGAAAAGACTTCTTTATTCCAGGGGACAAGGGTTCCTGGGACATCTACTGCGGTTGTTGGATGAGAGCCATATATGGCTGGTGTTGGTCGCGACAGGAATAGCGGTTGGTATCATCGCAGCAGCAATTGACATTGTCAGTGATTGGTTAGGGGACCTAAAAACAGGCTACTGCAAAGCGGGTTCAGGTGGTGGAAAGTTCTATCTTAACAAAAGCTTCTGTTGCTGGGGTCATGAAGGTAGGCGATCTACCCACGATGTTCATATATCGGTTGAGAGCTAAGCGTCCTTTCCTGTGCAGATTTGTCCGAGTGTCAGGATTGGACACCTTGGAGGGATGCCTTCAAAATAAAATCTGTGGGAGGTGGATATGTCGTCGAGTACATTTTCTATGTCCTCTATTCCGTAAGAGCCGTCTTGTGTCGTCCTTGCTAGCTTTCACTAACTTGGACGTAAGGTTCTTTTCGCCTCGTGCGCAAGTATCTTGGTCAGGACATATGCCACATACGCGAAGCATAGTGGAATACCCGAGATCAAAACTGTTCTCGGCGGATTCGTCATTCAGGGCTTCATGGGAGGTTGGACTCTGCTCATAAAATCTTTGGGGCTGGTAAGAATGGCCATATAATTTGGAGAACTCTGTACATCCCTAACTCGGTTTCGACACAGTGCCTTTCTGTAGCATCCGGTTTGTGGCTAGGGAAGGAAGGTCCCCTCGTCCACGTTGCTTGCTGCTGTGCAAACCTGATAATGAAGCCCTTTGAGAGCCTCAACAGGAACGAAGGTACGTTACAAGCCCGGTAAACTCATGACTGCCGCATAAACTGAACTATATATGCAGCAAGGAAACGCGAAGTATTATCAGCAGCGGCCGCTGCTGGGATTTCCGTCGCATTTGGAGCCCCTATCGGAGGCGTGCTCTTTAGCTTGGAGGTATGGATCAACTCAAAAAGCTTACCGTTTGATTTCTTCCGACATATAATAACCTCTTCCAGCAATTATCATATTACTTCCCAGACAAGACCATGTGGCAGAGCTTTGTCTGCGCTATGATTGCAGCGGTCACTTTGCAGGCACTGAACCCATTCCGCACTGGAAAGATTGTGCTATATCAAGTTACTTATACCAGAGGATGGCACAGTTTCGAAATTATCCCATTCATTGCCCTTGGAATTTTGGGTGGCTTATATGGGGGGCTCTTAATCAAGCTTAATATGAAAATTGCCCGATGGCGAAAGTCGCGAGGGCTGTCACGTCCAATACTCGAGGTGGCATTAGTCGCCCTTGTCACTGCCATCATCAACTTTCCCGATATATTCATGAGGGCACAGAGCTCCGAACTTGTTTTCTCTCTGTTTGCCGAGTGCACAACAGTCTCAAACGACCTCTTTGGTTTGTGCAGGACGGATACCAGCTCCTCCGTCAAATTTATTTGTCTACTCCTCATTGCTGCGGTCTTAGGATTTTTCCTCGCGTCCATAACCTTCGGCTTGGAGATTCCTGCTGGTATAATTCTCCCCTCTCTCGCTATCGGCGCGCTATATGGACGTGCTCTGGGAATAGCCGTCAAAATGTGGCAGACTGCGTATCCGAAATTCTTCTTATTCAGCAGCTGCGAGCCCGATGTCCAGTGTGTCACGCCAGGGATATATGCTATCATTGGCGCAGCGTCAGCCCTCGGTGGTGCGACCAGAATGACGGCGTCGATAGTTGTGATCATGTTTGAATTGACGGGTGCGTTAACATACGTAATCCCAATTATGGTGGCTGTCATGCTATCCAAGTGGTGCGGCGACACGTTCGGCAAACGGGGCATATATGAAGCATGGATCCAACTGAACGAATATCCGTTCCTCGATCATAAGGATGACAGACCTACCCCAGATGTTCCCGTTCGTAAGATCATGACAAGTGTCGATGATATCACAGCCATAACCGCCCTTGGACATACTATCGAATCCCTTCGGAACCTGCTTGCCACGACTCCATATCGCGGATACCCCGTAGTATCCGATGCGTCGAACCCTATCTTGCTCGGCTATATTTCGCGGACCGAGCTGTCATATGCCTTGAACTCATCCACATTATCTTCCAATCGAAATCTACCCCCGGAAACCCAGTGCTTCTTTGTCCACCAACCGTTTGCCGATCCGCTGGAAACTCTTGACCTTAGGCCATGGATGGATCAAACCCCAATGACGCTAAACAGCCATACTAGTTTCCTAATCGTCCTCAATATGTTCCAGAGACTCGGCTTGCGTTATGTCCTATTCGTGGACCGGGGGATTCTCCAAGGCTTGCTGACCAAGAAGGACGTTTGGTTTGTCCTCAACGGGGTTGAGACTCGTCAAGAAAAAGGACTAGGAGATGGTGACTTCAGAGAAGCCGAGGCGGGAGAAGAGGAGGGCCTGTTAGCAGCCAGCGACGATGGCAACAGTGTTGTCAGCGCCTTAGAGAGACGTCAGTTTCTGTAGATCTCGTGTTTGCAGATCGTTGGCGCAATTTCTGGTATATTTTTCTTTTTAGCGATCATGTTTGGCTTATGAGCTCCTTTGTGATGAAATGACATTCTACGTCAGCATAAGACATGCTGTCTAGATCTTCTGTGATACCACAAAATACTAAAGTGTTTTTGCTATGATTTGGGGTATTCTCTATCCATCGGTAACGTAGCCGACAGTCAAATATAAAATCTCGTGATGACTTCTCGGTAAGTAACGAACATTATTCGTCCCTAAAAGTGAGGGGTTTTTATGAAATCATAGCAATGAGATCTATGACCTTTATATGGTACCCGTCGCTCTAGAATCGAGTGCCATTAACATTCTTAACACCTTGTCCGAGCTGGCTAGCAACAACAGTTGCTTCTCGGATTGAGCGAGCATAGCTGCCTCTTACAGCGTTCTCCTCCAGGACGAGCAGTCCACCGATAGTGCATCCACCTGGGGAAGAGACCTTCTCCTTGAGAATAGCTGGGTGTTCTCCGTTCAAGACCAAACCAGCAGTTCCCTTCATGACCTGAGCGGCCATAAGCTGGGCCTCTGCACGAGGGATGCCCATTGCCACAGCGCCGTCAGCGATGCCTTCAAGAGCCAGTGCCAATAAAGCCGGCGACGATCCTGCCAACGCAGTGCATGCATCCATGTTAGACGGTGGTAGCTGCACCACGCGACCAATCCGTGTGAAGATCCAAGTCACCAGTTTATTCAGATCGTCTGGGAGAGGCGGGTTCTGAATTCCAATGACGGTCATCGATTCCCGGACAAAGGCAGCAGTGTTAGGCATAGCGCGAACAACTCTGCATCTATTCTCTGCCGGAATCGAGTCATCTGGGTAGAGCACATCCTCGATCTGCTTCTCGGGAACACCAGCCAGGATACTGATAAGCAGCTTGCCCTTGAGGGCTTCCCGCATGCCTGGGACGTCCAGGATGTCCTTGACCATGTACGGCTTGCAGCCCAGGATAATGACATCTCCCTCCTTCACACCGGTGACGTTGTCATTCTGCAGGATCTTCACTGGGAAGTCAGGGTATGCGCTGACCGCATCTTGTACACGCTTCGCGGATCGCCGAACACAGGCGATAAACTTCGTAGGTGTCTGAGACGGCAAGTCCTCGGAGGACGACTGGGCTTGGTTGGGGTTCTTTTTGGCTTCAGTAACTGCTGCCAGAACACCGCCTAAAATTGCGATACCGAGATTACCTAGACAGCAAGTTTCAGTAACGTCGACCTCGGCATTCTAAAGATAGTGCGTTACCTACCGCATCCCAGAAAGGTCAGAGTCATCTCCGAGTTTCCGGAGCCATTGCTAGTTGTGGAGGTCGACATGGTGCCCAGGAAATTTACAATGGGCTATCGAACTTGCAATCTCAAATGACAGAACTGAGTGAAACGTGCTATGGACAAGCGAAGGACGGCTCTCATCTACTTTTTGAGTCCCTCCTTGTATATAGCCGATAGCGCTGTCGCTCCGATAGCGGTAAGTCTTAATCCCACCTTTTCTGCCAGCAAAAAGCTCTCACCGCCTTATGGGCGAGCCAATGGTCTCGACGGCATTGTTCGCCTTCGCAGACGATAACTACGATTCATTTCAGTCTTCCGTCTCCTCTACTCATTGCCTCATCGATATCCCATCATCAAAATGGCTGATCCATTCGAGGTCCGAATGCGTTTTACGACGCAGCTGCAGCATCTTAGCGCATCAGTCACTTCGTCCCAGAAGGCTGCCCATTATGCGCTCAAGTACCGTGACATGGACGAAGATCTCCATTCATGCATCCTGGAACAGCTTGAAAGGGTACGGAAATATCATATTCTATGTAATCTTCTTTACTGACAAGATGACAGAATAACATGAACAACCGAGCAAACATCATGTATTTCATCGAGCAGCTTTGCGACATGGCCACAAAGGAAAACCACCTCGACTACGTCCGGATGATACAGAGGGATATTCTCCGTGTAGTGGATGCCGTTGTACCAGCGGATGGATCAGGTGCGGCGAATGTGAAGCATGTCCGTCGGGTACTCCAGGGTCTACAGAGCAAATCTGTCCTTTCCGCAGAGACTGTGACAGAAATCGACGGCAGCCTCAAGGAGCGGGAAACGCATCCCGCACACCTTGACCTCGAACCAGTCGAAGGGGCAGAACCGGGAAGCAAATCAAGAGGGACGCCTCGAGGGTCCAAGACCAACGGCACACTCCGTGTCGATAAGCGCCAAATCGAACAGCGGATCGAAGAGGATAGAGAACGGAATAAGCGTCTGAGGGAGAACATGTGGGCAGTGAGCGGGGATGATGGAGAAGAGAATGGGAAGTTCTGGGATGACGCGAGTGATACGGGCGAAGATGACTTCCTGGGTGCTGAGGAAGAACTCGTCGAGAGGAGGCAAATGGTGGCTGCACAATGAGACGATCTTAATTCGTCCTCTCATCTACCTTCGGTTTCTTTTATTTGGTTATCCCGTGTCGCTATACATTTGGATGGAGCATACTACGGAGTTTATGGCTGAGATACGTACTGGATTCGTGTCTCGCTGGTCGGTGTTTTGTGGAGTTGGGTGATTGTCGTGATACCATGAATCATACATCTTACAGTTCTTTACGTTATCTGTTACCTCACGATCAACTAAGAACCACTTTTGAAGATAGTTTTTTTTTGTGACTAAATCGATCTCATATCTGGTTGGTTAATTGACAGTGTTTAACTGTCTATTTTGCGGGGCTCAACTCCATGTAAAACACCATCTCATACTAAATCTGCATATAGATCAAATCGAAAGACAATGCAACTATATAATTATCCAGATTGCCCTCAGAACAGAAAACATTTACCTAGATGAGTGATAAATTACCATACTCATCCAATTAGGGTTTCCGCCCATCGGCGAAACGTACTCCCGGGCGGGCGGTCGAGAAAAAAAAAAAAACCAGGCGGAAATCCTACGAATTGGCGGTCTCCGCTCCGCAGAATCATTATTATAGGCCGCAACAACATTTCTCCATATTATTCACGCCTTGGCCAAGTTTTGGGGCTGGTGGGGACTTTCTTTGCTTTCAGTTTTGCTCCTTATGTTCTCGCAGTTCGTCACAGCGGCCAAGGGTCTGTTTGCAAAGAAGGATTCCGAAGAGGAAATTCCCCAAGACGCAGACTACACCTCTGACCCCGCCGCTATCTTACAAGAACGTTCCAACAACACAACTTCAAAGACAGCTACGATGGTGGTGACTACGAGGAGTACGCGCACTGCGCCCGTGGAGAAGGAGGCTTCCCCGGAAGTTAATGGATCTAAGGTGGGAAATGCGAAGCGCAAGGCAGATTCTGCTAGCTCTGCGAAGACGAATGGTGAATCCAGCAAGCGAAGAAAGAGAGTCTCGGACGTTGAACAGGTCAATGGTGACAAAGAGAAGTCCGCGTCTGAAGATACGGTGGCCGCAGTAGAGAAGCCGAAGCATTTCCGTTTTGGAAGCGAGGAGCCTGCTCCTGCTGTTGATGAGTTGGTGGAGGAAGTACCGGAGACGCAGCAGAATGGTGCTCAATCCTCAGAAGATAGCGACGATGATGAGGCACCGGAGGCCTTTGACAACTCTGCACAGCTTTTGCGAATGAAGGAACAAGCTCAAAAGCAGGAACGAGCAAGACAAAAGTAGGAACCGGCCCTCTATCACTCGCACGAAATTTTAAGTCGGTAAACTAACTGCACACCTAGGGCCGAGCTACTGAAGAAGGAGAAGAGGAGACAACTGGACGAGCTACATAAAACCCAAGCCAAGACAGCAAGCAAAAAGAAGGATATTGTCAATGGTTCCCGAAAGGCAGATTATCAGGATGATGTCTCTGAAAGTACAGCTACTCTCCAAGGATCTGTCATCCAGGACAGCCGACGACCAGCCCTCCCAGCACTCCTTCCAGACGAGATCCTCAATGCTGCTCCTGATGTCCGACCTCCCACACCACCTCCAGAGGATGCAGTGCCCGAGCACAAGAAGCCAAACAAATTACGGTTCCTTGATAAGGTTGAGAAAGCACCCAAGGATATTAAGCGCGGTGGTACGACTGTGAGAGTGTTGGATGGAAGGAAATCCACGGCTGTTCTACCACCGAAGGTGTCGAAGGCTGGTCGGAACGTAAGAGAGGGCTGGTTGACAGGCAAGCGTGCCAGTGTCGCCCAGATCAATGGTCTGAGGCGAACAACTGGGGGAACGTCTGGCTTTGTACGCAGCCGCTGAAGCAGTGACAAAAAAAAAAGAGAGAAGCTCCTTATCATCAATCTTCCATGCTGGTCCTCCAAGGCTAAGACGACACTCAGCAAAGGCCAAAGCAGAAGGGGCGTTGGAAGAACAGAACGCGGTGACATAGTGTACACAATGGTACCGGCTGCTGCCGTACTACTGGAGAATCCTTGATGCGCCTGGATTTATGGCTCCATGGCGCTCTTGAAGACTCGGATTCTGGTTCACACTAACACCATCGATACATTTTTGAGATACCAGATGCGACGTTATGTTATCTAATCCGCGAGTGCGTCATTTTCTTCGGTCTATCCAAGGCGTTTGGGGAATTAGCGGTGTGTTTCACTTTGACAGGTAGAGTTATCATTTTTCATCGGTGAAATTGTACTGGATCTGTCTTGAGAAGATGTCCAGAAAACGGAGTCTGCTGCATTGCGGCCATTTAAAGCGAGAGCCTATAATTGAATTTTTGTACCACCGTAAGCTTCTAGAAAGAGACTTCGCATGTTCCCAGTTCCCAGTCATGATTAGTTCATGGGCCCGGAAAGGGAAAACCAGCGTAGCGGGACCGGCGCACGTGCGAAGGATCAGAGCTCCGAGCGATCAGCGCGATCTGGCATGCTTCTCTTCGCTTCGCCCAGCTGTATATTCTTTCCTCAGCCTCAATTGAGGGGCGATTGGCCCGTTATCATACATCTTTTCAGTTGAGTATCTCGATGTGACATCCGCCATGGCGGCCACCGAATCCTCTCCTTTGCTCCCTCAGTATCAGCGATCCAGCAGCTCAAATACGTCACCGCGTGCCGACCGCCCTGCCAGGACGGTAACATTCAATCCTCTCACCACAATCAGCACATATGGAGGAGCATCATCGCCTGCGGATCCTACTGTGAGGCCTCTGCAGACTGGCTCTCCCCCGGTTCGCAATGTTCCTTCCAGTCAGCCGATGCTGTCAACGTTGAACAGCAAGCTTCGTCGTCGAAATAGCCATGGAGCTCCCTACAATACTCTGACTCCTACAGCGCCAGCATCCAAGATCGGCCCTCAGAGAACGACCAAAAATGCTCAGAAGCTAAAGTTGCTCCCGGACCCGGTCAGGGAAGGTGAAGATCAAATCGACGAAGACATACCGCGAGACGTCTATACGCAAATCACTCGAATCAAAGAACCAGCTGCCAGAAGCCACGCTGCGCGACTAGGCAAGGCAGATAGGGAAAGATTGCCCCGTGTGACGGCATATTGTACAGCGAGTGCCTACCGTTTGGAGGGTGTCATCAGGTTTCTCAAGTCCAGAGCAAAGGCAAGAGGGTCCAACCCCAAGCTTTTCGACGAATGCGTTTATTCGCCCTATGACTATGACTACGAGAAGAAGCAGAGTCAAACGCAGTCGCAAGGAGATCCACAGGGAGAGGTTGTGCGGCAGAATGAGCGGAGATATTCGGACAGTGCGGTTGAGGTTGAGGGTAATACCAGGAGCAGACGAGAAGATCTGATTGATCTCCGCGAGGAGGCTGCAGAACAGGCGGTCAATGGGAGTCGCTCTGAAGAAGCCATATCGCGGGAGACGGCATCGGATCTAGACACCACGATCCACACTCCAGAAGTCTTTCTCTTCGATTACGGTACGGTTGTGATCTGGGGTATGACACCGGCCCAGGAATCGCGGTTTTTAACAGACGTGTCAAAATTTGCCAATTCGATCTTGAGCCCGGAAGATACGCAAGTCGAGAATTTCAACTTCTACTATGCCCGCGATTACCAAGCGCGGATATACAATGACTTCATCTCGTTACGTGAACCGCGCAATTACATGATCAAGTTGGCTATCTCTCATGCCCTATCTCAGTCTGTGAAGACGTCGCTTTTCGAGGACTTGGTATCAGAAACAATTTCAACCACCGCGCCATTGCCTGCTCAGATCGCTGAGACAGGTAGCGTCAACTTGACCCGGCGACAGATCAATATGCAGATTGGAGAGCTGTTCATCCTGCGCATCAATATCCATCTGCAAGGCTCCGTACTCGACAGCCCTGAGCTCATGTGGGCAGAACCACAGCTAGAGCCAGTGTATCAAGCGGTCCGGAGTTACCTAGAAATGGACCAGAGAGTGAGTCTGTTGACGGAACGGTTGGACGTCATTGCGGATCTACTAGCGGTGCTGAAAGATCAGCTGAGCCACCGACATGGAGAGTATCTCGAGTGGATAGGTAGGTCTTTTTGCTATTCTTTACCATGGAAAATACTAGGGCCCTTTTACTGACTCAGTGTTTAGTTATCGTCTTGATTGCTGCAGAAATCCTTGTCGCAGCGATCAACATTGTTGTGGATCTGTATGCTGGGGTCGACTAAGTAAATTAGGCCTTCAACCTGTGCACATCATTATGACCATCATTATCACTATGTCATGTCATCTCCCCGTGTTATCCTCTCATTGTTCTTCTCTCCACGCTGCACTGCATTTGTCTCTGAATTCATCACCCTCCGGCGCCAGGCGTTCGGGTCCGTCAACCTGTATCAAGACTTCGATCCCTGTACATTCGTTGAATATTGCATCCTGCGCATTCTCGTTATTGTCATTCGACATCAGCACCAAGATTATCATAGTTGTCATCTTCGCATCTAGCACTCTCGCAGGCCGAAAAGACCAATTTGCATTATTGTTCTGCCAATGAGATGACGAGTCGAACCTACTTTCAAGTTTACACCCTCCAACCAACCATGCGCCATGTGCATCATACCGCCCGTCAGAAAATTTGAACAGGAAGTAAAAGCGGAGTAGATGGGAACCAAAAGAAAATGTTAATATAATCTATCATCTCCGTTATTTTCAATGTTTCATGATCATACTCAGTATTGTAAAAGGCCTTCCTCGGAAATATATAAAACTTGAAAAAAACGAACCACATCCTATACAACTTACGACTAATCGACCTACGCATGCATTATTCTCCCTAATATCTTATATTCGATTGATACCTCATGCAAAAGAGTAAATAGAGAAAAAGAAAAAAAAGTAACATGACAAAAAGTCATGCTCGTTGATACGTTTATGTCTAAACCCCCGGTCTCCCTCATAGTTCTAGTTCCGTCTACCCACTAGATAGTTACTCAACCAATCTACACTAGACTCCAGATATACTCTTATCAAGAGACAATTAATTCCGAATATTTCAAAGAAATAGATGTATAACTTTTTTCGTTTTATATTTGCTCCCCTTTCCTTTCACTAGCTTTCAAGTCTTTTCTCAACAAGACAAACAATGTGATATAGCTCCATTTCCATTGCTATAATAGTAGGAAGAAAGAAAAAATGCCGATAGAGAAAAAATTCTCGAGGGAAAAAGAAAAATACAAAAAAATAGAAATTATTCTTGATTTACCACCTCCCGCGCCAGGATAAAGAGATAAAACAAAAAAGAAAGGCAAACAGAAAACGGTAAGAAATACAAGGCAAATTTTTTTCATCTAGCCTTCATTCGGTTCTTCCTTCGTATCCACGTCCATAGCTACCGAAGACCCAGGATGGGGTGGTGGTGCTGTGTTCGCAGAATCTGCTGGTGCAGGGGTCGTCTCCGTTCCATTACTCGTGTTATTATCATTATGGGCAGCAGCTTGGATAGCAGAACCGTTACTGCCAGTGCGTACGCGGAATGAAGACGTCAGTTCCTCCTGAGAAGGGGCGGGCGCGAGAGCAGGAAGGGAAGAATCGGCCGTTCCTGAAGCGGCGCCGGATGCCAATTCTGTATTGATGTTGTTATTATTGTGTGTTGTAGGCTCATCGCCTTCGGCATCGAGGCCGGTGGCATTGGACTTTCGCGAGCGTTTGATTCGCAGCGGCCGTTCTTGAGGCTAGTCTCAGGCGTTAGAAACGTAGCTTGGTAAAGGCTTTTATTTTTATATAGACACGAGATCAACACAGAGACGATAAGGAAATAAAAAAAAAACTTGAGAGAAATGCTCACCGTCGGGGGCTGTTCGTCTGAACTTCCTTCCGTCTCATCTTCTATATACCCACTGGCCGTTCCGTTCTCACCTCCTCCGGCGATATTCGACACTGCGCCATTCAGAGCTGCTGCGTTCGACATCAATGCGGCCGCGCGAGCGCGGAGCTCCGGGCTGACTCCTGCGTGGGCTTCGTCTTGCATGCCGGTGACCTTGGCCAGGCGCTCAAGCAGGATGCAGGACTCGAGGCGCATTTTCTGGACGTACTTCAGACCGCGCTGGTTGCGGATGCGCATCAGTTCATTTTCGGCTTCGATCTCGTTCAGGCGCTTCTTGAGCGCGATGCATTTGCGCTTGTACGCAGCTTCGACGCTGGGAGGGTTCGGCGGCGGAACGCCGGTCGTGCTGGATTCCATGGCGGCCAGGTTGAAGGTTGAGGGGGTGAGTCGAGGTAGATGTGTGATAGTCGAGAAGATAGGAAAACGGGAGGGGAAGATCGAGTTGCCCTGATATGGAAAGATTGGGTATAGTGAAGTGTTATTGCGCTTCGAATCCTCGAGTCTGCGGAAGGACAACGCTCTCCGGAGGACAGATCGAGTTGCACATGCAGGTGGAACAAAGGGCGAGATTTAGGTCAAGTAGTAGATGCGATGGTCTGTTCTGCCCGTGGACTGATCGAGGACTGAAGTTGTAGAGACGAGGTTTGCAGTGAAGGTGGGTGGAAAATTGCGGCCCCCCTGCGAAGAAGCCGAGAGCTTACCAGGTGAGCAGTGAAGCCTCGACGCGAGATCTCCAGCTTGCGAACCCGTTCTGCCGGGTGGTTGCGGCCTGGAGCCAGGGCGGTGAGTCTGTTCTCTACGAGTCAAATATCATTATCGACGTTTGTTTCCTCTTTCTCTTTTACCATGTAAATCTCTTACTTTTCATCTGAATCTTTTTTCATCAAATAATTCTCGATAGTTATTCTAATCAATGACTCTTGGTCTCCATGCACCGCAAAAAAGACAAGCACCATTGGGCCGCTGAAGACAACCAAGGAACAGGAATGGTAACTATGAGCAAGATTGTCTACCAAACAGGAGCTAAAAAGACCAGAACATAATGCATGCTATCAAAAATTCCTCCTCATCATGAATGATCTCGTGGGTTCCAATGACATCGATCTTGTCTCTAGTGACCTCCGGTAGTAGGAAGCCCCAGGAACACCTTGAAGGAGTCATAACTGCAAGGAATTAGCACTACTATCCGCAGTCCTAACGGAGTAGATTGGACTTACATCAACCACTGGAAGCCGGTCAGAGTTCCCAGCATAACAATACGGACGGGCAGACCGTTCCACAGCCCAGCAAAGCCGATCTTGCTGTAGATCCTCGACACGGCGGTACCGGCGGATTCGCCAGCTGAGAGATGATCGTTAGCAACTCTTTTTCTCTCTCTCCATTTCGCATACATAAATTGATTCATGAGAGAGGACTTACGTTGGCGGTCCGCGTTCAGCTTGCTGACCATCACATCGGCAGGATGACTGACAATGGCGCACAGGATACCAGCAATGTAACCGCCCAGGAAGCTGACACCGGTCTGCTGCACCGTGCTGTAGCTCTCCTTCGGCTTACCCAGAAACTTGTAGATCTGCTTGACGGTCTCTTCGAAACTGGCGAACTTGGTCATCGTGTAGGGGATCTGGCGACCCCAGAGCGGGTACAGCCCCTTGTACAGACCGGAGACGCCCTCCTTGGCCACGATCTTGCTCCATCCCTCGCGCAGACTATGCGCATACGGTGGCAGTGTCGTCTGCATACGGACCTTGATCGCCTCCCAGGGACAAAGCGCCAAATCCGCCAGAAACTCGGCCGAGGCACTGGCGCCCAGGTAGACCAGAGTGCGGTTCGAGTTGGGGAACAGCTTGTCGCCGTACCAGTACTTGAAAACCTCGTAGAAGCCATACTTGCCAGCACCCTGGAAGGAGTAGCCGACGAAAGTTGGGCTCCATCCAAAGAAAACGCCTCGGAGGCCATCTCCCGCGAAGATCTTGCGCCATGCGCTCAAATTGGACTTGTAGATGTTAGGGTCGACTTGACGACGGCATTTGACCAGATCAAGAGGCGTGACGGCGGTATGAGTCGGGCCTGCGTGGTCAGCAGGGCGCTCTCTCAAATTTGAAACAAATAGCGACTTTATTATCGTAACTTACCACAAGCTATTCAATACCGATAAAAAACAAACACGGAACCATTAGCCAATTGTTCGCATCATCGATAATAATAATAATCCCTCACAACATACCAATAATTCCTCCCAACGCACAGCTGAGGAAATACTTGCTCGAGTACGGCTCGATCTTCCCGAGGGGAGGCTTGCGGTCCAATGCTGTAGCCATGTCGTCCGGCTTTTTCCTTTCGTGGCCAGTGTTCTATAAATATATTGTTTCGTAGATAGTTTCCAGTATTTCCAGAATCGCTCTCTTCTGCGTATACACTTCTAGCTTGCAACGATCCGCAATTTCTGCAATATGGCGTCAATTGCTAGCCTCGCAGTATCGGAAGAGGCGTCATACGATAACGGCGATAAGGAGATCGCGCGCGCGAGAGAGACAGAGAGGGGAAGGGGAGCAGACAGAGAGAAACAGAAAGACAAAGAAAGAAAAAAGTCTCACGAGCAGCAATGACAGAAAGCGATTATAATGCACTGTGATACTCTATTCCGGAAAGCCGGTAGCTCCTCTAGTTAAATAAATTAATAACAGCCCGGAAAGGGGAGCAAGCAAGCCACCCTTCGACGTCAGAGGGACTAAGTACCTAACTACCTAAGGTAACTTAATTAACTTCAGTAGATAGCGAAACCTGGCCGAGGGCGCGTGGAATAATATGCCCAGAGCAGTTTAGTACAGTGGCTCAGTTACCTAGTTACCCTTGCTTCTCTCTCTCTTATCGTATTAATTATTATTATTAGACCAAGCTCTTAATGTCCAGTTCGATCAGGATGTAATAATAATAATATTGCATCCTATCCTGTAGTCTAGAGTTAACCGGATTGTTCCGCTTGCGACCGCCGATGACGTATACACCCGGCTGGCACGGGTTCCGTTTGCATTGGAATGCAAGCAATTATTTATTATTTATTGAACTGATGAACTGATCAATAACACACGATAGAGTAGAAGCACTCTCTGCGGATGACCAAGGCATATATGTATATACTATACATGCTTCGTCTGACTGATCTGGCCTCATTTCGGCCATGGACAAGCTCATCTCGTCGGTTATATCTTGTCTCCATTCTCGATCGATCGGCGACGCTATCTAATCAGCCAGGACCCACTGGCGCTGTTCGGATAAGATAGCAGTGTATTTGAGACACTCGAGAGGCTCGATGCAAGATACTACTGTAATCACTCTGTACGTAGCGAGAACCTTGTATATCTCATCATATTAGATACTCGATTGAGTTCCGTTGGTCAGGATCTCGTCTAGCTGCGCTTTTGATTTATAGATGTTTCCATAGTGTACATACATGTTTATTGTTACATGACTTCCTTCACTGAATCTGCGCTACGATGGATGCACAGGGATCATATCTTGAAAGTCTTCCCGAAAAAATAGGTCCCCAAACAAAAACACAAAAACAAGAACAAAAAACAGAATATTAGTTTTATCGCAAGAAAGGAACCTGATAAGCTTGGGCTCCCGCAGCGGCCATTGCAGATGCCAGCTTGATGCCGAACATAGACCCCAGCCGGCTCAAAGCTGTCCTGGCCTGATTGATTTGCTCTGGAGTCGCCTCGACGCAGCAAATGATGAACCATAATGGCCACAGCAGTTCATACGCCTCTGCAGCGCGGAGCCGGGGATGGCGAGACTCGGGCTCCTGGGTCGATATCGTGACGGGGTTGCCAAGGCTATCGACGTCCCCCAGACAAAACAGTATGCTCCTGCATGTATCAGAGATCATCTGCTCAATGATGCGCACTGGAGGAATCTCAATGAGGCTTTCAAGATCGGTGAGGATACGTTGGTCACAGACCCTTCGTGACACTTTACTGGTCGTAATGTCAAGGAGGGTGCCTTGGAGGATGATGCGTATACAACGATAAAGGTTCCAAAAGCTCGCGATGGATATGTCCTGATACGTAAGAAGAAATCCCCCCGACTTTGATTGAACGAGACGCGGTAGCCACGTTTCTGGAGCAGCCTCGTGCCACCGGCTCAGCTCCAGATCGAGCTGAACACCGGTCTCGGTCCACGATCGTAAGTTTGTTTCGGTGAGAATATCTGAAATCCCCTCTTTCGTCGTCAATGCCCGGCGGATATCCTGAGCGAATAAACTGACTCTCGTGGTCATACGCATGAGACCCTGCAACCCATCCGAACGATCGAGGACCTCTAGCAGCCAGGTTAGGTCGAACCCTGGTAGCCCGCTCATGTTCAGCATGTCAGTTTGCTAGGTTTGAGTCAGCCATATGTTGTCAGGAGTGACGGCTATATGAGGCACACTGTACATACTACTTGCCTGAATGCATAGCTCAACAGAGAACGACCGCGCCCAGCTCTCAGCTGGCCTTCGCCACGGAGCTTCATGAGTAGATGGAGTCCAACACCATGTGAACTGGCCAGATGTGATCGCTCGCCATTGATGTCTTCGAAAAGAGAAAGTAGCACCACCGCAGCAAGAGTCTCATCCCTCACAGCAGTGCTCGGCGAACGAAGAGCCGCATTGACAGACCGCAATGCACTGCCATGGACTTGTCTCGCTTTAACCACAAGGGGCGGTATTTTCATTCTGTTTGCCAAAGAGCTGAGTGCCGTAGCCTCCACAGCCCAACGGAGAGATGAACAAGCGCGATCGATGTCCGCATTCTGTTTAGATAGGGCATAAAGTCCTGGAAGGAACCCGAGATGATGGAAGTGCTGTCCAGGATCGGATATGACGGTGTATTGATCAAAGAAATGACAAAGTGCCCGCTCTTCCCATGTCGAATCTGCCAGATGCGTGGGGACGGTCCCGATTGTAGGCACATCTTCGCCTCGAGACCTTTGAGTCGGGCGTGTCGGATTTCTTCGTTTAATCACCGACTGTCTGGCTTTATTGGTTTCATTACGGATAACAAACGCTTCCCGGTAACCAGGACACTGGGCTCCATGCACGGCGCAGTTGCGGCACGTTGGCCTGGCCTCATCACACTATAACCGACAATCAGTCTCACAGGAATGACTCTTCGGGAAGACTCAAGAGGACCAACTGTGCCAAGCTACGCCATTGCGGTACGTATGCAAAGGACAAGCTGCTTAAATCCTCCCACATACCTTGATTTTCCGCCTTCGACATAAGTGGCAGCCGGTGCTTGGTCTTCCCCCGTATACCATGACTACAAATGAATGGGAAGAAGCTGATCAATACCCCTCGAGATTGGATGGGTTTCGCTGCGTCAATTCATAAGTTATTCCATGCATGCCGCTGGGAAGGTTTGCCCATATGATTTGAATCCAAGAGGCTAGACTGCTTGGGTCAGATATGCCGAAAAGTGTACCACAAGACACAAAAGCACCGAACCATAAGTAGGGTTTGGGTGAACCAATGGATGCCTTTACTATGGACCGTCTCCAAGGGTCAGGTCATCCCTGGCTCAGGATATATACCTGCACAGAAATGATGTAGTTATCCCGGCGACATCTGCCATCTGCTTAGTCATCGACTGAGAAAGGAAACTCTCGGCCGCGGCTTTGGATGTGATTAAAACAGTTTCTCCTTGAGGGAATGAGCTAGAATAATGCCAAACGAACTCTTCGTATAACGTCAGCGTGAAAGGCACGCTATGCAACTAGATCATATTTCGCTTTTGAAAGTCCAAGAAGATCTGGTAATTTATGCTTTGCTTTCACATGGCGGGTATCATCGGACCCCTGAAACGCGAGTCTCAAGAGACAAGAGGGTCGGTCGCCAAATACATTCACAGCCTAACTCCAGAACTCGTGATATCAACAACAAAAAATGACAGGATAGTAGCTCATCCAAACAGCTCAAATATGCAAGTATGGCGGTATAAAGATGCCCAGAGTATATAGAATCCCAGAGGCTTTCCAACAAGCCATGCTAACTCCCATCTATGACTCCTGTTTATATTCGGGACACAGCAGACAGACACTGAATCGGAACCGGTAGTAGACTGTATCCACGAAGTCCAGTTGTCCTATTATGCGCCCTCAAGAAGCATCCGGCATTGGCTGGTCGTCGTCACTGGCCAAGGATATTGCCGGAGGAGGATCAGAGAAGGGGGCTCTGTGTCTACTGACGTCTGAAGAGCTGCCACGCTTCTGCCGGGTCGGGCCTAACCCGGGAGTACTCGATGCACTCTCAAGGGCCACTGAATCACCGTATACCTCTTCAGGTGGAGGGGCGAAAGACCAAACCTAAGAACGGTTCATCGTCAGCACACTAGTCCACAAAAGAATGACGAGAAATCCTGAAAGAGAACTGACCTCCATCACAGTGCGACCGGCTCGGCTCGCCATAATTACCGCTTTCTCATCTTCAAAAGCCACCCTCCAGACGGCCTCTGCAGGGGACGACAGCTCTCGCAGTTGCTGGCCCGTTTCGAGACTCCAAACCTTTACGCGGCCATCGCTACCGCCGCTCATAATTCGAGTACTATCAAACTGCAGGCTGGTAACGCTATTGTCATGGGCTGCTAACCGGTGGATAGGTGCCATCCTTGTTAGAGACCAGACTCGGACTGATCCGTCTGAGCCACCGGTAACAAGCGTATCTCCCCGCATCTGCAATTGACCCACAAGGGATGTGTGACCTTGCAGAATCGCATGGCACTGGCCGGTATGAGGATCCCATATCCGAACGCTCGTGTCGAGACTGCCCGTGGCGATCCTCTTGCCATCAAAGGCAATTGCATAGATCTGGCTAAAATGGCCAGAGAGTGTCCGCAAACATCGGCCCTCCGAAATACTCCATATGCGTGCGGTCGTGTCGTAGCTACCAGAAACAACAAGATCACCATGGATACCGAGACATCTGACACTTGCTTGATGTCCGACCAGAACATTCCTACACATCCCGGTCGCGAGGTCCCATATCCGCAGCGTGGTATCTCTGGATCCTGAGATAGCAGTGTTCGCATCAGACATCTTTAGACAGCGCACAGTAGATGTATGACCTCGCAGCAAGTGGATACCAGCACTAGAGGGAAAGAAAGACGGATCAGTTCATGTAAGTAACCTTGGGGCTTGTGAGCTCCATCGAAAGTACTCACCCAGTGGCCATGTTCCAAACTCGCACTTCACGGTCACACCCTCCGCTGACGAGGATGTCATCCCACGGGACCATGGCCCATACACCCATAACATGTCCCTGGAGTGTTTTTTGGTTATCTCCATTCGTATCATAAACGTGGATCTTTGCATTGTCCAACGCAACCACAATATACTTAGGTGTCAGATGTAAGCTGGTGACAACCCCCTGATCGGGAGTGATATGCCTTTGCGTACATCGCCCACCCTTGTTCCAGGCTGACTCGACCATATATTTTTGCTTAAAATGAGCCCTGTAAGAGGACGGCTTGGCTCGTCGCTTCCGGCTCGGTGTGATCGACCAGGGGTTATCGGAAGCCGAGCTGCCAAAAAGATCGGGAACACTGTCAGCAGCACGCAGACCACTAATGTTCGATCTCCTCTGCGACCGGCCAAAGGACGTAGGGGCAACCACGGCTGACGAAGGCTGGTTGTGGAAAGGATCGATGAATTCTCTCTCATCCTCTGAACCTCTCCTGTATGCGTACGCATGCTTCTCACATAAGTTCTTCCATGTCATATCATCGTTCAGAAGCTCGTTCCATCGCCTCGATACTTGCGATGCTCTCGCCAGCGTCTTCGGGTCGTCTATGAAAGATAGAACCTAAAAGGAGAGCCAGGTCAGCTCCGTTTCTCCCCAACTGACAGGTTCAAATGGACTAGTTCCTTACCCTTAGACATAACTCGTTGGGGAAAGCCTGAAAAGGGTCCTTCCTTAGGCGTGGGCTTACGAAGCTGGAGACAAAGCTGAGTTGCTGGTTATCGCATAGATTCAGGATGCCTGCCAAGAACTTCTGCCTCTGTACGCTCCCCAACGAGCTGAAATGTATTCTGGCGTTCAAGAGAAACGCATCTTCTTCTTCCTCGGCAGACTGCTGCCAACTGGGAGGTCTCTGATGTGGTGTTGGGCTAGGGGCGGGTGTCGGAGGTGATGTCGGTGCTGACGGTAGGAGATTCGGGGGTAAGGGAGAGATCGGTTTATTGGGAGTCGGCAGAGGCCTCGGGTGCGAGTGGGAGAAACTGGAGAGCATGTTCCTGCCACCTGACGCTCGAGACTGGATGGAAGAAAGCGGTTCCGGTATACTGCGAGGACGTGGGTGGCCGTCTCCAGTGTTCAACAAAGACGCTCGCCGCTCGCTCATGGAGCGCGGCGGCGTGCACCTTGTAGTCATGGACAAAGAGTCTTTATAACGTATCCAGACCTCCTAAGAGGCTTATATGAAGCGAGAACAGCGGACCAAGCCCATAAGCGAATGCCAGAGTGAGCTCCAAAGAGGCGAAGGCCGTTTCGGAATGTAAGTAACTAGGTACTCGGCTCAGGCGCTTAGGTCACCTAGGGGATCAAGACAGGCGGACTGCAAGCATCCGCCGGGGTGAATCGGGGTCGTAAAGGGGCACGTTGGTCAGCTCTGCCCACGGACTCGTCAGGGGTGGTCAAGATACTGCTGAATGATTCTTCTCTGTCTCCAAAAAAAGCGGACGTAGATAAAGATGAAGACTGAAGTTCGACTCGGCCATGCGACGTCGGGATGGGGTCAGGTGCGGTCACTAACTGCGCCAAGCACCCCAAGCACAGCGTCGGTTGGATGCGACAATCACGTCGCAGAGACCGAGAGCGATCTAAGACAGCAACAATAAAATTGCACGGAGAAATGGCCACGAGGGACTCGGACACGATCCTGTCATGATGGTTCCACCTGCAACACAGGGAGAATGCAGAGGCGTTACTGCTGAAGAATCGTGCGGCCGGCGAGACGCGAGGGGCCTCGTAGGGATCGTGGCGACTGTTCTTGCTCCACGCCTTACCCTTGAAACGGACACAGACCAACAGGATAGAGGGAGCAGGATCTAGGCCGCCTCGAACGATGACAGCACGCTCACTGGACAGATCACCGGCTCTTTCGTGGCCATGATCACTCCTGAGGTTCAGCATCGCGACGCATGGCGATGCGATGGAGGTTGTCCGATGATGCCGTTTCCCAGTCATATCTGGCGTTGAGATGAGGCTCCTTCAGACGTAACTAAAGCTTATATACAGTTCTCCCAAGTCCTTGGGTGAGATGCGCGGTACAAGGCTTCGAACCGTGGCACCAGTGGTAGGCTGCGAGGGGTGGTCCGGCAAGAATGATCGTTCCCTCGAGCTTCATGAAGAGGAATATCACCGGAAATAATGTACAGGCAATACCAGTTGGAAACTGGGCTGGAAACACATTCTGTATCTCGTCCGGTACAAGAACTCACGCCATACATTAAGTAGATAGTCTATAACATCGAAACGACATGACACCCAGTATCCTAGAATAAGAATTTACAGAATGTACGCCAATCTCCCCGCTCATTTTCACACACCAGCGCGCAGCATAGCAGAGGGAGGATTCCACCGCGGGCATCCCTCTTTTTATATCGAAGAGATCAAACTGGATAGAAGTCCACTTAATGGTGTATTATATCCGTCCAAACAAAATGGCTAGCACCTCCACATCAATGAGCATGACCGATCTGTAAGAACAGGGGTAGGATCATTCCGATGACCGAGGCGATCAAGTCCCTCATCGACTTAGACGCTCGTTGTTGGTTGTCTCTTCCGTCGCCGTACCCGTTGATATTTATATCAGTCGACGCCGAATTCGCGCCAGTTTCTTGCATAGTATGCATGGCAACATATCTGGAACCCTCAGTCAATATCCAACACAAATCCAAAGCGCAAAAATGCAATACTTACAGGAAAGTGCCTGCGGAGAACAACAGAAGCATGCCCGTCCGCCAACGAGTCCCAGCTTCGTCGCCGCTCAGTCCAGAGCCCAATGTTTGCACGAAAAGAAAAGTTGCCAACGCACCCACCGGAGCTGCCAAGCTGAAGACGAGCAGATGAGCTCTAGCCGCACGACTCGACAGCCCTTGTTTGAGTAGAACAGACGTGAGTCCGAAAGAGGCGGGGGCCTTGTGGACCATTATAGCAAGGAAAATAATGAAGCTTAAGCCCGTGTCGGAACTGGATGCTCCCAGCGCGATCCCGTCCGCGGCAGCATGGATTACAAGGCCCGTCGTAGTTGCAAAGCTGTGGCTGGCTCTTGAGCTGGTCCCGGATTCCTGCATACCCTCCCGAGAAGGAGAAGAATTGCGACGCAGCCCTGAGCCTAAGTTATCCAGAGAAATATGGTATGGGGTTCTCTGCTGCTTCGAGGAGAATGACGCCAGCTCCGGAAGCTTGTCGATGAGGTACATGAGGATGAACCCGCTAATCAGTGCGATCCCTATCCAGGCGTGCGCGGAGCTATCATCCTCGTGCTCATCACTCTTCTCGCTATCATGGTTATCATCTTCAGGCTCATCCTTGGGGTAGGCACCTCGTCTCTCCTTAGCTGCCTGTTCGTCCGGCTGTACTGCGTGGAGCTTATCCGTCAAAGGGATCCATGCGCTTTCCGGCTGCGCTGCCCTCGGAAAGACAGCCCCATGAGAGACTGTTGGAACTTCATTCGATGGGATTATAGAAGCGAGTACTGGAGCAGGACCGCTGTGCTGCCAATTGACGTCCACCGATCGAGTTACTGTACTTTTCGCTTTGTGGGAGGTGCCTGCACTGTAGAGTGTTTCGACTCCTTCTGGTATGATAACAATCAGAGACGTCCCGACTAGGACTCCCATACCAACGGAGGAGATCAATCGCAATTGAGAGGGAGAAAGCGCGAAGGTCAGGGGTAGTGAGCCAACGACGAAGGAACTATGGCGACAGGCAGCTCTGTTAACAGAATTCTCCTCAATAAAGAAATGAAGATATCAATATTGCTCACGTAATCGCCATCACAATGCTCAACATGAGCAAAGTGAAAAGACCCTCCATGGTGGGCTTCTGTGTTCAATTCCCTGTCCAGGCCTTAGAGGGCTGCGAACATGGTGTCAACTCGGAGCATCTGTTTCCGCGTTGTGACACAAATTGCGCTCCGCACAACAGTTTCACCGAAGCCTAACAGCTAGATTTGATTAATATTCAAGGGATATGGAAGAGAAGCAAAGAGAAATTAAGGGATAGGCCAGGACGGGAACAGGTGTGCAACAAAATAGTAAGATCCCGGTGTCTCGCAAGGAGTGCTTAATTACGAAGTTGTCTCTATGCCCTTGTAGGACCCACGCGGATTCCCGCCAAGCCGTTGCCACAAACTCCCCGCCCAAGCTCAACTTCCCTAAGACTTCAGCCAACTGCACGTTTATATTGTATATATATCTTTCTCTCTCTCAAAATTGTTACGCTGCATACATAGCCATAACAGATAGATCGAGTAAAAGGCACTTCAGATTTTCAAAGAGCTATAGCCATCATTGACACCAGTACAGAATGTCCGCTGAGATCTGATATCATTCTGGACAAGTAGCTGTAGTAATGACTTAGAGAACAAAGGACATAGTTATAAAATACCCCCTTATAGTACTAGTTAGTTCAATGCAGAAAATAATAACTACTATGTACTATATATGGTAGGTAGATGGTTGAATGCTATCATATCATGTGATGGGGCGCGACCGCTAGCCCGAAGCGGTCATACTGAAGCAGCGCCAGTCGCGATCCCGACGCGCGCCTTGAGTATTATTGATGGAGCTTTGACAACTTGGACCGCGGGCGCATCTATTACCGCGACCAAAACTATCTACTTGGCCCTCTCAACTATTGCTCTTCAGACCAGCCAGAAACATGGCAGACAGTGACTGTAAGTATATAAGAAGCCAGTATATTGATCCCTTCACCAAAATCATCATGAGCTAATTGCGCTTGCTTTGCGCAGGGACTTGCGACGCCAATGATGCTGTTCACCTTACACTGGTGCAGCCTGGGGCTGAAAAGCCTCAGACCCTGTCGACATTTCACCCTCAATTCACATATCCAATTTTCGGTGATGAAGAGACTATATTCGGCTACAAAGGGTTGATCATACGCTTGCGCTTCGCGGCGCATGATCTGCGCCCCCATGTCCATATCTCGTATGATGAGAAGTTCAAAGCGGTCGCCGACGCAGCTCCAGTAGACCTTAACAAGACGTTGAAAGATTGGATCCCAGAATGTATGTGTCCCCCTTCAGTTGTTACGCCTTCCCCTCGTGCTGTGATTTGGAATTTCTGACGAGTTATGGCTTGCAGCTGCCTTCACGAGCCTCTCTGACTACGAAAAGGCTATCCAAAATGATGAGAATGCAAAAGACTTTATACCTCCAGGGAAGCTCGTTCACAGTTACATCACCAAGGGCAGGAACTACGAGATTTGGTCTGGATCGCTTGCGGATCCTGCCGTGCGCGCACTTCTCGCACGCGCGCAGGTCTTTGTATCCTTTTTCATCGAAGCAGGCACACCTCTTGAGCTAGACGACCCGGAATGGACTCTGGAAAGATGGACTGTTTATTTCATGTGAGTGTGTCGAGACATTGGTTTGTGCGAGCGAGTGGGCAGACTAACCCAATTGTCACAGATATGAGAAAGTCACTCCTCCAACACCTAGCGCCTCTCAGTACTCAGTAGTTGGATATGCGACTACGTATCGATGGTGGTTCTACAAGAGGGATCCTCTGGAGCAACCGACTACGAAGAATGATCCATTCCCTCTCCCCGAAGTCAGCGTCTCACAGTTGCCATCTCGACTACGGATTGCTCAATTCCTTATCCTTCCGCCTCATCAGTCATCCGGCCACGGAACTCATCTCTACACTACAATCCACAATGCGTGCTTCGACGATCCGACGGTGGAGGAGCTGACAGTGGAAGACCCGAACGAGGCTTTTGATGCACTTCGGGATACCGTTGACTACCACATCCTGCGTCCCGAATTCATCAAACATAAGGTCAACATCAACCCTAACCCATACGGACTCGAGAAAATCAAGAAACGACCCCGTATCGTTCCCACAGCTGCCATAATCCCCACCAAGCTTCTTCACGATATCCGTGCGTCGTACAAAATCGCCTCTACGCAGTTTGCCCACATCATGGAGATGTTCTTGCTCGGCCAGATTCCCATCAAGCACCGCACCGCCGGCGGCGCCAACATCACGCGCCTTCTAGTCAAGAAGCACAACGCAGAGGACGAGAATGACCGACGATACTACTGGTGGCGGATGCTGGTTAAACAGCGCCTGTACAAACGTTCCCGGGACGTGCTCATCCAACTCGACCTCAGCGACCGCATTCAGAAGCTCGAAGAAACCGTAACAAACGTCGAGGAGGGCTACGAAAGTCTCCTAAAGGCCTTTAACGCACGTGAGGAGAGCCTACAGGCACGAAAAGAGGAAGCGAAGGAATTGCTCGAAGCTAGAGAAGCTGCCGGTGAAGGTTCAGCCAACGGCAGTTCATCACGGTCGAAGCGCAAATACACCGTCATCGAAGACGAGGAAGATGATGATGAAGAGGGAGCAAAACGAGCTAAGGTGTAAGCTACATTGCATGCATGCTGATAATGAATCTTTTATTATTTATTTTCCCTTTCCCCTTCACATGGCTGTTTTAACTTAACTACCTCATATCACATTGTCTCTGGTTGAATGGAAAACGTTCATATTTCTATTCAGTATCGAAATGAATGGTCTTTCCTGAGTACTAGCAAGGCTCTTTTATACTTGGGCAATCATGATTCGAGAAATGAAGAGGAATCATTAACGATGTAGTAACCGTTCTTCTATTCAATCTAGACAGGATCGCATTATTTCCGGAAAAGGTAAGTATTCAATAGTAGGTAATTATTATCTATGTTAGATCCATAGTTATTAAGTAAAAAGTAAAAAGTAAAAGAAAAAAGTACGATCACTATTATGTGTCTGTGCATGTATCTGTCGGGTATGCCATAGCCCGCAAAATAACTTAACACTGTACCAAGATTGAGCTGCTCTAATACTTATTCCGCAGTAGCAGCATACATAATGAATAAGGTAAGGGAAACAAGGAATTAAAAAAAGAACATATTCTGACCAAGAATTGTCGGTAGATCCACCCTGTCCAAACCGATCTCCCGTGGATAGTGGAGAAATTTCGTATTCCCGCCGTCTCTTCGATATTACGCCTTTCCAGTTAACACCCAGTTGAAAAAAGAAACAAGTACTAGAAGGAGGGCGTGAAGAAAGTAGGGGAAAGGCCGCAGATAAGCGGGCTTTCACGATTAATGATTAAGCCAGCCGGTGGCCACCATCAATATCAAAAATGTTTCGGAACATCGTGAGGTAAGTCTGCGATAAGTACTCGGTTTCAGACATTGAAAATACAGCTCTATCTCCGCGGAAAAAACAGCGCCGTCGTATGGTCGATCGAAAGGCACCTGGATTAGCCGTAGTAACCAGGAGGCTCTGAATCTAGTGTATCCAGCGTCTCCAAAGTCACTGACGAGACAGTGTCGAGACTCATTAAACTGCTCGTTCTTGGCGAGTTGAGAGACGTCGTCAATCCGGCACTTGATGAAGGCGGGGAACTTCTCGACAGAGATCCAGAACGGGGCAGTTCTTCAATCTCATAACGTGATTGTCGTCGAGGCCGACGGTTCTGATCTTGGTCGTCGTCATTTCGAATTAATTCGCCGACAAACTCGAAAACCCGGCGTAGACCTAATATTTCAGCCTGCATGGCGCCCTCTTCAGGCTCGCGATGAGAAATCAAGTTGATAGTCTGGCCCTGCTCAGCGTCTTCAGCGGGATCAAGCCCCTGATTCGCTGATGCTGCTGGTCTGCGCTGGGGAGTTCTACCCTCCCACCACTGTCTCCATCTATAGCGTCTTGCTGCAGATCTGTACGCGCGACGGGCCCGTCGTTCTTCTCGTCTCGCGGCCAAGTCTGCCCTTCGTCTACGGCAGGTCATGGAGTCACGGCACAACCTGAAGACGAGAGTAGAGAGAGTAGCAATCAAAAGGATAATGGAACAGGATCTTGCGAATGCTCTAATCTTATCATGCAGAGACAAATTAGACCCGGGTGATGGCTTATCTGGGTCAGAGTCATCAGGAAAAGGCATGTTAGGCGGAGGTATAAAAGGTGTTTTCGTCCCACCATCAGGGATGCGGTCTGATGTGACGTTTGTATAGTTCCCCTGAATTACGGAAGCAGGAAACCCTTGATCAGGACGAGTTGGAAGCGGATCAGGCCCGTTCCTAGGAGGCCCCCCATCTTGACTGCAGATCGGGGCCAACTTTCCAGACATTGATGTCGGTAACGGAGCAAACTGATACCTCAGTTGCTGGATCATTTCGGGGACAGTCTGCAACGAAACTTTGATCATGCATCCAATACTCCGACACTGTTTCCATTTAGACACAAGTGGCCTGCAGTCCTGTCGCAACAGTTGACGGATCTTCTCCTCTTCCTCAGCGATTTGTTTTCGGATTTCGACCGCCTGAGTTTTCAAATCCTGTAGCTTCTTCATTTCTCGTTCTATCTGCTTCTCCAGTTTATCATCTCCGACTTCGAGGACGTTCGGCTGGTTCTCGAGCCTTTGTGACTCGTACGGGTCGCGCCATGCGTCGAGAGCCATGTCATTTGATGATATGTTGAGAGAGTGTGTTTCCAGTCGAAGTATCTCTGGCACATCCGTCTGCACGAAGGATGCCGTAAACCCAACAGACTCGTCCTCGACTTGTTCTTCTCCAATGCTGTTTATCTTGACTGTAAGAAGCTGGACGGTGCGATTGTCGCGTAAACCCGCCTGAGGAGGGATGCAGAGGCTTTCCCAAGTAGCGGAAAGTGGTGCAGAAACTGCATTGTCGAATGGCAGCGTCTTGATGGTTCCGGATCCATGACCAGCATTCCCATCCCATGTATGTATCAATTCCTGTCCGTTGAGGAACACATTTTCCTCCTCACAAGGTTCGCTAGCTAAACCAGCATTGAACTCCAGAAGCTAGGTAAACAAATCAGCAAAAGGGTCCTATTAGCCCATCCAAGGGTCTTCATACAAAGCCATTGTTCCCGACAACCACGCTTCCCTGGTATAAAGCTCCAAATCTCACGACGGCGTTCTTATCATCTAGAGACAATCAGTAAACATGTATATATGACGCAGACATATGATTTGTTCCTACTGACTTCGCCACAGGAGTACAGGCGCGGCTTCAGAGCCAGCATCGGTCGCGGAATCATTAGCCGCAACATTCGTAGGCGGAGGGGCGGCCAGGGCGTTGACAACGGCGGGCCCTACCAAGAACACTGCTGCCTTGGCTAAGCAGCGCATTGTGGCTGGAGAAGTACAGACATGCGGCGAGTCTAGATGGACATGACAGACAAAGTAAATCAGAAAGAGGACAGGTAAAGGGATGAGGCTGTCTCCAGACGTGAATCGGAAGGACTGCAAGTAATTATCCTAGGGCCATCTCCAATTCGTTGACTGAACAGCTGAAAGGAAGCCCCGAAGTCCCGACTCCGACCGGGCGGTGCACGCGGCGCAGCACGCGAGATACTAGGTAAAGTAAGTAGAGGATGCGAGGGCCTTGTCTCGGCACCGTACTTTCTCCGGTTCCCGGCGCGAAGCTGTGAGTGAGCGCAAGTGCAGCTTGTCTGAGCTCCAGTCGCTCGTTCAACGCCTTGATTCGGTTCCCCGCAGTCCATGTGGTGACGGAAGCGCAAGATTAATCCGAACTTTGCTAAACCAGAGCGCTTCAAAGTGCTGGTACAATTTATCCCTAAGCGTCAGGACGCCACGTCAAGCAGGAGCGCCGTTGGTAAAGAGGGGTTCCGATCCTGACAACATATCGCTGGCAACATGGTAACTATCACCTTACCACCTTATTTTGGAGTGTACTTCCACTATATTACGAGTTGCGCGAGATTGCTAACAGTCCTACGCTGCACAGTTGCCATTAGGTCTATTGACGGCCGCTCAGGGCCACCCGATGCTGGTCGAGCTGAAGAATGGAGAGACCCTGAACGGACATCTGGTCCAGTGTGATAACTGGATGAATCTGACACTCAAAGAAGTCGTCCAGACCAGTCCGGAAGGAGACCGCTTCTTCAGATTGCCGGAAGTCTACGTCAGAGGTAACAACGTACGTCGTCATCTAGCAATGGTAAAACGCATATACAATAGACCGCTGACTACGTCCAGATCAAATACCTACGAGTTCCCGAGGAGATCATAGACCTAGTCAGGGAGCAGCAGCAGAACCAACCCTCAAATCGCGGTCGCGGTGGCCCACAACGTGGTGAAGGCCGAGAACGGGGTCGCGGCGGTGGCCGTGGCGGACGAGGTCGTGGTCGGGGAAGAGGTGGCAGCTAGAGGATTTCATTTAGAGTGGAGAGGATGGAATTATACCCCGTTGGAGGTGGCACGGACGAAATGACATGAAGCTTGTGGTTTGGCGGGTTAGTCCAGCATGGCTTTGGCGTAATGGCTCTGTACTGTAACCGGTCTTGACAGCAACAGCTCAAATGTTGTAATCAATTGATAACGACGACAATAAATACCATATCTTTTAGTTCAAATATCCTATCTTAGTTAAATAACGCTATTCCGTGAATTGCAGAGATGGATCCCTCACGTATCACGTGATATCATTTTATGTTCGAATATGCGGACCTCCAAAGGAACATGGACTCTCCGCAAGCGCGCTCAGTCTCTCGCAATGCCACACAGAGGGCTCATAGTCGACGGACTATGGCGATGTCTCTGTCCTTCATTTAATCCTATTTCTTTCAAGAATGCAACTACCCTGTCAGCCTCCTTGAGGCGGACTCAATCGTTGTGCGCGGTCAAGAGCGCGTCCGTACGCTCAAAATCGGCTTTTGCACGACGACCCTACAGCACGAATCCCACCCACGATGCAACGAATGTGAACCAGTCAAAGCTAGAAGCCTCCAATCTTTCCACCTTGCAAGATGCGCACGAGTCAAAACAAGAAGAAGAGCAAGCAAAAGACGAGAGCCAAAATGAAGCTCCTCCGAAGTTGAAGTTCAAACGGGTTATGGTACGAAAGCCGTCGCGGGCCACATTCGGTGTGCCAAAAGATCTGGAACAAAGATCGACTACCAATCTGGAGAATTTGCTTCAGAAACTGGTGGCAAAGTCGCCTAATATCCGCGGCGCAACCCAGATTCTACGTATTCTGATCCGAGACCGCAATGTCCGTCCGGAGGTTCGTCATTATCGGGCCCTGATACTCGCCAACACGGATGCTCGATACGGGTCGCCGGAAAATGTGCGGAATCTGTTGAAAGAGATGGAGAATAATGGGATCCCAGCTGATTCCGGGACACTCCATGCTGCTTTACGGGTGAGCTCGTTTTCGTCTAGTGCTAGTCGCGGGATATACTAATTGCTTTTCTTTTTTAACTGGAATAGGCCGTGGCAGTTCATCCAGATTATCTGCTGCGCCAGGAGATACTCTATACTCTTCGAGATCGGTGGCTATCCCTAAGCCCCTCTGGATGGCATCATGTTGTCGCGGGGTTGATCCGAGAACATCAATTCGAGCTGGCGCTGGATCATATTGCGCATATGGAACGGAAGGACATCCCGGTGGAAAGCTGGTTGCACAGTCTGTTGGTTTACAATCTATGTGAGGTGGAGGAGTTCGATGAAGTCTTGAACTTAATGCGAGGCCGGGTAAACCAGGGCCATGAGATGACATTGAACCTATGGTTATATGTCCTTGACCTGGCAAGCGAGGCCTTACACCATGAACTGACAACTTATGTCTGGACGCGTGTCGTTGAGTTGGGCTATTTGAACCCATCCAGAGGAGTTTGTAGCAACGTACTGACACTTGCTTCACGAACGGGGGACACTGAACTCGCTGCTTCCGTCCTCCGCTTCTTTGAGAAGACCGGAGTGCCATTCTCTTTGGAGGATTACGAGAAATTCGTCGAAACGCATCTCATGGCAGGAGATCTTTATACCGCATTCAACATCCTCTGTGGCATGCACGAATCGGGTACTGAACTTGAAGAAAGCTCAGTCCGTGGTATACTCACCTACATGATCCGGACGGGCACGCAACCTCGAGATGCTTGGGCGATGCTGAAACGGATAAAGTCCTCGGGCAAGAGTGTGCCCATCGGTTGCGCGAACGTTGTCATTGAACTCTGCGAGCACGCATCTCCAGACGGCGATTCAGCCGTAGATCAGGCAATTCGATTCTATAAGGAACTCTACACATTGTGCCCTGGTGGTGCTGATGTGGCGACCTACAACTCTATCATACAGATATGCCGAAACGCCAAAGATACCCAGGCGTGCATGTTTGTCATCAAGGAAATGGCTGCACTAGGGGTTTCGCCGGATGCCACGACATTTGAGCGCTTGATCCAGATGAGTCTGGATTCAGGAAATTTCCAGTCTGGGCTCATGTACTTCAGGGACATGACGGAACGCGGCTTCACTCTGAACACAGCCGCTGAGACTGAAATCTGGAAGCAGTGTCAACAATCAGAAGACGAGTTTGCCTCTCTGCTCAGGTCGAGTCTTCAGACTGATATGGATCATAAGAAACGCGAATCAAGAACAGAGATGATGTCGGAACTGGCAGGATTGATTGATCTCGATGGTATGCCGGCAGAAGACGCTAGCAATCCGGCCGGGAAGCGGCCTAGTGAGTGGATGAAGTTGAGAGAACAAAGGAGGCGGATGTGGAGGGATCTCCGCAAAGCCGCTGGACTTAGTCCGGACAGGTCGAGAAGAAGGCAGTCAGCAATCGCCCAAAGGAGCAAACACTAGATAGAACGGATGAAGGACGGATCTCTACCGATATGGATGAATGGGAAGCCAACAAGGAGCAAACTCATAGATATCGGCCGTTCCGAAAAGCATCATTCACATGAGCTATGCTTTTCTAGTCTTGAAAATGTATTATATATTGATGATAAAACTAAGTATTACTTAGTGCCAGCTAGATACCCTATCAATGACTATCTTGTCACTTTTGTGTAACAATGACTCGAGAAATGAGAATGCCCGATGCAATCGCCCATAGAACAAACTATTTGGCCTAACACTTAACGTAATAATTGAGCCATAATGAAAGACAACTCATATCAGAACATGTAAGCTTTGTCAGTGTTGCTTTTCTTTTCTTTTCTCTCTCTCTTTTTTTTTGTTTCTGTTCTAGCACCAGCTGCTGGTTTGCTTGCGTGCTATTTTGGGTTCGACAACTCTCATGGCCTATAGTTAGTTAGTTGGTCGCCCAGCTGCTTAGTTAGGCCTGCTGTTGCAGATGGCCCAATGAGTCCTATGGCTTTTATTATTGTTAATTTAGGCAGCCTAACTATCAAGCCGCGCCCGAATGGCACAAGATTACCGCGAAGCCCTATCCTCGGAGAAAAAAAAAAAAAAAAAAAAAAAAAAAAAAAAAAAAAAAAAAAAAAAAAAAAAAAAAAACAAAGAGCCAAAGATAAGAGTTCGCGCTCCCTCAGTGCCAAAAAAAGCAATTAAACGAAGGTCAGTGCTTTTTCAAGGCCCACATCAGCACGGATTCCTTTGTGTAGGGCGTCCGAGCTGGCTGTGACTCTGACACGATACCATCGCGTTTCTATACTAAGTAGTTCTATTTTGCTGCCAAAAGGACAGAGAAATTCTTACAGGACTCTTTGCCAGGTCTCACTCACAAGTTTCTGATAGTAGTTATCTAGCAGTCGATTTTCATAGGGGCATATAGAAGCACAGAGGAAGAGCTAAAACATAGCGCCCTCCTCTCGCAGCGGCTATACAATTAGAACGCAGGCGGCGCCAGGCACCAGGTACACTACTACATACATAGTCAAACGTACTCGACTACTGGTAAGACAGGGGTGGCAGGAAATCAAGCTGGCTGGGGGTTGCAAAAGTATTTTGAATAATACGTATTGTTGACTGCCAGCTGGATGACAAGGTTACATTGTTACTTGACTTGTTGAGATTCTAATCTTGGAAACCTTTCTGTTCTTTTCTTACATGTCGTGTATGCGGGCCTTATTTTAATTAAGATCTGATATCTCAACTGCAGGTTTACGTACCACATGGCAGTATCATTTGGCAGACGGTTAGAAGGAGAGAGACGGGGCCATGCACCGCTAAGGTTAGATACTTTGGTGAGGGTCCTGTTTATCATCTCGGCAAACAGTTGCGTCCGTGTTTTACTCCAAAAGTAAAGAGTAGTAAAATAAAAGTACCATAAAAAACGGAGCCGTGGATCAGCAACAACACAAAACAACCGGCCCTGTCAATCCCATTCGCCAATGGGTCCGCTAGCTGTACCTTGCTGAGCCGTGCCAGCAGGACCGGTCAGAGACACAGAAAACCGTTGATTTGTCCCTCTTTTTGGCGCGCTCGGGATCTCTGAATCTCTATGGTCCCCAGTGGAGGCGATCGTCGCTCTTTGCACGTCATGATCTCCTATTAATAGTTAGGAAGGGATTGGCTCTGCCAGGGGGAGAGAGTATCTCATTGGCGAAGATCCGCGTCGAGCATCGCTTATAGGCTGCGTGTCTCATGTTTCAGTGTCGGATCGTTCACACTGATCACAGGTAACTTCGGGGTCCTGTGGATGTTGAGTGTGGCACAGTTCAGGATTGGGGCTCACTAATACGTAGTAGCGTCTAAGATTCGCTCAGCCGTCCGTCAGGTGTTCGTCTGGTTTGCGATCAGAATAGGATATTATTTAAAGAGAGGCTGGGAGGGCGTTTCTGAAAGGGAAGGCTGGATTCCACTACCTAAGCGGATAGATACTACTACTACCAACTACACTTAACACTGTCCATCCCTAGTTACTTACACTCTCAACTACAAGACTACATTTCTCTCCTCTATATCCGCCCCTTCCATCTACCATTTTTCTCAATCCACAAAAAGGAGACTACAATCCCACCATCATAGCAAAGATGCAGCTCAAATACGTCCTCCCCGCAGCTCTCCTCTCCACCTTCTCGGCCGCCACTCCTCTCCGCACTAGCGAGATCTGGAAGGTCACCAAATTCGAGATTGGCTGCTCTCCTGGCGGCTGTGAGTACAACTTCAACGTCTTCGGTGCCGGTACACGCAACACTCCCGGCTTCAACACCACCTGCGAGGGCAGCGATGTAGCCGGCGGCTACCAGGCGTGCAAGGACCCCAACATCAGCGCCAACCTCGTCCCAGAGACCTATCCCCGCTGGAATATCCAAGTCCAGCACGAATGGACAAACGACCAGGGCCGCTTCTACGCCCAGGGCACCAAGAATATCACTGATGAGCCGACCTCATTCATGATTCCCGTCACCCAGTTCGAAGGCGTTGCCTAAATCAATCCACATATACGCACACACCCCTGGGGAACGAACAAAACCAGGTTATGATGCTTGCATATGATGGAAAGTGCCATTGAGCTCGAAACGACCTGACTTGAGAGGGTTCTCTTGCCCATATGCTTGGGCAAAGCACATGACAAAAACGAATTGCATGAGAATGGGCGTTTTATTATGATGATTCGTGTGATGGAAATTCAACATTGTTATACATACCTTTTCTTTATCACTGTTCATATCTTTTTTTTTTTTTTCTCATGGCATGGCGATACGATACGATCAATCGTGGTGGCTCGAAAGATAGTTTTTATGGGCAGGAAGCCCATTTCTATGTTAATTAATAGATAATCCGGATAATTTTGCGCCTGTCACACCACTCAAGCACTTGGAAAATTCGTTCTCTCGTCTCTTGTATCTGCTACTCGTGAGCAAAGTAACTAAGCATCCGCATTCCATCAATTACGGTTGCCAAAACGTACGGGTGCGAGACCATTGTAGTTTGCAACTTCCCCAAGGTACGCAAAAAGTGTTGGCTTACCCCATTAATAGCGATTCTTATCATTAGATGAAGCCATTTGCACATTTAGACCATATGGTCCAAGCACGGAGACGACAAGCCATGTCCGTGACATCATTTTCCGTTCTCCGCAAGCTACCCCAAAACAACGTCCGAGTCCCCGACTTGGAGAGCGTCATAACGTTACATATCGCTAACAGGATCGTCTCATCTTATCCTATGATCCCTGTTCCTGGTTGACATATCCCTGCGTTGGTATAGACGATCGCTTTACTCGTCTGGGTCTCGCGATCGTTGTGTGCGTGCACCGCAGAGACGACGACGGACAGGAGATTTTGTCCTATCGCGAATGTTGGACTGCGCTTAGACTAACGAGTGAATTCATCTCCCAGTGACACAATGGTAAGTGCAAGCTGTGGATTCGATGAAAACATATCATGGTATAATGATTTGTTATCGCGTGGCTAACGTTCATCGCTTCGTAACAGGCGTCTTTCCTCCGCCAGATCGTTGCTGGGCCACGATTGCCGCATCCTGAGGCGGGCTTGGACCTGTGCTATGTCACAGATAATAGTAAGTTCATTGATACCCAATCGTCTATTCCCCTGTAATTCACGCTTGAGTGCCGTTTATGGCTAACATGTGTCTCTGAAAACTGCTAGTCATCGCAACATCCGGTCCATCCTCGACCTACCCGCAACGCGCATACCGGAATCCGACAGATGCCTTGGTGCGCTTCCTCGATTCGAAGCATGGCAGCAACTGGGCAATATGGGAATTTCGTGCTGAAGGAACGGGGTATCCGGATGATGAAGTATACGGACGCATTCACCACTTTCCCTGGCCGGACCATCATCCGCCTCCATTCGCATTGATACCCTCGATCATGGCCAGTATGCGAAATTGGCTAGATGGTTCGGATGACGCTGGACAAGAAAGCAAGGGAAAGAGAGTCGCTGTTGTGCATTGCAAGGCTGGGAAAGGTCGCAGTGGGACAGTGGTTTGCAGCTATTTAGTCAGTCAAGCAGGGTGGAAATTGGAAGATGCCACGCAGCGATTCACAGAAAGGCGAATGAGATCGGGATTCGGTGCTGGAGTAAGCATTCCCAGCCAGCTGCGGTGGCTAAGATATGTTCATGTCTGGACGAACCAGCTGGGAAAGAAGTACGTTGAGCGACCGGTCGAGATATTGGAAATACACGTCTGGGGTTTACGGGACGGTGTCAAGATCGCAGTGGAAGGCTTCGTGGATGAAGGCAAGAAGATTAAGTGCTTCCACCTCTTCCACCGCAACGAGAAGACAGTGGTGGACGACGGAAAAGCTATTCAGCCAGAGGAGAATGGCAAAAAGGACAAAGCAAAGCAATTGGCCTCTCCCTCGACGGTATCGTCATCATCGTCATCATTTGCTACAACTGCTTCCCCCGTTGAAACAGTCACTTCTCCTACGAGCTCTAATGGCGGTACGCCCACTTCCCCAACCACCCTCATATCAGCAGTCATACTACGTCCCAATAAGCCCGTGATCTTGCCGTCATCCGACGTGAACATCGACTTTGAACGACGGAGCAAGGCCGCCTACACAGGATGGACGATGGTAACCTCTGTCGCGCACGTCTGGTTCAACGCGTACTTCGAAGGAGGCCACCAGCACGAATCCGGCGTCTTCGAAGAAGAGTGGGAGAAGCTAGATGGCATCAAAGGCAGCTCGAAAAAGGGAACTCGGGCACTCGACCGTGTTAAAGTAGTCTGGCGATATCCGTCGCCCGCCCAGCTCTCCAATAAGGAACCCGAAAAGCCAGAAGACGTCCAACCGGCACCAGGCAAAGTCATCACAGAACCCAAACCAGGCGAAGCAGTCCCAGAAGCTCATGCCGCAGACTGGCGCGGGCAGACGGCCATCGACCCCCAGGACCCAGCCGGCCTCTCGTCCCGAGACGGGGAAGGAGAGCCAAATCGAGAATCCAGCAAGGAGCACAGAGACAAAGAAGGACACGAAGCTAGACATGAATCAAAGGGCCTCACTATGGCATCTTCCCACCCTGTTCTCACGGGGGCCACCACCGCAGCTGCTGTGGCCATGTCCGAGACGAGCAAGGGCGTGCGTAAGGGCCTCGGCCTGCGCAAACGCTCAGATGCCAGCGAAGCCGTCAGCGTCGCTAATAGTTCTGAGGATACAAGTCCCGAGTCAGGAAAGGAAGATAAGACCGAAGGCAAGAATGCCCAGAGACAAAAACAGAAGACACCAATCGGAACAACTAAGGACGGGAATGAACAAAGTACAGAAGAGACAGACACGGACATAGAAACTGTTCGGCCCTATTTTGGGAATAATGGAAATGGGAATAGTACCAGTGGCGGAAATGGAAGTGGGAATGCGAGCGGTGTTGAAGAAAAGGAAGACAAGCAAGAGAAGAATTAAAAGGGGTCAAAAATCTCGAGTTCTACTGCGTTGGACTCGGTCTTGGTGTGCGTCTCAGGAGAAGCGTGAATTGTGTTCGACTTTCTAGATTCTTGTCTGCATTGCATCTGCATTTGTTGATACATATATTATTATCACGACTCAAGGATACCACTTGCGGGGAGATCAATGGGAGTTCTTATAGAGGACGGCGTTCTTATCGTATATAATAACAATAATATATTATGAAATTGATATTCTACGTATGCTATGCTTATTTTCAAGATATCGTATCTATCGTCCACGTTCCAGTAGGGTCCAAGTCGCTCAACAATGTGATGGTGTAGTAGTTATGTATGTATGGGTAATGTGCAATCCAGAACCCAGGCCAAGAGGAAGACCAAATGCCCGAGTGCCCCTCCGGATAGTAAATCCAGATACCTGCCCTGTTGCTGTCTCCTCTAGTGCTGCCCGCGGCTAGCCTCCATGTATTAGGACTGCGCCTAAAGTGTCAGTATCGTGACTGGAGACGAGTGTACTTGGATGTTTGAAATCCATTGCCGCAAGTCGCTGCAGACCGTGCATATTATATCGGCACAAATCCCTCGGTCAGCCGTTTTCTCTCCTCAGCAGCTCTCTCGAGTCTTTCTTCGAGGGCTTTCATTTCCCTTCGTAGACGATCCCTCTTTTTCCTTTCGTACACTGCTCGCACGACACGCTTCGTCTGTTCTTCACCAACTGCAAAATTCGCTTTGGCAAGACCGATCACGGCGTCAATCTGTTCTGGGGTGTAGACGAAATTCCACGTGGAAAGGAAGTCGTCGACATCAGGGTCGATGGAAGATGGGTGTGGCGTGAGGGGCTTTGTAGGATCAGATACGTCCGCAGAGGACTTCTCTGAAGGTCGAGGAGCAGGTGTCTTTGGAAGTGATGATGTTGAGGGAAGTTCTGGGGCAGAGGGATTGGGCAGTAATGGGAAATAAATCACCGCAATTCCGGCGTCCGGGCTCATGAGATGGAAATCCGATTCAGAGTGGTCATCATGTTGCGGGTGGAAGAGACGTTTTGATGGAGGAGGCTCGTCATCGGAGGTCCTCTGCTGTTTCGTTCCCACCCACACGTTGCAATAACTCAGGTCGGTATCTTTTGCTGCTGCTTCGTGCCCATCGGAGTTTGGTTCTTGGCTTGCGTTTGTTGTCTCGGGCGTTCCTATCTTGGCATCATGCATGTTTGGGTTACTCTTCTGCGCCGCGGTGACTCTTTCATCTAGTTTCTCTTCACTGATATTCTGAGGTTCTCTCAGAGCCTTTTCCATATCTTCGGGGTTGGTGCTTGCTCTTGGCCATCCAGCACCGATTGGCCATCCCTTGACACCTCGTTGCTTTGCGTAACCGTCGACCACAGATAGCCAGTTTTCTCTCTTGATGTCTGCAGACGCATCAAAGGCCACCACTACGTCGACGTTCCTTCCAGGCCGTAATAAAGGGTATATAGGAAGGTTGTTGCTCATGCCTGCATCCATTAGCCTGAGATGAGTGCTGCTGAATATGGACTCAGGGCACGAGCGTGGCAGCTGATCTTTCATTCCCATCACGTAGTTCGGGATCGAAGCAGGATCTATCGGGTGGACCCGAATCAGATCCTGAGATTTCCCTTCAATCAGCGAATCGATTCCAGCGAAACCGGCCAGCCCCTTGACGACAGGTCGGATCTCCTTGTAATAATGAGAAAGGGTCGCACAGAAAGCGCTACCCCAGATCCCCATCAATCCGGGTACACGAAGCTCTGGCACAGCGTATTCTCCGGGAGGAACAACATTCTTTCCCTCGTTAAAGTGCCTTCCCAGAGCCCATGTTGGTATTCCCGCATTAAATTCCTCACAGAAGAACTCATATGGAGTAAATTCATACCACTGAAACCATGCTTCCTTCTTTGCTTCCTCCTTGAGCTTTTCCGGGCCTCGTCGTCCCTTAATCTCGGTGGTTTGCTCTTGATTCTTTCCGATCATGGGTATTTCGTGACGGACAGCTGTATATATCGGAAGTGGATGAGCACCGTTTCTTAGGTACTTCCGCTGATTTGAGAGTTTGAGATCCTCATCAGAGACGTTCAGTTCCCCTTTCGGGACGAGAAGCCGGGCGCCGAGCAACAGTCCATATATATCCACGAGACCAAAGTCGGCCTCAGGATCGCCCTTCAGCTTTTCCACCAATCCGGCAAGAAGATATTTATTTGTCGGTGCTGTTGTGAGCAGGCTTAATGCTTTGGGCGGGAATGCGATGTGGACCGACAGTCGATTCTTCAGATGGTCAACCATCTTGTTGAAGTCCCGTCCAGTCAACGTTGAATGGTACAGTGTCTGCAGCCAGCAGCTTCCGCTCACACCAGCAGTGTATGTCACGCAGTCCCACAGTCCAGCTTCTTGAGCGGCCAAGTAGGAGCCGGTGCCCGCTACAAGAGCACGCAGTCCGCCCCCAGAGCCGCATACGGCGATTATGGGTACATCATCCGGGTGGATTTCTTCTTCCTTGATGTTGAGATATTTTGCCAATGCGCGGGCGGCGTGCTTTTGTCGTTCTTGTCGAAATGCTATCTCTTCTGGACACAGGGTGTCCCCGACACGAACCCTTGCATCCTGTCCGATCTCCGGGTTGATGTGCACGTCGCGTGCCTCTCTCCAGATATCATCTGCAAGAGATCCAGGAGCTAGTGACAATTCCCGTTGGAGTTTCTGGATGGTTTCGGGGAGGAAACGGGCCCATTCGGGTACAATGTAGTTTTTTATACTGTCCCCAATGCTGGACCATTCAATTGAACCAAATGAGTCCTTGGTCACCGCAAACTTGCGCGTAAATGTCGCGAAGGCTGACGCTTCCTCCTGAGAACCAGCCTGAGAATTATTTGGCGCATCCGACTGCGGTGCATGACAACTTCTCTCGGCAGCCGTCTCATGCGATCCCTCCGTGACATACGGACTGTCATTCTTGTCGACATTTCTGGAATTATCCGTCGAATATAAGGTCCTTTTCTCCCACAGATTCGTTGGACCATCTGCTCGCAACCGACCGCGGCCATTGTAGGAATATGAGAGGCCGCTTGCGAGCAGCAGGGCCGCGGGTGTGACAGTGCGGAGACGCAGCATACTCGTAGTGCCCGTACTGGCGTGGACACTGCGAAAGGGCGCGTAAGAGCGACAGCAACTCATGGATAGATCACTATCCCATTCTCACCTGGATGTCCTCCGGAGAGGACAGCAATTGGCCTTTTCCGGCTCTTTGGACGAATTCCGATGAATCTCAGCTCAACAAGGAAACATCAACAACGTCATAGTCACGTGCCATTTCCGGAATGGGAGACGGGCCGGTTTGTCTAGATCGGGTTAGCGCGGGATATCCCGCAGTCCTCTAGGCTCTAGCAGGCTAGCTACCAGTAGTTACTCGGCCAAGGGTTCATCCCGGGCAGATCGAAAGGAGCTCCAAGCGTCCTGACACCTCATCTAAAGCACGAGGCAGGGAGCCTCTGTGACAGCTGCTGTATCACCGTCTTGTTCTTAGCAGTGGTTCCGTTTCGCACCTTCTCGTTCCTTCTGAGGAGCGGGATGCTGGATGGATGAAGACACGCCGTGTCGCTGTTGAAAGACTACCTCGACGTCACAACCCCCGTTACGGAGATATCAGCAATCATGGTCGCGCCTCGAAATACCGCCTTTGCAGAAGAGAGCGCAGAGGTGGAGGTGTTGTATGCGAACCTTGACAAGCTTAATGTCCTCACGAAGAAGATCCAAGGGTCCTTGGTCCGCTTGGAGACCAGCGGCAAGGTGGTTAAAGAAGCCATTGGTCCCATCTACAGCAATACACAGTCGCTGCAGATAACAAATAGCAATATCGACAAAGTCAATGAAGCGATCGAGCGGCTACGACAGCCTTTAGATGCGAAGAATCGTGAGGAAGACATCATTCGCGCTGGGTACGAAAAACCCCGCTTTGCAACCCCATGGAACCCCGCTGACAATGAGAAGACCAGAGAGTGTTGGACTATCACAGTACTTATCAGCACTCAAGCGAGTCGATAAAGCCCTCAAAGACCTCACTGCGACGAATCTGAAGTCGAACCAAAAAGCGATCACTGAATTCAGCTTACTGTTGACCACTGGCAGTGGGAAACTTCAGGATATGTTTCGCGCTGCCTTACGCGACCACGTCAGTCCGCTTGAACCTTTGCACTATCTTACCAAAGGTAAATTATAATTTGCAGTTCCCTGTTCCCTCGAAACTGCATTATGCTTACAGTCTACCCTCTAGACTTGCCTTTTCCGACCCTCCCCGGGGAAACACTCGCGCAGCTGGGCCCGGTCAGCGCCGCGATCAGCTCAGCAGCGTCACAAGGGACCCAGCGTACCCCAGGCGACAATCCAGCTATCTCTATATATGCCGAAACTCGTGGGCCATACATAACGTCGACCTTGCAGAATCTGGCAATTGCCTCCGTCAATACCGTTAAGCGAAGACCATCGGATGGTCCATACAAGCAAGGCACCAACGGTATCGGTATATATTCCAACGCCTTGGAGGGGTTGATAGCAGCGGAATACGAGAATATTATCCGAGTCTTTACGGGTGAACAGCAGGGACGAGCCTTGCAAGCTACCTGCCGCAATGCTCTAGCAGAATATTCCAAGACGTTGCGCGAATTGAACCAGTATATCAAAGCAAACTTGATGACTGACTGCTTCCTGGCATTTGAAATCATTGAAATAGTGACTGCAATGTCTTATCGTATTGACGCCAAGACAGGGGAGTTGAAAAGTCTATTCATCGAAGCACTGCGTCCCGTGCGAGAGACAGCAAAGTCTTCTCTAGCGGAATTGCTCGAAGAGACAAAACGCAAGGCAGCTGGTATTGCTGTTCTTCCACCTGACGGCGGGTCCGTACCACTTGTCAATGAGGTGATGAGCTCCTTGACTACCTTGACAGCTTATTCTGGACCGCTGGCCTCCATTTTGACCTCGCTTGGCGACGGAAACTGGCGATCCACGACAAGCACGACAAGCACCGCACCTCTTGACGTGAGTCCGGATAGTTCGACGCTCTTCTCGCACTTCATCCTCGATATGATAGAGGCCTTGATGATGTCACTGGAGGCTCGTGGGCGCGCTTTCCATAAGTCCAAGGCCACGCTGGGCGTCTTCATATCGAACATCTTTTGTATTGTTGATCGCTCGATCCGCCAGAACCCGGAACTGGCGCAATATATGTCAAGCCCGGCCAGCATTAGCAGAATCGATACCTTCCGAAAACGCGGCACGTCTACCTATCTGGATGCATGGCGCGAAGCATCTCAGCAGCTCCTTGACGTGCAATATACCTCCCGCACCGGCGGCTCTGCACGTCCCACGTCCGGAGGGCCAGTCGATTCAACTTCTATCGTCAAGTCGCTTTCGTCCAAGGACAAGGACACAATCAAGGAGAAATTCAAGTCTTTTAATGCCGCTTTTGATGAGCTTGTGGCGCGCCACAAGGCACTGTATATGGAGCGCGAAGTCCGTGGTGCTCTGACGCGGGAAATCCAAGCCGTCATCGAGCCCCTTTACGCCCGATTCTGGGACCGTTATCACGAGATCGATAAGGGTAGGGGCAAATACGTCAAGTATGACAAGGGAAGCTTGTCTGCTCAACTGGCAGCACTTTCCTAGATCTCCTGGCGCCTGACCAGTATTGAAGGACATTCCCTGATTATCACATTAATCTCTAATTTCTTTTCCATTGGAAGCCATGGCGTTCGTCGGGGAGCAGTCCAGCTCAGGATCTGTTTGCTGGTTATTTATGTCCGTTCTTGATACCATAATGCCCGGACTCAGATTCCTGCGTGAATATATAGACATGTTTAATTCAAACCGTCTGCATGGATAGCAGCAGACGCCTTTCTAATGAGAGATGCAACCTAGCAGGTCCAGTGATTGATCGCTTGCAGACGCATTCGTGCATAAGACTACCCTTACCCTATCTATGAATCATGCTGTTCCCTATCACCACGTGACCTTCCTGTCTGTCCGGCGTCGGCGCAGTGCACGTGACTGATAACGCTGCCTCCGGGTTCCAGACCCCGCTATCGCCATCCGTTCTAGGAAAGTATCCCCAAAATTTCCCAGGCCGTTCGCACACAGCCTCTGGCCTTTTCCTCCCCCCTCCCTCCCTCCACACCATGTCAATTGTCAACGAGATCGTCCGAGACGGCGCGATTATCAAGATGTCGGCCAGCAATGATATCTACCAGACACCCCTCAACTCGCGATATGCGAGTAAGTACCCCCGACATGACTCCCTCCAATGAGCTCCACATGGTTTGTGGACCATACCAATACGTTATCTGTGATTCGCAGGCACTGAGATGAAATATCTCTTTTCTCCTCGAAAGCGATTCTCGACATGGAGACAACTATGGCTGTGGCTGGCGCAGTCCGAGAAAGGTACGATGCGGCGGCAACTATGAAATTTTCTATTTTCCCTGTTCCACAAATGGGCGGCATATTGACGCAGACGCAGAACTGGGTCTTCCCATCTCCGACGAGGCGATCGAGCAGATGAAGGCGCATACCATCATCCAAGACGACGAATTCCAAGTTGCGGCTGAAGAAGAGAAGCGAAGAAGACATGACGTGATGGCACATGTCCACGCCTTCGGTCAGGTTGCACCAGCAGCTGCTGGCATCATCCACTGGGGAGCCACCTCGTGCTACTGTACCGACAACGCAGACCTTATTATCCTTCGCGAGGGCCTCGATATTTTGATTCCGAAGCTGGCGGTTGTTATCGACAAGCTTACAAACTTTGCTAGAGAATACAAGGACCTGCCGTGTCTGGGTTTCACTCACGGACAGCCGGCGCAGCTGGTGACCGTTGGAAAGAGAGCTTGTCTCTGGATCCAGGATCTGCTGATGGATCTGAGGAACTTGGAACGGGCGCGCAATGACCTGCGCTTCCGTGGTGTCAAGGGTACTACCGGTACTCAGGCCTCTTTCCTCCAGATCTTCAAGGGTGACCACGACAAGGTGGAGCGATTGGACGAGCTGGTGACCGAGAAGGCTGGTTTCGAGTCTGCTTTTATCATCTCCAGTCAGACGTACTCTCGTAAGATTGATGTCGATGTCGGAAATGCTCTGGGCTCCTTCGGAGCCACTTGCGAGCGCATTGGTATCGATATCCGCCATTTGGCCATGCTGAAGGAGCTTGAGGAACCTTTTGAGAAGGACCAAATCGGCAGCAGTGCGATGGTGGGTGGAACATCAGGAACATCAATTGAACAATGACTGATTTCTATCAACAGGCTTACAAGCGCAACCCGATGCGATCGGAACGTCTTTGCTCTCTGGGAAGACACCTCCAGAACCTTCCGAAGGATGCCATTGACACCTACTCTGCACAGTGGTTTGAGCGCTCGCTGGTAGGTCATCTGTATGGTACATAGTCGGATTACTGTATACTAACCAGAAACAGGACGACAGCGCTATCAGACGTATCAGCTTGCCTGAATTGTACCTCTCTGCAGATGCTTGTCTCATCCTTTTGAGTATGCCATATTTCGTGCCCAATGTTCCGTGCGTAAGCTGACTCGGGCAGACAACGTCACCTCCGGTTTTGTTGTGTATCCTCAAGTGATCAAGCGACGTGTCAACGATGAACTTCCTTTCATGGCCACGTAAGTCCCTCGTCTTTCCCTCTTCGTTCTAACACGGAGACTAATTGTGTGCAGTGAAAACGTAAGAATCAAGCAATAGGATGCGGCATCACCGTTGGGTAGCTAACCAGAGACACAGATTATCATGGCCTGTGTTGCCAAGGGTCTTTCCCGACAGGACGCTCACGAGGAGATTCGTAGGTCACGCCACTTGGATTGGGCATGTTTCTTGTAGGCTAACTCGCCGATAGGCGTCCTCTCTCACCAGGCTGCAGACAACGTCAAGAAGCACGGCGGAAACAACGACCTGATCGAGCGTATTCGCCGTACCAAATTCTTCGAGCCGATCCTCGACGAGCTGGACGCCCTCCTTGAGCCCAGCACCTTCGTCGGACGTGCTCCTCAGCAGGTCGAGAAGTTCACCTCAACCGAAGTCCGTGCTGCGCTGAAGCCGTACGAGGCGCACCTGGCTAAAGCAGAGGTCGCCGACCTGCACGTCTAAGCAGGTTTCACTTGCATCTACATACACACTACGAACTTATCATTGTCTTCTAGGCGTTCCGGGTCTGTGATCCCAGTGAAGAAGGGTGCTCGTCGACCCTCCACGGACACAGTTCTGATAGATATAGACTCACATCCGCACGGCGCTCTGGCGGCTACAGGTACATAAAAAAAAGAGTTCGAGGAACAGACGACTATTTTCGGGTCAAAAGTTCTCTTTTCTTCTTGGCATAGGGACATTCAACATCATAGGATCTCATTGCGTGCTCTTCCCCAGCGAACTTGGAAGGTTTAGACAAAAAGAACTGCAAAGTACGGAGGCTACTATGACTCGTGCATCATCGCTATGGTTATCTGGTGGATAAATCATGAAATTTTGAGCGCAATAACACGTATATCATTTCTTGTTCATTCGCTCTACGAACTAGAAAGATGCTCTGCCATCTATATCAATACACCTTAGACCCTACATTCCGTCTCAATCCACCTCCACATAAGACACGATGGATAAAGGATAAACTTCAACTTCTTAACCTCTCACTTTCTGTGCCAATGCACTCGATATTGAAAGGTCGAATAAGGCACATAGTAAATGTAGATTATCACTAGTTAGATATCTTAAGATTGGCCAATAAATGTGAAGATCTGCATGTTATTGGCCATGAAAATCTGGTTTATTAACTCAAACTTCATTTCTTCCGTACCGCCACCGTTCTAATTCGAAAATTTCTCTGTTGATCTCATCCTGCCAACGCCATATTAGCTCCTTGCAATCCTTTGAAAGCACGTGCCATTTGCCTCCCGGTAATCTGACCAGCTCTCGGAGAAATACATCTTGCCATCGCGTCTTTATGATATCCGAGACATAAAACTTGTCATCGGACTGCCTTGGATGCAATAAGCATGGACGCCCTAAGCAAGACTCTAGGTAAGGTATTTGTCCCTCATATACGCCAGTCCGAAGTACGCCAACATTTTGTAATTCCAAAGGCAGAGACCGAGGTAATAATAATCAGGAAAGCAGATGTCGCGGCTCTGTAACTTTAGTTCCGTATTGCTTACACAAAGGCGCCGCATATTCTAGTAGGCATATCTAAGGATGTAGTTGACTCTAAAAAAAGCGAAGCGTCTGCTTTGACCCCAATGGTCAGCCCCCCTCTGGCGATAGTGGCGTTAGTTGTTCAAAGTTCCAGTTTTGAGTCTCCTCTAGAAGCGCAGAGGATTTGGACCATGCTTTTCTGATTTGTAACTGATGATTGCGATTGATGTAGCCGGGGGCGAGCTCAGCCCACCCAAAAAGCTCATACAACCCGAGACCTGGGCGCACCCGAAGAAACTTTGAATTTTTCCTAGCCTATATAGGCATAATAAAAATATACAAAAATGCTATAAAATAATTCATATCTTTGTCTATATTATATATAAAATTTAGAAATTTAGGATTTAAATTGCGTGCACTAGAACTGGGTTTAGTAAATTACACATAGAAATTCGATATAACAGCACTGGGCGAGCAGCAAGCGACTAGTAGCACGCTCCCGGAATACTGCCGGATGATTTCTACAACGCCTTCTATATTATGAAAGCAGTCAGAAGAGTTCGAAGTAAAACCACTACGAATTTCGCCCGAGATCCTCTTGTCCTTCCTTCTTTAGCTTGAAGTCTTCGTTAGATGCTGACCATTATTAGATTAATTTTGTTCTATATTTTATACGTAAAATATAGGCTATCACTTATATAAAGATTCAATTCTTCTTTAAATACCTTTATTTTTTCAATTTTGAATGAATTTTTGAAGTTTCTAGTTCAAAAGCTTAGCCCACCCAAAAAATGGTAGAAATACTTGGGTGGGCTGAGCTCGCCCCCAGCTGGACCGAAGTGTATGCCCCCGCGTTCTTTCGAAGAACGCAGTAAATAATTCGAAAGATTCACAGTCTAAGAATTCCTGAATCGCTGCCGATACGCAATTCATTTCTTCAGACTCATATAAATGCACTGAGTTCATTTCGGGTCCGATGCTGGGGCTTATATGTCTTATTTTCACGCTGTATCGACGAAAATCAGGGTGGACTGTAGCGACATCCGGATCAATTGCTCGAATATTCCAGTAAATTATGAGTTTCCAAAGCGCACGCTCAACCCAAAACCTGTCAATACATGACGGATACCATAAAGCGGCTGGCGTAAAGGAAACGCCGGGTCTGAATTGTTTCAATGTGTGATCCGGTTCTTCCTCAGTTTTCCCATTCACGGGCCTGGAGAACAATTGTTCATGGACATTCTGGAGAAGAGTGGCGACGCATCTAGGTCGAAGATTTTCGATGCGGTAAGCTGTTAGCAACAGGTAGCGAGGCCCTGGCGTGCCAGCCGTAAATGCAAATGATGGTGGTGCTGAAGTAAGCACATCTTTAGGAAGATTTTTGTATTTGTTTACCAACGTTTCGAAGGTCGGCTGCGACGGCGGATTCCCTGAGTGTGCGTTGGGACTGGTCTGGATGCTGAGGGAACCCAGAATGGCAACCATGCGAGCCAAGTGCTTGAAATCGGGGATTGAGCGTTCGATAATCTTGTCTAAGAGATGACCAGGGTGACTCTCAAATGCTGCATTAGCTTTTGCGGATGCACATATGAGTCTGTAAAGCGAAGGGAGGTCCGGTACGTGTCCAAGGATAATGAGCATTAATTCCGGTGAAAGACGAGAGTATGCGCCTGCCATTTTGTTTTCTCCAGAAGCTCAGAGATACGAGTGTGGAATATGACCTCATCGGACTTCAAATAGAAATCAAGATGATATTGAAGTTGTATACGTGGAGAAACATTCGATGCAGGCCAGATTCAGAGCAATCACTGATATTGATTCTAAGAGCTATGTCAGTAATAAATACGAGTTATTAACAGACAGGGAATGTGAGAAAATAATAGATGTGGCCTTTCACTTTTAGAGGTTCTTGTTGCCTTCCAGGCTACTAAGCACTCCGAGTGAGTGAATGATTCTGCCAACCATCATTGATGAATCTGTTCAGTGTCTGTGATATAAGGTCGTGAAGTCTCACAACTACCTATAGTGAAAACCGAACTCTGTACATAACCATGAGAGCCTTATATCGAAGACCAGTATCGGTCGGGGGTAGGGCGTCCAAAATCCGAATCCAGTCTCGACAAGTGCGCGAGACTTGCCCTCAGTGCCTGGGAGTCGGTTTGCCATCTTAGAAAAGCGCCCCTCCTTTCTCCTTTCACTCTCTTTTATTCTCCGAGTGACTGATCAGAATCGAAGGTTATCCTCTTCTTTCCTATGTCTTTGGACTCAGCAATGTGTCTCTCTCTATAGAAATATATCAGTCTCTGTTGAATACTATGGCGTATTTTTGCCGACGTTGTCTAGCTTACAGAATTATCGAGACTAAGCAAGTGATTATATCCCCTCTCAACTAACAGTGCTAACAGTCCCGAACTTCACAGATTAGGCCCTTTTAGATAGAGCTCGTAAGTCGGCCATAATCATTGGAATTCGATTAGCCACAATTATTGATTCAATTATGCTAACTGCGGCAGAAGAACGAGCCACGCGTGAGGATATCTCTATGCAAAGCTATGTGCTACTTGACATAGAGTTGGCTAATAATATGCTTCTGTCGAAAGCAGATATTGGGGAAAAGTAAGTCGCCAAGCCTGCTTACCTTGAGAACAGTATAGAAATAGGTCTGACTACCTCATTGGTATTTAGTCTCAACACGTACATATATCATACTTGTGGTTTAGATTCTACTGGCCTATGCTCGCGTATCTGGCGTTTCAATGAATAGCAGAATGGGTAAGCTAGCTGCACTGTTCATATACCGTGGAAACTCCGAACCAGTTCCATAATCTCAATGACAGTTTATGAGTCTTGCGAAGACTGACATTTGCAACTTTCTGCAGCCTTTAATGGCATCACACGCCGCATCTTCCGGGGGAATCCGGAGCAGAGTTTGTTTATATGTAACCACCCATATCGGAGGAGGCTGTATGTGGCGCTCACAAAGGGCCTCTCCGCTGTCTGGCGTCGGAGGCTTAGGTACAGCCCATCATTAATATTATTCAGATGGACAGAAAATATAGTGTGTCCTTTGTGGCAGTATGGGCCATCATGCCACAGAGTGCTGGTACAGGGCCGACGACTCGGTATGCCAGTTATCCTTTGATATGATTACTAGTTTCTATCTTTCTAACGGTTTAACAGGCTAAAGTGCGTTATTAAACCTTGAGGCTACTGCAATAAATTCGTTCTAGCCCTTGATATGTCTATATTGTCAACAGGAAAAAGTGGATGTCGTAAGTAATTCTCCTGTATTACTTTAGATCGAAGATTGATGATCTTTTCGTTACAGCACTCGCTACGCAACTGCCATTTCGCATATCCTTCCGTCTCAGCACCGGGCCACCATATATCTTGGTTGGTATCAGCACCCAAGAAGAGAAGGTGCGAGAAAACTAATGCAATATAGGGGAAACATCTTTCCACACGTTTACTGCCTTTGGCAGTATCACCCAGCGAGCGCAGTTTCAATATAACGACGCGGTGAAGAATCTAAGGATCTTGAAAGTCAACCGCTACAAGAATGATCTGAAGACTCAAACCGATATTGCGGGGGCTTTGTGGATGTATCGCTCGATCAAAAGAAGTATGGTTCGGACTATGAAACTTGGCTTCGGGGAAACAAACGATCGCAATAAAGATTCTGAGGACCTAATCAAGACGAAAGTATGTATGCCACTAATCTAACTTAAGGAAATTGAGATCTAGGAGGAATGGTACGAATGCTTGCGCGCACTGAGAGAGGCTGCGGATCTCCTGATCAAATGGGATTGGGCGCCAGATGTGGACGATGCGAATGAATTTCTGCGGCGCTTTACCCTTGACCGGAATCCTGAAATCGAGAAGGAATATGCTGCCTGGAAGGAGGCTCATACACCTACAGTTTGCCAAATAGCTTTCCTTACGGCATTACAACAATTGGAAGCAGGACTCGCATCTATGAACTACTATCGGAAGTTCGTGCCACATTTCTCCGCCATTGCGAGACCGCTGAATATTCCTTAAGACCAGAGGTTTTGCAAGAGCGAGCTTACTATATTACCTCATCTATAGGTTCTTACTGATCAGCTTGCTGTAAGAAATCCTTGAATTTATAGTTAAATACTACGGTGCTAATAGATATCCTAAGGAAAACCGGCAAAAGATAATGGTATAATTCACAATCCGGTTATATTACTATTGACAAGCGTTACTAAATGCGCTAACCGTATATATTTATATAGATGATGGCGAGCAAAGCCAGGGTATATATATAAAGAGTTATTCTTAGAAGATAATAAGTTAACTAATTTTTGAGCAGGAAATTGAGGAGTTGGAGGCACGTTATCGAACAATAATAACTCGATATAATTTTAACACGGCTAATATCGAGTCACATTCAGGAAGCAGAAGCCGTCTCAGGGCTTCAGACCCTGGCTCAAAGGTATGAAGCTACTCGTGAAGTTACAACTTTGATGTGAAACTATTATACTTACATAGTTCTCTTAATTATCCAGTCAGGGGTAAAAAGGTATATCTATATATATATGTCAGACGATCGGTTAAGCATGGCTAATTGTATACAAGATTGCTGTTTACAGTGTTAAAACAAAGATGGAAAAAGAATTATGGCTTCAGAAATTTCCGCCTGACAACATGCAGGCAGTTTATCATGTGTTATTTGAGACCTCTTTTATCCTATACACTGAAAAGACGCTCTTATGTCTCTACTATCTATATCAAATGATCACCCATTTGAAGACCCCCGTTCCCCCATGAATCACCTCTACAGCTTACGATAAGGGACGAAGTATACTCCGCAAACTTAGCGAGCGAGAAAGGGAGCCGTCACCTTCAGGAGCAAATTATCCAGCAAAGTATTGTTATCCGAGGCCAGAAAGCGCAGACTATACATGTTTTAGATCCACCTTTCAAGATGAGTTAATCGCCATTTAAGGGGAATTATCATTCCCAGGGTCGGGCCAAAATCTATTCTTTCTGCAGCTACCTAGGTAGTTAGCTATGGTGGTTGGCTATCAAGCTTTCTGCCCACTCTTTCCTCTTTCATGTCCATCACTGTCATTTGTGCGGCACCGTAATTCCGGCTATGTATTGCTTTTCTCTTCCTCTTTTCCAGGTAAACGAGTCAACTCTGCTTTTTCTTTAGCGGCCCACCTTTGCTATTCTAAATTATCACCGGGAAGGATAAACGGGTCGATGCATCCCGCGCCGTTGCAGGTGTTGATCTTCCGCTTTTAATTAATTACCAGGTTTTCTTCAAGGGGGTTGCTACGGGATAAGAAAAAGATCGGGATGTGGCCCGTCTGAAGTATCCGTGGTTACCTACCTAGTTAGCACCTAGTTAGTAAATACGCAGTTCGCTAGTATTTTGCTAATATAACTAAATGATTATTATTATTGTTATAGTCAATAGTAATTATAATAATGATAATAATAACAGTAGTGACATGATGACTTTAGCGTAATATTAATAAAACTAAGATGGAAAAAAAGTACCCTGGTTCGGTATCCCCCGCCTGACAACGTGCCGGCCATTCGCGCGGGACTTGCTACTTAACTAGTTACTGCGCAACGGTCCGGCGACGGACAGGTGTTCGCATAAGAACAGAACGGGGGGGTGGGTTGGTATAGGAGGGGTGCATGAGCAGGAATTTTATTTTTTGACCCTTGCTCACAGATAGATAGGCCTAAAGGAGTTAGAAAAGAGAAAATCTCCGTAAAAAGTGAGAGGTGTGAAAAGAAAAAACAAGCTGCGTAGAGTAGAGTATGCACTTATGCAGAGGGCGGACCCAATTTAGCCCGATATAGATCTCAGATGGTTTGGATTTCAGCCTGATTGTCTGAATAGGATAATGGGCAGTTAAGAGGTGCCAGCACAGTAGCCGGAATTGTCCGGGGGAAAGAGAGGAAAAGAGGGAACTATCTACGAACTATTGGGAAGAAGAGGCGAGGGTATTGTGAACTACACTGCATGTTGTGGTTTGTTACTCTAGGTTGTTTGGTGGGGTTATGGGCAGATGTTCCTGTACGTGGAGCAAGAAACCGCTCTGGATAATTAATCTAAAAAACACCCGCGCTGCTTAGTTAGTACGGGTAGACTATCTAACTTGATCCCTGCAGGTGCAACTAAAAGCTGCAGCCAAGTGAACTGCATCCCAGGCCCCCTGCTAGTATCATATCAGATGGGCAACGAAAGGGAGCAGAACAGGATACTAGTCTATAGTACAAGTACTCATCGTCTGGGCATCCTATCAACTAGTGACAGTGATAGAGATAGAAAGACGCAGAAGATGTTGGATCATCATTTATCATAAAACTAACGTCACCAGCCAGCATGGCGACAGTATACTGCTACCATCATAGCCCTCCCATGTTGAAACCCCGCTCGCTAATGCTTTGATCAACACCCACCTGCCCCCGGGCGCCGCATGGTCTTTGAGTCCCTTGATGCCCGAGCCTTGCGTAGGTCGTAGAGGGAGGCGGCAGTACAGTGAAGTGGAGTAGGTCAGAAAAGAAGACAATCAGACGGCACCAGTGCACAACATCAAAGATGTAGAACGATAAACGAGGCTCGAGAGCGAAATCAAGAATATAAACTTTTGAACATTCCAGTAGAACGAAAATTTTGGGAAGCACCTGAAGTTGAAGAGGGACGAGGGGAGAGGTCAAGTTAGGGTGGAATGTCTCCAGAGAAAGGAAAGAGAAGAGCAACAGTAAAGGAGCACCTTATGAGAAGAAAATATGAGTTATCCTCCCATATTCGCGAAATGTGCCGCCAGAATATGAATACCGAAAAAATATCTCGTCTAGTGCAGGTCACGTCTTCAGAGAATATCAACAAATTCAGCAAGGCTAGTTCAATTGATCATGACGGTCGTCGGCTCAGATCGGATTCGCAAGAAATTTCTCGAAACAAAATCGAATGCATCATGTCATTTGCGCAAGAATTTCAAAGCCATTCCAGACACGTCTTCACAGATGTGAAAGCCAGTTAAGAATCTAGTATAGTTTACAGAGAGGTTAGTCTATTGCTCGTGTCTGAAGGACCAGGTCCTCCGTATCAATAGGCACAAAACTCACCATCATGGCTTGCATCAAAGAGGTTTTTTCTCCAGAAGAGGAGCCGTGTAGACTCGTTGCTTCCGATGTAGCGTTGTACATACTTAGAACTTCCATACCCTTGCTATGCGCTGTTCTAGCGGTATCAAGCGTATACTGCTGTAGAGCAAGATCTTCCTGCGATCCGACTGTATCTCTCTGGTTCTGATAACCAGCGGATGTAGGTCCAATCCAGAGAAAGGGGACCTTTCGTCCGCTGGCTCGGGCGAAACCCAGCCATTCGTCCATACTTGCAGCCGCAGTTTTGCGGGAGAGATAGGTGGACAAAGACAGGCTGTGGATCACAGGAACGGGCTTGTTGCCACCAGCGGTAGCGGGCATTATCTCCTGGAACTTGTCATGGACAGATCTGGGAGACGGAGATCCTGTCACAGGCAAGAAAATATGACGGATATCTAGATTGCATAACAGCAGTTAGTCACTGGTGAAGCATGAAGCAGGATGGCGGGATCCTCACATGCTGGACAAACGTAGGGGCTCCTGCTCGAAGCCTTCCCATCGTAGCTGTACACCTCTTCACTGGAACCGATTCGAAATGCCAGGCATTGGCTGTTCGAGAACTGCTTGTCGCACTTGCACTCTTCGAGCTGTCTGGAATCCATGTCCCACTGTTTCAAGGATCCAAAAACCAGATTTTCTCGTAAAAGAATGTTGAACGCAGCATAAATGCTGAAAAGAGGACCGTCCCCGACGAAGACAATCCCGTCGAAACGGTTAAGCACATCGCAGATCTCGTCTGTCGACAACCACCGGTAGTGGCAACCTATCCAATCTCGAGATTAGACTACAGCGTCAAAAAGGCAAGAAAAAAAGGCCATGCACTCATCTGCGATGGTCCCCGGAGACTGTCCTCCTATTGGAAGGCTTACCTTGAGGGTCATATGAAGTGCCAGTCCCCTGATGCCCTCCATTGCTCATTGCATCGAGTAGTGCAGCCCGATTCTGACAATAAGCATTCCTCAGTGCCCCGTCACCAGTGGGAGGAGTATAGAGAGAAGTAGAAGAGATGCCGCACTCATCACTGCCCATAAATCGAGCCAAATGACTAGATACCATGATCAGCATTCTGACACTGAACCTATCGTAGACGACGGTGGTATGAAGATGTATTCTTACTCATCTGGAGCAATCCCTTGGGAACTGCGCTGTGCAGGTGATGAAGAGGAGGACGAGAAGGGCAGGAAGAAGATGTCCCGGATCAACCAGACGATATAGAGCACTGCCAGGACATAGAGGTATGCTACAAGCTTGTAGGTCGACGACCGCCAGGTGACTCTACGCGTCAGTCTCTGTCCGTAAGGCCCTTCAATAGGCCCCCGACGGTGTGTCTGATGGCTTTGGTGAGAGTTGGAGAACGGATATGCCAGGGCTGGGTTCGCTGGTTCTGACGCTGTAAGCGCGGCTTCGCTGTGAGATGACCGGCGACGCGACATCGTCGCTTTCCTTTACAACCGATATCAGGGGACGACGAGCGGTGTCTGCCAGCGGACTTCATTTAAAGCTTGAGTCGAACAAAGAATCGGGGCTTCCCTCCACGGCGCGTGTTGCTTTTGGTGAGTGTGGTCTTTTTTTTTCCTCTCTCCTTTCGTCTCTTTTTTTTTCCTCCGTCAGGCGCACAATGAACCAACTGTGAGAGGGGTAAATTTCTAACCCCAGTACCAGCTACAGCTGCAATTTACATCAATAAGGCCCAATACCGGCGGGAGGTTCCACGAATACAGCTGGGATAAGCCCGGATTGCTGCTTGTTTTGGCAAGCTTGCAAGCTCGGTGAATGCAGGGTACGGAGAGAAAAACAATGAGGATCGAGGCCGAGCACTAAGAGGTTGCATCATCGGCCCTCCGCCAGTGGACCAGAAAAAAAAGCACCGACAGGGAAGAAAAACAGAAGCCAGGTGCCCAGAACATTCCTATTCAGACACCATCCATGCAGCCAGAGAGCGGAAGAAGTTCGGGCTGGTGCGATCCATACTTCAAACCCATGTTTGCCGTTAGACGAGGCCAGAATAGTGCCTTCATTACCGCACCGAATCCGACTCCGCGCAGAAACGACAAAGAGCCCGTCTGAAATCAGGGGACGGTTCGTCCAATGGCTCTTAAAGGCCTGGAAGGATCGAAGAAGGACGATATAACCGTAACTCGACCGACGGCAGCTCTGGGTGGACTAGACAGTTGTCAGGACTCCACCACTTCTCGGGCGGAACGAGATCGCGAACGCGAAACGGGTCTCTTAGTTGATCCCTGACGCTCAAGCGCCCAAACGATCAGGATAGGTTGCGGAAAAAGGCACTTCTGCTCCAGTTGTTCCATCCCCTTTCCAGCTCGTCCAGCGCGGACCCCCGACACGGCCCGGAGTCAGACGTCGGCTGTCCTCATGGAAAAAGATCGTGTGCGACGAGCATGCAGCTATCATGTTGATTTGTTCCAGAGGAACTTCAAGCACGGCCATGGAGGCGCCATTTGGTATCTCACAAACGCGCAAGCGATGTCCGTGCATTTCCTGGGCTGGCGCCAGCTGGGGTACATTAATTCCAACGAGATATACTTTTTCATTGTCTTCCTACTGAGGGAGATGGTGGGAGATCGTCGCCTACGGTTTGCATAACGGGACCTTGGAAGGAGAATTCCGCCAACTTTAACGGAGGTCTTGAACAGGGAAAGGCAGCTCTCCTGGAAGACGATGGGTCTTAGGAAGGTCGATCACTACCAGTCGGAAAGCCATGCATGCCCCCCCGACCATCGAGTCCAAAGCATCATTACCTTACCGTGATGTCTTTCCGCAGACGCATGCAGATGGGCTGTCCTACTCGAGGCCATTATATCATAACACCGTTCCCTGGGTAGTTCTGGCATCTATACAGGGCTTACCCCGTGCACACTGCCCTCTGGTGTAGTACAATGTATTATGTACTACCTTTTGGCTTTGGCGATGGCGGGCCGGCTGTCAGGCGCGGAGAGAAGCCTCTCGGACAGAAGGTTGTCCCATGGGGGATCGCTCCCACTATGGCGGAGAATAAGGAATTACAATTTAACCCCGTATTCCGGGGAGCACGAGGGCGAATACCATCCGCTAGCCATGGGACCTTGGGGGGGAGGACTCGTTCTTAGGTTTCTCCAGCTTTTGTATATATAGTCCATTATTTCGTGGGGTTGGTCGCAGTCCCGGAAATCTTTCGGGCAAAAGGGAGATCCGGGGGGAGGCTCTGGCGTTCCGCCTGTCACCGATGAGGTCAGGTTAGTTAAGGAGCGCCGGTCCCTAGCGCCCATGAGAGAACGAGAGAGAGAGAGGAGAGAGGAGAGAGAAGAGAGAAGCTTCATACGGCAGTACATAGCCATATCCCGACCAGCTTCACGTTGGAGAGACCCGAGGCGCGCACATCTGCCTTTCCAATGCCAATTCGATGAAGGTCGCACAGGAGAATCTGCTGCTCACGACAGTCTTGGGACATCGCTTGGCTGAAATATAATTAATAATAACGAGGCATTTCGTCGTCTTGCCATCTAGGAAGCCTCGGTCGCTGCCCCACGTGACGCCACACCTGACCGGCAGAGATTCTCCGCAAAAGAGGAGAAAGAAGGAAAGCGTTGTTTTCTGCTTGGGATGTTTCTGTGATCTTTCTTTCTGCTCTTGCTCTTCTCCCTGATCTTCCCTTGTTCTCGGAATCTTCAGGCCTGCAGGTCGCGTGCTCTCCATCCTATTGACCCTCTGCCGTTCGACCTCGGTAGCTCCATTCTCCGGCCTTAAGTGGTGGGGAGCTCTCCGTTTCCGTCCGCCCTGCGATATATTCAAACCCCGTCAACTTGACTCATCTTCTGCCATTGAGCTGAATTATATCACCAGTGGCCAAGTTGTCTCGTTTCGCAGGCCTCGCGGCCTGGATAGCTCCTGACACTATGTGGAAAGCGTCGGAGCGCCTGATGGACACCATCAGGCATTATGCCAGCTTCCCCGCAACTGGGGTCTCCCTGAGGCAAATGGTCCAGTTCGGAGACCGTCCATCGACTGGTAAGTTCCAATGTGTATTTTTGGACGGGGATGAATCGTGTGAGAGTCGCAAAAGGCAGTTGCTGATTATATGGCCTCTTTCTCCTCCGTTTAGGGACTCTATTCCGCGCATCTCAGTTCCTCTCCGAGGAGCTTCCCATCCGTCTGGCACATCGGGTACAAGAACTTGGTGAACTTCCAGATGGCCTCAATGAGATGCCTTCCATCAAGAAGGTGCGAAACTGGTATGCACAATCATTCGAGGTATGTTTTTAGACGGGCACTGCCTTTCTCCGCAACTCAGATGGCTCATCTGTTTAGGAAATCATCAACCTTCCACGGCCCTCCCTCACTCAAGAGGTCAGGGGACGCCTGTTGAACAGCATGAAAACCAACGGAGGAGGATCAAAGATCTTATCAGAAGCGACACAAAATCCTAGCATCAAAGAGGGCCAATACCGCTCTTCACCGACCCTGACGAATGGACACGAGAACGGCAATGGGAAGGCCAAGGGAGCAGCGACCCGACGATACTTTGTCCCGTCCGATGACCGAGGAGACTGGCCACCTGAACTCGATGACTACAACCAACGATTCGCGAAGTTGCTTCAGCAGGTCAAGCGACGCCACGATGGAGTCGTCACTACTGTCGCCCAGGGTATCTTAGAATACAAGCGTCAACGGCAGCGTCTGCAAATTGATTCAAATATACAGTCTTTCCTCGACCGGTTCTATATGTCGCGTATCGGTATCCGAATGTTAATAGGTCAGCATATCGCGCTTACAGAACAAAAAGCCGTCCGCCATCCGAATTACGTGGGTATCATCTGCACCAAGACTAATGTACGAGAGCTGGCCCTGGAAGCAATCGAAAACGCGCGCTTTGTCTGTGAGGATCACTACGGACTATTTGAAGCTCCCAAGGTGCAGCTCGTCTGTAAACCCGATCTCAACTTCATGTACGTTCCGGGTCATCTGTCGCACATGCTGTTCGAGACTCTCAAGAATTCTCTGCGTGCTGTGGTCGAGACCCATGGAGCGGACAAGGAAGAGTTTCCCGTTACCAAGGTCATCGTAGCGGAAGGCAGAGAGGACATCACCATCAAGATCTCGGACGAGGGCGGTGGCATCCCGCGATCGTCGATCCCGCTCGTCTGGACGTACATGTACACTACGGTCGATCAGACACCGAACTTGGATCCCGATTTTGACAAGAGCGACTTCAAAGCACCGATGGCTGGCTTTGGGTATGGACTACCGATCAGCAGACTGTATGCTCGGTATTTCGGAGGTGACCTGAAATTAATCAGCATGGAAGGGTACGTACTTTCTGATCGTTGGGTCTGGCAGCGAATTAAATGTTGACATTTCCTCTTCCACAGCTATGGTACAGACGTCTACCTCCATCTCAACCGTCTCTCATCGAGTTCGGAGCCTCTCCAATGACAATCACCAGTCATGAGGGATGGGCGCGCACGGTTCTCGTCTTTCAAAAGACTAGTTCCTCTCTACGAAGAGCCTGCCTCGCCTTCGCCGCCTCCACCGCCATCGCCATCCCGAGGATTGACGCCAATGAATACGCAAGCTCTCCGCTCGAAAGTGCGGACCAGAGAGGTTTCTGAACGCAAGCAGGTCGGAGATGCAGAGAGTCTTATCAATTCCGAACCATCTAGTGGTGCACGTGCTCACTCAGATGAAGATGAAATCTAAGGCTCGGTGGTCTGGCTGCCGCAACGATCTTGAACCAGTCAGTCTGGGAATATAGGAGTACGACAGCGGTAACTAGCAACAATTACGGCACCACCGTAGCGTGATACTATGTTATCTGTCGCCATTTCCCCCCGGGCTGGTCAAGAAGGGTTCTTTTACAACAGGGATTCTGATCGCAAACGGCGCAACCAGATTTCTGCGTCCTTGACCAGCATTTATCCAATGCAAGACGGCCACATCCAATCCGTTGCAAGGATAACTGTCTTGCGAAATTATCTTATACCCATGTCTACAACATATTTGAACATTGTGGCGTTGAGAGGTTTGTCTCAGCGCTTCACGAACAGTGCAGGTCAACATGGATGTGACTTGCGAGAAAGTTTTTTCTTCCAATTTCTCGATCTCCTAGGAATACTGTACATTACATGCTTATTCTTGTGTTTTTCTAACGACGCTGCTGGAACGTCCATGTATTTAGCATGAATGCAAAATGAAAAGGGATACTCCAAATTTCAACCAGTGGTCTTGATTTTTTTTTTTTTTTTCCACAAATGACATTTGTTTCCTATATATAGCTCTAAGTCATGTCTACCTACTGTATGTGTGCATGACCACAGGACGGAAGAAAAAGCAAAAAACATCAAAAACTTGACATGATAATTTATTTCAATATATTCTAATCACCATACTAAAAGCCTAACCCATTGATAATAATAATAATAATAACAAGACCCATACCAATAACGCATCAAATAGCCTGACTATCAAACTCTCTCTCCGAACCACTCCACCTTCGTCTCCTATCCCGCTCGCGCTCTCGACGCTGTCTCCCCGAACTCCTCCTCGCGCGATCCCGCTCTCGCTCCCGATCCCGTTCGGGAGTCTTCCCCTTGCTCTTCGACGGGGTATGACTTGCATCAGGCCTGCGCCAGCCCGCATCGTCGTCTTCGTAGACATCAATAACCGTCCCTGGAACGAGATGCGATGTTCCCGCGGCTGTGAAGCGGTCCATTCGGATCGCGGTGGCGGCGCGCGGGTCGTCGGGAGCCATGAGTTGAGCGAGGAAACGACGGCGGGTTTGGGGGATTGTCTTTTTTTCTCACCTTGTTAGCAGGCTTGTTATGATTGTTTTACGGGGAAAAAAGCCTCGTGGAGATCTGGTATTATACACAGCAAGCAAGAGAGCGTGTATGAAATGAATAAATGAATGAATGAGTGCGCGGCATACATACCTCATGAGCAGCCAACGCCTGAATCATAAGTAACTCTCGATCCGACAAGACTGAAAGAGCAGAATGTCTCCCCTCACGATGGATACTACGGGCTTTTTTCTCGTACGCGCTTGCAGTGAGGTATCCTCTACCTGTGTCTCGGGCGCGGTCGGATGTTGTTGCTGAGTTGGGGTCGTGGGGTCTATGACCTGTATCAGCATTAGTATTTTAGTACATATATATATATATGTATGTATGTATGTATGGCTGTCCTTGGATTTGGGGGGAGGGGCATGTGTATCCTGGATGAAAATCGGGAATGGATGATGGTGATGGTGATAACATTACATACCATATCCCATCCTTTGCTGCTGCTGCTGCTGTTGCTGTTGTCTTTGCTGTTGCTGATACTGAAACCGACCTGCTGCCGTTGTCGTCTCCGACGCATCAATCTGCATCAGATCATCATTCTCATCATCGATGACGATTGCATCTTCCTCCTCTTGACCTGGTCGTCGGTAGTTTCGAGGATGGAGGGTAGTCTGGCGAGACATTGTAAAATGCGAAAAGCTGGTTTTCAGACTTTGTGGATATAGTCAAGATGGAGAGAAAAGGGGGACAAAAAGAGGGGTTAGAGGAGTAAATGTTGCTGGTAAGTTATAAGACTCCTTGAAGTGGAATTTGGTTTGAGAAAGAAAGAAAGAACGAAAGAATCTATACAGATTCCCAACGGTCCTTATTCGAATGCAGCGATGATAGAAGGTCGAGGAGGGTGGAGGTAATTTCCCAACCCGCACAGCAGGCACTCAGGGTTTCTTCTGACTTCGAAGCAAGAGTAGAGCGGAGAAAAGAAAAGTGATATATCTCAAGCCGGAGGAGGAAAAAAAGAAAGAAACAGCGCAATAATAACGAAAGTTTCAATAACCTGGTCCCATTAAGAAACAAGGACAAGAGATATAATGCAATTCAATGCGGTTTTTTTGGCGCGGAGGAGTGATGTATTCAACAGGAAAATCCTCAACGGAAATACAGCCTTTCTTGCGGGGAAGTTGGTGTAAGTAGGTACTTGTGCACCGCTCGATTCAAACAGAGATTCAACAGACGCAGTTATCTCAGCTTACGAGGTAAGCTCGTGCGGCTGTGCTCAGGAATGTATTGCAGGAACCTCTCCAGGAAAGTGTCTTCAGGACATTGTAGTTGTTTACTAGTTCGGTTGGAGTGATGTTGATATCCAAAGTCATGTAGTCCGGCCAGTGATGATCTCGATGAAGCTCACTGGGCACATGCTTAGTCATCGCATCACATGCAAAGCGCAACCTCCTAAAACGCTAACAGCAAATCTACAACGTTAATGCATATACATTAAGTTACGAATGCAGCCCTTCACTGTGAAGTTTCAAGGATATCATTTCATTCCATTTTCGGAGGATCTTGATTAGCCCCGCTAATATCATTATCCGCATGATTCTGCCGCGGAGACGGGCAAGGTTATAAAAAAAGAAAAGAAAAACACCAACGACGCATCTGAGATCCAGGACAAGCGTATATTTCACCATCGAATCCCGAATATTGGGACAAAGACATCGAACAAAACACACAAAGATGCGATGAGGTAAATATGGTCCAAGATTGGTGAGCACTAGACGTGGGTGAAATCGAGTGTATCCAGCAGAGAGCCAGCCAACGGTGCACAGAAAACACAACACATTTGGATGAAGATGAAAACGTAGCATCGGATCCCATGATAAAAGAAAAGAAAAAAAAAAATCAACAACAAAAGAATAAACGGGAATCTTCCTCGAAGATCTTTCAACCGTAAACGGGAATAGAGAAATCAAACGTTATGAAATAAAAAAAAAATATTGGAAAGAGGAATATACCCCAACTCCATGCATACAATGCCGCTAAAAAGAAGTTGATGAAGGTGCTAAATGGCAGGAGGTGCTGGAGCCAAGCCAAATCCGATGCCGCAAAACACGCATTCCAGAGGAAGCGAATCTGTCACCCGCCCACGTCGCTCACAGGCGACTAAATGAAGGGCGAGGAATTAGAAAACAGATGATAATATAGTCGAGGACGCATACGGGTCATTAAATAGGATGCTTAACATCCGTGCACAAGAGTGTTCTTAGGCCATTCATACGGCGTTTGTTCCCTACAGCGAGCGCGTTAGAATCATTGTCCCTATCAGTGAGTATACTTTCGAGATAAACATACCAATGTGTCAAGTTAGGATTGCTGTACGCCTCCGGATGATTCTTGATGTATTCTGTGGTCTCGTAGCCAGGAGGATCACACGTCATCAAGTTTTCATCGGGATCCTGGTAGATGCGAATGTAGTCGACGCGCATCGTTGCAGGGAGGAGCTTTCCAATGGCTGTCATGTTGATGCTCGAGAAACTATTGGACATACCAAAGTTCATCACAATCGACAGGGGCTCGGTAGGAATCACACGTTGTCCGACATTTCCGTTCGGGCCAATGCTTCGAGCATCAACGGTCCAGGTCTTGTCCTGGCCAACGAACCAGGTCAGGTCGCCGTCTGCGCCGGGGGTATACTCGAATGCATAAACCTGGTACTCGTTCCCGTCGTACCATTTATTGTTCAGCTTGGTCAGAGCAGACATGGCTTGTTGATAAGGACCTCCTCGGTACGAGTTGATCTCAGTAATTTGTGGGTTGTAGAGAGCCACGAAATCTAATCACAGTCAATAACTATACATGAACATCTCCGGGCGGAGGGGGCACTGCGTATCCCTTACCATAGTCTGGCATGTACCAAATGTCGTAAGGGGCGATCTGCAAACTCTGAGATACGTCACCAACCATGTTGCCCTTGTCATCCAAGGCCCCGACGGACGCCTCGATAACATCGATTTCCGGTGCGGAACGCGAGTGTCCGGGGGAGGGGTGATCGGCGTTCGGACAAGTACAAGCAGGAAGACGCATGCCGGGAAGATAGCTGATTCCGTCGGTGGAACTCTGGTTGGCTGTGATACCAGCATCACAGATATCCTCGTAACTGTACGGCCACATGCCATCTGTCGTAGCAGCATAACCCGGACGACCTAGATTGCCCATCGCCCAGAAGCCGGGCCAGAAACCCACGGTATCGCCGCGACCCGGGAGGGAGATACTGGCCTCCAGTCGTCCACCTTTGAAACATAGCTTGTTCCAGCTCTGAAGCATGCCAGATCGGTAGTTCAGATCATGATTCTGAAACGCGTCGAATCGAATCTCCAAAACGCCGTCTTTTGTCGTGATAGCGTCGGGATCGTACCACTGTTTGAGGGAGTCAGTTTCCAGGACATTGTCATGTGCTGGCTGGGAAAGGGTCAAACCGACCTCGAGATCCATCGTGACACCATACCAAATATCGACTCCTTGAAAGTAGGGGTCATCACCATCGTAAAAAGTTCGGCCATCCGTATTGAATTCGTCGGAGAACTAGACGACGTGAGTACTCTGTTTCTCCCCAGAAAATCCGTAGAAAACATCTCCGAACTTACCACCAGCTCCCAAGTCTTCCCATTGGCTGCCGTGATCGACTTGGCCGAGTCAGGTGTATCGGGGTCGATCAGGCCGGTCCGAATGTTCTTCAACAGCGGAACTTCGCCCACGTCCAAGCACAATGGATCACCAGCACATGGCGAAACAGCGGGCGAGTCAAATCTCCGGACGAATGTTCTGCAGATGGTCCTCTAGGTTAGCACGCCTCTTGCGGAAGAGGAAAGGTAACACACGGGGATCCATACAATATAGGGTATACAATGAAAAGACACAGCAGGCCTGCTGCGAAGATGATAAGACCACCCAGGTTGACTAAACCTCTGGTGTTGCAGATATCACAGTCCCGGTCTTTGTCATTAGGATCGGGATTGTGCAAGTAGTCATCCTTCTCAACGTCCTCCGGAAACAACAGTAGCCCTTCTGTTGGCATAATATTGTACTTCTCGGAGACCGTTTGCGTGTTGACATCGTTATCGTCACTGCTATCCGCCCTCGACGGCGCTCTAGAATCTTCGAACGGGTTGTATGAGAAGGCCCTGCTGCTCCGGCTCCCCACGTCGGAGCTCCAACTCGTCCGCCTCGACGAGAAAGCAGACAGGTCTGGAGATTGCGGCGAGTCGAGTTCTTCCCGCGGCCGATGCGAGGTCCGCACCGGGGGGATCAGAAACTCGGCCGATGCGCCGGGAGAGTTGGGTGACCGCAGCGCGGGTGACTGTAGACCTGGTGATTGCGGTAGCAAGTTGCGGGATACTGGCGAGGGTGCTGCGCTGAAGCTGGGAGAATCCATATCGACATTGGGATCCTGTCGACCTGAATTGAGCCGAATATGAGGCGTTGCCCGTCCACCACCGGGGGGTATCTCTTGAGCCATGTTGGTCTGGTTGGAATCTGCCCGTCGTCTCAACTGCCAAAGCTATGGATATAACTTTCTTGGACTACCACACGAGTCTCCGGCCGGAGACTGGGTCAGCGAACCAAGATCACGATTGAACCTCAGTTCGAGCCTCGACCGTGACGACACTCCGGATCTCGTTTCCCCTCACTTATTTCCGGACCAGTCCGCAACGCGTTTCGGGGGTGAAAGGACGAGAAGAGAGCTAATTGATCCGGAGCTCCCCAAAGGCCTTTTTTGTTTCCTTCCCTGGTATCACCGATCAAACACCTCGAACCTATTCCCAACGCGCCGACACAGCTAGGAAACTCTGCGGTTATAGAGTGGTTCGCAAATCTCAAGTGTTCGCCTGGATTTGCGACGTGTCGAACAAGAATTCCAGGCGATGATTCTTTGCGGGGAGGGGAAAGAGAGGGGAAGACGTGACCAAAGAAAGAAGTAGTTTTTTTAGTAACGACTGACTTAAGTGGAAGAGATAACAATGGGGGGGAAGAACGATTGTTTGACAGCAGCGAGCGAGCGAGCGGACAGGACAATCTCTCTCTCTCTCTCTCTCTCTCTCAATCTAGCAGATCGATTGTCCCTTTGGGGCGGATGTAGCGCGTGCAACGGAGAGAAGAACTAGGAAAAGAAAGACTAGCTAGAGTCGAGCAGGTGGACGTGCAGAGAGTTAGGTCAACGTCTCGAGGTTCGAGCATGGACTATGGACTAGTTGCTATAGGTGGTGATGGGCCAACGAGCATCCAGGAGAGAACTGAAGGGTCCAGAGAATGCTGGCATGCACACCGACCGGGGGAACGCGCCCCATGGTTGGCGGGCACGCAGTGGGTAAACGATGAGGTTCACTAATGATGTTAGGGGAGTCGTGAAAAAGCGTTGGTGCTTGGATTGTCTGCTTGTTCGTCTAGAATCGGCGGATGCTCTTGGGAGCCGCTAAGTGCCGCTGGAGATTGGCTGGGCGCAGAAACCAGGGGAAAAAGGCTGGAGCATCCACGGTTTGGTGTCGTTTCAACGGGATGAGCCGTTCATTGTTCTTTTCGCGAGGGGGGATAGCGTTGTTTGTTGTTGAGCATCCATAATAATAATAGTGGTTCAACTGGTGATAGTCAGTAGTTGTTGACCCGGAAGGAAGGAATTGAATTCCATTTCCCGCTTGGAATGAATGCTGCCCACTCCTATGGGAATCATAGGAATCTCTCCAGACTTCAAACGGTAATAATGCCAAAATAAGAATGGACTGCTATCTAAGGAGGTCTCAGACCGTCCAGAACTTGATGAAGGACGGCAGTAGTTCGATACTTGCGATCACGCTAATTGTCTAGGCGCCAGGAAAGGATTGGATACAACAACGACGGTGTGCGATTAGCCCTCACTGCTTGAACCCTGCCAGATCTCATCGGGCGTTTCTTTTTCTTTCGATTTTCTTACACTGCCCCCGGTGGCGCTGGGGCGATAATCATATCTTGCTTTCTCTTCGATCAGGTTCCGTCCTGAGGAAAACCGGATAGGAGACATTATTAGTAGTATTAACTACATACCATAGTATCCTGACTCTCCGGATTGTCCGCTCAGTTACCCCTATAAGCAAAGAGAGTCTCGGGCCTCTCCGAGTACCAGAATTAATTATTAGTTTAGTGTCTTAAAAGGATCTCCAAAAGCTTGGCTTTTTCTGAGTCAGCCCGTTCGCACAGATCAGCTTTTTCTCGCTTTTGCCCCTTTGAAGGCTTGGGGGATTCCCCTTTTGGGAAGGGTAATAATTAATTAATTAATTAATTAAATCGCAGGGCGGCACAGCAGTCGAATAATATTAACTAGCAGTGCTTGGCCCCTCATTCACAAAAAGTATACATATACACATACATACAATTATACAAATCATATATCATACAAACTCCAGTCGGATGGACATCAGTCTACGGGAAGCCGATGCAGCACCCGAGTTAGATAGATACTACTACTCGACACGTTAAGCGAATTACCATAATTTACTCTGAATCTGTCTGTCCATGATCGACCGACTAGTTACTAGTAGCATCTCTGGAGCTGTAGAATCATCCAACCGCTCCGGCCACAGCCGGTCGGAAGTTGTCAATAATCCATCCGCCCGCACAAACGATGGACGAACCCTTTGGCTGGGACTGCTAACAAAACAACAATCATGCTGCTAACCTAGTCGACTGACATGGCGCTGCGATCGACCGTGAAGACCACGCGGCCATAACTGCGTGAGGAATGGAGGGGCCGACACCAGGCCAATGCCAACGGAGGCTTGCATTCCGCTGGAGGCATCGTGAAGGCCCAAAGGAGACAGACAGCATCTTCTTTTTTTTTTCCCCACGGCGGCGACCATGATCTTCATCCTCCCGCCTCGAAGCAGCAGCATTGAACCAGTTGCCGGTTCCACCGAGCGCTTCGATCTATCCAGACATGCCAAGAGCATCCGCCCATCGAAAGTGCCATGCCAGGCGTCGTGGCGATCGCTGAATCCCCTGTCCATAACTAGCTGCTATGCGTCGTTGCTGGCTATCTATCGATCGTTTGTTTTCACGTTTCAAGGCAGCGAGAATTTCGGACGCTTGGAAGCCGGGGTCAGAATCACAGAACCCCCTGTCCTGTCTGCATTATTATCTAAATTATCTAAAATGAACAATCGAATCTCGGAGAATTCGTGTTTCACGCGATCGCGGCACGGCATGTCGGGAATGGAGCAAAGACCAAGGAGATGACCGTGAGCCAGCGCCAGCACATTCATTACTAATCTCTTCAGAGTGTGGTTAACTTAACTAATTAACTATTTATTAACTAGTTAACGTATGTTAGTTACAAGAACTCTTGATATAACTACTACTCAACACCTAATCTGCCAGATGCACATCACCAACGTTCAGGCGCAACGGGGTGGATATACACAGAAATGGAGCGGTGACCAGACGCGGCATTGCTGGTAACTTCGCACCGTTTCTCTGGCCAACGAGCATTCGCTACGCTCCATTGCGACATCGGGAAGGGCGATTAACTTATTAAGGGACATTTAGACCTGCTGATCTTTCCGACCCGAACGCTGATCGTCCCCGAAGTTTTCGAGAAACCATCTCGGGAGGGAATCTCTAGTCTGCGGCCGGTGTCTGAAGACTAAAGAGAAAATTTCGTTCCTTTTTTTCCGCTTCTGAGGGAATTATAATAATAATTCATAGGCAACAGCGTGCTGCGTGGATAATTTACATAACAGGAGAATAGTGGCATGCGAAAGTGGTACATCGTTAGTAATAATCATAATAATGATGATGATGGACGGTATTATTATTGTGCTTACTGGCTGGCACCGCTGAGAAACAAATCCTGACAGGCATCGATCCACGGTTCTTCCTGCCGATGCTGAAACAGTACCATGAAAATATTCCCATGGATGGAAAGCAAAGGAACCCTCCTTGCGTGTTGACCTGCGCGTGATTCTTACGGTATGCCACAATCCGGTTCTTGCTGGCTCGTCCGGCATAATAGAGGGGGCCAAAGACGTCAACCTGCAGTGGTTCTCTATCTCTATCTCTCTCTCTGTTCATCTAGCTCTGTATCCAGCAGAGCTCGATGTTGGAGCACTATCACGTTCGGGCAGTCTCGACGCTGATTCCCAGGATGCATGATAAGACGCCGGTTCGGATGTGCAGATCGCAGATAAGGTCTATCCTATGATCCTATCTAGTGAGCTACTGATCACTTTTCGCAGTGTGATTATCAGACCGACTTGGCCATGCTGGTCGATCATCCATCTAGAGTAGACTATGATCATCATCTCTACTCGGAGAGCCTACCTCCTCTCATCCCCGACACCAGACATACCAGGATCAGATATACCGTACATATCCAGCAGGCATCGCAGAAACCATGTTTTTTTTTTTTTGCTTTTTGCTTTTTCCTCTCTTCACTGGCGATCGCGGCGTTGATACTAAAAATGGAGCATCCGGATCAAGATTCCACTCCGCCTGCTGCTAACCAAGTAATCTGCCGACACTCGGCATCTGGCGGCCCCAACAAGCTTTTTTCGAGCTTCTTACTCGATGAGGGCAACATGAGCGCATCCATCCGGATTCTACGATTGCAGCACGTATCTCCCCGGATGCAGGACTTGTCCCATTACTCTACGCCACACAGAAATAATACATAGGAAGTACATACATAGCATCTACGTACAGTACATCTGCATCTACAGTACATGCATCGCAGAGAGCAAGAGTGCAGAGTCAGACAGATCCACGCTCCCGATACTTAATAATAAACCCGCGATAACCTTGTAGACGCAGTCAACTAGCGCAAGCTATGCAATACAGCTATCTACCATACAGCCTAATATTGTAATAACTACTACTCTATTCCCTACCACATGCTACAGTAGCTGCAAACTCTCAACAGCAGCATACCCCGCAGCCTTTGCCTAGTCGGGGGCTGCCGACATGGACCGCTAGTTGTTACCTATCTACTTCGAGCGAGCAGAAATGCTATTATCAGCTATCGATCATGATCATCACGGTCGGGATGTCACTAGATAATTTGCACTGACCCGTCATGCAGGAGAAAGTAGTACAGTACAACTTGTTTGACGATGTATGTATGTATATCTTCGCATCCATCTCCCTTCATCCGGGATTGCATATCCCGAAAATATACCCCGCCTATGCTCTGATAACGCAACTGTAACTCGAATGCTAAACCTAACAGCCCTCCTCTTCCAAGAAAACATAATGAATAGAAAATGTAACACAATACTCCAGGGCGAAAATCACATCTAACCTCTGAGTTCTCTCATTTTTTCTTAAAACAACAGATCAAAAAAACCAGGACGAACCATCTCGGAAAAGACCAATCTAGTCTATCCGGTAGTTAGTTACCTAGATAGTCTACTCTACTCTAACAGTCTAATAGCTTAATGCGTGTGCATTAGACTGCAGCTGTCAAAACGCCGCACGATGTACGAGGTTACATTATGATTGGTTTCTGTGTTTTCTTTGTTGTAGGCTAATTTTGGCCTAGATATGGATTCGGACTAGGCGTGGATTTTGATTGCATTGGGGGTTTTTTTTTTATTCTTTTTTGATTTATTTCAAGCGAGCCATAGTTAGATAGAGGTAATTATGCTCTACAAGGTTCAGTTCCTTCTTGGTCTGAGGTTACCTACGAGGTGCTACCTAGGATTGTGTAATAATACATATACACATTGTGATCAACCCTTCCGAGTGAACGAGCCCTAATTTATATAGAACGACAGAGGAGTCAGTTATCACGCAGCAGTATTACAAAGTAAGAACTTACATGGATAGATACAGGAAATATGGTAGTGCTATGCCGATCCCGTTTACTTAACTAGGTCAGCTTCACGTGCGCATCTTATCAGATGATTAGAGTTAGTTAGTTACATAGATAGTCATCGAGTCTATCAACTAACGACTTGAAGCACTCAAAAGAAATATATGTAATTCAAGCTGGATATATAAATTTGGAAATTAAGTCTAACTTCCGCTTCAATTGCTACTGTCTTTTCCTCGATTCTGTAAATCTCTCGATAGGTTAGTTTTCAACTGGAATTATCCTACTGTAGGATGCGAGAAATGCATTTTGTATATGACTCAATAAGTATCTATATGCTCACTCGATACGGAGTAGTGTGATATCTATTGCATTGCATTAAGCTAGTTATGCAGTGGTTTAATTATAGTACAATAGCAGTTCTGGGTTTAGTCTACGTATTTCGGATATTTCTTCGTGTGTATTGTATAGTCCTTCTATGTATATATGTATATAGTAGGCGCATGCTCTTTTATAATGCCTTGCTGAAAGCAATATGAGAGCTTTGGATTTATGCGTCGACATAAGCATCCCTCACCGTATATAGCCCGAATTTGTTGTCTATATATCCTACCTAGTAATGCAGAGCACTTTGCTAGTAGCATAGTTTTCAATCCCAAATACTTGGAAATAAACAGTTGCTGTTCCCTTACATAAAGCTATTCAGGCAGAAATCCCTATACTTACTAGATATATATATATATACAACTTTAGGAATATAAGACCACGGAAGCAAAAGCATGAGAATGGCAATTAAACCGGGAAACATAGTTACAATAGGACACCGAAATCTTATCGACTATTCAATTGCTGCTACCTAAAGCACTGCCTCCGCCACTGTTCCCTGAGATTTTCCCAATTCCGGCGCGTCTGCTTTGATCCTATATTTGTGGAGATGGGGGTGGCTTTAGCTGTTTGTTCTATACCATTTATATAGGGTAGTAGTGGCGTTTTGCAAGCTCGATTGCTTTAAGGCCGATAACATACATATAGAAAGTTAATGTAGGGTAGATACTGCGAAATTAGACCGTGGTGACAGGTTATAGGATGGAACAAGTCTAGGATACTATACAAAACCTAATTGGATATACCAGGCGAAGATTCGCTGTCAATGTATGGTATAATAATCATAGTCTTATACTCGTTTCTCTACTTCTACTCCTCTTTTGCTTGCGTTTTTCTTTCATTATTGACCAAGTATAGGATAGTCGAATCAACTACAAGGAACATTCACACTTGCGGTAAATATACATCCCTATAAATACACCGAAACTACATAAACAAGCAAGTACCAGCTAAAACAAGCCCAATCCTGCAGAATAGATATACACAAACCCTATCTTTTTCTCGATCGGATAACCGCAGCAACTAGACAATAGAAAATAAACCAGCTGACCGGAGAGACGGCAACCTACTAGTAATGGATCCCTGCAGACGATTCTCTTGTCTTCTTTTCCTCCCTTTGAAAGAAAGGATATACCTTGTTGTCCTACGTATTGTTATTGGATGTGGTGAAGTATGTGCTTTTCTCCTTGTGGGTATTATTGAGCTTGATAATTTAGTGATGCGTGTACCTTTTGCTGTATAGAAATAAAGTTGGGGGTGTGTGCTAAGGTTCTTATATTTATCCTTTTTTTTGCACATTTTTTTTGGCGTGAAAGTGTATGTACATACATACACCTGATTGTGGTGCCGTAGTCAAAAGACTAGTTTCATAGACTATAATATATAAACTTGTAAAAGAAAATGAGAGAAGAATTTCAGAATGTTCCAGGGACAAGTAGTAGATTCAATTCTAGTTATAACTAACAGTTCGAGTCCTATTAGAAATACTACCGCCAGAGCCGTAAGAGCTTGAGCTTGTGATAATCTACCGTCTAAACCCAACCTTTAACTACTTAAAGAATTCGATCAGTTATTCATTCATGCATGGATTTATTTAAATAGCCACTAGGACCCCGCAAATATAAAGACAAGACAAAATGGTATCAGAACCCCCCAGCCAAGCCAATCCATCCGTTCTAGCATTTCAGATTGCATCTCTCCCCTTCCATTCACAACCTCCCAAAGAAGACCACCACTCAGATCTCCACATCTAACAACTACGACTCAATAGCTTTCGCCTTCAAACCCACCAATTTACCACCCTCCACATCCAGCGCTACAATCCAGTACTCGACGCGAGACGCGCCGATCTCGACTCGATATACTTTCACATCGACAGACGACTCATCGATCACTTTCTCGCCGCCACCGGAGGCCTGTGTCGCTGCTGCGCGCACAGCACGCAGAACAGCAACGTACTGGTTCTTGGGGTCGAAGGCGCTGGGTGAGAGGGTGGTGATGGAGTCGGTGAGGTCCTTTGATGGGGAGATGAGGTAGGAGAATTGTGCTGGAGAGGAGTATAGTTAGTCTTATGTATTCTTCCTGCGGTGTAGATTTTTTTTCCTTTCTTTTTTTTGCTTTCAATGCGGGGAATTCAACGACATTGACCGTGAGATTGGCACCGCCATAGTCAACAAAAGCAGATAGTAGAATTATTTATCCACTTACAAGCACCGGGCCACAAGCCCCTGCTGGCTCCCTCCCACTTCAAGACGACAGGCTCAAACGGCTCGTCTGTCTCAGAGACGTAATACGTATCGATTGCCCTCAGCGGGGCAGGAACGGTAACGTCCACATCTACTGACTGCGTGCGGACTGCATTGCTCTGCTGCGGAGCGACTCGTCCCGCATTCAGGTCCTCGTTGGCTTTGTTCAGAAACGCGAGATAGCTATTGTCGGATGACATGTTGCGCGAGAGGATGGGTTCTTTCGTAAGGACTGTGGGATCGTGGTGATGATGGTTGGTGGGGAGAAATGGTCTGGAGGTCGCCGTACGATGGGATCGGTATCGCGTACTGAGAGATAGTCGGGAGAATGATGATGATAGAGAAAAGAAACGCGAGGACTGCAGTGCGTGTCTGACTCGAACTGTATGGCTTGTCGGGCGAGTTGAAGCTGGAGATGCGAAGTTGGAGATGACGCAATGGCCTGTGACTCTAGACCTGATGTGCCAAGACCGCATCGCAGGCCAATTTATCGACGAACAAATAAAGGGGAAATGGGACTGGCCGCCTTCGTGTCAGCTCAGCCTAACGCAGGGGAGAGGATAGAATTGAATTGAGGGAGGAGAAATTCTTGGTCCACCACACGGACCAGTAGCTTGTCATCACGCAACTATGTATGGCGTTCAAAATCGACCACAAGACAATGAAAATTACTTGACTACAGATACACATACCGGCTTTAGCTATTTGACTGACGAGTCAGACTAACTGTTGCTACTTTTGAACTCCATCATAACATTGCCTTGCCGGCTACGTAAACTAATAAACAGAAGAAAAGCTCCACTCTTTTTCAGCTGAGCAAGCCGAGGGACGTAGGTTGAGGAGGTATTTGAATTGTATTTTGGTCAAGAACAATGAAGCACCGAACTACACCGAACCCACATCCCCACCAGATAAAAACATTTATTCGGAAGTAACGAGGTCCTTCTTGAGAGTACCCAGGAAGGCCCGCTTCTCGGCAGGGGTCTGGTAGGCACCGTGACCGAACTTGGAAGAAGTGTCGATCCATTTGAGCTCGACCTTCTCGGTGGCACGGCGGCTGGTCTGAGGGTAAAGGGTCTTGCGGAGGGTCATGACACGCTTCTTGACACCGGGGACGGAGCCCTTGAGGATCAGGAAGTCGTTCTTGACCTCACCGTAGCGGACGAAACCACCAAGACTAGAAAAAGGAATCAGTAAAGAAATGCTTGAAAAAGAAGATACATAGGGTTGTACGTACGGAGTGATCTGCTTCTTGGAGATATCGAACTCGGTGGAGGCGTTGCCCTCGTCGGAGCCCTTACCGACACGGTAGATCTTGTGGTTGCAAGAGGTACGGTGGTGGTAACCCATCTGACCGGCACGGGCAACAGTCCACTGGACGTGGGACGGGTGCCAGGCACCGATACAGGCAACCTTACGCAGACCCTTGTGAGTCTTACGAGGGAGCTTCTTGGTGCCCCATCGGCTGGTGACACCCTGGAAACCGTGACCCTTGGTGACGGCAATGACGTCGATAACCTCATCCTGCTCGAAGATGGAGTCGATGTCGATGGTCTTCTCGAACAGGTTGTGGGCGAAGTCGACCTTCTCGGCGACGGAGCCACCGTTGACCTGGATCTCCATCAAGTGGGCCTTCTTCTGCTTGAGAGGGGTCTTGCGGATCTGGGTGTGGGCAAGAACACGGACAACAGTGCAGTACTTCTTGATGCGCTCAAGCTCGCGGGTGACGGAAGCACCGCTGCTCTCAGCGTGCTTCTTGGCGTACTTGGTGAAGGCCTTCTTCTTGCTCTTGTACCAGTTCTTGTAGAAGCGGCGCTTGAGCTCGTCGCTCAGGTGCTCAGCCCAGACAGTAGTGAGCGAGCGGAGACCACGGGGAGTCTCGATGTAACCGACGATACCGACAGCAACGAGCTATAACAATCCAGTTGTCAGCCGACCAATTCCCCAAAGCCAGCCAGACTCAAAAAAAGGGTTTTCGCGTTTGTGTGTGGAACATACCGGAGGAGTCTCAATGACGGTAACGGCCTCGACGATCTCCTTCTTGTGCATCTTGGCACCAGGACGGTCAAGGTCACGGACGATGGTGGTCATACCGGCCTTGTAGCCCATGGAGGCCGTCAGGTGGACGGGCTTCTTGGGGTCATCCTTGGGGAAGCTGGATTTTCACGTATCAGTATGCGATTTCCTTCCAAATCTCGATTCATCGATACTGACCTCTTGACCTTTCCGCGGTGACGGGCGGCGCGCTTGCGCGGCAGGTAGGCAAGAGAGCCTGTAGACAGAAGTTGTATCAGTAAAAATGTCCTCGCACACACACACGATCGATCAAAATCGATGTCGAGGGGGATCCTTGGACGAACCGTGCCGAGGCGCTTCGTACTTCCGGTGACTCCTACAGATATAGAAAGTTAGCAATTAAATCTCTGATGATATCTGAAAGGCATTGTCCCTTGGGGGAACTCACATCTTGACCCTGTTGTCGTTAGTCGTCGAGGTGGTGAGAATCTCTATCTCCAAATTTGTCGGAGGTGTATTTTGCACGCTTAACGAGTGTGGGCTGACCTAAGCGAAGTCTTGGCGCAACCTTCCTTTTTTCGGCAGGGACCCACGCACAAATCGAAGGGACTGTTTGCCCGTCACCTGATCGGCAACGGCCCTCTCCGGATAAGATAGCAAGATAGGGTACTTAGGGATGCTGGTACATAGATCCTATCGAAGCGTTGAATTTACATGAACTTAGAGCACATACCCTCAGCTAAGTATAAAGAGGGTGAAAGTCATAGTCAGATGGATCCAAACAAGTATTCTTCCTCTCAATGCAAATCAGGCGCACATAACACATAGTTGGCCCTCAGTACGGAGAACACTCTTGCAGTTACCTATCGTACTTGGATGACAAGCAACAATATTATTCATGGGGCCGTATCGATGGCTTTAGCCTTACAAACAGTCATTAGACGATCATGTGATAACTCCCCCCACACCTTTTCGAAACCAACAGCCGCTTTTGCGAAATTGACCTTAAGGAGCAATTCCTTCCTGCTAATCAAACTGGCTACACCAAGGAGGATAGATAAAATTACAACCACTGCCCACGCAGTCTCCCAATTCAAGAAAAAATGAAACGAAAAGAAAAGAAGAGAGAAAAAGTCATTGCTCGTAGCAGTAAAGCTCCACACCGGTATCAGCCTACGTCTGAACTCAGGTGCATTTGGATCGGGTATCTTGGGATGAAATACATGATAGAGCTAGCCGCTTGACTTTTCTACGATTCCCGGAGTCTAGCCTTGACACGGTTGTAGATCTATCGTTACTAGCCTTCCGAGAAATCAGATTAGCGCTCAGCGATTAGCTACATGCAGGTTCATCCAGCGGTTAGAGAGTATACTGTGACTTGGTAACACGCCCAGGAACAAGGAACGCAGAAGGTGGACGACTGCATAATGATAGGCCGAGGCAGGGCTGAGTTGAAGTTAGGCAGGCAACACAATAGACCACTTGACTATGATTTTACTCTAACGTTGGATTCGCTGAAATGTATTCACATTGAGAGATAACATGGAGTCAAAGCCATGTCGTCATACCTAGCATTGAAGTTCCAAAAGTGAGAATGAAACAAGCAGAACAGCAGAGAACTCAAATGTGAGTGGCTAGAACATGAAGACAAAGCTAGTAAACAGGGGAATAAAACATCGACTCAGTACACATCAAGAGGGAACCACATCCACCGCTAACGCAGGCAAGACCACAGAAACGAAACATCCACAGCGACTCAAATCGAGCCGGCGCACAGCTCCATCCCTAACCCAAGAAAAATCGCAGAGTATAAGACACCAATGGAGAAATTTGGAAGATGCTTCAACGAAGGGATGATCCGCGCAAGAAGAACAACAGCTGGTAAAAGGGATCGTCATAGTGCGATCCGTTCAGTGCATTTTTGTGGGTACTTCAAATATTTAATGTAATACAGACAACCGTGGACCCCAACTCTCAAGCCGGTGCCTCCTGCTTAGGCTGGGAGGTCTGGTTACCGCCGTTGATCACGCCGTTACCATTGCTGACCGAGTTTCCCGCGCCGCTGCCGTGAGGGCTACCTTTTGGGGCAGGGCCGGCTCTCTTATCATCATCACCATCGTCATCATAGTCCTCGTCGACATCCATCTTACGAGCAGCTGGCTCATGCAGCGGAGGCTGCTCCTTACGGGGCTCCTCCTTGACCGGAGCCTGCGCGGATGACGGGCCAGATGCGGCACCGTTAGACGTCGGGGTAGGACCCTCGGCCATGGGAGGCATCGACGATCCCGACGGTTGCGGCTGCATGTGCTGGATGGAGGGCAAGGTAGGAGGATGGTGCGCAGCCTCCGAAGGGTGGTAGTTCTCATTGGCACGGCGCTGCTCCTCACGACGAGCCTCAGACGAGCTGCGACGGTGCATCTCACCGGGGGAGGACATATGGTTGGGCGGAGTTACCCGACGAGTCACCTGATCATCGAGGCGAGCGCGACTCTCCTCGTTGGCAATCTTCTTTGATGGGGCGTCCGCCTCCCAGTCTCTGCCACGCTTCATGGCCGATGCAGGACGCTCGTCACGTTCGCGAGCAGCAGCTTCCGCGGCGCTCAGGGCAGCCGCTGGAGCAGGGGCACCTCCGGCAATGCTGGCAGCGGTAGCGCTCGGAAGGGGTACGCTAGGTCCATGGTGGTACTGCTGGTGCGGATACGTCGAGCCTGGAGAGGACGGACGCTCGTCTCTGATGGGTCTGATCTCGGTCGGAGGAGTGAAAGGGCGGCCATAAGGAGCCAGCGTTGCGCCAGGAGTAGGAGCGCCGTTAGGACCGCCTGGCACTGCAGAAACACCGTTAGGCGGGGGAGGACCACGGGCAGAGGGTGGGTAGGCTGCGGCGCCGGGAGCAGCACGATCATGAGGCTGTGGTGGAGGAGCGGCCAGCTGAGGAAGAGTGTGCGCAGGATAGGCGTTGGGACCAGAAACATTGTTCAATTTGGGGGAGCGGCCGATCGGGGGACCGCGAGCCGGGTCGGGATACGCTCTGGCAGGCTCCTGTCGGGGGCTCTGCTGAGGGAGCGAAGGGGGTGCCCGCACGCCATCCCGGTGGTCGAAAGGATTCGCGGGCTGCGGTGCCTGAGACTGTATGTCATTTATGCCGCGATTCCAATCTGCGATCTGGCGGGGAGGTGCTGGCGGCTGAGGAGGAGGACCGCCGGTGGGTGCGGGAGCTCCCCACTGCGGACCGGGAGGCGCGCCGACACCAGGAGCCTGATAAGCCTGGGGATGCACGTCCTGAGGAACGGGGACGCTGGTTTGGTTGGCGCCAGAGGTCTGACCGCTCTGGAGCAGCTGCAGACGAGCCTTGATGTGGACATTGTTGGGATCAAGATCGGCTGCACGGCCGTATGCGTCGAGGGCATCGGCGGTCTGGTTGTTGCAGGATTCGTACTGAAGGAATTGGTTAGCGCGGTGGATAATGGAGAAGCGAGCATGGAAGTATCACATACCAGAGTGCCAAGATCATACCACACCTCGGAGATGTAAGGGTTCAGACGGATGGCACGAGAGTAGGCATCGAGCGCATCGCGGTACTGATTGATCTGGTAGTACAGCACACCGATGGAGCACCAGAAGGTTGGGTTCCGTCCATCGCGGTAGACAGCCTGCTGATAGGCTTCATAGGCCTTGGGGTATTTCGCCTGAGACATGTAGCAACGACCCAGGAGATACCAGCTCTGCGCATCCGAGTTGTCTGATGCAAATTGCGTCAGCGACCGTTTCCTCACTTGTTGATTATCTGCGGTACATACCTGCGCTGACTGATTTCTCCAAGTACTCGATGGCCTTTTCCTGGCTGCTGTAGCTGTTGCTTTGCTGGTGGTACAACCATCCGAGCTGCTGTAAGACCTTGGCATGGTTGGGGTCGCGGTCGAGCACCCGCCTGTATGCTGCCTGCGCCGCATCGAACTAGAGACCAATCAGCACCATTATCACTAAGAATACGATTATCAATGTTTACTCACGTCTTTCTGTTGCTCGTGGACATGGCCAATCTGGAACCAAATGTCCTCCTCGGTGAGAGGTCGGGGAGGGTCATTGACGATGTATTTGAAGCACTTAGGAAGTTAGCAAGAAGCAAGGGAATTAACGGTGTATATGATGCGCCGTACCTCTAGACTCTGGCTGAACTTCTGCTGCTGCTTGTAGATTATGCCCAGACGGAAGTAGATTTCGTTTGCCTTCTCAAAGTCGGGCTGCATGCGCATGACCTGAGAGAAAGCTTCTTCAGCGTGCTCGAGCGAGCCGTAGCGGTCGTACAAAATACCAATGCCGTACCAAAGCTTAGGTTCCTATGGGACGGATTATGTCAGTGACTGGTGCGGACGCGATTGGATAGCTGTTGACCAACCTTTGGATCACGGAGGTGGTAGAGAGCCTGCTGGTATGACGTGTAGGCTTCCTGGAGATTGTCCATCATCAGATGGCAGTGACCTAGGCTTCCCCAGGTCTCTCCACTCTGGGGATCTAGCTTTAAAATGTTCTGAAGATACTCGATGGCCTTGGGGAATTGCTCCTTCGTCCGCAAGATGGACGAGATGGCCTGCATAGCCGGGATGGACCACTGGTTATGCCGCAGAGCTTGCTCATATGCACTCATGGCGCCATCGAGGTCACCCATTGCCTCTGTAACACTTCCTGTAGGCGAAAGTCAGTACGTCTGCAGTTATAGGGATCGGACATGACCGGAATAAGTGCGCCAACATACCGATTCCGATCCAGACTTGCTCATTCAGCTGAGCGATGCGCTGCGCAACCGTCAATTGTGGTGCCTTCTGTCCTTGCGACTGCAAGGGAAGATGACCGTTGACTTGCGGATGGGCGGCCAAGTGGCCATGGTGAGCAGGGACAGCCCCCGGGGGAGAGGGCTGAGGATGAGCCATTGTGCCGGGTGTCCTTTCCGGCAGTAACCACCACCGAACGGGAACTTCAGCTCAATATCCCACTGGATTTATTGATCCTAACGGTACAAAGAGCTCTTCGCCCGACCTCGTCTCTTTCGCAGTATTATCACTGAACGAGCCGAGAGCGCTTCCTCCCGCGACTAACAGGACCCGACTTCTCAAGGCCGTGACGCGTGCAGAGACTGCAACAATGAGGGCCCGAACTTGTTCTTGTCCAACAGAAGCGCGCTGTTGATTCTGATGAGCGCGTTTGCAGCCGCTACCGTCAGGAAGGGTTGGCGCAAAAAAACCAGATCGATGGTCAGGTCGAACCGGCAGCCGTTGACAGCTCTGGGGCGGCTAAGCCCCAAAATGGCGTCCGTAGAACGAGGAACTCGAAACCCGGAAGGGCAGAGAATAGCAAGAGTAGACAGTAACCGTCACGGGGATACTGGCCGTTGACAAGCTGTCGAAGGACTTGGGAGAGGGAGAGGATTGTCGGGGGAAGCAACGCAGGTCAGGGGAGTCGAGAGACAGAGAGCGCGCCAGGGCTGAAGGCAGAGAGAGAAGGGGAAGACAAGCAGGAGGGAGAGAGGACGGGGTCGAGGGGCGGGTGGGAGACGGTGATTTTTGCCAAGCGGCGCTAGTGGTTGTGTACCTCTCGAGCAGTCAGCGAAGAGCCGAGCAAGGACGGAAGGGGAACTGGAAAGGCGACAGGGCAGTCATGCAGCGCCAAGCAGAGCAACGGCGGAGGAGCCAGGGACTGCAGAGATGAGATAGTTGATAGACTGATCGATTGATCGATTCACAGATACATAGGCTCATAGGTTCACAGGTTCATCGTGCTGGCCAAAGGTCAAGGTCTCAAGGCAACGTGGAGGATGCTGTTACTGCGCTTCGGGAGCAGAGCCTAAGCCGTGATGGCGCTGGAGAGGCGGTCGCCCCGGCGTCGCGGGATCTCAGCTGCGTCTGCGTTCCTCGCAACCTCTGGGCTCGCGTGTCCGATGTTTGGGGACTAGTGCCACGGTGGGGCTGCCGCTAAGCACACGTCCGTCCAGGGGGGGAAAGAGCGACCATATGGCAGACGCTACGGGGATTGCACCTACTCTAGAGTAATCTAGCACGAACCCACCCAGGGCCCTAGCGCACTTTCTTTTTTTTTTCCCTGGGGTGGCCCGTGGTCCGCCCGCCCCGTGCCTTCCTCACTGACGCCGCTCGCTAAGCCTCCCCGGGCAGAATGAGAGCGTAACCTTAGCTTTAGCAGGAGCATCTAGCCGCCGAGAATGCGCTTTCCCCGATCCCATCGTTCCTTTTCCCTTTAGCCTGCTCATCTGCTCGACCCACCACCCCCTCCCCACCCACCCGTCTGTTCACCAACCAATCCCCCAACCCCCCTGGGTCGGTCCGGTGGCTCTCCTCTCATCTGGTGCATGTTCTGTTCCCGGCAACACGCCCCCCAACGCAGTTGACCTCGCCGTCTGGCAGCTTCTCCGGCTGGCCCCACCCGCCGTCCGCTTAGCGTGGACGCTCGACCGTTGGCCGGCGTCGAAGGGTTTTCTGCTCGCCTCTTCCGTCATTCATTCATCTGCCACTTCTGCCACAGCTCCAGCCACCAGCCACATCTTCACCTTGACCTCGTTCTTCCATCCTCCAGGCTCGTTTCCCTTTTTGTCCTCCTTCCCAAGTGGATAGCTGGCCCGGTGGATCTGGGCCGCTGATCCGCTCGGGCTTTTTCGATGATCCTGATCTATCACTCGATGGTTCGGCGACAAGATGATGCTTCCATCACATCCGCGCACCCCGTAATTACATCGCACGTAAGTTGACCTAGCCAGCGCATCTCCCCATCCACCATCACTACTACCGCCCACTTCTTCCGTTTCACCCCGGCAGCGCAGACGTTCTAGGCGAACTACCGGTAACCATCCCATACTTTTTCTTCGGTTCATGTGGTCCCTCATCTATCTACCTACACAAAGAAATTTTCTTCTCTCAGTAAAAAGAAAAAGTAAATTTCCCACGGGGATCAGGAGGAAATAATATCGACTATTTAGGTAGTTTAATCAGAGTGGTGCTAGTACGTAGTGCGATGAATGACTTTCATTTTTATGTTCTATTTTTTTGTCTCAATAATAATGGCTTGTCTCAACGTTCTATTTAAGGGGCGCTGCTAGTCACTGCACCGCCAATAAAGAACAATTCTTTAGATTGTACGATGATAATGATCATGATAATAATGATTATCTTCCTGCTATCAACTCCTGTCCGAACAGCGACCTTTATGAGGATCAATGATCGTCGTCCTGAGGTCATCGGGGAATCCGCAAATTGAACGTCGGACCCCCGATCTCGAGCGACTGTTTTTGTCCATCGGGGCGGGGGGGGAACGTGACACATATGTTGCCCTTTTAACGAAGTAGAGTTAGTAGTAGTAGTTAGCAGCAGTAGTTAGACAAGCTTGCCCTGTCATGCTATTATTACCCACTTTCTGCACGGGTTATTATTCAGCTGCAACCCACAGGCGCCATATTAAAAAGGACTTGATACATAATAATAATAATATCACTGCATCCCAACACTTCTTGGATCTAGCGTATTACGCCGTTCCACAATAAATCCTCGAGTGGATTCATGTTGTCGTAGCAGAACGTGCCCGCCTGCAGAATACACTAGTGACTACTACGTACAGTCGGGCATATATAACTCGGGTGACCATCTGGATTTTTTTTCGTGTGGTTTATTATTCTGTTTATACACTGCTCAACAATCGAGAAAATTGCTCGATCCTCGATGTATCTCGCCTGTATTGGTTGTCGCGAAAATTGTCAATGTAGCCCCAGCCCAGGGAGTATCTCCCAAGAAAAAGACACCTGGCAATTTCGTGTCGGTGTCGGGCTGGACTCTCTCCCAGTAGACATCAGGAATAAAAAAATAAAAAGAAAAAGGGTTTGTGCGATTAAACTCGGGATTCCCAATAGTATTATTATTGCCTCTGGTCGGATCCTGATCCCCTTGGCCGGTGCTACGGTATCAGATATCCGAACGCGTTTGTGGGATCGGGATGGGTCTTTTTTTTCTTCCATTTCCATTTCCGTCCGCAACGCTCGTGGAGCCGACGGTGCGTCTCCACACGAGATAAACCATGGTTTGGCAGCTCTGTCCGTGACGTCGGGTTCATACCAGATCGACCGTAATGATGACCGATTTAGAAGACACAATCGCTTTCCTCCATGGAACCCCCCAGCATTATTATTATTTCACAGTTCTGGAGCATCAGGGAACTCTACTAGGTAAGCGACCGTTTCCTCCCCCTCCATTCCTTAGCCATCATCCCGTACGACCCGTGCTATGCTGGTCGTCGCTCCATGACGCTACAGAGGGCCCGTTCATTCATTCCGTCGCGATTCTGTAACACGATCAGATGGGGCGGGGTCGCATTCCACGTCCTGCCCTTCGAAAAAGTGACCCAAGCGTGTGCAGAGTTCAGACTGTTTTATTCGAGCAAAAAAAAAAAAAAAAAAAAAAAAAAAGCGGTTAGTTATTATTATTATTTACAAGGGAACTAACTTACCCACCGGCACTACCTAAGGTACCTACAGACGATTGACTCGATCTTCGTCGTTAGTGCCTACGGCTAAATAGACCGCCCCCAGGTCAAGTGCATGAAGTGTAGGTGTCATACGTCGAAAACAAGTGATGATCTGTCGACAACTCGATGGGAACAAAGGCTGTCCAGGATCATTCGCCTTCTCCCCCTCACCCCAAAAACTTGTTTCAGATAGAGCGCTAGATCCTGATCCCTCATCGTCCGTGTGGGTAACCACTTGACGCACCCGGTGCGTTGCCGCAATGCCGCCTGCATTGTGCAGGACACACAGACCCTTTTGTTTGGTCCTGAGGTGGCGTTTGCCTTCTAATAAAATGACTTTTACGAGGTAAAATACTCCGTGCTCATGTCTGCGATGAGAACAATAATAATAGCTCGACTCCTGGTGCGCTGAGGGTCCCGTGCACTTACCGTGGAATTCGGGTCAGCCTCTGCCTCAAGACCCTGCCATAAAGGAGACGCAATCAAGACGAACCACGATGAGGGGGCCAGAAGCACTCTCGTCCGATCATCCTGGAACGAGATGGAGTACTGTAGCAGAAAGCCAACAGTTTAGCAGTATACCTATACCCTCTGGCACATTTGAACCCTCCGATCTCCAGGGATACTCCATTCTAGATAACAGAGTGAATACGGAGTAGTTATCTATCTAGTCCACACTCGGAATCGATGCCGTCCGACATCTGGTCCGTGCAGCCAGTCGGAAAGCCAACAAAAGGGCGGCTGCATGTGTTTTGTCGACTGGCATGGGTGCACCGCATATCAGCCTGCAGCTTATTACACAACTCCGCACAAGGGGGGTCAACAGCTCTGTCATGGACTTTATGGTTGCCAGTTTCCCCGAACAGCAGGGAAGCTCTAGTTAATTATTATGATTACATTATTACTGTACTTCTGGCTCATGGGGTCATTATTCTCTCGGGCGAGTTCCACCAAAACACGCAGAAAATGGGCTGACGAAGCCGTTCCCCGTTGGCTCTTTAGAGTATAAGTATATCTATCTAATCGCTTAATTCCCCGCGAGACACACGCACCCTCCCTTTTCCGTCCGTGTTCTCGATTCTCCTCCCTCTTCGTTTTCCACAACCTGTTCCTTTGTAGACATCTGATTGGGTTCTCGGCGTTTTTCCGGGAACCACCATCCTGGTCTCAACGCCCTCTTTTCTTTTCTTGTCGCAGTGAGGCAGTCACACGTAATACATAACTTCACTTTTCTTTTCTTTTTCTTTTTTTTTTAAAAAAAAAAATTCGGGTATCTAGTTCCCTCATCCTTCCAGAACCGGAACTAGTCTACTTTAACCTTCCATTTCCGTAGTTAACAACAATTCAATTCGTGCCCTCAGCACGGCACACTTGGGCATGAACACATACGCCTAACCTATCAGTCTCCCACGCCTACTACCATACATGTACTTTTATCATCTCCCCCAGCTAGCTACTGCATAAGCCCTACTCTACTCTACTCTACTCTACTCTCGCATAGTATCCCGGTCTAGTCAAGTCTATATCATACATCCAATAAGAACCATCACGTTCCTCTCGTCACTTTCCCCACTTCAAGGGACCCTGACACGATTTCTGTACGGAGTACATTAGGGAGGTGGGTACGTTACTATACCTTGGGTAGTGTTCGGAGTAATTATTAACTAACTGAGTACCTTGCTTAGTTATCTATCTATTGATCTTGTCATGTAGTTACCTACTCTGCTTAGCTGAGATAAGTTAACAGTAGTACAGCAAGGATTAATGATATCCTAGAGACATACGCATGGGATTACTTCGTAGTTAGCGATAAAGACAGGAATATATTATTATCCTGGTAGTGTTTGTGACTCCGCTATCTTTGTCTGGCAAGACTAGGACAGGAAGGACTAGGACCAGGGGCGGAGCGGTAAAGGATCCCGAGTCTGAGCCTGATCTTTCATCCAACGTCCGGGGTAAATTGATAATAGCCGTCATTCGAATAAAGCAACGTTATATTCTCATGCTTGATGTATTGATTAGATATACTTGCTAGTTACTTATTGTAGGCCAAGGAGCTAATATGTCACTGTAGCGATCTTTTGCGAGAATACCTGAGGTAATCAAAGGACACTGAAAACTGAATACCACGCGAGGGCTGATACCTACCTAGGTTCCCATACCGACTGGATATTTCGCTTGGAGGTAATGATGAACTCTTCTCAGCCTTTAATGATCCCCGTGATATCCTTATGAACTAACTAGGGTTGTCCGTCATGTAGTCTGATAGCACCGCGAGAAGACATTGTGATAACTACCCTTTGACATGGTTGCTTGACGGGAGCGTCATGTTTCTTTTTTTCTTCCAGCGGGACTATATATATATCAATTCTTGATATAAGTTGATCGTTAATAGATGGTATAATATCAGAACTGTGGCACCTTGGCCAAATCCAAAGAAGGAGAGTTGCAGAGTAGCTACAGTATGTAGTGATTCGATTTACTCAAAACAAGACCCCTCTATACAACATGTAGCGGGACTAGATAGAGGCTTGGCCATACGCTCTTTTACCTTCTCTCCGCAAGAAAAAGGGAAAAAAAAAAGAGAGAGAGAGAGAGAGAGAGAGAGAGAGAGAGAGACCGAAAATCGCTCTCTTTCTGATATTGTTTACTACTCTGCGTCCTAAGAAGTCTAGCGGAAGTACTCTCAAGATCTGTGGACTTGTAACAGTCGGTCTATGGATATAGAATAGAGTACTCCGTAACTAGCAATCCAGGCTGCTAACTTGCGACACTAAGATCTATTATCTACAAGAGATGTTCTATCGACAATGCTATGAACAGAGGAGTTAACAATAAACTGTATTCGTGGAATATAGAGTGAGAAAGATCCATGTTCAGGTCAGTGTACTGTACTCGGTCTATTGTGATCTTATCCGGATAGCTCTATAGATTATTGCAAGCATATACTATCATCACATTTTCTGGGTCTGCCAAACGGACTACATATCCAGACTTTCAGAGTAAAAAATATCATATCTGTGTATTGCAGAGACATAGAAAAGGCAATACTGTGATTAAAAAAAAAAAAAAAAAAAAGCACTCGTGACCTTGTTGCAGTTGAATGACAATTGCAATAGATATTAGGTCTACTTGTCTGTAGACGCTGTCTCCGGCTCTGTTCTCCGGAAATTAATTTAGCGATATGAAAATAACAGGAAAACGTCGAGCTGGATTTATAGTTCTATAGTTGCATTGAATGGATTTGGAGCTTTTCCCAAGCCCAAGAAAAATTGCTGTCTCCGCTGCCTAGGGGGCGTTTATACATCCAGGCCTCCATGTTAGTCGCTCCACGGGTTCTTATCCAGAGAAACGCCATCTCGTACCCCGGATGAAGCGGCGCCTTCTCTTTGACAAAAGCACTATGGGCCAAGAAAAGACCAAGAAAGGCCAAGGACGAACGCTGAATCATCCCGCCATTTGCCAATGTACCAAGAAAGGGCTAGACAGCAAAACCTGAGAGCCGATGTCTTGGTCTACTCTAGAGATCCCGGGCCAAGATCAGGTCTATTACTTATCCCATCCGTTTGCGAGGAGTACCAAGAGCTACGCCAAGGCAGCATCATGATGAACGAGCGGTAATCACCCGGCAACATCGAAACATCCTTTCTGCCAAGATCGGAGGGGGAAAAGTACTCGTTATTTTGCCCAGTCGGCTCGCAGACAATTTGCTCTCGAGAGCTTCCCAGACAAAGGAAACTCTTAACATATTATTGAATCTTATTCTGGGCGGGATTATTGACCGCCGATACCAACTATGGTGCAGGAGATCAACGCGTCCGTGGATCGGGAAGATGATCACAACGCTGATTGAATTAAAAAAAAAAAAGAAAGAGATGGCTGATTTGGGAAATATATCTTTTATAATATGTTCTCTTATAATGCGAATTGAAGCGGAAGTAAATATCGACTATTTATTTATTTAAATCATAGTTAAAGCACTGGCAGGGCGGGAGATACCCCGTACTTTCTGTATGGTAACACACCGTATCATCGACACAGGACGTGACAGCGCCAAGCACGCCATGCGATTCCCGGCCAGGACCAGACTGGCCGACAGCCTATCAGGACACGCCAAGACGTCACCCAGGGCTGCCAACGCTTGGCATTGCTGATGCGGGAGGAGATACGCTTGGCGTATTGATACCGTCACGTCGAGACGGCCTGACCGTATGATTCTTCTTTTTCTGCTGGCCGGCGGTCTGGGCTGGAACTTGCTCTGCCAAAGTCCATCCTGTCCACGTTGGAATGCGCAACACCAGCCTTGATGGATATGGCAGCCTCATGTTCGACCAGCGGCAACCGCCTTCTCGCTCAGCCGGGCATCTCGTCTCGCCTCGACATCCCATACCGTCCGTTTCATTACCCTGGGACAACGACCATCACGATGCCAAGGGCTCGGCTTCTAGGCGTCTTGGCGTGGATGGACAGGACTCCTCCGTCAGCGTCTTTTTTGTGCCTCTGATTCTCTTCCTCTGGCGTCTCCGCCGTCCGATTGATGTGTCTACCGCGGGTCCGCTCTTCCCGCTTCCATCTGGTGCAGAATCATATAAGGCTGCCTGACCTCCGCTCTTCTGGCGGTCCTAGAGTCTCTCTGCTCCCACCGGCATGTCCTCTCCGTGAGACTGGATGCCTCGATCATGCCGTTTGTGTCCCCAGCGATGGCTTGAGCATACGCCTGCGCTTTCTGAATGAACCCTGCCCCCTCCTCTGTGGCCTCTAGAGTTATCGGATTCGTGGTTCTTGTGAATGTGAAGGGCCAGCCGGCCACTCCTCCCCGCTGATATCTCATCGATAGCTAAGAGCGGGACTGGTTTGACAATGGCGCGCCAGGAAATGACCCATTCGCCTGCCTACTATCAGTGCCAGGATTGGGTGACCACTGTAGACCCTCACGGCGCTTATCCCTCGAGTCCCCCTACCGCCTATCTACCGTCGAAGGAACAGCAGTTGTCCCTTACAAACCCGTACACTGTCTATCGGAGCCCCGCATCACAAGCCTCTTCTCCGGAGGCTCATTCTACCTTGTCGGAGTCGTCGCGAGAGTCATACTTGTCTACCAAGAACTTGGCGGAACCGGTTCAGCCCAAGCCGGGATATCTGCCAGCGCCGTTCATGCTGTCGCCCGATGCGGAAAATGGCTCGATATCGAATTTGACCCCCAGCAGCAATGGACATGCTCGCAAGGAGAGCAGCAACCGATCGAGCTGGAGAGAGCAGCGCTCCTATGTGTCTGGAGAGGTTACTCGGCATAGTGGACCGCATGTGCAGAGTCGAGGATCTGTATATGCAGGAATCGACGAGGAGCCAGTGAAATCAGATGGGAGTCGAAATGCATTGTTACTTCTGGTGAGTAGAGGTCTATGCTTGCGGGATCTCCAACCTGTCTCTCAAACCCTATGTAGTTCTCCGACTAATGCGTAACTAGCTTCATATGTCGACCTCTGTACCTACGCTTTCTCTTGTGACTTGCCTGTATACAATGTTCAGCGTTGTCTTCCTCACACTGTCCTCTCCTCTTCGACTCTGTCCTCCAACACCTTTCTTCAAATCCACATCCTTTTCGACGCAACTATGTCAGTTACTGGTGCCCGCTCTCCATATGCACGAACGCATTATGCGACCCAGAAAGTCAGGACAACGTCGACGGTCTTCTCAGGGTCTACATTCGAATGATCCATATCGATCTGCTCCGCTACCGTTGACAGATTCCTATTACGCCGCAAACATCGTATATGTTCTTCTGCTTGCTCCTTTTCTTTGTCTTGGTCTTGAGCTCGCAGCATGGACCGCTGCTTTTTTCTGGGTATTTACCATGATGATGGGTAACCCGGACGGGACCGAACGCAAAGACGATGGCCGCGCCGCTGTCTTAGGCGTCGCCAATTGGTGGCGCAAGTGGCTTAGAAGGGCCAGAAAGGCATCATGAAGGGGTTGCAACATGCTATGCCACCTCGTTGCTGTTCGACTATGATACGAAGATACCTCGTAATTCGTCAAAAGCAACATCTATTCGCGGCTTGCAGCCGTCGCTGCTATACCCAGAACGGAAACTGTCTATCTATGGATGATCCTTATCGCAATGTCTGTTCTGATTTTACTTTCACGACTGAGCATGGTAATGGCTGGCGCAATTTGGGGTTATATGCTGTTTCTTCTTTTCCTTCTCAATGATTCGCTCGGAATGGAGACGGACATCAGTGTTATTTTTATATCCGCTCGGTTTTTGGTGGTCCCTTCTTCTATGAAATGGTGTACTTCTCGATTCCCCGATGATACCTGGTGATGTTTGCCTTGTTTTCACCTCGGTTCTGTTTTCCTCTCTTGTTCTTTAGTGGCTGTATTTTCATTACTCCCTGACGATCCGTCTACACAGGGATCAAAAAACAGAGATTTCTTATTACATAGTTAGTGCCGCAAATAGATACCCTATCAACAGCATATATTTTTACTCTTCTTTTTACCTTCTAACGATTATGTGATTTCCAAGGCCGTTAGGAAACAGTTTCGCGCCTGACGACAGTACCATATCACAATACTACGAAGTAATAATCAACATACTCGACGTGACCACAACTATAATATAATAATAATCGGCGAATAGACATCTCTAGGACTAGAACCTAACTGATTCGTTGTCGCTTTTCTTATTTTCGAACATAAAAGTTCATTCACTCTTGAAAAAAAAAAAAAAAAAAAAAAAAGGTACTAATCTTATCCTCGTCCTATATATGCTTCGTGAAAAAAAAAAATGGAAGGGTATCTGAGAGAATACCAGATTCGTAGACTGACGAGAAAAGAGAATAAGACATATCATATATAAAAAACAAGGCGGACGACGAATCAGACTTAATTTCTTCGTTTATCTATGTTTATTTTTTTTTTGTTCTTTCCCCTCCAAAGGGAGAATTGGAGTTTCATTCATTGCATTTTTGGAAAAAAAAAAAAAGAAAAGAAAAGAAAAGGAATTTTTTTTTATATACCTAACTCCCAACAATATATTCAGTGGGATATGGTGAGAATCGTACCATCATCCTTAACAGAACCCTAATACATAAATAAATAAGAAAGACATGATGAGGGAAAAGAGAAAAAAAAAGGCCGCTCCAGGAGTATCTAACTAAGAAATTTCTGGCTCGTTAATAAAATCTCAGGATCATCTTTCATCTCCTCCTTCCACCCCCCCGGATGGCTCCCTTTCCACTTCTGTTTGGTCCATTTCTTCGCTTTTCTATTCTGCCACTGGGAGTGCCGTGCTGTTTGGGTATTCCTAGACCACGACGACCGTTCGGGTTGGATCCTTTGGCGGCGCGGAATCCTTCCTTGGAGATGGTGCCGGCGTCGTTATCATCGTCGTCGTCCAATTCCATCTCGTCATCCTTGGGCTTCCGTTGGGACATCTTCAGTCGACCCTTCTGGCCACGACGGATGGCGTCTGGTCCGCTGACTGCTGCGAGATAGGCGTTGATACCGCTTTCTCCCTCTGCACCGCCGTCGGCGCCACCGCTCATCTCCATGTCGAGGTCGTCGCCGTTGTCACCAAAGATAAGCTTGCCGTCCTCATCGACCTTCGCGGCTCGCTTCTTCTTGGAACCGGGGCCGGCGTTGAGGAAGCGGACGCTGGGTTTCGTGGTTGAGATATGGGCAAGGGCGCCGGGAGCAAGCAGATCGAGAGGATTATCCTCGGGAGATAGCTCGCGGATATACTGCTCTCCCTGCTTACCGCCCTTGCCTTTGCCGGAGCGCTTCGCTCGCGTGTGCCCTTCCTCGTCGACGTCGATCTGGCTTGCATCATCGTCGAGATCTGATTCATCGGACAGATCGGATCCGTACACGGCTTTGTCGAAGGCGTTGTTGAAGACTCTGCCGCCGTTGCCTTCTTCGCCTTCGTCCTCACCGGCGTCGTCAGCCGCATTCTTCTTTCTCTTCCGCCTCTCCCGTTCTTTTCTGATGTTGACTACAAGTTTGCGATCAGATTCACCGACCAGTACCTCCATCAGTGGCGCACCGAATCTGCGGACTAAGCGGTCGATGATACCCTTGACCTTGACTCTCATACGACCGTTGTGCTCCTTGCTCCACACCATGAGGTTTGGAACTAGGGAGTCAAGACGGGGGCGGAGCATGTCGTCAGGCAGGACAACGACAACAACCTTCACGAAACCCAGAACAGACCTGACGATTTCACGGTTGTTGCTCGTCAGGAAGAGATCGACAGTCTGCACGAGATCCGTCTGGACCTGTGGTGGGAGCGCGGTGTGGAAATCGAAAAATAGGCGCGAAAGCGCCGTGACAGATGCCGCAACCATGTGTGGAGAGCTACCAGCCAGACCAGCTGAGACCATGGTGAAGAACTCCTCAATCGTTGCCGGAGCATCTGGGGCGTCGTCAGGCATATGAGGCACCAGAGAGTTGCGAATCTTGGTACCAGGCGGGTTACGCTCTGGGTCAATCATTCTCTTCGCAAGGTGTATCAAGAGGTCAAAGGACGCGACTCTGGCTTTCTCATTGCTTTCCTTGCAGCCAAGAACAACCTCGGAGAGCACAGATGGGATAAAGTGCAGATCAGAAGTTGGGAGATGAGAGACGAGCTCGTGGATTGCAAGAAGACGGTCCCTGCGTGCTGGAGAAGGCGTCTTGTCCGCGGTGGTGAGGATAAGAGATTGCAGCTCTGAGCTTCTTTCACGGAGTGCAGTTGCTCCTGTCTCCGTGGATGCCAGACGTGGGATCAATTTATAAGCCTTCTTGATCAACTGTGGATCCGACGACTGGTTGTTGAGAATGACGGCCGCTAGAGCGAACAGGCTCTGGAAGCTTGAACGCGGGAGGTAGATCGACATCGCGATAATAAGATCGATCAGGGTGTGAGAAGTAGGGGGCATCTTATCACCAGATCCTCCCTGGTTACCCTGCTTGGCTGCCTCCTGCTCTGCGGGAAGAGAAGATTCAAGCATCGAGGTGACACGAGTGAAAGTCTCGTTGAGTTCCTGTGTACAAATTAGCTTTGGTCAAAATGTTTCTTTGATAGGTTTTGTACTGACCTGCTCGGGCGTAATGCTCAGGTAAGCATTGATACATTGCAAGATGTAGCCTCTGTAGTGTGGCAAAGTCTGACTGTACACGTTGAAGAGAACCGCAAGCAAGTTGTTTGCGAAAGTTGCTAAGTGGGCAATGTTCTTCTTTGCCGCTTCCTTTGAGATTCTCCTCTGGAGGATCAAATCGTCTCCTTCGGTATCCAAAGACAGGATAGCCTGGTTTGATTCGACAAGGTTCTGCAAAGCCTTGCAGACATCGACGCGCAGCTCCGTCTGCTGGTACAGCACGTTGGAAAGCAGCTCGGCAAAAGTCTGATCAAATGACTCCACCAGGTCCAGAGGCAGTTCGCAATATCCAGGCAGGATAGCCCAGGTCTGCTGTACAAGCGTCTCGAAGATTTTGACTTCGACCGACTTCTCCGCTGCCCCGTAGTCCAGAATCCTCTGGTAAAGTGCCTCACTGAGAGGAACAAATTCCGAACGGAAATGAGCGAGGTTCGTGTTGGAGACATGGTCTCTGAGGATTGGAAGAAGCCAAACACGGCCTGGCTGACCAGACTTCTGCTGGGTGATATTCAGAGGCAGAACTTCCAGAACAGCCTGAGGACCCATTGCGTATATGGCTCTTCCCAGCACCTGATCAGCCTGCTTCTTTCCGTGGAAAGATTCGTTCCCTCGCAATTCTCCAATCGTCTTGACGATATCGGTGAGCAGAGGAGAAGACCTCCATTTAAAAGCGTCGAACATGGCCGAGCAGACGTTGAAGACCTCAGCCCAGGCGGCCTGGTACTTCAACGACAGAAGATCAGTAGCAGATTTGGCCAGCTTCTCAAGGGTCTTTTCGTCATAGACGGATGGCTCCAGGATCACGCTGTCAGGCACACAATTGGCCAGGAATGAGATAAGACATTCCGACGCAGAGATCCTAATGTTGCGGGAAGGAGATGCGAGGAAAGCGGAAACAAGGTCGAACAACTCTGGGAGCTTTGCAAACGTCTCGTCAGCATCGAGCTGTGCAGCCACGTCGTAACCTCTGGACAGGACCGCAATCCATGGGGGAAGTAGTTGCGAATCGTTCTGCGCTGGCTTAAGTTCTGATATGGCCTCCAAGAGACGCGGCAGCTTCGATGAAGAGAAGTCATCCGCCATTCCTTCGAAGATGACCTCAAAGACTTCGAAAGCGCCCATAGTAAGAAATTCATTGCTAGATCGGGAGACGTTCATGAGCAGCTCGCACAGTGGCTCAATCTTCTTGCTGGGCCAGCCACCCGATGCGGATGCGATCGTCTTGACCAGCTGCAGAGAATGAATAATCGCAGGTTCGTGGTTGTCCTTGTTCTGTCCATAGCGGCCCTTCTTCGCCTTTGCAGCAGCAGTGGCATTATCACTCAAAGTCCTGAGAGCAGTTTCCGCGCACATGTCCGCAGCCGGGTGATCCAGGGACGGACTCGGGGGCGGCGTCTTCAGAACCTTTGTCAGGGCATCCTGAGCGCGCTTGCGCACCTTCGGACGGTGGTCAATAGCCAGGTTCAGCAATCCAGCCATGGCCCGTCGCGGTCCAATCTGCGTCAGCGGCAGATTCCAGGCGGCCGCATCTTGCGCGATCAATAGCGACTCGAGAACCCCGATCGACGGTCTCAACAGCGGAGCTTCGACATCCGGCAGCGTCAGCGCTGGCGCAAGGTTGGTAAGAATCTGCGCAAACTTGGAGCGGAGGAGAGGTGCGGGGACATAGTCGGCGGTCAAGTCGAGCAAGTACACCACAGAAGTTGCCAGGTCCTTATTGATAATTCCTTGCGAGCTCGAGAGAGACTGTGTGAGCAGAGCCAGCAGCGCTGCGAAGTAGGCGGTGGGCGAAAAATCTGTTTTCTGATCGCGGAGAGTATCCTCGACTGCGGAGAGCACCACGGCAGTCTGAGCACGGTCAGTTTTATGCGGTGGTCGACGGGGAATTCCATGAGACTCACATGTTGCTGGTTCTGCAGCTTGGGCGACTTGATCTTTTCGAGCTTCTCCGCAAGGGTCGCCATGGTTGCGATCGACTTGCAGGCAGCTCGAGAAGTCCGTCAGGGCGCGGGGGATCAGATGGAGATCGGAGGTATTTTTTTTCTGGCAGAAGAAGAGTAAGTTAAGTGATTTTTGGAAAAAGTACAAAAAGTCTTGGCGGCCCTACTTATCGATAGCAGCCGCTCTTCCGCCAATCAGAAACCCCGGCTTTCGTGGATAACTGTGATTTTATTATATATATCATATTATATTATATTCTACTGTTCTCGAGAGAGGCCAGAGCGATGGAAGTAGTATGTAGCTGGCTAATGGTATCTTGCATATATATAATATATATATATATATATATATATATGTGGAGGACAGCGGTCTTACTTGCCAGAAGAAGAGGTCGTGCTGCTGTGCTTCATCCACAGTAGTAGTATCAAGATGCATTCGACAGCAGATTTCTTCTATCACTACAAAGATATCGCTGCGCTCATGTTTTGAAGGATCGTAAATGGCTGCATTTGTTGTATGCCAAATTTTCACCACCAGGTCGGAGCATTTCACAATATTCTGCACCGCCTGGATCCTCCCTCGTAGCCACTGAAAAAATACGGGCTCGCATAGACCGACAAAGCAAATAAAAAGATAACAGCATCGAGTCGTTTCAGCAATTGAAAACCATCATGGCGAGACCAGACGTCTCTTGTTTCCACTATTTTCGTCCAACGAAGGTTGGCCATACGTCGAGGCCTCAAATTTCCCCGAACTTGAGCATACGGTTTTCGAATCACCTCTGCCAGAATACCAGGGCTGCCCGCAACCGTAGTGGTGCGCTGCCCCGAGCGGGTGACATGCGGATCTCAAAAAATGATCTCTCCACTGTGTTCTGGCTCGAAGCCTAGGGTCTGCAACTGCTTGTTGCGGGTCTTGTCGCGCTGTTTTCGCTCGCTGTCCTCCTTCTTCTTGAGCTCGAAAACTTCCTGGACCGGTGCCTTCTGCCAGTTGGGTGGGATATCGTCTTCCCTGTCAAGGTCCTGCGCAGGCCAGAAATGTTAGTACAACGTAGTAAGAGTGCGTAGTGGTGTAACCGGGGAAGCCGCACGATTTCACCCAAAAGCAAGACGTTCTCTCCTCGGACCAAGTAGATGCCTCGAGGAATATCAGCGAAGAGATTTCCGGCGTAGATACGCTCGATGGTATCTTGGAGAACGAGATTCGCTAGGGAAGACCGGGACATTAGCATTTGACATTGTCGCAGCAGATGGCAGGAAGCAGACATACCGAATTGATCCCAGCTCCTTAGGACACCAATCAACTTTCTTCCATCTCGAAGGATTATAACAAGTTTCTCTACAAGTTAAGTAACTCAATCAGCACTCGAAGCCCGCGAACACGAACAGCGTATAGCAGCAGCTTCCTCCAGTCCATTATATCCGATCTAGCCATAGACCATTGACGCCTTAAGAAGAGGCCCGTCCCTTTCCCAGCAAGGAATTCTTTGAAGTCAGCGATAATGCACTCACTATCTGTCAAATCCAACAATTGTGCCGCAGTCGTGAACATCTGCGGAGGTAGTTGCGGAGGGCCCTGGGGCACTATCGGGCCCGATGGAGGTTGCAAGGGCACATTCTGGGGCGGTTGACCCTGCTGCGCATTGGCCTGCTGGGCCGCAGCAGGATTATCATGAAGTGAAAGCCTTTCCATCTCCTGGTATGAAGCGCAATCGTAGGAAGTTTGTCGTCAAGCGTGGGGCAGGACGGAAGGGCTTTTCGTGGGGTCTATGTTTGCGAAGATGGCGACGGTGCTATCATTCTGGGAGACAATTCGATCAAGGAGAGTCAGGGAAGACGCCAAAGGAATAAGGCGCGTCACTCCAGCAGAGAAGAGAGCTTGGTTTGGGAATGCGAAAGATAGCCTCGTCGCAAGGTCTCTGTGTCACTGCTATCGCGGGATCTGTTTGCTCTGTTTGACTGCGATTGATTATGGATGGAGTACTTAAACCACTGCTATATTATTTTATTATCTCCTCGTCAGGCTGGGCTTTTATTTTGAGCGGTTCAGTATATGGAAAATACGTAGTCTCTGTGTGATCATTCATATAACCACAAAATGAAGCTTCCCAGCCAGAGACTCGTCGCATGCTAGTATTGAAAAGTAGGTAGTTACCGCCTACGACCGGATCTACAATATTCTATATTTATAGCAGTGATGGAGTCGAGGGACAAATTTAAGATGAGCACTAATCAGCAAGATACAAATTGCCAGAGCAGTAAAACATGCGATTGACAGCAGGGATGATGTATCCTTCATGAAGACATCTGAAAAAAAAGAAGACAAATCGGTGACGGCCGCCATTGATATGACCACCCGGATCAAAAGGCGCCTCCGATCTAATAGTTTCACATAATTGATCCTCGAGTACCGTACTGTAGGCATAATCCGGTACTATATCATGCCCTTAACAGGATTCCCGCCGGCGCAATCCTAGCAGGGGCATGACATATTATTTGTAAAGAGGTACAGCAACTCCATCTCTGGCCCTGCACTCACGCAACGCCGATACCACGGCGTTGCTCTCGCATTCTCTGTTCCCGACGTCGGTTGTATGGAGCATAGAGGGGCTCATCAAAGGTGCCAATGCTTGCTCGAATAGCGCCTTGAGGCTGATGGGAGGTAGGACTGGCTGGTGGCAGGAATTCTATTGCCTTGAACTGAGCCTGAGTAATGATCTTCAAGCGATACAAATACCGCATCAGCTCGAAATCCGGCCTGTACATGGCCAGCGTTTGTCCGTTCTGATGATGGCCCTCGACTATGTGGTCGAGCATAGAATCCCAAGCACTTTGCCCCTCAAAGACCTGGCGGCAAATGGGGCAGCTAACAGTCTCTGGCGGCGGATGCGTTCTAAAATGACTCAGAAGATGCACTTTCCATTGCTCGACATTATCGAGCTCCTCCTCGCACCCGAGAATGTAGAACAGGCAATGGTAACTCAACCGTGACTGTGAGCCAGAGGGAGCTACAAGGATACCAGTGCCATCATCCTCCAAGAGACGTGCCGCCTCCATCTCCGGTGCCATCCTTGTGTCTATGGACTCGAAGGAATGCGAGCCTTGAGAGCCGCCCGAGAGAGTCGGAACACGATTCAAACTTGTCATGCTCCCGGCACTGGATGCGACGACCTTGCCTGAAGACTGAAATACAGTCACTGAGGAGGGACCCGATCGTGACTGGCTGCTGACGGTAGATGAACCTCCTGATAGAATGTTAACTGAGCCTCCCGGGTGATCCTGTTCCCATTTCCTCAGCCTCAGTCTTTCAGCAGGGAGTTTTGAGCTCGAGGGAGCCACTGAGACGCAGTCAGTATACATTTTCAGCATTGAGGGTTTGATCTGGGCCACATACTCGCACACAGTTCAAAAAATGCCCATCAACCGCGTAGTCTGCTTGTCCTAGCCGACATAATTGAGGCATGCCTGCTGGAATTTGAGGTGAGAAAACAACCAAGCATGGTATCTTTCCGACAGACAGACGAGGAGAATCGTGGAGGGATGCTCCCAGCACCACGAACCATCACCGGGTCGGTCGGACGAACGCTGGCCATCATAGACAAGTCGCAGTGGGCCACGTCGATGTGCATCTTGACAGAAAGCGCGGGTTGAGAGACGGCAATTCAAGACGGCCAATTGCACGAAAGTGGCCGATATGCACATTCGACATCCTGTCAGCACACGCCAGAATTGAACCCACGCGCTCTCCCCACCACGATCGCAACATTAGTATTATCTATCAGACCACAGAGCCTCATGTGTAGTAACATCTCTGGGCACGCGGCCCAACTCTCAACGGACCATCACAAAACCCCTCGAAACATCGTCGAAGCTGCCGCAGTGCATACCGAATCCCACTCCAACGGAGTTCGACAGGAAAATTCAAGGTTAGAAGAAACCCTGTCGGACGGACATTATCAACTCCTTGGCAGGATTGGCTGGGCTGTTAAGAGTTGGCTTTTTTTGCGCACCGACAATTTCCCCACAGCTGCATGCGATCGTGGAGATCAGCAGCTGAACCATTTGCTCCTAAATTTTCTTCTTCAACCATCGATAGACGAGATGGCGTAACAGCAGAGGGGAAACATCCTTGTCCACCCAGCTACGTACACATACCGATATCCGACTATCGGGCTCATCCTCATAGTCCTAAAAAAAGGTGGTTCCCGCTAAATGCGGCTATCATGAGGCTCTCCTCGTCCCCATGATGCAAGACACGCCAGGGTGTGTTGTACAGTAAATCGAGACAGCTCAGTCTCGCAGAACGACCATTGAGCCCTGGTATGTTTTCTCCGTGAGTCGGATGCGGCACATATTGTTTTGTCGTATACTATATTGATCATAACTATTGAATTTCGTGACAGACCGTAGATATTATTGCACAATGCTTTTGGCTGAGATTAGTATATACAGCTGAGATATGACGGCTTCCTGGTGGGCTGTCGTTTCTCTATCCAGGTAGTAAAGTGTTTCGTTCCGAGGAGTTTCCCTTGAGAAATGTGGTTCCTTTCAGTAGTCGAATTCGTTCTCTGAGTGGTCATGATGTCTGTCGCGGACTCTCCGTCAGAGTAAGGATGTCCATGGGGAACGATAGGTGCGTTCCCGAGAGAATGGAAGCTTTGGAGCCTGACGTTGGAACCTGATCCTCGTCGAATAGCTTCTAGCAGCCTCCCAAGGATCGCAAACTCGAGCTTCAACTTCAGGCTGTAAATAGTCCCCTTCAGCGTCACTTGAAGAGCGTAGTAGTCGGCGTATTCGAGACTGAGGAGAAGAATGTCCATGAGGACTATGAAAATATTGATTCCAACCAGTTGATAAATAGTTTTGCGATCTTCCTTCTCCGAGCCGATGCGGAGAAGCCTGACGCTTTCGATGACGTAGAGTCCAGAGATGATTGCTTCCTGGACAGTAAAGCCAGTTATCTGAATCTTCTCCATGACTCCGTAGGCCTCGCGGAAAAGTTGTGGCCCGTGAGGGATATTGGAGCCGTAGGTCAGAACTGTAGTCGGGACGTGAAGAAATACTACGTTCGCGCAAATCATATAGAGGACTCGACGAAGGATCCAATCATCCTGGAGGACGAGATGTAACCTCGAATATAACACGAGTGCCTGACCCGTCACCATCGCCCACCAGCCGGCAGTTAGGATAGTGACAGATATGAAGGAATTGGTGTTGCTGAAGTACTTCAGCATGAAGCCCAGGGAATATGGCATAACCCCCAGGAACGATGAGATAAGAAGACTCCAGAAGTATAGTCCCCTCCATTGGCGAAATGTAGAAAGGGCCAAGGCAACCAGTTCGATTACATTGTACCAGGAGATAGCGAGGAAAGTCACCACTATCAGCCGCAATGCGTCTCCCCATCTAAGGTCGCTGGGGAGACCATCGATGGGCACTTTCATTGACGACATTTGCTTCAGACAGGGAGCAGTATACGGTCGAGTAGAATGGTGTCAACATAAACAGATCGTAGTTATTTGCCAAGAGCGTTGATAGACGGCCGGCGTCGATCTTCGCTGTTGTTGATCGCTGCGCGGGAACCAGAACAGTCAACCAATGCCTTCACGGTATGGAGAGGAGAAATTCTTTCAATGGCTTCGACATTGCAGGGGTCGACCGGCTTTTCTTTGGAATAGAGCAGATATGTATGTAAGGATGGGGGGCGCATGAATGCCGGGTACGTTGTTTCAGCATTCGAGGCGAGCGCCCTGCGACAAACCCCTTGATGTAATAATCGAGCATCGTTGTCTGACGTCTATTTCAAGACAAGAACCAACCTTCATTCCTGCTGTTTCACAAGGCCGAATTATGTATGGCGATGACACTGCTTAATAGCATAAAAATGCCAGATAATGGCATGAAAAAAGGCGCTGCACTCATGCCAACACGGGCGCACTGATTAAACCGTACTTCTGTCGAAGCTCCTGAACCTCGTTCTATTTGGGAGAACGAGAAAAGATCTTTGCACACTTCGAAACGAAGAGACCTTCCACCTCATTTTCCCTTTCGGGAATCCTGTTAGGATCGTCCCCATGGCGCCGCCCTTGTCTCGTCCGGCATGAGAGAATTTGGACACATGGCCAGTGGGTCAGGGGTCTGGGGTTTGTCGTGACTCCTTGAAACTCCTCCCGACCTCGATTCCCTGCAAACAGGCCACTACACGATGATCCATTACAACAATTTGGGCAAAAGGTCGTTTCCTGAAGTGGTACGATGTATCTGGACTTCCAAAATCGAATTAGAGATCCGCGGAGCTGTTGCTCTGTGCGTCAGACGTACCGGTCTCGTGGGAGTCCCTCAAGCACATGGCATCTCGGCTGAAGTCTTCTTGACCTTACTATTCAGACCTAAGTTCGAAAATGCGTCTCCCAGAAATCGAGATCTAACATCGCCGGTTTCCCATCCGGCATTTGGCGTACGATGCTGTCTGAAGCGGCGACCTGAAACGCTAAGTTTGTCACGATGACACCGGAAAGCGACGGTTATTGATAATCTAGGAAAGAATTGATTTACCTCCATAGGATATCGAGAGCTCCTTCTGCTATCAGGGATATATTAAACCAGTCAATATTGACGATGAGAGGGCGCTAACAAAAAGACGATCAACAAAAAGCATCCATAAGGTAACTCTGCCCGTAGATTCAACATTCATTGTGTGGTCTCGACGGCCGCATCGCGTCTATTTCTGAGGATATCAACAACTGTAGCTGCAGCTCTCGTTTCAACTTCGATGGGATTCACTCCGTCGGTCAGTTCGACTATGACCTCATCCCCCACACTCACACTACATAGCCATTTGTATCCCATCTCATTTTCATGATCTGGTATATTCTCCTTCCTGGTATTGTAAGATACCCGTGATGATTGTGCGGCATGGCCCACTCGTTCCTTCGGGTGAAGGAGATCTATTTTCACGCTCAAGATCCGTTGCATGTATTGCAAAAGACCTATCTTCTCGAGAAAGTGGTGGCATGCGTCCATGGATCCGTGAGAATCAACAAATATAGCTCCAAGAAGACTCTCGATTAGATCGGAAAAGAATTTATCTGCCTCTAGCCGTGACAAGAGAGCCCAAGGATAGGTTTCTGAACTGTACAGTGCGTCGTAGATCTCTTGGCGGTGTTCCATAAACCTTGCTGATGTGGTCTGTTGAGCTGCTTTTATCTCTGGTGAAGTTGAATGCCTCATGAATTGCCACAGGTATGTTTTCCGGATTATCTCCTTCATGGATTCGCCAGGCATATCTGGGTTGGTTATCTCCCAGCGAGTTTCGTCTAGCGAGGTGTCCAAGCAGAGAAATGCTAGGAAGTCTGCGTTGACTAATGCTGTGCGCATGACATGCATTTCCGCATGAGGTATCTCTCCGGAACTAAAAAGCATTCGCGTAACGATATGATCCAACACGGAGTCGCCCAAGAATTCCAGTCTTTGGTAGGACATATAGTCATCTCGGCTACAGGGATGCGTCAGTGCCTCGACTAGAAGTGCCCTTTTCGTGAAGGTATGCCCGATGACTCGTTCGACTTGCGATAGATGAGAGAAAGCCCTAGACTCTTCAGGAACAGCATCGTACAGCTGGTTTATTCTGTCATCCAAGGGCCACCATTCGAAATCTGGAAGAAACAGGCGAAGACATCGGATAGCTTTTCCCACACCACCGTCAATAAATGCTGCTCCAATGAGTCCTTCAACGACGTCTGCAAGTACTTTTGTGGATAGCTCCCTTTCTCTTGGGACATCAGTTTCCATGACTGGTTTGATAAGATCAGTGATGTAACTTGGACGCCATTTGTTACCGGTAAATGGACTGGTGATAATGTATTCATTTAGCCCTGTATTGAGCGCCGCTCTTGACAGGCGAGCATTGGAGACGAGCTTATCCTTTTCACAAGATAAAAGGCCTTCGTGCCATAGCTGATTTGCGGCCGTTATTTGAACCGCAGTAGTGAACTTCAGAACACTATCTCCTAGGAACTCCAGACGCTGATAGTCTATTTGTTCTCTTGCAGCCGATGCACAGATCGCAGCCATTACCAGAGATAAGTCGTCAAACCCAACAGAAGCCAGTAATGTACAGGACAATTTCTGGGCCAGAAGGGCGACCTCAATCTCATGAATAATAGACGGTATAAAAAGTGCAGCCCTCGCGTATGCAACAGGTAGACGATCAACCGAGCAAGCTCGAGCTAGCGCACAATGTTTGGATGTATGGTGGATGGGTGCCTCCTTGTTGCTAGCAACCGGATGAAGGAAATCAGTGCGTTTCGGTAAGACAGTACCTTGAATGTGCATCTGTGGTTGTTCTTCACTATCGCCACTGATTTGTCCATCTTTGGGGCCATCCTCCCCACAGATGGTAGGGGCCTTCCACAACACTTCCTCGATGATAAAAGGGCGCCCATATCTTCCATTGTCTCTCGCAATCCCTAATCCCTTAAAGTCATCCGGGTCAGATATCCGTATGTCTTCGGCACTTAACATACCCTTGACAGAAGTAAGCCATGGCCCGATTGAATGGGCCAGTGCAGAGAGATTCGGCACAAATAGAGCCGGGAAGTCAGTACGACTGTCATCAACACGAGCAGGGAAAGCAGAGTGTAGCAGTTGGTATGTAGTATCGACAGCGTGCCCAATCAATTCTGATGGAAAACTGGAATGTCTCGACTTCAAAGTCACGGTCAGAGTCATGTCTTGATTCCAGTACAGCTTGAAAGGGGGCACAACGGGGAGGCGGATTGGCGTAAGTATCAATAGGGAGGGCACTCCAAACTCCATGGGTGAGAAGTTTACTTCCGTCTCGAATATAGCTGGAGACACCGGCGCTGTCCATAGTCTTCCAATATCTATCCAGGGATTTATACATGATTGACATTGGACAGTGCTTGGTCGACTGTCACCTGGTCTGGCTGTGTCTGACCGTCTCTCACAGTGTTTTGGCATCAGGTTATCGTTGACGAGACCGGCTTGGTAAAGTAGAAGATAGGCTTGAAAAGCTGCCTCTCGCTTGGCATTTTTTTCAGTCATCCATAATCTTTTACCGCTGATCTCTCGAAGACTGGGATCAAGAAATCCGGGGAGGACCACCGTCGCCTTTACCAAGCCATCATCTCCAAAGTAATTATTCATGATGAATTCAGGTCGATTATCCGCGTACGAGTAGGATACGGTAGAGCAAAAGTGCTCAAGATATGGACGCGCGTTGTCATAGTCCAAGCGTGCACTAACCAGATCAGCATATATAAGAGGATACTATGGGATATCTGCATGGTTTGGCATACCCCGTTGAAGGAACAGTGAATGCTTCATCGCCTTGTTCCTCGATCCTCTCCCTGTTTTGGATCTCCTCTATCCGATTCTTATTGTCGGAATATAGCTTCTTCATTGCTTCTCCCATCATTGCCCATCTCTTTTGTGCATTTCGATCATCTTTTTCCAGGAACATTATGAATTTAGAGCCACGCATCCGAGCTCGGCCTCGCCTCTGAACGAAACCTTTTAGGTCGCTTGGGCTATCATAACAAATAACGAGGTTGCACGCAGAGATGTCTATCCCTTCCTCGAGCACCGTGGTAGCGACAAGAGCGTTCTTCTTGCCTGTTCTGAGGTCATCGATGGCATTCTTCTGGTCTCGGATATGAAAGAATTCAGAAAGTTTGGATTTGCGAGAAGCATAACCGCTGTTCCCTACGAAATATCCAGGGACAATCTTGTCCATCAGAGGATGAACGGAGAGGAGATGCGTGAGCATCACAACTTGATTTCGTTCTTTGGCGAATATGATGACACGAAACCCGGGAGCGAATTCCCTGGCCAATGTTTGAACTAGAAGATTAGCTTTCTCTGAAAGTATATCAGGGACACTCAACCATTGCCTCGCCTCAGTAAGGTCTATTCGAGGCAACAAATTCGCAACATATCTCTTTTCATCACTCTCCCAGTCGACCAGAATGTGACTTCCAGGTCCATCAGGGACACCGGAATAGAATCTTTCGATGCATGCTCTTATGAACAAATCAGCTGCCCAAGGGCCAAGCTCATCATGAATGGCAATAGAACTGCGCAAGAAACGATTTAGTTCTTTCTGACAAGGTGTTTTTCGTGAAAGTAGTAGATCTGATAACTTATCAATGCTTTTCGGGTCGTCTGCATTTCGTAATCTTTGTATTTCAGGGTCGTTTTCAATGTTGTCGAAAGCCTCGGCGACTAGCTTCCCAAGACTTTGGAGCAGTTGCGAATAAAGTAACTGGTCTTTTCGATACGGGACTGTCACCAGTTCTGGTTGATGAACATATTGTAATAACTCTTCTCGGTGGATAGTCGGGCTTCTGACTACTGCATTTAAGTTCTTTTGAAGCTCCCTAGATATTGGCTTTCAGCAACCTCTTGAACAGTAAAAATGTATTCCACACTTCAAAGACAACGGACGTACGATTTCATGATTGGACTCGCAGTGAGTGCCATTATATTAGGAAGCTCGCAGGCATCTCCAGACTCCCTAAACGGATGATAGAACTTCTGCATGATATCGTTCATTGGGTGCGAAGAAGCACAATGGTGAGCTGACTCCTGTTAGTGGTATGCTGGCGACTATTCAGCTGTGGGGATGTACCCTCGTCAAATATGAGGAGAGCTATACGAGAAAACTGGACGAATCCTCTTGATCGTGCATCTAACAGAACCTGAGGGGTCGAAACAACGATGCGTATATTCAAGAGGATCGAATCCCAGATCGCTTGTGTGCTCCAGTGTTCAACACCGTCTGCTCCAGAAAGTAGCGTTGTTTGAAATGCAGGCAATTGATCGGATATGAATGCATGTTGCTGGGTAGCTAGAGCCACAGTAGGAGCAAGAAACCAGACCATCTGGGTCTCCTGTTAGTGATTTTCTGCTTCGGAGCAGAAACTCTAGTGTAGCTCTTACCTTGCCCTCAGGACATCGTTCGAGCTCTGCTTGTATCCGAAGGATAGCGCTAGAAGGTACAAGAGCGTAAGTCGATTAGGGTCGAAACCGGATGAGGACGGTGATCTTGCATACATCTGTGTCTTACCACTACCCGTCTCCATCTACGCACCTCGTTACGAACGGTTAGCTGGCTAGTTTACTATGCGTTTGAATGAAAGGAGTATCGTTACTTGCCGCGACAATTGTATTTTGACGGAGGGCCTCCGCTAGCATCTCCAGCTGATAAGCTCTTGACTTGCGCATTGTGGACTCCTTGTGAGCTAGCTGATGGTCTGAATCTGCTTCTGTTGATGGACCCATATCTGAGGTCTCTTGCATAAATGCTCGCAGCTGAATCGAGAGAGATTCATGTAGTATAATATGTATGAATATTGAAGTATTGTGATCAAATGGTTATTATCAAAACCTTTTTGTGGGCGTATGCTTCTTGCTGAGAGCTGGCGAAGCTTGCAAGTGGTAGTGGGGCATAACAAGTACGGCTGGATTTAAAGACGCTTCTCAACCCCGCGGGTGTTTATGGGTGCTGAGAATGAACACCGGTACCAGGTCACGAAGAACACGATGCCTATCTTCCAAAGAAAATTCACGTTAGGTTATCTTACTACGTTTAAGGTATTGACTGCTAGCGCTGATCCTCGCTCTTCAATTATAGTTGAGAGCCCACATCAAGGTGAGGCAAGAGGCATTCATTGTACATACGCGCATAAAAATCCGCTCAGTCTTACTAAAACCACTTCTGTCAAGAACTATGCATGAAACCGACTGCGGCAGGCGATACAGAGATCGTAAGTGACCTTCAGCATCATCGTATATAGTAGATTTATGTAGGACGCAAGATCATCTTTCATTTCGTTAATTGCGCCTCGCATGATTTCATGACTCTACCATATTACAAGGCTAGTGAACACCGATGCCGATACGTATCCATCATAGATTAGTCAGATAATCTTCAATCTCCTCTTTGCTCAGTTTCCTGAATCGGGGACCTCTTGCCCCATCAACACCCTCGTATCCCAGCAAATGATCAGCGGGAGGACCGACGATACCTATTTGCTTGTGAGTCTTGTACTCCTTTTCATGGAGGGCTGGTTCCTTACCAATCTCGATGGTCTCGCCATTCATTTCACCCTCGATGGTCTCCTTCAGGGTGAGAAGAGCAATGTGAATAGCATCTTCGAGCTCCAGTCCCTCAGTGTACCGCTTTTCCAGGAAAGTCTTCGCACTTGTGGCATGCTTTCCAATAGCGGTAGCCTTCCACGGGAAGTAGCTTCCACTCGGGTCAACTTGGTACAGACTAGGTCCACCTTTCAGGATTCCACCCGTCTTCCCCGAGACCTTTTTAACCTCACCCTCCGCCTCTATTTGCTTTTCCCCCGTCTCTGGCTCGATACCCTCATCCCAGCCTGCAATGAGTAAGCTGACACCGTAGGGCCGGACACCACCAGATTGCGTAGCTTCCTGGACAACACGAGCGACATCCTGGACCAGTATTCGGGTAGGAGGATATTCATTGTAGATCCGCTTGTAGCCAGTGTGGGACACCTTGCGTGCTTTGTCGACAAGCACACGGTAGTCAGGGCCCATCCCCGAGTAGACCACGCCAATGTCAGGTGTGATCAAGGAGACTTTAGAAAGAGAGGGTGGGTCAATCAGTGGCGAGGATGACTTCTTTTCTGTAGCAAGTACGACACCGTTTGTGGCTGGAAGGGCACAGTATCATTAGCTACTACTGCTGCCATCTAACAGGGAATGGACGGGACCAGCAATACCTTTGATGCCCAGAGCAGTTACACCCTGGTTGACAGCGTTCAGAGCATATTCTGTATTCATCAGTAAATATCCAATCACCAATTATGGACATATATTATAGCCGACTAACCGATCTGCACCAGCTTTCCGCTATAAGCTCTTAGTTAGCATGTAGGACCTCAAAGCTGCGCGGGCGGGAGCTCTAACCTGGGAGAGAAAGTTGTCAAGGAGAATGAGTAGCGGTCCGCCATGGGGATGACTTGAGTTCGACGCCCTTCAAAATAATTCTCACGGTGTCGATCGGAAAGCTGGGGGTAATCAGCGAGGGGAGAGGTGTTGAGGTGAAGCTGAAGCTCCGTCCGTCAGTGACAAGTACGGCAACAGGCGACAAGGCGTTGACGCGGTAGCCAGCAATGCCAAGCCGCGCCTGGGCACTGATGTTAGACGAGCGGCTAGCATCCCTTTCCGGTATGGTCATCGTGGAGCTTTCCTCCACCGCCACACAAGAATCGTGCTGCGGCTTCGATCCTTTTCTTTTCTTCGTCAAGAATCGCAGAGTTTCCTACGAATGCAGGGTTTTCTGCAGGCCGTGTCTCGGCTGCTATCTATGCAGCTAATGGTGCTAGCATGCGCAGTTCCTGAGAGACTATAGCTATCGTCTTCATTGTCTTGCTCTCATTATTGGAGATGGATTTCTCTGCACCAAAGCAGGAGCCTGAGCAGGAGCTTGCACGGGGATGGCCAGAAGGCGCATCTTCGACTTCGCAGCACGGTAACCCTGAGGGTGGCCCTGAAACTACCGATACAGCAGACAGATCTAGCGATCCTTCGCAGCCCGAACCTCAAAGTTACTATCTTCCTAGGACGTGTCGCATTTGCTTGGACTCCGTGCCTCCCACATTGCAACCTTCTTCTGAAAATCTTCCTGGTTTTCTCCAATCGAAACCGCGTGTGACGTACGTGTCACCTGATCCTGAATTAGGTCGATTGCTGCGACCTTGCAGGTGCAAGGGCTCCTCCAGATACGTCCATGAAGGCTGTCTACGTTCGTGGCGACATGCGGATCCCGCTTATGGGAAACGCACTTACTGGCAATGTCCCACTTGCGGGTTCCAGTATAGGCTGGAGCGCGTAACATGGGCTCGCTGGATCAGTAGTAATGCGACTCAGATCGGCTTGACACTGGCTATATTGATGTTCACTGTATTCTTGTTAGGTTTTATTGCTGACCCCATTATTAATCTTTACATTGAACCGCTGGAGAGGATTTATCCTGCAGATGTGGGAGAACCAGATTTTCTTGGAGAACTGCAGACAGAAGGAACGTCTTCCTGGTTCCAGCACTTCGCCAAAGGTTTAGCATCTCTAGGGTTTCTGTCCTTTATCAAAGTGTTCTTCGCAATGTCTCCTTGGCAATGGGGTGGACTACGCAGTCTCGGCTTAGTTAGCAGTGGTGGCAGGTCGACCGGACGGAATCGAGTCGCTTCCATCAGCTGGGCCGTAATTCTTATCGGTGTTTGCAGCTTCCTCTGGGTAAGTCTGCTCCTGGTTATGGTTGTACTGTCGCTGATGTCCAATAGGCCGTATTCAAAGGCGTTAGAGCCTGGTGTCGCCGTGCTCTGGAAAAGGCAGGCGAACGCGTTATGGACGTTCCATTGCCTGATGATGAAGATGAAGATGAAGCCCGTTCCTCCCCAAGCGAAGAACGCTCCAAAAAAGCCGAGTGATAGATGTACATGGATCTGGAATTCGCTTGCCTTTTTTTACGGCCGTCAGAAAAATGTGTCTAATCCTGACCGCACAACTTAAGTTGTCATACTCCTTTCAATGAGGTGCCAATTAGTCAATGTGCGAACATCTGCCTAAGTCCTCGTGACCCCCCGGCCTGCTGTTCCTGAGGCGGTACTTGGATTTGGACGTTTTGTTCTTATCCATTTCAGTCTGCTTTCGGACAAGGTCGGGGGAGGACCGGGCCGCATTCGAATCGGTGATGGTACGCTCAGCGACTCTCGCTACTCTTAGTGACGGGAGACGTGTCAGTAAGCGCATCTACGATTGGGGTGCGGTAAATACCTCCCCTATAGCATACCTTCTATAATGAACTTGATATCGATAATTAGCAATAAGTCTAAGCACCATCTCTTCTCTTTGTACAGTGTAGGCGCAACGTATAGGTCGTGATTATAAACCATTCCTCGATGTTTTCCGGCTGGATTTAGCAGACCATGCCAGTTCTTGAGAACTAGCATGAGCTCTGACTCCTTACCGTGGACGAAAAATGCCTATTCTCGATGTCTCTAGTCCGCATGCTTGAATGGTTAAAACAGGTTGTAGATACACTCCAGACAATTTGGGCATGTCTCCTCATCCTATTGTATCTAAGGCCATTTCCGCTGAAGAATATTTGTCTCCATCCTCCTGCTTTGGTCGTTTTCTCTGGAGATCTTTCAAGGAGAGATCTGTATGGGTCTACGCTTTTCACGGAACTGAATTCAGACAGGAGGCAATGCTTTGATGTGCGTGTGGATGGACGCTTTTTGAAAGTATCTTCATGTTGCTCGTAGCTAGTTATGCGTCAAAGTTTCTCAACTATCTATGTCACAGAACAAGCAGCTATGTTCTGTGAATATCGAAGGCTCATCTATTCTACGAGGACTGATTTTATCGAGCTTGTTAGAGGCCAGCATCATGATTCGAAACAAGTACTCAAAAGTCTCAATCTTTCCTCTAGAGATGTCACGCTGTTCCGCTGGGGCTTCTTCCGTAAAGAGGGGCCTCGTCTTATATGGCAAATTTGGAGTATTCCGCAGCGCTGACTGAAGCGGCCAAATCTAGGGCTTGGAACAGAGGGAGGGGAAGTAATGTTAGTTTTCACTTGCTCCTAGTCTTCTAGGAGGTATAGACCCAAGGCTTTCTTTTATCAGCTCGTCGTAGTTGATTGTCCTGCTTTCAATATCTTCTGCTGCCAGCGTAGATGGAATACCAAATTATATCCTTTAATGTCATAGGAACTTAGACTTATAATTCTCTTGAAAGAAATGAGGAATATACCCAATACTGTAGGAATTGGGTTCATAAGAAAACATGATTCACGGCCAGATGGACATAGTTACTTATATGTGCAGCGGACTCCCGACATTACATGCGAGCAAAGTGAAAGTCTTCTAGGACCTTCGTGCCCAAGAACACATCAAGACATCTCAAGAAGGAACTCTCACTTATTCACTTACTTAACTCTTCGTATGACTGTCCTCTTCACTCGTGAACTGATAATCACGACCAACACCCTGGGCTCCTTTACATGCGCGATCTCTTCGTGAAACCGTGCATGCAGTGGTAATAGCCGTCAATTTTCGTGCTCCTGATAACGCGTCTTTTCTCATCTATACTCATATCGTGTTATTTTGAAGCTGAGAATATCCTGTGTTCTTTCAGGCAAAATGGAAGAAGCTGAAAAGGACATTTCTGAGCATACACTCAAACCAGATGACGCATCTGACCGCACTGTTGTTCTGAACGAGAATGAAGGGAATGAAGGCAAAGAGCTCAACTATACTTTGCTTGATGCGATCGATAAATCTTCAAGCGCCAGCGACCGTGGCTATTCGAATTCAGACAAAGATGAAGACTCTGAGCCCTTCCCTGACTATGATGAGTCTTGTGGCCAGTACGACCGCGGGGATATTGAAATGCTGCTGAATATAAAAGAACAAGAAGAAGCCTACAATAGAGCCATTTCAAAGGTCGTCGAAGAGGTGATTCGTTTCCGTGAAATCGATGCTCGGATCGCAACCCTATCGTCCTCCATGTACGATGCCACTCGTGCTTCTAACGAAGCGCAAGGATACCCATTCGCAGTCAGACATTGGGGTTCCCAGTCCACTGAGGCAATTGATACCACTGCAGCAGAGACTGTAGAGAACAATGATGAGACACGAGGAATAGTCGACGAAATCAGAGTATCACTCGCCAATCCGGACCTCAAGGAAAGCACCAGGGAGTACTTCATCGCCATGACAGACATGGTTCTTCACATGAATATGCTTCTGTTTCCGACGCCTGCGATTCCGGTCTATCCCACAGAGCACCTGACCGATTTGATACTTGTCAGAGCAACTAATATTGCTTTGCATCTGACCGAATACCTTCTGGTAATGAAAAAGCAACTCAAGGGACATATCGACAACGCCAAAAAGGTCGACCGTACCCTTTCTAGAGACATGAGAGATCGCAGCATTCAAACTCATGTGGCCTTTCGCCATGTTCTTCATGTCGTGAAAAAGTAAGCTTAAAAATAAATCCCCTTGCCTAGCTTCATTGCCACGTACAGCCGATATTGTCCTGAAGAGCGTACTGACATCAGCCAACAAGATACTTGAATCCTCCTGATCCGTTGGAGAAAAGGCTGCTTTCGCTTTTCTTCGAGCTTTATGATACCTATGTCTATTCCGCCTTTCTTAACATGCGGCCTTTACTTCAGACAGAAGTCGAGCTTGCCGATGAAAAGAGGGAACTATCTCGAGTTCTCGTTTCACTGTGGGACGTCATAAACCAGGATATCGAAAAATACGACGAGTATGACAACAGAGCGAAGGCGATAAAATGCCGCTACATCGACGCGCTCGGGGCAAAGCTGAAGAACGAGTCTCCAGAGGCGTGGCAGAAATTTTGGGAAAGCCAGCGCAAGTCAACATCCAGAGAGGGACTTCAGGAGCCAGCCCCAGGAGCCGGAATTGAGCTCGGAGGTAGCGAGCCTTTTGTCATTCCCGGAGGATTTATCTAAATGAGCTTGTCAGCCGTCTCTTGTGGTGTTCAAGGACCCGGCCGGTATTTTCATACGAGCAAGGAGCCCACCTGCTGCATATGGTCAGGAATGGTGATTAATTTTTGCTGGACATAGGTTCTCTGTACTGTTGTACACATCGCTTGTAAATTGTGAATTCAAGTGAAGAGAGACCGAAAGCTCCGCAAATACGTCCCCCAGTGTTCATGCTCATTCACAGAACTGCAGACCAGACTTTCCGCAAGACATGAACTGAACAATCAGCGTGTAATATCCGCTTTCCCACATGGTATAATAATGCCTATCACTTTGTCTTTCAGGATTCATCCTCCAATTCAAGCTCTGTTACATCAACCTCTATCATTATCTCAGGAAATAATCAAACTTTTATCCTTTTATTTCTACTTCATCTTTTACTGTAATTGCGGCTTTAAATTGAGCTCCCACTATACAGCGCATATTTCTGCTTCAATCTTCCAGGCTAAAGCTCTTGACCTTCTAGATACCCACTTTCGAGTATCTCGCGCGCTATGAGGCGAACATTTGAATCTAGTTTTATGACTTCGACTAAGAAAGGAATGTTACACATACGATACATCGGACGGACACTTGAAGATTACGGACAGCTTAATTATACTATACTGCGAGTCGGGGAAATATTCTAACTTCAAAAGCCACCATTGCCTGGGGTTCGGTTTTCATTTCTCGCATGGGGAATCAATCACTTCTATCAAGTGGTTACAGATGAGCTCTCCTCGTTTTTAGCGTCTGGCACGTAACTACAGTCTAGGCTTTACACTGCTGAATAATATACAACGAAGGTGTTTGACATTGAATTGCATTGCATAATACGTATTTCTTCTGCGGTAAAACTAGCTACGCTGACACGTGATATCTATTCATGCTACATAGCATTTGCATCAGGTATCTGCAGACAACCTGAATCGCCTACTTACCATAGTATCAGTTACAGCCCTGTTATATGCAACATCTGCCGCATTCTGGAGTACCTATAGAAAATCTTGTTCCGTCAGCTTTGATCAAAGCATCGCAATATAATGATTGGACAAAGTGACATGGCAGTGCCAGATAAGGGGAAAAGGAATTGCTCTCAGACAGCAGTTGGAACGATTGACTATCCGCACGTTTTATAAACTAGGAACAGGTCTGTGTGAAATCTTGCTTCATCATTGGAATAGCAGTGGGTATCGTCGAGGAAATCAAATAAGAGAAAGGAGAGTAAGAAGTTGGGATATGGCTTACCTGTAACAAGATGTGGAGCAGTGAGAGTGGTCAGCTACGATAAACCAACTCAAGGACTGTCAGTGGTACGGAAAAAGCCGTCCAGAGTCCGCTGTCGCTGGTCGTGGGTAGCGCTGCCAATACCACCACCGGTGCGGCGCAGGTCAAGAAGATGAGATCTGCTGTTCACACTTAGAATAACCATCTGCCAACGAGAGAACGTAGCCATAGGCGGAGCTGGTTGTGACAAGGTGCCACTAGCTGTGATGAGGGGCTTTGGTCGCATATCCAGCTCCATGAAGCCAGTATTTGACCAAACCGGCGTCAACGGAGAGCCTGGTGGAATCCCGCTAGTGTCGACGTCAGGGCTGATGAAGATATCAGCCGGATCGAATAGATCAGCAATGCACTTCCAAAGCACACGAAGAATAATCCCGTGAGCAACGACTGCGACAACTTCCTCCTCCGGAGAATTTCCCAACAACAATGGCAAGATATAGTCACGCAGGAAGGAAGTAGCCCGCGCTCTCATGGAGTCTTCCGATTCCTCTTCCATGTAAGACGGGCCCGTTACCGGTTCCGCTTTACTGGGAGTATTCCGGGATGTCGAAGCACGCGGCTTCCATCTCGTGCCTTCCAGTGATCCAAAGTGTTGCTCCTGCAAGAGAGGTGTCTGCATTGGCGCCAGTGAACGATTCCCAAGCTGCTGCTGACAGAGCCCCGTCGCGGTCAATCTTGCTCGCTGTAAGTCCGAAGAGAAAACTCGTGTGAACTGCACTGGTCGATCCCGGAAGTACTGAGCTAGCCGCTGAATCTGGATGACTCCATGGTTTGTCAGACCTGAGTCTGTTGCACCAGCACTGCAGACAAACAGCCCGCGTCAGCTGCGGCCAACCGAGATCCGCGGAGACTGTACCATGCTTGCTTCACATTATGCTCAGTCTCAGCGTGGCGGATGAGAAAGAGCTTCATCTTGAAGGTTCCTTTGGTCTGTATCCAACACCATAGCTCGCAGCTATTCCATGCAATGCGGAAAACTGAGAGTCATGTGTGGGGAGAAAAATGAAGAAAAAAATTGAGAATTGGCGAGACTTTATAGGTATGGGGCGGGGGATTCGCTAGTTAGCGGCAGACGAAGGCCGGCCAGTGAACCAACCATGACGGCAGGATTCCGCCAAAAGATCGAAAATCTTCTAGCTGGGGGGTCGATTATTCGGAAGTTCCAGATCACATTCTTTTGTTCGCATTTTGCTTGATTCCGGTCTCTGGCTGGGGTCTACAAAAAGGATCTACCGTACTGGGTTTCGATCTTTCTTCCTTGTTCAAACAAAGCACCAAATAGGTCCATTATTTGTCGCGTGCTTCACTATCAATTCTAAGAACATGGAGGCAAAAATGGCAGCTGTCCCAGAGAGCACCGGAATCCCTCCCCAGAGTGCGTATCACTTGCACTCAGTCAATTACATTCAGCGCTTTGCAGCCGCTAACGATTTACTTAATAGCTCCCAGATCGCCGTTCCAGACTGGGGTCAGAACGTCAGGCCGTGCTTTCAACTCCCCCAACTGGCGTATGAAATCGGAGGAGAGCCCCGGTGCTCAGAGCCCTAGATCTCCTAGCCACCAGACGAACAGCTCGCGATCGCCATTCAGCAGATCTACCACGAATGTCCCGCAGTCCATCTCTGAGGGAAGGCGTCTGTATGTCGGTAACATGCCATATTCGGCCAAGGCGGAGGATGTGGAAACCCTCTTCCCGAGAGATGAATACCAAATGTGTGATGATCTCTTCTGATAGAATATACTCTCAACTGACTGTGTGAACAGCGAACGCATTGATATCTCCATCGACCCTTTCACCGGCCGTAACCCCTCTTACTGCTTCGTCGAGTTGGCGACCAAGGAACAAGCTGATCGCGCGATGACTGAATTGGCCGGAAAGGACCTCCTTGGTCGTCCCGTTAAGATCAGGCCAGGAGTTGCCAAGTCGTCCAACGACCGCTCGCTGCCTAGGGGTGAGAGTTCTCCAAGGACCGAAAAGACTGCAGCTCCATTTGCTTTCGACCGCTGGCAGAGGAATGATGCTTCAAGTCACTTCAAGGGCTACAGTGAGCAGGGCCGTCGTCTGTATGTCGGAGGACTGCCCAGACCGGTAAACCAGCCATCAGTGGACGCTGAAATCCGCAAATTCTTCGACGGATTCAACGTGTATGTCTCCCTGTCCTTCTTCTGATCTTTCGAATTGAGCAATATTCTTACTCTCAACAGCGAAGCTATCAGCAAGGTCATTTCACCTCATTTGTCTAAGCGATTCGAGCCTGGCGACCACTACTACCTCTTCGTTGATCTTGGCAGCACCGAAGAAGCCCTGGCCGCTATGAATACCCTGGATGGACGCGACGGCCCCTGGGGCGGCAAGCTCAAGGTTAGAAGGGCCAAAGGCGAGTCCGTCAAGGTTGATGAGAGGAGCAAGTTGACTGCTTCTCACGGGACCCAGCTCCCTTCTGCCGCTGGTGAAGCTGCTGCGGCTGCCTGAGAGTAGTATTTCACTGTCGAGTACAGAGCCTATCATCACTGATATTCATGTACGGGACTAAAACTGCGACTATCATCGATACCCAGCCCAGCCCTGCCGCCATTGAAACCACTTCGGGCGGCCACTACCAACGAATTAAACATTCAAGGAGCGTGCTGGCGATATCATGACTAAAATCCCAAGTATGTTGGGAATTCATCCCGTCTTGGTCTCGCTACTCAGGCTATGAGCTTTAGCGGAGCCCCAGGAGGGCCGGCAGGAATGGCAAAGAGGAAACAAGAACACAAAATTTGATATCATCACTGACATAGCCAAGATAAAAGCGAGCGCTTCATGTGCATAATACCCTGTGTCTATATGAGACGACACAAAATGCTGGGCCTGCTTCATACCTTTGTTGAGGCACAACAAAAAAAAGTCATAGAAGAATAGCATATCGTAATCCATTCTGATCGACCACCGATATAGTCTCCATCGCAATATTTGTCCCAACCTTTACTTAAGCCAAATTGCGTGAAATCTCCTAGAATATGAAGCTAAAACATGCAGCCTTTTTTTTCGGTCTCAAGAATCTAGATTTTCTTAGTTTCCTCTCGGGAAATAACGGGAGAGAAGATCTGTAGTATAGAGTGGGCCTGCCTAAAAATGGATCGCAACGCCGCCTGGAAGTCTAGGTGGGGACTGAGATACTATTAGCATTAATAATAATGCACCAGGGTGACTGTAAGGAATAAGAATTCATAATAGAAATCAAATGATGGAGAGTATGTGACATATTATAAAGGAGTTTGCTGTTAATTGAGAGGCAAAACCTGATGCTGTAGTAGGTTATAACAGGAAGTGGTTTTACTCTATTATTTTCACAAGTGGGAAGATTGCAAGAAAACTTCCATTAATTGCATTTTCTGAGGTATTGCTGTCTCATTTTAGACGTTTCGCTTCTGTCTTTCTAGTAAACTAAGCCCGGTGAGCTCTAAGGGAAAGCCCCAGTTGCCACCATAACGACTGAGAATGATACCGGACTTCGCAAACTTAACCTTAGTAGGCTTGCTAGAAAACAGCCTGGACTTTGGAGATAACATAGTTTATGCAGCATTGGCAAATATTTAGACCTAGATGACTCGACCAATGACGCATACTGTACGGATACCATGGTTTGCTTGCCAACTGCTGCTCTCAGCCCTGTCGAATCCTGCCGGACAAACTGGCGAACCTAAGCTTTGGACATGCAGGTATCCTGCCTGTATGTACCTCTATGCTTGCACTCTAGATATGTTTGCTTGGCCCTCGTGTCCAGAACTATATTGCTTGGTGTGGCTGTATAGGAGGGGGTATGATAACAAGTTGATTGCCACAGTTGTGCTTTTCCGCGTAGGGACGGAACTTTAAAAGCTCTAGAGAATGCTGACCAGAAGAAGAAATCATTGAGTTATCCTTGCACTTGTCAGATTGTATCGTGCATTATTACTATCATTATCCAACTCAAGTTGGTATCTTTGCTGTTGCCGCTGCCCAGCACATAAAGCAGGGCAAAAAAGACCCCCGCGGCGGTGACGTTGACCGCATACTTAGGCGAATTGATATCAACGGGCCCGACTACTTCTGAGAAAAGCTCCGTATCTTTCCTGCTAAATAATTAACTAATACTCAACAACAACCCTGTACTCCTACATCGGTCCGATCTCAACTTTTCGGAGTTATCGCAGCACTCCGAGACTTAGCTAAAGCTTGTCCGGTTTCTGATTCTTCCCGACCTGTCATCGGTCGGTTGAGGTTGTTTTGCGTGGTCGTCAATTTTGACTGTACAGGTACTTCGCTATCGACCAGACCGTCATCATGTCTTCCGGTGAATCAGGTCGCAGAGAGACCACGAACAAGATCTTCTTCGCAAGTGTGAGTACTGGTTCTGTATCTCTGCTGTGTTTGCTTCCTGTGTACATCGTTATCCATTATCATTGTCGTTCTCTCTTCCGCACTCTTGTAATGTTGTGGGCACTGTATTTCTGAGACACAACTGAAAGCTCCATGTCTGCTCTGCTCTGCTCTTTTTCTTTGATCAACCGTTTACGACATGTTATGTTATTTTTACTATTTCCCTCCCACATGATCGCATCGTGGCCTATTTAAGAGATGCTACAGCTGAGTCTGCCCACGACGGACTGGCCCTCTCCGGCTGCTGTGTCAGCCGGCTTCGTTTTCTCGGTGAGCGACTATCTATCGGATCTCCCACTTGAGATGCTGGACGAGAACGGGAATGGTCTGATGGTGAACCGAGACCAGCCCGGTGGAACTACAATGACTGGCGCGGGCGGACGGACGGGATGATGGATACCTGTCCGCCCCTCTTTGCGCAACAACTTGGACTTCCCCGGGAGCGCAGTGCACGATGTTGAGCGCCGGTGTCGCGACCGACGCAGAATGAGATGCACGCTATCGCCCAACGTTCTATCTATCTATCTATCCTCCCTGAAGGGCGGTGTGGTGCTGGCTGCTTTCCGTTGGCATCCCCGGCCGAGATTTCTCCATGGCGGCAGAATCGTCCCCGATGCTATCGATATCTTCTCAATTAGTGGCAGTCTGGAACAGGCCGGTTATAGTCGACAGCCTGCAGGTACATCCTCTATGCTTCATCTCGTATAGTCCTCCAGGCACCCCCCGCAGCCTGCTCGATCAGTCCGGGTAAAGCAACAAGCGACCTCGGGATTTCTCGCCAAGTCGTCTCGTCTCGGGATCACCTCCCAGAGCTTGGAGGCAATTGCGGGGCAACAGCGGGGAGATCAAGTGGCCACCGCAAGCTCCGATTAATTCTCTCGAGCCTCACAAGGGGAGAGCTTTGTGTTTTGTGTCACTTGACTGCCTGTCGGTCTCGAGATCCTGCCGTCCTTCAAAAACAGTCTGCGACCCCTACTTGAGGATCAAATTGCTCCAGCCAGCGGTTGTCCGGATGTTCCGTTGCCTTTAGAAAGCCGTTCTGTTTTAATCTCAGCTGGTTCGACGCAAACACGCTGCGGGAACCGCTTGATAGATACGAAGTCGTCCGGTGGTCAAGTGGCTGCCGCCGTCAGATCCAGCAGCTCTATCAGACGGGCAAACCTACATTCTAAGTTGCAGTTGGTTTCCAACTCAGGCCACGATGCGATACGCTATACCAGTAATGATCCTCCGCTACATGTCCTTTTCTGCGTTACATTTTTCCCGATAACACTGTTATACCCAAATTGAAGAGTCGTTGTGTCTCCACCTGTTTCTTTTCCCATTCCTATTGGCAGTTTGCATTGATACTAGTTCACGTTTGATTCCTACTGAATCTATGGCTTCCATTTTCATCATCAAACTAACAGCATCTTTGTTCAGTCCGATGACACCAAAATATGTGTTGTCATGGTTGGGCTCCCAGCCAGGGGCAAGAGTCTCATTGCTGGCAAAGGTATAGATTTCTTCGACTCTCCCTTCCCCGACATTGATGCTAACGAGACATATCATAGCATTACGGTATCTGGCCTGGGTGGGCATTCCTGCGCGGATTTTCAATGTAGGAAACTATCGTCGACAGGGCAACCCTCACCCGCAAGCAAATTTCTTCGACCCCTCAAATGCGGAGGGAGAACGGATGAGACGAGCGGCTGCAGAGGCGGCAGTCTCTGACATGCTGCGATGGTTCAAGCAATCGAAAGGCACTGTCGCAATCCTGGATGCCACAAACTCTACCAAAGCTAGAAGACGATGGATTCACGAGTCATGTGCAGCAGCAGGAATCGAGACATTATTCGTCGAGTCTTGCTGCGACGATGAAGATATCATCATGAACAACATTCTCGAAGTCAAGACGACGTCGCCCGATTACGTGGGCCAGGATCCCGAGGCGGCCGCTCTAGATTTTCGCAACCGGATTCGTAATTACGAGAAAGCTTATGAGACCATCGATGAGGCGGAGAAGCACTATACCTATGTTAAACTCATCAATGTTGGCTCCACTGTTATCATCAATCATATCAAGGACTATCTATCCAGCCGGCTAGTGTATTACATCCAGAATCTCCATATCAGACCTCGCTCGATATGGCTCTCTCGGGTAAGTGATTAGTTATTGTCGCTGCAACTGTGCACTAGCTAACAATGGGTAGCATGGCGAATCTGAGTACAATTTGGAGGGGAAAATCGGCGGCGATGCGAGCATTTCCGAGCGTGGAGAGGCCTACGCGCGTGCACTACCCGAGCTATTACGAAAATCCGGCGTTCCCCCAGGCGCCAAGTTGACAGTTTGGACTTCTACACTTAAGCGCACTATCCAGACCGCCCGCCATCTGATTGCCGAAACGGGATATGACAAGCTTGAATGGAAGGCTCTGGATGAGCTTGACTCCGGTGTTTGTGACGGCCTGACCTACGAGCAGATTGCTGAAAAGTATCCCGAGGACTTCGCTGCCAGGGATGAAGACAAGTATAACTATCGTTACCGTGGCGGCGAATCCTACCGTGATGTTGTCATCCGCCTCGAACCTATCATCATGGAGCTGGAACGGAGCGAGAATGTCATGATCGTGACTCACCAGGCTGTTTTGCGCTGCATCTATGCCTACTTCCTCAACACTTCCCAGGAACAGAGTCCCTGGATGGAAGTGCCACTCCACACCTTGATTAAACTGACTCCTCGTGCCTATGGCACAGAAGAGCAGCGCTTCAAGGCAGATATCCCCGCGGTGTCTACGTGGCGTGGAAAGGGCACATCCGCAAAGCATCAAGAGGTCCCCGAGGAGATGAAGCATAAATAAAAGCTTATCCTCGGTCATTGTTTTACGACTGTTAGCACGAGTTCTGCGGCCACCTTATCACAGTTAGCACATTGTTTTCGGGCATTATTCTAGTGTTGCGGCTTCTACGGAAAAAGGGCTTCTCCAGGGTTTGGTAGAGTGGGTGCGCATCGGTAGATCTGGGTCTGCATTTGAAAAGATACAGCAGCCTGTATGGTTCGGAGCTTCTATTGATACCATTTGTTAATTGCAACAATGAGCTGGAGGTAGCGCGATAGAGCACATAGGGGCGTTGGCATAGACACATGTATGTACATATCCACTTGCATGGCATTGATTCAAAAATGCCCCGTTTCTCTCTGAATAAATTAAGCTTCTCAACCATTCTGGGCTCTGTAATACCGTTAAGATATGGGATATCATCAGTCAACTGCAGTAAAATAACCACAACAGCTAAGCTACCTAGTCGTAGTAGCACTTCCACAATGTTAGTTAACTGAGCTACTGATAGATGACTAAGGATTTATCTAATCACGGGTCATCCATCGCCCGGCGCATCGCCCCGGAGCGCGGACCTATGAGCTGTACGAAGGCCGCCGAACAACAACAGCATGACTAGCTGTGCATCTAGAGCTCCGAGTCTCTCACGGACATGATCGCAGCTCGCCTATATCGAAGCGAAGAGGCGGGAAAAAAACCAGGAGCTCAGGGCCCCATCCCGTTCATTACGCGATGTTGACAGCCTTCACGGCCCGACCGCTCGTCGAGCTCAAACCGCGGGACAAGTCCAAGATCGAATCGGTGCTTGCAAACGGCGATCGCTTGCTGGTTGGGCTGAACAATGGGGTTTTGCGGATTTATCGAGTCAATGAGCTGGTCGAGGAGAACGCACAACAGCAGGACGAGGAAGGGAACGGGCACGCGATAGAGAATGGGGTTCATAAGAACGGGAGTAATGGCCATGATCGTCCGGGGTCGGCATCACCTACTCAACAAGCAGCAGCAGCAAAGGTCAAATCTACGGATCTTCTACGTGAGGTGGAGAAGTTTGCGAGGTACAAGATTGAGCAGTTGGGTCTGATTAAAGAAGCGGATCTGCTTATCTCTTTATCCGGGGGATATGTCTCCATTCACGATCTGCAGACATACCAACTTCATGAACAATTGACCAGGACGAAAGGCGCGTCTACTTTTGCAGTGACGAGAAATATCATTGAGGATCCGGAGACGGGCGTTCCTTCGATTGTCTCCCGTCTTGCTGTTGCTGTCAAAAGGAAGATACTCCTCTGGACATGGCGCAATTCGGAACTTGATAGCGACACGGCAGAGATCACCTTGGTCAGCGGGGTTAAGACAATCACATGGGCGTCTGCGACGAAGCTGATCGCCGGCTTAAGTTCGAACTATGTTATGGTTGATATCGAGAGCATGGAGATTACGGATCTGGTCGGTCCTGGGAGTATTGGCGGAGGCCCAGGGCAGGAGACCAGCAGACTAGGCGGTGTTGGAGTCGTGAGCATGAGCTATATTGGTATGGGAGGAATGGTACCGAAGCCGCTTGCGACGCGTCTCAGAGAAGGACAAGTTCTGCTGGCTAAGGATGTCAATACCCACTTTATCGATATTGATGGGAACTCCTTGGGAAGAAAGCAGATTCCTTGGAATCACGCGCCGGAGTCAATCGGATACTCTTATCCGTACGTCCTTGCACTACAAGAGCCTTCGAAAGGGACAGTGGAAGTGAGAAACCCGGAGACATTATCACTTCTCCAGTCAATATCCTTACCGTCAGCCAATCTCATGTACATACCCGCGCCGGACACCAGTCTCGCCCACGCAGGAAAGGGTTTTCTAGTTGCCAGTGATCGCGTCATCTGGCGAATGGAAGCCTTGAGCTATGACTCTCAGATCGACTCTTTGGTTGAAAATGGCCAATTCGACGAGGCAATTAGTCTCATCAGTATGCTTGAAGATGCACTCCTCAAGGATAAAGCGAATCGATTGCGTGAGGTCAAACTTCAAAAGGCTCAGGAGCTATTCAATGCTCGCAAGTACCGAGATTCGCTAGATCTCTTCGCCGAAGTCTCTGCTCCTCCAGAGATTGTCATTCGGTTGTACCCTCGGATAATTGCCGGCGACATGAGCTCAGTTGTCGAAGAGTCGGATGAGTCTGAAGCTAGCCCCATCGAACCTCAGCAGAAAACAAATGGTAACCAGGCACATACAGAAACGGTGGGCGCTGAAGATACTGGCGGGGCCAAAAATGCCGCGTATGCTCCTTCAGTGAGGTCGTTTCTTCGATCGAGGGGAGACGACGGTCCTGGTAGCGAGGTCGGAAGTATTCGTGGAAAGCCATTGGATACCGGTGTCGACAAGCGTCTTGGTAAGTGACAACTCGAATATGTATTTTCTTTTTCTCTTTCCTAACATCCTCTAGAAGGGAAGGATCTCAAGGCTGCCGTTCGTGAGCTACAGGGTTTCTTGGCTGATATTCGCCGGAGATTCCAACGATTCCTAAACCCAGATGGCTCCCTTAGGGTGTCGCAAGTAGAGATTAGCGAATCCAATGATGAATTCACGGAATCAGTCAGGAAGCTACTTGGAATTCCCAAGGACGATGGAGACCATGAATTTGCAGACAGGCTGCGGGAAGCTGCTAAACTGGTCGACACGACTCTTTTCCGTGCTCACATGTATGCGACTCCTTCACTCGCAGGTTCCCTCTTTCGAATCGCCAATTTCTGCGACCCAGACGTGGTTATGGAGAAACTGGAGGAGAGCGAACGCTACAACGAACTCATCGATTTCCTGTACGGGAAAAAGATGCATCGTCCAGCTCTTGAGCTCCTTCGGAAGTTTGGCCAAGCTGAGACTGAAGAAGAAAATGCACCGCAGCTCCACGGACCGAGGAGGACGGTTGCATATCTACAAAATCTACCGCCAGATATGATCGACCTTATTCTCGAATTTGCCGAATGGCCCCTGCGGGCCGATCCTGACTTGGGCATGGAAATCTTCCTGGCCGACACTGAGAATGCAGAGACATTACCACGACAACGTGTTCTTGAGTTCCTGGAGAAAGTCGATTCCGACCTTGCCGTTCGTTACCTAGAGCATGTTATCGGAGAGCTGAACGATGAGACACCAGAGCTACATCAGAGGCTGCTTACCCTCTATCTGGAGCGTCTTCAGAAGCATAAATCCGGCGAACGGAAATTTGCGGAAGAAGATGAATACGATGAGACGAAGAATAAGTTTTTGGACTTACTCAAATCGAGCGCGCAGTACTCTCCTGCTAAGATGCTTGATCGTCTTCCCCGCGATGGTGAGTGTAGGAACAGTGGACCGGAGGATCGACCATGGCTAATGCAACCTTAGACCCCGAGTTTTTCGAAGCGAGAGCGATCCTCTTTAGCAAGATGGGCCAACACAAGCAAGCTTTGGAGATCTATGTATTCAAGATCGGGGATCACGCGAAAGCTGAGGAGTAGGTACCCCTCTTAAAATCTACTGGAGCTATTTGGACTAACATATGCGAAAGGTATTGCAATCATATACATATGTCAGAAGATAACCAGCCCCCGGAGGGTGCGCCGTCTGGACGTATAGCACCCACAGACGAGGGAAGCGACAAACAATCTATCTATCTGACCTTGCTCTCGCTATACCTCTCTCCTCCGCATGCGTACAAACCGCAATATGGTCCTGCTCTGGAGATTCTGGCCAAACACGGATCTCGATTACCGGCCAATTCCACCCTTAACCTGATCCCGGAGACACTGCCCGTCCGAGACCTCGAATTCTACTTCAGGGGCCGTATGCGGGCGGCAAATACCATCATGAACGAAGCGAGGATTGTCGCTGGCCTTCAGAAAGTGCAGAATATCTCCACGCAAGCACAGCTGCTGCTGGGTGAAGGAGGGCGCGATCCCAGAGCGACTCGAAGTCGACATGTCACAGTTACCGAAGAGAGAGTTTGCGTCGTATGCCATAAACGATTAGGAGGAAGTGTCATCAACGTTTTTCCAGAGTAAGTCTCTTCCCTTGTCTCCCGTCTGCCGTCGCGCAAGGATACCATTCTAACGATACTGCCACTCCCAGCAACACTGTCGTCCATCTGGGTTGCGCCAGTAGGATCAATACCACCGCGTAAATACCACTTTTGTTCTTTGCATTGTATGTACTTTAGCGGCGTCGAGAGGTCGAGATGTTTTGTTCCGGGTCGTTTCGTGGATTTCCCCAGCATGCGATGGTGGTCTGCTTCCTGCATGAATAGATACCCCAGATAGCGATGACATAGTGAAATCGAACTGGTCCATCAAGCCGGCCAATTCCTGCGAATCTGTGGCCATGGCTATGAGCTCCTAGATTCCCATTGCAGCTGAATACCGTAGAACACGACCACAAACGTGCAAGCAAAAGGTGCGACGGCAGACGTCTATTCGTCCTCAACGACCTCTTCTCCATAGTTCTCTTCCTCCTTGGCCTCCTTTTCCGATTCTTTCTTGCCCTGCGCTTCCGCAGCTTTCTTGTCTTCCTCCATTCGCTCCGTCAAGAAAACATTGATCTCTCCCTGCAGCTTGGTCACAAGGCCTTTAAGTTCCGATAGATATTCCGTTTTGGTCTTGACATTCTCCTCTGGCGCAGCTGAGACGTTGAGTGTCGAGGAGAGGTGATGCTGGAATGTATGGGAAGTGGGTGGATGCGGGGAACTGTACTGGGCTTGCAGAACAGCAGTGCCGGTGGAAGAGGCAGCAGGGGACATGGTGAAGATAGATAGCCACCAGGAGATATCAATAGAATGATCACCAAAGAGATGTTTATTTAATATTCCAGGACCTCCTTGCGGCGCTGGGTGCGGGATGCGATGTGAAATATCAGTTTTTCTTCCCACGGCGGGACAAAAAGTTGAAGCCACTGAGCCAGTTCGGCCGGCGGGGCGCCCAGTGCGGTTTCACTTCTTTGACGTCGGCGGAAGCAGATCGCCAGGAACATCAGCTCAGATTATGTGTCTCCCCTCCCAAGCGCAGGCTCAGCTTCAATCAACCGGTTGGATGAGAAAAGTGCCTGGCAACATGCCGATGTCTGCCAGGTAGCTGCTGCGCTGTGTGCGTTCTCCACGCTGATTGCTTATGTTCCACCAGCCTTCACGATGAACACGCCCTCTGTCCGCGGCACGGAGCTGCGCTCTTCGGTGGCCACCCGGTCGTCATCTGAAACGACAAGGACAAAGAGGGCTTCTGCTGAGCTTGCTGAGCGTCCAGGTTCCTCTGGAAGTGATGTCTCGTCTGGTTCATCGAATGTGACCACGCTCTCTCGTCCTCAAGGCTCGATATACGACCCCAATGCACAGCCAGGGATAGCTCCGCATCCGCCCCGAACCTCCTCAGTGAGTAACAGCAATAACACGAGCACTGTTACTCTGCCGACATTCACTCGTCCTTCTGCCGCCTACATGCCACAGAATGATCCTCAATCGCGCAAGTCCCCACGGGCTCCTCCCCCCGAACTGCAGAGACACCGTCCGCGACAACATTCCCAAGGCTTCTTCGAACCCTCCCTGCCCACTGCCACCCTATCCGATAATACAGTCATGGCGAACCTTTCAGCGTCGCAGATCGCAGCACAGGCTGCTATGCAGCACCAAGCCTCGAATCAGCACTTACGGAAACGTTCACAGACAATCCCGAACCTCCAGGAAGAAGGCCAGAAGGCTAAGAAGGGCAGCAGAGAGTCCCCGCCTCCTCCGCTGCTGGCTCCGCAAAGTGCGACAGGAGGAGGCTTCTCAGAACAATCTTATCAGAATGGATTGGTAGGGGGTCGTGTCTTAGCAGCTACGACAGCAGCAAATGCTGCCTTTCCCAGGAGTCCAGGCCTGGCACCGTCGGCGCCGCCGCTGGAACAGCCTCCCGAACGCGAACATAAGCACAAAGGGGAGAAGTCGAAGATGAAATTATTCTCCAAGCCGAAACACATCGCCTTGTCTCGAGATAAGGAAGGATCAGGGAAGGACAAGGCTCTTCCATCCCCGAATAAGATGGGCTTCGCAGGGCCCAGTGGGCTCTCTCGTATGGTGAATGCCTCAACAACCAGCTTGGCAGATACACTTCCTTCGGGCAACTCGTCTATGTATAACTTGTCCAACACCTCGCAGAGCACCGTTGTCCCAGCTGATCGACAACCAAGCGAGAAGGACAAAGAGAAAGAAAAGCACAAACACCATTTCTTATCACGGCAGAAGCTCAAACTCAAAGACAAAGATGATCACTATCATCTGCCTTTATCATCTGCATCGAGCAATTCGAGACCCTTGGATCCAAATGCTCCGCAGTCGTTATATTCGTTCACGCCGTCTTCACCGGCTCCATCTTCCACCGCATTTGGCAAGTCTGTAACAGGTCTAGATCTTCTTCATGGCGGACGAGCCCTGCGCGAGAAAAAGAAGGAAGAGAAGGCAATTGCTGCTGCAGCTTTTGATCCTACAAGGGAACAAGATTCGGCCGAGTGGCCTGCCACCTCAGGACCTGGTGCCTCCCAACTAGGACCCGGGGCATCTACACTTGGAGGCCCTGGAGGTTTTCTACATGGTGAAACTGCTTTCCGGGAAGCCCTTCAGGGATTCGGATTGAATAACATGACTGCCGAGGATGCATGGGACTTCCTCAAAGCCAAGCTCCTAGTTATTTTCGATGGGGAAGATGTGCGGTTCGCCATCGAAGACTTGAATAAGCTTGTTATCGTCCATATCCAACGTTGTGTCCAGAAGCTTATGCCGCATGTCATTGTGGAAGACCTCCGGGAGCTTCTCCACACTGGTTTTGCGTCTTTAGGCCACTCGCTGACAGGTATCCCGGATGAGAAGCTGGTGCCACATCTGGTGCAGATATGGATGCTGGCCTTTGGGAAGATTCTCCCCTTCATTCAAGCCGTCTTTCTTCCGCTAGATCTCGAGTTCAAAGGCCGCGGATCGATCATGTCGTCTCGTGAAGCTAAGGAGTTCTGGGGCGCACTCCCCAGTGTGGATAACCCTGACGCGTTCATGGGCGACGAACTCGATGTTCGGACGATTGTTCTTGTTGCTTTCCGTGATACGGTCATCCTGAGTCGTTACGAGGGTCTTAAAGCGACCTTTTCTCGATTGAGTCTGGATAACATCAATGCTGGCGTCAGCAGTCTCGGCGTCACGTCCAACAGCAGCAATAGTGGCGGTCGTCCCGGGACCGCCACCTCTCTTGATCCTGGCCTTAGCAGCTACAACTCACAATCATCTACTCTTCTGAACGCTGCTGGCAGTTACTCTTCCGATACCGCCAGCCTTACCCGCAGCCGTGCGGAGTCCAATACATCCTCCAATCCCGACCAACATCTCTTCCAGTCTTTCTCTTCACCGTCTCATAGGCCCAGTATCACCGCTCGCTCTGTGCCGGCAACAACAGACTCTTCTCACATCATCACTGAGACTGTCGGTCGCATGCTGCAATGTGTTAGCGTGCTGGCCAGCGTCCAAACAGGAGACGAACCGCAGGAACAAATCGAGACTTTAAGCAAGACACTGAAACACAACTGGCTTGGACGCGGGCGGACAGGCAGAGATCGAAGAGGATTTGTCGGAACCCGAATTCGGCCGGCGGCAACTCCCAAGCAGGAAAGCGATGAATCACAAACCGGCAGAACGAATGACGAGACTCAATGGAATGGACGAGATGGGGGTCTGAACTTGAGCATGCTGTGATATTGTTGTTGTTTATCAAATCAGGGCGCAAATTTTCCTTTTCGGTCGTGACTCGATTCTTTTGTTTCGTCTGTTTTCTTGTTCCCCTACGGGTAGGATATGAGATGGCTTAGGTAGTTCTGGCGCTTGAAGCGGTAGCGAAATCATGGGGTTGGTTCTCAACACAGGTTTTATCAGAGATGTTCCTCGGCGAAACAAGAAATCCACCATTGTTTATACCCGGTTTCTACATTTGTGAATTATCTTTCCATTGAAAACACGGTCGATTTGTTCTTTTTTCTTTTCAAAATTCCAGTAGTAAAACGTAACTTGAAAGTGGAATGCTCCAAGCTCATTCATTGTATTTGACCCCGGCAAGGTCATTCTTTTCTTTATATAGATCGTAGTTGGATCGAAGCAGCTCAATCACATAACCAAAAACCATAGCCCCCACATATAGCCTTACATATACCCATGAAACCGCCACAAAAAAACTAAAAAACCAAGATTGAAATTAAAACTTCAAAAAGAAGAAAAGCAATATCTCCCCGAGGTATATAGTGTAACCCCCAACTCCAATCTAGTCTCGTGTCAAATAGTTATAGTCCGTTATTATTATTACATATTACTACACGCCCAATCGTCCCTGCCAGCCACTTAACATCCCTGCTCTGTCGGGAAGTTTTCTGTAACAGACAGGCCACTGCGCCATGTCGGGGCAAAATGCGGGGTAAATAGTTTGTACATAGTACTGAGACATAAAAGGAGGGCAACTTAAGGTCGTGGCTGTATTTTGATTAGATATACAGTGAATGCGTTCTTCTTTTGGTTCTTTTCTTTTGCTTGATGGGACGTGGGACGTGGAAGATGTATGATTTCGCTATAATATGCAGTTGATGTATAGACGGACGAAGCGGTATTCGATTTCTAGATAATCCTCTCTCTCCAGACCGATGATGAGTATCTATCTCCCAAAGGCCTTTCCGAGATGCGTAGTATTCGCATCGGTGCGGTCATAAAAAGAGATATCATTCGCTTAACCATTTGCTCTGAGGTCAAGAAAGGAGAGGGAGTTCAGATGAAATATGAGGAAAATACGATGTATGTGGAAAGAGTTCTTTTGTTTTGATCTTCAAAGTCTAGAGGACCCGCTCACGTACTCTGCGCTGATTCCATGAGGAATCGCTGAGACGGCAGTTCCTGACATGAGATGTTTTTTTTTTTTTTTAAGTGTACTTACAGAAGCACACAGTCGTATCCGTAACAATGGGGGCAGAGGAGATACAAAATCAAAGTATCGGTCACACAATAACAGGCGACGAAGTATCCTCATGACAACAGAGTACACGGCCAATGGCCCAAGGGGAACCAAGATGGTATCGGTAATGCTCGAACGTGCGACGAGTAGTTATGCCTCATCGTCTTCTTCCTTAGCAACGATAGCAGAGTTGCCTTTCTTGACCAGCTCCTTAAACTTCTTCTGCACCGCTCCGACAGGAAACTTCTTTCCGGTCTTGGTCTCGAGACCTTCAGCGATCATACGCCATCTTTCTTGCTCGAGCTTGTCGTCAACCTCTTTCTTGGCCTCGAAGAGTTTCGCACACTATTATACCATATGTCAGTTCTGAACTTCCGTTCTAGTACGCAAGGATAATCTGTGCTCTTCTCCTCCAGGTAAAGGTAGTGTGACACTTACATCGTTGGGAGTGAAAGTGACAAAGTTGGCCTTAAGACGAGCGTAGCGAATTGACAGAGTACTACCACCGACTTGGACACCAGTCAACCCAAACCAAGCCTCTCTGATCTCGGACCAGGTTTTATTTTCTTTGTCCTTCATCTGAAGGAGAAGCCTGTCCTCGCGTCCGGCTTCTTCGTAGGAAGTAGGAATCGTCCTCTTTTCCGGAGTAGCCTTGGCCTTCTTGACAGGCGTAGGACTGTCCGGAGCAGTCTCGGACGCCCTCTTGCGGCCGCGCTTACGGGGAGTTTGAGGGACTTGGACACAAACCAAGTCTGCCGGCTGCCAATAACTCAGTAACAAATCTAATGTATAATTTCGCGTGCTGTAAAGTCGGATATTATGAACTTACCGCGACCCCAGTGTCGATGTCCATTTCCTCGTTGGTTCTGGTATCCATATTAATGGGTGTGAAAGTGGACATCTGTCTTGCGTTCTTGAGTATGAGGATTTAGATCTGATATTGCTCAAGTAGATAACTCGAGCTGACGCAGAACTAAACGAGAATGGTGCGCGCTGACGAAGAGAAGAAGTCGACGAGCAAGCAGAAGTGAGGTTATTTGACTTGTGTGTGTTTGTGTTGGACATTCACTTGACAACGACTGGCGGCACCCAAGTGAATTTACACCAGGTGAGTGAAGTGATGGCGGCAAGATGAGCCTATAAACACATACATGCTGCCAAATAATATACAGCTCCATGTAAATTCTTTTCAATATAGAATCAGAGAGCTTTCACGAATTCAGATTGCTGACCAGATGAAATGCAGTTTCCAAACCCAGAAATCTTGAGATTATCCTGCCAGATTCCATAGAACATGATAGGAATAAGTACCCAACAAGCTTGTTCTCTATCAATAGAAGGATTGCGGCAATGATAAGTCAATTAATAGTATTTAAAATGGCAGAGATGACGTTAAATTCAATGAGAAGGGATATATTCAAGGCATGTTTTCAACATCCAGTGATGAGGCCTCAGCACAGTCAAGGCTTGCCGTATCTGTGCTGAGATCATGATACTTGCCTGATACTATTTAGCATGCGAGTCATCATCCCAAAGTATGCAGCAGAAATCGTAGACTGTCCATAACTTTATGAAGCAGGTTAATGACTTCCAGGCATTTGCGCAAGAAGTTTATCAACTCGTATCAGTAGGATCAGCCGTATGCCACTGTTATTATTCTAATTCTGGCAAACAGCTCTCCATTGGTGAAGAGGCTTTTAAAATCAACCGTCAACCGAGAGTTTGAGCAGTTCTAGCGTCTCCGCCATCAGTGAATGCACTGTGAAAATTCATCAAGTCACTGGAGTCATGTCTACAGCATCGTTGACGACCGGAAATTTGGGAGATCTGTGCTTCATGCATCGATCATTGTTGCGAAACTCCCTTTGGTAATCGATTCCCTGGTCTGCACGCGCTACAGCATCACTTTTAGGCTCAACCAGTGATTACTGGCGGGTGGAAATGTCGGTGTCAGCTGAAGCCAACCAGCAGCCCTAGAGGATCGAGAAGCTCACATATCACCGGAAATTTCCTCCACAGATCAAAGGAAGCATCACTTTCTTTGACCATTGGCTCTGCTGTGCCGCATGCGCCGCATGCGCCGCATGTTGGTCAGATCGATGATCTTGGGATTCGGCCAAGCGACAGCCATCTGGAGCCTGACGACAGCCTAACTGCGCTTTCAGACAAGGTCTCAAGGTTTCCCGCGTCCACGGACCTCTCTGGAGAGTGGAGGAGAGTTAATTACTAGAAGGCTGAAATGCCCCCGAGAACAGTAACTGATAACGGGTGACGATAGGCGGTTCCTGGACGCCCAGAACAGGGTGTTGAGCAGGCAAGGCTTTTGCGGCAGCGTATTCATAGAACGAAGCACAATGTGGCGTCCCCGTGGGATCCCTACCGCATCTCTGGGGTCAGTAAGTTGAAGCGATCTTTACCAATGCATATCAACCATTGGCTTTACCTTTCGCCAACCAGCTGTTGATTCTTTGGGGGAGAGCTCTGGTGCCTGATGTTGGACTAGGCGGCAGAGAACCGGAGAGGTGCAATGTATCATAAATATCGACAGCACCCAACTGCCGGCTGAAACCCTGAACGAACATCTGCTTGCGCCTTGAAACCATTGACTCAGGAGTTCCTCTTGTCTTCTTTTTGTGAAATTTGTCACTGATCAAGTTTGGCTGCGACTCACCGCCTTGTACAGCTCATTGTACTGTACAACGGAAACAACGGGAGCTCTTCAAGCAAGCAGTCAGTAGCTCTATTCGTTCTTTACAACACGCAGCTCACCTGCTTATAATAAACCCCCGTCGCCCTCCATGCCACCCGTCTCAGATGCTAGCTTGAGGACAGGCGGGTCTGCATCCTCAAGCCCCAACAAGTCTTCACCTCCAGAACCTGAAAGCCGCCTGGCCCATGACTCTACTCCCATATTCACCCCTTCTACCACTCCATCTTCTGAAACCCCCCAGCAAGACGAAATCCGAGAGAAAGATAATAGCCGTGCTCCTCAGACAGACCGGACGGGGCATTTAGAAACCATGTCGCCCCCCAACTCCCCTGGGGGAGCAACCGTGGTTGTGACTCCCGAGACTAAAGAGGAAACGGCCGCGGTGGACGAGAACACAGCTTCCAAGCTGGAACCGCGTGCAGCTCCCAATGTCTCGGAAACTACATCAGCAAAGCCTGTTTGCAAGAGGCACACGGCGAAGGGAAACAAGTCCGCGAAGAAACATGTCAACAAGTGGAAGAGGAAGAATAAGAACCTAGCCACGGACTCTTCCAACAGTAGCAGCGACTTATCTACAACTTCTGCATCTGATAGTTCTAGCTCTACATCAAGTTCGAGCGAGAGTGAATCTGAGAGCGAGTCGGAGTCTGAGGATACCGATTCTGAGACGGAGGAAAAAGAGAAGCGCAAGGGCCATAAGAAGGCCAAAAAGAACTTCAAGAACAAGAAGGGGAACAAACAGAAGCGCAAATCCAAGGGTTCCCACCGCAAGCACGATGATCTGTCAGAGACTAGCTCAGATGAGAATAGCGAGGACGAATCTGTTGCTGAAAAGGCTCAGAGGAAAACGTCCTCGAAGCTCAGGGCAAAGAAGAAAGCCAAGAAAGTCAAGCTAGATGACGAAATCTCCGAAGACATTGAGGAAGAGCAAAATCAGATCGATCCTGACAACTTAGCCTATATTCAGGAGCAGTTGGCTGCACTGGGCTTGAAATGTACTGGCCTGGCACAGAAATCAAGGAGACGGGCGAATGACGACAAACCCACCAAGAACAATGGAAAGAAGGCTGCTAAAAGCAAGGGGAAAAGAGCATCCAAGGTTGCCTACAAAAGAGTTGACCAGCGTGAGTATATCTTATCTAAATATGATACCCATCATTATCTAGCCATCTATTCGTATGTACAAGGACTGGTTACTGACAGATCACAGTATGGGACAATACCATACACAACTACAAACTTACAGAGACTATGGATGATCCCGATACGTCTGAATGGGACCAATACATCTTCACTGTTCGCCGCAGCTTCGATTGGGACAACAAATACGTCGAAACCGTTGTCGATATTAAGAGCAAGCCTCTCCGCGAGGCTCTCTCCAAAATCATGGACGGTGTGAAGGGCGTCAGCTTGGTACAGGAGACCGCAGCAGTTGATCCCAACATGCTCTTTCTCTACCTCGAAGAGACCCGCCAGTACATGAAGGATTTGCGAGCCATCGCTAAATCCAGAAAGAAAAAGAAGGAGCGCAAACAGGCACAGACCAAAGCGGATCACCTCAAGGTCCTGGTCAAATATATGGACAAAGACTACGCGGAAACGAAGAAAACGCTGTATCCTCTGCTGGACGCTAATATGATTACGTTTGACCTCCTCTGGGCTCTCTACAAACCGAACAGCATCGCATACACTTCAACCTACGGAGACGTGGACGAACCACGAGCCTTCAAGATCGAATATGCCTCGAAAGAGTCTTCCTTCATGAGGGGTCAATGGTATAGTGTCGAAGGTCGTTATTTGGAATATGACGGAAAGTCATTCGGCATGGGAACTATGTCGGCTGACATTGGGGCCTTTAAGGGAGCGCGCAAGATCACGAGTCTGGCATGCTACCCTTTGAAGTACCACCGCGACTCTGAAGCAATCAAGCAGAAGCTGATCGAACGTGGCAAGAAATTTGCGTCCCTCACGGGCATGAATTATCGTTTCCACAAGGGAATGGCGTTCTATAAGAAAAGGGGATCCATCATCAAAGTCAACATCAACGGTCGTGTTATGGTAGATCCAGCCACTCACCGGCGCATCAACCCTAATTATCCCGTCAGCACTGTCAAAGCCAGAAATGATCTGGATGGCTCCGACGACAGCAGTGAAGCTTGCGGCTGCGGATTATCTGGCTCAGGGTCCGAGAGTGGACAGGGATTTGGAGAATCAAATACGTTCACATCCAAATCCAGGATAATTCGAGACGGGGACGGCAAAACACGTATTGAGGCCGAATTCGATGAGAACGGCAAGGAGGTCTGCAAGAGAAACTTTCAGAAGATCGATAGCGAAGGCGATGGTGAGTCTGATATTCACTTCAGCGAGGAGAATCTCCTTATAGCCAGTCCTGTGGTCCTGGGATTCGCCTTCAGCGAAAAGCTCTGGCTGGAGTTAAGCGTCTCCGGAATCAATGAGATCGAGTGGAATGAAGGAGCCTTCGATTCGCTTGTTCTTCCCGATAATCAGAAGACTATTGTGAGGGCATTGGTAGAGTCTCATACGTTCCACGCTGCCGAAAATATCGACGATGTCATTCAAGGCAAAGGCAAAGGTCTTGTTGCTGTCCTTCACGGGCCTCCTGGTACCGGCAAGACCCTGACGGCCGAAGGCATTGCGGAGCTTCTCAAACGCCCTCTGTACATGGTCAGCGCCGGAGAACTTGGTACAAACTCTCAGAGCTTGGAAGGGGAACTGACCAAGATTCTCGACATCGCTCACTCCTGGGGCGCCGTGCTGCTCCTGGATGAAGCGGACGTCTTCCTCGAAAAGCGCACCATACATGACATCCACCGCAATGCACTGGTCAGTATCTTCCTCCGCCTCCTGGAATACTTCCAAGGAATTCTTTTCCTGACCACGAACCGTGTGGAAACCTTTGATGAGGCCTTCCAGTCTCGTATCCACATCGCACTCCGTTACGGTGATTTGAACACGAAGGCGAAACGCGCCATATGGAAGATGTTCCTACGAAAGGTGCAGGCTATGGATGGACTAGAGACTGTTACGTTTACAGAGAAAGATTACGACGAGCTCGCACGTCACAATCTGAACGGACGCCAGGTAAGCGATCCCTCTAAGTATCTCTAGGTCCGAGAGTTTAGTTATTCTAACCCGTTTATAGATCAAGAACTCTGTGCGCACCGCACAAGCTCTCGCCATCAACGAGAAAGCCCCTCTTTCCATGACACATATCAAGTGTGTCCTCGAAGTCGCAGAGACGTTTGACAGAGACCTCAAGGGCGGAACAGGCTATCTTGACGCCATGAGAAGCTACACTTGATCAATGAATGGCTGACCAAACTTTGTTCGATACTCCCTCCTTTATTAACTACGGATATTCCCCACTTCTTTTTCTTCCTTCTGTCTTCTTTCTCCAAGTTTACTTTCCCTTCTAATCTTCACACGGACATGCTTTTGCTTTCCCATTCTGCATGTACAATTGAAATGAATGAAGCGCAGACATGATTTACATACTTCTCGGAGACAGGATGGTAGTTATGGGCGGGAATCCACCGGAACTTCGCAACTGGGAAAACAGAAAACTTGAAAGGAAAAACAAAAAAGATATTCGCTTTTTTTCAAATGGCACTGGTACGACGAGCTCGGAATAATGGCGATGATGCGGTTCTTCCTTCTCTTCATACTAACTTTTCTTGCTTGGCGTGCTGTTTTCGCTTTCAAGTACCTACCTACCTATAACCAGATAGGAATAGTTGGGTTTAATGATTTGAACATAAGATAATTGAATGCATGGGAATTATTCGCTTCCATCGTCTCAGGCCTATATTTAGATCGTATACTAGTGCTAGTGAACATTTACTGTGCGAGAGTTTATGCGTAGCGCAAAGAGATGCGTAATGAACGAACATTTCTCACTCCTCTACTGGTCTAATTCCGGCCATGTATATGACCCATTGGCCCATTCCATTAAAAGAGGATGGGAACAAAAAGGGAGTGTAGATTGTAGGAAACTTCCTTTTTCGTTCCTGTCATTGGGACATCTATATTTCAAGATAGCTGCAGCTGCATTACTCTGGTATAGAGGAAGACTTTATATGAGAAAGCCTAGAGGAGAGGGATAAGAGTACATGAGGTAGATAGTTTAAATGGTGTACGGTAAAAAGGGGCAAGGGTGCTTTTACAGAGTGACAACGCAGCTGCAACCGCATCACGGGACGTCTATAATTTAAGGGTTGGCCTTGACGAAGTCGATACCTGTACGGGTTTACGGTTAGCTGATGTTTTGGCACGTTCAAGAAACCCAGGGACAAACATACCCTTCTTGATGTTCTTCTTGAGGTCAACCAGAGCGGCATCGAGGAGCTTCTGCTCGTAGGGGCTGACGTCACCGACGGGGAGGATCTTCTCAACACCGTTGGGGCCGAGCTCGACCTTGGAGGCGAAGAAGTCGACGCCCTGGTCCTTGTAGAGAGGGCTCTCGACAAAAGTGGGCTCAATGACGCCCTTCTCGCCCTGAGCAGCCTTCAGGAGGGACTCGGCGAAGCGAGCACCGGCGAAAGCCATGGAGAGGGTGGCGGAACCGGCACCGTCCTTGGCCTTGACGACCTCATCACCACCGAACTGGATGCGGTTGACGAGCTTGTCACGGACCTCGCCCTCAATGTCGGGGTGGTTGGACTGAGAGAGCAGAGGAACGATGGTGACACCGGAGTGACCACCGACAACGGGGACGAACTCGTTGGCGGGGTCGGTCTTCTTGATCTCCGAGATGAAGCGGGAGGCACGAACAACGTCCAGAGAGGTGACACCGAAGAGGCGCTTAGGGTTGTAGACACCCTTGGACTTGTAGACCTCAGAGACGATGGGGACGGTGGAGTTGACCTATATAATATTTTTTTCAAAATCAGGAACAGACCCGGATAAAGAAGCGTCACTTGAGCGCGCTGCGTAGCGTGGAGGGAAACTTACGGGGTTGGAGATGACCAGGATGTTGGCCTCGGGGGCAGCCTCGGCAGCGGCCTTGGCGAGGTCGCGGACGATGGAGGCGTTGGTGTTGAAGAGGTCTACCCATTGGGTCGGTCAGCATGCGCTTTCCTGAACGGTCGATAGATAGATAGAAATTAGAGGACAACCATACCATCACGGGTCATGCCAGGCTTGCGGGGAACACCGGCGGGGATCAGAATGATCTCAGAGCCGGAGAGAGCATCGCGCAGACCGGAGGGGGTGGGCTCGTAACCGGTGACGGTGCTCTTGGTGTTGATGTGGCTCAGATCGGCAGCGACACCTGCGGGGAGAAGGGGGATTCGTCAGTTTGGACCGATCGGGGAGACGCGCATAACCGGGGGCGTAGGAGAGGAGAGCTGTCGCAAATTACCTGGGCCTCCGCGGATGTCGTAGAGAGCGAGCTGGGAAACACGGGGGTTGAGCTTCAGCAGCAGGGAGAGAGGCTGGCCAATACCACCGGCAGCACCGAGGACGGCGACCTTGGATGCCTGTTGGATGAAAGAGATAGATAGTAGGTCAGCTATAGGAGCTCCTGGGAGAAGGAAGCTGAGCAGCGAAGAAGCTCGGTAGCTGGACGCACCTGGCGGGCAGAAGCGGAGAAGGCGCGCTTCTGGAAGAGGCCGAAGGACTGACGAGCAGCAAACATTGTGGCGGGTATCTAGGAGAGAAGAGACAGAAGCACGCTGTCAATTGAGAGTGGTGGATGTGGGATGGGATGAAGGGGAGAGTTGGAGATGGACTAAGAGAGAAGAGAGAAGATTGAAAGGTGAGAATGAGAAAGAGAGAGTCTCTGTTCGTTGCCGGGCGAGAGGATTTTGGCGGCTAAAAACGCCCACCGAACCTCCGCTTCCGATCGCGCGGCCCCGACGGCAAAACAATGGGGATTTTTTTGATTTAATTAATTAATTATTATTTACGACCAGGATCAAAATAGTAGGTGGAATATCCTAGTGCAATCGAAAAACGTAGTATCCCTCGTCCAGCGCCAATTCGTTCTATTCCAATAGATATTATTATTGCCCCCATACGCCACATCCGCATCTTCCGTCACTCTCGGATCGTATTCCCTTGTTGCGTCTGTTGTCTCGTCGGATCGACAAAAGCGAGACAATTGTCGAAGAATGTCTATTATTATTAGCCTATACAGGTAGAATAATGCAACTTCCTTGTGTGGCATCTAGGAGGACTACTACTATTACTACTAAGATAGGCAATTGAAAATACGACAAGGAAACAAGCATACTAATAATATATATAATATAATGTTAAAAAGAATCATAATTCCGCCCAAAACGAGCAATTGGGAAATGCAATACCACAAAGACCCTAACCAGAACGCCACGCTTTTTCATCAGCCGAAAAGAAGGAAAGAAAGAAAGAAAGAAAGAAAGAAAGAAAGAAAGAAAAGCCCCAAGCGTCCAGGAAATCTACAAGCAATAATCTTCACCGCAAGAAATGTAGCACCGCCCAGCAGAACAGGAAGAAAACAACAACACCACCCCAGAACATCCACTTGTCCTGCTTGGCCCGACGCTCCACCATGCGGATCGTATCTCCGCTGATGCCTAACGTGTTCGCGACACTATACAGCCGGCGTTGAGTGCCCTTCAGCATCTCTCGCTGCTGGCCCAGATCCGCTAGCACGGCTCGACCCCGGTCGAGGAATTCGTCCAGTTGCGTATTGGTGCTGGCAAAGAAGGACTGTTCGCGCAAGGCGTGCGCTTCACGGTGATATTCGGACGGAGCAGTGCCGAAGCTCAGCCCCGTACCGGACGAAGAACTGGGCTTTCCGAAAGCAGACGACTGAGGAACTGATGACTGCGCGTAGGGGTTCTCCGGCGTGGCAGCAAAAGGACGTCGACCAAGGAGTTCATTGCGGTTGGTTACCGATTGCTTTTTTTCAGAGTCAGTTTAGTTCACACTCCCATCCGCGTAAAAAAAAAGAGACACAACATATCCAGAATGGGTACCACTCACAGCTTCCTCTCTCTCCTTCCGTAACCGATCAAACTGCTCTCTGTACTCTGAAAGCTCTGCGCGAAACTTCTTCACCCGTTCAAAGGCCTTCTCCTGCTTCTCGGGGATGAGCTCCTTCTTGGATAATGACGAGTAGTCGTCCACCGTCCGTGAGAGCGATGTCAGTGACGCTGCGATCTGCCCTGTACAATATCAACACGACAAACGATCAGCATCCGCACACACATGCTCGCGATGGAGTTCGAAGACCTTGTTGCTGGTCTCATACCTTGTAGAGCTGCCGACGTTGTAGCTGGAGATTCAGCGAATGTATCGAGGTCGCGCCGTATGGCAGACGACTGTTTCAGTGCGGAATTGAATAATGAGTTCTATAGAAGTCGCATATTAGCATACTGCGACTCATTGAAAGATCCCCCGTATAATTCGAAAGACCTACCATCGTGCCAGCGGGCTAAGCAACAAATAACGAGGCCAAGAAACCCACGGTGCGCAAGGAAAGGAAACGATGTGAGTGACTCTGGCTCTGGCAGTGTGGCTTTGGAATCAAAATAGGTTCGTGCGCGACCAATAAATGACGGTCGCAAAGTAAGTTATCGTGTTTATCTAGCTCAGTGTATCTATCGCATGCTCAAGGCCACTTGTTCTCCCCAGCTCCGGGTCCAAAGACAGCCTTCACCGCCTTTGGGTAGTTACTTCTGATGTCGCCATATATGAGAGATCCAGACTCCTTTTTCATCTTTCATTTTCTTGACATGCATTTCAATAATACGTACAGCCAGCATCTGAGCGATTGAATTTACAGTACGGCAAACCTTAACAACTCAACTGTCGGACAAAAGAGCGAGGGCCATGATGCAGGGTCAATGCGAGTCATGTTGCCATGAATAATACCCGGGCTGTTTCTATGGCTATGAAACAAGCGTCTAATAACACCCTATGGTCAGACGCTACCGTTTGATGATGAACAATTTCTCAACACTAATGGCTGGAAATCTCGAAGATCTCAAGGAAATCGCAATTGCGCTGAGGTAACCGAAACACTAGAAAAAGCGCATGCCGCTTATCAACCAAGATGTTGAACAGCCATAGCTCAGATAAAACAGGGAAATCAAGCCACCAACTCCTCGTAGATACAAGCAAACATTATCAATCAAGAGCTGAGATGCTGAACACAGCATAGGGCCGATCAGACATAATCATATCCAGATATTATACCACCCAGGCCTGGGAACAGGCGTCCCGTCATAGTACACTGCAGTGTATGTCTCATTTATTTTCTGGGGTACTTGTTCTGGAAGAGCCACCTATAGAAACGAGATTAGTAAGATCGAAGTACCATCTCGATAATGGGCGCGAGCCTATGGGATTTCAACACTTACTTGCTCACGAAGTAGTCAGCCACAGCTAGAGCACCAACTGCTCCACCCCAGATACCGACAAGCTTCCAAGACAGCTGACCCTGGAGGTGCTTCCTGTACGCACCATATCCCAGACCACCGGCAATCGCGGTCACCAGGAAAGCATTTCCCAGAATAACCGGGTTGTCTTCGTTGCGACGGAAGCTGCCAGCAGCCGACTTGGCCTTCTCCTCGGCCTTCTCAACCGCTTCCTTGGCCTTCTTCTTTTCTGCTTCGTATTTCTCCTGCGCCTCGCGCTCGAGTCTCTCAGCCTGAGTCGTGGTCTTCACCTTCTGTTCTTCAAAGTCTGCAGGCACAGCGGCAACATGCGGGCCATCGACATCGACCAAGTTTATCGTACTCTCGGCCTCCGTCTTCTCAATCTCTGGGGGTGGGGGCGCACGGCTTGAAGATATGTTAGTCCCACAGAATACAACAACATCATCATCACTCAGTCTGTCGGACCGAAGGTACACTTACGCCTAAAAACAAATCAGTAATCCATTATCACCGTAGAAACCAGAACGTTGGGGATCTCTTAAACACTTACGTCTTCGGGGGATTGCTTGGGACCCTTAGCGGCGGCTGCAGCGTACGACATATTGGATAGCGTCTTAATGTGAAACAGGGTATATAGAGGTGGGCGTCTAGTATGTCTAGCGAAGCGATCAGGTCAGCCAGCTGGTCTTTCAGAAAATTCGTGTACCGTGTGGATAATCAGGACGACATGCTGATCAATTGACAAGCGACGAACTGCTAACTGTTGGACTTACCGCAAGGAAATTCAATTAGAGAGGTGGATGGGGAAACGTACACTCAGGCGGAAGAAGGAGCAGACTTTTCTAGGGAACGGGAGAAGACTAAAGACGGGGAGTACTCTATATATACGAGGCAGGGAGATTGGATTGTATCATGAACTGCCTTGATTGAATGACGTCACGTCACAGATGCGGCCAGTGGAGTCTCTCGGATGGCACGTGTGTCGCGCCAAGCGTCCCTGCTTTCTCAGGGCCATTAATGGGCTATCCATTAACCCGAGCAATCACCGAGCAGGCCCCAGGATAAAAATACTTCAAAAGAATTCCCCCCTCAGAGGTTGCGTCCCCGACATAACCACAAGTCTCGCACTCTTGCTGAGGCCTCAACGGCCATTAAGTTGGCAATTTGAAATTGCCCGTCCCACAGGTCCCTGCTCAATGGTTCACATGCATACTCGCCCTTACTCTACTCCAGCTCCATTGTCAGCTAGGAGACTATCTGATTCCTGAGTAAGTAGGTCATGGGTGTTTTAAGAGCACATGGCTATCTAGAACACTGCAGCAGTGAGACTACGTGGTTCATGGATTAACACACACACATAGGAGAGGATGGTCAGTTTCATCGTGATCACGGCAGACGGGCCGCTCCGTGGAAGAACAGAGAAACGATTTTGGTACAGATTATCAAACGGCTAAAAAGACAGTCCCCTACGTGGCTGCATCATATCAAAGGTTTAAGCTGTCTACAGAAGCAGCTCCAGGGGATTCTCGACAACCTTCTTCAGCTCCTTGATCCATTCACCTCCAACAGCACCGTCGACAACCTTGTGGTCGAAGCTTCCGGTGACTACGATCTGATCGTCCCACTCAACAGAGGTACCCTCCTCAGTCTCGACGGGAACAGCGACCTTGCGGACGGTACCGACAGCCAGAATACCCGCCTGGGGTGGGTTGATAACGGCGGTGAATCGCTCGACGGCCGGGTTCATACCCATGTTGCTGATGGTGAAGGTGCCGCCCTGGTACTCCTCGGGCTTAAGCTTGTTGTCGCGAGCGCGCTTGCCAAGCTCCTTGATCTGGTTAGAGATGCTGGAGAGACCGAGGCCCTGCACGTTCTTCACGACAGGGGTGATCAGGCCAACAGGGGTAGCAACAGCGACGCTAATGTCGACGGTCTTGTGCTGGCGGATGACGACCTGGCCGTTCTCCTCACGCCAGCTGGAGTTGACAGCGGGCACCTTCATCAGAGCGACAGCACAAGCCTTCACCAGGAAGTCGTTCACGGACAGCTTGTACTTGCCCTCGGAAGAGGCGTTGAGGGCCTGGCGGAGCTTCAGGAGCTTGCTTACGGACAGGGTAGCAGAGACGAAGTAGTGGGGGTTCTCCCTCACGGACTGCTGGAGACGGCTAGCAATGGTCTTGCGCATGGCAGTGAGAGGAATGTCCTCGTAGGTAGGACCGGCCGCAGCAGCAGTCGCGCTGGGCTTGTACTTCTCAACGTCCTCCTTGGTGATCACGCCGCCCTTTCCGGTGCCTTTAAGCGCCTTGATTGGAACACCCTTCTCGAGGGCCAGTGCCTTGGCAGCCGGGCTGATAAGAGGCTCTCGGTCGAGAGCCGGTTGCAGCTTCTCTCCGGTAACCTCAGGCTCCTCAGCGGCCGGCTTACCTTCGAGAGACGAAGGGGGAGGCATGGAAACATCGTCTCCAGGTCCCTTGGAAGACTCGGGGGCATCCTTACCGCCCTGATCGGCGGGCGGAACCTTTCCTGGCGCACCACCAGCATCCTCGAGGGTGAATGATTCAAAGGGTGCGATGTCGACTCCTTCCTCGACCATGACGGCGATGGGCTAATTGGAAAATGTCAGCAGCATATCCAGGTGTCACCCAATAAAGACAGAACTGACGTTTCCGACGGAAATGTCCTTCTCACCAGCCTCCTTCAAAATCTTAGCGAGAACACCTTCCTCCTGGAACTCAAAATCCATCTGAGCCTTGTCGGTTTCGATCTCCACTAGCACATCTCCAGGGCTTATCGTGTCGCCAACTTTCTTCTGCCATGTGCCAATGTTTCCTGCAGTCATTGTAGGCGACAGGGCAGGCATGGTGACGATGGTGTGAGGGGGGAATGCTATAAGGCACGGTGAGTTAGGATATGATATTCACTAGACCCTCAAAGCTCTGTAAGGACATCCTGTTGATGACATACACTTCGACGCGTAGAAGCGGGAAAAGGCGGCGATGGCCGGTAGCTGAGGTCTAAACGATGGCGATTATTGTCAGAAGCGTACTTCGTAGAGAATGTCATCAGGATTCTGGAGGCATGTAGCATACTGGACGACATCCTTCAGCTTGTAGACTGCTTGAGGCCTTCGCAAGCTGGCCCCTCGGCACATGAACATCACATTGGGAGTCCGCATCCTGACAACAGCGGCAACCATGGTGCCTAAAGGCTATGCAATGGTATCCCCACGGCACTGAAGAGACCGGAAAGAAAGGGAGCGGGGAGGTAGAGATAGAAACGATGGAGTCACAGGAGGGAGAGAGGCCGTATAACCAGAATTGGGGGCGCAACACCGGGAACTTTTCTGTTGAGCTCCCGGTGAGCGAACGGGATCCTCCAAGGTCCGGCTTTCTCCTACCGCGACACTAACCGACGCTTATGTAAGCCCCGCTTTGCGCCGGCGGCTGCGCGGCTGGCGGCTGGCGCTTCCCGTACCAAATTTCGTGTCCCATAGAAGACACGCTGCACTGTAGCTCCGGAGCGCCATAGTACTGTGTCAGAGGCGGGCAAGAAGGACATCCTTCCCCGAACTTTTGTTGCTTTTTCTGGTTTTTCCTTCGTTCAATATTAATGCGGACTTCGCTTCTTAGCCTGGCTTCCAATATCCAGGCTGGAGTCCTGCATCAATGGCGGAAGTCGAGCGCTCTCCGAACGAGCCGGCGCAGCCCTCCACGGCCGCATCCCAGGTAGACGACAATGGCGCTGATGTCTCGACCGGTCCCGACTCCCCACACATCTTGAAATCAGACAAGCCCGAACTTCCTGGAGAAACAGGATGGACAGAAATCAATATGGAAAAGTCGGAAAAATCGAGTTTACCTGACACGGACAACGAACAAATGGAAACGAGCGCTGAGATTGCGGAGCCGGTGCCTGAACAGTCAGATAACGGTACTACAGAGACCGCTGAAGCAGAAATTAGCTCACCGCAAGAGGACTCGTCGCGCCCTGAGGAGACAGGCGAGTCTGCTCACGATGTTCGCGATGAGCAGCAAACTCCTAGCACTGAGAGAGAACCCCGCCCTGGAGAGCAACATACACCTGCAATGTCTGTTCAGGAGGAGCCGGCGCAAGACACAAGGACGCGTTCAGATTCCAGGTCGACGACTGCCACACAGACGACTCACAGATCGATGCCGATCAGCTCCACCGTCTTCATTGTCACCGCGCTCGATACAATCGGCTCGTCCAAAGAGGCGAAAAGGAATAAGGAACTAGATGACGCGGTCAAGGAAGCCCTCACAAATATCAAGCAATCCGAGCGTCAACCAATTGACCCAGAAGTGATCTTTCGGCCTTTACAGCTTTCAACCAAGACACCCAGCATTCCTCTCCAGGTCACGGCCCTCGACTGCATCGGAAAACTCATTACATACTCCTATTTCGCCTTTCCCTCCCAGCGTCCCCCGCCTGGTCCCGGGGGTGCCGCCAGTGCCGAACAAATTCCCCTAATAGAACGCGCTATCGAGACAATCTGTGACTGTTTCGAAAATGAAGCTACGCCTGTCGAGGTTCAACAACAAATTATCAAGTCGCTTCTAGCGGCAGTTTTGAATGATAAGATTGTCGTGCACGGTGCGGGTCTGCTGAAAGCAGTCCGCCAGATCTATAATATTTTCATTTACTCGAAGTCGAGCCAGAACCAGCAGATTGCCCAGGGATCGCTGACACAAATGGTCGGCACGGTCTTGGACCGAGTACGCATCAGGCTCGATTTGAAGGAGGCACGGGTGCGGTACGGCGAGAACCATGATTATCACTCACCGGATATGTCAACTCTCGACGCTACCGATGCGAATCAAGGAAATGAACAAGAAGGGTCGTCTGAAGCCGCTTCGACAGTGACTTCTGATCAACCTACCACGAAGGAACCTACCGAGAAGCTCACACTGCAGAGTTTTGAATCGAGCAAAGACGATGCCATGGTCAATGACAATGTCCCTACGATGGTCACGCGGGCCAAAACCAATCAGCGGTCCTCCCGTTCCTCAGTGGGAGGGCCTGAGGATAGAGACGATAGCGATGGGTCTGCTGATGACGACGTTGATGAGATCTATGTCAAAGATGCCTTCCTGGTGTTCAGAGCATTATGCAAACTGAGCCACAAGATCTTGACCCACGACCAACAACAAGACATAAAGTCCCAGAACATGAGGTCTAAGCTGCTATCATTGCACCTCATCCATCATCTCATCAATAACCATATCGCCGTTTTTACCTCTCCTCTTGTGACGATCAAGAATAGCTCGAGCTCTTCCGACTCCATGACCCTATTACAGGCAGTTCGTCCTCATCTTTGCCTCAGTCTCAGCCGAAACGGCTCGAGTTCTGTTCCTAGGGTCTTCGAAGTTTGCTGTGAGATTTTCTGGCTGATGCTTAAGCATATGAGGGTCATGATGAAGGTGAGTTAAAAAGGAGATATCGATTAGGAGCGTCTTGCTGATGACCTTCACAGAAAGAGCTAGAAGTGTTCCTCAAGGAGATTTATCTGGCTATTCTCGAGAAGCGGAACGCACCGGCATTCCAGAAACAGTACTTCATGGAGATTCTGGAAAGACTCGCTGCTGATCCACGTGCTCTGGTGGAGATCTATCTCAATTATGACTGTGATCGGACGGCACTAGAGAACATGTTCCAGGGGTACGTATATGAAAGGGTCCATTATCTAGGAGTAAAGCCATCTAACGTGCACAGGATCATCGAACAATTGTCTCGTTACTCGAGCAGTCCTGTCGCTGTGACAGCGATACAGCAGCAGCAATATCAGGAACAACATCTGAAGGTCCCTAGTAGTGCAACTGAATGGCACCAGCGTGGCACACTGCCACCGTCTCTGATTACCGCACATATCTCCAATCCCCAGCCATCTAATACACAAAACGTACCTCCTGAATACGTGATGAAGCAGCAAGCACTGGAATGTCTAGTGGGAATTCTGCGATCACTGGACAATTGGTCGTCACAACGTTTGGATGGCCCCGCTTCGGCTTCCCGCGAAGTAATATCCCGGAAGTCCAGCGATGTTGCCAGGGAGTCTATTGATACCACCACTGCTCTCGTCCTTCCGTCCCCCAGGATTGAAGGTGGCGAGGGAGGAACTGGTCGGTCGACGCCAGTCCCCGAGGATGATCCGAGTCAAATAGAGAAGGCCAAACAAAGAAAAACAGCGCTAATAAATGCCGTTCAGCAATTCAACTTCAAGCCGAAGAGGGGAATTAAGCTCCTCCTCCAAGAAGGCTTCATCCGCTCCAATTCTCCTCATGACATTGCTACATTCCTTTTGAGAAACGAACGTCTTGACAAGGCCATGATTGGAGAATACTTAGGAGAGGGAGACCCTGAGAACATTGCTATAATGCACGCTTTTGTTGACTCCATGGATTTCTCAAACCTTCAGTTCGTGGAGGCTCTGCGCAAGTTCCTGCAAAGTTTCCGTTTGCCTGGAGAAGCTCAGAAGATTGACCGTTTCATGCTGAAATTCGCCGAACGCTATGTGAGCGGCAACCCTAATGCCTTCGCCAACGCAGATACCGCCTACGTATTAGCGTACTCGGTTATCATGCTTAATACCGACCAGCATAGCAAGAAACTGAAGGGTCGCCGAATGACAAAGGATGACTTCATTAAGAATAACCGCGGAATCAACGATAACCAGGATTTGCCAGACGAATATCTCGGTTCTATCTTTGATGAAATTGCAACCAATGAGATCGTGCTCGATACTGAAAGAGAAAATGCTGCCAATCTTGAAGTCCCACAAACTGGTGGCCTCGCATCCCGAGCTGGACAAGTACTAGCGACCGTCGGGAGAGATATCCAGGGAGAAAAGTATGCTCAGGCATCTGAAGAGATGGCTAACAAGACAGAGCAATTGTATAGAAGCTTGATACGGGCCCAACGGAAAACAGCTATCAGAGACGCGCTTTCACGATTTATTCCAGCAACCTCTGTTCGCCATGTTGGTCCTATGTTCAATGTCACATGGATGTCCTTCCTTTCTGGTCTCTCGGCGCAGGTACAAGACTCGCAGAACTTGGACACTATGAGACTCTGCATGGACGGTATGAAGCTGGCAATACGCATATCCTGCGCTTTTGACCTCGAGACTCCAAGAGTGGCTTTCGTTACCGCTCTGGCCAAGTTCACGAACCTAGGCAACCTTAGGGAGATGATGGCAAAGAACGTGGAGGCCCTCAAGGCATTGCTGGATGTCGCTCTTAACGAGGGAAATCACCTGAGAAGCTCCTGGAGAGAGGTTCTCACATGCGTCAGTCAGCTTGACCGGTTCCAGCTGCTGACGGACGGTGTCGACGAAGGAGCGCTGCCGGACGTTTCCAGGGCACGTATTGTCCCTCAGACGAATACCGAGCTCCCTCGGAAATCTATGCAAGGAGTGAGACGCCCACGACCTCGGTCCATCAACGGACCTACATCTTTCCGAGCAGAAGTGGCCATTGAAAGTCGGTCAACTGAGATGGTTCGCGGAGTAGATCGGATATTCACCAATACTGCTAATCTCTCCAACGAAGCTATCATCGACTTTGTTCGTGCCTTGAGTGATGTTAGCTGGCAGGAAATCCAGTCCTCCGGACAGAGCGAGTCGCCACGCACATACAGTCTGCAAAAACTGGTTGAGATCAGTTATTACAACATGACGCGTGTCAGAATAGAATGGACCAAAATTTGGGAAGTCCTTGGAGAGCACTTCAACCAAGTCGGCTGCCACACAAACACCGCTGTGGTTTTCTTCGCTCTGGACTCTCTTCGCCAGTTATCGATGCGATTCATGGAAATCGAAGAGCTTCCGGGTTTCAAATTCCAAAAAGACTTCCTCAAGCCCTTCGAGCATGTTATGGCCAATAGCAGCACCGTCACGGTGAAGGATATGGTTCTGCGATGTCTTATCCAGATGATCCAGGCCCGGGGTGATAACATCCGATCCGGTTGGAAAACGATGTTTGGTGTCTTCACGGTGGCTGCCCGAGAACCGTATGGTATGTTACTTCAATACTTCGGGGCTGTCATTTGATAACGCCGCTGACACAACAACAGAAGGGATTGTCAACATGGCATTTGAACACGTAACTCAAATATACAACACCCGTTTCGGGGTTGTAATTACCCAAGGAGCTTTCCCAGACCTCATCGTTTGCTTGACAGAATTCTCAAAGAACATCAAATTCCAGAAGAAGTCGCTTCAAGCCATAGAAACCTTGAAATCAACAGTAACAAAGATGCTCAAGACCCCTGAATGTCCTCTATCTCACCGCCATACCGAGTACGCCAGCTTCCACGAGGATAACAGCACGAACCTTTCCCAACAGCTCAGCCGACAATCTCAAGAAGAGCAATTTTGGTACCCGGTGTTGATTGCGTTCCAAGACGTACTCATGACCGGAGATGATCTCGAAGTTCGGTCAAGGTATGGGTGAACCTACATCTCACACAATAATAATATACTAACTATTTTCCTAGGGCTCTAACCTATCTTTTTGATACCTTGATTCGCTATGGCGGTGACTTCCCGTCTGAATTCTGGGATGTGCTCTGGAGACAGCTCTTGTACCCCATTTTCGTCGTTCTGCAGTCAAAATCGGAGATGTCGAAAGTCCCTAACCACGAAGAGCTTTCCGTGTGGCTATCCACAACGATGATTCAGGCTCTGAGGAACATGATCACACTATTCACCCATTATTTCGACTCTCTTGAATACATGCTCGACCGCTTTTTGGGGCTGTTGACCCTCTGCATCTGCCAAGAAAACGACACCATAGCTCGCATTGGGAGCAACTGCCTACAGCAGCTAATCCTGCAGAATGTGACCAAGTTCCGGCAGGAGCACTGGACAAAGGTCGTTGGTGCCTTTGTGGAACTTTTCAGCCGAACAACGGCATACGAGCTATTCACTGCAGCAGCCTCTCTAACTAAGCCATCGGATGCTCGCAAGTCCTCCAATGGGGATGTTATTACTAATGACTCGACTCCTGAAACTGGCTCTGATGCAGCGTCAACTGCTACCGCATCAAACGTCAATGGTACCCAGACTACCCAACACGAGCATGAAGATGGAGATGTCCCGGCTGTACCTCAGGAAGGGACGCAAGGTACTACAGCTCCTCGACTGGATGACTACAGACCGCAGTTAGACGTACAACTACCGCAGGCTGTAACGGTTGCGCGGCGCCGCTTCTTCAACCGCATAATCACCAACTGTGTCCTCCAGTTGCTAATGATCGAGACGGTTCATGAGCTCTTCTCCAACGACAATGTATATGCAGAGATTCCAAGCCACGAACTTCTTCGCTTGATGAGTCTCTTGAAGAAGAGTTATCAGTTTGCAAAGAAGTTCAACGAAGACAAAGAGCTGCGGATGCAGCTCTGGCGCCAGGGTTTTATGAAGCAGCCTCCAAACCTTCTTAAACAGGAAAGCGGAAGCGCGGCAACTTATGTCAACATCCTCTTCCGCATGTATCATGACGAGAGAGAGGAGAGGCGAAGCAGTCGCGCCGCGACAGAGGCAGCCCTCATCCCGTAAGTTGAATCAATACGGTTCCTCCTTATTTAAGCTTCGCTTACTGACTGTCTTCTAGCCTCTGCGCCGATATTATCCGCAGCTACGTACTACTCGATGAAGAAACGCAGCACCGAAACATTATTGCCTGGCGGCCTGTTGTCGTGGACGTGATTGACGGCTACACGAACTTTCCTCAAGACACCTTCTCGAAATACATCGAGACATTCTACCCTCTGGGGATTGATCTATTAGGACGCGATGTCAGCCCTGATGTGCGTATCGCTCTTCAGCATCTATTTCGCAGAGTCGGTGAGGTCAAGTTAGGCCTTCCTCTGCAGACCTTGGTAGGGACAGCCGTTGTATCTGCCTGAAGTCCATCATCGCAGCAGTCCAACGTTGCACACTGGTAGATTGCGGGCGCCACTACCGCTTACGGCATTTGTCCTTCAAGAGCTTTCAGCATATTGATTCCCAATATATGTCGAAGATTTTCCTTAGCACTTTGCGCTACGAGTTCCTCGTTTCTATCATTCCCCCTGGGCGACCATGGATGAGAATTGGTCTTGTGTTTCTACGTTCTTGATTTGTATTTTGCAATCCAAACCTCGCGCATTCTCTTTTGAGCGCTAGGCGTTCTTCGCTTTTTGTATGTGCAAGAATTCCCGTGTCATGGAAGGGCTGTGCGAACTTAGCTAGTTATACCACGGGGAATTAGATGTCCAGGGTGATTGTTACCAATATAAATGTTGTACATTGGAAAGATAAGTACTCGTAACCGCTAACATGAGCGTACATATATCCATGGTCCAAGCTCTCTGGTTTTCTCCGTTAGAATCCTCATCTCTCTGGGAGATCATAACCCTTTAATTGGCGTCACGAATCGCCTTCAAGCTAGGAACTTCATCCGACTTGTAATAAGTGAGGAGTCTGTCCATTTCTCCTTCATTCATTTCGACTAGGTCTTCCAGACTCCATGATTCACAGACGCGAGACATCCTAAATAGAAGAAGTCAGAGTCGCTACCCTGATAAAAAAAAACACCGCAGGGTAGTTCTAGACACCCACCATTTCATACGCTTTGCTCCCTCCTCGAGATCGGGAGCGATCCCTCTTAGCTTTTTGCGTAGTATGCCCACATTTTCGATCGCTGCACCAGTATTCTTAGGCAGGGTCTCCGCGATCTTCTTCCGAATGATACTGGCCATTTTCGGCCCGTTTCCATTGGTACTCACCATAACCTGCAATGGCCCGTCCCGATGGACACTGCCGAAATAGAAGTCGCACTCCGATGGCACGTCTGCGATATTGGCAGGAATACGGCGCTCCTTGCAGAGCTTCCAGACCCTGGTCGAGGCTTCTGGGTCATCAACGGCACAGAGAACCATATCTGCCGCATCAAGATCTTGTGGCTCGAAGTTGCGATCGATATGAGATACTTGCTTCTCTGCAACGCGGAATGCTACTTCGTCATTCAGCCCAGACGAAGGGCAGACGACCGTGACTCTGGCATCTGCATTGAGCGCGTGTAAAATACGGCCAGCAGCAACCTGATACCCCGCTATCAATATCGTAAAAAAGATATATATATAATTTGATCTCAATGGCAATATGCATACCTCTCCGCCACCGACCACTAATACGTTCTTATCTTTCACCTGCCATGCAATGATCAGGGAGCCACCTCCCTGGACCTCTGGGAACCTCTGCGACATTATATTATATCAATTTATCGGCGAGAGGAGGCGGGGTAGTCTGTGATGCTGTCATAGCTTTCTTGCTGGACACAAAATTACGGCTAGCGGGACAGACCGCACGTGCTCAAATCTTTTCCCACTCGTCCGCACTTCTTTTGTCTGCTCTAGTTTTCCACACCCAACCAAACCTTTGGTTCACTTCACTTTTTTATCCAGCTTGCTCAACCTCTTGGCCTAGCTTCCATCCGATGTCCTCAACGGCTCTCTTGCTATAGAGGACCCGAACAGACTCCCATAATGAGAGGGGTTCAGATTTTTAGCGGGACATCCCACCCCGTCCTCGCTGAAGCTATCTGTGAGCGCTTGGGTACCGTCCCCGCCAAAGCTCAGCTGGGAAAATTTAGCAATGGCGAGACGAGCGTGAGCATTGGTACCTCTGTCCGCAATCAAGATGTCTACATTGTCCAGAGTGGAAGCAACAAGATCAATGACAGTGTCATGGAGCTCTTGATTATGATCTCGGCCTGCAAAGGCGGCTCCGCAAAGTCTATCACAGGTCGGTAACTCAACCGTGCTCCCACTTGATTGCTTATCGAATATCAGGACAGAATGCTGACTGTGGCTCTAGCGGTGATCCCGTAGGTTGTTAATCCTATGCAGAATACATAATGGACACTGACCTCCTCGAGATACTTTCCGTACTCTCGCCAGTCGAAGAAGAAGAGCCATCGGGGTGCCATCACTGCCCGCATGCTTGCCAATCTCCTTTCCGTGGCTGGAGTCGATCATGTGATAACTCTGGACTTGCATGTATGTACAGCACAAACTCTCCGGAGGCTGTGCACTTGTCTAAGACTGATGTCGAACAGGCGTCCCAGATGCAAGGGTTCTTTGGCAAGCCGGTGGATAATCTCTTTGCCGAGCCATTCATTGCTCGTTGGATCAAGATCAATGTTCCCGGCTGGAAAGACGCTGTCGTCGTCAGTAAGAATGCCGGTGGTACGAAGCGAGTCACTTCTTTGGCCGACACCCTGAAGCTCAACTTCGGAATCGTCACGACTGATAGGCGGCGAACCAAGGTGCCTAACGCTATGAATGACAGCACGATCTTTTTCGATTCCATCGAACAAGATTGTGGAAAGCCTCTACCGAAGGACCCGGCGTCTACTGAGGAGGCAGTTGTTGAAGACTCCAAGCTTCCCTTCACTAATGCAGACCAGCTAGGTCCCTTGCCTCCCTCCAAGACTATGTTTCCTCATGGTCTGCGACCAGAAACCCCTCCTGCAGCCCGTCGTCCGTCCGAGTTGGAGGCTGCCCATGACTATACTGATGGACGTGCCCGAGATGTGATCACCGGTAGATTTGTCCAGGGCCAGCTTGTGGATGACGATTACCCATCTCCTGTCATTTCCACGTCTTCTACTCCTGCAAATGGGGCGGCGAACAAGGAGAATCACGAGAACCTGCCAGATTCCATGATGGCATCCTTTGTGTCCACTTCCTCCGTGCAGCATTCTCTTGCAGGGACCTTCGAGGAGCCTGAGTCTGACGATGACGGCCCCACGTGTCCCCATGGAGCCGAAGATGAGAAGACCATAACTCTCGTGGGAGAGGTTAGGGGTAGGACGGTGTTTTTGGTAGACGACATGATTGACAAGAGTGGCTCTTGGATAATCGCTGCTGAGACGGTGGTCAAACGAGGCGGCGCGCGTAAAGTCTACTGCATTGCTACCCACGGTTTATTTGGGGACAACTCCCTGGAGCAGCTGGAAGCCTGCGAGTCGATCGATTACATTGTCGTAACGAACTCGTTCCCCATCTCACCGATGATGATGAAGACTTCTAAGAAGTTGATCGTCATCGATGTCTCTACCCTACTGTCGGAGGCAATCAGACGGCACCACTATGGCGAAAGGTATGTGGTTCAAGCTGTTTGAGATGATGACAATGAGAAAGTTTCGGTGACTGACAAGCTTCTAGTGTGTCGGCGCTCTTCCAATTGAATGACATTATTTAGGCTACGATGATCATGTATTAAGGTTTCATATTTCGAGGTAGTTATCCTACCATCGCTCAACGAATGTTTACGACAGTGCACTCCATACCGGCTGATATGCCGACGGCGTTAATGTTCACAAAAGGTCACAGGGCATCATTATGGGCAATTACGGCTTGGGGCGGCTCTTTGTATTATCTTACGTGGTCTTCTAGGTAAATTTTCGAACGGTGTCCTTCTATGCGGATCTACACTCTTGAGTGTCCGCAACGTCACTTTCTTCCGTGTGCTTGTTTCATGATTCCCCCAGGATGTTACCTTCATATCACTATGCAGCTGTGAGAATGTCTTGACTTGCTCAGCATGGCATGTCTCTAGTGGGCTATATGTGGATATTTCCATACAGTCCTTCCGAGGACGAGATTTTCAAAAACACATACCAGCGATGCAGAACCTTCGGGGTACTGCAAGAGGATCTTGCGAGAAGGTCAAGGGCTTCCTTGCCTTCTTTCTCACCACAAAGATCATTCTTAACGGAGCGTTGGAAGAACAGACAAACGGGTTCCAGGTGGCTTCCATCTTTCCTCTGCCGTCTTAATGGACGGTAGTAGGCGGATGATCGACGCTTGGTTCCCGTACGAGGAATGAAGGCATCGCTTTTAGAGCCTTTCCATTTGGACTGGCTTTGCGGCTTCTGTCGGTGGAAGCGGTGCAAGAGAACATCTCGGACATTTCGTCAACATTTTCGGGTCTTTTTACTTGCATAGTTAGGACCTTGTGTAATATCATCCAGAATATCATCTTGTTTGCTCGTCTCGGTAGTACAGTACATTGATCTACACGCCTGTGGTAGTGCATTGATTCCTTCCGGGCTGCGGGCTGCAGCAGTTCTCTTTCGCCTCATCTTCAGAACATAGCCACGAGGACGTAGTCTACAAATGTTCAAGCAGGTATCCATCTCCAAGGCAGGGGACATTGTATCTCGTCTCACCGCTCGATTGAGAATTTGTCGTGTGCTCCGGAATTGACTTTGACTATTATTATTGCATATGTATGCCTCGATACTATCCGTCCTTACCGACACTTCATGCACGAGTCAGCACGACAAACAGGTCAAGAATTTGTCATGGTTGTATCGACTGAGTCGGGACTCGATTCGTTTGTGTGGAAAGAAGAGAAACCCGCAATTCCCCGAGATGCGAACAGAGTTTCCCTTGGAGACGAAAGTTGTTAGCTTCTTCTCGGTTTGTTGAGCCGCAAGGGATAGATTGGCGTCTCGGAGAAATGACGGCGCTGCACGATCAATAAAGCCGACTCCATTCATAGCAATCGTGATCTCGCTGATTTCTAGAGCATTCGGGCCTTGCCTCAGGACGGATTGGATTGATTGGAAGACTGACCATTCCATAAGAGCAAGTTGCAGGAAATCAGTCACATAGTACTATATCTACGTAGATCATCTCAAGTCGGACTGTGCTTGGACATCATGGTCGAAAAACAGACACTTCTTCCCTTTTTCAGCTGGTGGGCCAACGCCAATTGGATCGACGAAGCCATGATTCCTCTCGAACAGAAAAGCACATTGACACTGGACCCCTTGGCGATGTGGAGGGCCGGCGTCGGATTTGTTCTCGATAGTATGGCCTCGGCGTCGCTTATTCCTTGCAAACTATCGTGGAATAGTGCCGTGCCTGTCCAACTATGGTAGACGATCCCCAAAAAAAGAGAAGCTCATGGCAGTTATTTCCCCTGATTAACTTATCTTTAGAGGGTCAATCGGTCTAATCTACTACTGACGGGCTTTCTTTCGCAACCAATTTTGATCCGCACTGCGGTTCGACTGATCCGGCTGTAGATAATGCTAGACGGACAATCGAGGACCCTGAAAGCTGGACCAGCACGTTGTGGCCGATCTCTCGTTCTTCTCCGATTGTGCCTGTTGAGATTCGGCCTGGAAGTCTGCTTCCTTTCTGGCCACATGGACAATCGGCTCGGGAGATCCTATGCTGTACTCTCCCGTCCACGTTTTCTCATTTTTGTTCTCTGTGATCTCGTTTTCGCTTCGTGATATCACTGTGTCGCTCCCATTCCCTACACGGAACACTGATCGACGTTTCGGTGCCACGAAGCTCGGGAATAGTAGCAAAGCTGTCGATTGCCGAATCTGATTGTTTTCTCCTAAGCCGAGACGGGTGTTCTCGATTTTGAGCACGACTAGTTAATTGTGACTGACGTCCCAACAATGGAACGTGAAGACTGAAACTAACTTAGCTACTATCTATTGTTATTATTACACTGCCGCTATCCAACGCCGTTGCGATTCCCACCGGACTGGATTACAGACAGACGTTTGCTTTCGGGCCTCATCTTCAGGACAACATGCAGACTTCCGCCCAAGGAATTCTAGAATACTCAGCTCGGAATAAGAATCATATACAAATTAGCTGCTTGTGTGCAGACGGCGACGCACTCAGTCGTACACGGGCCACTATGAAGTCTCCTTCGAGGAGATGATGGGGCCTATCTAGTGTGAGATCTCGAATTTCAGCCTCCACCCAGCCCAAGGTCGATCTTCTTGGATGCGGGAATCAGGCCCAAGCTTGAAATGACAGGCGATGGCCCAGAGTGACGGGCGGGATCTTCCATATAGACGCATCCAGTGGTCGGACAAGATGATGATAACCCGGCCGAACATCAAACCCTAGCGGCTTTTCTCGGGAGCGACCCGGAATGGGGAGGTCTTGGAGACTTTTGAATCATTATTGAGAACGGTCATTAAGCTCTGCCATCTAACTATCTATGTTGATGTGCTTGAAATAGATCCCTGGATGGAACGGGTGACAAGGATCCTTGTCCCTGCTTAGGGCAGCTCCAAGAGCCGGAGTGTCGGGGCTTAAGCCTAGCAGCGTTGGAAAAAGAAATGAACTGCAGCCGTCCCCAAATGACTATATCAATAGCCCCTTGGTTCACTAACCTGGTTGTCGGGACGGCGGACGCCCCGTAGAAAAACCCCGTCCGGTATATGATCTACCTGTGGCTGATCGAGAATACGTCTGCCGCAGCCAGTTATCCTCGATAGCTTGCAGTACCACTGGGAGCGCGCCCCTGTCTTACCTCGAGCACTGCAGGGAACCCCCGGAAGAGTTGTCACAATCGACCGCACTAGGGCTGCTGATAGTCCTTTGATCACGGCGACATCTCCCGCGCGGTGACATCTTGGGTCTCGTGCGGTATTCCGTGGCCTTCTACATGGTCCTGTTTCAAGTTGTGGACTCGTTCAGATTGACCATTTATCAACTAGTGACTGCTTCCTCAAATTCGGGCAGCCTCGCTTTTCAGTTGCTGTGAAACCGGGAAGAAAGGAATAATATGGACGTGCCCTGGATCAGCAGTATCACCTAGTTTCCACCCAGGTTTTTTCTAAATATTGACTTAGATACATAGAACGTTCCTGGTGGACTCCTCGGCACCGAGTTAGCGGAACCCAGGCTAGACTTCTCATTCAAACTCTGCAGTCGAAGCTTTTAGTTAGAACAGTTTAGTGACTGCAGGCTCACCCAATCGGCAGTGCACCGCAGCATAGTTGACCAGCGAAAAACAAAAGGGCGTAGACGCCAACCGCGCAACCTCCTGGGACCAAACTGCTCTAGTCCGTACATCACATCTTCGGGACGGCATCCGCGAAAGAACCTTGGGTTCCTGGGTGGGCGTTTGGTGACGTCTGGACCTGTGAAATGGGGTTCTTCGCTTTTACTCGGATCTCCTGTCAACTATGATCCAAACGATTCCACCCCCCTTTCGGAGACCTCCATGCTTTCCGCGGCCCGAACAAGTGAACTTCTGAAGTTTAGAACCGCCCAGAGCGCCGCGCAGCTGGATCCTCCTTCAAATGTTGGAAACCAGATCGGGGTCGCTTGCATCTGCCCCAGAAAGGCGCAAAGCTGGGGCGCGCACAATGCAGCTGTCCATACTGTTTGTGCAAAGATGAGGAATGCCCCCTCCCCAATCATCCTCTCTTCTGACCCAGATCCGCCTTGTCCCTTGCTACACCAGAGATCACTATCTGGTTCCATCCGAGTACACATGTCGGTTGTGATCCACACGGGAAGGGACGGCCTCCACTGAGCCACGGTTCAACCTCTTGTGCAATCCTGTCGATGTGCGGTGAGTAAACCCATCTTTGACCCGGTTACTTGCGTCTGACTTCATTCGGGATGAACCTTTTAAGAGGAGCTGTATGTCCACATGGAAGAATATCTCTCTGCTCCAGCACTACCAACCAACAATAATACTTTGATGTTGTGCGGATCATCAGTTCTTCAGACCCCTTGGAGAAGTTCTTTGTGATTGACTAGCATATCACTTTCTTTTGTTCACGAATTTGATTCGAGTGCCATTGCGAGTCGTCGCGGATATATTCTTATCATTATCTCCAAGGTAATCTACAGTGATAAAGAATCTCGTTCGTTGAACTCGAGTGTTTGTTTTGTCTGACCCTTTTTTACGGCAGCAATTTCTTTCATTGTTCGCGGATTCGATACATTCATCTGCTATATCTGTCCGCTCAGATTCCTCCTCCTTTCTCTGTTTCTTTTCCGACCTCCAATCTATTCAGTCTATTCAGATTTCTGCGCCTGCTGTCTTGCGTCTGCAGGCAACAGCTAAGCCTGCGTTAGCAGTAATTGGTCCCATCTCTCTGGAGACTCCGCCTGATCACCAATATACAGCGCTAGCCCACGCCCCTAGATTGATCGACAGAGTTCTGATATAGAGTCTCAAACGCGCGCCAATAGTGGCCCCCAAGGAGTGGATTCATTGGACAGACCGATTCAACTCTAAGGTAGAGAAAAACAAAACAGAGATCAATCGCCCGCCATGGCAAACCACTGCTCCGGACACATCTTCGCAATCGTGCAGGCAACAAACGGAAACATCCTGACCTGGCGATGCTCTGATTGCAACTCCGGACCCTTCGTGGCAATATGGCGTTGCAAGCTCTGCGGTCATAACCGCTGCAATGCTTGCTACACCGCTAAAGCTTAGCTTGATGGAGTGTAGCCTTTCCTGTAAGTGCAATCCTGCCTTTCTTGGCCTGTGCGAGTCCCCGCAGCATGGCTCAATTAGTGTTATGCATACCAGCCGCGATACCACGAGGTACGCTGAGGTTGATGAAGATGGCTAATCAAGGTCTCAGAATAGATTGTTCTGGTGCAGCATCTGGATTGGCCGCTCGCCGAACGATGTATCTTTTCGCTGCAAGGTATCGGCGTGTACCTGCAGCAGATCGCGCACTACGCTATTCCGACTATTCTGATATCTTATCGACACGCACATATAGACTTCTTTTGCCACGCACCCGCTCCTTGTTTACTGCGACACCGACTCGCCGGGCGACTGGCAGTTTAATGTTTCCAAAGAATCTCTTTGATGAATTTTACGATAGACGTGCAGCCTCGAGGTCCACCGGATTACCTGCGTTGCACAACACATGATATGGCCATGTCCGCCTTATATTCATTCTCCACCAATGATTGCTTTTACGGTCATCCACCCTGACAGTTGTACCGCATGAAAGACGTTCTCTCGACTCCTATCCGTCTACACGCTTCTCCTTCTATATGGCGCCTCGTTGAATCTCGCTGTCATTGTATCCATTGCATTGTTGGGGTGCATCAGAAACGCCGATTGTCGACACCTGATGCCTCGCAGTTGCAGTTGAACGAGCCCTGTGTACCACTCCCTGTCCCTTGGCATCATTCAATGCGGTTGCGCGGTGACGAGACAGAGTCTTTGCTCTCTGTGACTAGTTTCTGCAACAGGAAAAGTTGTCCCGGTTCCCCTTTCGTGGGACTTCTTGTCTTACCTTCGACTTTTTACGATATTCATTGTCTTGATTTGGCATCCTCGTGATCTCTAGGCGATTTTTGTCTGTCCATCAAAGGTGGGGTATTTATGTGGGTGCACTACCATGGAGCGGTTACATTCATGTGTTCTTCGATTTCGGCGTTACTATTCTATCTAATCTCTGCGTTAAGCGTGTCGATATTTTTGCTGCGCTGGATCATATTTTCGGGGTTCCGGTTTTCGGTTTCTTTCTCTTCTTTTTCAAACTCGGCTTCAAAGCTACATGGGCAGGAAGCATGTGCTGGTGGGGAGTTCACCAGCCACGTCTGTTTCGGGTTACATTTGGTTATCTTCCGGGCGTTCATCTTCTGCACAGGACCAGTTCGCGATAGTCTCGGGGGGCGTTTGTTCCCCCAAAAGTACTGTACGAAGGCGCACTAGACAATGACAATAGAACTATTGCTCGACGAAAACTGGCTGTATTCTTCTGTTTTACTGTACAAGAGTGAGGCTAAGCAAGTCATGGAAGTCTAGAAAGCCAGATTCTCTTCGTTGGTTGTTGGCTCTTTGATGCCCGAAGTGATACTACATATTGATGGGAGCGGTAATGTGCAGCCACGGCCACGAGGTCCTCTGCAGGCTAGCAATCCAAAGTGATCAGATCCAATGGCCCTAAATATCATTTCAGGGAAGAACCACGAGGGTAATAATAATAGTCAACACTACATCCACCATAGCCTATAACTATATCGACTCGCAACCCTGAACCTAAGCCCTAAGCCCTGACGCAGTTCCCGTTCGGGATGTTATAAAGAAGTGGCCCGTGCGTTCATCTGGCGCGCGACGCGTTTGCGGAAACCAAGAGAGACCGACGCGTTCCACCGCTGCGGAGATGCGAAGAGGGAGGTTGTTCTGGTTACCGGAAGTGTTGTTGAAAGACTACGACCTCTGCGATCTGGAGTCGATTCGTGGTTCGAGACACTAATCGATTTTCCAGCCCACGCAATCAACTCATTCCTTTTTCTTCTCTTTCTTTGAACTGCTTCTGTCATCATCATGAGTTCAGAAGCGGTTCGGCCTAGGGGCAGACCAGCCCGTGAGTTTCCCTACGTGATCATTGCTTGCTTTTCAGAAGGGAGGTTATGAGGATGACTTGGATTTTGCTGATGTGCTTTTTGCATTTCAATTGCAGATACGCCTGGAACGACAATTCTCACATACACACCGGATGGAAAACGGGTGATAACCGCTGGATCGAACTCTGCCATCCGAATCTATACCGTTGGGCAGGATGGAGAGCCAACAACAGTGGATGAAGGTGTGGAAGGGCATTTTGGAATTGCAGCTACTGTATGCATGCATATCTTTCTCTCTAATCCTAGCAACCAAACCATTGGAGAAACGCGATGCTTATACATATTTGCAAATTAGAATGACACGTTCGTCATGGGTGCGGAGGATGGGACAGTATGGCAGTATGAGCTGCAGTCAGGGAAAATGGAAAAGCTCCTGGTGCGATGCGCGCTTCCGATTAGAGATCTTGATATCTCAAGAGATGGTGAATGGGTTGCTGTCGCGAGCGAGTAAGCCGATCGATAGTGTTTTTTTTCCTGCTGTTTTTAAGATATGGGAAACTGATATGCAGTATAGCGAATTGACGGTTAAGATTGTCAATGTGGAGGATATGACAAAGGTGAAATATTTGCGCGATCAGAGCAAGGGCTCGAAACATGTCTCTTTCGATCCTAGTGGACGCTATATCGCCGTCTCCTGCACGGATGGATTACTCTACGTATATTCGCTAGCTTCAGAGGAGCCGGAGTTGGTGCGAAAACTGGATGGCGTGATTCGAAGACTTGAAGCAGAGGAAGAAGCTACTTCGAGCGCTGTTTGGCATCCTGATGGGACGGCTTTCGCGACGGCCCAAGCGACTAGGGATATTCTGGTTTTCTCGACGATCGAGTGGGACAAGCAGAAGACCTTTTCTGGGGGTCATAATGGCGAGGTGACGGCCCTGAGCTGGTCTCCGAATGGCGCCCTGCTGGCAACTGCGGGTGCAGATGGCCAGATTCTGCTTTGGGAAACGAAGACACAGAACATCCTACGACGTTACGACTTCGCCAATGTCATCAACCTAGCCTGGCACCCTACGGATAACTGCCTCTCTTTCACTACCTCCGATGGTGAGCTGTTTATTCACGATGATTTTGTGCCTCGTGAGTACACGCCGCTCTTGGAGAAGCCTCTTCAATCTGCTCCTCTCATCTCCGCGCCTCTTGCCGAGACCTCCGGTAATGTCAGACGGCCAGTACCAAGCAGGCCGAAGGAAGGATTGGAGAATAGAGGGAGAGGGGGTACACCGGACTCTTTGGATGATATTCTTGGTCCTATGGATGAGGATGACGATTTCATTGAAGACGACGACGGGGCTGGGTATGCTGAGGGCATTAATGCGTATGGCAAGCGGACGAACGGCCACTTGGATGATCTCGACGGCCACTATGACAAGAAACAGTCTACAGGATTCTGGAAGCCCAAGACACATTCGCCGCTTCAACCAGGAAGCACTCCTTGGCGTGGAAACAGGAGATATCTTTGTAAGAGACCTCATATTTGTACCCAGCAAACACGAACTGAACTTCTCCAGGCTTGAACCTCACTGGATTCGTGTGGACTGTCGATCAGGAGACTCACAACACAGTCACTGTCGAATTCTATGACCGTGAACTGCACCGGAACTTTCATTTTACCGACCCTTATCTATATGACAAGGCTTGCTTGAGTATGACTGCTTATCTGAATCGTGTACGCGGCCTGCTGACAAGATCTTAGACGAAAATGGCACGCTCTTCTCCAGTCCTGCCACGGACGGGAACCCGGCTACGATCTTCTACCGCCCGCATGAGACGTGGACAACCCGGACAGATTGGCGCACCCAGCTACCGGAAGGGGAAGAGGTTAGAGGTGAGTATATGTGACCATGTCGTATAGGATAGTTGTTGACGGTACCTAGCGTTGGCCCTGAGTGACAACTATATTGTGGCGGTCACTACAAAAGACTACGTCCGTGTATATACCCTGTTTGGTACGCCCTACAGGATCTATAGGCAAAAGAGTCCTGCTGTCACATGTGCTGCGTGGCGGGACTATGTCATGACGGTGGGCAACGGGCCTGTAGGAGCCTACGGCCACGCAACCTTGAAATACTCGGTCGAAAATGTGAAGCGAGATGAGATCCATCAGAATGAGGACGTGGTTGCCTTGCCGGAAGGAGCAGAGCTGCGGAGTGTTTTCTTTTCCGACAATGGAGTGAGTAGCCACCGGTCAGAAGTCCTGCTTGATGCATACTAATTCGTTGTAGGACCCCTGTATATACGACTCCGATGGCGTTCTGCTCATTCTCCAGCACTGGCGCATGCAGGGCCAAGCCCGTTGGGTCCCCCTCCTTGACACGAAACAGCTAGAACGTCTGGCTGGTGGGCGCAAGGAGGAGACCTACTGGCCCGTTGCGGTGGCTCAAGATAAGTTCCACTGTATCATCTTGAAGGGTGGAGAGAAGTATCCATACTTCCCGCGACCTTTGCTCAGTGAATTCGACTTCCAAATCCCCATTTCTACGGCTCCACGCAAGGATAACGAGAACGAGGAAGAGGCAGCGGCCCGTAACGACGGCTCTCGCTTCGAAGAGGCCTTTGTCAGGCAAACACTCTTCCTCACCCTCTTCCAAGACCTTCTCTCGTCTACGAATGCTACTCCTAGCCAGCGCACCGAAATGGCACGGAAGGAACTTGAAGTCGACAAGGTCCTTCTGCAGATGCTGGCTGTCGAATGCCGCGAGGGTGAAGAGCGCGGCATGAAGGCCCTCGAGCTTGTCAGTCTCATGAAAGACCGCAGCGGTAAGATGCTCGAGGCGGCCAGTAAGGTGGCTCAGAGATACGGACGGACCGTATTGGAGGATAAGATCCGCGAGATCGCCGAGCGACGAATCATGGGAGAGGATGAGGATGATGAACTTGCCTGACTTGAACCTGTCTGATGATTGTATGTACTCTATATGCGGACTTCCTTTCTTGTTTTCTGGAACACGGGCGTCTTGGAATGCTTAGGATCGACACCAATGAACATAATGCACTATCGAACCCATCTTACATGAACCCCTTTTCACTATCGAGTCTCAGATTACCATCCGAGATCCACTTGTTAGGCTTTGCGAGGACGCACCAGAAAGCCTCCGTGATCACAATAAATAACACTCCGATCGTTTCAGCTCAAACTTTACCCCCACGCACACGCATAGATCAACAACTACCCCATAAAGAATCCCTTGCCTTTCTCCAGATTAGACATCCTCCAAGATGCTGACTCTGCACCAGATAATAACAATAGATAATAAGATATACTTCTAAATTACATTACTCACATGTGTACGAGTAACATACATAGTGTGTGTTATATCCACATGCATATTAGCATCAGCCAGCTACTACTTCCCGAATCTTGCCTCTTCGTATCTGCACGATATATGCAGGACGGAAAGTAGATCTCAAGGAAAATAAACATACATGGTTAGAAAAAGGTAAAAGAATCATGTCCGATTGGATACTATAGACAGCTTTATTTGCCGAGTATTTCTGTAAGTATGGTTATATCAGCTAAAAAAGAAAACGAGAAAAACAGAAAAAAGGAAGAAAATAAAAGGGCGACTTCTGTTTCAGTTGATTCTGTTCTTTTTCTTTTTCTGTTTACTTTTTCTTTTCCTTGCTTTGCTTTTGGCGGTAGTAACAGCGAAGTAAATGTAGTGAGAGATATTATCGGCGCTCACGGCTTCAAAGGAGGCAAGCTGCCAAACGCCACCATCACCCTATTATAAACGGTATAGAACAAACAGCTTAAAGCCACCTATTTCCACCAATATATGATCAAAGAAGACACACCGGAATTGGGAAATGCTCAGGAATAGTAATAGAGGCAGTGCAGTGATATACTATTCAGGATAGAGTCCTCGATAGACTTCGGTACCCTCTAGTTCTTCAAACGATCAAGCTTCTATTACCGGATTAAGTTCCATTCCAATACCTTTGTCTTCTTCAAAGTTATGACTAGAAGAGAAAACGCGATTTGCTGTATGTGCTTGCTTTATCTTATCAGATTTCTTCATGGGATCGGGAAAAAGCCGGTTCTGTGTTCGACAGACTAGAATACGAAACACATAGGGTATATAATACAGTGACTTGTGACTACTTTATTATGGTGAGAAGCTAGGATAATGAATGGTGCTTGTATAGGTATGGGGAAATTTGTCTGTTATTGTCTCCGGAGAGCGTTTCCAGTTCGTTTTCTACTGTGTATACATCGATTAGAGAAATAGGTGGTGAGTGGTAGGTTGAGATGTTGAGATTAGTTCATGTTTATTCTATTGCTGGTAAAACTATCATTGGGTTATTATCCTGCTGCTAGCTGATTGTAATGACTTTCTATAGTTCGAGATAACGTTGATACGGAATTGGATTCCGGTGTCAGACATGCAACCTGCTCGGTTGTGACGATCAGTATTGAAAGAACAACATATCTCTGCCATCCGGGGACAAAATAAACCACAATAAAAGACATACTGACGGGTTAATGGCTGAAAAAAGTCCGTATGTTCGGAATGAATCGGTGGTTTCGATGGGGGCGGCTTGGCTCGGCGAACAAAACGTCATGAGAACTTCTAGGTACGGCGACATCTCCAGCTTCTACTTTTTTCTCCGCAAGCTTCTAGAACTCCGCTACTCCCAAAGGCTTCATCTATGCATCTATCGCGCTCCATCACCGTCCCTTGCGGCTCTGCGTTGGTCTGTAAGCATCATAGACCTTTCTCGTGATGCCGAAACTTCGAGTCTGTCACTCTACTACGCCGCCTATCCAATGCGTCCTCCGTCTTTCTCCGCGTTCATCGCGTCCAGCGCGGTCCTCTCATCGTCTTCGTCCTCGAACCTACGTCTCAAACGCATCCCAGAATCTAGCACAGTGGCGCATCGGACCCCATGAGGAGCTATGGTTCACTCCGTCTTCACCACAGCTCTTCTCGCCAACCGGCGCTGGCGCATTCGATAGTCCAAATGGAGATGCGAATGGTGGCCACCGGCCCCCAGATGAACGGATAATCAAGCTTGGAAAGAGTAAGTGATGAGACTGTTCAACTCGTCCCACCCGTGAGCACATCATATTGGTTTCCAAGATGCTGACCTCAACCAATTGCTAGCTCTACGGATTCTTTCCCCGCTACTACCGACAATGCTTGTAAACCCTCTTCCACCAGAGATCCTCTCCCCGCATGTCACCCTCCATCTTTTCCCGTCGACACACCCACATCTGCCAACAGTCAGGGGTCGAGTACTATATCGTGCAGCCTTGTGGACGGTACCGGTTGCCTGGAGTAGCGTACCGCTGGTCGGAAACGTCAAGCTGCAGATTCTAAGCGAGCGGATGGTTCGCGCAGGAACAGTGATCGATTCTCGGCCAAGCGGCGAAAACGACTGTGGCGATGAGCGGCTTGTTGTACGCTGGAGAACGGAGGCGAGAAATGAACATAATGAGCCAGTCAACTCTGCGCATCAGAGTAGTCGTCAGGCAGCCTCTACAGACGGGACAAACAAGGGTCTCAGCGTCCTCCTTGGAGGCGAAGCGCCCATATTCAAATTGTCCAAGGAAGAGCAATTCACCGGACTCTTCATCTTCTCTTTTGATGAGGAAGGTCGAATCTCCAGCCATACCATCGAACATGCGGATGATGCTGATGGATGGGATCGCACCGCGAAATTCGTCACGTTGACAGACTGGCTGCTTGGGAAAGCACGAGGTTCTATGGATCCGTCCGCAGGCCCTGGGTTGGCTATACATGGTTGCAATAGTCTGGACTCTCTTCGTTCAGGACGGACGCACGCTTGAATACTACGCACAACTGAACGTGGTCAACGCGGCGGTAGATGGCCTTGCCATTCAACTAAGGCTTAGAAGTCACTCCATCTTCCGGAGGAAGCCGCCAGTTCTATCATTTCCACGATGTGGACGGACGCGCTCTTTTCAACGCATACTAATCCGTATCCCTCATTCGTGGCGTGTTTCCGCTGTGCCAGACGACCATATTACTTTATCTCTCCTGTATGATATCCTGTGGATGTCTGATCTCGGTGCTCTGGAGCATTTGTATTGGCGGGTTCCTGCATATCATGATATCTGCATTGTAAGAATAGGCGTAGGCGTTCTTTTCGTGGTTCACTATCTATGTTATGAATATGCTCCGACTCCCATGTATCGCAATCTGATCTCTACTCTGAATATACCCACTATTCCATATCTTATCTTACTGCAATGTATTCTATGCTTTAAAATGATCCGAGGTTGACACTTATCGATCAAGTAGATTCTTTGAGCGTCTCTCTACAAAATGTAGATCTCACCATCAAGGTCTTGGTGGTGGAATTGGACAGGGATTCGGACCATTTCCCACAACGTAGTTTATCAACTGATCTTCCCGGACCGTCAGCCTACTACCAAAAGTAACGCTACTACTAAAAGTAACGTGCAACCAGGAATTATCCATCACGTCATCGAAGCAGCCGCTCTCAATCTGCATCTGTGTCTCCCGCATCGCATCCAATATCTCGCCCACATACCCAAGCATGAAGAGCGTTTTCTTCACAGACACCGTTCGAAGCGTGGAAGAGTGTCTTCGCAGAAACACCGTGAAGTCGGGAACGGACACCCCAAAGCCCTGCACGGTCAGAACTCGCAAATTGGGGAAATACGCCTCTCTGTTGATAGGGACCATTGTGATTCTGATTCCGAAACCAGTAGCCTTGCCCCCGAAAGGGGAACCTGATTCAGAACAATCTTTGAATCTCAGATTGAGCGACTCCAACTTCGTGCAGTATCTGTTCAAATCCCAAGCTTTCATGTCCATTCGAGGTTCGCCCCTATCATGCCAGTTATAGGGAGGAGGATGGGGACTGAACAGTGTGATATCAAGACGCTGGACATGCGGTAAAGAGCTGCGCAGATGAGATCCCCTCGCTAGAAGCATGTTGATCGCGTTGCAGTTCCCTGAATACGCCAGTATCGACAGCTCCTTGCACGGCATCAAGCATTGCAACGCGACTTTGATCGGCCATCCCCCAACCGCATATTGCGAGGGCGCTCTCTTGCTGAGCAGATAGAAAGGTAGCGCCCACGTCCCGTACTTATACAGCATTCCCGATTTCAATCTCAGCGAAAGCGGTATAGTTGCCATGTCCCATTCACTCTGAATCGTGGAACACTTCTCGATAGTGAACCTCTGCAGGGCTTCCCGAAGCCGCTTGACATGCGAGTCCATATCCTTCGACAGCTGCGCCTTCAACGCAGATTGCGCCGCATACAACTGCGCATGCACATCCTTAAAGGTCCTGCATTGGACATGATCCAGCGGATACAGAGCCAGGCCGAAATGTAGCATGAACTCGAACTCGTTGGTCAACGAACCCTGGATTTCTCGAAGGTCCCAGATGATCTCGTGAACGAATGTGCGGAGTTTCTCGTCCTTCGAGATCCTGATGACGTTGTTGTAGGAATCGGTGCAGAAGGTGATGTACAACTTCCGGAAGAGATGTCTGGTTGTTAATTGTGCGTATTTTCTGTTCGTGAGCCGGAATTGTTTCAGGTATAGTGGGCTCAGGGACTCGCAGATCATATCGATGACTTCGATGGGGAGGTCATTTAGATTAGATTTCATGGTCATCGATATCGGAATCGGGGGTTCTCTTTCATTTGGCATCTTGTATGTGGATATGGACGAGCTCGAGTCGAATGATGAGATTGCTAGAAGTGATGAGACGAGATGAGAGGAGAAATTTCGATGAATTAGGACGCGTTGTGAGTGAAAAACATAGAATAGAGACGCGTGGTTAGGTTGTCAAAGAAAGCAGTGTCAGTAAAAAGCAGCAGTGGTGCTAGCATAACACATCAACGAAAACAGTAGGTACGTCGTGTAGTCACGAGAAGCCCTTCAACTGCAGCAGTGCAAGTTATTACGGCCACGTAGCATTTGCTTTAAGTGAAAAACCAGGGGAAATCAACCGTCATTAATGGCAAAGCTCGAAGGAAGTAAATATACTGATTAAGACAGTATTCACGTGCTCGAAGCCAACGAAGTGAGTGAGAGAAGAGTAACGAGTTCCCTTAATACGGAGTCCTGGAAAAAGACTTTAGAATCTATCTAGCTTTGATATAGTACTCTAGAAGCAAGACTTCAGATTAACCCTAGGGACATGTCTGACTCCAGGCAGACAAAGAGCATATAGATGATGGCGTTCATAATATTCGTATTATCAGATCAGCAGTAATAGGTGTATCAGTGGCCACATCATATGCCCAGCTACCCTGAAATAGGTACCAGTTTACATTGAAGATCAAAAACTAGGTATGCTTCCACCAGATCTTCTCTCCTTTGGCTGTCATGGCATCTTCGGCTTCGATTCCCATCAAGTTCACCGAACCGTCAGAACTCAACTGGAACTCAACGCGGGTCGCGGTATTAAGTTCCCAGAAGTCGGCAATCTGGACCCAAAACGTACCTGTGATATGATACAAGCCGAAGACTGTATCCTTAGTATATTCGTTGCTGTTGACGACCGAGCCGCAGAGATCCGGGGAGGTCTTGTTCAAAGTTGAAGGAATTGGAGCACTACGTTTGGGACAGTTGGTAGAAATATTAAGGTCTGGGTAGGCTGGGTGAGAATAGATACCCTCGTAGGCGGAGAGTTTAAGGGGATTCGGCAGTGGAGGGTCGGGAACTGTTGGGTAGAGTAGTGAAATAATGTTGTCCGGTAGGTGAGTTTGGTTGATCATCGCATCGGCTCTATGTGTTATATCAGCATATACCGCTGGTGAAAACTAGCAACATCCCTTGTAGATCAATTGCAACGGGTGAAAGATCGAGGTATACCTTGAACGCCAATCGAACCGCTCTTGAACAGGTATACCCAATTCCTCATCAATAAGATGATAAGCAAGGATATCTGCCGCCGCAATGGTCCCAACCATGTAATTTCCCAATATAGCAAGCCCAAACTTGCGTGACGGCACGAGAACCACGGATGCCCCATAACCATATTGTGCTCCGTCATGGGAAACCAGCATCTGGCCACCGTAGGTCTGCAACAACCATCCTAGGCCATACAGCTCGGGTGACTGAAATGGTTCAGCCACATTGGGGCGCACAATTGAATGGGCACCTAGAAGCATGGCGTAGTTTTCTTCTGAAACAGGTGATCTGCGATGCAAGATAGCGGAGATCCATTTTGCATAGTCTGCCGCAGACGTAAGGATGTTTCCTGCTCCGCGGACTGTCTCCGAATAGACTCTGTTGGTGGGAATGATATTGCCATCAAAATCTACAGAGTACCCCTGAGATATATCCCTATGCGCAGCCTGTGCATGAGAGAGTGAGAGGTACGTCTCCGACATGTTTAATGGTCCCCACAGATTCCGAGCCAGAAAAGAATATAGTGACTGGTTTGTCTTAGTCTCTATGAGGTGCGCCGCTGTGCTGTACATAAGGTTACAGTATTGCCATTGTGTGCGCGGGGAAGCCGTGAGAGGGAGATATTTCATCGACTGGACGACTTCCTGGAGAGTGAGGTTTGCCTTCAAGACCCAGTCATGGCGAGGAAGACCTGAACGGTGTGATAGCATATCGACAATGGTCGTGTGGGCCGTGGACCAGGTATCACTCAAACCAAAGTCTGCAGGAAGGAGAGAATGGATGGTAGTGTCCCATTGGATCTCTGGATAGTTTACATTGTCGTCAATGAGTAGTGAGATGGCAGCTGCCGTGTGAGCTTTTGAGGTGCTCCCAGCGAAGAAGAGAGTGTGTCCAGTCACTCGCTGTGAGGCTTCAATGTCTGACAGACCATAGCCCTTGGGCTGAATTAGCACCAATTTTACGTGTATGCGACATGTAGGATTTCATTTGGCGCAATGGTGCGAGATACGATAGAAACTTACTTTAGTAAAGATCTCATTATCTCGAACTACTGCAATTCCTACGCCAGGGATCTGGAAATGCTCGAGTGCCCATTCAACCTTGTCGTCGAAGGCATCATTCAATGGTGTTTGCGATTGATCCTTTTCTGCTATAAGAGGTTGCTGAAGGGACGCTAGGCTAAGTGTGAGGATCTCAAGAGATATTAATAGCGAAAACAAGTACATATTGGATTGAATGTCAAGGTGATTATGCTGGAAAATTAACAAGATTTTTTTGATGTGATTATAATCTATTCTCAACTTGGATCTCTTTATCTCCAGCAGTCGGTCTTTTCAGGCAACCGCATTTAGCGCTGGTCCGGGACAAGGATCTATATGGAAGATTCGGCGATATCATATATCCGATAAATCTTCACTACTATTTAGAACCGAAGATGGAAGAAAACTCCTGATGATCATTGCTTCTCCTCATACCTGCTACAGATGGGCGCTTGTCTAACATAATATGTTTTCTGTCCGCAATATCAGAGCATGCTCACAAGCAATTAACGAAGGCTAAAGCAAAGAAACTTCAAGTATCTCATATTTCTTTTTTCACGCTACTTATTGGGACGCGGGACGGCGAGAGAAGTCGACTCATTTGTAGTCCTCCTCCAACGTGGCAGAAACATGCACAGCTACACTGGACCAGCCAGTCAGCTGTCCGTTGAAACGGCATATCCAAACATATTCGAACATTAGACATAGGCAGTAGCGAAAAGCTACGTTCTTCAGACATGACTATAATACATCAACTCTCTCAGCAAAGTTGATCCGATAAGAGACACCTGTGTTACCTATTTTTGCCATATTAGAAGCAGAGAACCACGTCGAAAATTTCCAACCACACTGTGAGAAGGGCAGCTATCCACTGATTTTCATGCCTTCGGTGCAGCCTTCGTAGGGGGAGATTTCAAAACCCCAAAGACGAGGGTACAGACCGCCAACATGGCAATGCCACCAGTCGTGTATGCGACTTCTTTTCCGCCCCACCAAAACAGCGAGCAAAACAATATCGGACCAGCTGCTCTGCCGAACTGACCCCAGCTTCGGAGTCTTCCCAACACGATTCCGCGTTCGCCCTCTCCGGCCTCCAAGCTGCCCAAACTATTCAAGCCCGTCACGACGGTTGCGCTGGTGATAGCTAGAAGGCTGCCAGCTGCGTAGAGACCCGAAATCGTGGAGACTCGGGCAAGCAGAAAGAAGGAAACCGTACAAGCCAGAACACCGGCACGGATAGTGACGAGAGGCGGCAGGCGACGAACAACCGTGCCCTGGAGAAGAGAAGCGATGAGGCCCATAAGTGAGAGGAGACGACCATTGAGGGCGGAGGGACTGGATTTATGTCCAGTGTACAGAGTCGCCGTGAGAAAAGGAAGTGAGAACTCCAGACCAGAGAAAGGAAGGAGAAATAGTAGATGAGTGATGTTCAGCAGTGTAGGATGATTGGTATATTGACGAGGACTAGGGGCGGTTTTCGTAGCTTTCTCATTCCCGTTGGACGTTCCATTGGAAGCAGATTGCACATTATTTCCCTTGTTCAACAGTCGCGGATGCGTCTCAGGGAGGCGTAGATATAGGTAGAGGGTCTCGAGAACGATCAGGAACAAGGAGAACCCGGCAGCAGTCGCAAACGGATTGGCCGCCACGGTGGTGATATTCGATAGCGCAGCTCCCAGAGCCGGTCCAAATGTAAATGCGATGCTGAAGCAGGCGCCAACAATGGCCATTGTTGCGCCGCGCTGACTCTCATCACTGATATCCGTTGCGACCGCGTGAGCAATCTGCACATTCCCCTCACTCAACCCACCGACAATGCGACTGGCAAGGAAAGTTCGGAAGTCCGTAGCAGCAACCCAGAGAGCAACGCTCAGAATATTACCAGCCATCGACCACAACAGCGCCGTCCGTCTGCCGCGTCGATCGGATAAGCGGCCTATGAATGGCGCAGCAATGGCCTGGAGAAGGGAGAACAAGGACCCCAGCGCACCACCAAGCAGGACAATGTCATAGCGAGAATCAATCGGTCTAGCGAAGGCATTTTTGTACTCATTAAGGTAGTGGAAGATCCTATTAAGGAGAGATGTCGGAGAGGGGTCTCGACTGCGGTAGAATGCGAGTAGGGAGGGGAACAGAGGCAAAATGAAAGTAAACGATATCTGCGAAAGACAAGTTAGCGCTATACAAGATGAAAAAAAGGGAATCCAGAAGCTCACCAGGTCCAGAAGTAGCGATATGAATAAAACCTTTAGAATGCTCCTGCGCTGGGCAGGAGAAACTGTTGTTGACGGCATCGTCGCAAGCTGGTGACTCGGTGGCTCAAGAAGTATGCTGGAAGAAAAGAAAATAGAGAAGAAGAATCAACCCAAGGACATGTATCCAGCACGCCACGGGGAGAGAAAAGGAAACAATAGGTCAAATGTTAATACAGGACAGACACCGATAATGAGAGAAGTTTCGCGAGAGGACAATGTTCGGATCCTCATTAGCAAGCATTTGATAGTTGATCTTCAAGCTGTTTCAGGCACGGACGGTGTTTCGTCACACCAGAACACGCTATTGTTTTAGCCGCGTTTCGACGAATTAACTAGACTACATATGATCTTGTCGTATAGCATAATTAATCGATCATGTCCAAAGCTCCCAACCAACTTGTCCATGGCGATTTCTCCACATCCAACCATGCCTCAATGATTGTTGGGATTGCTAGGATTCTTACAGCTGCTACGAAAGGCGCCGTCACATATAGCAATGGTGTGTCATAAGTATGGCAGCTACCAAAGCTTACAAGTCTTGGTACATTAATGGAAAATAGCTTCGTAGCATCCGAATCCGATCGTGATATTTCGTTCCTCATGAATGAACCGCTCACGCAATCCCATCCGCGCGGCCAACCGATAACTGCCTCCCTGCTGACATCAACCTCCGCTCTCAACCATACCGAAACCAGCAGAGCAGGCTGGAAAGCACGGAGGCAAAATGAAAATAAAATACATGAGTCCATAATAAAACTGCAAATGCGAGTAACATGAAGAGAACATGGGGCCTTGGCCGCTCACTAAAAAGAGGTAAAGGGGAATCTTTCTAGAGAAACACAAACGGAGAAAAGAGAAGAAGCGGGAAAAGACACTATGCACGCTCAGTAATCGCAGATGGTCATACACATCAAGTAGTAACTTTTTGAGTCTGAAAATCATAGGGAGTCGAAACCAGAAGGATTATATCCTCCCGAAGTTCGCCCAGAGACCTCATATGCAACTCATGTTTTACCTTTTTTGGGCCCGAAAGAACATGCTTCATAACCGACAACGCCGACAGAGGATGGACAAGAAGAGACAAGTCAGAGGAGGAGCAACACAGGTGGCCAGACGCGGGGCACGAGGACTGTAGGCGCGATCGGTATTCACTGCGACGATGGGAGTCAAGTTTTAGACCCGGAGGATGGTGATGTAAAGCGTCTACTGCGCAGCAATAGGGGCGGCAGATCCGTTAGAATTCTGTTGACCACCGAAGCCACCTCGTCCGCGTCCACCGCGGAACTCGCCGCGGCCACGGCCTCTGCCCCTGAATTCACCTCGGCCACCGCGGCCACGGAATCCATCACCGCGTCCACGTCCACGTCCTCGACCACGTTGGCTGGGCTGTCTCTGGTGGTGAACAACCGGTTCGAAGCCATCGCCCTCTCCCTTGGCAGGGGCTGCGGTAGGCTTAGGGACGTCCTCAGCCCAGTTGTTAGAACCGTGGACGGCCGCAGGAGTGTTCTGAATACCGGTATCGGTCTCAGTGGGATCGCGCGGCACTTCGACCCAGCCATCAGCGTTGGTTGAAGCTGCCAAAGAATCAGAAGCTTGCGGGTCCCAGGAATGTGCCTGAGCATTGGCTCCATCTTCAGCGATAGTCTGAGGAGGAGCTGCGGACGTTGGCTCTGGCTGCGAAGCCGCAGAGTCCGCAAAGCCATTGGAGGTAGCACTCTGGACGGCCACAGAGCTGTCCTGGAGTTCAGTTGCGCCAGCATTGGCGAGAGTAGGATCGGAGGCCGCGGTAGTCTCGGCAGCTGGGGCCTCTTCAGTCCAGGCACCCTCCACGGGAGCCGGAGCATACTCCTCAGAAGCCTGCTTCACTTTGCCGTCTAGGTAGCCGCTGTCAGGATACAAGTGTAGACAATCTCGTGGGTCGGAGACACTTACAAGATACTTCTAGCGCTTCCCCTTCGACGCTAATGATATTCTCTTCCACACCTTCAATCAGCTTTAGCATTGAGTCGACCGCTTCGTCAGTGCCACCGTAGACCTGGAACAGGACACCCTCGAAGGCACGGCTCTCAGCAGAGGTCTCATCACCAGCACGTCTCATGGCGGCAGCAGCACGCAAGAACTTGCTCAAGATCAGAAGTTGGTCTCTGAAGCTCTTTTTGTTGGACTCTGCTGCCTCAGCGAGAACCTTCTCTCGCACTGCATCCAATTCTTCCTTATGTACCTTCTCCAGAGAACTCTTCTGATTGGCAAGACGTTCCTCATAGTGAGAGGCAAACTGCTTGTACTGAGCGATCTGTTCCTCGAGCTGTGCAACGTTGGCTTGCAGGGCTGGTTTCTTCAGTGCCTGTGCCTTCTGGTCCTGGTTGATCTTCTTCTCCGCGACGAGCTCATCGAGCGACTTTCCGGGATTCTCTGCAATAATACTGTCGACTTTAGAGGTGGAGTTCTATGAGGAAGACAAGTCACGTTAGTGGGAAGCACAATGGCCGCGTACGGTGTCGGTGACGTACCAGCTTCTTCACAGCGTTGCGCAAGCTCCTACGGAGAAAATAAGTCAGCATACTGTCCGACACAGTAAGGAATACCCTTAAAGGAGGGTATACAAAGGACACTTACTTCTGGAGGTCTCTCATAACGGCGCTCTCAAACGAGTCAGTAGCTCCATTGACCGACTCCGTTGGAGTCGAAGGAGTGTCAGGAATCGAAGCTGGGGCTGCATTGGAAACATTGTTGGAACCGGAGCTCTTTGCGCGCTTCTTCTTAGCACCCTTAGGCTCTGCAGGCGCTGGGGGGTTGTTGGTAATGGTGACTGCAGACATTGTGATGGAGGTGAGTCGGTTGATGTTGTTGGGGGATAATGGAGCGAAAAGAGAACACCAGTTCTGGGGGAGGTAGATAGGAAAAACGACGATATTAACTAGTTAGTGATAGGTAGACGCGTGTATGTAAGCACAGCTGTAGGGCTGCTGGTGTCTGAGCTATTATTATGGAGAATTGGAGATGTGGAAAGAGAAGCGGGAGATGGTGACGAGTGAGGTTTGGGCGAAGTCGAGCGAACCGGGCGGAGAAAAAGAGCTGCCACTTAAATAGAGCTCCGCCTTGGTCGCGTGGTTTTCTTTGTAGAGCATTTGTGTACACTGGGTTTCCCCCAACGACTCGCCCAGTATTAATATCGAGTGGCAGCAGCCCTTTAAAAATCGTACTACTAATATACTAGTCATTCATGATTTTCATGGGACAATCACACAAATACGACCAACTTCTTGGCCGAGCTTGCATATGTTTGTTGGAGATGGCCTACCTCCTAATGCTGCCCTTATCGAAGATATTTCCCCATGGATATAGGTCTCGACATACAAGAGAACGTACACCCCCTGAAATAAAATGTGCTGTCTTCCCAAAACCTGGGCTTTGCACTGGTTGGGCCGGCCTTAGATGGCCTTGGGCTTACAGACATCTAGTAGCAAGTAGAGATCAATCTTCCCATGCAATCGTTTCAGTATTCGCCCATACTAGTCAAGCATGGCTATCTACCGCGATACCTTCTGCCGTTTTTTTTTTTACATATTGTCGTTGCTAGGTCTGCTGCTAGAGATGAAGGTCATGACTGGATGACGAGTGCACAGATCCTGTCTGACAATATGGATAGGAGGGTAGCAGGCCAAGTATTGATTTCATGATTCCCAGACATGGATGCCTATGGACGGGTAACCTACTTCGTTGGCAGATTGATGATTTTTCACCTGTAATCTGACTCCTCGACTGGTGGGAATGGACCCGACGGAATAGAATTAATACCGATGGGAATGAGACATTGGCGAGCACCACCTATGTAGCTGGGCTGGAGCTGGAGCTGAAGAGTTCCCATTGGTATCGCGTTTATATTTCACGTTGCTTCAACTAGTCAACGTTGGGGGTATCATATCATAGACTCGAGGCGTTGTGCAAAATCCCGAAACTCCTTTATCCCAGGTACCCCAGAAAGAGAAACAATGTAGTCCGGCCATAGCGCCATAACAAACAAGATATAAAACACGTGTCGAAAAATCGATCAACCTTTGAACTTGCGTAGGGTCATCTGCAAACCCCATCAGTCAGTCTCACCGTAAGGCAAAAGGCGTGGGGACGAGGCGCAACCATACCTCAGTGACCTTCCGCACACTCTTTGCAGAGATACCTTTCTCCCCGGCTCGACGTGAACGTATAGATGCTTCGCGCATGAGTCTGACGAATAAACTTGTCAATCTCGATCCAAGGAGAGGTAGAGCGCATCAGGCTAATCTGCCTGATGAGCAGCGATCGCACTCACTCTTGCATGAAGAGCATGTAGTCAAGGAAGATCTGAAGAAATGAGATTTATTAGCAACTTGGAGGGGAAAACACCAAAGACAATAGCTGTAAAAGAGCCATGGATAGTGCTTACCAAGATATCCGCGTTCTTGCTGAGGCTCCGATTCGAATGCGCTTTGACGATGCGCTTAACCGTGGCGCGGGGATAGAGCTTTTGCGTCGCAACCATTTTCGTCTTCAAGAGGTGATTATAGACTCGAAGGCCACCTTGAAGGATATTGCAGCGATCTCGTCTTCAGGTAATAAAAGTGGTTGATGAGTTGTTGGGAAGCTCTCCCGCAAGTCGAGTTCTCTGTTTACATTCGTTTGTTCCGCGGCTGGGGTGGGTCTCGGGAGCATTTAGCGTGGGCAGATACGCCATGCACTTAGGTACCTCTGTACTCTATATTCATGCCGAATTAATTGTCCATGAATACTCCCATGTATGTTACTACTGGTCGACTTAATCGAGTTCAATGCGTCGATTGCCACGAATTATTCCAACGATTGACATCGCAAAAAGAAACAGTTTTTTATCTTCATTGATCTACAGGCAGTTTCAATAAAATTAAACAATACAATACCAGATCGTAGTCTATCGCCGGAACCACTTCCACAGACATAATGCTGCGAGGGAACCTGTTGCTGCTCTCCAAGCCAGAAATACCCATACTGCAGTTCGAAGGCGGCCGTAATAACCTTTCAACAAGATCCCCACCGCATGGGAAGAGCCATCCCCGGATGCCTTTGCAGATTCACCATAATACCTGCCGACGCCCATCCCGCCAATTCCGACTTCGTTAGGATCGTGCTTGGGATCAGAACCCTCGTCTTGGGCAATAGGTAGTGCAGCAGTCTGGCTATCTACTGCTGTCAGGTTTCCCAAGCTACCGGATTGTGCCTCAAGAGCATTGCGTTTGCGTAGGCTATACGTCAATATGCTCACAATTAAGCGCAAATCTGGAGTGGTAAATGTGGGATATTTCCAGAGCTGGACCGCATTATGTGGAGGTAGCATGTCCAAAAAGTCTGCTAAAATACCGAGGGTGAGACCCCACAATAAGAGCGGCCGGCCTCTGTCAGCAGAATCGGCTTGATTACTCAAATACCAGGATTTCCAGCCGTCAATCAGTGACAGGCTTCCTTGACTGCTCTTGTCTTCCGGAATGAAGCCAGGGATTGAGCTACAATGTATACTCTCTGTAGGAACGAGTCTTATAGCAGAGAACTCCATAAGACCCATCATAGAACGGCAGACAAACCGCGTGATGAAACCGCCTCTGGTGAGCCAGCGTTCAGACAAGTCGACGCGCTCCATGGTGCGCAGAGAAGGCGACAATAGCGCTCTCAGCGAGACCCAGTGAGAAGATGCTACTTCAGTCGGCTGCAGCCGGAGCATAGGTGAATCAGTCGATGTCTGAAGAAAGATAAAGGGACATAGGACCATTAACCTATGGAACTAGTTAGCATAGCTACTGATTCAGCGGAATACGGAACGCACGGCACACTGCCCCATGATGTGGTAACCACTCTTTCGGGAAGGTTTCCCACGAAAATGTAATTACTGGTGGTCAAGTCAAGGCCTATCTCCTCTGAAGCTTCCCTCACTGCCGCTGCCTGGTCATCTGCATCTTCGGGGTCTCTCTTGCCTCCAGGGAGAGCAACATGGCCGGTCCAGCGGTCACCTGCTCTTGAGGCACGTTTGATAAATAAGACTTCCGGATCACCATGTTGGACCCAAGATTGGGAGAAGAAGTCATCAAGTTGCTCTATGACTGAAAGAGATCGATCCTCTGCACCAGATAGAGAAGACTCAGGCCAATGATGATAATTGGGCCTCACTCTGAGTATCAGCGCTACAGATGCACGCTTCTCGCAACTGGGCGGGTTTGAGACGTAAGGATATGGATTTTGATGAAGATCGACCAAGACCTTATGGAGAGCTCCCGATAAGGAACTCGAAGATTGTTCTTCGGACGTGACTGGAGCCATTGGAGAGGCTGCTATATGAAAGGAAATTCGCCAGGGAAAGTAAATTTTGAAAGCAAGGAATCTCGGGATTCTGATCTATGGAGTCCTCTATCGGTGATACACAAGGGAAGAATACTTAATGTCAAATCAATAATCTTGAAGTTCTGTTCACGGGGCCAGCGTTGGGAATTCCCAACTTGGAGAACCCCGGTTTTCGGAGATTGATTCTTCCGGTCCCGTGTGTAGCTTCTTGCCGTATCTGGACTAGCGTTGACCCCATGGGTTCCAGACCGAGTGAGCCTCAGTGAGGTCACCGTACTTGCCTCTGATTGGCCCAGTCACCAGCCCGTGTACACGTGCCTGATCGGTGCCTTCTGGTTATCTCTCGTCCGTCCCTTCGAAATCTGCATATGAGGGCATGGATTTTGTGTAAACCATTGTCAATTGGCTCGCGGACCATGCCCTATTAGTTTCCACACGGACTGGTCCTGATATAACTAGTAATTGCTACTGCTATTCTTTCGCCTTGCCTGTATATCTCCTTGCTTGCCCCTCCAAGATGCGTTTCGGCAAGACTCTCCAGAAGTCGGTTTATCCGCCGTGGAAAGGCAACTACATCGACTACCAGAAGCTGAAATCTCTCTTGAGAGAACATGAGGCGACCGACGATGATACGAGTGATGCAGAGAACACATGGACGGAACAGGATGAAGAAGCTTTCGTGCAGGAGCTGATCAATGTCCAGTTGGACAAAGTGAATGCATTCCAGGTTGAGACATCGAAGACGCTGCGAGAGCGCACCTCAGCATGTGAATCGAAATTGGAGGCCCTCATACCGAAGGATGGAGAGCAGGAGGCCCAGCTGGATGAACAGAAGCGGAGAGAAGTCGCTGCAGAAGTCCTCTCCGAGCTGGATGGAATCGCCAAGGAAGTTAGCGAGCTGGAAAAGTATAGTCGCATCAACTTCACCGGCTTTTTGAAGGCTGCGAAGAAGCATGATCGAAAGAGAGGGGCCCGGTATCGTGTCAAGCCGCTGCTTCAAGTACGACTCTCTCAATTGCCATTCAACACCGAGGACTACTCTCCTTTGCTACGCAAGCTCTCCGTGATGTACTCGTTTGTGCGTGAGGTGCTCCAGGGTGCTGCTCCGAAGACCAACGATCCTCTGAGTGTGGAAGCCCGTGATGTTTATACGTCGTACAAGTTCTGGGTTCATGCGGACAACATAACAGAGGTCAAGACATACATTCTCCGACGACTGCCCGTCTTGGTATATAACCCCAAGACTTCCAAGGAACTTAACGTTCCAGACGACCCGACAATCACTTCCTTGTACTTCGATAATCCCCAGTTTGAGCTGTATAATCAGAAGGTCGCCCGTGCTCCTGAGGCCGGCTCTTTGAGATTGCGTTGGATGGGTCCGCTCAATGACAACCCCGCTATTTTCCTCGAGAAGAAGATCGTCACGGAGGATGATGGCAGTCGAGAAGTCAGAGTACAGTTGAAGGAAAAGCACGTCCAAGAATTCCTGAGAGGCGAATACAAGTTCGACAAGAAGCTCCACAGAATGGAAGATCAAGCCAATGAGCACGAACAGGCAGAATCTTTCAAGAAGGACATTGAGGAATTGCAATCCTTTATCAGAGAACATGACCTGCAACCTATGCTCCGGGCCAATTATACGCGAACGGCTTTCCAGATTCCCGGAGACAATAGGGTCAGGATCTCCTTGGATACTAATTTAGCACTGATCCGTGAGGATGCGCTAGACCCTGAACGGCCTTGTCGAGACCCGAATGACTGGCATCGGAGAGACATTGATGATTCTAACATGGAATATCCCTTCAGCTCGATCCGCACAGGGGAGATTGTTCGTTTCCCTCATGCCTTGTTAGAGATCAAAGTCAAGGGAGATGGACGTGGTCGCGAGTGGGTGAATGATCTCATGGCCTCCCATCTTGTCAAGGAAGCACCAAGATTCTCCAAGTTCGTCCACGGAGTCGCTCAGCTGTTCGAAGACTATGTCAACAGTTTCCCGTTCTGGCTGGGAGAGTTGGAGAACGATATCCGCCGTGACCCGGAGGTTGCTTTCCAAGAAGAACAAGAAAGACTTGCTAAGCGTGCCGAAGAGGATATGGCAGTAGGGAGCTTCCTGGGAAGCGGAAACAGAGCGAGCCCTAGCTTCAGGCACATGGTTGGATCTCCAGTGTCTAGGTTTGGTGGAGCTGGTTCCCCGTCGCGCGCAGAACCCGCATCACGTCCGAAGCAGCCTCTGGAGATGCCTAGTCGTCATCGCGATGGATCCCCTGCTGTGAGTGAACAACCGGCACGCACACCTACACCGTCATCCCGACTCATGAATTATTTCCCTTCGTTCTCCATGTCGCGCTATGCTCGTGCCCGTCGCGAACGGGTTCAGCTGCCTCCGGGAGTACGACACCCAGGAACCTGGCTGAAGGATGCGGGTCCTGTTAAGGTCGAATCGAAGGTCTGGCTTGCCAACCAGCGTACCTTCATCAAGTGGCAGCATGTGAGCGTCCTTCTGGCGTCTCTGTCCTTGGGTCTGTATAATGCTGCGGGTGAGGACAACCACCTCGCTCGTACTATTGGTATTGTCTACACCTGCTTCGCCATTTTCGCCGGCGTCTGGGGATGGTACATGTATGAAAAGCGCGCGAGGCTTATCCGCCAGCGAAGCGGGCGTGATTTCGACAACGTTTTCGGTCCGATCGTCGTGTGCATTGGCCTCGCTGCCGCTCTTGTGTTGAATTTTGCGTTCAAGGTATGTCCAAGACGACTTGATGTTTACAACTCCAAACACAGTCAATCGCTAACATATCCCGTCAGTATACTGCTGCGATGCGCGAGATCAGAGCAGATACTGTTGCTTCGACTATTTCCGGGTCTATCAACGCCTCAATCTCCGCTCCCGTGGGACTTGTCAAGCAGGATAGTTCTCGTCTCCTGGCTGCATAATTAACTCCGATAGGCTGTCTTTTGTGTCCAACTCCTCTTTCCTCCATCTCTTTTCCTCGTTTTCCTTTTTTACCATCCTATCGAAACGAAAGTTGTATGATTGATTGTCTCCCTATTTGTACGAAGTATATTACCGTGATGAGATGGAACGTGACAAACGAAGAGATAAAGTCGCTCGGGAATCAACACTAGGAATCGTATCTCATATCCTAAATTATCTTAATCTCGTATTCATAAGATTTGAAAACAAAATACCTTTGAAAAAAGCTCGTGGGCAATATGGAAAGTAACCCTATTAATTCAATGCGACAACCCGGTCCACTCCAACCTCCCCTCCGATAACAACGGCATGCGTTCCCGCTCATCCATATCCTCGACATTATGATCCATACTTTCTCGTCCTCGCCCAGGTTGTCGTACTGTGTGTTTTCTCGTCTCTTCTTGGATACTAGTCGCAAATGAAGAAAGACTTTGAGTCAGCAAATAAATCCAACTTCGAGAAAGGACATACCACAGGAGAAATGCTAGAATTAGAAATATAAATATAAACATACCCAACAAAGAATCCCGCGAATAAACCCATGTATCCTGTTCCTAGAAATGCCATGACCCATTCGATGATCCCTGCGATATACCAACATGTTTGTGCGGAGAGTATGATAAATGCCATACCGAGACCGAATTCGAGGATGACAAGAAATGCGGATGCGAGTGTGCTACGTTTTGGAGGTTATGTTAGTTCATAGTTCAGTTAAGTCAGATAGGTAGTTTCGGAAGACATACCAAAATCGTAACCACCTCCTCGTCCGCTTATCCTCCTCATCACCTTCCCATCTCGCTAGAAACGAAACCACTTCCTCTGCATACACGACCACCGTCCCCGCAGCTGTGAGGGCCAAGGCGGCGAAACATATCTTTAGAAGAACGCTATGCGCCTGGTGATATCGGAAAGTGTCCATCACACCGAGAAGGATGAGACCCATTGCAGCGATAATGGCTGCTACGAGCGAGACGAGGGAGATGGCAGCGCGTGATTTGGTCAGGTTAGTCCCTGAAAGGTCGGCTTCTTCGTCCTCGTCGTCTTCTTCATGGGTTCGGTTATTGGTTGTTGGTGGATTGTTGGTGTTGTTGTTGGGCGGATAGATGGGAGGAGGGAAGTATTCGTATCGCACGACATGGACGGCAGCAACGGAGACGATGAAACAGACTGCGGTGATGGATGTGCCGACGAGGAAGAGAGGTTTTAGTTCGAAGGATGCGATGTCGGATATGAATCTGTTGTTTTTTGTATTCGAATCATTGGTATGGAGCGCAAATCGTACGAATAAATAAACAAATAAAAAAATAGGAAATATGATTCTTGCTTCAAGTTCTCTCTGCTCAGCGTGGGTGAATATCTACTTACGCAATATAAGGATTACTCTGACCCGGATATCGCGGTGCCCCCCTTGCAAGCCAGGTGATAAGCAGAGCAGACAGAGTCAGGAACCAGACCGCCCCGGCCATGAAAGGGAAGAGGAAGAGTCGATACGGCGGGATCTGGAGGATAATTATGCGCACAGTGGACCATACGGGTATAGGCACTGTCTCGTCCATGCCGGTCTTCTTTTTGCGAGAGACGATGGTGTAGGAATTCGATAATTGCTTCCTTGCTGTGATATCACCGGATTTCTTTCTTTAATCAGCGCATGTGGACTGGATGTTCTTAGGTATCACGCCTATCAAATTAACTATGCATTAGGGGGATAATTAAAGATTAGATATGTAAATAACAAGAAATGGCAATGTAAAAAAGGTAGACAACATATAAAAATCCAGATAATCACCCCCTTGGCGACGACAATCAACATAAAGAATCAGACGGAGAGCAAAATGATGAAAGCATCGACGTATTGCTGCTGTGTTTTAAGTATGTATATAGAAGAGCATCAGCTCGCGTGACGAGCAGTGCTGATCTCTGTTCTTCCCCGCTAATCATGCCTTTCCCCTTTTCTTTTTTGGTAGGCTATGCGGTATTAACCGAGTTAATTTTGCCTCTTCATGGATCATAATAATACTACTTGTCGAGTCGGAGAAAAGATCAGCGCTAGGTTGATGATGTCATGGATACTAACTTACGAGATAGTTAGCTAGAGTATGGGTTTTTATCACAACTAGCTATGTACCCCTAGTAAGTAACGCTGATTTACTCAGACCTGAAAGGCCCACTCGCTAAAAAAAATGAACATTGTCAGAAACCACTTCATGAAGATATTGATCAGATCGATCTAACTAATAATAATGTTGAATCTCACTTGATTAATCAGTCAAGCAGTAGAAACCAACGGAACCGCGGTCCCCACCTGGGATAGAACGAATCAAAGCAAATCGGGAATATGAATGATTGGTAATACAGCCCACATCGAGTTAACTAACTAGTTAGCTGGGTTCGTTGCTCTATATAATCACTCGACGATCCGATCTCTGCGTTGATTTGCTGGGAGATTAATAAAAAAAAAAAAAAAAAGAAAAAGACCATAAAGTAGTACATACCTATACGGCTGAGTTTGATTTGAAATATCAACTTCTATTGAAATCAGTTATTATTATTATTTCTCTGATACATTACCGGATCCAACCATATACATATACTCATACCGTCACCGTGGCCTCCCGCGCAATCATGACCAATTTCAAGATCCAAATCGTCTCCGACACAGTCTGTCCTGTAAGCATCCATTCCATTCCCATACCACTACTAATAGCTCTCTCATATCTAACAAACAATCCCAATCCAGTGGTGCTACGTCGGCCACCGTCGTCTATCCCGCGCCATAGCAACCCACAAACAATCCCACCCTAATGACACCTTCTCCATCACCTGGCACGCATTCTACCTTAACCCCGGATCCCCATTCTACCCAGGTGTCGACAAGAGACAACACTACGTCTCCAAATTCGGCGCTCAGACCGCAGATGCTATGTTCGCGCGTCTCACGGCCGTTGGAGCCGAGGAGGGTATAGCTTTCAAGTTTGGCGGAAGGACGGGGCGGACGAGGAATTCGCATCGTCTGATCGCATACGCCGGGAAGAAGTCGGACGGGAACAACGACGGCCTGCAGACGCGCGTTGTGGAGGCGCTGTTTAAGGCGTATTTTGAAGAGGAGAAGAATATCACGGATCGGGCGGTGCTGTTGGAAGCGGGAGTGAAGGCTGGCTTGCCTGAGGCGGAGGTCGAGAAGGTATTGGATTCGGATGAGTGCGGAGCGGAGGTCGATGCGGATGCTGAGAGAGCCAGAAGGAGGTTCATCAGTGGCGTGCCGCACTTTACTATCCAGGAGAAATATGCTGTCGGTGGAGCCGAGAGTCCAGATGCATTCTTGGAGGTGTTCGATGCAGTGAAGCGCGACGAGAAGTAGACGTGAAGTCTCCCTCCCACGTTGGACCATGCGCTTCCTACATTTGCTGTCTAGTGAGGAGCATAACTATATGCAATAGCACGTCTGGTATCGTTCTATCAAGATGACTTCTATTTGTTTGAGAGGCATTCTAATCTATCGTAGCGAATTACAAATAGAATCTTGGGGCACCCGAGTGCGTCCTGCTGGTGAGAAAGGCCGCCCTGGTACCATTGTACTGTCATCCATGGTTTTCTGTGCACTGTTAAGAAAACGTTCGAAACGCCAGCAACTCATCCGGAAAAGCGAGACACTAGAACACCGGCAAATGCTAGACCATTCGAGCAATAACATCATCTCACAACATCGACTGCGTGACCCCTGGACAGGCATCACGCAGCGGGAAATAAGTGGTAATACAATCGAGGACCGGTGTCAAGAAAGTATTAACATCTCTCGCCGGAGAGATGGCAGAGTCAGACTGAGGTGGATTGAAGAGGCGACCCAAACTGATCAAGAGCACTGATGATACCTCAAAAGGAGAAAGAAAAGAACCTTGTGATACGAGGCGATTTATCGCTGAGCTACCCGACCATACGAGACAGTCACGGAGTACAGCTTCAAAGATGGCTCGTGGCAGGAAATCTCAGGAAATTTCTTGCTGGCATTAGAACGTCGCCTGCCGCAGCTGGAAGTCGGGCAAATAGTCAAACCAGTCGGTATCCGGGTTGTACTGGTAAGCTTTGAATTCAACACCGTATGGCTTCGGCTCCAGCATGTAGAGCACACCCAGGGGAACATCAAGATCAGCAACCTCATCCCGCTTGAGACCCCGGAAGTAAGCCAAGAGCACCCTGGCCACAGATCGATGGCTCACAAGCAACACATGGTCGGTCATCCGCTCAACTTCGATGATGACGGCACGCAGCCGGTTGATAATGTCGAGATAACCCTCGCCACCCGGGCCAGGGTAACGGTAATGCAACTTGCCCTTCTTGCGATGGTCGTATTCTTCAGGGAATTGTTCACGAATTTCATCGTATGTCATACCTTCCATGCGTCCAGCGTGGAGCTCATCAAGCATCTTCATCTGCTTGATATCGTACTCCTCATCATTGAAGTACTGTATGGTTTGGACAGAGCGTTTCATCATAGATGCCCAGACGCAGAAGTTGCGTGGGCGGGTCTGAGGTGCCCAGGAAGGATTCGGCGGAGTGCTGTCACCCGGGCGAGGAGGGAAATGTTTCGCGAGCGCTTTCTGTCTTTGATGGATTTCCCACTGCCGACGCTGGTGATCAATGAACTTAGCCAGAGCTTTGGCATATCGGTGTCCGTTCTCGCTCAAGTCAGAGTCTCCACCGATGCGACCCAACTGGTCGTCAATGCTCTCCCCATGTCTCGTGATCCAGATCTGCCGTGGCGAGAGGTTAAAGTTGAGGAGATAGTACACGACTTGAGAGGACAAGAAGCCATTTGTCTGGTGCGTAACCATCTTCCTTCCGACGTCAATCATTTGGATGTACGCCATGTTATGCCTCTCTTCGTAGTCCCCAAGAGGAACATACGATTTCTCATACAAGGCAACGCGTCTCTTGAAGTCTTCCAGCGACTTGACAGGGTCGTGACCCTTGTAGTCGGGTCCAGAAAGCTTCAGGCGCATGTTTGCCTCAAGCAGATCGGGGTCGACACAGCGACTCTCCAGGAAGAGGACATTCAGTTCGGGACCTGCCCGTTTCCTGATGTGATCCACAATCAACCTACGTCGTTCCAGCGTGCTGTTGGTGGCATCTAGAATACCAACGCTACCACCCCGCTCGAGCATGTATTCGAGCAGTTCGTCGAGTGTCTGCAGAGCAACCTGTTCCCGAAGCTGCACTGCGCGTTGATTCGTAGGGTCAAAGAAATTGGAAGACTGGTCTATTGCCTCCACCGCCTCGGGCGAGGACGGTGCAATGTTTTCGCCATCCTCATTCGACTGATGAGGAGAGGGTGACGATTCCGAGCTGCTGTCTGAAGTCTCCTCGCCGTTCACGAGTATCTTAGCCGGGGGGATGACAGGAGCAGGGAGCTTCTCGCTGTCATGTTCGGGGACCGGGTTGCCTGCACTGATGCTCATTCTCCGGACCGAGTCCACCAAGTCATTGTGGATGGTGCTCTTTCTCTTGTCGACGCCCTGAGCGAGCTTGTTGGGCGAAGGCGAGCCTGCCGCTGCAACGCGACGACGTTCGCCCACGTTGAAGATCTCTGTATCATGTTGCAGCCAATTCAGATACCGCGCCAGTTTCTTCGTGATGTAGCTCTTGCCCCGAGCGGGCAGGCCGACCATGACGATGACAAGCTTGGAACCGACATCGCGCTGCGATATCCTCCCATCCGGCGAGACTTTGGATTTGGTCAAACCTGGAATATCGAGAGTGGTGGCACGGGTCTTAGGTGTTTCAAAGCCGGCGGCCGAAAGACCCGGTTGTCTGCATCAAACCAGTCAGTCATGCTCGAACACATTTTAGCCATCACTCTAGACGATTGATCAATGCCTTATCCCCCGCAAACCGGCGGAACGCGGGGGAAATGGGGTCAATCAGAAGTTTCAGAACGGACAAGGGGCGCACATACATCTGTGGAGATGGGGGTGCGGTAGGAGTCGGAGTGTCCGTTAGGGCCTTTCCGACTCCATCCTTAGAAGCCCTATGGGCGTCTGGATGCAGCGCTCTTCCCACCACTGACTTTGGAGGGAGAGAGTTTGCATCTTTCTCATGGCTGCCATTTGAGGTGCCGTTAGGAGATGGATTCTGGTTGTGGGAGTCTGGCGAGGCGGCGTTACTGATGATGGCCGACCGCGCGATACTGGAATGTTGGGCCATCCCCGCAGCAGCCTAGCAGCAGGGATGCTGCGTGACAAATGGTGAAGATTATTTTAAGCTAACGAGAAAGAATTGCTGAAGATAGCACCAGCTTGGGATGGTATCAATACAATGCTCTCTGGATGGATTTCGAGCAGTTTGGTTGATGGTTAAAAAGAAATCTGTTTGCGGTGGACGGTGAACTGATGAGTCAAAAAGGTGGGCGGCTTTTCCACAGTTGCTTTGCTGGGAATGTCCGCCAGACGGGCTGGACGTTTCCGTCACTGCCGCGTCTGCTGCCTGTGGTAAATAGTTTCTTTTGCGATCTTAACCCCTGGCAGTGAGGCTGTCTGGATATTTCCAGCTGGCAAGACCCAATCACTTGTTCAACGTGTTCCTGGCGATCAGAAGACTCTCACGTTGACCGTTCAATTGGCAGAACGAGCTCTGAGCTTTGCGACCGGGGCGAAGAGGATGCGCGTTGCGTTGCTATCTTTGCGATCTTTGCGATGCCCGTGATGCCCTAACAATAATGACAGATGGAACAAAAATCATTAAAAATAGTTGACTGACAACTGATGAACTTGTCCGTTAATTATTATTATTATTTGCGGCGCTGTGCGATGAAGTCACAGTCACTCTCTGTCTCCGACCCCGCCACTGGCAGCTTGTCCCAGCGGGTGGACCGCGATGGATCGTCTGCTTCCAGCGCCGAAGCGAGCAGAACTCCAGTGAGAGCAAGTAACGTCACAGATCACCCTCAACTTGGGCCTTGACTCTGACCACGAAAATGAGGCTGAAAAGAGTGCCGATTCTCCCGGACGTAGGATGTGGTGCTGAGCGGATACTATTTGCAGTGTTGTAACGGCCTCGACGCCCTTTCCCCTTCGATGCTGGGCAAGGGCTTGCTGTCGATGGATGATCTGATTGCTACCAGGCCCAAATAGAATAAATAGTAGATCATAGAGCACTCATGGCTTGTCCCATCTGGATAAATTCAAGCAGCAACGCTAGAAATGCGTGGACTACAGTAAACGGAGTGATCTGAGAGCCGGCCCATCAATCCGTTTATATGGTATACGACTATGTCGGAGTACATCGGACCGGTTGCATCACGGACGCTTCACCTCTGTTGGATGTGGTTGAGAAACTCCAAGATTTTGCTTCTCAAGGGGGGTCTCATCCATTGCTCACCGCGACCGAACGGCGATTTTATGGTATGCCAATGTGTTCGTGTGACCTCCTCACTTGTTGCTCTGTTCGAGGTCCCCTTGGCGCTCAAGCACGGCGCATTTCCCGCCTGTTATCCCAGCACGTTTCTCGCTCCGCCATTCCGCCCCTATCCAGGGGGATGGGAATCGGTCATGCCACGATACTTGGAGTATGGTAGACAAACTGTGGCCGTATGACCTTGGGCGCCTCTTTGCAACCAACTCGAGTTTTTCATTATGCCAATGTCGCCGTAAGCACGATGAGAGATATGTACGCCGCGATGCTCAGTGCTGTGAGTACCACTACCGCATTCCCACTGGTGCGGAACTTGTTGCGATGCAGGCCATCCTCTCCCACCTCGGAAAAGAACTGGCGGTTGCCCTGCTGGCGACGGAAGAGACCGATGCAGAGCACTCCAGTCCCGTAGACGGCGAAGAGCGCTCCGATGCTGTAGAATTCCGCGGTGAAAATCTTGAGAATGATCAGGGCGAACGAGAACTGGGACAGTGCGGTGCGGATATATGCTCCCTCGAAGGTCCGTTGAGCAGCGCGCACTTCGACGATCTCGTCCGGGGTCAAGATCGCGGAGCGGGCGCGGTGCATGCGTAGACGATACCTGTCCGCAGCGCGACGCTAGAAAAGAACCTTAGTCAGTACCATCCCTGATGGCCAAGAAGGATGGGCGGATGAAACAGAGACGGACCTCGAACATTATTGTTGCGTGCCGCAATCACTTCGAGAAGAATAAGTAGCTGCCAATGCGTCGAGACTCAGGGTCCCGAAGCCAAGGACTCCAATTTTCGGCCTGGATGGATGCCAGAGAGAGAACCAGCTGTAGCATTGAATTGAAGCTGGCTCTGGATGGGACACAGGAGTGGTGCAGCTGGGAAGTACGGAGTAATCTAGAAGATGCAGCTAGCCAGATGCTAAGTTACTCCATATCGGCAATTGACGGTGGTTGCTAGACTAAGTAATAATGCCCATCGCGTGATTTGTTGCCGTTCGTTTCCCCGCATCGCTAGATAACTACTGTACCGATTCAAGACAGCTAGGGATGCTGGAAGAAACGTTCATAGATCTCACAGGAAGCAAAAAAAGGCGCTCGTGTAATAGCAAGAGAGACTAATAATCATAGATGCATAGTCCACTTTTGAAGTCTGCCTCTGCAGTACCACCCCAAACCACAACCACAACCACCACCACCACGTAAGTAGCTTCTCCCACTCTTAGAAGTCCGCATTGTCCGGGGAAGGAGAACACATTATTTTATTATTATTGGCATTATCGACTCACACTTCTCTCCGCCAGTCCTCTCCGCCCGATACGCCGGACCGTCCAGCTCAGGGTAAAGGAACGAGAAGCCGGCCCTCTCGATGGCGGAGAAATAAATTCCGTCGACCAACTGTCCGCGCCGGTTATTATAGAACCACGCTCAAACGCCGCCACTAAGTAGATCGGAGGCAAAGCCGGAGAGGAAGGGCTACATCGGGGTATACCCGACAGCTTGGAATTAATGATAACCCGACAAATAAGCCCACGCCTGCACGCTGTTTCTTCCTTTCTTTTCCCGCTGCGTTTCTCTTTTTCTGATTGATTTTCATTTCATTTGCTGTGACGAGTGACACTGGTTTATTTTCACAATGGGGAAAGTATTCGACGCGGCCGAAGGTAGGACAGATTACTTCTTAGCTCTGCTTCTCCGCATTCGTCACATCCAGGTACTAATATGGAAATACAGTCGCGAAGCACAACACTCCGGACAGCTGCTGGGTGGTGCTGTACGGGAAAGTCTACGATGTAAGGCATCCAATTCGCTTTCACGGAGCTGTTACCGTTGCAATATTTTCGTATATCACCTGCGCAACTGGAAGATGTAGCTTTACTAAATCGAGCGGCGACTTGTAGGTAACCGATTTCCTTTCCGAGCATCCTGGTGGCTCCAAAATCATCCTGAAGCTCGCTGGAAAGGATACCACAGAAGAATACGATCCCATTCATCCTCCAGGGACACTGGAAGAGAACCTCAAGCCAGAGGCCTGTCTCGGGACCATCGACCTTGAGACGCTACCCAAACCCAGTGCAGAGAAGACCGAACCGCAGGAGCAAAAGGAATCACTCCCGCCTGTACAGGCTATGCTCAACATGGATGAGATCGAGGAACTGGCAACGAAGAAGGTCAGCAGGAAGGCGTGGGCCTACTACTACTCCGCATCCGATGATAAGGTGTCGAAGTCGTTCAATACCCAGGTCTATCGGCAGATCTTGCTTCGACCGCGGGTGTTCATTGATTGCACAAATTGTGATCTGTCAACCTCACTCTTGGGTCACAAAGTCGGACTACCGATCTATGTGTCCCCTGCAGCGATGGCACGCCTGGCCCACCCCGCGGGTGAAGCTGGTATTGCAGAGGCATGTCGCAGCTTCGGTGCCGCGCAGGTCATCTCGAACAACGCGTCCATGGCCCCAGAGCAAATCGTCCAGGATGCTGCTCCAGATCAGGTGTTTGGGTGGCAACTCTACGTCCAGATTGACCGGAAGAAGAGTGAGGCTATGCTGGCACGGATCAACAAGCTCGATGCTATTAAGTTCATCGTGTTAACTCTGGATGCGCCAGTGCCGGGTAAGAGAGAAGATGACGAAAGGAGTAGCACTATTGGAGAATCGTTGCCAGTTCCTAGCGCTGTTAAGGAGGGTGCCCGTTCTGCTGACGGGACTCCGGACGTTTCCCAGGCCGTCGGTGGTGTTGGAAAGACGCTCTTCGCCGGTACTGATCCGTCGTTGACTTGGAATGAAACCCTTCCATGGCTGGCTAAACAGACTAAGAAGCCCATCATCCTGAAGGGTCTCCAGACACATGAGGATGCATACATCGCTTCTCACTACGCCCCTCAGGTTAAGGGTATTATCCTGTCCAACCACGGCGGTCGAGCTCTGGATACCGCCCCGCCAGCAGTCCACACTCTGTTGGAAATCAGGAAATACTGCCCACGGGTCTTCGACAAGATCGAAGTGTGGGTTGATGGCGGTATCAGACGTGGTACCGATGTTGTGAAAGCACTGTGTCTGGGCGCCCGAGGGGTAGGAATCGGCCGTCCCCCTCTCTGGGGTCTTGGAGCTGGAGGTGTCGAGGGTGTGAAGAGGACTCTGCAAAGTAAGTCTCCAGTTGAAGTTAAATGCCTAGGCGCGTGAAACTGACTGTACTCGCAGTCTTGTCGGATGAAACGGCGAGCTGTATGCGCCTCCTCGGGGTCCAGAGAGTCGAAGACTTGGGGCCCCAGTATGTACGTATTAAGTTATATTCTCCTTCTTTGGTCCTGTCCGTACTGACTCAAATGAACAGATCAACACCCGTATTGTCGAGCAACAAATATTCGACGGTCCCTCTGGTCTCGATACAACACCATCGGTGCTGAAATCAAAGCTATAATTGTATCCATGATTTGGTAAAAGTGTGGATATTTCAAACCCGGAAAGAGCTTTCACATTCATCCATATTCCCTGAGCGAATATTACACAACTGCTGACGGATATTGTTCCCGTTTTCTTCTCTCCACCTTGCGTAACCAAGCTGTACTGTATACTCTGTTCATTAGACAGGCTTCACCTCATATGTAGTGTCTTGAGGACTCTTGCGGATGCCACTATAGACCGAATTTATACTGTCTCTGATATTGCTCTTTCAACAAACAATATCTACAAATTTGAGTCTATTTTCGGCATAGCTACGCCTTGCCACCCATCTTTTCATAGCTCATCTGGTCCAAAGAGAGCCGATTTCTGTCTCCTTGTCAGTATATGCGGATCAAAGAACAGTTTCCACAAGACAAGTGACTCTAGATCCATGCCTGGGCTCATACCCCTCCTAATCTCAACTAGCATTGTGAATTCCACAATGCACTAGTCCTGGGGGTCCACTTGGACCAGACCTGGATATCCACGTTCTTCTCATACACATCATACAGATACCCCAATATAAAATCTCTCTCGGTCTTATCAAACCACTCTCCCAATGCTTTCTGCTGCTGCGGCGAGAGATCTTGAGTAGGAAAGAAGACCACACTTCTCTCCTCGATTAGTAGACCCAACTGATCTTTCTGTGATCCGTCAGATCGTTGAATTGCAGACTCACGACCTCCGTCCTGATATGTTTCGTTAGATGAACCACCTCCTTCGCTGCTGATAAGAGCGCTTTCTTCTCCTGATTGGCGTACAATTGATCACAGTTCCGCACGTTGTAGATGTCATCAAGATACAGTGATAAAAGCAAGAGTCACGGCAACCATAATGAACTCGATCCCTGTTCTTGTAAAGTATATGAAGGGCGTGTTTGATCACATTATCTACAAGCATCATTATATCTTCGTCCTTCCTCCGCGCATGGAATCTGAAACTCGATCTCTCGCACAGATCAGGTGCTGGTTATCAGTATGAAATAATATAATTTGTTTTGGTCAGGTAATCGATTCGATTCAGGGGCCACTGTCAGCTAAATGCGAGCCAGGATATCATAATGCGGGGCATGAATGGCGTAATGTTATTGTCGGTCTTATATTCCTGATTAAATGCGCCTGGGTGACTTACGGTTTCTAGCTTATTTCTATCAGTAGTAACCGAGTGGACGAATCGAGATAAACTACTGAAGATTGAGAGTCCGGCTGATGCACAGACCGTTAAGTATGGTCGAATTATTGAAGTGGTCTAGCTTGAGGCTAACTCTGTGAACACATTTATGCTCCATTCGATGTTTATTGCAACGATGGTGATTGGATATTGATATATAGACAGGCCCGCGATATAGGAGGAAGCTGGTGGTTATCACCTAAATTCTATCTATCTAAAGCTTTGTTCAACGAATCCTTTCAGGACCTAAGAAGCAATCCAAATCATCTACGCTATCTCCATTGTACCACACATAATCTCAATCATCAACCATCCATGGCTAATGGAAACCCATCGCGGAAACTTATCTGCGTTTATACATGGCGATATCTGCGGGCTCTGTGACGTCTTAGCTCTAGATATGAACGGGTACACCTGCTTCAGCCAATGCTTATATGCTACGACATATTGATCCCTGTCTTGGTCCCTATAATGGACGCCATGCCCGCTGGGCGCGTGGTTGGTGTTTTGCATCGGCAGCACGCGAAAGCCGCCTCTGATGTCGACATCCGAAACGACACAACTAACCCCGCGTATGAGGATGTCGACGAGCTTCTTGTCTAGGTACTAGGATCCACCTTTTGTAGCCTTGATGGTGGTCTAAGCTACATAATGGATAGACCTATGGGGCATATGCGTCGGAATCTCCCCGGGAGACCGGGGTAGGTAAGAAAGAAGAGGTAGCCTTTTTCTTGTTCTATCAGGATAATGTGCTGTAGCTTAAACTTTGAGGGCTAGGAAACGCTGCCGTGTGAGATTTAAATCTGTCTAATATCGATTTATATCAGACGGAGAGCAGGGTTTCCAGTTTGTATCACCTAGCTGCTTCGTTTCAAGGCCGCATTCCCGGCTACTGGTGTATATCTTCATATCGGGCAAACCAACTCGAAAAAACATGGCGCCCCCGGATATTGTGACGGAAGAGAGAGCATCAGAGCAATACGACGATGTTATCATCAAAAAGGATCCGAAACGCAAGTGGGTGAGCTACATCTGGGACACGTTCGACAAGTCTCCGGAGGAGCGCAAATTGCTTTTCAAATTGGATACTGCCATTTTGACGTTCGCATCATTAGGTGAGTTTCGAACTGATTAGATTCTTCGTATTAGAACTGACTGGATCTCGCTAGGTTATTTCATCAAGTACCTAGATCAGATTAACATCAATAATGCTTTCGTTTCGGGAATGTACGTCACTATAGATTCCCAGTTATGGACACTTTATTAACGGTCGAACAGGAAGGAAGATCTAGGGCTATACGGTAACCAGCTAAACTATATGCAAACAACATGGACTATCGGATATGTCATCGGGGAGATCCCTAGTAACATATTCCTCACACGAGTTAAACCGAGATACTGGATCCCTGCAATGGAGGTAGGATGTCGCCCGAAACTAATACTATGCCGGTTGGATCTTTAGCTCATATGTTCAGGTTATATGGTCTATCCTTACCTTTTCACAATCGAGATGCAATTCGGCCCACCAATTCTACATAATTCGGTTCTTCATCGGTAAGGATTCTGCAGCCACTATGTGCTGACGATAATTAACCTCCAGAAGGTCTCGCAGAAAGCACTTTCTACCCCGGAATGCAGTATATAATCGGATCATGGTATCGAAAAGATGAACTGGCTAAAAGATCTTGCATCTTCCACACAAGCAGCGCAATTGGAAGTATGTTTTCCGGCTATCTAATGGCTGGCGTATATCATCTTGGTGGAAAAGGTGGCTTCAAAGGCTGGCAATGGTAAAATTTATCCGTCAACAGTCCCAAACAGTGCCAGTGGCTTACTATTACCGCGAAGGTTGTTTATTGTCGACGGCATCATATCGCTTCCAGTCGCCCTGAGCGGGTTCTTTGTCCTTCCGGATGTACCAGAGATCTCCAATCCTTGGTATCTGACCAAGAAGGTATGGAAGTCCGTCTAAATTTTAGTAATTTCTAGTATTATCCACACTCTGACATAACACTCGTAGGAAGTTGCACTTACACAGAAGAGGATGGAGTTGGAGGGTAGAAAACCGAGGCAACCCTACACAATGGCCAAGCTGAGGAAAATATTCTCGTCCTGGCATGTGTACCTTCTGACGATCGCATATATGTGGGTTCCATGCATGGGACGGCTTCAGCTCGAGGGAGATATACATATCTAACTCTACCCAGATGTTTCAATAACGGCGCTGCAGGGTCGCAACCTGTTTTCCAACAGTGAGTAGTTATCCTGCCCTATATATGCGTGCAAGGCCCTGAGTAGAGAACAGGTATTTGAAAGCGTCCAAAGACCCGAAGTATTCCGTTGGACAGATCAATGCATACCCGACCACCACTTCAGCTGTACAGGTGTTTAGTACCCTGGTATATGCTTGTAGGTTGAGCAATCCTGCGATAACCCCGGAAAATCCATCTTGACAAATTAATTAGGGACATCCGATACGATATTCAGAGGCGCTCGCTGGCCTCCCATCGTTTTTGGTGCTGTAAGTCCCGACTTATGCTTATCAGAGTTCCTCGTTGACCTTTGTGCGTAGCTGGTGAATATCCTCTGCTACGTATCCCTTGCTGTGTGGGATATCCCTACAGGATGGAAATGGACATGCTTCATATTGGCCGGATGTGGTTATGGACTTAGCGGTCTACTCATGGCGTATGTCCCATCACTCCCCAAATAATGCAAGTATTATACGGTAGCTAATCAGCAATTGACCTAGTTGGAGCCACGAGATATGTGCCGACGACAACGAAGAGCGCGCCATCACGGTCGGATCCATGAACGAGTTAGCGTATGTGTTTCAGGCATGGCTGCCATTGATTGTGTGGCAGCAAGTCGACGCTCCGCAATATCGGAAGGGTTATATCACCGTTACAATACTCTCTGCGCTTCTTATTGTTTCAGTGTTCGCAATACGGCATTTACATAAGAGGGAAATTGCCGACAAGTGAGTGTAGTCGATCAGCGCCTCCCGCGGTTCACTTTATTCGCATCACGAAAATATGCTAATTACTTATATATCGCTTTGCTGCAGGAGAGGACATATAGGAGAAGAGACACAGGAGGAAGATCCCTCCAGCCCTCCTCATTCTATACCAGTTCCCACGAAGGATTCGAGAGCGTGAACCGAAGACCACAGGTTGTCAACGAACTTAACGTGTTCACTTGGTTGTGATATTATATCGTCCAGCAGCTGAATATGTCAAGAGCATACAAGAGCATATTGATGTACAGATTCGAGTCCGCTCTTTGAAAGGATTCAAAGATTCTTTTGCCATATATACTATTGAAATCTATTGGAGCTACAGACCACTCTACTCAAAGGATATATCTCCTATTGGTCATCCTACAAAAATATAAATGGATATTCAGTGATTGATCAACTAATGTGTTATTGTATTACGGTAGTATTACCGTAAATGGACGACGGCGGCATCGATTATCTGTATTATCGCGTATTCCGCATCAACTTCAGCCTTGTTCGCGACTCCGCAAAAGCGGAATTCACCATTTACTGTCTGCGTGTAGTCGAACTCGATCAAGCTTGATTGAGACACTCCATGTGAAACAATATTCTAAATTCTATGCTATCAACCCGAATTCTCTACGACTCGCCATACGTCGTTTAATTACTTGTCCCGCTACTTCTGTCACCCCCGCTTGTCTACCCTGCACGATCGACCGACCAACATCTCGACTCCGATGACCTCCGCCACCCCTTCCCTGGGCCCTTACTCCTCGTCGCCTGCTTTCTTTCTACCTGCACTCAAATTCGACGCGACCGTTTAGATATTCTCTACGCCTACCGCGTCTCACCACGACGATTGGAACTCGTGTTCGGCTTCCAGCTCGGAAGCTGGGACCTTTGTCCCCTTTACTGAGCTACGCTCACCCACACAAAGCCGTATCATTCAAAGTTTCTGTGCCTTGTTTGACGGTATCCGCATCACGATCCTTTCCTGTGAGCCTTGACAGATTTCTCTGCAGTTGGATAAGCGCCAGACAACTGCAGACTTTCCATGCAATCTTACCTGCGGCCGAAAACATCATGAACCATACTACGCCTTCTCCCAGTCCGCCGCCAACACATTCCTCTCCGGCCCAAGGGACCCCCCACAGTGTTGCTGCAGGTGCAAAGCGGAAGCGAAGCTCTGGCAGTAAATTCTATGCCGTTAAACTTGGCTTTCAGCCCGGGGTGTACTATAACTGGAATGATTGCTTGGCGCAGGTGACGGGATACAAGGGAGCTGTCTGTGAGTCTGTCGCAAATTGATATCACTATTATTTTGATAAGCCGCTTTTTTTTCCCTTTCAATTGCGGGGTCTTTTATCCGGAATGATAAATGCTAATCGTTTTTCTCTTCCTACAGTCCAATCATTCCCTACTCTCGAAGAAGCCAATGCTTTCCTTACAGGTACCAGGCTGCCTGGTTCTCAGAACACAGCATCTTCAGGGGCCGACAACACACGGTTTTATGGCGTGCAACGAGGCCATAAACCCGGTGTCTATACGGATTGGGCCAAAGCCCAGGAGCAGATACGGGGATTTGTGCGGCCGAAATACAAGAAGTTTTCTACGCGGGTAGAAGCCGAGGAGTTTGTCCAAAGCGGACAGGAACAACCTTCGACATCGGTTAGCATTTCACAAGTAAAGGAATTGCCAGGATCGGCTGGCTTGACGTCTGATAATCCTAAGGATGACCTTGGCTTCGATTTGGAGCCGGGAACTGGCCCTCTTCCGCCTGGTGCGGAGGACGGTTTTGATCCCAATGTGCTCTTTGACCCGACTACGGGCAGGATTGTATACAAAACGAAAGAACAGAAGACTGCAACCAAGACGAGGCCGACGGGATCACCGCCCATGTTAAACATCTATACGGACGGAAGTTCTCTGCGGAATGGTTCAAAGATAGCATCGGCTGGAGTCGGTGTCTACTTCGGACCCGGGGATAAGAGGCATGCAACGCTCTTCCTGAGTTTTCTTTTGGTCCAGTCTTACTGACACACCTCCTTTCTCAGCAGAAACGTCTCGGAGCCGTTGAAGGGCAACCGCCAAACCAACCAGCGAGCAGAGCTGTTTGCTATTCTGCGAGCTCTTGATATTGCACCTCGCCATCGAGATGTCACCATCTTTACTGATAGTAGGTACGCTATTGACTGCGTCACTGTATGGTACATCAAGTGGCGGCGTAACAAATGGATGACGGCAGACCACAAGCCTGTTGAGAACAAGGACCTGGTCGAATCAATCCTGGTCAAGATCGAGGAGCGGAATGAATTGAAAGTTAAGACTCTATTTCAATGGGTGAAGGGACACAATCGTGACCATGGAAACGAAGAGGCTGATCGACTTGCGGTCAATGGTGCTCGAAGAGGTGTTACAGAAAAGGCGGAAGCACTGGCAGTAGCCCAGAATATCGCTGATGAAGGGCTTGAAGAAGAGTTCCAGGACGATTTGAATTGAAGTTCACGTTCATTCGGTGTTCCTGTATCTCAGCTATATATGGCGTGGTTATGGATCGAGGTCGATATGGGCTGCGCTGCGGGAGTTTGGCAGGGCGGGACTCTGGCTGGCGAAAGACGGAGTAGGATAGGATTAGTTATTCACTGCGTGGGCCAGCAAAGCTCACCAACATGCTATCCTGATCTTCACGTCTCTCTTGGCGATTTATAAGTGTATATTTGATCACGGCTCACGTCATGAGGAGATAAGTACAGTACTTGGCCGTGGAATGTTTCCGGCAGCATGAACGAAACACGGATGAGCCGGCACTTTGCTAGGTATTCTTCTCTCGTACACTGGTAAAATAATGCAGTAGTTAGTCGGTTGTATCCTCGAAGGTCCCTTCAGCATGTTCCTGTCACGCCATCTTATCTCGGATCTTTTGGCCCACTAGAGCCCGACTTCTTGGCGGACAAATTATCTAGCGGACATTTTCTGTTCGCTCGCCGAAAACTGACTCACACCTGCTGTGTATCTCAGGCTTTTCGACTGTGCCTTTGCTCGTGGGACTCTTACAGGTAAACCGGCTGGTTTATTGATCACGTCTTTGTCTACAAGGCAACGGGAACTTCAATCTATCGTCTCCAGCGACCGCATAAGGTTACGGGTTCAATCTGGCCACCGTCGCGAAACTAGGCCTCAGCAACTTTCATCGGATGAGCAGAGAGCAGCAGGTTGTAATGAGCGTTCACACTATGATTGAATAACACTTTCTGGTTTCCACTACTGGTCTTTAAGCACTACTGTTCAGTGACACCCTCGTTGGGACACTTAGGCCTGTATCAATCTCTCCATTCCAAGAGGGTCCATACAGACTCTCCAGCAGACGGTTCGTCAAAACCGTAAGCATAATTTAGCACGAAGGGGAAGGGACCGTGTTCAGGAATCGAGCCTCGTTGGATAATTGCTTTTCAATATCCGTGGCTCGTTGAATTCCATCCATACGAAGCGCCTGCCCAGTCGGTGGATCATTCAAGCCAAGGACGACAAGAAGACGAAAGCAGCCAAGATGCCTACCCTTGACTTGGGCAATTTCAACATTGTCTGTGCCACCCTCGGAGGCTTCATCTCTCTCTTTGGCTTGGTCTCCTACCTTTGCAAGGAGAGATTCTATCTTTCGGAAGCATGTTAGTGCAGCCGTGCATTCTACTTCCATGGAGCCCTTTTTCCTGTGCTGACATCCCATCAAACAGTGATATCGCTTCTAGCTGGGATTATATTTTCTCCACATGCGGCTAATTTCATCAGACCGTCAGACTATTCTCTTGGCTCTGCTGAAAATCTGGAACTTATCACGCGGGACTTCACCAGACTTGTCTTGGGTGTCCAGTTGGTTCTTGCCGGAGTTCAGCTTCCGAGTCGCTATCTGCAGATAGAATGGAAGAGCCTCTCCCTCTTGCTAGGCCCCGGTATGGCGGCCATGTGGATATGTACCAGTCTCCTTGTCTGGGCAATGGTTCCACATACGGAATTCCTTCATGCCATGATCATCGGTGCCTGTGTGACGCCTACTGATCCAGTCTTGTCGAACTCCATCGTGAAGGGTAAATTCGCGGATAAGAACGTTCCACGGCCACTGCAGAGGATCATAATCGCAGAGTCTGGTGCCAACGATGGCTTGGGATATCCATTCCTTTTCTTGGGGCTCTACCTCCTCAAATACGTAGGTATGGGCGGTGCAGGTACCACCGGGAATGGTGGCACAGCTATTGCAAAGTGGGTCTACGAGACTTGGTGTTACGAGATATTGCTGAGCGTTGCCTATGGCATCGCTGTTGGCTGGCTGGCTCGAGACCTACTACATTGGGCAGAGGAGAAGAAGTATATCGACCGGGAGAGCTTCCTGGTATTCGCTATTGCTCTTGCAGTAAGTCCTGATCCTGTGAAGACAAGTCGTCGGCGTACTAAACACTACATCTAGCTCTTCATTGTTGGAACCTGCGGATTGATCGGGACAGATGACCTGCTGGCCTGCTTCATTGCCGGAAATGTCTTCACTCACGAGTGAGTCTACTCTCTCCCTGAACCTCAGCTGCCTTGGATTGCTGACCTTCAAAGCGACTGGTTCCGTCTAGAGACACTGGACGACTCCCTCCAGCCCACAGTAGATATGCTTCTCAACTTGGCCATTTTCATGTGGTTTGGAGCTGTGTGCCCATGGTCCTCTTTCGTCCATAACGATGTCATCCCGATATATAGGCTCATATTCCTGGGGATCCTGGTTCTGCTTCTTCGTCGATTGCCTGTCATTCTCGCAATGCATAAGGGAATCCACCAGATCGACCAGTTCTCTCAGGCAGCCTTCGTTGGATTCTTCGGGCCTATGGGAGTCGGAGCTATTTTCTATCTCTGCGTTTGCCGAGAGTTCTTGACCGAGAATGTGCTCGTTGATGGCAAACCCCGCGAGGATGCGGTCAAAGTTGCTGAAGCAGTTAATATCGTGGTCTGGTTCCTGGTTATCTGTAGTATCGTACGTTCCCCGCACCAGTTATTCTCTCTTTTTTTCACCAACGTCAAAAGGTATCCAAGCTCTGACTACTATCCAGATCGTGCACGGTATCTCCGTTCCGCTTGCCAAAGCTGGATATCATATCCCGCGTACCATCTCTAGCGCCCTGAGTACAAGCACAACCTACGATCCGGAGCCTATCACTATTCCTGGCGTCCAGAACACCCACAGCACTGCTACACGAGGCCAAGATCCCACCGCTCTTGGTCGCAACCGTCGAGAACGGATCCCACCACCTCCCTTCAGGATTGGCGGGTCAGTTATCAGACCGAGATCTCCAGCAAGTCAGATCCAGCCGGGTGTTGGCCAGACCGGTGAACCTGAAAGACCAGTTAGTTTGGTCTCTGATGATGGCCGACTCAAACCAGGAACACAATCTGCCAGTGACTAGTCTAAACCCTTTGCAAAGCTGTTGGCTCCCATTGTCTCGAGGATCCTGATGTCTCCTTGCAGTGGAGAGATCTGCTGGCGATATTTATCCCGGCTTTCCGCCAGCAGCAAATATCAAGACAGGCCCTTCGGGTTTAGACGTCGCGCTACTTATGAACTGGTGAGTATCCGCGGAGCTGGAGCTACCATATCAGACGTATGTACATACAACTTACCACGCGGAAGTTTTGAAACCATCCGTTCATATTACCATTGCGTTTTCAAGGCTTTACTTTAGAGAAACCATGCCAATTTCAACTGAGTATTACTCTGAAAATACCAAACAATTTGATCTTGTCTGCATTATGTAAAAGTCAAAAGAGTAATTACTACTAGAAATCAGTTGGACCTTACAGTGGCGGAGGCAATTTGAAGAACAGCCATAGTAAAAGTAGATCATGAACTAATGCAATTAGAGATCTCAGAGAGGAATCGGAGTACAGACTGCCAGTTAAGCGTTCAAGCGTATAGTCAAGGACGTTGTTGAATTGTTCTTGAAGTAAAGTATTTTCTTCCCTTTATGCACCAACGCGCCAAGCACTATGGAAAGCATGGATGCGATCTAACTACAACTTCTGTTTTTACCCAGGATACTCCATACGAATCCAGTCCGATACATATTGAATGGTTTTTATTTTCCGAAAACTTTTCTGTCATAAAACTCCGTACTTTTAGGTTCCATGCCACGCTCATAATGACAATTCAACCCAAACATGGTTCCACCGCCGGTCCAACCTCATGACCTCTACCAGCAAACCGCCTATTCATCATCGAGATCTCACGTTCATAGCTTCATCCCCAACCAACATATGTCTATGAAATGAGCTCATGCAATCATTAACATTGGATCCACGCCACCCCTCAACACCAGCTGCATCAATGTGGAATCAAACAAAAAGGGAGTATGCGAGGGCGGACAAAGGAAAAGGGTATATACCAGGACCACCTCGACACTCTGGGACTGGGGACCGGGGGCTCGAAAGAATGAAAGAGAAAGATGTCATTCAAAATAACATGTGAGAAGGAAAAGAGGAAGATGCAGGATGTGTGATTGTCGCCGCAATAAGGGCGTCATAAGAACCCATGGTTAGCGGATTTGGCGGGAAGAAGGGCAGGAGAACGGATGCAGAGGACCAACGAGTCCTCATGACGGAAATGACACATCCTATGGGAGAAGCGAGACATGATGTGGGCCGCTTAAGTCATGCCGTGGCCGACATTTCTCTCTCGTCTCCCACACCAACGTAAATAAAGGTTATAGGCAATGCGGACTAGTCCAGGGGATGCTTGTCCTATGTACAGTGGTCACGCTCGAAGGACCTGCGACTACGGTGACAGGATCTCATGCTACAATCGCGTCCATAAGAATGGAGGATTCGAGTAGCAGCTGAGGATGTCAGCACCGTTGGCAGCGATAGTATCCGCGATACACGCAGACACGGTATGAAAGATAGGGTCGGCGCTCGCAAGGACCCTCTTAAGGGTTGCTGATTCGTTGATAGAACAGGAGATAAGCGACTTTGTTGTCACGGCTGCCATACCTCCCGATGGGCGTTCGGACACCTGAAGATGCTGGCGACGCAGTTCCGTTCGCGACTACAGCGGCAGCGGTTGATTTCTTGCTCGAATGACCGGACCCACTGCCGTTGACTTGGTTCCAACCCTTCTCGTTGTCGACGCTCTCGTCGTCTTGGTCGAACTGGTCGTATATATTTGCGTTCGGGATCTTGTCGCGCTTGTGCTGCTCAAGCGCAGCAGCAACAACCTTGGGATCCTCCTCACCACCAGCCTCAGCGACGTCTTCGCTTCGGATGCGGCGAATAACAGTATCGTCTAAACGAATCCATTCACGGCCGTCCTGGCGGCGGACATCGACAGTGTAATGACCACCGCTCGCATTTTTGCCGTGATGATAGATTACACCGATAAGTCGGTATTTCGGCAATCCTCCTTGCGCCGTTATAGCATTGCGCCGATGCGGAGGGAAGACCTCACGGGGAATTTCAAGATCGAGTGGATAGCCGATTTTCTTCCAGATCTTCTGAGTGCCCCTGGTAACGCTGTCATATTGGAAACGTTTGAGGTGCAAAATGAGGACGGGTGGCAGGGTTTCAATGAATATCTGCTTCGTTGCGGTTGCATTAGGTCCACGTGCAGAGCTAAAGTCGCCATGGATAGTTTCTGGCTTCGTCAAGCCTTTCAAAGCATCGACGATGTTGTTGACTTCAGGAGATCCGATGTCAAGTTGCAGAGGTTGATATGGTTCCAAGGTCACGGAATTCTTGTTCCCGGGGACTCTGAATTCTGACCTGATCTTTCCCCCAAAGATCTTCGTAATAGGCGATTCCAGGGCAATATGCCCTGAGGATCGAGTAACAGCAGCCTTTTGCTTGTGGCCAACTTCCAACCACCCGTCTGCTGACGGCTCTTCGAAAGTAGCAGTGGATTCGACGTCCGCGGACGCAGACACATCAGATCCAACTGCACCGGCAGCCTTGGCAGCCTCAGTACATTCCTCATGGAGTTCCTCCAGGAGGAATCCCAAGAACTCCTGGGCATCTTGCTGATGACCACGGCGCATATCACGGAAGCGAGGCAGCTGCCTAATCACCTCATAGACATATTCAGGGGAGAATGCATCGCCGTACTGCTCCAATTCGTTTTGTTTGAGTCGCAATTTCAACTGCTCAGTCGATCGTGCTGCGTCGATGACTCGGAACTCCCGCATAAACATAATCATAGCATCGATGAGAGGAACGTCGCTTTTGAAACTATGAGCAGCTCGTCGACCGACATGTTCCAGGAACTGATAGAACGGAATGCAAAAAACAAGAATCTGTAGGACCGAATTCATGTAACACATGTTTCCAGTATTTACAAGTCCCCTGGGCTCGAGGAATGCAATCTTATCGCTGTACTGATCGACATCGGCTCCTAGGTCCTTGAGGACCTCTGCAAGAGTCTGGCTTCTGGACACAGCCAGACCACTGCCTTCAGTAGATGAAGGCGTAGGAACTCCTGCATTCCGCGAAGCGGATTTTGACTTCACAAGGTCAGCCCAAGATTTAGGAGCTGGAGGCTGAGAAGCAGGCTTTGCTGGCTCTTCGACGACATTAGTTGATCCCGTCGTAGTCGCTTCCGCAGAGGCGTCACGAGATGAGTCAGCACCATTCTCGTTGGCCGTCGTAGAGGGACGACCAGAACCATCCTTGCTCTGCTGTCGGTTCGTGGGTGATTGTGCGACAATAGGGACCACAGGGATGACGGGCACCGCAGGTCTGGAAGCACCGGAGCTTTTTACAGGTACTTGTGGTTGTGCCTGGTTCTGAGGGCGGCTGGTTGATTGAGGGACTGCAGACGAGGGAGTTGTGGGCTGAGTTGAGGCAGTCTCGGATGGGGCATGTGAGGTAGTAGGTGTCTGGGGCTCAGAAAGCAGGGGAGCTGAAGACTCTGGTGCCTTGACTGGTTGTTCGTTGGCCGTTTCCTGCGAGCTTGGGGTGTTCTTCACGGGAAGTTCCACGGACACAGACTGCAGGGTTCGACCCTTTCGGCGTCTGCGAGGGACTCTAGCAGGGAAAGGCGCACTGGGAACAGAAAGCCAGGGAACCTAGATGACCTGTCAACAGATCGTTCTTATACTACTTAGAGTAGATAGGAGATACTCACGGGTGCACGAAAGGGCTCTCGAACAGCGGGGACTAGCTTAAGAGCATCTGAGGACTGCGAAGGCGTGGTTGGCGTTGGAACTGGATTGACCGTATGGCCGATAAGCGGGTTTTCGTGAGCAACCATCTGGCTGGGAGCGGGCACGGGCGGCGACGGGGACATGGTTGGTTGAAAAGGAGTCGAGGCAGCCGTCCTCGGTTGCAGAGGAAGCGAAGGAGGTGGAATATGGGCCGGTGCCATCACAGGCTGCGTATGAGGATACGAGGAGACGATCAACGGTGCATACGGAGGCTGGTATGGACGTGGAGGAGGCTGCATCTGCGGGTAAGAATACCAGTGCGGGTACTGTTGCGGCGCATACGCAGGAGGAAGATGACCGTTGAGATGAGGCGGATGATAGCCCATGTATGCTGGCGGAGAACGTATATTAGGAGGCCCAGTTGAGTAGGGAATCTCATGCTGCCGTCTTGGAGGAGGCATGGGCGGCTGCCCATGGGGCATGGCGGGCAGATGATGGTTCATCATGTCCAGGCACTTGGTGCGGTTGTCCTGACTGTTCAGCCACGCGTCGCCTCAATGGGAGCCATACAGATACGGTGGATCAGAGGCAGGACAGCAGACCTTGCACTGGCCTATTCAGCCATTCTGAGCGCAAGGTCAGACGGGGAGGAGCAGATGAGGGAAGACGTTGGAGAAGGTTGAGTCGCAACGAGCTGAAAAAGGGATCGTTAGTTGGGCTGTTTGACCGCCAGGAGAGCCAGGAAGGGAGGAAGTCAACTAACCAGGACAGACAGGAGATCCCAGCCAAAGATATATCTCCGCCAGAACAGGGGAGATCCAACGATGCTGACCACGGCGACGGCGGAGGCTTGCGGGCGACGATGGAGATTCGCCAGCGAGTTTGCATGATGTTTTTGGGGAGGTCGCGGCACGTGCCTGAGGCTCTGGGCGCCAAGAGATGACATACATACTTGCGGTTCGCCCCTCGAGATCTCTCGCTTTCCCCCTCAACCCCTCGCCCCTCGGGGTATTCTATACGATCTATCTATCTATACTGTCTCTTGTCCTGCTCCTTTTATGACTCTCTATCGTTCCTTTCCATCAGGTCCTTTACCGTCCTTGGAGGGATCAGTCCCTCGGTTTGTCGCTCTCTAGAGTCCGTCATCCCCCGCCATTTGCGCTGACAAAACGGAGAGCGAGAGCAAGATAGCAAGGCAACCAGACAGGTCTGAGAGATGTCGTCCAATCTAGGGCAAAACCTGGGTCCTTCGAAAGCAATCAATATCCCCAGTCCATCCGCCTCAGCGACTTTCCATTCCAGCCATCCTCAGGTTGATAGCGGATCTCAGCGGCGTCCGGGAGGCTCAGGAAGCTTCGGCGCAGGGTCAACGTCGAGGAATACGCCGTCTCCAAGGAACAATCAATCCCGAAAGACTCAACACAAACGTCAGAGGCGTCCACGTTTGGTGGATGAGGATGCATACGCGGAGTCTGTAAGTTGCCCCTGATTCATTCGTACGGGCCTTCTGCAGTTTGCAATCCAACATTGGACGCTTTTGAACTGCCTCTTCATATCGTCGTAACACAATGCTAACTCTTACGTTTTCATTCGAGTAGACCATAATGAGGTCCACTACGAGTCGCAAAGGACAGACGTCCATAACCCATCTGATGAACTTTGCTCTCCCTCCACGTCCCCAGTATCAGCCGCAACCCCATCGCAACCACCGTCGATATCCAGCCTGGGGTCTTGGATCTGGGTACCATGCCGTGGATAAAGCCCGATATGTCCATGCCAATTACAGATTTATCGTCAATCCCACGCGCGATTACCATGCCCAGGCCTCCAATGCTGATGTTCACTTGGATTGGGACTCGGTTCTCCAAGTCTTGGTATCCTCTCAGACCCAGGCCGCCAGTTGTCCGATATGTCTAGAAATACCAGTGGCGCCACGGATGGCAAAGTGTGGCCATATATTCTGTCTTCCCTGTCTGATCCGATACATGCATTCGAGTGATGACGAAAGCTCGCAATCAGCCAAGAAACAGCGGTGGAAGAAATGCCCGATATGTTACGACACCATATACATATCGGAGACGAGGCCGGTGAGATGGTTCTCCGGTCAGGAGGGCGATCTTCCTGTCGAAAACGGCGATGTGGTTATGAGGTTAATCAAGCGTGAGCCCGGCAGTACGCTGGCTCTTCCGCGCGACGGGGGCGAGAGTCTAGCTTCTGTTGACGATATACCTTGGTATCATGTCGCAGAAGTTGCAGACTATGCTAGGATTATGAAAGGAGGCGAAGACTATATGATGGCGCAGTATGATACCGAAATCGAGCAACTCAGAATTCAAGGGCAGGAAGATAATCTCCTCTTTGGTGACGATACGACCTGGACTCGGAAAGCTATTGGCAACATCTACGAAGCTAAAGAGAAGATAAAAGGCATTGGCAATCCGCCAGACATGTCTCGAGTGCCAGTGGAGAAACGACCTCAAAAGGAGCCCATCAACTTCGAACCCCCTCCGGACGGCGTTCCGGATATGTACACCTATGAGCACGCCACCAAGTCGGGCCAGGCATCGTCAGCCGAATCTGTCGTTGTTGCGGATACGGCAAGCACTTCCCCTACATCCGTCGAGACAGATAGACTTTCATCTGCAATGTCGAATCTGAAAGTTGACCCAGCATCTGAAGCCAGGTCTCAAGGAAATGCTTCTCACTCTGCTGTCACTCCTAGCGCGTCGCAACACGCCAAAGATACCAATCGTCCCCACCCTCCGGACCAGCCATTCTATTTCTACCAAGCCTTACCGCATTACTACCTCTCCCCTCTCGATATTCGCATCTTAAAGGCTGCATTTGGTGATTTTTCGCTTTTCCCGGCCACCATCCTTCCTCGCGTAGAGCATATCTCGACAGGTCATGTGGTGGACGACGAGCTGCGCAAGCGTGCCAAGTATCTGGGCCATCTTCCATACGGTTGCGAGGTAAATTTCCTAGAGTGTGACTGGAGGGACCTAGTTAGTCCCGAAATACTTGACCGGTTCCGCGGAGAGACCGAGAAGAGGCGGAAGCGAAATCGAGAAAAGGAAGTCCGTGAGGAGAAAGAGCGGATTCGTGCCGAGAAGGAAGAGGAGAAGAACTGGGCCATCGCTCGTCGAAAAGGATCCTCTGCCGGTGTAGGCCCGAGTGATCAGCCCATCTCCGATCGCGACTTTCTGCCATTATCGAGTGCGGTAGGCGATCCGTCTTTGGGTGACTTGGGTCCTTTGTCAGCATCGCCCCCTTATACGTCCAACATGGAGTCACGCTTCAGCGCTTTAGCGTCGCCTTCGACCAGTCCGTCTGGCCCTCGGACGGTCTGGGGAACTGCAGCCGTGTCATCCACATCTCCACCCGACGCTGCTCCTCGAGGTCCTGCCCACGATGGCTGGTTGCAAGGATGGGAAGACCACTTGTTGGAGGAGCAGCAAGAGTTGTGGGCGCAAGCCGCTGCCGGCGGAGGCAGCGCCTCTGCCTCTTCCGGTAACAGGAAGAAGAAGAACAAGAAGATTACGTTGATGTCGACCAATATCCAGCGAGGTGCTTGAACTAGCGGGTCGATCTCCGTTTTCTCTTCCCCTTGGGATTTCTTTAGCGGTTTAAAGTGTTTCTCAGGACATCGATGAAATCCTGCCGGGATCATATCTTCTTTTATTTTTTTTTTCTTTCTCTCGCCCAGGGAATCCCCTCTCGCCTTGTCACCTTGGAGTAGAACTTAGTCTCCACGGTTCTTGAGGTTAACTTTCCATGCTTCAGCAATAGAAAATGCTATACACTCTAGTCGAGATACTAGACACGGCACGACACGGCAAAAGCCCAGGATTATATGAGATGAAGGCCTGATGAATAAGCCCTGAAGTAAGACTAACAATAGCTTATGGACAATTTACAACTCGGTTAATAATTTAGATGTGGTGCTTGGAGAGATAGGAAGGGGTACCTATATAAAGAAGCCTCTCACACGGGGTTGGCAAGTTCTCTAAAGTGAATTATATCCGTGATCTGCGTTATCGCTCCGTCAGTCCACGGGTTCTTAGACGAGTACAAGCTGATACTTCATTGCAGTTGGAGTGAGAGGATTATTATGACTTTTTTATCTTGTGCACGCCGCTCTCTTGAGAGCAGTCTACATGGTTAACCACTATATAAAGAAATTTGAAAAAGAAATTATCATACCACTTGTATTCAATCCCTTGGATCGGCACAATCCCTATTGTACGCCAAGTACATGGAAAGGTAAAGCCACGAATTTCCGCCCCGAAAGCACCGAGATTATTCTGGTGCAGACATCAATTACTCTTGATTAGACTCTCCCGGCGACCGAGGAACCCGTGGCTTAAATTTCCCCGGTACTTATTCAACTTCAAAGCAAACACTCGAAAAGGAAAATTCACAACAAGCACATTCAGTCTGGCTGTCGACGCGATATCCGTAATCGAGTTTGATTCTCGAGGAGGCCAAGAAGAACAGAATATAAATCCACCCAACGCATGACAAATAATGATCTGCATTGGCATAGTTATTTATTTATCTAAATGCGTTAAGGCAGATCTGGTGTGGCGCGGGTGCGGAGTGCTTTTAACTAGTCTCCAAGGCCAGGAACGCGCCCGCTAAGTAGTTAAGCTAAATCTGTACTGTACATGTAGCATCATCCTTTTCCTTTTTCTCCGTCCCTCCTTCTTCACCACGATTTGACAAGGCGACACACATGGGCCAGGCTGACAGGATGAGAGTCACCCGTTCTCAGACGGGGAAGACCCCGAAGTAAGTGTATTTGTCCTTCTTACACCGTTCGAAAGAGAAGAAAAAAGTGTCCCGCCGCGGTTGCAGCCCCCTGTCCATTATTGTCTGGGGAATTTATCTTGACTAACTCGCGACTTGCGTCTGATATAGGAAGGCTGAACGTCCTGGCTTCGTAGAAACGCCAGGCGCTCGACGTGTGACGCGCAGTCGGGCTTCAATGACCCCCGATCCCAGTGCAGACGACGCGTCCGACTCGACGGCGGAGACCCGTTCAGTAGCCAAATCCTCGTCGCGCCGCCGCACAACTGCGCAGGTGAAGAAGGAGGAAGAAGAAGAGGAGGAGGAGTCACTGGTTGAAGACAAGGTCGCCGTGGAGACCAATGGCAAAGCCAATGGGCATGCGAACGGACACGTTAAAAAGGAGGCCAAAATCATTGACGGATGGGTAGAGGGCACGGATCCCAAGATCGACTATAGCGGACACTTCGAATTTGGAGGCTCCTGGGGTGTGCTCGCCATGATGATAGGTTTCCCTCTGCTCATGTACTACATGTGGATCGGTGCGACGTACTATGATGGGAAATTCCCTATCCGGGCTGAGGGCCAGAGCCTGCCTGACTTCTTTGCGCATCTCGCTCACCTGGTCTACGAGGGCGCGTTCCCTTCACTGAAAGCTTGGGCGATCTACTGGGGATTCTTCATCTTCGAAATGATCTGCTACTTACAGCTGCCCGGAATCACCCTCATGGGCCGTCCGCTCCCGCACGAGGGCGGAAAGCAGCTGCCGTACTACTGCTCAGCTGTGTGGTCGTTTTACACCACTATCGTCGCTGCGCTCGCGCTGCATTTCACCGGTCTTTTCAAGTTGTACACCATCATCGACGAGTTTGGACCGCTGATGAGCGTGGCTATCATCTCCGGTTTCCTGGTCTCCTTCATTGCATATTTCTCCGCCCTCGCGCGTGGCCGACAGCACCGTATGACTGGATATCCGATCTATGACTTCTTCATGGGGGCGGAGTTGAACCCTCGCATGTTCGGCCTCCTCGACTTCAAGATGTTCTTCGAAGTCCGGTTGCCCTGGTATATCCTGCTCTTGGTTACTCTCGGTGCCGCGGCGCGTCAGTATGAGACTTACGGCTACGTTTCTGGCGAAGTTGGCTTCCTTCTCCTGGCGCACTACCTGTACGCCAATGCTTGCTCAAAAGGCGAGGAATGCATCATCTCGACATGGTAAGACTGGTTTCTTCTCTATCGGGTTGTTTAACAAAGTTACTGACCGGTCCTCAGGGATATGTACTATGAGAAATGGGGCTTCATGCTCATCTTCTGGAATCTGGCCGGTGTGCCCCTGAGCTACTGCCACTGCACAATCTACTTGGCCAACCACGATCCTGCCACCTACCGCTGGAACAGATTCGCGCTGGCATTCCTGTACATTGCGTACCTGTTCGTCTACTGGATCTGGGATACAGCCAACAGCCAGAAGAACCGCTTCCGCCAGCAGGAGCGCGGTACCCTGGTTTTCCGCAAGACTTTCCCACAGCTGCCGTGGCAGACGGTGCAGAACCCCAAGACTATCAAGTGCCCTCAGGGTACGATCTTGGTCGATGGGTGGTGTAAGTGCATTCAATAACGATCTCTTTCCATATCCAAGATGCTGACATGATCAACGAAAAAGATGGCCTGGCCCGCAAGATCCACTACACTTGTGATCTCTACTTTGCCTTGAACTGGGGTCTTATCACCGGTTTCCAGAGCCCCTTCCCATGGTTCTACCCGGTCTTCTTCGCATGCATGATTAGCCACCGCGCTCTGCGTGATATCCAGAAATGCCGTGCCAAGTACGGCGATGCGTGGCTCGAGTACGAAAGACGCGTGCCATATCTCTTCATTCCTGTAAGTCTCATTCCTTTTTTTTTCGTAAGATTTGTTCCCTAACCCACTCTAGTATGTTTTCTAGAGGAAACGACAGCCGCCTCTACATTCAAGCACTGGGCCGTGCCCTGCCATATTATAGCCAAGCGTAAAATACCGCACTGGCCGACTCAAAACGTATACATCCGATAATATTCAATTGCTCCCACACCTTGCATCTTCGGTTCTTCCATTGTCATTCTATGTACATTATAAGAATGCTGAAATCGCACAACTTCCTGCTTTCCTGCTTTTGTTGGTGTCGTCTTCAATATATCCTCAATTAATCATTATGCATGTGGGTTGCCCCACCGTTCATCGTTTGTTTATCGAGATAATTTTCTCGGCCATTTTGGGATCTGGTGACCCCCTTTTTTTCTCTTTCTGTCACCATTATGGATAGTATACTATTTCCAGTATCTAAAACGAGAACAAATGAAAATGAAAATATGAAGTATGATAATTCGAAGCCTGGAATATGTATGCTACGCGACTAGACAAGGGACATGGAAATATGTAACCTCATCCATCGGCAACGATACCAATACGAATCAAAGAGCAGATATTATCTGGATGCTTTCCGAAGAAAACCGCGAGAGTATATATCTGGCTATAAATGGAACGTAGTTATACTAACTAGATCCTCACGCTTCCACAGTCAAAATTTCAACAGCAAAGACAGTTTATCTCCTCACGAATAAGTCCCCAAAAATAAATCGAGACTACGAACTAAGTAACTAAAGAGAGATAATAATTGATTACAAAATCCAATCACCAATAGAAAAAAAACACACAAACTACAACAAGTAACCACGTAGCTCTCCCAGATTGAACGGTAAGACTTGCTCTTCCTTCAAATAGAGACGGTGTTGGAGTTGGGTTTGGAGGTGTCGCTATGGAAGATGAGGAGGAGTTTGAATTTATCATAGGATAACCTGTTCCAGTCCCGATTCCGGAGCCAGAGCCAGTCGCGGCGGTTGTGATGGCTGTTCTTGTGGTGTGGGTATTTGGTATTGCTGGAATATTTGATGGTATGAGTTTGGTAGATGTCTGTATGGGAGTCGTTCTATTTGTCGGACGTGATGGTATGAGAGTTCCCGTGATGGCTGTCGTTGGGTTTATTTCTGGAGATTCTCCATTTGGTGTGATTGAAGAACTAGTGCTCGTTGGAGATGCAGCTTGTTGCTCATTTGAGCCCGTAAGGCCAGTTTCGATAGGGGATGTCGTCGGCTGCTTTCCAGGGATTTCTCCATTGCTTGGTATAGCAGAGCTAGTTGCGGAGGTAGGAATTGCGTCGCTTCCTGTCAATCCTCCATTGAGTGAGGTTTCTGAACTGGGTCCAGTCGTGGATGTTGTGCCTGTTCTAGGTTCAGGGGTTTCTCCTGTACCTGCTCCTGGCGTTGCTGGGTGCTCTGTAGATGTTGATGTTGAGCTGGCCCCTTTCTCGGTCGTTGGATGTGCGGTAGACCATGCTTCGGTGGCTCGAGATCCGGTTCCAACTCCAACTCCAGGGCCAGTTTGAGAAGTAGAGGTTGAAATGGAAGTTTGGCTTGTCGATGTAACACTGCTCGTCTGTGTAGTAGATTGAGACGATATGGTATCGGATTGAGAGGCTAAGATGGATGATGAGGAATCGGGAGATGAAGAGGACGGAGGAGAAGATAGAGAGGTGGAAGTTGTTATTGAAGTCTGAGTTGAAATTCCATCTGTTTCTGCCGAGTGTGATGTAGATGTGGACTCTGTCGATGATATTGAAATTGTGGATGAAGAGACAGATGGTGATGGTTCTGAAGATGATGTTGTAGTAACTCTTATACTAGATTCGATAGAAACTGTAGATACTCTAGTATTTGTGGTACTATACGTATCTTGCGCGGTAGTTGGTTCAACGCTAGTTTCTGTGGTTGCTGGCGTTGGAGAAGTTGTCATGCTAGGGGTGAGCGTACTTTCAGTCTTGCCTGTCTCCGTGCTAAGTGTGGTATCTTTCGACAACGAAGTAGCAGCCTCTGACTCCGTCGCAGCTGGTGGAGAATTCCCAGACTGAGGTGTGGGTTGAGATGGCACATTTCCACAGAAATCAAGGAATTGCTGGAACTGCGGCAGGATACCACCAATGGTAATAATAGCATCCCAGTGAGACTCGACACAAGAGTCACACATATCCAGCTGTATCTTAAACTCAGACCCGTTTTGGCATAACATAGGCGTTTTCCCCGTCTGTTGTGCTTCAACCATACAGTTATTGCACTGGTCGAAACATAATCCCGGGATTATGGAGGTGCTATATTGCCTCTTCTTTTGTCCGCGCCTTCGTTCCTCCTGTCCGTTCTCGAGACTGTATCCATTTGGGAAGGCGAAAACGCCATAGTCAAGACCAAACTCGGTAGGGTTCAGGTTGAAGTATCCTGGTGACACAATGTATTTTTCTGTCTTGTTGGAAACAGGGTACTGAGGCGCATGGAGGGGAGGGACAGGTATGCATTCCTCCGGACTGCAATAGTAGGTATCTGCCGGAGGACCAGCTTCGAAGTTGCAGTTGCCGTCGGCGGCTGATTTCTTGGGATGGCAAAGGTATCCTGGTGGACAACCCCACGTGTAGTCTGTTGGAAGAGGGGTTGGTGCCGTGTATGTTGGGTTGGTGATGCGGCTTGGACAGATAGACAAAGTATTTGACGATGGAACTGCAACCGTGGTTAATCGAGGGTATGCTTTTAATTGGGAACTGACAGTCTTCACTTACCAAAAATAGTCGATGGTGTGGGAGTAACCACACGCACAGTAGTTTTAGCAGTGGCTGTTAGACGGCCGGCAGACGATGTAGGTACAGCTAAAGCGGCGCTGGCCGAGACAGGTGTTGTCCTTTCGGATTGAATTATTCTGCTTGAGGGCACAATGCTGACGGAGCTTGGTGATATTACCGGTTTAGGTGCTTCAGATGCAACAACAGTGGTAGTGCTCTCTATATGACTGAGAGTGCTATAAGGCAACGTAATCGTAGTTGTGCCTTCTACCGACGAAGTCGAATATCGCAGGACCGTTGCCGTTTTGGTCGTCCTGGCGGTCACTGTAGTTGCTTCACCGGATAAAGTGGTACTAAATTTAACAGTTGTAGTTAAAAGGGAAGTCTGAAAGGTGGCCGGTATGGTTTCAATTGCAGATGTAGGAACGAGTGAAGTAATGGCACTCGGAGAAGTGGCTCTAGTTGGACTTGGATGGACGGTAGGATAACGGGATGTCGATAGAGAGGGTATGACGGACATCGATGTCTTCTCAGATGGAGAGATGACAGAATGTGAAGAACTCGATGCTGGAGAAGTATGAGGTATACTGCTCACAGACTCCGTATGCCAGTAAGAAGTAGAAGTCGTTTCCTGATAAATTCTATAGTCAGAGCCAACTAATCCAGCCAGGCTACGTGAGATGGATCGCTTCCTACCGTCGATAGTTCAGAAGAGATTGGCAAAGTTGTTGCAGTCTAATATATACCTAATTATTAGCTACAGTACCTCTAGAATGAGGCCCTTCTGGAATCGGGAATTGACAAGGGCATCACTTACCGACCAACTGCTGGTATAGGAGTGTGTGCTTGTACTAGCAGATTCAGTACAACTACAAGGCGCTGTAAATGTGTCCGTCTCCCAAATTGTTGTCACAGATTCTTCTCCCGTCTCATACAAAATATTTTCAAACAATAAATCATCTAACTGCGAAACTGTGTATTGTGCGCACACAACTGGCACAAGGAAAAGGCCCAGAAACAAAATGTGCCGCATCCTTGTGATGGATGATCAAAGAATACCGCTCAACTCAATTCGAATACTTTTAAACGAGTGGCACTGAGCGGTGAGCAAACGAATGTAGGACTCAAGATGAAAGATCAATGTCTAAGAAACCGAAAGGAGAATCTTGATAGATTAGGGAGACACAAAATCTACTCAGGCTGATCAGGTTGGCATGTTTTTATTCCAGTATTGGAACTATAAAAAGAAACCGAATGCGAAAAGTGCAATTACTCTGAAGCAAACATAATCAACTTGAGAATCTTAGCAAGGCCATCCATGCTGATGATCTGCCCAAGTATCTCCTGGTGGAGTTGTGAGCACGCAGGTGGCCCGTTCATATCAAAATTTGTATTTGATTATTTTTTCCAACACACAACTGAAGACGACCGTTTACCTCTACCTGAATCATCCGGCATTCCATAGTGCTACTATTTCAGTAACTTGTGGCTTGCTAGCTAGTTATTTAGACGATCTACCGCGAGGATTATCTGCAGGAATTTTCCGTGCGATTCGAAGCATGGCTAGATTTCCTTGAACTCTGTATATGTACTTAGCTCTATATGGAGTAAGTATGGTGAATTGAGACGGGAAGATCAAACAAGTTGTGTTCCTTTCAGACTTCTGGAACTAATATAATCCCTGTCGAGTCTAATTTCCCTTTTGCCTTGACGTGTTCCCGTGAGGCAGTGACCTATCGACGGCTTCAACGCTGATCCCTGTGCTGAAAGAAACATTCGAGCCACTAACCATTATGGCAGCGCAACTCGATGGTACAGTACTTCCGTAGCACGACGAGATACCATTTTCGGATACACCACTCGAATAACACTATTATAGCGTCAAGCGGTCAGTCGAGACCTTTACGATTAGCGAAGCGCACTGAAAATTGAAGACTCGAAGATAGAGTGATCACCATGCCAGGAGCGAGAGAGAGAAAAAAAAGCCATAAGGTGAAGTTACCTCTGTAGACAAAGACATCTGGCTCTAGATCCACACTACCAGCGCCTCGATCGCAAATTCAGGGGAGTTCCCTTTGACCAAAGGAACTCAGCAAGGGTCCATCATTACAATGGAGATCCACACAGGCCGTCCCGGCCAGGCTGGATGGATGGCCGCATCGAATATTGCGTATGGCCAAAGCTAGCAATATCTTTGTACTACCACGGAACCTGGGATGTATACGTTGTATTCTCCTGCACGAGTCCTTGTATTTCCCGTGCCTAGCAGTACCTTTCCGAGACATGCACTCGAGTGAATGTACCGCAGAGTTCTCGCCACAGATGACAGGTCCACAGTGGCTCGGTCAGTATCTCTGATTTTGCCTATGACTCTCCAGCATCTCCTGGGCAAGTGCATTGGATCAGCAATGGTCTGTCTCCTTGAAAAGGAAGTAAGGTATGTAGTTGTGCCACTGTATCTCCAGGACAATCCGTTGTGGCAGACAGTCTCGCTGAGAGATCGGCAACGTAGCCCGTTCAGCCTCGACGACATTCTTAACTGATGGTCTGACTTGGTCTATCAGAATTATTCTTCCTTTTCCGCTGATTCTGCCTGGATATCGCATACTGCAGGTTGGTGGCATCGAGTGTATGCAGAAAGACATTCCAAAGTCGTGAATCAAAGGTATTGTTAGACCCCATCTTCTTCTGGGGCTCACCAATTGTCTGAAGTGCCTTGTGAAACACTTTCACCATAGTGGTTGATCCGATCACATGGTAGAAAAGATGCTGTTTTTACTTGCAAGTATAGCTCTTATGCTATGCGACAAGGGCGTTGCCGTGGGCTGGGAAAACAATGTCAATATCTCCATATGTAACTGGCAGCAACTTAGAGGTGGGTACACTCTTTGGCTTTCATAAAAACTCACAACTTCCAATTTTTCACTAGAATCTGGGGTGCCGCTGACAAGCTTTGTATCTCAGCGAACATAATTCGAGATACGATATACCTGGATGGAGGGTCTACGTGGTATCGCTAGTACGTTGGGAAGAGTTCACAGCTTGTTCGAAACAACGCTAACATACCGAAGCGGAGAATCTGACGGACAATGGGGACAACTGGTCAACGACGGTAGCCATCTTCATCTCATCAAATCTTTCTTTGGGACAGATATTGATCTGACATTAGGAAATGTACACGGACTGCTCTACACTCTCAATCTCGGGCTACCATTTGACAACACAACGAACCAAACCGGTCTTTTACAGAGCATGGAAAAAGCAGGCAGTTCAGCGAGCAACAACATTGCTCCCAATTACAAGGACGGTGTCATGTTTGCAAACGATGATGAGTTCATTCTTTATGGGTAATTCAGACAACGGGTCTATACACAAAGGTTATTGCTGACAAACGAAAGGGGACTCGCTCTTTTTGAAGGTTTCGAGAACGCACAGTTGCCAAATCAGATACTAGGATACGAAGCAGATCAATGGGGCCCATACAGGGAGTCCTGGAGTCCAGGCTTTCTACAGAAAACACTGCCAAATGGTGCCACTCGGTTCGTGACTAACGGCGCTGGAGTTTCAGTTCCCAGTGAGAACCTCGGCTTCTATTTCAGCGGCATGAGAAGCGAGGACTGGGGGCTTATTGCAGAAGGAGGCTTCCCAAATATTACCGCAAATGTCACCGCGAATACTCTAATTTCAGTTAATATGACCACGATGAGAGATGAGAAGTGGGAGAATGATACCTTGCCAGATAATATCCCAGCCAGAGCCAACGCGGAGCTTGTATGGATTCCAGTTTCTGAATCTGGGGCCTTAATCGCCATGGGAGGCGTTACTGACCCGGAGGTCCTCAATCCCTCTCGCAGCCTTACGGAGGAACAAATGATAGCTGCCGTATGTTGAATCCCTTGGACTCCAGACTATATTCTCACCAGCGAGTAGAACAGTTCCAGTCGAACCTTTATGACTAGCCTTCCAGTTTATGATATTGCGAACAAGAAATGGTAAGAGCTTCTTGTATACGAAAGGAACAGTTACTAACCAGGCCTAGGTATTTGCAAAATACAACAGGCGATATTCCACCTCAGACAGCATCCTTTTGTTCCGTGGTTGCCGCAGCGCCAGACAACAGTTCTTACAATATTTACATATACGGAGGGTACAATGGTGTATATGCAGAGGATCCCCCTTACGATGACGTATACGTCTTGTCAGTGCCATCTTTTACTTGGATTAAGGTGTATTCCGGCCAGCAAAAACATGCTCGAAGTGGACACAAGTGCATAAAAACATATCCAGACCAAATGTTTGTCCTTGGTGGTATATTTGAAGGGGACTCCACTATTTGTCTAGATGGTGGTTTTATCCAGGTCTTCAATCTGAATACGCTCCGGTTCCAAGACTCATACAGCCCCGAGCAGTGGAATGAGTATCAAGTGCCGTCTATTATCACTGATAAGATCGGAGGAAAGTAAGTACTTTCACATTGTATCTATCTGGATTGCAACTGACTTCGCAAGTGCCAATGGAGCGGCTACAAAGACGGCCCCGGCGGCTTGGGCTGACGACAGCCTTGCCACGCTATTCTCGTCCAAGTACACAAAGACTATGCCCACCTATTATCCTTATGCTTTGGTCTCAAACACATCAACACCGACTGCTACTTCAGTCACTCCCACAAAGGTGCCATCTCCTTCAAATTCCCACAATCCATTGCCTGTCTGGGTCGGCCCTGTCCTTGGGGTCGTTCTCGGATTCATTGTCATAGCTGTCCTTGTCGTCTGCTTACTCGTCTATCGATGGCGACAGTATAAGAGGGCTCTTGAGTCCGGAGACGCCAGTCACGGAAGTACCCATTCCCACGTCCTCAACTGGATGAAGCACGGAATGCATATGCGGCATTCGAAATCCTCCGTACCTGCTGTTTCTGAAGTCGAAGCGAACGAGAAACATACATCCTATGGATTTTCTGCTGGAACCCCTGCTCATTATGCAGTGTCCCCAGTCGCAACAGAGGCGAGTGGTCTGCCTATACATGAGTTAGACGGTAAGTGTCGGTATTATTCCTATATACTCTAACTCAGGACCCTATACTTACGGTGGTCCTCCACAGCTGCTCCCCAAGGACGATTTGAGCTCGAGACTCCGCACAACAGTCCTATAGAGAGTTATTTTACGTCTGGTCGTCACTATAGTTCATCTCTCGACAGCGTCGTCATGTCAGGTCAACACGACAATAAAAGTCCTACGGAGTCATTTCACTCTTCTGAAGGGAACTCACCGACAGTGAGAAGCGGCATTCAGCGCCAGACGAGTGATCTAAGCTCACCCCTCTCGGATATCTCTGAACATCAATCGGAGAGCCGACCTCACTCCCGAGACTCGTCTGATCACTCAAATGAACTGGTCAGTCCGCTAGCGGTTATTCCACGGCTTCGAATTAGTCGACAGCAAAGGTAGTATCGCAAGTACAACATACAAAGCAAGCGTGATAAATATCATGCAATATTTACCCATTTTAGATATATAAATGGGTCACATGCGACTGTAAGGATCAGATCTGATTTGGACTCCGGTTGTTAGAGAACAGCCAGAACACAGTGAGATCTTTATTCACATTATTGGATTATTTCTAGTAACGATTTTGTGATATCATTTTTTTTATGTTAGTTACATGTATAGATCGAAAAAAAAGGAATGTATCTCCATGTCAAGTGATTCAGATCTCGGTGATAATTCTATTGGGTTTGTTATATAAATACTGCGAACTTAAATACAAGCGCTGCAGAAGTGCGTCTTACTGGCCTCCGAACTATAAAATCGAAGCTGTTACCTCTATCCCCCGGCCATTGAAATTATCATTTTTTTTCTCTCTTTTCTTTCCGTGACCGATAGAGACACTGTTCTGGGTATTATTATTCTCGAACGCAGGCGATCATTATTACCCCGAGCCGGGAGACCCACATGTAAGTAACTAATCCGCGGAGCTTATGTACTGCTTCCCCTCCAATTATCCCAAGAACTTCAGAACTCAAACTCTTAATGATTCTTGTCAGCATCACCGGCGCGATTTCTCGACGATATTTACTAGCCTCAGTCTCACTCCAAGGATAAAAGGAGATAAGAGCCAAGATGTTGATTCAGGAATCCTACCATGATGTTCCCACGAAAGCTGATGGGGAGGGGACTATGCGTGAGTAACCACCGATTCTATTGATACCAAGACCTCTTGTTTGGGTACTGCGGCGATATTATACATGCGTGATGTTTAATGTCGCTGTGGGTGTTTTTATTTTATTCTTAATTGAAGTTCGACGTCATTTTGGATGAAATGGTAGGGAAGGAAGGGTTCATTATCTGAAATCCCACGACTGAAACTACCACAAAGGGCTGTTTTCATCAGATCATAATTCTCTGCTTTTCGAAGCGATTTCTGTATTTCCAATTTTGGACAATCGAACCAATCAATGCATGGTGGCAGCTTGTCCAATTGCGCAAAATGTTTGCTTGCTATATTGGATCATGGCCAGAACTGTTGCAGGGGTAATCATCAGTTTATTGACTGTGTCTTTACTTGCTTGCAGGGATCTATGTTTTCCATCCCACCATCCCCGGATACCCCAAGGCCCGATTTCCTGGTGTGGTGGTATTCAGCGAAATCTATCAGGGTAAGTTCGATTCTTATGTTGGAGCTAATACCATGACAGCAGCTGATTCATGCACAGTGACGGGTCCTGTCTCTCGCTTTGCGCGCCAAATTGCTGGCCAAGGCTACATTTGTGCGGCGCCGTCGAGCTACCACGAGTTCACAGGACCGGAACCCTTGAAGTATGACGCTGAAGACACCGATAAGGGAAATCAGTGGAAGATTTCCAAGGTACGTGGCGGAATCATGGTGCCATTCAATTCTTCTCTGAGCAGTAAACGGCGTTAAGAGCTGGGTATATAGATCATACTTTCCTTTACTGATGTGGAAGTAGAAAATCACGGCTTACGATGAGGACGCTTCTCTCACTGTGGACTATCTCTTGTCGCTTCCGACATGCAATGGCCGTGTAGGCGCAACTGGAATGTGCCTGGGAGGCCATCTAGCTTACCGGTGCGCCCTTGACCAGCGAGTCAAAGCTGCCGTCTGCTACTTTGCGACAGACATCCATAGCAAGACTCTTGGCCAGGGGAAGAATGATGATAGTTTGGAAAGGGCGGGAGATATAAAGGGAGAACTGGTCATGGTGAGTATTCTTGCTGTTGACACTCACAATGGCATCAAATCAAGATCGTGGCGGATGATCGATCTAACCGTACTATGCAGATCTTCGGAAAGAACGACAACCACGTTCCTCCCGAGGGGCGTGACCTCATCCGAAAGGTGCTGCATGAGAAGGGTGTGCTGTTCAGCTTCTATGAAGTGGCATGGGCACAGCGTAAGTTATACTATACCCAGCCACATACTAGTTGCGTGATGCAGAACAACTGACTTGAATAGATGCGTTTATTCGGGACGAACTCAGCAAGGGCCGCTACGACCCAGCCATCAGCAAGGTGTGCTTCGAGATGCTGCTGGAGCTCTTTGGCCGTACCTTGAAGCTGGATCTTGGTGATCATGACGGGAAGGAGCTCAAGATTGAAGATGTCTGCTAGTTCGTCCATTATTTTCAGGCCAACAGTTGTTGGACCCATGGTTCACGGGCGTAGTCGGTATGCCATAAGACGACGTTTCAAGTGGGCGGAAGGGATAAAGTGACCTGAAACGAAACGATTCCTCACACCAGGAGGCAAAATATCGGGACCCGTTCCGTAGATGGGCGGTGAATAGAGTATGATCCTTCATCAGAAGCACAAACGCCGGCAGCATCATCCCTTACATGGGTCACTGTTCTCGAAGCCAGCATCGAACAATACTGTGGCTGGGGACTGAGAAAGTATGTACATACTGTATGGTAGACTAAACCGACAGAGTGTTTATCGTATCCATCACGTAGCCATAGGTAATAGCCAGTCTACTGCAGTCTGCTGTATGTATGCCATGCAGGATCTGAGCGCAGGGATGCACTACACTATACCATAGACCAATGGAGATTATCTACTTCGTAACTTCGTAGACTCCTGGATTAACCATCTTTGGGTCTCCATATTCGATCGAGTACACGGGCCGGTGGAGACCCAGCCTCCGTCGCCAATTTCACCGCTCCCGCGCTATGTCGGCCATCTCGCTGGTTGCAACAACAACATCATCATCTTAGGTCCCTATCAATCTGTCAGAAAATCCTGAGAGTCTTGCGACCCACGATTGTTTTGTCGGTTTCCCGCGATTTCTGTGCTCACTGCTCACAAACAAGACGTTCTGCGGCTTTCAGGGTTGTTGGGGAGCGTAGAGCAAGAGCCGGTTTTGGGCCGAGTGATCTACAGATTCTGGCATCATAGCGTCCCCCTTTGATATCCGGCAAAGAAGACAGTTGTGGCTGTCAAACGTCCACTGGGAAGAGTACTCGATCTAGTAATTAGTATGGAGGCAAAGACGAACAATTCAACTCAACTCACCGCTGGCCAGAGGAGCGATGTGGGTCTGCCCTGCAAGGTGGCAAGCTGTGGGTGACAGAGAGCACGGCCAGAGGAATTGATAGAAAATATTGGGGCAGTTAGTGTGAATAATGATGTTGTTTTCAAACGAGGACCCCATCACCGGCCATCCTGCTGGTTATTGCAGCGGGCCGCGAAGGAGGAATTCTCCAGATTCTGGCGGAGAGAGTCTGGTCGAGTGCCATGCTGTGGCTGGCCCCTTGGCGGGAGATGAAAAGAGAGATTCTCATTATTATTATTATTCTCCTGGGCTAACCAGCAAATCCCATCCGATTTCTCGACGCCAGAACGGGCTGCTACCCCGGGCCGTTTTAGGGCCGTGATATGTGAGCGACCAGCGAGTGACGCAGAGAATTGGTTGGTTGACCTGAGGGGATCCCGGCCAGACTTCAATTTCCCCTTGTACATGTAGTACATAAGTACATACAACTGATGCTTTGGCGGCTAGTCTAGTCAGATTACTGGGATTCCGCTGGCGGCAGAGTTGAATAATAATGAGTGATTCGAGGGCCTTTACGGATTCTGTGCCTGGCGCCCGCATAGGCTGTTATTATTATTATTATTTTTGTTGTTATTATTATGATCGTGACCTTTTTTTAGAGTGGAGAGAGCTTGATCGGACATGGCAGACCATGGAACCGACGAGACAGTATATCCACAATCCCCAGCTGGCACATAGACAGTAGAAAATAATTTAATTCAAGCCCGTACTGTCCACTAAAACTCCTTGGTCCACTCTCTCCAGGACGAGAGCCTCTTGTCCGCTGCGCCTCATCCGGCAATTGTATTGTATTTGTCTCAGTTGCAAGCAGCACCACTTTCGTTTTGATCGCAGACCCAGCCTTGCCCTCACTCTACTCATGAGCCGGACGATTCAATTCAGGTCTTATCTGGGCCGTTCAAGGGACTTCCTCATGGTCATATAGAAGTGATAGACCAGAATTGAACTGCACAGACTGATTAACTTGGCCTTAGCCCAGCCCCCTGGCGATCCCGCGGCATTCTTGCGACGTCTGGTCCATGGACCGAGCCCTCTCTAGCAACAGTCTTAAGCCGAGCCTAAGATAGCACCGCTAAGCCAGGGCCACCTCCCCGCCTGATTTGCCAGCCTTCGCCAGGGCGTTCTGCTGCTGTTCTCTCGTTTCCTGTTTGTTTAACAGGGCCGTGCTGCTAAAGTTGGAATTGGCTTGTTCGGACTGTCGTGGTCGCCGTTCGTTTCTTTCAACGTCGACCAGCGTCGGCCGTCGTCTCTGGACCCCCTCAGGCCTTCATCCCAAACGTCCAATTCCCTCAGCGCTGCGCAAAGTCGCTCTTTCGCGTCATTCGTTTCCTAGAACCTCTCGTGCGATAAGAGGTCCTGAACTAGTAGCACTGGAGGTGTGGGAAGTCCTGCTACTCGGTATACCCGCGACGGGGGGTTGATCGTCGTCCCAGCGGATCAAAGGAGAGCGGCGACCGCCCATCATCTACGGACATCGCGACCACAATATATCATCGCCGGAGTTAATAGTCTTTCTTTACAATAATAATCATGGGTTCGACCCAATTCGGCAATTTCCATGTGAGTCGCGACTCGAGGACCGCAGAACTAGTCCGATTATTCAAGTGATAGGGCTGACCGCAGTTCCCTTTTGTTGACAGGACTTTTGTCGGGATTCTACGTTACCAATATGCAATGTACGTTGACCTCTTCTCATGAACATACGAAACAATGCGAATTCTCGCATGTACAAAGGAAATTGGAGGTATCCGATATTGATATGTGGGAAATAGATATTTGTTGCGAATAATCAACCGCCTAACCGTGCATATGGTGGCTGTGCTCTGACGGGAATCGATCTCAGCGGAGGTCGCTATCTGGGTAATCTGGGTATGGTGCAAGGTCTCGCGGCTTTCGAAATGGACAACGGGAAACTGATATCGCGCAGGGTCAATTATTCTGGCATTCATCTCGATACTAGCCTCCATCTTTCTATTATGGCGATCAGAGCGGAAAAAGGCAGCGGTGGGCAGAAGGTACAAATATCGACGCCACACCGATCGACCATGGCGCGCACACTGACGGTTACACCCTTACAGGGAAATGCAAATATTTTTAATCGGCTACATAGTAATTGAGATTTGTGAGATCTTCACGGTGGGAGCTTTTCCACTTGATTCTGCTGTCCGAAAGGTCAGTGATCTCGCCAACTTTCGATGAGTCTTTCTTTGTTTATTGACATTCTCCAGGGCTTCACCGCGGTTCACGTGGCAGCGATCACAGCAACGTGCTGGATTCTTCTGCTTAACGCCTTGGTCGGCTTCCAATTCCTTGATGATGGTACACCGGCTTCTATCGGTTTATTCCTAGCTTCAGCCGGCGTTCTCTTCATCGGCACCGGTTACATTACGCTTGATACTGCCTTCAGCTGGACAGGTCATTTTGATTCGAGTTACCATGGACATAACCGCAATATCGCGCTTTACGTGCTCTATCAGTTATTCCCGCTGGTTTGCCTCGTGTTCTTCTATGTTCTCGAGTCTGTACTTGTTCTCCGAGTCCTTGGGGAGACTAAGCCTATGAGTATGTGCACCATCCCGACCAATTCTGATCTTGGACATGATTTGATGCGCATGCTTTTTCGCGCACAGTCGCTCTGCTCGCGTGAACCTGTCTGACCCATTGTTCCTATCGATGCGCTGGACTTAATAAGAAGCTTGCTAACGTTCAATGCTTCATAGTATACCTATCTCTCGCTGGTCTCCTATTTGCCATCGGCCAAATCTTCGAATACGTGATCAGCACTCATCTCTGTCAGGCATCTCACGGGAAAATTAATGGTGCATTGTTCGAGACTTTCTTCACGTTACTTGGCGTCGTGACTGTCTGGATCTTCTGGAGCAGTATCACGGAAGACGACTGGCCGATGCCTATCACCGCTGGGGGCGGATACACCTGATCGAGCCAACCCACGTAGAGGGAGGAAGCGATCAGGTTAATATTTTGATTGGGGGAGAAAATCGATACCATATTCTGCCCGGGTTTGCGTTGTTTTTGATTTTTGGCTTTTATTCAGCAAGTTTCGATTCTGCCGGCTTTCTGCGGAAATGCCTTCCATTTGATGCTCGACGCTCTCGTTTTCTGGCCTTAGATGTCAGATGCATGATTTTCTGACTTATAGTCATCTTACGTCTACGCAGGAGACCTTCAAAGAGGACCTCCTGTAACTGCGATTATGCTGCGATATGATACCAACTACCTACTCACGTTGTCACGTTATTACGCCTCACTCACGAGAGCTATCTTCACCACTTTACCATTCATGCCTCTCCAACGTCATGTTATACCCTACATGTCATCACTGTCATAACAGTTTTCTGTCACATACTTATCATCAATATCCAGAGACTCTCGAGGAGAGAGAATTAATCAACAGAAATTGGAATCCATTACGATTCAGCATCTTTTCCATCCTTGTTATTATCCTATGCGGGCAAACCAATTCCTCATTCATGTAATATAAGAAGCTGATGATCCAGGTGAGGTATGATCTATGTGCAGATCAGGTCCTGTGATAATTGGTAGTATAAAAGCACAGGCTAGATTGTCTAGACTGTCTAGACCATCAACAGTCAACGCCCGGATGGACTCCCTAGTTGAATTGTAACAATGAATGACAAGTCTCAAGATTGAGCTAGCCTGATCCGGGATACGAAGTGTGAGTGTCCAATGGCTAAACAACGTCGTACCATCAACCGGATCAAGGCACTGCTACAGAGCAGCGGGTATGTCCTACAATGTCTGGGCCTCGGCTTAAAAATCTTGCAGAGGTTAAATATCTGCCACAATTGATACCTGCGCTTGCTGGAAAATCTACCAATGAGACCCAGAATTGTGATCAATTGAAGTGTCACCCAGTTTCAGCTGTAAAGATGGATGCACCTGGGCAATGTCACCTGGATGGCTCATGCTCTTATCCGCCGCCACACATATTGGACATGAGCTTGGCATACTTTATTTTGTAATCTCATTATTTGCCACAGTACTCCGAGGGAGTACGTGGAAAGTGGTTGTGCAAGGCAGATAATGTTCACCATTCAACGATGTCTTGCTGTCTGCATTGCAGACCCCTGAGGAGCCGGGGTTCTATGCGTTGATGAAGGCAAATAGTCCCATCGAGTCTTCCGGTTCCCCTGGATCTTGTTGAAATATCTTCCTCTCATGGATAAATCGGCACCTGAGATCTCTTGATTAAGTCTTTTTTGGAATAGCAGCGTCTTAGTTATACAACCATTATGGGATGTTTCACTGTCATCCCGATACCCTCAAGGGTACGTGTTTCTTGACCAATCTTTCTTCAACAAACCAACTGCTATCATAATAGATGCTGCTCGGCTTCTTACGGGGATGGCTGAGTGATCATTAGTCTTCTAGTATATTTCACGTGAAAATGTCGCGCAGAAGAGGCCTCAGATGTACACTGCCCAGACGATAGGGATGCAGACATCCAATTGGGTTTATGGATGGTTCCCATATCTTGGTTTCCTCGACGTCCTTGTGCATCGCAGGCTTCAGAATCCAACCTCGCCACTTCCTTGGTATTTATCAGATGGTTTCACGCTGGTCCACCTCTGGGAGGACAAGTAACTGTAGAATTTGCCATGTGGTTACACTTTCCAACCAGAGCAGATGTCTTCAGGAGAGGCACCTTCCCGATATACAACGGCCGTGTCTATATAGACCTGCCCAACGACCTCCTCTTGTCCTCTTCCATCTCTCTTTCCCATCGACTTCACTGAGAACACAAGTCACTAGAACAGTCAAATACACCTCGTTTAACAATTGAATCTACCACCGGGGGAGATGTATCTGAACCTCTCCAAGCTCGCCCTCGTGGCGCTAGCTGGGACCTCCGTCACTGCTGCACCGAGTTCAATCTCTGCTCGTGCTCCACCCCAAGGTAAGAGATGATGCCTTTTCCAAAAGCAATAACACCTAAAACTCTAAAAACCGATCATGCACACTGTACTAACCTCTCGTACTTTGATTCTAGGAGCGGATGTCGTCGCAAAGGCGATTATCCACGCTACTCAGCAGAGTCAATGTAACGTGATCAACTGCGCATCTGTCATTGCTGGGGCCGCTTGCATTGGACTCGATATAGCAAATGAGGACGCAGCAGGTGCTGTGGGATGTGTGGTTGGAGGAGCCCAGGCAGTATGTCCTTTGCTGTCTTTTGGAGTGGGACTCAGAGAACCAGATAAGCTAAACATTGATGAACCATAGATGTGTTCGTGCATGGACTGTATCGACTTTCTGGCGAATTTCCTCACTAGCCACAACATGTGCCCTGGATAAGCCGAGTTAAGGACTGCGTATACCTTCTCTTCGAACGGAGATAGTACGCGCCGGTAGAAGGGATGGAGGAAACCAAGGTCTCAAGTATGGCAGGAAGTTTTATTATAGTACTTGCAGTCATTTATTCATGAGCCCGTCAGCCATCAAACACGAAACCAGAATGGAGCTTTGTACTTCCGCAATAATCGATTTATCTTTGTGGTGTCCTGCCATACCTTCAATGTCCCTAGCACGTAACTAAATCACGTAGTTGCCAGCAAAGTCCGACTCCTGCGTAAAGTCTCAAAGATCTAGAGGAATCTCATTATCAAGCATAAGGTGGAGAACACGTTCCAAGATGTTATATGGTAAGACATACTTCTTAAGAGGCCTATTGTGAAAGCGATTAGGCTGATACTTCGGCTGTCTTTGTTGGTGTATTTCATGAGAATTACCTTCGTAAAGCGAAACTATGATATGATATCCAGATGCTTTCCCAGCCTTGCAGCTGCTGTAGTGAATTATATACATGAAAACGAGTCCAGTTCCCAGGGCAAATACCACTGTCTTATATGCGTCGCAATGGTGATAGAGTACCGTTGAAGTGCCACAGCCACGAGTGCCGAAGGAGAAGCTCGCAAACATACTAATGCCAATTTAAAATATCAATGCACTGATGACAACGCAAAGTGGCTATCCTGAACCTACAGCGCTAAATCAACGATCGAAAAAGCCCCAATACTTTGCCCCTTATAGTCGCACTTTAACGTCCACACAGGGCAAGGTCCACTCGCGCCGTCCCAGTAAACTCCGCAACCACTCCAGCCCCATGCCTGTCCATTCTTCCTGCCTGGTCTCCACGGTACCGTTGGTGAATCCTTTTCTCGCTTCCTCCAAGGCCGCACCAGCAAGCGCCTTTGTTGTAGTGTTTACTGCCTCTATGACATAGCGCGCAAAGCTCTCGTTTCCAAACTCCACCTTGTCCGCTGCTATCGACGCATTGCTCGGTACCGTGTACGTAACCGGAGAAGAAGCGAAGCGCGGAGAGAACCAGTCGCCCCGGAAATCGAAGAAGCAATGGTCAGACCAATGACATGATGAGAGGAACAGTATCAGCAGGAGAGCGGAGCAGTAGATGCAAGGTCGGTGGAGGATATATGTGACCGTGACAAAGGAGATGATGAAGAGCGGAGAGGCGTTGGTCGGGATGAAGAGGAGGGGTAGCCAGCTGGAATCGGTTGTTGTTAGATTTCTTTCAAAGATAGTTAACCTGCTGCGTTTGTCATCGGGACATACCTCCTGAGACAGAACATGCTGGTCTGGATTATGTGGATAGGAGATTATGTAGGTGTCTGGCGAAGCAGTCGGCGGAAACTTGCGCAAACAGGCAAGACCAAGTATGGCTTCTTCCGAGAAGAGAGATTACCCGTTGGGTTGGGGCCAGATGTTTCTTCAAGAGAAGAAGAATGATCTCCTTAGTGTAGAATTAACTAGTAGATGATTAATCATGAGATGCAGAATCCGTTCTGTTCTCGTTTTAGTAATGACGACGATCGGCTTTCAGATGAACGCAGTGAAGGCGGAACGGCGCACCCGCAGCCACACTCACAGGCGCAAGCGCCCGCCGTAGCCCAGCCACTTTCTCTCTGCCGTCACTGCAACCCACCGCGAGATTTCCTCTGTCTCGTCTTTGCCAACTATCAACATCAGTCTGATTGCCACATCTGACCAGCCGTAGGCTGCTTCTTCCTTTCCTTTTCTTATTGCATTTGCTTTGTATGAGCTGATTGGGCTCTGTCCTGCTTCCTTACTGTCGCATTTTCTCTAGAGATTGCTCTCGAAAGAGAGCTACAGATTGAGTCTGAGCTTGGATATCATTTCACGGGCGCCCCTACAAGGCGAGTGACAGAAATGTCCACCCCAAGTGATCTCCAAGCTCTGTTTGCGAGCATCAAGCCGCGTCCATCGCCTTCTCCTGCGGTTCAGGGTGCACACCCATCGCAATTCCAGCAACCGCAGGGCTTGCGTCCGCAACCTTACGATGGACAGAGCTTGCCGCATCCGCGCACTCAGCAGCATGGATATCACCACCCTTCGGTGTCTTCACCTCTCTACAGTCCCGTGCCTGGCAATCATACTCCTCCCCACAATGGCTCGGATATAATCAGTCCTGTTGCAGCTACACCAAGAAGTCAACAGCAGCAACAGAACGCAGACCGTACAGCTAGTCTTTTGAATTTGCTCAAGTTCGGACAGAACGCTCCCCAAGGCGCGCAGCAACAAGCTCCTGCGATGGGTTCTTTTCTATCTGGTCCTCAGCAGCCCCAGGAAACTGGGCCTGCAGAGCCGCCCAAGAGAGGCCATACGAGAGCTATCTCTGCTTCTGACTTGGTGGCGTCGTTCATGGCAAAGCCGGGACCTGCTCCCGAAACTCCTGCCCCTCCCCCAGAGGCTGGTCCCAGCTTCACTGGGCCTGCAGTCACTGAGGAGAAGCCTGAGACTCCGGCTGCGCCCGCTGAAACCACGCAGGACATATTACTCCGATTGCTCAACCGGCCCAAGCCTTCACAGGGTTCTGAGGGGGGGTCAGTGAAAGAGACCCAGCAGTCACCGGCTGCTTCCACCCCTCTCAGATCACCGCGCATTGAGACCCCTCCTGCTGAGGAGACAGCTCAGCCCAGCAAGCCGTCTGAAGAACCAACTCCGGATAATAAGGACGCGCGTATGCACGTCTTTGGTTCAGGTGAAAGCTCTGAAAATATTCCTTTTGACGTGCCAAAGCCATCTGTCCCAAGCAAAGATACTATTTTCACCTACGTCAATCCCTTCGACCAACTCGCTGCTGCCTCTCCCAAGAAGACCACCCCACAGCCGAAGTCTCGTTCTCGCAGTGGAAGCCCTGCCGTTGACTCCATGAGGTCCAAGAGAGATACCTCACGTACCAAGGCTAGTCCAGCTACTACTGAGAATGTTACCGACCAGTCGGCTACTGGTACTGACGAGAACGTGACAATTCCCGCTCAGAACCAACCTACGGTCTCGGAGGCACTTGGCGAAGTTGCAGAGCAGGTGGAACGGGAGGTTGAGGATGCTCTTGCCAGAGCTTCCAACGGAGAGCCTCAAGCAAAGAAGGATATCGAAGATGAACCGAAAGCCGCTCTCTCTACGCTTGCCAGTGAACTGCAGGATGCAGCCAAGGATGTCAAGGAAGAGGTTGGCACGGATGCTCTCAAAGATAGCCTGCCGGAACCTGTTGCGGAAACCGTGCAACAGACGATCAATGAGGTAGCTGATGGCGCGCTCGCTGACAGCTGGGAGAGCGTCGAGGAGAGTCCAGAGAAGGAGGAAGAGCGTGTTGTTGAGGTCTACAACTTCCCTCTCAAGCCGTTCATCTCTATCGCTGTCAAACCTCGTGATAAGAAGCTGGCACGTCTCCGTGACGATGGTATCATGGACGTTGCTCGCCTGAAGAAAGATTTCGACCAACTCGACCGCTCTCTTACTTCGGCAACATCGGAGTATATCGTCTATGCGCTAGCTAAGAATGGAGGATTGAGAATAATTCGTCAGGATGATGGAAGCGACAAGCAAATTTTCCGCTCCACCCGGGACCGCGTCTTCAACGTTGCTCTTTGTACCACTGCGGCGAATGCGGCTCCCTCAAAGGAGCAGGCCGTTCTCGCAATTGGGGTGAGTGGCACTGTCTATTGGTCTACAATCTCGACAGAGGACAAGGACCTTTTTGAGTTGGATGCTCTGGAAAGTGAGAGTCTTATTTTCCCGCCGTATCCGGCGTCTGACGAGAATACCTCTGGCGGCCAGCTGAAAACGCGTGCCAAACGGAGCTCTCGTCACCCGGCGCTCTTTGGAATCGGTCGTGGTAAAAACATCTATGTCATTAAGCCTCGGGCGGCAATGATAGCCGAATATGGAGTGTCAGGAAACCAGCGTGTTGTGGACACTGAAAAGTTCTTCAAGGAACGCGCTCTGAAGATCTCTACTGGTAAGGCAGGAAAGGATTTCGTATTCAGCGAGGACGATACCGTCATAGCGTCTCTCGACAAGACCGGAAGACTCAGATTCTGGGATATCCGTGACATGCTCGACAGAGAACCTCACGCTGCTGCTCCTGCCGAAGTTCGCGTTCCTCTCAACACGTTCGTCACTGGATCTCCGGCTGAGAAGTCTTGGCCGACATCTGTGCTTTTTATTGATAAGCTGCGTCCCTACGTCAAGTCCACTGCTCTCCGCTACGTCCTTGTTGGATTGAAGCAGAACCATACGTTGCAGCTCTGGGATATTGGCCTTGGGAAGGCTGTACAGGAGATCAACTTCCCTCACGAGAACGAATCAGATGCTATTTGCAGTGTGGCTTACCACCCTCCCTCTGGCATCATTGTTGTTGGACATCCAACCAGGAATTCGATCTATTTCGTTCACTTGTCGGCTCCCCGCTACAATTTGCAGCCTATGTCTCAGGCTTCGTTTGTGAAGCGTTCCAACGAAAAGGACGGCCAGTTGCCCAAGCCTGAATCAACTGCTTGCTTGAGCGGCATCCGCGAGATCTCGTTCGCGTCTAAGGGTCAGCTCAGAAGCTTAGATCTTCTCTCAATCAACAAGACCCCTGGAACCCCTCGCGGCCCTGAAGATAACGGGCTGTTCGAGTTGTACGTGATGCATTCGCGGGGTGTGACCTGCATCAATATCAAGAAGGAAGACCTTGGCTGGACTAATGACAACAAAATCGTTCGTCCAGTGGATGCTTTGGAGGAAGGCCTCATTGAGATATCAGACCTCCAGACTTTCCCCAGCTACGTCGCGGATGAGCCTTCAGTTAACGGAGATGCCACTGCCACCCCTAAGATCTCCGCCAGGGATGTCCCTAAGAAGACGGCTGAAGGCCTCCTTGGCGAGCCTACAGCGCCGTCTCGCAACGAGTCCCCTGCTAAGGCTGCGTCCAAGAAGAAGTCTATTGAAGAATCTGAGACGACAGCAAATGGTGTCGAGAAGGCTGAAAAGAAGAAAAGAAAGAAGGCTGCTGCTAGTGAAGCAGCTGGTAAAGTGAAGGAGACCAACACAAAGGTTGCGCCATCCCAGATCCTAAGCGAGCCTGGCCTGGAGCGCCGCGCTATTTCTCCACAGAAAGCAACGAAGGACTCGGGCATTGTCCAGAGTCCCTTGAACGGTGCTGAACCTGTTATGTCTCCGGCCACGATGGCTACTATTCCATCTGCAAGCGCTGACTCTGCAACTTCGGGCGGATCGATCACTGTCGGCATCTCTAGTGATTTCCTCAACAAGGAAATGAAGAAGCTTGAGAAGACTGTGTCAACCGAGTTCTCAAAGAGCCTTAGGCACGAACTCGAGGATCTTTACAAGCGTTTCGATGACGACAAACGTGCGTGGGATGCGACTGCTACTGCCAAGCAGGACCAGCTGTTGCAGATTGTCTCGAGCACACTTTCTGACAAGATCGAAAAGAATCTTGGACGCATCATCTCGAACAGCATTCAGTCTGAGGTCATCCCTGCCATCGTTAACGTCACGTCTGCCACTCTGGGCAAGCAAGTTAACGAGACGCTTGGCCATGCCATCCCTCGTGAAGTCCGTCAAGTCCTCCCAGACTCAGTCGCCCGTGCTGTCCAGAAATTCGACATCACGAAAGTCGTTTCCGACGTCGTTTCAAAGAAGCTCTCTTCCCAGGTTGAAGGAGAGTTCTCTCGAGCTGTCCAGGGCAGCATCAAAAAGATGGGAAGTGATATGGAACGCCAGATGCAAGCCCAGATGAAGCATTATGAGATCCAGCGTCAGAGCGACTCTGCCAAGATTGAGCAACTAACCGCGCTTGTCCGGGGCTTGTCTGACACTGTCGCATCGATGGCTGCCGCTCAGAACAGTTTCCAGAACGAGATTCTCAGGCTTAATCGTCACATTGCTTCTCGTGACACCGAGGAGAATAAGCACCGCTCCCGCCATGTCTCGTCTGCCTACTCCGCTGCTTCAAACGACATTCCCTCCGCCAGGACTCCGGAGGAGATCGAGCTGGCTGAAATTGCGCAGCTCATGAACGAGGGAAGATACGAAGAGGGATCAGTGAAGGTGAGTTCCCAGTATTTTTGTGGCTTTAATAATGGATTTTGGGTCAGTTGCTGACAGAGTGTGTTTGATGCAGTGGCTGCAATCTTCGCAGCAAGCGGACCTGTTCGATAACCTCTTCGTTCGCTTGAACCCTGCTTACCTGACGGGACTTTCTCCGATCGTATCATTGTCGGTTGGCGTCGCGGTTACATCTTCGCTGGAGACGAATCTGCCGGAACGCCTCTCTTGGCTCGAAGTTGTCTTGCAGACTGTCAATCTTCATGTATGGCTTATCATCTTTATTTCATCTCATTATTCGGTTACTGATTCTTCTGTAGGACCCGGATATTCGTGAAGTCGCTCCGAAGATCATGGATATCCTTATCCAACGTCTTGAGAGCTTGTACATGGCGATTGCGGAGAACGACCCGCACAATCCTATTCTACGCAAGATTCCACCGCTCTCTCGTCGTGCTCGGGAGCTTCGTGGTGCCCACTGAAGCCCTAGGCCGACCTGAGAAGCGGTTGAATAGTTCCAGATCCCTATTTCAGGGGCTGGTTAAAACATCTTTGGCCTGTATTTGATGTGTCACGATACGGATGCGAAGACGAGATTCGGAAAGCTACGTCTGATAAACTGACCCGGTATGATCTTCCGGTGTCATATTCGGTGGAGATGATATGTACCCTTATTTGCTTTCGTGCCTTCTAGTTATGGGACTTTCTAGGTCCTGATAAACGTCTTGTACTATGTCAGTCACGATCTTTCGGGCTGTATTTCTGTCAGCGATGGATTCGTTCCGGTCACTGCTTTTGCCTCTTTTCCAACTTGCCTTGAAACAGGAGAGTTGGATGAAAAGGGTATCAGCAAGACACCGTTTAGTCCTGAACTGCTTGCGACACAGTGTGACGCCTCAGTTTCTCGGGCACGATCCAGACGCCTTTTTATTAGTTACTACTTGAATTCACATATGTTTCAGCAATAATAATGTTCGTCCTCTGTCAATGACGATACTGTAACCGTTGATCTAGGACTGGGTCTTGACTTGAAGAAGTTCGTGTAGAATTTGATGTTTCTGCCGTGCATGTAACCAAGTGTATTCTATGGATTTTCCCTCAAAGCATTTTGCGTTTCCCAGAGTGCACTTCGCTTCTTCATTTTGATGTACGTTAACAGTTCTGCCTTCAATGCGCAGTAGTAATCATCGAGATCCAGGTATATTTGAAGCGCTATCCCACGTCAGTTTGCGTATGCTGTGGCGATTTCCCTTTGGAAGCGTAAAGCACATGATTGATGGTATGGGTTGGAAGCAATGTCTGAGCGCATGGCACAGCCTCTATCTGTCAGCATTTAATAGGCTTTATAAACAGTACATTCTTCTATGACACACTACTGTAGGGATGACTGGATATGGTATCCTGTCATGCGTAAGCTTACCTGGGCGAGCCATACCTATCAGGGACCCCGATGCGGCAAACAATTGTAACCTACCTAGGTAACTAGTTATATCTCTACCATACTTCCATCGCTTCTTCCAGTTATTATCAAAATTAAATCCTCCTCCCAATCTAGGACTTTTCCCATCTGCTTCCTATTTCTCAATACATTCTACACAAAACCAAAAATGCCACGCCTCTCCGACTACCGTCTCCTCTCCTTCGACGTCTACGGCACCCTCGTCGACTGGGAAGCCGGAATCCTATCCGCGCTCCAACCAGCCCTCTCGCAAGCCAACGCGAACTACACCCCCGAACAAATCCTCACCATGTACCAAGCCCTAGAAAGCGAACAGCAAACAATCACGCCCGAAATGCCATACTCCCAACTCCTAGCTACGATCTATCCCCTCCTTGCGCAGAACCTCAACCTACCCCCCGCAACCGAAGCCGACTGTCGCCAATTCAGCAATTCAATAGCCCACTGGCCCGTCTTCCCAGATACCGTAGACGCCCTGAAACGACTCTCGAAACAATATAAACTCGTCGTCCTTTCCAACGTCGACCGCGATTCATTCGCCAGGACCAATGCGGGGAGTTTACAGAATTTCCCGTTCGATATGGTCATCACCGCGCAGGATGTGGGGGGTTATAAGCCTGATTTGCGCAATTTCGAATACATGCTTGATGCTGTCAAGAGGGAGTTTGGGGTTGAGAGAGAGCAAGTACTTCAGACGGCGCAGAGCCAGTTTCATGATCATCAGCCTGCGAAGAAGGTGGGGGTGAAGTCGGTGTGGATCGTGCGGCCGGGGGCGATTATGGGGAATGTAGGGGAGGAGATTTATGATTGGAAGTTTGATACGTTGGGGGATATGGCGGATGCTGTGGAGAAGGAGAATAAATGAAATAGATGAGATTGTTGTTGTGGTTTGAGTGCTTCTTCTTCTTCTCGTGTTGTTGTGAGTAGATAGTATTAAGTAGTTGAGATCCACTTTCCTGTTCAGGTGGTTGTAAGTGTCAGATAGCAAGATGAGCTTCTCCGCTACTATTATATCCAGGCTACGTCTAACTACCCTGAGCCAGTAAATATGGCAACGCAAAACTCCGCATTTCGAGAACAATTGGATCTTGCCATCCAGTTCCAATTCCAATTACCTTTTATTTTTACACGTACTTGAATCCACAATCGACTTCATTGGCAGTAGACGGACGCATGGTTGATACAGTTTTCGAGCTACAGGTGTATGGAAGAACTTTCTCGATGTAGATTCCTTATGCGCCGCTATCTGGCGGCCAAACACTCTAACAGATGAATGATTAATGTACAGTACATCAATACTTTTTCCCATATCGAACAATCACTTTCACCAACGCCGATTTATGCCAGTGGTATCTAATCAAGCATGAAAGTCAACCTGCTTCTCCGGGCTAACAGTTTCTTCGGAGTCCTCGTGGGTATCATTTTCTATGAACTCAAAGCCCAACGCGCGCCAGTTTAGTTCTTTGCGCCAGTGAAGCCCATAGTAATTCCTCTCTTGTTTGGCTTCTTTATTCTTATTTTCTCCGTGACCTGGTGATTGCTCGGCGCCAGGGCTGTCCAAGACTGGACTGACAACAGGTTCGGATGCTAAACCGCCGACTGCCATTCTTCCACTCCGGGGAAAGACAGTAAGTCTGAATCGTGAAAGGAGCATTCCCATGCAGCAAGAAAGACATGGTTCATGTGTAATGTAGAGATCAAGTCCCGTGCAAAGGTAGCCTCCAAGAGAACGAGGGCGAATGCGGGATTTGGCTGGTTCGCCCGTGGTGGGGTCTGCTGAGAATGGCGACGGAGAGTACAGGATAGCTTTCTCGAGCGGCGTCAACGCGACTTTGTCCGACGCTGGTGTAGCTGCTGCGTTTTTAGATGGAGGCTCGTCCTCCTCGCGTGGTCTCTTCCCGGCCTTCCCTGACGCCGGAATAGCTGATGAGTCCCTAGGAGACTCTTGTTCCTCGCGTCGTCTCTTCGCAATCATCTCTGCGACACGCATCAGAGCGTGAAGTTCAGGTCCGCCCTCAAGATCAGGATTGTAAGTCTTGCTGGCTGGATTCGGCCCACCTTGACTGCATTGGGACTCCTGGAGAGATGGTTGTCCTCCTTCTGGCCTTGAATATCGTGCATCTCCAGCGACGGCAACAATGGCCTTTGTCCACCCAAGTTCATCATTCTCATCAATTTCAATCTCCGGGTCGACCACGACAGCTCCCACTCCACGACCTCGTCCAGACTTTTCTGCCTCAGCAGCTACCATTCTCGCCAGCGCAAGGTAGTGGCCTGTTTTAGATTGTATAGATGCACGCGTCTTGTTAAGTATCGGTGGTGGCGGCGCGACCAACGCTCTTTGTGCCGCAGGGTTGAATGTCACTGGCCAAAGGGTTCGCGACCATTGTTCTGCCTGGCGCTGATTGAGAGGCGGCTGAAGTGGGATGCATGTTGATCTGATCGGAACTGTAGGAGGAGTAGATTTAACATCAGACGAAAGAGACAAAGGTGCATAAGGCGCTAGTAAAGCTTGGACGGTTTCAATCTCAGGCAATGGGCCTGGGATGATCACATAGATCGTCTGCGGCGGAGTTTGCTGCACAGCATCCCCTTCGCTGGCAATAACAGACGCTTTGAGATGCTCAGGCAGATTAGCCCGCTTTACGAATCGACGCAGATGTTGCAGTGGCAGCGAAGGATCTTTAGGGAAAGCAGCGTCAAGGACTCTGTAGATGTGCGCGGATTTATCAAGTCAGCCTGATGGATTGCGGAAGCTCCCAGAAAAGGAAAGATGATCAGGATCAACACGAACTTGGTAACAGCAGAAGCACTCTTCACGTTGACTTCTGCGACATACGCGTCTCCTAAAATGACACGAGATCGAATCAGCGATCTAATGTTTCCCGAATGTACATTGCGCTCTGTTTGGTAGACTGAAAACGTGAGAACGAACACTTACCATATTCCTCGTTGGGCCGTGTTTCCTGAACAGTCTTGATATGTACCACCTGGCCCTTCAGAGGTTGGATACCCTCCAGCACTTTCAAGACGTCCGTATCCATTGCGCTGGCCATCGATATCGAGAGGGGTACAGATAACTAACTTGGCGGGGGAAGGAGAGGAAGAAGACAAGTCCGACACGGGTACACGCAACGTCAAGACATGGTTTCGATTCTTTCCTCAAAATAATGGATCCCAATGTCACAACAAAAGAAAATAAAAAGCTTAGCGTCTCCAAACGGCAGATAGCATGGTCAAGTGGTCGGAGTATAACTTTCTGAACGGTGACGTCCCTCCGATTTTGCTGCTAGCCCTAAGACGTAGACCCTAACTTTCCTATTTCGGCTAACCTTGAGGAAAAGTGAGCCAATGCCATTCGAGCACCGATTGAGTTGAGCTTTAACAGAATCACTGCGACAGTAATGCCTATAGTTCAAGGGTGAGTGCTGGGTAGTATTAGTACTCGACAATCTGATTGTGACCGCTTTATACAATTTAAATAGTTAATTGAGCTACAGTTAACTATACGATCCACCTATTTCTTCTATTTATGCTAAATCGGTCAAAACAGACGATTAAGACTGAGTCAAAGTAAAACTGAATCGCCTACATTATCATGCTTCAGCCAAGTGTACAACAAAGCACGATAGCTTCAAAGATTCTCGAACATAATAGACAACAAGTCTAAGGGCTAGTACAATCTTAGTTCATCAGGGAATTGGAAACAAAAGATATCTTAGAAAAGCAATAATTCATAGTTGTTGGTTTGTTGTGGCATTTTACGCACTACAGTTGGTACGATTGGGCGCACAGGCTTGGACTAGGGTTGACTGGTGGCGATGATAGGGCGTAAAATAGTCTCAATAGCAGATATTTTCCAGCATGAAACCCCCACAGATTCTTACACTTTGTATGCGGTGTGGCTTTTCGACTCTTTGAAATGATGTAATGCGCGGCTTATGGGGTCGATTGTTTCCGACAGTACTGCTGCTCTGGATATAGTTACAGAAACAACTTTATTGATCAGAAATTATGCATAAGAGTGCAGAATTGTAAATCGAAAACGTATAAATACTCCATGGAAGATTGACCAGAAAACGCCTCGTATGTACACATAAACAGAAACCCACATGACCCTCGCAGAGCCACGAAGGGAAATCCAAACACCGTCTCCGTCCCCAGGTCCTCTGAATGCTTCGTATGTTAGATAGAGACCAAAGAAATATTGCAGAACAAGAAGATGAAAATGGGAGGACGCGGACGAAAGCTCATGATCCCTGCATAGATGGCTGACTAGCCACCAGATAATATAGCGAAGAAATGAGAATAGGAAAAGACATATAGTTGGCGTATCCCATGACGCTCGCCCCGAAGGTACAGAAACCCACACTGTTTGGGCAGTTAAAAGACCCACGACGATTCAGAGAACCAAGAAACCAGAGCTACCCGCGGGCCAGGGGTTTCTGGTCGTTATACGTCCCGTAGTTCATCTTCTTCTTCCGATTCGATTTCATACCCATCGCATCTCTCAACAAGACTTCGGTAATAATCGACCAGCACCTCCGGTTGTGGGACGATCCTCCATTCCACGCGCCATAGGAACTCCAACTCTAAGAGCGCCAGTTCCGCAATACTGATACCACCCACACGTGCATACGTCTTGTTCGTCCAGAAACTATCGCTCAAGCCCTTGCTGGCGACAGTCGCGCTAGCAATCAAAAACCGATGGATGGTCAGGCTAGAGACGGTAAACGCGGGATAGAGCGCGCAGAGTCTATCGATATAGTAGACCATACTCAACAGGATAGGGGGAGAGAGAGTGGCATGAGTCGTCAGTCGCTGCAGGTAGTCATGGACAGAGATGCGGGGAGGAGACCGGGAATGGAATCGGGTCAGTCGACCCTCGTTCAGTGGAATCTTGTCGTTGAAACGGATGAGCTCCATCAGCATGCTCGAGATCAGCACGACAATATCACGAGGATCGGCCAGCTCGTAGCGCCGTGGCAAGCGTTTCACAGCGGGTTTGTCTGGCCGCGGCCGTTTGGGATTAGATCCTTCGAGCTCAGCAGCCGGCTGCTGAGCCCGAGACGCGCTGGAGGCGACAGTGGCATCGTCCGGGGTACTGCGTTTGGCGCCTGCACTGGCGGATGGCATCTGTGATGAGCCTGGGGCAGATGAGGGAACGTCGGCGGTGAGAATTTCTCGGGGATGCGATGCGTCCGGAGGATGAGTTCCGCCCCCAAGGGTGTTCACCCCAGCGGACATCGGACCGCGAGGTCGATCCCCTGAGGGCCCTGGCGGGGAATTGTGCGAGGGAGCGTCAACTGTATGGCGCTTGAGAGCCGATCGGATCTCCTCTATGCCCTGCGACAGTCGCAAGCGAGCGGACACACGATGGCCTGCTGCAGAAGCAGCAGCGCGGGGCGGAACTGCAGGAGCACTGGACGAGAGACGACTGATACCGTGAGAGACCTGAGAAAAGGAGGTCTCATGATGAGGGCGGACAGGACATGAAGGGCGTGGTGAAGGAGAGCAATGGGTTCCCGACTGGAGAGCTGCGGAGGTGGGCGAGGAGACTATCATGGCCGCAAAGTGAAGAGGGCGCTGGATCGACCCGCCCTAGACAAACCACGTGGGTGGACGAGTGAACGTCGACGAAAGATGCGAGACTGGGCAAAACTCTCCAAGGAGGACGACTGCGTGCACAGACGCATCTTGGGATCTCAAAAGTCCCAGGTTCTTCCCACCAGAGACAGGAATGTCAGATATGCAAGAGAAGAGAAGAAACAAAAAACAGTCAGGAGGCAAGGGACGGCAAAGAGCCTGCACCACGCCAAATAGAGCGCAAAACTAGTTAACGTTAACTGGGCACCAAACCGGGCAGCGTCACTGAGTCTTATTCTTCCTCCATTAGCTTTGCCAGTTTCTGTCGGCACAACATTCCGGCCTCAGCCTGGCTGCATTAACTATGATTGTAATTGTAATTATTATTATTATTGACAAGGCTGGACTACTTGGAATAATGTAGCTGGTTATGTAACTTCAACTATCTACATAACTCCAACGAATAATTATTATCCGATATTGTATACTAACCAGCTTCAACGCTGTTCGTGCGGTCACGTGCATCCCCGTGACCATGACAGCAGATGGCGCTAAGGCCCGACTGGGATTCGCAATGGAGACAAGCTCGAGGGCCGAGAGCGTCAGTGACCCCAGACTGACTGACTGACTGACTGACTGACTGACAGCATCTGCTACCAACGCTGAGGATAGCATAGCACCCGTTGCCAGTCTGGTCTCCTCTGCATCCTATTAGAGGAGCGTTTGTCTACATTGTCCCTTCCTCTGTACAGCAGCAGCAGCTGTCCCTCGTCGCCTCCGACGGGAGCGTCCAACCTCTCCGCAATTCCATTCCATATCTATCCCTGGAGAGGAGCACGGCTTGGTGACGACGCGCAACTGTACTGCAGAACATCCTGCATTCCTGGACTGACGGATAGGGGTTGCTGCCAGACAGCGCGTTGAGAGGCGCAACCTCCTCTTCTCACGATGACGCGAGCGGCGGCACCCCCGACGCTGGTCGAGCTTCAGAATCCCGAGTCCCTGGGTGCGCAGACGGCCGCATTGCGACGGCTGAAGAACGAGCTGATCGGCCATGACCAGCGGAAGGAAGCTTGGATCGGCTGGGGTATCATTCCCGTCCTGTCGAGGGTTCTGTCGATAAAGAGAGGAAGCGGGAAGCGTGCCACGGCTGGGGAGCTCAACGGAGCAGGCGAGCACAGCGATAAGGCTGGCAGAACCGAGGAAGAAGAGGCATGTATACAGGCGGTCATTATCCTCGGAAGTTTGGCACAAGGTGAGTAAAAAGAAAAGAAAAGAAAAAAAAGGAAGGATAAGAAACACAGTATCGAAGACAGAGAGGCTGACAAACGCTAGGTGGACCTGCTTTCATCTCTCCAATCCTCTCCAGCGAGGTTCCCTCACACCTGCTGGCCATCATCGCAGCACCTGACTGTCCGCAGTCATTAGCCCTCGCCATTCTCAAGACCCTGAATGCGATAGCCGATAGACTGCCGTTGCAGAGCCAGCAGCAATGGCCCAAGGACACGCGGTTGGCGGACCTGGCATTTTCGAAGGAATATATTGGCTGTCTTCCTCGGATCATAGGACAGAACTCTAGCTCCTCGACCACGCAGTCGTGCATTGCGTTGGCTGCCAGTTTGATCGCGAAACTCTGTACGGAAGAGCGCCATAAGACGGCACTGGCTGATGCTGGGGTGCTAGATGCCCTAGCAGTCAGGGTGGCATCCGTTGTGGTGGCTCAGGGCTTCGTACTTCCAGGTGCTGAAGAGCATGTCCGCGACCCAGGAGCCCTGGGGGCGCTGCCAGCTCCTGCGCCGCCCGGCGCCAAACTTGGCTCGATCCTGCGAGCAGTGTCCGCCATCATAGAGCACTCTAAGTGGCGAGCGGAGCATTTCCTATCCTCGCCAGGTATTGTGACCGTGTTCCCCAAGCAATTGCCTGAGTTCGCCCCGAACGACATCAAGAAAGCTCCGTGGGGCTCTACGTACCTGTCCGGATTTGCTGTGCCGCGTCATATCTCGCTACATCCAATCGATAGCATCCTTCCATCTGTACCGGTTGGTCATGCAAAGAGTTCGAGCAACTTTCCGCCCCTGGGCCCCCAGGGCTCTTATGGCAAACACAGCCACTTCTACAACTCCACATTCTCATTCTTGGAGTCAGCCACGTCTGATGATGATGAGAATGCAATCGTGCCCTGGCTGTTATATCTAGTCCGCCAGGAGAGCGGTATTGTACGGCTGATGGCAGCACGTCTGGTGACCGTTCTGTTCCGACTGGGACTCGCCAAGAGACATCGCATCTCCATGTTCGGCTACCTCTTGATTCCCATCCTCATTCGCATGCTAGACAAGGATTACGAGCTGCCGCACGGATATGATTCTGAGCAGGATGGTCTCATCCCTACCACGCTACGATTGAAGGAAGAGGCTCCGTCCATTCTAGCCATGCTCGTGATGGATGAAGATGAACTGCAAAGGGCGGCTGTGGAAGGTGGTGCAATAAAAAGACTCTCCCAGATGCTGAAGGAAACGTACAATCCAGTCCAGGATAATACGAAGGCTATGTGGAGTGCTGAAAATGGATCTCCGGAGCCTCGTCATGATGTCAGTCCGGAACTTCAGCTGGGGCCTCCTGGTTACTCTCCGATGGTTTGTCATATCATGCGCTATCGGGAAGGGATCCTTAAAGCCTTGGCTTCTCTTGCTCCCTCCAAAGACGAATATCGCAAGGCTGTCTGCGACAATGGTGTGGTGCCGTACATCATCGATTCGCTAAAGCCGCGTCTTACGGAGGCTCCCGACACAGCTTCCGCTGCGAGAAACACGGCGGCTGATGGAAACCCGACCCCGACACTGCTTGCTGCTTGTGGTGCTGCCCGTATGCTCACGCGATCCGTCAGTGTGTTGAGGACTAGCCTCATTGACGCGGGTGTTGCGACCCCCCTCTTCGAGCTGATAAAGCACCGTGATATTGACGTGCAGATCGCAGCCACGTCCGTCATCTGCAATCTAGCACTTGACTTCAGCCCAATGAAGGAGGTCAGTCCTCCATATTTTCACAACCTTTCGGCTTCACAATCACTGACTTTACCAGGCTATCATCTCTGCAGATATCCTCCCAATCCTCATCGACCATGCGCACTCATCCAACGTGAAGCTGCGGATGGAATCCTTGTGGGCTCTCAAGCACGTGGCGTATAACTCAGCCAACGATCTGAAGATAAAAATCATAGAGTCATTGGGGCCTGGTTGGATCAAACAGATTATCTCTCAGGACCCGACTCATTTACTCAACAAGCAAAACATCGACGAGGAGATAGGCAATGGATCCCCTCTGGGAATGGGTACATCTAATTCTGCCGGTGAGCGTGTGGACCTGCTGAATCCCATCGACAACGAGGAGGATGAAGACCTGAAGATGACGGACAGCATCCCGACGTCTAAGATGAGCCTCGAAATGTTCCTACCAGACCCTGCGAGGCGGAGGAAGCTCGCATTGAGTGGTGATCTTGATCAGAGGACGCAGGCCCGCCAGGATGACATTGCTGTTCAAGAACAGACTTTCGACCTCCTGCGGAACATCATCTGCGGATCAGGCGCTTCGGAAATGATTGATTATCTTTTCAAGGAGATCGGCCAAAATGACTTGTTCGACGCCATTGCGGACAAATTGCGGCCTCGCACCGTTCAAGTTTCTGGCCGTCGGGACTCGACGACCAACAAGAGCGTGCCTGTTCCAACCGAGATCATTATCGCAGTAACGTACGTGATCATCCATCTCGCTGCTGGTCTTCCGCGGCATCGACAGCTTCTCGCCTTGCATCCTGACATACTGCGATTCCTCATGGGATTTTTCAATCACTCGAACCCTAAGGTCCGCGTTAACTGCGTGTGGATCGTGATCAACCTGACCTACCTCGACAATGAGAGCGACCGCCAGACTTGCCGCGAGCGTGCCGTCAAGCTGAAGTATCTCGGCGTGACGGACCGGTTAGCAAGTCTGGAGGACGATCCCGATCTGGACGTGAGAGAACGCACGAAGACAGCTTTACATCTGATGGATTCTCTCGTTTCTGTATGATCTCATTTCTGTATGACATAGTCCTCTCTCTGGACATGTCGATAATGTGTATTGGCAATGCATGCCCGGATGTGTAGATACAAAATCGGTTTCGGATGGGGCGCTCCGGGTACATAGTGGCGTTGATCTTGCATTTAGCGAGCATTTAATGATCTTGTTACGTCTGAGTTATACACGAAATTTGCACATCGTCTCCGCCCTCTACTTGTACTTCGATCGGTCAATGCTATTCAATGATCATTTACCTTTCTTTAGACTTCCAGTCACTCCCCGCATCGCTCCTTCGCCGGTCATATATCTTATAGAGTTAAACAGATATATGCATTTACATGCTATATTCACTGTATGAGTTTGGGATTCCCATAATGTGTCTATGCTTCGAACTAATAATAATGCCCCCTCGAAGTGTGGAAATGGATATTCTTTGTCTTATCTTATCGATAAGCCGGCGGGGTCGACCAACCGACGTCATCTGAAATGCGCGACCTGACCGGATGTTTTGAATCTCCTTTTTTATTCTCAGCTATCGCTCCTGTTTTCCTTTCTGCTATAATCCCTTGGGCCTATCAAGATCTAAGACATTATTCACCAATTGTATCATCAGGCTTGATCTCTGCTACATGCTGACCGCTTTAAGCGGATTTCGGATGTTGTTGACTTTCTCTCTCCTCGAACCTCAAAATGCCTCCTCTTCCGGAATCCATTGCTCGTGCTCTCTCCCTTACTCCAGATAAGGCTACTGTTTCCTCCGCTGGGTTCGGTTCTGGCTTCACTACGACCGGCAAGATCAGCGCATCAGTGCCTGCCCCTGATGGCAACGGTGAAGAGCAACGATTATTCTTCCTAAAGACTTCCGGCGATGGCAAAGCCGCTGAGGAGATGTTCCGTGGAGAATACGAGTCACTCAATGCAATCGCTTCTGCCGTTCCGGGCTTATGCCCTCGAGCTCTCGCATGGGGCCCGGTTCAGGAAGGCGGAGGGAAGAGCTATTTCCTGGCGACGGAGTTCCTAGAACTTGGTGGTGGGCGCTCAGGCTCTTCACTGGCGAAGAGATTGGGAAAGCTACATAGTACACCAGCTCCTCCAGATCCAGAGACTGGCAAGCGCATGTTTGGGTTCCCGGTCCCGACGTTCTGCGGTGATACAAGGCAACCGAACCGGTTCCGCGAGTCGTGGGCGGACTTCTATGCCAATGAGAGGCTCATGACTATCCTGGATGAATCAGAGAAGCGAAACGGGAAGGACTCAGAGCTCCGGGAATTGGTAGAGAAGACAGCCACAAAAGTCGTTCCCGCACTACTTGCAGATGGTCATTTGGGATACGACAAGAATGGTCAAGGCAAGGGTATCGTTCCTGTCGTTATCCACGGAGACCTGTGGAGTGGCAATGCAGGCCGTGGGCGAATTGTTGGAAGTGGACGAAAGGAAGATGAGGAGACGGGTGATGTGCTCTATGACCCATCCGCTTGCTATGCTCATAATGAATACGAACTGGGAATTATGAAGATGTTTGGTGGCTTCGGATCTGCCTTCTTTAATGAGTATCATCGCATTGTCCCCAAGACGGAGCCGGTCGAGGAGTATGAGGACCGGGTGAGGCTGTACGAATTGTAAGTGTCTACCATCCTCTCTTGTGAATTTTTCTTTTTCTCTCTCTTTCGCTTCCTGGGACCGTCCTCTCTGCTGGTTTGAACTTTCGTTCATTTCTTTGTCTGCTGACAAGACCACGTCTCCAGGTACCATCATCTTAACCACCACGCTATCTTTGGGGGCGGATATCGCTCAGGCGCAGTGTCTATAATGTCGAAGTTGATCAGAAAGTACGGAAGTAGCAAGGTGTGATTTTGTCCCATTGATAGATACCTATTTGTATACTACCTTTTATCGTATTTTCCTTAGCGATATGCCAATTAGCGATAGTTTTCTGCATCTTGACTTCTGTATTTGGCAGTATTCCTATTATGGAACAGCAAGTTAATCTGTTTACATTTCGTTTAATACTAGCTATCTAGTAACTGGCCAACGGTACAGCGTTGGTGCAAGAGGCCATCCTCGGTCATCAAAAACCATGTTAGAGGTCCAGGTAGAGTCTCGCCAACTAGGAGTTCTCCTTTTTGGTCGAGTGGCAGAAAGCCGATAAAACGTAGCAGCACTCCTCAGCTGTCAAAAAACACAGCAGCACCAAACTCCAACAAACTCTGGTGGTCGATAGAGATCTCTCCAGCGGGCAGATTAGGAGGTACCGAATCAAAGAGTAAATCGGCAGGGTTAACGAGAGGTGCACCAGTCAAGTGGGTCCCGTTATGATGGTACTCCAGCTGTTGGACATTGGCTGGTGAATCTTGCCATCTTTCGAATCGGAGAATTTTTCGATGGACATCGACTGAGATTAGAAGAACAATCTTGGTACGACCGTTTGTATTGACAAGCCACAAACGAGCGTCTTGACGAAGTTGGCGAATGGTTTCCGATACCCCAACTTCAATGACAAAAGTTGGATAGTCATGCAGATTGTTTCTGGAGGCCGGTTTTATTTGCTCATCGGGCTCCTTGTGTAGACCGTTCGGAAAGCTCATTCTGCCACTTCCAGACATCACTATCTGGCGCCTCATGCCAAGTCTCTCAATACGGGAAAGGATGTTGTAAAAAAGAGTCCGGGATATTCTGTCGTGAAGCACTCCTGGCATGAACTTTACAATCATTGTCTCACTGTTGTCATCCACAAGGGCCGTGAACTTCGGCAAGCTATCCCTGAGGCCTCTTCTTTCCAGCTCCAGCAAGTTTTCGGAGTTGAATCCTATGATCGCAATGTAGCGCAGTCGATTATTAGGAAGATCAGCCCATATGCGGGCGAAGATATCCCTCAGAGATTCAAAGCCATTGTATCTGTATCGATAGGTAGCTGGTATAGAATATGCCTGAACGATGGTTTCAGGCGAGGGACCTAATGACAAGGTCGAACCCCTTCCAGCGGCGCTTGTCTGAAGCATATTGTGAAATAGAATCAAGTTTTCAGGTTTATCACCTCACAGTGATGCCGAGACAAACCCTCTTCGCGTCGTGGATGCGCATGACGGGGCTGAGAGCATTGAGAAGCAACTGTAGAGCAGTATAAACCAATACGACCTAGCAAAGTCTCAGCCGATCACGATCCCTACTCCCATTACCGAGGAGCCAACCTGGCCGTCGCTTGAGAAAACCAGCATGGGAACGAAACCAAACTTGAAGCTTGAAAAGGAGATAGACTACATGAAGAGAATGAGAACTGACCTGAATTCGTTCCTTTTGAGCTTGGCACCCCCCGTGGCCTGGACCGACCCGTGTTTCCGATCTAGACAGTACCAAGAAAGCCTCTCAAGCTCTTAATGCGGATATTGTCGTCAACGTTCCAAGCAGACAGAGACACACTCATACTTGTCCCTCTTGCAACAAATCCTTCTCTACAACAAGAGCTCTCAAGAACCACAAGTTCACACGTGGACATTTTCGTCCTTCGACGCCCCGTGTCGTCAATGTGAATACTTGTACATCCCGTACCAATGTCCCAAAGATCGAGTGTCCGTTATGTCTGCTTGGTTTTTCTGATGATCACTCGTGTCTGGCCCACCAAGAGAAAGAAAAACATGCCTATTGTAGGGCTTGCAAAAGGGCTTTCACTACCGTTCAGGGGGCCCTAATGCATGATCTTTCTTTCCACAGGTGAAATAGGTCAGCAGTCATTCTTTATGAGAGCTTCTAGGTGCTTGAGTATTGGGTCAATACTTCGTCGATTTGAATCCCATTCATGAGATTATGTATGTTAGTTACACTTTGGACCAGTCTCGATAGCTTCATGGTGTTCACAATTGTGGATCTTTTTCTTGCTGTAACTAATTGGACCCTATCTTGAGAGGAAGCTCGGAATAATAAATATTTCCCAGGTATAGCATAGCATCAGTCAATATAGGAAGATAGGTCAAGATACTAGTAGCTGAGATCTTCAGTTATATTTCACGATATATTAGGTATCTTGGGCTGGTTGAAGCAGCCTGGTGCTTAGGTTCTTCAGCAAACCCAAGCTATTTATGTCCTTGGGTAAAGATCCAGGTTATAATTCACTCCATCAAAAAGGGACAAGACGGTACATGCCGTTTGTACTGTGTTTGTGAATGTGCCCGCGGTTGCATTCACTTTGTAGTTGACGCTTTCTACCTCCTACTTCTATGCACGGACCATAATTTCCTGAAACAGTATCGGAACAACGTTACCCCGAGAAGCTCACCCAACATGGCTCACTTCTTTAGCAGCGTCAACTCGATACCTTTGGGGACCAACAGGATGGCCCCCGAAAAGAAGGATTCGGTGCGTCCGGACGCGGAGGCGGCACCTCCAGAGACTCCCATGCCGCATCCTTCATTCATCCAGGTTGCCAAGCCGTATGTCTTCGAGCAGACTATCCAAGACTGCATCACCGCTCTTGGTGTTGACCCACTGCGCGAGGAGGGCCTCCGTCTCCAGGGCGTCGCGTGGATCGACAGTGTACGCAGAGCCCTCCATCTGTATGTTTGGATCCATTCTGTGACAGTTCTAGAGCTTCAATTTTTCATTTTGAATTCAGACTAACAATTTCAAAGGCCTGTTCGTACTTTCAACACAGCGGTCGTGTACTATCATAAGTTCAGACTTGTCCATGCGGACAATGAGTACAATTACATGGTAAGCTTAACTGTGTTCTTCTATAAAGGAATGCGTTTAACGAGGTGCTAGGACGCTGCTGCTGCGGCATTGTTTACTGCTTGCAAGATTGAAGACACGCTGAAGAAGTCTCGCGAGATTGTATGCACTGCCTTCAATCTCAAGCTCCCTCCGGCAGAGCACCTTTCTCCGGATGACCCGGTCAGTAGACTTTGTTCAAATACCTGCAGCTGTATTTGTGCCACTAACATTTTACCAGCTCTTCGAGGTTCATGCCAGGGGTATCATTGGGCTGGAGCGGTTGATGCTTGAGGCGAATGGTTTCGACTTCAGAAGCCGTCACCCGCAGAACAGGCTCGTCAAGCTTGCCAAGAGCTACGGTGTTCAGAAGGACTCAGAGGTAGCCAGCATATCTTACCGCATCTCTATCGATCTTTACAGGACCTTTGCGCCAATCAAGCAGACTACGACAACCATGGCCTTTGCCTCTCTTGAACTGGCAGGCCGCCTTCTCGACGACCGTCTTGAGGATGTTGAGTCTGGAAGGGATTATGAAAAGTGGAAGACCAGCCGTGAAGAAGTCATGGGTAAGTATCTGATTTCTACTCCCTCCCATATCACATCTATAGGTCACTAACAAAGCTACCAGAAACTCTTCTCGACCTACTTGAGCTCTACACTCACCACCGTGGCTCTACCTCTGTGGGACCTAGCTTCCCTGTCGACAAGTTTCTAACTATCCGTATCCCCCTCAATCAGGAAGTGGATGCCAAGAAGCTTCCTCGCTACACCAACTGGAGGAATGGGGAAACCAACGGCTCAAGAGATGGAAAGGACCCTGCCGCGAAAAACGTACCTACTCAGAACCCTCTCACCCCCATATCCGCAACCGGAGAGAGGCCCAAGCCAGGTGGTCGCGACGGAACTGTGCGCTTCATGCTCGACCCTGAACGTGCGCAAGATGAAAAGGCCATTGTTTCTGAATATTTCAAGAACGAGATGGAGGAATACGAAATCGAGGAGTGAACTGCATTCGATCACGAATTCTGATTACACCCGATATCACGCATTGTCAGGCCTTAGGAGCCTGGGATTTACGACCTTATGACTTTTGCACGAAAGAAAAGGGCCAAATGGCTCCGTCCATACTACACGAAATTAGAAAAAACACCTAACAAAAGTCTTTCCGATCTCACCGCAACCAAGCAAGGACTGGGCATCTGTACCAACGGAAGCCAGGCGATGGCCTCATCAGGCACTATCGCATGTATCCAAGCATGGGCAAATGGCTCTGCGCTCTTGCTTCAAAGGAGAAAAGAAGCGCTGACCACGCGCGTGACGAGGCATCTTGTAACAACAACACCAAACAACAAATCTTTTTTTCTTATAATGTGTATTAATGGACTATCAAATCAAGACCCAAAAAAATTAAATCAGCAGATCGGTGACTATCACTCCTACTGGAGAAATCTGGTATCTATGAAAAGGTAATCGTCAACTTGTGCTCAAGAGTAATGCGTAAAAATACAATAATTCAATGCATACCCGCAATTAGTATAGTGCATATGTATTCTCAAAAGGCAAAGCAACCTTAAGACTTGTCAGCCTCCTTATTGGCATTAGTCTTAATATAGCTCCCCTAATACACCGTCTCATAACTTTCGCCGCCTGTCTATGGAATCTGAGATACGACATGCAAAGAAACTTTGGGGTGGAAATCTTGCAGTTCTACAAAAACTTCTATGGTAAACTAGATAAGATCGCACATTGGAATATTTACACAGTAACTCGCCGCAGGGGCACCAAGTAGAAACATCCCCATAAAAAGGTTCAGTAGCAGTTATCAGCCTTGATTTCAGAGATGCTTACATTCTACGTGCAACTGGAATAGCAAAAGAACAAAAACTACAAATCTCAATATATATTGAGCACGGCCGATTAACAAAGGACATTCTCTCTCACCAGCACACACTTAAGTATCCTTATTTTCCAAGAATAAATTGCAGCATAGAGGTCGAACAGCATGCCTCTTTTCCTGCCTCCCAAGGTCAGTTTCCATAACCAACTATACATTAATTAAAACTTTCACTATCATGATATAGCCACTTCTATCCGTGTAGCTTATATCATATGAGACTCAAGAAACCCCACAAGCAGATTGCGGAATCAAAGAAGAAAAGAAAGGTACAATTGGCATCCACAACACTTGGGAGTGCCAAGGAGTCAAACAGGCAAAGAAACCGGGTAAGGGTAAAAGTGCATAAAAATAGGAAATACAGTCCATTTTTAATTGTTATGATATATAAATTTTACACCATGGGTTCCGCTCGACAATAGACCGAATACGCCAATCGTGGAAGCAGAAGTGAGCAGGGCAGAGCGGAAGGGTAGAAAGCGTCCAAAAAGAAAGACCGTGCTATCAAATACCACCATACCTGATCGTTGATATAGCAAAATCGGGGTCATAGCTTAGGTGTACTGGTGTCCTTCAAGGCGGTACTGCAACCTTACTCGCAAAAGGTGCATAAAGGACATGGAGATCGTGAATTGAGAGAGGTCCCTCGGTCAGTTGGAAAATGACCTAGGAAATAGTTTTGCTCCAGCAGTCCGTTGCTTGGGGAAACGAGTCGATGTCATGTTCGAAATGACGTCCTTGGCGGCAAGGATCTTACCGGCGTCTCAGTTCGGTATTCAGACATTCGACAATCTATGAGTGGGAATTAGTAAATGAGACCCTTCTAAAACCACCCAATGCTGAGAATGGCCTTACCTTCTCTGAGACAGCCCCCTGGTTGTACAAGTACTTGCCCAAGCCTTTGACGACTTCCAATTGTTCATCAACAGTCAGGCCATTAATCGCGCTCTCGATGATGTCTCCAACGCTAGCCTTGTACACGGCGATGAAGCTGTGGTAATACATGTACGCAAAGAAACCCATAATGAACTGGCAGTCCATGCGGTCTGTGATGCCTCCATGGCCAGGAATCGACTCTCCAAAGTCCTTAATCTTGAACGTACGCTTCAATCCCGAGGCGAAGAAACCACCGAACGGAGCGATCAGGGAGGCGAAGGTCGCAAACACAAGGATATGGAACTGCATCGGTGCGACATGGAAGGTCTTATCAATTCCAGTCCAGTGCGGGAGAGTATACGGCTGAGGAGTAAACACGGGGTTCGGGGTGCATTCCAGGCCAGTGAGAACGTTGGCACCAAGGTCGTTGACGGGGCAGATGAAGTACTTGTAGCGCATGAGGATATTCGTCATGAAGTAACCGAAGCCAATCGTACAGATCCAGGCACCGATGAATCCCTCCACCGTCTTCTTCGGGGAGAGCTTGATGAGCTGCGTTCGGCCAAAGGTGATACCACAGACGTAGGCGAAGATGTCATTGGTGATGACGAGCGAGGCTGGCAAGAAGAACCAGATCATGCCTTCGAACACATTGTTCATGATGAAATGGGCCTGTACGACGATCAAATAGAGAGCCATGTGGGTCCAGGCAAACTGTGTAAACTGGAACTTATAGTGTCCTTTCTGCAAGGATGCCACGAAGAACACAAATCCTGGAGAAGATCAGCAATGATATTCGGTGTGCAGAGTCCACAGTGTGATCTTTTTTTTCTGGAGATACTCACCCATGATGTAGAGCGTAAAGCTGATGAAGCGGTGATGGGTCGCAAATGGAAGCAAGACCCTATCCACCAGAAGGACGTGTTTGAAGTAGTAAATGACGCTTTCTCCATAGAGGAAATACATAGTCGTCGCTAAGAAGTACCAGTTGAGAGACTTGGTAAACCGGAGATTCTTCTCTTTGCTGGGGATATTGGCAATCGCGATAACTTCTTTGAAGGAGACAATTTGGACTGCTGTCACAATGATAATGATATAGATGTGGCCCGAGAACATGGCAATAAAGAAACCGGCGATCATAACAAAGGTCCATATTGTCCGCGTGATAAAGGTCTGCTTCTTCTTCTCGTAGTCCGACACCTGCTTCTCCTGGGGTTTCTAGGGCCACGTGTGAAAATTAGCACGCGCAACAAAACCAGGGATACCAAGAGGGCAGTCTTACCTCTTCTTGACTGGGCTCTGATTTGGCTACACTTCCATTCTTGCCCGGGCTCCCCGGCTCGGAGGCAGCTTCGCTGACGTCTGAAATGCTGGGGCGCCGCTCAGCACCATTGCTGCGATGCTGGAACCGGACATTTCTCCGTGACTTGGCCATTTTCGATCTGAAGAAGACAGACTCATGCACTGGAGCGCGATGAGTGGTGCTTCAAGGATGAAGAAGAGAGGGCAGCGTGGCAGGTTGAGTGAGGAGAAGAAATGTTGAGGAAGCCGTGGATTTTCATGTGAAGTAGCGACCGCAAGCGGCTGGGCGGAGACAGACAGTAAGTTACGCTGCCTGAGGGAACAAACACGCGTCAAGCTGCTGAGCAACTGAAGGAGGACAATCAGGTTATTCTTGTCTTCTTATATATCATGCAGACCATGCCAAGCTGATCGCCTGTCTGTTCTTCCCAGAAGTGCCAGTCTGATCAGGGAGAGCTCAGCCCATCGACTTCGACGTCAGCTGTGGCTTCGCCCGGCCAAACAATCGCCCGCCGTATCCCATTGCGGGGAACATCTTCTCCGGTCCAGAGTTGAAGAAGAAAAAAAATATATCACAGAGGACAATCCAATATACGGGCGTCCAGAGCGCCTCCATGGCAGCAATTGGGGCATGGACGACAGCGACGATGATTTCTTCTCTGATGATGGCTTCGAATCGATCCCGACCAGCACACTACTGCAGCTCGAACAGAGCGCCTACCAAGCCTCACAGGCGCAGAAAGCTCGACAGGCCCCAGATGAGCCCGTGAAATCCTTGCGGAATCAGTCTACAAATGCCGTTCAGTCGCGCGTGTCCACCTCGAGGCTGCCCAGCCAGGGTGGCCCTTCCTTGAGACCGCCGTCATTGCCCACCGGCCTGTCGAACGAATATGGGGATATTAATGCGGGGGAGGAATTGGAGGCAGAGGTGTTCGACAATGCCCAGGGTCATATAGCAGAACTCCAACAGGAGCATGTCTATATGCAGGAGCTTCAACATGGCCAAGATATCCATACGGCAGGGTTACAGCACCTTCATGGACCTGTCATGCAGAGTGCTACCGACGGGATGGAAGTTGAAGAATATGTACAGGACGATACGGAGGTCAACGACACGTTTTATTACGAGCAGCATGGGATGTCTGCGCAAATGGAGGAATTAACGGCTCGTATAGAGGAGGTGAGACACAGACACCTGTATCCGATAACTAGAATCGCATGCTGAAACCCCGAACAGCTTACGCGCCAAAACAAAGAGATGATGCAAGAGTTGGAAATGGCCAAATCCAATGCTTTGACAAAATCTGGAGAGATCTCCATTATACGTGCGAACCAGGCAAAGCTCGCTGAACGCTATGATCAGCAGCTGTCGTCGTTGCGCAAATCGCTGGCAGACGAGGCTGCAAAACACAAAGCTGAACTAGAAGCCGCCCGAGCACAGAGTAAGACACTCGCTACCGAAAATGCGTTTCTCAAACAGGATCTGGCGGAAGAGGCCCTTAGGGCCAATAATTTCAAAGCAAAGAGCAGAATAGACGAAAAAACACAGCCGGTGACACCAAGGAAAACCAGGATATTGCCATTCCGAGATGGCTTCGACGACGATGAGATCGCTGTCCTCTCGCCAACCAAGTCATCCGGTGGCAGAACAAAATTGGGAAGCCCAGCAGTACCCGGAAAAAGGAAAAGAAAGGCAAGTCAGGACGGTCCTATACCAATAGGCCCTCTGGAGCTAAGCCCGTCACGACATTTCCCTCCTCCGGAACCAGAACGAGAAATGGAACCAGACACAGATGATCAAAACAGGGACCAGCCAGTTCCCCATAAGGATGACCAGAATTTACGGTACATGAAGTTAATACTGAATCATCGCACTCCGCCCAACACGGAGCGAGACCTAGAGGTCATGGCTAGGATTGCCTTCCCCTCCAAACCAGACCGCACGTTTTCCACCATTGTGATCGAAGCCACGGCCTCTTTCCACTCTGGAAATTATGCTGTACAATTCGCTCGGTGCATTATCTCGTTGTGGTCGCAGGCTCTGAAGGAGAAATTCTACGAGCCTATCTACATGCTCATGGGGATTACAAAGTTTATACTCCTCTTAGACACTCCTTATGTGGCGCCCGACTTCATCGAAGAGCTTCTTCCAGTAATCCAGGAGTCTGTTGCGATCAATGGGGTTCCCAGGTTCCACCATTCACCCGCATCAAGAAAGAACTGGGGCCAGGTGAGGCAGACACCTCAGTCACAGCTCAACGAGGACGTCGACTCCACGGAAGCTCTGAGCATTCTCTATCTCACAGCCACTGGATGTCTCAGTGACGAGAAGGCAAAAGAGGCTTTTTGGAGATGCATTCGTTACGACTTCATTTTGATGATGCTCCATACGTCGCAACCGATCAGCGACATTGCTCTTACCTTGAACCTCCTCACATGTAGCCTCCGCCGTGATTCATTCGGTCCACTTCTGGAAACAGAACAGGACCAGCTCTCCAACGAGAATTACATCGTCGACCGTGTCGCGAATCTCTTCTACGAGAAACCCCAAGTCGATGAAGGTCGGACGCCCTACACTGGGCATCAGATCTGCCGTATGCGCCTCGAGGCCCTATCATTCCTCAATGCAGTTGCCTTCTCTGCGCCAGGCACAGCCCATAACCACGGCTGTTCCGTTATTGCTACGCATCCGACGGCTCTGGCCCGACTCATCCGCTCCATGCACGACGAAGTTGATGCCCTCTACGATTATAGACCGGAGCATGACCTGCACAACTCCCTAGTAAACGGCTTAATGGGTCTCATCTACGGTGTGACCCGCAAGCACAAAGAGATCGACCTCCAGTCAAAGCTCCATCTCGTAGCGGGTGGGAAGCAAAAATATCTTATCGTTCTCACCAGGCTAGCTTTCAGCGAGAACCCGTTCCTCGAAGCTGGAATCACAGACGAGACAGTAGAAATGGCCCACGAGATGCTAGAGGAGGCAGTAAACCCGCAGGAAGCAGAAGCTTTGGTCGAAGCTTTTCCAAGCGCATCCCGAAGAGAGGATTCATGATCCGCGATTTTCAGGACACGGGAGATTTCCCCTTCCACTCAGATTTTCTTTCTCTATCTTCACGATTACTATTCTAATATATTTCAACGATGTTACGCTGTCTATGAATGGACACGCACATGACTGGCGCTCTGGATTTGTGGCATATGGAATCGAACTTCATGCGGCGCCGTAACAAGGTTTTTAGGAGGCTATTTTGCCAGTTATGGGGCACATTACGCGTGCTAAATATGCATTTATCTTTTGAGGAATAAAACAACAAGTGAATTATCAATTTTTACACCTCTCGATTGGCTGAGAAAGATGGTAGATTCTGCCCGAGTGTAGCCATAAGTTCTTTTTTTTCTCTCTTTCTTTTTGGTTCTAAATCAGAAGTAAATAATACACTTCTAGATTCGAAGAACGGTATAACTGAACATACAAAATAGAAGCAGCAAGCACCGTAAGCAAACCCATTAAAGCATTACACTTGCAACCACCTCCAGCGAAAATACAGCGTCTCTGTCACATAACGGATTTTTGCCGTCGTTGATTCAACAAAAGAAAGGACTCCCAGCCATTTTGGCGAAACCTGTGCGTCACTACCAGTCAGAATCCTCAACGCTAGAATCTGAGAGAAAGCTAGAACCAGAACCGGAACTAGATTCTGAGTCGAGGCCAGAATCGGAAGATTCGTCCGAGTTTTCGTCTTCAGTATCCATATCCGACTCGTACTCTTCACGAGGCTCCGTATTCTCACGATGCGGCTGTCTGTACCTGGGGTCATCCTTGCCGTCTATATCAGTGCTTTCGAAGTCTCTCTCGCAGAAACCAGAGCGGCGCCAGAAGGGCAAATATGGCGCGAAGGCGGAACCGATAGTCGAATCTTTCGGAAGTATATAGCACATATGTCTATTGACTGCGGAGACTTCGCATTTGAGCTTATACACGCCGCAGAATGAGTGATCTTCCTCCCCCTCATTCTCAACGACGATTGGAAGGGGCTCATAGAGCAAATTAAGGATCGTCGATCTGACATCTTCGGGGCAAAGACAGGTTGTATTTGGGTCCACTGGCCATCCTCCAAGACGTTCAAGTCCTGTAAGTAAGTAACCAGTTGTAAGCATATGGCACTGTTCTTCGTGGGACTCTTCAAGGCAACAGTTGCCTCTGAGAACATCCTCGCAGGCCCGTGTCAACTCCTGCAGGGCAACCACTCGTTTCCAAGCAACTTCATGCACTATTTCAACATGTTAGAATGTTTGTCAAATACGTGTTGGGGACTATAGAGCCCTGGCTCGATTATGCCGCGAGCAGACGTTCGATGAACATACAGATATCATCCCGGCAGTAATCCGGCAATAGATCAGCCACCTTGCGACCACCGTAACTGAGATCACCATTGATTTCTTTTCTTGCGTTCCAAGAAACGTGGCTCAACCATGAGTTGAGCATATAGTCGATATCCCAGACTGCTGCAATGAAAATCCACTCTGTCCGTTCTGGATTCAGGTTATCCCGAATGAAGGGGGCAAACCATCTGGGTACGAAAGGTAAGAACAGGTGTCTGACTTGATATCTATCGCAGAAACGAGTCAGGGAATACAATTGATCGAAAGGGATTTTTTTCGGCAATTCTGAGAAGAGAAGATGAATGATTTTGAGAAATAGAAGCATAGTCTTCGGGTCGTCATTCGGGAGGCGCAAGGACCTCGAGCCTTGATTCTTGGCTAAAGCGACTCGATCTTTCCAGACGGGGCTTGTGGACGCCAGCAGACTAGAAATTGTTTTGAACGTTCTGATCTTGTTGCTACCTACGACCAGCATCAGATCGCCCTCGGGGAAACTGGCCTTTCTATATTTTCCCAAGGCGGCCTCAGTCATGATAGACTCGAGGTCCATGGATGGTTCGGTGGTCATTTCGATGTCCTCATTGCGTGACATGTCTGCTCCTGAGGATAGAATGTCAGCTTGTACTACATATGCTGAAGACTCCGCATACGTACCGGGTCCTCCCAGAGTAGTAGTGTGGCCTGTCGATCCTGGTGCCGTGTTGGCCATATGGTCGCTATTTTGATCACGCTGTGAGAGGCTAGAGCTGTCTGAACTAGGGGTGCAACAAGCTCTCTCGGTATCGCTGTCGTTCGAGGTGTATATTACGCTGGACATGGTGTCTGTCTGTATTCACGATTTGCTCAGAAATGCAGAAAGAATTTTTCATCTATAAGCAGTAGCAAGTATAAGCGTCAGACTTCGCAGTCATGAGGTGGAGTGCGCGTAATGATTTGGAGATTGGGGCGTCTTTATGTGGTTGCCCTCACTGCTGCCTTCAAAGCTTCTCGTAAGGAACCATGGACGAATCGGCTCCTCAAATGGTGTAGCAACTTGCCTAGAAACCTTAAGACTACAAGGTAGATAGCAAATATGTGCTGGGTTCAAGTTTCGAATCCTGGTTCGGCGATCGACTGCTAACGCAACGATATACCCTACGGCGGCGCGGGCAAAGCTGTAGGAAAGGCGCTGAACGCGAAATTATTGTATAGGAGATCAGGGGGAGTTTGTTGTGTTATCTACCAGAAGAGGAAGGCGGTAAATCTCACGTACCGTAACTAGCCACTGGGTTTTCGTAGCATCCTGTCCCCATTTGCACCTCTAGAGTGCATACTCTGGCAGAGACAATACATTGCCAAATATGGTTGTAGTCTAAATCCTCAGGGATGATGGGATCCGGCAGGATTAGTGACCTCAACTTCATCTTCGGGAAGGTTTCGTTCTTCCAAGATCCCAATCAAAGTTATACGAGGCTGGCCCAAACGCGACTACTTAACATACATATTCTCATGAATGATATCTGGAAATGACTAAACAGCTCTTATCTCAATACTCAACTATATCCGGAACTTTCAGGGAAGGGCCTACTAAATTCTTTGTCTGAATGAATAACCTGGACTGGATGGCTATACCTACTCATTATCTAATCTAATAACACTTTCTTTATCCCTATTCAGTTAACAATAGATAATGCGCCCCCATTGTGCCCGCAGACATTCACAGACCATGAATAAATACTATTAAGAATCCAATCTAAATAACCCATTGGTGTCCACCACTACTAATATAAGACCAAGATCTCATCCGGAATATCCCTCTCTAGTATTTCTCAACACCAAAGAAAGGACTCTGTACGAAGAAGACGAATGAGAAGCAGAAGCAGAAGCAGAAGCAGGACTTTTGCCTTTTTCTCTTTCTTCTCGATTTCTCCTTCATAAATCCCATCATGGATACCGCAGTATCTGCCCCCGGGGCAGGCCTCGAAGAAGCCAGACGCACTCCAGAACCATCACCCCCTCCACCACCAAGTTCTCCCATACTCAAGCATCCAAATGACCCGCGCGCATTTCTACCACAGGGAGCTCAGAGGCGGAAAGTCCGCCACCTCAGGCGCCTCGCGAAGCCTCCGGAACCAGAGCTCCTCCACGCGGGCTGGCTCCCGCGCGAACTACGAGGGAAATCTGAAGTCGAGGCGCGAGAGAAGCTAGAGAGAAAAGTGAATCAGCGGAAGAACGCGAAGAAGTTTCTACAGAAACAGTTGCAGAATTTTGAAGAGAAGGAGCAGCAGAAGGAATTACAACAGAAGAGACAAAAGGAATTGGAGGAGTGGATTGCGAAAAGTGGATGGGAGGAAAAATATGCCCAAGAGGAACTGATGGAAGAAGAGAAGCAGCAGATGGAGCTGAGCGAGGATGAGATACAGTTACATGCTGAGTTGGAGATGCATGTGCAAGAGTGGGAGCAGCATGAAGTACAGATATATCTCGAGCTGCGGTTCTATTTAGACCAGTTGGGACAAGAGACGGAGGAGAGTGAGCTGCAGCTCTGTTGGGAAGAGACACGGAGATCTATTGAGGAACTGCCGTGGTTCGTCTCTGTGGAGAATTGGGTCGAGTTCGTCGTTTCCAAACTGCGTCAGTTCAGAGATATCGTCCTCCAAGGACTTCATTGCCTTCAAAATATTCGCATCACTTACCACGGGGCCAGTCGTGGGAAACAGGATCTCAAAGACAGAACGTCGAGGATACAATTCACTTTTGCTGGACCTACAACCACGGATGAAGACATGCAAGACAGAGATTCTGATGAAAACGCATACCAATACGAAGGGACTATGAGATTTCTGCCGATTATGACAGGTGCAGACCAGCAACTTCAGCCAGCTCCACGGAAGCGGGACTTTCAGGACCTGGAGACAGAAGATTCGAATGCATCAGAGGCGGACGAACACCATCCGAGGCAGAAGAGGAGATGCGGTTGTATCGCAATCTAGGTTTCTAAATGTTTGTACTGGTCACCTTGGAAAGGTTACCACGGTTCGTTACCACAGAGTAAATATTGGGCAAGAGCCAGGTTATTCTTGGCTTCTAAGGGGTAGTTTATATTTCTCTACAACTTCTGGAGGCCTCATGTGGCATCGTATTATGGATGGTGAATGTTCCAATATGAAAGAGCGACAATTCTTCGTTGACAACCCACAGTAATTTACAGGACAAAGCTAATCAATGACCCTTAGCTATATACACAATGCCAAAAGTAAAACTATCTTTCCCGAATAATGGGTCCTTTGACCCAGCGCCAAATAGCGAGATAAGAATAATGCACAAAACAATTACCAGTGAGTAAGGTCCTCGGATCCTAGGTTCAGAGACAATGAAGGATTGACAAATTATTGCGAGTTCTCGCGCTGCCCAGCTCCGGCTTTGGTCGTCGCTTTGTCCGACTGATCAGATCCTCGATCCGAACTGCGCTTCCACCTCTCTTCCACATTGAACAGCAGATCACGGACACTCTTTCGACGCTTGTGAAGTCCTTCTGTCTGGATCGTCACAGTCGGTGTCTTTATTCCCTCACTCGTTTTAGATCTCTCTACCGTCTCTGTATGTTTGGTTTGATCCGCCGTCTCCGACTGTCTCTGCGTGGCCACCCGCCGAAGAGCGGGAGGTGGAAGAGCAGGAGGTGCTGTTTGCTGTTGACTCTCGCCAGGAGACTCTACGGGCCCTGACGAATCCAAATTCGTCAGTCGGTGCCACACTTTTTTCAATGTCATTCGTCTTTCAAGCTGCCCTGATCGAGCCTTCCAGACGGAACCCATCCTGAAAGTGTCCTGGGGTTGCTGGGTTAGGGGCTCAAATTCCTTGCCATCTTCATCAAAAGAGCTGCTACCTCCACAAAGCTCAAACACAATGCTAGGTAGCTGTAGTTGCTTTGGGAGCGACTTCTCGAAGATTTCACTGCTGACTGTCAGGCTGTGGGAACGATGTGGGGGAGTCACAGGGAGGCCGTTGCCAGGCGTTTGTGGTTCTTCCTGAGAGCTCCTGTCATACTCCGCACACCTTCTCATAAAGCAGCTAAAGTTGGCTGCCAAAGTGACAGCGCAAAGAGGCAGGAACCCGAGGCTTTGGAAGCTTTTCGGAGCGTTGCCATTTTTCATCTTCCCTGACGACTCGACCGGGGAATTGAGATTTACTTTGGCGCAAAGAGCCCACAGGTCCCCGTACATGCGACACACAACGAATACATCCCCGTGTACAAAGTCGAATTGGTCCGGTCGCTTGGCTTGGAAATTGGAATCATCTGTATACTTGTGGTCCAAACAAATGACCAAGGATCCTTCCCGTATAACCCAGTTCTCATCCGGTCCCAGTCGGATATCCCTGTACGATTGTAAACGAGCGCAATCGTTCGACATTATTTGAGAAAATGTGCGCGCTATTTCTGCACCGTTCTCGTCCCCTTGGGTAGTCATGGTCGGTTGATTCTGTGACTTCGGTTGGTCTTGGCTGCCTGGGCCAGCAGCCTTCATTGTCGTCGCACTACTCTCTCCCCCACTGTTCTGTTTTGCCATGAAGTTGGGCCAGTCTTGTTCCGTGCGAATCTCCTTTAGATTTGTTAGAGTATAGCTGGATGACTCCCATGACGAATGTACAACTAACCGGTAGCGTCTCCTCGAGAGTTCCCTGAGGATGATCCCCATCTTGATTATCTTCGACATTGGCCATAGCCACAATGAACGGCTCTTCAACCCAGTTGGTATCGAGACACTTCAATTGTTCCTCATAGCCCCCAATACCAATCTCTGAGATACTACGTGGAAGGTGGTAAGTGTCGACATTCGCGGATAAGTCTCTGTTCTCGGGACATTTGCCACAGAACGGCTCCTTTATGGACCGGGACTGGCAACATCCACAGCAGTCTCTATCCTTCAGGTTTTGGATCAAGTGAGATCCTACGTTTCCCTTCGTGGGGAATGTATTGGCATCAGGTCGCTGTAAAGGAACATAGACAGGAGGCCGATGGAAATACACGGCATGTCGGCGCCGCTGAGTGAAAGACCCATGAAGTGATTGAGTGTCCGACTGGTCACTACCGTCGTCAAGAAGACTTGACAACTCACAAGTATTGGGAGACCCGAGGGGCCGATACTATTAGTCCCACATTGCCTCAGTAACTTCTCATGATTTACTATGGTCTCAAGAGTCATCCTTACCGGTACGATGGGGGCACTGTGAACAGAAGAAGGGGGACATCTTGTGGAGGATGATCCTGAAGTGCGATTGCTTTTTCTATCCTTGTCGGTACGACTGTTTGATCTGTCTGAGAGTGTCATGATTGCAAAAGAAAAGTTGTTTTCTGTTTATATCCTGGCTTTCATATAGGATGGAACGAATGCGGTTGTAAATTTGCAAGTTATATTATTCCAGAAATACAACTTGAAGCCAACAGACATGAAGGGTTGAAAGCGTCTCGTTGTTTACGAGACCTCGAGAAGTTTGACAGGCAGTCTCCCGTTGCTGCTTCCATGTCTGGCACACAAGGATTGCCCCATACGGAAGGTAGATATGTGCACACGGCGAACCAGCACGGGTAAGCTCTACCACAGAAGCGTCTATTGGATTCAATTAGTGGAATCGGTTTGATGTGTTGTGCGATATTAGAGGGCGACGGATAGTCTGCAGTAAAGTATCTGTTCTCGAAAGGATCGGGAGACATGAATTCAATTAGGTATCATATCGATCTTCATAAGACCTAATGGGGCTGTTTCCACATATTATACGAGTCACCCGTCAAGGGAATCATATGCGATCTAAACAAAAGAGTCATCGCAACTCCATTGGTCCATCAACATCCAAACCATCCGTGGTATCTCATCCATTCGACAGATAGGGTATCTAGTTCTTATCGGGGACAGGGAAGTCCTTTCCAGCGGTACTCTTGTACTGTGCACGGATGAAGTCAGAGATCTGCTCATCCTTGGCCTGCTCAATGGCGCTCTCGTTATCCTGAGGGCCCTGGTGAAGGACCTTCTCCTGGACGAAGTCGACGCCTGAATAATCCACCGTTAGTTTCTCTGGTTTGCCAGCAAACACGCTAAAGCTGATCGAGAGTCGACGAACCCTTGTCGAGATAGTCCTCGTTCTTCTCACTCTCTGGGCCGCCGCCGGCCGCGGAATTGATCTTGTTGCCAATGTTGCTGAGGAAGCCACCACCGCCCTGGTTGCTGTCACTGCTGCTCTCGTTCTGGTTCTGATTCTGGCCACCACCAAGGCCGCCGGCAAAGTTCTTAAGGGCGTCCATCTTCTAAGGTTGTAAGCAGGATAAAAGGGTGAAGAGCTGTAAGGTTTATAGTATGGAAAACTTGATTGGTGGGCACTCGACGATATACCACACACACAAGGGCAATGGAAAAAAGGTTGAAACAGCATCCAAGGTAGCCGGACAAGCGAGGACTATAAATACAAAGGACCAAATGCGGCTAAATCCATCTCGAGTCGATTAAGTCAACGAAGGCCATTCGGATTGGAGCATATGACGTCGGCGAATGTGACCGGCTCCATCAAGCTCCAGACGGAAACGTACATTGAGCTCATCTCTGGCTGCTGGGCTTGACATTGCAGCTCCTCACGAAGATATATATCCCTAGCTCTAGATGTATCCCGTAGCAGTGAAAGAGTACCGCCGTCTGTTGATGTAGTTGAGTTATTATTACCAACTAACTAGGGGTCGGCCGAACGCAAGTACGTTGGCCTAGATCATGTGACCTGGTCAACAGATTTGCATTCCTCCACAATTCTCTTGGCTCGATATTTTCCTCCTCAGACTACTTAGTGGCATTTATTCTATTCGGTTTCAAAGACGTCCACCCGCGGACGGGGGTTCCGTTGGCCATTCAGGGATAGGTCGGGACGTTGTACCTACATACAAACTATAGCTTCAGTTCAGCTGAATTAGGAAATAGTGTTAGTTCTTACATCGTCCCCGTGGTGCTAGCCTAGCTGTTTAGGCAACACGTAGCAGCCTTGGCTCATAACCTATATTGCGGATTTCAGGAGAAGAAGGGGTGGACGAAGTGATATCGACTACACACATGCAGCCTGCCAAGGATAGGCTATCTGCAATGATACACTTCTCAACTCAATTGATTCTCTCTTTCCACCAATGTGCTGTGCTGCGGAGCCCCATCATGCGCTTACATTATCTCAGCCTCACTATTATACCTCCTGACCACAGTATAATTAAGAAGCTGACTTTTCAACCCGGAGGAACCGTCGGCAGCAGGCCAGATGGTATAACTAATGCATTGTTTAGCATCACTTTCATGTTATGTCACTTTTGTAATTGAACGGTTCTGGAAATTCACTGCTTGAATAGTTGGACAAAGCGCTTATATTGGCCAAAGACATCATAGTTTGGCAATTTGAAAACTGACGGCTTTGAATTTGGGTCAATGGGCTTTCCGAAAACGACGGCACCTCCCATTGGGGGATTTGTTGGGACTGCTGTTCCGTTGCTCATGCCGGCACTTTCTGGTATATTGCTGGTCACACGTTGGAAATTTTCGATTTGGTACCAATAGCCAGCGCTCCCACCTGGGAGGTGGCGACGGGCCTGAAAGGGTCTGCTAGAGATAGCCCAGTATGTGCTGTTTCCCAGTTTCCTGAAGAGGACATTCGTTTCGCCATGATCTGATGCCAACCTTTCTAAACATGTCACCGGCGCAACGACATAATCGTAGCCAGATGGGACAGTGCAGCATGCGCAGGAATCTTGAAAGGTTCTCGGTTGGATAATTTTCCCAAGGTTATCGCCAATCACAACAGCATCCACAATGCCCGCGATACGAAGCAGATCACGGGCGTTGCGTTTAACACGGACCTGTTTCATCCATGCTCCTCTTTCTGGGGGTAGCACAATGTCCAGAAACTCATGACCATAAAATGTCCTGGACGTTGACTCATCGGTTCTCTCGGCGGAACTGAGCATGTTGGTATTCAACCTTAGCATCAGATCTTGGAATAGAGTTTGGGATTCCTCTCTCCCGAATAGAACCAGATTACCCTGATTTTCCAATCTTCTGATGATGTCCTCTGTATCTATATGGTCCGGCAAAAAAGGGACATTGCTTGACCCAGTAAGTTTCTTTAGGTAAATATGAGACATGTGGACAAGCAAGCTTAATTTCGGTAATAGCCATCCTATCCTTGATCCAGAGTCGTATAATAAAACGAGATTGCGGCTCGTATCTCTCAGTAGTTCGGAATAAATTCGACTAGTGTCAAACTGGACCCTATTGACGACGAATTTACCAGTAATTCCGAGGTTCAGTCCGGCTTGGAAAGGGGACGCTGTAGTTGCCTGAATACCAGCAGCGATGCTATCCACATGAAGCGACTTCTTCTTAGGACGTGTTCGAGAAAGATACGGTAGTGGGCCTGTCACTAGGCCTTCGGTCCCAGCTCGGATACTGGCCTCGGTACACCACCCAATATAGCAATGCCGCCGCTCAAGCTCGGAGATGCTCTTCACTGATGCAGCAACCTTGAGGTCGAGACAATATGGGTTTATCTGACCACGTTCACTGACTTCTGCATGATACTGGACATAATCCTCGTGTATCTCTGTCGCAATGAGAGCCGTACGATATCCCAGAAGAATTATGGTATCATGGATTCTCACGGAGTATCTAACCGACGAGATCATGACCATATGATCGTAAGAGACTCGTAAACCCTTCCCTTTAGATCGTGCTTCTGTTGCAATGATTTCATCTTTCGCAATCACTCCTCGAATAAACAGATGTTGCCAACAGTCTGATGTTTTATTTTGAAAGGGTTCCTCTTTTAAGCATAGCTTGAGAACGAGGGAACGATCAATATTTGTGAGATCCTCAAGATCTACCTCAAGTCGGGGCTCCATAGACGTGAGAGCGAACTTTTCTGGGGTTCTCGAGGTCCTGATAGCTTTCCCGACGAAAGAGACTACTCCTGAAATTATTCCTAGAGACTTCTTTGTGATCCCAGGATCTAGCCAAAGTTTGAAACAACTGTGGTCGACGCTAAGGCTATGAATATAGTAACAAGAACGTGTATCGAGATGAGCAGCAAGAACTATCTCGACAACTAATGGACCCATTAGTTCAGGTTTAGTTTTGACATTGTGTTGAGGTAAAACTCACCCTCACCTGGAGCTCGACATGCCAGATGAATGTTGTCTACAAGACACTGTAGAATGTCATATCCATCTTTGCCCCATCGTCTGGACACAAATTCGGAGCAACTTGTCCCAGATATTTCAAGTGCGTTTGCCACTAGCACAAACTGCTCCTTCCAGTGTTGAGAAAGAATATCTTCTCCAGAATCGCTATCTTCTCTCGAGGAAACACTGTGGTAGGCTTTCAGTAATTTAGGGATTTCCCAGTCCATCTGTATTACTCGCACAACATCCAATGCCAAACTTGCACCCACAATGCTGGTAAAAGCTTCATCCAGGGTCCTGTAAGGTTGGTGACGGTTAAGATGTAGCCAGAAACTTGGCAATGGCTCTGCTCTGCAGCGCTGCCAAGTCCTAGCAGCAGTCATGACATTTGCTCCTCTAGCTATGAGGATCGGAGCGAATTCAAGACGGCGTGATTCAAAAACATCATCGAGAGGGGTTGTTCCATGGCTGTCTTTCCCATTCACATCTCCTCCGTGGCGCAGCAGTAGCTGAACTTTTTTGAGAGGATCAATGCTCGATAAAATTGCACGGCTAAGGGCAGTTTTACCAGCACCTGGAGCTGCATTGGCATTGGCACCAGCATCAAGAAGCAGTTCCATTGTTTCGTAATCACCAGTATCTGCTGCCCTTTGAAGGGCAGTACCAGACAACCCATATTGTTGGTCAACTTCTGCACCAGCGTCAATAAGTAGCCGGGTCAGTTTCGCTCCCTTAACTGCGGCATGATAGATTGGGGGTCCTGCTACCATCTCTGCCAGAGGTTCTCTTCCCGCGAATGGCTGATTTATATCCACTCCTGCGTCGATAAGGGACTTCACTCGTTCAAACGATCCACGAAGGATACTCTCATATAATTGGTATTTATAGGAGTCCATTTCATCATGCGTTCTTGGACTGGGTAGGGGAGACTCTGGGCGCAGGTCTCCCTTCCCAGAAGAATCTTCCTCAGAACCTTCTGAGCTGCCCATGGTGTCTGGGTCGTAAGTATTCTTGGCAGCGGTAAGGGGATTGAAGAAACTAAATCAGGATTGACCTGTGGTTGTAAGTATTCCTAGCAGTATTGAGTGAGAGAAAAGAAAAAAAAAACAGAAGAAATTAGGCCAGGATTGACAGGCCCGTCTTCCACTTATATACCATTTCAGAAGGCCCTGGCGCTTGCAATTTGGACCAAAGCCGTCCAATAGGCCAGAACCTGTGCATGCACAAGAGAAGATTTAGCTTTCAGGGGTCACCAAGCGTTGCAGCGTATTGGAGGTTTTGCTACGCTTCCTTCAGCGTGCGGAGAAGTAGCAACAGCTGTCTAGGGTTTAGTTTGTCGGATGAGTATGGTAGTAGTCCTATCACCATCCTAAGAATGCGACACATGATAACAGAGAAATGATGGAGTGGCGTGTAGACACACATATCGAGTTGTCATTGCAGTGCCAATACTTACTGACAGCCAATTATAAAGGCAGACTGCTGCTACAGCCTTGTCTTACAACAGAGAATAGCAAGGGCTCTGAATCAATAGATAGGCAGCTTGGCCGCTTGGGACCCAATCTATCGCTGATAAACCACATAGGTTTTTAGCCTTGATGTGTTTCGGGCGAATCCAGCCGGCTTCTTGATAATTATAGCAAAAGATCCAAGAAGCCCTTCTGATGAGCTGCTGACGAGTGCCTTGCCCCTTCACTGCAAAGTTTGAAACTAGGTGGCCGCGACAGCGCTTTGAAGCAGCCCGGAGAAACTGCAAATACCATACCATCATAAGTGACAAAGTCTGTACTGTCACAAGGGTCGTAGTGCAGAGGAGGAGCTGGTTAGGTATGTCTGGTTGGAACAGAGAGGTCAATGTCAATCGCATGGAAAGAATGGAAGAACAACACAGGAGAATGAACAAAACCGCCTGAGGCACAAAATAAGATATAATAAATGAGTATATGCTCTTGGCAGGAAAGTGAACAGAGCTTGCGTTTGATGGCTTCGACTGTTGCTGTAATAATAATGTTGTTGTCAAGTAATTAAGTACGGTCTAGGGCGGTGGATCGGGACACCAGGCTCTCACCCCGCCTGCCCCTCCACGCTGTAGATTGACATTCATTCTCTGGCCTCATCCCGCTAGACTCTACTGTTCAGTATAGATTTCCTGACATTTACCTTGCAGTGTGTATACATATATTTACTTCGTTTCTCCCTTGTCTTTTTGTCCCCATTCCCTATTTCTTTATCTATATATTCTGCTAGAGAGAGATTTTGCAGACTGAGAGATCATTTCGATCTATGAGACAATAACGCAGCATTGAACTATCTCACGACACCAAAGACACCAGATATGCCCGGAATCCCCGTCACGATTATCACCGGCTTCCTCGGATCCGGAAAGACCACCATCCTCCTGAACCTGATACCCCAACTCCCGCCAAGCTACAAGCTTGCCCTCCTAAAAAACGAATTCGGTGACGTCGCCATCGACTCCCAACTTGCCTCAACACAATCCATCTCCGGCGTACGCGAACTCCTAAACGGCTGCATCTGCTGCAATCTTGTTGGACAACTGAGCGATGCGCTCAACCAGCTCCGGGATGAAGTGCAGCCGGATCGGATCGTGATCGAGACGAGCGGTAGCGCATTCCCCGCCACGTTGGCAATGGAAGTGAACCGACTCTCGAGGGAGCAAGGGGGAACTTTCGTGCTCGATGGGGTTATCAGTGTGATCGATGTAGAGAACTGGCAGGGATATGATGATACATCGTATACGGCGAAGCTGCAGGCCAAGTATACGGATTTGATCATCTTCAATAAGTGGGAGAACGTGCCGGAGCAGCGGTTCGATATCTGTCTGGATCGACTGGGAGATTTGGAACTGCAGACACCATGGGTGAAGTCCGATAAAGGGAAAGTGGATAAGGATCTTCTACTGGGCATTGATGGAGCTTTGCTTGCGAAAGATCCGAACATTGACCCAGAACATCTGGTGGATGGACATGATCATGACCATGACCACGGCAAGAATGGACACCAGTCCGAAGTCGAAGTGCTCACCGTCAGCCTCAAGTCGACGACCTCATCGTCCGACCGACCGACCGTCAACCTCACCTCTCTCGAGACGTTCCTCCTTGCTGCCCCTAAAGATGAAGTGTATCGAATCAAGGGTGTCATCCGATGCTCCACCACAAATCCGCCAGCAGACTCATCGGGTGAGAAGAAGGAACCGACTGCTACCTCCCCCGAGTCTAGCGGAACTCAATACTACCTCTTGAACTGGGCCTTCGGGCGATGGACATTCACTCCATCTTCAGGGCTCGCAGATAATGTAGACCCCTCGACTGTTGCTCGCATCACGGTGATCCTCGCGCGGTATGAGTCCGCCAAGTGGAAGAAGAAGCTCGAAGATGGCGGACTGGTCGAAGTCGACGGCGATGCTGCCATTGGACAGTTAACAGTCGAAAGGATAATCTAAGAGCCCATCTTCTGCACAAATAGAAATACGAATGACTGAACGAGTTGATTGTCGACATACATTGTACATTTGGATAGATACCCTTACACTCTAATTGTCCTACTTTACTCGGGATGAGCAATGGGAAGGAAAACAAATTAAGGAGAGAATTAAGAGTTGGACTGTATTATCTTCCATATGCTTGAAATTACCGGAATATAAAGCACCAAAACCATTAGGCAAAGATGTCCTTCCATCAATAACCCAATTCTAGCCTTTTTTTTTCTTTCTCTATCGCTGCCGTGAGGGTCGCTGCGGCAAGCTCTATCGGGTCTTCTGAAAACGGACAAGGCAAGAAGCACAAAACAACACTCGAACAAAAATCACGTATTATCTTCACTCCAAATGAATAGTGGGCCAAGAGAAAGAGCGAACGGAAGATCGGATGAGCGGGCTCTCCGAACACTCTTTTCTTGTTTGACAACCACATCACTCTTAGTAATTGAGCAGGGCAGAGGCGCCGTTCTCACTGGAGATGTAGATAACTTCGTGGTTATCGGGAAACCCGTTGAAGCGGGTGGCACTACATCTAGTGTAGGCACCCATGTTCTCAAAGTAAAGCCAGTCTCCAACGTCCAGGAGACCGGGCAGAGTGATGCGCTCCGAGATGATGTCAATGCCATCGCAAGTCGGGCCCCAGATGGAGTAATCGATGCCCTTTTGCTCAGGAACGCTAGATTCGGACGAGCCCGGAGTGGATGGAACGGAAGAGTCCATGCATGTCAGGATCTGGGCGACAGGGTGCTGGTGGTCAAAGATGATGTTGGAGAAGTTGCCATAGACACCATCATTGAGGTACAGCATGTACGCATCCCGGGACGGGTCCAGCGGATCGGGCACGTCGCGACGAGCAATGACATTCGCGGCCAGGGTAAATGCGCTCGCGACATAGTAACGACCGGGTTCCGCGATGATACGGATGTTCGGTGGAAAAAGGTTGTCCAGTGCTTCACCAAGAACACCTGCAAATTGTTCAAAGGTGTCCTCACAGAAGCCACCACCGACGTCGAGCGTGTGGAGCTCGTGGCCCAATTCCGCAGCTTGGTCGAACACGGCACGAGCATCCCGGACGGCCTTGAGGAATGCGTTCGGGTCTTCGGCTCCAGAGCCAACGTGGAAGCTCACACCAACAACCTTTAGCTCCAGCTCGCGGGCAAGCTCCAGAAGAGGGCGGGCAATGTCCAAAGAGGCGCCAAATTTCATGCTGAGACGACAAAGACTAGTCGAATCGTCCGTCAAGATACGCAGGTACAGTTCTGCTTCGGGGAAATTGGCCTTAATCTTGTACAGTTCATCGGCATTGTCAAAAGTCATCTGCTTGACCCCCATCTGGGCCGCGTAGCGGAGGTAGGACTTGGTCTTGCAGGGCTGGGCATAGATGATGCGGCTGGGGTCGATACCAGTGTTCAGCGCGAGATCGATCTCAGCCTTGGATGCGCAGTCGAAACCATTTCCCAGCTGGGCCATGAGGCGAAGAATCTCCGGATCGGGGTTGCACTTGACCGCTGTGTATTGTTTCAAGTCAGTTATCCGCGTCACAATTTAACAGACTCAAGACTCAAGGCGAGACCTACCGTAAAAGGGCTTCACGCGACCCAAGTTCATCTTCCAGCGGAGATGCTGGCGGTAGATCTCGCCCATGTCCGCGACGTAGAACGCATCTTCCTCTCCCGCGCGACACTCGTCGACATCGATGCTCTGGACACGTTTCTTCAAGATCTCAAAGACTAGGTCCCTAGCAGCCAACTTGGCCTGATTCAATTCATGTGCGCCATGATTATGGTTGAGATTGCTCTCATGTATATTATTATTGTCGTGATACTGTTTAGTCACGTATACTTCAGGGGGCGCGAGGACTGAAGGTGCCATAACCATGCGGCTGAATTCAGGCACGGAGCTCTTTTCGGCTAGAAAAAAGAGAGAGACGAAAGCGAATAGTCCTTTTCTTTACGCAAAAGCGCGTTAGGGAGGACGGAACGTTTCGCAACCGAAGTTGACTGGACCTAGCCTCCTCGACCCTTCCTCCGAAAGAGGAAGAACCTTAAGAGTAGTCCTATGCGGCAGCTGGGTGGTTTGGGACGACGGGGACGCCGGCGGTTGGAAGTTCAGAGGCGCACCGAACGGAGACTCGTGGACGGTCAGCAAGAGGAGGTGGAATGTTGTTAAGCGTGTGTCGCAAACGCCTGGGGGAGACAACTTGACGAGAGAGCAGAGATGAGGCTACGAGAGCCGTGTTGGGATGGCGCCTTTGGGGATTCCAAAGGCTGACAGAGGGCAGGAAAAGGCGAAGATATAGCTTTCGCCGTCACTGAAGCGCAGCCACGTCAGTTAGTCTGGCTCAGCTGGGGAGGACACGGGGATGTTGGAGGTGGGTGCAGAGATTTCAGGATTTGAGAGCTCCGTGAATTTAGGGCAAAGGGCACGGCGTTTGAGACGGGGATCTAAGTACCGAGGCTGGTGGAAACCAGCCAGGCCGACTGCAGAAATGGGAAAATCGCGCACTCACCAAGATCACGAAAGTTGATGCGTCAATTGCTGGAGCAAATGGTGAGGTGAAAAGGTGGGAAGAGAGAAGAGCGAGTTGAAGTACTCTACGGACGAGGGCGGTGATGGCGGGGGTTCCAATTTTGTCACCGAAGCGGTCTGTGGGGGAACATGAGCGAAATTTGGGCAACGCGGGATTCGACTTGACTCTACTCTTCTCTACTTTACTCTACTCTACTCCCCGGCATCTAGCCTGGTCTCTTTTCTTCCTGTCGCCGGGATATTATTATTATTATGTATTCCCTATAGTCTGCCAACCCCTCTACTCAGCCACCCGGCAAAAAAGTTTTGACTTCAGTAATCTAGAAAGATCCGCCTTACACCAGATGGTGATTTCTCATGCGCCTTTTTCTCGGACCAACCGACGTATCCTAGATATGGACTGCGAGGCTTCTTTACAAAAGAGACGCTCGATACGATAATGGGTCAATTTTTCCCTCAGTCAATCTATCTATTGTCTTTTCACTTGACGCTTTTCCCAGCCTATTTCAGCCGTGCTTCGCCACGCGCGCGGAAATACCGCTGTTGCATAAGATTCCTTAATAATATTGCTCTTAGTTCAATTAGACTACCTTTTTCATTGTAATTCAGCTATCACTATTCTGGTCTTGATACGAAAAGGAGATATTAATTCCTTTCAGCGCCTCTTGCCCCAACCTCTCTATATATATAACGCATACATCTTTCACCAGGCTAGCCCCCTACGCTAGCTAGAAGAAAGCCCAGTATTCTTCATCAAACTCACCATCCTCCTCGTTCAGAATCAAATCAAACATGTGACCCTTTCCGTAGTGCGAGTCCTCCGCCTCCGGAGTGTCCCATGACTGCCATCTTCTTTGTATTCACTCGATACCTTGTGCCGGCAGCCTCTTCCTGCAGCAATGAATTTGCATTCTTTCATCCAGATAAGGCAGTCTCGCGAATCAGTGATTGGTCTCTCAAAAACTGAGACCTGCGGACATAACTGATAGTTGTGTATAAAGACAAGGAATCCTGCTTTCGTTAAATAAGATATCTGGAACCGACCCAAGAATGAGGCCGTCACCGTGTAGGTCCTAGGATGGGCACTTTCTACGATTAGAATACAGGACAGAAACTATGATTATTTATGTGGTCGTTAGAGACTCCTTCAACTACTTTATACGTCAACATCCTGGTCTTCATTTCTATTCATTTGTGTCTGAAACTGTTCAAGGCCGTTCTGTGGTATAATATGGAAAGCTTTTACGTTATGGGACTGTCCATGGGGAATCTGTTTTTAATTACATTGTACCATCATCCATTTTCATTTTGATCTTGGCTCCTTACTGTCAGGGCCTTGGATGAGTGTATGAGGGTTTTGATATGGTGTTGCTCGAGATCCCGATACTCCCCACTATGCGGTGTGGGTAACTATATGGGCCAGTACATTATATACGAGCCACTAACAGACAGAAGCGGCCCGGAACAGAAAGACCATTAAAACGGCTCGCGTTTTCCCCCGATGACACACCTCTTCTTGTTTCCACATCTACCCGGAACGGGCGAGTCAACCCCGCGGATCTTGCCCTCAAGAGCCGCGGGATAGAAAAAGGACCCGTGTCGTTATTATTTCGAGCACGCGGAATTTCCGCAATAGTTGGTCTCCAATGCGGAGTTTATTCGTGGTTCCGCCCGTAGCAGTGGAGTTCAATGTTGTCGACGTGCCCATCTTCCCCGAAACCGAATGATGGCAACGCGATCTTGTCATGGTCCAAGGTCGCAAATCCGGCACCTTGCATTAGATCAAAGAAAATGGCTTCACTGTCGTGTCGTCTCTTCAAAGCCACAAGCACAAGGGCTTCAGGAGATGTCTGAACCAGAGCATCCAGCACGTGAACCAATGAAGGTAAGCTATCTGCGTTATACGTGCAGTCTGAAACCAGGATGAAGTCAATCCCCGCGTTCCTCAGCTCATCAGGAGGCTGCTCGTCCCAGTCCAAGGTCTGGAAAGCAAGTGCTGATTTAGGGGCGAGCTGCGCAACTGCCATATTGCGCGTTACAATGTCGTTCACCTCAGCCAAGTCGGTGAGCATCACTGAACATTCAGGCAATAGCTCTGCCAGTGCGATCCCGACAATTCCACAGCCGGATCCCAGCTCGACCACCCGCAGCGGACTGCGCGTTTTGCGGAGGCGTTGTTCAAGAGAAGGCATCCGTCCAGCTTGGCCTTCAATGGCCCGCTGGAGGTAGATAATCGACGCCAGAGCGGCATCCCTGTGGGTGAGGGCATTTAGATTTTAGACTGCAGCTGGAGACGGTCTATCTTACCAAATATGTCTCGCGATGCTATTGCCCGTCTCTTCCCAGATACTTAAATTATGTTTCCCCTGCAGATGGAAGCGTCTCTCGACCAGTCTCTCTGTTTGAAGATCTTTGGGTCCTCCGAACGGAGTACTCCATCCTGATATGACCAATGGCACCGTGGACTCGTGCGACATCTGGTCCCGTTGACACTGTCCTGAATCAACGGCGCCGATGCCTAGGACCACAGGTTGATTATTGCAGATATTTCGGTCAAAGGGCCCCAGAGATACCCAAAGCTGTCGACTGCCAGCCTGCCATGAGATCGATTTCCCTAATAAGGGAACATTGGAGTTATGGTTGGTCAATGTCACTCTTAACTCTACATCGTCTGGCAGGAAGGAATCCCCCAGGTCTGTCGTGACGCATATCAGGGCGGAAACTGATAACGAGGAGCGACTGGACTTCTCCGTCTTGGGGGGCTTCAAGAAACGAACGTAGTATACCATCTTGGCAGCTCACCAGACGGGAGCCTCTGGTGGTTTATCAATTAAACATTATTAAATATTCAATATTACCGAGCTACGAAGGTTTCGCAGAGACTGCGGAGGTCCACGGTTTTCCCCCCAGGCTGTGGCGATGATTGGTAGAGGATCGTATCTCACGTGTGTGCTGATTCATGATGGTTTCTCGCTGGAGGCCTGAGGCGCCACTGGCCCGGTTCTGGTTTTTCTTCGATTCCAGAGAGTTGGGTTAATTATTAGTCGGAGAGCAGCTGGTAGAGAAGAAGAAACTTGCTAGGTTCGTAGACAGGCAGGGAAAGTCCCCATGGGTTTAGTTAGAATGTTAGATAGTCCGTAATTAAGGTCACCCTCCGCTGCGGTTCCTTTGCCCGCCAGAATAACATCATCTCCCCTGGTACGGACCATGTCTCGAGCCCTCCACCGCCCGACATCGACTTTGCACATCTCACCGCTGCAGCGAACTCCATCCATTCAGTAATACGCTCATTTCCAATGCGTCTTGCGTCTGAGAGATCTCACTCGTGCAGTGGATCGTTGCGCCTCTCTGCCCCTCAGACTACTGTTTCATCAATACCAACAACATCATTATCAGCATTGCGGCCGCGACCGCATTGCCATCCAGGATGATGCGCGCAAACGATCCTCGAATTCGCCAGACGATCAACCAGATCTCGCAGAACATCGAGTCGGCTAATGAAACGGCACAAGAAAGCGTCTACACCTTCACGCAGAATTATCTATCGCCCTGCTTCTCTGCGATCGGCAATTGTCTTCACACGTGCACGGCACCGTGCTTCCCGAGCCGGGAGGACCAGCTGCGTCGTCGACGAAGAGGTCGCGCGGAACTCAACTTTGATTTCTACGATGACTGGGATAACGACGATGCAGGAGATGCCCTGCTGGGTTGGGGGAATGACGAGTTGGATCGTCTCCTCGCGGGGAGTGGGAGCGGTCGCGGCAGCGCAGAGCAGCCGCGCCGACAACGAACAATGAGCTATGGAGCTCGTCGGACAAGACGGCGAAGCACGGTACTTCCGGACGAGAGATCAGACCCAACGGTTATTCCGAAATCTTCATTCTTAGGTTTCCTCGAACGCTTTCCATGGAAGATTGGTGCGAGAGGTATTAAATACAGACCATCCGCCGCGGACCTGCAAGAGAACCCGGGCGGATTAAGGCGCCACATACACGAAGATGAGCCGTTGATGGAGGCTGCTGAAGAGAACGAAGACGGACTTGATCGTGGTAAGCAGACCAGACAGCGAAGCGGAACACACTCTTCTCGGGAGACTACAAATTCACTCAGTTCGCGAGGCGATCTGATACCGAGCGACGAGGAGGAAGATGCCGTCCCGTTGGATGACGAATTTGCTTTAGCCCTAGGGCGCCGCGGAACTGGTCTCAGCTTGGAAGAGCCCTTCGGGAAGCCTAGTTTCTCTAGAAGGTCTACTGGTACACATACTTCAAAGGATTCCAGGAGAAAGAGCAAGAGCGACAGCAGAGGGAGATCTTCACTCAAGTCAGATTATGAAGTGGTCTATGACGGAGACGTCCCTGCTATGGTGGATTTGAAGAAGGAAGAGGAACAAGCCAGGTTGGAAGAGGAGGCGGAAATTGCGCGGAAGCGCCTTGCTGCTCATAAGCTGGCTATAAGCCGAGGGCTAGAGCACACTGAAGACGATGTATGCGCATGAAAACAAGAATCTTTATGTTTTCAGATTCAAGCTAACGCAGGAGTTGATTAGTCTACGCCTTCAATGCCGCCTTCTCGATCTTCGACTACGTCGAATATTGGACGTGCATCGCTGACTGTTGACGAAGCTACCACTCAAGGCGGCACAGCGGTTGCATCTATACATAATTCCCCTGGGGAGCAGACAGCAGCTAATGAGCTACACACGGAGCCATTCCCTCCTCTATCACCATCATCGCCAGGCGCTGCATATATGCAAGAGATGGCGCCGTCCGCAACAGAAGTAGACGAGCCAAAACCGGTGGAGCAGAAACCGCGGTCAAACTCTGATATGGATGAGAGTTGAGTTATTCACATCTTCGAATATCATACGGCCAATAATGAGGAAGACTGATGTGTCTCTTCCACAAACCTTTCCCGTCGAAGAGCTTTTCATCTCCCACTGTTCCCGCTCTCTTTCCAGGGGCTTGATGACAACGCAAGTGGCTGCGCCATACTGCCGAACAACTAGAGTTATGTCACTACGTTATAAGGGGTTTGAGGTATAAGTACAGAATCACCGGGCCGGGCCTTCGTGTCTCAATCTGTTCTCAGGGCATCCCCCGCGGGCCGGGGAAATTATTGTCTTTTTCTCTTTCCCGGGGGCATTTTCCCGGACGGGGATGGCTATCACGTTGTCCCTTCGTGGACATTCTCCTACAATGAGGCGATTCGATTATCGTCTGATCTCGTCTGATCCGAAATCGTAGAGCAGCGGGTTCTACTTATCTCTTGCTGATGTTCATTTGTACGATACGAGCGATGACGACGTATAATATGTTATAACATGACCTATGATGAACAGTCTGGGCTGAGGTAAGGATACCACATTATACTTCATATTTCTAATACGGCATAATATATTGATCTTGCTATCCGGACTTCACTGGTAGCCCGAATTGTACCTCAAACTGCAGTCACGGTCCAAGTCAAAATTCCAGGTGACTCTGAAAGTGCAAGGTACAGTGTACTGCAAGGTATAACTATATGTAGTGTGCATCTAAGACCGCCTGGAAAAGAAGAATAAAAACCAAACTTCCAGTCTCAAAAACCACCTGGATCACTCCGTGTATCAAATCTCGAATTAAGCAGAATGCCGATTTAGCCGACGGCAAACGCGTGGATCCCATCTAGAACACCCCGCCAACATGCTATTATTATCACGCGCATGACACCATCGTATATATATACATGTAGGCCCTTGATCTAACACATCCTGCCGCTGCGATTTGACTATTATTAAAGTTTGATTACCGGACGCTTACTTTCAAACGTCACTGACAGCGAATCTTTCCATATTTAAGCCCCTCTTACACCTGGCAGAAAGCAAGCGTCATTACTATCGCCTTCTTACCCCAACCACACTCCAACAGAACTTACTCGTGAGCCCCCGAAACATGGCTGGACCAGAACAACAAGAGATCGAGAAGGCGCTCAGCACGGGTAATTTCAAGGAAATATCCTGGTATGAGCCGGAACTGGAGACTGTCACCGAGCCAGCACGGACACTACTGGAGAAGTATAGCGGGATACCCGCGGATAAGATCACGGAGCATGTTAAGAAAGTCGTGAGTTGCAGACATGGCGAATAATATGTCCGCCAAAGACTGACGATAATCTCTCATTTTCTTATTGAGGAGTAGAGAGATCGCGCGTTTGCGATTGTGAGTTCCTTGCCTTTTTTTGCATGCTTTATCTTATCTTTTTGGGTGGCGGGGAGCGTATCTAGAAGCGGGGAGGGCCTTGAATATATGTACATACTAACAACCAGCCAGTTCCCTTATCCATGCATTGGCATGTTCAGATTTCTTGATCTAAGCATTCCCAGCTCACCGTACTATAATGAGGTGATTGAGAGGCTGAGGGCAGGAGAGATATTCTTGGATCTAGGCTGCTGCTTTGGACAGGAGCTTCGTCAGTTGGTATGTATCCATCCCACCAGAGACTCGGCCGTATAATGAATCGAGAGCATCTCCTGAATTATAAAACATATGAAATTATAAAACATATGAGATCAACATCCCGGCTAACAAACCACCACAGGCCTTCGATGGTGCTCCTTCTGAAAACCTCTACGGCTCTGACCTCCGCCTGGACTTCATGGAACTCGGGTACGACCTCTTCCTCGACAAAGACAAGCTAAAGTCACGCTTCATCGCCTCCGACATCTTTGACCCGGCCTCCGCCCTGCTCAAAGAACTCTCTGGAAAGGTCGACATCATCCACACGGGTTCATTCTTCCATCTCTTCGACTGGGACCAGCAGGTGGCAATTGCAAAGCAGGCCGTGAGCATTCTGCGACACAGGCCGGGTTCTCTGATCGTTGGAAGACAAGTCGGACATGTAGAAGCGAAGGAAGATCCGCGTCGTTCGGGAGCCGGGTTGAGATATAAACATAACCCGGAGAGCTGGCAGAAGTTATGGGACCAGGTGGGGAGCGAGACGGGTTCGAAGTGGAAAGTGGAGGCGTATGCGGAACCTTTCAATCACGGGATGAGGCTTGTTCATGATGAAGGAACGATTAGATTACGATTTGCAGTGAGACGCTTGTAGATGGTTAGACACGTTGGGATAGATATCAGGTATTGAGAGGGGATGCGGACCTAACGTTGGATAGAAACGGTATACATATATCTATGTGCATAGCAATGAGGAAAGAATTTCACTTCTCCAATATTCTTGCCTTGAAGATATGATCATATCAAATTATACCATTCAATTCTAGAATGCATAGTACGGGATGCGTTCTGAGCCTTGGAACGTCCCATTCAAAATGTATTTACTACTCCACAGTGTGTGCAGCGGAAAGCCTCGTTGAGTACAACGTACTTTCCCACTAAACCCCTCGTTCTCTGAAAGGATATAACTTGAGAAAATAAGCGAGTATACTGTAGTCGGCCCTCATTCTGTATAAGATCTACGAAGACAAGTTAGGTATTTGCTTATCTCCGAGGCATCTCCGAGCAGAGTTGAATAGTTAGCGGTCCGGAATATCTTGAGCCCGAGCATAATCCGGACCGAGCCATACAATCTACCAGATTCCCAATGTCTACAATAATACACGCGGAGCAGAAATGCCCTAAACAGCGTCCCAATGAGACGCCGGACGCGCAAAGCTCTGGTGCAGGTACTCTTCTTCATCAGTATTCTTCTCCTCATTATATACCTTACCCAACCCCAATCCCACGAGACCTACGCATGGAACCGTATCCGATATAAGACGACTTCCGCCAGGCTACCGGAGTCGCGCGGCGTCTGTCCAGGCCTGGCAACAGCGACAGATGGCAACAAACCAGCACTGGTGGTGTCACGCGTTAGTTCCGATGGGGATCCTAGCTGGCTTGATCGATTAGCCAACAAGTATCATTTATGCGTCTATGCGGCTGATGCGCCATTGGATCCAAAGTCGAAGGATCTCCAGGTCCCTGCGAATCGCGGCCATGAGGCAATGGCATATCTGACGTTCATTATCGACAATTACGCGTCGATTCCTGCTGCAGGCGCGGTGTTTGTCCATGGATCTCGCTGGGCATGGCATAATGATGCCCCGGATTATGATAATGCAGCCTTGCTAGCCGCACTCGATGTCCCTGCAGCGCTCGCGCCGTGGGGTTATCATAACCTCCGCTGTGACTGGAGTGCGAGCACATGTCCCCCTTCGGTATCGCCTCAGGGAAGTCTCGAGAACTCTCTCCAGGCAGTTGTGGAGCCGTGGAGTGCCCGCACAGCGTCTGACGTGGCGCTGCCGCGCGCTCTGGCAGCGCTATTCGGCGGAGATGCGAAGTACACAATGACTAGAGAGGGCATGAGACTGCGCCTTGGTCGTGGGGACGCAGTTCGCTCGCAATGCTGTGCGCAGTTCGTCGTTGCACGGAATAACATCTGGCAGCATTCGCGCGATGAGTACATTGCCTTGCGGCAGTGGTTGCTTGATGGGAGCGATGAGAAAAATGAGAACCCCAATGCTGCACCTCGCGATGACCGCATCGCGGGAAGAATCCTGTCGTATGTGTGGCATATTCTATTCTTGAAACATGAGGAATCACCAGATTCGTCATCTTTGGACACCGTTGGGGGTATTGATCTCGAGCGGCTTAATAGACGAGCTTGTCCAAGTGCCAGTGAGTGCTATTGCCGGCTGTATGGACGCTGTAATCTCGAGCGTTGCACTGCAAGTAGTTGCCGCGGACAGTACAATTTGCCGCCGAACTATAAGCTACCCGATGACTGGGCAGCGACGCATTCGTGAAGAATGCTCAAAAGAGTATATGTTATGCCACTTGGTTCTCCTTTTGGATCGGTTCTTGGAAAGCTATGCACGAATATATCCGACTATAACAATTTTTTTTTGGTACGACTTGATATAACGCCGCTCTATAAGCACGCGGTTCACACCTCTTTCGGCCCGTTGTAGGCCTTTATACAATATCACAGGAATTTCACGCAGGAACTAGGTTCTGATTTAATGTGTATAACATCAATGTCAAGTTTCTCCTTCCATTTTCTATTCCATCACATGTTGACCAACATGATTTTGTTGATGAGCCAGGCCTTCATATTAAGCCACTGTTACTGAAAGATTTCCTGAAAATGGGACAGCAGAAGGCCGTATTTTATTCGTAATTAGTCGGCCATGCGTTTAATGCGTAGTAGCCTGCCGGCTATTACAGTGTTTAGTCTTTCAGGCGAGCTAGACTTACTATGTGGTTTACAGGACGCAACTGTTCATTGTGGCCTATCTACTTACTCCCGATCCGAAAAGACCAGCCTAGACTTAGAAATGCGTCGAGTCTAATAATTTATGACTTTTATGATCATGGCTCGTGGCCATTATTGAGGAGACGGTTGGCCACGTTAGGTATGTATCCCTCCCAATAATATCAAAAATAAAATAAAATAAAAATAAATAAGTAAATGTAGTGAGTTGATTGTATAATCCTTCTAACGACTGGTATTTGATTGATAGATAGTTAATACGACAATGCTTGATCTATGACTCCCCAAAGGCAAATGCAGCACAACTCTACGCGACACTCCCCAGAGAGGAGAGGGAGACTTTGGAATTCTCATGAATACGAAATAAAGAGGGTAATATTAGGCACCCCAGTACTTCAAGGCTTAAGATATGTAAAGAAGGAGGTTTTTAAGATGGAGTGGTCCAATAGAACCTTTCCTTTTACAATGTGAGATGGGTAGACCGTTGGGTGAGCCTCATTATGGTATACCACTGCTAGTGAAGTAGTTTCATACTGGTAGTCGGGGAACAGATCTATCCCTGCAATACGATGCTTACAGTCCCCTTCCCCCCCCCCCCACCTCCCGGTGGTATTTGAATCTTTTAGTAGTTGCAGAGTAGCTTCGCACGAGTCCTACGGAAATATCACAGATATATCTCGGAGGCCTGAGGAGCTGGAGACTGAAACAATGGTTAATTCTTCTATCGTAGGAGGAGGATTCCAGAACCTGAAAATGTACACTAACCTATTGACATACAAAACCTTTTCCTCCCGTGCTGCCGTCCCATTACTATGTAGCTAACGAGCCCTTCCGCATCATTTGCTCCCAGCCGCCAGCTTCGAGTTGTATTGCCCCTTAACTTGTGCCGAGCAAGTTCTTCACTCGGTAATACCAGGCTCAAACGTGCGAGTTGGACCGCTTTCAGCTGGTTGCGGCCCTCCAGACCTCGTTGGCACTTCTCCTGTTCAATTATCCGTGGGTGTTGTAATGAACATATTTCTCAGGGCCTTTCGAGTGGGCTCTATATCTGCCGACTCTTCCTAAAAAGGATCAAGTCGTACTTGCTTGTAGGTATCACCAACCCTCTCACTTGCTATCCACCGTAGGAAGAGGGACATTGACTTTTCAAATTCCTCCTGTGTCCTGAAGCTACAGAGCTTAGATTTCTGAATAACAAGCCCATCGTTCGTGGCATAAGCCTGCAGGATCCTTCCTTGAAAATTCATAAATGAGATTAGCAGGACCTATATAATTACATGATATATTTCATTAGCAATTAGTATAAGAGAATATAGTATATTGACGATGTAGCTTCAAAAGGTATATGTTCGGTTTTGCTTACCGGAGTGATAGAGTGGCTCTCAAGTTTATCATGCTCTAACTGTGTGACCATTGCCGCAAGAATTGTCGAGACTTCTGCATGTGATATATCCTCTTTGCCTTGATAGAAACAGCTAAGAATAATTGAAACATGTGGTTCATCTTCACGTCTGTACGCGGAATAGCAACTGGCTTCGATAAAGAAGCGTTGGGTAGCGGAGATGTTGTCTTTGAGCATGTCTTGGTAATAAGGATTTATTATATCAGGAATGATGCCTAGGCTAAAAAAGATTGGACTTGGAAAGATAGTAAAAGCAGTAGATAGCAATCACTTACTTTTTCCTCCACTTGTTCATTCTCAAGAGCGTCGTACTTGTTGCATTTTCTCCCGTGCCAACTCGACGGCGGGCATTAGCCAGTTGGAGCAGTTTGGACCCTAACTCCCCATAAAGTGTGCTGTAATTCTCTTCTAGGAATGATACCATTCCTGACCAACCACGAACCAGTTCAGAGAGCCGTTTTGCTCCTTTGTCGTTCTCGTCGAGTGGACACGCGTTTAGTGCCTCAATTGAAAGAGGTCTGAAGAACTCTTCGCTAGGACGTAGAGTATATCCATCATCATTATCAACCAGTGCCATGTCCTCAACCCTAATCCTGAGGGATTTGGCTTGCTCATGGGTGATGTAGACGGTGCTTTCACCCAGATCATAGACAGATTGGAGCATTTGGAAGAGACTATCGCAGGTCTTTTCACGGTCATCTCGATGATTTTTAATTTCATGTCCGCGCAGGGTGCCAAAGAAGCCCTTGACTCGGGCAGACATGGCTCCTTCAGTAATGGGGGTTCGCGTGTGGTTGTGGAACGAGGGCGGAACAAAGTCACGGAGTGAAAAGGGTTTGCTGACTTGCTAAATAGAAAAAGTTGGATGGACACTCAGTCGGCAGGAATAGAGCCACACTGTAGATCTTTCGAGTAAAGTTGAGTTGCTATCAATAATCCAGGTATACCTCTTCTTGCAGGAAAGAAAATGAAATGGAGGACCCGGCAGCTGATGTTCTCCACGATGCACTGACGTATGGTACTTCAGAAGCAGAGTCCATCTCACTAAGATCGCAAGGAAATTGACGAAGTTCTATTTCTGCCTGGAACTGTGGCCCAGTCAACGAAAATGCAAAACACTTGACGCCTTTGCCTTACCAGGCAACAGTCGCGTTTTTCTTTGTTCCACGGGTGCATGGATAGGACAAAGGCCCCCCAGCTTCGGCATAGTGTTGTATCGTTTACACCAATGGAAAGGATTACTGCTTTGTTTTTTTGGTTTATTTGCATCCATGAACCTGGCCATAATCAAGATGGTTACTATTTTTACCAGAAACCAAGAAAAGGCCCAACTTGGAAACGGAGAGGGACCTACGTGTCCGTACATTAAGTTGAGAGAAACATGCCATCCATGACCTGGAAGAAATCGAAGATCAAAAAGTACGACTTCTTTGCGGAGTTGCATTGAACACGCCTTTTAGAACCTCTAACTTGAGCATGCCGAGGTTCTTCTACAGCAGTTACTTACTTACAATATGGATGTAATTACTTAGCCGCTAGCTAAATCGTACCCCACAGTTCAGGACGTCTACATATGCGGAGTCATGGACCAAACTACGATGCTTCCAAGTGGAGAGAACACCGAGACCTCAATTAGTATCTAATTTATGTCTGTCTGAGTATCCATATCGCTCTTCAGCGTCTGTTGGTGGTCAGTTCTTCATAGCAAAGGTATCTCGCATCGTGATATTAAACCGGATAATATATTGGTGGAGAGCTATGATCCACTCAAGGTAATCCTTACTGATTTTGGGTGCGCTTCGGACGAGTCGGTCATCCTATATGATGATGATGATTAGTATTATTATTTCCCCGGGACCATCCCCTATCTGGCTCCTGGGCAACTGGAGAAGAAGACACACACTTGCTGTGTAGAGTGGCAATCGCTGGGGTAGGTGATGCCCTAAGTAGTAAGACTAACTATCGCTTGCGCAGGAGCGCGATACCCCAAACAAGTAAGACTAATCCAGGCCCACAGAATAAGTAGATTATCGTTGAGCGGTAGTTAGTGAAAGCGATCAATTAGTTAAAGGGTTTCCTAAAATGCTAGTAGTAGCCACCTCACGTTCGCGTTCCTGTCTAATATTATTTATGCCAATATAATTTCAAATCCGCTTGCGATATTGATATCCTTACTGCTTATTATTATAGCTTCTTCTTCGAAAGTCTGTATTAATGTGCGAAGCCCCATAACTGCGGTGCCTACCCGCAGGTCCACCTTTATTACTTGATGTTTAAACAGTGACTAGAGAGGATTATTAAGTAGGTATTGCCTCTTCAGCCCCCCCCCCCCCCCCCCCCCCCCCCCCCACAACGAAAAAACGAGCATTATTTATCTTCACATTGGGTAAAATATCGTCTAATATGTCGATATCTATATCTATATCTATATCACTATCACTATCACTATCTATTATTCTATATCGTTATCGCCCGTAATCTTTGACTTTTCGTAGAACGAAGAAGACGTCATCACCAACATTCCATGGAGTTCTAATGAAGATGTAAAAAAAAAGAAATGGCGCCCAGTAAGATATGCCGATAAGAGACTCAAAAATCGCAAATAGGGTATTATTATAAAAAGCGCAATCCAAATAGGCTTGGAATAATCTCAAGCTGACGTTTCAGCGGTGTCAACTTCAGTCCTTTCGCTGTCGCTGACATCGTTATCCGTTTGTTTATGGCGCGTTCTAGTTTCAGCGATGAGGGCGAACAGGGATGCAATGAAGACTCCCATTCCAGAAAGGCCGATACCGACGTACCACGCGCTGCGGTAGCCGCGCAGGACTTCATTTCCGCTCTTGTTAATTTGGGACTCAACGGTGCCTGCGATTCCAAGTCCGATGGAGATAGAGTAATTAACCACGGTGTTCATTAGGGATGCAGCGATCCCCTGGTGTTCTCGTGGCGTAGCGTTGCTCAAGATGATGGTGCCGGCTGGGTAGGAAAGATCCTGGAAACAAGTTGTCAGAGAGGATGCTGTGCAAATCCAATAGTGAGAGATAATACGTACCATTCCCCAAGGAGTGACAATCGTCGACACAAACGTCTGTGCCCAGTAGATTTGTCCAACGGGGACCGTTGCCATCAATATTGTGCCCACCAAGAAGGCAGTCATGGCGATCATCATGATATAATGAGCATCAATAGTGCCGAGGAGAATCGAGCTACTAAAAGCGGCGAGGAGTCCGGAAATCCCACATGGAACGAACTGAGCTGTCACGCTCAATGGATGGAAGCCTCGTAGAACTTCCGATAGCTGCCATGTGTAGTACACCCAGATACCAAAAGATGACCAGCCTGCTGCGATACATGCCAGGACGAATGCGGTGTCCATCTTGAGGGCTCTGATAGGCACAACAGGGTGCAACACGCGAGATTCGATGAAGAAGAATAGACAGAGGAAGGCGATTCCGACAATGAGAAGGATGTAGTTATAGGGAACCTGCCAACCGACTACCGGGCCTTGGTTCCAAGCAAAATTGACAAGAACCAGGCCGACAACGCCGGTGATTGAACCCCAAGGGTCCAATTGACCTTTCTCCTTTCGCCTGGTGACATCAGAATCCTGCAGCGGGACAATAAGATATGACAAGATAGCCAGTGCGAAGCACACCATCGCCATCACCCAATATCCCCATGGCCACCAGACGAACTCTGCAAAAATACTGGAAAAGACGGCACCGACGACGAAACCGTTGGGAGCGGTAGCACCGAATACGCTGAACGTGAGGTTTTTTTTGGGACCGGGAGGGAACATGTTGCTCAGAATGGCGATGGCATTAGGGAGTAGTATCGCAGGCCCTATTCCCTGAAAGGCTCGACAGATGTCGTACAGGATCTGGCCAGAATAGGCACTGAAGCCACAGATAAGGGACCATAGCGAAAACCAGAGCCACCCGATGACCACCAGTCGTTTATGACCGTAGACATCGCCAAACCGACCTGCAATCAAAATGAAGGTGCCGACGGTCAAACTGTAGGCCGCCGGTTGCCAGCTTAATTCACCCGGGCTGCGCGCACCAATATCGGGTCCGATGATATGCAACGGCGCAATTGACTGTCCAAGACCGGCCTGGGTGAATAGTTGCGACAGACATAAGATCGCGATCGTAGCGCCCTTCTGAAGAGTCGGGATCGATGATGGATCCTTGTGCGGTTTCTCGGGATCACCTCCTTTATTCCGCCAGCGCCAGACCATGATGGAGAGGAGCGTTGCCAAGCTCAGGCACGGCGAAGACGAGGTGAGATAGTGACGACGTCGACAAAGCCTAAGCTGAGATTTTGAAGTGATGATAACGTAGGGCAACCGTTTCGAGAGACGGAGCGTTTCATGGGAAACGCAAAGAAGATAAGCGAAGCACGCCTAGTGAGCTTCGACGAAGCATTTAAGCCAGAACTAGAACAAAGTATCATGGATTGATCGGACTAAACGTCAGTCGGAGCTTCTAAATTCTGCAAAGAGCCATGGGTTCCACTGCTGGCCCATCGGACGGCAAACTACGATATAGCTCTAAGCTAAATGACGATGGTGGATCGGTAACCCGGTTCCGGATGACCATATGGTACTCTACCATACGATCAGATAAGGAGAAAAGTTCATTTCCCGCTGCATGCATCTCACCGGATGACGACTGGCGGCATGGAATATAATAATTAATAACTAGCAGCTTCTTATGAGACCGACTGCCCAAGCATGATCCAAAGGGAGTCCGACTAATTGCGCACGTGGGATGTGGATGGTGATACTAATAAATTAGAATCAGTTCAACGAGCCGAAGGAAAATCGCCGTCGGGATGTCCAACCATACTCAATGCCGAGAAATCTCCTTCTATTCTTGGCTATTCTTTGCAAGACCAGCAAGGGCGTAGGAAAACTTTGATCGAGAAAAACAAATAAGCCACAGCCGCAACTAACTAGATGCAGGCTAATCGTTTAATTAATCAATTCATGGACACCGTGGGCAGCAAGACTTTCGGCGAGATCCCGATCCGTCTTGATTTGCCGGCCGTTATAATAATGAAATACTTAGTTACTGACCACACGGCGTAATATATCATTCAATGATTACCAGCAGCAGCTCCTTCATCGAGTCTCGAAAGTACGTATCTACCCTGGAGTATGTCGCGTCCGCATTTCTCGAAGACTCGAACTCACCAAGTCCGTGGGTCCCTTGAAGACACGCGTTTCAACGTATCTACCAACAGTTACGTATTCCAGGCTCGCCAAAGCTCAAGAAAATAACCGAATTGGTTTTTCTGATGATCCACTCAAGGAGCACAGACTACTCCGTGCACTTTGCAAATCATTTCAAGCAGCGATCATCAACTGGACAAACGCACATCTTCCTCAAAAAAGACAAGTCCAATGCATCGGTTGTTGACTGGTCCAATTTTGCTGCGAGTTGACCCGTCTCCCTTTCTCCCGTAGTAATACTTAATGGAGAAGGACCCTAACTAAAGATGGACCGAGCAAACCGCCCAGAGATAAGATAATCTGATCCGTTCTTTTCCGCATCAACCCAGACTCTGGCCTCAGACAACAACAGGACCCAGTTAGGAGATTGCATATCAAGCAGAGGGCTGCATATCTGACTCATGGGCTTCAGTGACCGTATCATACTTTCTGCAGCTAGCGCCTTGGTCTCAACAGAACGACCTATATGGAACCTGGTTGCGTTGATGTATTGCAGATACCGAGAGAACAAAATCCCTGCTACGTATCAATTAGCTCAGCCTGATTTCTGGAGTCTACCATCGACTCCCGGACAGATGGAAACCAGCCTATTGCCAGGCCCACATGGCCTGCTAACATGCGTAGATCAAGCGTGCTTCCTCGTCATATCGGGGTCCCGGCTAGAGGGTCCTAAAAGGGGAGTTAAATTATTAACAGAGACCTTCTAGACTTTCAACGAGAAAGCTATATATATCTCAGCTAACAGAAGAGTAAGATAAGGTTATTTCCCCGCCAGATCTAGATTGGCTTTCTAGACTGCGTGATAGACGCTCCTCGGGCCCTGTTGTCTCATGTGGCTGAAGATGGAGTATTGGGCTGTCGATCATCGCCAGCTCTGCACAAGCGGTTGCAGACAGGGTGCTTGTTTTAGACCAAATGATAAACTGGTTTTAACGCGCCTTGCGGTAGCGAGATAGGAATATTGACAGAGATACGGAGTATTTCATTAGGAACTGGGAGGTTCTCGAGGCTGGGACGACGTGCTTTCCCTACCTCCCAGGGCACGTGAATGAATTTAACACCGGTAGAATATGCAGCATTATTGCACTCTATGTACGAAAACCCGAATCTATATTAAAGATTACAATACCACGGGAATATCCTAGTCTGGAATCCCTCGATTATGAAAAGAAGTCTGATAATACTCTTCAAACTTCAGTAGACTGTTCTCACACCCCTAGTCCGTCCTGCGTAGGCTTCAAGGAGCCCCCTCGTCCAAGGGAGCATTCAGGACGGGTCTGAAATGTAGTGGAGATAGAAATTGGAACCAGGTGACAGTTTCCGACCATCTCTCTCCGTTTTCTTCACGACTAGACTTTGAATATAGCCTGACCCTCCAAACCCGGCACTATAGCCGCCATAAACACAATAAACCCGGGGGCTGGTTTGCGGTAGACTACATGCTCAGGCGAAGAGGCATGCTCAAGATCTAGCCATGGAGCAAATGAAAAGAGCAATTCGATCAGAATTGACCACCGAGGCGTACAATTTCTGTTGATCTTGCGCTTTACCTCAAGTCCGCGGACTTGGGAACTTGTGATCTCCCGACCATGGAAGTGGAGGCTGGGAGACGTAGTTTGCTCTGTTCGGAAGCAGCGCGTCTGACCTGTTTGGTAGCACATTCTGAATAGCGACAGACATGTGCATTGGACCCAAAAAACAGATATCATCGAGAAAACAAAGAAGCGTGTGTGACAAGAGGTGAGATATTGTACAATTATTTTGTATATACATCGTCAACCGGCCCGGACCATCGTTAGTAATAAAACAAGGACACACGCTGCGTAGTCGGACCACATGCAAAGAACCTGTGGGTATATCCACCAATATCCCAAGATCGCCAGTATAGAGCTCAGGGAACCAATTCGCTGGACTCATCAAACCACCTCTAGCCTCTAGAAATGAGTAATAATACATTCGGAGTTAAGATAGACTCATTACCCAATGTTCATGGGTACGTTATGCCGACAAAGCTGCTCCTTCTGGAGGCTGTTCGAAATCCCCCTCCGGCTGAGCGTTCATTGAAAGTTTTCGCACATCCCAGTTCTCTGCATTGGCCCAGTCCTTCTTCTCTCCAAGGACGCAGACAGATCGCCGAGGACCATCTACAAGAAACCTCTGGGCCGCCCGATTGACGTCTTCAGCAGTGACGTCGAGGACTTGCTCCCTCCATCGTTGGTCCATCTCATGGGTGACACCACTCATGAAATAGCGCATACCTTCTTCGTCAACACTCATCGGTGCATCGAGTCCTTGGAAAATTCCCAGTTTAGCCTCGTCAAGCTCCCGTTGGGTCCAAGTCCGATCCCGGGCGAAAATGCCGGTGTTCTTGAAGACATTCAGCGAATTCAGAGGATTTGGGTCTCGGTAACTGGAAAGCGTAAATATACCCTTGATTGGACCGTTGCTGGCACCAGCTCCATAGGCGCCTCCCTTCTCACGAATCTCAGGGTGAAGATAGTTGTGCGTAAGAAGCTGACCAAGGACGCTGAGTGACGCGCTCGTCGGATCCACAAAAGGAACGGTCTGCAGGGCCACGCCCGAGTAGTAGACCTTGTAAGGCATGTCATAAAGAACCATAGGCGAATGAGAAGGAGATTCAGGTCCGCTTAGAGGAGCAGAAGGATTAAGCGTGCTTGGCAGGCCAGAGAGCCACTTTTGCAGAGTGGACTCGTTCTCTGCAGCGCTACCTGGCTCACAAACCATACGCACACGGAATCTCGGCGATCTTGAGATCGCGAACGACTGTATCTGACGCAATTTTCCAATTAGCTCATTGAGATGATCAGATGATGTCTCCGCATCTCGAAGCAAGTTGGCGGTAGCCTGCAATTGAGCGAGGCCAGAGTACTGCTCCTGAACCCAGAACGCCCGGGAGAGTGCCGCAGCAGCAGCATTGACAGCATATCGGTGGCCGGTTCCTGCAACTGCGTCAAGCGCCCCATTTGTCGTTGATCGCAGAAGCTCTTGGATCATCCTGGGAGCTTCCGGGCTACCAAAGTCCGTTTCGGTGATGAGAGTAGATAGGATGTCCAACATCGTGGGAACATTCTTATCCAATGCAAACCCGGAGAATTGCAGACCCTCACTGAATTTCCCTACTTCGGTAGGAGATGACACTAGGAAGGATGAGGTGCTGACACCGCCAGTTTTGAGCTTGATCAGATCTTCCCACTGTTCCATAGTCCTGTTAGGAGTGCCCAAACGCATGATGCAGTCATTGAACAGCGGCAGCAATAGACGGAGATCATCAGGAAGGCCCTCAAATGCATTGAGAGCTTGGAAGTAAGTCAGTCCATTGGTGGGAGCTTCGCGCCAAACCACATCCACCTCATCGACCTTCGACTCCCTGACAGGTTTGCGTTCTTTCTCCCGGGAGATATCCTTGACGGTGAGAGACGGAAGGCAACTGAGATCCGCGTGCTGAGCATTTTCTTGGACCTTGAGAAGTTCCAGTTCCTCCTCCTCCAGCTTGGCGATAGTCTTTTCGACAGAGCCTAACTTCTCCGTCAACTCAGACAGCTTCGCACTCCTCCGAGTCGATTCGTTCTCATCGAGTTCCTGGTTGAAGGTTGGCGAGCCAACCATAGTAAATGTGAGGGATTTGTCGGTAATTAGATACTTCTGTACCAAGGACTCAAGGTAGCCGCCCTCCGCGTATCTCCTCTTGAACTCCTCAATAACGTCATTCCAGGCGAGTTCCTTCATCGGGTCAGTGCCATTGAACCATGAAGAAATAGTCTTCTCCATAATACCAAGCCCGAAGTTGGCAGTCTTGTGCCTCAAAGCAAGCTCTAGCTGGTGCAGGAATCCTTGAACCTTTTCATCGCTAAACCCAGTGGCCAGGCATTCCTGGAACACGTTCTGTATGGTCTCTTTTACCAGAGGAACGTTTTTCTCCTCTACCCCGCTAACGCCAACGGAGAAGATCGGAATCTTTCCGGAGGCATCGAGACCGGTGTTAGGCGTGAATTGGGAGCCCAGTTCGCTCTCAATCAGCGCTCTATACAGCGGCGAGCCATATCCATCGAGGAGCAATGACGACAAAATCCCGAGAGAAAACGTCTGAACAACATCTGTCGAATCTCCCATGAGCCACGAAGTGGAAGTCTTGTGTTGCTTGTCTTCACTGGTGAAGGAGTCAATAGGTCCTGGAACTGTCACGTTCAGAGGGCCGCGGCTAAGATCAATAGGCAATTTGATCTCTTTATCTGGCTGGCCTCTGTCAAAGCCATCAAGCACGCTACCTATCTGCTTCAGATGATCACTCAGAGACATATCTCCATAAGTGACAATCTTCGCGTTTGACGGGTGGTAGTTTCGTTTTGAAAAATCAACCAACTGCTTGTGTGTAAGATCAGTGATGAACTGAGGATCGCCTCCGGAGTTGTTTATCGCAGGGAAGATGCTCTCCTTGAATCTGATGTAGTATAGGTAGTTGGCGTCCGACATCTGGCCCTTCATTTCATTGTAAACCACACCCTTGAAGACGATGTCTTCCAGTCGCTTGCTCTCTGATGTCTTATCATCCTGCTTTTCGAAAGCTCTCGGGTCCTCCGGTCCAAGACGCCATCCTTCCTGTCTGAAATCCTCCTCCTTCAGCAGAGGATGTAAGGTCGCATCAAGGTAGACAGACAAGAGATTCTGGAAATCTTGTTTATTCGTGGTGGCAAATGGATAAGTAGTATGGTCTGAAGAAGTGAATGCATTCATAAAATTCGAAAGTGATCGAGGGAGCATCTTAAAGAAAGGATCGCGAACAGGATACCTTTTTCTAGTTAGCTATTATATGCAGATGGTGCAAATCCGGAGGCACTTACTTCTCGCTGCCACATAACGTGGTATGTTCCAGAATATGAGGTACCCCGGTCGCATCTGGGGGGTTTGTCTTGAATCCGATCCCAAAAACATTGTTCTTGTCGTCCCTTGCCACGTGCAGATAATCGGCGTCGGTTCTGTCATGTTTCAAGAGGACGGCTGTAAGATGCAGCTCGGACACATGCTTCTTGTCCTTGACGGTAAAACCATGGAGCTTCTCACCCACGGCAGGAAAACTGTTGATATCCGTCACCGTAGAAGCATCTCTCCTTATCAAGGAGGGCCATGGAGCTCTAGGAGCAGGCCTTCGTAGCAGACCGCGGGCAGATGGCCGTAACACAGGCAGGGCATTTCTGCCCGTTGCCAAAGACGACCGCCACATGATGGAGTTTGGATATCACAGCAGTAAGGGAGAACGCAGTTGCTATCCTCAGGAAGACGGCACTAGACTGCTCTCACCGCAGTGGCATGCCACGTCTTCTGTAGTCAGACGGTGCTGGTTCGGCGCTTCCGGGTATCACAATCGGCGCGCAGAGCTGTCTGCCGTGCTGGAATCCGCTCAAACACAAAGCACCGGCAACCGCAGTGACCGAGTCTCCCTCAGTCAGTCGTCTGCAGCAGTGATGTTTCCTTTAGCGTGTCGGGGCTAGAAGCTGTCACTAGAAGAAGGTCATTAATCAGATCCTCAGATCCTCAGTAGTTTTGGCCGCGGGCGCCAAGAGCCGCCGTGAAGATTTCGGGCTAGGCTGCTTAGCGTTGGTCAAGTGCGCATCCCCTCTTACCACCGGACTCGATCCTCCCCGGCAAGATCCTCGAAACACCTGCGCTTCTTCGTCGAATCTCCCAGAAGCCACAGATTGCGCTCACTGGGATCTGCCGTTGTCCACCGTGGCTTGCACCGCCTGGCTGGACCTCTCGAATCCTACATGCACGCTTTTCGTCGTCGATAACGTTTGGCCAAGGGAGCTTGAAAAATTCACCAAGGTACTTTGTTGGTCGTGAGCCCGACGCTCACCAAGCAACTCTTCTCGCCGGGCAGGTCCCAAGCGGCCCTGTCCGTGGGATATACGGAGGTTTAGGGTTGTCAAGGCTCGCCGCAGGGTTATTTGCGGCATAGTGATGGCAGTCGTTGCTCCACGCGCACCGTCGATTTCGAACCATTCTCGTCTTCCATCTGTCGCCAACACCCACGCGACACTAGTGAACGGACAGGCACAGCATCCCGTTCCCTCGACGGCCGCAGGCAGTCCCAAGCCGGTCATGTCATCAACAGCAATGGCAAAAAAATCGAAGGGAAAGAAGGTCGCAGACCCCAACGAGACCTCGAAGCTGTTGGCAGCCAAGATCTCGCAGTTGGAACAAGATGCGGCCGGGGAAAAGGACCAGGAGGCTGAGATCGGTACGTAGATGCAATTAGGAGGCGTCTTCCTCGGGCAGATCCTAGTACTAAACCACTAGAGGCATATTGGCCACGTGGATGTGGGCTTGCTAACGGTGATTCCATGAACTGCAGAACGGGAAGTAAAGAAGGCGACCAGAGATCTTAACCAGCTGCTCAACAATATCGAGTCGCCAATGACACGCCTCGAAACCGTCCACAAGAAGTATACGGAGCTATTGGCGGATATGAAGAAGCTAGACCGTGATTATGCAAAGAGCAAGAAAAGAGCCGATCAACTACAGAAAGACCAAGATAAGGGAAAATCGGAGTTAAATAAGACGGCTACTATGAAGGACAAGTTGGAGAAGCTGTGTCGCGAACTTACAAAAGAGAACAAGAAAGTCAAAGTGGGTTCATGGCTTCTAGTGGCAGACAGAAGGCCATGCTGACTGGGATGATGCAGGATGAAAATAAAAAACTCGAAGAAACTGAGAAAAAGGCACGGACTATTGTCAATGAGCGGCTGGATTCGTTGTTGTACGACATCCAGGATGTCATGGCTTCCAAAGGCAATCCTCGCAACGAGAAGGTGGATATCGATTTGGACGAAGCGTGAGTCGCCGTATGCTTCCGCGATCCGTTAAGTTCGGTTCTAACTTCAACACCTCAGACTGCGTGCCAAGATTAAAACTATCGGCGAAAAATTCGAGATGCGCGAGCTCCATTATAAAGCACTTCTGCGTAGCAAGGATGCGGAAATTCAAAGCTTGACTGCGAAGTACGAAGAACAACGTCGGACGGCGGAAAATGAAGCTGCTCGATGCCGCGCTTTAAGTTCGCAAGTATCGACTTTCTCGCATACCGAAGCTGAACTTCGCAGTCAGCTGAATATTTACGTGGAGAAGTTCAAGCAGGTATGGCCATACTTCTGCTACGACACTGACACTTCGTTCTTTCGCGGGGCTATCATCGATCTATTGCTAACAACTGATACAGGTTGAGGACACCTTAAACAATAGCAACGAACTGTTCCTGACGTTTCGCAAAGAGATGGAGGAAATGTCGAAGAAAACAAAACGCCTAGAGAAGGAGAATCTGACTCTGACCCGCAAGCACGACCAGACGAATCGAAATATTCTTGAGATGGCCGAGGAGCGGACTAGAAATCATGAGGAACTGGAAAAATGGAGAAAAAAGAGCAACCACCTCGAGGCGCTTTGCCGTCGCATGCAGGAGCAAGGTCGAGGTCAGGCTTTGACTGGCGAGCTGGATGGCGACGACGAAGGCACTGAAAGCGAGTACGACGAAGATTACGAAGATGAGGAAGATGACGAGGTAATCAGCGATGAAGAAGAGTACGAGCTCGACAATGGAGACCGTGAGGTTATGGAACATCAGCATGAGAAGCCCGTCTTTGGACCGCCACCTCCTCCTAACCTCGCGGAGGCGCGTGCAAACGGTACCAAGCCCGTGGTTAATGGAATTAGCCATTGACTATTTGGAGGCAACGAGTAAAACGAGGTGCTGGGCATTGACAGAGATGTCGATGCCATCATGCTATGTCTTTCTGCAACAAGCCATGTCCACCTAACCTGTCAACACGAGAATTGTACTATAACCGTGTTTTTCAGTACTAGGTACTCTGTCTTTGATGAAAGTATGATTGAACCAAGAAATTGGAACACTCGTCTCTGCAGTCTTTCGGACAGAGTACCTGGTGGATACCTGTTCTCAGAAGTCGCTACTCTGCGGCACGATCCTGTTGTCGAGTCGCTCTAGTTGAAACGTGTTATGTTATATTATGCGGGTTTGAATTGTCTACAGTGTGCCTTTGTAACTATTGTTCCTGCCATACCGTAGTAAGCTATTCTTCAAGGGTAGCATGCGTCGTTGGAAATGGTCATCCTGCAATTCTTCACCCAACAAAAGATTCATGCAATCCAATCCTCTAGTGTAGTCACTCCCTCCGCTTCGTTACAACTTGCTCGCTGCTCCCCCCTCATTAATATAAGATACTCCATGTTTAAGCGCGGCCACCGCCTCCTGGACCATATCCTGAACAATCGCAGCAGCTGGTTTGATATCGTTCACGACGGCGGCCACATCTCCCATCAGGTAAGGGAAATCCACATCCTTCCCTTCCTCTATATCATGCTCCATTGGAATAATGCCTCGCTTTGTCAACCGCTGAATCTCCTCCGGCCTCTTCTCCCATTCCTGGATATACTCATTTGGCCTTATGCGCAAAGGCCGCCCCGTAACGACCAGCGTACGCAGCGTATCTCCAAATCTCGCAGTTACAACCGCCTCCTTGTGTAGCTTACTCGCACCGCTCTCCTCGGAGGCTACGAAACGAGTTCCCACCCAGACAGCAGACGCTCCCAGCATCAACGCCGCAGCTAAACTGCGTCCATCATTGACACCTCCCGCAGCGACAACCATAGGCGGCTGACCAGTTAAGGGACTCTCATATTTCCTCGCAACATCAACCACCGCTGGGACAAGGATCGAGAAGGGAACATCGCCCGTATGACCGCCTCCTTCGCCACCTTGCGCACAGACAATGTCAACGCCGGCCTTGAGCGCCTTCTCCGCATGTTTCGGTGCCCCTACCATATTCATGATGAGTATACCCGCCTCATGAAGACGCTTGATTGTATGCGCGGGCGGGACGCCAACTGCGGAAACAAATAGTTTTGCACCGTGTTTGATCGTTACCTCAATGAGTTCGTTGAGATGTCCATGGGTGTAATCATGGTTTGTGGCGCGTGCGCCATCTCCCACCTTTGGAAGAGCGAGGTCCACGCCGAATGGGAGAGATTTGTCGTGAAGAAGGGACTTCAGTTCTGTTAGGATCTCGTCTAGTTGAGCGGGCGTATAACCCAGACCTCCCACGGTGCCTAGGCCTCCTGCATTGGAGACTGCTGCGGCCAAGGGAGCGCCTGATGCGCGGGCCATGCCAGCTAGGAGAATGGGGTGTTTGATCCCTAGAAGCTTGGAGAGGGGAGTTTGCAGGGACATGATGGCGGTGATTGTTTTAAGAAGAGAGTCACAGAAACAGAGACTTAGAAGAGACCAGACACAAGCAGCATATAGATTATTATCGAGTTCGATAGGAACTCTAAAGAGAATAGACCCCTGCGATTGAGTTTAGAATTATGTATGTGCTTGGAGGTTGGGTCGAGGATGAAGTCAAGCCACTTATTTTCTCACGGGAACTGATAAGTTCAGAAAACGAGATGAGCGTATCCTACTTATATGCTAGACTAAAGACACTAGTAGTCTCCTGATTAGATACTTAGTATGGACCCCATCCAAAATCTGGAGTAAGATCTAATAGTGAAGGCGGGGAAAGCTGGAGGTTTGGCCTACATCGAACCGGACCGAGGTATACATATGATCGTCCACTAGGTACAGTAATTAACTAGCGAGTAGTTACAAAAGGGTTTATGTCAGATCCACCGCAACCAACAGGGGGCATTTTTGGTCGAGCAGTCTAGAGTCCGATATTCTGTGCAAATGCGCCTTGTGGTCTTGTTATTATTGTTACTAAAAGAGACAATGGTTTTGTTCTTGAGTTTCATGTAGAGGTAAAGCTGCAGGAAGCAAGCCGCAGCTTGCTTTGCAATGAGTAGCGGGTTGCTATATGTCCAGTTTTGGTGTCTTGACGAAGTATACATGTGTCCTTCTTAGAATAGTTTGAGCAGATATATTAATGCAGGTCCATGTTGAAGAAATTGGCCGGGTTGGGTTGATTCAATTTGTCGCACGTACTCTTAATTTCGGTTCCATAACGAAGCGGACCGGACCAAATAGGTGCGTCTGCTTATATTCTGAAAATATCATTATTTATGTACATAAAGGATTGCAGTATCCCATCAGAACCTTCTCTGGTTAAGCTTATGAGGAGCTTCTCTACCGATCTGAGGCTGTTGTCCCTGTGTATCAACCATTTACGCCTGGAATATAGCCACGAGCGCCGGCGCGAGGATACCAGCCATCCCAAACACAGCGTCTTTATTCGCCAGGTTAGACTCAGTAGAATGCGAGGCACTGGTTGCTGAAGCTGCAAGTTGCCTAATAATTGAAGAAGAGAGCGTCTCGTTAGTTTTGAGGGTGACTGGCGAGCGACAGTAGCAGTCGAATCACATCGCAAACAAAGTTATGAACAGGTGCGCCGTTATAGGAGCTTACCGCGGGACAGTTCCAGTTTCCGTTACAAATTGTCGTCTCAATTCATGAGTGATCTCAGCAGCACTGGTCGAGCTAGCTTTAGTTTCTGTTGGTACCGGTGGTTTGGCGACCCGGCCTGGAGGATAGTAATAGCCTACAGCTCCTGCAGGAGCCCAGCCAAGAGACCCAGGCAGACTGCGTCGAAATATGGATGCCGCGTTTTGAGGAAGAGACTCGAAACGAAAGGCAAGAGTGAGGGCGGATGACAAGAGGAGAAACAGGTAAACATCGCCCATCAAGCGGCGAAGGGGGTAGAAGATCTGCATCTTCGCCTGTACTTTTCTGTAAGGATGCACACTATTAACCGTGTCCCTAGTCCTGTAAATGTGAAAGGAGTTGAAGGAGTTGAAGAAGGGGTAGCAGATGGAGGGAGGAAAGGGCGAAAGTAAATATGACTGAAGGGAGCGCAACGCAGTGTGATCGTCCGCCGTGAGAGAAACGCGAAAACACCAGGAGAATGATCTGATCAGTCATCCAGACCTTGATTTTGCGCTTTCTTCCATTCCATAATCTATTGTTGTCTCTCGTGGGTACATGCTTATCCGAGTGTGCCTTCTCACGCGTGTAAATAATGGGAAGAGTTGAACAAAGAACCAATAAAGTCTCCGTATGTTGATGTTATGGTCAGCAAAGTGGCTTTTGGTATGTGAATCCCAATGTTGGCATGGACCCACTGGCGATTATTATTAACTCGTTACCTTTGTTCCGGTCTGACATGCTATTGTGGTGGTTAGTGGCATTCCACAGTCGTGAGATGTCTCATAACGCTCTCTACGCCCTCGGCCCCATCTATATTTCATAGCAGTTTCTGCACATGTCACATCTTGCTTCATTAAATGATGCTATAATACTTCCAGAATACTGACAATTCAAGAGAGGATGCCATATTCAGGGTTGTTAGTCGGTATTTTTAAACATTAGACAGCTTCTTGTCGAAATGTCGAAGGGAGTAAGCACATTGGCGATTGCAACCACACAAGCATGTCGACTGAAACATGGAGTGATCTCCATTTTCTAATCAACTGTTGTGCTTCAATTGTTGCTAGATAGGGTTCCGTGCTGGCAGTCACAAGGATGCGTATTTTGTATTGAAGCAATTCCCTTGAATATTGGCTGAGAAGTATTGTCTCTCTTAACTTCTTCCATCCACGGCTCCATTGTGAGATAGTCCTGGTTAGTACTTTGACTCTTCAATTGCAGGCTATTGTGGCAGTAGGGAAAGTCGTCATCCAAGAGCCACTTCTCTGGTCTAACCCAGGGATTTCTTTGAGTATGCAGCCATGGCCACTGGATAGTTCAGACAGCATTATTTGATAGAATGAGACGTTGTAGAAGGGGGTTGTCGAGAGACAAAGGCTAACTAGGTAGACCCGTGGGAAGCTGAAGCGGTTAGGCTAGTTAAGTATCGGGAGTTCCCCGCTCATTAATCTCGACGCCAAAAAACGCGTGATGCGCGTCACATCACGTCTGCCGATAGCTTTGGTCGACAACTACACAGCTTTCGAGGACCATTCTGGCCGTTCGGAGCTCTACCAGGTCTTTTCATCACTCAGCAATCTGTGAAAGAAGGGCTCTTATGACAGGATGGCCAGTGAGAAAATAGGGCAGTTTCTATGCCCGCCAAAGTATGCTCTGCGCTCAATCCCGAATCGCATCGAGTGATCTCTGAAATGGTAGATATGCTAACACAATCTCATGACTTAGTGACCAAGAATACCCGCCTCTTCACCGTGACGTATCCTACTATAATCCTCTTCACACCTTCAGACTGCCCAGAGGCTCGGATCGACACTATCAACAACAATATGGTGACATGTACTTTTTGCGCCTTGCAAGGCTGAAGCCGGCCGTCGAGCAGGTCGCAACAGAGGCCTGGGAGGGCTTTACGGTAAGACCTTCTCATTAGTCTGATGTTTCGAATATACGGGAAAGTTGTGTTGGAGAATTGGCGCTGTACTCTCTTATGGCATTGGAAAAAGAACAGTGACGGAAATGCATACTAATTGATCTTCTACAATGGTTTAGATTGCTGGGGAGAATGCACGTCGAGTGGAACGGGTACTCGATGTACGGCAAGGAGAGCTATGCTGGGTTGCAGGAACAGTCTACATGGATTTGCCGCTGAAGCCTAACATTCTGGATGATATTGCAAAAGACGTATGTCCGCTCATTATGCCAACCAAATTTGCGCAGACCGGCGTCCGCAAGATCTGACGATTATTGAACAGAATTACACATCCGCGCCACCTCCTCGCCAGACATACATCGACCCTACAAACCCATCCTTGACTCAGGTTATGCTAGAAGATGAATCGGGACGTCTTCGCTTAGCTGGCCCGCTGCTTCGATCAACACATCTAGTCACAGGCGTTGTCATTGCCGCCCTAGGTACGGAGAATTCTAACGGCGATTTCGAAGTTATCGACATCAAAGTTCCTGATCTTCCCCGTCAGCCGAAGAGATGGGAAAGAGACGACAATGCTTCTCCGGATAGTAAGCGCAAGCGAGGTCAGGAAAGTGAACACTCCGGTTCAAATAGGGGAAAGAAGATTGCTTTCGTCAGTGGCCTGAGGATGACTGGAACGTCTAGTGATACTCTTTCTCTGGAACTTTTGACAGATTATCTTCTTGGATATGCTGGTCCTTCCGACGGGGAAACTGCTGGGTCACAGGCATCATCTTCTAGAATTAGCAGGCTGATAATAGCCGGAAATTCTCTCGGCGATGCAGTGGCTGCCGAAACTGCTGCTGCTGATGCTGGAAATGACAGTGTTGTCACAAAGAAAAAGAAGCAGGTTAAGAAGTATGGATATGACGCGTCGGCCTATAATGCGTCGCCTATTACGCAGCTTGACACCTTCCTTTCCGAGATACTTCCCAGCATCCCCGTCACGCTCATGCCTGGAGAGAATGACCCCGCCAATTATTCTCTTCCGCAGCAAGGAATTCACAGAGCAATGTTCCAGAGGGCAAAGGCATACTCATCAGATGCTCATCCCGGAGACGAAAATGCTGAACCAGGTTGGTTTGATAGTGTTACGAACCCATGGGAGGGAGATATCGAGGGATGGCGAGTCTGGGGCTCGAGCGGTCAGAACGTCGACGATGTCCTCCGCTATCTCGATTTCTCCGATGAAGATGAGCGTGGAGATGCGGCTGAAGATGACGCAAACGCAAGACTGAAGGTTATGGAGGCGATGCTAAGGTGGCGGTGCGCTGTGCCTACCGCGCCGGATACTATCTGTATGTTTTCTTTTCATGGCAATTTTGCTGGAGCGTGGCTAACTCGATATCCCCAGGGAGTTATCCTTTCCAGACAAACGACCCCTTTGTCCTTCAGTCATGCCCACACATCTTCTTTGCCGGTAACCAGCCAAGATTCAAGACTATGGTCGTCGAGGGCGATTCTTCGTTCCGCTTGAACGGAGCAGACGCAGAAATGACCGATACCATGGAAGATGATGTCGGTCCGAAGATCCGTGTTATGACGATTCCCAAGTTCAGCGAGACGGGCGAACTAATAGTGTTGGATACGGAGACGTTAGAAGTGGAAGTAGTAAGGTTCGGGGCATTTGCTGGTCAAGCAGAAAGGGAATAAGAACCAACTTGGACTCAGGATGACTTATGGAATGATCTTGAAACCCTTTCTACGGAGCTACCCACTTCCTATCATGTGTACTTATACCAGGATTATGAATCTATATAATCTAACTGACTGAAATATACTATCTGACCGCTTATCTTACCGCCGCCATCCTATCGCTTCCATACGGCTCCATGGATGCATGTCAACCCCCATCACAGCCCAAAAGACTCGGTATCGTTCAGGATTAGCATTTCCCTCTGGTGAAGCTATAAGGGCTTGCTTGTGGCAGTCAATACGACCAAGATGTCAATCCTGACACTAATATTATCGCGACGGCAAATAAACTAGAGCATGATTCATTAGACTATTCAAAGCAAGCGCATGGACAGCAGTTACATCTGATATAATCACGCATCAGATCTCATAAGCCAGCTAACCAAGGATGATGCAGAGCCTGCTGCGCTGTAACTCTTCTGCCCGGAGCCAGACTTGTCAGACCCTTAATGAAATCCTTGAACTCCGCATCGTTAACTTCTGGCCATTCAGAAAATGGTTTGTATGGAATATTTTCGTCGAGCCTCTCTTCCCACAGCATCTGCAGTACTTCGCAGCTAGTCTCATCATCACCGATGTGTTCTAGGAGTCCATCGATACCTTCCTGATCTCCGAAATATGAAACTTGTCGCTGGAGGCGAATCAAAGTAGGAAGTACTCCCTGGGCCTGGTGCTTCTGGAAATCTTCGTCGGGGCCGAAGATGACGCGACCGAGCATAGCATAGATACACTAACAAAAATCATCAGCCAGAGAGAGTATGGAAGGAGGCAAGGGACATACTGTGATCCCAAATGAGAATATATCAGTCGGTTTGTTGAGTTTCTCCTTGAAGTGCGCCTCGGGGCTACGCCAGTTGTCATTGCCGGCTAGCATGCCTCGAATGCACCTCCCTGGAGGAAGATAGGCGGCATTCTCCAGGTCCGTAATCTGAACTTTTTCAACGATAGTATGCTTGTCATCGTATCGCAGGTCAGCCATTATATTATCTGGCTTAATATCTAAGGATAATCGGCCTCTGAACTTAGTACAGTACAATCCATACATAAATGGCTTTGGGGGAGGGAGGGGGAACTACCAAGATGGACGATGTCTCGATCATGCAGTTCAGCAATCCCTCGTAGACTATCTTTAATAATCTTTTTTCTGGATCTGGCTGGTATTTTCTTCTGGACAAGTTTTAGAAAATCATCCATCAGATACTGATACACGAGTATTCGTTGACCTGGGATATGGTCGCATGGTAATCTGATGTAGGGACTTTGCGGCAATCGATGGTTTATCTCCTTATTGAAGTTGGAGAAGATAGCTTCAGGTATATCTTTCAGAACGAATTGATCCCGCCCTGATCTGATCTGATAGTTAGATGGTTTTTGAGATACCTAAACGTTGGTGAAGCGTACGTTGCTGACCAGACACGGCCAAGATGTGGTCTTTGTTGAAGCAATTCCTTGAAAGTATAACGGCTCCCAGTAGCTCCGATAAAATCTCCGGGGAGGGATGTAATCTGGCTCATGGCTCTTCGCGACATCGCGGCTGTGTCAGGGTGTACTGTAACTGTCAAACAGAAGGTCGTCTGAAAGAGAATGTGCGATAAAGCACATACATTCAACTGTCTATGAGTATGAGTAGGCCAATTATTATCTTAGGAGCTACTGCTCTTTAAATAAACGGACCACGAAAGTCGAAACGATCTCTGTTGAAGCTGTTCCTTGTACCTGAGATGGACAAAGCGCTCTCTTCCAATAGAGTACATAGGCATGGACGCGATGTTCTGATTGGTAGATCTCGCCAAGACGAGGGACCGGTACTCGCAAGAAACCTTAGTAGTTTTTAGAGAACTGCCGGGAACTGTCAGACATTACCTTCTTCCTCAATAGATTCATATCAGCCCAAATAACAAGTCCGGCTTTCGAGGGGTCAAGAGGCGACTGAACTGTTCCTTTTGTGTGGGGTGGAAGAAAAGCCCAGGATGCTCATCAACGCCGACACCGGTAAGCTACAGAAGAAAACCCAGTTTTCTGCGGAGAACAGCTATATTGAAGCGAATGCTTTGTTGACAGCAATTTCTACTTCTTCGGTACTACTGGTACCATACTCGGAATGCCATGTGCCCAAGTATCATGAATGGATGAAGGACCCAGTATGTATTAGCCCCACGTTACATTGATTTCTCCCCTGCGAAATTCCCTTCCTTTGGTACGATGTACCTAAAACAATGAAATAAAAGCCGAATAGAGTCTTAACTAGCAATTTGTGGCTTTCCAGGAAATCCAAGAAGCCACTGCTTCCGAGCCACTGACTCTAGAGGAAGAATACTCCATGCAGCAAAGTTGGCGTAACGATGCAGATAAGCTTACTTTCATCGTATGCTCGCCTCTATCGGAATCAAGTAGAAATGAGCATGAGCAAGCGCGCGGGGCATCACATCTTACTGAGCAAGATGATGCTCCGGGAAAAATGGTTGGAGATATCAACTTATTCTTACGAGTTGATGATGGCGAGGAAGGGGAGTCGGAACCTCAGATCATTGGTGAAATCGAATTGATGATTGCTGAGAAGGAAAACCAGAGGAAAGGATTCGGTCGTGCCAGTCTATTAACTTTCATGAAATATATTGTTGACCATGAAGCGGAGATTCTGGAGGAGTTTCTCGCCAGTGAGCCGGACTCGCTGGCGAAGATCAAGAAGCCATGGAAGTTCGTCTGTCTCAGTGTGAAGATCGGGCAGACAAATGCTCGAAGTCTGGCTCTATTTGAGAGTCTTCTCTTCCAGAAAGTGACAGCGGAACCAAACTACTTTGGGGAGTTTGAACTGAGACGAACGGCATTGGATCAGGGTAGTATCGATGGCTCGCTTGCGAAATACGGAATCAGCGGGTTTACTGAAGTACGATATAGATCACAATAATAGAGCAGCTTATCGAATGCAACGTGCATGAGGCGTGAACTATTTGTTGTGAGAGGTAGACTTGCAGATTCATTCGTGATCAGCTCCCGGACTGTTGACACAGCGGCTAGGCGTGGTATGCGTTTGCTACTCGAATCTCGACTCAGTGGAGCTCTACAGGAAGTTCAACATTACCATGCCCACAGCATAGGCAATAGTTAATCCCTATCGAGATGGGAAATTGAGAGGCAGATGTTCCAGTAGTACTGAAGAAGTCGAACCCAGTATGAGTGTTTCAGCTGTTTTTCATTGATATATGGGAATCCCTGAACGCCCCGACAAAGCAATTCTAGGGCATTATTCATTTAGCAGAATAAGCTTGCAGGTCATCCGCTGTTGAAGGAGTGGAAAATTTCCCTGAAAACCCCACATCGTCCAACAGGGCACAAGGACATCCCCTTGCAAGGTCAAACTACACTTGCTCGGGTCCTCCTCGCGTCGGCCCACAAATAGAGATATGCGTCATAGTGCGTTCTTCCCATTTAATCGTATCGAGGTATCAAACACTTTTTCTTGACGCCATCCTTCAACCCCAACCCAGCCTAAACCGCTGCCATCAATCACCGCGAAATGCTTAGACAGACTTCTTGGTACCCTTGGAGACGTCGACAATCTTGAGGGCTATTGTATTTCAACTTATATTAGCGAATGACCATTCCGATACCCAAATATAATCCTGTCGTCCTTGTCCCAATTTCCAATTGTCTGGGTTTTGATCATCGTCCGCTGAAGGCTTCCGAACAAATCACAGTCGTAGAGGAATTGGGACAGACACTGGATTTCAAGATATTTTCGGGTGTAACGCACCAGGAGGCAGGCTCTGCTTGAGCTTGTCGGCCTTGTCGGAATCCTTCAGGGACAGGGTGTACAGGAAGCGCTGGCAGCGGACCTTGAACTTGACCTGACCGGTCTTGCGGTTACGCTTGATCCGGGCGGCTGAAAGTCAAAGAAATTGATAGTTAGTACATATATCCAAGTATATTTTCGATCCTCCTTTATTTGCTCTCTCATAGTTCACGGCCGGCCCATTCACCGCCCGTATACAAATCAAACAATCTCAGGGGACCAATGACGTACAAGAGGCATCCTTCCGTCTGCAGATCTCGATGAACTGCTTGATGTCGGAAACTTCAGAAGGCATGGTGGGCGGATTTTGCACGAAGACAAACGGGTTGACTTGCTTTCGTGAAGGAGGTCGTGGGAAGAAGTCTCTCTCGGTCTCTCTGAGGCTTTTCGGGATGTGTGGGATCGGATCCGGATTAGGGTTTAGCGAGCGCGGAAACCCTTAGCGCCTGCGCGCGGCTATCATGCGGGGAGCCCAATCTTCGAGGCGTCTAGGTAGCATCTAGAACATCAATTAAGGTAACTTACTGCTGCTGTTTGATAGGGTATACATTTGGCAAAGGCAGAAATGTTCCTTGCTTATGTAGAGAGGCTTGATTTCTGATATTATTCCGGGTGCTCTTTTAGCAAGATGATCTGATCTTCTCTAAGACAAGATTCGTTAAGCCTTAAACAGATCAATCGATCGATGCAATGGAGAACAAGCAGTATTTATTGGTATATCAAAATTGATTTACAGAGAGGAGAGTGGTATGTATGTAGCTAACTTTTCCCTTTACTTAACCTGATAACTGAATCCAGGCCTGGACGGTTCTCAGTAGAGCGCTTTGATTGGTTACGCGGCTAGAGTGATTCATACGGCGGCGCATGTGGCGGTGTCCGACTAGGCTACCGCGTACGATGCGTAGTTCGTCACAGATTACTAGATGCCACATTCCTTCTATCGAAGACCATTGTATATTATTATCCTCAAGTAATTCTATCATTAGATCCTGGGTGCCAGAACCCGCGTCGAGTAAAATGCCCACTCCGCTGGATAGAGCGTTACATTCCAAGGTTGGACTTGTGCATGACTTCATTCAGAAGCTGGAATTCCCTTGATGGAAAGACAAGCTGACATTGTTTAGAATCTTTTTATCGGTACATTGCGATATAATAATACATGATATATTAACTGAATTAACATGGCATCCAGGGTTTGCGGGACTCGTAACAGCTGTTGCTGCTTGGGGGATATGGGGTGGCGATATGTTTCCTGCGGAACCAGATCCAACTGGAAGTATGTGACCAAGAAAAGACGAGCTTATATCGAATAGACATGCTGATATCAAAACTAGACCCCGAAGAGTGGACCGCTGAAGATATGAGGAGATGGCTCAGACGTGTATGTTTTCTTTGCCTCCTTTCAACCTTTAGGACACATTGATGTGAGCGCGGCCCGAAAAAGTGCGGATCTGACAAGCAATGACAGAGAGGCCTCATGCCAAGTGAGAGCGCCAGTCGCGAAGAATTGCTAGAGCGCGTAAAGGCGAACATGCGTCCAGGAAGGTCGTAAACTTCCCACTGAGAATGGACATGACTGGAGTGCAGCGGTATTGGTCTTGGAAATAGGTTTCGTCTAATGAGTTCCTTTTGATAACCACATATTGTCGGGTGCGGTTGATGCGCCAGGCGACATAGACTTGCGTCCTTTCGTCTTGTTCCTTCTCGACATCGTAGAATCGCCAAACGTTCCGTGAAGGAATAACCGTCGTGATATTAGGGCTTCGTAAATTTCCTTCAAGGTATCTGATTTCGCCTCATACGACTAGTCGAAAGTTCTGGCTCTGTATTGCCCACTCTCTCTTTCCCTTGCCCTTAGGCCCTTGGTCCGCGGCCGGGTTGGGGGCCAAGATAAACGTTTCGCTGAATCCACGCTGTGGAAGATCTTGAGACTCTCCAAATCGTACATAACCACTAACGATGACGAGTAAGGACATATCCTTCACAGCCCTCTGGCTTGCCGGCTTCACTCCTGTCGCTGTCGCCGTGGGGAAGCTTTTGTTGATGATCTGACAATCGACCGACTGCATCTCATAGTGCGTAGGGGGCATCTGGTTGACGAAGATATCTTGTACTGCAGACCCATCGGACACCACATTTCCGTTGAAGAGAATCGTGGACGTGACAGAACTGTAGAAGGTCGCTATTGAAGTGCGATCGGATTTCAGCGCGGTATAGAAGGACTGTATGAAACTCGTAGCAGCTGAAAAATAGAGTTAGAAGACGACACTGCCAATAATTTATCAGAATCAGTGCTCACCATCTGTAGAAATTTTAGTGAGCGCGTCCTCAGTTGGCGCGGCCATAATCGCGGGGTTCGTTTCGCAATGCGCAAGGGATTGCCCAAGAAAAAAAAAATTTATTCAAGACAGATAATAATAATGGTCTTCTCCAAAATATGATATTATATTCCCCCAAAATAAAAGCGATATAAGTCTAGGCAACCATGGCCGAGTTCAAAGGAATGATGTTGGTCACGTCAAGCGTACCCGAATTGAAAAGATTCGGGAGCTTGGACCACCTCGGAGGTGAGCAGCGTCCTCCGCCGCTGGCCGGACAATGGTGAGCCTGCATGTTCTTCGAGTCTTTCCAGCGCAACTACCTCAATGGCAACAGTGAGAGGAGGTCTGCGAACGGTTTCTTGGGCCTCACGGCTCTTGGTCCCAAGAAGACCTCTTGCGACGTGCCTCTCTAGGAGAAATGGCGGCCAATTTTTCGTTGTGCGGCCTCGCTGCTATGCGACGGCCTCATCCGCAGAGAGCTTCAAGAAGCCTTATTATGTGACAACGCCCATATTTTATGTCAATGCAGGTAAGGGCTACCTCTACGAATTGAACGTCCATCTACTCACAAATGTATCTTTCTAGCACCGCACGTTGGACATTTCTACACGATGGTCATTGGGGATATCTTGAAGAGGTGGCAGGTGCTTCTTGGACACACAGACGCCCAATTGTTAACAGGAACCGATGAACATGGAATGAAGGTGCGCTCTGTGGATATCCTAGTGTAGCATAATTTTCATTGACAGTCTGGACAGATCCAGCAAGCTGCACTTGCCGCGGGAATGGATACGCAAGCTTTCTGCGATATGAACTGCAGGACATTTCAGGTTCGCTTTTCCCTGGAGGTGATATAAAACACCCACAGGATATGCTGACTCTGTGTGGTCATTTCTAGGAACTGGCTAAGGCAGCCAATCTTAGTCACGATCATTTCATACGAACGACAGATGCAGCACACAAAGAGGCAGTACAATATTTCTGGGTAAGTTATAGTCTCGCCGCTTTGGACTTACGACGCTTACCTTGCAACAGGAGATGCTTAGTCACAGAGGCTACATATACACTGACAAACACGAAGGATGGTACTCTGTCAGTGATGAGACGTTCTACCCACAATCCCAGGTGCAAATGGCATTGGACCCGAGCACGGGAAGGAAGAGAATGGTAAGTCCTCCGCAGCTACCGGTTCAACCGCTACTAACAGCTGTCAGGTCTCGGTCGAGACAGGCAAAGAAGTAGAGTGGTCCTCTGAGACGAACTACCACTTCCGTCTCTCCGCTTTCAAAGATCGGCTGCTCAAATTCTACGAAGAGAACGGATCATGGATAAAACCGAACCCGTATATGGCTGATGTCGTGAAGTCCGTGTCTAGTGGTTTGCAGGACCTCTCTATCTCCAGGCCCGTCGAGCGGTTAACGTGGGGTATTCGAGTGCCTGGAGACGACACGCAAACAATCTACGTATGGCTGGATGCCCTCATCAATTACCTAACGAAGGCCGGTTACCCATTCCCTCCTGGGCATGAAAATAAACACGGATGGCCAGCAGATGTTCACGTGGTGGGGAAGGACATTGTTAGGTGCGCTATTTCATGCCTGACGTTGATCTTCTTATTTACGATTTGCTAATGATATCTAGATTCCACTGCGTCTACTGGCCGGCTTTCCTTATGGCGCTTGATCTCCCCCTACCGAGAAATGTGCTCACTCACGGTCATTGGACCATGAACCGGGAAAAGATGTCCAAATCCACGGGAAACGTAGTGAATCCTTTCTTCGCTATTGACCGGTTTGGCGTTGATACTATGCGTTTCTTTCTTGCGTATCAAGGAGCGCTGGCGGGTGATGCGGACTACGACAACGAGTATATCATCCGCGATTATAAGAAGATGCTGCAGTGGGGAATAGGCAACTTGATGCACCGCACGATGGGATGTGCGAAGTGGAACTTGCGTCCATTCGTCGCTGCAGCTGCGATTGATGAGCTTCCACCAGCTACTGCTCTCGATGAGGAGCACCAGTCAATGCTCGAGCAATCCCCCACTAAGGTTGCGGAACACATGGAAAACTTGAACCCCAGAGCTGCTCTTCGTGAGATAATGACAATCATAGAAAAGGTCTGTACGCCAAATCATGCACTGTCTTGGTTGTTTAGCACTAACGCCTTTCGCAACAGACCAACAAATATTTCCACGCGGCAGAGCCGTGGAGCGCTCCGGCAGAGTCCCAACGAATCATCTACAATGTCAGCGAGTCTCTGCGAATCTCTGGGATTTTATTGCAACCCTTTATGCCCAGTAAATCCCAGGAGCTGTTAGATATTCTGCGTGTAGACACGTCAGACGTGTCGAAACGGTCCTTTTCGGCCTCAAAGTTCGGGTCAGATCTGGACTACGGAGACAAGGTAAAACGGAAGGTCCTTTTCCCTCCATTGGTTATTGAAGAATAAAAGATCATCGCAGCTGGAGAATGAACGCCTAGGCATCTATTGGGCGTCGCAGTTGTGGCGGTTGCAGTAACAGACAGCAACTCACTCCCAAGGTTGCAGAAGCCCCATGGTCGAGAACATTCTCCAGAGGTATCTTGTTTCATCTCTTCAGAACCACTGCGGAGACCGACTTTTCACCATTATCAATGACAATGCAGGATGCCGTCTGGTTATCAGCGGAGAAGGCAGGCGGCATCGAGCATTTCCCGGCGGTTGGCTTCGGGGCGGGAAAGTTGTCGCTCCCCGCGGGAAACACCGCCTGGCGTCATCGGGAAGCATACTTTGTATATCTTAAACATGTTACATGCTGAAGTCGACGCCATCAGATCATTATCGCGTTTGTCGTACTTCCCCGCTCTCTTTTTGCATCTCTCCATCTCCGTCCGACTTCGACCGAGTCGTGTGAACCATGTATAACATTGTCCATTAACTCACTCCCTTCTCGCTTGTCATTATTATACTTCTCTGTTCAGACCCTCATCTGTCTATCTAGTATTTTATACCCATAGTTAGGACCAGGGAAATCGATTTCAGCCTCTTATACCGTGATGGCAAATCACAGAACTTCACAGTCCAAGAAGCCATGGATAGAGACTCCACTTGTAGAGTCGTCTACACTCTCACGAGCAGTCGGATGGTAAATATAGATCTCCCCTTAATATTCATCCTTGTCAGCTACTACATCTGTTGATTGTCAACACACTATCATCCTCTCTTTGATAAGTCAACATAATACTTACAATCGATGCAGTAGGGTATTCCTCAAGCTGGAGAACCTCCAGCCCAGCGGATCATTCAAGTCTCGGTAAGTGCTACACCCCTTACTATCGGCTTTGTTACTTTTCAACTCCTGTTCTCTTCGTTGTCTCGTCAGAGAGTTTCCATTGTCATTCTCCCTCCTATTCGGTGACCCGTTGATTATCCTCTACTCAAATAAACGTACTAACAGACCTTATCCAGGGCAATGGGATCCCTTATACTCTCACATCTCTCTAATCCAGCCAACTCCAATCGCGATATCCACTTTTACATTTCCTCTGGTGGAAACGCCGGTCTAGCTGCTGTCTGCGCTGCCCGTTCTCTTTCCTACCCCTGCACAGTCGTCGTCCCACGCTCAACAAGGGCAATCATTATACGGAAGCTTCGAGATGCGGGCGCCACCGATGTGATTGCACATGGCGAGACAATTGCTAAGGCAGACGAGTATATGCATGAAGTAGTAATGAAAGAACGACGAGAAGGTGAAAGTGATGACGTGGTCAAGATCGCCTTGCATCCATTCGACCATGAAGCCATCTGGGATGGAAATAGTACAATTGTCGATGAGTTGGTGGACCAGCTTCCGCCTGATGCCGATAACAATCAGCGAGCTGTCCCCGCCGATGCTATCATCTGCAGTGTTGGTGGTGGCGGTTTATTGAATGGCCTAGTGATGGGGATTGAAAGGCAGAAGAAACTACTCGGCCAAGACACGGATTCACACACGAATACAGCAAAAAAAGATATCAATATCCTTGCTGTGGAGACAGAAGGGACTGCCTCATTGGCCCTTGCCATGTCCAAGAAATCTCTCGTCTCCCTTCCAAGCATCACTTCTCAGGCAAGCTCTCTCGGCGTTGTACGCGTTTCTTCCCGCACACTCGAATACAGCCTCTCCCCGCCGCCAGGTATCTCCATACACAGCGTCGTTATTTCCGACGCTGATGCTGCGCGCGGTGTCCTCCGTCTTGTCGATGATGAACGGCTCCTTGTCGAACTGGCATGTGGTGTATGCGTCGAAGCAGCCATAGGAGACGCACAGAGGCAGAACCGAAAGGAGCGCAGGGGGCACGGCGGGACCGATGAAGGCTACGGTAGTGATCCAACCAGCAGTGATGAATCAAACCCCGGGTCTAGTACTGTCTCATGTGCGTCAGATGTCGAAGATACAGACTCGGAAGCAGATTCTGCGTCTCAGAGAGTTTCCAAGCTCAGACAAGTTGTTCCAGGTCTCAGTCCCCAGAGCAGGGTTGTTATTGTCGTCTGTGGTGGAAGCAATATCACGCTTGATATGGCCACGGAGTGGAGGGAGAAGCTAAACAATGGATGGGGAAGTAAGAAAGGGTGCGAATAGAAGCTCTTTTACGAAACACTGCGACAAATTGCGTCTCAGATCCTCATGATCTGTTGATATGTGATGAGATTCCTTTTTTGCTGGGTTTGTTCAGGTGGCCAGCGCGCCTATTCAGGCTTTAGCCTGCCACTGGAGTTTTTGGCTTTGTCTGTTTCCCTCTGGATGATACATTTGCTTGGCCCTGAAAAGCTTCAAACATGCTGACAAGGAGCCACCATAATACTAATTACTTCAGACGAGCACACCTCGTCCTTATTGGCATAACTACGTTCCTGGAACGAATTTAAGGAAAAGAGTAAATTCGAAGGACTTGTTATCCAGACAGCACTATCATGAGACTCCAGTAGGAATAATACAGATCAAATGCTCAGTAGCCAAGAAAACTCTGGAATAAGATCACGCAGATGCAGAGACAGCTGCTGGTGCCGCTGCTGGCCTAGTCGACTCTTCTTCCGTCGATAGCATCCGGATTCTGTAATCCCAATAATTCTTCCTAATAGGATCATATTTCTCCTTCAACAGCGTAAGCATGCGGATAGCCTCTGCATTGGCGGCCTCTTCAGCATACACGTCCGCTAGCCACTCAACAGCTAAGCTGCTCTTGACATGGACATTGGTAATATTTCCATTTTCATCCGTCTCATCAGTAACGAATCGACTGGCGAAACCCTTCCATTCAGACAAGGGTCTCCCAGCAGCGCGGAGAGCCCCACGGGCATACGACCAGGGACTTCTGTTCTCAGGCGCCAGAACGATCTTTGATTTAGCGTACTCGAGCTCTGAATCGACTAGATCTTCATCAACGACGTCAAGTTGGCCCTTTTGGCTTCCGGGTTTGGTGGCATTCGCCATTCCGGCATCTGGCTCGTCGTAGCGAGGTCCGAAGCGGAGAATGTAGCGATGGTTCCAGGCGGAGTTGTTACGGACGTCTTGTTCGATGAGGGTCTCAACGTCGCGAATCTCGCGAGGAGAGTCCCAGAGGTTGAAATGGCGGACGAGCCAGTGGCGGTAGGTCCAGACGTGGTAGTTTTTGGAGTCCTGCGCGAACATATCCATGAGGAAATCGGGTTCTGCTGCTGGAAGAGTGGGGAAATGCTTCTTGGAAGACATAATGATTTGGCGGTGGTGCCTGTAGGAGTTGTTAGTGCGACGATTTTGTGGAGGGTATGTGTGTGGCATGAGAAAGATGGTCTCGGAATGAGATCACGCGAACACGTACCATATCTGGTAGTTCTTTAAATACTTCAATGAGACTCTGTTTAACCAGGCGAATTCATCGTCTAGGCTTTTGTCGAGAGCGAACAAGATCTTGGCTCGGTATAGCCTGTAAATTGTGAATTGTAAGGTTAGGATGCAGTAGTAGAGATAAGGAGAAGCGCAAAAGAGTATCAATCAGTCCGTGCTAGATATGGTAAATGATATACCATAGGACATTTAAGGAGTAGAGGCAGTCTGTAAGGTAGAAATCTTCTTGTGTTCTGGGTGATTCCAGTTTCAATATATGACGATATCCAATAAGTGGCCAAAAGCCAACCAAGGTAACGACAATGCGTGCATTAAAACTAGAAAATATACTTCTTCAAGAGGGAAAAGAAATCAAGAATAAAAGGACATACCAGACCGTGTAATGTGCCGGATTCATAGAAATGATATCCTCTGTCAGCTTGAGGGCACGTTCGGACAATTCATTAGCAGCCATTACCGCCCGCAGGTATGAGGTCGCCTCGAGATATTCATCGGGGTAAGCGATCGTTGCCAGCGGCATAATATCATTGTCCTTGGAGCCGTCGTCCAGGGGAATAGGTTTGATAGACGCCCACTCGGGCGAAGAAGCGTACTTCCCGCTCATGGTGTTTGATTGCCCGACGCGGAGGGGAAATGTGCAGTGATGGAAGAGACAACCAGCGGGTGAGGGCAATGCCTCAATCTAAGCGCCAGAAAGCAACAACCAGCCGGTAGATAGTGATACAGTGTTGCTATCCTCTTTACTCGACCTTGAGGAACCCTCCGCTCCCGCCGGAGATGGCGGGGAATCTTCTTTGAGAAAGAGCGGGAAACAAAAAAATTAGCTGGCGGCGCAGACTCCCGCGGCGACACGAGAGACGATGGGAATCGACTGCGTCGTGTTATGCGCAGTGATTATGAGTTTGGGATATTATCGACGTTAGTTAGCATCTTTCCAGATACAAAGAGCACAATAATACGCTTTGGACTCGGCGAGCTGGGCGGGGCCATAAGGCAGAAACAACTTTACGCCTGAGGCATAAATATGAAGGAGAGCCTTAAAATGTCGGGATTTTCCACAACAATACAGCTGCCATGTAATCATTAGATATCGTGGCGAACAACATGATAGCAGATACAGCCCCTAGAGTAGAGTCTTTTCCCTCGAATAGGTGCTTGTGACATTTCCTCGTTGGCAGCATTATTCGTTGATCTAAACGTTGGTTGCTAAGGAATCATTGATATGGCGTTTGGGGGCCAAAGTTTGACGATATTAAGGCTTAGCTATGGGAAACTGCCTTCAGCCCCAATTCCGGGGAATTGGAAGCTTGGATTGGATCTTTACCTCCGAAACTAGCAGTATAGCTGGAAACCGGTCGCACGATTGATCGACATGGGAGCCGCAAATACAATCAATACGAGTACAACCCGCTCAACTTCAGCCCTCTGGGTCTAAACGTCCATTAGGGCGTTGATTTCAGCATACAGATTGGCAGAAATGCTGCGCCATCTGTCAACAATAATGCTCACCAGCCTTCTTAACTGGTTAGGGGGATATTGGATTTTGGAGACGCTGCAGGAGACTATCCCTGAGAAACGTTCAGGCCTCCTAATAGCCCATAAAGCTCTTGCATTCCCCTAGATGAAGCTAGTGTCAGGATCTGATCTCGTTTCCTTTTTTTCACTGGGTTAACTCCGCTGCGAATGCTATAGTTGTTACTCATCTCACGGCTGAGGCCAAGAATCATCCTTCGGGGAATATAATTTCACAACAGAGTCGATCATTACCTGCATCTTCACCAGTGCATTCTCCAATCCACGTACTGGTACAGATGTCTGACGACTCGAGCTCCTTGGTCAGCACCTCTGGCTTTGCTCTCCGCATTAATGGGTCTTGTGCAGACACTGAACAGGACTGCGGGGGAACAGTTGGGAGTTTTCGTGCCTGTTGCCCGGCTGGTTCCTTCTGTCCAAGCCAATACAATGTGAACTGCTGCCCGTCGTCAGCAAACTGTACAGAGTCACTGGTAGCAAAACCAAAATGCGCAAACGAAACCTGGGACCTATATGACAACAACGGCTACTTCTGCTGCCTGCAAGATACAACAGGTTACAGCACCCCGGGAAATAGCGATGGCTGTGCCAGTCCCGGCTACCCATTTTCCGAAGATGAGACATTGTTGAGCAAAATCTCCGCAGGTCAAAGTATGTATCTCAACATTTTTCAACGATATCCGTCCAAGGCTGACGCATCGACTCACAGACATTGCGACGGCAACCTCGACAACATCATCTGCTTCTTCCCCAACAACAACCACAACCAGATCTCTTTCGGGGACATTAACACCCCCGGCCTCAACCGCGTCTTCACATGGTAGTATGACAACGGGTGATATGATCGCTGCCATCGTGGGTAGTATTGGCGGATTTATTGTCATCGTGGGCGTTATTTGGATGACCTTCCGTCGTCACCGGAGGCGACGCACGGCTGAGCGCCCTGTTCCAATATCAGACCAGGTCAAGGAGTCCTATACGCCGGTTCCAGAATTAGAAGGACGAGATCGTGCAGCAGAGCTCGAAGGTCGGTTTCCCGAACTTGAAGGGCGACCCGGTCAGCCGATCTATGAGCTATCTTCAGAAACAACCGCGTACCCATCGAAAGGGACTTAAGCTTCCCTTGTCGTCAAGTTTATTTTTTGATGTACATACCTATATACCCGACGGCATGTGTTGTGCATGTATTATCTCTTTGTTTCCTGACTTACTAGCGAAAATTATGTGTGTGACGAATGTTATACAATAGAAATAATAATTGAGACTGTTGTGTGATGGAGAAATAGAAATAGAACACTAGATATTGATGTAAGTCATCCACTATGTAGAAAGTCTACCAAAGATCTAACCAGTTGACATAGAACTCAGCACCCATTACCATATCCAGGCAGATATAAGCCATAAGACTTCCACTCTGTTTGTTGTCCGTTTTTGGGGCTTATCAGATGCTTAAAAATCCCCGCCCGGGATGCCATCTGATTGCCCAATCATAAGCAGCACAACTATTCAATTCAATTATGTCAAGCCGGTTTCTCCGCATTTTCCTTATCGGAGCCAAGAAACTCGGGATGCAGTCCGACTTCCTTTCCATCAGATCGCCCATTCATTATTCCTTTTATCTATCCTCGGTCCAAGTTCGAAATTGAACCGACTGCTATCAACTGGCCGTGCAAGACTAGCGCTTTTTGGACAGACAATCTCCTCTCTTCCATCCCTTGTTTGTTGTGTTCTTATCATACAGTGATCTTCATCGGAAATCCCAGCGCTAACTAGTGATGCGGGGAGTAAAGAAATCCCGTAACGGCTGTGCAAGATGTAAGAGTAAACGAGTGAGCATTCCCTTCTTTTCGAGTATTAACAACCACCTCTATATTCAGATCTTTGAGGAAACACGGAACTCATAGCTGATGCAACGTCTTAGCTCAAATGCGATGAACAGAAGCCAGATTGCGGACGATGCTCGCGTCTTGGGGTCAAGTGCCCCGGATACGTCCAATCTCTCCGCTGGGTTACCAAGCATGAGGTCTTGGAGAATTCTCAAAGACCAGGGACTTCAGCGGGCTCAGCAACCGCTCCGGAACCGACTGATAGCATGAATGCCCCGGGAGACACTCCATTAACGTTCAACAGTGCCCCGACGCATCAGCAGACTTCTCCGTCTCAATTTGAGGCTGGAGAGTCTATAATGGACCAAGCAAGTCAATTGCAGGAAGATCCCTGGGACGTCAACCTGTCTGATCCGTTCGCGACGCTGTCCCAGGAGTTTGAGCAGCCTATTCCTGCAGATCCGACATTGGGGTATGGGACAGCCGGGAGTTCAAATCAGGACACTCCACGCCGACTGTCGACAAGATCGACAGGCGTGAACAATCAAAATGAGACGTCAGCCTATGGTTCCTTCTCTCCGTCCTCCCTCGTCAGAAACTATCCCCCTGAGCCTTCCAACGCAGCACCAGGCTCTCCCTACAGTGATCGGTTTAACTTCTTTCTCCCTCTCCAACGGACTTTGAACGACCCGTCCTCAACGTTGATAGAGTATTATTTCAAAGAGGTGGCTGGATTATTCTCTAGCTATGACAGTCAGATGAACCCGTTTCGGACGACGGTCTCCCGCCTCTGGGGTTCATCACTCGCCATGTGCCGTACTTTACAGAGCATGGCGGCAGCAACGTTGGTTGGTGACTTCCCTCAGTTCGGCCCGATAGGACTGAAGATGCGGAGAGAGGCGATTGAGATTCTAAAGAATGAATCTGTCATGGACGACAAGTCGCTTCTGGCCCTACTGATGCTAGGCCAGACAGCCAGCTGGCACAACCCTAACGATTTGGGTATCTCATTCTTCAACCTACTACGAAAGCATCTAAACAGCTTATCCTCAAATAATCAGAATTACCGCGTTGCTGCTGGAAACAACTATCAGTTCTTCGAAGAGGCCTTGATATATTGGGAGATGCTGCTATCATACGTGACGGAAAACGACTCCCTCGCCTCGTCCAGAGGGCCAGCCTCTCAAACAGACGATTCTATAGTTCTCCAACGGGTTCCTCATCCATGGACCGGCATTGCCCGAGACACACAGTTCACTGTACAAGAAGTCGGCCGGCTCATCCGTCGCGAGAGAAGTCGCGTCCGGTCCAGACGGTTCACTTCGCACTTTGATATCACTCAAGCACAGCTAGCCATCGAACGAGCACGAGAGCTCGAAGAGAAACTACTCAACCTCGCCCATCCCGGAGAAGCTGAAATCGTCAGTCCTGGAGACTTCGACACCCCTGTATGGCATCTCCTCACCATGGCAGAAGTATACCGCTGCACCGGCCTCATCCAGCTCTACAGAGTCTTCCCCGACCTTCTCCGCCGCCGAATCCCATCATCCCGCGACTCACCCGCAGCAGACAGACAGGGGACTCCATTCTCCCAACTCGACGCCGTCCACATGCTAGACGACCTCCTGCTCGACGAAGACAGCAACCCCAACAACACCGGCACCGAACTCTCAGACACCGTCCGAGACAACTGGCTCACCACATTCGCTATAACCACTCTCTCCCGTCTAAAGACCATCCCTCTCGAATCCCGCACAAGATGTCTCCAACCTTTCCTCCTCGTCGCATCCTGCAGCGAACTCCGTCTTCCACCCGTCTCAACTACCTCCTCATCCGAGGACGCCGCGGTGGAGATATCCTCGCATGCAATCGACGTCTCGCGGACGCGCAAATTCATCCTGAGCCGTCTGAGCTGTTTCTTGCATGTTCTACCACCGAAACCAATCCAGGTGTGTTTGAATCTAGTGCAGGAGACGTGGAATAGGATGGATGCTGGTGAGACGGGTGTGTATTGGATGGATGTCATGATTGAGAATGGATGGGAGACTACGATGGGGTGATATATGGGATTTGATCTTTCTTTTTCTTTTTTGCCTTCGTTCTTGCACTTTTCTTTGGATGCGTGTATGATCTATATTCTCTCATGATACCCACCAACTGTCTAACTAACTGTATGTTACTTTCATGTAATTTTACTCTAGTAAATAACTGTTTACGCTATCCATGTCGAATGGGGAATCATAATCAGGAAAATTTCCGTACGGGGTCCTCGCGGATTCAGATGTCTTTTATTTCATTTTTTTTGTAAACTATTTATTTACTCGCTAAACATTATATAGACAGGCAGTACAATCGTGCCTAGTGCTTTTCTGCCCTTTTCGCTTCCACTTCACTTTCACATGTGAAATTCTTGGCCTCTATGGCATAGACTTGGACACACACACACACACACACACACATAATGCGAGTCAAGACTCTGAGGGTAAAGGGCCATTCGGAGGTAGATGACAACCCGACGACCAGAGGAAAAGAAGGTCGAAGTCATCAAAAAAAAAGGAAAGAAAGGGAAAGGAAACCGAGACAGCTAGCTCCGTGATATGCAGAAAAGTGCAGAAAGGAATAAGGACAATAACGTTGACAAGTAGAATGGAACAATGAGCTATCAGAGACAGGAATCGAATGCATAATTAGATATGATATCCATCAACAGTTGACCCGTTAAGGCGAGAACGGCAATGATCATCAGGAAAGTCATATTAAAAAAAAGGAGGATCGAAGGGAACTCCAGGTAGTGGTCTTTTCCGGACAGCAAAAACACAAGACGCATACCTCGTTGGCCACCTTGGAGACAGACAGATAGGTGTCTCAAAAAAATAACTGTCGCTGACGCTGAAAGATATCCAACGGAGTCGTTTAATGCACTGCACGTTTCCAGAACTTCCATCCTTCGCGCTTCTCCTGTCTGCCCCCGACACCGACCAATTTCTCGATACCTTCGGCTCCCACGGCATTCTCGAACTTTTGCTGGTCAATTTCCTCGCCGCCATCTTCGTCACTGCCATTTCGAAGAACTGCTGGCCAAAGTACGCCAACTCCATCCCCGCCCAATGTTGCCTCGTAACGTTCGAAGCCTTCCTCGTCGAGCTGCTGCTCTAGGCCACGTAGAGTCTCTTCATTCGCGTCTCGACGGAGGAGAGTAATGGCACAACCACCTCCTCCAGCACCGGTGAGCTTAGTCCAACCGATGTTGGTGTAATCGACCAATTCCCTTATCCGCTCGAGACGGGGGTGGGACACACCCAAAGAAACGAGGAGACCGTGGTTGATGCGGAAAAGAGCACCAAGGTGCTCGAGGGTCCCATCTGATGAGCCGTCATAATTAGGAGAACGCATAAGCTCATGCGCTGAGGTTGTGACTTGGTCAATGCTATTCAGCATCGACTCTGTCACGACCGGATGGGCCTTCTTGAGCGCTCCAACCTTGGCCACCTCCACGGCCGTCGACCGTGGCTGTTTTGTATTCACCAAGAGAAGAGGAACTTCTGGGAAGTTTGGCACCGGGATAACGGACGGCGGCTTGGAGTAGTCGCCCCTTCTGAAGACGACAGCCTTACCGCCAGCAGAGACCGTGTTATCGACACCACTAGGATTTCCATGGATACACATTTCCCCGACAAAGGCCCATCGGTTGATACGCTCAATCTGTACCTCCGCCTCATCTGGAGGCTGATCGGGGTGTGGCCCAGCCAGCGTTCGGATCTGAAGCAACAATGCAGCACTCCAACACACGCAGACACTGGCGCTGCTGCCTAGACCTGCCCCTGTAGGAATTGTGGATCGAAGAGTGTAGATGGCGCCCGGTGTCTGGGGGGAGCCCAGGGAGAGGAAGAGGTAGAGGAAGGCTCGTGCGGAGTTTTGCTGGATCCTTCGCACATCGTCAGGCTTGTCTGCTGAGACGTCCACGATATGCGGTTGAATTGCCTCGAGGAGTTCGGGGTCTAGGGAGGTGACGAGGTCGTAATAGAACTTCTTCTTGGAAGGATGATGGAAGAGATCCCATGGCAGTTCGTCAATATTCCATGTGTGATCCAAGCCAATGTCTCTAAAATTCAGCGTAAGAGTGCGCTGCGACTTGGAGAGTGTTGTGACAAGTAGGTAGGATCGCAGCGAAATGGCCGCAGCCATTGCTGCCTTTCCATGCACGACGGCGTGCTCTCCGTAGACAATGACCTTCCCTGGTGCTGAAACCATGAAGGCCGGCGCCATTGGTGAGGAAGCCTTCCTCCTCATATTCTTCTTTGTGTAAGCACCGTTTGCTGCCTTGGATGTTGGGCTTGCATTTGGAGAAGTCAGATCGCCGTCTGAACTCTCGCAGCTGCTGTCGTGGTGAATGCCATTGACGGCTCCCGACCGCACAGGCGAGCCGTTCTCTGTGTCGCCCACCATTGTCTTGAGCTGCTGAGATCCGTTGGAAAGTGTCGTGCTACCGTTGGCCTTGTGTCCATAACCGTTCTCCATCGTGGGATGTCGAATTCGTCTGCCTGCGTCAAGGGAAAAAGAATGCGATGCGCGTTTCGTGTGGGCGAGGGCTATCGAGTCGAGACCGTAGGCATGACGATGCTCCGCTGGAATCCGCGCGGACTGGAAGAAGATAAGATATTGGAAGAGGCGAGACTCCCTTTTTGTCTGACTTGTTGCTCAGGATCCCAATCGCAAACAGGCCGTTACACACCCTTTTGGGGGCGAACGTCAGCGACTAATTGACTTAGGGGTGAGTTGGACTAGTTTAGCGCCCAGTTTAGCCTGAAGGCTTCGGCCCCCAGCGTCCCTATTTTTATTGTTATTATTATTATTGAACGTTCCACCAGGCATACGATCTCTCCTCCCTGTTGCTTATTGTTACTACGCGCTGCCATTGGAGAGACTCGGGAGCTTCTGCTCAACAAGTTACCTGTTGAGCCTCATCCTACTCAGCTGGGAATCCAAAACGCCTCGTCACAGTAAGCACAGACGCTGACGCACTTGGGGGCGTAATTGGTGGCCATACGACCATTTAGTTTGGGGTCTTTTTCCTACGTTGAAACCCTTGCTCTACTTATTCACGACTGTTCCCTAATGTTGTTCAGAGCTGTGTGATGATTTGAAGTCCTTGTATGACATTTGTGGATTCTGGAGCAACGATAAAACTAAGGAATTAGTATACTACAGTACAACTAACTATAAGAATGGTGGATACTGTGTCCCAATCCGATCCTTGCAAAGAGAGAGCTGACCTAGGAACCACTAAAGATGATATCAGCATCCTTCGCTTCCCATTATAGTGTAAAACCAACCAATGCACTTTCAAACCCTCCCTTGACGCGAGCTGATTTGGTCGTTTACCCATTCCTAACAAAGTTATCCACATCGCTTAAATCTCCCGGCTCATATTCCAGATAGTTAGTAGATGTAGTCGGGCGAAGCGTCGTTATCAGAATCATAAGAGCTGAACAAGGCTTCTACACCTCCGCTTAGGGCGATAAGGCGATGCAATAACCACTGCATTTCCAATAGCTCTTTTCTGGCTAAGGTCTCTTATGAGGATCATCAATCCGCAAAGTAATTGTATTGCCGGAATAGATCTCCGTCTTCGTTTTATAGGTAGAGAGCCCGATGTTATCGATCGGCGTTGCATTGCTGGGCAATTTCGGTGAGCCTAGACAGAAACTCTTGACGGCGATATAAGTATCACGACAATGCCGTCGAGTTTGAAATCGACGTTCAACTTGGGCCACGCGACCTCTGCTTCGTCCGTCTCCTCATCGCATGCGAACTAGGGGTAAATATGCGCCACTTCAATGTGCTGTCCGATCTGTGTCAGGACACATTCCTGATTATCACGTCGTAGATAGTAAATAATCTATATCAGTAGTTAAAAGCATTGTTTGGAATATCAAGGCTTGGTGATTTTTCCGCTCGTCTTCTTCCAGACCATTCGTTTTTGTCCCTAGCCCGTTGATTCCCTAGCACATATACAATTAGTTCCGATATCAAATTTGGGTAGGTAAATAGAAACATACATACTTTAAGAACAGGATCTGTGAGTGTATCTATATCGAATACTGGCAAGACTTTAGGATGGTCCTTCAGTAATCTGATGAGATATGTGAATATACTCAGATCCGATAACCACAACGCAGCCCACTGGGACAGAATGAGGTTGTAACTCTCAAGGGTCGAGAGATCGATACCAGTGACCTTTGGGCCAAGCACCTTTTCCAATGACATCGAGGTAAACCGTTTTCGCCTCCATAGTTGTTGGCTTGAATTGGTGTCTGAATACAAACCGTGCAATTGACCATCCGCATTTGACGTCGGGAATATTGATTGTGAGCGCATCGAGTAACTCTATCAACGCCTGGTTGACGACTTGTTCGTCTCTGGCTTCCAATCTATCCATGTCTGGTCACAAGCTGCAGTTCATATTACTGAGGGACCTTGCAGATACAAAGACTCCCTCCCCCCCAGAACCAGAACAACCGAACACCCTCGAAGGAAAAAACCAACCAGACCCTGCGGCTAGACACGCGCTCCATGACCCGGATGTACCGGTTCCCCCTCGGGGTCTCCTGAAGTGGACCAATGAAGTCCATACCCACGAGATCAAAGGGTTTGACCGAGTTTGTCGGGTGTAAAACAGTAGGTGACTGTCTAGGCCCATGTTTTGCACATTCGACATATCCTCTAATGTAATCCTCCACGTCAGTCGCCTGGTTGGGCCAGTAAACCTAATGCGAAATCCTGGCGAGAGTAGCTCGCTTCTTCCAATGACCGGCAAGGTCGTGAGCATCTTGTAGTATACTAGCAACTTTGGTCTCAGGTATGCACATCAGCTTTCCATAGAGTTTGTGTTCTTTCTATAGGAATCCTGCAAACCAGGAGTATCCGTCGTCATCAGGGAGGGATGACCCTTGGGTCAACCTATGGTATGCTTGTCCGAACCAAGCCGATCTCTTGTAGTCGTCGTCCCAGCCAGGCATCATTTAGTAGGGCCCAGACCTCCTCCAGGGCATTTGCAACACGGATCACCCATGAGAATCTTGTCCTACTGCCAGATGCAGCGGCAGCATGGCAGCTCGGAGGCGGAAAGGGCCGGCGCAGCAGGGGAGGGGGCGGAGCTGGTTATAGACAAGCTCTTGATATAAATAAGTCAAAATTAAATGGAGAAATGACAGAAAAATTGTCGGCGCATAAATTGTGCGTCCGGTTAATTTATCATAGTCCGTTTGGAGCAGATCCTTTGATATTCTGATTATAGGATATGACCTACTAGATTATTAGAATCTAGACTCTTTGTACATATAATTAGGAGATAAACATGGGCTTAAACATTCGCTGGAACTAGAGTCAAGCAAGCAATTCGAGAAGCCTAGATATATCAGCTAGGTGGTTTAAATATCCGTGCTCAGGATTCGACAAAAATGAAGGTGGATTCATAAAGGTGGATAGATGGATGAAGGTGGACGGAAGAAGATGGATGGATCTGGAGCGAAGCTCGCTGAGCTTAACTTTTCTAGCAACTTGCTCAGCCTATTTATCTCTGTGGGTGGAGCTAGCAGGCGTGGGAGAAACCCAACAAGAGGGAGGCCTGCATGTAGGCAGGCACCGACAATGGATGAAGGTAGATAGATGAAGGTGGATGGATGAAGGTGGATGAGTGAAGAGTGGACGAAGAGTGAATGACGAGATTGATGATGAGTGGATAATAAGTGGATGAATGATGAAGCAAGCCAGATTACTTGGTCAGGATAGTTGCGTGAGGTGAAGAAGCTTATAGAGCTACAGTTGTATGCATTTACCTACTTTTCGGCAAGCACTAGTACTATATACAGACATTGCTATCCAAAAGTGGTAGATCTATAGGAAGGAAGCACTCGCTAATCCAAGAACGTAGCACTGATATCATGTCGTGTCTATAAATCATCAGGAACGCTAATAAGCCAGTTCTTCTTGTTTCCAAAACATCCAAATGATGCTCTCAGAACTGTGGGGGCGGCGTATTTGCTAGGCAGAACGTATGGTAAAATGACAAGACAAGAAAAGCAAAAGAAACGGTCATATCTATCCTTACAAGTTCATCGTGACGGTCATGCTATTGCTGTGTACCAGCAGACAGGGCGGTAGTCCTTGCCACAGGATTTCCATGTCGCTGAGATATGACTGACAGGCAGCTTCATCACGTCGCGTACCTTCGATGGGAGAGGGAAGAGTACTGAATATCACTGCCGTTTCGTGACTGTGCATGGCCATCAGTTCGTTGAGGATCAAATGCTGTGCCCGGCAGGGCAGGTCATTGAAAGAGAGCGCCATAGAGGCTTGAGATGGGAAACCAGAGGCAGGCCCGGCGCTTGCTGGAGTAGGAGTAGGAGAAGGCGATGGATGAGCGTATATAGATTCATGTACATGGGGCGTAAAATCACGGCCCGGACGAGGTGGGGATCCGCTCGCGAACATGATGGAAGGACCGGGGCCTTCATCGGGATTGACCTTGGTTTCTGGAATTGGGGCTGACGTGAATCGGTTGCTGGATGCAGTACGCGGAATTGGGTTTCTGGTAGGTGTTTGCTGCTCATTCGTATTTGTAGCCGTGATCATTGGCGGTGTTCGTTGACCGGCTTGGTTCTTAGAACTGCCACCAGCTTCGCCTGACCCGAGAGTGACATCCGCACTCTTTGAACGCCTCAGGGTACCCGGGGTAGGGGGTCCAGCTGGTTTCTTAGATCCTGGGGAGACGCTGCCTTCTGCCTCACTCTCTTCGCCCGGATCGCTCACATAGGGTTCGAAATCGCTCTCTTCGCTGTCGGATGTTTCCGAGCTACTCTCCGCATGAGCATCGACGAATGAGTCTAGCAGGCGGTGCGTCTGCATACCCATGCTAACCCCAAGACCGCCGAAACTTGAGATCGAACGTCGTCTCTTGGAAGACTCGATCAGCCGTCTGATGCCTTCAAAGCGCTGAGTCGGTTTGTGCCGTCCTTCCAGAAATGAAGTATTGGGCATTTGACCCAGCAGCTTGGATATCTTGTTCAGTTTACTTTGAGACCGAAGATCCTGAGATCCCTTGCGAAGGTTCTGGAGTCCCCGCCACCAGGCCTCGTCTTTCAGAGCAGAGTCGACCTTATCCACAGTCTCGGCCATTCTCGGTGATGTATCGCCATTTACAATGACCTGATACGTCTTCACATCACCACTGGCAAGCCAGAAAACAAGGACTTCGGCCTCGATCCGTAATTTCTCGAGCAGTGTTTCCACTCGGCCACGTTCTTCATCCACATCAGTCTCATACTCGACAAAGACTGCGACACGCAGTTTGTAGCTTTTCTTCCACGACGGGACAGTGTTAAGGATGCAACCCAATTGAAGGATGAGAGTATAGGTGTCGAAATTGGTGGTAAGGACATTCTGCTTGCTTTCTCTGTCTGCAGCCAGCTCAGCAGACATCTGAATTGGCCAAAGATCGATGTATTTCTTGGTGTTCTGTCCAGTGGCATTCGGCAGCTCGAGTTCTTCGAAACCTTTCGCGACTGCTACATTGATGCGAAGCTTGAACAGAAGATCCTCCAGAATGGTCATGTAGCTCTGTTCACTGATCGGGTTGGCCTGTTTTATCTGTTGCGAATGGTCGCCAGTTCTATGAGAGGCGGAAGACTGTCTCCGTAAAGCCGTGGGGGATGTGACAATCTCAACAGGGGACTTCTCCTTGCGATATTGGTCGATGACAACTATGTTCGGTCTCATCCCGCCCAGACCAGAGTTCAAGACGATATTTCTCACTCCCCACTCTGCACTTGGAGACACTGAGATGTTGATAAAAGCCTTGACCTTCGAGTACTCAATAAACTTCGTCCATGCACTTTGTTGCCGGCGAGCTTCGAGGACGGAGTTTTCAAAGTCGTCCGTCACGATAACGTGACCGAGAACAAACAAAGCACCCTTCTTCAACGCATTGCAAAAGTGAATCATCTTGTACTGGGTATCATAGTCGTTCACAAACAAAAGGATCTGCGGTCGCCAGAACTTGACGTGCTCCTGTTTCAGACGCAGCAGGTATTTTCGGACCTGATGATAGATCAAACTCTGGCTCACATCACCCCACGATTTCGGAGGAGAGGTGTAGTGTATCATCAAAAAGAGGATGACGAGGATGCCAACACAACCAGTTGCATACAGACCGTCCACGAAGAACATACAGATCCCGCTAAGTAAGGTTCCGGCGGCTGCTGTGTACCAGTTGAAGTAGTGGAAAGAGGGCCTGAAATTCGGTGCGGAGCTGATCTTTAACAGGAAACATGCAAGATTTGTCCCCAAAAAAGTCATGAGGTAAGTCATCGTTATGAACGATGCGATTTTATTGATGTCCAACAACATCGAGAGCTGGGTGACAATCAAGGTCAGAAAGATCGCATACGTAGGCTCGTCAGTTTTCTTACTCCCCTGGCCAAAGATTGAGAGACCAGGTAGCAATCTGTCCCGAGCAATCGCTTGTAAAAGCTTCGCTGAACCGATCACTCCCATCAAGGAAGAAAAGAAACTTGTCGCAAATTCTCCGAGCAGGACAATGCCACTGGAAATATTCGTCTAGAGCCTTTCTTTCAGTGAACGCCCCCGTGTGCCAGTGTGGCGTGAGACTTACAACTTGAATAATATTGACATTATTGTAGAAGGATTGTCTGGTAATAGAAGCCGCCATGGAGACAATAACGAGAGTATAAGTGACGAACGTCAGGGCAAGACCAGAGAGGGTGCCCTTAGGGATCGACTTGCTTGGGTTCTTGAGATCTCCGGACATACTTGCGCCTCTATTAAATGTCAGCTTGTGTATCTTCTGGCACGAGGTAAACAATACACATACGCGAAGATCCCTCCAGTAGCCGGGAACAAGATCCCAAAAAGGTCCTGAAAGTTTTCACGCCCGCGAAGCTGGCTGCCAGCCGCTCCTTTCGTGAGTCTCGGTTTCAAATTCTCAAGGAATGTCCGCATTCGGAACCCAGTGAACTCGACTCCCAGCTGCGGGGCATAAAAAGGCTTCATCACCAGTGCAGAAACCGGGATGCTCAGAGTAGAGACCAGGAGTATGACAAGCAGCCCGTTGCTCGCCCTCGAGAAAATAGAGCTGCCAGCGAGACAGATCGCCGTGCAGAGAACCATCACAATAGTTCCCCAAAGATACTGCCACCAGAACCCTTCTTGGAGGAAGTTGGCCCATGTACCAGACACTGTGCCAAAGTTCTCAACAAAACAGTCGATCAAACCGACCGCGTTCATACCGGTGTTAAAAACAAACCCCAGATAAAAGACTATTCCGATTGAACCACCAAATTCGGGCCCCAGTGACCGGGATATCAGATAATAGGCGCCTCCACCACGGACTGTCCCGTTCGTTGCAATGGCGGAAATCGACATGGTGGTCACGAGATTGATCATATAAGAAGCAATTAGCATGCCTGAGATCCGTTAGCATACTACATGATATAGTAGAATGCAAGCACATACCCAGCATGCCAATGACACCGCTCTGTCCCAGAATGAATCCGAAACGGAGGAACATAAGAATACTGAGAACATTGAGGGTGGTAGGAACAAAGACCCCCGAGAATGTCCCAAGTTTGTTCGAATTGTCCATATGAACTGGGTGATGTCTGTGTGTGTTTGTATCCCTCTTGTCCACGTCTATCGCCACCGAGCTCCCATGAAATGGCTGTGTATCGGAAATATCTTGTCTTCCATGACGCTGCTTTCCATCGCGCGAGGGTAATAGCTTCCCAAACCACCTCCCTGTCTGATTATGTTCCCGAGGCTCAGGCTGCGATCTGGATGTGAGCGGCTCATATGGACTGGGCGTTTGGCTCGACTGGCCATTTGATGGACGGAGACTGTCAGCTGCAGAGGCATCGAGGAATTCGTCTGGAGCCAGTCTGGAATCGTCTTCCGCAGCGGTGCGCGTGGAAAACTTTGGCCGTCCTCGCAAGGACGGCCTCGAAGCACCCGAAGCTCCTCCCGCTGTCATCTTTAGATCCGATTACCTCCTATTCCCAAATGTATAGCATGGTCAACAAATATATCAGAGGGGATTTTTGTTCGATTAGCGGTCTCAGATCGTCGGGCCCCTGGGAGAGTGGAGCCCTCGTTTGTTTGAAGTTCGCCCAGTGTTAGAGGTAATACGGAGTAGACAGTGTAGATGCGGATAGGGATTATTATGGAGCCTGCACTAGGGCAGAATGGTATATAACTAAAAGTGGTCCTCGATAAGAATTGCCTTGTCAATGTCCAAGAATTTGGTATTATTGTTGTTCCTGCAAATCTAGCCTATGGTTATGACCTCACAGCGCAGGCACGAGCAAACAGAGCAAACAGTCTGCCTTCCCGATTATCACAACGTGCTGCGGATTGTCTCCGATAACATAATTGGGGTTCTGGAAAGACAGGGCATTTTGGAAGTGTTAGAAGGAGCTACATCGCTCCACGACAAACTCGCTGTTGGGATCATCGATCAACTGAATTTCTGATTCATTGGCACTCGATAACGATAACAGGACGCTACTAGCTAGCTGGCTGTCGGACTCCACCGCCAGTGTTGCTGGACCAGCTGAACACTCAGACCAAGTCACGTCCTGTGTTGATCCAATACCTTCACTTCTCTATGAATCCCTGAATCTACCCTCGCACAGCCACAGCAAGCAAATCAACACGATGGCAGATAATGGAGAAGGCCCGTCCTCTTTGACGGCCCAACCGCTGCGGATATCGCGCTCACCTGGGCGTTCTCCAGCTCGTTCACCTCACTCTGCGTCTCCAACAGCTGATCCTGTGACACGACAGGCCTCTATCGCACGATTGGCATCGCCGGTTCCATCCCTGTCGAGTAGCCCAGCCCAAGGATGGCAAGTCCCGGTAGCGAGTCAACGTCCTAATGGCAAGCAGCCAGAGCTGCCGGCCGTGGAGAACAGAGCGTCTCTCCCTGGACCCGGACAATCAGCTCTCGCATCTGCGTTGCAGAATACTTTGGGCCGTTCACCACCTCAGTTTGGTACGCCTGGGAGACGTTCAGCATCACCTGCAATAGCACATCAAAGTTCCACTCTTGACAAAGCCCCAAACACGGCATATGGATCATTCGAGACTCGAGCAGGTTCGGAATACTCAAGTGCAGCGCCTTACGAGGACCCCGAGGTCGTCAAACGCCATTTGGTACAACCGCAGAAGGTTTCAGAGAGTAGAGGCTCCAGGTCCCCTGAGGATGACGGGAGGAACGCAGATGATGATGAATTCTCAAGTCTTAAACTTCAAGGTGGTGATATTACGAGACAGGTCTACCGGTGGACGGAGGACGCAGAAGCCCAAGCTTCTGGATATCGTAGACATGCTCGCAGTCGCAGTTTCACTATTGACCGGCCGCAGCCGGAAGATGAAACTATGAACATAAACTCAATCAGAGTGCCTGGTGGATTTCGAAGAGATTACATTCGACGAACAGTCGGCAGTCCAGCACCTGGGACTCCCCGCAATCCTGACCAGCGGGCCCGGCCCCAGCTGTTTACTAGCAGTTTCCTGGAATTTCTTACGCTCTACGGTCACTTTGCTGGAGAAGAACTCGAGGAGGATGATGAAGTCCTCGGCCCCGGCGAGTACTTCTCATCAGATGCTTGGGATGAAGAAAGAGAGCCAGGGGAGGATTCTGCCCTGCTTCGTCCGGAGACCCCTGGAAAGAAGAAACGGAAGCACAAAGAACGAGGAGGTACGGGCAGCAACACAGTGACTGGTGCTGCTTTGCTACTATTAAAATCCTTTGTCGGCACTGGCGTGCTCTTCCTCCCCAGAGCCTTCCTGAACGGAGGCATGCTGTTCAGCAGTGTTGTACTGCTGGTTGTCTCGCTGCTGAGCTACTACTGCTTCATTCTGCTGGTGAATACTCGTCTCAAAGTCGATGGCTCTTTTGGTGACATTGGAGGTGTACTCTATGGCAAGCACATGAGGAGGATCATCCTTGGATCGATTGTGTTGAGTCAGTTAGGTTTCGTCGCCGCATACATCGTCTTCACTTCCGAGAATCTGCAGGCTTTCATCCTTGCTGTCAGCAAGTGTAAGTCGTTTATCGATATCAAGTATATGGTATTGATGCAATTGATCATCTTCCTACCTCTGTCCTTGATCCGCGATATAAGCAAGCTTGGGTTCACTGCGCTGATTGCAGATGCTTTTATCATGCTTGGTCTCATCTACCTCTACTACTACGATGTCAGCACAATTGTCAGCAATCACGGTGTCGCTGATATTAAGCCTTTCAACCCATCGACATGGACTCTTTTCATCGGTACTGCCATCTTCACGTATGAGGGAGTTGGTCTCATCATCCCCATCCAGGAGTCGATGAAGCACCCACACAAATTTCCTGCGGTTCTTGCCGCAGTCATGGTAGGCATCACGGTGATATTCCTATCGGCTGGAGCTCTTAGCTACGCAGCTTATGGCTCGACAACCAAGACCGTTATCCTGCTCAACCTTCCTCAGGACGACAAGTTTGTCAATGCTGTACAATTCCTCTATTCGCTGGCGATCTTGCTCAGTACACCGCTTCAGCTGTTCCCGGCTATCCGTATCATGGAGAATGAGCTCTTCACTCGAAGTGGCAAGTACAACCCCGGCATCAAATGGAAGAAGAACTTTTTCCGCTTCGTTTTGGTCATGTTCTGCGCGCTGGTGGCATGGGGTGGAGCAGATGATCTTGACAAGTTCGTCTCTCTGGTCGGCAGCTTTGCTTGTGTGCCTTTGGTTTATGTATACCCGGTAAGTTCCCAGGAGATTGGCGTTTGTCTTGAACTGATATCTAACCATTCTGTAGCCGCTACTGCACCTTAGAGGCTGTGCCGGATCTCGTCGTCAAAAATTCGCCGATATCGCCCTCGCCTGTTTTGGTGTGGTCAGTTGTATCTACACCACTAGCCTGACGATTTACAATTGGGTTGGTGGAGAGGTCGCTCACACGCCTGGATACTGCGATTCATGATTGCCATCTTTTTCCTGGACTCTCTTCATGCGCTATTTTGAACTGCCCTGCATTGCATCCTCTTGGTCAGTTTCCGCTCTTGGAATCGAGAGTTTTTTCTGGCTATATGTTCCCTTTTGCGTCTCGGCTATGGACATTCTAGCATATCACGAGCATCATGTACGTATGCTTATATAGAAGTTGGAAGATCCCTTCCTGTATCTCTTATGTTCGGTCTCAGCAGTTGGTTTTTGCTTTGGCTAGTTTGATAGATTCGCTCTTGCATTGATACACCGAACATGAAGATCGGATAGATCTATTCAGATATATTGCTTGGACCTCACTTGAATAATGACCTATACTTATTAGGAAATGCGGACTGAAGACTATCACAGTACTATGATATATCCACACAGATACGATGACTCGCAAATCGCACATCCCAGACCGTGACCATTTTATTCGATGCATGTGGTACTACTATTTACAAGTTCAATGAAAGACAAACAAAACGAACAGCGCAAATGATATGCGTCAATAGATCAGTGACAAGATAGTATAGCAAACGGAACGGAACTAGACCGCCCCATCTATAGAAGCTCTCTATGCACCTGTTTCCGCAGCAGTCTTGCCGGCCTCGGCGCCCTTAGCGGCGAGAGCCTTTTCCCGACCACCCCAGCTGTGAAGAACACACTTTGTCAGCTTCATGTCGCTTTAAAACCCACATTATGATACGATTCCGCAAAGTCTCAAAACGCGACATGCCACAAACGCTGTCACAAGAAAGGAAGGGGGGCGCTGATAACATACTTCCAGTAGTTCAAATACCGGTATCCCTGCGTGACCTGCGCGCTGAAGTTGACGGCGTGACAAGCGAAGAGGAGGTAGTTCTTAGGGGTGACGGCGAGAGCGTAGCGGGCGAAAGTAGCAGAGTAGATGACCAGGGCACCTGTCATTGTTCCGGAGATGCTGGGGAGAAGAATTCGAAGTTAGTTACAGACGACATCATCTGTATTACGTGCCATATTCCTTCTGGTTTTCGTTCGCATATACAGGATACGGGTATGCATGCAGAATGAAAATCGAAGGAAGGGAGAGAGAGAGAGAAAGCGCATACATCTCAGGATCCTTCTGCGTGTCCATCACCGCTGCGATGGGGATACCGAAGTTGGAGACAGGGCCCCAGAAATCTGTTTCATGAACAAACGGCATAGCATTAGCGATATAGTTCAATCCAAGTCCTTGTTTTCGCATCTCTTTCTTTCGCAGCAATTAAAAAAGAACACTCGACTCATCCAAGGCCGTAGATCAGATATCGCCCTGTTTGCGGGGAGCAAAGAGGGTAGGGATAGCTAGTTAACTATATCAATCTGGGAATTAGTCACGTACGTGTTGAGCAGACATAGTCGAGGACTTTGTTGGAACGGATCTTCGCATTGATCGCCTTGATCGCGGCCGCCATGGTGGAAGAAGGGGTTGCGAAGAGGAGAGGAGATTGAGGAATGAGTGGTGGTGGTGGTGGTGAAGAAACGTTGGAAGCTGGGGAATAGTTCGATCGCGCTGGAGAATCGGCTGGCGGTTCTTTGGATCTCCCGATCGTCCCAAGTTGGTCACCGATTTTCCCCATACGGTTGGCCCGCGGACTTAACCGGGGAAAAGGTCACGTGTGCCGCGCTCCCGCATTTTGTCCAGTGCGCATAATTATTGGAATTATTGGAATTAGATGTGAGATATGGAGGATTTGATTTTATGCAGCGTCACTTGATGCCTAATATGTTAATTGGGAAATGGAGAGAAAAGAGACCACAGGAATTATACTTGATTCCATTCTACAAGCTAACACACGCATGAGACTTTTTGCACGCTTCTTTCTGGTATTACTTTTGAGGTCCTGACTATGCAAATATGGCGTTATTCTGCTGCTTGAGCACTCCTTAACCTCCATCCGCACGCGCCGTAACGCCTGGCCTGGTAGCTCCGGTAAGTCTACCTTTTTTATGGCTGTAAATAGGGATGGTCCAGTCAAATCGTTCCGCCCATCGGTCACGGTCTGCAAGTTTGATACATAATGCGACATCCGACAAAAATTCCTTCTCAACGACCACCAAATCCTGGAGGGAAGCCGCGTCCTCCGCCGGGGGGCTGGAAGCCAGGGGGTGGTTGGAATCCGGCAGCTGAATTGACCGTCAGTATAGGGACGTCACGATGTGGATATCGAGTATACTTACGAGGTCCTCCCGGGGCGCCAGGGGCGGCAAATCCAGGCGGGGGCGCAAAGCCAGCTAGAACTCCAAGTTAGCAAAAGCCCGTAGCCTAGCATTAGAAAATCACGTAACGTACGAGGTCCTCCCGGTGGTCCTCCACGGCCGGCGAATCCTGGGGGTGGTGCTCCAGGGAAACCGCCTGGAGGAAAGCCTCCAAATCCACCAGGGGGTGGGGGTCCTCCAACACCAGCAGCTGGTCCTCCAAGTCCAACAGGCAGGCCTCGTCCCGCCGGTCTGCTGATTCCAGGTCCTGCAGCAAGAGTGGCAGCGGCGGCAGCAGTACCACCGGGGATGCTGGTTCCCAACCGAGCCGAAGGGTCTGCAGGGGGAGGTCCATCAACTGAGCAAGAAACAACGTGCGTTCCGCGAACAATTGTCAACCCCAGAGTTCTCTTCTCTTCGGACTCGACGAGCGGGGCATTGGGGGGACCTGGTGTGGGCTTATTCGATCTCCGTTTCACGCGGCGGAACTCTTCCGTGTCTGCAAGAACAAGGTTCATGTGCTATAAAGACGTTAGCGACTAACTGCCCAGGCACAAAGGAAGAAAGAAAGAAGACAGACCTTATCAAAAGCAAGCATCTGTCCGGTCATCTGTCGGCCATCGGTCAAGGTCACCCTCATCCGGTAGTTGATCTGGTGCACCACGTTAGTTCTCGAAAAGTGTTGCGCGCAACGCGAGTATCATCCTGGACGAGATCAAAAGAGGGACCTACGAGATTTTGCTAGACACCGTTCGTCAGCTGGAGCTGTCAACAAAGCTCTGCATCGCGTAGGAAGGGAAAGGACTTACCATCTTGCCCTGCTTGTTGGCGGCCGCCATGGTTCGGTCCGGTGCGCACGAATGCGACTTGAGACCAGGGATCCAAAGAATAGATGTCAGACACAAGGAATACGAGACTCCCTGTGGTGCAATGCGGTGCAGTCAACCCAAGAGGTTCCAGCACTTCGTCGCGGAGGTTGGAGCTTCGCCAAGGTCGGCGGCTGTTGCTAGCGCCAACCGACGCGCCAAGGCGCTAAGGGCTTTTCGCTTCCCGACTCCACAGCACACACCACTTTCGCACACTTGAAAGAAGTTGTTGAATCTTCGAACCATCCACCCAGTCGACCAGTGCACACCCAACCAGTCGCCATGGTATGTCCATTTATCGCCCTTTGATGGCCCTGCAATCATCTCCAGCATCTTCGCAAGATCTCACTTGCTAACAATCATGTCGTTGCAGTCGGAAGGAAAGGACAAGAGCGCGAACCCCATGCGCGAGCTGCGCATCCAGAAGCTCGTGCTGAACATCTCCGTCGGCGAGTCTGGTGACAGACTCACCCGTGCTGCCAAGGTGCTCGAGCAGCTGAGCGGTCAGACTCCGGTCTACAGTAAGGACGCCGAATTCTGAATATTGAGGGGATCAATTTCGAGGAAAATCGATGGCTGACGGATACTTTTTTCCACGATTGCAGGCAAGGCCCGTTACACCGTCCGTACCTTCGGTATCCGTCGTAACGAGAAGATTGCTGTCCACGTCACCGTCCGTGGCCCCAAGGCTGAGGAGATCCTCGAGCGTGGTCTCAAGGTCAAGGAGTATGAGCTGAGGAAGCGCAACTTCTCCGAGACTGGCAACTTCGGTTTCGGTATCTCCGAGCACATCGATCTGGGTATCAAGTACGACCCCGGTATTGGTATCTACGGAATGGACTTCTACTGCTGCATGTGAGTTGAACCCGGGAAAACGACGGCAAGAATCAGGATAGGAAAGGAATGGTCAGACTGACCGGAAATATAGGACCCGTCCCGGTGAGCGTGTTGCTAAGCGCCGCCGCTGCAAGTCCAAGATCGGTACCAGCCACAAGATCAACCAGGCTGAGACCATCAAGTGGTTCAAGAACCGCTTCGAGGGTATTGTCCGATAAATGTCCTGCTGAGTGTGCTTATTGTTATTCCTTTTGTGGGTGGAAAGGAATTGGGCTGTTTCACGAAAAAAATATCAGAAAAAGGACGCGGACAACAAAGACGTCTGCATCTTTCTGAATGTTTCTATCACGACATGAGGATAGGCGTGTTAGAGATATTTCAACCAACAAACAAATTCTTTTGAAACACACATTTCGCATCCAGACTTTTCAGACAATGAAGGCTTTCACAAAGGGTGATTGTTTCCGCTTAACCATTGTTGAAAAGCACTGCAAAAGCTGCAGTCGCGTACCTTTGGGTCGGTGACTGCGGCGTTCTAGCTAGCCATGGATAGGACTCTGTCCTTGAACTGGCCGAGTGGATGCAGTTCCCCTCTTCGTCCTCCCTGCGGACTGGAGGTGGATGAGGCCTTTCTGATTCCTTTTACCTTCGATTCCTCGAAGTAGGCCGTGTCCGTGTACGGTCACGCTCGTAGTTCCGCCACAACTGCGCCGTAAGCACAACTCGAAAAAGGCATCGTAGAATCTCCAGAATCAGCCCAGCTCGCTCGAGCTGATCAATGTCCTCTCGTGAACTCGAATGCCATCTCGATCGAGGGACCTACTTCGTCGATACGGAACCAAGAGCGAGGTTTCCAACCAGCTTTATATCCATCCAAGGCTCTAAAGGGAATATCATTTTAGCAGACATTATCAGAACCTCTTGCGTCTGTCGATGAGCTACCTGCACAGCAGTGTCACAACTGAAGGGCCGCTAAGAAACAGTCATTTCTACCTTAAAAGCACACCCGTTCCGGTTGCCAGTGTTCAATATATGGACCTGTGCAGGTCCCCTGACGCAATCTGTGATCTCTGATATAGTCCAGACAGCTTTCATCGAAAGTATTAGAGCCTCTTGATGCACGGTTATCTACCAGTAATGATGAGTTAGTTATTAATACTTGAAGTATCCGGAGATATCTTACTCCAGGAACATGTTAGCTATACAAAGATCATATCCAACGACAAATGCTTAGATCTATCAATTCTTAAGATACCATTGATTCTACTGAGATCGTCTTACGCTGTAATCAAGCCAGAGATCACTACACCTACTCGAATGGAAATACAGTATTACTCATAACTTGAATGGTTCCAACCTGCTAAAAACCACTCACTGCAATTTCATCATGCAGGAATTCCAATGGTATCAATTTATCTCGCCACTACTCTTGACTCCTGATCTCATATACAAAATATGAATATAATAATAATAAGAAGAATAAATCCATATAAAAAAAAATTGCGACAATCTCCTAAGTCCATCACACAATCAAGCTCCCCTAGTATATCCATGCCACCACTTCGAAAAGGCTCCGCCTTTCGCTATCTGCTCATTGAAACTCTCTCTTCTCGCGGCAGAAGCAGCATCTGGAGAGTCTCTCTTCTGAGTTGTCAGGTTGGCGAAGAGGCCGGGAGTGCTGCTCTTGCGGCGGTTGCTGGAGTTAGAGGATGTAGAAGCGTCGGAGGTCTGAAATAAATATGTGTGAGCGTGGGGATCTATGGGGAGTTTGGTCTTTTTTTTTTTTTTTTTTTTTTTTTTTTTTTTTTTGGAAATTGGGAAATAGGAGGAGGAGTGGACTTACTCGTCGTTGTTCGGTTCCTTCGATGGGAGCGTCTAGTTTCCAGGGTGCTGTTGTGGCAGGGCCTTTGATGCCGCCTCTGAGCCAGACATTGTGATGTTCATGGCGATCACCGGGGGCGCCGTTCCAATGGCGACGGGTGGGAGATGGTGCACTGGGTGTGATGTTCGATGTTGAGCTTGCGTCGGCCATGATAGTTTATTTTGGATTGAGTCTGTCGTTCAGAGTAGTTCGTATCTGGAAAATGTCGCTGGGTGAGGGATGTTTTGCTGTTATTTTCTATACTGGTCAGCATTTCAGTGTTCGCTAGAATGAGCCATCATGGTCTTTTTTTTTCTTTTTTCCTAGAAGGAGGAATGGCAGAAGCAGCTTCATAATAGCAAATCAGAGACAATGGAGATGGAGAGTATAGATATTTAAAGACAAATCATATCGGCATGATGATGAAAAACATTGAATATACAGGAAAGCATATACTCTCCATTATACAATACATTCTATCATCTGATGTCCCAACCACAGATAAGACAAGCGAGAGTAACAAGAGGACAGTGTTCCATGTTTTGCTATTCACAACGTCTCCTCTCAAGCAGAAGGGTTATCTGCTTACCTTTCCAGATGTAGGGCTCATATGGTTCGAATTCAACAACTCAAGCTACAATCACGAGGCAGCGGGACACAGTTATATAGGACCAAGAGAGAGCCACGGCCATGCTTCCAGCTAGGTAGTCTACCATATGATCCCAATCTATGCTACGAAAGTACCCCGCAAAGGTCTAGACAAGAGAACCAGTGGTTCGATCATGGGTCGAGCCATCCGGACAATGCTGGTCTCTCAAGGCTCGTCTCTGCCTCGCATCCTTCGACTCTCCAAAGAAAGCGAGATTACAAATGCGACTGCTGAGCTTTTTCCAATCCGGACATGACGACAGGGATCGCGTGCGCAGGACTGGCGATTGACCCATGGGATATTGTTGTCATATCATATCAAGTCGCATCGACTGCGTCACCAAAGGCGATTGGAGCGTGTGAGCGCGTGGATATACCATATATGTATCATACCGGTAGTCAACTGCGATCAAATTGGTGATTGAACGGTCCCGCGAGAGGTAGTAAGTTACAGTAAAAGTCGAGTACCATAAGTTTGTTTGAAGTCATTGACGTCTCAAGACCAGAAATGCGGGGTACGTTAAGTAGTCCCGCCAACGGATGAACTTCCGCGGCGCCTCTAAAGTGTGCTTTCAACATTGTAACACTCATCCACGGATCCCGCCACTGGAAAGCCATCTCAAAACAAACGGTTGATGGTCATTGGAGAGTGGGAGCCTGGGAATATCACGGTCGATGATTGACGCCGGTTCTTGAGTCGATGCATTTCCGCTTGCAGGTATTGCCATTGAATATCGGTCTCGATGAAGAGTTTGTCGCTGGATCTGATTACCATACACAGTTGATCATTTCCGACTGTATCCGTTCCTCTCAGCAAGGTGCGAGACTCAGATGTGGCGGACATCTAACGCGTGGAACTCTCCACCAGAATCAGGAAGTTGAAGTCACTACCTAGTTATAGGAGTTATCACTGTTCAAGAAAGAGCGTACTTTAAGACTCGAGATTAAACACTCACCAGATCTCTCCTTCCCGACACCTAGAACATAAGCCGACACGATCAATAATAAGCCCACTCTCTATGGCAGGCCTGCTATCAAGCCGGTATTGGAATGACCTTAAAAGCGAAAGTACCGAAGAACAATCCATACCGTATTATCGGCGAGCGCTAGCGAGGCGATAAATTAGGGTACTTCTTTTTACGTTCCTTTGCCAAGCCTCCTTTTCATTGGTCCTTTTCTTCCTGATTCTTCCTGATGTCACGTGCTCTTTTACCGCTTTCCTTTTTGGTATATTAAAACAACTGGCTAGGGGTGTTAGAGGCGGTATTATTATTCCTGTAGTTACATATTGAGTCACATGCTCCTATTTTGCTTCGTAATGAGCGCTCGGCGTCTTTGCTACGGTCTGGCGCGGGCGCCCCGTAGGATAACTGGTAATAACAAACCATCGAAATCCCTACTTCCCCCCGCTCGAGACATGGACATTTCATCATTCTCGATTCAGAATGGCGGCCAGTATGTACATGTGCATTCATCTACTCTACTCTACGTACCACACGCAATGCCACTGGCATACGGACCAAGACCCACGCTGGACTATGGTATGACGTTCCCAGAGCGTTTAGCCGGGTCCTCAATAAGATGAGGCTTAGCTGGTTAGTTGGTTGGTTGGTTATTCGTTATGTGATACTTACTAGAGTAAGTCTATGGAGTACGTCCTGTGCCTCAGGACAAGGGAAATGATGTATGATTTATATTATATATCTTATCTTACCTACCATGTGGCAACAGATCCTTAAATTAAAAAAAAATATCTTACCAAAGTAAACAAAAAGCCCCTTTCTCTCTCTCTCCTAACCTTACCACGCAGAAACAAAACACAAACAAGAGCCCCCATCCCTCACCAAACTTCTTACAATAAATAATAATCCAACTCACCAAATCAATCATAACCAACCAACAAAAACCATGTCCACAAACCCCTCCTCGATCAACGACTTCATCAAAAAAGACCCCTATCCACCAAATAGTTCTTTCCTAGATCGCTACGACCCCGATGCCCTTTCCTCCGCGCGAGATGGAGGTCTTACGCATCCTACTACGTCTGAGACGGATGAGGAGTTAGGTATATCAATCTACTTGCATATAGTCATTATAGTATAGTGGAATGTACTGTGTATGAATGGAGGGCTAATGGCGAGATCTATTAGGATACGTGAATCGAGATCCGGAGCGGGGTTTCAGAGGGAGTCGTGAGAGTAAAGGGGGGCAGTATGCGCGGTCGGAGAAGGAGAAAGAGAAATGGGGTGATAAGAGAGGGGAGTGAGGAAGGTCGGTTTTTGTCAATTGGGTTAGAGCTTTTCTTGGTGGAATTGATGGATGGTTTGGAAGAGTGTATATAGGCCCTTGGATGAGATACTCCACGTTGTATAACGTTAGAGCATTGAGCAGTACGTAACTAACTTCTAAAGAGGGAGAGTTTCGGTTTTTTTTGGGCCTGCTTTACTCGCTATATCATGCTCTATATGGTGTTTTTATCAATCGAAACCGTCGAGATATACATACATACATACATCTACAACCTCCCCGAGACACGTATCGTGGCACCAAAGCCCTTCAGCTCCTCCCAAACCCTCACTCCTTCATCCCACCTCTCATCAATCCAAACATCAACTTTCCCATCCTCCCTCAACCTCCTCACCTCCTGAACCCTCCCAGGAACCGCTTCCCAGCCAATATCGTCCTCTTGTCCCTGGACGAACTTGACAAGCGGCTCAAAGACGCCTTTCCTCACGATGTGTTTTTCCCTCTCGAGCATCCGCATGCCATTTCCCCAGAACCAGATCCACTGGTCCGCAGCATGCGTGGCGCCCCATTCGGGTGGGAAGATGCGATCCACGCACTTGAGGCGGAATTCCACACGGTAACGATAGATCAGATGGCCTGCGCCCGTGCGGGCCAGGGCGTTGATGAGACCGCGCTCCATCAGGTGGATCTGCATGTCGGCGTAGATGCGGCCGAAGGCATCGGTGTGCCAGTTCTTGCAGTCCGGTGGGAGCTTGCCGTCAGGATAGTAGAGACGGATCAGCTTATCGACGGCGGGTGGGGGGAAGTAGTCTGCCTTGAGCCGATGGGCGAGTGAGGCGAGAGTGTCGCTCTGTGGAGGCCGGTGGGTAGCGTAGAGGAAATGCTCGTCGCGGCACTCGCCGATCATGAGACGGATATTGCGGGAGATTAGTTTTTCGGCAAAGATGCCGTTGTCGATATCTTGGAAGAGAGAAGGTTGGATGAAATCGGAGTCGGTGTGAGGGCGGAATTCGTGGTAGTGTTTGATACTGTCGAGAGCATCGAGTATGGTGTCAATTGGTAGGGAGCGGAGAATAGCGATCTTATCAGCTGGGGGTAGAAGGAGCGGGATATTGAGGACAGATAGAAGTTCATCAAACTGATCCTGCGCAAACAGGCGAGATTTGGGTTGCATGGCTGGTCCGTTTGACCACATGATGGCTCTTTTAATGATGGCGTTGCCGTCCGGTTGATAGAGATCGTATGCAAGCTGATAGAATACGGAGTACGAGCCTGCATAGAGTCAACACGATCCCTCTCAACCAATTCAATATCAACCCCAATATACTCACCAGCCGAGTATCCCGCAATGGTGATATTATCAGGATTGCCTCCGAAACACCCGATATTCTCTTTCGTCCACTCGAGCGCCATGCGTTGATCCCAAAAGCCCTGGTTTCCAGAGGGTTCGCCGAACATTTCCGCATCACGCTCCAGTTCGACGGACGAGAGGAAACCAAAGACGCTTACGCGGTAAGCTGGCATGACGATAACACACTTGAAGTCCGTCTCGCCCAAGAGGGCGGCAGCGGAGAAGGTATTAGGTGTTCCAAATTGAAGAAAACCACCATCTGGGAAAAACAGAAAAAGGAACATCATCAGCTCTGTAAAAGCTCATCAAGGGAACAGAAAACAGCGTACGAATGAAGAAGAATACCGGCCATCCTGCAATATGATCGATCATCAGCACTGGCTCCTCAAACAGCATAGCAACAAATCTTACTTAGCCAAAAGACAAAGAAGACAGAAACATACCATCCTCCGGCCTCTCCTCGTCATCCAACGGACACCAAATATTACACTGAAACACATCCTCCCTTTCAGCCTCATTCTCCTCCAACTTCTTCCCTTCCTCCATCAGCTTCCTCTTCAGCTTCTTGCGCAACGCATGAGCTCTCCCGGGCTGCGGACACTCTCTCGTTCTACCCGTGCAATCACCGGGATTGTGCCTCGTGCCGTATACAAAGTCTGACGGGAGAGGTCGCGCTCTCCGCCATCTCTTTGCCGGCGCGAAGGCATAGCGCACGCCACCGTAGTAATGGCAGAGAGGGATTGGGCTGGAATTCGACTTAGTCCGTGAGGAAGGAGATTGCGATGCAGATGATGATGATGACAGTGTCAAAGGCTGGCGGGAATAATAAGTAAGACCACGAACGAAGCCTCGACTCGCGAGGTCTTTGACGTGCGGTTCGGAGATGAGATCGAGGTCCATCCTCTTCCTCTGTGTTGTGTTGTGTTACTTATGTCGTGTCAACCCAATCCCTCACCGACCAGCAAAGCAAAACAGAGACAAAGAAAAAGAAAACAAAACAAGTCGGTTATAACCACAGGACAAGTAGTAACCATATCCCAATCAATTGAATCCGTAAGTTAGTTTTCCCCGCATGAACCGTCCAGCGAAGCTTTGGTGCCGATCGGGGCCGAGACTTTGTCCCTTTTCTGTCTAGTTGCGATCGGAAAGCTGCCTGAGGATGGATTCCATTATCTTAGGTATATTATAGTCTTGTCTTTACGGAGCTAGCTATTTGCTTTCTATTGTTGACGATCAGTTCGAGGCTTTGAACGTGTCAACTGACAACCAGCTTATTCGGAGTTTCGTATGTATCCTTTCTCGCCGAGATATATACCAATATATATTCTTGTCTACATATGACATAAATATGAACCCACAGATAACGATAGGATACCAATGAATACATATAGATAATCGATTAGCTATAGTTCTTATCTGACAAGATATCGCCTCTGTTATAATTGACGTAGCAGTCGCTTCGGCATACCTACAGCTAAGTTAGTTACAGGCACAGGTGCTTGGGTTAATCTGAAAACATGGTAACTTAGAAATAACTAGTTATATAATTCGTTGATAATTGCCATCGCTTTAGAATACACAGAGTGCGCCGTCCACCCTCAATCAAGGGAGGTGAGAAAGACCAGCTGCCAACCAATGACTTCTTCCAAATGGCGACAGCGTCAACACATCATTCATATTCATGGTATGTCTATCATATATGGAGTAGAGCACAATCGTGATAGGCTTTTTCTCCTCGCAATATACTACGAAAATCATGCCTTGGTGATCTTGCAGACGAGATCCTGGCTGTCAACAGAGTCGCCCTCCTTGACCTGGAGACCGGCGACCTTTCCACTGTGGGGTGCGGAGATAACCATTTCCTAGAAAACGTGTTAGTTGTTGTATGCTTCGGAAACAAATCAGAAATCGGTGGAAGACCTACCATCTTCATGGCGCTGAGAACAGCAACAGGGTCACCCTTCTTGACCTCGGATCCCTCGTGCACGCGGACCTCGACGACGACACCGCTCATCGGCGCTCCGACCTGGCTGCTGTCGGTAGCATCGGCCTTGGGACGAGCAGTGTTGTCGACGGAGGCCTTCTTGTCGTCGACGGTGACCTGGCGGACCTCACCGTTGACTTCGTAGAAGACCTCGCGCTGGCCGGTCTGCTCGGAGAGCGGTCCGATGGCAAGCAGCTTCAGGATAAGCACCTTACCCTGCTCCAGCTCGACGTTGAACTCCTCGCCAATCTCGGGACGGGACAGGAAGAAGCGAGTGGGCAGGACGGACAGATCACCGTACTTCTGCACGAACTTGCGGTAGTCCTCGAAGACCTTGGGGTACATGGCGTAACTGGCCACGTCGCACTCAGTGGCAGTTCCGAACTTCTCCTTGATCTCGGCCTTGATCTTGGCCAGGTCGAGCGGCTCCAGGTACAGACCGGGGCGCTTTTCGAGCTTGCGGCGGTCACGCAGGGCTCGGGAGCGCAGAGGCTCAGGGAATCCACCGTAGGGCTGGCCCATGAGACCCTCCAAGAACTCCAGAACGGAGGCGGGGAAGTCGAGCTCGGCCGCGCGAGCAATGACATCGTCGGCGGTCAGCTTGTTGGAGACCATGAACTGAGCAAGGTCACCAACAACCTTGGAAGTGGGAGTGACCTTGACGATGTCGCCCAGTAGGTCGTTAGCGGCCTCGTAGGCCTTCTTGGTCTCGGCCCACTGCTGACCCAGACCCAGCTGGCTGGCCTGGAAGATGAGGTTGGTCAGTTGACCACCAGGAATCTCGTGCTCGTAGACCTCTGTCAACAAGTTAGCGTATATTGCGGTATCAGTTTGAAAGCAAACAAGCAAGTAAGTAACACGAATAGATACACTCCAAGAAGCCCAGGGAGCCCTGAGGTTGTTCCAGTCTAAAGACAAGGGGCCAAGACAAATGCAGAGAGAAGGCAGGAGAAGAAGAAGGGGTACTAACCAGGGTCCGGACCGGTCAGACCGGCCTCGAAAGGCGAGTACAACAAACGAAGCTGGGCCCAGTAGCTGTCAATGGCACGGATGTGGTGGATGTTGAGCTTGGGGTCGAACTCGGAGCCCTCGAGCGACGCGAGGATGGCACCCAGACTGGGCTGCGAGGTCATACCAGACATGCTGTCGGTGGCCGCGTCGACGGCATCAGCACCCGCCTGAGCGCACGCAACCATGGAGGCCACACCGGTACCAGCGGAGTCGTGGGTGTGGACGTGGATGGGAAGGTCAGGGTAACGCTTGCGGATCGAGCCGACCAGCAGGGTGGCGGCCTTGGGCTTGAGGACACCGGCCATATCCTTGATACCCAGAGTGTGGGTGCCCAGCTTGACGACCTTGTCGACCAATTCCAGGTAGTAGTCCAGGTTGTACTTCTTCTTGGGGTTCAGCATGTCTCCGCTGTAGCAGATGGTGGCCTCGACCACACCGCCAGCGGCCTGCACGGCCTTGATACCGACCTCGAGCTGGTCGATATCGTTGAGGGCGTCGAAGACACGGAAGATGTCGACACCGTACTTCTTTGCCTGCTTGCAGAAGTGGTAGATGGCATTGTCAGGCAGAGAAGAGTAGGCAACGCCGTTGGCTCCTCGGAGCAGCATCTGGAAGGGGATGTTGGGGACCAGCTTCCTGAGCTTGCGAAGACGGTCCCAGGGGTCCTCGTAGAGGAAACGCATGGCGACATCGAAGGTGGCACCACCCCAGCACTCCAGGGCATAGGCGTTGGACAGCGCGTAACTGGTCTCCTTGGCAATGTTGACCAGGTCGACCGTACGCACACGGGTGGCCAGCAGAGACTGGTGAGCATCACGCCAGGTGGTGTCCATGATGAGACAGCCCTTGTTGGCGCGCACTGCCTTGGCGAAGGCCTCAGGACCCTCGCGGTCGATGATCTGCTTCCAGCCAGTGGTGCAGGGCTGGGTCACGTCGATGAGTTTGCCGGCATCGTCGTACAGCTGGGGGAGGATGATCTCGCCCTTGAATTTCGGCTCACCGATCTGACCCTTGATGCTGCTGCCATTGACAGCCAGGTCACCCAGGTAGGCCAGCAGCTTCTGGGCACGGTTCTGGCCGCCGACCAGGGCAAACAGCTCAGGGGTGTCGTCGATGAAGGTGGTCCAGCAGGTGCCTTCAATGAAAGTTGGGTGGCTCAGCAGAGAGGCCAGGAAGGGAATGTTAGTCTTCACACCACGGATACGGAACTCCACCAGGGCACGCAGCATCTTGCGGCGCGCAATCTCGTAGGTGGATCCCAGACAGGTACACTTGACCAGCATGGAGTCATAGTGAGGAGTGATGACGGCACCGGCAAAGCCGTTTCCACCGTCCAGACGGACACCGTTACCACCAGCGGAACGGTAGACCTCGATCTTACCGGTGTCAGGGGAGAAGCCCTTGGCCGGATCCTCGGTGGTGATACGGCACTGGATGGCGAAACCACGAGTAGAGATGCGCTCCTGCGTCAAGCCCAGCTGCTGGAGCGTGGCACCGGCAGCAATCTGGATCTGGGCGGCGACGATATCAATACCCGTGATCTCTTCGGTGATGGTGTGCTCGACCTGGATACGGGGGTTGATCTCGATGAAGTAGTAGCGGTTCTGCTGGTCGACCAAGAACTCGGCGGTACCAGCGTTGCGGTAGTTGACGGAGCGAGCCAGCTTGACGGCATCCGCCAGGATCTGGTCGCGGACGGCGGTGGGCAGGTCCTTGGCCGGGGCCAGCTCGACCACCTTCTGGTGACGACGCTGGACGGAGCAGTCACGCTCGAACAGGTGGACGACGTTGCCCTGGCTGTCACCCAGCAGCTGGACCTCGATGTGCTTGGGCTTGTCGAGGAAGCGCTCGACGAAGACGGTGCCGTTTCCAAAGGCGCTCTTGGCCTCGGAGGTGGCACGCTCAAAGGCATCGCGCAGGTCAGCCTGGTTGCGAACAACGCGCATACCACGGCCACCACCACCAAAGGCAGCCTTGATAATGATGGGGAAGCCATAGGTATCGGTGAAGTTCTTGACCTCTTCGTACCGCTCCACGGGGCCCTCCGTTCCGGGCACGACGGGGACGCCGCACTTGATGGCCAGCTGACGGGCGGACACCTTGTCACCCAAGGCCTCGATGGTTTCCGGGGTCGGGCCCACGAAGACGATACCGGCCTGCTCGACCTTGCGGGCGAACTCTGCGTTCTCGGAGAGGAATCCGTAACCGGGGTGGATCAGCTGGACGCCGTGCTGGAGGGCGATCTTGATAATCTCGTCTCCGGCCAGATAGGCGCCCACGGGGGTGTATTGACCGCGCTTTCCAATCACGTAGGCCTCGTCCGCCTTCTGACGGTGCATGGACAGGCGGTCCTCGTACGAGTAGACGGCGACGGTCTGCAGGGACAGCTCGTGGGCGGTACGGAAGATACGGATGGGGATTTCACCACGGTTGGCGACGAGGATCTTCTGGAACTGCATGATGGTGGAATTGGCGCGCAGACGCCTGTGGACAGAGTCCTCGACGGCGGTATGGCTGTGATCCTCGACGAGTTCGGCATCGTCGATGGCCTGCTCAGGCTGGGGGTGGTGGGAGGCCATGATGGACAGGGTGGACGGTCAACGCCCGACACTCAACTGCGTCTCAACAGTCAGCGAAGGCGACGAGGAAGGCAATGGAGAAGCTGCAGGGAGAGACGAGGAGGACAGGTACAGACAAAAAGGAAAAAAAGAACCGAGGAGGGAAATAATGAGTCAACGGGGCCTGGAGGAATTCTTCCAGCGGGAACTGGTACAACGCGGAGACGGTTGCGGCGGGGCAGAAACCGGCTCCGGAACCAACTGCACGCAGCACAGGACGCCGTCCGCTGAAGCTGAAGCAGAAATAGAAGATTGCCCAAGGGAAAAAAAAGGAACTAAACTGCAGTTTGTACTTTGTAGACAGCTGTGGGAGTGGAGATGGTAGAGAGAGAGAGGGGCAATGGTGTATCGAACACGAACGGTTAATGAAGCTCAGCAGCGGAAAGCAGGTGGGGGAAAGCAGGATGTTGTATGGCCGATACGGGATGTACCGTAATTTATCAAAAAGACGGGGAAGCCGAACCAAAAATACCAGCGGGACTGCCAGAGATCGTGCCAACAATCGGTAATCCAATTACCAGCTCCGTCAACTTCACCGGCACACCGTCTGGGACACCGAGAAGTGCGAGAAGTCGCCGACCGGAATCCGACGACGGGCAAGGAAGAAGTTGACTAGTTGCTTGGTTGTTCGTTTAGTTGAGTCGTTAATTATTATTGAATGAATGAATGATAATAATAATGATAATTATTATCCTCGTCGAACTGTCAACAGCTGCACCTCTCTTTATCGTCTTCGTCGGGCCGGACAGCCGGATGCGGTGACGACACACACAACCCCACGGACTCCCGAAAAGGAAACAAAGGGAGAGAGGAGAGTTATTTAGTAGATATAATAATAATATATATAATATATATTATTGATAAGCACTCGTCGATGATTTGTGCAGGGCCCCAGAACCAATCCAGGATAAGACGAGGACAGCACAGTTAAACAAAAATAGAGTATGATAGGGGATGATATAGATATATGTATCTATAGATATATATATACTCTATTATAGAGTAGCTACCGCTCCAATCCAATAATCTAGTTAAACCTATCTCACTACTTTATTATATACATACTTCCGTCCAACCCCCCCATCGTCTTCCGTCCGATTTTCTTTTCCTTCTCCGCATGGCACTCCTTTCCTCGTTTCCCCTCATGGACTCATGCCTGTGCTTCCGACTTGGCCCGTCGCAAACCGAGAACGAGAACGAGAACGAGAATCCTCTCCCCAAGGTGCAACAATAATAACGCGTCGCTCCCCCGCGTACCTCGGGTGCTCGGGCTATCTCGAGTACACTTGCGTCTAGAAAAGTGAACTAGAGTCGTTTCGTCGTTGCAGATGCGCGGTGCTTTAGTCTCGAGTAGGCAATTTTTCCTTCTGTCTCATCCACTCCCTTATCATCACCGCCAGTTTGGTGGGGGAAGGAAAAAGAGGAAATACCCACCGAATACTAACAGACTACTGTTCGAGTATGTACGGACTACGGAGTAGATGGGTCAAGTCTACCATACGTGCAGGTCTGGGAATTCCGTCCGGGGGGTGTCATCTTGGTAGTACGTAGGTACTCGAGGAAGGGCCAGATAAAATCAACTAATTATGTAGTTAACGGACCAAATGCATCGTTCTCCGCGATGGCCATCCCGTCTTGCGCGGGAGCAGAAGGGCTCTTCTCTTGGCCTGGCCCCCCTCGGAGTCTTGGACTCCAGATATGACGAGTCTTGGAAGCCACGAAGCGAGGCTGTTAGGATGCTGGTAAGGGAAACCAGTGGAACAGTAAAAAAAAAAAGGACAACAGTCAAGGTCGGACGTCGAGAGTCGAGACAGGCGCTAGTAACCTTAACTGGGACTTGATCGCGTCAATAATAATACAGCGAATCCACAAGTGAATAATAATATCCTGTCCGCAACCACTATTCGGAAGATTTTCCCGAGATCGACCATGGTTAAATTGTCCCGTCTCAGTCTTCAGATTAACATTAACAGTTAGTTGATTGACTAGTTGGCAGTTAAGTCACTCAGATGCAGCTTACATCAACAAAACAGCTCGCATGGCTCAGTTGGTAGAGCGCATGACTAGTAATCATGAGGTCCGCGGTTCGAATCCGCGTGTGAGCATTTCCTTTTTGCTCCCGTCTCTTTTTTTTTTCTTGGCTCAAACTTTCTCGCTCGACTTCGCAGATCCTGATGATCTGATCATCACTTTGGCTCCTTTCATACTGTCCATTTTGGCTACTGTCTCATCTAGCCCCTCCGCTAACTTATGTTGCGCTTAGCCCTTGTCCCAGACTCCCAGCAGGTACATACATCGCCGTCAATATAACACAATCGGTGGTACTCTCAGCTATTGTCGCAACTTCACTTAGCCGCCAACTCCGCCAATTCACACTACTTTACAGTCCCTACAGAAGTGACACCGTGTTCTACCACCGTTGCTCGAACAAGGAAACAGGAAGAGATGATAGTTAATACCATTACCGGAAATGTAGATGCTTGCGGCTACGGGAGAAAAACCATGGGAATAAGAACACGTAAGCAAATGGCAGCATATCAAATACACCATCACAGGGGAAAAAAATAAAAAACAACCGCAAGAAGAGTAAGAGGAAAGGCCTAGAATGTGGTCGGCTCCGCCATCATTACCGCCCAGGCTGAACTTCACCACAAGGCGATCCTCCACATTACACATGAAGCCAGGCCTCGAAACCCCGGTCAGTCCTCAAAAGAGAGAGCCCTCACCAGAATCCGCCCATCCCCGCCGACCGTCCGTGTCTATTTTACATACATCGTCAGAACTGCCCATCTAGAAGGCGCGGAACCCGGTCGCCTGCGGCGTGATACCGTTGGCAAATGGCACCGGGCTGGGCGCCGCTGCCGGCCCCTGAGTCAGCATCAGACGACTACCACCCAGGATTGGCGTGTTGTCCTCTTCCTTCTTCTGCGTCACTTCCCTCGCCTTGCGCTCCTCATTGTCCTTCTTGAGCAGCTCAATGGCGCGGGTCTGCTCGCTGAGGAAGTTGATCATGTAGGGCATCGTGAAGTCATGCAGGCCGTGGCGCCACGAGATTTCCATGATGACGTCGGGACGGATGAGGTCGTAGCAAGCGTAAAGCATTCCAACGTAGCATTCGCGGCTTCCAATGTCGACGAACTATACAAACCAGTTAGCAACGTCAGACATCACAGAGAACAAGGAAAAAGAAGGGAGTCTTACGTATCGCAGAAGGTCTTCCACAACCTCCGACTTGCCGGACATGGCGGCGGTTTCAATAGCATCCTTGAACAGCCTGTCTTGCTTGGACAAGGCGATCGACTTCTCCCAGCGCTTGTTCTTGCGGTAGATGTTGGCCGCAATCTGGCGGAAGAACACCAGGTCGTGCTTCTCAAGGCGCTGGGCGAGATCGACGGGGTCGTAGTTATCGTAATTCTCGACAGAGTCGCGCAGCGTCTTGTAGTCTTCCTCTTCGATCAACAGATCGTTGATCGCATCGTTGACGGCCCGCTTGTTCTGGCTCTGCACGCTAAGCAGGAAGGGCTTGATCAACGGGATGTTATCCGAAGCCTGGAAGATTCGGACAACACGGTTAACATCAATGCGGGGAGTCAGGACCTGCAGGAGATCCGTGAGCAGAAGAGGCTGCTCCTGAAGGTAGAAGTTGAGCGCTCGGTAGTAGATCTCAAGGTTAGCAACCTTGACGATAATGTCCTTGAAAGAGTGGTGCTCCCAGGCGTCAACCGCCCGCTCCATCATCGCCAGAGCGGCGTTATCCCACTCATCGTAGTGGCAGTACAGGAAGACGAGTTCTGGCCACAGATTGGCTTCCTCGCAGGCCTTGATCATCTTGGGGATGTTGATACGAGACCAGAAGATCTTGAGGTGCTCCATGACCCGCTCGGGGTGGTACTTCGACAGAGCAATACCAAGTTCGGTGAACATACCCATGTGCGCTCTCTCGAGACCAAGACCAGCTTCCAGGACGGAGATGAGTTCGTCAAAGTAGCCATTGCGCTCGTACTGGCGGACCAGATCCTGAAGCTCCTCTGCGTGCACGATAAGGTTCAGACCGCAAATCTGTGCCAGGCGGAATTCCTTCTTCTCGATACAGGCAGAGTTGACTTCCTTCCAGACCTTGACGCTGTTGGCCTTACGAGCGGATTCGACGGCTGCCTGGTAGTCACCGAGGTGCACGAGAGTGGTGGCGAGCTTGGCCCAGTTCGAGATGCTGCTGTAGAAGATCTTGGCAGCCTCGTGGTAACCTTCCGCGTATGCCTTGTCACCAGAGGCTTCGACATCAGCGACATTGGTAGAACGAAGGAAGTCCTCAAGCTCCGCCAGTTGGTCCAGACGGGCGTAGCAGAAGGCGAGAGCAGTGTCAATAGCAGGCTCACGCAGAGTCTTCCGAGCCATCTTGAGGAACTTGACGAGTTCTTCATCCTTGCCAGCATGGGTAGCCGTCTCGATGACCTCGTTGTAGTTGGAGGGATCGCCCGCACGGATATACGACTCGATAGCATCAGACACACGGAGACCATCAAGCTGCGCCTTTGCAACCTTGCTCCAAACCTCTGGCAGCTCGACACGTTCGGCGTATTCCTGAGCGCGGTCGATGCTGACAATGTTCTCGACGAGGACATTGGTGGCAGCGAGGTGGTTGTCGACCTTCTTGTAGATCTCAAACGCCTCCTCATAAAGACCGACTGAAATGCACATTTGCGCAATCTCATCTGCGCTGAATTCATTGAGCTGGTGGATGTAGTCCATCAGACGTCCCTTGTCCGCCTTGGCAGCGGTCAGCATGAGCAGGTTCTGCAAACTGCTGTTGTCACTGAAAGGAGAAGGCTCCAAGATGATCTTCTCGAGCAGTTCGATCAGCTCCGCGGGAAGATCAGCGTCCAGGAAAGACTTGACGGCGACGGACACCTTGTCAGGCTCGGTCGACTCGGGAACAGCAGTGGCAATGACCTGATCCACGACTGATCGTCGGTGGATGTTGTTGTCGTTCAGAACGAAGGCCCAGATCTCAGGATCGGCGCGCTCCAGCAGGTAGCGAGCCTGGGCTCTGTACATGGAGTTCTCGTTGGTGATGTTGATAAGCTCCAGGTCATTCTGACCTTTCCTGTAGGCAATGTATGCGAGATTGGGGTCACGCTTCTCACAGTACTTTCCGACGGTCAACGTGTCGTACATGTCGTTCTCCTTCAAGAACCTCTCGGGGTTGTTGTTGCTATCAATGTAGATCTTGGCGAGAGCATTGTAGACGGCCTGCTGCTGGTTACCTGTGGCCAGGGTAGCCTCAAGGAAGGGCAAAAGAAGCTTGAGCCTGTTGCGGCTTTCGACCTCGTTGACAAGATCGTCGATGGGAATCGAAGCAGGATCGACAGTTGAGAGAAGGTTCTTGATGATGCTCTCATCGCAGTCAACATCCAGGAGACCTCCAACGACAGCGGGAGTGCGAGACGGGTTGACACGCTGCACATAAACTTCGATCGACTTGAACTGCTGGTTCTGGTACAGATACAACACCAAGTCATGAATGAAGTTGAAACGGTCGCAGACGATGATCAACGGCAGCTGCTCAGTGAGCTTGGCCTCCTTCAGGAAGTTCTTGACCTTCTCGGGGTTGTAGTAGTTGCTCTCACGGCAGATACGCTCCACCTCGGTGATCTGTCCCATAGCCGTAGCGGCTTCAATGTACTTGAAGTGGACCTCGGGGTCCTCGCTAAGATTGACAATGCTGCCGAGGTAGTAGTACAGACCCTCAGCAGTGCGGTACTTCTCGAACAGATCGATGAGACGGTTCGGGCCCAGAAGGTCAGAGAACTTCGTTGCGATCTGAACGACAGCCTGCAGGTTGAGGCGGATGTTTGCTTGGAGCATCTCGTTCAAGCAGTCAAGCGACTGCTCGACCGAAAGGCGACCGAAGTAGTTCATCAGCCACTCCGGGTTGAGCTTGTCGGTATGAACAATGATGCGCTTAATGACAGCGGGGTCATCAGTGTTCTCCAGGGCACGCTGGTAGAGCCCGGCGGCCTCGCAGAGTTGCGCAATTCTGGCCTTGTCGTAGTACGTGAAGATCTCATTTCCGAGAATGGCATCAGCGACCTGCGGAGCGTTGACAAGGTTCATCTCGAGCAGACGAGTCTGCAAGTGACCGTGCTCAGGCTTGTTATCCTTTAGGGCATCTAGGAGGAAGGAGGTAGCTTGCTGGATCATGTTTTGAGAAAGGAAGACGTCCACGACACGGTCCAGGTCGACGAGAGCGCCTGTCTCTTCATTTGCTAGCTGAGCAGCAAATTCCGCGCCCTTCTCGGGGTTGACACGCACAATGTGCTGCAGAAGCTGGGTGTAATCGGGCTGGTATCCAACCTGCTTCGAATACGCAAGGATCTTGTCAAACTGGCCGGTCTCGGCGAATCCGGCGACAACCTTGTGAGGGACATTGGCCTGGAGGTAGATCTGGAGGGCGAGGTTCATGTCATGAGGGCGAACAATATCTCCAAGCTCTTCAGAGGCCTCCAGCTTGTTCTCGCGCATCCACTTCTCCAGTAGATGCTTGCGGTTCTGCAACAGCACGGGGCGTACAAGCTCCAAACTTTCATACTTGTTCAATGAACCCTTGTCCAGGAGCATTCCGAAATATTGTAGGATAACCGACATCTGACCGGTTTGCGGAGCGTTCTTGAAGCGGTTGATGGTCTCCGGAGTTCTGAGAAACCCACGCGGAGAGTTTGCTGCGATCTTAGCCGCTTCAGAGTAGTTACCCTGGGCAAGAAGGTTGTCGAACTGCTGCTGGTAGAGATGATCAGCTCCCGGGAGGCCAGCCTTCGACGCAAGCTTGACGGCGAGCCCGGACATGGCAGGGTTCTCCATGAGGTACGGGATGATCGTGTTCTCGTCGACGCTGACAGACAGCACCTGACCCTTACGGTTGACACCGACAAGACCAGCAGAGTCGGAGTCTGGGGCGGTTGTGAAGATGGTCTCACTGGATATGCGGTTCATGAAAATACATGTGCCGGTCTCGAGGTCGTAGAGATGAATGAAACCGTACTTGGTGACGAGGTATACGATATCGTACTTCCTCGACACCTGCATAGCAACAGGGAAGTCGTTGACCGCCTCCGTAGGGAAGAAGACCTCCACAGCCTTCTTCTGGAACCTGGGGTTTGGCTCTTGGTGATCAATCTCGGCGATCTGCAGCTTCGCACCGGTGGGAGTGCGGACGGCAAAGGTAAAGAGCTTGTGAGGAAGAGGAGACCCTTCGACGTTAATCGTTGCGAACGCGGCAGCATGACCTTCGATGAATTGGGATATCCCGCGCTCCCGAGAGAACAGCTGCATCGAGCCGACAACACGTCCCTGCTGCTGGCTAATTCCAACGACAACCATCCATTTCTCGTCGTCATTGACGCGGTAGTTAATGATTTGGCATCCCTGTCCAGCATTAGCATTAGCACAAGGGTTTATCACAGCCTTAGATGAAGCGTACATTCAGATTTGGAAGTCGCTCGAAGATCTTTACGGGGTTGCCCTGCGTAGGGTCGAAGACATCCCAATGGTAGACGGAGTTATCCGTGACGAGACCAATGCTCGATTCACTGATCCACTTCCAGTATACGATATCCTCGTTCATTGCAGCAGACTTCAACTTCTGCTTTGCCGTCAGATCGAAGGTCTGAATTGTTCGTGCCTGCCTCAGGGCGATGATGTTTCTGTTCCAGTGCATGATGGCACTGTCTGCATTGATGGGGCGGCGAATGATCTCATTGTTGTTCTTGAGATTAATGATGATGACTTGTGGCTTGTCCGCTTCATTGAGCTTTTGTCGGACGCAAACGAAGTGATCCGACTCTAGAGTCTATTTTTTTTAGGCAGGCGGATTAGCCAGGGCTCAAAGAACAGACCCAGATCTGAGCATTACTCACACAAGAATTGAAACCAATCGATGCCGGCTAGTTCAGAGCAGCAGCGTCAGCAAGTTATCCGCAGAATATCCCTCTCCGCAACGCGCAATCGATGTCGTCGCACAAGTTGGCAGCGGCTGGGGAGCTAGGCACAATATGGATTGGAACGTACCGCAATATCAGCGCTCGTCAACTAAATATCAGAAACAACAAGTTAGTATCTTGCGGCATAACAAGCGATTGCATCGCAGCAGGTAAGACGTACCTGGAGCAGCTCCGTGAACTTGATGGGAAGAGGAGCCATATTTACGAAGGCCGCAACACGACCTCATCCACCCAACGAAACGCCGTACGAATCAACTTTGCCCTGACCGGAGGAGAAGAAGAAAAATGCAAGAAAGCAATGCAAACCGGAAGGAGGGAAGGAGAAGGAAAAAAGTGAGGGGGAATGGTAGCGGTTTGGTTTGCGAATTGAGACGCGGAAGTGAAGCTCAGGAGGCCCTCTGGTTGTCGTTGCTTAGGTGTCGCTAACAGATCCCGTCACGTGCATTGAGGCTGTTGACGGCCATCCCCACAAGTGGAGATCACGTGCGTAATGCCGTCGCCCGAAATAGCTGGATGAAACGCCCGCGTGGATCTCCAAGCAGTTAATCTCCCCAAGTTATGGCTAGAGAGATACACTAGCTAGTCCTGTGGGCCACTCGAATACCTCCGACTGAAGCCCTTAGTTAGGCAAAGAAGCTTGACATCAATAATGGCTCCTATTGTTATTCCCTGAAGATCTCACTGTCCTTCAATTGAGGCTCGCAGAGCTCTTCAGAAGCGATTCTCCGCGCATTCTTTCTGCGCCACAAGCGGTTGACTATCCACATAATTGCCGCTAACTACCTAGTCTATTGGAGATGAATGCTAAGATTACCTATCTAGATACCCCTTCGATTCTTTCTTCACCAAGAATTATCGTCACTGCCGCCATGCATGTTGGCGGAGACCCCCCCATGGTCTCTAGATGAATGATCGAGTCAATGAAAGAATATTTTCCGTCCTCCATGTGAATAGTGATAACCATGCGGTCTCCAGACGTCTCTTGGCGCTTCGACTCCCCATTACGGAATTCCAAGTTTCCATTACCATATTCTTGGACACAAACAGAACTATTCCACTGAAGATATGTTCTTACTTATCATGCTACACACTGATAACAGTAACAAGGCTTGAGATACACCTATGCACCATTGCTATCGAGCTATTCAAAATCGCCATTCAATATTTACATGAAGAAGAGGGGTTAATGACCAGACTTCACTGTAACGGCGTCAGGAAAAGACCGTCCCTTTCAAGACTCGACGAAAAAGCATCATAGACCTGTCGTCTCCATCCTGGCGGAGTCAACTCTACGACCTGATGTTTCTCGATGACGCCATCACTTTCAATTGCGGACAAGAGTCGTGTCCCTGTTTTCTCTTCATTATGCCACAGACAGCACGTGCTGTGCGGAGTCCGTGATCGATATGCAGCAACAGACATTGTAGGAAGGGGTTTCTCAACCCGTCCTTCGAAGGCTGGATCATCTTGCCCGATAAGTAGGGCTGACGGGACTTTTGCCCCCGCGAGGGTCTCCTTCCACGTCTCCCCTTCTGCAAGAGACTCAATGACCCATTTCTTAGCCAGGACCTCTGTGTTATCCGGTGTTCGTATTAGATATAGCAACGAGCCATCATCATGGCCTTTCACCGGATGGTACGGGATCGTCCACGTTTTATTCCTGATGATATCCCGTCGATTGTATGCAGAGTACATCGATCGACATCGAGAATCTTCCCGTTGAAGATCAAGCAACCACAGCCGCTTTATATGGGGGAAACTGGACGAATGGTCCAATTGACCCAGATACTCGGCGATCAACGTTCTCGCTTCAGGACGGTTGATGTAGTAATCCGTCCAACCGTATCTTTTGCCCATGAATGTCGTGCATACGTAGCTGTCCGAACAGCAGTTTATCATTGCTGTCTCCAAAAAGGGGTATTGTGATGGCGGTTCAGATTGCACCAAACTCTTCTTCTTCCCTTCTTCCTCTGCTGACCCACTATCGGAATCAGAACTGGAATCAGAATCTGAACCCGACCCCGACTCTGGCATATCCGCCCCGAATAACGCAGGACACATTCTACGAAGTCGTAATCGAAGATGATGTAACCGTGGAATAACCCCAGCAAGGATTTCACAAAGATGCGACGACCCCGGACCATCCTGATCGCACCCTCCCGTATCTATTTCTAAATAGACACACGTTTCAGGAAGTGCTTTGATCACGACACCAAGAAGCGGTCTCGACAGCCAAAAGCCACGTGCATCTCCATGTCCTACAACGAACGAGAAAGTCGACAATTGAGACATCGTTCGAATAACACCCGGGAGACATTGCATATGGCTCCAGACCGCTCCGACATTGCCCAGTCCATTCTGATTATGGAAGACCACTTCCTCATAGTTCTCCGCCTGTTCCAAATCCTTGGAGAAATCAGAAGGATCAATCGTTATCGTGAGTGACTTGACCAAATGGCCCTTTTCACGAGGAAACTTCTCCAGGAAGAGCCCCAAACCCGAAACACCAAGGACGATATCCCGATAATGTTCGCGGAGAGCGACTTCGTGCCAAGTTCTGCAGCATACGAGACAGGATACGAACGATGCGGGAGATGAACTCTGCCTGACGTGCTGTAGGATATAAGAGAGTACTTCCTCTGGTAGGGCATTGATGGTGAGAGCTTGCATTATCGTTGTTGATTTCTCGTACTCTAGAAAGGTCTTGTGGAGTATCAACTATCTGTCTAGTTAACTTAGTCGTTTGACAGATACGATGCGACAATCAGATGGCCATGGCCATGGCCATGGCTGCGCTAAGAAGTCCGAGGTCCGAGATCGCTTGAGCTCGTGAATGGTCGTTTTATCCTTGCAGAATGCGCTTGAGCTTCACGAGAATGCAAATGCAACAGGAAGTGACAATTTGTTATAAATAGGAAAGATACTAATTTAAAACAGAAAGCAGATCAATAATCCTTGAGCGATATATCTAATGTATATCGAAATAGATCCAATATCTTATCGGGGTCGAGTAGGTCGAAATTAAGTAGGGCCCCACTACCTACCTAACTAGCGGATCGGTTCTAGTGACATCACCAAAGGAAAGGAGAGGGTAGAAGTTCATGTATGGTATGGTATCAAGAAAGAATAGAAGGCTACAATAGCTAAAGTAGATGATATTATCTAAAAGACAAAAAGCTATCACAATTTTATTACCAGTGAGCTATCGGATATGCTGCACTTAAAAGCTACATAAAGCATGGGGGTATTCCCAATTTCCCACTTATCCTACTCCATCATGGGCCTGGGGGAAAAAAAAAAGAAAAAAAAGCAACTAACCCACTACCAGAAAGTCTCCCTCAACATTATCATCCCCAGCAATAAACTCCAGGGCATCAGCCAGTCGAGCAAAAATCCAAGCGTTTTCCTGAAATACGCCGGAGTAAAGGTATGTATCATCCACCATGAGCATAGGGCAGATAGCAGGCAAAGACTCTCTCCCAAAAGGCTTGGAGAGCGATTTCGTCCATTTCAAACATATCCGGATTATCCGCTTCTTGGACAGAGAGGCATTTTGTCGCCTTTTCCCATCTCATGGCCCAGTCAAGGTTCGAAACAGTGCGCTCGGCAGGCCTGGTATACATGTTAATGATAATAGCCTGGCGATATTCAAGGCGCCGTGAAAACTACTTACCAAGAAGTCAACTGTACGTGAAGATCCCACCCAGGGCCACTACATCATTAAATTAGCCTTGATTTGGTTCGCAGAGATATACCTGGAGCACGTACTGTGTATTCCAAACGCGAGGTTTAGCGACTTTTCCGCGTACCGTCTCATCATTTCCCTTTCCCGCACCGACCGTGGATTGCAGATTACCCTTTGTGTCAGGGAGGCCTTCAGCATTGAGTGCATGATTTTGGTTTGAATCTCCGCCAGAGACAGTCACAGGACCACAGAGTCTGCTTGGACTCGACGATCAGTATCATATCATAGAATCATAACGACAGAAAAGCTGACACATCTCATAGTCTCAAAAGTAAAGATGCATAGCGAATAGGCCGATGATAGGCAATTGCCCAATCAGCCGTAGATAAGAACATACCTTTCTCTTCGTAAGGCTTCCTTGTGCTGGTATTCAAACTTTGACATGAACTTCCCGTCTATTTTAATGCAAGACAGCTCTCCACAATCTTCCATCAAGGATTTCATGGAGTATACGAATGTGCCCAAGATAGTCAGCACTGCAATGAGGGCTACAAATAACCCCAATCCAATTCGGACAGGCTCGGGTACCCGCATCTTGCTTCTGTCCGACATCTCGAGAGCTGAATAGGAAATCGATTTCGAAGTATGATCGGACTCCCTCCCAAGACGAACTCGCATTTTGTGTCTTTCTGTTTTTTTGTTCTTTTCGTGAATCACCTTCGTCAAGAAATACTCTCTCTCTCCAGCAAAAAAAGCGCGCGTAATAGTTAGAAACGAACTAGACCAAACAGGCCCGATCAGTAATCCGACTAAGTAACCAGGCGCCCTCCTTCTCCTCCACCTTTTTTTTCTTTTCTTTCCCTATACTAGTCCACGAAGGACAAAGGAACCGTAGAACCCCAACCGCCTTGCTGGGAGAAACTTTGATATACCTTATCCGTCATGAGCCGAAGAACCAAAACTTAAACAACTAAACAACCATGGAAAAAAGGAAAGATGACGTCAAAACACATAATTCACTGACCTCAGTAGTTTAGACACCTAGGTAGGTATTCTTCTATCTTTTTTACTTTTCCTTTTTTTTCTTTTCGAAACGAGAAACACAGACTGAATGAATGGTTCCCAAAATCGAGTGAGATCCCACCGGACGAGGAGGTGAGATAATCGTGGCTGAAAACAAGCTTTCCGGTCCAGTATCAGACTTGAACTGGATCCTCCGGACGCTGAACCACGGGCGACTGGAGCTCTACCAGGCCTGGGTCTGCGCCTTCAGAACGGACGGTCTGGTCTCGCTGAAAGAGGAGACGGAGGAAGTAGACCGTGAAGAAGCAAGCGAGTAAGAATGCCAAGACAATCTCAACGATTATGAATGTGTCAATCATGCTTTTAGACATGAGGTTGATAGATAGGGATAGAAAGATAAGTGGATGAGTGGTAGAGAGGGAGGCAGGGAGAAAAAATGAGGATGGGATTTTTTTTCGTGTGATGTGAAAGGAGCGACAGACAAGACCGGGGCGCAACCCTCATCGTTATGGTGATGTGCTTAGTCGTTGTGCTTAGTCGTTGTTTCCTTAACATGTTGACGTGTTAGGCAAAGGGGATAATCACAATGAAGATGGAATTATACCTATCGCTGTGCCCAGCTGTGAACAGACAAGGCATATCTAGATGCCGATTGCTACGTTCAGACAGACGCTATAGAGCTATACAACCATGGAACATCAAATAATGGAAGTATCTCCTCGGACCACAGCTTCTCAAAGTTACTTTCACATTAATAGAGCTAGGTAACAGTCTATTTCCTATGAATGACTCTATATAGCAGCTCTAGGATCCGACCTTAGCTTATATGTGTATAGCAAGACATGAAGCGGGCGCTACTGCCATCAATCTCTGGGTTCCAGTGCGTCTGAACCGTCAATATTCATAATCGGAAGTCCTGGCATATTTGAGGGGCGGGGTGCGAATCGTGAAAAGGTCTCTCGAACGGAAACCATATAATCAACAATTGGAAGCCTAAGAAGAGGCGCCCAATATACTAGGGGAGAAGCGAAGCGTTCATGATGAGAGTCGAAGACTAGTGGGAGCCAGTCGACTGCAACTCAACCTCCGTTGAAGCTCCATATGCTTCACCATCCTTGGAATTTTCAGCTTGTTTTTGACCGGCGACGAATCCATACTGAACGGCCATCTGTTCGACCTCTTCAGTTGTCAGGTGAGGAAGGTCTTTCGCAGCACGGACGTGTCCCTTGCCGTCTGTCCAGCCCTTCGCGAAGACAATATCGATCTCTTCCAAGCTGCGTCCCGCAGTCTCCGGGTAGAAGAAGTAGATTACTGGAATGAAGAGGGCGTTCATGCAAGCGAAGAACAGGTAGGTTCCCCAGCCGATGTTGGAAATCATGACGGGCGTGACCATGACTATGATAAAATTCCAGAGCCAATTGGTGCAGGTAGATAGAGCATTGGCCTTTGCACGAGTCTTAATGGGAGAGATCTCAGCCGGGTAAAGCCACGGCAGAGACAACCAGGTAGCACCGAAGAAAGCGATGAAGGTAAACAGGCCAACTGCAGCACCCTTTGCATTGCCTGTCGTATCGTTGACCAAGCAAGCGAACGTGATAACCATAGACAGGGACTGGCCTGCGGCGCCAATGAGGAACAACTTGCGGCGACCGACACGCTCGATAAGGAACCACGAAGTGGTGGCGAAGATGGAGTACACAATCATGTTAATTCCGCCCATGAGAAGAGCCATATTGTGGTTCTCGCCGATAGATTCTTCAAACAGAATCGGGAAGTAATAGATCACTGCATTGCATCCACCGACCTGCTGCATGAATTGTCCAGAGGCACCCAGAAGCATACGGCGCAAATGTTGAGTCTTTCCGCTTGTGAACACAGCTGAGAGCGGAGTTGACTTGCCACCAACACCCGAACTATATCAGAAGAAACTGTCAGTGGATCTGAATATCTTAGACGAGAACTAAATGGTGGTACGTACGCTCTAAGAGAGTCCAGAATTGTCGCTTTCTCGACCTGCACCAACTTATCTGAAGGCTCCACGCCGCCAAGGGCAGCGATAACTCGCTCGCCTTCGTCATATTTTCCTCTCAGAAACAACCATCGGGGGCTGTCAGGGAGGAAGTACATGCCCACTGTGATGGAAATACAGAAGAAGCATTGGAACGCAATAGGGAATCTCCAGACAAGATCATCTGGTCCGTACGAGGCACCATAGTCGATCCAATAGGCAACCATGGTGCCAATGGCAACGACGCCTCCTTCGATACAGATCAACAGGCCTCGATTGCTGGATTTGGAACACTCAGCCTGATAGGTTGGAATGGTAGAAGTGTTGATGCCATTTCCTACACCCGTTACAATTCTCCCAATGACGAACTGTGCGAGCGGCTGATTTCCTGGGTAAACTACCACTTGAAGAATCACACCGATCATCATGGTGATAGCCCCAAGGATGATGGCTTTGCGTCGTCCCAGACTGTCTCCAGCCCAGATGATGAAAGCTGCACCAACAAGACATCCTACGATAGCTTAGAAACCAATTCAAATACTTGTTGTATGAACCCAACTTACCAATCTCGAAAATTGCAGTCACAAAACCTTGCATGGTTGAGTTACCTTTGGTCTCCTGGAGGACTGCTGCGAATGCGGGCGCCGTGATAATCCCCGACATGACACCCTCTAAGCAAGGTCAGTTGGCTTCCTTTTTTTTTTTTTTTTAGTCAACCCTATCAAAAGTACTTACGGTCATAACCGAATAACATGAATCCTGTTGTAGCTATACATGACACCATGAGGGACAAGGGCCGTCCCGAAAGGCCCATATATTTTGGAGGCATGATGGACAGAAACTCCAAGATAGCGTATTACTAGGAGTAGTCACCCTGGAGAAGATAATGAGATGTAGTATATCCAAGTCGTGATAACTGAAGACGCAGAGAACAAATATTGAGTGAATGATATGATAGAATCTCCTCAAATGTCAAGTTGAGGATAGACCAAATAGAGATAGTGCACAGGAGAGAACTTCATTAACGATGTCCATTTCCAAATACTTCTCATCTCCCTTTTCCATCTATGCCAGTAGTCTTTATCCAAGACGGGCCTGAAGCCACGAGGAACCATGGCATCTTCCCCGGAGACAGCGCAAGGTTTGGTTAGAAGACAACGAGCTTGACTGCTAGACAATACTCGATCTGTGCCTGCTAAATTGAACACCACTGGGGTTTGAAGCCGTGGTAATCTCGGCACCTAGGTTCTTAGGCTACCATGAGAAGTTATACTTTGCTTCATCCGGAAGTAAATATGGTTTGCGGGAAAGCACCACGGCTCGTTATCGTAAGGGACCGCGGAGTAATAACCAAAGACTAGGACTAAGAAGCCAAAGCATACCTAGGTAGTTCAAGAGAAAGCCGAGACTTTTCAGGGGGAATTATTATCTCCCTTCTAGGTTTCCAAGCTACTTTCAATGTGAGTGAAGCTTACACCCCAGCCGCTGCTGAGCCATAATAGTAAGCACTAATCATAATTTGTTATCAATTCAGTATCCTACAGACGATGAGCCTTCTGGAGATGATCAAATGGCTGACGAAAGACCTGCTTTCGTCCATTTCGATTGTTGATATTACTATTACTAAGCGAGTATTGCGATATTTTATCTTCTTTTTTTCAGCAACTAATCTGCCTTCTTGGGCGTTATTTGACCGCTCTCAGGAGCAGACCTTCCTAAGCGACTGGCCACAGATATAGCCTCGATGAGCTTGATGCCCGCATCGGTAGTCTCCTGCGCAGTATGGTGCCAGGACCAGAACTTGGTAGACTTATCAGAATCGCGGAGTAGATCAGTATCGGTCCTACAGATTTTGTGGGGAACCTCTGTCTCGTTCCCATCTTCAGTCTCATCCTCCGAGGGACGGACATGCTGGCTAGATGCCGCTGTAGGATCCAATCTGTTAGTCTCAATCACGACGTCCGTGACCTCGTTAAAACGGACGCGCGGCTTATATACTCTGCACAGTTCGGCTGCTTCCTCAGAGAAGGTCTCCAGATAGCGTCTTTGGATAGTATCGCGCCGTGCTTTCTCACGATGGATGGTCTCTGACCCGATCTTCTGTAGCGCAGTGCGGACAACGTACCGAGCGACATAATAAAGTTGCTCAGCGACGAAGATCGTCAGAAGCAGAGACCACAGTTCGACCTGTCGGACATTTCTGCGGTAGAGGTGCACGATGGCCGCCGTGGACAGACAGCCCAACCAAGCGATGAACTCCAAGATGCTGAGGCAAGGGCCGATGGTGTCGGTACGGAGCGGCGCTGGTCGCTGCCGCTCCATAATGGTCTTGAAGAGCTCACTGCGGAAGCCAGTCCAGTGGAGGAACAAGAACACCAGAGGCACAAGTGGCCAGACTGCCCCGAAAAGAGCGAGATACCCGAACTGGACGCAGATCTCCAAGAGATTATCCTGCACATCGCGTACAGTAGCCTCGGACTCATCTCTCACGCGGCTCAAGAAACCGGACTCTTCGGGATGGTCGATCAAAAGGAGAGAGGAGCTGTTTGAGCGCCGGTATGGATGAAGGATATCCGTTGGCCTGTCGGGCAGGTAGTGGAGATACTTCATGAACGAGACCTGCGCGCCGTGCGGCAGGAAATTCCTCTCCCTGAATTGCAGCATGACAGTCACCAGCACGAAGGAGATGACTTGCTGCTGTAAGCGGCGGGAATCTATATGTCTTGGAATCCGGTCAGAGAACCAAGTGAAATGCAAGGCATCCAAAGAGGAGCCAATTCGGTCCCCAAAGGGGACGCAGACAAAAGCTGTCAGTAGCAAGGGCAAGAAGTAGGTGATGAATCTCGATAGGAAGGTCTTCTGGGCTCGTGCTAGCTCATACTGGGCCTCAGTGCGATGGTTCTCGTAGTCTGTCAACCTGGCCGCAGCCTTACTGAGGATCGAGCTTATTCTTGGCAGGGAGAGGGCCAAGGATATGGTCGGGAGGAAGTCCTGCGGAATCACTTGTCAGACGGGTATATTCCATTTGAGATTGGGAGATACGTACTATGAAAGCTTTAAAGGGGCCTTTGTAGACCTCCAAGGCGAGGAGCTCGACAGTAAAGGTCACCAGGACCAAGGAACCAATGAAGAAACTGGCGAGTATGGCAACTGCGAACTGTGGTAGCTGTCGAAGTAGCTGCTTTTCGACCTGGTAGATCTCTTTTGTCCTCTGCACCGTTTGATGCCCCTGCGCTTCTTTTTCCCAGGTGCTGTGGGCCCTATCGCCCTTGACCTCACACACACCTCTAGAACCCCATCTGATGGCGAGATCGGTTTGTTGCACCTTCCAGTATTCGACAAAGATGATACACCATAGACAACTGATGACAGAGAAGCCGATAGAGTACGAGCCGTAGTACATCCAGCTGAGAGTTGCGAAAACTGCTGCGCCAGCAAGGAAGAAACCGTAGTATTGCCCAAACGCAAAGTAAAGTGCGACCTGTATGAAACCTATTAGTGCTGGTGAATCAATTATATAATGGCTGAATAAGTACCCTCTCGCCAAACAAGGCTCGTAGCTCATCTAGATCGTCCGACTCCAGAATCCTGAGCCGCCTCCATCGTCGAAAGAGCCCTCTGTTGGCATTGGGGCTATGGAGCGGAAAGCATGCTTTGACATTCTTCCACCTCCCGCGATTTGCGGTTACTTCTGCACCACCGTCGTCTTTTCGCCCTGTAACGAGGTGATGAATCGACCGCAGCTCCTCCGCCTCGGTATCACCGTCGATAACAGTGTGACTGTCGCCCACGGGACGGATATCCGAGATCCCATCGAGCCAGTCCTTGACTCTATATCCCTTCATTTAGCACGCAGTAATCAAGACCTCGATGGAGCAGTTAGTCCTCACCTAGACTTGAAGACTTCGTGCCCCAGACGTTCTCTGGGCGCATTGACGAAGACCAGTAATGAGGCTCCATTACCATGTCGGACTTGGGTACGGAGACCCGCCTCATCCAGGTCCCGGATCAGGGACCGAAACTCATCGATAGCGGCAGCGGTATCTGAGGATGATGTCAGCTGTGATCTAGTTACGAGGTCGACACCAACGGAAAACATACCAGCACCATCAAACTGATAGCGGATAACCCAGTCGACACCGAGATTCTCTTCGTCAGATGATCGACGATCGGGAAAGAGCACCATTGCCCTCGTGAAGAATAGCAGCGCTGCAGTGACGGGTGCCTCGTCACGAGGAAACCGGAAATGACAACTAGGAACGGAAGCAGGACTAAAAATGAAGCACTTTTCTCATCGCATGATGGACGAGTATGTATATTTTTTTGTCGTGAAGCAGAGATCTCGAGAATCAACTGGCTTCTCAGCGTCACATTATCCACTGGTATTATTTGTCGAGTATCAAGAGTAGAGTAGAGTAGAGTAGAGTAGGCAGACGAGGAAAGATGCGGGAGGAACCGGCTGGGCAGTATTTAGGGAAAGGAACAGCAAGTGTTTGACAGCTCAGCCCTACTACTTAACTTAGCAAAGAACGATTGATTACGCATTCTTACTAGATTACTAGCAGTAACTAACTAGTTAGCAGGGAGAATTCTCTCAGTTATTAGTTTAGTTCACTTCGAAAATCACAAATCAGAGCGGGGCGCCGGTCGGGTGACTGAGCATTCCACTTCCCACGTGTCTCAGTATAAGTAGGAGAGGTAAGTTAAGTACAGTAGTAGTTAAGTGAATATTGATTTTCAGACGATGACGGAGCCGATACAGAGCAGAACAAAGTCTCAAAGACCTTTGTGCGTTTATTATTATTATGATCAGTCAGATATCGACCTCTGCACGAGGACAATCCGGTTTGACTTGTGCAGAACCGCCTAGAAAAACTACTACAACTAGCAAACGAGGGGATCATCCGGGCAATTCCCACAGCATGATCACGACGGGGTTCAGTGATGTGAGCTAACCCGCACAAGTTCACTAAGGACAAGTCAATGGCCTGTTTTTAGAACATTTCAACACACCAAGCTGAGCCAAGCTTTTCGGGGCTTGATTAGCGGTCCCATCGTTCCGGTGATGGCCTTTGTTAGCCGGAAACTAGTCATGGGCCATGAAATGAAGAGTCTCCAAGAGGGGGAAAGGGGAGGAAAAGGGAGAGAAGCACTGTGTTAATAATGATAATATTCAATTAATCCCTACCTATCTTGTTCTCTCGAAAATCCAGGTGGTCTGTCCGAGGTCCTGATAGATAGTATAAATACTAGATAGATAGTGAGAGGGAATTGACTCAATTAATAATAATGGCTATGTCAGCCCCACAGAATGAAAAAGTTAGACGAAGAAATACTAACTAGTACTCCATAATAATGATATGAAAAGGAAATGATCTGATTACTTGACGACAACCCGGTTCCCCAGACGGGTAAGGCCATCCTATCGTATTTTCTCATTATTCCCCGACTCCACACAAACTCAACTGCCAAGTATTCTAACGGGCTTCCAGAGTTCCGATCTGATAGACGAGATCTAAAACGAAAATCGCTACATAAGAGAAGGCACAGTAAGAATACCATTATAATGAAACTGCCCTCCCGTCGGTCTTGGCTGCGGGGGGGATACCGGGGTCCATTCCCCTGACTTAGTATATATAGACTACTATGGTACTACACACAGGCTGTTTGCGGAGTACTTAGCTCGCTGCGTACCGTAATTAAACAATCTATTTTAAAGAAATGATCGTCCCTAAATACGGTGAACAGATACCATGGTCCACGAACAGGGACACAAACCCCTTGCATACTATCACATTTCCACCTGACAACCATGGATACCACCACACGCCGGGATTTGGGGTTACATATTTAGACCTCACTCTTCCAATCTAGTCGTTGCAGATACATATCAACGTTACCATCTCCATCTCAAATACTCGCCTTGCTCGTATAATACTGTGTGAAGTCATGCAGGAGAACATTCAAGAACTGCTCATCCAACGAGGTCAGATTCATCTCTTCGAACAATATAGGCCGCAGAATTCTTTTTTTTAAAAACAAAGAGAGGGAATTTTCTTACCATTGACATTTCCAACGCGAGCTGCGGATCTTTTTCCGCCTTCTGACACTCCACCAGCAACGGATCCGTCTGCCCGCATTTTCAGGGTCATTCTTGCTCAGACGGTAGAAGTTCTCCCGCGACGATGGATCAATCACTTCTGTATAGATCTTGCGACGGATCTCGGCGTACTTATCGAGGATGGAATCGTCTGCGAGACCCTTGTGGATTCCGACCAGACAGTCGTAGAGGCTGCCTACGTCGGCGATACCCCCCGTGAGGCCAAGGCCGCCGCTACAGAAGTATCAGTATAGCTCTGATACCGACCATCATGACGAAAGAAAAAGGGGAATGGGGTCAAGAAACATACAATGGATTACACAAATGCGCCGCATCAGCCGCCAGGATGAACCTCCCCACGCGAAACTTTGGCGCGCATCGCTGCTGCAGCTTATACGGGCTGATATTCGTGATTCTATACTCCCCCGGCTTGGGGCTTCCAGGTAGGAATTCCTGGAACCGCATCGGCTGTCTCTTCTTGTATTCTTCCGGAGTCAGACCGGGCTTATCGCAGTATGAGACACGATATAACCCGTCGTTGGCGATTTTCGCAACCATGTGCCAGTTGTCCGGGTCGACGATATAGTTTGTGTCGAGGTAGCCGAATTTCGTGAAGTCGTAATATACCTGTTCCATTTCATTCAAAGATGCATCAGTCTTTTGAACTTCCCATTCATCGCCCTCTCTCATCAAGGGGATGCCAATTCTTTTCACTTCATATGAAAAGAAAAGAAAAGATAAGATCTTCTTCCATTTCAACTCACATTCGTCGCGATAATCTGCGCATCCAACGTCTCCCCGGGAAAATTCATCTCCCCAAACAACGCTCTCCGGATCTTACTATTCCCACCATCACACCCGACAACATAATCCGCCTCGAACATCTTCACACCCTCGGGCGTCTCGACTTTCGCCCACGCCTTCTTCTCATCCTGTCCGATATCCACAACTCGATGCGACCAATTCACCTTCGCGATCGGGTCATACTTCTGCACATGTGCATAGAGGACTTTTCCCAATCTGTTCAGCGGCAACACGACCATCGCGTCCGGGTTATCGGGAAAAGTCATCTTGGCGATCACACTCCCGTCTACTTTGCGCCAGCAGGCCGTGGAGGGTTTGAAGCCGCGAGCCGCGACGTCGTCGAGAACGCCGGCTTTGCGGAGGATCTGGATCGCAGGGGGTGCATAGTGTGCTGCGCGAGGTTGTTCGTCGAGTTGGGAGGTTTGTTCGAGGAGTGTGGTGGAGATTCCTTGTCTGGCGAGGAGGATGGAGAGTAAGAGACCGGATGGACCGGCGCCAACGATGAGGACTTTGGATAGTTTTCCTCCTCCTCTTCCTGTTGTGATCTGTTGTCCCGACATTTGGCTTGTTTTTTTGTCTTTACTTCTTTTATCCAAGACTTTTCTTTTTTTACCAATGATCGTGATACTCTAACAGACAGAAACAGAAAATCGTTCACCGACAGGGAGACCCTTGCTGTCTCTCTTAGAGAATAATTATATCAATCAATCAGTCAATCAATCTCCCACACCTTCCCCCCCAACTCCACGCGACATTAGAAACCATTTATGTTTGGGAAAAACCATCGTGGGGCTTCTACCACCACCACCACCACCACCTACCTAGGTACCTACCGACATAACTAACTTAACCCCCCCGATGTCGCTCAACTCGGGGAGGAGGATGACAAGAGATACGAACCCACACGCCCATCCATCCCATGCGGGGCCTAAATAAGAACAATAATAGTAAGCAAAAACATGCAGACCGCCATATCTAACCAACTAACAAACAAGAAAAAAAAAGAGAGAGAGAGCTCAGACTGCCCGAACAAAGTCCGGAAAATATAGATCCCACCGGGAAAACTCCCTTGCGGGGAAAGACAATAATGGAGCGGTGGCGGATAGGAAATACTGCAATTCGAGTTTAGTAGTTTACTAGTAGTAGTAGTAGTAGTAGTAGTAGTAGTAGTAGTAGTAGTAGTAGTAGTAGTAGTAGTAGTAGTAGTAGAAATTGAAATAATATTATTCTACCTATACGGGAGGGAAAATGTTCATACCCTCGGGTAACTAAACTCCTGGGGGGAAGATTAATACAGTACGCCTGTTTTTGGCCTTGCTTTCTTTGGTGGTGGTCGTGGCATAGATTGAAAGTCGTTATTTGAACTACGAAGGTGTGTTGATATAGAACTGCCACGTAGGGTTAATCAGTGTTCATGGAAGGTTAGGTTGGGTCTTGATCTGTTTGTTCAGAGGCATATCTAGTGTGTTGTTGAGGTAGATACTGGAGTACGGAATACCATACGGAGTACTATAGAGAGAATGTGGATATGGTGGCGGAGTGGAAAATGCGGGGGTGGCCAGCCAGGATGTGGAGGCTTCGGTACAGTCTTTTTGCTCGGGTAAAGCACTTTTCTAGATCATAACGTGCTCTCACAATATATACAGCCCATACGGATCTAGATATTAATTACAATGTCATGGCTGATTAAGTTTACGAGACGAGGCATTTGAATCAGAACGAGTTGAATTGTCCTTGATATATTTTTGTCTATATCCTTCTTTTCCCACAGAAAAACGAAATGCTTATATAACTCAGACCAAAAAAGAAAAAGAAAAAGAAACTACGCCAGACTTTATCGTCAGCTGCGTATTCGGGAATTCATATGTCAATGTCGTCTTGTCGCTAAGATACAGAGAGCCAGCTCAGTGGTGGAACAGCCGAGTGCCCTGCTCGACGTACACGATTCCGAGCTTCTCGGCAGTCTCGAAGACAGCGCCGTCGTTCTGGCTGCCGCTGGGGGCCGCAATGTACTTGACACCGGAGCGGGCGGCACGGAACACGTTGTCCGTGAAGGGGAACTGCGCATGAAAATGTTAATCACAATATAACACCAATATGAAAGATTAGGATCACATACGAAAGCATCCGAGGAGACTGCAACCTCGCTCAGCTGCTTCAGCCAAGCCTCGCGCTCCTCCTTGGTGAACTGAGCAGGAACTTCCTCGAAGACCCGCTCGAATTCGGCCTTCTCGATCTCGTTGCTGGGCACCTGGCCGGAGCACAGCATGTCGATGGCGTTGCTCTTGTCGGGGCGCTTGGTGCCCTTCTTCCACTTGAGGTTGAGAGCACGGTCGTGGAAACGCATCCACCAGTTGTCGGCCTTGTCACCGGCCAGACGGGTGCAGTGGATACGGCTCTGCTGACCGGCACCCAGACCGATGACTTGGCCGTTCAGGGCGTAACAGACAGAGTTGGACTGCGTGTACTTCAGAGCAATGGTGGCCACCGTGAGGTCACGGAGAGCAGAGTCGGGAAGGGTCTTCAGGTCCTTGGGGGTGACGATGGTGTTGAAGGTCTTGGTAGGAGTGATGGTGACGTCGTTGCGGTGCTGGGTAAGCTGGACGCCGTAGAGGGTACGGGTCTCCTGAGGAGCAGGGACGTAAGACTCGTCCATCTGGAGAACAAGGTACTTGCCGCCCTTCTTGCCAGTCAGGAGCTTGAGAGCCTCGGGCTCGTAGCCAGGGGCGATGACACCGTCCGAGACCTCACGGGAGATGATCTTGGCGGTGGGGACATCGACGATGTCACTGAGGGCAATGACATCTCCAAAGCTGGACATGCGGTCAGCGCCACGAGCACGGGCGTAAGCCTGGGCGAGACCGGAGTTCTCGAGTCCCTCAATGTCATCAACCATGTAGACCTTGCGCTCCTTCTCGTTCAGGGGAACACCGATAGCAGCACCAGCGGGAGAGACGTGCTTGAAGCTCGCCGCAGCAGGGAAGCCGAGGGCCTGCTTCAGCTCCTTGACCAGCGGCCAGGCGTTGAGGGCATCGAGCAAGTTCACGTAGCCGGGAGATCCACCAAGCACCTTGAACGGAAGCTTGCCCTGGACCATGTAGGCAGCGGCAGGCTTCTGGTGGGGGTTGGTACCATAGCGGAGAGAAAGATGCTGAAGACCGTTACCAGCATACTGCTTGCGGAAGAAGCCCGAGATGGCAGAGTCGTAGTCGGCAGTCTGCTCGAAGGCCTTGAGGGCGTACAGCTTGCGGCTCTCCTCAGTGACCTCGCCGGCCTCCAGCTCCTTCAGGAACTCGGGGTAGTCGTTGGGGTCAGAGAGGATGGTAACGCGGGAGTGATTCTTGGCCGCAGCACGGAGAAGAGTCACACCACCAATGTCAATCTCCTCGACAGCCTCGGGGATAGTGACGTTGACCTTGGCGACGGTCTCCTTGAACGGGTAGAGGTTGCAGACAACGTAGTCCACCTTGGCGATCTTCTGGTCGGCCAGGTCCTTCTCGTCGGACTCCAGATCGCGAGCCAGGATACCACCATGCACGGCAGGGTGGAGGGTCTTGACACGTCCACCGAGCATCTCGGGGGCGTTGGTGATGGCAGAAACATCCCTTATCGTCAGGTCAGCCGGAGTTTCCTCCAATATGACATATCCTGTCCATCGTCCAGCCAGAAATAACCACACCACACCACACCCCTCAGTTGACAAAGGAGTGTGACCACCATTACTATCCCGCATGATGTATGGGAAGACTCACTCAACGGGGAATCCAGCCTCGCGGATCAGCTTCGCCGTACCACCAGACGCGAGCAGACGGACATTGTGCTTGACAAGGCCCTTGGCCAGGTCCAGCAGACCGGTCTTGTCGTAGACGGAGAGGATAGCTATGTCAGAGCGTCAGTTGAAGCCATCATGACAATTGACCATATAACAACAGTATATATTTAAAAAAAAAGATAAAAAGGACCGACCCGATCCCATCCCTCAACCATATTGCTTCAAAATATCAAAAATGACGTACCTGACTTCTGCGCCATGACGGATGGAAACCCTGTCGAACTAATATCATCGAAAGAAACCAGTATTAGCCCCAGATTCCAATCAGTTTTCTTCACGGCACGAAAAACCAGAAAAACCACAACCAAGTATTATTAGAGAGACAGGAAAGGCACAAAAGCTCAAGACCACAGATTTCACATACCCTTTCTTCGATCGATTGAGACAATGCAAGGAAGTGCGAATCCAACCCAAGATCACTGCGAGAAAGAAGGTCAAATAAAAAAAGAAAGAAAGAAAGTTGAACACCGACCTCGCACTTTTTCTCCCGTTTCCCTTTTTCCCGCGGGGTTCGACCTCGCACTCTGAACTCTCTCGGATCAAGTAAGAAAGACGGATCCGCTCCTTGAACCCCGCACCATCCCGCATCAGGTTTAGCGCATTATCCAGTTTCGCCATTGACATCAGCTATTCACCGCTTTCCTAATCTGATAGATATCTTGGATCATGTGGTATCACCTGATGTGATCGATATCACCTGATGACATGGCGCACAGACCATCTGCCTAAACGGGTCCGCGTATATTTTGAGATTTTTCGGCTTCGAATTTTCCTTTTTCTTTTCTTTCTTTTTTTTTTTTTCTTCATGAACAACGCAAATAATCAACATTCTTCTCAAAAAGCGTTCCTACGAGGTTTACTTCACGTTGGCCTATGAAGTACGGAAATCGTCATAGAGAATGGAGATCAGATGTGGCTGACTTCTGTTGGCTGCATGGTGTCGATCTTGGGTGCAGTGCCTTCCTATTGTAAGTGGAAGGGATTGCAATGATTGACTCTACATGCTCCTTTTTCTTTCCCACTATATTTCTTTCTGTCTACGTAAGTGAAGGAAGATTCATCGCGTAAAAATTCGTATTCTGCGTTGAACAGCCTATTATTATTTAAGAGTTGATCGGTGTATGGGTGTGCGAGTCATAACGTTTCAAGGGATCCCTTTCTCTTATCCCTCCGGGTATAAAACGACAATAATGATCGACTTTTGCATGTCTCTCGGAACGAGTTCAGCGGCTTGCTGCAGGTCCGCTCGGTGCCAGCAAACGTCCAATGTTTCCAAAGCACACGCATGCGCAAAACAGGACACTGGCCACCCACGTGCCGATCGCAATGCTGTCCCAGGAGAGTCCCAGCTCGAGGCCGTATATCTGCCCCGAACCGTTGGGGATCGTAATCCGAGCGGGTGGATTGGTTGGCATTGGGATCACCTCTGGGCTGACCTGCAGGATGACGCCCATTCCGATTATGCCCACTGCTGTCGACAGGAAAAACCCAGGCTTGGAGCGATCCACAAGGTACCACAGAACCGGGTTGACGAGGGCGAGGGTGAGAGAGGCTTGGGCTGTACTCTGCCAGGGCAATCTGCGCTATAAGATTGTCAGCAATCCGAAGTATATGTCAGGGACGGGAGGGAAATATATATAGCTGTAATGAGAACTTACAGTAGCGAAAGCAATGCCAACAAAGGCACCAATGCTGCGGACGACAGGACTCCAGCGTGAGAAGCGAGACTCTGCATCTGGCTGTTTGGCTGGCTTCGCAGCTTCACCCAGAAAATCTCCCCATAACCCGTCCAGCCAGGGCAGCACACTCCCCAGGGCCACGCCGGCGAGTCCCCATAAACCAATGTACTCCCATGAAGACGAATCGATATTCGTCTTCACCGGCGTGATCCAATGATTCTCGTGTAGATGAGAGACGAGGGTGCCGTAGGCAACGCCGAAACCGAACAGGAGGACGCTCCGCTGCACAAAGGGGAGAACTGTTCCACGAAAGCCATGGCTGCGACGAGCAGAGGAGCCTCTCCTCAAAGCTGGCTTTTCTTCTGACACCGGCGACAACTGCGTCTTCTCAGCGCCAGAAGGCTGGACCTCCGTCCCCCACGGTGTTGAATCGTCGCCGCGCGGGTTGTCGAAGGCGGTTGGAGAGTAGATACCGTACAAGGTGGACGAGGTCAGGTTGAGAATCGAGCCAGTACGGCTTCCCAGCCCGTCTTTTGTGCTTTCCTTTGTGCTCAGTAGATCTGGATTCGTGGGCTCCGGATGAGGCGTGGAAGGCTCGGAGGAATCGTTCGACGGCGCCAGTTCGAAAGTGCGCCGCGGCACAGGTTGCACGATCGTGGGCTGTTGTTGAGACATAGCGGGCGACAATCAACAGTTGCTCACCGGGCAAGAAGCTGCTTCTGCACCCGTAATAATGAATAATGTCAAAAGTCTGCAATAATGATTTTTTCGCGCCCCCAAGGCAGCATTCAACGAAGGAGACTGGGCGGCTGGCTCCCTAAGCTTAGCGTTGTCGCGGGCTAAAGTTAAGTAGAGGAGAGAGCTCGGATCGATTCCACTCTACTCAACGCTCCAAAGAAGACTTTTGTAGTACGTAGTACTGTACAATGGAATGGAAGTCTCCGCCAAAAGCCGCAGTGATGTGATGCTCCCTTCAAGTATCTGGGGAAATAGTCCTGTGGTGCCGGACTACTGTCTGTTCTTAAGCTCACCGCGCAACGGATTGTGACTGTCCCGACGCCGACGGGGTCAACAGTTTCGGCGCTAACTTATTCGCAAATGGACCGAGAGGATTGGCGGGAAACTTAAGCAGTCAAGAACGCGGAGAATCGCTGATCACCCGGTCAGTCAATAATCGAAATGGACACTTAACTTACTCTGCATTCCTCACGGAGCGGGGAAGAGATGGGGGGAACGTACCTTAGTTGCTTGCCTGTTGCGTTTCAGGTCGATCCCACCCGCGTGTACTTATGAGGAGAGAGGAAGACAAGCTTGTTCCGGTCTGAAAAACACAGGAATAATAAGTAAGTAATGGATAATCTAGTCTAGTTTGAGAAAACAAACACCAAGAATAAGAGGCATCGAAACGATTCAAGAAGAAGAAAAAAATGACGTCTTTGACTGGTCGAATTAGATGGAAGCAGGTAGGGCAGATACTTAAGCAAGAGGGACAGAAATAATCATAATAATAATAATAATTATTGATGAAGTCTCCGTGTCCCTGTGCTGTTATGGAGACGCTATCCGATCAATCCGGTCTGATCTCATCCATTCACCCTCAATACGGAGCAAAGATCAGTAACGCCCTTTCTTCCCCCCGCAGATATTCTACCATCTACAGCCGAGGCCATCGTTGTGCGTGTGCGAGGCAGCCACCATGCGGGCCCTCGTACGAAGAACGATCACTCACTCAGCATCCTTACATCGCTCAACAGAGACTCGATTGAGCTGTAAGAGTGATTCGATACGCTAATGTTGAGAGTCGTTGATGCGATCTAGCCAGCCATTTGCGATGCTTTGATCCAATCGGAGGCTTCCTGGACGCTTGAAGGAGCAAGGGTCATTCCTGATAGTTGCTCCGGAATCCCACTCTAATTCTCGATAGAGAATTGCCATGCCTCGACATGATGAGGAATAGTAGACGTGGCGCAATCTAGCATCCAGCTACGGCTGGCTGAGACACGTGATATATATATATATATATATATATGCCCCATCAGTGTGTGGCACACGATGAGCTTCAACGAAACACAGAATAGCAATCATTTCACCCTCTCTGGGTCCGGAAACCGTGAATTCAATCACAAGTATAACGACAAGACTATCAAGTCTTGGTTTCACAAGAGATTCGATCTATAGATAGCGAGGGCAGAATAGACTATGCAACTTGTACTGTATCTCCAACACCAAGGGACAATGGACAATCTCTTTTTGCAAAGCAGAAACTGACACATACAGTACATCGCAATGGAAACAATATTTGGTGAGGACAGTGGCGCCCCGGACATGACCACCCTTCTGACACAGTAGCACCTGAACGCGATTTCGACAGAGGGGGAAGAAATAGTAAGACAGTTAGAGAAAAGACAAAACAAGAGCCATGCATGCCATGCGTGGTGATTACCCGTTGCCAAATACCCCCCCCCATAAGGACCCAGATATCAAGTGCCTCCCACCCTTACTGATCTTCCATGGTTTCATCGTCATCGCCTTCTCCTGCTTCGTCTCCTTCCACCTCAACTTCGGCTTCGCCCTCAGCCTCTCCCTCTACATCGGCCTCAGGCTCCGAGCTCTCGCTCGCAGCGTAGCCGTTGCCTCCGTAGTTAGACTCGTTCTCGTTCTCTTCACCATCGCCTTCGCCTTCTTCAACATCTTCGTCTTCAGCTTCCTCCTGCTCTTCGTCGTCCTCATTATCAGTAGAAAGGGCATCGGCATCCTCGTCGACATCAGCTTCTGCCTCGCCTTCACCGCCTTCGATGAAGCTGTCCTCGTAGCCCTGATCCTCGTCGCCAGGGGCCAGGTGGGCACGGCTAGAAGATGGAGCAGGTTCGCCGCCTTCTTCACCAGCGAGTTCTTTGTCGACCTCGTCCAGCACTTCCTCGCCCTCTCTTTCGACATCTTCATCCACAGACGCAGTCGGCATGGGCGAGAGCTCCTGACGGAGCGGAGACGGCGCTTCCAGACCGTCCTTAGCAGTAGCGACTGCGAGACCAGCCCGGGAGGTACGACTACGGCCGCCTTTGCTACGACTAGCAGCGAGCCCGTTCCTCCTGGGCGTGGTGTTAGTGCTGGCAACAGGCTTACGTCGTGCACGGCTAGTTCTTCCTCCTCGACCTCGAGAAGGACTCCCAGGACGAGCATCGGAAGGATCGACTACCGTATAGCCATTGAGCTGTGACTTATGCCGCTCCTCTCGTTCCTTCTTTCGGTCTTTCCTGGGGCCGTTAGCCTCTTCCCAATCCCAGCGGTCCAGTCTTCGGTTGGCCTTTCGGATGACAGAGAGGAAAAAGCTTGCAGCTTCGCCAAAATCATCCTCTTCCGCAGGGTTGGGGAGCAAGCCACCCTTTCCCCAGGAGTTCTCATCTTCCGTGTCATATCCATCTGGAAGGCCCTGGAGCAGGCGACAGTAGCGTGCCATGGGAATCTCAGCCTCGCGCTTTACTCGCAGAGCCTTGTAAGCCTCATTCTTGCGCTGAGCTAGGAGGTAGTCAATCCGCTGTCGGCGATTCTGCTCGACGGCAAGCTGATGCTGAGTGAGAGGGCGGGGTCTGCGGCCGGGCGTATGTTGTGGCGTGATAGCCGACTCCGTGACGAATTGATTGAGAATAGGGTGACCCGATCCCGGGGGTGCTGGTGATGCGGTGTCAGGTGTCTGATCCATCTTCGTCTTGATGATCAGACGCTGTTGGGCAGCAGAGACAGGGAGTGACTCCCTCTTGACCCGTTTGTAGCGTCCGCGTGCAGACCCGGGTGTACGGTAGTCTTCCTCGTCATCGAGGCGTCTGGAGGAGGGATGCAGCGGAGTGGACATGGCGGAGCGGCCACCCAGACTGACCCTATCAGCACGACCTAAAAGAACTATTAGACAAAGAGCTTGAGACATCCCAGCGGTTGGTCACTTACCAGAGAGATCACCGGAAGCCTGGTCGTCTTCGAAACTGTAATCTGCCGCGCCTAGATGTACCATCAGTCATCCGACAAATATACCAAGAAACGTTGCATAGCTACTTACCCTTTCGTGATCGCTTCGTCGCTCTTGGGATAGGCTCATCTTCTTCCAGGATGCCTGTACATTAACAATTATTAGGCCAAGTTCACTGCTAAGGGACGAGCTCAATAATAAGAGTCTGAAGGGGGACTTACGCTTTCGTTCTAGTTGTTTCTCTTGCCCATATTGGATCTCCTCTGGGGTATCCACATTTTCAGCATCTGCCTGCTCCTCAGTCAAGCTCTCAAAAGCAGGGACCTTGATAGGCAGGCCCCCAGTGCCTTCTCCTTCGAGACCAGGGCCAAAGGGGTTGTTGAGTGCTGCTTCGCGAGTGAAGTCACTTTCCAGATACCACCACATAAGCCAAAGAAAAGCTCTAGCACGGCTCTTGCTGCTCAGAGTAGCCCGCATGACCAGGTCAAAAAAGTCGCGCGGAGCGAAGAAATGTGTCTCGGATATCTTTGGGGCATATTGCGACAGGACAAAAATGAGGTTGACTGGATTTGTGCGAGGAACTGGCACCCGCTTGATCTTCTCGATTGTGTTCGGCTGATCCGTATCTTCAGAAGCACCTTTAAGGATGGACTTTAAGCGCGGGGCATCCTGCAGCTGCTTGTAGGCGTTGGGGTCCTGGTGCGCTTGAAGCGAGGGAATCGAGTGGTAGGTCCGTAGCTGCGCTCGCATTTCGGGGAAGACTATCAAAGGTCAGCTTCGTATATCGAGCAGAGCAGTCTGATCCATAGAGGATACGCACAGTTGAGAGTCGTGTTCATTCTCCCAAAATTGACAAGCAAACAGACCATGGCCATGCTGATGGCCGCTTGCTTGTCATTCTGTAGCTTGTCCTTGAGAATCTTGCTGGTTTTGCTGCTTTTTGCCATTGCATCGATGTAGATATCCGCAAAATCCATGCCTTTGCGCCCGTCGGACAGACGAGTGAATACAGGCGTCCTGTCCTCGAAGACCAATTTGAGGAACTGGTACTGAATGTCTTTCCGCCATAGAGGGATACCATCCTCCTTCTTGAGATGTCTGATCTTGTTTCCAGAGTACACAGAGCCTATAGTCCCATTGGCCTGGCGCCTGGTGCCTACGGTCGCGCTGACCGTCGTGTGACTAGGCTGTTCATCCTGGGCCTCCGACTGCGCAAGCGACTCGTCCGCGGCACTGCTGTCGACTTCGGCCATGATGGTAAGATCGTTCTTCAACAGACAAGATTAGGCCTCTGAGCTCAGGATACAGACAGCAAATTCGATGTAGCGGCGTGCCAGCGCCAGGAGTGTCAGGTTCGGGATCGACCAGATGGACGTTATGGACGTGAAGGACGGGGAAGATAATCGCGACGAGGAGGTACTAATTGGAAGGAAGTTCGGACGCGAACCAACTCAGGAGATCCCGGAGGAAGAAACGAGATGGTATTTGCTTATCCTAGCGAAGGGAGACGCTGAGAGAGTCAGGATCAAATTTGATGTGAGAGCAGAAGGTGGTGTCCCTGGATTTCTTAGAACCGCGTGGTCACCTCGATCGGAAGAGCCGCAGTCCTGGTTCGAGTGCGGATCGGAGGCAGTCGATCCCGCTGAGCTTCGATGGTTACTGTAACTAGTCAAGTAGAATACTTTAAAACACGCCGCCTAAGTTCCCGCTCAACACTTCATGAACCCTGTAGGTTTTGGATCGCCTCTCTTTTTGACTATTGAAACTTGATAAATAAGGATGAGGCTCCCAGAAAACCTGCAGGTGTTCTCCGTCAGTCTGCTCTGCATAGTCACTGAATGGGACATTAGTGAATCGCACGGTTCCATTCCCGATGAAAAGGGCTAGTTAGTTACTCTGACATTTGTATCAAGGCTGGGAAATTCTTTCCTACTACCAGGTGCAAAGCAAGGAAGCTAAGCGCGACGTTCGAGAAAACAAGTCTTGGGAGTCACGCCGTACAACCTCCGCTTGCAAATAGGCTACTGTGAGGTCAAAATTCATTTAAAGCGTCAGGACTACTAGAGACAGTCACTGAGCTACAGAACATCTACGAGAGGAACTATTTCTTGAAGTATCGCAGATCTTTTGCGTGGATTGAACTTCAGTTATGATAGATACTAAATAGAGAAACTTTTTTTGAGAGCTCTCTCCTCTTCAGGCTTCGAGATCTCCAGGCTCTCATGAGCCACGCCATCAAAGGGCCATCTCCAGCGTCATGCCTTCGTGTCGAAACCTGCTGCTGACATGAAATAACTATGATGTCCGTGCACCAGAAAATTAAGAAGCATCAGCAAAGCAGCTTTCTCCAATCCTCCACGAGTCCGAAATAAGAAACAGATCCCATCAGATGTTTACCCCACGGACCCCAGTGCAGAGAACTTTTGTGGTTGAAGCAGCTCAAGCTAACGCCAATCGCAATGCAATGAATCCAGTCTATACCACCTCGTGCATCACCGATGCACATGCCGTATCTGCCGAAGAAAGCCCACGATCGGTTTCCTCCCTCCTGCGCTCGATGACTGCGCAGGCAAGAGCAACCATTCAAAAGCCGGAGAACATACAGTGACACGAAAGCCGGAGAAGAAAGCGCCGTTTTTTGGTAAAAGCAAAAAAAGTAGGTGGCTGTGTCGAGAGAAGTGCAAAGGAAACAGAAAATAGAGAAGTCGAGAAGCCCGCCATTAGATACCTGAACTCAAGAGATCTATCTTGCGAGACACGGTCGATGCAGATGGAGGCGCACCGAGCACATGAAAATCATAAAGCAACTTTTCAAAGAAAAGCCGACAAGCCCGCCCGGCGCGTCGTGCAAGTGTGCCCCAGTCTTGGAAGCTCAACAAAGTATGGGTATCTGATGAAAGCGGTCATAAAAGAAAGCCAGTGCTGTCTATGATATTCATGCAATGCCGATATGAGGTGTCCTGGACCGTTCAGTCACGATCCATGGACTGCAGAAGATATCGGACTGCACCGAATGCCCATCTCTAAATCAGTGGAGCAAAGGAAAAGAGAAAAAAAAAAAAAAGACAAAAACCTCGAGAAATACTGGATACAAGCAGAAGCACATCGAAATAAAACAAAGCATGAGGAAATTCGTCGCAGTCGTGACAAAGCCGGCCTCGGACGAAAGAAGAAGCCCGAAGACACTGTTCTGATCGTATCCGTTAAGAAATGGTAAGATAGCAAGGAAACAATCAGACTCATTGGCCTCGTCAAGAGACCACAACTGATTTACCACCAGGAAGAAGCGCCGGTCGGGCCAGAGGGGTTGCCATAACCGCCGCCGTAGCTACCACCTCCGTATCCGCTGTACTGAGGGGCACCACCGTAGCCGCCTGCGCCGCCGCCGCTGCTGTAGCCACCAGGGCCGCCGCCAAAGCTGCCACCGTAGGAGGGAGCACCACCCATGCCACCGCCAGTGCGACGGACATCACGGGTCGCGTTGCTGCCGCGGCCACGGCCTCCACGGCCACCACGGCCGCCGTATCCGCTACCCTCACGGGCAATGTTCTCCAGGAAGGAGGGAACCTCCTGGTTGGCCTCCTTGAGGAGGTCAATCAGGTCGCGGACGACACCACGGTTGCCACGGTTGAAGAAAGCAGTAGCAATACCAGTGTTACCAGCACGGCCGGTACGACCGATACGGTGGACGTAGTCGTCAATATCGGTAGGCAGATCGTAGTTGACGACATGAGTGACGTTGGGGATATCCAGACCACGAGCCGCAACAGCAGTGGCAACCAGGATCGGGCAGCGTCCGTTACGGAAGTACTCGAGAGCACGCTCACGCTCACGCTGGGTACGGTCACCGTGAATGGCAGTCGCAGGGAAGCTCTGGTTGATGAGGAAGTCGGACAGAGAATCGGCCATACGCTTCGTCTCAACGAAGATAAGCGTCAAACCGGTAGTTCCGTGTGTGTGAAGGATATCAAGCAGGACGGAGCGTTTGTCCTGGTCCTCGACGTACTCAACGCGCTGGGTGATGTTCTCAGAGGTAGATCCAACACGACCAACGGACAGGAAAACATAGTCCTTGAGGAAATCACGGGCCAGCATCTGGATGTCGCGGGGGAAGGTGGCCGAGAACATCAGAGTCTGGCGGGCGTCGACAGCAGGCATATCCTCACCCTCAACGATACGACGGATCTGGGGCTCGAAACCCATGTCCAACATGCGATCAGCCTCGTCGAGAACGAGGTACTTGATGTTGACGAGCGAGATACGGCCACGCTCGATCAGGTCGACCAGACGACCAGGAGTAGCAACAAGCAGATCACAACCACGCTCGATCTGGCGGAGCTGAGAACCGATGTCTGCACCACCATACACGACACAGGGGCGGACCCAAGAGCGGTAGGCGAATTTGCGAGCCTCATCGTAGATCTGAGAGACTAGCTCACGAGTGGGAGCGAGAATGAGAGATGTCGGGTAAGCCTTGCGCTGACGGCCGTAGCTGAACTGTCCACCAGCCTGAGGAGCCGGGGAGGGACCGTTCTTGAAGGCCTGGGAAAGGATGGGGAACAAGAAACCACCAGTCTTTCCGGAACCGGTCTGGGCGCAGGCCATCAGATCGCGGCCGTTCATCACAATCGGGATCGAGTACTTCTGGACGGGCGTAGGAGTCTGGTAATGGGCCAGAGCGATGTTGGAGATAAGGTGGTCATCCAGAGGCGGGTTTGTGAAGGTGTTCACAGGCTCTGGGACATCCTGACCGGATGCCTCAACGGGAATGTCGTCGTAGTTGGCGAAGTTGATACCCGTCTGCTGCTTCGAGGGATCGTTGGGAACACCGAACAGCTCGCGCTCTACGCGGGGGTTGGCAGGACCGGGGATGTGCTTGCCATCGCGCCACTGACCGTCTCCAGATCCGCGAGCACTGCTTCCGCCGCTGTAGGAGCCTCCGTGACCATGACCTCCGTGACCTGGGTTTCCGTAAGCATTTGGATCGAATGTGCGGCGTGGGCCATCAGGGTTATTCCAGTTGTTACCATTGGGTCCACCTCGAGGGGTAAAATCAGGAGCATTTGCCCAGTTGCCGCCGCCGCGTCCAGCGTTTCTTCCACCCCAGGCTCCGCCGCTGGGAGCGGGAGCAGCACCGTCCATGCCCATGGGGCTAGGGCCGGGGTTGGGGCCAGGGCCGCCGCGGCCACGCAGGTGCGGCGGGATGTAGGCAGCACGGCCGGTGTTGTTGTTGTGAGGCGCGTGCTGAGACTCGTTCAGAGACAGGTTTCCAATCTTCAAGCTGTCGGCCATATTGAATGTCGAAACGGGTTTCTGCTGAGATGAGGCGAGAATGTTCAGTCTTTGCCTTTTGGGATGAGAACGAGATGGGTCTTGCCTGCTGACGTACAAGTTGAAGAAGTTTCAAATGAGTTGATTCGTGGGTAATCAGGAGATAAGAAATCTGCAGATGCCTGAAATCGTTTTAAGAGCTCGTCGTGAACACTTAACGAAAGTCCGCAGGCGGGCGAATGTGTTGATGATATCGAGATAAAAAAGAGAGCGACGAAAAGTCCGTGTAACGTCTCAAGTCTCTCTCGGGTGGCGATCGAAACACAGAAAAAGACCTTCAAGAGAGACCAGAAAAAAAATCTCTCCAAAGATCTAAACTCTATGCCTGCGGAAGAAAAAAAGGAAAGAGAAAAAAATGACAAGGTGGATTTTAGATAAAAGGAAGAGTTATGGAGGAGGTTGAGGGGGTTGTGAAGGGTTTGTGGGAAGGAGGAAGAGATAAAGAAGGGAGGAGGCGCAAACCTAGGAGGTTTTAAAAAAATGGCGAAGGCAACAGGCGGTCCGTCGTGTGCTGGGCTGGGCTGGGCTAGCCTGGGGTTCGCCTTCTCCCCGGCCCTGTTTGGCTCACGGCCGCTTAGAGTCGAATTTTGCACCCGCGGGCGACGCTGGGTCTTTGGATCAACCAACATCGTGCCCTCTCGCTTGCTCTCTGTTCCCTCTCTGGTCCACTTCTTTGGCTCTACTGGGACTTCCCTTCCGTTGGCAAGACACATCTAACAGGAGAAAAAAGTGAGAATAAAAGCTTGTCGCCACCCGAGAGGCTAGTCTAGTCATCTTTTCCACTGCTCTCACTAAACCGTCACTGTTAGTGTCTGGTCCACCAGACACTTCCTGATCTCCAGTCAACGAGGTCTACCATATACTCGAAACAGTCAACTACATGCACGGCTTGTCAGTAGCAGTCTCGAATCACCTTCTTCGGTCGAGACACTGCTTCGTCGGGACCGTTGATAGCCCGACATTCATCTGGGAAGAGTTCACGAGTGGCCAGCCCTTGCTTTTCAGATCTTCCTAGGACATCTTGTCGTGGCTTGCTGTGCCTGAATAGACGCAGGATAGTCCAAAGTCTCGTCACCAACCCTGATTAACATCATCGCTGGGCTCTTTCATCTTTCCCTCAACTCCTGAATAGACCACTACTGTTACCAAGCGTCTCACATCAGAAATGTCTAATGATCGCACGGCATGGCGTAATGTCTTTATCTACGACGGTTCGACTGGCACCTCTCTAGGTGGCGTGCGTCAAAATGGTTCAATAACTGAGGCCGTCTTCCTTTGGATGCTCACCTACGTCCTGATACCTTCAAATCACGCACTGCGTGTTATATCACGGACCACTCAGCAACCGCTCTTTCCCACGAACAGTCCCCTTCGGACGGGGGACTACGACGTCTACTCAGCTGCTGGTGTGTATCTCTTACATCCAAATATATCTATATGACCTTTTTTTTTTTTCGCTAACCATAACAGGCAATTTTACGCTGACGGATGAAGTCCCTGCTTCACGAATTATCTCACACAGCGTAAGCGGTCGAGAAGAATCTTTTCGCGACGATGTACGTAAACGAGATCAAGGATGTGTCTTATCCGGCACCAAAAACACAATGGCGTCTTTCGGCCAGTGGCGCGGTTTTGAAGCCGCTCATATCTTTCCTCTAGAGAAAGAGCTTCTCTGGATAAAAGAAGATTGTCAGCGGTGGATCACGGATATAGATGACGAACGCGATACCAAAATCAACTCGCCCCAGAACGGCCTACTTCTACGAGCTGACATTCACTCTCTGTTCGACGATTATCTTGTCTCTGTAAACCCCGACGTGAGTGACCTCTTAGAGAATTAACATTCGTCTTCATTACTAAGATTGTCTTTCTTTTGAAAAGGATAACTACCGCATTACAGCATTTAATACCGACTGGGCAGGTCTTGATGGAAGGATACTGGACCCCGCGTGCCGCGACCCTGCTCATCCTCACCGTGCATGTGATGAGTTGCTCCGATGGCACTTCAGACAGGCAGTTCTCGCTAATATGAAGGGACCTGGAGAGCCTATTTTTGAACACGACTTCCCGCCGGGGACTGACATGGTCGGAGAAATACGAGAAGGCCCTAAAGCACAGGAACGCTTTGAGCTGGAGCTTGCCTCAAGGTTGTATGGTCATACAACAGACTAAATCCCGTTACGCCTAAAGCCCGTTGCTGCTTAGTATACAATTATTAATTAGCTTGTATAGATACCTAAATTACTGCCCACATTGATTCCTATCTTAGACAATGGCCTCCGATGTCATATGGTAGTATCAGAGTAGTTATCACGTGATACAAGCAAATCGCCACCCTCGATGTGGCGATGCCGTGTGGCCAGGCGGGTCGATGATAGTTTACCCCGGTTGAGGAGACTTCTCGATTGTTCGGAACAAAAGATTAGCGCCAGGGCTCCTATCTTATCAAATAATTAGAGTAGATGGCTCGTGTCAGTTTCTCTACCATAGACGGAGAAGGACATCCAGTTTCTAGACGGAGTGTGAGGCATAATCTATTCTTGTGGCATAACTCGACAGGATAACCCTTTCTAAACCATGGCCTTCTCTTCCTCCAGTGACTTGTTCACAGAGTTGCGGCGTCTGAGATACACAACGACAAGCGCCACAACAGCAAGCAGTACAGCAATCTTAGTGAAAGGTACAGGACTCTCCGTCTCTTGGACGGGCGACGTCTGTTCTCCTGGCTTCTCTTCGGAACTGGGTATTTCTTCGTAGTCTTATGTCACAAGCGCAATATATCAGCGATTCCAGAGCAGCAAGAGATGGATCTCAAAAAGGTTTAGAGCTCATTGTGGCTACCTTTCTCGGGCTCAGACTCCATCTCAAGTTCACCGCTCTTGACGATCTTGACCTCCTCGGCGGGCTTGTCTCCGGCGCCCTTGGGGACATTCTCGATCTTGTCGACAACGTCGTAGCCCTCAAGGACCTCGCCGAAGACGACGTGACGTCCGTCGAGCCAACTAGCAGGAGACATTAGGGCTTTCGTCCAAAGCTGCATAAGCGCCATGCGGAGTACTTACGGGGTGGCAACAGTAGTGATGAAGAACTGAGAGCCGTTGGTGTCCTTTCCGGCGTTGGCCATGCCTACACAAAGTCAGTATGTCGACATCATCTGTGGACGTGCAAGGGACATACTCAGGAGACCCTTCTTAGTGTGGCGGAGCTTGAAGTTCTCGTCGGGGAACTTGGCACCGTAGATGGACTTTCCACCAGTTCCTACAGATCTGTCAGTATCTATTTGACATCGTAGAACTTTAATAAGGAGAAGGATTCCTACCATCTCCCCGGGTGAAGTCACCGCCCTGGATCATGAACTGCTTGATAACACGGTGGAAGGTAGATCCCTCATAACCGAATCCCTTCTCGCCAGTAGCCAGAGCTCTGCACAGCGTACCAGTCAGTGGTTATCCATTACGAAATCATATATAGGCGAAGAAGATTGTCATACCGGAAGTTCTCAGCCGTCTAGGTAGTAAAGTAACCGTCAGCATATGATACGGAAGTAGACACTGATGTCGCCTTGCTTACCTTAGGGACGGTCTTGCCGTATAATCCCAGGACGATTCTTCCCAATGGCTTTCCACCGTGCTCAATATCGAAGAAAACCTGCAGTAAATCCCGTCAGCACATAGCCTTCGCTATCGATAGATCTTCGAATTCAGTGCCATACCTTGTTCGTAATCTTCGGTCCGCGAGGCTGCTTCGTTTCGTCCGCCTGAGCCAGCGCGAAGCCGACAACAAAGACGAGGAAGAACGAGAAGAAAAGCCTCCTGAAATTCATTTTGTTTCTCAATTGGATTCCTCAACCGTAGGAGGGAATCGTCTGAGGTGGGAGATATCGGGAATAATAGATAGAGGAGCACGGCGGTAATCAAGCCAGCTTGCGCGTAAAGTAGTTATGCAGTAGCTTAGGACAATGAAACGCTCCCCAGACAAGGGGTGGGGTGGTAATTGCAATATACTGTTGCAATGAGGTGTATATTATTAGCCAATGGTAAGTCGCAAATCCAGGCGTTCACTGATAATTACGTGATAGATTGCCGTACCAAAGAATGTAAATTACCAATAAAACGCGCAAAAATGCCGCACTCCCAATCGATGCTCGGCAGAACTTTATTGCGGGCTGATTTCTTCCGCGCTCCGCAACATATGGTGAAGGTCCGCATATCGAAGTGTCGACTGCCAGATTCGGGCATTGCCAACGCTGTAGCAGCCAGAACAGTCCGTATCTCAGCCAGGCAAGATGGTAAGTGGTACCTCAGAGGTTGCTCAATCTCTTGAAGATCGCATAACTAACACGAACTAGGTCTTCATTCTCGGTGTCAACTTCCCTGAGCGGAACCTCGTCAAGGCAAGCATATATACGCACTCGCCCATTAGCGTCGACCACAGGAAACCCAGAATTGCAAACTAACCGTCGTTTTTCGCCCATGTACAGAAGTCCCTCGAGTCCTTCTTCGGCGTTGGTCCTCAGCACTCCTCCCGGCTCATGTCCCGCTTCTATATCCACCCGACGGCCAAGGTCGGCGAGCTCGCCAACAAGCAGGTGCTCGAACTCACAGCGGCGCTATCGGAAATGAAGATCGAGAACGACCTCCGCAGACAGGTGTTGGATGATATCAAGCGATTGAGGGATACCGGTACTTACCGTGGCCGGAGACATGCCCTGGGATTGCCGGTCCGCGGCCAGAACACGAGGAACCAGGTGCGTTTTGAACCACAACTTACTCCTGTCTCGTATTTGGTGGGCGTCTGGAGTTGCTAATATTGGAATCGCTTCTAGATCAAAACTGCTATCAAGCTCAACCGTGTCGAGCGACGACTGTGATATATACGCTTTTTCATTGTGGGGAAACATCGGAGGGCGTTTATCTTATTATTTCCTGCTGCTGGTCATCGCCTCAATTCCTTTTATAATGTACAGTATTTGTATCACGAAGCTCGAAGAAGAATAGAGAAGGAAAAAGGATAACACTTTTTCTCAATCAAATCTTGCGTCATCAGTATCAATAGATACATTAACTACAGCATGTAGACCATGAAACAAACGAAGTTCTATGACACCAATCCAATGTACACACGAAGACAAACTAGATGCACTTTTCTTTTCTCATTCCCAACGCCTCTCTGCTCTATTCTCATTTCCCAGTGCTACCATTCGAGGAGAGCACGCCCTCCCCGCGGTTGATCTGGATTCTCTTGTCTTCTCCGGCACTGACGATGCCTACTGTCTTGTCCCAGCAAACGCTGAACACCTTGACACCCTCGCCTCCGACACGCTTGGAATCGGCCTTTCCTTCCTCTTCCAAGCTCTTTCGCGAAATAGTATAAATGCTCTCGCCAACAACGCCATCCTTCTCCGTCTTGGTAGATCGAATATCCCAGATGCGACATGTACCGTCATGACTACCACTGATAAGGCCGTACGTGCTGTGAGGGTCGCGATGGAGAGATACAACGGCATTGGTGTGCCCTCGTAGCGTCATAGCTGAGATTGTTGTGGCAGATACACGAGGATCGATAAGAGTGATGTGGCGGGCAGACGTTCCAGCCGCGAGAAGATGAAGGTCAGGGAGATGCTCGAGTGACAAAAGGGAATGGGACGTCGAGCGCGTATCTACCAGTGCAGAGGTAACCAGATCCCATGTACGCAATGAGTGATCCCATGATGCAGAGTATCCGACAGTCGAGTCTTTTGCGTCGAAGATAGCAGCCGATACTGGTCCAGTGTGACCAGACATCAAGGAAAGCGGTCCGCGCTGTGGGGTTGTCACAGAAGAGTTCAACTTCCGGCGCTTTGAGCTTCGAGCAGCGTTAGACGGCAACAGGTTCTCCGGAGCAGCTGGTGCGTCCGACTTCTTCGTCGACCAGAATCCAACGGTGTGGTCCGAGGAAGCAGACAGAATGCGGTTCGAGGGGCCATGCACCGCCAACGAGTTGATACCTGATCTATGCCCATATAGATCTAGTTGTGGAGAAATCTTTCCAGAAAATCCATCTTCTTCGGCATACTTCCACAATTTCACCGTCCGATCCAAGCCTGCGGATGCGATCTGAGTTGGCGACACGAATTTTGCCGCCTTGACGGACGCTGAGTGACCGCCATCAGCAACGGAGGGAGAGACCGCGATTGTCTGAGACGACATATTCCATATCCGTAGGAGACCATCGTAGCTTCCAGAAAGAATCCTTTCTTGTCCTTGCGAAACCTGAGCAGAAGACGTCCAGGATGCGGCCGGGGCAGTCGTAGAAAGCACATCAACGGAGCTGACCCAGTCATCGTGTAAAAAGGATGCGACATGGAGCGGAGGCACCAGTGCCCGCACATACTCGACTTCAAGAGTGGTTTCAGCAGAGATGCCGTTCGCAGTTAGGTATTCGTCGATCGATGTGCGAAGATACGTCCCGTTGACCAAGAATTCGAAAGGAACGGGTTTCTCGTTACTCAGCAGGTTATTCACAAGGGTCGAGAGCGCATATCTTCGCAAACCTGGAATATCACTTTATCAGCATTTGATTAATAGATCGTTCATGGTTTAGTCGCGGTTTACCTGTGGGCACAAGAATAGATCCAGTATTTTCCGGCAACGCAAATTCAGCGTCTCTGGTCGTTAGCTGCAAGCGCACCTGCCTCTGGGCAGGCTGCGCAGATGCTGTAATTCCCTCCATAATTGCCGCAAAAGGAGCCGACAGTATATCTTCGTCCTAAGGAAATCCAGTATGAAAACTGAAACTGCCGCGGCGTCTACTACCAGAAAGCTCGTGAGGAAAAAATACGGCGACCGGGGCGGCCACTTGTGCAACGGCGGTCCCGCGCCGATTCGTTCAATCTATTATTTACTCTTTTAGAATAAGAAGCCAAAGTCAACTGAGTTGCTGAGAGCATGTCCCTCGCAAATTGTCTTTCTGATGAATCATGACATTATAATATCCTAGTGGACCCTAGTAGTAGACTATTTTGAGTCGACCCATCATGACCTTCGAATTTCCGCAATGGCTCTTCGTCGATGTTCTGATTCGGCAAATAAAGCCTCTATCAGATCGATCACTTCTTCGGGCGAAAATTCCAGTCGCAATTCGCCCTCGAGCCAAAGGAACTTGATATCAGCAAGTGAACTTTCGAGAATATTGATCAGATACTGGAATTTCAACCAGTTTCTGACGTAGACTGCTGTCATCGGCACGGCTTCAGTATCCCCACTAGTTTCGGGCATGAAGAGAGCTTCGAGTGTTGTGACCTGATTGCAAAAAGACACTAGCCTCTGGGACTCTGGCTCCGAGATATCACCAAGGTCTTCAACATCAACAATGATCTTGTTGATTACCGTCGAAAGTAGCGAACCCACTGACTGAAGGAGCGCTGAGTGTGAAAGTATTGATTTCCATTCTTTGTAGACGTCCCGTATTCGATCAACAGTCGCGCTGACCGCATTTTCACATTCACCAAGGAAAGGCTGCTGGGAGCAGTTACCGAATCCTTGGGCCCCATCAAGCAAATCTATGAGGATTGTGCGCTGTGTCTGCATCTCTTTGCTGTATGATAGTTTGCCGAATTTCTCAAGCCCATCGACATCGGAACTTAGCCTGTTGAATTTACGTTCTTCCACGATGTTCCGTATCTGTTCCGCCAGGAACATGCTATCGTTATAAAGATACATGTGACCTGCGTTCAGCTTCAGGGTATAAAACGTGGGTGCCGTGGCTCGGAACATAGCCAGAATTAGAGTCGGTAGAGCCAAGAGGCCAGCTGCTGACGAAGCGACTCGAGATGTGGTAAACCTAGAATATTGTGAGTTACAATTCACGTTGCATGATACTGTGGACTTACTCTTCTTGCGATAGATTGTGCGAGTCGGTGATTTGTCGCACAACAGTTGCAAGAATCGAGTCGGGGATATCTGTTACCGTATAATATTCTCTCAAAGTAATCTCCCGTTCCGCAGGAGCATGCTTATCACTTCTCCCGTTAACCTGCTTTAAACTTGCAGCAGTGGGAGGCGCTTGCATGCTTTCACCCTTGTCGAGTTCTTGTTCCTCGTCGTCGCCCCAACCCCAGGCATCTTCGGCCTCATCGTCCTCGGGGGACTCTCCCGCGATAGGCTCGTCAACTTTTGTATCACCATCATCTTCATCCAGACCCCAAGCGCTGACGTCTTCCTCATCCTCTGCGCTATGTTTTGCATTTGCGTCGTTCGTGGCCTCTTCATTCTCATTTTCCCAACTCGCATCCCAATCATCCGTTGCACCGCCTTCCAGCAAGGCTTCGTTTTCGCTCGATACCTTCTCCTTTTCCACCCTCTCGACTTTTCTCGTCGTGCCTTTGCTATCTGCCAAAGCTTTACGAACCTCGTCAAGAGAGCTGACTCGTCTTCTCGCAAGCCAAAGTCGGGGGGCTTGATTAACCCAAGACACAAGTTCTGTTTGACCATTCCATCCAAACTTCTCTATAGTTTTAGAAAATTGAAGGACACGCTCCAAAGTGTCTTCATAGTCATGCAGACCGTCTAAGTCAGTAGGTATAGACGGCGAAAGCCAGGATGAAATAAGTTGTGAGCTGATGGTAGGGATGACTATCTCCGACAACCGCGCCGATATTGAAGTTGGCAGATGCTGCTTTAGATACCCTAATACTCTGGCAACGCGCTCGAGGACCTCCGCGATGGGTGCTGTTGAGAGGGACTCAAGAAAAATACCAGATTCCTGCACAGAGACTGCGAAGCTCTTTCCTGGAAGACTTGGAAGTAGTATCAGATTGAATATCGATGCAAGTAGATCCTTTTGAAAGGAGTCATTAATCGAATCGAGCATGTTCACTCGGGACAGTGCGATAATAGTAAGTTCCAAGGACGCATCTACCTTTGGTCTTAGTCAATGATACCTGGTATAAATGAAAGAAGCCATTACCTTTTTGATCCGTTATAACTAGTCGGTGATTTTTCTTATCGAATTGAACCAGCGAATCCCAGCGCACACGCAGAGCCTCTATAATCGATCGCCGCAGTCCGTTAAGACCTTCGTAGAGTATAGCCGTCACGTTACTGTTCTTAGGGAAGGCGACCTCTCCCAAGGCCTTTTCTGTATCCTCCAGCGACTCAATTGCAGCTATAACGTCTCCCTCCGCAAGCGAGGTTCGGCCAGCATCAAGGCGACAAGAAAGCTTGTGCACTTGCTCCAGTGTCTCTGTCAGAGCTTGATTGAAGGCTATTTCAGTCTTCAACAGCTCAACTTTAGCTGTGGCGTCTTCCACTTGTAGCTGGATCGGCCTCGTGTTTTCATGTTGCGCGACAATTTCCCGGGCTGTCACTCTCGATCGTTCAATATCCGCATGTAGCTGTCTGGCTTGAGCAATCCACCCGTCTACGTCGGAGGCGTTTTCTTGACTTAGGGAGCAGATTTCTGTCTTTTTCAGGAAATACGAGTAAAATCAGCAATAGATCCGACACAATGGATATTCTTCCTCACCTCCGCTTGCTCTCTGGATTTCGATATCCGCTCCAATTCGTCTCTAACGGCAGATGAAGGGAACTCAGATGCCACTACATCTTCCGATTCTGGATATTTCCCCTCGATCACAAAATCAAGCAGCGCTTGGCACAAGTCGCTCTCTGGAGCTTTCTGCCCCATGTCGACGCTTGTCGAGTCAGCACAAGCTCTCCGCGCTTGCTGGACACACCAATGATGGATAGCTTCAAACGACTGTCAAGTAGCTGCAAACAAACCCTCCGGAACTGAATATAGCATGAATCTTGCAGGAAATTGCTCAATGTCACCGCTTGGACGCGATTGAAAACGAATACTTGTCGCTACGGTCGACAACATTTACTACTGAGCTGTCAACGGCGGGATGCGCTCATGCCATGTGACTTGGCGCTACCGCCTAGGAATGGCCATCAGCCATTGGTCCCTTCTTTTTAAAGAAGACTACCACGCACAAGGCCTCTATTATATCAATGGACGCGGCAATTTGACGCCTTGATCGTATAAATCTATGTTCTAAGTTCATAGGTTATACATATTCTCCATTGGCTCTGTGAGTGGCGGGGGAGAACGTTGATTCGTCCTGATGCGTCTCAAGTAACGTTGAGTGAGCCTAAACCCGTTTGAAAAAGTCAATCACAACCACAGGAACTGAGGGATCATTGCCGGAGCTATACGCTATATTTGAAGCTCCAGCTTGAGAATCCCACGGAAAGATCCATCGTGCTTTGTCTACACTCTGTTAAAGGACTGGTACAAGTCACTTCGACTTCGTCCAGGTGAGTAAGCGTCAAAGGTGAGGCTTATGACGCCTAATTTCCGGCCCCTCATCTACGTCAGATTTGTCTGCACCCTGAGTCTGGAGACAACTTGAGGAATTGCATGCATGTTGATATACTCTGTTCTGCGTGAATAATTTGCTTCGTTCCCTGTGCACTCAATAAGTAGATATGGACATGGTCCAGTTTCAACCCCGTTAGATGTGTGTTCAGAATCTTGCAAATCTGTTGCGGGGTCTTCTTTGTTACTGCCTTGCAACTATCTCCAGTAAAAGGAGCAAGAAGATAGCTGACACCGAGTAGGTATTCCAAGCTGCAGCGGGGTTTAATCACTAAGTTCGTGGGACTTACTGCCCTCTCGCTCTCATCTTTACTCAAGATGCCTGCTCCGGAATATAAGAGCTATTTTAAGCTACTTCAGAAGTTCAAGCCAGACTATTCTCCTAGCGAGTTCACCCAGTATGAGTCTGAGAGAACCGGCATGAGGGTGGTCGTTATCGACCAAAAAGGCCCTAAAGTGACTGGCTATTTTACACTTGCGACCGAGATCCATGACGACTCCGGTGCTCCTCATACCCTCGAGCATTTGTGCTTCATGGGATCAAGGAACTACCGCTATAAGGGGTTCCTTGACAAACTTGCAACTAGGGCATATTCGAATACAAATGCTTGGACGGCCACCGATCACACCGCCTACACACTCGATACTGCTGGATGGGCTGGCTTTTCCCAGATCCTGCCAGTATATCTCGAGCATGTGATCGCGCCTACCCTTACTGATGAGGGATGCTATACTGAAGTCCATCATATCGATGGTACCGGACACGATGCCGGGGTGGTATACTCGGAAATGCAGGGCGTCCAGAACAATGCCGCGGAACTTATGGACTTGCGTGCTAGACGATTGCTATATCCTGAAGGCGTGGGGTTCAGATATGAAACTGGAGGAATGATGGAACAGCTGCGCGTACTGACTGCTGAACGAATTCGCCAATTCCACCGTGATATGTACCAGCCCAAGAATCTCTGTCTCATAATCACTGGCGAAGTCGATCACGAAGATATGCTTCGGACGCTAGATAAGTTTGAAGACGGCATTCTCGATATTATCCCTAGTCCACAGGCTCCCTTTAAGAGACCCTGGGTTGAGTCTCGCCAGGCCCCGGCTCTCCCACAGTCTATCGTCGAAACCGTGGAATTTCCTGAGGACGATGAATCTTCTGGTGAGATTGAGATAAGATTTCTGGGCCCAGACTGCACAGATCCAGTACAGAGTAAGTCTCTTTTTTCCCCTCTTGTGGAAATGTCGCTGACAACAAATAGCTGGTGCCGTGAATGTTATGCTCTTGTATCTGGCAGGTTCTTCGGCTTCTCTTTTGGAGAATGTCCTTGTAGAAAAGGAGCAAGTTGCCAGCGCCGTCTACTATTCTACCGAAGATCACCCCAGCATTGAGATCCGCTTCACCTTGACCAGCGTTGCCACGGAGAAGCTGGCTCAGGTGGAGAATAGATTCTTCGAGGTCTTGAAAGATGCCATGGAGCAAGAGCTTGACATGAAGTATCTGCATGAATGTATCGAGCGCCAAAAGCGTAGCTGGAAGTTTTCCACAGAAAGCTCCGCGACATCTTTTGCCGAATATGCCATTTCCGATTTCCTGTTTGGCAAGAGAGATGGTTCCACCATGCTTGATGTCGCAAGTTTGAAAGAATATGATACCTTGGAGAAATGGAGTGAAAATGATTGGCGCAACTTCATCAAGAAGTGGATTTCCGATGCACCGCATGTTTCTATCCTGGGTGTGCCATCAGCTAAGCTCTCTGAGAAGCTGAAGAACGATGAGGAAGCAAGAGTCGCAGCACAGAAGGAGCGATTAGGACAGGACGGCCTAAAGAAGCTCGCAGAGAAACTTGCAAAAGCTCAAGCAGAAAATGACAAAGAGATCCCCCAGGAGATGCTTGCTAAGTTCAAGATTCCGCCTACGGACTCGATCCATTTCGTGGAGACGACAACTGCTCGAGCAGGGGCAGCATTAAAAGACGGACGACCAGATAACAAGATCCAGAAGCTAGTGGACAGAGACGGTTCCGACTCTCCTTTGTTCATTCATTTCGAGCATATTCCAAGTAGCTTTGTCCAGCTTTCTGTGCTTATATCTGCCGAGTCTGTCCCTGTGGAGCTTCGCCCCCTACTCGCTGTCTACATTGAAGCATTCTTCGGTCTACCGATTTCTCGAAATGGCCAGGTGATTGATTTTGAACAAGTTGTTGTTGGACTGGAAAGAGATACCGTTGGATATTCGATGGAGGGCGCCCGAAGCTTGGGCAACTCTGAGATGTTACGCATCTCGTTCCAGGTCGAAGTAGAGAAATACAGCACTGCCATCAACTGGTTGAAGGAGCTAGTCTGGGATTCGATCTTTGATATTGACAGGCTCAAGGCGATCACAAGTCGACTTCTGGCTGATGTTCCGGATGCCAAACGCAGCGGAGATGACATGCTTGCCGCGGTTCATGTCATGGTCCATTATGCTGCCGAGTCTATTGTCCGGGCGAAAAGCACTCTAGTAAAAGCTCGTTATCTGAAGCGTATCAAGAAGCTTCTCGCTACCCAGCCAGAGCTTGTCGTCTCTCGCATGGAGGATATCAGGAAGTCTCTCTTCCGCTTCGAGAACTTCCGCGTTCTGGTGATCGCTGATATTGAGAAGCTTGCCAACCCCGTCTCATCCTGGAAGCCATTCGTGAACAAGTTGGAAAGAACCAGCTCCGTCAGACCTGTGACAAACCGGAGAGCTCTGCTCAGTGAGGCTGGAAATAACCTTGGCAAATTATCGTATGTAGTGCCGATGCCTACCATCGACTCATCTTTTGCGTATGCAACGGCTAGGGGTCTCGATTCTTACGATCACCCGAAGCTCCCAGGTTTGCTGGTGGCACTTGCTTACATGAATGCTGTCGAAGGCCCTCTGTGGGTTGCGGTGCGCGGAACAGGTCTGGCATACGGAACAAGCTTTGCCTACAACATCGATACAGGCTTCGTCCACTTTGACGTATACCGCTCTCCAAATGCTCACAAAGCATTTGAGGCAAGCAAGAAAATCGTCGGCGATCACGCATCTGGCGCCACTCAATTCGATGACATGATGCTTGAAGGTGCAATTAGTAGCATCGTGGTCAGCTTTGCCAATGAACAAGCCACTATTGCCAGCGCAGCACAAGGCAGCTTCATTCGGCAGGTGATTCGGAACTTACCTAGCGACTACAAGGAAAATATTTTGAAGAAAGTCAGCGCTATCAGCACACAGGAGATCAATGAGGCGCTAAAGACTATCATCATGCCCCTATTCTCTCCCGAGACGTCCAACATCGTGATCACTTGTGCTCCGATTATGGAGAAGGTAAGACAGACCCGGCCACCTCCTTAGTTTCATTCAGTGCGTACTAATTCTCCTTTGCAGACCATCAAGGAAGGTCTAGAATCTTCCGGTTACAAACCCGAAGTGCAACCGCTCAAGTATTTCGAGGATGATTACGGCCTGAAGGTCGGTGATGACGATGAAGAAGACGATGATGATGAGGATGAGGATGAGGATGACGAAGAGTACGAAACTGGTTCAGAGGAAGGAGATGACGATGAATCCGAAGCTTCTGAATAGTTGACATAGAGTGTCCCTCGATAGATAGTCCGATGAACTTTGTCTGATCGTTCATCAATGCATTTCGTACGTCCTTTCTAATACAGGCCAGCGTAGGAAGTTCTGATGTGCTATCTAGCTATTCTTATATTACAGGATTAAGCCTATTGCGCTACCTGCCGTTTCATTGTCCGATTTTACGAGGCTAAAACCGATGAACACCAGTTCAGTATTCGAAAGAAAGCTGGCCTGAGGGAATGCGGCCAGCAGCTTCCTGCAGAATTCCATCCACTCGCATCACGTCCGCATAGCTACATGGCTGGAATGCAGCGGTGAGGTCTGCTATCAGCATACGTTAACTCCAAGGGCGGCTGTATTGTGCTTAGGCAGACTCAAAAGGCGCGATGCTTCTGCCTCAGGCGTCAGTCCGCTCATCGTCATGGTCATTATTGCCTAGCTTTCTTACTCTCTTTCCATTAAAACTTCTTTCCCTCATCTCATCCAATTGTATTACAGTCCGATTCCAGGATAACCCATTCGCAATCAAGCTTGCCAAAGGGCGTCTCTCCCCTTAATACATCAAATAGGTAGTTGACGCTTTTCCTAGTGAACAGTTCACAACAATAAGTACGTTTTAGCAACCACGATGGTTAGCTCATTCAATCGTCTTCCACTGGACGTGTGGATCATTATACTTCGATACGCGCCAGATCTTCCAACGATATATAAAATTTATCTGTGCTTCCGCGAATGCAAGTGCAGCTTTTAAAATCGACTCACCTCATATTTTGAATGCTTCAATAGAGCGCTCAATCCCAGGCTTTAAGCATGAAGCTCGTATGGTTGCTATTCTAGGCACATTTTTAGCGTCATCATCAAATTCCACCTTCGAAAGCCTAGTCCATGCGTACAAAAGTCACCCGAAAGAAGTTCTTTCAACAACTCCAGCATCTTGTGCATTTATGAGAGGAACACCAGGCCCTCGCTACCTAGTGTTAACAGCATACCGTATAGAGACTCTTCAACATATATGCTTCATCTCTCTTCTCCATAACATCCATGAAGCTTTATGGCCCGTTCTGCCTACCGTAATACAGAGATTCATAATGACTCCATCAAAAAGTCTAAGGCTGGTATCGATTTCCAGGCTGTTGCATGGTGGTCTTTGTCCGGGGTTGAAAAGTCGCGAATTACGCGGGCATATTGGAATATAATTATTTATTGGAATATTCAGGAAATCTGTCCCGATCTGACGACAACAGATGATGGTGATTTTTCAAAATACAGGGCAACAATCAAGCGCATCGATCCATATTTTCGACCGTATTCATGCAAGAGGTTTTCAACGAATCCAGTTGAAGAGATGAAGTGTGTACTGGCCGCTACTCGTGATTTCTTGAGCTTTCCTCATGATTCGCGCTTATTTACTCCATTAACGATTCGCCAGTCTTCTAAATTCGGGCTTGAGAAATGGGTATTTACTACTGTTTTTCAAGAAAACCCGTGCGGGAGGTTTGAAGAACGAAAGCCGGTCAAGGGGTACAGACTTGGATTTCATATCGTTGCTTGTTTGAAGAAAAGGAGAAAACTTGCAAAGGAATTTTCCTCAGGCCATTCAAATTCGAAGCCGGGCCACGACGATCAATTTATAGACTACCTTGGAATATGCATCTGGGACAAGCAACGACCTGATTGGGTTGCATTGGGATCAGTATTCTATTTGAGAAATACCCAGGTCCGTGTCTGGACTCGTTCTAGGGCTATTAGATGACCCCAAGAAGCAACTGTTATACTTTTAAATACAGCAAATACCGACAGCAGGATGTATACCCACGATAGATAGTTGGACTACCACAACCTTCGAAAGACTTGGAAGCCCGTATGCGAGAATGCGAGTCTTACATCTAGTATAATAGTACCATGATTCTGATGACTCTTTGATCATGACGAATTGGAACACATGATTTGTCTATGATAATCCTCTAATGATAACATAGCCGTGATTGACTCTGCCGACTCTCCTGCTCCGAGAATAAAAGGCTCGTTTGCAACGTATATGCTACCGATGGAGGTAGTCGCGTCAGGGGGTAATTCCAGCGTCATTGGGATGACAATGGTTTATATCCATGGCTTCAATGGGGAGTAACTCGGAGCTTACTGCACAGATCTATAGGAGTCATCATACGGTAATAGGGCATTTCACCAACCACATACTCTTCTAACTCTGAGACATCGAGCAATATAACACACAAAAAAGTAAACTGAAAGATTATATACACAAATACCTCTTCTTTGTTCGAAGTATAAGGAAGGCTGTGGATTATTTTCTCACAAAACTTGGTCACATCTTGGTTCGGCCAGATGAGCGAGTCATAACGGAGAGGAGAGTAGAAATGAGTACATAGTAACGAATCAAGATCGTGAAAGGATCTGCAGGGTCCTTCGTAGGACTATGAGGTGGGCGCTGAGATTATTATGTGAGACAATCTAGCATCGTCTTATGCGAGAATTTAAGGAATATAAAATATATATAATTCGAGAAATACCCGCGCGGAATGGTACTCAAGTTAGTAATGATGCGCGGAGAATGAGTAAGTACAACAATACATCGAATGCTTTATGTGAGAAGTCAACAGTCTTCCTCGTCCTTGAAGATTTCTTCCAGTGCAGCTGAATATTATCTAGAGTCCTAGGATACGTGAAAAGAAGCCAGAGTTGCGTGGAACAAAAGGTTCGTGAAGTTCCACTCATTCCTGTGCTACCTGGTTGTTCCGCTCCACCAAGAAGCCACTTCGCCCCAACGCTGACTTACGCGCAGGGCGCGACGATCTCCATCACACCTCAGCGAAAACATAACTGTCCTCGCCCCGACAGTTAAGTAACGACGACTTTGAGAGTGTCGTTGCTTCGAGACGCTCAGATATGTATATTCTCGAGGTGAGATTCTCATTGGAAAGCTGATCTGTGAAGATCTGGCTAACGTGTTATGCTAGCAACTGGCGCGGCTTCTCGACCGCCCGCTCTTCCCATGGAAGAGCGTCCTGGTTGGATTTTCATTAGGACAGTTTGTTCTTGAAGGACTGCTGTCTCTTCGTCAGTATAAGGTTCTGCAGCAGACCAAGCCCCCGAAGGTGCTCGAGGGCGAGGTGTCGCAGAAGGTCTACGATCAGAGTCAGGTATGGGATCCAGGAAGCCTCGGAGTCGTGCCATTCGAGCTGGATGTTGGAGGTTTACTGGTGATGATACTAACTATCATTGAAAACAGGCATACGGTCGCGCAAAAGCCAAGTTTGGATTCATCTCCGGTCTCTACGGTCAAATTCAAAACCTCGCCTTCATCTACTACGATGCCCTGCCTAAGATTTGGGGGTTCACTGGTCTCTTGCTTGCACGGTACTTTCCCGATCGATTCCAAGGTGAAATATCACACACGCTACTGTTCTTCTTCGCCTTCAATATAATCACCACCCTCTTGTCGCTTCCCGTATCGTACTACAACACCTTCGTTCTCGAGGAGAAGTTCGGTTTCAACAAGCAGACAGTCAAGCTCTGGGTGACGGACATGCTTAAGGGTCAGCTGCTGGGTATCGTCTTGGGTGGCCCTATCATCAGTGCTGTGCTCAAGATCGTCCAGAAGACGGGCAACTCGTTTTTCTACTACCTCTGGCTCTTTGGTATTTTCGTCCAGGTCTTCGCTATCACCATCTACCCTATCGTGATCCTGCCTCTGTTCAACAAGCTCTCGCCCCTGGAACCCGGTGAACTCAAGACTGGAGTCGAGAACCTGGCAAAGAAGCTGAGCTTCCCCCTCCAGGAGCTGCACGTCATCGATGGCAGCAAGCGGAGTGCTCACAGCAACGCCTACTTCTACGGTTTGCCTTGGAAGAAGCACATTGTTATCTATGATACCCTTATCGAGAAGAGTGAGCCGGAAGAGGTCGTTGCTGTCTTGAGTCACGAGCTTGGTCACTGGAGCCTGAGCCACACCACAAAGCTGTTTGGTATTGCTCAAGTATGTGTTCAACAACTAACTGTGCTCGTATCCCATTTGCTAATTATGATAGTTCCACATGTTCTACATCTTCGCGCTATTTTCGGTTTTCGTGAACAACAAGTCATTGTATCAAGCATTTGGTTTCCACGATGAATATCCTATCATGATTGGATTCCTCCTCTTCTCCGATGCTTTGGCACCAATGGACGCCGTGGTCAAGCTCTTGATGAACATTCTGAGCCGGAAGTTCGAATTCGAAGCTGGTATGACTAATTTTAGCTTCTTCTTCACTCCCGTTCCCCTAGAACTATGCTGATAGACAACAGATGCCTTCGCAGTCAAGCTCGGTTACTCGCAGGAACTTGCGCGATCGCTCCTCAAGCTCCAGATTCAAAACCTTAGCACCATGGATGCCGACTGGATGTACGCTAGTTACCATTACTCCCACCCCATCCTTCCCGAGCGACTCGCCGCCCTTGGCTGGAAGGGTGGAAAGGTCACCAGCGCCAAGAGCGAAGACAGCGAGAAGCCCGTCAAGGCTTCTGATCGTGAATTGTAAACGGACATTGTGTGCTTTTATCTAGTGGGTGTTAGGGAGCGGTTGCTTTGCGGATCGAGGCTATTTGTACGTCTAATATAGAACGTAGAGATTGAATGATGAAAAGAAAAGGCTCCTTACTGACTCCCAAAACGCCATGCCCATTTTTTCCCGGTCCCATCTAAACGATTTTTTTAAACCCCCATGCAAACACAACATCTACAACTGTAGATACCGAACCCTTTACTCTTCCTGCTCAGCTCCCTTTGCTTTTGCGCGCTTCTCGGCCAGTCTTCGCTCCTTCTTCTTCCGTTTGCGTTCTTCCTTATCGACAGCAGGCTCCTGGGAGTCCTGCACATCCATCTGATCGTTCTCCTCGGCCTCGTATGCGTCAGCTGGGCCCCCTTCTTCATCCGCTTGCTGCCATTTCTCCTTGTCCACCCAACCCTCTTTAGTACCATCTGCTTGCTCTTCTGTCTGTGGCTCTGTTTCCAATTTTGCAACTGTCAGGTCCCTCCCAAGAACTTCACCAGCCAGACCGGCCTGTACACGCTTCAAATTGTGCAGGATGAGGTTGGGAGCTGCAGAGGTCGTGCGAGAGACGGGACCACGTTCTGAGATAACTGCATTAGGCTGGAGGGCAGGATCCGTATTGGCGCGGTCGAGGTAAGCGGCGAGAAAGTCGTGCGCTGCGGATTGCGAAATGGGCTTTGTGGAGAGGATGGTGGTAGGAGGGAGAGGAGAAGGTCCTTGGGTCGACATTATGTGATGTTGAGATTCTCTAACTATGCGCTGCTTGTGCCTTTTTGCAAGATATCGTGTCTTTCGACGAGAGTATGTATAGGTGGTGTCGGAATCAAATTTTGTTGCGAAGCAAAGAAAAAAAAAAGAGAAAGTTCCGACTTCAAGCGGTCGTACAAAGTCGAAGGATATTAAAAATAGCTTGCAGAGTTATGGATTCCCCCGCCTTTAGAGTCGTCAGAAACGAAAATGTCAACAATATAAAAAAAAGGTAGAAGAAAACGATGTACAAATTCGCGCTGTAAGATTATCTCCAACTTTTTTCCGGGCCCGTGCAGTGCGGCTCAAAAGGTTAATTCTCTGCCCGGCCGGACGCATCAATCAACTTCCAGCAGGCCCGAGCAGTACCGCCTTATTTGGCTGACAGGAATCTATCTACTCTGTCAGGCCAGCATACTATTTTGCTGATATTGTGTTGTTAATTCCTGTTCTTCTTTACTCCCAAGGCTTCACAGTTGAACCCGGTTGCTCGACTGCCTTAATAGCCATGCTCTGCCTCCGTTGCTCGAGGGCGCTGCCCTCGGCCTTCAATGCGTCGAGTCGAATTACGGCGCAGTCACAGATCATGAGGTATGTTCCATATCATTGATAGCAAGATCTACGATCCTGCGCAATATACGCCTCGAGCAGAGGATGATACCCGAAAACCACCGCCCCGACTAACACGATATCCAACATCAACAGATTCGCGTCTCCAACACCATCCGCTCGCACATTTTCATCACTCCTCACCAACCAACGACCAGCTCTCCCTATTCCTCGTGCTCATTCTCCGATCCTTTCTTCTCTCGCTACCATTTCTGCGAATACCATTACTACCCCGTCTGCCACATTGGCATTGGCTCATCAAAGCCGATCATTCTCCGCTTCCGCTTCTCTTGGTGCTAAGCGAGACACCTATAACCCCTCGCGGAGGGTTCAGAAACGTCGCCATGGATTCCTCGCTAGACTACGATCGCGTGGTGGGAGGAAGGTCTTGCTTCGGAGACGAGCAAAGGGGAGGAAGTTCTTGAGTTGGTAGATGGTGGAGACTGGGATCGGATGGAATATCCAAGCAAGCTGAAAGGAGGGATTGGTCGAAGATGCATGGATAAGGATAGATATCTTTGCTTTCCTTTCTTCTGAAACAAACTGAAAGGAAAAGAGGGGAGGGGGGGGGTGGACACAGATATGTCACATTATACTGTATCATACATATGAATATCAAAGAATCTCGTCTTGTGTTACGGCGAGGTATGCCATGTTTTCCATTGAATCTTGATTATCTGGTGGTTCGGCTCTCCCGCGCATGAAATGCGTCTGTTATGCTGTCGAAGAGTATTTGCTTGTGCTTGCTTCTGTGTCGTTTTGTTTGATATGGTATGGGGACAAAGCCAGCTACGTAGTGAGTGTCTAGTCCTCTTGATGGAGATTCCATTCTATACTCGTGCTAAACGAGGACGGCCTACTGATGAATGCATCTTGCAGCATACCTAATGATGGAGGAGCACTAGGACATAACTGAAGTAAAGGGCTGGCGTCGTTTTTTCTCTTTTTTCTATGTTCGACGTTTTCATCACATACATACAAACGGGAAAAAAAGTATCTTGATTTAGATCCGACCAGTTCATAACAAAGTACAGCAGAAGGGTCTACGCGAACCCCCTCTACCGCCGTTATTCGTCATCGTCTCATCCACTTAGCTTCCTCTCTCTCTGACAACGCCCAGGCGCCTCCCCTGTGCAATGCATGCAGCTACTTCTTACCCAAGACGGCAACGACGCAGGGAATGTCCGTCGCGTTGTTCATTGCCGCTAGATAAGGGAGTTGGGGTATAATCGACTTTTGTTGGCATTCCCTTCTTTCCATCTTTTCTCATTCGTCACATCTACTCGGAACTCCTTGTCACAGGGTTGTGGCGCAGAATCTGCTGAATAGCAGTCCGCTAGCCACAAAATGACAAGAAGATGAGCAGCATACATTGTTAATAGATCGAAAATATTTAGTCAATGATAGGCTCAAGGGTGTTTCCACTGGAGAATCGTTAGTATGTGCTCTTTTCATTGAGTGAGTAAATGAGGTACTTACGCAACAATGTTGGCCCATCCGATCAGACGCCAGTGCCTGTCAATTCTTCGGCTGATGGCGATCTTCTCGCCGATCTCGGTACAAGCCGGGCTGGTCAAGCTCAGCTTGGCAGCATCAGCCTTGACACCCATGACCTTAGCACCCGTGGCAGTAGATCCAATGTTAACCATGAGAACCTCGTTCTTGGACAGCTTGGCGACCTTGGCCTGCTTGCCGTCGGCGGTCTTGACACCAAGCAGACGACGAAGCAAGAAGTAGTTGACCTCGAGCTCAGTGTAGATGGCTGGCAGACGGCCCTTAAGACCGAGGACGAAACCGACGAGACGGTCAGCACGGCAAAGGGTAGGGTCGACACGAGTTCCGACACCGATTAGACCACCAGGGACGGCGAACTTGAGGTCATTGTGCTCGGCGAAGAGAGACATGACGCGAGAGAAGATGGGTCTACACTGAATCTTGCCGTTCGCATCCTTCGTCACCAGACCAGGACGGATCTCGATCTCGTCGTTCAGCTTCAAAACACCAGTCAGAATGGAACCACCAGCGACACCACCCTTGAGCTCATCAATCTCAGCACCAGGCTTGTTAACGTCGAAAGATCGAATGACGATCATGTGAGGAGCAGCCGTGAAGTCTCGGAGGGGAACAGGGATGTGCGAGACAAGGTGCTCGTTAACGGCGTCAATGTTGTACTTCAACTGGGCAGAGATGGGGATAATAGGGGAGCCATCAGCAACAGTACCCCTGATGAACTTCAGGATGGACTGGTAGTGTTGCAGAGCACCCTCTTCCCGCATCAGATCGACCTTGTTCTGAAGGATAATGATGTGGCTCAGCTTCATGATCTCGATGGCAGCCAAGTGCTCCGAGGTCTGGGGCTGAGGGCAAGTTTCGTTTCCAGCAATCAGCAGAAGTGCAGCATCCATGACAGCGGCACCAGACAACATGGTACTCATCAGAATATCGTGTCCCGGGCAGTCAACGAATCTTTAACGCCATGTATTAGCATTTTATCTTCCCCACACATGAAAAGTTCAAGATCCACTTACGAGACATGTCTGAGCAATCTGTACCGTCCAGTGCAGCCTTCTCTCTCACATGGCGGGTCGACCTCCTTCTCACTCTTGTAACTCTTGTAGCAAGTCGGACGAGGGCAGGCCTCGTTGTCGCACTTGTAGATCTTGGCATTGGCATAACCCAGCTTGATGGTGATGTTTCGCTCCAGCTCGTTCTTGAAACGGACAGTCTGCACCTCAGAGATAGCCTTGACGACCGTCGACTTTCCGTGAGCGACGTGTCCGATGGTACCAATGTTGATCGTGGCCTGGCGCGCAATGATCTCGGGCGACAGAGGCGTCAAAGTCGTCAGGTCGAGGGTCTCTGGATCCGGCTGAGGTGGCAGCTCTGGGCGCTTGATCTGGGGAGGAGGCGGTAGTGAAGAGCCCTTCTTCAGGGCCGACTTGAGGGGCTTCTCGGTCGATTCCTCGTGCTCGAGGGGTTCCTGGTCCTCGATGTCATCGTGGCCGTTGGCGTCGATGACGGGGGAGCCGGGCTGCGAATCTTCGTCTGAGAAGTCACCGTTGGTAGCCATGATTGCGATGTGAGAGTCACGTTCAGCAACGGCCAGTGTTGGGTGTGGGAAATAGGGTAGGTGACTGGGCGTGTCGTGACGTTGAAAATTGCAGTTAAGGCCGGAGGCGATATGATATGGGTTTGGCGGTGGGGTGCCGATTTGTGCAGTGGAGTGTGGGCGGCGAACCTTTTTCCCTGCGCTGGACGCCGTAGGGTGCAATAGCACAATATATCACCAAGACTACTGGGGAGTTCGGAAGAAGACAGCAGAAATTATTGACTGCTGAAATCTATATACAAACATAATGTCCTGTCAATCCTTTTCTACCACACCCTCCCCCAGCATCAGGACTAATAGGCGAGTAACAATAGTTAACCGACCAGGCACTGACTCACATGTAGCCATAATTCTAAACAGCGCAGATACCAGCCATATATTATGGCAACATACTTATTCTCTTAGCAGGCAGTAATATACTGACTGATGTGCAGCTTGAGTTACTATTTTTCCAGGTAATGTACATTCATTCTATAAGAAGTGATGCTTTTACAACGTGGGGTATACTTTTTGGGGGTCTCAATGCAACATAATATCTCGTCACGACTCCTACTCTGACTCTCCATCACTCTCATCACTGCTTGCTTCCTCGACTTCTTCCTCGGATTCGAAATCTGAGTCGTCAGTAGCTGACGGGTCATCAAACTGTCGCATCACAAAAGCTTTCAGGCAAGTGATGCGGTTTCCGGTCTCGTAAGTGCCCAGGAGCGTTCCAACCTGCCGTGGGCTCGGAGCATCCTTCTTGGATTCCTTCTTAGACTTCTCAGTCTCTCTTGTCTTCAGATCCTCCTTTGCAACCAGCCATATACGGACTGCGCCATCGCTGCCGCCAGTGACGACGGCGAGGCTATCCTTGAATGCCCCAGGACCGTCTAGCTCCAGGATCTCGAAATCCTTGACACGTCCTGAAAGGCCGGACGGCTTCCCACCGAATTGAGCGATGACCACTGCATCGGGGATTTGCTCTTCACCATCCTCGTTCTTAGACTTCTGAGTAGTCTTCGTCGAGTAAAAAATCACCCTTCCATCTTCCGTCGAGACTGCTAGGACCTCGTCTCTACCCTCTTTCGATTGGTTAACAGTAACATAACTGATATCATGGAGCTTGGTTAATGGACTTGGCAACAGTTTGCACTTTGGTGTTGAGTCCTGCGGAACAGTTAGTTAAGAGACGTCCTGCTGGGGAAGCATCGATGAAGAAGTTACCGTTCCAAACACGACAGCACCCCGCTCGAAAGCAACAGCGAATTCTTCTCCCTCTGCATTCCACACAATCCTCCTGCCTTCCCCTGTTGCCCATCTACCCTCCTTCACACTCTGTAGAATGTCTTTTCCAAAGTTGAGCACACCAGCCTTCTTTCCCGTAACCAGGTTCCAAAGTCTCATGCATCTCTCTCCTTTCCCTACACTGAGCATCAACTTCATACTGGGATGTACCGCAAAGTCATTGATGCCAGATGGAGACGCTCCAGGAGGGGCTGTATCCCCGCTAGGTCGACCCTGTGCCTTTGGTCGGGGAGCCTTGATTGTGGATACAACCGACCAGTCTCGGGTCTTAGTGACAGAGATTGTATTGTCTTCTGCACCGGCCAAGAGTTTGGAGCGGGACGGAAAGTAGAGAGCAGAGATATTGGCGGAGTGGTGTAGCAAAGAACCGAGTTCGCGATTTTTTGGATTCTCCAGGATCTTGTTCCCCGCCAAGGTTGGCACAGATGGAAATTTGTCGTTCACCAGCGGAGGCGACACCGACAGGGTATAAAGATTGATACGTTCATCGCTACCACCGCTAGCGAGAATGACCTTCTGCGGCTGTGAGGGATCTGGTTCCGGCAACGGAGATATTGCCAGAGAACGAACGGCCGAAGCGTGGGCATGGAAGAGGAAAGTATCAGAGAATTGTACAGATGGTGTGCCCGCTGAAGTGTCAGTATTGTCCTCAGAGGACAGCGAGAGACCAGCCGTGAAACCGTGAAGAACTCGCTCATACGAGCCAGTCACGATCTGGAGGGTGATTACTGGCGCAGACGGCTCAGCGGTTGATGACTGGTGTTCCGGAGCAGTCGTGGCTTTGATGGCTTTTCGAGGGCTGTCAACCGAGGAGCCATCCTTGGCGGCATTGTCTCTCTTGCGCTTGGCCATTGTTGTGTCTATTGGAGCTGTCCAATGTCCCGGACGCAGGCCTGATACACTTCTTCTATCATATCAACTTTTTTTGTTGCGATGGCCGATGGAGCTAGACCGTGATCGTCGGGCTGGGTCCGGGATCCGGGGAAAGCGAAGTTCCGAGATAAAATTCCTCAGGCCGCACTCAGGCAGCCAACTGGCCGAACGCGGCTGCCTTGGCTTTCTCGCTGCCTCAGGCGCCACCGCATCCCTTCCTTCCGGTTCACTTTGCGGTCTCCCTTCCCTAAGGCTGCTGCGCGCTGCCCCCCCCCGGCACTCACCAGTGTCACTACCACCACCATCTGCCCTCACCCCATCAAAACCCCCCTGGGAGAAATCCTCGCGTTTGGCCTTTCGCCGTCCCATAACACCACCACCCCATCCATTCCATCCTATCTGAGCGATTTTTTCGATTCGAATGTTATCGCTCTCTTCATTGCCCTCGCTTTCCGCGCGTTAATCGGATGTTGTGTGGCCGAGATAGACTCGATGCTCCGCGACGAGCTGCTCCGGTCTAAGAACGATGAGATCGCGTAAGTTTTAATTTTGTCCCAGCGATGCGTTCTACTCTATCGCAGTATGCGATACAGAATTATCGCTTACTTTGATTTTTAGACGTTGTCTGTTGTCGCGAAAGCGCAAACTGAGCGAGCTCTACTTTGCGACCGTGGGCTTTACGGGCGCGACCGGGGGCGCTCCGGCCGACGCTCTGTATCAGCAAAAAGAACAAACGTTCCTCGACGCCAACGACCTCTCCAAGTATGTCCCTTTCTTACATAACTCTATAGACCACCAATATAATCCCACCGTATAATTGCCAGGTACTAACTCACGCGTTGTAGAGGACGATATTTCAACGAAGCAACTCTTCCTCCGTTCCCAGACTATGCGACCGTCGCAACGCCCTCTGAACAACAAGATTCCGAACCAGCCACCACCAACCCCACCGTGCAAGCTGGATTAACCTCACAAGATGCTGTCGAACCGGCTGTGTCGCCTGCTGTGAATTCTGTACTGTCGTCCAATGTCGCCGAAACTCGACAACATGCGATCGAGGGCGCGAATCAAGCAATCGAAGGACAGGACAGGATTGTCGCCATTGGTGCAGGCGATATACAGCCTCCCGGCGCCGTTACTTCAGGAGCGTCTGCGGTTCCCCAGGGTCGCGAAGAAAAGCCATCTGCTGGCTCGCAACCTATCCCATCTGCAGCTTCGGGGCTATTGAATGTGGCAGTATCTGAGACTCCTTCGAGTACCGACGACCCTGGCGCGACGGCGACGGTGGCATCTCCAACACGTCCTCAATTGGCACCGGTGCCAGGTGCGGCTGTGTCGAAGGCGCCTGATGTCCCCGTCTTGCACAAGAAGCATGATAAACGACCATCACTGGCACTAGGTCCAGGCTCACATTTACCGGAACAACCTCTTTCTCCGGCGTCTTCTGTTGGTCCCTACTCCAATAATACTTCACACCAGACGGTGCTTTCTCCAGAGACTAGCCCTGGTGAGGAGGCTGCCGAGACAATCGTCGGTACAGTCAAATCATCTAAAGCTGTAGCGCTTCCTAGCCCTAAACCAGATACATCTATTCAACCTCCATCGACTTTAGTTCCTTTGACACCTGACGAGCAACTCAAGTTGGAGGAGGCCCAGTCTTTGCTGCACCAGAAAACCGTGGCTCCAGATAACGTTATAGGAGACCATTCTGGGACCGGCGCCCATCCTTCTTCGAACGAGGTCATCCAAGAGAGTGTGGTATCGCCGTCAACGGCGGAGTCAGCGCCCCGTAAACCGCAGGAAGGGCCTGAAGAAACCACTATCTCACCCTTGTCACCAAAACACAAAAAAGCGGATGCGGTATCTGCGTCCGCAATGGAGGCAGCAGCTCGCGGGCAGCAGCCGTCCGAAGGTACACCCACCGTTTCACCAACAGAGAAGCCAACGCAAATTGTTGCGACGCCCTCAGGCACTAAGAAGGCTCCTCTCGGGGCATCTGCCACGCCTCAGCTGGAACGGATGACGACCAGAGTGTCGTCGGGCGCTATCCGCCATAAATCGGTATCGGAAATCTTGGGAGAGACACCGAGAACACAGAGTTCTCAGGCTGATTCGACCAGGGCTACTTCTGCGATTGACTCTCTTTCCCCAGTATCCGATAAAGATACTCCGGGCTCAGCTGCTCGGTTGCGACTTAAGGATCGGAAGGCAAGGGAGAAGGAGCGCAGTAAGCTGTCAACTGTGGTGTTTCCTAAACAACAAACGGAGAAGAATGATACGATGGATCTTGTACGACAAAATGCTGGAGATCTGATAGCAGGTTTAAACGAAGAAAAGGACTATCTGTTCACCCTTTTCCAGAACAAAGCCTACTCGCCTCCTCGAAGTATCAACCTCAGTACGCTTCTTGCGTCTGCTCATAAGACGTTATCAACCGGAAATCATGTCCTTGACTATGAAGAACAGATGAACTGTCGTACGCTACGTCGCATATACTCCCTTCAAAATGCGAACAGATGGCCTCTGCGGCAACTAAAGCGTTCTGTCGAACCTACACGAGCGGCGACCCATTGGGACGTTCTTCTGGATCACATGAAATGGATGCGAACTGATTTCCGTGAAGAACGGAAGTGGAAAATTGCTGCTGCGAAGAGCTGTGCTGACTGGTGCGCTGAATACGTTAACAGCGATCTAGCACACAAAGCACTGCTCCGTATTCGAGCAAGGATTCCGTCGCGTACTGTTAAGGAAGCAAGTGCCGAGTCACAGAGCGTCGACCCGGCTACAAAAGAGGAGCCGATTGATAGTTCGGTGCTCTCGCATCCCACTCCGGAGTTGATTCCCTCCACTGAAGATGACTCTCTCAGCGAGGGATTCAACGATGAACCCCGGCATGACCTGCATGATACAGTTGCACCAGCTGCAATCTTTTCTCTAGGTTCAGATGAGTTTACGTTTTCGATAGACATGACCCCGGCCGCTGAAAAGATCCTTGACGAACTTCCCATATATGCTCCCGTGGCTATTGCTCCAGATACGAAGCTTCCCTTGTTCAAGGCGCCGCCAGATGCTGCATGGAAGACGGATATCCTCCCCGTGTCCAAATATGCAATGGGCAAGATCGAGTTCCGCGATGACGAGCCTGTCAGGAAACGGAGTAGGTATGATTATTCTCAGTACTCACGCGAAGCCGACAGTGAAGTTGTGGATATGCCGCCCGAGCAGACAAACGTTGCTCTCTTCCGCCCAGAGAACAAGCATATTCGGGACCGAATTCACCCTGGATATTCTTTCCGCCCTCCAACAGAACATCCCATGCCGTCATTAGGATTCTTCGAATCAAGGCAGTCATCTCAGTGGACATATGCGGAGGATGACGAGTTGCGCCGTCTGGTAAAAGAATACTCGTACAACTGGTCACTCATATCCAGCTGCCTTACCCCGCCTTCCCTCTATACGTCAGGCGCTGAACGACGCACGCCCTGGGAATGCTTTGAGAGATGGATTGGGTTAGAAGGGCTGCCGGCTGAGATGTCCAAGACTCAATACTTCCGAGCTTACCAGCAGCGGCTGGAGACGGCTCAGCGCACAGTCCTTGCCCAACAGCAAGCTGCTCAGCAACAACAGCAACAAAGCAATAACTCGCAGCCGCAGGCGCCCGTTCGTAGGAGGACTACACAACCTGTCAGAGTCGACCGCCGGCGTGCTTCGAAACACCTTGCTCTTCTTGATGCTATGCGGAAACTGGCAAAGAAACGGGAGACTATGCTGCAGAAGCAGCAACACGGTAAGTTTCGTTGTGATAAAAGGTTTGCCGTACGATTTCTGACATTGGTGTAGCGACACATCTGGCATCATTGAGGAAGGCCAATGAAGCGAACCAGCCTAAGCCTCCTATCTCCTCCCCGGCCGATTTCAGCAAACTGAAGTACGAGCGCGAAATGAAGCTTCAGGAGAGACAGGAACAGTACCGGCAGCAGATGATTGCGCAGCAACGAGTGAGTACCTAGCCACATAATATCACCACGTTCTAAGCTGACACTTTCTCGAAGGCAAACCTTGCTGCGCAGCGTGCCGGTCAACTGCCCAATCAGCAGCCTATGATGAATGGTGCCCCAGGCCGCGCTCCGAATGCAATTCCTCCTAATGGTGGTAGTCCTAGTTTGCCTGGCGCTGTTCCTAATGGCATGCCAAATGGACTCCCTCCTGGCATTGGGGTTAACCAAGGCCGACCTCATCCTATCCAGGGAATGCCCAATGGCACGCCTATGAGCGGCCCTATGCCACCCAATGCTATGGCGATGAAGATGATGCCCCAGGGCGGAATGCAGCAACCGATGGCTGCACGGCCCGGGATACCCATGCAAGCCTCTCCAGACAATGCTAGAGTTATCCGCGAGGCCAACCGGCTGCAAGAACAGCAACGAATCCTGCAGTCTCGTCAGCAACAACAACAGCAGCTTCACAACCAGCAACAGTATGGACAGCAGGGAACCCATCCACCCAATGTCAATCTGACAAACCTCAATGGGAGCCCGAATAACCCGGCAATGCTGGCGGCTCTGCAGGCCACAGGCGGCATGCAAAGTCCTCCGTTCCACAACGGTACTGGTCAAGGGGTCTCGACAGCTTCTCCTCGCATGGGTCAGCCCAACCCTCTTTCAAGCGGTGTGGTTCCTACAATTAGCAGCATTCAGAGCCAAATTCAACGAAGCAATCCGAACATGGCTGCTGACCAGGTGAACAAGCTTGCCACGGATCGTCTCCATCAGTATCAGCAACAGCGCATGTCGCAGGTAGCTATGAATGCGGCTGCTGGTAACATGGGAGCTGTTCAATCAAACTTCCAGGTCCCTCATGATGGGAATTTCCAAAGCGCCTCACAGCCCGGTATTCCCAATGGCACACCTGGTATGCAGAACCCCCAGACACAGGGTTATTCACCTATGATGCGCGTTCCTCAGAATGCCCAACAAAACCGTGTGGGAGTTGGAAGCTCACCTGCGTTGAATGGTGCAGCACCCCAGCAGAGCAGGAGTGCAACACCGCAGACTCAGCGCAGTGGCAGTGTTCAGGCTGGCCCCGTACCCGGTTCCAGCAAGAGCCCCAGGCCCCCGCAAGCCCAAATGGCAAACAGCTAGGGCTTCTTCTTTTAGCCTGAGTAGCTGGACTTTGTCTTTGCTGCTTGGAATTCTACCTTTTTTAATTGTACTGTACATATCACGGAGGAAAGAACACCCTTACCCCAGTTTCTATTGCCTTTTGACGAACCCAGTTACGCCTATTCTATCTGCGCCATGTTTCTCGCGTCCCTGCCTGTTCCCCTGCCCGATTACTTTACCCCCTCTTGTTGCCGGTTTACCCTGCTCTCTATCCTTGGTGTGGTACGCATGTTGTGTGGTCTGTAAGGCCTGACCTTTTTATATCGGGATGGGCATAGGATTCACGGTTTTTGTACTACTAGTATTCCTCGGGCAAACATTGACTACCCGCACCTTGGCCGTGCGGTGACATTTAGAGTCGAATGATGATGCAAAATAAATCTACCTCTGATTCTCAAGGATAGTGAAGCCGGGTTTATAACCGCAGTAGTGACCTCGCATGCATATCGATCTCCGATATACTTGAAAAGTAAAAAGACTGGCGAGCAATGGAAGTTCCTAATCGAGAGCCGTGCGACTTGACCGCATGCGGATATTTTAAGCGCGCGCTTAAAGATCACCATTGCCACTCAAGGTGTCGCCGCAAAGGCTCGATGTAGAACACTCAAGTCATCAAGCTTCCACCTTCTCTTTTCACTTCTCGCCTCTGATAACATATATATCACATGCGTCACATGCATCATATGGATCTTTGATCTCAGTTATCTCTAATCCTATCCGGACTTGACACTCCGGAAGAGGGTATCTACCATGTCTTCCGGCGAGGAAACTCAAGGTGATAAATCCGCTGTTGGAGAGGGAGCAGCAAAGCCATTTTCGCTGGCTTTTGGTGGTGGCCCAAATAAGTCGGGAGCAGCGTCGAAAAAGACATCATTCAATTTCCAAAGCTCTCGAGCCACCGGCCCCAAGACGAAAGCTATCCCCCACCGCCCTCAGCGACTCCACGAAGATGACTCCGACGAGGACGAACACGCCCCCGTACACGAGGAAGTGACTGGCTTTGATACGACCGCGGGAGGCGCGATTACTGCAGATGATTCCCGTAACAAGAAACAAGAGTTGGTGATCAAAGTTGAAAGCAAAAACAATTGGCGGGATCGACCTGGAGTTAACGTTCGGCGACCGAAGGGTAAAAACCTACTGCCAAAAGAGGTGCAAGCACAGAGACAGGCAGAGAAGGATGGGGTTGTGGCTGGAAATGTGGAAACCGAAGGTCCTAATATGTCATACGGCCTGACGTATGCGAAACCAGCAACAATTACAACGGAGGATGTGAAGAATGGCGACGTATCCATGGTGGATGCGGATGCGCTTGCTCCAGGCGAAGAGAAGAAGCCTCTCACCCAGGATGAGATCGCTCTTCAGGCGCTTATTCGCGAGAGTCAGGGCGACTCGGAACGGACGAGATCGAATCTGGTTATTGAATCTGGAAAGCGTCCTTCTAAGGAGGAGGAGGAAGAATATGAAACGCGCTATGATGAGACGAGTTCTTTCCGTGCAGATGTGGCTTCTCGTCCAGATCCTGCTAGCCTGGACGCCTACAATGCTATTCCAGTTGAAGAGTTTGGCGCCGCTCTATTGCGAGGTATGGGTTGGAAGGAAGGTCAGCCAATCGGTAGAGGCAATTATGGGACAGCTGTGTCTGCTACTGCAAAGGCGCCACGGGTACCGGAGCGTAGACCTGGCTTTCTTGGAATTGGAGCAAAGGATATATCTGGAGGAAAGGGCGCAGAAGCTGAAATAGGAGCGTGGGGGAAAGCGGCTATGCGCAAAGGATCTAGAAAGAAGGAGGGTCAAGATGGCGCGGAAAATACAGACGGTATCTATATGCCTGTTCTTATGCGGAACCCGAAGACGGGAGAGTCTATCACTGAGGAGGAATTCAAAGCTCGACAAAAGGCGGCGAAAAATGTGGAGGAGGATTGGAGAGATAGACGGGATCGCAATCTCGAGAAAAGTGGACGAGATCGGGAACGTTCAAGGCGCGATTATGATGACGACAGCGACCCTTATGAGAGACGAAGAAATGGCTCTGGGAGGGACAGGAGCCGTTCATCTGACGACCGTGATCGAAGGCGCAAACGCGGCACTGATGAAGACAGGGAGAGAGATGATCGCCGCTATTATCGCGATCGCGATCGCGACCGCGACCGTGAACGGGATAGAGACCGAGACCGAGACAGACATAGGGATAAGGATCAGGATAGAAGTCACAGAGATGGTGAATACCGCAGTTCTCGACACTCATCGTCCACTTCCTCCCGACATGACCGCGATCGCAGGGATAGAGATCGGGACCGTGATAGCGATCGCGACAGAGACTCGCATCGCAGAAGAAGGGATGACTACCGATAGAAGCAGCCTTGATGTACAGCACATTTTTATGAAGAGGGACATAGCATATTATAGAGCACGTTGGATAGGGAGGAACTGGAAGTCCGCCATTCTAAGAGCAGTACACTTCAGCAGGGAAGGATACTAAGAAATGATACCCAGAGCGTGTTCCTGTTCCTTGTGCCACCATACGTGTCAGCATATGCTGCAAAGATGCATGAATCAAACCACTTGTATACAGATAACGGATATGTTATGGTCGTATCTGCGTAAACGATGACGATCTGAATGATATAGAGTAATGTTGATGGGTTAGAAATATGACACTATCCCCCAGCAGGCAGCATCATTGAAGAAAAGAAAATAAAGTGTTTAGGTTCAGATCACAGATCTATTTAGGGAGAAGATGACCAGTTCTATTTATTACCTCCCATGTGGCATTGTTGCCCACTTCGAGCGCCGACGTCGACTGACGCAAGGGAAGTTTATAGAAGAAAAGTTATCTCTAGATGAGACACATACCATGGATTCTTGAATAATTAGCTCTAATTTTATGTCGGAGACCCGTCTGCGCAGATCATTTACGATCGTGTCAATATATCCGTAAACGGCAATCTTCTCGTATTCTTATAGATCCGTCCCAGGGACAACAAGTATTAAATATTGAAAAGCCCCGACTTTGCGCTCAATACAACTCTTCAATTCTCTATACTTCCAAGAAGCGAATATATTAACACTCCAATATGGATTTCACCTTCCATCCCGGCGTCAACGGCTCCAAGCCTTGGGTGGAATTCTACCCTTACAATCCCTCCCTCACAGCAGGATACGCCTTCATGGCAATTTTCGGCATTACGACTATCGCTCACATAATACTCATGTTCCCTTACCGTGCTGCATACTTTATACCTCTTGTTATAGGTGGAATATGTGTGTTTACTACCTCCCATCCCCCCAATCTTGACTATCCATAAAATGAACCTGCAGTGTTCTAATTGAACCATATTTCCGTAGGCGAGACATTCGGATACTATGGCCGTGCCTTGTCCCATAATGACCGAACTGGTATCGGTTCATGGGCGCAACAACAAATCCTGATTCTCTGCGCACCCCCGTTCGTCGCAGCGACAATCTACATGGTCCTAGGGCGAATCATTCGCGTTCTCAATGCCGAGCATCACTCTTCAATTCGGACCAAATGGCTGACTACCATTTTTGTCCTGAATGATATCATCTGTTTCCTCACACAAATCATCGGTGCTGGAGTCCAGGTCACTGGAGACGCAAACCTCATGGATATCGGGAAGAAAGCGGTCCTGGCAGGCCTGGTCTTCTCGCTTATCATATTTCTTCTATTCGTCTGGGTGGCGATCCTCTTTCATATGCGGCTGGCGAAGAATCCGACATTAGTAGTGATCCAGAGCCCGCGACTGAACTGGAAGAGGTATATGTGGGCTTTGTACGCCTCGTGTGCGGCGTTGGCGATAAGGAATCTCGTCCGTACGATTCAGTTCGGGGCGAATAAAACATCTGCCATCAATACAAAGGAGGCGTATATCTATGTCTTTGATGCGGCGCTCATGCTGGTTTCTATGGCAGTTCTTGCCGTGTGGCATCCAGGCATGTTGATTAAAAAGGCCAGGAAGGCGAATGAGATGGAGAAAAGGTATGGAGCTATGAACCAGGAAGGTTCCAACATGCAAGATGTGCCCCTAGTGTCCTGTTGATATATGGCTGGTTTCGATGTCTTCAAACGCTGTCAGTTTGCTATGCAAAGTTGTCCCTTGATTCGTCGATTTAACACTCGGTTAGATAGCTTACCATCTTAGTTATTCTCCGGGTCCCAAGCAACTGGAGATTGAACGTATGGCAGATTCAGATTCCGAGGAAGAAATTTATTAAATCTATCCACAACGCCATGTGACTCGTAGTCCATGAACTATACCTAAAAATATGCAAGCAGCTATTATGTATGAACGAAATTGACAGGCCACTCAATCCAACTATGGAAATCAGGATCCAAGGATGACACAACTCCTGATACGACGTGGCTGTGCCACCCAGTCATCAGCCACGAAGCCTCCATATATTTGAGCAGGACGCTCCAGTGAGCAAGAATGATGAGTGCATAAGTGTCCTTAGCTTCGAGTAGCTGGATGAATTGCTCCGGTAACCGATATATCCATCCGAAAGTTGCAGCCATTAGACAGAGTCCGTCTCTGCCAGCGCTGCGCATTCTGAACACTTCTTCTAGGGAATTTAATAAATCGTCGACTGCAGCCATATACGCTGACAGTACATTTCGATCGATAATGCTCTCATTTAGTAATCGTCTGATCATGTCGATCTGTTTCTGGTGCTGAGTTAACTCTGGTAGTAGAGTAGATATCACTTCGTCTGGGGTTCCCTCATCCTCAGGTTCTAGAACTCCAGTAAATATCCTATCATGCTCAGAGACGAGTATCGCGCGCACGCCGCGCATAAGAACAAGCCATTCAGATGATCCCCGCTCACTGAAGACTAGATATTCACCTCGTCGTGGGCCACGGCCGAAGTAAACTAGGCATATCAGCATTGCCGCGACGTAGATCTTTTGGCAATTCCCAGAATCCAATTGGGACAGGACGGCCGTAACGGAGCGCACGCCGAAGGTGAAATGGTCGTCAGCTTGCGCTTGATACTCAAACAGCAGATGGGGATTTTTGTGGCCGAGATGCAACGCTGAAAGAGCTAGTATGAGATGTAAGATCGAGGGGAATGCCAGGCCCCATCGTGGAACATGAATCAGGTACAGCGCGTGTTTGTCTGTCGGTTCATAGCGAATAGTCCGACAGGTCGATGTGATAAAATGGTGATAAAGACCAAGGTCTGCTAGTGAGATATTTCCAGTTCTGCTGTCACTCGTCCATAGGTCGCATTGCACCGAGGCACATTTCGAGCTGGCTTCCTTCCGTTCCATAGAGCCAGATGATGAGCAAACCAGAGACTGGAATCTAGATTGTTTGAAACGGATTGGATGAGTAGATGAGCTCGAGTCGGTGCCCGGCGACGGGAGAGAGAAGTCACAGTCGATGGCATGTGCTATGCAATTGGAGCATGCAGGTTTATTTTCATCGCACTAGAGGATGTTAGCATAAACCATATCATGTGTGAACGCGATAGTGGACAAGAGAGACACGAGACATAATTGAGGCCTATCATAGTCTTCTATATACATCTCGAAAGGAAAGAAGAACATATGGAGAAGAGAATATCATAGTCAGGGAACATTCATGGAGAAGCGGGTTCATAGCGTACCTTTAGTCGTCGTCTCTTACAATTCTTACATCCCAAGCGAGATTTACGGTGGGATTTTCGAGAACGGAGCTTCTTTTTCGATTCCGCGTCTGCCATGCGGGCAACAGGGGGTGGTATTCGGTTGGACTGCTGAAAGTCTTACCCCCCAATAACTACCTCGTAAGGGGGATCGTATTCGTTGCTATTCTTCCGTAAGCTGGCGGGCGAGACTGGAGGTAATAATAACTGCAATCTCAGTATAGCCAAGATTAATTTAGGCAGCAAGAAAAATAATTCGAGGGCACTCGATTCGGTAGAACTATCTGATTCAATAATATCGCCAACCTTTTTTTTAAGTGGCGGATCTGGATTATTACCCTAGTGATAGGAAACGTTCCTGAACGAGTCTTAACTCCCGCCCAAAGTATGAGTTGGTTATAAATAGTAGTTAGTAGTTCCTTGTTGGCTTTTTTAACTTGATAAAACGGCTTTGCATTTTCACAGATCCACATTCCGTTTTAGGTAAAAACCAATACGAATACGCAAACCAAGCCAGAAACAGAGATTATTCGTTTCTGAATCAAAAAGCTAAATCGCTGTACCAGCTATCAACGGGCTGTATATAATATCTGGCGACAAGCGGAGAAGCGGCCCTCTGGCGTATAATTAAAAACATACTAAAAGCCCTACGCCACAAAGTCCTTGTAATAGGCTTCTCTAATTCCATTTTTCTAAGGATAGGTAGTATGCAAGATAATATGCAGTTTCTAAATCTTCAGGCTCATAATCACTTTGAGACAGACGATTTATAAGGCCATCCGATCATGCAACTAGAGTATTAAGCACTGACCAATTGGTAGTAATTATGCTAATACGTAGACAGAAACAGTCCATATAGTCGGAAATTTCCTTTTCGATATGATCTATTATACGTAATATGCTATAAAGGGGAGGAAAGAAAGGCAAATAAGGTAGGGAGAACAGATGCTTGTAACTTTTCCTGACTGGAAGGGAGAGGAAAGAGATAGCTAGGAGTGAAAAACAGCACACAGGTCAAATGCAATTGCACCATTTGGCAGTTGAGCTGACTTGCTTGGGGAGCTCCTATCTAGTCAGTCCTTCCATGAAGGTCTGGCCAGGTCCAGGTCATAGGTTCCTCTGTGCTGGGACTGTCCTTATTGGCCGTGGAATTGTGAATCTGGCCTTCTTCTTATTGGCACAAATTTGTTAGTTACAAAACAGATTTAAGGGCCGTAAGTTTTATTTGAATGAGGTTTTCTAAGTGCCTTGGGTGCTTTTTGACTGAACAAGTTCAGGTTGTTTTCTTAGAGCAAGCACTACCGTTTGAGCTATTTGCTCGGAACTACTGTCTTGGGATGCTGCTGTTCGGTTTGCGACTGATTGCGCTACTAGGATTATCACGAGCTCGATGGTTTCTGATATTCGAATATGGCGGTGCAACGGGGGAGAACGCATACCTGGCTGTACTTAGATGGCGAGACTGTTTTGCCCATAGAGTACTCAGGTATCTTGTGAATTTATGGCACATAAGAGAGACTACACGAAAATAATCCAAATTGTGTCGCAGCTGCTCGACACCATTCTAGAACACCACATACAGGTCAATATCGTAATACAAGGCAATAATGATAGCTTTTAGTCTTTTCCCTTGGTTTCCAGACCCTTCAGTTTTTGAACTCCATTACAAATGCACAGATACAGGCCCCCTCTAACTTTGTACCAGGTATCAACGAGTATAACATTTCTTTCTTGATCACGCTCCCAACATTATAACATCCTTCTCATGCTCTGGGATCTCGGTTGCATCACCGTTAACCGCAGCTCCTGGTTCCGCCAGGCCTCCGAGACCAACGCCACCGTCCATCTCGCCCAGGACCCATTCCACGAGATAGCTCTCATCGACTAGTTCCTCAACCCGACGGTAGTGTCGGTCCGTGTATGCAGATAGCGCCTGTAGCACGTCTTTCATTGCTGCGGCACCTTTACCAGGTTTGAGGTTGGGTATCCGCGGAGGATTGGACGCCAGTTCTACGAAGGTTGAAGCGGGGTAGAAGCGAACGAGGGCAAACAGGATGCGTTGAGCCACGCGTGAAGTACGCGCGTTTGTGTTCCAGTCACGGACGCGGAGGATAAGTGTGTAAAGGTTGACAGGGTCGAGAGACTGGAGAACTGTGTCAATGTCCGGATTTCCCGTGAGGCTGCCCTCGGCTCTAGCGTGTTCCTCGGAGGATGGATCGTCTGCAGCGTCAATAGCAGCCGTGAAGAGAGAGAGAAGTCTGCCAGGATGGTTGAGCTGAAGAGCGAGCGTGATGGCTTCGCGATATGCGCCAGCCCGGATGTAGTTTTGTAGTTGCTGATCCTGTTCAATACGGGCAGAATTGGCATTAACAGCGGCAGAAAGAGTCGTAGATGTCGTATCCGTCCAAAATGTAACCGTCGCGTCAGCCGCTCCGGAAACGAGCGCAAAGGGCGTTCTCTTGTGAGATGTAGAAGGTGACTTGACATCAGCCCGTGACCCAGAAGGAGTAGGGCTTGCTAATGCCCACACTCTGTCAGTGTGGTTGTCTAAGGTAGTTTCAAGTTCTCCAGTGTATGGTGACCAGATCTTGACGAGGCCATCAGCAGCGGCTGAAGCAACCAGGGGACGAGCTTGGGCGGCGGCATTTCGTGCGAGCGCCTGCTTCTCCTCGTCCCCCTCCTCACTGGCGAGTTCTGAGGGCGGGAGCCAGAGTACTTTGAGGACACTGTTCGTGTGTCCTTCGAAGGTAAGCAGACAGCTATAATCTGCAAGGCTCCAGATCTTCACAGTCTTATCACCAGAGCCAGTAAGGACAAGGCCTTTGCTAGTGCTGGTGCCCGACTCCGAACTTATAATCGGTGTATCTTTCGGGGCGAAGCGGACAGACCACACGCCGCGTTTGTGGCCGCGCAGAATACCTACCACCTGGCCATCCTCCAGAGACCATATCTTCACAGTCCTATCTTGTGAAGCAGAGGCAAACATGGTAGATGTAGAATTAACGTCTAGCGCGTTGATGTCTTTTTCGTGCGCTTTTCTCGTGTAGACAGCCTTAGGCGAGTATGGTTCTGAGTTGTTTGGCTTCAACTTGGCGGTATCCCATCGTTTGATGGTACGATCCTGGGAGCCTGTCAAAAGGAATGCTGGAGGATGACTCAAGGGGTCATTGTATGCCGCCGAACTGGAAGGCGGTGCTCCTCGTGGAAGGCTGACTGCACCCAGGGTCTCAGCATGGCCTGTAAAGTGGGCAAAGCAAGTGTACGAGGAGCTCTCAGGGTCCAGACGCCACAGTCGTGCAGTGTTGTCTTTCGCGCCTGTAACCAGCCAGTGTCCAGACCAGTCAACGTCAACGCAGATAATAATATCGTCGTGACCCTCAAGAAGAGTGACATCAGCGCCGAAGTAATCGCCGGCCACCTCAATCCCTTTCTTCTCTGATGTTCCCATTGAGATGACTCTGATACTCTCAGTGTTTGTGGCGAGAGCAAGCATTGATCGATCCGGTCCAACACATGCGAGATCAATGATTTCGTCGTCGTTCCCAGAGATACGACGGACTATTGGCAAAGGCTCCAGTTTAGACCCAGGCTTGTAATTTGACAGGGATGCAATAGAATGGAGTCTCAACGTCTGATCGGCATGGACGGTCATAATGAAGGGCAGGCCCGGAGAATATTGTATCGTGACGATGGTTTCGACATCGGAGGCCGGCTCCTGTTCTTCAGTAACCTCACTCCCACGGTTGCAGTCCCAAACACGGAGTCTGCCATTTTCTCCCGCAGCAAAGCACAGCTCGCTGTCACTCACGAAGCCAGCAGCTTCGACGCTCTCCAAAACAGGAATGATTCTTCGAGTTTTCCAAGTGCGCGAATCCCAAATGATGACAGTCTTGTCTCTGCTTGCGGAGAGAAGAGCATTCTCCTTTGGTGAGTAGGACAGGCTGCGCACAACTGAAACATGTGAATCAAGAGAAGCGATCGACTTTCTCTTGTGCAAATCCCACACTCGAACTTTGCCGTCCTCACTTCCAGATGCTAGACGGAACCCGGCCGTCGAGCCTGTAGCAGAAGAGTCTGCGTCTTCCATCTCTTCGTCACCATTCTTACGGCTTCGGCCTTTGGATTTCTTTTTGATCATGGTCCCCTCCTCTCCATCCTGGGAAGAGACCTGGAAGAAGCATAGTGCTGAGATCACTCCACCATGGCCGTGGAAAGTGTGTGTCACATATCCACCCCTGATATCCCACACTTTTATGGACCCATCAGCACCACCAGTAGCAAGTAAAGTACCAGTCTCGTCGATTGCAGTCGTCACCACAGGGGAAGTGTGAGGCTTCAGTGTCCTAAGAAGTTCAGACTGAATGCTCCGGGTTGACTCGTCGAACGGCGACAGGGAAAATATGCGCATAGCCTGTGATCTGGAACAAAGAATCAAATGTGAAGCCGAAGGAGTAACTGCAAAAGGGTTAGCTTGAGATACTGAAAGATGACGAGCAAGAGAAACGTACTCGCTAGACTGGTGATCAGTTCTCCATCCTACATTGTGTCCGTTAGAAAAGATCGAAATTGCCACATTGGGGCAGGGTCCATACTCCTTCAAGAGTTGCAAGTCTGTCACCAGTGTCTAAATCGACTATGAGCGCCTCTTCTCCGACGCATGATGCCAGCAGACGACCACTGGCATCCAGCGCAGTGCTACCGCCGGTATATATGGGGCCGATAGTGCGCGAGGCCTCGAAAGTGGTCTTCACGTTGATCTTTGACATGATGGCGGCGGATATATATTCTTAGACTGCAACGAAAAAAAATTATCTCCGCTCTTGCCCCATGATATTCCCTGCGCGAGAGAGGAGCTTCGCAATGTCGGCGTCGCAAAATGTCTTGCTGCTCCGCGGGCGGTAACTTTTTATCTTTTTTCGACTGTTTGACATGTTTGCGCAGTTGAGATTAAGCTGTGGTCCGTGCGTGTAGGCGCCAGAACCGCCGGCGGTTAATCTCGCCTCGTGCCATTTCACAACTCTCTCAGTCTGTCAACTGTTTCGGCACCAGAGGATCACCGGCGTTATCTGGCTGCTTTCTGCGATTTTTTAAATACACACCATCTTCTGCGCCGGCTATATGCGTACCTGATGATTGGCACCGTCACCAGCCACGATGGGGCGGCAAGCTTATATGAATCGGCTCGCCCTGGTAAGTAGGTACCTACGTGGAACTGTTTGGAGCACGCTCTCTGTCACTTTGTCACGTTAGTCGCCGACTCCTGTCTTGCACTACTTGTAATTTAATTTACAGCATGTATACTATGCGCTTCGGTCTCTGCTTCCAAATTATATTCATTTTGCATACAAAAATAATGGTCCCCGTTCGATATAGCACCATGTTTTCTCTTGACACTATCATTGCCATGTCCACATTGTACTCACTGAATCGCTTCATCTGCATCGTGAATTGCATTTCTATCTTTGTCCTTATGGACCTCAGTGTACAATATGCCTTTCTAGGTGCTGACAATAATTCAAGGGTCGATCGCCGTACGAGGCTCCAGACAGTTCTGAGGTGGGTCCTTCAGCTGCTGCACAAGCAAGATCGTCCTTGATCAGCGCGGATGGATACGTCCAGCAGTATGATGAAAGGGGCCACCCTATAAATCCTGCATCTAGGACATTTGGTAGAGAGTTAAGGAGAGCCAAAAACGATATCCTTTCTACTATGGGTATCGTGGTCAGCGGCGAAGATGGAAGTCTAGGCACTTCTAAAGAAAAACAGAAAGTCAATCTTATCGCGACAGAAAACGACTATGGACTGGTAATGGCAACGCTAGACCAGGTGTTCATGTTTCTTGGTTCATGGTGGACCACGTCTCTTGGAGGACGGATACAGGTAAAATGTCAAAGGTCTCTAAATTTGTGCGTTCACGACTGAGTATCTCCCTATAGACCTTCAAGAGTTATACCCATGTTCCGTTGATGAGGATCATACGCTTTGAGCGTAGAGCGGTCGGCCTATTCGGGGTTTACTTCGCAGGTATTCCGGCATGGACGACTTCGTTCTTCTTATCAATCTGTCGGAATCATCTACTAGAGCCGTTGACGGCCTTCCTACGGAACCAGGCAATGTCACTCTCCGACAATGCTCTGTATAACAGGATAGTGCAGCATATTTTCTCGACGTTCGATAATGCGTAAGATGCCAGCTCTCCAGCGCCAAGACGGAAAGCAGACTGACAACTTTTTAGAGCCCGGGGGACCCTTCTGATTCTGTTCGGACAAACATACATGTTTTCACTCCTACAATCTCTCCACTTGGTCCACCATTATACGTTCCCTGGAATCAAGTTCTTCATACCCTTCAGCGATTCATCTCTGATACAGTTCCCATCTCTTCCCTCTGAATACACATTTCAAGGGATCAGCCAATTTGGACTTAGCATGTTCACATCTCCTTTCTTTTTGATCTATGTTTATGTATACCTACGACCAATTATGGAAGCGAGGATTTACCGCCTGATTCGACGAAGGCTACCAAAACCGGACCGACCAGACGAACTTTCCATCAGGGTAGCTATTGAGAACGACCTAGTTGAGTGGACCGTGCCGACGCTCGGAAGGAGATCAGACGAAGAAGCCCGGCGCAGTAATTTCACGCTTTTAGAGGAGATTCGATATGAACTTCTGACTGCGAGAAATTGGATGCTCTCGTGGTTTGGTTGGCGACAGAAGAAGCCGTTGGACGGCGAGGTCATCGTGCCTTCAAGGGAGGAGACGATCGAATCTCTCCGTTATCGCATCGGACAACTACAAAATGAGCTTGGAACCACGCCTGTCAGAGGACATCCCGCGCCTCCGAGACAGACAGATCCGATGCAGGCGCGTGGCGAGCAACTTCTCAACAGTCGTGTTGAAGGCGTCCGTTCCGGGTCTCCAGACCCCGCTCTCTCATCACGAACCCCGCAACCAGAATCATTATTCGATATGGAGCAAGTCTTGTCAAACGAAGACCAGCGGCTGTCCCAGTCGCCTCTTGAGATGGCGAACGATTATTTTGATACCATGCCCCCATTAGGACGGACAGGGGTTGATGGTATTTCCCGGGAAATGCCTTCAACCGTTGAATCAACCCAACAGTCATCCAGCCGAACGACATATAATACTGATGGAGCGGTGGCAAATCGACGGGATTCACGATCAAACACACTCTTTTCCCGGCCTTCTTCTCCCGAATCATCACCACTCACCTCTCCGCGTGTACGAGCGTCTTTGGTTCATCAGAACTCCGACGTCATAACAATGCAGCTTGAGCTCCTCACTAACCGTAATCCGGGTCAGCAGGATCAGGCCATGAGCAATAACGTGGACAGAACTGCACACGAGAGCTTACCCAACGATCCTCAGGCAGCCAATAGAAGGGCAAGCGAACTGCTGGACGCATTGCTTTCCAACCAGGGTCAGACCCTTGCCAGTACCCTCCAGGCGGAAAGTACTGGGGACAATGATGGCCTTTCCGGCTTGACAGTTGGGGCCTCACCTGCCGCTATAGACAACGTCGTGCCCGAACTCGAAGGACATGCGCAACAGTCTATGATAACGAATGCGGTTAATGATACCGACAACATTCAGGAGCAACCAATCGTGAACGTGATTCCTGGTGGACTAAATCAGCCAATTCCAATTCATACAGATAACCAAGATTCGGATTCAGAGTCTGATTATATGAATACGGACGCACGACCCTTAACATCTCGCTCGCAGACCCGTCGGCGCTCGACAAATGTCCAGTCACTCCCGACTCACCGTGTTACCATCCTCTCATCGCATCCAGTCGACTCACTCTCTTCCCATTTGGCGTCCCTGATCACAAATATCTTGTTTATACCCTTCGAGTCATTATACCTGCGGGCTCTAGCAATCTCTTACCTCTCTTCACCAGCCAGCGGACCCGCTGCTGTATTGAGGCCTGATATTCGAGATCTAACCGCCTTTGCGGGCGGCGGCTCGACGCGAGACATGCTCACCTATGCGGGTAAACTGGTACTTGTCTTTGGGATGCAAGCTGCGGTAAGTATCGGGGTCTGGGGAATCGGCACCGCAACGGCAATCGGTATGGGAAGGAAACGGTTCGGGTGGGGTAATTTGTAAATGGATTCATGTGCAAACATGGGAAGACTCATAAAAAGGGAGGTTTACATTTCTTTCATTCGATGGCAATTGGCAATTCATGTATTATTAGTGATCCCTCGGGACTTTTATCTCTGCTAGGATAAACCCAGCCTCATGGTACAGTAACTCTTACATACATTCTATGGTCGCCTATGACCGGTTCTCCGATGAAAGCTTGACGATCATCTTTTATAAACCATTTCCGAGGAAGACTAAAACTAGAAACTCTTGCTCCCGATCAAGGAGATACTGCTCTTCTATACTGTCACTGAACGAAGTACACTGACTAAGGAGGGTCTACCCGCTGCTTTCGCTTCTTTAGACATGCCTCCTCGCCCAAGGAGGAGCCATTATGTTGCTGAAAGAAAAAGAGTTCGTTTGTCCTACGGATTGAACAAGAGGGAGAATCGTCTCTTTGATACTACAGCAGCTGCCAATGAATACCTCCAACACTAACTGTAGAGGGTAAATTACCACATATGCCTGCCAAAAGTCGACCCTGCAGTGTAACCACTTGTAAAACTGAGTTGGAAGAAAGATGGCGTTATCTTACCACTTGATTACTACCGGCAATACAACCCCATATACCATCGATTTGCCAATCGTTATACAAGAATAAGATACTGTTGTGACCGTCTGGATGCAAATTGAATATAATATTATGTTACATGGACATACATATGCAGAGCCACAATGAGCAGAGACAGCATAGTTTCCTCCAACGCCGGTACACTGTTTTCGACTCGATAAATTAAGAATAAACCCGATTCTCATTTAGTGGCCGCCTTTCCCTTTTTCTTCATTCCTGGGATTTTTCTCCTTTCCCAAACCATCAAGTATCCTTCTTTTGTGAACAGTGTCTCGCTCTCTGCGCGGTTCACATACAGATCCTGGATCTCAAGCCATTCAGGACCACGGTGCGGTGGTTCGCCATTTCGCTCCCGTTCTTCTCGTCTTGCATTCACTGCTGCCATAGCCTTGTCATGAAGCTGAACGAGCCACGATACATTCTCACTAGCGGCACCTGCACCCGTAGCTGCACCGACACTAGCTGATCCTTTGTCATCTTCACCAGCGCCTTGTGTAGGAGTCGTAGCATCCAAGATGATATTTGCGACAAGGTCATATAGGATGGGTTCTCCGGGAGGCCAAATGTTCGGGTTTGGCTCGACGTAAGGTGACATGTCCAGAGACCTGGGAGAAGGGAAGGTCACAATGGTAGGATTGCGTTCCGAGACGAATTTGTTCTTGCTGAAACGCTTAATGTGGAAAAGGAGGTAAGGTGGTAGAGGATGAAGAAGGCGATGTCGGACACGGTGAGCACGTTTTTCAGACGCAGTGATGCCATTGTATTTGTTGAGGAGAGTTGTTAGAGGCACTTGGGGGATGATGGACTCTCGATTGGCCGACTGGAAGAGAGGAGTAGGTGGCAAATCGAGAGTTAATATGAGGAATGGTGTGATTTGAGTATTCGTGGTGCTGGATTCAGAGAACACAAGTCGTGCATTCGTGGTGTCAGAATGCGCCGTGATTTCCTGACTCTCAATCCGCAGATGTCCTTGGAACGCTTGCTGAATGACACTAGTCGGAGTGGATGACGGCTTTTTGGAACCTCCCAGGCTGAGGTGGAGGTGATTTAAGAACCAGGAGAGGAACTCAACCGGATCGGACTGGTGGGTGAGCGTGAAACGCTTGGATGACCGGAGGGCGATCTCCTGGAGCAGCTCATGAGGAGAGACGTGGGATTTAAACGCCTTCGGATTCCATAGCTTTCTGACCAATGTACTAAAGCGAAGAGAAAGCTGAGGTGTCCCCGGGACAGGGAACTCATGGAGTAGGAAGAAGTTGCGGATCGGTGTAACATGGGCGAGGACCTGAACGACGACATTCAGGTAGTCGTTTGCTTTTATATTATTCATTCCGACAAAGCCTAGATATTCTTGTCAGCATTTCCTTACAAGTCGATCGAAGAGGATACCTACCTGGTCTATATCGCTTGCCTTGAAGATCCCAAGCATCGCGCACTTCCTTGTCTAACTTCATAACCTCATCTTTGCTATAATGAGGATCAACGACGTATTTTATGTCATCCAAGCTTTTATTCTTGACCTCGTATCCCTCCGGAAGGACATAAACTCTCTTCGTTTCCATATTGATGAAGACATGGTGACCAACTTCGAGCGCGTGGAAATATGCGTGTGATTTCGGCCCTCTTCCTTGGAAGTATTTCCCGCAAACAAGACATGCGTAGACGTTTATATTCGAAAGCGTAACGGAGCATAGTTTCTCGAAATCGAAATCAAGTACGGCGCGACTGACCGTATCGAGGTAGAGGTCACTGTAGCCTTCCAGCGGCTCCGACTGGCGCTTCGGGGCGGAAACGAGAGGGGCGTCTTCATCAATATCAGGTAAATCAGGATTATCTTGCGCGCCTTCTTCTAGTTCTTCGCGCTCCTGGTCAGCTGCCGCCAGAATATTCTCGCCATGGCGTTCATGCTGTTCCCATTCCTGACCGGGAGCTCGCTGCGCAGGCACGCCGCCGTTGCGGAGGTCGCTGTCGTTGATTTCTTCTTCAACACGGGCTTTCTTGGATGCAGGAGAGACTACCTCAAGCTCCCCGTCCAAGGGACTTTCCGCAGGCCTCTTCGACATCCTGAGCGCGGAAGAATACGTTAAGTATGAGCTGCGCGACACTGGAAGCCAACTGACGGCTTGAGCTCCAAGATGGAAGTTTTGGTAGAACACCGATGCAAACATGCCAAACTTGGAATCGCAACGGTCTTCCGCATCGAGCGTCACAACTTACGCAAGACGCACTCCTCTATACCCTAGGTTATGGAAGTTGTATTTTACATTCATCAGAATATATGGATTAGGAGTCTAGACCGTCATCATATTGCCCTTGTTTTTCTCAAGATAATTCGTTAAAAATGGTATGATACAACGCCGCCCCCAGGCAAGGCCAAGGCTTTTAAGCGCTTGCAACCTGCTTGCTATTATCATAATCTATTTCCTTGATTCCATCCTTCGTAACAACCTTGACAAGAACCTAGTCTCTACCGTTAGCATTATGTTGCGAGCAGATACGAGAACGATTGGGTTTCAGCGGCCAACGTACCCCCTTGAAATCGATGGGTAATCTTCGCTTCAACTCATCAGTGCATAGCTCAAGGAGCTTCATTCCTTGTTCGAAGTTGATGTCGGGATGATGGTGCTTATCCAGGAGCGACAAGCAGTAATACCTAGGCCAGTCAGTATCACTCGAGGTAACGTGGTTGCTGTCAACCAGCAGCCAGTCTTATGTTATAAGAGTAGATAGGATAGCACGTACTGAGCATAGCCATGGGCGGCATACGGAACGGCGGCCAGTGATGCCAAGTAGTCTACCCAGTATAGACTCGGCTTCTGTGTGATGGGATCGACTCCTCCAAGTAGTAGGTTGACAGTGTAGGGGTTGCGCGACCGCAAGCTCCGGGCCAGTTCTCCTCGAACGAAGCTGCCAACTTCTGCTGGACTCAACTCTGTATTATTCCTCATAGTGTACAGCTGCACATTTGCTTGGATATACTCGGCAAATTGGACTGCAGGGAACCGTCAACAGCTGGGCCTTCTAGGGCATCTGTAGGTAGATCGCAACTAACCAGTGTCTCCAGCTTCTCCCGAAAATGCCATGAGTGTGTGCTTGTTCAATTCTCGTGTCTTATCATCTGTGGCCTTCAGAATGGTAGGTCCCCTCATCGCAGCCTTGGAGGCTGCGACAATGACGAAGTCCTTTCCGGTGATACCTAGCAGAACCTCCCTGGGAGCAAGTTAGTGACATAGATGTTAACATACGAGACACAGAATCTCACATATTTGCAATAGTAGTCGAATTAAAACTGGTTGGTTGAGGTTCTGAGGAGGTGGCAGCGAGAAGGTCGTCTTGTCTGGGGTCGGAGCCACGCGTGAGCTTGCGGCCTTGAGCTGCGCTGGAGCTCTGCTGCTTAGTCACCCATTTAGGCGTTGTTGTTTCCCCGGGCGCCGATGCCCGACGCCAAGATTTCGCGGCACGGACCACCAGCACCAAAAAAAAGTGAGAGCAGACAAAGTAAAAGACGATCAGACAAGCCTCTACAGCCAGCGCGGCGGAAGACATATTCAGTCACCCTTTGCCCTCAGGTTTCGATCGCAGCGGCCGGGATACTGAACGTCACCGTCGGTCAGCATCACCACTGGCATGTCCTCCTTTTTCACGCTGCCCGCTTCCCAGCGCAAGCGGAAGAGAGACGATCGTGCCACTGCTCCGGCGTCTAAGAAACGTGGAGTTTCTGGAAATGGAAACGCTGGGGAGAAGAAGGCAAAGGAAAGACGGGAACGAGACGAGTCCATATCGGAAAGCGAATTAGACGACGATGAAGAACTGTCAAGTTCTGCAGAATCTGCAGCATCTGCAGCATCCGAAGAGAGCGAACCCGAGTCCGACGAGGGCGAGACCGCGGCGGACAAAAGGCTAAAGCTCGCAGAAAGGTACTTGGAGAATATACGAGAAGAGGTGGATGAGGTGGGATTCGATGCGGCGGAGATTGATCGAGATCTAATCGCGGAGAGACTAAAAGAGGATGTGGTAGGTTTGCCTTGTCACAGCGAACAGAGAGAATACAACTCACAATATTTTAGGATGAGTTCAAAGGACGTGTGTTCCGGCAAATTGCAGCACAATTGTCTTTTTCTACCGCATCGCACTCTTTCTTCCGCGCAGACACTCAGACCACTACTTCTATCGCTGTCCACCCGCCTTACGTTTATACGGTGTCAAAAGACAAGACGTTGATAAAATGGGAACTCGCAACTCCTACTCCGGCGGGCTCTTCTGAATCAGATAACGCAAACGGTGCCGGCGGAAGGCGCCCGCGGCCGCAGCGCAAGAAGCCAAAGAATATCAAATATACCCGTGGTCTTCAGAAGGTGGCTGAAAGCGAGGAGCAGCAAGGTCACACCGGAAACATACTGGCGGTGGCCGTATCGCCATCGGGAAAATATGTGGCCACCGGAGGAGCAGATAAAAAACTTATCATCTGGGATGCCGCAACACTTACACCACAGAAGACTTTCACCCATCACCGGGATGCAGTCAGTGGTCTTGCCTTTGCCAGACACATCTCGTCTATGAGCTCTGGGGAGCAACTCTTTTCCGGGTCATTTGACCGGACAATCAAGACATGGTCACTCAGCGCCAGTGGACATGCCTACGTGGAAACACTTTTCGGTCATCAAGACCACGTTACAAACCTGGCAGCCATGACAATTGATCAATGTGTCAGTGTTGGAGCGCGAGACCGAACTGCGAGATTGTGGAAGGTGATTGATGAGACGCAACTTGTGTTCCGCGGCGGTTCTGCCAAGGCTCAATATCAGGAGAACAACATTGACTGTGTCGCCGTTATACCCCCTAATCATTTCGTCACAGGCTCTGATTCTGGCAGTATCTGCCTATGGTCAATCCATAAGAAGAAGCCTATCTACACGATACCTCTTGCTCACGGTCTCGATCCTCTTCCGCCTTTGGACGAGCTGTCGCCTGAAGTGGACAAGGAGACAGCCGCTCAAAATTCTCGATTCCTTCGGCCTACGCCCCGTTGGATCACAGCCCTGACGACCTTACCGGGGACAGATATCGTCCTTAGCGGCAGCTGGGATGGCTGGATTCGTGCATGGAAAATTTCAGAGGATAAGAAGATGATTTATCCGCTCGGGGCCGTTGGCGGTGGCGCTATTACGCCCTCACCCTCATCACAACTACAGGAGACCCTCAGGTTTGATTCTGACATGATGGAAGTCGATCAAAACAATAAGCACAGAGAGTCATCAGAGGAGGCAGAATCTGAACCTCTTTTGAAGGGTGTCGTCAACGATATCGCTGTCTTCGAACGCCGTCCTGAGCACACCAAGCCCGGTCAGAAACCGAAGAAATCCAAGTCCAAAACAGGCGATAAGTCCGCACCTGAACCCCGCGGCCTCTGTATTGTTGCAGCTCTCGGCAAGGAGCCACGTTTTGGTCGATGGAAATGCTTCAAGAACAACAACCATTATGGGCCCGCTTCAGAAGGCCGCAATGGCGCTGTGGTCTTCGAGGTCCCGTTCGCTGAAGGCGCTCCTGTTGAATCTGCGGAAGATGCGCCCACCACTGCCTAACAGTGTCGACCTAGATGCTGTTCTCACCCGTCTCAACACCTTGCTTCACGGGATCGGTGGAAAGATCAACGCATCCTTTCCGCGGAGCTGTATGTTCTCTTATGATCTATAGAGGCGCCGTACTTTCTGATGGACCGATCCTTGATCAAGGTCCGTGTTCTCAATTGAATTGCATACGCCTTTTTTTTTTTTTCTCTTCAACTGGCTGGCGTTTTACTACGTGTGTGGGTGCACATAGGTTGCATGTGTATTGTATGTCTGTGTACATATCTAGCCGATTCTTGGCCGGCATTGGTGAAAAGGAGACAAAAAGTTAAAATGAAGATTACAAAATAATTAAAATATCAAACTTGCAAAGCTTTATAACTCTAATACCTGTGTCTAAGCTCCGTGGTTGTGGGCCGGGGGGGTGGGGGGGGGGGGGGGTGAGAAGCCAGCCTTTGAAGCTGTAGTACCAGTATTAATTTGCTATGTCTTAATGGGTATAAGTACCATCGAAGACTAGCTGCTGGGATAAGTTCTCGTAGTTTGCACTCCTATCTGTGACGGTAGATGAAACGGATTCCAGATCCAAGAACGTTCGTGTCTTGTTTAGATATATTCTACTATCATAGGATAATGTATAGCTCACACTAGTCTCCGCGACTATGGAATGGGAATGTATTCTACTCTACCTTGGATACTGTTTATGTGAACTAAAAAAGCTCAATTAAAGCACTACCAATCGAACTTGCAGAGGCGGACCAATGCAGAAAGCGGACAGATATTTCTGTGCCTAGGAACTGCTCACCAAAGGACAAGAAAGGGTAAGAGCTTGAATAATGGATTAAAATCTTCGTAGAGATATCTGAATCATTTTTCTAAGAATTCCACTTAATAACCAGATTGGCCATTGGTTTCCTTGTCCCCCCAGCGCCACGCTATTCAGTCCCAATAATGTAGACAGGCGTATAATATTGCATCTTCATAAGGGCATAAAGCAAGTAAAGGAGATGAGCAGGGCTTTTTCTCATTGGTTGACCCTCAAAAGTCGCGATGTTCCAATACCAGGCAGCGGATTGCAGTAATGCATATTCGACAAGAAAAAGAACCTGGTTGGTTGGAACGAGTCGGGAAACCCCGGCCAGAGGGTTTTCTGCCGAAGTGTTGATAAATCAATGTAGACGGGGTGCTCGCCATATAATAGAATGGGAAGACGAGTCCTCAAGAGGATGTTAGGCCGCATAGTGCAGTCTTGAATGTTTCGACTTATCAAATTCCGAACACATGGATCATGGATTCTAACAAGAGTTCCTCCCAAAAAGCACATTTCTTTGAATCCCAGCAGGCAACTCTAACTGAGACTTCCCCTAGCTCATTGGCCTAATACGATTCTGACGAATTCCTCCTTCTCGTGGTGCGATTCCGGTTTCTTCTTGTCGGCCGCACCGGCGCATCATCGTCAGAATCGTCTTCCAGGGAAATAGCATTGTCCACTGATGATCCCACCGGGGAGGGACGACTCGTCCGTTGGTGTCCTTCGGGTTCTGTACCCCTATCGGCAGTATCCTCCCCGGAAAATCGAGAGTTGCCATTGGTGTCAACACCAGCACCACGGAGGTTCGATCCCCTTCTCAGGTGGGAACCGGATGTTGGGTGGGCAGAGCCTGAGTGTATCGTACGTCGTGAGTTACCCGTCACAGGGGGTCGAATAGGATCTTCGTCCTCCGAACTATCGTCTTCGTAATAATCGTCGAGTTCTGCGGCGTCCTGAGACATAGGTACGTCTGAACCTTCGTCCTCCGAATCACCAAAGGGATGAGCAGTGTAGTCGTGATCCCCAACTACCGTGGATCGATCAGAATCCGACCGATCTTCATCCACTTCATCGTCGTCAATGAAAGAGTCCATCTCGCCATAATCGTCGTCCTCATCCTCATCCTCATCCTCATCGTCACTGTCATCATGAGTTGCCGTCGAGATGGAGGGGGCGATCAAGCTGGCATATGCCTCCCGTAACAGAGTATGGTGATGATGCTGGTGGTGGTGATGATGCGGTATTCGCGACCGACCGCCATGAAATTGCTGAAGGCCTAACGGAAGACCCTCAAAAGGAACACCATCGTAGAAATCATTCCAATCCAAGTCGTCGTCGACATCACCAAAACCATCCTCGAGGTCATCGATATAGTCTGTCATCTCGGAATTGTCCTCTGATCCCGTCAGAGTCTCTAGGTCCACACCATATCCACAACGGTGGCAACCTGTGTCTTCCAGTTCCCACTGACAAACAGGGCACCGATTCACATTGTCTTCCACGTCGTAGATAGGTCTGTTCACAGGCGGCCTCTCCTTGAAAGAGCCCTGGAATAGGCCCCCCGTTCTCGGATGGGTATTCGCCTTGTCTGCCTCGAGTCTTTCAGCTTCCTCTTGTCGGTTCTCTCTATGCTGAGCAGTCGTCTCCCCTTTCTCCAAGAGCTCCGCCCGACTGGTGAACATCTGAACGATAGCGCGAACCTACGGTGGGTTAGAGCCAATAGCTCGAATAACGAGTCACGTTGAGACATACCAAGTATGCTGGAGCAGGCAGCGCCTTCACCAGTGCTCGACAATCCGGACATGTCTTACTCGATCTTCCACTCGAAAACCATGATGTGAGACACTTCCAGGTATCAGCAGGCTTGTCAAAACGGATGTCTGTAGAGAAGAACTCACGCCGTAGCAGAATGTGTGCCCACATGCAAGTGTGTAGGGTTCGTAGAGGGGTCTAACGCAGATGCCACATTGTATTAGAGACCGGATGTCGTCAACGTGTCCCTGCAGTGTCTGCAAGAGCTTCATAATCCTGTCAGTATCACACCACCTGTCTGACACTGTGTAGAAGGGACGTACCCCCGAAGAATCCAGCGCTGAAGGATCCATGCTTTTTGAATTCCCTCTATTCGAAAGCCTCGAACTCACAGCATCCGCACCCATCTCTTCAAAGCTGCTGCGGTTTGTCGTCTCGAGATAAAAAGATTCGAGGGTGGGGTCCTGCCCCGGAAGCAACTTAAAAGTTGCACGGTAAAGAACCTCTTGTCTAGGTAGGTAGAAGATTCAGGTACGATAGAAGGAAATAAAGGACACAGTCCCACTGCCACGACTGAGCCTTGTCCGATGGAAAGAAAGGGAGGGGAAAGGGAGTGATCTGCTCGAAGGAGACGTGAGTCTGACGGGCCTCAGGCGCGTTTCCCGACTAAGAGACTTTAGGTCCGTCGGAGCTTCAGAACAGTCCAAACCAACCAAACATGGAACGCCTATCAAGTCAGCCAACTGCCTGAAACCTCAGGCAGAGTAAGGCACCATACTGGTTCACTGTATATAAGAATCAGCATTGATTAACCGACCCCTATGCCTTTAAGAGCCTAAATTATCAAAAAGAATCGACGGAAAAGAGAACAAGGTCAAATGATCAGTTTAAGCTTCAAATGAAACTCAAATACAATCTCTCCATAAAGCAACGGAGGCCTACACAATTCCTCATATATATATATTATCACCTATACACTTCCGAATTACAAGCTACGAAGCGAAACAAAGGAAATAAATTAATGAACTACAACGAGCAATCGAGCTTAACTTGTCTTATTGGCAATCTCCTAGTAGACCCCGACATGGTTCAGGTCTTCAAAGTAGGAGGTGCCTCAGCCTACTGACCGTAGACAAGTGAAAAAGTTACTGATGGCTTTCTGCCAGTCGACCAAGAAGGAGAACTCCGAGTTGATCGAACTGGATCGCTAACATAGAAGATATAGTTAAGTAGTTTTTGAGGTGACTATGTAACTATCATGTGACTGCTAATGCCGTTAGTAAGCAGTTTCACGGCTGGCAATCATGCTAAAAACGCAAAAAACGACTCCGGGTCATCTGCAACCTCTAATACTCACGACGACACCGTGTCAGGATCCGAATCCAAGCTTCCCATCAGTCTGTTCGACACTAAACGTCTCTAGACAGTTGATTCTTCCTCATAATAACTGGAAACGCGCCATAATTTCTCTTTAATTTCCCCACTATGATATCTCTTGATTGATAATATGCAAGAACCCTTCTGGACAAGAGAGACTCCATTCGTCAGACTCATAACAATCGATTCCGACTCCTGCTACGCTGTTGTATTCTCTGTCAATTTCCCCTCATTGTTCTAACATCTCCCGCATCGTTATCCTCGCTAGTATCCGTTATAGTACACCAGAGGAATACACCTTCTGGGCAGGTCGCGCCTGGAACGACGACAATAGTCGAGTACCAGCCCAGGCCAAGAAGCTTGAGCTAGGTTGCGTATGTGGCTAGGTAGAACTTATGCGTCACTACATTCATGATTTGGCCTCTGCGACTTCTTTTTGACTAGCTTTCTCTAAGTGCATCCAGAGAACCGAAATCAATCCTACTGTACAAGGGTCAACCTCACTCTTTTTCGTTTTTTTCACATTTTCTTCGTCTTCTCTCGATGTGCGATTGTATTTTTTTGGACTGCAAAATCATCTTGCCATCTCGACTGCAATCGATCTGATGGCCCTGTGCGACCCTCGATTACTCAAGTTGACCCTTGCGACATTCCTTGCGCCACTGCTCTCCCGTCGACGGTGTTTCCCGGTCACAGACACTTCTACGGATAGTTAAGCCTTGACATCACTGATTACCTTGATTCAGCTACCTTTACGGTGGGTGAACATCTAAATCGGCACTAGCGACTACCCGAGCGACAACCTGTATCTGTATTGAAACCTTCTTGCTAAAGTCAAGAACAAAATATTAAGCATGATCTCGTGAACATGCTAACCCGCTATTCGCCAATTGAAAAAGAAGGCAAGGATCAGAGCACCAAGAAATGTATGAAAGAAAAAGGAGGACAAAGCAAATCTAAGACCAGGAACCCATATGCACTGTCCACGATCTACTCCAAGGCAGCAAAGGCACGTTTCCGCGAGCGTTGCTTAAGATCCTCGGAGATCAGATGACTGTCGTCAACAACGCCTTTCTGGACTTTATCTTCATCGACGATTTCCTTCTCCATGTGCTGCAGGAATTCGATCTGCTCGCGAATGAATCGTTTGACGCCACGAGTGTCGAAAGGGCGACGTGCACGGTGACGGTCTCGGGCCAACCGATTTATGTCACGGAGCCGGTCCTGGAGCATCTCAAACCGGTACTCCGTGAACTGACGATACAATTCGCCCAGATCAGAAATAGGACGGACCGTCGTGAGAACAGTGTCATCCTTAATTGCGGACGAACGGGGACGGAAAGACGTGACCATAGTGATACGCTCGGTTGTGCCCAGAGCACGAAGAGCTTGGTGCTCGATATAGCGGCCTTGCAGGATGACTGCGGAACCCTGTGACGGTCATCAGTACTTGTCCCTCCGCAGGAAATTGTGGCTCGTATACGCACCATTTGCGGTCCTCGGACCTTCACCACTTCTCCGTTGCCCTTTCTAAGAGCGGTCTCGCCTCCAATCATTTCCGTACAGTCAGAGAGCATGGTGACGCACACGAAGGGGTAACTGTCCGTGTGCCAGTCCACAATTGGTTGCTCATCCTCCCATGGGCATCCTGCAACCCCCTCGTCGGCATCACGCCTCTTCTTTTCAGCGACTGCGGCTAACGCCTTATTCTTTTGTTCTTCGCTCTGTACAGAGATGTTTATGTGTCCAATCTCAAAGTCCATTGCAGTGACAAGGTCCACACCAGCTATCTTGGAGATGATAGCGAGAGTCTCAGGGCTCTTCCAGGCGTCGTATACGAAGGGAGCGTATCTTACAACATGTCAGTTAAATCACAATGATGAAGCCTCCCGAACTTACTCTGGCGCGAAACCACGCAGCTGACACTGTGCCAGATCGCTAGAGTACTGACAGTTCTCCCAGACCTCGTCGCTCAGGACTTCAGCCCGCATCTGACGGATCGCCTCATCAGAGAATAGCGGGAAGGGCTCGGAGACACCGATCGGGGAAACACCGTGCCTGTCGGAGTAGCCGAGTTCTGCCATGGTGTAGACCTTCGACGGCGGGGTGAACTTGATGTGCTTTGAGGCATCGAACGAGACACGTTCAGATGGAGGAAGCTCCTCCTTGATCTGGATTAGAGGCTTGCTGCCAGAGGCCGTCTTGCGCTTGGCCACAGGAAGACGCGCTGGCCCAGTGGGCACGGGAAGTGGAGTGAGAGTTTGTGCAGTGGCCATATCGCTGTCCATTTGTGAGTTTATATCAGAATTATTGATGGAGAATGAAGATTGATAATGCAAGCGAATAGGAAATCTATCTCAGGATGTTGATATGGAACAAAGCTATCACCATCAAGTGAGAGAACAATGAATGGAGTGTGTGTAGGGATTACTGATGTGATAATGACGGGACTTACCCTCAATTTCAAAGCAAGAGATGGAAGACCAGACGATCGTGTCTCCGATGGAAATATTCACCAAGACCTGTGCGGAGTGAATGAGGCCAGTATTGCTCCTTGCAAGTGAAGTCTCGATGCTCAGAGTGTTTCTGCTTGGAGACAGGAAATTGATGGACAACCAAGAAGAAGAGGACTGATATTTATATTATAGACCTCTGTTACTGCTACACACAGCCCAAGATGATCTTCTATGCTGTCTTGTCTCAAATCTGGAGAACTGATGCCGTCCCGGGTCCCGACAAATCCGGATCTTGCAAGTTAATCGTCTGCCCCGCCAAACTTTCGAGTCCTTTCTCACGATCATTCGACAGGACCCTTGATATTCCATAGAGAATTTTGTGGGTATCGCGGCCTGTATTGTTCGGGACGCATTTTCTCTGGTCTGACCATCGTTCCAATATACCCAGCCGTTGCATACGCCATCCTCGAAAGCTTAGATTGCAGGCTTGGATGGAGTCGCGCCGGGGCGATTATCGACTTGTGATGCCGCTAGCACATCAGCAGTGCTAGCTACTGTGGGGCCAAGTATGGTTATGTTGCTACATGGAAATTGTATCTATGTTTGGTTTGGTATCTGGCACGCTTCTCCACCTTCGTTGGCGTCTGGACGCCTGCAATCTGATCACTCCCAGGATTCTACACTGGAGCCCATGTGAACGGGCCCAGTCCGGAAAAAACAGATCTCATCTTGTTGCCCATACAGATGATTGGGACACATTGGTTATACTAAGCGCCAGCGAGAGAATGAGAGTTCCTAGCAACAGACGTCGGAGGACCGATCGAAGAGCTGGTTTTACAAGCTGCGGAGGGCCCACGCTTATCCGCGCGCCCTGACTTGTGACATCTGTAGTTATGGATCTTTGTCTGGAATGGAATTCAGACGACATTCTACTGTAGGACGTTAGGACACGAGGTGTGGAGGGCTACTGCATTGACGATGTCAGCATTGCGACTACTGGGGCTCTCCCGCGGGTAATGGAACTTTTGACCCAATTTGGGATGCGGATCGGGGGTGCAGCTATCGAGTTTATCAGAACAGCTTAGGTAGGTAGGTTATCAGCCCCGATACCGACGAACCACTCTGCTGTGCCCCGGCGGGATCAGGCTCCAGATTCCCGAGTGTCTGTGACAGCTGTTCTACTGGCTCATAGCGGCCGGTTTGATATGCTGCAAGCCAGCCACTGGTTCTGGTACTCGGGATGAGTGTGATTCGAACTCTTACCATGCGCCGAGTAGGTAGTTTACCACCTCCAATCCGCTAGATATGTGTCATCTCGGTGCAATTAACTTAATTCGCTTCGCTGCGGAACTGCGTGGCTAGCCAACCGCCTTCTACCGTACTCTTATAATCGGGCCGCACAGAGCCACGGTATAAGGGAACTGTGACAGTCGAGATCGTAATACCGGATGGATTGGGTGGTTCTTCGAAGGGGATCTGGATTCCAGCGCCGACTTTCCCGCACGGGAAACGCGTCGAAGATCTCCAAGGTGGGGGATGTGAGCGGACCATATCAATTCCCGACGCAAGCTAATGATTAATCACACGATACAGAGGAGGGTGGTATATATTAATTATTATTGTGTCCGATTTGGATCTACCTTTGATAGCCGTAGCTACTCGCCTAGTAAGGTCGGCTTGAATCATGACTTTTCTTCCAGATTGACACCCAAGTCTCGCAACACGAGGTCGCAACAACTCAGTCTCTGTTTAGATGATTGCAAGAATTCCTTACAAATTTCTCACCGCTGGTGAACTTTGCGAGAAGAAAAAGTGACTATTACGGAGTAGGAGCAGGTTAATAAACGCCCTGGTAGTGAGGACCAACCAATAATCAACTGGGCTATTTTAGCAGCTGCAATGACTGAAAGAATTTTTGGGCAGACGTGAGCAACTCGTTCTGATGGTCACTTATTATTGCACATTAAAATTGTAGCAATTTGGAGATTCTCATTTAGAAACAGAGCATAAAGAACCGGCTAGTTATCTGGTGGTGAAATTACTCAAGTATCTACTCTCGAGCTTATCTATTTACATTGGAGGATATCGCTACGACGTAACGATCCAACATCAGACCTTTGTGATGCTCTGTATCATCTCATGGAACTATTTCCAGGTCAGAGGATAGGCTATACTATGGTAAGCGTTCATGATCAACTGCGTGGCCGTTCAGGAACCCGTGCAATCGCCGACGTATCATCTTCTTCCATAAGTACAAACTCGCTGCCCGCCGACAACTCCGGGTCGGCGCCAAGGCCGCATTTGCGGTCCAGACGTTCCGCAAAACGTCGGGTGGTTCCTATCCAAGAATAATAATACTAACTACTGCTACTCCTCATCATTGCTCCGGATCACGCGCCCTTTTCTTCTTGAGCTTACTATCAGCCACGTTTCCGAGATGGCGTCCGAAGCCAAGGTAGAAACTCCAGCAACTGACAACACCCCCGGTGGCACCTGGGCAAAGGCCGAAACCAAGTTCACTCGGTATGTCTTTTCGACACAGAGCTCACGATGGCCATTTCAACCTACCTTTGCCATCCTAGCTTCTTCTCCGATATACTGTCCTGGTAACAAAAGGGAGCCTGATTTGAAGCTGACTTATCTCCATTGCTATAGTAAGAACCCTAGCGAATACTTCGATCCGTGTCAGGACTTCGCCGACCGCAGTATCAAATGCATGCGTCGGAATGCTGGAGACAGAGACATGTGCCATGACTATTTCCAGTGAGCCTCACCCTCTGACCGCTTCTTCTGCTCTGTTCTTCCCCGCGATTTCTGAAGACGCTCTGCCGGCAATGCTCTCCGATCTACCCTTCCCCGACCATCTCATCGTCGCTGCGCGGGATTACTCTGCATTGGAAAGTCGCATATATGTGATTGTCTTGATAACGCTCTGCGCATCCATACCCTTCCACAGTACTTGAGTACTTGCTTATGTTGTATATGGATTTTGTGGGTTGGGAAATTGGGTTTACCCTGTTACATTTGGAAGATTTCATCAAAATGCCAGGGGATGGACATGTTTTCTTGGGATTTTCGCTGACGGATTGGTATGATAGGGCGTATCGTGACTGCAAGAAGGAATGGGTGAGTGGATCTGATAGTTTTTATGCCTTTGTGCCACTCAATTCTTCCCGCAGATCCTGCTATCGAAGAACTGGACGCCGGAGGAATCAATTGATCTTCTTAGTTAGTGGTACTAATGTATCTCCAGATGACCCAAAGGAAACTTGCTCTGGCAGCAGCCAAGGCTCAACAATGATCATCTTGACCAGCGGCCCGGCCTGATTTCGGGAGCGGAAGAACGGGAGATATTTGGGAATTCGAGCAGTAAGGCCTCAATAAGCGGTCATTTCGAAAACTCCTACTGTACTATATTTATATTATGTCGACACGGTTACTTAGGGAGTTATTGGATGAGTTCTGGTTCATGGAACGGAAGCATTGGCGTTTTTGCCGTTCTCTTCCACGCAGCAACGTCGATACTACGCGCTTGTTGGTCCGATAAGCAGACGATCGGCTGAAATCCGATCATGTAAAACAATACCGCTTTCGGCAACTTGGCGCTACGTCCAACCATCTAGAGGGCAGAGATCAATGTATTATTATCGTTATTATTATTATTAGGTCCTTGTGCATCCACTCCCCTTCCGCTGCCTCTTTTGGGAAACCTAGATCGTGTTCGATGTTCAGTTCTCCTCGCTATCATACTTCCTGAACGACAGTGGCATGAAGTACTTTTATTTGTACATAGAAGGTTCTTATCACATCAGGACATCGCGATTACGTGAACTTTCTTTCTCGTAAAGACCGTTTTAGTATGGAATTAGAAACCCTCTGCATAGGTAGCGGATGTGGTCGCGAAACATCTTGGGGGGATCTGATAATATCAAAAGTCGAGTATTATCGGATGCTTGGAGGTTAAAGCGAGCAACTTAAAAGATAGATTTACCTATTTATAAAAGAGGTAAAGATGGCAACAGTTATTGTGCCAGAGAATTAGAGTGACAAGGAGGATTAGCAGGGCCAGGAGGTGGGAGGGTATTTTGAGTTGTAGATCTGTGTCCAGACATAGAGTCGCATCCAACAGCACCCTAAAATAAAGATAATTAGGTCCAAGGAATATAAACAATGACTGAGTCCACTCACTTCTTCCCATACCCAACCCTCGTGATCGTCGACCTCTGACTCGTCAACCTTCTGTCCGTTCACGAAATAGATCGTTTCCTCCGGGACGATCTGATCGGGAGGAAACTGGGCATGCCATGCCTTGGCAGCCTTGATGTTGTCCCTCTGGTCGGTCTTTTCGTAATGCACAGACATTTCCTCTAGCTCTTTGAGCCTTTCTGCGCGCGTCAGAGGCCACTTCAGCTCGTAGTGCGGCAACTTATCCCACTCAAGTTCAAAGGCAGACATAGTGACTCCTGTTAGTCTTAGTATGAAAATTGAAGAATGTCCATTCTTAACTAACCGTCTGACTTGGTTGTGGTCTAGTCCACACGTTAGTAATATGTCAATGAAATGTAGATATATGCTATTTACCTTGCCAGTATCCTGTTGATATAGTCAGCAATATTAGCTTATATCAGATATAGGTGTGAGCTTTTGTACAGTACCTTGGTCTGCTCGGTGTTGTCTTTGGCAGCTTCCTGATTTGCCTGATGAGATTTACCTTTCGTGGTGTTCTTCGTGTTCTCTTTACCTGAAGCCATGCGTCCCATTCAGTGAAAGGTGAGATAGGAGTAAATTTATCAGGGATAAACAGAAGATCAGAGTGAGAAATATGTTATGCAGTTTCGTGATCTTTTTTTATTTTATTTTATCGAGAGTGACAACAAAATAAGAACTATTCGGATGTGGTTTCAAGGATCGAGAGCAGATCAGAAATGAGAGATATCTCACGCGGTTTCATGGTCTATTTGATAGAAAGTGATGACAAATTTCAGAACTGTTCCACGCAGTTTAAGAGATCAAGAGCAGATCACAGTGAAAAATTTCAGGCCGTTCCACGCTCTTGTAGATTGAAAGTGACGAAAGGTCAGTTAACACCTCCTCCGGTGGCTCCTCTAGTCTCACGTGACCTAGGTGACCTACCATTAGGGATGGCATTTGAATTTCAAAATTTCAGAAATTTCATGAAATGAAATCTTGAAATTTGAAATGCTACTAATCAATTAGTAACCACCTAACTTAATTATTATTAGCTGATTTGCTCGCCTTTTTTCCCAATCTGTTATTAGCGCGCCCCACATATGGTCTGTGTGTTTCGAAATTCGAAACGAAAAAAAGGTTGAAATTTCACGTTTCGTGAAATTAGGGGTCCATTTCAATATTTCACCATCCCTACCTACCATGGTTCTATCAAGCAAGCTTCTCACCGCTTCCTTCACAACACAACCGTGGATGTAGTGGATGTCACCGGCTAAGGAGTATGTATAAGTAGATCCAACTACCTAATATAGTAGTACTAAATACTTGGTAGTAGTAGTAGTAGTAGACATGGACTTCTTGGTAGGTAGTTCCGACCAGTAGATCTAGATAACTATCTAAAGATCAGCATACTTAAGCCCACTATCTAGTCGCGATCGCTCAGGCAGACCAACGAATAGGAGACTGCACTCTCAGGCCGAAGATCAACGAGTCAAACCACAGTGGACATCTCACTCGAATACCCCACAACTAGCCTGACATCGTTCAAGGGGAAAGGCTGCGATCATTTCAGATCCAGACAGCTCAAGATTAGCCTACTCATCATTTGTCCATAGCCCACATTCGCCAGTATCTAACGCAGATGGGCGAAGCAGAGCAACCAGCCCCAGTCGACAGCGGGCAAGATCTCCCGGTCACGAAGCGTACGGCCTTCGAAGAACCGAGTAGTGCAGCTCATGATGCGAAAAGAATGAAAAGCGCTCAGGATGGACCGACAGAATTGACACCAGATGTTACAACCCCAGCTATCAAACCTCCAGCTAAAAACTGGAGAGTTGCTTTCCCCGAGAAGGTATGCCACCATCTTCACCTAAGTAATGTCAGGAAACGTTCCAATAATTGTACCCTACTCCGGAGTAAAGCCTGCGGTTATAGAAGAGCGAAACGGCGAGATTGAATTCAGAGTTGTCAACAATGATGGTTCCCAAGAAAGTACGATCATCCTTACAGGGCTCAAATGCCTGTTTCAGAAGCAGCTTCCGAAGATGCCGAAGGATTACATTGCACGCCTTGTCTATGACCGCGCCCATCTATCTATTGCCATTGTGAAAATGCCAATGGAGGTCATTGGTGGTATATCGGTTCGAGAATTCCGACATCGCAAGTTTGCCGAAATTGTCTTTTGCGCAGTCTCATCTGATCAGCAAGTAAAAGGCTATGGTGCACATCTTATGGCGCATTTAAAAGACTACGTCAAGGCTACTTCCCCGGTGATGCACTTTCTAACCTATGCTGATAATTATGCCACTGGTTATTTTCAAAAACAAGGCTTTACCAAAGAGATCACCCTCGACAAGTCGATATGGATGGGCTATATCAAGGATTATGAAGGAGGCACACTTATGCAATGCACCATGCTTCCCCGATTACGATATCTTGAAGTTGGCCGTATGTTGCTAAAACAGAAGGCAGCTGTCCAAGCCAAAATGCGTCTCTTAAGCAAAAGCCACATAATTCATCCACCACCTCCGCAATATGCCAACGGTGTTACTCCAATTAATCCGCTCTCCATCCCCGCCATTCGGGAAACTGGCTGGTCTCCAGAAATGGATGCATTAGCAAGGGAACCACGGCATGGACCACATTTTAATGAATTACGACGATTTTTGAACCAAATCCAAAACCATAAACAGGCATGGCCTTTCCTCAATCCGGTCAACAGAGACGAAGTCCCTGACTATTACGATGTTATCACATCGCCAATGGATCTGTCGACCATGGAAGAAAAATTGGAGAACGATGCTTATACTGCTCCAAAAGAACTTGTCCGCGATCTACAATTGATTTTCAGTAATTGTCGGCAGTATAATGATGCAACAACTGTCTATGCTAAGTGTGCGGCTAAGTTGGAGAAGTTCATGTGGAGCCTTATCAAGGAGATTCCGGAGTGGTATGAACTACTTGAAGAATGATTGGTCTAGAGTGCCAACGGACAGCCAGATGGCGGCCGAGGTAGTATTAACATTTCGTATCGCCGAAGCCCTTCTATGAGTTGGAGTGCTTTTACCATACTACCATACTCGAATATTATAGAACGTGATACCCGTCTATCCGATTAAATCTCTCCCTCCTTTCGTCCAGGATATACATCGTATTTTTATCATTATACGCTATATGAAACCCCGTTATTTAAAAATAGCTATTGCTGATTGGTGTGATGGGCATGATGCTGCAAGCACCGACTGATTGATTATCTATGATCTTTCGGGATGCTGAGCTGAGCTGGCGCCCCCGCAAGGATGCCTGAGGCCGATGCCGAATTTACCTTTCCCCTCCAAAGCTGCTTGTGTGCCTCCAACGCTCTTGGAGAACCTACTACTGTACGTACGTTTCGCCTCTTAACTCAGTGCGCAAAAAGCACAAGTCCGGACGAGATCCAATAATAATTACACTCTCGTCCCTCACCTTCCCTTCCCCGCTCAGCCGCATGGTTTTTTGTTTACAGGCTGGTTTTTGTGGCGCCCCGGACAACTACATCCAATAGGTACCGGCTTTGGGCCAATTTCAACGCGACATAGACGCGGAGAAGTCGTCAACTTGCCTTTTTCCTGTCTGGGTAGTATTAGCAGTTTCTGGGATACTACCTAGCAGGCTTGGATAATCAACAAAGGACCCAGGGCAGAACGAGGTTCTCTTTTTCTTTCTTTCTTTTTTTTTTCTTTTTTGCCGGCGATGTCAGCCTCGAATGATGCGGTGTTCCACCGGCGGAATAAGCAGATCCAGGATGCAATTGATGGGCAGAACCTAAAGCAAGCATTACAGCTATGTGAGAAGAGGATCAAGAAGGGTGAAGACACGAGATTTTTGAGGGTGTGTATGCTCTGGCTTTTGTTTGGTTCTGTGTCTTCGAATATCATATGATGCGGCTTCTTTCACTTCTGTCGTCTTGTCCTTCATTACAAGGACCGCCATTCTGTCCTCGCTTGGCTCAGTTATCCCGTATGGGCAGTACAAGCTAACTGGCCATGCAACGGCACAATAGGCATGGAAAGCTCATATCCTCTTCCGCCATACAGACGAAACACACCACCAGCGCGGCATCGTCGAGACCCTTGACCTCTGTGACCTCGATCCTCCTACGACCGACCTTGATACCCTTGACATTCTCTATCAGACACTGCGGAAACTTGACGGCCATGAAGGAACGATGCGCACTCTGTGGGAGAAAGCTGCTAAAGCAAAGCCCCAGGATCTGGATATTCAGATGCGATGGTTCACATATGCTTTTGAGGGAGGGGATTGGAAGTCGGCGCAGAAAGTGGGTGTTCTCTGGATATGCATTGGGGCACTTGTCTTTGCCTTGTCCAACTTCTCGACTGTTCCTGACCTCTATCTAGGCTGCCATGAGTCTTCAGAACAACTTTCCCAAGTCACGGAAGTACTATTTCTGGGCCATCTTCCTCTGCTATCTTATCACTGTCGACCCTGCGAGCTCAGAAGCAGATCGCAAGCTTTTCGGTACTCTTGCATACCGTATGATTTCTAAGGCTGCCGAGAGCGTGCCCTCTGACCCGGTAGGCATATTTTTTATTCCCCCTCAGAAAGCCCTTTCTTTAACAGGACTTCTTGTTTTTCATTTACATTTGGTCTGTTCTTTGACTTATGAAGATTATGGTTTCCGTACAGAAGGAATTGCTGAGTCCTCCTAGGGCTGTACAAACTGCCGAGGAATTGCTATTGCTTATCAAGATCTTCGAGAAGCAAGACCGCTACGCTGAAATTGTGAAAATTCTCGACAGCGAAAACCTCGGTATCAAATCTAGGATTGTCCAGAACGATTGGTCGTTTGTTCGCTCTAAGATCATTAGTCTCGAGAACGCCAAGTTGTGGAATGACGGAGCGGCCTTTGCTAAGAGTCTGTTGAGCGGTTCTGAGGATTCCATAGCTCTCAAGGAGAGTGATGATTGGGCCGTGTGGAACTTGCTACTGTCGGCGACGCAGAACGCTGAGAGAGACGAGTATGTATTCCTCGTTGCATGGAGAGTATAGTTGTGCTTACGCTAGTTTGCAGAGCGTGGCAAGAGACTCAGACATTTGTCGAGGAATTCATCCAGCGCCAACCGAAGTCGCGCAATGCACAACTAGCTTCCCTAGATCTTTCATATCGAAGGTACCAGTCTGGGGGCAAAACAGGTGCAGATCTCCTGTCTGCTTGCCAAACTTATTTCGACAGGAACCGGAAGAAACTATACTGTTTCGCTGACCTGAAAAAGTATCTCGTTGCTGTAGACAAAGATTCTCTGAACAAGTTCCTAGATCATGTCTCGCAAAATGTCAAAGACGATACCGCAGCGAAAGATGTGAGTAGCATCCTCTGGCCTGCTAGACTATGCCACTAACAACGTAAAGGTCAATGATCCGTTTAAAGACGTTGCTCAGATAAACGCTCTCAAGTTCGAATACTGCTTTAAGCTCTCACAGAATGACAGCAGCGCCACAAAAGAACAGGTGGAGGACTTTGTTCTGCGCTGTCTTGAAGAATACCGGAAGATTGAGCGGCCTGATCGCAGCGAAGCTCCGTCTACTATCGAGAGTCAGCCAGGAGATGACCTCTGTCTTCTAGCTGCTACGAGCCTGATCCGCTTCGACGAGCAGGGGAAAGACGTGAACGTCAACAAGGCCCCGAGTCCGGTCTTGATACGTGCTGGTGCGATTTCGGATCGTCTCCTTGTTGATTCACCGCATAACTACCAGGCTCTTCTGCTGCTGGTACGGATCTACCTCCTGTTGGGTGCTGGTTCCCTTGCCTTAAAGACCTTCAGCAAGCTCTCTGTCAAACAGATGCAGTACGAGACTGTTGCCCATAACTTGTACACGCGTCTGTCCACCATTCATCCTCAGTCAGCGCCGCCCATTGAGGGTGCCGAATACAAGGACTTCAACCCTCAGTCAGCACTGATACAGGCCCTCAACTTCTATCGAAATGCGGATATCACGACTGTGCGAAGCCGCACTAGCGGACTTGACTATGGAAGTTATGTCAATGTTCAAGGTAGTATCGATTTGCAAGACCGGCTAGGACGTAGTATTTGCAGGAAGATGTGGGCCCTGGATGTACGACGCATGCAGAGGCTCGTCGGCGGAGACCCAACGAGTCGCTACGATGAGCTGGGTGAGTTAGCCTACATTCTTATTTAACTAGAAAGAGGCTCCAACTAACCACTATGGCGATCGATTACAGCACGGGACCCTTCGCCATTGGTCGACCAACGAACATTTGATGCGTTCATGAATTGCGAAGCCCCCGGCCTACCCACATTCGAGGAGCGAATGCGCCCCGGACCATTGCCTAAGGTGAATTAATTGTCTTAAGTCTCATACTGGCGACATCTAACAAGCAAACAGGAACACTGGGTGAAATCAGCTATGGTAGCAGACACGCTCTTCGTCCTTCTCAAAAACATAGCACTCCAGAAACCAGCAGGCCCTGAGGCGGACTTACCTGCTCTCGAAGAGCTGCTGGGCTCGACACCAGAATCAGAAATGACTCCGACTGAGATAGAGCTGGCTAAGATCCATCTCGTCCTGCTAAAGATTACATATTTCGTCAACGGTTCGAAATCCGTGTCAGGGGCTGACCTCGAACCTCTGCTCAGCCAAGTGGAAGAATGGCTCATGTCCATCTCTAAATCCATTTCCTCGGAGACGGCTAATGGCCCTGCCGCTTTTACTGATACAACCCTTACCGTACACTCCGAGAAGCCATCCGCACCATCCTGGCTATATCTCCACCGTAGCTTTTCTGTCCTCGAGACTCTTAGAGCTATTTCCCTTCTGGTGTCTGTATCTGCGAAGAAGACATCGAAAGCTACGAAGATCCCGAAAGAGCGCGCCGATCGCCTCTCCGCGCTTGCCCGGCAGGCTCACGAAACGATCAGATCGAACACCCGTGCTCTCAAATCCCGCATATCGGAACCTGGAGCTCTGGGTACACTGATTGACCTCGTCACTAATGGTACGGCCGGTGAGACCGGTGAAGCATTGCGGACACAGCTGGAACATACGCTAGATACTGCTGCGTTGGAATTATACGTCGGTTCATTGATGGAGAGTTGGGAAGAAGGACTCGACGGAGTTCTCAGTGTCACCGTTTGAGACGTAACTATGAGATGGAGATGTTGAAGCATTCAATAGGTGTGATGTAAAGGAAAAACATTTGAGTGTCAACATTACAGTGAAGATGAACGTTTGACGATATCAAAAGCGTGTGTCCGTTGTGACGGATGTCAGGCTTTACTTTTTACTATTTCATGACATCAGCATATGAGCATAGTTATTCTATAAATGATGACTATGACAATTATATATTGATACTTCCCAAAGAGTCGGTCTTTGATAAGCAGATTCTCAGATCAGCCTTTTCACAAAGAGAGAATGGACATCATGGGTATCTCTGGCGCTGGAGACATATTACGAGTATGGTATAAGAGTAGCCATTCTGAGGACGAAAATGATCGATCGCCAGTAAACGCCTGAACTGCCCCGACCCAGACATGAAGCATGCGGGTAGGGAGCACTATTCATGTAGTGGCAATTCTCTGTTTCCTAAAATCCCCCTGCCACTCGAGTACTCCTCGAAAACGGCCTAAGAAAGATTAGACTTGCGAATGTGAAGACTGATCAGCGCACCCGAGCCGAGTAGTGGCCCGGACATAGAACATGATAGGTCTTCTCATCATAAAGCCAAGATATTTTCACCAACCAGTAAGAACGGGTATTCGCATTTTTGTGTGATAAGGGGGCCATTTATCTCGACTCTTTCAGCATCGGATATGTACGATGTGTTATGTGGCCGAAAGAGGAACGAAAGCCGTTGGGTATATCCTTTCAGTACCTAGGTATTAGGTATTTTCCGGAGAGGGAAAGTCGCGATACACGTCTGTTTGTCCGATCTATCGAGTCGAGAATCGGAATGGATGGTGGTCATTGTGAATAGATTTCCGTAGCAGTTCCTTACTTTGGCGTCATCTAGTTTCACGAAATCATGTATGCTGTCAGACAGGATGCCATAAAAATGCACGGTACTCTAGTGATCTGTGTGCCCCATGTCCAACGCGGGCCGCGGCATAGCCGCTATTAACGTAACAGGGCTTGTCGAAGCCCTGGGCCTTTTCCATTCTTTGCAAGGCGGATCTCAAAAGTGCCTTGTCTCACTCAGTCATGGAGGGGTTGAGCATCGGTGGAACACCGTAATGAATGGTGACACCATCAAATGATTTGGCGCAGTACCATGTGCCTGTCGAGCCACACTGATCGGGTCACAGGGGCGGATGCCGCTGGAATAAACAGCGAGATAGCATACCTCTAACTATGCAGTTCCTGACTATGATGGTGAAGGCTGCAACCAAGCAGCGAGTTATCTCTGTTTTCGACTGTTCGGAATGTTTCAGCAGGCAGATTGCTCAGCCACTGGGGCTGATCACTCCACGGTCTTGACGGCGTTTCACGACCGGGATATTGCGTCTCTTTTCTCGTGCATGGGGAAGACTTGTCTATCATATCAACGTGGCACCAAAATCGAGGCTAGTTTCTGCAGGGATCACTTGGTGACCGGACAAGCACATATCTGGCTCGTCAAGCTAGTTTTGCGTTTGCCTTTCCTTGGAATTTCCCTCGTGCTTTCGCCATTTTAGTATGGTCTTTCGATGCAACCATCCATAACGCCTGGCAGACCCTATCCAGGGATCATACCAACTAGAGGCCCCATGAATAATGTGTTTTGTCTGCATAACAAGGAGAAAAGAACATGTGCATCACACAACCTCTACTAAGCCTCAAATTGGGCAAGATGTGTACGGAGTACTCCCCTGTCCTTGGTCATAGTTACTCCAGCTCTCGGTCCGCATCTTTCTCCAATCGTAGCGCAAAGGTCCCTCAACTCGAAGAATTATTAGTCGATTTCCTGTATGCATCCGGGAGCAACCACATCTATCAATCACGGCAGTTGAACAAGGGGAACAGAAGCAACAAACGAGTTAACCTTGCAAATCCCCACGGGCTCGACCTTCAGGAGATCGGCAGTTAGCATGTCGAATTTTATTTTCTGGAAAGTTGTTCTATGCAGAAAATATATTCTCCTCGGACCTCATAAAGTGCACATTATCCTTGAAATGGTGGTGAACCAGTTCCATCATATTCTGTCGAATTTATCCCGCTGTCCTACAGTCCACCAAAGTGTCGAAACCCTCTTCTTTTCTTGCAGATGACCACATAATTTTGGATACTCGCTCATTGAGTTGTGCCAGAAAGATGGCACCTCTCTCCGACCGAGAGACACTGCAGTCTTTGCGAGCCCGGCAAAGTCACGACTATCGTAACTCGATCCGTCATTGGGACGTTATGTGCCAGGCTATCTGTCTAAGTATAAGTACTATTCTTGTGCTGTTGCGGCTGTGGACGAAGCTCCACATTGTGCGGGCTCCTGGATGGGAGGACTGTATGTTGATCCCTTTGTCATTTGGATGTAATTCAATGGGTCTAATTGAAGTATTTTGGACAGGCACGTCTGTGATGTCTTTGGTACGACAGGAATTCGATCACCGTGAAGGAATATATCTGGACAGTATCACTGACAAGAGCATTCGCCTTAGCTTGGAATAATAGCGTATAGTGTCATCTCACTCGAAGCAGATAAGCATGGAAGCGGTGTTCACCAGTCGCAAGTAACCCCAGAGGATCTTAGATACTACGCGCAGGTGAGCCAAAACTTTTCTTAGGAGTTCTACAGGATTCGATAACTTAAGATTAGATTACATTTACTGACTAGAATTACTACTACTACACAGCTTGCAAATATCTCCCAGATTATATACGGCCCCTTGATCTTTGTAGCGAAGTTGTCGATTCTATTGCTATATCTGCGCGCCTTCACACCAAGTCGACCCGGAAAGACGTTCTATGCTATTCATTTTCTCCTCTGGTTCAACTTCCTCTTCTACACAGCAAATACACTCACCAAGGTCTTTCAATGCATACCTCGTGCTAAGATCTGGGATCCAGAGACTCCTGGCCGATGTGTCAATGTTAATGCGTTGATCCAAACCAGCGCGGGATTGAATGTCTTTTCAGACTTCTCGCTATTGGTCTTGCCGATCGTGGCAATATGGAAGCTGCACATGAAGACTTCTCAAAAGCTTGGTATATCTGCAGTGTTTGCTGCAGGGCTATTGTATGTTTCGCATCAACCGGCCGCCCCAAAGAGAGTGTTGGTTCTCTCAGAAACAAGCCTGAGTACTAACGAAAATCATCGACAGTGGGTGCATATCAAGTATCATGCGTCTTGTCATCGGTATCGAGAAGCAAGGAACCCAAGATAAAACATATGACTGGTTTCCAGAATTTCTTTGGACGTGAGTTCCGCCATCCCTTCTTTTCTTTTTCTTAAGACCAGCCTCAATTCTATAAGCCTGATTCATCCAAGTATCCCCGACGGACCGTCTCTAATATTCACCTCCAAAAACAGGTCAGCCGAAATCACATCTGCCATAATCACATCCTGTCTTCCCGCGCTTCCGAATTTTTTCCGCCATTACTTCCGCAAAGCCAGAACACCGAGCAGGAACAGCCAGCATCAGACAAATTCGACAAACAGACATCCATATAGCAGGAATCACTTCAACTCCACTCCGCATAGTCATCTTGGTGTACCTTGGTACCATCGCAATCCCAGCGACGACGATCTTCTTCCCCACAGCTACTACATGGAGTTGGACGAAGCCAAACCCAGTCTCAGCCCGGGTGCGGTTGTCAAAACGGAAATCATAGCTGAATCCAGACCAGAATCGAGGGATTATCCACCGTCGATTTCCTCTGTCAATGCGAGGGAGGAAGGAGAACGACAATGCCCGTCTAGTCGCAATGGGATTTTGAAGACTGTCCAGGTGGAAATTCAAACTACGGATGAGGAGCGCGCGACTTCATGATACGATGATGTATCGATCTATCGATTTTGTAGATTATGCACTGTACAGTAGTGGCATATAAAACTAGCAAGCGAGGCTGGTACCTTGCATAGCTAGATTACCAAACAAACTCTTATAAAAGGGGGCAGAAAATGAAAATTACATGCATTTAATTGAATTCATAAATTGAAACCCAGATGCATCGCCAAGTCGTCCTGGCCCGCATCTAAGCGCAACTATGAGCCACTTTCAGAGTGATGTTCTTCATAATTCGAAATTCCCGACGTTTTTGCTATCCTCATTGGCCAACTCTGGTTTTCTCAATTTCTCCCCACCAAGATCTTTCGAAGATTGTCCTAATTCGTACCCCGACAGCCAAGACATGAGACTAGTAGGTATAATATTAAACCAAAGTTCCGCATCAAAGAACCCCCGTCTATCGCTGGGAGGAAGATACAGAGGATAAAGCAGTTTTTTGTTGATCTACGTTCTACTCTTTCGTGACAAGATTATTCTGCTTCTTGCATAGTCTTCCATTCTGACTGTCTCCAAAATGGCCTCTCCGCAAGCAGGAACTGATGATATGTCTACTGCTATATGGAAAGAGATATCGAACACTCCTTACGCATGCTCCTCGCTGACACGACTTACCGGTGGGACGGGCAATTTTGTCTACCGCGGTACTCTCTCGCATCCTCTTCAGGATGGAACTAGAACTGTCGTTATCAAACATGCCGAAGACTATGTGGCTTCTCAGCCGGAGTTTAAATTATCTACTACTCGTTGTGTAAGTTTGTATTCCCTGTATGGTGATCTATAGACCTCGGGTGTCTCTGCGCTTTTATTTCTGCTATTCAGGGGGGGAAAAGGGTACAGCAACGCATCTAACACCACCTTTCAGCGGGCCGAGGAATACATGCTTAACGCTCTAAACGATCTTCCAAAACAAGTCGAGGCTAATGTCTCCGTGAAATCACCGCGTCTCTTCCATTTCAATCAGCAGACCAATACGCATATCATGGAAGATCTACCGAACGCGCTCGACTTGAAGACCTTTCTCCGATCGTCTGCTGCGTCAGCGTTATCAGAGCCTTCTGCTACAGCCATCGGCCATGCTATTGGAAAGTGGCTAGCGTCTTTTCATACTTGGGGCTCAGCGCCAGAGAGATCTGATCTGGTAGTTGAGATCCAGAAGAATCAACTCATGAAAGAGCTGAAGTATCAGATTAATTATGAGGTGTTGATGCAGACGATTGATAATTTTCCTGATATTCTTGAGGCGAGTAGGGGAGTGTTTGAAAAAGTGAAAGGTCTCGCAAAGGAGGAGTTGGAGAGGAAGAAAGATGAGGATGGCATTGGGTTAATCCATGGTGATTTCTGGACGGGGAAGTAAGTTATTATATGAACAATATACATATATTGCCCCCCAAGCTTTCTACTAGATAACATGGACTAATCATTTTAATAATAGCATTCTACTTCCCAACGCTTCCAACCCCGACGAGTCCCCTGTTACTATCTTCATCACAGACTGGGAACTTTCTCAAGTGTGCAGCCGCGCATTAGATCTCGGGCAGATGATTGCGGAGCTATATGAGCTAAAACATTTCAAGGATATCGATGCAGGTGTGTGGATTCTTCAGGGATTTGTAGCCGGGTATCATCTACCGCTGAGCGATGAAGTCGCCTTTCGCACGGCGATCCATGTCGGTGTGCATTTGGTTTGCTGGGGAAGCAGGGTGCCAGACTGGGGTACACAGGAGCAGGTGCGGGATCTGGTGAAGATTGGGAGGGATTTCATTGTGAAGGGATGGGAGAAGGATAGGAAGTGGTTTGAAGGTGGAGTGTTGGGATGTTTGTTTGGGGGTAGATAGGAGGAATATGTGCATGTCCAAGGAGAATATTGGAACAAATAAAACGTGTAAATAGGAAAAGAGGTTGTATTGGTTAAATGTGCTATATGATCTTTCTTTCCCATGTGTGTTGGCAATTAGATGCGGGGTTGGTCTTCGCATACCTAGAGTAGCAGCTTATCATTCAGTTCGACTGCTCCCGATTAGGTATACAGCTCGCGACAACTATACTGTCGACTCATATCATACCAGATATTCCGACAGATAGACAAGGCCAGTCTGGGTATACTCATATCCAGTATGGACAGAAAGGTTGACGCCATTCATCGTTCTCATTGTTGCGATTGTCGCTTTGATGTTCCCCACTCGAATCTCGCAGGCTTGGTCAACATCCACGGAGTCCATTGCATATACAGATGTACCAAGTGGCTTAGCACAGTGTGCGCTGAACCACATACGTCCGCATATTTATACTGAGTTGGCACTGGTCTTATACCAAGACTGGGTTGTCAAGACGCTAACGGAAGCAGAAATATGAGGGATAAATTTTCACAAAACGCGTGTATTACTGCAACATGCCACTGAGAGGCAGAAAATATGAGGCAGACAACCGGTCCTTTCATAATCTGAGAAGTTCCTGCTATGACACAACCAGCAAGACATGTCCCACCATGGAGCGTCAGCGGAGAAGGGGAGTGCCATGGAAATCAGGGCTAACGATCTCGAATCGCATATCAGTCTCAAGCTATCATGATCTAGCGGGAAACGCAATAAGGACCATGAGGTGATAAATCGAGATAATCCCGCATCGACTGTCCGCAGCGACTGTCCGCAGCGACTGTCCGCAGCGACTGTCCCGATTAGGGAACTTTGTCGCTTAGTACTATAGATAGCCCTTCCCAGCAGTTGTAACTAATGCCTTCACTAGAGCGATACCTGACCTGTTTGCGATTGAGATTACGTGACTAGTTACCCAGTCAGCCATCCCTATATCCAGCATCCATTCTCTGCAGTTGTGGTAATGTTATTCTCGAGCGGTCCTTCCACTATGACCTTCTACTTACTTTTTTTCTCATCCGTCGTTCGTTACGTCTATTCCATGCTGTTGTCATATGGGAATATCAATCAGTGATAACTATGAGATACTGTGTGCTCAGTGAATAGTCTTCACCCCTTGATAATTGTATTGAATTCCATCATGGCTCCATCACTGTGGGCACTCAGTGTTCAAGTTGCATGATACACCTGTCAAAGCAGTCCTGTGAATAAGGAATTCACTGTCTTGCAGTTATTGTTATTGATAGTATATATTCGCTTAATGCTCTCAACTCGATTCCTGTCCTTCATTCCTCTACCTCTGACATTCTATCCTCTTGGCGCCCACCTTGATCCACGGTATTTTTCTTTTTAGTCTGCATCACTACACTGCTGCCTGATTCAGTCTGCAAGATGTTTCACGTCGGCTATGAAGGTCACGAAACTTATGCAACATCTTCTGCGGCCAGGTCAACAACCATGCCTCAAATCCCCGCCTCTTCTCTGTCTCCGTCTTCAGAACTCGCCCTCGTGGATGAATACCCACCGGCGGAGTTTATCAATATAAGGGCCTTAAAAGAGGTTGTTGCTTCAAAGAGAAAGGAACTACATGAAGGGGCCCAGGACCAGTATCTCTCCTTCCGCCATGTCACGTCAGAGGATTTTGCAACGATTAAGGCACGTCGTGTTGAGATTATGGGACGCGGTCCCGCCTTCTTCTATCTTGGCGATATTGAGACTCTTATCATAAAGTTCCCTACTCGAGCACATGAGAAAGCTCATGCGACACTGGGTCAGCGGATTCAACTCAAAGTGTTTCGAATGGGAATTGCCTTTCGCGAATTTACGGCGGTCAATGCAACAGCGATGAAGGGTGGAATCAATTCTGAGATGGAGGGTGACACGTCCTGGATAAATCAGAGACTCAGACCAAACAAGACCGATTGGCCCAATCTAGTTATCGAAGCAGGGATGTCTGAGCCTTTTATACGACTACAAAACGATGCAAAATGGTGGATTCAGAACTCCGCCGGGGACGTGCTTATTATCCTTGTTGTTTGGATCCGGCCGACTATTAAGAAAGTGAAGATAGAGAAGTGGATTCCTGCCTCTGCGCAACCTTTAAGACGCAGTGCCGGTCTTAATCTGCCCCAGGTATTGCCCACTAAAGTCGCCGATATCGAGATCGATCAATCGTCTACATCTGTTTGTCATGGTGCCCCTTTGCTGCTGGAGTTCGACAGGGTTTTCGGAAGACCACCACAGCAGCCCCTAGAGCATGATATTGTCTTCACACAGCAAGAACTGGAGGATTGGGCACGCGATCTGTGGGTTGGGATCTGAAAGGTGCCTATTTTTTTTTCTTTGGTTTGGTTCTGATTATATCTGACGGCTGAGAATACTATATACAGCGGACGGTTTGCCCCTTGCGGCCAAAACGTTTTCCTACAACACCATAAGAGCGTACCACGCGTAGTTCAGTAGATACTGTACATCAGAAATCCCGACAGAGAACGCATTGAGGAGCAAGATATCCGAATACGTCATTCCCAGAGTACAAAGAGGGCTTCGGGAAGGGTTCCATTCGATGTTGGAGATTATGCAGGGGTCATCGAAAACTTCAAGCCTGACACTGCGTACTTTGCACTGCTAACCCAGGATGGCAGGAACTGGAACCGTGCTTCTAGTAACATTAAGCCGTCCTGGAAATGGAACACAGCTTTGGCCACCAATCCAGTTCCTAGGTATTGCTCGGAACACTATCGAGCACTCAGCCAGGTCAACTTCTACATGAATCAACATCATGCACGATACAGATTTCTTCTTACCAACCAGGAATTAGTCGTTTTTCGACGGTTAAACAATAATACGTAGTAACCTGGAAATTGCCCCATTAGTTCCATTCAATGCAGGAGGGACTATTGCACAACCACAAACGACTGTTCTGTTAGCATTATGGTATCTCAGAATGCTTGATGCGCAAGGTCAAGGGGCTAATTGCTGGAATATGTAAATGGTGTCCCGGCAGATGATGTGTACCTAGAGCGGGCTCCTTGACCTGAACTGAGTCTCCACTCCAGTATTGTTGAAGAAAAACATAAATTGCAATATATTCTGGAATATATCTAACCTCTTGGTAGATCACATTCTGGTTTTCTTTCTCAATCCTGTATTCAAGGTCGTTCACGTACACTGGCAAGAGACAATGGCTACGCCTTTAAAAGACCTGTTCTAATTGCCGCACCAGTAAGTCAGTCTGGCTGCATAGAAATCTATACTATTCTATACTTCGATTAAGTATGTCTTGAACTTTCTTTCGGATGCGGTTGTAGGATAGATTTTGTTGGTCGATATCTACGAGTATTGCCAATTATGACGGGACGCCCAGGACGAGATCGGCGCTACGTATGGAGTCCGGATTGCCAGGATTGTCAGGACCATCGTGAATGTACCTTGTGACACGTTTTTCAGACGATGGAGAGCGAAAACGGACGCACTGTGGTTCCAGTTGGCGACATCATGACTGGAAGCACTGACATGCAGGGACTTAGCCCGCAGTATCGTAGATACTCTCCAGCTCGAGAAGGAACTGGACTTAATGCGCATGCGGTCGATGAGCCTATGGAGATCACAGCTCACGTAGAAGGAATGAGGGTATATTACGGTAAGTTCGGCTTCCATTCCAAGAGGAATGGGTGCTTAATTACGAGGCAGATCACGCCTGGGATGAAGAGTAAGCGCGTCTCTTCATAGTAGCTCTATATCAGCGTCACAAATATTCCCGTCATCTACCCCTGCAATAACGCTATATCTAGTATATTCAGTACAGACTTTGAATAGTTTCCCACATAGTCCACTTGCTCTCGTAACAATCGCCTTGGATAAATATCCGTCTGTAGGTCTCTATAATGTCTTCTGAAAAGGGAAAACTTGACTGTCGCATAATCCCGGCTATCATTTTATTTTCGACCGCAGTCCACTTCAATATATCTCTTGCTAATTATTAGCGCGTAGAACGGCCTTACAATGGTGCAGCCTGATTAGTTCTCGCTTAAGACCTTCCGGATCGGGTGGAGATTAGACGTGTAGAGTGGGAACTGAAAAGCAGCTTAGAAAGATAGCTCAATATAGGTAGTCCACGATGGCGCAAGACCGCATAACGGCCCGAGAAGCCCGTGCGGATCTAAAAGGAACGAAATCGTCGTATTTCTACTTGACTTTTGGACCATTCATTGCTAGCTATCCTGCAGAAAGCTTCCCCGCAGAATAACAATTGGTGTCGGGCTGCTCATATCGGCAACTAAGCTTCATAGTCATCTGTGACTAAATCCTATCCAGTAAGAAGTGTCCTCTTAGATAAGGAACGGTTGAATGGCGGTATGAGGAATCGAAGTGTCATCTCTCACTTCTCGTGTACTCCAACCACGCTGTCCTACAAGGCGTAGGCCATCAGCACAAGATGGAAAATCTCTGGGGAACTCTTCAGTTCCCTATGGCCGTGTCGGGCCTACAGAAGGTGGATTCGACAGTATCATTAATAAAGCAATTACCGGAGAGGTGAGAAAGGTTTTACATTCTGGTCCTGTTGCCCGTACTGACTCTTGTTCAGGACATCATGGCAGAATAAGACGCAACATGCTGCAGCCTTTGTAGCAAAGGGCGATTTGCACATCAGTTTCATGGCCATTTCATTGCTTGTACTGATGGGACGGTTGTTTCTAGATTTTGTTATTCCACTCAACCGAACCAGACAACGATTATCAGACACGACTTTTACAGGTGAAGTGAGACAATTTACACCTCTCAGATATGTATTTGGGCAATGCGTGTTTGTCACAGCGGCATTCGTACTTAGCATTGTATCAGTCAGTCATTCCGGAAGCTGGGAAAAATGCCTCCTCTTAGGATATATGCTCATCCTTTGCCTGGCTCGTTTTGTCTGCAAGTCAAGCTCATACAAATGTTGCATTTATCACCACCTCAATACCCTGGCCCTAGTGGCCACTATACTCCAGGCTATTCAGGTACTTCTGCCCATGACGGCCATTGATTCCCCATCTCGACCACGACTTATTGAGCGTGCTCAACTGGTACTATTGGCTGCCGTTGTTCTCATGGCTTTCATCGCTCCTCGCCCTCGGCAAGCTTTACAGCTTGACAGAGAAGTTGGGGTGAGCTCCATAAAAGAAAAGGCTTCCCCGGAAGAAACCTGTTCTTGGTGGTCCTACTACTGTTCGTATGGGTGGACTACATACATGATCCTTCGCGGATGCCGTCGCGATCTCAAGATGGAAGACCTTCCTCAAGTGCCTTCTTACGATGCGCCCCTCAAATGGTTATATGGTATCACAGCAGCAAGGCTGAAAGGAGGAAAGACTTTTTTAACGCTCTGTCGGCTTTTGAAGAAGGACATCAGAGTGCTAATATTCTGGTCCGTTGGTACGGCAGTATCAGAATATGTGGCACCATCGGCGATGTTACGTCTTCTTAGTTATCTTGAACAGCCGCAAGAGGCTGTGATACATCCTGCTGTCTGGATTGCATTGCTCTTCATTGGGCCCATGTGCCGGTCCCTCTGTTATCAACAGTATATCTTCAATGCTACTCGTGTCCTCGTTCGTTTAAACATGTCATTGGTACAGGAAATATACCAAACAGCGCTCCGGTCCCATATCTATGATAATTCTGAAGACCGTGGAGAACATGAAAGGCACACAGGGAAAGATCAAGGCAACCCCTCCAACGCCTCCTCCAAGGAGGCACCCAGGTCTGGCCAGTCTAACATTACCAGTCTCATGTCATATGATGTGGACGCCATCTACAATTCGAGAGATATCTTCTACGTTATGACCGCTGGGACAATCTCGGTCACGATAGCAATGACCCTCCTGTACCGAATGCTTGGTTGGCCGTCGTTGGTTGGAGTCTTTACTTTATTTCTATTGACGCCTCTTCCGGCCGTATTGTCTAATCGTGTTTCCTCTATTCAGAGAGAGGTCATGCGTGCCACTGATGCTAGGCTGTCCAAAATCTCAGAATACCTAGGTTCTATTCGGACCTTGAAGTATTTTGGCTGGGAGCCCGCGATGGCGGAAAAGATCAATGAACTCCGGTCTGTCGAACAAAAACGCTTGTGGAAGCGTAATATTCTGGTGGCTATCATCGCAGTGTCTGGAGACTTTCTACCGATGGTCAGCTTACTTGCCATGTTTTCTACAGTGGTTCTCTTCACCGATATCCCTTTGAACGCACCGGTAGCCTTCACTTCCCTCTCCATTATGGAAACTCTCCGTCTTCAGTTTGTTTGGCTCTCAAATATTATTCGAAATGCGTCACAGGGAATGGAGTCTCTTCGTCGCCTGGATCACTTCTTCGAGTCAGCTGTCCCAATCAAGCATCACCCAGCTGGACCGCCTGAGTTCAAGAACGCGACTTTCCGCCGTACCCCGGTAGCGACATTCAAGCTGCAGGACTTGACCGTTCGCTTTCTCGACGGGAAGTTGAATGTCATTACAGGACCAACAGGCAGCGGAAAGACATCTCTGCTTCTATCTTTACTAGGAGAGACCATCCTAGAGGCAGGCGAAGCAACGTGTCCAAGAGACATAGCTTATGTCCCTCAAGCAGCATGGCTTCAGAATGACACCATAAGAAATAATATTCTCTTCTTTGCCCCATACGATGAAGAACGTTATAATTCTGTTATCCACGCGTGCGGTCTGGTACAAGATATCGGACAACTTCCGGGCGGCGACCAGACTATCGTTGGAGAGAAGGGGCAAAGTCTCTCAGGGGGTCAAAAACAGCGTGTTTCACTGGCAAGAGCTGTTTACTCTCGTGCATCGACATTGGTCCTTGACGACGTATTCTCTGCTCTGGACACACACACTACCAGCGCAGTCTATGAAGGATGCTTCCGCAGCGGTATGCTGCAAGGTCGGACGGTGATCCTGGTCACTCATCTGCCAAGTGCCTTGCGAGATGCAAGCCTGATAGTTAACCTCGACCGTGGAGCCATTTTGTCGGTGCGGACGTCCGAAGAGGGTGGTTTGTTATTGAAATCCAGCCAGTGTTCCGTTGACACTGTCGTTGAAGACGATTCAGGATCACCGCCTCTTCTAGAACCAATAGAGTCTGGATCAGTGCAAAGTACTTCTGGGGTACTGAAAATGGAAGATCCGAAGGATACGCCAGGCCGATTAGTTGAAGAGACGTCAGCAAAGGGCCGCATTCCACGGACACTAGGTTAGTACGAGATGTGATTCCAGCTGCCTAGTATCTAACTTTTGTGTAGTTTTCAGATATATGCTTCTATTCGGTGGCTATCCCTATGCCTGTTTAGCGATCTTTGTGTCGCTTACAGTTCAAGTCACCTATTTTTCGATCACCTATTGGCTCTCTATATGGACAGGGTCTTACGCACGAGACGAGCCACCGTCCAACTCCAAGTTCTATCTCGGCGTCTATGCAGTCATTGTGGTCACTTTCCTAAGTCTTCAGTTCATCAGCAACATCATCTACCAAAGGGGTGCATGGGTCGCGGCCGGAAGATTGCACTCTGAACTTGCTACAGCAGTTCTATCAGCCCCTGTCTCATGGTTTGATCAGAATCCAATTGGCCGAGCTATAAACCGCTTTGGAAATGATATGCGATCTCTAGATGCCGTTTTGGTCACTTGGCTTAGGCAGTCTGCTGATAACATTCTCCGCTTCTTCTTCCGGCTTGCAAGCATAGCATCCATTATGCCGATATTCGCTCTTCCTGCCGCGATCATATGTAGTATTGGCTTCATCATCGGAGAAATGTATACACGCGCACAAGTGTCAATCAAGCGTTTGACTGCTATCAACTATTCACCTGTCTTTACTCACTTTACTGACACGCTAGCGGGGATGACTGTTATCAGAGCAAGGCAGGGCATGGAAAGTGTCTTCCAGGAACTCCTGGCAGATAAGCTCGCGGCGCATACGCAGGCATCAGAAGCTCAATATAATTGTAACCGCTGGGTCTCTGTCCGTTCCGACCTTTGCGCTGCTACTATTGCAGCTGCAGCTGGCTGCATCGCTTATCTCAAACCCGGACCCCCTGGTCTGGTTGGATTTTCTCTCACAAATGCTATCGGTCTAAGTCAGACTATTCTAGTCCTTGTTCGAACATTGAACGAACTAGAAGTCGAGTTGAACTCTTTCGAGCGTGTGAAGGAATACACACAGATCGAACCAGAGGAGAGCGTGGCCGAACAGGAGAAATCACGCATGAAGAGTGTTCCCGCTGGATGGCCAACCTCCGGCTGCGTCGAGTTCCAGCACGTAACTGCTCGGTACCATCCTGATGGTCCCGATGTATTGAAAGATGTTACCTTCACTGCAAAACCCGGACAGCGGATCGCCATAGTCGGACGTACGGGAAGCGGGAAGAGCACACTAGGATTGTCACTGCTACGGTTTACGGATATAGTGTCTGGGAAAGTCATGATTGATGGCATTGATATCACAGAGATACCGCTACATCGTCTACGGACAAGCATTAGTCTCATCCCTCAGGAACCAGTGCTTTTCTCCGGCGATATCCGATCCAATCTTGACCCGTTCGGTCAGTTAGATGAAACAGATTTGCAGACTGCACTTTCTGCATGCACAGCGATTGAGGTCCCAAAGTCCGATGACTCGACAGATAACTCTCATCCTCATCTGCTCAGCCTTAATACTCCTGTTGCGTCTAACGGCGAGAACTTTAGCCAAGGTCAACGACAGGTTCTTGGGCTGGCACGGGCGATCAGTCGTCGGACGAAAGTCGTTCTCCTAGATGAAGCGACAGCATCAGTTGATCACCGCACAGATGAGCATATCCAGCAGATTATCCGTTCCGAATTCCCAGATTCGACCATTATCGCAATCGCCCACCGACTACGCACGATTATAGATTACGACTGCGTCATCGTCATGGGAAGTGGAGAGATCCTCGAGTATGTATATCTTCTTTGTCCCAGTTGTGCTGTGTTAGAGGAAGAATTCTAACTATAAGTATAGGATTGGCTCACCAGCCGACTTGATTGAGAGTAAGGGTGTGTTCTGGGATATGCTAATGAACACGGGAGAGTATGATGAGCTCATGACGAAACTGAAGGCAAACGGAAATTGAACAAAAGTTAAGAATTGATCACGATGGTATGCTTTGCACTTATTGATTTCAAAACTGAAGTATTAGAATGGACATGGGTCCTGGCGTGCATTTAGATACTACGGAGTAGTAGTTCGTTGCAGTACTTACACTAGCTTATAGCATGGCAAAAGTCAAATTGAATTCAATCCAGGATATTGATACTCCTGTAGACTAGCTGCAGTCAAACAAATAGTTCCTGCATCGTAAGAGGATAATTCGACAATTTCTCGTCAACGACAACTTTGCGAGGAATAACAAGCATGTCTATCCAATATGGACAATCCTTACGGTTGATGACATAATCGCCCGACTTCCCCGGCTAGCGTAGGTCATCAGCCCTAAGCCCTAAGCCCTGTGATCTCGCGTACGCACTGGCGGCTCATCCAACCAAAACCTCGCGAACTTTATCGAACGGACCCCGACTTCCACATCGACGACAATCGACCTTCGACGACAACTCCATCCAGCAACCACCGTCGCCAACCGTCGAAATGGCTCAGGAACGCACCGGCCTCATTGTTGGCCTCAACAAGGGTCACGTATGTGATATCTCCCTGCATCGAAATCCCTCATGTCGTTTTGCAGCAGCCCCGTTGAATATCGCCGGTTGAGGAAATTTTTCGTCGCGATGGCACAAGAGGAGAGCACAACGGCACAGCCATAACGTGAATCTTGGACGATCAGCCCGTGGATTACTGAGATTGAGGATTGATTTTAATATCATCCAGGCCGGATTCGCGGCCTCTTGTGTCTAGCGGAGGAAATATTTCCAACGCGGCGATATATTCATGGGAATGGAAAGGCCCAACGCCCTTCTGCAGAGACGAATTGGCAATGAAGAAAAATACACACAGGAAGGGAATTGCTGACATGTATTCTTTTGGGAATTATAGAAAACCACTCCTCACCAGACCCCCAAGAGCCGCATCAGCCGTACCAAGGGCCACCTCTCCAAGCGCACTGCTTTCGTCCGGGAGGTCGTCAAGGAGGTCGCCGGTCTCGCCCCCTATGAGCGTCGTGTTGTCGAACTTCTGAGAAACGCTCAGGACAAGCGTGCTCGTAAGCTCGCCAAGAAGAGGGTACGTGAGATATCTGAAGAATTGCTTTATCCGATTTGAGGGGAACGAGTGGTCTAGTCGACGATTGCCAATGGAGTGGATATGACATGGGTGATATCTTGGAGCTTGTCGTTCCATTGTCTCTTGTAATTGGACAATTATCCATGTCAAGTCCTCCATAGTATCTTCCAATCGGACCACTCGGCCCTTACAATCATAGGCAGAGACGTTCGTGAAGTGAAGACTAACGTGTTTTTCACCAACAGCTCGGTACTTTCGGCCGTGCCAAGCGCAAGGTCGACGAGATGCAGAAGGTCATTGCTGAGGCCAGGAGAGCTGGTCACTAAATTCGTGCTCCTTAATCGGAAAAGGTCACGGATGGAGTGAAAAGTGGTTGTTGTTGTCGCTTGGGCCGGAGAATCGGAGGAGGAGCAGCAGCATGTCCCATGTTTCTTCTCCTTTTGTTTTTTTTTATCCATCGAACGTCCCTTTTATTTTAACGGAATATCCTAAAACGAGACCAAAGATGGAAATAGGCATGGAATCAAAAAAAGACGATTTCAAGAACACAAAACAAAAAGGAGCTCTCTAACCTATCCGACTTTTTCTGCAATCACCGAGCATCTGGAAAATGAGGTTGAGCAGGAAAAGAAAGACAAAAAGGAGGATAAAAAGGGAAAACAGGAAATGGGATATGCGGGCTTCTGGGATGGAAAAAGTGATGTACGCTATGTTTGTATGACAGCCTGGCGTCGGACATTTTCTGGACCCTATTTCGTCGAGCAATGAGGTCTTGTGCTTCTGAGCCTAGCGATCCTAAATACATGCCTCCTCGATCGATCTTAATGAATCTATCTTCTCCAGACCGTGCAATAGTTGATTCTACTCTCGAGACATGCTTCATGGATGTGATGCACGTGAATTCTAAATGGAAGATCTACGTACATACTTCATCAGCGAGACCTACGCAGATGGTTGGAAATGGCATTATTCCATTACGTAGCGTAAATCATAATACAGGTCTTGTGTTCTTTCATTTCTTGCCAGGCAGCTTCAACCACTTGGGCACGCCTCCTGTGCCTCCTTTCCGCTTGGTCTCATTGCTTGCTGCCGCGGACGGTCCTCCCAGTGACCTGCTTGGTTGTTCTGGCTCCTCGAGGGCTTTGATTTCCTCCACCTTGATATCCTGGGCTTGGCTCCTCAGCTCCGGTTTCAAGAGCATCGCCCCGCTGCCGCGAGCAGCGAGGGAGGCGTTAGGGTCCCATGAGAAGTTGACCAGCATGCGTCCCTTCATACCCAAGTCCCGAATCAAGAGAGATGTATCTGAATCTGGAATACTCGAATGGCTCCTCTTACCACCAATGAGTGCAGGCGCACCAGGGGTGCTCAGATTAAACTTCTCAGCAGTAAATGGCTCATCTAGACAACTTCTAACGAAGTCATACAAGGTCTTCCCAGTGTCTTCTTGCCCGAACTTCGCTACCACCTGACTTTGGTCTGGGAAACGGACTTTGACGTCGATTTCTTTGATGCTCGCTAGTAGCTGCTGTTCAGCTGCTGCTTTGGCAGCGATCTCTGCATCTGTCGGGAGACGAGTTGGACGAGACGAAGCGTTCAACCGGTCTTGGTGAGACTTGGCATGCTCAACGGACGGAATATAGTCGTTCTCATCATATTTGGTCTGGGCTGATTGTGGAGTTGAGCTGGAAGGTGGCCGATAGACTGTCACCGGTCTGGAAAAGACTGTCTGGGTCTGCGGTGGTTCTGTTGAGGGTGTCTCGGGTGCTGCAGGTTGCGAGACAGGCTCTGCTGGAATGCCACCAACTGCTTCCGCAGCTGGGTCAGGAGTAGGAGACACTCGTGCCGTCACCGATGGGTTCGTGTCATCAATCGTACGTCCTTCCTGGATAGGTGCAACGGCCTCTGCAATCTCACCAGACTTGTCTTCAAAAGACTGGAAGTACTCTCCTATCTTCTGCATAGCCTCTTCTAGCGGCTCCGATGTTGTCCGGAAACTTAGTCTCATGAGGACATTCCCACTATTATAGCCCAGCTGTGCTAGTGACTTCTGCAGGTCTGTAAATGACGACAGTTCTCTGCCCATAATCTGAAGAACAGGAGTCTGATAATACAGTCTCCCAGCGCCCGCACTGCCGCTGTCCGTGGCCGGTGCTCCCCTGCCTGTCAGGTTCCTTGTTTTTCCATCACCCGCGACCCCAGCCTCGAACTTCCGTAGGACCAGCCATAGTGTCGTGTTGCTTGGGAACTTGTCGAGGATACGCCCATTTGGTACCCCCTGGGCTTCTGATTCCGGTAGTTGTAAACCGACAGTTACAACGGAGGGTGACCGTGACGCTTGGACAAGCTCAAGCTTGGCCCCAGAGCTCAGGCCAGAAAGACGAAAAGACAATGACAGATCTAGTTGTTTACTCTTACGTCTTTTATGAGAAGTCAGTACAACTGGAATCCCATCACCGATCTGTCAAGCAACATGCCCGCTCAGAGGAATGGTAATGACTTACTTTAAGCCATACTGGTTGGCATCTAGATTCAGTTTGGCGCAGGCTTCCTGGAGGATATCTGCCAGATGCTTATTTGGCGTCGTCTTCACAGTGGCTCTGCGAGCGCTCGCATCAATCACCACGACGTGGGAGCTCATGGCCAGTAGGTAGCCCGAGGGCTCGATTCAATATGGCGGGGCAGTATATGGGGTGAAACTGCCTCTGCAGCAGTCTGGGAATTAAGCAGAAAATCTCCAGAATTCAGTCGAGAGTTCGTTCTTTTTCACTTCCGTCTCACTGGAGAAATGTAGGCCTATATTATCGCGGGGAAGGTAGGGCAAGAGAGTCAAGTTTGTCTCTTGGTTCGATGCTCTTCCGTCGCGGGCAAACAGGCAGCGGGCGAATCGTCATCCGGACGAGAGCTGGTGGTGGCCCGAGCTCTCGGCGGCTCACGCGTGTCTCTCTGGCTACCTGGAGAGCTCCAGGGCATCAAGTCGACCTCCTCCGCTTCAGCTCACCACGCCTTAGATACCCGCCATCAGACCCTCTCTTGCGCTCTGGAGAGCTCGTTTCGTTTGGACTTGTATCGGTACTTGGTCAGAATTCACGACTCATCATGGTAAGACCCCAGAACGCCCTGTTCTGAAGGAGCGCATTGACGCTAACTGTCTCTTTAGAGCTCTCCCTTCGACATCAGTATGGCTCTCCCCCTCTGCTCTCTATGAGTATTGCGATATCCTTAATGATACTGATCGTCTCTCCACAGATGGCGGTGCCTGCGTTGCCATGGTGGGCAAGGACTGCGTCGCCATCGCCTGCGATCTCCGTCTGGGCATGCAGGCACTCACCGTATCCAACAACTTCCCCAAGATCTTCAACTACGCCCCTTCCACCTACCTCGGTCTGACAGGCCTCGCGACCGATGTCACTACCGTTTCAGAGCTCTTCCGCTACAAGGTGAACCTATACCGACTACGAGAGGAGCGGAATATCTCTCCACAGACGCTGGCCAACCTGGTCAGCTCTAGTCTATACGAGCGACGGTTTGGTCCGTGGTTTGTCAGCCCTGTCATTGCTGGAATCAACCCCACAACGGGGAAGCCGTTCATCTGCGGCTTCGACAGCATCGGATGTATCGATTTCGCGAAGGATTTCATTGTCAGTGGAACAGCCAGTGATCAGCTGTTCGGTACCTGCGAGGGTCTGTGGGAGCCTGACCTGGTATGTCAGACCGATTTCTATGAACTCTTCTTGATATAACATGTTTCCAGAGACCTTGGCTAACTGTTTATATCAAGGAACCCGAGGAACTCTTCGAAACCATATCTCAAGCTCTCCTAAATGCCGTCGACAGAGATGCGCTTTCTGGCTGGGGCGCCCATGTGTACATCATAGAGAAGGACAAGGTTACCAAGCGGTTATTGAAGGGACGACAGGATTAGACGCACGGGGACAGGAGTCACGGACGCTATGTTACCTTTTTTACGCCTTGTGCCGGTTTCAAGAAAGAAAAATCGAGTTCCATTTAATGAGCATCTAGCCCTCTACAAGAGTCTCTGAGCCAACCAAGTAGGATTCCTGTTAGGTTATAGCGCGAATAAGAAATAGGCGTATTCATGGTTGATTAGTTGAGTCGGTCTTGTCTCTGTGAATGTGTGCAGCATTAGGAACATTGGCAAGATCTTAAGAGAATTCAACGTTGGTACAGACCCTCGAAAGCCATTGAGGAGTTTATGCCGTCATGTTCCCTTATTTTCATCTAATTTTTGCGCCTTGAAGATATACGGGATCACGTTGGTGTGCCTTCATTTCCACGTCGAACCTAGACGGCTGTTATACAATCCTGTCGGTCTCCAAGTAATATATTTGACAGGGAAATAGCTTAATCATATTACCTTCTCCATCAGAGTCGACCTTGATGCCCATCTTTCGGTCACCAGAGCCCGACTAGTTCCCAGTACCCAGCCTTCTTACTGAAATCCAAACCATGTCCCCACCTAGATATTCTCTAAGCGACCTAGACGATTTGGGTCCATAGTGGTGTTTCAGATCTCTTTATGTTTTCTGCTTCTGATATCTGAGAAAATCTCCGTTTGCCAATTCGTATCTCTAATCTTGGACTGTAGATGCTCCTGGCTAGAGAGAAATTATGGCAATAAGCGTGAGACGTGTACTGGCCTATTATAACTTAGGGAATCCCAGACTACCCATCATCATACACATTCTCTTATATATCCCCTTCTCAGGCATTAAATGTTTCAGGAATAATATAGTGGTCCAAATCTCTGAACAGAATTATGGCCTGCAAATGTTTTACTAAACGCGTATGGCAGAGCAAGTCACACCAGATATGGCAAACAAAAAAGAATATCAGAGGAGTATGGAAAGAATAAAGTACCACAAATGTCATACAGATTGTCGCAGTGAAGTTTGCTTCTTGCACATGATTGCTATTATGTCCACCAGGCCATCTAGTCCTTGGTAGTTTCGTCTGTTTATTGGTCTTCGCCGTCTAAGCCAAGATCTCGTGTAAATTGTAATATGAACCAATTATGCGTTCGTACGTACACGTGGATTCTACTAGTATAAATGATGATGCTTAGATAGTATGGTAATATTCTAAGGAAAGAGTAAAAGATAAAACGCAAAAAGATTCCCAGGCCTAGGATTTAAAGCCTGGGGAGTTCCAAGGTTCTACCTAACGGAGAATCAAGTCCAGTAGGGCAGACACAGACCATATGATCAGTGGGATTATCTGACCGGTCCAGATCCCCCTGAAAAAAACTAGAGTGTCACTCGCCATGTTTCCTATTACACCAACCTGAGCTCTGGTAAGAGAACGGTTCCTGCTGGTCATGATAAATCTCGGTATTCAAGAATCCGGGCTCACGTCAGAGGAAATGGCCCTTTTCTCCATCTCTGGACGGTTCCTGCCTCACGCTATCGCCTCATACGGCCTCGTATGATTGTTTGAGTTATCAGGTTACCTAGCCAGGAGAATTAGTACTATCCTCATCGACTTTGTTGTTCACTTATGTAGGGGGGGGGTAACTTACTTTAGTATGATGTGAAAGTTTGGTCAGTTTGTTGACTTGGTTAGGTTCTTGTCTAAAAGGATCAATAGAACTATATTATCAGCTGTGGGAGTAAGATTTAATTTATAGTTATACTCATGTATCATAGTGGGTCAGTATCTCTTGTTTAATTCGAATAGTCCCTGCATGGCATACAGCTCCGCGTGACTAGCAATTATTTTCCGAATTGGTCTTGGGATTCCTTTTTATCACATTGGACTCGTTCTTAATATAGGCTTTCGTTACCTAGTTATCTTAATAGGTATTTATATCGGTTGTTAAATGGTACGCATATATTTAAAAGCACGTGATAACTGTATACCTGTGATGTTACCCTAAAAGCCTGGCAGGGAGGTTTAATAAAGGCTTCCGAATAGGCTCGCGGCTTAACGGTTTCCAGATTGCCTCTATACTCCATAGGCACATTAAACAATTTCAGAAGGGAAGATAGCGACTTCAAGTACTGGCATATTCCCGGGCCGTGATGGGATCTGTGCATTGTTATCGCGTTATCTAGCTACTCTATTTCGAGGCTAATTTAGCTCTGTTTAGTGCTAGCTGACGCAAGAACATGAGTGCATGAGTGGGATAGGAAAATAACTGGCTACTAAGAACTAGTTACGCAATTTGATGCCCCATGTGTATCTAGGCAGTCCATTTGAGAGGTTGGAAGATAATATGTGCAGGTGGCTAGGTCATTCTATGTTGACTTGGCTAGGGAAATATGCTATATAAATTTCTGCCCGTTTTTGGCTCGGAACCCCCATCGTCAAAACAACAGTAGAGAATCTCGAGGAATCAAGCTAAGTATTTTGGCACCTGCTACAGAACACCGGCCACGCGTCCGCACCGTCCATCTAGCGGACTCTGGAAAAAAAGACCATCTGTTTACTGGTACGTTTTCTCCCCCGCCAGCCACAGCTTTGTTGTCACTTCTGATGGACCTTTTCCTTATCGACTAACGCCATCTCGCATAAAGCGTAAGACGATACCTTGGTTGATATCTGACATATCTCTTTTAGTGTTTTATTGAGCGATCTAGCATTTTCTTCGGCGTTGAAGCCCGGGCTAGAGCAATGCAACGGATAGCATCGCCCTGATGCTAGAGAGGATACGTACGAGCATTACTACTGACGGCATTTATTCGGTGCTTTTTAGGCTATACGATTAGATCGCCATTGCGGATCGATTTCTATCAAATGCACTGCGTGCTCAGACGGCACTGAGGAGAGCCCGCTCTGCCGCCTCGCTGAGGCTCTGGATTCAGAGTAGGTTGTGTGACGTTACGGAGAGTTGTTATCTGATCACTAGTCTATATTGACATTTTAGTTTCTGGCCTTGGTAGGTAGTTATCTTGAAGGGATTATTGTCACAGTACGTACTCTATTGGTTCCTCTTTGCACGCCGTCTTCCCGCTGACAAAGGAAAATTCTGACCGAAGCTGGAAATATCTTCCGAGCCCTGAGATCATCAAAGCAATCTGTATCATTGCCTTTCTATCGAACGGACAACATACTTGTACTCTTCTATTCCATGGACCACAATAATAATAACAGTAACTTTCTCGTCGCTACATCTCACCACCCGATGGCACACAGACCGTGATCAACGCGGGAAGAGCCCGAGGCAGTGAGCCGTCAACAATCGTGATCCACAGGCCGATCGCGTCCCCCACAGTCGTCTACGGCATGACGGCGATGGCTGATCTGGCTCTTCGACCGTGGGCCCATTCCGTTCTAGATCTCAGTATTTCCATCCATTTTCTGCTTTCCAGACACCGCGGTCTCCCGTTCCTGTCGAGCGTGTGGTGCGAATCCGGCTCCTCTTGCTCTCCTTGGAAGATTCGAGACGGGAATAAATGGCCACCTGGCGAGGCGGCTGGATTGCTGCTAAAGATACTATCTACTCTATATGGCGATGACCCCGATATTGTCAGGATGGGAGCGCCTATTTGCCGCCTACCCTCTAGGCAGAATCGCGATCCAGACAAGCTGATACTGGAAATGTCACCCGTCAAGGAATAGTACCCTAGGATGAACCAGCTCTATCCAGGACTGGTTACAAAAAACGCCTGCTCGCCTGATCTTCTCAAAGCGTGGGCTCGTCCCGGACACGGGCTTTGAGCGCCTCTTCTAGGCCCGGCGCGGGATCCCGGCACTGTGAGCTTCGAGGCCTTCCTGCTTTTTGATTACGGCACTAGACTTGCTCGACCCTTCAATCCTTTAGACTCGTTCTTGTAAGGTCCTCTTCTAATAACTCACAGCGCAATACCAAGTGCGCTATTGTTACGTTCTTTTCCGCATCTACCATTTTCACTTATCATTCCTGGGGATCAAAACTAGGATTCGGATTCTGACGATCTTCCTGGTCTCTGCGTCGCAGATCCGCTAAAAAGACCGACTGCCCCCTCATTGGAAAAGCGTCCGGAGTATTCCCCATCTCCGCAGCCGGAGCAGCGACTCCAGACTGATATTTGCTACTCACGCCGGGGTCTTGACTTCTTATTTGGCATATAGATGAACCGGCTGTGTGGTAGCGAGATTAGCTGCGCGGTTTGGTCGGCACAAGATACGGATATATTTCCAACCCCCGACGTCAGTCTTCAGCTATTTGCAAACGTGAATAGTGTTTTAATGCCTGTACGAGCAATATAACACCTCTCTCACGCTCGACATAGATGAGACGGCCTAGTGGAGGAACGCATCAGAGCTAGATCGTTATCGAATCGTCTCCGTTACGGCGATTTCACCGCACCAGACTTCAAAGCATGCTTTGGGGCCTTTTTCTACAGAGATTTATCATATATTGAGAGAGAGCAACGAATATCCTTTATAGGTCCCCTCTCACGATATCGAAATCGAATCCGATGCCCGAGGAAATAAGCACCGATTCACGTACAACAGAATATGTCTGGGACAGTCACAGCCGATTCATCGGATCTCTGGAGCTCATGTGGTCCGTCGATTCTGCCGCGGGAATCCTTATGCCTGTCGAGTGACCAGCCTGACATTGCTGTCCACAGTGGAGATTCCAATTTCGCCGATTCAGTTGTCAAGTACTTCGACGTAGCACAGAGCAACGCTGTGGAGCAGTTGGTAGCGCTCAAGGATGGGTTGAGGACGGTGGAGACGAAGATATTCTGGCAGCGCTTGATGGAAGGTGTGACATCCATCTGCGGCGCCCAATATGGATTTGTGGCAAAGGCCACCGCAACAGATGGGGGATGGGGTGGCCAAAAGACAAACGGTCGATCGTTTCCCTTGGGAGTAGCCTACTCCCGGCGTGAAGATGGTCACCATATTGAAGAAATGTCTCGGGATCATAGGTATCTTGCCTGTAGCACTCTTCGTGCTCACATGAATCATGCCAAGGTGTTCCTAATACCAGAAAAACTTGGCTCTTTCTTGCAGAGTGAGGCAGATCAGCTGCCTTTTCCTGCAGAGGCTTATTTGGGCGTGCCGCTATTCTTGGAGGGACATTGTATCGCCTATTTCGGCCTCCTCTGGTCAAAAGACGGTCTTCAAAGGAGGAATCTGCCATGGTCTTACTTGGAATTGATTCTTCATTCGTTAGAAGAGATGATAATTCCACGAGTGCTGGCTGGCGAAAAATTTGACGAGACAGTGACGCCAAATAGCATCGAAGCCGTCTCCACGGAGAACCCCCATAACGACTCTTGCCAAGCCGTCAGTAACTCAGCAGCACCATTCTCATTTCAGCCCCTTAAGCCCTATGCTAGGAGTTTATCTCATGAACTGCGAACACCAATGCAGGGAGTTGTGGGTATGCTCGATGTTATGCATGCTACCGTCCGGGAAGCTCTGGACAATCAGCCTAACGCAGAAACGTTCCGTCTGTTCCAAAGTCTGAAAGAGAACATCGAGGCTGTACAAGGTCAGTCGGTCATAGATTTCTTTACTGATGCTTTACACCTAACACCCTTTTACAGATAGCGCGAGGCGAGCTGTTGAGGCCGCAGACAATGTCGTCCACGCCTATGATCTTAACATGGAAGTTCCTAAGACGCCTTCGAAGGAGGTGCAGGAGGAAATCTTGGGCGATGTCTCCATTCCACCTGCAAATGTGCATGATAGCCGTCCGAGCATTTTCATTGAAGGAAATAACATCGCCGTTAATCCGTTCAAACGACGGAGGAGCAATGCAGTTGACTGGGGCTATGCCCCAAGCTCGAAACGGAGGTCGCGTCTCGTGGCCCGGGAACTGTCTCCACGGACCGAAGAGGTCAAACATGCGGTCCTCGAAAGTGATCAGATCGTGTATTCGGCTCCGGAACATCATATGGAGGAGGTTGTTGCCAATGCTGTCAAGCAGACACCCTCCCTTGCCGCTCGAAGGTCTGCTTCTCACATCATTCTCGAAGGTCCTAGCTTGATGGGGCCGGTCTTCAGACACACAAAAATCCGTGATCTGCTTCGTTTGGTTATCAATGAATCGCTTAACGTTGGCGACCGCCCGGACTCAGCGGTGGGAGAAGCCACCGCGTTCGGAGAGCGGATAGAGGTACGCTCACGTTCATCCAACGGAGAGGTTTCATCGAAGATAATAGAGTGGCTCGTCGACTCTACGGTTCCCGAGACCGTCTTCGTTGATGACCGGGATTTGGCTAAGCTAATATCATGTGTTTTTCTAAACGCTGTCAAGTTCACTGAACGCGGGGAGGTCACAGTTTCAGTCACGTTGAACAGAAAGTCTCACTCCATTTTGATCTCTGTTAAGGACACAGGTACCGGAATACCTGCCGCGTTCTTGCCAAATCTCTTCAAGCCTTTCTCTCGTGAGGATGACTCAACTACACGCAGTAAAGAAGGCCTCGGTTTAGGGCTCCTGGTGGCTAAGGGCCTGTCAAGGAAGATGGGAGGTGACTTAACTTGCGTACGATCATCCACGTCAGGGCCTGCTCATGGCTCGGAATTCGAAATCAGAGTGCCCATCAGTCCGGTTGATGCGCTCAGAAGACCTCTCACGCCTATGGATAGACCGCGAAGTGTCTCGCAAATCAGCCTCGTTGAAAACGGTCACGATTCCGATGTTAGTTCTGAAACGAGACCTGACAGCAGAGGTCGAGACACTAACCCTCCAGGCGGCTCTTCTCCCCCCGGCACTAACGGCTCTCAACAACTTTCTCCAGAATCAATGGACGCTGGTAACTGTCCCTCACCATGTGGAGTTTTTGCGACCCCGAAGAGCGCCCGTGTGCCTATTGGGCGTCACACTCATGACCATACACTTGCTGAAAAGTACCCTCTCACATTTCTGGTAGCGGAGGACAACAAAATAAACCGGCGCGTACTGGTAAATATGCTTGGTAAACTCGGCTATCACGATGTTTACGAGGCTTTCGACGGAAAGGAAGCAGTCCGTATCATGGACGACATCCTACTATCACACTACCCCTCGCCTGCACCTGCCACTCCTCCAACAGAGGATCACGAGCACCAAAGTTCAAACAATATGCCATCGCAAGGGCGCTCACCAGCTAAGAAGCTTGTGGATGTGGTTCTGATGGATCTATGGATGCCAGAGATGGACGGATACGAGGCTACAAGCCGTATATTCGAGCTCGTGGATAAACATACTCCCCATATTAAGCCACATTCACGGAAGAAGTTGCAGCCGCCGTCTTCATTCTCTCTGGGGCCTATGGACGATTCTATCCCATCACCAGCGTCGTCGCCGCTTTCTCCCACCGTTCTAGCAGTAAGTGCAGACGTGACCGATGAAGCGTTGGGCCGTGCTTGTAAGGTTGGAATGGAAGGTTACATGACGAAGCCATACAAGCTGTCAGATCTGGAACGGTTGATTTTGGAGTTCTGCGGCGGCAAGGCCAATTCGACATGATGTCTCGCGAAAAAGTGATCACCGCTGCTGGAAGCGTTTTCTTATGACGAGTACGTATTCTCTTACCTACTATTGCCTTCTTCTTGTGATTCTCGTCAATGGCAGGACCAGAACGGCATTATTTATTACTGTTGTAATTATATGAAGTTGATATGGCGTGACGATTTACGGCTATATAAGGTACAGAAGGAAATGGTGTTCAAAACGGCCGCTCGGGTAGGCCTGGGTATCTCATGTGCATAACTCTACCCGCTAATAAGGCGTGCAAAAATCAATGTATTCATGAAACAAAAAGAAACAGCAATCATCGTCCTCTGGAATATTAATAGGAATCCAAGGAGTTGGTCGGTAACAGATCATGTGACCTCTCCAAATTGAGCTCCTTCCTTCTACGCGATAGCTTGGGAGCTCCGATGATCTTATCGTAGACGAAGATTGCGCATTCAGGGAGCTGCGAGGTCAATCACCAGCCCTCAATTGATTCAAAAGTCGATGATTCCTTGCTCGATCCATTAGATAGGATTCGACAATGAAGATCTCGTGGCTATCCTCATTGCTGGTGGCCGTTCCGGTCATCGCTCTGCCTCCACACCCCGCAGCTCCGCAGAGTCCCTTGCAACTTGAGGCCGAGGCGACGTCGAATACACAGAACCGATTGAAGGAGATAATCAATGCCTCGCCTCTGCTGTCATTTCACCGGGATATCGTTGAGATCCCATCGATATCAGGAAATGAGGGCGAGGTGGGAGATTTCATCATCCGGTTTCTGAAAGCGCGCAACTTCATAGTCGAAAAGCAGATCGTCCCGTCTTATCCAGGGCGAACGAATGAACGGTTTAATATATACGCTTATCCGGCTTCAAGTCCCTCTCCAGAGATCCTCTTGACCAGCCATATTGATACTGTTCCGCCGTATATCCCTTATTCGCTTAGTTATCCTGAGTCATCCCCCAGTGGCTCCATCGATCGAGATGAGATCTTGATATCCGGCCGTGGTACTGTCGATGACAAGGCCGCGGTGGCTGCGCAGATATTTGCGGTGCTTTCTCATCTCCAGAAGGATCCGGAAGCGTCCTTGGGCCTGCTCTTCGTCGTTGGTGAAGAGAAGGGTGGTGATGGCATGAAGTTCTTCTCTGATTCTTCTCTCAATACGGCGCCGCCGACTTTCCATACAGTCATATTTGGCGAACCGACTGAACTGGCGCTCGTATCTGGTCATAAGGGAATGGTCTTTTTCCGAGTTACTGCCAAGGGTAAGGCTGCCCACTCAGGATATCCCTGGCTTGGCCAGAGCGCTGTGTCTAGTATACTGCCCGCTCTCGCTATCATAGATAAGCTTGGTGATATTCCTGTAGAAGAGGGCGGTCTACCATCGAGTCCGAAGTATGGTAAGACAACTCTCAACATCGGCTTTGTGCAAGGTGGTGTCGCCACCAATGTCGTGCCAGCCTCTGCAGTGGCAGAAGTCGCAGTCCGTCTCGCCGCCGGAACAGTTGAGGAAGCGCAATCTATCATTGCGAAAGCTGTTTTCAAAGCCACAAATGGTGATGATTCCATCGAGATCGAGTTTGGTACTGAAGGCAACGGATACTCCCCTCAGGACCTTGACACGGACGTTGAGGGCTTCAATGTCACGACCGTGAACTATGGAACTGATGTCCCGAACCTCTACATCCACCAAGGCGCTGGTGGAAGCGGACATGGTCGTGTCAAGCGATATCTCTATGGACCGGGAAGTATTTTTGTTGCGCATGGAGACAATGAAGGACTCAAGCTGTGGCACATTGAAGAGGCTGTGAAGGGTTATGGACGATTGATCGATGCGGCTATCAAGCGAAACGAGTAATGAAGGAAGTATGCAATGTGATCTGATAGGACCACTTTCGGGGCAAGAATCATACATATGCATGTGCCACTGAATATATGTCTAAGATGACAAAAACGCTGTAAATAAGCATCATCTACCCCGTGCGAGAAAAATCTTAACCCTATACACGCATACCTAGGGTTATACCTCGGAGCATCGGATAATAGCAATAACCTCAGCGAGTACACCATGTTGGTCAGACTCGTTATTGGTCTCCAAATTTAGAATTTATGTTCTCAGCAATCCATACTTTCCCGTTTAAGAAATATCAAAACTTGCCAGTGATGCTGTTTTTTCTATGCGCGTCTTGGAGATTACATAAATCGCGCTTTATTATTCATGGGACAGTCAGATCCAACTTATCAGGATCGTTCGATACAAGGTATCATAACGCGGAGTACGTGGAGAAAGAAATCTCTAAATCGCATCTTGAATTGCGTTTATTTATGAATGCCCAGGCCTCCAGAGGATTATCAAGGACAGGGTATGAGAAACCGGATGTAAGAAACATGCACAGTGCAAAACCCATATTTTAGCTCTGAATACAAAAATATATCTAGCTAAAGAAAAAAAAAAAAAAAAAAAAAAAACCCAAATAATTAATTATACAAACGCTCCAGAGCAATGATACAAAACAAGTACGAACTATACAAAACAGCAACTAGAATTGCCTTTTTTCGTTGATTCTATCCCAACACATGTAGTATAGAACGGTTATATGTATAAGATCATTAGTTTCTCTCCTTCCTTGTCCATCCCGTCTTCAGATCTCCACTAAGTTTGAAGCGAGGCATGGGATGTGCTTCGGTATTGAAGACGTTTTCTTCTAGGGAGATGAAATCGCGATCCGAGAAGAGGAGGTAGAAGTATTTCAGGGTCTCTGCGAGCCAGAAGCTTTCCATGTTGTCGCGCTGGACAGCAGGGATGGTGTTGACGTTGGAGAGGGACGTGAAGCCCATGATGTGCGAGGAGGGTTTCTTGGTCTTATCGGAGGGATCACCTTCTGTCTCGATGACGGCGGTGTGTTTGATGAAGGATTTGAACATCTCCCAGCCCCAGTGACGGTAGGTCTCATCGCCGGTAATGCGGTACATGTAGAAGAGAGACTCGACAGTCTCTGGTCGTTGCAGGTTGTGCCGGTCCTGAGCGTGGATGTCGATATCTTGCTGCCAGGGGTTATCTTCTAGCGGGTAGAGAGGATGCGAGACCAGAAGGAGATCTTCGTGTTTCGATTTGCTGTTTCCTTCGGTCATTGTAGAGCTGGGGAATACGTCGGTCATCATGCGTGGGGGGTCGTCGATACGGAAGTAGGTGATTTCCGGAGCAAGACCGGTCTTGGTAGCCAGGTACGTTGCCCAGCATGTCTTCATCAGTTCTTTGGCTAGGAGAATCTCCTCATCCTGTCGGCGTGTCCAATCGGGGGATTTCCTTGCCTCAGCCAAGGGTCGTCCGCCAGTAGCACCAAGGGCAATTGTTCCCGGCATGAAACAGACAAGGTGGTCCATCTTAGGCGACAGAGTCCCGTCAAGTCCGTTGGGTCGCTCTCCAAGCACTGTCATTTGCGCATGTTTCGTGTATGTGATCAGATGCTTGCGGATACCCATTAAGGACTCGTCCCATAGCTCCTTGTAGATTGGCTCTTGTTCGGAGGTCTGCAGATATTGTTTGATGAGGTATTCTATACGAGTTGATCAGCTCGAAATGCGTACTGAGAGGATTTAAAAGGAAAACATACCATAGTAAGAATCACCTCGACTTCCTAGACGGATGTTCTCGCCTCGGAATTCTCCGCTCTCAGGATTGATGAAGATCGGGAGCAACCCGTCTTTCCTCTGCTGGTCGTCAACGACTTGCATAACCTTCTCCACCGTCTTCCAATATTCCGCTTCTCCGGTCAACTTAGCAAGATACTTGAACTCCAACTGCACAGAAGTGGCCTCGGCGGTGGATGAAGCGCCGCCATCAGCATGCGATGGTATACCCCTGGAAGTATTGAGGTTCACACTCGCGTATGGAACACCCGAGGTGGAGTCGAACGCACCAAGAAGACGGTCGGCGAGGTCAGTGGCTTTCTCGATATATAGATCCTCGCCCGGAGAACCCTCATCATCGTCGCGGATAGGAGCCAGGTCTGGATACTTCGTTGAAAGGTAGTGCGCGGAGAGCAGACCACCCAGCATGCGGATGGTAGTCTCGAAGGTGTTGACATCGTGATCCTGATTATACTGCAATGAAGTGTGAATCCACCGCCGCGCATCTTGCACGCGAGAGGTGAGGTTCATGATCATCAGCGTATCGAGCGCATCGACGATGATCCAGCCCATGCCACCATTGATCATGTGTTTTCCCCCCTTGGATACGGGGTGATACTCGTCGAACCCTGACCCGAAACAATTAATATGCCACCAACCATTTTCAAAGTGACAACCGTATCCACTCACCCCATGCATACTTCTCATATCCGTCCCAACTGACCATGAACGCATCCTTGACCTTCTCTCTCCTAGCATCCCAATCGATACCACTATTTCCCCGCCCAGACGGCTTCTCAGCCTCGCCATGCTCAAAGCTCTGAGCCCAACTCCATAGATCCCCGCCCTTCAACGACCCAGTCTTCGTCTTAGACTGGTCTGAACCACCCGACCCAAGAAGCAACCACAATAAGCTGACCACCACGAATCCTACCACCCCATACACGATCCTCTGCCGCTGGCGTGCGGGCCCCGTCCGCCGCGGAGCAAAATATGGTTTATCCTTATACATAGGCAACGGCTTCTCCGTATCGAAGAAGCTATTCAACTTATGCGATATCCCTCCTACGCTGTTTCCAGATTGCGATTGTGATAGGCCATAGCCGCCTAGACTACCGGAACCGCTATTTCGCGAAGAGGCGCGCCAGTAATTATCTTCGAGGGGCCGTTGTGATGAAGATAAGGAAGGGCCGGTTTGTGGGAGCTGGTAGGACATCGTCCTCGGTTTCTCCTACCATATATGTATGGGGCTGGATCTTCTTGAGATCTGCAGGGGGGTGCAGGCCAAATTCCAGAGAACTGTGTTTTGCCCAGTTGATCCTTCTTCTTTCCCGTTTTGTGAAGTTCTCAATCGGTAATGATACTGCGCGTCTCGTATGCGATTGACAATGCGACCACGCGGGAAACAATCGAAGCACGGAGGGACACTGTCTACCACCATAGTTCAGTCGTCAGCAAAAAGGTTCACCATAATAAGCCCCCCAAGCCATTATCTTTTCCTCACAACAACCAGGGTCGCAGAAATCAATAATCCAATGAGGGAGGCAGGGGAAGTGGGAAGTAGGTAACAAACAAATGTCTTCTCTACCAAAAACGTGCCTCCGTAGATCCTCCGCGTGTGCACGCAGTGTTTCCTACCAGACTCTATACAGCCGTGGAGGGAAATATGCTCAATTGATATAAACAATAGAAGCTCTGAGCTCTAGTTCTCTCTTCTTTTTCGCTCTGAGAGAAGCTATGTAACTTGGAGCTGGCACGTCACGCAGGTAACCGGCGGAGGAGCAACGGGGCTAAACGCGGAGGAGCTGCTGGCTTCTTGGCACCGACTGTATACACGATGGAATGGCAGATGGTTTCCACGCTATCATGAGACATGGGGTTTATTAAAATGAATACCTTTGAGAAATTGGTATGAAGGCCATTTACTCAGTTAATCTACGACTGTTATTTCCGGGGCGCTCTGTTCCCAGGGATCAGCATGAGGATCTGGCGATCTGTCCGTTTTTTGGCTTCAATCCAAGGGCGGAGAACACGCAATTGGGCGTAGCAATTGCAGCGCATGTACAGGTAACTTTGTCGTCATAAAACTGGAAAATAGGACGAGAATAACATGCGAGAAACGTCTCGAGTTCATATATCGACATCGCTCTCTACTTAGTTTACATTACGTAGGTTCCCCTCGGCATAAGACCATGACCAGTCATAGATCAGAAGCTTGCTGACCAACATGCACCAAACTACAGTTTCTGGTACTCGAGCTTGCCCTCGAGCTTCTTCGCCTCAGCAACCTTGCGAACGGCCTTGTTGAAGTCGTCCTGGTTGACGGCATCCCGGTAGTCCTTGATGGCGAAAAGACCACTGTGCAATAGAGTTAGTTCACATCATATGCAATAAAGGCAGGAACAGTGTAACATACGCTTCCGTAACCACATTTCTCAAATCCGCTCCGTTGAGACCGTCACTCATCTTGACGACACTCTCAAAGTCGATCTCACCCTCCGTCGCAACGGTGCTCGTGTGGATCTTCAGAATCTCCAGTCGACCGACCTCGTTAGGCAGGGGAATTTCGATCTTTCGGTCCAGACGACCGGGTCGTAGCAGGGCGGGGTCCAATGTATCGGGTCTGTTTGTTGCCATGATGATCTTCGTCTTCCCGAGGTAGTCGAAACCATCCAGTTGGTTGAGCAGCTCCATCAGTGTCCGTTGAATTTCACGATCCGCAGAAGTACCCTCCGAAAATCGTCGTCCACCAATGGCATCGATCTCGTCCATGAAGATGATACAGGGCTCGTGCTCCTTCGCATAACCAAACATTTCTCGGATCAATCGGGCAGATTCACCAATGTACTTGTCGACGATAGCAGATGAAACAACTGTAATTTATTAGCATGGTGTTCGACAGTAGTGGGCGCTATCCTACATACCTTTCAAGAAGTTTGTCTCTAGCGAGCTGGCCACGGCTCTGGCCAACAGCGTCTTTCCCGTACCCGGAGGTCCATACAGCAGGACACCCTTCGGAGACTTGATACCCACCCGCATGAAGAGCTCGGGGTTCTTCAGCGGCAACTCGATCACCTCTCGCAACTCGCGAATCTGGTCGTTCAGACCACCAATACCAGCAAAGCTGATCTGACCGGGGTCCTCCAAAGACATGTTATACACCAGAGGGTCGACCTCGCGTGGTAGCATCCGCATGATGGTGAGTGTGGTCATGTCGAGGGCGACACGAGTGCCCTGTTTGAGCTTGGATCGGTCGACCTTGGAGCGGCAACCAACGACATATCGTGGGCCTGACGACGCCTTGACGATGACTGCGATTGTTAGCTTTAATTCCGTTCAGGGCGGCAAGCCCAGCTCTTGAGCCGTAAATGAGATGCGCGGGGTCTTACATCGTTCCTCGTCCAACTGCTTCAGCACCTCTCCGATGATCTGGCCCACACTCTGCAGCGCCTTGATGTTCTCTTCGGTGATGTCAAACTCCTTCTGCAGGTCCTTGATGCCCAGTCGTAGGGCCTTGAGCTTTGCCTCCCATTCTCGCAGGTCCAGCAGGCTTCGCTTGTAGTCTTCGAGCGCCTGCTCCCTCTCGGGGTCAGCAGCGCCGTTCATGGTGGCTGTGATGGGATTCAACGACCAGAGGAATAAGGAGGAAAGGTAGGAACTCGAAAGCCAAGAGACGTTGGGACGGTAGGATAGAGCGGATAGAGGAGGGAAGGGTGTTGTGGTATATCACAGTGTCTGAGGCAAGCTCACTGGCAGCTCCCGCCTTGCTGGGTCCCGGTTGAGCTGCTGACGGAACCGCTCGACGCCTAGATCACGTGAACAAGTAGATACAGTCACGTGAGAGACAACATTCAATTTAAGTCACGTGGTTGTTCTGAGTTATTTATTCCTTCGGAGCCTGAGGCAGAAAGCAGTGGGCCACAAGGCATCCGGGCATCCAGGCATCAAGGCACCAAGGCAAGGCATGATGTACGCTGCCGTGTGCCCGTGGCGTCACTCTTTGAAAGCGCTGGATGAATTAACATAACTTAGGTAGGTAGTTAGTTAATTCACTAATTAATAATAATCATGTTATGTGATTCCCAGCCGACAGACCGAGAACACCAGCACAGAGACATCTGATACCCGCGTCTCTAGTCCTACAGATTCTACAGGCATCAAGGCAGAGACGCTCTCTCTCTCTCCGTCTCCCCGCCTTTCTCCGAGGCAGAACGGGAGATGTCGCTGGCGTGCTTGACGTCGTACGGTCGAATGGCGCGGATTGAGCGAGTAAAAGAGAATAATAATCCGATAGTCCCCACTGGCGTAATTGGAAATATCCGGAGAGTCATGATATGCGCTGGTTAACAAGTTACCCGGGAGAGCTTTCCCCTACCTAGGTATACAAATACTGCCCCTCCACCCCGACGCCTCGACAACTTCCTGTTCCCCGTGTTTTTTTGACCTCCCTTGCTAAGATACCCTCGTCTGATTCTATCCCATCAATCCTCGTCATTCCTCCCATCAGTTGTATCCTCTTGTTCTCTACCTACCAGGTAAGTTGTTTATTCCCTCCAGCTGTAAACTCTCCCTGCCCCACTATCCCACCATGGTCCTCTACCCCTCCTCCCGATACTCTGACACAGTATCGTGGACAGCGCAGAGCAGCGCAGAGCAGCTCAGACATGGGCACGGGGTGCTGTTGGAACCGCTTCCCCCGTCCAGGACGGGCACCAGAGAGCAACAGAGCAACTGGCTGTTGGGTCAATTTCAATTGATTGACCGGGCCACGCTGCCTCCTGTCGCGGCCATCCAACCGCCCATTCTTTTTGGGTCGTCGGTGAACGTTCTCCGCTCCTAGTGCTCTCACCAACAGCTTTTTCGTTATATCTCATCTTCATCCCGCTGTCCGCCCTGGTTCCTGTTGCAACCTCTTCATCTCCATTGCCAGTTCTGTTGCGGGTTCACTGATCACCGGTCACCTTGTCAGAATGCCTATCACCAAGATCCACGCTCGTTCTGTGTACGACTCTCGCGGTAACCCTACCGTCGAGGTTGACGTCGTCACCGAAACCGGCCTTCACCGTGCCATCGTTCCGTCCGGAGCTTCTACCGGTTTGTTCTCCCCTGCAGTGGCCGTTCCTGGATAACGGGGTTCAATTAAACGGTCTCAAAATGCTGATGACATCGTCACAGGTCAGCACGAGGCTTGCGAGCTCCGTGATGGTGACAAGACCAAGTGGCTTGGAAAGGGTGAGTGATTTGTATTCCCAGAAGGTCACAGTGTTCGATGGACACTGACAATAGTTATCCGACAGGTGTCACCAAGGCCGTCAAGAACGTGAACGATGTCATCGCTCCCGCCATCATCAAGGAGAACATCGATGTCAAGGACCAGTCCAAGGTCGACGAGTTCCTGATCAAGCTCGATGGAACTGCCAACAAGTCCAACCTCGGTGCCAACGCTATCCTCGGTGTCAGCTTGGCCATCGCCAAGGCTGGTGCTGCTGAGAAGGGCGTCCCTCTCTACGCTCACGTCTCTGACCTTGCCGGCACCAAGAAGCCCTACGTCCTTCCCGTCCCCTTCATGAACGTCCTGAACGGTGGCTCCCACGCTGGTGGCCGTCTGGCTTTCCAGGAGTTCATGATCGTCCCCGAGTAAGTCCAATTGGGAATCTGGCCATCTCGATCCTCATGCTAATTCGCTCTAGCACTGCTCCCTCTTTCTCTGAGGCTCTCCGCCAGGGTGCCGAGGTTTACCAGAAGCTGAAGTCTCTGGCCAAGAAGAAGTACGGCCAGTCCGCTGGCAACGTCGGTGACGAGGGTGGTGTTGCTCCCGACATTCAGACCGCCGAGGAGGCTCTCGACCTGATCACCGAGGCCATCGAGCAGGCTGGCTACACCGGCCAGATCCACATTGCCATGGACGTTGCCTCCAGCGAGTTCTACAAGACCGACGCTAAGAAGTACGACCTTGACTTCAAGAACCCCCAGAGCGACCCCTCCAAGTGGCTCACCTACGAGCAGCTGGCCGACCTCTACAAGTCCCTGGCTAGCAAGTACCCCATTGTCAGCATTGAGGACCCCTTCGCTGAGGACGACTGGGAGGCCTGGAGCTACTTCTACAAGACCTCTGACTTCCAGATTGTTGGGTAAGTGAAACACGATTGACAGTCTGAACGGGACTTGAATGCAGGCTAACGTTGACAACTAGTGACGACCTGACCGTGACCAACCCTCTCCGCATCAAGAAGGCCATCGAGCTCAAGTCTTGCAACGCTCTTCTGCTCAAGGTCAACCAGATCGGCTCCTTGACTGAGGCCATCCAGGCCGCCAAGGACTCTTACGCCGACAACTGGGGTGTCATGGTCTCCCACCGCTCTGGAGAGACCGAGGATGTCACCATTGCCGACATCGTCGTTGGTCTGCGCTCTGGCCAGATCAAGACCGGTGCTCCGGCCCGTTCCGAGCGTCTGGCTAAGCTGAACCAGATCCTCCGTATCGAGGAGGAGCTCGGCTCTAACGCCATCTACGCGGGCTCCAAGTTCCGCACCTCCATTAACCTGTAGATGTAACCCGAAAGGGTATAATCCAAACCAAAACATCCTCACCCACATAATGCCTTATTGGATACAGGGGGGTACAGGGGTAATCGTCATGTCAGGAGATCCTTTCCTCCACATGGCACCGTTGGGCACGAAGACATGACCGAATACTTGCATGAAAACAAAAGAATCGGCTATGGGAAACTCATAGCTAGGGCCAGCTAACCACTCCATAGTAGTTGAAATCGGAATCAACTATATATTATTTCAAATAAACTGTCTCATTGGTCTTGCAGTCAGTGTCGTAAATTGTAACTTAGTATATTGTGAAGAACAGAACTGGTAACTAGCGTTCGGGCATCAATAAACAACAATGTAACGACCGTGGGCCCTTGCAGTCACGTGAACTCCCCTCTCTCCCTGCGCTGGCTGAACCGGTGATGAAATGCTCCTCCGCCCACAGAAATTTCCCCTTTCACTCTCCCACTTTCCGCCCTCACACGCGTCTTGCTTTACTGGTTGCTGGTCAGATTCCGGGACCGGTACTACTGACTCTTATTTCAAACACGAAAACCTCGCTGTCTGAGCTCAGAACCGGACGTTTTGCCCATCATGGCGCCTTCGAAGTGGGGTATGTATTTTCCTCCGCGGTCCGCATCCGGATCGGTCGTTTGTGGAATTTCCCGGTCATGGTCTCGATGGCGCATAACTTGTTGCTGACTGGTAATGCTCAATGTTAGATGAGGAGGAGGAGAGCAGCAGCGGTCCCTCGTCACCGCCTGTCATTGCTCCCAGGCGCAAGTTCGACGATGAGGAGGAAGAGGATGTAAGAATCCACCCCGCCATCGCAGACACTCGCCCTGCAGTATAATGATCAGCATACTTATATCTTCGTTTCAAACAGGTCCTCGACTCGTGGGATGCTGCTGAGGACTCTGAAGTAGAGCGCGAGAAGGCTGCTAAGGCCGCTGCGGCGAAGGCCAAGGCCGACGCAGAGGCCGCCGCAAACAAAAAGACCAAGGCTCAGCGGTTAGAGGAGCTCAGGGAGGCCCACCGGCGGCAACGCGAGGCAGAGGAGGACAGTGACGAAGACGAGGATGATGCTACGCGCCGAGCGCGCCTACGTGCCACGGAGAAGGAGTCGGACCTTAAGCACGCCGAAGACTTGTTTGGCGATATCGACCTGAACCGGAACCGTGGTGCCCCTAAGGCCGTGGTCGTGGGTGATGCATCGGACCCTACGCAGGCGATCGATCTGTCGGCCATGCCTCTCTTCAACCCTACGACGAAGGACCAGTTCACCAAGCTCACAGAGACCCTGCTTCCCCTGCTGACACGGCACGCGAAGAAGCCCCATTATGCCCTCTGGGCGCAGGACTTCACCAAGAAGCTGGTCAAGGAGCTGAACAGCGGAGAAATCAAGAAGGCTGCCAGTGGTCTGACGACTCTCAGCAACGAGAAGCTGAAGGAGGAGCGACAAGCAGACAAGGGAGGCAAGAAGTCCAAGGCAGCTAAGAGCAAGGTTTCGCTCGTCGCCCACCGAGACAACCACATTGACACCACAGTCTACGCTGCTGACGACGATTTGGGCGATGACGACTTTATGTGATCCCATTTGGCTTTAGAAAATTTCCGTCTTCCTGTTGTTCTATGCTTTGCTTTCTGTCTGCGTGTCTTCGGATACGGGCAATTTCTCTTCCTGTCCCATGATCTTTACAATTGTTCACATCGTACCGTGGTAATCGGCATGGTTTAGCCATTTTTCTTTCTTCTATATTCTTTTTCTTTTTCATTTCCCATTCTAGATTGTGTAAATCCATTATCTAAAACATTACAGTAGAATCTATCTATCAATCTGCTCCTCTTTTTTCCGTAGTAATAGTTCAAAAAGCCACATATACATAAGTAATCCTCCTAGTAACTAATAGACTGACTTAAGTAAGTACTTGACCGAGCTAAAGGTATAGTTAAACAATCACTCACGAGCCCAGATACTAATAATGTCTGGTTCCTTTACGTATCGAACTAGTGGGTCTTGGTAGATAGCGGCCAATGCTTCTGAATCTAGCCGAAGGCTTTTTTTGCTTTCTCTTTCTCCCGCCCTTTTTTGACTCTCTCTCCAGCACCGTAGGCTCCTCTTTGGCGAATAGGTCTATTGGATAATTGAAGTAGACCAAATCTTAGCTGCGCTCGAGCTCATTATGCGATCTCCGAGGTGTTCGCTTGATTCAAGATCAATGAAGCGAATGCAACGTTAGGGGCGACTTTGGACGCCATAAGCCTTCCTTGGTACTGCTAAGTATCGCTTGGCAACGGAGCACAGTATGTGCTTGGTATACTGTACTGGCTTTCGGAATAATGATGAGATTCCTAGTCCCACTAGATAATAGCCTGCACTTTGTCCAGGGTACTTGTTAATTTGCCTTTTCTTTTTTCTACTTTCTTTTCTCTTCTCTTATCTTATCCTGAATCTCTTTTCATCATCCGCATGCTTCTCGTACTTTTTATTGTATTTTATTTGTTTACCTTATCATCTCAGAGTCCTAACAGTGACAACAGAGTATGTTGCTACTCATTATCAGCTTGTGAGTATTCCTCTACAGGGCTAGAGTAATCAATTTTGCCCTAACATACAAACAGAATTGTCCTTGCTTTAATCCTTATCTCCTTCGTCCCTCATATATATCATGCTTGGCTAGATAAGGGTACTAGAGAAATTTCATTGCACTACCTACTTTTCAATGCCATTTGTTCCACGGAGCATCTACTTATGGTCTTCTTCTACACCATCAACCTCCATATCGATTCCCCCGTCGATCTCCCGATCGATATTCCTACTGAGGCAGGCTACTGGACTCACAATCCGCGTAATGCACTTGACTGGGTCAATTTTGTCCAAGTATTAGGCGTATGGGTATTATGGAATATCCTGTAAGCTCAGACATACATACCACTTCTGGAAAACCAAAATGCAAACAGAGACTGACTAAATAAAATATCTAGGTTGGGGCTCAACCTCTACCACAGACCTACTAATCGGCTTCGTAAGCCTTTGATTGTAGTCATTTATTTTGGCTTTCTCATGGTATCCATAGGCCCTGTCATAGCCGACGCAGTGTCGGATATCTTCTGTCCTCCACACCATCCGAACTGTCCTCAGATTGAGCGAGATCCCATTGCTCTCTTCCATGGCCTTCATTTTTTCATTCTTTTGCCATTTCTTACGACTATACCACTTGTTATAGGAATAGTCAAGCAAGCCCGCATACCCTTACAAACTCATAATATTACTGGGCTTAAGTTTCAGGCAGTGGCTTTCACGCTCTCAGCTGTTGCTTGGGTCCCCAGAGTCTCTGTTCCATGGGACTTATACCTAGATGGTACACACCCGATAATTCTGGTTATCAATGCATGGTACCATATGGTTGGATTTGTCACAGTTGATGATGCAGTCTTTGCTTTGGGGCAAGGAATTTTCTTATGGTTGTCTTTACGACAGATTAAACGTGCGGAAGAAAGAGAAAGACAGCCGCTTTTGGAGTGATATATACATAATAATACTTAAGTCTCACTCAAGCCTTTCCAGTGGTATGTTTTTTTTTTTTTTTTTTTTTTTTTTTTTTTATTCTTAGGATAGAGACCATACATTCCAGTCTATAGTTTGTCATTTTCTCTTATTGAATAAAATAGGGCTTTATAATCGTCGGATCTTCGCATTTAGCTCGCTGATAGGCATATTGTCTAGAATTAAAGTAACTATGATGATGGCAACACGCATGCAGAATCAATCACGTGTATTTTGACACAAAACCTCTTCGCTCGTCGTGGCTGAAAACAGCGCGGAACTGATACGATAAGTTGCTTGACTCATGACCACGCGATCTTATCATCGGCCAATCAAGCTAGGTTTCGTCGCACCCTGTTGACCCCTCCATCAGGCTGACGGCCAGCTGGATAGGTTGTTCTACCATACGAAGGCAACCCGGACTGGAGTTGATATTATTGTTATCATGATCAGCCTGAAGCCATGGCCATGGTCAGATGCCTATGCTGAAGAGACCGGTTTGATTCTTGATAATCTGTACTGTACTGTACTGTACTGTACTCCGTGTTGGATATTTGGGATTTGAGCTCTTTCCTTTCTTTTTTCTTTTTTCTTTTCTTTTTTTTTGTGGATGATGGATTGATTCGAGTGTAGTGGCTCTTGGGGATTGTGATTGGGGTTAAATAAAACTCCAGATGGGGATTGTTGAACTCTTAAGGGCTCTGTCTGAGTGTAGGACACAAAGAAATGGAAAAAAAAGAGATGTAGGAAAACATACACAGCAGGATAGGGCACGAGGAATGGAGATGTTATGAAACAGGATAGACGACAGGACCGGGGAAATCGAGGAATGGAAGATAAAAAATGGCTAGATGGTGGCGGAAAACATGGAATCTTTCCTTTTCTCTCCCCACCCAAGTTTGTCTTGTTTCTCATTGCTCTGCCTTCAAGCGAACAAAATGCGCCCACCATCGGTGTCCAAAGGGGAGTACAAACTTAGTATGTCCATCTAAAGGGAATCTCCAGGACGGATTACAGTTCGGGCTTCAGTTTCCACGTCTGATGGTGAAGATCAAAATGAGAAAACAGAAAGAGCTTGTTAGGAGCAACAGAATAGAGAGCATAAGAGAGAGACAGATTCCGCTACAACCCCATTTTCACCACTCTCCAAATATCAAACTCCGCCGGCCGACTCACGCGTATTCCGAAACACTTGAAGACATGTGCCGGTCCAAACCGTTCCACGCAGTTAAAATAGACTTTCATAATCGCTGCTGGGGAGAAACGCAAACGCTCAAAGAGCCGCAGACGCTGCATGGCATCCGCAGCCGACGGCAACCAAGTCGCTTTACGACTCGGGGGCGGCGGGAGCCTCCTCAGTCTTGGCCTCGGCGGCGGGGGCAGCGGCCTCACCCTCAGCCTTCTCTTCCTTGACCTCACCGGCACCGGAGGCCTCGGCCTCGTTGCCATCGGACGAGGTCCAGAGGGTAAGGTTGTCACGCAGCAGCTGCATGATGAGAGTGCTGTCACGGTAGGACTCCTCGGAGAGAGAGTCAAGCTCGGCGATCGCATCGTCGAAGGCTTGCTTGGCAAGGTGGCAAGCGCGATCGGGGGAGTTGAGGATCTCGTAGTAGAAGACGGAGAAGTTCAGAGCCAGTCCGAGACGGATGGGGTGAGTAGGAGTGAGCTCGCTCTGGGCGATGTCGGTAGCAGTCTGAGTGAGAGCGTCATTGTCAGTACACTACAATTGACTAATTGAACAATTGGAGAATAATCTCTTTTTTCCCCCCCTGTCAACATACCTTGTAGGCCTCGTGGGCAGCGGTAGCGGCGCTCTTGCGCTTGTTGCCAGAGGCGAACTCAGCGAGGTAGCGGTGGTAGTCACCCTTCCTGTAATTATCATCAGCATAAGACGTCTACAGAGACGATCGCGAGAAAGCTGTGTCTTTTTCCGCCCGTTGGGACGTACATCTTGTGGTAGAAGACTTTAGACTCGCCAGACTCGGCCTTGGGGATGAGGGACTGGTCAAGGACGTCGAGAACATCCTGGCAGACCTTCTCCAGCTCGGTCTCAATCTTCTGGCGGTACTCGCGGATGATGGTAACGTGCTGCTCAGAGCCCTTGGATTCCTCCTTCTGCTCGATCGAGGAGATGATACGCCAGGAAGCACGACGCGTACCAACGACGTTCTTGTAGGCCACGGAGAGCAGGTTACGCTCGTCAACGGTAAGCTCACCACCAATCTGACTATGTGTTAGTTGATGGATTGATGACGATAGTAGAGCCGATAGGGGACAATGTGGGGTGAGCATACGTTGGCGACTTCCTGGGGGAGAGTTAGTTGGAGACCCTTTTAATACTATTCATGGAACCTAAGACTCAGGGGTGCTCACCTTCATGTACGTGACCATCTCTGGAGCACGACTGTTAGTATTTCAGGTCTCCTGTGTGATTTGCAACGAGGCTTACCATCGTAGCGCTCGGCCTGCTCGCAGAGCCTCGCGAGGAAGGTCTTGCTGCATGGGTGTCAGTTTGACATTGCTGTAACCATGAACCTGAGCGCAAGGAACTTTACCTCTCACGCTATAGGCAATGGATTCGGTCAGTATGACTCTTATCACAAAGATATCAGGGTGGAGGGGAGAGACACAGCTGCAGCGTGACCATAAAGGTTGTTGCTGAGCCGCAGAGACATGGAGGAGGGGCTTTGGGCCAGAACGTACTTCAGAACTCATCGTGTTGATGACTGATTACGGGGTGTTGTGGTGGAGAGAGAGGTGGGAGTAAAGGATGAGATGGTGCTAGAGAAGAGGATGTAGAGGCGGGCGAGAGGAATGGAAGAAAGCACAAGAGAGCAGACTGATGCGATCTCCAAGACAGACTGTTGGTGAGTGATGAACCGGTGAGGTGACGGACACTGGCTTAGCGAGGGCGCGGGCGCGGCGGGTTGTTTGGAGTGTTTGGGCTTGTGTTTGCGCTGCGGGCGCTCGCTCGCTCGCCCATCTGGGGCGGGCAGACACCACAGATTCACTATTTAATTAATTTCCCACTGTGGTTCTGCAAGATCTCGACTATCTATTATTATTATTCCCACAAATGAGACAGGATCCTCATCATTGTTTGCCTCGTGGATAGAAGACGCATGGCTCTTCTTGGTGCCTAAGCTATCAAGTATGGTGGTCTCTTGTCGGTCTTACGGGTAGTCAACTAACTGAAAGACATGTTCGCTACAGTCCTGATCACTGCCCAAAGATTCCAGGGCGACCGTTCACATGCAGTGTTTCCAAACAGATGGAGTAAAACGGTTGATATGAGATGTCCAGAGGGATCCTGTTGGGACGGTCCTCGTGCCTAAACGAACCGTAACTCTCCTCTCCTTGAATCAGGCTTTTCTCCTGGCTTCCAATGATGATGCAACAGTAGACAATCAGACAGGGCAACGGTCTAGATAAAGCGTACTATCAATGATCACAGTGGCATTGCAAAGCCTTGGTTTGCTGATGTCTTCGCCTTACTTCAGATTGCCCCCTCGAATAGGCGCCGAACCACGGATACGGACACAGCCAAGGTCTCGCCCTTAGAAATGCAGGACCCTTTTAATAATTTTGAGACTAGTCAGACCACGAGACATGTCAAAGATTGACCAGGGGCCCTCCTTCGTTGGGACTAATACGGAGTAGAGGCGTGTGGACCTGCGGTGTACTACGAACGTTTGCGCGCCCACCATGCTTGAGAACGCACACCAAACGGGCGATCCACCGCTTCTAGACGGCGAAGCCGCTGCTGTGCTGTATCATGTATGGATGGTTAGCCGGCTGCTTGCTGGACTCCAGCTCTTGGAAGTCTTGTAGCCAAGAGTTCGCAGTCTGCCGCTGAGAGCCGCACAGTACCTCCGCTGGGTGATCTTGGAGCGGCCAGTCTTCAAATGGGATTTCAAGAATAGAGTTGCTGCGTGGACTCCGTGGAGTAATATTATTACTCTCGGAGCAGGAAGTCCGGCGAGATCGTCTTGAGGATCTGCTCACTAGTATCCAGTAGTCATCCTGTATACGTCGTCACCGCGAGAAGAACCCCGAGAGACAGAAGGGAACGAGACTGCGGGACAGCCAGCAGGATCGGAAAGAAGCCATCTTCCTCCGTAATAATAATAGTAGACTATATTGGTTCAGCGTGGAATGCTGCAAGATGCCTTGCAGAGGGCCGGAGAGTTCCCCGGAGGTCTCTGCCGCAGTGCAGCCTGAGGCGTCTATGAGAAAGAAGCTTCCAATCAGTCAGCCCTGTGTAATAAGTTTTGCGTAGTGTGACTGGTCCAGACGCAAGAAAAGAACACGTTGTGGTAGTTATAACTTCTTCTTATTATTAACTATCATCTCTCGCAGCTCTTTTCCTGTGGGGCGTCTAAGTACCAGTGCTCTTCTCCCCGCTTGAGCTGACCTTTCTCCTTGTCGGACCTTTTGCTAGGGAATTGCTAGGGAATTGCCGTTTTCTTCTGCTTCTAGATTATTCCTAGACCGCCAGATTAACCAGCCACCTGGCCTCCATGTATCTGCTCAGGTAGAAAACAGCTCGGTTTTCTAGCTCTCTACCTTACCAGTCTCTGGTACTCTCTCTCTCGTCGTTCCTACATCTCAATTCTTGCGGACGGCAATGGAGCAGTCGTACCTGTTCTCCCCCGCGGAGGTGCTTCAGCGCTTCCGCGTAACGGAAGAAACGGGGCTCTCGCAGGAGCAGGTTCTCAAGTCCCGTGCGGAGTATGGTCCCAATGGTGCGTCGCATGCTGTCTTGATTTGTCTACTCAATTTGACAGCAGTATGCTAACTGCGCGCCTACTCAGCTCTCCCCGAAGATCCTCCAACACCGCTATGGGAACTGGTCCTGGAGCAATTCAAGGACCAGCTGGTTTTGATCTTGCTAGGTTCTGCGACGGTATCCTTTATACTCGCACTATTTGAGGAAGGTGACGACTGGACCGCATTTGTGGATCCGGTGGTGGTACGTGCTTCTGAAGAGCCCCTGCGATGTTGTAGAGGACTGACATGGATGATCTAACGGTACACAGATATTGACCATTCTTATTCTGAACGCTATCGTCGGAGTGTCACAAGAAACAAGTGCGGAAAAGGCAATTGCAGCTCTACAGGAGTATTCCGCGAACGAGGCCAAGGTTGTCCGCGATGGAAAGATCCAGAGAATCAAGGCGGAGGAGCTGGTCCCTGGAGATATTATCCATGTGGCCGTTGGAGATCGGATTCCAGCGGATTGCAGACTGCTCTCTATCCAAAGCAATAGTTTCCGCGTGGACCAAGCGATCCTGACTGGTGAGAGTGAAAGTGTTGGCAAGGACACCAAACCGGTTAAGGACCAGCAAGCGGTTAAACAGGATCAGACGAATATTCTCTTTTCTGGAACCACCGTCGTTACTGGCCATGCTACCGCGGTCGTTGTTCTCACAGGTGGATCGACAGCTATCGGAGACATCCATGAAAGCATCACGTCGCAGATCTCGGAGCCAACCCCATTGAAGCAGAAGCTCAACGACTTCGGAGACATGCTCGCTAAGGTTATCACAGTGATCTGTGTGCTGGTTTGGCTCATCAATATCGAACACTTCAGTGACCCGTATCACGGTGGTTGGGCCAAAGGCGCCATTTACTATCTTAAGATCGCCGTCTCTCTCGGTGTGGCTGCCATTCCCGAAGGATTGGCTGTCGTGATCACCACTTGCCTGGCGCTCGGAACCCGTAAAATGGCTGCGAAGAATGCGGTCGTTCGGTCGTTGCCGTCAGTTGAGACGCTTGGCAGCTGCAGCGTTATTTGTTCAGACAAGACTGGTACTTTGACAACCAACCAGATGAGCGTCAACAAGATCGTCTATCTGGCCGAGTCTGGACAGGGTCTCGAAGAGATTGACGTCGAGGGTACAACCTTTGCCCCCGAAGGAAACCTCAAGCGTAACGGCAAGGTGCTCGAAGATGTTGCCGTGCATTCGTCGACTGTCCGTCAGATGGCCGAAGTTCTCGCTCTCTGCAACGAAGCTGTCCTTTCATATGATGCAAAGAGTGGCCTATTTTCCAACATTGGTGAACCCACTGAAGGTGCCTTGCGTGTTCTGGTTGAGAAGATCGGTACAGACGATCTTGCCACCAACGAGGCCCTGAGACGTTTGCCTGCAGCCGAAAGACTGCATGTTGCTAGCCGTTATTTCGAGGAGCGCCTTCCATTGAAAGCAACCTATGAGTTCTCACGAGACCGGAAGAGTATGTCTGTTTTGGTCGGAGACGGTAAGGCGCAGAAACTCTTGGTCAAGGGAGCCCCCGAATCCATCCTTGAACGCTGCTCTCATACTCTTCTCGGTGCTGATGGACCCCGTGTCCCGCTCACTCAGCACCACATTAGTCTGATATCCGGAGAGGTCGTGGAATATGGAAACAGAGGCCTGCGGGTTATTGCCATCGCTAGCGTCAATGACGTTGCTGAGAATCCGCTGCTTCGCACTGCTAGTACCTCTGAGGAATATGCTCAACTAGAACGGAACATGACCCTTATTGGACTTGTTGGCATGCTTGATCCCCCGCGTACGGAGGTTGCTGGCTCGATTCAGAAGTGTCGCGACGCTGGTATCCGTGTCATCGTTATCACGGGTGACAACCGGAATACGGCCGAGTCCATCTGCCGGCAGATTGGTGTCTTCGGCGAGTTTGAGGACTTGGAAGGGAAGAGCTTTACGGGCAGAGAGTTCGATGCCCTGAGTGAGAGCGAAAAGTTGGAGGCCGTGAAGACAGCCTCTCTGTTCTCCCGGACCGAGCCTAGCCACAAATCTAAACTGGTGGATCTCCTTCAGTCTGTGGGACACGTCGTTGCTATGACCGGTGACGGTGTCAATGACGCACCGGCCCTCAAGAAGGCCGATATTGGTGTGGCTATGGGCAGCGGAACTGATGTTGCTAAGCTTGCGGCCGATATGGTGCTCGTTGATGACAATTTCGCTACTATCGAGACGGCTATCGAGGAAGGAAGGTCGATCTACAGCAACACCCAGCAGTTCATTCGGTATCTGATCTCATCCAACATTGGAGAGGTGGTCTCTATCTTCCTGACAGCTGCCATCGGTATGCCCGAGGCTTTGATCCCGGTGCAGCTCCTGTGGGTCAATCTTGTCACCGACGGTTTGCCAGCAACTGCTTTGTCCTTCAATCCTCCTGACCATGATGTGATGAGGCGCCCCCCTAGGAAGCGTGATGAGCCTCTCGTGGGTGGTTGGCTGTTCTTCCGTTACATGGTCATTGGTACTTACGTTGGCGCTGCTACCGTTTTTGGATACGCATGGTGGTTCATGTTCAACCCTGAGGGTCCTCAGATCTCCTTCTGGCAATTGGTAAGCTGCTCATACTTATAGTCCGTCGCATGTTAGCTAACAGTGGTCATAGGCGCATTTCCACAAGTGCTCTTCGGAGTTCCCAGAGATTGGTTGCGAGATGTTCACCAATGAAATGTCCAAGTCCGCTTCTACGGTGTCGCTTTCTATCCTGGTCGTCATTGAGATGTTCAACGCGGTGAATGCCCTGTCGTCCAGCGAGTCTCTGCTCACCTTCCCCCTGTGGAACAATATGATGCTTGTGGCTGCCATCATTCTCTCGATGGTACTTCACTTCGCCATTCTCTACATTCCGTTCCTCCAGGGCCTGTTCTCCATTCTGCCGCTGGATTTGACCGAATGGAAGGCCGTTGTGGCTATCAGTGCTCCCGTCATGTGAGTAATGATTCTTATTTACTGCTACTATGAGAATTACCGCTAACGATGAGACAGCTTCATCGATGAGATCCTCAAATTTATTGAGCGTCGGCTGTATGTCAGCCACGTCAGCCCTGCTGCTACCAAGCCAAAGAGCGCATGATTAGACAGCCACTAGAGTGAGGCTGAGGACATGTATGAATTAAGAGATAGGCAGACTATTGCTCTGTCCAAATTCTCCTTTTTTTTTTCTTTTGGGTCTATTGGGCTAGATAGCATAGACCGTACAACTACACGAATCCGTCACGCTGTTGTATTAGACGATAATGAAACTGACCTTTGTTGGCTCTAATCTCATGATCTATTACTCATCACGGCTGCCCGTAGCGTACCAGTACAAGCCTTTGGCCGATATTGAATCCTCCGCTTTTACCATGCCCCGCGCTGGATAAGATGCGGAATGCTCCTGTGCGCCGCGATATGTATTCCATTCGTCTGCAAAGAAAGACAGACAAGAAGGCATCCAAAGAAGGCAGTAGGTAAATCATCAACTTATACCACAACCATCCCATGCGTACAGGAGATGGTAAGGTATATCTCATGACGTCAGCTTTTATTATTTAGATAGCGATATGGAAGTGTACACTTAGCGTTAGATAACTCGGTTCGATCTTGGAGAGCGCTTACTTACTCCTCATCATCCCACTTGATCAACAATCCATCTCTACGCACGAACGAAACAGACCAATCGCCCATCATGTCTATCCCGTACCCCGAAAAGAAAACTGTCCCCCAGCTCCCCATTCCTTCACACAAAGACAAGCTAGTCACGTTGAACTCCACCTACCTAGACGACATCCGCGCCGCCATCGAGGAGTGGAAGTGTGAGCGCGTCGTCCTCATCGTCAGCCGCTCTCTAGACCAAAACACCGATAAAGTCCACAAGTTGGAAAATGCCCTCGGGTCCAAATTCTCCGGCAAGAAAGTAGGCGTGGGATCTCATTCTCCCTATCACGATGTCCTGGCGATCGCCAAACTGCTCCATGACAAAAATGCCGATTGCGTAATCTGCATCGGGAGCTCTTCGTACTCTGATGCGACGAAGATTGCAAGATTATTGCATGCTACTTTCCCACCAGAGCAGCTGACGGAAGAAGGCATGGAGTCTCTGATCGATCAGAACAAAGGATGGACTAGACCTGGAGTGTTTAACGCTCCCCAAACGAAACTCATCCTCGTGCCGTGCTCGCTGAGCGTTTCGGAATATAACCCCATCAGCAGTGCGACTAACCGAGATGGGAAGAAGCAGCACTTCAGCGAATTGCATTTCGTCCCTGCTGCGGCGGATCTGATTCTTCTCGATCCAGAGGTTGCGAGCACTGCACCGCCAGAGACGCTTTGGTTGCCTTCGGGTGCAAGGGCGGTGGATCACGCAGTTGAGGGGATCTGTTGCAACTTGACCGTGCCAGAGGGTGTTGAGTCGTCGATTAATGGCCTGAGAGCCATTATCCGCGGATTGAACGATTACAAGGCCGGCCTAGATGCAAAGACGCCCTCAACGGACGAGAGCATGCTTAAAGCTATATCGGCCTGTCAGCAAGGCGCAAGAGACGCCATCAAAGGGCTTCTGGTCTATGAGAGCAAAGTCGGGCCATCGCACGCGATAGGCCACCAGCTCGGTAGTGTAGGTAAAGTGCCGCATGGGTTGACGAGTTGTATTTGTCTTCCCCCGACGCTGCGATACGAGAAAGAGCATCCGGAAAACAAGTACTTCCGTCTCGAAGGACAACAGACCGTTGTGGATGTGTTCAATGAGGAATTAGGATGGCAGGAAAAGGAAGCCGGTGATGCCGTTGAGAGGTTTTATAAATCCCTTGGTCTGCCTACGAGGTTGTCAGATGTTGGAGTCACGGATGATGCGGCTGTGCGGAAGATCGCAGAGAAGACGATGACTGATGTCTGGGGCGGTGGTCCAAGACAGATTGACGATCCGAAGGAGATCATGAAGATTCTTGAGACTGTGCGGTGAAAACTTTGTCGTTTCCATGGAGTACCTACTATATACGTTCGTTCACAAGTGGTTTGGAGAAGATATACGCAGCTCAATCGTTATCCTAATAGCAACACAAACGTTATGTTTCTGTATTCCGGCATGACTACTCTGTATATCTTGAGATCATGTATGTATCCCTCCCTAGTCGGTAATTCGGGGTAGTAACCACCAAGGACGGAGTATTCTACCCCGGATCGGTGCCCAAATAGCCGATCTTTACCCCAGACTTTCATTCTATCCGCAATTAAGAAATCCGGGGTTTGCGGGGTAGCCAAGATGATCGTGGAAACTTTCTAGTTTTATACTAGATCATCATGTCTCTACAGCGGGGAAGAGCGGCTTCCGCCCGAATATGACGAGGGAGGAATTACAGTATTGCTAATGTAACGTGTGGAATGTCCTCTTATAAGATGCTCCGGCCGCGCTACTCCCGGATCTTCGAGTTCCCGGATTGGATCCTGGCTCTGGTGCTGCTTCTTTTATCCATTATATTATCTCGCAGCACTATAGAAAAGAAGCTGCAACTATGGGGGTAAAGAAGTTCCTCAAGAGTCGCTCAGGTCTGCGAGTGAACAATAACCAGGTCACCAATGCAGCAAGCCTTACCCTGAGAGAGAGCTTGTGGCCATTGACCATTGTGACTCTTCTGTTCTTCCTGTGGGTGAGTGCACGCGGCTAGGTACGATGTAAAGTGAAGAAAACACTGACAATGTCAAGGGATTCGCCTATGGTCTGCTGGACACGTTGAACAAGCACTTCCAGAGTACGTTGCACATCACCAGAACGCGCTCCTCTGGCCTCCAAGCTGCATATTTCGGGTATGTAACAACACCTCAAGAACATACGGATTCTTTCCGGCGACTAACAAGTGTGACAAGCGCTTACCCTCTCGCGTCTCTCGGATATGCGAACTTCATCCTCCGTCGCTTCGGTTACAAGGCCGTCTTCATATTCGGGCTCTGCCTCTATGGCATTGGAGCGCTTTGCATGTGGCCCGCCGGTCTGCATCAATCCTTTGGTGGATTCTGCGGTGCTACATTCGTGATCGGATCCGGTCTGGGCTCCCTAGAAACTGCCGCGAACCCATACCTTACTGGTGAGTCTATTTGCACTGGTATTTGACCCGTGAAGAAAAGGCAGCGTTCTCACAGACTCACCAGTCTGCGGTCCTCCCAAATACGCTGAGATCCGTATCAATTTCGCACAGGCGTTCAATGCCATCGGAACGGTCCTCGGCCCTGTGCTGGGCTCGTATGCCTTCTTCACCGAGACAAATGATAATGTAGAGGCATTGAAGCGTGTTCAGTGGGTTTATCTTGCCATAGGCATATTCGTCTTCTGCCTGGCTGGTGTGTTTTTCGTCTCGGAAATACCGGAAATCACAGATGAAGATATGGCTGTGCAGGAGACGGACGTTGAAGAGACGCAAAAGCCGTTTTGGAAACATTATGGTCTGTTCCATGGCGCCCTCGCCCAGTTTACGTACACTGGTGCTCAAGGTAATTGCCACTTGTCAGTGTGCTGTTGTTTTATGATTATCATTATGAGTATTATTTTTTTGGTGTCATTTCCCACTAACTTGACTGGAATCCCATAGTTGCCATTGCGGGATACTTCATCAATTACGCAGTTGAAACACGACCGCACACGTCCAGCGCTACTGGAGCGAAGTTCCTCGCTGGAGCCCAGGGTTGTTTCGCAGTCGGCCGCTTCTCCGGATCATTGCTGATGAAGTACGTAACGCCTCGATGGGTGTTCCTTGTTTATATTTCCGGCGTGGTGGCCTTCCTCGCCGCATCTACTACTCAACGAGACAACACTGGCGTAGGTAAGTAATATCTCACACGCAAGGCTGAGCATCCGAGAATAAGACACTAAGTAAGGCTAAACCAACACAGCAATGCTATTCCTGACCCTGTTCTTCGAATCAGTCTGTTTCCCGACAATAGTTGCGCTGGGAATTCGAGGTCTTGGAAAACACTACAAGCGCGGTTCAGGCTTGATCGTTGCTGGTACCTCCGGAGGTGCAGTCGTGCCCCCGATCCTGGGTCACGTCGCCGATATGCGTAACTCGACGGGCTTTGCTATGATTGTGCCCACAATGGTATGTCCTATTTCTGACACACGAACCCCGGGCAGTCTTTGTCGAATACTGACTCATGTATCAAAGTTCATGGTTGTCGCTTGGACATATGCCGTAGCAGTCAACTTCGTGCCTTCGTACCGCGACACAGTAGACAAGCTCGGGAGCAGCAGTGTTGGGTTGGAGAATAGTGGTTCCATCAAAGATGAGGAGTTTGGGGTCGTCGAGAAAGAAGCAGAAGCGGAGGCTGTGCATATTGAGAAGTAGATTAGGGTTAGTTAATTTTGAGCTATTTCATAAACACGAGACGGCAATGAATCACCGCGGCGCCCTAGAGAATTGCAGCTCCTGCAAGAACACCACACCACACGGGTCTTCTTTTTATTTTGCAGTTCTACAGTACGAAGCTCTCAAATTTTCTCTTAGGTATAATAATGCGATACATCTCAATCGTGGAGATGCAGCCCATACTCAAGGCCATAGCACATCTAGCGCCCGACGCTGGGGGACGATCTTTAGTCCACATCATTCCAATAGTTCTATCCCTAGTTTCTAACTCAACCAATTCGGACATTATGCTGTTAGGCTATTGGCCAATACTTCATTTCATTGGAAAGCTTTTGCTCTCAAGCCGCAGAAGCTAAGATATTCAGCTACGCCTCTGTTTTGAAGAACGCCCTTCTCGGACTATGGCTGCATCAGGGGATCCTTTAAAAATCATATATAATGAGGTCCTGAGATCTCTTCTGAGTCCTGACAGGACCTTCAACGCATCCAAGGGAGGAAAGGAAGACAGATAACATCTACACGATGGGTTCCCTAACTATCTTCCACCATGCAATCCTCCTCATAGGCCTGCTCTTGTCACCGGCAGTTTTCTCCTTCTCACTCGAAGGCCTTCCCAGAGAGGTATGTAACATTCAACATCAGGTACATAATCCTACGCATTGTCCCCATTCTAACAAAAAAAACCACCATAGGGCAATTGGGAAGTAAGATGCCCGAATGCATGCGAAGGCATCACTTTCCAAAATGAAAGTTATGTCTGCGGCGACCCTCGACTTGGACCCGTCATTCTTCCCAAGAAGTTCCCTCTATCAACTGAACTTCGGATGTACGCCCGTTTTGGAACCATCTGTCCCAAACAATTTCTAGAAAAATGGGCCCCTGGTCCCAGCGACGCTTGGTACACCTACCCACCCGCCAATGGCTTTGTGATCGATACGGAAAACCAGCCGATTCTGGGTAACGCAACTCTGCCCGTTGGAGCAAAAGTTGACCGGTTCGGATCTGAGTATGGAAGCTTTTTGGCTCCGCTTGGAGCGCCATATATTCAGCGCGCTCTTCCACCGTCAAACCTCAATGCTGCCCCTGGTGCTGATTACCCGTACAACTACCATGTTTATCAGGTCACGAAGGAATTTGTTGTTGGAATGGGTCCCATTGCACCGTGGTTCGAGCAGCCTGGGGCTGGAACGCAGTATGTGACGTACGATAAGGTCATTGATTTGATCAATGGAGGTTTCCTGAGGAGGTTGACGGAGGATGAATATGATGAGAGACCTGAATATTCAGATGACTATACGCCTGGTCCGGGGAGTGCTCAATAAAAAAATAGAAGGAAAAAAATGAATCGGTAGTGTATGCCTCAAATACTATAAAAAGGCGAGACTATGTCTCTGCAACCAGTCCTGAATTGTCGATAATACCATTGCCGCCAGATAACAACGTAATGGTGCAAGAGTAGAGTAGGGGATATCTGTTTACTTTCAATACTAGCTTCTTACGACTGCTCGAGGCTGATAAGGCTGCTGCGTTGCCAGGTAAGAATGCACCTCAGGTTTCCTTGTAAAACCCTGCCTGCCAAAAGTAAGGTGAGGTTTCCGTAGCACATCGATTCCCTACAGGAGCGATAAATGTGCAAGCCTTTTTTTGAATCTCGTTTGACCAGCGACTAGCGAGTTGAGGTTGTTGTGCTGGGTTGATTTCCGGTTTAGGAAGTTAGGATAGTGCAGTGGTTAGGCAACAACTTCGACTGTTCAGGGCCGTAGTCGGTCAATAAAATTTTTTTTGTTCTAGTTAGTTAGTGCTTAAAATCTTACTTTTCTACTTTAATCCAGGCTCACAGGCGCTATAACGGAGGAATCACTCAAGTTCGTAGCGATAATGTCAAGAGTCACATCAGTACTAAGTTTGCTACCGACCTCAACTAAGAGTCATCGAGCGCTTGTAACGTATGATTGATTGATCAAAACAATGTAGTATCACTAAGTATCTAATAAGAAAACATATGCTGTAGCCTTTCATTATTATTATCCCCATTGAATCATTGCGGCCAAGACACGGTTTAATCTCTCTGGTTAGATACCCGCTAAAGCACAAATGGGGCGGCCGTGAGTCACCACACGGACTGGCTATGTGACAGGTTTCAGAAACCAAATATTAAATAACAATCATAGGAGATCTGACACTATTATCCCTTCGCCAAACTGGAAAGCATGGAGTTGCCTAGGTAGTTTGGCAAGGGTATGTGGGAGTCATTGCTGCTGTATACGGAGCAGAACGCCATAAAAAGCAAGCAGAACCCGCATCGAGACCTATGTTTCTTGCAGATATCATCCCATAGCCAGTCCCATATTTGACACAAAAAAAAAAAACTACATATTCTTCTTTCCCAACACCTGTCAGACTACCATCTGACAATAATAATACTTTACTCATCATGCAACATCCACTACCGCCACCCACGCAGCGACTCACATTCGCGCACCTCGACCCTTCATCTACCAAACATTGCGAATTCCTCGTTTCACTCTACAACTCACCTCTCTACTTAGCGGCTTTAGGAAAGTCGCCCATATCCACACCCGAACAGGCAGCTGAGCTAATACGAAATCGCTTCGTGGATGCATTCGAGCGCAATGGATATGGGCAGTGGATCGTGGTGTTGAAACCAGATGCTACATCTTCTTCTTCGTCTTCGTCTTCGTCTTCTTCTTCGTCTTCTTCTTCTTCTTCGAAGGAGGAGAGTTTGGCTGCTGGAACAAAAGGAGAAGGAGACCAAGGAGTGTTCATCGGCTGTATGGGGTTCTCGAAAAGAGACGCAGAGTTCTCTCCTTCTGCGCCAGACGTGGGGTTTGCTTTTCTACCAAAATATACGGGTAATGGATACGCTACGGAGGCGCTGCGAGGCTTGCTTGACTACGGGCAGAAGGAGCTTGGTCTAGATGTTATTTTCGGGTTCACGGATCCCGACAATGGGCCCAGTTGCAAATTGATGGCGCGGGCGGGCATGGAAGACAGAGGGGTTAGGAGGATGAAGTGTTTCGGTCCTGGTGAAGATGGGAATGGGAGAATGTCACGCGCGTTTGTGACCAAAGGAGCGTCAGAAGATCTGACAGTATATAATATTGGGGCTTGATCCAGGATGTATCCCACTTTCCTTTCTTGACGGAGGAGAAAAGGAGGCTGGGTCAGCGACAGGATTATCTGAATGACACAGATTGAGGTAACGGTAAATTTTCGGGCGGACTCATGCACATGACGGCTTCAGTTTTTCGCAGGTATCTATCGAAAAGAATCTAATGTCGAAAGGTGCTGACACGTTTATTAGGAAAATGAAAGGTTGCATATCTCCAAGAAATGCGGGGTATATCTAAACGACGGTGTTCGGTCTGTCCTTGGCAGACATATCTTTTTTCAGTGACCACTGCAGAACCAAATCAGGCAGTGGCTCAAAGAAGATAAAAGCAACAAAGGAGAAGGACAAAGATGAGAAGGCCAAGGACCATTGTGGGGGTTTGGAAAAACACAGTCTATCTTCAGGGCATGGTAGAGAACAAGGAAATGAAAAGTTATAGTAGTGAAATATGGACTCCGTTGACCTCCCAACTGGGCGGTCCATATCAGCAAACAGTCATTATAGAAAGAACCCATGCCAAGTAGTTGCGATAGGGGGTATAAAAAAAGTCAAGTCCACTTTTCCAGACAAACTAGGTATGAATCCAGTTGGTAGTGTTGGCAGTATTCATCGTTCACCCAAAATTTATTTCTCCCTAAGCGCCCTCCGACGAAAGCTTGGTAGTTTCGCTCGCAGATTCAGCGGGCGTGCCTTGTCGACTCGCCGCGGGCGGGACTGTATCGGGGTCAGCCGTTTTAGGAGCTCCTAGAGAAGAGGTGCGTGGAGGGCGAACAGGGCTTGAATCCAAGTCAGGAGCCGGTGCAAGCACTGGCTTCGAGTCCTTTGCTTCCTGCTCCGCAGTGAGAGAAGCGTCCGGTTCTTTCCCCTTTCCCTCCTGGAGACTGGTGCTAATTTCCTCGCTTCTTCTGGCTGTATCAAAGCTAGTATCTCGCTCCGGGAGAGGACTGAAGGCATCCACTTCCTCTATTTCTTCATCCTCTATGTCTTCTTCTTCCTCAATGATCTGGCTCTTTCTGGCCCGGGGGCGTCCCAGACTATTACCGGCACCCTCAGAGCTCTGTTCGCCAGCAGGCAAGCCAGGGGTACCCATCCCACTGGACGCGAAAAGGTTAGCAGTATGGATCATGGGGCCCTTGAATGCGGACCGTTTTCGTCGGGCAAAGACGAGACCAGATGAAGGAGACGACACGAGAGAGGATGGCGCGGCCTCATTGAACACGGAGCGAATACCGCCAGACTGGTCGTTCACATCTCGTGCTCCATTATACGGACCCCGTACTAAGCGGATATTGCTGGGAAATCGGGCCACAGCATTTGGCGTTGTAGGAAGGACCTTGATCGAGGCGTGCGGAGACTTTGAGACCCTGGGTGCGGTGGGCGTGGACACAGTGTCGATGCTGTTGGAGGAAGCCGAAGAAGCCTTTGAATGCGTGTGAACATGGTGGAGACTGCGAACAGAGGAAATGGATGAACTTGTCGACTTGCGGCCGCGCAGGCCAGCAGAAGAACGGCGATATGAGCCCCGTGGGGTCAGAGGAGACGGCGAGAGTGAATTACGGTGGCGGGACGCGGCGCTGACGGCACGTTGAGCACGAGGGTAGGAATTACGATTATTAGCGTAAGATGCATTGCTAGGAGCAAGGCTGCTAGCATTAGATGCTCTCTTTTGAGTAGGGGTCTGTTGCTCGTCGAATTGACCCAGCGTCGGAGTGGTTATGACTTGTTTCTTTCCCGAATCCTGGGGTTTGGCGGGACTCGTCTTGTCGGCAAGCTTGCTGCTTCGCGGTGTCTTTGGATGAGGGGACCTAGCCCGTTTTGCCGACTCCACAAACCAATGCTTAAGGGATGCAAGCTGAGTGAGAATCGGATGGTTATGACGACGAGAGCTGGTAGGACGTCGCTTGAATATCCCATTATGTTGTGTCAGTTCTGGCTGGGAAGTGCTAACATGGAGTACGCTCGGCCGCGAACGTCTTCCCTCTTTTGGCGGCGGTACGGGACGCTGCCTTGAAGAACTCACGGAGCGGATAGAGTCTTTGTCAATAGGTGGCGGAGGCTTGGTCAAGTCTGGGGACTGTAGAGCAGCAAGAGTAGCAAGATCTGGGAGCTTCGGTACTTCAGGAAGCTCAGGGACAGTGAGCTGCGTTGCTATTGGGTGTCAGCCGGAGTTATAACCTTGGCGATGCCAGCGAGATACTTACATGGGAAGCTTCGCCTGTCTCTTCTCCCCCGCGTATGAAGGGTGTCTGTTGCAGCATGTCCCTCCTCATCCACTTCGACCAGAGCGGCGGATATCTTTTCCAGACGGCTACTGGCAGCGCTCAGCCGTCGCAAGTTCTTTGCTTCAGCTTCCCTTTCTCGTCGCTTTTGCTCCCTTCTCTTTTCTTTGCGTTCTTCTTTCTCAATCAAGAGCGCCCACCAACCCGCCAGAGCATCGCATCTTTGGGCTAGGACGTTTTCAATGACCTGATCGATATTCACCCCGGCACTTTTCATACGTTGCAAGGTAGTTTTCTCAATAGGAGTCGTAAAAGGAGATGGTCGGGGTATCTTCAGAATGGCTTGTTGTTCAGGCGCGAACTCAGCTAGGAACGGATCCGCAAGTATTTCTGAGAGAGATGGGCGTAGCAGAGGCCGTTTGGATAGTAACTTCAGGATCAACGCTTTCGCATCATCTGGAAACTTGTCGTTGAACCTGGGTTCTTCCGTAAGGATCTTTTGTTTCGTGACTTGGTCGTCGTCCTCATCGAAAGGCAGTTCGCCGGCCAGGAGAGCATAAAGTATGATACCCAAACTCCATACGTCGACTTTCTCGCCAGCATACTTCTCGCCCTTCAGCATCTCAGGCGCGCTGTAGCAGATTGTACCGCAGAAGGTCTGAAGATAACTCGCTTTACCCTCGTACTCTCTCGTGAAACCAAAGTCGCAAAGCTTGACATTTTCATGTTTGTCTAACAGAATGTTCTCCAGTTTGAGGTCCCGATGAACACATTGCTTACTATGCACGTAGCAGACAGCACCAACGAGCTGAGCAAAGATCCTCTGAACTTTCTCGACAGGAAGTGGGCCGTGGTTAAGCAGGTAGTTGTATAATTCGTCACCTGGTATACGCTATCAGCACTTGCGGTGCACATAGATGGAAAATAGCTCCCATACCTGGACAGTACTCCAATACCAACCATGCCAGCTTCTCTGTCACAATGACCTCGTAAAGTCGAGCGATATGCGGATGTAGGAATTGACGATGATGATGGATTTCGCGGGCAAGGTTTGCATCTTCTTTGTTCGACGATTTCAATACGACCTATTCACGCCATAAGCACCTATTATCGTACGACACCCTCGTCAACCAATATAAATACCTTCGAGCCATTCGTGAGTTTGTGCGTTGCCAGGTAGACCTTCCCAAAGGACCCTTTCCCAATCAGCCGGCCAAGCTGGTAATTTCCTACATTGCGAAGATCCTTCGACGAAAACTCTCTGCGAAAAAAAGGCACGAATTAGCATGTCGACCAACTGATCCATTTTGGCAACGGGTTCTTACTCTAGCAATTCACCGTAGGAGCTCGCAAGCTGTTGGAGCACCAAGATGCCTTAAGTCAGCGAACCGTCTATTGCAGAGGCGTCTCACGCTCGTATCCAGAGGAATGAACTCGTAGTCGTGTCCTCGATCACGCTGAAGCGCAGAGCGCCCAGCAATGTGAGCAAGGGTTGTTTGCTCCCCGTGTGAGGTAACCACGAACCTTTTCTTTTTGAGACTGGATCTGGTTTCTTGTCCTAGCCGGCGGCATGTGGCGCGCTTATATCCCACTTCCTCAGAGTATAACTGCCTCTCGTGTCGGTTTCGTTAGGGGGTTGCAAGCCGCTAGTTGTGTATGACTGCCATCCAAAAAGAACGACGGATATTGCGGGCAGATGCGGAGGGACGGAGGAGTCGATGACGAGAGGCTCGCTTGAACGGTTTGACAGGAGAAATTCACATCCGAGTAAGGGTCCAATTCTCACTCAAGTATAGATAGCGAGAAGATAGGGAGACGTTCCTGAGCTTAATAATAATGATCCTTGTCGATAGTTAAGGGAGGCTCGTTCAGGGACTCGGGATCCTTGGCGGGACCGGAGACTGGAGACAGGAGCAGATCGTTAGCACTCGAGACGAGCATGCGTTCCAGCATCAGGTTTATGAAACAGCACACGAGAAGCCATGATGGAGGATGGCTGGACTAACTATGTAGTAGTATAAAGTACAGTACCTGTTAATTAAGCAGCGCGGAGGATGGGGCAGGAACAGCGTGGTTCTGAGGACGTCGGGGGGTGCTTGCGGCGCTTGGAGGTCGACGACTGGGACTTTTTTAGCAGACCGTTGTTTCGGTTCCCGCAAAACTTCCAGCGAAACAGAAGTCATCGGCTTCAGGCACAGACGCAATAGAGGGTCTGCTGGTATTAGTTTGAGCCAAGGACGGTTAACCATCTGACGCGGCTGTCGGCTTTTCTAATAATTGATGACCCATCGACTATCAGCGTTAGCGTGAGTAGTTTAGCCACGTTCGATCATGGAGATACCATAATCACCTTCGAAGGTTCGAGTTTCCTGGAACGCAGATCATGGGTCGTGCTTGGGCAAGGCTATGGTATACCATAGAATTAGATACTACTATTATTATGTCTCCGCATAATTGCATTCATTATTTATTGCTTTGTTCATGCCATTATTTCCTGCCCCAAAAGCTAAGGATATGAGGCCGATGTCACGTTTGGTGGACGCATACCAATGATGCTGAGCTTATTCTACTTCCACTGGTTCCCATTGGACCTTTATTTATTCACAGCCGGATAGCATTATCACCCTATTATTGCGATGGTGATTGTATTATCTGAACTACCTGTAACGGGGCTCTCATGGGTATCTACTACTGAAGAAGCTCGACCATAGCATAATTAAGCAACGCCTTGGATTGTGCCTCCATACTGGCCGTTGCGCCTTGCAGGACGCTGGAATGTCAGATGGACTTTCCTAGGAAAAACATCCGATTGCGATGTGCAGAAATCCAAGATGGTTTCTTGGGCGTTTTGGACCAATACCGCGTCAGTCCTTTGCGGAACTTGGCGGACAAAGCAGGGGTGGATTATGTTAACCCTCACTCGTTATCGGATAAAAGCTTGCTTATGGCTTTCTTCAAGCGTCTGTATGGGAACCATGCCACCAAGGAAGGGACTTCAGACGCTGCATTGTTCGTTTGCTGGCGCATAAAGCGGCGTCTACACCCTCCAGGCCAGGTTCATTCAGAAGTGCGAGGGTCACGAGACCAAGGTAGGAATGCAGCAAATCTACAGAAAATGAGAAATCGCTCGAGATGCATACGATATACAATATTTTCTTACCTGGAGGCTCCCCAACGGTCTTCCCAAACCCACCAACTATATGTTGAGTCTTCTCAAGGAGGTAGTTTCTGTTGCCAGCTGAATCAACCAGGTCGAGCCTGCCCATCATCTGTTCCATGTCAGCGCCCAGTGCGGCTTTCCCAAAGGCAAATTTCTTACCGCAAGTGTCCCGGATACCCAAAAGCAATAGCATGTGTCGGCTACTTTATTCTCTCGTCCATTGAACCCGGCATATTTTAACAGATCCGCTCCTGGAGGAAGTAAATCGGGCAACGAGCTGATTCTGTCGTCGAATGACAGGGCAGCCACATCGCGCTGAAGCTGGTGAACCTCATCATGCGTATTTTCGTGACTCTCTTCTTCCTCGGCGTCTTCTTCTGTATTCCAGGTGGTTGTCTGCCGTAACACAAGCCACTGCACGAGAGATTCGAATTCCGTCGTATGAGGGGTAAATATGTTGACCTTTCTTATACCAGGCGATATTTGATCGAGGAAAGATAGTGCCCCAATAGCACAGTAACTGAGACCGGCTGAAAAACCCCCCATTATAAGCCTGGCGATCAACGATAGGGGAAGAAAAGGATACATACCATGAGCTTCGCAGAACGGAGATTCAGCCATACCACCGTCATAATTCTTCATCCATTAACCGATGTAATGCGGCCAATATTCCATTTAGATAACCTTACCTGACAATTTTCAATGAACGACAACAGCTTTTCGATGTCTACGTCTTTTATATCGTCAACATCCCTCCCATTTTCACCTCTGAGTATATACCGTATGCCGGCGGCACAGTGGCAGAAGCGTAAATCATGGCCACCTGCAATCCTTCCATCGACGCTGATTAATTCACCAAAACTTCCATCCTCACGTTGCAGAGATGGCAGCCACTGAAGGCAGCCCCTCCTGTTCACCCTCGACAGATCATCGCCTAGAATAAGGAGAGTTACGAGGAATAAAAAGGTAGCAGCCACATTGGCCGGATCCCAGACTTCATTCTCTGGGGTATGTCTCTCGGCTCCAAAGTCAGTGCCGGTGAAACCACGAAATCCTCCACTGGACACCTGACAGTGATAAATCCAATTGATATATCCCCTTCGTTCTTCGGGTGTGGTAGTGGTCTCCAATGCGTCTAGCAAGTCGAGCCCAGCGATTGTGAAGAAGGCAAGAAGCCCGCGATTTGAGTCATTGGAAATGTATGGTTGAGGAAGAAAGGTCTTCAAACAGCGCAGATAGTACTTGACATGACGGTCTTTGCGGACTTCCGGTTCAGCCATCCCCGCATATTAGTGTCGCGAAGACACCTGTCGGGAGAAGAGACAGCTATTATTCCAAGACAGTTCGAGGAGATTTGAACCCAGTATCGAGAGTCAATAATGCACGTCCTATCAGCGGGTTCACATCATGATTTTATCTCTCCCACCACCCGCAAGCTGGAGTTCACTTCGATCGGATTTAATGCGGGCGCACGGTCCAACCCCACGTTGCCTATTCGGGACAGAAAATGTAATTGCAGGAGCTCCGGACGCGACTGAACGAGTTCTCACCTCCCTAGAAGGACACCAGTCTCTGCAGCGGATTTCTCTCGTTAATTGTTCCCAGCATACATCGCCAAGATGGGGTTCTTCTCGTCGAAGACGCTCATTCAAGCGCACGCGCTTTTCCTGTTCGTTCTGGCCGTGTATCTCACCAAGTCCCCTGAAGCCATAACGGACTCTGATCTGGTACTGCTGCTGGGGGAGGCTATGAAGATTGTACGCTTCACGCGCGCCTGAACGGGCACTACGAACCTATCTGATGATATAATGTACTTCTACTGACGTCGTCACACGCAGGATGTATCTCCCACCTTTGCACGCCCTCAGTCTCCATTCGCCCTGTGCGGCATCCTTCTCGTTGCCGATGCCCTGGTCGACTTGATAGTGGTTACCAAAGTACCGCAGATCAATGAAGTGCTCGCACGGGCAGACGTTGCCAGATCGCGGTCTAATGGATCGACCGCAGTCATAGGCAACAATCCGTTCGCCATCCGCATGGCCGCTCTTTACTCCGAGATCTGGACACTGCTAGCAGCATCGCGATTCTGCCTTTTCTTCGCCGTGTCTATTTTCATATACCAGAGTAAGCCTGTCGCGTGGGGGGTAAGCGCAGACGAATCTGAAACTATGACTGGGTTGGGCCAGTTGAAGAACCGCGTGGTTTTCACATATGGGTTCATGGAGATGATGTTTTGGCTCTGGGTGAGTATTCCTCCTTACCTATGTCGCTTGTCCTATACACAACACCATATGATCCTGTACTCCCCAATTTTGAGCAACTAGCCAAACGCCATCTCTTACTGACATCTTCATAGATCCTTCTCACCCTTCGTGAAGAGCGGCAAGAAACGGCAGCACGCCTAGCAGCCGCTGAGGCAGAACACCTACAATAACGAAAGACTTAATATTCCTACATACACCGATAGATTTGTTATTGGTTGCATCTATTCGATTTCTCATTCTATCATAGGCGCTAGACATTATCAGAATTACCTTATACGATTTTGGTAGCCACAGTGGGTCTCCAGGGCTGTCCCGAGACCGGAGAATGGCTACCCTGGGAAGGCGAAGATCAAGAGCTTTCAAGGCAGGTCTTCCAGCGTAAAAAATTGCGTGCCTCATCCAAAACTGATGATCGAGCATCGTATCTTTGACGGACATTCTTCACGATTTCCCAAGACTATCTCGCGAATGTCATACCAATACTAGCTGCTATTGCGCCCACGATGACCACAAAGCCAGTGTTGTGATTCTGCCTCGACAGGATGGCCGTCCCAGTAGGTACGGAACCTGGTACAGGAGTCGTAGCGGAGCCGGATGTAGAAGTAGCTGCTGCTGCTCCGCCCGTTGATGCTGCTGGCGTCGGAGTACCTGAAGCGCTGCTGGAACAGGTCACTGAGTTGGGCAGGTTCGTCACGCCCGCCGAACCGCAGATCTGCTTTGCGAATTTGAGTGTAGCTGTGAGGTCGCAAGTAATAACGTCAGTTACATCCGTAAATCAACATTTCTCTAAGAAATCCGATAGTCGTACCCTCTTGGTCCGATGGCGAGCATGCATCCTTGATGCAACAGCTTATGGAGTCAATGAAAGAGCCGGTGGTACAGATGCATTTGACATCGATGACACTGCAAGATTTCGGGATCGAACCCAGCGCGCAGTTTTTCTATGATTTCATTCAGTCTCAAGCATAGCCAGCTGATGGGGAATGCCATACAGCGCAATCAGGAAGCGCCGAAAGATCTTGCGACTGCGCAACGACCGTGCATAACAAGCCTGAGAGGGCGACCAAGACAGCAGAGAATCTCATGTTGAAGTAGTCAATGGTTATATATCCTTGAATCAACTTCTCGGCTGGTATTGTATGGGTGTAGGAAGATGCCTGGAGAGCAGAAAAGAAAAAGATCACATCGGGATACCTGACTATCACTGCATGAATGCTTTAGTGGGATTTCACAGCGCCCCTCCTCCGATCTCTTAACGATCATGGTGATCACTGACCTCTAGAATACTACATTGACCTGAGCCGATGGAGTCGATGAATTACACTTCTGGTATGCCCTCCCCTTAGCAATTGCTGCCTCCACTAGTTGTTCAGCTCAACCACATGCCGGGATGCGCTTCATCTGTACCCATCAGCAAACCCCTGATGACGGAGTGGCGTTCGTCGCTCAACACTTTAGGAGACTCAATCAGTTGAATCCTTCGATTGCAGTGACTGGGACGATATCCGCTGTGGCACTAGTTATCTAGTTCTCCGTCTGTCCCAGCTTCTCCGCAAAGATCGGCGGTGGGCCTCACCAACCTCATCCACTATTCGCCCGGTTAATCTTCTTTTTTTCTCTGGCCGAGGCAGTTTTGCGTGTTTTTCAACTTCTACCGATGGGATGTCTGCTTCTTTTTGGTGCATCTTGCCCGTGTCTCCCCAGGCCTGAGCGTAGACAGCTTCATATGAATGGCTGACGGGGGGGGAGCCAACAGTGCGCATCACATGAAGTCTGGAATTTCCCCAGAGACTCGTACTTCCGGACGCGACTTCGACAGACTGCATTTGGTTCGCCTTCGACAGGGTCTCTGTTGTTTATTGTGTGCATCCACACCGGGGCTATCCTTGGTTAGCGGACAAAAGGCAAAAGGACTGCAACGAATAGTCGTTTCTTTGTTCCTCGCTGACTGTAGGGGTGCGTGAAGAGTGATTATAATCAGGCACCGTTGCAAGGATGATTCTGCACTATATAGAAGGCGCTATAGAACATAAGGCTGCATTGATCGATAAGAACTGTAGTTTCTAAGTAAGCTTTTGATCTGGTATGGTCTCAAGGCTGGAGATCATTAAAGCAAACTAATTATGATACTGGAGTTCTACTCCGTATTCCGTTATATGGAGGAGCGTCGATCAGAACGGCTGAGATGTTCTCCCCCTCTTCGATAGGACATTGTAGAGTAAAAGCCTCCGCCAGGGTGACGACTTATCCGGTTCCTTTTTTTCTCATCCACATGCTGTCCGTCGCCTTGATTGCTGTTCTTACAGGAGCTGTCCAGGTCGCGGGTAATCATATATCGCAGTTTTCTCTGGTGAATTCTGTTGAGATCATTATCTGCCTAGAACAAAATCTATACCCGTCAGGCTTGCAAGCAAGCGAGCCAGAGTGTGATAAACTCGAGAAAACCATTCTGTATTCGGAGATGTCCACCCAAAGCTCTCTTTCTGGATTCTGAGCTCGAATTTGGCTCCTTCAAAGTAGCGGCCCAGAGCAGTAGTTACTGGTGGTTATACGTTCTGCGGTCGTGAATATGCCGCTCGGTATATTAGAAGACACCAAAGTCGAGCACGTCCCGGGTGAGCTATTTTCATTGCTCTTTTCGTTCTTTCCGCCTTTCTTATAGCAACGAGCTATATATTGACTAGGCCGACTAGGCACGTCTTATGTTTTGGACGACAATCGCAGGGGAACCGATGATGTCCCTATCAGATCCGGGCTGAAGTACGATCGCTCCGGCCCGGTGCCTGTCATCCTCGTACCTCAGCCAAGTGATGACCCTAACGATCCTTTAGTATGGGACTCTACATTATAAATGTCTTTTATTTCACTGTATAGGCCAGATTGACTTATTTTGTTGACTGCATCACAGAATTGGCCATTATGGAAGCGGGATCTCATCCTCACAGTGCTATCTTTCGTTTCAGTCCTCTGCACAGCAACTGGCCCCATCATGGCTGCCTATGCGTTGACAATAACCTACTATTACGAAAGAAACCTTACGGCCGTCGCGATTCTTACGGGTTACCAGCTGTGCGGCGCAGGAGTGGCAGGAGTCTTAATTGTGCCCACTGCCCGAGTCTGGGGCAAGCGCCATCTTTATATACTGGGGAATATCCTCATGATTGCCAGCACGGCATGGGCAGGGGCAAGTGGTCACAATTATGAGAGTCTCCTATGGTCTCGTGTGATCCAGGGCGTGGCATTGGCTCCGTTCGAGGCTCTCGTGAACGCTAGCGTGGGCGACCTGTACTTCGTGCATGTAAGTTTAGCCACTGGATATGGTACTGTATTCCTTCCTGCTGATAATGACAGGAACGTGGTAAAAGGATGGCTTTCTCCAACGTCGCTCTGTTCGGTGGCAGTTTCTTGACTCCAGTCGTTGCGGGTAAAATCGCTGCCACCATGAGTTGGCAATGGACTTTTTACTTCGTCGCCATCTTCGCGGGAGCTGCGCTACCATTGACATTCTTTCTCGTTCCCGAAACCGCCTTCAGACGTCCTGACCACTTGAATACGGACTTTCAAGGAGATGATGAGCGCAGTGGTGCTCAACCGCCTCTCGTTGACAGGAATGACAGCACCAATAATCCATCGATGGATTACTCAGAGCCTCCTGAATGCGAAGAGAAGGAAGCAAGGTCAGGTTCTGCTGAAAGATCTAGAGAACAGTTCAACGGAGCAGAAAGAGTGGTACCGCCACGAGACTCGTACCTCAAGACATTGAGGTTATTCAATGGACGGAAAACCGATGAGAATTTCTTCAAGCTTCTGCTGCGGCCTTTTCCTCTTTTCTTACATCCTGGCATCCTTTGGGTAAGTAACGATACATTTCAACTATGATGATCGCTAACAGATGATAGGCGTGTTTAATCCAGGGAGTTCTAATCGGATGGACGGTCTTTATTGGCGTGGTTCTTGCTGCTATCTTCATGGGACCGCCTCTCTGGTTTGATTCTGTCAAGACGGGTTATCTATACACCGGTGCTTTCATTGGGTCTATCGTCGGCTTGGTACTGTCTGGTCTGCTCTCCGATTCGATAAACAAAGTTATGATCAAACTCAATCAGGGGAAATACGAACCAGAGTTCCGTCTCCTTCTTGTCTTCTTCCAGCTCCTGTTTGCCGGTACCGGATTGTATGGATTCGGTATCACCGCGAGCGACGTTGGGAAATGGGGATGGCTGATTCCGGATGTGTTTCTCATGTTTGTGATCATTGGAATGGTCATGGGTGCTGTTGCCAGTGCTCTTTACATTGTCGACGCCCATCGTGAGTCTTCCCTCTGCTTCCGAAATCATGGGGATGGTATTACCGGCCCAAGATAGCTAATTCGACCAGGTCAAATTGCCGTCGAGGCTTTCACCTGCCTACTGATTTTCAAAAACATGTTCAGTTTTGTCCTGACCTTTTTCGCGTATGAGTGGCTAGTCAAGAATGGCGTCAAACCCGCCTTCTTGGCCATCGGCAGTATTCAGATTGTAGTCTGCCTGCTGAGCGTTCCGATGTGTAAGGAAACCCAACCCATTGTAACCTCTCTCCGCATTTTGCGTCTATTACACGTCACTGACGAACCGACCGACTGTGAAATAGACATATTTGGAAAACGAAACCGATCGTTCTTCGCACGACATGACCTGTTGAAGATGTTACATCTTTGGTGATTAACTAATTCTTGATACTTACGGTTACTTTGACAGATTTGAACGTCGAATGCAGGTCTGCGAATCATAGAATCTGGATTCGTCTAAAGCTTCTCGTTTCGCATATAATACGTATTTCTTTCTCTGTGCACACGAATTCGGCCCTTACAGTGAATGCAATATGCAATCTAATAATGTCTTAGAAATATCTACGACTAAGAATACAGACGAGATAATGCTTATGCTTACGCTTATGTGTAGTTACTTTCTACTGGGCTACCTAGATAAGTCACCCAGGGTACCTGAAGCACAGCGAACCAACTGGCGTCATACTTTGCGAACCGAACAGTTTGATCCTCTCCAGCAACCAGTATGATTCGAGCAAGAAGGTTTGGCAACTGTGCCGTCTTGAAGTCAATTCAAGGTCATGGGAACTCGTCGACGGATTTGGATCTTTGATGGATACAGGTTGCCGTTTCGATGGATCTTCGTGTGCTCTGTAGAGATTCTTTCAAAAGGTTCTTGGAAGGTAGAGCGGCCCCTTCATGACACTATCTATCGTATCCTTTTGGTTCATGCAACGCTGGACGATAGCGAGCTCCATCGATGTCTGCCGCGCTCCCCGCATTCAGGGAATCTTGCACGGCCAAAAGGTGATCAGAATAAAGTTATCAGCAGGCTGCGTGGGTTCTGGTGCAAAGTCCGGGTTGGAATGTGAGGCCCATCAGTCTGGATTCAAGGTCTAGATCGCCGATCGGGTCCAAGCGAATCATGACATCAAGGAGAGCAGCAGAAACGCCACGATGAATTTAGTATGGTATAGACTAGATAGACTAGTATAGTATCTGGGACTTGAACTTGGCTCTCTCTAGCGTTCCATCGCAGGCTGGCCTCCGCCGACGTCACTTGACGACACGGCGATGCTGAGCGAAGCTTCCGACCATCCAGTTGTAACCAACGGAACGTCCCTCACGTCTCTTTCCGCCCAGTCCCGTCTCCTTGTTCGACCTCTTTTTCTTTTTCTTTTTCTTATCTCTTTCGCATCTTCCCGGATCATGTCTGCGACTGTCGTGGTGCTTCATCGAGCGCATCGCATATCCCCTCCTCCAACATGGCGACCGTACATGAAGCAAGACCTGGTGATCCCAGGCTCTCAGATCATGGTGAGTGTGTGACTTGTAGAAAGCCTCGTATGACGGCTGGCCTCAGCTAACTTGATATCACGTCAGCTGCAACCGCTGCGCTGTACGTGACACATCCTGAACGAAAGGTGTCGATTCGCAGCAGACGTCAATCAGAGGTGGAGACCCTTGGTGAGTGCGCTTCAACAGTCGCTAACTACATCCTTCCATGTCGCAGAGTTAGGCATCCAGATTCTAACGATTATGGTGAATATTAGGTGCTATGGATCCCTCTATAAGCCCCCCAGGAGGCCTGACCCTGGCTTCAGCCAGCGCAGCCGCCAGTCTTGCTCATGCGAACCGCAGACCACTCGAGATTTGGAGACCAGGAAAGCTGCCAGCCGCAGAGAAGGCGGCGTACCATGCGAGGGACTACCGTATCGAGATACCCGAACCGCAGCCACGAGCGGACAGGCTAAGCGTGGAGGGACTCAAAAACGCAGCAGTGTTAGCTGCGAGAGACAGCAGAGCACTCACCTCTTCCACCCCTCCTCCTCCAAACCAAAAGTATCAGTATCTCGCTGAGGAACGCGTCGTTATGAGCGGTGGTCGGGTCAGGGAAGACAAGGTGATCCCTTCAGATGAGAAAGGCGCCCTCCTCGCTGCCACAGGGGCCTTGAGGAACACTAGAAGAAGGGCAGAGTCTGCTCCCACAGAACCTGCGGTACACCCTGAAGCTGGCTATGCGCTCTCTGCTGCTACGATATCACACCATGCCCCACGACCAAGTGAGGACTACCTGGAAGAGCTTGAGGAGCCAATCCAGGCTAGCCGGATACACAACATAGCAAAGACGAATGCCCAGCTTTACACCTCGAACCCGCCAGTCGATGTGGAAACCGAGGAGCAAATTCGGAAGGACACATTAAGGGCGGCAGCCATCTCGATGGCACAGGAAATGTACACCAGAGCTCAGAAAGGGGCGCAAGAGGACGAAGGCGCGACCCTCGAAGCAGTCCAGGGCGCTCAAAGAGGTCATTCCAGGCTAGGCAAACGAACTTCGTTGCCAGGGACTGACGAGTCAGCTACTGCCCGGGCCGTTAACCTGCAGCTAGCGGCTCAAAAGCTCGCGTCGGAGAAGCTTGCCAGAATGCAGAGTCAGAATGAGTACGAAATATACTACGGGACCGCGCAGCCGCCGCGCGCGCGTCGCTCTGTCACAGGTCGACTGAGGCGGAGAACATCAAGTGAAACCGATACATCCAGACTCGACATGGAGCGTTCCATCCGGATAAGAAATCAGATGTCGACCCTGCAGACTCAACTTCACGAAGTGGACGAGAAAAGGCGAAGAGATCGTGAGGATCTGATGGAGATCGCTATGAGAAACGCCCGTGCTGCAATTCAAGATATCGACGACAGAGTCTATGCGGAGACTGGAAAGCCATCTCCAGCCATGCAACGAGAATGGGAAGAGAAGGCGCAGGAGCGTGCAAAGCGTAGTCTCGAGGCCGAGTCTCGTCTGGATATGCGTGGGAAAGTAGAGATTGGCGAACGACAATACGTGGATGCCATTGACGTAGAGGCGGTTGCATTGTCGCGGATCCGCCCTACACTCGATGAAATTGATCAGCGTGCGGAGGAACGGAAAGCTCGAGAAATCGAACGACGCCTAGATGAAGAGGAGAGGAAGAGACTCGAGGCGATTGAGCGCGAAAGAGAAGCTGACTTGAAGGCAGCAATGAAGGCACAAAAAGGTATTCGCGACCTTTGATAATATCTGGCAGAGCGGCTGACAAACTGACTGTTGAACAGCGGCGAGCAAAAAAGAAACGAAAGAGCGTAAGGCTGCTGCTGCTGAGCAGGAGATGTTAGACAAGGACGATGAATGGAAGATCTTCCGAAGAATGTCCAAGAGAGCCAAGGGCAGAGAGCCTGCTGCCGCCAACGAGGGTCCTACTTCAGGAGCTCAGGAAGCCCAGCAAGCCCAGGAAGCCGTTGCCGAGCAGAGGGCCCCGGAAGATGAATCTGGTACCGCAACAGGCGCCGCAGAGCAGGTCAGCCCTACTTCAACGTCTCCGAAAGGAGAATCTAGGCTCAAACATTGGTTCAGATCGACATTCGGCGCCCGGAGTTCGAAGCAAGCCGCCGAATCGCAGGAGACATCGAAGCCTGAGGAGGAGAGCACATCGAGTTTCGTCGGAGGCGCTGCCCTGACTGGTGCAACCAGAGACGATGCACGAGGAGCTGCACTTAGCTCCCATCCAGTCACAGAAGAAGAGCAGCCAAATGCTAACGGATATCATAATGACCAGGACGCCGGTGAAGGTGAAGTCGGGCAGTCTAGCGGTGCCTTACGTCAATGGAGCACATCTACTGGGCCATCAGAAAAGGACATGCGGCAGTCAAATGGACATTCTACGAGAAACGGAGAATCCAGGCGGTCTCGCCTGAAGACCAACTTCAAGGATATGATGAGGCGGCCCGAGAGTCGCAACGGATCTGCCCTGTCGCCTCCACAAAGCCCAACAACGCCAGGATTCGAGTCGACAGGTGCTGATACCAGCAGACCAGATCCTGTTCGAGCTGACACGGCAGAGCGTAACGAGTTACAGGATGCCTTCCGAGAAGAGACACTTCCTGCGCCCCCGCCTCTGCGCACTGTGGTTGGACGGACAAGCAGCAGCTCCAACCGAGACTCGAGATTCTTGGAGGACCTGTGACTATGTATTGGAATCTTCTCTGTTTCCGTCGCTGTTGCAGTAACTGTTTTGTGGTACGATTTGATGTCTTGTTTTCATATCCCCGCATTTCTGGGCGCTACCTTCTCACGTTACAGGATATTCCTACCTGAGGCATAAACAGTGCTTCTGGACATCATCAATCAGGATATCATAGAGGGCAGTGATCAAGAACGATGTATTATAAGCTCAAGTCCCTCTTTGGTTACCTCCATCATACCTCGATATTCCTCATTGAGCTTCATTCCGGGTTCCTTTTTACTGTTATGATTCCTTTTCTTCTCGGTGGCTTGTAAGGTTTCACATCATGATATCATGTTCGGCTTTCTGTACTGTTATCATTATCATTATGCCTGCTGGATGATGCTGTTATCCCCCCCTCTTGACTTTGTTTACTTTTATCAACCCGGGAGACACATTCTCCTGTAATATCATGACTAGTCAATGCAATATCTGATTTTATATTGATGAGTTGGATTCACTTGGGTCTTGTAAATCCCATACAAAGGATCCGCTTCTATTCCTTCTACAACATATCTGTAGCTCCCGTTCTCACAAGCCATATATATCCACATCTGCCTCAGTAGCAGTTCCTTCCCGCTTCCTTTAAAACTTAGGTTTTGATGGCCTAATTGCAACCATTCGATTCTTTGTGGATGCTTTTTACTCTCTAGATAATACTACTTTTTCTTTCACATACTACTTGACTTGACCTCTCGGGACCTTTATACAGCGACGTCAATTAGAACCGGTTTGCTTCTATTCTGGAAGGAAAACTACTCTTAAAAACAATAGTTTCATTACCACTCGTTTCACTCCCGCTGCGCTATCCAGCAATTCCACCATGACAACATGACTCAAACAACAAATAGAGAGCAAAGATACTAATATTCCATTTCCATGACATTAGAATCGCGTACATAATCACAAAGAAAGAACATCCTCCTCTTACCACCACACTCTCACGCTCCCAACTCCATCTCATTCGAACCCTTCACTGAGTAATCTGGAACTTCCCCGAAAACCCAGCCTTATCCCCATTACCAGGCTCCATTGGTATGAGTGCAATCTGGTATCCATTCCCAACATACCCCTGGTTCAAAGAGACAGCGTAAGAATCAAGAGTAGTGTCAACATGACTGGCTAGCCGGCGGGCAAAATTCGTGGAATTGTTAACGAGAGAAATTCCAATTGGGTTCGGGTCTTCTGCGTTGTGCGTCCATCTGATCACTAAGCCTCCAGAGAGAGAGACGACGTCGCCTGCTTTCGGGGATGTGATGGTGAGGCCTGGATGATGAGAGGAGTTAGTGCTTTGTGAGACTGGATGATGATATAGAAGATGGTTATTTGGGGTTCTCACCCTGTACTAGAGCGGTTAGGCCGACGAAGGTGAGTCCGAAGATGGGACGCATGGTGTGTTTGGTCTCTTGGGTTCTTGTATAGCTGAGAGAGAGAGAAGGATTAAATTGATTTTGAAGTTGCTAAGTACTGGCTTCTTAAAGTTAAAGTCCCGCTGGCTCTCACGAGAATTAAGTTAACATTATATTTATATATATTATTCCAAGCACCTAGATTACACAGTCTCACCATTGGAAAACACGTACCTGCTTATTCCCGAGCCGTGTACGACACCAACTCGCTTTGTGGCATCTGACCAACAATACCAGTACAGATATTATAATAATAGAGCAATAGTCTTAGCCGCAGACTATATATATACATCAAGGTACTTGGGACTGAGACATGGCCTATCAGATGCTTCAGATCCGGCAACGGCCCGACAAAAAGAAACGAGTAACGAGCATGAGACATTTAGGCAAGCCATAATAGGCAAGCTACCAATGATCTAAAAACACTCTTCCCGGTGCAAATAATTATTGAAGAAGTACTGGCTCTGTATAACTTTGTCTCATGACGGCCACGTGTTCGACCCGGGCTTGCTTATTCTATACAAAGAAATGGCAGCATGCTATTTATGCAGGGCTCAGGATTTTGATTCGTAAAATTGCCCCTTTTATGACTCGCGATGTGTCTTATTTGACATGTTACTTGCTGGTAGAGTGAATCTTAGACATTTCTATGCCTTTTGCTAATATAGGCATTAGCCTAAACTTGCTGCTTTCGAACCATCGGAAGGATGTATAACTGGGCTATTAATTCCCAAACAGTGGCAAGTACTATCCGGACACGCTCCTCGTCAACGGTAGAGCTACAAGTATACTACACAGGGAGGTATCCATATTCACAGGGACCAAGAGTTGTATGTATATCGCAATGGGGCATTTTCGCAAGAAGAACGACACTTCTATCTGAGCGTTGAATATCATCATTGGAATTACTCAATCGATTCTGGAATTCTGTTACCGTAGTTTATTAATATGCTATCTTTGACAAGCAATTTTGGCTGGCAATCCCAATGTAGGAAATGAGACTCGCCAGGACCATCTAACCGTATGGCGAATATGCCTACTTTACTTACCTACCGCCGACTCGGAGAATGTATTCGGACATACAAACCACCCCCACATTGCATGTACATACATACATACCATTAACCTACTCATCCTTATTCAGTCAAGAGTTTCTGTGCTGGCTTATTTGCCCTAATCACGGAACGCGATTAATACCTCCTGGTTGATCTATATCCATCTTATGTGCGAAAACCGGAGGATTAAACGGCGAATTCCGATTACCGCAACTCCCAATCATATTCACCACATGGCCATTATATACTCGTTCAGAGCACGCATGCAATCAACCAACTAGAAGGATCCTCTTTTGTTTACAAAAACATTATTTCAATCATGCATTACCACCATTTCATCAAATCTCGATTCCATCCTACGACCTTGCGAACTCTAGTGCAACCCTGCAAGGCCCAAATGTCAACAAAAACAACCACCGTCACGCCAGGCTCCTCTGCGCATGACTGGTCCGCAACGCAGTATCTCAAATTCGCAGCCCAGCGCAACCGCCCAGTCAGGGATCTGATCGCTCAAATCCCACTGTCATCGCCCAGAAAGATCGTCGATCTTGGCTGTGGTCCTGGGAACTCCACCCAGGCGCTGATAGAGCGGTTTCCCTCAGCTCAGATCCACGGGTTGGATAATTCCCCAGACATGCTATCTAAGGCACGGGCCAATGTGCCTCATATCGACTTTTCGTCGGCAGACTTGAATACCTGGACGCCTGGTCCGGATGATGAGCTTCTCTTCTCCAATGCGGTCTTTCACTGGCTTCCTGACAGCGTCGGCCATATGGCGCGAATGCTGAATGCGGCGCGTCCTGGCGCGGTGCTAGCAGTGCAAGTGCCTGATAATTATCTCGAGCCGTCGCATGTCGCGATGCGCGAGACAGCCGCAGCCGGTCCATGGAAGGAGATTCTGGAGCCCTTGAAGCCAGCTTTGGATCCGATGCCGAGTCCAAGAGAGATATATAACAGACTACATGCGATTTGTACCCCTGGTGGCTTGGATGTGTGGCATACGTTCTATTCTCATGTTCTGGATGGTCCGGAGCAGATCGTTGAGTGGGTAAAGGGCAGTGGATTGAGGCCGTTTATTGATCCGTTAGAGAAGGGGCTGAGAGAGGAGTTCCTCCAGAAATACACGGAGAGGATTGCAGAGGTCTATCCGAGACTAGAGGATGGCAAGGTGTTGTTGAGATATCCTAGGTTGTTTATTATTGCTCAGCGCAAGTGATGTCTCTCCTTTGTTTGTGATATTCCTAGACTTCAAATTCAATTTCGGTTATGAAGAGCTGTCATATTCTATATGGTTTATAGTTTTCTATCTATCGCCGTGTATAGCAGCAAACGATCTAGTTTCGTCTAGAAAGATCATTATCTCGTTTCTAAAAAGGCTGGCTTGAGATGGCAACATTATGTCCCTCAATCTCGGGGAATTGCACCAGATCCTTATCACTCTTCTTCGCTTCCATCCAGGCACCCAAAGCAGTGAGAACCTTGGCTACATTCTCTTCCTTGCTGAGGTCAATCGGCTGCAGGTCCTGTCCGATCTGCTTGATATGGACACCGGATGTAGCACCCGTGAGGCCAAAGTCTCCCATGTCCAACTTCTGGATCATGGCACCCTTGAGCTGTCCGGAGAGGATATGAGCACAGAAATAGGGTTCCTGGCAGAGAGCACGGCCAATGCCGACACCGTCGCATGTTTCCAGGGCTTTGATCATGCCTTCGACGGTCTTCAGACCGCCAGTCACGTAGCTCTTGGTCTTGGAGAGTTCCGGCACGATGAGCTTGGCCCATTCCAGGTAGAACTATCAGACATTATTAGCCACTCCGAACTGACCATAACAAGGGCTAAACTCCCAGCACAGAGAGGAATATATTTAAGAAAAGACAAAACTCACCGCTTCACGATCCAACGTCGACGGCCTCTTAGCACCCATGAGCGGGAAGTTCTCATACGTGCCACCAGACAACTCGACAAAATCAAACTTATGCTCCTCCAAAGCACGACAGAGCTCCCTCGCCTCATCTGGCTGGAATCCCTTCTCCTGAAACTCGACACTGTTGATCTTGATACCCACAATGAAATCCTTGCTCACGCGTCTCGCAATCTCATCGCGCACCTCCAGGACCAGACGCATGCGATTCTGCAAGTTTCCACCGTACTTATCCGTCCGCAGATTTGTACTCGGGGACAGGAACTGACTGAGTAGATAGCCATGCGCACCGTGCAGCTGCATGCCATCAAAGCCAGCCTTTTCGAGATACTCAGCCGCGTGAGCGAACCCGTCGATGATGGCAGCGATATCTTCCTCCGTCGCAGCGCGCGGCTTGCCAAAGGACATGCCAAAAGTGCCCTCCTTCACGGGGATATCGCTAGCACTGATCGGGTTCGGCTGCAGCTCCTTTGCGGTCTGACGACCAGGATGACCGACCTGCGCAATGAGCAGAGATCCATTCGCCTTCGCCACAGACGCCATCTCAGAGAACCGCTCGAACCGCTCCCCGGAAAACGGAGCATTGCGCGGAATGACCATATTGCCCGCTGTCTCCAGATGGGCCGGATCGATCATGACGTTTCCCGTCAGGCTGAGTCCGATCTGGCCCTCGCCCCAGCGCCGGTAGACATTGATCAGGGCCTTGGTGGGGATACCGCGGGATTCGACATCGTCGAAGGAGAAAGAGGCCAGACGCTCACTCATGGCTCCTTTTAGGAATCGGTTTGGCGCCGTACGCCCCGAGAAGGCGAAGGTGAGAGGCTTGCCCAGGAGACTGGGGTCGACGTCGGCGCATTCGAAGCGTGGTGTAGAAGACATGATTGAGATCTATCTTTATCGAAATCTCTCTCTCACGAATAATGTCGAATCCACGATCTTCCTCTAAGGAGTTCTCCTTTTTGGTCGAATCAGTTAGGATCCTTCGACAAATAATAACAGGTTCAAATAGAGAAAACTAACAAACCAACAAACAAAGCAGGAATATGATAATATAAACCAGATATACAAAAGAAATATCAAGCAATGCCACAATAATAGATAAGATAGTTTTATTACTTCCAACCCAGCTATTTAATTATTAGCGTATAACCTAGTTAGTTACTTGAAACACAATAGTTTTACAACAATGCTGACAAAACAACGTTTATCTAACCATTAGAAATCAAAAAGAAGCAGGTTAGTTATCTAAAAAGGATTGGTACAGATTGAGAAAAACTACTCCATAGCAGCTAACTAGCTAGCTCAATATTAACGGGCTAACTTATGAAACACAGTCAAAAATCTGATTTGTAAGCCGGGTGTCTTCATTTTTTTTTGGTCCGATTTTCTTTTTTTGCCTCTCCCAACTTAGACCTTGGAACGTTATTATGCCAAGGCTACGCTACAATTTTACCCACAGTAATTATTATTTGAATCAATGATGGAACAAAAATAATCTCGGGAGAGAAGGGGAGGCCGTAAATGCCGAGAATCTATGGGAACGGTGGAACCAGTCTAATTCCGGCTTCGGTTTGGTACCAAGTAGCGGGGGTACCACTATATGGTACAATAATAATGCATAAGAGAGGAGATAAATTGGCATAATGTGCTTTAGACCCCGTTTAGACTTCAAGATGCGCTTTTTCCTGTATTTAGATTGTGGTATATAACTAGTTCACTAGAGCACTTGACGCAACTTTCCAGTTTGGCCTCCCCGGATCTGACGTGTTCTAATGAAAATATATAGCAAGCTACTTACATCTGCCCAGCACTTTCCAAATTGAAATTGACAGATTTATCTCTTTGCGTCGTGGTGGGACAAACCGTGAGAGCCATACCTGGAAGTGTATATTGCAATGCAGCGGTTATTAAACTTACTCGAAGATATAAAAGAAATATATTTTCTCCACGGAACTCTAGATGCTCTGGTCATTGAAAAATAATCTAATACATTATCTCAACAGAAAAAGATGTTAACTTAGCTACAAGCTTAAGCCGTGAGGTAATATAGTTTCTCGGAAAACTCCTATGGATATTGTTGCGGTATCTGATGCGCCCAAGGAAGTGCAATAAGTTCAAGTCCCTGCTCAATGGACCACTCCATACCATGAATAAATATGAATTGCATACCGAAATAATGAGATTAACATATCATATTCTGTGATGCGTTATTTGCCTTCCTGTATATAATCAGGGACTAGCTAACTAATGGCACCCTGTCGTATTCTGTACAATTTTCATATGCTCGTAAAACAGGAGCATAAACAAGCCAGGTCCCTGGTGGGAAATAAATACATAAAAAAAAACATAGGAAGAAGAACCAGAAAAGAAAAACTCCACAAGAAAAGCAGGGTACAGCAGGACATATGCGATCGTGTTAATAATAATCACAGATACCTCCATCGCTTGCACGAAGCTTAAAATAACCGAGGAAAAAAGCAGTGTCCCATATCGCTACATATACCGATCTCCAATTGCGCCCAAATGCACAGCACAATATTAACATTATAGAAAGAAAACCGTCATGGAAAATATTCCGCAGGGGTAAAAAGAGTAACACATGAAGAAGAAAGAAAAAAAAGGAGTCGATCCGGACCGAAACTGGAATGTTGTCGGGAAATTCACGCAAGTAATAGATTCCGGACCTTCTGTTGCTTTTCGCGGCTGATGCCTACGGAGAGGAGGTAGCCTTCGACGCCGCTGTATTTGTTGTCAAGGTGTGTCTTAATCGCTCGGATGAAGCCCGGTGGGCATTTCGTATACTCCTCGTCTAGCCCAATGGCTCGGATTTCCTTCATACGCTCTTCCATCTCCGGGATCAGCTCAGGCTCCGACTTGGAGTAGTCGGCTGTGATATCATCCAGAGGGACGGCATTGGTCAGGAAGAGGAGGAGCATGATGACGAGGCCCGTTCGGTCCTTTCCTTGCGTGCAATGCACAACTGTTGGGTAGGTCGAATCGTCACAGAGTAGATCGAAGAGTTCACGCATCTCGGAAATGCTGTTGTCGAGGGTATCTTTGGCCAATCCGATCAGGCCCCGTGGTTGCATGACTTGGCGACCGACAATGGTGATTGCATCCGAGCGATAGCCTGATGCGCTGAGACCAAGCACTTTCCTGCCATTAAGTCAGCTATAAGTCAAGGAAATGAAAATACAGTAACATGTGATCATACATGAAGTTGTACCAGTCTAGCCGCCATAGGAGAGCCTTTTCAAAGGCTTTCCCTGTGAGACTGATGCTATACCGTCGAACACCAGGCAACTCCAAGATATGCTCGTTTGGATTGGCTGGCACGGGCTTGTCCTGTTCCGCTGTTTCAGGGTACAAGGACGCTCGTCGCTTCTTGGTAGCCATGACATGTTCAGTGCTGCATTGACCGTTAGCCAGGCGAAGGACCGAAGAATGGCTCTCTAGGAAAGAGCTCTAGGTCCAGTTGCACATACTTTGATCGAAGATCGATCACCGTTGAGATCGTCAATTCGTCCACTAGACGCTTCTTGTCTCTCTCTGATGCATCGTCTGGCTGAAGGTGGGGAAAGTGAGCGTTAGCTGTGTCAAATAATTTGATGAGGAGAATTTAAGAACAAAACAGAGAACTAGAAATGGAAAATGGATTTCTGGGTCCTTACCCTTGCACTGCGGTATAGCACACCTTCCTTGATGATTCTACCGATTGTACATATTAGCGCCGCACCTCAAATTAGCCTAGCCGTGGGAGGTAGACAATGGACTGCGGTAGAAATAGAGATAATTGGGGAAAACGTTCATATGGTATTGATAATGGACTGGATGTTGGATACGACTGTTAACACTAGGATTGGAACTCCATACCGTGAGCCATGGATCTTATTGATAGAGCTTCCTACATCCCGGAAGTTCAAGATGTTATCGAATGGCCGGTCCGGAGACGCTAGATCAAAGCTGGTCTGGCCTGCTGGATCTGGAGACAGTCGCGGACTGCTCGACTTGCTGCTGCTGCTGCTGCTGCTGGACTTGGACTTCCTTTTGGCCATGGTGGGAATATAATGTGACAGTTGAACGAACGGAGTGAGTCCCATGGAAAGTTGTCAGGCGATGGTCTGTCCCGCTCAGGCAGCAAAAAACCATGCGGAAGTGCGGGAGCTAGTTTGATTCCAGGGATCCAAATACAACTGCTCCGGGATCAGATGAAGACCGGTGCTCAACAGTGAATCGTGGTGTAGAGGGCAAAGCTCTGTTGTTCCCAACTCCAAGCGAAGCTAGAGACCAAGGGAGAAATGAAGGAAAAGAAGATAGGCAAGCAAAGCAAGAGAAACGAAGGTTGTTGTTGTCCTCGGCCAGCAGCTGGATGACTTGGACTCCCGTCTCGTACCTGACGCGCGAAGGAGGTGGGAGGGAAAAAGGAACTATGCGGTCTTTTCTTCAATGTCAACAACGAACAAGAGCACGCAGCGCGTCCAGTCCGCCAGACAGCATCCCGAATGGCCGCGTACACCGTGTTTTGCAGGACTCGAGTCCTGAACAAGTCGGTGAGCGCGGGTGGGGCCGCCGTTGAAGACAGCGCGTGGAAGTTCGAGAATTATCGGATTCAAGCAAGTCAGACTGCCCAGGCTTGTCTTTGTCCGCTGCTGTTGGAGTGCAGTGGCTCTTGGGCGTCTGTTGGGTATTCGATATTGGGCTATTACCGGGCCTGGATTCCTGGGGAAAGGAGAGGATCGTACGGAGTAGTTAAGTCTTGGATCCAAGATGCCGTTCTCAGGTGTCGATTAACTACTCCGTACAACCAGAAAGAAAAGAAAGCAGTCGGGGCGATCCGAACCGGCCGCAAAAACCTGTTGTTGATCGATGCTAGATCGATGATAGTTTGGCAATCGACTCTTTTAACTTAGCGATAGTCAGCCATCGTTCCCTGATTGTCCGCCCATCGCCAATAACAAAGAGGGAGTCGGTTAATCGCGCTTGGACGCCACGTTCTCCTCGTGTCTCGACCATCTCGCAGTGGGTCTTCCTCCGCAAAAAACCCCTCGTAGATAATAGTATCGCCAGGTCGAACAAGGCAGCATACCATCCAGGGACTCGGGGTTGGATCCATTTGCAAGGGATCCGATCCGGAATCGATATTCCGCGGTTGGCGGTGTGTATGGTGGGATCGTCCATCCACAGTAGAAGACACCAGATGATACTAGAACGAGATAGCCAGGTCTCGGAGTGAGCAGCGCGCGACATTTAGGGAAGTGGTGGAGGCATTGGACCGTACAAGCCTACAAGGTCAGATCATAGTCGCGTAGGCGGGTATAGTTTCGAAAAAGGGTCAATAGGATAGGCGCTCTTGTACGTATCCAACGTTTCATTATACAATTGACATATATATGTATAACACACCGAGTAGATCCATCCTTTCGCTGCGATACTGACCCATATTCCCAGCATTACGAAATAAAACAAAGCCAATCAATTCCAAAAGGCGCGTCCAGAAGCAAAGGGGCCCCAGAAAGGAAAGCCCGAGGTATCAAAATCAACGCAAAATGCAAGACGGGAAATTCTTTTGTATAACCCTGAAGAGAGGACACGAAACAAGACAACCCATAAGCCGCCGGATCATGCATGCAGAATACGAACCAAAGGGAATTAGATAGTATGGCGCAAAATGAAATATGGTAAAGCGACTGTGTGACAGGCGAATGAGATTAGAAGTTGACGTCAGGATTCGGATTCTGAAGTGGACGGCCATCGACCACTTGGCCCCGGTAGGTGTTGGTATTCGGTCCAGCAGAGTCCACAGTGAGCGGGCGTTCATAAGAGACAGTGCTGCCCCTTCCGACTCCGGCCTCAGCCATCGCGAGGTTCTTCTCGCCCTGAGGTACGCGAGTGCGCGTGCGCACAGACGGCAGCAGGTCAATGACGAACGAGAGGACGTAGAATGTGAAGACCAAAGCGATCACTGTGTCAAATGTTAGTATCTATGACCCAAAACCAAGCAAGACTTAGTTGAACGACATACCCCACTCCAAGACTGCGGAGGCATTTCTCCTGTCAGGATGTTGGTGACAGACACCAAACCCGATTGCGAGGGCCACCTCAATGACAATGAACGATAGCTTGATCCAAAAACTGGCGAAAAGTATGCGGTGCTGACCACGGTAGAAAATTCCCAGTCGGAGATACTCGAGACAGATGAAGATGGCGCTGATCAGATAAGCAACCCTGCCCGGAGCTGTCAGCAAAGAAACTGTCTTGAACAGAGGAACTGGAGAAGACGAACATGAACAAAAGAAGGCAGCCATCATGCACATGTGGATAATGGACAGTATCGTAGATAGACAGCAAGATCAGACCCAGCGCACCAGCGATGGAGAAGAAAATGGAGATACACGCGCAGGCTTTGTCCCATTTGCCCTTGTTGGGCACCAATTTGCGTGCATGTCGGAGCCAGCGTTCAGAGAGAAATGCGAGATCGAGGAAGACCACGGTGATAACACTGCCGGTAATGAAGAGAGGCTTGAGCCCTGTGGCTCCAATGTCGGATATATAACTAGACCCGGTGGTTAGACGGCGAATTCCATTGCAGTGTTTTTGCCTTTAATGATAGACGTACGCAATCGTCTGGGTCCTCTCCATGCTCACATAGTGAGGTGTCCCAATAGCAGCCCAGTGACCCAGCATTGCAAGGAGCATTGCTAGGAAAAGAAGTCAGCCGTCATCCTTCATCCTGGTGGTTGGGGATGTGGTGAGCTCCATACCAATCCACATGCAAGCGGATATCACTGGGAATATCCAAAACGATATGATCCACATCTTGACTCTTTCAATCGATTATTATCTTGTTCCTTTCTGACAGGATTTCCCGTCGGAGAAATGAGGTATCTATGACAGAACGCCAACGGAAACTGCCACTCGACGGGTTGTTGGAGGCACGCCACGTGAAGGGCGTTCCCGAGATGCAAGGAAAGCGACCTGGGCTTTTTATTCCGTCAGAATCAGACGCTGATGGCATATGTGGCAGAGAGATGCAGCTGTAAGCAGCAGCAGCAGCAGGAGGCTGAGCCTACTCACCTAAGCGCTGGCCAACTGACGAAGATCCAGGGATGCGCACACCCCGCCAGTTGTCTGCTGCGCAGGAACCACCGCAAGAGGGAAAGAGAAAGGGGGTTCTTAGATGGATTGACAGCCTTTCGCAACTTTTCCTCGAACCACAGAGTAGCCAATGACGCGTTCTGCTGTTGATTCTGTGGGATCCTGAAAATGCTCAGCGGGCAGACGGAGATGGTTCTTTTGGTCTCCAGACAGGATGCCGCGTGGGATCGACCAAGGGGTTAGACTGTTTCTTTCTTTTTTTTTTTTTTTTTTTTTTTTTTTTTTTTTTTTTTTTTTTTTTTTTTTTTTTTTTTTTTGAGACGGGATCCGACGGGATAAATTGGGCCAAATCACGGAGAGAAAAAAGGGAACAAAGACCCCAGCCCCTGGAGTTGTCTAGAATGGGGATATGGAACTGGGGAAAGCGTCGAGATGCGTTGAGGCATTGCCCAGCTTAAAGCATGAATTCCAACCCCCTCCAGATCTCCATGACTTCACCGTTTTCGTTGCTTGCCGATTCAGTGCCGATCCGGCAGACGTCATTGTCCGCCCGTCTTCTTGCCAAGCGGGAAAGAAAAGGTTCGTTATTATCATCATTATTATTATGCTACAGCAGCATCGCACCAGATCATCTTCTTTATATTCTCATCCATATAGAATTCCCTCCAGCCGATACAATTGAGGTCTGATTTCTGCCATCTTCTATCTACTCTGGAGTCTATCTACCCTGATTTTCATGGCTCGTGCTCTAGTTCTATAATCTTCTCCAGGATTAAACATCCCGTCAGCCACCGGCTTCACGGGCGCAGATTGGCGCCGGGAGGGGCGTCTCTTGGCAAGGCAACGGATACTCTTCTTCCCGCTGTGCAGAATATCTATAATAAATCAAAGAGAACCAAATATTAAGTTACGATCAGACTGCGTGACGACCACATGTTGGCTGTGCAGAGGATATGGTGGGCAGCAGATTAAGCGCCAAGAGAGGTCCTGATCCTGTCACAAGGCTGTATCCAGATTCCAGCGGCTCAGCCACGCTGCTTGGGGGTTCATTGGAATCCTCCAGGCTGGACTTACGATTCAAGTCCGCCCGTCACTGCTAAATCCTGATCTATTTCCAGAATATCTGATTATTTCAGGTGCCTGCATGTCCATGTCATCTAGTTACTCGCCATCCGCAGCAAGCTGACGATATACATAGGGCTGTGGCAGATCATCTGAGTGACCATATTTCTTGCGCATGCGGGATTACAGCTTGCCAATAATCGTCATGCGATGAGAATAAATCATAGTTAATTAAAATAAGTCAATAATCCTCAATTAACCCTGTGTCTAACCAGGCTTCCTTTTGCATCGACAATTAAGCAACCGAACCAGCCACGCTGCCGTCGATGACAACCGTCAAACGAGGCCCAAGTAGGTACAAGCAAATCATCAGCTGTGATGACTGATAATAGAGAACAAGAGAAAAGAAAAGAAAAGCAAAGAAAAAAAGTGAAATTTCCATCCCAATGCAGACCCTCTCTATCAGAACTCCGTTACGTTTCTTTTGCCGCATAAGCCACGATGGGTTTGGTCAACAGACACAAGAGAACAAGACCAGATGAACAACCCGTATAGGGGGAGGACTAAATCATTTCCGACGACCGCGCCGTGCCCGGGCCCCTCGAGTAGCACTTGCTGTAGTAGTAGCGCGTGTCTGGGCCCCGGTTGCGACTGGTTTCTCCACTGCCACCTTCACACCATTTCTTCCATCATCCTCACTCTCATCGTCGTCTTCGCTGCTGGAGTCTTCGCTCGAAGACTCCGTAGGGGCACGCTGGGGGCTCGTAGATTCCGACGAGCTGCTATCGTCAGAAGGAGATCGACGCGCGGCTCGATAGGGAACATCAGGAAAGCCGGCGACGTCTCTGCGCACATGGTAACCATATCGGGGATCCATCGGACCATAGGGCGGGTAATCTGCAGGGTCAAGCGGATATGGTACAGCATTCGAGGACGCCCGTGATCGAGGCATCCACTGAGGATCATCCGGAAGGGGACGGGGGAAGGCCTGGTATCGAGATGAGGAAGTTGGGCGATGCTCTGAAACGGAAGCGTAGCGCTGAGGAAGATGGGAACGGGGCGACGAGCCCGGTTGCTGCGCTCTGGACGACTGGGAAGATGGCGTTCGGGGTCTCTGAGAAGAAGAGCTGGACGGGCGACCTCCAGGGGAGGAATAATAACTGGAGGGTACACCTCTGGTTCTTGTCCACCCTCCATAAGGCTCGTCACTCGGCTGAGGGCGTTCAGCTGCCAAAGAAGCAGGCATGCTCTTTCGTTTCTCCATCTTGTCGGATTTTCCCTTCGTTGTCGGCTTCCCGTTCTTGCTCTTGCTCTTATCCTTGTCCTTGTCTTTGCTCTTGTCCTTGCGCTTTTCGGTCAGGGATGGTTGGCTGCTGGCACCCTTCTTCCGCTGCGTTTCTTTGCTTCCGGTGCTGCGCATCCTCCTCCTTTCCAGTGCATCCAGCTCTTCCTGTGACAAGCGAACATTCTTTTTGCCCATCAGCTGAGCGCGTCGGATCCGTTCGAGTGCTTTGTCCACCAGCCGCTCTTCTTTGTCCATCATCGCCAGCTGGACGGCATATGCAACGGTGCTGTCGGCATCGCTATCCAGGTTATAATCGACCCCCTCAGAAGACTCCGTCTCATCCTCGTACTCATAACTCCGTCGCCTCGGCTGCCGCCTGCTGCCATCCCGTCGCAGACCATGGTATTCATCCAGCAGCGCACCACGATCATAATCATCCTCCTCGCTCTCAATCTCCTCCACACGCGCTTCGTCAGCGTCATCATCCCACTGCAACCCTCGCCTCCTGACTTGTCTCCCCAGTTGTGCCCCTGGTGGTCTTCCCCATCGGGGCATATCGTAAGGAGTTCGCGGCCGACCACCTAGACCGCCTCCTCGGAAAAAGCATTCTCGATTGGTTTATCCATAAGTGAAGCGTGACCGAAGACAGTCACACCAGTAGCGCCGATGAGCCACAGGACCGTCGTGAAGGGCGAACCCAGGATACCCATGGGCACGGCAACAACGAGCAGACCAGTGTAAAGCTGGGATGTCGTGAAGCGGGCGAAACCCAGGTCGAGATCACGCCCACCCAGCTTGCCAATACCGTAGAGACCACCAGTGACCAGGATGATGACGAAGAGCAACATCAGGTTGGTGAGCAGGCTGTAGATGCTGAGCATGAGAAAGACGGCGGCATAGTTGCTGGAGAAGTAGGACAGGTTGTAGTTGACGCGACTCTGCACCTCACCAAAGTTGGCCGGTTTGGAGAGACGCTTCAGGTCCAGAAACTCAGAGATAGGCTTCAGGTTGGCAAAACGACTGCTGATCGATTGAGCGCGGACGCTGTTGAAGCGATCAGTGAAGCGCGAAGTGATCGCGTCGAGAGGGATCTGGAGAGGAGCCATTGTGCGGTGTAGGGAGGGCCAGACTATAAATGCTCGCGCTGATGATGAAAGCGAGGGAGAGTATTGACGCTCGATAGAAGTGCCGGTGCGTATACGATCGTGACGAGGCGGACGGGGAATGGAAAGAGTGAGCTGGCCAGAAGCGATGTTTTGCAGGGCCGAGCCAGGGGAGTGGAAAAAGCTGGCCAGCTAACTAAGTAGCGGCTCCTGACAAGCTGGGCCAACGAGCGGTCGGATAATCGTCCAGCTCCAGCGAGATCTCGAGTCGTGTCTCCAGAGATATCAGAGATATCAATACTCCAGTTGATCGGAACCACACACACAAAGAAAAAGAAAGTGCTGGGCTAGAGACGAGTCTCTGAGACCTTCTGGCGGGCTGCCGTGCTGTCCACGGCAGTCTCCAAAACCGCACTGGGCGCAGAGAAGAAAAGGTTCTAGCTAGGGATGAGGGCGATGCTGATGCTTTTAAATCGAAGACCAGAGACAAGTAGTAGATCCACCAGTCCACTGCAGAGCAGATCCTGCATCCAACTTCTTTCTGCTGTCAGCAGTAGGATAAGTCAATTAACTAGAGCGTTTCTTTATCCGCAGAGCGAGCTTCACCAGGCCCGCTCCATGGCGACTCTTCCAGCCTCAGGTTCCTGCTGGCAATCCCCGCGTCGTATGGTATATGCCCTCCAGGTTCTACACTCGAGACATTACTGAGACTGCCCTTTATATATTACCCTTTTCCCCTTCCCTGCCAACCCTGGGGGAGAATAATGGCAGGATGCTGATTTGAAGCTGCTTGTCTCTCTTCCCCGACCTGTAAGTTTTCCCTGCCGCCCGTTATTGGGCCACGTCGACGCACTACGGCAGCTCGAACGCCTCCAGGCGGTCTGGCAGCTGCTGGACAGATCATATCGCAGTGCAGACCCTGTAGAAAGTCTCCATCGATCTCCCACTACGCTCGCATCTAACTTCGCCCTACCCTTTCTAATTCACTGGTACCATCTTTGAAGCCGTCGTTGGGCATAGCGACTGTGTTCGCACATTGCCAGCCCAACATGAGGCACTCGATTCTCCGATTGCTCGTGATTGCGGCCTTTGTTGTCCTGGTGGCCGCATGGACAAAAGAAGGTCTGTATTTCATTTTATCTCATCGATCCCTTTTTGGATTGTTGCATTTCAAATCATGATCAATTGTCCCGGCTGACAGTATCTGTGGTCCCTTTGTAGATCATGAAATCTTCCGTATCCGCGACGAGATTATAGCAACTGAAGGCGCAAATGTGACATTCTACGGTACGACTCCTATCTATCATGCGTACTATTCCGTCTACAGCCCATTGACCTGCAAAAACACACAGATTTCTTGGGAGTCAAACCTACTGCAAAGCAGGATGACATTAGCAAGGCATACCGCAAGAAGTCTCGAATGCTGCATCCCGACAAGGTCAAGCGCGCCTTCATTGCAAACACTTCCAAGGATAGGGCCAAGGCCAAGGGGTCCTCCAAGGGGCCTTCGCAGCGTGAAATTGCCGCTGCGGTCAAAGAGGCTACTGAGCGTGCTTCCCGCCTGAACGTCGTTGCCAACATTCTCCGAGGCCCATCCCGCGATCGTTATGACCATTTTCTGAAGAATGGGTTCCCCAAGTGGAAGGGCACCGGGTACTATTATTCGAGATTTCGGCCGGGGCTGGGCAGTGTGCTTGTTGGTCTGTTTATTGCTTTCGGAGGCGCCGCTCACTACGCTGCACTCATTCTCGGATGGAAGCGCCAGCGTGATTTCGTTGACAGGTATATTCGCCAGGCGCGGAGGGCCGCTTGGGGCGATGAATTGGGTATTCGCGGAATTCCAGGCATCGATTCACCGGGTGCCACAGCTCCTCCGCCTGCCTCTGAAGCAGCAGATGCTGGTGCCATGCCGATGAACCGCCGTCAGAAGCGCATGATGGACAAGGAGAACCGCAAAGAGGGCAAGAAAGGCACTCGCGGAACTTCGCGCAGCTCTGGTACGGCCACCCCAACGACCGAAGGCCCCGTACCCACCGGAGAGAGAAAGCGCGTGGTGGCAGAGAATGGCAAGGTACTGATCGTCGACTCCATCGGAAACGTGTTCCTTGAAGAAGAGACGGAGGATGGCGGCCGTCAGGAATTCTTGCTGGACATTGATGAGATTCAGCGCCCGACCATTCGTGACACTTTGTTGTTCCGCTTCCCTGGCTGGTTTTACCGGAGAACAGTGGGCCAAATGCTCGGTGGCTCGAAAGAGGAAGATGCCGTGGCCGAGGAGCAGGACGAGACTGCTGAAAGGACGGAAGAACCCGTTAACGACGAGGCCAGTACAACTGGTACTTCTAACGGCAGGGTGAGGAGAAAGAGAGGTAGAAGGGACAACAGATCATGAAAACAATCATACCCTGGGAGAAGCGTAGGATCTGAAAAGATATATGTGACTCTTCTTTATATAGACTTGTACAATAGTTCTTTCCCCACCACAGATCTTTGCTCCTGTCGTTTGTCCTGGGAGCAACAACTAAAACATAACAAAAGCATTGCGGGATTTATCCCATCACAATAACACTTGGACTTTTACAAGTCATAAAATCCATCCACATATACATCACATATCCACAGGACGCTCGACTTGACCATTCAGCAAGAGTTCAGCCCATACATATAACAACAAGTTCCCCCTCAATTCAACTATTGCAACAGCCCTGATACAACACCTAACAAATGAAATCAAATCCTCAGCCTATAAGTAGCCGCACCCCAAATTCAGAAATTCACTAAACACAGAAGAGACACATGTCCATACAAAAGAAAAAGAATAAACAATCTAATCAATTTCAACTCAACTTTCCTTTCCATTCCATGCGACTCTTTATATCCCGTCCCTCCAAAGATTAATCCCCTCAGATCTTCTAATGAAGCAATGCACACACGACGCTATATTCTCCCTCCGTTCATAAGCGCGGCCCCCATCTCAGATGTGCAGGGCACGGCCCGCACCCGTGCCGTCTGGAGTCGGAGAATCTAAGCATAAAATGGCTGAGCATGCCGTTTATAGGCGGTGAATTTATGCTGTGTTGGGAATTATGTCGCTAGTGTGTAGTTAAGGAAGAGGTGGTTGGGTTATGAGTTGTGTCTAGGTGAGATGGCCTGCTAACTAGGTAGTTGAATACATAACGGTGAGTAATCTATACTAATCGTACTGTTGATTATGGGATCTTGGACCTAAGAACAAAATACTATAGTTGTAATAATAATCAATCCATACTTGCGGATTCAAGTCCCATGATAATATAAGTAAGGATAAAAACAATTCCCACATAGTCGCCCGAAAACACGGGAGCATAATCAATCAATCGATCCATTTCTCCGTCCAAACATGATACCCAACTGATCAGATTATCTGACTAACTGGTCATAAAATCCCCTCTTCCAAGTTCCTCCCAAACCCCCTTCCCAGCCCGCACGGATCTTCTACTTAGATTCTCGCGTGTACGTCTGACGTGGTCTGATCTGCTTTGCAGGAGTGGAACCCCACGAATAATAGTTCCGGGCAATATTAACACGGCGTGGATTATCCGATACGACGAACTATTTGTTAGTGAGTAATAGTATGAGGAGTAAGATTCGTAGAGGAGGCTTTTTTTGCTTTCTCTCTTTTTATTAGTGGCTTTGGGGAGAGGTTGGTGCATTAGGTACTGTGTGATGTATTAGTTTAGTTTGAACTGGAGAGCGAGGCGGTGGAGAAGGGTGTGGTCTATGTACAGTAAGTATATAACTAGTATCTTTTGGACTCTCTTCACGGTCTCTGAATCAGCATTGATTCTATATGCTCAGATACGCTCTTGTTCTTCTTGGGCCGTTGAAGTGAGATTGTGAATTCTCCAGATGGCAGCAACTGGCACTGCGTTTGATTGATTTACTCGGAAATCGAACCTTACTGATCTGATACCGAAGTCTTCATGATAGTGTTTGTCGTTGAACTGATATAATTTGCTATAAATATCGTGGCATGGCAAGATTCAAAATAAAAAAAAAAAAAAAAAAAAAAAAAAAAAAAAAAAAAAAAAAAAAAAAAAAAAAACAGGTATGTGTCATCCAATTGTCGTCACGGGTATCATGCCGTCGCGGCTCGTTATTCTTTCATTCACCCATACATCCATTGCACAAGCTCCCTTCTCTTTTTCTCTGTTTCTCGATCCGAAGAACTGATACAAGCCAATAGTCGTTTCCCATATTCCAAAATACAATGAGCGTCTGCAAATCTCGTATCGAGATAGCGACCCTAATTCCACATCGCCTTCGTTCAATCATGGCGCAACCTGCACGGTCAGAGCCAACCGTCGAGTCTGTTCATGTATCGCCCGAATGAACTTTCTATACAGTGGTATGACAGCAGATATAGTTTAGACGAACATCTTTGCGATGTTCATCAAGCTATTCACGCTGTCGCCCAGACCGGGAGAGTTTCCGCCATATGCACCGCGAGGAGGGCCGGCAAGACTGCTCGGGACCCGAATGCCAACGAGGCCAAGAAGCTTTGCCAGAACGCCGCTCGTCAAGAGTGGGACAATGACAAGCAGAAACACCTTGATGGGGTTCCGGCGGGCGTAGTGATAGATGTCACGAAAGAGGCGCTTGATCGATTGGATCAATCGCTGAATGAAACCGGAGCGCGGTCGAGCACGTCTGGACGAAGACGACGAAAAGAATGACCCAGTCGATCTGTTGCGGTGGTTATAACTACCTAGACCGCCAATACTGAAAATTGAAGGCGCAGAATGGCGCGAATGGTGCGACGAGTAGATGCCGGAAGTGGAACGGCGGGATGGAGAGCGTCGACGCACGACATAATGGGAGCCTGAGGAAGACCTGCCGTCGAACCAACCCATGGTGGATAGATATTCTTCTTTGTCTGTTGAGGTAGCAGCCAGGCCACAAGGAGCTCAAATCTCGGGGAATTGACGGCAGATATCTGTTGTCTCTGACAGTGCGACTCGATTGAATTGCCACCTGCGATCGTAATCCTGGACAATTGCCCCTCTCTTTTGATCTGGGGTGTCTGTTTAGTCACTGCAGTGAGAACTGTTCAGTGGGATGCGGAGAGGCGGTCAAAAAATGTCCAGATCTCCAGAATTCTAGGCCAGGCCAGGCCCTACGTGCGTACCCACAGGGCTTCCTGAAATGTACAGATACAGGACAACCTGAAAGACCAGATGTTGAACAAGAGGAGATTGCTAGAAGAAATCAACGGGAAGCGAATTGAGAATTAATGAAGGCCTGAGGGGAGGACGGGATGCCCATCCTTCTCACTTGAGCTTCGGCTCCTCAAGCTAATTACTCCGTACAAGGGCGTCCCGTCCCGTGTAGCGAACCGTGGGTGGCTGGGTGAAACATCTCTCTGCGCTGATTGGCCAATATACTCAGGGGACACTAGAACCCCATTCACGTGATAAGGAGAAGCGTTGACTCACGTGATCAGGCTGATGCCCGGCTAAAATGGCTAGTCCGTCGGCCATCGACGTCATCTACTGGCTGGCACTGCAGATTGAGACGATCTGGGAACACGTCGCGTACTGACGACATGTCTCTCTTTTAATGGTTTGTCCACTATAAATGATAAAGATACTTTCGCGCGTTTGAGATCTTAAATACAGTTACCAACTACATGGATCTTATAATCTAGTAAACCCCACCACTAGATTATTGCTGTATCTGCTTCCTGATAAGCAAAGAAAGACGCTATCGCAATGTCAAGTAAGTCTTATCGTATTCAAGTCTAGCAAAGTCTTACAACAGGATTCATCTGACTATTCACACTACAGAACAGCCTAATTATTGTACGTGTGAGAGATGTTCGAATTTATTGCTACCAATTGACCATTCTGTCCAGACAAGGTCTTGGGCGTTGAGCCCACTGCAACGCAACAGCAGATTCGCGATGCCTACAAAAGGTTGGTATTACATCTTGCATCTCGCCAGATCCTTCTAACTATTTCCACAAAGAGCTTCCTTAAAACATCACCCGGATCGAGTTCCAGCAGACTCCCCTGAGCGCCCGGCGCGCACTCGCAAATTCCAGGATATCAACGACGCATACTACACACTCTCGGATCCGAAACGCCGCCGTGAATACGATGAAGTTCGCAAGTACGAAGAATATGAATCTCCAGATGAGGATGTACCCCGGGGTGGTGCAGGCGGATTCCCGTGGTCGACCTTCGGGTTCGGTGGGTCACAAGAGAGTCGCGACGAACGGGATTCTGAACAGTTCGGGTCTGTCTTCGAAGAGATGCTTCGCGAAGAGGGGCTCGCCGACGAAGAAGAGGGCCGCACGAAACCTACAACGCGTTTCTGGTCTATCGTTGGTGGTGTGAGCGGTGGCGCGCTGGGATTCATTATCGCCAATGTCCCTGGAGCTCTTGCAGGGGCAGTTGCGGGAAACAGGCTAGGTGCTGTTAGGGACGCCAAGGGAAAGAGTGTTTATGAGGTATTCCAGGAGCTACCTCAACCTGATCGAGCCAAGTTGCTCAGTGAACTGGCGGCTAAAGTTTTCCAACATGCAATGGGTAGTTAGAGGGGCGGGCGATCTGCGATATTGAGGCGCATTCGGTTTTGATTTCTTATTCGATGCTTTGATACTCCTTTTCTTGCCTGGCTGGTCTGGTGCCTTGGTTAGAAACTGCGCGATTGATATTGTTTATCTCAAATGATTCCATAATCCAGCACCCTCGAGTAGAAATGCATGACGAGTCATTGAATTGTCTGCTGGATGGCACAGTGGTATAAAGCTGGCCCACACCATTTACCGGGAGGCTTCCTGTTTGAACCTTGGAGGGGTTCCTTGGATTTCTAAGAAAAGCCCTACCCGCCAAAAGCAAGGTGGGGTTTTCGTAATTACCTCCATCTCTCTCTCTCTTTTTTTTTTTTTTTTTTTTTTTTAGAGTAGTGCTCGGGAATGTGAGCTTTCCTTTTTGACAGTGATTTTGCCCGGATAGTGATGAAGTGCCGTATTTTTTACTCTCCGCCATATCAATATTATAAGTATTATCGCAGTGTTTGTTCTCTAGCGAATAGAAACACAGCCTCGACTAGATCTATTTACCACAATAAGTACTTTAAGTTGCAGTAATATAAAGCATTATCTCTGGGAAATTTGTTAATGGCTGGGTGGCTAGCTGGGGTTTTAAGTTATCGATAACGACAGGAAACGGACGAAGGCCTGGACTCTGGACTAAAAACGTAAATGGGACCCGCTCCCCCCGGACCGCTAGCAAAGAGGACCCCGCCCAAAACAGTCCATCCTACAGGCTTCAATTCCATTCCTCAATATTAATAGAATTTCCTTTGGGTGTCTGGCTTTATTTTACTGGTGATCCTGCTTTTGTTTTCACTCTTTTCAATTCTCGTAGTTTTCATTATTTAGATCTAGGCCACCGGCTTAACAACGTCGCAATGGCAACCGAGGCCGCAAGTGTCTATCCCTCCCTCGAGAACCGCCCTGTCAAGGGCACTATCTGTCTGTTCGATGTCGACGGCACCTTGACGCCTGCGCGCAGGGTATGTTATTCTACAGATGATTCTGAAACTCTGAACGCATTAGTTATAGTGCCCTCCTTCAAAAAGTAATATCGCACTCACGTGCTAATGCATCATTTCCTACAGACCGTGTCACCGGACATGCTTGAACTTCTCTCTCGACTCCGTCACAAGTGTGCAATTGGCTACGTCTGTTTCTCTCCCAGATCGCTATTCACTTTCTTTTGACGCATAATTCAGGTTGGCGGTTCGGACTTGGCCAAGCAACAGGAACAGCTCGGCACCGCGTCCATCAATGTCACCTCCCTCTTTGACTTCTCCTTTGCCGAGAACGGCTTGACTGCCTACCGCCTAGGAAAGCCTCTCGCTAGCAACAGTTTCATTCAGTGGTTGGGTGAGGAGAAGTATCAGAACCTTGTCAATTTCTGTCTGAAGTACATTGCGGACACCAAGCTGCCCAAGAAGCGTGGTACCTTTATCGAATTCCGTAATGGAATGATTAACGTTAGCCCCGTTGGAAGAAATGCAAGTGTGGAGGAGAGGAATGAGTTCGAGGCGTATGTTGCCCGTGTTTTTTCAATTATGGGGGCTGTGTATGCTGACGCATTGACGCGCAACAGTTATGACCAGGTTCATAATATCAGAAGGGATCTCGTGGAAGCTCTGAAGAAAGAGTTCCCTGACTATGGTCTCACGTAAGGGATTTGCAGCTGACTTTGACAATTATCCTAACAGTAACTATGAAACAGGTACTCTGTCGGTGGACAGATCTCATTTGACGTTTTCCCCACTGGTTGGGATAAGACCTACTGCTTGCAACACGTCGAAGCTGAAAAGAACATCTCCGGCGTCAAGTATGAAACTATCCATTTCTTCGGTGATAAGTGTTTTCCTGGAGGAAACGACTATGAGATCTTCTCGGATAGCAGGATTTCCGGTCACTCTGTCACTGGTCCAGAGGACACCATGAAGATCTTGAAAGAATTATTCCGGCTATAATTGATCCCTGAGACGCATACGCATTTTTGCATTAGTTAAGTGTTGTCTAGCATATTCGCCCATTTACGTCGACAATATAGACAGAAGAGCAGTAGGACTCGTTTCCGTGGAAGTAAACATTTTATAATTAAAGATTATCAGATTGTGTGCGCATCTCTCATACTTGTAAGTATCGTCTACAGATCGCAGCTATATCGTAATTACCGCTTTCGTCTGAAGGCGGAGAAACCCAGATCGAGATCTCCGAGCTCCGACCGAATGGGGCTGAGTCAGCCCATCAGCCCGCAGGGCTGCGGAGCGTCATTCCTGCGGTCTCTAGCTTACGGTGAACCGACGACGTCCCCGACAGTTTGACAATGTTATCGAAGTTCCTTGAAAACACTCATTGCTAAATCATACATTCTTTCGTTTATAATGGCGCCTCAGAAACAAGTGGTGGAGGTGCCACGCTTCCTCCTCCCTCGTCTGACATGGAACACTTCTCCCCGCACCACCGTCGCTCCTCCTGAGGTTGCTGCTATCCCAGCGAGAAGACAGAACACATTTAGCTCGAATCTATCTGCCCAGAAACTGCAGAATCCGTGGATCTCGGCGCCATCCAGTACTTCCTTGATCTCTTCCCGCACATACAGCACTGCACATACCGTCTCCCGCCGTCCTTCTATCGCGAACACCTCTTCTACTTCGTCTGCCGAATCAGTTGGCAATCCGATCAAATACAATGGTGTCTATGTTGCTACCTTCAAACCAGCGCGTAGAGCCTTCCGTGCCACGGCTGTCCAGCAGAGAGATCACCATTTCGACACCCTGAAGTTCGTACAGAGGTTGAAGAAGGAAGGCTTCAGCGAGGAGCAGGCAGTCGCGATGATGAGGGTGCTCAACGATGTAATCGAGGAGTCTATCCAGAATCTTACGAGGACAATGGTTTTGAGAGAAGGTTTGTGGGCTCTGTCCCGTCTGAGCAGTGCTGGAGTTTACGCTCTGCCGCCTTAAATCGGGCCGTACTGTCAAGCAGCTTGGGGGTGATCTGGGCTAATGATCATTCGACAGATTCCGAGCGCTCCATCTATACGCAAAAGGTGGACTTCGCAAAGCTCCGTTCTGAACTCCTAAATGCCGACTCGACTGAGGCACAGCTGACTCGCTCCTCCCACGAGCGCATCTCGGCCGACCTTGCTAAGCTAAACTCTCGCCTGCGCGATGAGATCGGACGGACGCAGGCGTCTGTCCGGTTGGACCTGAATCTGGAAAAAGGCCGCATCCGCGAGGAAGCCAATGGACAGGAGATGCGCATCAAGGAGACAGAGACCAGAATCGAGCAAGAGGTTGCTGGTTTGAGAGAACGTGTTGAAGCAGTCAAGTTCTCAACACTACAGTGGCTGATGTATGTGGTCCCTCTAGTTTATCTATCGCGTGCAATTGCTGACTTGGTTCGATAGGGGTGTTTGCACTGGTACCGCTGCACTGATTATTGGTGCTTGGCGTCTGTTTATGTAAACAAGAAGGAAGTTTCCAAATGTTTGAGTATGATGAAAAGATATTTGTGCTGTCTTGGACGATATAATGTAGAGAGGGATGCAATGCCCTCATGTTCAATCTTTTGGCCTATTTCCTTTGTCTGTACGATATTGCCATTGGCATAAGCTCCTCCTCTCTTTCTAGAAAAATATTCGGAAAGATGAAACCTAAAATAATAGCAAGGCCTTGTTGAAGTATTATATGGTTGGGTGTGGGGTGACTCCCGCGGTTCTCAATTATACCATAGCTCTTATTTGCCTATAATCATAGCCTTTGTACCAACGCATGCGGTTTATTCACTTGACAACCAATAGTACTGACCAATTTCTATCAGAAACATAATCTTGGCCTCCCAACCCAGCAGTTAATGGTACTTTGTGATGTGCGGAAGTGCTATCCGTCTGATCTCCCACTCTTTCGTCACTCTGATGTGCAAAACTCATAAGGCTGCAACCACAACCTAGACAGTCAATTTGGGGGTTCTTCAGATGTTATTTGCAAAAGTAGTATATTATTTAGTCTAATATCCCTCTAATTCTTTCAGTAGATAGAGGATACTGCTGAATGTGGTGTTGAAATCTATCGCTCTGATTATTCCGATATTAAGTATCTCCCTATCAAATCACACACAACGTCATCACAGATCGTCGGAAGCATCATGCAAGCGATTTTGGGTATGCTGGGATTCGGTCCCAAGAAGGAGCTTCATGACTTGGAAGGAAGAGTCGCAGTCATTACGGGAGGTGCTCAGGGTATTGGGTTCGTTTCTCGGTTCTGCCTTTCTGCATGAGTCGTATTCCCTTACCTATACGGGGTATTATCTTGATCTTGTTTCGTTCAGAAGGCAATTTCGCGTATCAGAAAGCTGATTGTTTTTTCTTCGCGTATAGATATGCAGCAGCCCGTGGATTCTTGGAAGCAAAAGCGAAGGTCATCCTTGTCAATCGTCAATGGGATACCGGATCCGATGCGATCCACGAGATCAAGAATGATTTCGGCCCCGACGCCCTGGTAGAGTGGTACCATTGCGATCTGGGGAATCTGAAGGAGACAAAGGAAGTATTTGACGGGATTCGAGAGAGGGAGAAGAGGTTGGATATTGTATGTCCCCGCCTACTGCGAAGCTCATCTTTCCGATGGGTTTCTTCCTCTATTGTAATTCGATGTGTTAACGAAAACTAAATTACAGCTTGTGCTATCAGCCGGTATTAACGCGAATAAATTCAGCCTCGACCACGACCACATTGAAAGCATCTTTGGCGTCAACTGGCTAGGCCATTTCTACGCTCTCAACCGTCTCTATCCTCTTCTCCGAGAGACGGGGAAGATGAACCCGCCAACAGCACCCAGGATCATCCTTCAATCGTCTGAGGTGCATCGTGCTGCGCCGTCAACTGTGCAGTTTGAGTCAATTGATGAAATCAACGATGCCAGGTTGGGTCCTGTGGAACTGTACGCTCGATCAAAACTGGCAATGATTCTGGGTGCCAAATATGGGCTTTATGAAAGGGTTATCAAGCCGAATAAGGATAATGTTTATGTCATTTCTGTGCATCCAGGAGCGGTATGTGATTATTCCTTCTATGTACATCTCATCTTACCTCGATGGGATGCTGATTGCTCGTTACGAGTGAATAGGTCAACACGGCGATGCAGCAGCAGTGGAAGCAGGCATATCCAGGCCTTCTGGGGAAGCTGTTAACTAGTGCGAATTTGTCAATTGGACGGAGCCCTGAGCAGGGCGCATATGCCACGTTGTAAGTGCTGTCCCGTGATAACTCACTCGATGTTTACTACTGCGGTTCAATCGTGCTTATTACGCGTACAGGTATGCCGCAACCAGCCCTGAGATCGAGGAGAAAGGTTGGAACGGCGTATACCTCACTAATCCAGTAAGTATTTTTTTTCCCCGGTGGCACAAGTCATGAATTCCCGTAGGAGAAATTCGAGCTGACCGTATTGAAGGGCCAACTGGGCAAGGAGAGCTCGCAAGCCAGCGACCCGGGACTCGGCCTTAGACTATGGCAGCTGAGCGAAAAGTTGGTCAAGGAGAAAGTCGGAGCAGATGCACTCAACGATTGGCCGGAATTGGCTGTTTAGGGTAATCCCTTTGTTAATTTTGTACGGTAATATCACATCGCGATCCATGTAGGGTTTTTTTCCAGGCCGATGCGCCGATGCAGCAAGCACATCGAAGGAGCTGCTTTGAAAGTTGAACAAAGAGAAAACAGATCTACATCAGCAGATTGAGATACTTAACTGGTCCAAACATTACAAAGAAATATGAGATCAAGTCACAGCCTTGGACAGTATCACCTATAGATTATCAGCCATCGGTAATCATCAATGAGAAGATGCCCGACGGAACCAGGGTGAAGCTAACCTAGGCTAAACACGGTTCTAATCAAGACAAATATTACCAGTAATAGGCGAGTAATTAAGATTCTCATCTGAATATCGAGTCAGTGACGAACATTCGTTGACAATACACTTACAGAAGCCTTTGCGAGGGATACTTAGAGTGTGGCAACTGACTGTCTGACTCTGTTGTCACGTTCATCCCTTGGACCTTCCACTCAAATAGCCGTTGGTCTAGACAATCTTGTTCTAGTCTAGGCTTTGTCTAGGCTTTATCAGAAACAAGACGTTATCTTCAGGATGCGCATGCGCTACGCTGTGGACCTGACCGGTGACCGTCGGTCTCTTATCAGATCCTTGTTTTTGGCATGCATTCCGGCATCCTCGCACGCGATCACCGTTGCAAGGGCCAATGCTCTTCTCCTTTGTCGGACCGCCCTGAATGCCACCTACCTAACAAGTCATAGCCCCTGATGCGGTTGTTAATCATATCGAAAGGACTTGATTAGCGCTTCGCCTACTCTTTGTTGCCGCGACCGCTAGAATGCAGGAACAGCTGCCGTCGTCCTTTCGAGAAGACGTCGCTTTGCTGTCCTCGGTCCCCGCATACCAGAGTGTGACTGGCACTCCGATATTTGTCCTTCACCACGTAACCGTGTCTTCTGAGAATCTGCTGTTTCTCAGTCCGTTGATTTCTCTTGTTGTCCTGGGGATCTTGTGGAAGCTTTCCCCTGGGCGACTACGCGGATCTCACCCCTCTGGCCGCGCTAATACGCGTGGTATTAGCGGATTGGCACCGTCGGATGAAGAAAACGCTGCATATGTATTAGTATCCGCAAAGGGAGACCTCTGTCAGGGTTTCGGGTCAGCAGGAACGTTTCAAAGTCGGGGCGATACAGCTAGATCGCGGTCCAAGTACGCGGTCTGGGTAGCGGCTACCATATTTCTTACCGCGATGTTGTTCAGTCATGCTTCTCTCCTTGCCTTAACTGGGTATCTCCCAGGTGTGCTATCGCTTGGAAATCTGGAGAATGTGCGCCGCCAATCTTCATCTGCAAGTGCTGCTGGGCCACTGGATGTTTTCCAGGTCTATCAACCCGTCACGTTTGATCCAGCAAGCAATAATGCCTGCAATCAAGAAATCCTGCTCATGGAACATCAATTTGCAGCTAGTTATGGGCATCCGTTTGTAGGTAAGTAGAGCATGTCTATTGCCTGGGCTACGACCATCAATTGATTCGCTTTTCTGCCAGGCAACTATGAACCGCCTCAATGTGACTTTGATACAACAAGAATCAATCTCACCGTCACATCTAAAGGCCGTCAGTTTGACCGCCTGGCACTGATGTTTCTTGGAGACGTAGAAGTCTTTCGGACATCCACTGCTGAGCCTACTACTAACGGGATTGTGTGGACGTACATCAAGGAGATGTCTCAGTACAACACACTCTGGAAACAACCCCAGAAGTTGATATTCGACCTGGGGAATCTTATCGACAACACCTATACTGGTCCCTTCAATGTGACGCTGACAGCATCGTTTACGCACCAGAACAACGTTAAAACAGCAGACGTCATTCTGCCCATCTCATCGCGGAAGTCATCCAGCAATTCCTCGAGCGCTTTCACTGTTCCATCTGATAATACGACCGTGGCTTACAGCATTCCTGGAAACGTCTCTCGTGCCATCGTATCCATTTCAGCATGTGGACAGTCAACGGAAGAATTCTGGTGGTCTAATGTGTTTTCATCCAACACGGCAGATTTCACACAAACTGCCGGCGAGCTGAACGGCTATTCGCCCTTCCGTGAAGTCCAACTTCTGATCGATGGGATACTGGCCGGAGTTGTATGGCCCTTCCCTGTCATCTTTACAGGAGGGGTTGCGCCGGGTTTCTGGCGTCCGATTGTGGGCATCGATGCATTTGACCTCCGAGAGCCGGAAATCGATGTCACGCCGTTCATTCCTCTGCTTACTGATGGGAAAAGTCACACCTTCGAGATCAAAGTCCTAGGGCTTGATACCTCTGCAAATGGAACCGCTGCGTTGTCCAATACAGTTGGTTCATATTGGGTGGTCACGGGAAAGGTGTTCCTTTATTTTGGAGATACCGTCATTCATGGGAAAGGTCGTCCTCAGATCAGCGCCCCGGAGCCCCAATTCTTTATCACACGGAATCTCGTCCAAAACGCGCAATCCGGCGCGAACGAGTCGCTCTCCTATTCAGTTAGGGCTGAGAGGAATCTGACAGTCCGATCATCTTCCTTTCTATGGAGCCAGACTCTATCGTATTCAAATTTTGGTTTACTTACCCAGCAAGGTATCAGTCAGCGGAACAACCAAAGCACCGTCGGTACGGTATCAGCAACGAGTATCGGCAGTGGTAGAGGGTCAATCGAGAGCTATACGACGTTTAGCTATCCACTGGACTGCAATTCAACCTACGGGATTACCGATGAGACGACATCTATCGACGCCACAATTAGTCGTGGTCTTGATATTGACTCCAATGGCGGCCCCGGCATATCAACCTACACTCTCACATCGGGGCCTTCGACGCTACATACAAAGCAGTATGGAGAGGCACATTATTTCTCCACATCTGGTGGTAGCTCCTCATCAGGTGAGACAACAGATATCTTTAATGGTGATGATGGCTACCAGAGATACGTCAAGGCAGTCAATGGGACTGTCGTCAGCGATACCCCAGCAGGTCAAGAGTCATCGGCTCGTCTCTTGAAATCCCCTGGCAGCGGACAGTTCTGTCTTGGCAGGAACAGTGTCAGGAGCATTTTAGGAAGAGGGCCCAGCACACCATTTGTTTAACCTCGTTTGGACCTACGAAGCAAATAGATCTATTAAAAGCCTCGAGCCTGCTAATACATACCCTATTGATCGGGCAAGGGCTTCAATATCTTATAGAAGTATCACCATGTGTGACATTTGAAATATATATATATATATATTTCAGCACTCACGCAGTCTATAATTTGCCACCTCAACCGCGGACAAAACAAGAACGTTAATCGTTAATCCTCTGATACTCTTAACGAAGTCATTTTCGTCGCCTCCGCGGCCGAAACCTAAATTTGTGGGGCGGCCGGGGGATTTATCAGCACTATCAGCACGTGACTTGCTAGATAAGGATTTGGTCCGATATGTCAATTGCCCCAATTGCCTCCTGTTCTTCCCCTCGCGACGTTCGGAAGACCTTGCTCAGAGCACCAGCATGGCGGTGGTGCGTGGAGAGGTATCATTGCCAGGTATGACTCCAGAATGCCTTTTTCCCTTGGTCATCGATCTATATCGGTTCGATTCACTAATCCTTGCTATTCAAGGCCCCGTGCCTGAGCAGCTGGCCACCGCGTTCGCGCAATGTCAGGAAACCGAGCCAGAAGGGCCTCCCAGCAAGCGTCGCAAACTAGCAGATGGTGAGACCAGCAGTACCAATTCTCCTCGTTCTCTGGATTCAAACGCGAGGAGGCCTATCGGTTATATTACCTTGGCCCGTATTCTCCTGGATTTGGTGAGTTCCTAGTCGCACCTTGCGCGGAAGAGGTTCATATGGCCATTATTAACATAGTACCAGAGTTACGCAGAATCTATTGGCGATTTCGGACAAGGAGACTCTTCTCCTAACGAGAGACTTGCGATCCCCGTGTTTATTCGGAGTGTTGGGGCTCTGGCTGGCGATCGGGAATTTAAGCTAGAGCTTGCCACCGTACAAGGGAAGCGGGTTCTGTTTCAGGACACAATACGACAGTCAGAGATCACGAATTTAGGCGCTCAACTTCAGCTGCTGAGTGGGCTTGTTTCCACGGATCGGGCCCGCCAGACTCAGCCTTTAGTATGCTATCAGTCTACACTACACGCTCTGTCTGACCGAAAGTCTTTCCAACTCGAGCTCAACATTCTCTGGAAAGACTCGTTGGAAATTCCTCGTCGATTCCCCAAAGAAGCTCGGCTTATTCTCCAGACTTATGTTCCCTATGGACTCCCGGAGTACCCATCGACAGTATCCCATGTTAATGGTCAAAAGAAAGTTAGAGCGACATGGTCTCCACGGGACTTCTACGACAATGTCCATGTTCCTGAACGTACTCCGGCGGCATCTGCAGATATAAAGTGCGATCTTATTCAATGCCAGCTTTACCCATTTCAAACCAGAGCCGTCCGGTGGCTTCTTCAGAGAGAAGGCATGCAGCTTCAGCCCGATGGTAAAGTCGTTCCAGCCGAACCGGAGCCATCTGAGGAACTTCCAGACTCCTTTTACGAATTTACAGATGCGGATGGGAGACGCTGTTTCGCTAGCCATTTGTTTCTCACGGTAACAACAAATCTTTCTGGATGGAAAGATGCTGGACGCTATCTTAAGGGCGGCATTCTTGCGGAAGAAATGGGGCTCGGCAAAACAGTGGAGATGATCAGCTTGATGTGTCTCAACCAACGTCCGCTGACACTCAGTGACGAAGGCTCGTCTACCGACAGTAAAGGTCTCCTTGAATCCCGCGCGACATTGATAATTACTCCGCCCGCAATTCTCGAGCAGTGGAAGCAGGAAATCAATACACATTCTCCTGGTCTTCGCGTCCTTCATTACACCGGGATTCCTCGAAATTCTGAATCTTTGAACGAGGATCTGGTCAAGACGGTTGCTAATAATGATGTTGTGCTTACTACATACAACGTTCTCTCACGCGAAGTTCACTACGCAGGTGACGCTCCCAGGCCGAACCTTCGCCACCAGAAAAGGTTCGAAGTCCGGAAAACGCCCCTGGTGCAGATATCATGGTGGAGAGTGTGCCTTGATGAAGCTCAGATGATTGAAAGCGGCGTCAGTAATGCTGCTAGGGTTGCTCGAGTTATCCCTCGCCAGAACGCATGGGCTGTAACAGGCACTCCGTTACGGAAAGACATCAAAGATTTGTTCGGGCTTCTATTGTTCCTTCATTACCAGCCATTCAGTGACGGATTAGATATCTGGACGAGACTGTACGAGAATTTCAAACCTGTGTTCAGACGCATCATTGGCAAACTTGCGCTTCGACACAGCAAAGACCGCATTCGAGATGAGCTACGTCTACCGCCTCAGAGGAGAGTTGTAATCACGGTTCCTTTTACACCCATTGAAGAGCAGCATTACGGTCATCTTTATGAGCAGATGTGCGAGGACTGTGGTCTTGACAACACTGGCACACCACTATCTGGTGACTGGGATCCTAACTCTCAAGCCGTGATCGATAAAATGCGAAGCTGGTTGACGAGATTACGGCAGACATGCTTGCATCCTGAGGTAGCTGGGGGCAACCGTCGTGCATTTGGGGTCGCTAACGGACCATTGCGGTCGGTGAACGAGGTGCTTGAAGTTATGATTGATCAAAATGATACGCTTATTCGCACCGAGGAGCGTGCCCTTCTACTCTCACAGACCAGGCGTGGTCAGTTGTTAGAGAACGCTCATCGCGGTAAGGAAGCCCTCCAAATATGGCAAAATGCCTTAGCCCGGGCCAGTGAGATCGTCCAAGATTGTCGCGACCAGCTCCAGGCAGAACGCGAGAAGGAGAGGGCTGCACGCGAGACTTTGGATAACGACACAGCCTCTGTCGATACTACTAGTGACAAGGAGGACGGCGAAGAAACAGCAAAGAATAGTCGCATCGGCACTTACCGGGCAAAGCTTCGGGCTGCACTGGAGGTTCAACATATCTGTACATTCTTCACTGGAAACGCCTATTATCAGATCAAAACAGATCGCGCTCTCACTGAACCCGATTCTAAAGAGTTCAAGGAGCTCGGGAAATTGGAAGAAGAGGCGTATGAGGCCGCGAAGCAGATCCGAAAGGAGATTCTGTATGATATCTCCCAAAAGGCTGGGCGGTATATGAAGACCATCAGACAAAAGTCGGTTACGAAGTCCTTGGTCCACATACCCAACATGAAGCCGCACTTGTACAGCAGTGGGCTCGAAGGACGTCGTCTATTTGAGAGATTTGAAGACTTCTGCGACGCTTTGAATCGTCATGCCGTCCAGTATAACGAATGGCGCGATTCTATGATAAAGTTACTCCTTCAGCCGTTGGTTGATGAGGAAGAGAATGAATTGGAAGGAAATGAATATGAGACGTCGACAAAACACCAGGACGAGATGTATGTCTATATGGAGGCACTACGTGCCATGTTTGCGGATAGAAATGACGCTATCACCGGCCAAAGAAACGTCCTCATTGCGCATGAGATCAAAAGCGGAATTATCCAGGCGGAGAAAGGCGAAGGTCCTTCTCCTGAGCTCTTCCGTAACATCATGAACACCCGCAGCAAAATCAAGCCTGATCCTACTCTTGGGTCGCTCCGTGGAATCATTAGCGAGTTGCGTAGCCTTGCTACGTCCCTTGAATGGCAGGAAAGCGGGGGGAGTAGCAGAGCTAAGGCTGAGCTTGAGATTGTCAACCAAGTTCTAGCTAATGCCAGTCAGATGGCTACAGAACAGGCGAAGGTAATATCTGGCTTGGAAAGGGAGGTGGAAATGTTCCGTGATACGATGAATAATCGCCTGGAATATTACCGTCAACTACAACAGATATCAGATACTGTGGCCCCCTACGATGAAGAGAGTGTGGGTAAACCGATGAATGAGGAACTCTTCGCCGCAAAGCTCAAGCAGGAATCCCAAATCGACGGCAAGATTTCGGGACTGAAGGCGAAGCGTCGGTACTTAATACATCTTCGTGAAGAGCCGGGCTCAGAGGATAGTTCGAGAATCTGCGTTATCTGCCAGTCTTCGTTTGAAATCGGTATGTATCTCTTATTCTATAATTTGCCCTAAATTCCTGCTAACACATTCTTTCGGTAGGTGTTTTGACGGTTTGTGGGCACAAATACTGCAAAGACTGCCTGCGTTTGTGGTGGCATCAACACCGAACATGTCCCACATGCAAAAAACGTCTGAAGGTCAGGGACTTTCACCAAATAACGTACAAGCCTCAAGATTTAGTCATACAGGAAGAGAAGCCCCCAGTGAAGCCGGGATCCGACCGCTCACCAAATAAATCTATATACACAGATGTCAGTTCCGATATTATGAGAGAGATCAAGAACATTGACCTCGATGGCTACTTTGGGACAAAGATCGACACTCTGGCACGTCATCTCATATGGCTGCGCCAAAACGACCCTGGTTCGAAATCGATTGTCTTCTCGCAGTACAAACATTTCTTGAGTCACCTGGGCGTTGCCTTCAGTCGCTTTAAGATCGGACACATCAGCGTCGACAATAAAGATGGCATTGAACGGTTCAAAAGCGATCCGGCTATTGAATGCTTCCTGTTGCATGCAAAAGCACATTCATCTGGTCTCAACCTCGTCAATGCGACTCACGTCTTTCTATGCGAGCCGCTTATCAACACCGCAATCGAGCTGCAGGCTATCGCCCGTGTACATCGTATAGGGCAGCATCGACCAACCACCATCTGGATGTACTTGGTCTCAGACACTGTGGAGGAGACCATTTACGACATCTCTGTTTCCCGGCGTCTGACACATATCGTGCAGAGAGAGAAAGAAAAGGGAGCTCAGTCACCGACCTCTGATAGTCCTAATGGTGCTACTGTTCAGAACCTCTCAGAAACGGCGATTGATTCTGCGAATTCTCTGGAACTCCAAGACGCGACGCTATCCAGGCTAATGACAGGCGGTTCAGCGGGTGGCGAAATTGTCAGGAAGGATGATTTGTGGCAGTGTCTGTTTGGAAAAGCCAATCGAAGCGGCACTCCAGGCCACTCACTAGAGGCCGAACGTGAAGTGGGACGCTTTTTGAGAGCAGAAGCCGCAGAGGAAAGAAAGAAAGCCTCTACAGTTGATTCCTCCATTTATTGACCGATCTCTAATAGGTCTTTTTTTTTGTTCTTCCCGACCTTTCTTGTCTGATTTTCGATATATATATGCATATATATGGCCTTGATTTCTGTCTCGACTATATATAGCGCTGAGATGGGAGAGTACCTAGTATTATTCCGATCTTATCTCTATAGGCGTTACGAGATACCCTGCTAAAGAAGCAGCTGCTTTTACCTCATCAGTTATTTTTGGGAGAATATGAATTGAAATATCACAGGAGCACAGCTATATGTCATGTCTTAAGCCAGATAGTTGAATGTCTTTGAGTAGGACTCAGTTTCTCGATTCAATTCGCAATGTATAGAGATCAGCAGGACCAACGCGTACTTCAATACCTTGGTAAACAAGCTGTCCTAAGGACCTCAGCGATGATAGTTTCAGTAGCTCTAATACACTTCCGTGAATAAACTTCGTGTCAATGCAAGCTACTACTTGAACATTGGTCAGAAAAATAACAGACGAAGCTTATTTCAAGTTTCCGCACTATGATGATTATGATTAACACGGCACGGTCCAGGAAATATATATATACGCTAATTACTATTTCAAGCTTAGATGGTGGAAACAAACACAACTACGACAAGATCCATGAAACAAAAGTTAAATCAGGGACTATAAAAATTCAGATCGAACACATTTTCCAGTGACAAATATTCTTATCCTTATATGTGTGTCGAAATTGGGAATTTTACATTGCAGAATCACATGATGACTAAGCCGGTTAGCGCACGCCCACCCAATCAATAACTATCAGGCTTCAAGGCTCTTGCCCTTTGTGATAAGGCGTCATCATCCTTACTGCCTAGAAGATGCTTTAGAAAGAGAGGAGCCCTCGAATTTCTGAGAATACTTTCTGTATAGTCAAAGTTCTCGAAGATCCCCTGTTCTCGTTAATAGGGAGGACATCACGCCACGTTTCCCTCTCGTTTCTTCCTGCCACTCTTTTGTGCCTTTCCATAACCATGTCCTCCAACGCCACCGCCCAAGAGAGCCCCGAAGCTAGGGAGCTGAGCTTGATATCCAAGGTCGAGCTTCGTATCGCATTGGCAAGCACAGATAGCAAACTTCAGACCTTGCTCGGCATCTACTTGGCTCCTCTGTTGCTCAAGCTGGCGTCGGAGAGCTTGGCCGTGCGCAACAAGGTCATCAGCGTCTGCCAGCATATTAACACGCGTATCCAACCACAGTCCATCCAGCTGCCAGTCCCGGCTCTTCTGAAACAGTTCAAAGAACAGCACTCTCCGCTCATTCGACATTTTGATCTTCTGTATATTCAACAGGGAATCAGCCGTCTTACGCCAGCCGCAAGGACTGAATTGCTTCCATCAGTGCTGCAAGGCATTGCAGACATCGGGACCGATGGTACACAGGGAGCCATCGTGTTCAACCTGGTGCTAAGACTACTCCCTCTTTTGAAGTTGCCCCAGAAAGGGAGCCAAGAAGATCTCGCATTGAGAGAGAAATTGGGACTCTCAGGCGAAGATACTGCGTTTCTGTCGTCGTGGTTCGGGAAGTTGTTGCTTCTATCACCCGGGGGCAAGAATAGCGATATCTGTCCAGGAATCACGGCTTCAGAATATGTCTTTCTCAACAAGGGAACATCTCCCGCGGAGACCTGGGATCCGTCCACTAACGGTGGTCTCAACTTAACGGAGACAAAGGTTGCAGTGGCTAAGTTCCTGGCAAGTGGCTGTTTCACAGATTCTGAGCGCTTTTTACCCGCCGTGATTGCTTCTGCAGATGCCAATTCTCGTCTGTCCGACATTGGCGAGGATATGTTGAAACGCTTCACGCCGGATCTCGAGAATCCCGACGTGGTACAACAGCTCTACACGCTCTATTTTGGGACGGGAAGGCCCGATGGGGCACCACCAGCACGTCCTGCACTTCGAGTCAAGATTTTACATTTTCTAGGGCGATCAATAAAAGCAACAGCGGATACGCAGAGCGTTGTCAAGATTCTAGACGAGGGCCTCTTTTCTGATGAAGCCAGATCAGTCCAGGGTCTGCTAGCCTCTAAGCTACGGACACAGATCTTTACGTTCACAACTTGGGTAGTGCGCATGGGCTCATCTGATGATTTGAAGGTAGTTGCACCCAAGATTATCTCAGGATTGAGGGATTTTGTTCAATCGCAGGGTTGGCCTAATCCTGCAACTAGCGGCCAGACGCTCTCTCCAGCAGACTCTGGTTTGCGTAGCCTTGCCTATGAGAGCATAGGCTTGTTGGCGCCTAAAGTTGTGTCCGATATGCAGGACGATTCCGGGTACGGATTTAAATTCGGCCTTGTGAGATGGCTCTTTACCTCCTTGAGCTCCGACGCGTCCAGTTCTCAGATCTTCGTCAGCATCGAGCAAGCCTTGGGAAGTGTCCTAAATTCGTTTGCCAACTCGTCGGACGAAGCGTTTCGGGAACAGCTGCGGCCTTTTCTTGTGCACCATATGAACAACCAGCCGGGCGAGGATGACTCGATTTCAGGATACAAGATTGTTCGAAGTACTCGGTTTGCTGCCGTACGGTTCGCCAACCGCTGTCTGGCATATGGGGATGTCGTGGCTCGTTGGATCGATCTCATGGCTATTGCTGGTAGGCAGGACAAGGAGCGCGAAGTCGTCGAGGAGGGCCGAAAGGGACTACATCCTTATTGGTATAGGATGATAAATATCACGAAGAGCGGTACATTGACTGGCTCGTCGTCAGCGGAGTTGGCCAGAGATCCAACTTACCGTTTCCCCAGTTTCCATGATTTGACGTGCTTTCTGTTAGGTGCCGGGAGCGAGGAAAACCCTTTGGAAGATGGTGCGGTACCGGGCTCCAAGAAGTTTTCAGGAGCTTTGGTTGCAGCTTTTGCGCCTGCGATTGCATTTGTCCGTAATATTCTCCTATGGGAAGCCTTCTCAAAGTCAGGGATACCTGTTGAGATAGAACAGGATTGGGAATATCGCCTTGATGCTCTTCTGGCCTCGAACGAAGCAGCTCGCTCCGCACTGAAGCAGCATATCAAAGATTGTGACCGTGCAACCATCCTTGCTCTTTTGTCTTCTGCATTGAACGGCCTTCTCTGGAATAACGGGGAAGGTCTCGGGCAATGTGGCGTGCATTTTATTGATGTATGTTCCCTCGCATCTAACGACATTGTTGGCGCTCTGGCGTGTCGAGCACCATCCTTGAGGGTTCCTATGTTTTCCAACAAGAAGACTACACAGGAAACTGCGGCACGAGCTTTTGGAATCCTTGCTTCTCATGTTTCGTTCGCGGATGTCGAGCGTCAGACACTGGTTGCTGATTTGATGCAGCGTGCGAGGGCCTGGAAAGGCGCTGTTGGACAGGTCGCAAATCATGTCAGCGGTGCTCTTCTCGGGATAACTTACCTTCTCAGCCGGACAGCCTTCCGTAAAAAGCTTAACGTGTTATCGAATACGACTATCACGGAGTCCCTTAGCGTTACCATCGGTATCCTCGAGGAGACACGTGATACCCAGCTGAGGGAAGCAGCACAAATAGCCCTTGGGCAGCTCTGTCTGTCTGGCGTCATATCCCCTGTCATGCTCCCGCAAGGTGCAGGAGGCTGGAAGATGGTGAGAGACAAGCTTCTGCAAGACGGAAGGAGAGAAGGCCAAACCGCAATATCCACAATCGGCCGTTTCTCGTTGATCTTCCCTAAGAGGAATAACAACGGAGAACCATTCGCCGAGTTACTCACCTGCCTGCATGATTTACATGAGGTACGCAGCCCAGAGACCCAGTTCGCTGTTGGCGAGGCATTAAGCACAGCAGCCGTTGGCTGGGCCTCCAAATCATTGGTCGGGGAATTCGACGTGGATGAAGACGTGCCGGAGTCAGAGATTCGGACAGAAGTTCTTGTGGATGTCGCCAACAGAACTATAGCTGGTTGTGGGGCGCCTAAGCCGTCGCTTAAAAAGGCATCAGCAATATGGCTACTGTGTCTAATTAAGGACTGCGGCCACTTCGGGGACATCCAGCACCGGCTCCGTAGCTGCCAAGCCGCATTCGCAGGCCTATTGACAGACCGTGACGAATTTGTGCAGGAAATCGGCTCTAGAGGACTTGGCTTTGTCTATGAGATGGGAGACCAATCCATCAAGGATGATCTAGTCAGAGACCTAGTGCGTTCATTTACGGGAAACACCACGAATCTAGGAGGAGGCTGGGTAGATTCTGATACCGAACTCTTCGAACCTGGAGCATTACCCACCGGAGATGGTTCGGTGACTACATACAAAGACATTATGAACCTTGCATCCGAGGTCGGAGACCCCAGCTTGGTCTACAGGTTTATGTCACTGGCATCTAATGATGCCATTTGGTCCAGCCGCGCGGCTTTCGGCAGATTTGGTCTAAGCAATGTTCTTTCTGACTCAAGCATCAATGGATACTTATCCAAGAATCCAAAGATCTACCCGAAACTCTATCGGTATCGTTTCGATCCAAATCCAAACGTTCAAAGATCTATGAACGACATTTGGCAGGCACTCGTGAAAGACCCCAATGCAGTCCTGGATGCCCATTTTGACGAGATTATGGATGACTTACTTACAAGCATTCTGGTTGGCAGAGAATGGAGAGTCCGTCAGGCTAGCTGTGCCGCTATCGCGGATCTGATCCAAGGGCGCCAGCTGGAGAAGTACGACAAGTACATGAACGAGATTCTTACCAAAGCTTTCAAGGTCTTAGATGATATCAAAGAGACCGTCAGAGCCGCAGCTCTCAAGCTCTGTCAGACTATCACTAACATGGTGATCCGCAGTCTCGAAACAGGCGACGGCGATTCCAAACGATCGAGGGCAATGCTTGGTCACATAGTCCCCTTCTTGCTCGGCGCGGAAGGAATGGAATCCAGCGCCCAAGAAGTCCAGGCTTATGCCATCACCACTCTTATACAGATTTCAAAGAAATCACCAGGGTCCATCTTGCGTCCTTTCGTGCCGCAAATTCTTGAGAGATTTCTGGGTTCCTTGAGCTCACTGGAACCACAGGCAGTCAACTATGTCCATTTGAATGCCGACAAATACGGCCTGACGGGTCAACAAATAGACAAGATGAGACTATCGAGCATTCGCACGTCTCCCATGATGGAGGTCATAGAGCGATATCTCCTGGATTGCCTTGACGACAGCAGTATGAAAGAAGTAGCCTCAAAACTGGAGAACGTTTTACGAACGGCCGTAGGGCTACCGTCGAAAGTAGGCTGCAGCCGAGTCTTGGTCATCCTGAGCATGAAGACAGTTCTCTTTCGGCCCTACGCGGATCGTTTCGTCCAGTTGCTCAAAAAGCATGTCCTAGATCGCAATGACACTGTGAGCGCATCCTATAGCAATTCTATAGGCTACCTCATGCGCCTTGCCAGTGATGATAGCGTCCTCGACACGATAGAGTTCGCAAAATCGCTCTATTTCAGAACAGATGACGCCTCACACCGCGTCATCTCGGGAGAGATTCTTCACTCCGTGTCCAAATTATCCAGTGACCGCTTTATGGCATTTGCAGCTGCCTCCCTGCCGTTCGTCTTTGTGGCTAAACATGATACTGACGATCAAGTAAAGGACTTCTTTCAGAAGACTTGGCAAGACAACGTTGGAGGTTCACGCGCAGTAACCCTGTACTTGAAAGAAATCTTGAGTCTTATTGCTGACAATTTAGATTCCCCCCATTGGGCTATCAAGCATACGGCCGCTTTGGCCCTTGCTGATGCTATTACGTCCTTGGAACAAAACTTGGACCTTGCCACCGGAGAGCTCATATGGCCAGTCTTGGAGCGAGCTTTAGCGGGGAAGACTTGGGACGGGAAAGAAATTGTCTTGAATGCGTTTGTCAAATTTACCAACAAGGCGGAGATACTCTGGAGACAAAGGGAAAAGGTCGGGAAACAGATGGAAGTGAGTCCATTCTTGGTTATCTTACACGGTAGAAGACTAATGGGCGTTTTTTAGGTCATTGCCATCCGGGAGGCAAAGCGCACTAATCTGGCCTATCGCCCTCATGCGATCAAGGCCTTCGGGGACTTTGCGGAAATAAGGAACGATGTTGACCTGATGTCGGCTAGCCTTAGTATCGTCCGTCCTGTGGTAGAGGAACTGGCTGAGGACGACAAAGACAAGATGGACATTGACTCTGGCAATGTTCAAGCCAAGTAAGTCAGCTGAGCGCTCTGGTCAACAATCGGTTCAACAATCGGTTCGGGGCTGAGAATGAACTTAAATTTAGTGCAGAAGCGACACTAGCAGCATGTGTGCATTGTCTGCTACACTGCTTCAACCCCGCCATCCAGACATCTACTTCAGGTGAGTTGATCGCCACCCACTGGTTTAGGCAGAGCACTAAGTAGTTTCAGCCCTAAAAGATTACTTGACCGAACTATTGCCCGTATCGGAGAAGGCTGTCCAAAATGGGGGCAGGGCCGTACACGCCACGGTATACGACGGACTGCAGGGATTATTTGGTAAATTGGAAAAAAGGTTTTCCAGCGCCGAGGCTCCCAGATCAGATCTAGCAGACCTCGAAGCCACAGTGATCGCTCTGGCAAATGGGCTACTTTTTCGCGATGTCGACCTACCCGGGGAGACTACCAGGATTCAGCGGGCGCAGGCAATGGTGGCGTATATTGCTATCTGTCGGAAGGTGCCGTACATAGTGAGCCAAGAGCAGCGGCAGTTGCTGCGGGCGTGGCACGGCAGAGAGCGATCTGGACCGGTGCAGCGTATTCTGACCCAGGCGATTGACTGGTGATACTTTAGATTTCTGGATGACAACCACGTGGGAGATCGACGGTAAGGGTGGTTTCAAGTTTGACGTTGTCGGCCAACCCTGTGATTCGGGGAGGCGTGTGGCGTTGAGCGGAGTCTACTGCCGCTTCGGTACTAGAGAACGAATGACCCAGGGAAGCTCGTTGGGGATTCGGTCGAGGCCATGTGCTTTTTCGCATTGTTGTCCGGAGTAGACCCGCGACAGGCGCCGCATTGTGGCTGGCACGTTCCAGACCTGTTCGGCCTCGAGAAGAGATTTCGGGGGCGGTTGTTGGCCAGATCGAGCAGCAATGGATGGGTGTTGGGCGTATTCCTCGTAACCGCAGGGATAGCGATGGGCAGCAAGCGTAAGTACACGGACGAGCCATGAATAAACAAAATAATGGATGAGACAAGGCGGATCGACGCATCAAGCTTTTAGGGCCGGTTCGCAACGAATTTAACCGGATGCTTATAATAATGTACCAGACTACGAGTAAATATCGGACTCACGTGACCGAGATGGCATTGACAGCAAAAACGTTTTTTGACTGAGCACGGTAACTTGGTTGGCTCTCTTGGCTTCCTGTTTCGGTCGGCTTACATTGGGGATCAGGCTGTCAAGTTGGTCAAGGCACGTTTACAATGGGGCCAAAGCGCCTTTGTCCTAGGTAAGGGAAACGTCGATCAGACAAACCAGACACTGCTCGATACCCTCTCGAATCTGACCACTCTCCGGATCATGTTTATCAGACTACTGGACCGTCCCATACTCTATGCTTGCGGAGGCGTCGCCGGCGCCGGACATGTCCGGGAGTCCAATTTAGCGCCGACAGTAATGACAGCTGCAAACCAGTCTATCGGAGTCTCCCAAAAGTATCACCATGGCCTAATACTGCCCGATAGACTCATCGTCACAAGGGTGTGATCTTTAGTTAGCCTTCAGCCCGGAGGACCGGACAGGGGCCGATTTAATTAGATCTGAGCAGAATGGTCAGCGGCTGCGCATTGGCCAGAGAGCAGCCCATGCTAGGGTATGCATTCAAGCTGGCAATCGGAACGATCCCATCTCCTCCCTGACGGTCGATAGTTGCGGCCTCTCCACAAATGGTATTGCTTGTGTAATAGACTTTCCTGGTCTTTTCGGCAGATTTTTATGCAAGCAATGATAGCACTTCCGCCCGGTAACCGTGGGAAGCGAGCAACAAGAGGATCTCTCCCATGTTGTCGGATACTGCTTGGCATCGTTAAAGGACACTGTCAATTGGAATGGAGGCACCGGTAATCATAGTGCCGTCTGGCTTTTGCCCCCCCTCTTCTGGGGATACTCGTCATCTCTTTCTGCTCTGGTGATGGGGGGGGAGGGGTTCTATTTCGATGGGCTTGAGGGGCAGAAAGTATACAGCCCAAAACGGCAGACGGAATTGAACCGCGATCAACACGCTCAGATCTCGCGGATAACTCTACTTTGAGTCTATTGTTTTCTCAGCCATAGGGAAGCTTGGGACTATCGTCTGCTGCTGCTGGGGGCTGCCTGATAATGCGGGCTCGACGGCTTCTTTTGAGCCTCATGATGCATTCCCCGGCAGTTCCTGCAGTTCCTGCAGAGCAAGTGTTTCTTAACTTCAGGCAATATCGGCCGGCAGATCAATTTCACAGCCAGTTCCTGTTCAGTCGTGGAGCCAACGCAAGACGGCCAAAACGAGGACCCAGCCGGGGAACCACAACGGTCATGAACCCACCGCCACGCCCGCGGAAGGCAAACAAGACAAGTCTGGCCGACGGGATCAGCCACTCCCATTGGAGAGTTCATCACCGTCGCTCTTCTACCAACTGTACGCGAAGCACAAAACACGGACGGCTATCGACTCGGGGCGCCAAGGTAATAAATAGTATTCGCTCGAAACTCGTTCTGCGGAGCCGAACTCAATAATCATGCCGTTGGGTTTTAGGCTCATGGTACGTACGTGTCTACGAACTTTCGTCTAGTTCGCTTGCTGCGGTCGTTGACAGCCGTCCCTAGCAGCCTCTTTGCGCACTTGCTGCAGAAACGCCCTTAGGGCCCACGGAGGATGGGGACCTAGTTTGCCAGATCGGTCCAAAAGCCCGTGGTGGCAGTCGTCCAGAATGATGGGGTTCGATTATGGCAGCCCAAGGGTAAACAGCCCTTAGCTTCTGCCCTGGATCTCTCTCTCTTGTCCCCCAGCCATGGGTCCGGCCTGTCAAGCTCTGCCTGGATCGCCTCCCGCCAGGTACAGCTGATGATCGATCCGATGAGGGCATCCGGCCGGGACCCGACAATGATGGCTTCATACTTCCTCTATCTGGTCCGGGGTCCGTCCTAGTCGTTGCCGGATAGCGACCACATCGTTGGCACCTGAGGCGAATGTGAATACCGCCGTGGTCTCAGGTTTACGTTCTTCTTGACGATTATCCATCCTTTCTTCTGCAAAGGGATAGTCCCCGTACTTCACTCACGGAGGAAGATACCTTCGAGCTTCATTCCCACCTGCATAGTCCATTTCCAGGTCCCGCCACAAAAGGTAGATCAGGTCCGATCATGCCTCGATCATGATAATGACTATTTGTTGCGCCAGACTTTATTACGGGCCCGGACTATGAATACGCCTGCATACCCCCATCTTCCCCAGGACCCTGTGAGATCATTAATGAGCTTCGTATCCCAGCTGTTAGGGCTTGTTCCTGATTGTTTACCGGGCCTCTAGAGGTAAAAGGAACGTCGGCTCCTCTTCCTCTTCTCCCGTCAGTCCCTTGGGAGCCCTTCTACTTCCTTACTTTTTTTGACGTGACACCTCTCTTAAGATCTGTATCACCCTTCGGAACCCCTCTCCGAACTTGAACTCTTTTGGGGGCCGAGACGGATAGAAGAAGAGCCTTTCTCTTCGTGCTTTCCTCGCGTGTTATTACCCCGTGGGTCAGCGTGCTGGCAGATACTCACTTTAGGTCCTTCCGGTACCCCGCCAAGCCGTCCTCATCTACGAGTGAGATTTCCAACGGCTCGGAAACAACTGATCTGATCTGATGACGGTGACAAGACTTGTAATGCCAAACAGGCGGGGTGGAACATCATCCGGGAAGCAGCCGCTGCGGTTACCGATCATTGCACCAAAGGACGATGCCTCTTCATCCAGGACTGCAAGCCGTAGTACCGATGTGAACTCTCCTAATCTCTCGGTGCCTTCGCGTGTTCGTCTGCCACCACGATCGAGAACAGGTTGCTGGTAAGTCACGATACAATCCCGAGTCATCTGACCTTCTTACGAAATGCCATGTTTACAATCTCGAATAGGACATGTAGGGTAAGTATTACCAGGTGCTCCTTTTTTTCCGGGGGGTATCTAGTAGACTGACTAACGTCTGTGCTTTTGTTTGGTTGTGCAGAGACGCAAAGGTAAGCGTGGATCTAAGAAACCAGGACTCGCAATGACAGCTCAATTGACAATTTCTCCGTAGTGAAATGTGACGAAGGTCGTCCAACATGTGGCGTATGTATTTCTAACCCCCAACCCTCAGTCCGCCCCTAGGACCTCGTTGATCAGATTTACTCAGAGATGATGTAGCAATGTGCCCGTCTGGGTCATGTCTGCGACTACAATCCGCGGCTGTCCTTCCGCGACGACACTCCTCGAGTCATGGGGAGAATGGCAGAAGTATTTACGACGGGAAACTCCGTCTGGGACCGTAAGTTATATACTTCCGCAGTTTCGTGTGATGTGTCCATCTCTCTAATTTTCACGGATTGGTCTGCGCAGCTACGTCACCAACTCGTGCCAGTTGCAGGTCCAACACATCTCCAGCGGATGATACTCTTCCACCTTTCGCATACCTGACCTCGGACGAGGAACGAGAGCGAAAGGCGGAAGCGTACACTCCAGGTACTTATCATGTTATTGTTAATCCGAATAGTTTCTCGGCCCTCCCAGAATACGCCGACACCTCAGCCGATGGCGCCAGTGCCGGAGAACCCGACGTCCGTAGGGGTTCCGTTGCCAGTTCTAAAGTCGGCAGTATTCGAGGGGACGAACAGGAAAACGCCATGGAGACCGATGATCCCAACGTTGTGATTCTGAGCAAATTCGAAGATACTCCACGACGACCTTCATCCGCTTGGCGAACTTCGAGGCTATCGGCCACTCCAGAAGCGGCAGATCCTTCGCCTACCTCAATCTTCCCTCAACTTTCGCTACATGAACCAGTCACAGAGGGACTGTCTGGACCTCTGGAGCAGGTGGTTGCGCGGGGAAGCGATGACGCAAAACTTCTCGCCCATTTCCGCGATGTTGTCTGGAAACAGCTTGTTCAGACGCAATCTTTTCAAGGAGGGTCTCCCATCTCACATTTCCACGTCCCAGGAGCGGAAATCTTTGAGCAGGAAGCTGCCACGTTTCGTCCAGTAAGTCCACCGTCATGCGCATCAAATCAAAGGGGAAGGAATGCCAGAAATAGAGGAGGGAAGGAAGAGTGAAAAAAGGAAATGGTCCATGATTTTAACTTTTATACCCCCCAGCTTTTCCATGCGATGATGGCAGTGTCCGCGCTCAGTCTGGCTCACCAGGACGGTGGGCAGAGTATCGACGCTCTCCAGCATTATCAACAGGCGTTCCCCTCGCTTCAGACCAGTCTTCGGAGCCCGCAAGACCTTTGCTCGGACGGACTCTTTCTGACTCACTTCTTGCTGCTTATCTACGAGGTATGGCTCCTCGTTTGGTCATCGAGTCCATTGTATTTTGTGGCTATTGACACGTCCTAGATTGCTGCCGCTGAGCCGGGTGGCTCGAATCTGTGGTCGCACCACATCTCCCGGTTACTGCGTATATCACTCATGCGGCGCTCGACTCTCGGGAGCGAGCGATATCCATTTATAATTTGGTGGGTTTGCACCATTGATCTCTACGCACTCTTCAGCGGTGCGGGAAGCGGAGAGTTTGTTGGAGCCATGGTCAAGGGCAACATGCTCCCGGGGCCTGACACTCTTCTGTACCCTACGAGCCCCACAGGATATAGCGTGATCTACCCAGAGGAGAATGATAGTCTGCCTATGATCCTGCAGATGCATCACGATACTTTCGTCTTGGCTATACGGTTAGGTTTCCTGGCAGCAGACCTTCGAAGAGAAGCCATGTCCTCGCGCTTTCTTGCCGGTTCAGTAGGTCCTGCACCGTTTGCCCATCCTACGAGTCGCCTGAAGAAACTCTTGGAGCTACGAAACAGCTTGAGGTTGCTCTGGGAGTCGCCCAATGCCATCTGGCTTCGCCAGAACATGAGCAGTTTCCCCCCGCGGTCCGTGGAACTGTGGCAGCAGGTGAGTGATAGTTCCTTTATTTGCGATCAAACCCATCACCGTCATTGGCTAACAATATTTGCGCCAGTCTATATCTCTCTACCATGCCTGCGTCCTCTTCTCCTATACCAGCATGTGGCCGGGCCAGCGTCTGGGACCGGAAGGTTCTCCCGACGAAGAGCTTATGCGCCACTCGGCGGCTATACTACGAATCGCGGAGAGCATAATCCGAGCTGGGCGGTTGGATCTTCGTTTTATAATATTTCCTCTCTTTACGGTCGGGGTGTCTACACCGTCTGGCAGCCAAAAGATGATGGCACTGGACTTCATATCGAGCATGGAGAGGGCCGGCGTTGGGCGCAATGCGACGACGACACGGCATATCCTCCAGATCGTATACGAACGCCAGACGCAACAATTGATTGCTATGGGGCATTCTTTCCATCTCTACTGGGTCGATATCATGATTGAGCAAGGGTTACAAGTGGTGAACTTTGGATTGTGACGGATATAATACAACGGTGTCTTGGGCCGGGAGGGAGAACGCGCATACAACTAGTATCAGTTGACTACCTTGTTTTTTTATTTTGTATTTTGGCCCCCTTTCTTCCTTCTCTCCGTCTTGTGTCTCCATTATTGGCGCTTTGATCGGCGCAAACCGGCTATACCAGAGGGGGTGGGCGCCGTGGCATTCTGTTTGGTGATTGCATGATTTTCCGAGCATTGTTCGCGTATACGTTTTGCATGTTTTTTTCAAGTGATCTGCATGTGTAACGAAGCAGTCAGGGACGCCCCATATGACTAGAAGATAGATAATAATTTATGCCTAGATGAGAACATGGGTTGATGGTAATCCTAAGCGATCGAGTGTTGATAGTAATCCTAAGCGATCAAAGGGTTGTGGTGTAAATAAACTCTCCGGGAATGAGGGCCGACAAGTATACTATTAAAACGCCGCCACGCCTCCGGAAGCGTCAACAAAAGAATGACAGGAATGACAGGCCCCTTGCCTCGGTTATAACTGTCAAAGTGCTGTCATATCCACACGTGGGAGAGACAGCCAGGTAAACGGCTTTACCCCTTGCATTGTTCATCTCGAGTAAATTTACCTCCGATGTCATTCTTGGCGGGGATGTGACACGTTCAAATAACCGTTTCTTGTCAAGAACAAGAACTATGGTTCATAGAAAACAAGAACTGGTTATGAGTTGTGAGTTATTTCAGCGTTTTGTGCCTTGCCTCGACCGTGATGATCTCCATGCCTGAAGGTGTATAATACCATAGTCAGTTACTCAAAGACTAACTAGTTATAGAATTCGAAGCAAAGACAAAGGGATCGACGGAGACTATTTCCTGATAAGAGCCATACTTGCTGTAAGTCAATTCACATAAAGTTAACTTCACTTCTAAGTTCTTGGTCGCTAAATGCTCCCAAGAAAAGAGCAATCCTGGTCAGATCAGACTTTCCTGCTCACTTCCCCCTCGCATCATCTCTCGTCTCGTCCTCTCGTCTCCCCTCTTCTCTTCTCTGGGCTGAGCTGAGCTGACAAGGCTGAAGATAGCTTCTCCTCGCGCCAGGATAACCAGGGAGGCCAAGAAAGGACGAATCAGCGCAATGGCACACTAGTTCCAAGCATCGTCGCTCATGGCGTCGTTTCTGCACGAGCAGCCAATGATGGCGCATAATCGCGCTCTTCACAACCCCCTCGGCGGCTATCGAGGGGATTAGGAGTTGATCGATTGATTGATTGATTCCTGGATGCTTCAACGGGCGCGTAGCACAGCCCAGGCCGTCTGTGATCGGCTCTATGACCTCCTGATCTCTTTCTCTTGTTTCTGACTTCATCTCTGTGCACCTGTCTTATTTTTTTAAAGTCCTCCCTTGCAGCCAGTGGATTCAAAGATACCCCCCCTTCTGCGTTGAGTTTCTGTCGCATGCGAGCGTCGGTCGTTGACCCCTCGGCGACTCCGTTTACCCCTCATTCGCGCTGCTGGTTGCTATCATCGTCAATCAGTTGGACCGGCCACCACATCCCCAGCGCTTGAAGCCCCTTGACTGTGTCTGATCGGATCGTCTGGATTTCTAAAAATAAACCATCTCCTGTGTCAATTTGCTGTGGCCGGTGTCGTGACAGGAACGCGGTATCGAATCGATTCAATCCGGCGACATGAGTGTCACCGGCGGTCATCATGGCAGACCGGACGACGAATTGTTCCTGAGTAGCTCCTCGGGCCCTGGGACTCCCCGTGTTGAGCCTCTACGCATCAGCAAGAGAGGTGATTCTTCGTCTCCAAGCTCAGCAGCAGCTCAGCAGCCTGGTGCGACGACCTCGTACTCGTCTAGCCCCCTCCCGTACCCTGACGATCGACCACAGCCGCAGCAGATGCGTCCAAGCAGCTCCAGTCCGCAGTTACCATACCCGGACGGTGGACGAGCTGGCACTCCTCATTCTTCAGAAGTCAGGCCGGCGAATTACCCAGTGGCTCTGCGGCCGCACGATGGACGGGAGTCCAAAACGCCTACATTGGCGGAAAGACGGGGAACCGTGCCAAAACCATTGCCAGACTCCCCAGGACCTGATATTCCCGAGAAAGAGGACTTATTCCAGAGAAACCCGCAGCGGGCGCCGGTCGCCCCGGGCAGTGGCGCACAACCAGATGTAAACGCATATCCGGCTTATACTCAGCACTACTTCCCGCCTCCTGGAGCGTCTGGAAATGCTCAGGGAGGTCTGCGTCCCACCAATCCTAGCTCTATCAATAGACTCGGTTCAACAGCGTCAATTTCGACGACACGCGCACAGCGTGGTTCTCCGCCCCCGCCGGAGACGCCAGTTGTCGGACCGGAGCAGCAGCCCGGAAACGATATCGAAGCACGTTATGCAGCTGCTGGGATCGCTGGTACCTCGACTCTGACAAGTCTTCAAGCTCACAATGCGGCTGCACAGAGACGAGCTGAACAGTATGCAGGCCAGCAGCAGAGGATGCCGCAGGCGGTTCAGCGGCCATGGACTCCTACTGAGCTGCCGGGCAGTCAACCCCATGGTCCTCCGACAGTTTATCAAGGCCCCAGCCAAGTGATCTCTCCTCACACCGTCTCTTCACCTCCTCCAGTCTCTCAGCCTACTCATCCAGTCCAAAATGGAGGAAGCTCGCAGCCAAGTAGGGTTCCTCCAAATGCCCTGGAACAGGACTTCCAGAGGATGAGTATCAGCCATTCGCCTCCGCCTGCTTACTCTAGTGTATCTGGTGCAAATGCAACTCAGGCATATCCAAACGACAAACAGAGGCCAGAGTCAGTGCAACCGGCACAGCCTGTAGGGCATCCTGCCTTGGCGTCTCCGGGACCTTCGGCCGCTGCATCCACGCCGGCGCCCTCTACGCTGAGCCATCCTGCATATGCCAATGATCCAAGACAGCAACAACCTGCAACATCACCTCAGCAGCAGAACGTCCAGAATGGACAACACGGGGTGCAGCAGACTCAAGCCAATGCGTCACCAGCGCCATCAGGAATTCCACCTGCATCGCCGCCTCCGTTGCCAGAAGGTTGGATCGCGCATCTGGATCAAAACTCTGGACAGTACTATTACATCCATCTTCCGACGCAGTCTACTCAATGGGAGTTCCCTAAGGGACCGACGCCCCTGAACTTGAACGACGCACCGCTGTCACCGGTTGGCAGTGTGTACGGTGGCCATGCGTTGACGTCTCCCGGCTTGTCAACGTTCGGCGGGAAGCCGCTGGCTTCACCGGGTATGCCGTTAACTCCTGGCTACGAAGCCAGTGTTATGAGCTTGAATTCGCCAGCTGGCGGTTTCACAGGGCCGCCACCGACGAGTGGCGTCGATTTGTACCGAATTGCTCCGACGAATGGTGTTTACTTTGGTCCATATCTTCGATACACCAACATGGATCTGGAGCGAGGTCTCTGGCTGGGTTCCATTCTTCTGGTCACTGATGCCCCTCAGCCTCCTACCATCCATATCCACCAAAGTGTTGATCTCTCGCCTAACCCGCGGCAGCTGAAACCAGCTAAAATCGCCGTTCACCAGCGATGGGCCTTCTACAAGTACGAAGTCGACCTGAAGATGGAAGAGACTGGACCGGCAAAATGGACTTATGCCGTGACCTCCCACCTTGGTTGCACTCGGTACGAATTCTTGGTCGCAGGACGTCATGAGACGAATTGGCGGTTCATTGCAACTTCTGGGAATGACTTTGGGCTTCATGTTAATGCAAACGAAAGATCTCGCCTTGGTGGCATCAGCTTCATGTGGAAGGATATCATGCAGAAGCATGCGGAAATTGGGGGATTCCACGCGCAACTAGGCCTGGGTGGTCAGGTCTTCGCAGACAGGATATGGAAGGAATTGCCCTGTCTCAAGCAGTGGCTCGCAATGAGGGGTAAGGAAGCTAGAAAAAATGCGCCCTGGACCGCTGCCCACGAGGAAGATGTCTCACACGCCTACTTCCACTACTATACCAGCCACTTTGATCAACCATATTTGAGGGAAGCCTTTGCACAGATTCCTCATATTCTGCAGATTGACGATCACGACATGTAAGTATATCTTTGACGCGTCCGAAGGGTCTATTGCGTTCCAACATTGTATTAACTTAACTCAGATTCGATGGCTTCGGGTCATACCCGGAATACATGCAATTTTCAAACATGTTCAAGAACATCGGACGGATCTCCATTGAGATGTACCTCCTCTTCCAGCATCACACGACGCTTGAGATTCTGCGCAATGCCAGTGACGATACTGATCTCTTCACCATAACGGGGACTGGCTGGCATTTCATCAAGTATCTTGGCCCAGCAGTCGTCGTTGTCGGTCCGGATTGTCGGTCTGAAAGAAACCCGCATCAGGTCCTGGCAGGACCAACTTACCAGGGGCTGTTCCCGAAGGTAGCGACGCTTCCGGCAAGTGTGCAGCACTGTATCTGGATGATTCCCGTACCTCTCATCTATCCTAGACTCGAGACTGTTGAGCAAGTCGCTCACACCTTTGCTACCGGAAAGAAGGCAGTAACCGGTGCCTATAATGTTCTGGGCAAGGTGACCAGCTCCGTTGCTGGGGTAGTGGGAGCAAAGGAAGCTGTTGGTTCTGGGTTCGAATCTATCAAGCGTGCTGTTGGAAAGACCGGCTTGATGGGCGGGATTTTGAATCCTTTCGGTGACGTTGAGTTCCTAGATGAGCTGAGGGACCAATGGACGCACGATTCTAAGGTATGATCAGACAGCACCCTTCTCTCTCTCTCTCTCTCTTTATGAATATTTACTTATATGTGCTGCAGGATCTCGAACGGACATATCTCATTCGGACTCTACAGGGCATCGCCAAGCAGAAAGGTATCCGCATGACTTTCGTCTCGGGGGCCGTCGGTACATGCGGTGCAGGAATAGTCCATGACCCGACGAGGCCGTCAGACCACAAAACCATGTATCAACTCATCTCTTCGTCCGTTGTTAATGTCCCGGCACCATCCTACATCATCAAAATGCTCCACAACAACAAACCCTTATACATCCCGGCGAACGGCCACCGTTCCACTCCCTCTGAACCCACCGACACCAAAGAGGACATGCTGGAGATCTTCAAGGTGGATGTCAACGGCCAGCCACGCGACCATCGCCGGCTCATGGGTCGCAGAAACTACGTAGCAATCGTGGCATATGACCCTGAGGTTGTGAATGCCACGTACGGTCCTACCGACATGGGCCGTGGAGGCGGAAAGCTCAGCCTTGCTGCGGACTTTATGGTTCAGGGAGATGGAGCGTACGCAAACGTGGTCAAGTACGGACCTGTTGTTGTGCCTAGTCTGGAATTCGGCCGGTAATGAGGACCTCATCATATCATAGCGTACTTCCTTTTTTTTTCCAGCTAACCCTTTTTTTCCCTACTTCATCCTGCATATCTATTTCCCCGATATACTGTTCTTTTTTCTTTTTCTTGGCATGTTTGGACTTTTAACAGGCTGGCCCTCCATTCCGTCTCGGATATAATTCTTTTGTTTTCTTTCTTGAGGATACTTATGAATAGTATAAACATACTACTTTTCTCCATTCAAATCTTGGTATAGTTATTATCAATTATTAGTTACTTAACTAGTACTCTTAACTAATACTTATCGGGTATAATAAGCAGCAAGCAACGACCACACCCATTATTATTCCATCCCATTAACCGTCCGATCTCCCAACCAACCAACGCCCAGGGCAAAAAAAGACATTCAGTAAATTAAAAAACGAAAATTAAGATTTGATGAATCAATGTATGCACATCCTCATATCACATGACAAGACACTATGGCCGAGTGGTCTAAGGCGACAGATTAGAAATCTGTTCTCTTCGGAGGCGTCGGTTCAAATCCGACTGGTGTCGAATTTCCTTTTTTTTTTTCCCGCCGCCTTACTCGATGTTAAACGGAAGAGCAAGAATTATTATTGTCCGAGTTTTTTTTCTGGCTTTATCCATATTGCTTGAATTTTTTTTTTACTTTTCGTTTTCTTCCCATCCTCGAAATTTACTTGGGTCGCCGCCGGGGACACATAGGCCGAGACGATAGAAGTAGTCTCTGTGTGAAAGGAAGAGTTCCCATAGACGGTATCGCGCGGGGAGGAGGGACCATTTTGTTCTGAATTTGTCGGAGGATTCGTCTAGGTTCGACTCCGCGTCGATTAAGGATAGGGGTGATTGCTGGATGGGGCTGATGTTTGATTTTGGATTTCGGCGTAAGAACGGTGAGAGACCGTCGATCACAGACGGTATTGTGGAGGAGGATAGTTCGGACTCGACGATACAATGCGGATCATGGTCCCCATTGCAATGTTGCAGGTCCGAGACTGAGGGAGGAAGGTCCATTTTTGAAATATAGATTTCACCAGCGTGCATCTTGTATCCCCATTCCTCGAGCGGGAGGAGAGGAACGGGATCATTGATATGCGTAACTCGACGGAATTGAATATCTTCGTCTCCGTCCCGGAGAATCATATCGTTCATAGATATATAACGGCTTTTTGGTCCCCCACTGCTGCTCCCCGGTCCCGTGAGATTGAACTTTTCATCCAGAAATGACGCCAGCGCTTCGTTTCCGATTCTGGGCTCTCCAAACGTCGTCACCTGCGGGTTCCACCCACGAACCTGCATTTCCAGTCCTGCTAAGGCCGCTACCGCGCCGCCTAGGGAGTGTCCTACCAGCACGACCTTGTAATCAGGATACTGCGCCAGAGCATCCTTCACATGTGGAATGACAGTGGTACGTGCGGTCTTCCACGAGGTGAGGAAACCGGCATGTACAGTGCAATTGGAGCATTTGTCGCGATCTCCTGCGTCATCCCCGTCGTCATCGTTGCCGTCGTCGGGGCCCGGATATGGGACGTACACCTGCGGAACGGCAGAGAGGTCGATGATAGTATTTGTAATCGAGTACGTGCCGCGAAAAGCGACAATGATCCGTTTCTCATGCGGTGGATGAGAGAGGGCGATGTAGCCGCATGAGTCGGAGATGAGGGGACCGGTATTCCATGTCTGAAGAGAATAACTAACGTCAGTATTCGCATTCATTGAACTAGATTGACTCGAGTGAAAAAGACAAAGGAATATAGAATCTATTTAAGATCCATACCGTAACCAATTCAAATCCCTTAAACTCATCACATCGACTCAGACATTCGAATGGTTTCTGAATACCCGTCCCTGTGACGCCGACGCAGTATGAGATATCCACGACCCGGGCCAGTTCATCTAGGGATTCGAAAAGACCAGGGCTCACTCGACGATCATTGTGCGGGTTTCCTGGAAGGACCGTACAGCCTACCAGTCCTGTGAGAGAAAAGAGGGAGTAGTAAAGACATGCGATGCCAAAGGCCTTCATCGCGAACGGAGGTGAGTGGAGGAGGCCAGACGCATCCTGTCCAATTCCCTCGCTCGAGTGAGGTGCGGACGGGGAGATGATGAGAGATGAGGCCAAAAGCAGGGGGGAAAGAAGGGCGGTGATCTGGTGATGTTAACATGTTGGCGCGTGACGTTGAGAAACTCACGGACCACTGTAGAATCCGGGGTAAGTGGACCTCCGATAGGCTGGGGGAGTTAGTCAATACTATGGTATAGAAGCACTCCCATCATGATCAGACAGCTTACTTCTGAGCTATAATTGAGACCAGGCATTTCGTAGCTGCTCGCGATTTACAAGTCTTCATGAGAAAATACCCATCGTGGCGACTCGAACGATGCCAAGCTCTACTTCTAATATATATATATATATATATATATATCTTAATCAGGGGGCTGTCGGTCGAAAGTTCCAGGTTACTGTCTATTTCGTGATTAATAAAGAGGCTATATACAGTGAAAGGTCTACTGAAAGGCCTACTGTCAGAGTGCCGTTCCCAAAGTACATAGTCCAAGAATTACGCTTAGATGGACCAGATAACGACTCTGCCGTCCACGCCGCTCGCTGCAAAGTAAATTAGCAACATGATACAACAAGAGAAACTTCCGGATACTTACTGCTGAACTTGCGGACAACTCCACCAGCCTCTTCATAGACACGGATCGTGCTGATGGTGTTCTGGTGGACCGTCTGGAGCTGAGTGTCATCCTGCGTCTGTCCCTTCAGGTCCATCTGACGGAACATGTTAAGGGCGGACTCCTCGCGGGCACCACCGGCGCCCGGTCTCTTCTTCGTCTCGACGGAACCAACAAGTTCCCAGCCGCTCTCGTTTCCACGGAAGCGGAAGGCCTCACAATCCTACGAGATTTGTTAATAACAACGAGAAAGGGCAGCTCTGAGGAAAGACTTACGTGACCAGCGGCGACGATCTCATTCTCGCCGTTCCAGATCAAGCTGTTGAATGGCAGAAGACGGGTGGTGACGTTCAACATCGCCCTGGGAGGCTGCTCGGGGGCGCTGGGATAGACAACGGTCACGCTGCTGTCGTGGGACACAAAGGCGAGAGCGTCACCGCTTGGGGAGAAGCTCACTCCGTGAACCCAGCCAGCAGAGTCATTCAGGAACTCTCCACAGATGGTGTTGAAGGGGAGACGCTCGCCCCATGCGCTGGGGGGAGGGCGCTCATCCACACCCTTAATGAAAGCGGAGAAGACTCGAGCGTGAGAGTCCGTCGAACCAGCAGCCAACAGAACCGAGTTCGGGTGCCATGCCAGCGTCGTGATGGTGCTGCGAATTGGCTTCTTCAGGTGCTTGGAAACCCACCAGTCGTTCTCCTCCTCGAAGTAGCAGACGGCGATCACGCGAGCTCCCGACCCGACGGCGAACTTCTGCTCAGAGGGCGACCAGCGGACAAAGGTGGCGGCACGGTTGATACGGAGCAGCACCAGAGTAGGCTTCCAGCCCGTTGGGGTGCGTTCCCAGACGTAGGCGTTTCGGTCTATGGAACAGGTCGTGAGCAACACGTATCTCAATTGAGGATAGGCTTGACCGAGAACCTACCCTGGGAACAGGTGACAATTCGACCGCCGTTGGGAGCGATATCAACACTTGTCACCAGCTTTTCGTGACCCTTCAGCTCATCTTTCAGAGTGAACTTTCCGCCGGCTGCCTGGTATAGTTCCACGTTGTTGTCCCGCGCAACGGCCAGCGTCTGCTTGTCCGACGAGAAGGAATGGTCCGCAATTGGGTTGTGGAAGAGGTGGTGAACTTCGGGAGCCGCCATGATGGATGTTATATGTTTGCTGCGACAGGAGGAGCTCTCTACTGTCGCTGTCCTGAGATGTTGCTGGTTGCGATGGGATCAGGAGTTCGCGGGGCTCTGATGACGCCGGAAGGCCGTTTATGTCAGCATGTCACGTGCTTACATACACAGCTCCAAAATCAACGACGCCAACCGTCAATGGCAGGTCATCGCTCCCTTTTCTTCGCGTTGCGCACCACGGCAGGGACAGTTCCATCTGTTGCACTCTACATCTCTGCACAGTAGTGTATACCCTTCTTCAGGTCACAACAATGGCTACGAAGTCCCTGTCTACTCGCAATGGCCCACCGGGCAAGCCTCCCTCGGTCGGAGCTCCAAATCAAACGTCAGTTACGAACTTACGGCCCCGATGGTTATAACGAGCAGAATCACTGACAGTGAAGCAGTCTATACGTACAAAACCTTCCAGACAAGTTGAGGAAACCAGACCTGCGTCTCTCCCTCTATACCCTTTTCTCCTCCTACGGTACCGTGCTCGACGTGGTTGCGATGAAGACGGCCAAGATGCGGGGACAGGCTCACATCGTGTTCCGAGACGTGCAGTCGAGTACGCAGGCCTTGCGGGCTCTTCAGGGATTTGATTTCTTTGGCAAGGAAATGGTACGTCCTCGTATTCGGAGAATTCAGCTTTCGTTATGCTGACCACCCGTGATTGCAGAAAATTGTCTATGCTAAGGGCAGTTCGAACGTAATCGCGAAGCTTCGAGGCACCTACGTCGGCCCGATCTCCCAGGCTCCTGCTGGTGTCTCTACTGATCTTCAAAAGTCCATCTTCAATGCGCCTCCTGGAACTGCAGTATCTGCGAAACCGGCTGAAGGAGCTAATGGAGAGCACCCACCGCAGGGTGTTAAGCGTCCCCGTGAGGAGGAGGAAGAGGAGAGCGAAGGAGAAGCTCCCATGGAGGAAGAAAGTGATGTGTCGATGGATGCGTCATCCGATGAGGACTAAGCGTATCACCATTATCCTTATGTCTTCTGCTGGCAGGTGACGAGCGAGCATCTTTTTTTCTTGCCAGAGTCACTTGACCTGTCGTCGAAATGTACGCGTTTTTTCAAGGATGCTGCCTATTATCACTGGCAAGGAGCTCACGTGGAAGATGAAGGTTGACGCAGTTGCCAACCAAGCCGAACCAGAGGAGCAGATATGACTCGGGATCCAAGTTTTTGCCGTCCGCTATCTGTGTGAGCGCGTCGGCCGTATTGCACGGGTGCACAAAATACGCCGGAGTACCCGTCTCCGGATGATCCTGGGAATCTGTGTGTGAGCTCATGGAAAAGGTTCGGGCGGAGGTGGCAAAGATATCGGGGGACTTTTTACCCCCATGCTGATGGCGCCCAGGACGCCTACTGCTTGAAGCTCATCCTTATATTGGTCGGGCACTAGATAAGTGTAGACAGCGTCGATGCCGCGGGGACCGGCAGGAGGGGCATGGCGCCAGGTGAAATACAGCACGGGGACTTGATACGTGGGCGAACGCACGATGCTGTACTCTATCTCGATGCGAGGCGCGCGATATGCGGGACGAATCAAGGCTTCCTACCATAAGTTATCAGATGTCGATCCTGACTGGGCTGGCTGGGGGGAGGGAAAGGAAAAGAAGAAAGGAAAGGGTTCTTGGCCCCCGCATGGTTTGTTTTTACGGACGTTATCATCCTCTTCCACCTGGTCCGTTGGCAGTTCGTCCTCAGCACGTTGCGGGTCAGCCTGATTTGAGGTGTCGATCGGGGCCAGGGCCTTTGATATCTTCAAAATGGACGATGCGTTATGCTATAATTCCCCCGCACCCACCGGAGACGACATGGTCAATATAATGCAATAACTCCTTCGTCTATCCCGCTCTTGACATGCATGTAGATGTAGAAAGGCCATACTCGCAGGGAAAAGCCAAGGAGATCTACTTACCTGGTACGGGCCATGATGCCGGTCCTGCCAACGAACCGACGTCCACCCCAGCACCTCCGGAGATCCGAATGCATGGACTCGGCCAACGAAGACGCGGCAGGCAGTATCGAACTCGGCAGGCGTCAGAAACGGGAAATCCGACAACATGACAGGGGGGTAAAGATAGTAGCTGTAGCTGTGGTAGTATCCCCCTTTCTTGCTGCGGCCACTATTAACTTTTTACTAAAAAGTTCAAACGGAGGAGTACGTAGTTAGTGTGTGTGCTTAAACGAGGCGAAGCTAAGAAAGATTTACCTAGATATGGTACGTATGTAGCTTTAGTAACTAGCTTGTGTGGGTGGTTTGATAGGTAAAATAATAATAGGCCTGCAGTTTGAGGTAGGGGATTACGATAGATAGATTGAGGGGTCAATCGATAAGGTGTCGAGAAAAGTGCAGTTGAGATGTGGTTTTTTGTAGCGGACTCGTTGATTCTTTAATAATAATAATCTTGCACGTTTAGATCTAGTTCCAGGTGGTTAGTTCAAAAAAGTTCATGTCTCTGATAAATAATCACGACGATAACGAGAATTAACTATTAGACTGTAGATAACTGGAAAGATACAACAAGACAGATAGATGTTCATATTTCGTATCATCCTGTCAGAATTATCGCAATTCGCGATCGGGATATTTACCCCTCCCGATAACCAGTTAGAGCTTTCTTCGGGGGGGAAATGAGAGATGCAAGTCTCCGTGAGGGATGGTTCAATCCCGACCGATAATAGAAACCGCAGGAAGAAAAGAAAGGTCGTGTCAATCACGGCATCGGAAAAAGAATGCACGGCTTACCTTGATTGATCTAGGCCAGCAAGAAGCTAAGTCAAGCTAAGCTCGAAACCTCCAGAGCACAGACTGATTGGCGAATTCGGATAGTCTGATCGACAGGCAGCTAGATGTTGTTGCTTGAGACTGGACGCATCGAGGCCATCGGTATGTTGGCGGGAGCGTGTTTGGGCGGGGCTGGAGGGGAAGAACTTAGAAGAAAGGGAGGGAGAGAGAGAGAGAGAGAGAAAAAGAGATGGAGCCCGCTTGGCGGAGGATGATCAGCGCGGCTCTACCTAAATTCATTCATTGAGCGGTTAAAACAGAGTGATATTATTATTTTTATTATCATGCTTTCTGGTTCCCCGTGAAGGATGATGAACTCGAACTGCTGTTCACAATTGTTCCATTGATCTGCTGGAGAGAAAGAGTATTTTGGTCAATTAGGATGCCGGAGCCTGGAGGATGGCGATAGATACCCACTGTGGGATCGACATAGCTTGTTGTGCTTCTGTGCTGCTGATAGGACGAGGAGGAGAGACTATCTCTTGTCATGTAGAGTACATCCATGTGCGCGATGTGCTGTGCTGCACTGTGCTGCACCATGCTGCAATGATAAGTATAGTACACCGAGTGCATTGAGGTAGATAGGATGTATCACTAGTTATCATCAGACTGGACGAACTGGGTGCAGCTGCAGACGCACGAGTTAGCTGGATACCATCAATGCTTGATAGGTGGCTCGACAACAGCTATCTAGAGGAGACTAGACTGCTTGGGAACTGAGTATCCCAGCTGGATCAGCTCGAGCTAAAGCTCAAGCTGGATTGCTAAGATAGTCAAACAACACTCTCCCTGTCTTGAGTAGAAGACTCTTAATCAGATCAACCTATCTACCCGCCGCAAGCGTCACCGCTCACGCTGCCTCCATCCATCCATCCCATCCCATCCCATCCTATCTTATCCTATCCCATCCGATCCCAACCCATTTGATTCGAGATGTGGCGGTCTAGGAATTGTCTCGTCTGACGCGTGGTTTCTTGTTTCTTCCTCCCGCTCCCCGAGAGTATAATGGTTCGGCTTCCACGGTAGTAAATCATCCCCATTGTGGTCAATCTCCTCAATCTCTCCTCAATCTCGCAATTCCTGTTTTCGCGTCGGATGCGGCAAGTGGCCAGACATTCCCGGCCAATCATTGGGAGCAGGCCAATCCCGGTCCGTTTCGCTGGCATTTTTGCTTGTCTCAGAATCCAAACAGGGTCTGTTTAGTTAGTTAGTTGGTTAATTAGTTAATTACTTGATTAGTGGGTTGAATTGATTAGTTCGTATCATTATTATCATGATGGGTATTATTATTATCATTTTGCTGTTTGCGGACATGATCCCGCAGTAGCAACTCATCCATCTAATCATCCCATCCACCATCAACAATGAGATGTATCCCGAGACATCACGGCTCTCCCCAAACAAGGGGCGCAGAACAATGTCCATTGTGTCCATTGCAGAAATCCAAGCAAAAAACGGTTTGCCGTCTTCGATCGCACAAGGGATCGGCCATGGCTCATCCACCCCCTCCGCATGCATGGGTTCGGGTCGGTCGGGTTGTCGGTCGCGATAATACTTAATCGTCAAGGGACTGCGCCGGTAGAGATGCTCTAGATGGCTTTTTTAGTCCTTCATGCGCGCGCCCCCTCACGCTGAAACCTGCAATCCCTGGTTAGTTGCATCCTTAGCTGTTCTCTCCGATCCAGTCGTGTTGTCTCCAGGCCGATCCGCAGTTGTTGTCGACCGACTCTTCACGACAACTACTTCAATTCCTCTCTCTTCTTGCTCCTCCTCCTCTCAGTGTTTTGTCCACCAGAATTCCCCCAGCGGAGACTGCGGCCAGGAAGTTGGGCCAGGTCAGGATAGGTCGAGAACAGAGAGAGAGAGAGAGGACCGGACCGGGCAGCACAGGTCGAGATTGGGATAATCCCACGCTGCAGGTCATACAAGGGCCTATCTACGTTGCAAGAACAGAAACAAGAAACAAGAAACCAGAAAAAAAAGAGGGTCGTTTTCTTTTCCTTTGTGCCAATTTCTACACTTCTGACGAACCCATCACCGGTGCCAGACACGTGTTGCATCATCTCTCGTTCCATCCATTATTTCCCATCTCATGTACACGGGACAGAAAGGGCAGTAGGCCCTGGTTTGGCAATATCCCCCTTGACCGTTTCTCTCCCCCCCAGTCTTTACCCCCCAGTGGTTCATCATCCATCATGGGAGGCTCTCAGTCGACCCAGTGGCCACCGGAACGCAGCCAGCGTCAACAACGGCGGCCGTCCAACCGGCTGTCCAAACCGCCGCGGAGCAATTCGTCGTCGAGCGCGATGAAAGCCAATGTTTCCAACACAGAAGCGCCGCGCAGAGAGGCTCCGCTGGACTGGCGGGACCCGTGGATGAGGAATTCCGCTCCGGACATTGTGCGGGATTCCGCCAATGATAATAATAATAACGACGAGCGCGGACACCGGCGGGTGCAGTCGTTCCCTTCCTATTCGGTCGTCAGCTTCAACGCTCCGCCGCGGACGCCCGTCGACCGCGGAAACAGGAGCTGGTCGTACATTGGCGATGCCGCCGCGCCCTCCCGCCAGCTGTCCCGCTCCAGCTCCCAGGCCTCCAACTTCTCCGTGCGGCGGTCTTCCGTGGCTGAACCCAGTCGATCGCGTATGCCACCGCCTCAGCGCATCCATTCCTACCAGTTTGAGCCCCAGGACATCGAGCATGCCATCCAGGAACGCCCCGCGGAGGAGGCCAAGTATCACCAGGATTTCTCCTCAGTCGATGCCCACCGCTTCTCGCTCATCCGCCGCAAGTCCCTGCTCACGCCGGGTCTCGCAACCAGGGAGCCGGAAGCCGGTTATCGCCATTCCTACTCGGAGCCCCTTCTGAACGCCAGCAGTTGTTCGGTCGAGGCATCAAGAACGTCGCAGTGGCCGCTCTACGAACCAGAATATCTCTCCCAGCCCATCGGGGCATGCTCCCCGAACGAGCATGAGTATTCGCAGCTAGGAACCCTCCGATTTGGGTCTTTACGGGTCGTCAATGGCACCTCCTCTCCATCATCCAGTGATCGTTCTCTCAGACAGGGCCCTACACCACCAGCCAAGCGGCCTGGTGACCGTTCGAGTGAGTCCAGCCGCAGCCGCGATGAATATCGCAAGAGTGACACCCGTTTTCCCCGGTTTGACCAGGATGCAGATGAACAGCCCAAGTCCCCTCCGAATGGGAGCTCGAGGGCCGAGCCCAAAGCTCGCCCTGCTGCTGAGCCGGAGTCCTCGGGTTCAAGCACGCCCCGGAACCGGCATCAGAAGACCGTCTCGAGCCCGCCGTCACTCCTGAGGATCTCCTCCCAGCTCGCCGAAGGAAAAGCAGCTGAGAAGGATGAGGTCCCGGACAGCCCTTTTTCCTTTGAGAAGTCACCCGCGCTTCCTACGCTTCCTAGACACAGTGCGCTGTTTCCGGCACAGGTAGAGGACGAGGGCATCCACCTCACCGATAGCGATATCTCCACCCCGGGCACGAGTCGATCCAAGCTGGACTGGACTGCTGGCAGCGATCCCGCCGTACAGGACGGCATGCGGCGCATGCGGCGGTCCCGCGCTGGAGATAAGCCCGATTCTGGCTACAGCTCTACGACCTCGATCTGGTCGATCCCAGAACCAATGAAGAGGGACTCCTTCAGTTCTCAGACCTTGCAGCACTACCCCTATTGGCGCTCTTCGGGCATCAGCGTCGGTGGTCCTCGCGAGAAAGGTCCAGACGATACGCTCCCCACCAACGGCAAAGGGCTTCGTCGAGTGAGCAGTCCGGAACTGGGCGAGTTTGGAGGCGAGGCGACGGTACGCCGTCCGTCGCGATTCCAGAGACTCAGCACGGAGTTAACTCGTCCGCGAGACCTGTCTCTTCCAAGATCACGCGAGTCTCGTCGACGGCAAGAGAGAGAGACCGCAGAGGCCGCAACCCTGTGTCGCGAGAGCGAATCCAGAGCCAGATCTACGAGCCGCTTCAGAACAGGGCAGAAATCACGCTCAACGCCTCGTCCGCCCAGCAGTGGGAAGAACAGTCCGCCTCGATTCTATGCCGATCTCAACCCCGGCAGTGTGCCTCCTGCGTCGTCTGGTACGGCCGCGGGACATAAGAGTCGAGGTCGCCAAGAAGACGCAAACGATGACTCCCGGCGCAAGCGTCGCTTCTCTACCAGCCAGCTCAAGAACGGAATCAAGAACCTACTTCTTGAGGTGAAGACTGGGGGTTCCAAGAGTTCTTCTGACTTGAAAACGGACCGGCCTTCGGACAAGCGCGCATCGTTCGACTCACGAAGGGCGCATAACACACCTCGCACGAGTCGTAGTGTCGAGCTGCCTCGATCGAGACCGAGGGCGAGGTCAGATCCTTATGGAGGTGCCAGACCAGCTTCTGAATGTCGGATCCCCCGTCCCCAGACGAGACATGGACCCCCCGGCTATGATAGGCCTCCGTCTCGCTCTCCTGCCAGACAGCGATCCCCACGCGTGAAGGAGGAAGTTCCCCCAATCCCAACATTGCCTACGATGGACGAGATCTGGAAGAGAGAGAAAAGACGATCATCCGGCCTGTTGGCTTCAGTCATGAGCTTGGACGAGCTGCAGAAACTAGAGAAGTTAGAGAACAGAAGATCGGACATCTCCATGCTAGGTGAAGGAAGCAAGAGTCAACCGACGCTGTCCACCAGTCCCCCGTCGACTACCAAGGACACAAGGAGGGAAGATCAACGCAGGTCCTATCATGCACCGGCTGAGAATGGACGGAGGAGAGATTCTATAGCGAAGCCCGGTCCAGCTGAGATACCTAGTGTTGAGGAAAGGCGAAAAAGTATCCCCAAGTTAAACGAGTATGCGCAAGCACATCGACGGTCGGTCTCCGATATCACGCCGAACCCAGCACAGACGAATGGTCACACCAAGCCTGACTCGCCTCAACATGACAACCCGCGTGGCCGTGCCAGAAGCCGCAGTATCGCGAACCCACAGGCAGATCCTCAGACACAGTCTGGTCCATACGTGACAAGCCTGCGGAGTCCTCCACCAGAACTGTTTGAGCAGCAACGGCCCAGACTGGCGAGTCCACCAAGTGCGCGTCCGAACGGACCGAGACCAGGACCCAATACGAATAGCCGTATGAATCTCAAACTGACTATTCCGCGAGATCCTTCCCCTGTATCAACTGCGGGATCTGATTTCATCGACCGGTACCCGAGATTCGGAAGTCCAAAGAGTCCGCGTTCCAGCACGTCGTCACTTGTATTAAGTGACAAGCAGACACCCACCAGTCCGAAGAGTCCACGGAGTCGACGATCGAGCATGTCATCTGAAGCTTTTGCTGACAAGAACGCACGAATGAGGAGCCCACTGAGTCCCCGTCCGAGAGTCTCATCGGAAGTGTATGACAAACAGGCGCGCATAACGAGTCCGTCGCGGGTGACTAGTCCCAGAAGCATGCGTTCGAGCATCTCATCCGAGATATACGACAAGCAGGCTCGGATGATGAGCCCGCCTCGGGTGACGAGTCCAAGGAGCGTGCGCTCGAGCGTTTCATCCGAAGCATTTGCGGATAGGCCGCCGCGAGTTTCGAGTCCGCGCAGCGCATGTTCCAGAGGGTCAAGTGGACCCGATTTCTTTGATCGATATCCGAGGTTTGGCAGTCCAATAAGCATGAAGTCGGTCACTTCTATACCAGAAACCCTCGTTGACGAGCGGAGAAATCCTCGATTCAGCTTCGAGAGCGGAGTATCCCGAGGCTGAAGACGGGCAACATACATATCGTTTCCAGTATACTGTACTGGAAATCATTGCATTATCTTCTTTTCTTTTTTTTTTTCTCGATCCACATACTCAGCATGCTGTGGTATCCTGTTCATTTCTTAAGGGAAGGGGTGGCCTAGTGATATATACCCGGCGTTCTGAAGGTCATTTGAAATTACTGGTTCTTTTTCGTTCCATCTAGGCGCCAATCTCTTCTGGGTATCTCTGTCTGTTTTTCATTCCGTAACGCATACGTTTCTCCTTCTTATCTTATCAGTTTTGTCTTCGCATACAGTTATCACCTGCCTTCATTATCGGAGTTTCTTGGGGTATGGGGACCATATATTGCCATCATATCTTCATTTCCATTATCAACGAGGCCAGCGGACACACAATCTGTTGTCACGGTTACATTAGAATGAAACCACTCATTGAAGACATAACTACATGGAGTTAAAGGGAAATACATACGTCTTGAGGAATACATTCTTTCTGTGAAATATCTATCAATATATAACGTGATGTCAGAAAGTATTATCATAGCTCTTTGCGCAAGGCTATACTACTCTACAGTAGAGAGAAAGATAGTCTTGTAGTGCATTGTATGGAACCGTGTCCACTTCTAATCTTTATCTGGCGATCTCCTCTTGCTCAATTTCTTTCTATCTTTGGATGATTCATTCGTCGATATGGATATATTCATGAACACTCCTTGGTAACTCGGAGCAGATACTACAGCCTCTGTCCGACAAGTCGGGAGATTCTGCCAGTTCTAATTTTTCACCGTCTTCTAGATGGAGAAGTGGTCAGTAGAGAGCGAGGAGCTCGTTAAAACATCACGAACCCTCCCCCCCCCAACAAATCCTTCTTTCTTATCCTCTTCAGCTTGAAGTAATGTAATGTAATGCTCAAACCATAGAAAAGACATTGTATTATCTCTAGATACAGGCACCATTGGTTGATCCTGGGTTATGGGTTTCTAGTGTTACGAGCAGTGTTGCGGAGCCACTCGTCATTCATCTGCAACGCATAAGCAGCGCGGTGGCAAGCGGTCGTGTAATCATTGAAGGTACTGGCCTTATAGTACTGATGAACGGTAAGGTTCCGGAGGGAGTTGGTAACCTTATGAAACATTTCATCTTTGTAGTCATCCGGGTTGATATCGGCTTCGCCAGCCAACCTCATGAACTCAACAAGGAAATCGTGATACTTCTGATCGGTCTTCATCTGAAGCCGGGTGAACTGGCGATTAGCATTCCAGCGACGGCTCGGATCGTGGAAGATTACTTGGAGGTAGGTGAAGATCTCGTCAGCTGATTTGTACGGGTGAGCAGATTCCTCACGGAACCTAGGACCTGCGTAGGCCATGGCCTTGCCGCCAAGTCGACTCTGAGCGTAGGTAGGCTATACGCAGAGATTCGTTATCGTAGTAGTAATGGTCCGCGTTAGTCTTGAGCTTGCTTTTCATCTGGACGACCCAGTCTTCGAACTTTGGGTTCTTTCCATCAGTCAAGAGGGGTGGGTCACGTTTGTTCCAAGCAGCTAAACTTCCTCCTCTATGGAAACGAAGGGCATACTCCGCTGTGGCATTTCGGTATTTGTCTCGTTCCTGAACTAGGATCTGGATCTGGGCAGTCAAATCTCTGATCTTGGTTTCGGATTCCTGAAGCTGCTGACGAAGGTCAGGATCATATTCGTTGTTCATTGCGAGTCTGGTGTTCAGCCTGATTCATTTCCTGGAGCCTTTTTTCGTGGTATTTGAGGGTTTCCCACACTGAGTGAGGGTCATCACGACAGATGGTCAAAAATTCTCGATAGGTGATCTCCCGCGGGGCTTCCCCAGCACGGTGGATAAAAACGCAGCGGCGGTCATCGTTTCTGGGTTCGTTCTGGACACCAGAGACCTTAGAAGAGGGGTCTGGTTCGCCGATAGGTTCAGCGGTTCTAGCCATGATGGCTGTCTCAAGGGGTTCTGATCAGAGGTCTTCAAGAGGATGTTGTATGCCGTGCCCTACTTAGTGACGCGTTACGCGCCCCCAATAGGGAACTTTTGGATGTTAAAAAGATAGTATAGTAAGAAGAGAGCTTGAAGTAATGTAATTCTCAGACCATCGAAAAGACGTTGTATTGTCTCTAACTACAGGTAACTAGCATCTAAGTAACTAGAACTTCAAGCTGAATAGTAGGAGAAGAAAGTGCGGAGGTTCGTGGTGGTTTAACGAGCTTCTCGCTCCCTAAGTACTTACTGACCGCTTCTCCAACTGAGACCTGGCAGAATTTCCTGTTGCAATAATAGTTAGCAATTCAGGTAGTTAGTTAGTGAGATTATATTAATAAAGCAGGAATACCCTTTCAGGAAGTATTTACGCAGCAGGTAGCTTGGCGAAATATTAAGAGGGAGAAAGAAAAGATACTGATTAATTCAATTGCAGTACTAAATTTCATGTTCAATATAGTCCTGTTTATATAATACTATTACTCCTTGGTAGGTAGGTAGATAGGTAACTACTACTAGCTCTAGAGTTAGAAGTCCTTAGCTAACTCCCCTGCAGTATAAAACTTATCATACTCTATGATGAGTATATTCACTAACTATAATCTACAACAGAGCAAAGTCAAGATCTTTACTTATAATTTTGTGTGAAAGGAGAGAAAGACCCATTAATGTATGTTTTGATAATGGCTTCGTTGAATTATTAAGCTATGCATAGCTAAATTATGGTACATAAGGTATCAAAGAAAGCCTGGGCCCAAGCAACTTCGAACTCCATATCCCGTGAAAACGCATTCCGAAACCGTTCCAGAGCAATATGCGAGAAGAACAACTGAAGGTCATCATGACAAGTCGTGAAAATGGATGTCGTCAAGACGCCGATGAGGAGTTAGGAAGAGGTCAGAGAGAGTAATGTGTGGAAGTGGTAAATGGTTGGTTTTTTACTCGACTCTGATTTTCTTCAAAGTTGGGGCGGCAGCCTTTGGAACAAAGATTGAGAGGATGCCGTTCTTCAGGCTGGCCTTGACGTTGTCCTGGTCGACTCTCGTTGGGAAGGTGAAGGTGCGCTGGAATTCACCGATCGAGCGCTCGCTGATCCAGTACTTGTGCTGAGGCTGCTCGGTTTGCTTCGCGACTTGCTTATCGGATTTGGTCACGGCGTTGGTTGTTTCGGCGGACTCCTCCTCATCCTCAACGGTGGGCTGGTGAGGCTTGTGGCCCTCGATTTGCTTTTGGTTCTCATCGACGTTGGTCTTGGTGGATTCGCGCTCAGAGCGGCCCTTGATGACGAGCGTCTCAGCGTCGCTGAATTCGATCTCAACATCCTTCTGGTTGACTCCAGGAAGCTCGCCGTCCAGGTAGTAACCTTCCTGCGACTCCCTCACATCGAACTTGGGAGCGAAGGTGCGGACGGGAGTGACCTGCTGGGTGTTCTTCGGACGAGTAGCACGGTGGCTGTCGTAGTCGTCCAGAAGACGGAAGAGAGGAGCGAAGTCGTCAGAAGGGAATCGTGTGAAGTAAGCCATTGTGCGTGTTGGTTGTTGGTTGTGTGTGTGTCTTCTGAGAGGAAGAGTCGTTGTGGCTTTAGAGATCTTGTGAAGTGGTCGTGGGAGTCGAATTGTTCTCAATTGCATATAAGTTATGTTTTTCTGATATTGTCTGATCTGAGGAAGAGAAGAGAGCAGACAGACTGGTCTGCTCCCAGTTTATATAACCAAGGGCCCTCATTCTGGAATCAACGAGCAGCATCATGACAGTGAGATCAATCTTGTCAGCAATTGTTGCGTCTGGGGTATACCAGCTGCTTCCACTAGACGTCGATCATCCTAGACGCTTCGGCTCGCTTCCGCGCGCTTAATGCACGAATCCGCGCGAACCTTCTAGTCCCTTCCGCGTCACGTGATGCATCCAGCAGCCAGCGTTGCAGCATTTAGATATCCAGTCCATGTGCCAGATACTCTAGAATGACCATGGCAGTAACTTAGTTAATGCCAAAAGAGTCTTCGACTGTTTTCGAGCAAGCTCACCCACTCCCCGTGGTAGCCTTTCTCGTCCGCTTCAGATGACGAAGAACAACAACCATCAGACGGGCCCTTCTCGAAGGAACTAACTACTGCGCGATGTTGCGAATGCCCGGGGACGAGTACATCTCCAGCTGTCGGTGACCTTTGCGCAGCAGATACTCAACGGCAGCAAAGTCCTTCTTGCTTACGTTGAGGTTCTTGCGGAACTCAGTTCTGGCACACAGCTCGTCAGCAATGCTTATTTTTGCTTCCCTGTGATTGGGCCTGGTTGATACTGCAGCAATCATTTTACACAAGGGATTATTCCTCACACACCTTGCATAGTTCCTGAAGTTTTCCTGAGCATCCTTTGCCATATTCAATCAGTTTGACTGCGTTATGTTTGATGGATCGGGTAGGCTATTCACCGTCGGCTTCTTGCGGATCTCCCGAAAACATTGGCGATAGAGGGAGAGCACCTCTCTTTGCAGACCAGATAGTCTTGCCATTGCTGTCTGGTATGCCCTGGGTGAACCTGATACGCGGTGTCCAATCCGTTGCAGGGTAAAAAAAAAAGCTTCTGGAAAAGGGAGCTAACTAGCTATGTTGCTCAAGCGCCGACTCTACGTAATAATAGAAAATCATAAGTTCATCCCAGGTGGAAAAAGACGCAACCGCTGCCGCGTTAGTCCCGGTTGAGGGGAAAAAGGTCGGAGCTCCCGGCCGAATGCTTTGAGCCGAGATTCGGGGTAAGTTAACGTTAACTACTATCCAAGTTCTCCAACTCTTCTTTATCATTTTCAATCTCTCTCAATTGATATTCAAGGAATATATAGACGTTTATTATCTATTTATATATATCTAGTTATATTTACACATCAAGATCTAGCGAAAATGCCTGCGTTCAGCGTAAGTCCATCAAGTTCCTGCCCAGTGCTAAGTTATCTATCTGTTTTATCGCAAGCTTTCCCCGCTAGGGCTGCGTATCGCATCGCGCTTTTTTCTTAAGTGTTGCGCCAGCGTTTGTACTGTACATTGTCGATATACATGATCGCTTGAGCTATCATCATACTCCATCATCGCAATCCCACCTCTGACTCTCACTTTACTGTATAGCGCCTCGTTCGCTTCCTTGCCAAGGACGGCCACATCTATTATGGCGACGCCATTCTCCCCTCTGGAACCACCGACATCGCCAAAACGACCAAGGCGCGCGTGATCCAAGGTGATATCTTCGGCCAGCACTTCGTAACCGACCGGGTCGCAGAAGTCAAGACCCTCCTGGCACCTCTGGCTCGAGATGATGTCAAGACCGTGCGCTGTCTGGGTTTGAACTACGAGCAGCACGCGAAGGAGTCCAATATGCCCGCTCCCAAATACCCCGTCGTGTTCTTCAAGCCCGTTACATCGCTGTCTGGTCCGACGGATGAGATTCCCGTTGGACCTATGGCGCAGGAAGTCGAGGGGGTTGATTACGAGTGCGAGCTGGTTATCGTCATTGGCAAGGAGGCCAAGAATGTCTCCGAGTCCGAGGCTCTGGATTACGTCCTGGGCTATGCGGTTGGTGACGATGTCTCCCACCGCGAGTGGCAGATCAAGCGCGGTGGTGGCCAGTGGGCGCTGGGCAAGGGTTTCGATGGCTGGGCGCCTTGGGGACCCGGTATCGTGTCGTCGGACATCATTCGCAACCCGAACAACCTGCGAATCTCGACCAAGTTGAACGGCAAGACTGTCCAGGACTCGACGACTAAGGATATGATCTTTGGCGTCGCCAAGACTGTGTCCTTCCTTTCTCGGGATACTACCTTGGTTCCTGGTGATATTATCTTTACGGGAACGTAAGTGATCACTCTACACTGTGCTTCCGGAGACTGCAAGGAAAACCTATGGCTGACAATTTTAACAGTCCCCAAGGTGTCGGCATGGGCCGTAAGCCTCAGCTGTGGTTGAAGGACGGCGACGTGGTCGAAGTGGCTTTGGAGGGCGTTGGAAGCTGCACCAACAGGGTGGAGTTCACCAAGCCCTCGTCCGCTAGAGCTTACAAGCTGTAGATTCAATCAAGTTTAATATGTCCCTGGGGGACTGCAGCTGCTTGTGGCAGCGCTCAATGTAAATTCGGTCTCTAACCGTGAATTTTGGATACCATAAAGTACGCTTCATTATCTTGTCTCATAAGATGTCTCGAGACATTTGGTCTGATATTTTCTGAATTCACAATGACTCCTGGTCGCGTATAAAATTCTTTGTAACTCCGAATCTCAAGATCTAGACCGTTTGAGTACCGTAGCCCTTGATGCTCTCTGCGAAAGCCCAGCTTTGAGCCTCCAGCTTCTCATCCTGCTTGAGCTCCACTCCATCCTTCGTAATCACCGCTATCGAGTACTTGTCCAGACTGCGCGCATCCCGATAGAATAGAACCTTCATACACTGCTTCAGTGCGTCCACTGCCTGCTCCTTCGTGATGTTCTCAATTGGCATCTCATCCTCCGGGAACAGTCTCCGCAGGATGGGGACAGCCAGGTGAGCACCGAAACCCGTCGCCAGATGTGGCGCAGAGAAAGTGGTGCCGAGCAAGTCAGCAGAGCTCAGGAATGGCTTGCCGTCACCGTCAAAGCCGGCCACCAAGATGTGGTTCCAGAGAGGGTTGAACTCGGAGCGGCGCTTGTAGAGGACCTTGGAAAGGTAGGTGTGAAGGTTCTTGGCGTTGAGGGTGTTGCCGTTGCCGGAGTAGTTCTCTCGAATGTCGATCGAGTTCAGAAGTCGGTCGATGTACTGCATGTCGGAGACGTCACCGCTGAATCCGATCGCGGCTGAGTCGTTGAAAACACGGATGCGCTTCACATCCGTAAAACGGGCGAGGGAGCCATAGGAAGCTGTTGAATGTACGTGTTAAAAGCTACCCGTCTCCTGAAGGTTGCATAAACGCTGTTGCGAAGGACATACCCAGATTATCAGTTGCAAGGGCAACACCACCGTTGAACTTGACACCAACCACTGACGTTCCCGTCACTGCGGGAGACTGGGTATGTGTCTTGGGGACGGTCGTCTGCAGGTAAGAGTGGTCATATGGGCCGTAGACATCGTTTCTGGGCTTTACGAATGCTGTTAGCTCTAATCGATCGCAGCCAGGCGATTTGTAGCAGCAGGGAACTCACACGACCCCAGGCCTCTGGGAAGTGGTTCATGACGAATGATCTGGAGGAGATGGTATGTAGCGGGGAAGGGCAGAGGACTGTGGCAGATCCCTGGTGTTCTCGGTTATGGAGGTTGAGAACCAAGAGATATTCGTGTAGGAAAGGAGGATATTGGCGGCGTTGAGGGCAAAAGGTTGATAAGGTCGTGACGGACGTAGCTCCAGCTAGGCAGGAGAGCTGACGGAGCTCGGGCTGGGCCATGGCATCAACTTCCGCCCGCGCGTCTGTGAGCCGCGCTTAGCGAGCAGCCCCCGCCTCAACAAGAGCCATCATCAAGAAGTATGCAAATTCTTGTAATAAATATGCAATAGTAAATATTTATTTTTGTTTGGTTGTATTTATAGATGCAATCATGGATTGGACACTCCGAGGATGTGGTATATAGCTTGTGCTACCTGTAATTCTCTACATGGTAAATTTCATTTCCATAACGCCAAACGCAGACCCGTGCCCATTTTAAGCCATACCCAAAGCCAATGCGTAAAGAAAACGAATGACCATTGTTAGGAGATCATCTTGAGCGTGAGCGTTTTCGCCTGCCCGCTGGCGACCTTGAATGGCTTCTTTTTGAACCAGACTCTCCTCCCCGTGGCGGGCGAGAGGCTGTCTGATCATTATGATCTCGACTCAATCCACTCATGACTCTTTCGGCCAGACTAGTCTTTCCTCTTCCGCTAGATGGCGTGCCTCCACGACTGGAACCCGATGGCGTCCCACCAGAGACGAACTCGATGGATTCTCTCTGCCCTGCCGCTTTCTTTTCCTCCAGTGCCCTTCGAATTTCCTGCTGGCTTTTCAAAAGCTCCTCCTTGTATCCCCACGCCGGCAACGCAGACGGATCCCAGATATCGAGGGGAAGAGACGTCGCATATTGCCCCTGTTCATCGATTCCCACATGCTGTCGTAGCTTGGTGAGAAGACTGGGATTCTTCAGGGATGATGACGAGGCTAATTTCTCATTGAAATGGATCCCTTGCTTCTTCAAGTCAAGAAAATGGGCGAACTTTTTGTTTGCGACAGGATCCGGCGATCCAGGTGGTGAGGGTGGTATGTCGAGATTGGGCACAGGAGGTAGAGTGAGGTCTTGGATTAGGGCGCGAGTTGTCGAGAATGGAGAGGACTGCCTTGAGCGAGGACGGTCTGGAGGAGGGCTAGGTGCGCTCTGAGGTTGAAATGGTCCGACAACAGGACCAGTAGGCTCCGCGACGGTGGGCGGAGGTTCAACGGCGGGTTCGGGTGCAAGAGCAGCTGTAGGAGCTAGAATGTTTTAATCACTGAGACCGTAAAATGCTTACGCAGGACATACCTTGAGAAACAGCGAGCTGTTGGACAGGGGGCTGTTCCTTAGGCGCCTCCTAAAAGAAACATTCAGCCAAGCTTCTAACATAACAAAACAGCGCATGGACGAAAAGAACTATACCTTCACCTTTGGCTGAGGGGCCGTGACTAGCGCCTCATCCTCGCTGCTACTCTCATACGCCCCAAGACCAAGCATTGTGGGTAGCCAGATGCGCCTGTCGCCAGAGACAGAACTGTCAGTCTCCCAACGAGATCATGGAGTTGCTTGAATGCTTAGATAACAGCTCTGGGGTCGAGACGTGTGGAGTACTAGTTATAATCACCTTGCCGCGGCCACAGCTCTTTTTAGCGCTCTGGGTCGGAACTCCGCTAACGCTAAATCGCCCATCTCTAGCCAACAACAGCATAAGACAGTGGGAAATGTTGTCTGCCTGTCATGCCAGAAATAACAGTCTTGGAATATGCTCTCAACGAGAGCAATTGACAATGACTATTTCTGAGATATGGTTTGTAAATCTCAAATACTTGTCGATTTACGAAGTGTATCATCAATCGCGATCTAGTGACGTATTCTACATAGCGTGGCTCGCGACACAAATTGAGAATCTTGACGAGAATGACAGAAGCAAGCTATACATATATCGATTAGGTAGTGATACATATTCAAGTAGAATAGTTTAACAGAACATGTTTGATTCCGCTAAGGTTCCTGGAACTATATCGATGTAGCCTGAGGCCGCCGTCCAAATTATGTAAGCACGAGGCAGCTGTAGCTTCGCGTCACCAACAGAGCTTCCAATGTCCAGCTTCACAGAGCAGCCCTCCAACCATCAGCCTGCTGCTCAAACATACGGACCATTCAATCAGTCGTCCAGATTTGACTTCATACTCTCCCGACCATATATCCCCCCCTTATCCACAGAAACGCCGCGCAGAGATGACATCGATGCTTGACCCGTCTCGTTCTGAGATGATCGGATACTCCTTCGCCCAGTCAGCATCGGCGGGCCACAGACAGCATGGCTTCTACCCGTATGTCTCTGTTACCGCTCGATTCATACGATAGCTGAAACTGACATGTCCTGGCTACAGATACACCGACAACGGTGGTTCAACGCTAGGTATCACTGGTTCGGACTTCGCCATTCTGGCAGGCGACACTCGTTCCGTCTCCGGCTACAACATCAACTCTCGTTACGTTCCCAAGGTGTTCAAGATCGGCGGTGACGAGGAGACGGGCGAGGGAGCGACGATCCTACTCTCCGTCGTTGGATTCGCAGCCGACGGCAACGCACTGAAGGAACGACTGGATGCGATCGTCAAGATGTACAAATACCAGCACGGCAAGCCCATGTCCGTGAAGGCGTGTGCGCAGCGACTGTCGACCATTCTTTACCAGAAGCGATTCTTCCCGTACTACGTGCATGCTATCCTGGCTGGCCTGGATGAGGAGGGCAGGGGCGCTCTCTACAGTTACGATCCCGTCGGTTCGTATGAGCGTGAGCAGTGCAGAGCGGCTGGTTCGGCGGCTAGTTTGATCATGCCGTTCTTGGATAATCAGGTTAACTTCAAGAACCAGTATGTGCCTGGTAGCGGGGAGGGTCATGATCTGAAGGCAAGAGAGGCGGAGCCGCTGCCCAGAGCTACTGTCGAGCAGCTGGTCCGAGATGCGTTTACGAGTGCTGTGGAGAGACATATCGAGGTCGGAGATGGTCTACAGGTGATGGTGATTACGAAGGACGGTATAGAAGAAATTTACCACCCTCTCAAGAAGGACTAGAGAGGAGGAGGAAAGAGACGAATATGCTTGAACGATAGATAATCGATATGTTCATTTCATGAGCCTACTTTTTGTCCAAATTCGTAATCAGATGGTCTTTCTGTTTTATTCCCTTTTTTCCCGGTTCAGTCTCATTGTAGAAACCATATCCTGCTCGAATCGACTCCCGAACGCCTTGCTATGCTGATAAGAGGAAGGGCCAATGAGATCCCACGGGGTATATATCAGAATCGCTCCTTCATGCGCGAAGCCACGGTACGAAGGTTTCCATACACCTTGCCCTATATCAATGTATTAGTGTGTTATAATTTTGTAAGCGGATATGTCAAAATTTACCGGAGGGCTACCCAGAATCAAACTAACAATGGCCTCCTGCGCCATGTTGATGTTCTTGAAACCGCCCAGGATTCTAATCTTCTGGTCCTGCAGCACGACTGTGGGATCTGTCAGTATGTGAATGCGTAATGCAATGGAGCATGATATACTGACCTCTGGTGCGAGTCGCGTTCTCGATCGCAAATTTCGTCTTTCCGTCCTTTCCTGCAATACGTCCGATCGCACGGCCCAAGTGCTCGCCATTCAGGGAGGCCTTCACGTCCTTGATCTCGAACTCTCGGATATAGAGGTCGTCCAGTCTGAGAAGAGCGATCGCATCATCAACGTCGAACGACAGGCAGAAAGCCTTCACGAAATCTTCACCCTTCTGCAGCGCACCGGTGTCCGTAGTAAACTTCGACGTTCGCAGCTCGACAGCACGGTTCTTGATGTTCATTCGCACTTGCAGCTTCAGGTGCTCGACCAATGGAGGGTAGATCTTGGGCCAGTATGTCTTGAGAGGAGTCATGCGGTGTGGTGGCACAGGGACCTTCCGGGTCTCAACGCGATAAGCCTGGTTGACATCCTTTGCGGGCGTAAAGACGGGGCGGCCTTCTTCGTCGATGCGCATCTCACTGTCTTCAGCAGAGTCCGTCTGGGGCGCGGGGTTGGGCACATCAGGGGCCGCCGTGGTGGCATCGATCAAGACATCGTCCTCATCTATTGAGCGGAGTGAGCATTTTCTCCGATCAAATTAAATTGATATAAGATATGTATTGTACAGTACATACCTTGAATGGGCTGGGGCAGGGTCGATGCTTCAGCCTGCGCAATTTCTTCCGGGCGCCTTTGAAGAGCTGTCGGCGCAGGCATCTTGACTGGAAACAATGCGTCGACAGAATAGTTATCTGTTCGGTGTTGAAGAGGGGTCGGCGTCTGTCGCTATTAAATTTTATCGCCCGCGATAGTTCAGACGGAGCGGCAGGAAATGTGGGTTGCCATAATCGGGCTGCAAACAGGACAAACCGGATGAAATCATGGCTAGGCCGTTTCTAGGGTCGAACGGGTTAGAACTTTACGAAGTCTCGGCTTGTCTTGTCTGTCTCTTCCACCTCGAGCCTTCAGTCCCTTTGGGTTTTCTTTGTTTAGGGATGCTGCGGTCCCTTTGTCGTCTAGCTGTTAACTAGGTGCTCCGCCATGTGACGGAATAATGCCCGGAAATCTAGGACGCAGGCTTTACGCCAACCTCTGGGAAGCGGCGAGCCCGGTCTTTGGCCAACGTCTTCGAACGAGTCATAACCCTTCGACTTTTAATACTGGAGCCTTTAACGACACTTTCCATGCTTTCTTCACGAAAAATGGGCCCAAGAAGCTTCCTCCTCGAGCGCAGATCACCCGGAGATTTGCGTCCGGTGGCTTCCTGGTTATTGGAGCCTCACCAAGCTCGGGGACAGCTGTAGAGACAGGAGCAACATGTGTGATGGCACCGGAGAAGATCATGTGTCATGGTGGTACTCGCTATTTCGATGGAAAGATCTCCGGTAATCTATCGCGGAATATTTGGAGGCGAAGTTTACATACGTCAAAAAGCCAACCCTCAAGTACAGAGGCGGCGAAGTCTCAAACTAGCCCAGTGAACGAGCAGGCAAATAGAGAAAACCAGAAACGGATTGGGGAACAAATTCAGTCTCGAGAGTCGAAGACGTCCGATTCCATCGAGCAGCATATACCTCCTACTCCGCTGAACAAGAATCTCAGAGACCGTCTGCCACACCTTCCACAGCTTCATCGGCCAACGAAAGAGGAATTACTGGCCGCGGCAACCGGATTCTGGTCGCGGCTCAAAGTACGGTTTAAATGGTTCTCAATTAGAAGTGTTAGACCTTTTAATTTCGATGAGATTGCTGCACTCTTCTCGTGGGTCCTGCTGGGGCACATTATCTGGGTTGTCGTCGGTACAACGACTTTCTTCTCTCTAGTCATTCTCGCTATAAACACCGTTCTTGCACAAGGTATATTCCTTGCCACTGGCTCCTGAGCTATTGCTAACATCTTCAGAAACACTTGCCGGATGGATCGGTAACTACCTGACCAAATCTTCCGGTGTGAAAGTCGTATTCGAGTCCGCTATTGTACCCAAGTGGAGGGATGGTGTGATCACGTTCAAGAACGTCTTTGTATCGAGACGACCAGGACAAGGAGCCGGCAATGTCAGTAAAGGATCACCGAAGACCGCGGCCGCAGCCGCCGCAGCTGCTGCCATGAGTGAGCGAACACACAACGATGGATCAGGTTCACAAGATACAGTGAGCGCTGAAGAAGATGATGGAAATTATACGCAATTCGACCTTTCGATTGATACAGTCAATGTGACATTGTCATTCACCAAGTGGTTCAATGGGAAAGGCCTCTTGCGCGACGTCGAAGTAAAAGGTATCCGAGGTGTTGTTGACCGCACCCACGTTCATTGGTCTGATGACGATCTGGACCCGAAATCTTATCGGCACGAGCATAACCCCGGAGACTTTGAGATCGACTCGTTCAAAATGGAAGACCTCCTGGTGACCGTCCACCAGCCCAACAACTTCCGGCCCTTCTCGGTCAGCATATACTCATGCGATCTGCCCCAGTTACGGAAGCAGTGGCTGTTCTACGACTTCATGTCGTGTAATATGATGTCTGGATCGTTTGATAATTCTCTATTTACGATCCACCCTCGTCAGACCCACAGCTACACCGGTGCTCAGCTGAACGATGGTATCGAAGAGAACGGGAAGCCAAATCCATGGAAAAAGCATAGCCGCATTCGGGTCGACGCCTTGAACATTGACCACTTAAACCGTGGGGTCCAAGGTCCCTTCTCCTGGATCCACGAGGGAACAGTCGATATCGTCGCTGATATCATGTTTCCGGCAGACAACAACGAAAGCCTTGCAAAGGTCATGTCTGATTTCTACGAGCGTCTAGAAGCAACGGTCACGTCGAACCAGTACCAGCCTTTCCCGGACGAACACCGAGATGGCATTCAAGCGAGGGACACGGAGAATGAAGATGACCGACGATTCTTAGTGGCGGATCTGCGGATCCATCTGAACAACGTTCGAGCTGTGGTTCCTTTGTTCACTCGCGATCTGTCTTACATCAACAATGCTCTCATCCGCCCCATTGTAGCATATATAAATTCCAGGCACACTTTCATTCCAGTGAACTGCCGGGTGGTCAAACGTGTCAGCGACTTTGACGGCAGCTGGACTATCTTTGATAGTGGCCTTATGGACGATCTTTCTGCAGCGGTAAGTTTCACGGTTCTGCGGCGTTAGTTTGCCACGATGCTAATCCTTTTTTTATTTACAGGTGTATGATGCCTTTGCGCGAGATGTCGCTGATGAGCAGGCCCGCAGACGGCGCTTCAAGAAAGTCGGCTTCTGGTCGCTTCAGCTTGCCGCTCAAGCCATATTTATGGGCATGGCTGGCAATATCGCATAGATTTCACCACTTTTTGTTTTTGGTTTCCAGGGTTGTATGATGGAGTACAGAGCCGAACTTGGCCGGCGGGTTGTCTCAATTTTCTCTCGCGGCGTTTGATTAAAAGTTCACTGAAGTGATAGGTATCTGGCCTCCCTTCGCTTGTGTTAATAGTTTTAGATGATGTCCAAGCTCTTCCACCTGCTTCTACGAGGACATGGTGTCTCTTCTCATTGATTTGTATAGAAATGATTAATGAGAACATGAGTGAAAACTACGCAGATGAGCGTTCTTTTGGATAACTCCAATCATGATAACTAGTCTATCTGCAGTAAGCCAATAGCTGTGATAATGATTCTATAATAATTCTATAGTAATTCTATAATCGCTATCTAAACTCTCCCACAGTCTAGTTCCTCACATGCGGGATCGGACCACGGAGAAACCATTCCCCCGACCCACCCACACAAACGGGAACCGAAGCGAGCGAGCACACTCCCAAAATTGTGTCTCCGCCCAGCGAACCTCACCACCACCTGCAACCCATCGCGAACTTCGGAAGCCTCGCACCACAGACACAATGGCGAAGCGCACTACGAGTAAGGAACCCGTTGGATCCGAATTATTGTTATTTAGGGAATGACATTTTTGCTAATGTGATTTATAGAGGTCGGTATTACCGGCAAGTACGGCACGAGGTATGAATGAATCCAATCCAATCCAATCCGAACAAAATCGATCCAGAACGATGAATTGCGATCGATGCATACTCGAACAACGGAGAATAAAGAAGAATGGAAAGAGTCCTAACATGATAATTTTTGTTTTTCAGATACGGTGCCTCTCTCCGTAAGCAGGTCAAGCGTATGGAAATCTCGCAGCACGCCCGCTACACCTGGTACGTTGAATCAAACACCCAGCGATGATATCCCGGATGGAAAAGAAGAAAATTACGAATCCCTCGAAGAAACAAAACGAAGAAAAGAGGAGGACAACATGACAACGGGGAATCGGGGAATTACAAGAACAACAGCAAGCTGACGAGGGTTATCTTAACAGCACTTTCTGCGGTCGTAACACCGTCCGCCGTACTGCCGTCGGTATCTGGCACTGCTCTGGCTGCAAGAAGACCATGACCGGTGGTGCTTACTCTCTCGCGTAAGTTTTTCACTGCCCGCAAGATTCGATTTCAACAAAAAAAAAAAAAAAAAGAAACCACCCACCACGAAGAAACGAATTTTCCTAACATAATTTCTTTTCAAAAAAATACAGTACCCCCGCCGCTTCTGCCGTCCGCTCTACTCTGCGCCGTCTCCGTGAGATCGTTGAAGTCTAAATGATGATGGAACGGCTTTGATGGTTGGCAAACGCACCGAATAAGGAAAGAGGGAGTGTGGGCACAAAAATCCTGGCGTTTTATTTCATGTTCCGGTTGCAACAAGGGCTAGGTTTATAAAGTTTCTTTTTTTCTACACCCACTTCGGGGAGATATGAGACTTCCGCGAAGGTCGAGGGAACAGAATAAAGAATATCTTTTGCAAATGATAAGTCAACCAGGAAACAAAAAGACACAAATAAAATGAATGAAACCACTTCATCAACACCAGATGTCCTTTGCCCTTTTTCTTTTTCTTTCTGCCCTTGTTCGACTGGGGTGGACAGTTCGGTCGATTCCGCGGCTTGTGACTCGTAGCTGCTCGAAGTCCCATTATGAATTTGACATTCGAATATATCCTATTAGTCATGCCCTATGTCGCTTTCCTTTCATCGTAAGACATTATGGAGTAATATAAAGTCTTACGGTATCTGGCACGTAGAACGTCTCAACAAGTAAGCAGAAAGTAAAGACAAATGCAGTCAGAAAAGCAAGCTGGATGTATCTGGACTCGATCAAGGTAGGTACATTTCGACAATGAAAGGAAAAGACGGAATAATGTCCAATTTGTACGCCCACGCTTTCTTTTAAGAGCATGAAATCAATAGTTTCCGATTATACAGACTCAAAGCTAATCAATTCGTAATCAATGCATAACACCATCTGGATCATTTCCGTGATTTTATTCCACCATCATATGGTCCGCGCGTTCGGCTCAATGTAATGGACTGTATTCCCAAAATCCATGGACAACCGCCCGGTAAGACGCCCCCAAACGTCATTGTTAAGCGGCTCTAGAGTGCAACTCCCCAGAAGCCTTTGCCGCCACAGACGCCTAGCCAGTCCCGGTGGTGTCCGGCGCTGGTGGCACCGCCTGCAGGCGACCAGCTGAGGTTGGACACTTCATAATCGCACTGCCATGCGAAGGCTGGACCGCGTTCTGTCGTGGACGGCGAGCCCGAGGAGTGCAAGTTGGGCGAGACAGACGCGGCATTGTGCTGGTTCAGAAGGTCCCACACAAGGACTAGACAATCGTCTGCTCCAGAGGCCAGAGTCCCACGTCGAGAAGGCGACCATTCGATGCAATTTATGGAGGCGGAATGGCCCTTGAGCTCCAGAAGAGCTTGCCCGGGCTGCCGAACATCTAGCACCCGGATAACATTGGAATCTGAGGAGAAGGTAGCGAGTAAATGTGCATCATGCGGCGAAGCTGGGGCCAACAATCAGTTATCATCACTACAAGAGTGAGGGTATGAAACGTACCTGCGATTCGCAGAAGTGGAGGTGGCCAGATCGACTGCTGATGGGGCGTAGACGGGCTAGAATTGCCAGGGCTCATAACTGTAACTTGTCAGTCATAGGACACGCACTGACGTTCTCTGAGACAACTCACGTTTATCGGTCTTCTCACTCGGCTCGTAGATAATAGTACTGTGCTCCAGACTTCGGAGATCGAACATACGAACACTGCCATCTGCACCACAACTGACAAACACATCGACGCTATTGGCACAAAACCTGACGTCGTATACTTCCTTGTCATGGGCAATCAGTTGCGTCTTCGCAGTCAGAGTCGGTATATCCCAGATCGTGCAGGTAGTATCGATACTGGAGGTAATGATCAGACTAGGTGAGATCGTGTTCCAATCTAGCGCAGTGATGGGAGCTGTATGTTCCGGAGACTTCGAGTTCGAGAGAAGAGCGAGAGGGGACAGTTTCGCTGGCGGATTTTCTCTGTGGTTGGAGGGACGAGTGATGGAATTGGATGTCTGTAAGGTCTGAGAGCTTGGTAGAGACCACAGGCGCAAGTGATCACCCGACGTTGCTAACAAGTCCGTGGACTGCTTCTGTGACGATGGAGGTTCCCACAAGATCCTCGTCACGGGATACGAATGGGTAGCTTCTGCCGTCTTCACATATTCCAATTTCACATCCCCAGGCACTACATCTGGCGTATCGGGATCGGGCTGTGTCCTGTGCGCATCGATGATTTGGATCTTGCAGATCGTTAGTCTCAGGCTGCAGAGTCCACAGTGGGGTCTCATACGTAGTTATGGCTGTCTTCCAGATGGCTTCCTAGCGCAATTTTACCTGTAAAAGAGCCTGTCGTGGACATGGGCCACTTGCACCAATCGACCGCATATATAGGCCACGGCGCGACATAGTTGCTATTCGTTGGTATCTGTGGCTCTCCATTATATGTATTCGCCGTCGGGCTCATGGTGATATCCGCTAGCACTGAATCCTTGGTCGGCCGTATATCTGCCAACCCCAAGGGCGAGTATTTCGCTCCCTGCGGTGTGTGAGGTGGATATCCAGTGCTTGGGGTTGAGGCGTATTTCGTATTGTCAGGAGTGTGCCCATATTGCTTGTAGGTCGGTTGCTCGAACCCCGCGGGGCTGGACCTCGAATGCCCGTGCGAATTGATCGTCAAGGGGCGTGAGGAAGCAGTGGAAGACTGAGTCTGTGTCGATATCTGCGGCAGCGTTGGAAGGGCTGACGGTGCCGTGTTCATGGAAAGCGCAGGTGGTCGGTTGGTATTGCCTGGCTGTAGAGCTCCTGGCAGCGTATTGTTGCTGCTGCCACCGTACTGAGGGACGGTCTGCTGGACGTTGATGGCAGGAGGATTAGTACTGCTGCCAGAATCCGTAACATAGCCCTGGTTAGCCTGCTGGCGAGGATTTGTCGCGCTCAGAGGGTTCGCAGAGCCCGGGATATGAAGCTCCTCTGGCTGACGTCCGAAAGCGGCACTTCGACGAGCAGCAGGGTCGAACGACTGCGCTGAGTTCGCCATGGTCGAAGGGCGCTGCGACGTGGCGCTCCCCGTGTCGGAATTCCTCCTGGGCACCGTATATCGTCGCCCACTGTTCGACCCAGTAGACTCGGGAGGTAGAAGATGAGCGTCAGCCGTCGTGCTATTTGGGTTCCCGCTGCGAAGGCTGCCCACGGGAGCTCCCACAGCGCCTAGTGTCTGCGCGGCTTGGTATATCCCACCCAGGGCTCCGTGCAAATTGGCCTCAGCATCATGCGTATCGGAAGAATGGTGATGCCCGTAGAAAGGCATCTTATTCTGCTCTCAGCAACGTCTGTGTCGACTGGTGATTGTCTCTGATCAACATCGAGTCGGGCATCGCTGACTCAGCCTCGCCGCGGGGATTCCCCCGCAGTGTTTGGGATCGATCTAGTTACTATCTAGTTATTACTATTACTTGGAGCCATCTTGATGCCTCACCTTGCCTTATCACACGCATAAGGACCAAGTGAGCATTCAGACTCGCACCATGGGCGATTCACAACAACACCAGACGGGGGAGGACCGGATCAGCCCGCCCTATGCTCTTTTGTTGCTGCCACCTCCACCCTCGTTGGCATTCTCCGACTTGAAAGCGGCGTATGGGTCCACGCTCTCCAAAGTACTCTTGAGGTTGGCAAAAGCTCTCAACGGTGCCAATCGCATTGCAATCCTAGATGTGGGAGTGACAGTCCCTGGTGCAATCCCTCCGACATTTCAACCCAGAGCGAAACTCTTCGCCAATCTCCAATATATTCTGGCGACTCTGTACACGCTCATTGGCGCCATCTGTGCCGCAGAGAAGATCGAGCTCGATGGCCCTGGTGGAATCGATGTACGAATCTTTTTTGTCGATAATGATCCAAAGTCACAGTCATCTCCCCCAGACAGTTCTTCTGGATCTTCAGTCCTGGGACCAATTATTGATCTGCAGGCTCTGGTGACATGCGGTCGCGCGTGGGATGCCATCTACACACTTAACAGCAAACAAAGTCAAGATCTGACAGTCCTATACGGCAATACGCCTACTTCAGGCCACGGTCGTAGTCAATTGCCTCCCATTTCCCCGGTTTCAGACAGCGAGGCATCGTTAACGCGGAGTGAGGTCCCCATAGCTGCAGATACCACTCACTCAGGTCCTCACTACTCAGTAGCTGTTGGAGGCACTTTTGATCACCTCCATATCGGTCATAAACTCCTGCTCACAGCGACCGCTCTGGCGATCGATCCCGTCCCAGAGGGTCAACGCACAGAAAGGCTGATGACGATTGGAGTCACAGGCGACGAGTTGCTGGTGAACAAGAAATACGCAGAGTTTCTGGAAAGCTGGGATGAGCGATCGCGAAGTTGCGCAGCCTTTCTAACTGCGATCATCGATTTCTCCCCGCCCGAGAAGTCTGCGCCCCAGGTGGAACAGGCGTCGAATCCAGAACCCAATGGGCGGTACACCTTAACCAAAGTGAGCCCTGATCTGTCTCTTAAATTAGTACAGATCTCAGATCCATTTGGCCCGACCATTACAGACAAGGAAATTACAGCTCTAGTAGTCTCCAAAGAGACACGCTCTGGAGGCAAAGCAGTCAACGAGGAACGAGCCAAGAAAGGATGGTCCGCTTTAGAGATATTTGAAGTCGATGTCTTGCAAACAGGGGAAATGGCAGAAATGGGGACCTCTACTGTTGAAAGCTTCGAGTCCAAGGTCAGCAGCACAGACATCAGACGACGTCGGATGGACATGGCAAAGGGAAATCTGTAATCGACATTCCAGTGATTCCAGGATGGATTATCATTCCCTTTGATGACAATTCATGTCTCATTATATTGAACATTGGTTGACCTGGAATGTTGTCCTCTTGTGATACCATATATCAGAACGAAACGAAGCATATTGTCATGCATTATATTCGGATCCATTTGTCACATTATCCGCTACTTCCCCGAGGCACCAACAGTTACGGTCCTGTCGCTAACAAGTCTAGAGAAGTAGTTACTGTTCCAGGCCTGGCGTTAGAATCGAGGTCAAGCAGTCTTAGGCTGACTAGATGGAATGACCTCGCTACTTAAAGAAGGCGGTCTTGGCGCATCCTCCCTCTGGATCAATTTATTATTAGATGCCGGAGACTGGAAACGAATACAATTTCTATGTCACGCCATAGATTCGGCCGCATGCCAGTCAGTAATAACTACTAACTGATCTGACTTGCAATCATCGAATTCGGACCGAAGTTAGACCGGCGATACCTATTCTAGAGTACATTATCTGCCAGCGCTGCGCTTGACTGCTGGGGCCTCAAGCTTCTCGTCTACGATAACACAATAGTAGCTAGCTAATTCTTAACAGTACGATCGATGGCCTAGGGCTTTAGCCACTCTCGTGACACCATTCAGGGACATAAAATCGCAATGCCTAAGCACCTATGGATAAGTCTATATATATGATAGCCAACTACATGCTAAAAGTGTGGACTGATGTTTTTGCATTCAAAAACTGGCCTGGCTCTTTCAGTCATATTTCTGGACGCAAAGCACACTCGCATCCGGCATGCCAGCCTAACAAAGGGAAAGCCACGACGAAAGTATAAACCGTGTAGGTGGCCAAGCTTGGCCAAGGAAGAGGTGTACAAATGTGATATATAATGGTGGAACCAAAGTGATTTTTGGGGCCCAGAGAAGCAAGTATTGTGGCCTTTTCTAGTGAGAATGGAAAAGAACAAACTGGTAGTGGTATAAGGCTCCGGCACAGAGAAAAGCCAAAACGCCCCCGCACACCCAATGCACCAAAGCAACCAAGGGGAGAGAAGCATGCTCCAATCGCCATGATGGAAATGTAATAGATACGCAGCACAGGCTGGCTGGTGCCGCTTCAGAATGATGCCAAGACAAGAATGAAAGAGACGGAGGATATATGAAAAGTCGAATGGATGGACAATTTTCTTCCAAAAAAAAAAAAAGAAACTGTGTTCTCAAAACCGCGTGGAATCTGTACCTAGAACAAAGGGAAGACGTAACGCATGCAAATGCCCAATTTGTCATGAGCGTACACTCTGAGCTCTTGATTCATCCACTAGCCTCTTTTCGATCCAATGGGCGAAGTTGACACTCGGAATATCGACTAGTCGCCAGAAGAGGTCACCTGCCCACAAGGCAATAGGAAAACAGGTCAACCAGCCAATGAGGAATCCTGTGCAGTATTGGAGATTGGTTTCTTTGCCCGTGAAGCGCCATATGCTTGGCATGATTGAGTAGCCTAGAGAATGTAGGATTGGGCCGTGGACGATGTAGAAGGCAAATGAGATCTTGCCCAGATACTGCGAAAGCGAATTTGTGAACAATTTCTGGACGTCCTTAGAGTGGTTGATGCTGCAGACGATAATGACAGCACCGATTGTCTGCGGAAACCGATGGGGCTCGTTGTATGTTCGTGGAGTTAGCCTTGCCAACCACCCATATCCGGGCGTCCACTTGACTCCCTGATTGGGAGAAGAGCCGATGTAGAGACCTAGAACGAACATCGCAATCCAGAATGAGCGTCCATACTGACGCATAAAATCGCTCAGTACGCCCCGGCTCCTTGGTTTTTCATCGAGCGATGGGCCGTCCCAGAGGCCGGTAATGATATCAATTTCGGACATGAGCATACCGCACAGGAAGAGGACTACGTCCCAGCGATCCACTCGCGTGCAGAACCAAATGAGGAAGACAACCAAGAAAATGCGCACTCTCGTCCTCAATCGCGAGGTAGCAAGCATAGTTGTAAAGAGAACCAAGGAGCTCCGGAACTCGACCGGAATCGTCCAGAGATGCGGGTTGTAATTATTATAATAAAGACCCCAATTGAAAGGATCCATCAGACGAATCACGGTGTAGTACCAATCCCAAAACTGCGCCCTGAAGGTTCTCATGACGGGCGGGTGTTGTTCATTTGTTCCCAATATGGTCGTACCCGACTTGAGGACATGGTGCGAATAATTGTAGCATCCCAAACGCACGGCAACAAAAACGAGGAATATACCAGTGAGCGAGGGGATATAGAGACGGAGCGCACGACGGAAGGTCGACGAAGAGAGCACCACTAACGAGCGCTCCCAACTTTTGCTGCGGATTGTTCGTAAGGGTTTTTGGGTGATCACGTAGCCGGAGATGACGAAAAAGATGGCGACCATAACATGACCCGATATCAACATGTGGATTATGGGCAATTGATGGATACCCCAATTATCATGTGCGAAACCCCATCCTTCTGCTACCTTCCAGGTATAAGTGAAGAGAAAATGGAAGTTGAAGACGAGCAGACACGCCCAACCTCTCAGCCCATCCAAAGCAGCAATCGCATGGAGCTTTTTAGGTTCCTGTGGGAGAGCTCCGGCATAGCGCTGTAGGAAGCTCGGGACGAGCGTTAGAGCGAATTTGTATAATAATCGTTCAACACGTATTGATCCGTCCTCGTAGAAGATAGAAGATGACGACTCCTCCGACGATGATGAGCTGGGTCGCTGGTAGGGAGTTTCCGACAAGATGGAAGGTGTTATACTGCGCTGAGTAGCTGGACCTGGTTCCACTTCTGATGAAGATGTACCATCGATAGATACCCGAAGGAGCCTGTTCTGACGCGACATGGTGAAGAGGAAACGAGCTCCGGTTCAGCTGCAGCACGCTTTGTACTCGAGACGCAAGTCAGCACGCGGAACATTCGCAGCCGCGGTTTAACATACATAGGACACACGATTTATGGAAGTGAATCAGACAACAGCTGCATGTCGATATCGACTTCAGAGATATTCCAATCGATGTGACTTCTCGAGGCTGGTTCCCATCGGTCAAAGAACCCGCAGAACAAGGGTGCGTGTAGTGTAAAATGTCCGCGACGAGCCACAAGTCGCGACAGGCTATTCCAATGAATATCAATCGCTAGAGATGAAGTTCGCAGTCTCGTTCAGCAGACAGGATGTTCGTTTAACTCTTATTCGACTTGTCCGGTGGACCCTGTCGAATGCGCTGCGTGCGATTGATCGCAACGTAATCCTGCGTGGGGAGGCAAGCACCAGATTTGGCAAGCTCGAGGGCTCACGGTTAGGGGACCAAGATGGGTATGTGTGAGTCCAGCTCTGCAATCAGATAGGAGGCGATCAACAAGCTGTTGTCTGCCAGAAGGGATGAAAATGAAAACATGTTGCGAACGAGGAGAGGTAGAGAGTATCGAGCACAGCAGGACGAGAACTTCCCGCGGCGGGTCCGCTGATCTCAGGCGAGATGATTGCGTTCCCTGGCCCACTACCGTGCTCAGCACGCGCAGCCACCCTGCGATCTTCATTTGATCTCATTATTCTTACAGTCTGTGTCATAGTCGGAAATGAAGATAGGATGGATGCTACTGCTATTCTATATACAGTACAACAGACGCCAAAAAGAAAGTGAGAAACAAGCTTTTGAAACACATGTCTAATGACAGCATGGTGCTAACAGTAGAGCACAGGTACAGACTTTGAACATTGCCGCCACTGACATGGGACTGGATCCCTATAATAATGCTGTTTGACCTTGGTCTAATAATGAAACACCCATAGGGAATGCTGCATAACCATTAGGTAGATTCTGGGGTTGTCCCACTTGGTCTTTCCATAATCCATATCCTTCCCTCATATATTATTGTTGTCGAGCCAGCCGCTGCCAGCGAAACAGTCAGGAGTCAGGACAGATTACGACCCACTGGTTTAAATCAGCTAATTATTTTAAGCGTAGGGGTCCAAACGTGCAACACCAGGCTAACCACGCGGAGTGGGGAGTTCTCTGTGTTGCGCAGCTTTTAGTACAATTATGTACTTTGCGGAACGCTCCACGGGCCCACTGTTGGCACAAGTTGATATCTAGGCCTCAGGATAAGTACATGTAACGATCGCAGTGCTTCGATCATCTCATCGCTGATCGATACGGCTAGGATTGACCATCTATGCTGTCACCACAACGCGATGCAATCGGTGCTTATGTAAAGCAAGAGCCACATGCGATCGGCATGCTAACAGAGTGATATACATTCTTTGCAGTCCGGTATGAATTGACTGGTCTCTCTCCAAAGACATAAACGAGGGATTTGAGTATGGCGTTGATAAGGATAGACACCGGAATCCTCTGCTGAATAAGACGTACAGTAGTCCGCAGACTGGAAAATGCTTTGGAAAGGAGTAATATCTAATATCCTGACCAGATAGAAAATCCATGCTACGTTCGAGTCACTTTCGCTTTCCCTTTCATGTTTCCAACTGCGCCACTTATTGCCCGGTACTATCTACGGATGCATATTTAACTGACTATACCATCTGAACTTTGGGTAAAGGACTCTGCATCTGGCCAACCAGAAGCTAAAACGTCTGGGATTTATCATCTCAAACTGCCTATCCTCAACAGATCTGACATCAATTCTCCTACTTTGAGAGGATCCTACGTTGCACTTGAAAAAGAAAAGCTGATGGCTTTCTGCCAGTCGACCAAAAAGGAGAACTCCTTGTTGGTCTGCCTGGATCTCTAACAAAAGCATATCTGACCCTATTCAGACTTCAATTTACGAACATTTTGTCTTTGACCGCTTTCAGTTTATGTGATACAGGTAATATACCACTCGTAAGTTCTCCTTAACAACAGAGTCGTCGATCTATCACCTCTCTCCGTTCACAGATACACACCCTCGTAAGGAATCGGTGCGTTCTTCTTAGTCAATGTCATCAGAATCTGGGGATGCTCGATCGGGGGTATCACAAATCGGTGTCGAGTCAATTTCCATAGCTGAACTCTTGGAGTAGCCAGACCTTCTCTGCTATTTTCCTTAGATCCTGCACCCCGTAGACGATGTCCATTTCGTGCGGTTGTTGGGATTGCCTTAAAAGAGTTCCTCAAATGTGATCTTCAAAGGAACATTGGTGACACGAGCATGTGGTTCATCGGGCCGTCTTGAGATGATGACTTGTTGTGCTGAGAGACAGGACTTGTTTCTGATGGCTGGACAGAATCCTAGTGACCCTCAGAACTGGAATCCATTTATGTATAGTGATCTCTCTGGACTTCTGGTTAAGCTTTATAGTCAGGACGGCTTTCACATCGCCACCAGACTCGGTGATCCACCAGGCTGCATCCCTCTCAAGCTTGGCTCAGGATTCTGAATATCCTGCCTCTACGACCACTGAAGGCCATTTTTTCCAATCTTCCTCTAATGTAATCCTCCACGTCAGTCGCCTGGTTGGGCCAGTAAACCCAACGCGAAATCCTGGCGAGAGTAGCTCGCTTCTTCCAATGACCGGCAAGGTCGTGAGCATCCCGTAGTATACTAGCAACTTTGGTCTCAGGTATGCACATCAGCTTTCCATAGAGTCTGTGTTCTTTCCATAGGAATCCTGCAAACCAGGAGTATCCGTCGTCACCAGGGAGGGATGACCCTTGGGTCAACCTATGGTATGCTTGTCCGAACCAAGCCGATCTCTTGTAGTCGTCGTCCCAGCCAGGCAGCTCTCCCCCCTGTACCCTGTCTTTTCCTTTGTATTCCGCGGCTCTGGTCGTGAACATTTCATTTTCAAGTCCCATCCCGTTTAACTTGATGGCAAGACCCCACGAGATGGACTGCGCTGCTTGTTCGTGGGTCATAGTCGTCATGGTTAAAAGGAGGATTCTCTAGAGACGAGTAAGAGTCGATAGAAGTCGTGATAAACTTGTCTTGAGAAGATTGTATTTCTTCCAAGTACGTAGCTTCTGTCACATCCGAGAAGATAAATAATCGATCTTTCTGTTTCTCTCTACCGCTTCGAAAGAGTCTGTATTCACTATCAATAGCATAAAGGAATTGCTTTATTCATTCCCAGCGATATTCACGAACATCCCCTGGCAACTCATGGCGGATACTACCAGATGCTGTGGTCATTCTGCCCATGTTGCAGTAAATTTAACAGGAACGACTCTGGTGTATGTCGGAATAGGCTTGTCGGGTCAAGAACTCCGATAGGCAGGAGTCACGGAGGCGGCAGAATTGGCTGAATGCAAGGAAGAGATCAATTTCTGTGGTAAATCTTGAGACAATATAGTGTTATACTCTTAGTTCATTGCATAGCTTCACAAAGGGCCTTTCAATAATCAAAATTATAACTTCACGCTGATTTGTCGTTCTGCGATATTACATACTGGAAATACCATCAATTAGTCTTTGAGTATTTTGCAGCACTCAGGCATTTCTTTCTACCTTCTCCTACTAAGCCAGTAGAGTGGATAGAAGCGTGCATAGGTACCTAGTTAGAGATAGTGGAGATAGTGGCCGAATTGAGGTGCTAATTGTTCCGATATTGAACTTCATATATTTCCTATTTTAAATTGGTGTATTAGAAAACAACTTATATATCATTCAAGTTCTAATTTTTCTAGCAAATAGCCAGTACATAAATATGCAAATATTGTCGACCAGAATGCGACCCGCTTCAATGCACAAGAATCCCCAGATAGGTAATCATCAAGGCTCGGAAGAAATCGGGGCATTTTGAAGATCCGGAGAAAATAAAAATGGGACTTGAGACGAGAGTGTACAATCCACCTGTTCCAAATAATGAAAAAGTATTCTTTCACTAAAGTTGACAATCCTCATTTTGACCAAAAGACATGAATAACCGGAATCAACCTACACCCGTTTATGCTGAACCATCGGAGGTCCCGTTCATCAAAGCCGCTAAGCGCAAACGCCTAACAACAACCCGCACCAAACAACTTCTCCGCGCGGCTTCCCGAGCTCACAATGACCCTCCTCCACCGCCTGGCCTGGGGGATTGTTGTGGCAGTTCGTGCGATCCTTGCGTGAGGGATCTGTGGAAGGAGGAGTTGACCTGCTGGAGGGAGAGATGGGGAGATGCGGCCGATGAAAGTGGCGAAGAGCAGACGAGTGATCAGCCAGCTGAGCAGAGTCAAGACGAGAAAAACGGTTCAGAAAGAAAATGCGAAAGAATGCCCGGGAGCTGGGACTGGTAGAGGCGATCGTCCAGTTGGATAAGAAGTTCGAATCATGTCAGTTTTCTTTTTCTAGCGGGCAACATCGAGGTATGTTACAACCAGTATCGATATTCAGGTGGCATAAGCGCTCAAAGGTCTCAACGATAGCTGGCTGCTGCCTTGCATATTCCGATATTGGAACGGAAGTATTATGGTAATCGTGACATGTTGGTCGCGAATTGCAGGAGCATCTAATATGCTAGTCTCTTTTCTTGAAGGATTGAGAGTCGGATAGAGGCGATTCCATCCGTTGATACCACTCGATAGATGGCGTTGCTTTAGCACTACGTCTGCTTTGCACATACATAGCGGATAAGACTTTGTACAGTACATATAACCAACACTACTGCATAGCCAATCAATGTTTGTTTACAATCAACTTCGAAATAGGTTTTGAATGGCTATCTAAGAGACACACATATGTATTTTCGTTCAAGGATGCCATTTACCATGAAATTATCTTTCTTTCTCGCCGAATTACTCAAAATACCCCTTCTCGATCTCTTTCATCATTAGGCCCGCCCAGTGAAGTAGATGCTATACGTGAATATAGCTTCCTAGATTATTTTCAGAATCTAGACAGAATAATTCTTATTGGCACTATCAAACTCTTTTATTGCGATTAATCTCGATAAGAGCAGGCGGTCATGCGAGCTGGTATCTGCCTTAGCGCTGAGCTGTGCCGCAGTTTCATGCTGGTTGTATGTTAGAACTATACCCCTCACTGGTTCTAATCGGTCTACCCGCATAACATCATCCAATATACATGCATTTAAATGGTATTGTTTTTACAGTACTCATCAATATGATCAATTTAGGATGTGCCAAAATGTCGATAAAGGGGGAGTATAATCCGATGTACTATATATATACAAAGGGCAGATGGCGATGTTGGATCAAGAAAATGCTCCTGATTACTTATGCCAAAATTATTGATAAACTACCAACAAATAACCATGCTACCCTTCTCGTTTAGGTCTGTTGGTTGACTGAACCACTTGTCGACCTCTGGGTGGATAGATTTGCTTGTGGGGTCTGTTATGGCGAGCAAGGCGCATTTTCGATAGCCTTGTTCAAGCGCATCTTATTTTTTCCCCTTTATATCTACGCTGTGCAAACTTCGTCTGTAGATAGGAGTCTAATGACCTTGGCAAGAATATCAACTTCACTACTACTGCTATAATGCCTCAAACTAAATTCTGTCACGACTATTATCTAATCCTCGAAATATCGCAGAAGGCAGATATCGAGAGTATCAGGTCGAACTACAAGCGTCTCGCGAGGCTCAAGCATCCAGATAAGAATCTTAATAACCCCAATGCAACAGCAGAGTTTCAACTGGTATGCAACTCGTTTGTCCTACTGGTTAGTCTTACCCTGATAGCGTCTGTAGATCCAGGAAGCATACTCGACTCTCAAAGACCCTGTTAGTCGCAAACAATACGATGATCAGTACAAACCAACGAACCACTCCCACGGGGAGTCTTCCCATACAGGGTCCCCGAAGAACACTACAGCGGGCAACGATTATGAGAAACGTTCTGCAGAACGGCACAAGAAACTTCAAGAGCTCAACGAGCAACTTCGGGTGCAAGAACGCAACTTGTTCGACTCAAATCTTCACTTGACAACGCTGAAAAGAGATGCGCATAGGCTAGGAACAGAGATCGATAATATAGTTAGAAAGCAAGCGGCCAAAGGAACAGTATGGGGATATGTCACCTCATTTTTTGTCGGGAAGCCTCCGCAGGCAGACGAGCAAAAGAACGAACTGGACCGGGAACGACTCGACAAGATGGCGGCGCTGAAAATAAAAGAAAGCATTATTGAACGGCAACATGCAACGAGTGAGAGATATGAAAAATATATTCTGTCTATCCGCGAGGAGATTCAATCAATAGAATTCGTGATCAACAGGGAGAAGTTGGCAGAAGAACAGAGGATAAAGACAGAACGGGCACGCGCTTTTTGGCAGAAATTCGAGAGAGAATTTGAAGAGAGCAGGAAGCAGCGATCCAAACAAGCAGAGAACCAGAAGAAGTCAGAAAACGGAAGGACAGAGAGCAAAAGAGAAAGACAGAAGAAACATGGAGCTGGTAAGAGAAAAGACTCAGCTCAAACAGGACAAAACCAACAGACTGGGACAGAAGCGAGCTGTCATCATAAAATGTGGTGGGATCGGATCGACTGTCCAACTCTTTGCAGTCATTGCTCGACAATGACCTCCCGGTTTGCATTTCAGTGTCGTGGTTGTGGCAAGAAAGCGTGTGCATCGTGTAGGGACTCTCTCAAAAAGAAAGTAAGATTTCAGGAGTCCAAGTCATATTACGAGTATGACTAGGTATCCTTATTGGGAATGAAGCAAATACTTGCCGTTCTTTGATTACAGTTCTTTTATAAATTCAGGCTTGTAGCACGAAACTCAAATCTCATGCATCGTAGTGCTGGAATATTTAACTTACTAGAAACTCTAAATGGAACTGGCCATTAATTGGTATGAAGCAAGACTCCATCTCAACGATTAAATAACATCAAGCAAAGACATGGTATGGATCTAACTGTCAGACTCGACCTCAACAAACTCCCATCGTGTCGCATCTTCTCCCTCTGAACCGACAACCAACTCTCGATCATCTTCCCCTCCTGCCATCATCGGCCGAAAGTCGTCGTTATGTTTCACCAAAAGTATGTGGCCACCGTCCGGGTGCTCTCGTGCACAGAAGCGCTCCCATGTATCATGACACTGCCCCTTTGCATCGAATCGCCAGTTGGTCTTCTTGTTATTGTGCCTTATGTACGTTCCTGAGACTGAGTTATAGAAACCAAGCCACATACCCTCGTTCTCGACGCATTTCCAGTGGCTGCCACGACCATGGCTATAACTACTACCCTTATGGCCTTTCTCTTCAGGACATAAGCGTAGAACCCCCTCCTTGAGCGTGATAACGAGCTCGGTTTCAAGCTCACGGATTATATAGGTTCCTCCTTTCCAGGGGCATGTGCCAAATCTCATTCTGCTGAGACTAGGATAGCTGGGTAACTCTGAGTCTGAATATTCCTCTGGAATACTAGTATGTGGTGTGTCACACTCTTGCCCGTCCGATGTAGTGAGAGACATGCTATCGATTTTTTGCATATCCCGATGACTCGAAAGCTTCCTATTCCATAGGAAACGATTAGCTTGATAGATTTGATAGAGCTTCAGATATGTGTTATAAGGAAGATGACTGAACTGTTTGATCGCCGATCTTATCTCTGTAGGTTCCTGAGTTTTAGGATCAAGCCTAGACGCTATGTCTAGACTCTATGCCGAGAAGCTAGGAGTGGAGTAGAAGGCTGAGAATACACACTTCCGCATCAGTTTGAAGCTATAGATATGAGATACGTAAGGAGGTCAGCTTGCCGCATGGTTGTAGCGCGGAGGAGAACGGAGTCCTGGGCGGGGTAAGGATGTATGTACATACATAATACTTAAAGCATCCAAGCACCGAACTACGTCGCCCCGCTTTCCGATAAAGTCACTATGATTCAAACCACTTAGCGAGAAGAACTATTCTAAATATAAAATAAGTATCACAGTACATGATGCTTGGTATCCACATCGACTATAAATTGGTATTAGCACTCAAATATATCCGGTGAAAGTCCATGGTCATCCCAAGGCTGCAATAATCGAAGGACGCTGCCTTGATTCAAGCATTTCGCTGTATGAGGTTCTGAATCAAGCACCGGAAGCTGGCCAAGCAATAAAATTCTAATCTTTCCTAATGAACTTGCAATGAGCTGTCAATCCAGTAAAGTATCGTTTCTGACTACTGTATCTGGAAAAGATTCTCCCCGATAGTAGCACTTCAGCTAAACCACTAGAATGGCCTTGTATACCATGTAGAAAATAACCATATAGTTCCTGTGTCGGAGCTCTTCCGCAATCCGACTCCCCACCCCTCATATACGGAGTACTCTAATCAATCTGGATTGGATACTCCGTACTTTCCCGTGTTGGATCTTGAGAAGCCCGTTGGAAGACAAGATAGCTAAGCATCGGCAACCGTTCATCTCCATCTCACTTCCCCGCTAGAACTCCCCGCATCTGTACAACGTTTAGGCCAACGATCAGCAAAGCGGCTATTGAAATCGGGCTAACGATGATTTCTTACCCAATGGAATGTTCCGAGCTAATGTTCATCTACCATATGGTATGCCTTATTCTTTCCAACGCCCGGTAGCTCTCCTCAATTAGCGTATGGAAGCGGGATAATTATCCCCGAAAGATGGGATCCTGGGGGATTATTAGAGGAAAATTACAGTGCGAAATGACTTTCGAGGAGATACTTCCCACTGTATGCACAGTACTTATATAGGGGACAGAAAGTAAGGAAAGAGATGTAGTTTTCTGTATTTCAGAAAGCGTAGCGAGGCGGATCCTGAGAGCCAGCATCATGATGCTCCTACGCCTCCTTGCGTTGATAGCGTCTGTGACGGCATATGTAGTCAACGAAGGTACTGAATGCCGTCTGTTTCCTGAGAGCAGCACTCACAATGGACATCCTGTCGATGATACACCATCAATCCTACAGGCCTTTGAATTGTGCGGCACCAATGGCTCCGTCGTCTTCCCTAATGAGACGTTCTATGTCAATCAGGTCATGAACACCACCAACCTACTCAACTGTGATGTCTCCATATATGGTGAGCTTGTTTGGAGTACAAACGTCCCGTATTGGCTGTCACATAGCTTGCCAGTTGTCTTTCAGAATCTGTCTGCAGCATGGATATTTGGAGGGACAAATGTGACTGTGAAGGGATACGGACAGGGGAAGTTCTTCGGAAATGGTGAGCTTAGGACCGTCTCTGAATCCTAAAGCGATTCATTGCTAAATCTTTCCCTCTCAGGACAATCTTGGTACGACGAGAACCGCAATAACAGCAACCAGCCTGGTCGGCCAATGTCGTTTGTAATCTACAACTCGACAAATGTCCTAGTCGATGGACTCACCTGGCTCCAGTCGCAGTTCTGGAGCACGTTCGTCTCATATTCCAGCAATGTCACAATGTCCAACATTTTCGTGAATTCGACCAGCAACGACGGCAACCAGACCATGAACACGGATGGATCCGACACGTGGAATTCGCATGATATCCGGTACTACAACTGGACTGTGCAGAATGGTACGTTGATATCATGAGAAGTTATGAAAGATATTTCGTCAGTTAACCTCGATATAGGGGACGACTGCATTGCCATCAAAGGTAACAGCAGCAACGTCCACGCACGTAACATCACCTGTTCTCAAACCAACGGTTTCCCCATCGGTTCTGTTGGTCAGGACCCTGGATACCCGGACTACGTAAAGGATATTCTCTTCGAGGATGTGACACTAATCGATTCGAACAATGGAGGATGGATCAAGGCGTGGCAGGGTGTGCCAACAACGACAGACTCCAACGGGGATAACGGAGGAGGTGGAGGCGGCTGGGCAAAGAACGTAACTTTCAGAAATTTCCGCCTGCACAAGGTTGCGTTGCCGATCTATATCACCGAGTGCATCTACAGCAGTGATCCGACTGTCTGCGACACGTCCTCCTTCCAGATCTCCGATGTCACCTGGGAGAACTTCACGGGAACATCCAAGTACGACGTGATCGCATCGATACACTGTGGGGCGAAAGTGCCTTGTCCCGGGCTCAAGTTTATCAACATAAATATTGAGACTCTTAACGCGAGTCTGGGTCTTCCCAGCAAACAGCCGGTGTATCAGTGTGCGAACATCGTCAACCAGAATGCAACGGGTGTCAACAGCACGGGGATCCCATGCAATGCATGGGCGCCAGGAGACTTCCCAGAGACACCAACGCATAACTATTAAAAGAGTCCTGCAGTGTGGATTTGACGGACGGGTCATGAATAACGTATCAGAGATGACTGAGGATCCATGTCCGATTTAGACCTAACATTAGCATCAGCCACAATGCAATACAAGCTTACGAGTGTCCTTCTTTCCATCCATTCATTGACGTGGCTCTGCTAATACAGTTGGACACTAGGAGATGTTATGGTCTTAATATGAGAATAGTGTGGAGAACATAAAAAAAGTATCCTGGCCGAATATAAATGTGATGGTGTTCCTATTCTCGGGCCAGCCCTACGAGCGCACGGGCAGTGACATCAGACTTGTTTTTGCCATCGATACTGGGGCGACAAGTAGGTTGCTCTCTGGAGGCGACAAGCGAGACAGGATTCTGGCGATATATCGAAATGAGAAGTAACATGCATATATCGTCGCTACTCTCAGGACTCTTCGAGCAGAAATACGCAGATGAGTCATCACGTGGTGACGATGCATGTCACGTGCTACTGAGCGCAAGAAGACCAGCTCTATATTTTCCCACCAGATCAGAGAGAAGGCCGTTCGTTCAAGGTTATATTCTGTGTTCAACTCACTAAATCATTTCTGTGTGTAACAGACAAGACTATTCCCCTAGCTGTTCTGTTTTTCTGTCAGGCGTATGCGACGGATATTCTGTGCGGCGGAAGTTTTGAGCCTCAAAAATATGCGTTGTAAGAGGATTCAGGGGGTTATCAGCACTGGAAACAGAGACCCGATGCCCAGAAAACAATAATAGAATAGAAGCCGTAGAGAACACACTGCTGTAAATCTGGCCTCTTTCCCCCTCGTGCATCCGTAGGAATGCTGGTAGCTTTCCTGGGCAGCCCATGGACGCTGCGACAGCTCCTTAAGTATGTATCCCGCAGCGCAACGTCTGCCATGTCAACCTCACCCACGCGCAATCCAACTGCGCTCTGCGACGCCCACGGCGCGACAACCGTCCCTTCTCGACTGATGATTCGACTTGCGGCGCGATAGATGAGCAGTTTGGAGTCTGGCGGTCGCGTCTGAACGAGCCCTTTGCGCCCCGTTGTCCCCATCTCCACTGCCTGTCGCCATGGACCTGCGCACGATCATGAACAACGACGCCGGCGGGGGCGCAAACAACAATCCCACGCCTCCACCGCACTCGCCGGCGGTGCATCGCTCTGCTTCAGAGAGCCACTATAGAAACGAACAGAATGAAACGCCCTCTGGCCCGTCATATCCGGCTGGATTACCAGGTCAACCTCAACCTCCTCCGTTGCAACCGCCTCACCGTTCACCAGACCGTTCTTCGTCCTACGGTTCAGTCCAATCACCATATCAGTACAGTTCGACTTCGAAGTTGACTTCAGGCGCTCCCTCCCAGCAAGGGCCAGTGATTCATGGTTCTCCATCCTTTGCATCGGCCCCGCGTGACTCCTTTGCTGGAAATCTGTCAAGCTCCGTTGTCTACAGCAACCAGCAGACACCAGGACCATTGGTCTCTCCCTTCACACCGCAGCCCATGAGCGCTGGGATCCAGCAACAACAGCAGCAGTCCTACTTTTCTCAGCGATCCCAGTCAATCCAGTTCGTCACGAGCCCTTCTTCCGTCTACAATTACTCATGCCATCCCAGGGAAAATCCTCAGTCGGCCGGTGCGCAACCGCCATTAGCGCCGCAGCAGTTCTCTCCGCAAGCCCAAAGGTCTCAGCCCGGAACTCCTCTTGGTCCTCCATCGGTATCATACCAGCGCCCTTCGCCTCAATCAGTCCGTCCAGCGTCGTCCGGTCGCGATTCCCAGCACGCCCAGTTGTCCAGTCCGTGGGGAGCCCAGGAGAACCAGACACGCGAGCAAAGGAACATCGCGTCCCCCACAGCGCATAGCAGGCCTTCCAGACAGGATTCAAGAAGCTCGGAACACACACAAAAGGACGGAGACAAGGAGAGAAGCGTTAGCGTTAGCCCCAAGACCGTTTTTGCCTCCACCCCTCGCCAGGCAAGCATTGCAGGGTCTATAGAGCGGACGAGTCCATCGAATCGCAACAGCGTCGACGACGGAAGGCAGAAGGAAAGCCCTACAGCAAGCGCTTCGGTGCATGCTCAAGGTGGCGCGGGTGCAACATCGGGCACGTATCAAGCCGTTACACCTCAGCAGCCATATCCTGCGTCGATCAGCAATCGCACCAACAGCTCTCCGCCTGCGAGGATGAACTCGTCAGGTGATGTACCTATGACTTCTTCAGCCCAGCTGCCTCCCAAGGAAAACATGTCCATGTCGCCAGCGTCGGTTTCCGGCCCTCCCCCTGCGAAGAGAAAGAGGACAAGATATGCTGAACCACCGATCTACGCGCGTAAGGCGCCAGGAACTCATGGGAGAAGCCCGATGCTCCCGGCTCGCCGGCCACCAGTCCCTAAACATGCAAGACACACAGTTGACGACCCGGCATCACGGCAAAAGTCTATTCCACCAGCTGCGGCTATACCTGCGGCTGCAAGGAACCAGGTCAATGGGGCCCCCCCTACGAACGGACGCATATCAAATCTCCCCCCACCTGAGCCGAGTCCAGGGCTTCTTGGACCTTGGGAACCATCGATCACCGGTCTCATTCCTCACGAAGAGATCACAAAGTTGATATGCGATTTCCTTTTCCAGCAAGTGGTGATGCGGAAAGACGTCGGTGCAGGCCCTGCAGGGGGTGCAGCAACCGGTCAAGACGCAATCTTGGAAGTGGAGGCCAAGCTGGGACAACTGATTGACCGCAACAGAGGCGAGAGACTTCGTCTTCCGGTGTTGACAGAGTGTATCTTGAGTAAAGATGATCCTGCGATTCGAACTTCTTTTGAAAGTTCCATGTCACTGGTAAGTTATACTCCGGACATCATGGCAGCGTTCAGCCTTCCATCTGGTATTATTCACATAATCGTGGCACCCGCTAATTTTTCATAGGCACAACACCGTGCAATGAACAACTTCTTGAATGATGCTGTGAAAGCATCGATGCCACAGGCCAACTCCAGCCGTGTTCCTTTATCCTATGCTCACAAAAAGGAGCGCGATACGTTCTACGAGGTCAACGTATCTGAGCTGCCGCCAGTGATCCAGCACAACCTCCACCCTCGACACAAGCCTAAAGTGCGTGTGACAAGAGATCAACGTACGGGAGAGATCTTGGCAAAGATCGTCAAGTGCCGCGTTGCAGATTTAGATGTTTACAGTCCACGGACTTGCGTGGATTGGCGTATAAGTGTCAATCTGGAAATGAATTATGACGGCGACGTTAGCAATCTACCTATCGCAGATGGAGCAGGTGCTAGGGGCAGAGCAGGTGGCGAGCGCAATAAAGACCGCATGAGTTATCGACACCTAGCGTATCAGGTGGACCTGACACAAGTCGCAACAGCAGAGGTATGTCTTATGTGGATATGAAACCGTTCCTCCTCCGTTCATGCTAGCAATTACTAACAATGGAACTAGCCTCCAACAAAGTCAGACTTCGAACATGAACTCGAGATCGAGATATCATCCGCTGAGGTCAGACGTCAAGGTGATCTCGCCCTTGCTGGTGATCCAAAGAACCAATATGAAGACCTGATCAAGGGTTTTGTGGACAATATACGCGTTCTAGCCCGGGCTGTGCCAGGAGCATGATGAAAATCACCCATCAAAAAATATTGCCATGTTGTCCATGGGAAGGCGCATTCCGGGTTTTGTTGACAATCAGGTCTTTTTTTTTTGGGTCGATTCGTCGCTGCTTTCTATGAGCCGTCCTCGCGCAACAAGCAGGTAGATGAATATGGTTTTGCGTATGTCCACTCTTCGCGCTTCACTTCACGTCTATGTGTTACTTTTCTCTTCTCCTTATAAACCGAAGAATGACCAACAGAGAAATGTGAAATGGCTTCTTATATTCTCCGCCTGATTCATATTGTCTTGTTTAGTATCCCTGCTTCGTCTCTACATATATATGTACTATATTAACAGGAAGGGTTTGGTTTCACGTTAGCCCTTTGTATTGCTGTCTATAAATGAATTCGTGGAGATTGCGCACGCATCCCGGACGGCATAGCCGGGAACCCTTTTGGACCTACAGATGCATTCGCATTTCCATTTTGTACTTTCAACGAGTGAGTCCCTTCTCTACAAGGTTCACGAAGGCTCAACACGAAATCGAATAAACCTCTCGCTAATCGCTTTATTACAGTAGCACTAAAAAACAATAACACAATCTGGAACCTGCAGCGATGAAAGGCGCCCTCGCCTAAATTCAACTAGAGAAGAGATGGCCAATCTCAGACGTTATCGCCGTAGCTCTCGATGCGCCTGGTCTGGCCTTTTCATGCGGCCTAAGAATTGTTGGAATTTTGTTCCAAATTGCGTGATTATGCAGATAATCGCCTAATGAGGCAAGCCCGGGAATTATCTCGACGTGACACCGGTGATAACCGACGAGAACAGAGATATATCGAGCAAAGCGCCATAGTTATGCGGGCTATGGGGCCAGAATCTGCTCGTATATGTGTAGCAGGCTTCAGTGGTACATTAAGTACTCAGTGGTCTCAATTGACAACGAGATTCGGGATATTGACGTCTGATATGTAAGGATGACGGCTATGCCAGGTTCCATTTTGCTGATATATTCACAGTTTAACATCTTGGAGGGCTGAAAGCACGTTCATTGGTGAAACTGAACATGGCAGACGATATATCCAACAGCGACAACAAAAGGCGAGAAGAGACAACCACCACTCCATCACCCAACCCAAAAGATCAAGTCACAGTACATACCACCACAGCTCCTCCATCCGTGGGAGATGGCGCTCTTGAACTCCTCAAGGCCACCAGCCGCGGTCATGCTGCCTCCGGCCCCCTCGACCCAGAGCAGAGCCATCGACTCGTCCGCAAAATCGACATCTATATAATGCCTTTAATCTGCATCGTTTACTTCTTACAGTATCTCGACAAAATCGCCATTTCCTACGCCAGCGTGACGGGGATTCAGAAATCTACAAACCTCCACGGCGATCAGTTTAACTGGGTCTCGAGTATCTTCTTCTTCGGCCAGCTTGCTTTTGAGTTCCCAACTATTCGACTCATCCAGATGTTTCCTCTGGCTGCGTACGTTTCTATCAACGTCGTTATCTGGGGAGCTTTACTCGCTTGTCTCGCAGCATGCAAGTCATTCGCCTCTCTCATGGTCTGTCGAGCCCTCCTCGGCTGCGCAGAGGCAGCAATAGTGCCAGCCTGGGTCGTCTTCACCTCCCAATGGTACAAAAAGGAAGAACAAGCCTTCCGCGTCGGAATCTGGTTCTCCATGTGCGGTTTCGCCCAGATGTTCGGCGGATACGTCGCATACGGCGTCGCCGTACACGTTGGCCGCGACCCCAACGCCTCCCTGCGAGGATGGCAGATCATATTCCTCATCCTCGGCCTCCTCAGCGCCGTCATCGGAATTCTATTCTATTTCATCCTCCCTTCCTCACCCGTCACAGCGGGATTTCTCACCCCCGACGAAAAATCCCTTCACGTCGAACGGCTCCGTGGAAACCAACAGGGCATCGGCACGGATGTGTTCAAATGGCATCAATTCTACGAAGCCCTTCGCGACCCCAACACATGGCTATACTCCTTCTGGGTCTTCGCCGCAAATATTTGCAACTCCATCGCAACCAGTTTCGGCAACATCCTCGTCACGGGAATGGGATACTCATCGACCGAGTCCCTCTTACTCGTCACCCCCTTAGGAGCCTACGAAGTCGTCGCCCTCATCCTCCTCACCTACCTCTCCATGAAAACAAACCAGCGTCTCCTATGGTGTATAGCAGGCCACATCCCCTCTATCGTCGGCGCAATCCTAATGGCTACAACGGAAAAAGCCCCCGCGTTAATCGGCTTCTATCTCTCCGGCGGCGTACCCATCGGCTGGACAACCATCCTCGGTCTAACAAGTAGTAACGTCGCTGGGTCAACGAAGAAAATTACCGTGTCGTGTATCCAGACCATCGCGTATACAGTGGGGAATATCATCTCGCCGCATACGTTCCAAGCGAAGGATGCGCCGAGGTATCTTCCTGCGAAGATTTCGATTACTATTATTTATTTTTTGATCACGGTGGATTTGCTTGTGATTCGGTGGGTGGCGACGAGGGAGAATGAAAGGAGGGATAGAGAGAAGGAACAGTTGGAGAGGGAGGGTGCGTATGTTGTGCAGGATAATCAGGAGTTTCTCGATCTTACGGATAGGGAGAATAGGGAGTTTAGGTATGTTTTATAGGTATGGGCTTTGGTCTTTGTCTTGGCATCTCTCTGAGGTTCCCGATCAAATGGAGGGCAGTAATAGTAGTAGTAGATGTGTGTTTAGATCAGATAGTCATTTTTAGAAAGATGGCGCTTTCAACACGATGATACGAGAATACGAGATACGAGTATCAATGATTAATGGCTCTGGTTGAGATTTCTTATTTTCCTTGGTCCATACTATCTTACACTCCCAACGCAGGGATTTCGAACAGTCAAAGCCAGCTACGGCTCTATTATTTAAAATGGAGAAATATGCATATCTCGTTGTCTTCACTAGTACGACAGTACAATTTAGAGACATCACCTCCGGAGAAGGAGGCGTGAAAGGAACAGAAAAGCCTATGACACACATAACGGACAAGACCCAATTGTCCCTGGAAATAAAGAATAGAAACAATACATGTTGGTTTTGAGCTGGAAGATTATTATGCAGTGGTGTGGCAGGAGACGGCTCCTTTCTTTTGGCTAGGCCGCAGATAGTGTTTAAGGACTAGGCGTGCCCTCTTCATAGCGAGGTCCTCCGTCGTCGGCTGCTGCACCGGGAGTAGCTGCCACAGCGGGTGTCGGTGCGTCGTAAGGACGGCCGCCGAAAGCTGCCGGTGTGGGAGCATCATAGGGTCTATATCCGCCTGGTGTAGGTGCGTTGAGTGCTCCTGGAGTCGGCGCACTGTCACCCCAGCCGCCAGGGGTGGGTGCTGAAGCACCGGGAGTAGGGGCGCTGGCATACGCACCCGGTGTAGGCGCTGAGTAGTTCGCACTAGGCGTTGGCGCATCATAGCTGCGATCCTTGCTGCCATTGCCAGACGCTGATGCGCCACCCCATGCTGGAGTCCTGCCGCCAGAGTTGGCAGCGCCCCAAGCAGGCGTCCTTGATCCAGCCGCGAACGCATCGAAACCACTTGATTCGGAGCCTCCCGCATAGGGGGTACGAGCTCCAGAATTCCAGGCAGGAGTGCGAGAGCTCAATCCTCCATAAGCGGTGCGGTTTCCATCGTAAGGGTTGGAAGTGCGCGATCCGTCGTTCTTCCACGCAGGAGTACGAGCACCACTGACACCTCCCCAAGCAGGAGCTTTTTAACAGAGTCAGAATACGGACTTGCAATAGTAAAAAAAAAAAAAAAGAGAGAACTTACTTCTCGCGGAAGATGCCATACCCCAGGCAGGGGTCCGGGACGAATCGGCAGAAGCCATGGGAGTACGGCCACCATGCCAGCCGTCACGGCCTGGTGGCGCTGCAGAGGTACCAAACGGTGTACGCTGCCCTCTGCCACGGCCCATCTCGATCGATTGGCCTGTAACAGGACTAAAGCAGAGTCAGCATGGATCGAATGAACGTCAGGGAAGAACTCAGGATCACCCACTCTTTGATAGACAACACCTCTTTTGGTATGCTGACCATCTTGTTCTTCGAGTGCAGTTCCACTCGTGCGGTGTCATCGGTTGCGTCTTTCACGATGCCCATAAGACCCTTATAGGGACCTTTCCGCACCATCACCGTCTTACCAATAATTCGATCACGACCAAAGGATCGCGGCGGTGGCATCGAACCACCAGGGGCCCCGTTTCTCATCAGTGCTGGGTTCATCTTTGATAGGTCTGGACCAGTAGCTCTGCCTCCCTTCGCCGACACGGTGACGACGTTTGAAGTGCGCACCACGAGAACACCAGAGTTTTCAACTTGGGCCTTGTTGTGCAGGAAAAGGAATGATCGGTAGATATGGATAATAACACCATTCCTCTGCTCTCCATAGACTTCTCGGACAGTGTCGCCATGTCGAATCTCAGCGCCGTTGCGGTCAGTGGCCACAGCGTCTCGCCGTGGAGTGATCTTGTTAGTTACGCGGGAAGGTAGTACATTCCGTAGAGAGCCATCCTGATCTAGGACACGAAGGGACTCGCGGTCAACCTTGACAACGCAAGCAACAGTAGCGGCACTGGAATAGTTAGCATCCATAGGTAACTAGTGGGGAAGTGGTTTGGACTTACTCAAGCTGCACAAGATCGTGGACATCAAACATGCCCAGCTTACCATCAACACCAGTGTCCGCGGAGAGTCTCAGGTCCTTGCTGAAAACAGTGATTTCCTGCATGGACATGTCGCTGAGCAGCGTCACGGTGTCATCCTTGACCTGGACCACCATACCCAGCTCGTCTTGATATCTGCTGCCGCCAATAACCTTGACGTGGTCACCTTCTCTGAAGCGCTTCCGCAGAGTCTTGACGGGTGCATCAATGGTCTGGGTCTCGAGGTCACCTTCTGTGACTTGCAGAGACACAATGTCTCCACGAGTAGAGACAACGCGGCCCACTACTCCCTGCTGCTCACCCTGGTATACTTCCACAGTATCGCCAGGGAGATAAGCATCCTCTGCGGTGGTTTGCTTGAGTGTCTCCGCCAAGGAGGCCAGGTCAAGGTTTGAGGTACCATCCTCAGAGCCTCGAGCAAACATGGTAACTTCATCCAGTCTTGGCTTGACATCCTTCGTGATCAGATGGTGCACCTTCATATCCTTGATGAGGAAACCATCAACATAGGTCTCACCCAGATAGTTCCACGACTTGCCTCCCAAACCCGAGGTAGCAGTGAGGTACTTGCTGTGCTTCTTCTTGGCCTCTGCCTCGCTAAACAGCCGCTGGGGAGGTCGCGAAGCCGTTGGGTTGGCGGCGCCAAATCGCTTTCTCTTCGGGTCCGTTAGAGGTGCGCCAGAGTCCTCATTCAAGCCGTACTCCAGACGCGGCACCAGTCTAACAGTCACATCCAGACCATTGGTCTCGACCTCTTCAACTTGCGCCAGATCTCCCTGGTACTTGCCACGCTTGATGCGAACCCACGCTCCGGGGAGGAGCTCTTCCGATTTCTGTACCCTCAGCAAGTCGGGCATCTCCTTGACAGGCACCAGTATCATCTTGGTTCTAGGATAGACATTAGACATTTCATCCAAGGCCTCCATGACATCCGCCTGTCTGCGTGCCTCGACGTAGACGTATCCGGCCATAGCACCTCCACGTTCGAACGCGGAGATAATTCTGCAAGGCTTGCGCGAGCCAGGGGGTCGTTCCTCAATTCGCTTCTGAATAGAGAAGACAACCTCTCTTTCCTTTCCAGCTTTGCAGCGGACACCCCAGATACTGGGATCATCGACACTGGGGAGGAGCAGCCTCTTCGGGATCACGACAGAGTCAGTGGCAGCCATACGGTTGCGCCCATATCGTTCCTTCAGTGCCTGAGCTTGCTTCTCCGCATCCATGCTGGCCTCGAGCTCACGCTGACGATCGAGCTGTCTATGGCGGCGGTCGTCCGTCTCCGCACCCACTGGCAGCGCATCGAGATCGTCGGGATGCATCTCGGCGCCAAACCCATCTGCCATCTCATCCTCTTCTTCTTCAGCTTCGTCTTCATCCTCGTCGACACCGGCCTCTTCATCAATGAAAGCATGCAGACCACCCATTCTCCTTCTGCGTTTGCGCGGACGACCCTGCCAGGAAAAGAGCACACGTTAGATTACCGCCGCAGGCTTCATCCATATAAAGTAGGACGCAAAGAAAAAAAGAACCGCCGATAACCAACTCACCGAAACAGCCTCTTCGTCATCCTCATCCTCATCCTCATCTTCCTCATCTTCTTCCTCTTCCTCTTCCTCCTCATCGATCGCATCAGCCTCATCCTCCGCGGCCTCAGCTTCCCTTTCATCATCGTCGTCACCATTCAAACCCTCATCGCGATTCCCCCTGGATGGCTTCTCATCTTCATCCTCGTCCCTGTCTCGCTGTCTGCGAGAGGTATCTTCTTCGTTTTCCGACTCGTCTGCAGGTACTGGGTTGAAGTCATCATCTTCCTCCTCCGATCCGCCAAAGTCCTGGTTCAGGAAGTTATTCGACATTTTGGCTGCGCGTGTCGATTCAGGTATGCACCGTTACAGAAGAAGCGAGGTGAAGTTTCTGGTACGGAGGTCCGCAAGGACGGAAGAATATGAGTATCAAAAGTGGTGGTGCGAGTAAAAGGTCCCAGTCCGATACCGCCGGGGAAACGCGCAAGGACAATCGACGGGAAAGCACGCGGGCGAATTAAGAAGTGTGCGTAGATAATGCGACGGTAAGAGCAAATTATCGACTTCAAATGAAATATTCAGTCGAGTTCCATCGAAAAAGGGCCTGAACTGGCCACCTTGAGTTTCTTCCCAGCGAGGAGCAAGTTGGCGTCGCCGTAGGTTTCAATGCGCCGCCACAAGGAAACAAAGGTAGCTTCTTTCTCTCCCCACGCAGTGGAGCGAAGATTTGAAGAGAACTCTCAAACCTTCGCACGGCCTCCGGTATAGGAATAGTTTCGATGAGGTTGTGTCAAGCGAGAGGAAAGGGAGGGAAGTCGGAGTCGAGGCTTGTTGCTCAGCTTGGCTGGAGGGCGTTTTAAGTTGTCCGCCGAGATGCTTCCCGATAACTGCGTGCTTGGTCCGTCTGCGTGGGCGGAGTTGGATAAGTTGAGTGCCCAAATTCTATATACTTGCTTCATTTGACAATAGCTTCACAAGCTGAGCTATGTCATACTCTGTGTGGTTGCAGAGATAAACGGACATGCAGCTCCAGAGAATATCGTCCAGAAGTTGGTTTTACTCGCGATAGTGCTCTGTATCACAGGCAGCACCGATATTTATCGATTTCCAGATCTCGACCTTACACCGGGGAATGGTTTCTTGTTTGGCAGTAAGAGGGTGCGGTTTAAATATCGTATCCATGAGTGTTTTATAAGCAAAGAACTCGCTGCTATATAGTACATGACATTGCAGCATATGTCAAAAAGAAATCCTGCAGGACGTCCGCACGCCTCTACATCCAAGATCTGCTAACTACCTCAGACGGTCCGCGATATCGATGTCATCAAAGGCCACATAATTTAAGAATGAAAGATGAATGGAACGAAAAAGGGCCTACAGGGAGGCGAATCACAGCTTCATGCCAAACATTTTGTGCACACGCAGACTCTGGCGCATGCTCAGATCCAACATGATCTCCTCGCTACCGCCGGGGATAGCGTAGGCACGAACGTCACGGTAGAGACGCTCGACCTTACCGCCCTGGCCGCCGCGAGTGTAGGACAGACCACCGAAGATCTGACTGGCCTCACGAGCACAGAACTCGAAGGTAGTCGTCGACTGGGCCTTCAGACCGGCGATGGCACCACCAAGCTTAAGCATGGCCTCAGTCTCATCCATGACCTGGCACTGGTAGATGAGGTTCTCCATCCAGTTGTAGGAAGCCTCGATCTGACGAGCCATGTGGGCCAGCTTCATCCGGATCACAGGGTGGTCGATGAGGCGCTTGCCGAAAGTACGGCGCTTGTGGGCGTACTTGACAGACTCCTCGTAGCAGACACGGGCGAAACGGAGACACTGGATGATGATTCCGACACGCTCGTGGTTGAAGTTCATCATGATCACTGCTCAACTGTCAGCGACTGGAATTCATTGATATTGATCGAACGGTATTATTGACTCACCCTTGAAGCCCTGGTTCTCCTTGCCAATCAGGTTCTCCACGGGAACCTTGACATCCTCAAAGGTCACGTAGGTGGTGCCACTGCTCCAGACACCCTGGCAGTCCATCCGGCGGGTGCTGACACCACCGCTCTCCCTCTCGATGAGAAGCAGACTGACACCGCCCATACCGGGCCCGCCGGTACGAACAGCGGTGGTGAAGTAGTCTGCCCACACACCGTTGGTGATCCACTTCTTCTCTCCGTTGACAATGTAGTGCTTGCCATCTTCCGACAACTTGGCCTCGCAAGTCAGGTTGGCGACATCACTGCCCGCATCGGGTTCCGTGATGGCAAGACAGATGCGCTTGTCACCGGCCAGGATGCCAGGGACGATCCTCTCGACCAGCTCCTTCTTACCGTACTTGACCAGAGGGGGGCAACCGATCCCGAAACCACCAAGGAGGTTCCAGACGAGACCACCGCTGCCCACGCGAGCGATCTCATCCGTGATAATCATCTCATGGAAGAAATCCCATTTCTCGGGAGCCACCGATGGAACTCTCTTATTAGTGAGATGTTGCGGGTAGCCAAGGCCCAAGAGACCAGCCAGGTAGCCCCTCTCACCCATTTGCTTGTAGATGGTCTCCGGCACCCTCTTGGCCTCCTCCCATTCCGTGACGTAGGGCTCGATCTCCGCGTCGACCCATTCCCGGACCTCTGCACGCAGAGCAGCGTGCGTCTCGTTGAAGTAGGGAGAGCGATACTATTATTCAGCTCTCAGCAAAGTGATCTTCACATGCACGAACGCAGTAATGAATTTGTCACTTACACCCTGGTACCACGAAGGGTCCGCGAAAGGAATCAGATCGCCATAGACCTCCAGCGCTTCGACTGGCTTCGCTGGCGAAGCAGAAGCGGGAGCGGGAGCAGCCTTGGGCGGCTGCTGGGCCTCCTTCTTCGCGGGTGCAGCAGCAGCAGCCTTCTTTGTGTCGAGAGAGCCGATCTGGAGCTTGCCCTTGTACTTCTTCAGGATCCCCTCATTGTGATACTTCCAGAACTGTTTCGAGGCGTCCTTGCCTGCGACTCGCTGGAGAACTGCGCCATTAGATTAGTACGGGACCGATAGCTTGCGTTGCGCGAGAGGTAGTCCATACTCTTCTTTCCACCTATGCAGAAAATGAGCTGTTAGCGTCTGAAAGAAGATCTCCTATCGCGAAACAATGTTTAATGAACACGCAGAGCTAACGCACCTGGATGTTCGTCCTGGAACTTGCTCAGGTCGTAGACATCCTCGTCGATGACAACCCAGAGGCTGTCCGACTTGCTATGCGAAGCGACCTCGTCCTTGGAGAATGTCTTCGCCATGGCGTGGGTGCGGATGGAAAGGGGTTATTGGGTGAATGGGGAGAGACAGAAGACCGAGGTATGTGGATATACGGTCAAGGTCAGAGAAATAATACGGGGTTTCCAGGCCAGAGTCTGGGGGAGATGCCAGAAGATATATATACTAAAACGACTAGTTCGACTACTCAAAACTCCGCATTCCACTGGTCTAAGTTTGGGCCCCGTTCACATGCGTACTTCAGTCAGCAGATTCGCTCCTGGACTAATAATAATGACAATAATAATACCCCTACGAGATGAACAACTCGATGCGAATTATCCTCGGGCTCTCTCTGGCCCTCGGAAGTGCCGTCATGTCGGCGTCTGACTATGCGGCCACGATCATTGGCCAGCAGCATCACGGCTCCACTGCCGAACGAGGAAAGTGCCGAGGTGCAGATGATACCACGTGACATGCCACCCTCGCTTGCCATGTGACACATAAAATAATACCATACATTACTATTACTATTAATATTACATCGGTATGGATGATCTTCCTATGCAAGAGCTCCCGTCAGTGAGACATCTGTTAGAACACTCCCTACTACAGCAACCATTCCAGGTCCTAGTGGTAAGAAAATTCTGGAGTAAATTGATAGGCGGCTTTCTACGCTCGCTATCCCAAATACACTCGTGAAATGCGCAGTCGTTTAGTAATACACCAGATCTCGAGCGTCTCTAACTATTCCGCTCCGTCTAGATGACACGATCCATCCACCTCTATTCCTCGCCTTCGGTCTCGTAGTTGAACTCCTGCGGTAGCGGTGCCTCCTCGCCGCTCTCATCTTCGTCCACCGCCGTCAGCACGCCCGCCGCGGCGGCAGCTCCCGCAGGGCCTCCCCGCTGCGCTGACTGCAGGGCGGCCGCGCCAATGGCGGCTTGTAGTCGGTCTTGCAGAGTCTCTGGTGCTGCCGCCTGCTTCACCTCCTTGCTGGCCTGGAGTTCAATCGTCTCTCGGGGCTCAGCCGGTTGCTTGTCTAGTACAACGACGACCCCGCCGGTGGGCTGTTGCCAGGTTAGCTGCCGTTCGTCGACCCCTGGGACAGACGGGACAATACATACCCTCTTTACAGGCTCATAACGGGGGTCGGGGAACGTGAGGTACTTCAACTGAGCCGGAAGTACTCGAGACATGTTCTCCAGTTCGTAACCAACCTTCTCCTTCTCCGCCTTCTTCTTCGAGCTCTCGGCGGCTGCGGCCTCCTTCTCAGCCTCCTTGCCCTCCTCTTCTGCCTTGGCCTCATCCGTCTCCATCTTCTCAGGCAGCTGTCCAGAGACCTTGGGTGTCGTAGGCGTCTGGTCAACATCCATACTCTCCCGGCGCTGCTGCTTCTCACGGCGCTGAGCACGTCGCTTGGCTTGAGCAGTCGTAGACAGCACGGCAGTCTTGACCTTCTCGGGAGCTTCGTCGGTCTTGATCTGCTGCTCGGGAGGATAGTCAAACAGACTGGGCCGAGTGTTGCTGTGGAACTTGAAGACGGGCACCTCCAACTTCTGGTCCACACCAATGACGGCAGTGGGCGTGAAGCTGAGGGACAGGAAGTGCGTCAGCGGGAACCAGTACCAGTACTGGGTGAAGACAGCAGCTCCGACGATAGCGGGCATGTTGAGGTTGCCAGTTTGCGTCTGCAGGCTAATGGTGCAGTTTCGACCGCCCGCATCGATGATACCGAGTGCGATAGCACATCCAAACTTAGCCATAGCATCTTCGTGTCGGTCTCCGACCATCTTCATCATCGTCTTGCGAATGGTGCCAACCTTGGGGTTCATGGCCTCGTTCTGCTGCACCAAGACCATTGCAAGAGAGATCAGAGCACCTTGTCGGACAAAGTCCGTAGGATCCTTCAACATTGGCTCAAGTAGATCAACCGCCTCATCCAGACCGGTTCCGGCGCAAGAAATACCCAGGGCCATGGCCGCTCCATACCGCACATGGGGGTTGTAAGATTCCGACAGCAGTTCGACCATACGGGGCACGCTCTGATGCTTTCTGAAAAGGATGAATCCTAAGCTCATCACAGCCGCTCGTCGCACATCGTCGTTGACATCACTAACTGCCACATGCAGCAGCTTGCGAACAGCCTTGTTGCTGCCGCTACCACAGTATGCTAGGGCAATAGCCATGATACCACCGTATCGGAGAGTAGGGTCGGGGTCGCCAAGAAGCCCATTGATCAACTCATCCGCTGCCTCCTGACGACCATACATGATCAGAGCCATACCCAGAGCCAAGCCCCGCACGATCTTGTCGTGCTGAGTGTCATGGGCATATTGGATCATGTCCTCCAAAGCCTTCATGTTGCCAGTGCCCAGCATAACCAGACCCATTGCCAGACCCACTGCTTCACCATTCAGAGCCGAATCTGTGTAAAGGACGTTCTTCAGGTCCTCGTAGATTCCCTCATCTCCAGAAGCCATTCCGGCAACACCCAGACCCAGGGCACCACCATGCTGCACGACTTCCTCCGTAGCCTTCTTAAAGTGGTCGCGAATCATGTCCACAGCCATTCCCCCATGATTAGCGTATATCAGACCAAAAGCGTAAAGCGAACCACCCTGACTGTAAACAGAACCAGTGCTTCCAACACCAGCGATATGTTCCTTTGGCAGGTAGGGAGCAAGAAGCTTCTGTCCTTGAGTCAGGTTTCCACGGTGGATCACACCAAGTGCGGCAGTCGCCGTGAATTTAGACCAGTTGACGGCCTTTCCAAGCCATTCCAGATTGTCACGGAAGAACTTGTCGTGTGTTGTTCCGGCGTGCATAAAGGCATTAGAGAGTGTTACAGCCGTGTGGAAAATGGAATTGCGCGCCTCAAGACTGTCCCGAATCTTATTCAGAATCGAGATGTCGGCCTTGTTACTCCGGTAGAGGAACTCGAGATTCAACTGGATTGTCTTCAGACCATCAAGAATGTCGCGAATAGCTTGGAAGGCCTTTCGGGCGTCGTCTGAAAGCTTGACCTGACCAGCACCGCCACCGAGCGACGCGGCTCCCTGGAGCAACGAGTCGGACTCCTTGGCATTTTCTCCGTTTTCCTGCTCGTTCCCTGACTCGTTCGCTTCAGGCACGAGAGCAGCAATCTCCTGGCGTACCTTCTTGAGGAACTCCTGTGTGCTGTTGTCATAGAGGTCAAAGGAGATCTGGTAGGCGACGGCAAGGGATCTTGGGTCGCCCTTTTCGACGAGCTGGCGCAGAATGGCTGATGCCATCGAGTGCTCGTTCAGATAGACTACACACTTGGCAATAGAGAAGTAGTCAGGCGATGGGATCTCATTCAGAAGTTCAAGAATGAGCTTCAGAATGTCATTGCGGAAAGCACGTTCCTGAACGATGCTCATGCAGATATCCAAAGCGTATTCAATAAGCTCCTCACCGCGCCTTGAGGACTCGCCGTGGAGCTCCTGATCATCCTCACTGGCTTGCTCAAGCGCTCGACGTAGCACGTCTAAGTTCTTGGCTTCAATCGCGACTCCGACCACTTGGCGATAACGCTTCTGCTCAAAGCAGCGCTCAAATAGACTCTGTATGACATTCTTCAGTTGACCCTGAACGCCTCTCTTTAACACAAGAGGGGTTTCGGTCTGTTGTACACTAGCATCGTCCCCACCAGGATAGCCAGCATCGACACCAGGCACTTCCTGTCGAGAGAGCAGAGACTTCGAAGGTAGAGCAGACTGAGAGAAAGGTGTGATCGGAGAAGTGAGACTAGCGGAAGTGCTCGTGGCGCCGTTGCCGGAGCTTGGAAATGAGGTGTTGAGATTTGCAGGCTGGTCGCCTGTGGCAGCCTTGCGAGAGGCTGAGAGAGCAATAAAAGTGTCGACACATTTCGCTGGGAAGGAATCTCGATGTTAGCATGACAAACGACGTGGAATGAACATAGTAAACAGTAGGACCCGGGGCACCGTACCAATTATGGTCTCTTCATACTCGCCACCATTATCCAAGTTGAACAGCTTCCCTGCTCCTAGAGCAAACACCATACTCTCGTTGTACTCCTGGAGGTGATAGTACACCTTCGAAGCCACCAAGGCGGCGAGCTCTCTCTCCGGAAACGTCTCATCTTCGTAGAGGGCCTCTCTAAGGGGCAGCGTTAGCAACGATCGTCCAAACCGAGCAGCAATATAAAGCTCTAGATGGAGTATCTAAGAGCAAAATATAGCGATGCGCAGCTAAAAATATGCCTTACATTTGCGGAATAGCATCGACGATCTCTGTCCAGAGTGTGTCCACCTCGGCATCCAGAGTCTTCAAAGCAAAGACCTGCAGCTCTGGATCCGGCTCCGAGAGGAAACCGACCAGGCCTGCTGCTGACGATAGCCCAACCATTTCCAACAACCCTTCGTTGCGATGAGTATTATACTATCTTGCTTCTAGGCAAGGGCTTTGACGAAGCGGCGATGGGGCGACTGCCGACGGCGGTAGCGTAGGTATAATCGAGGTATGCCCCCAGCAGCGATGCGACGTGGGGGAAGAAAGAGAGGAAAACTAAAGGGAAATGCGTGTGAATGGGAAAGCGAAGAGAAGTGGTCCGAGAGTTGCAGATGGACCTTGCTCGAGTTATCCAGCTTCAGGCGCAAGCAGCACACGTCAACGGCGAAGCTGACGGATGGCTTCCTTGGTTCCTGCAGAAACCCCTACTGGTATCACGTGACATGATGGAAGCTGCCTGTCGAGAAGTATCGAAGCTCGAATATATCCAACGTTCGCGTAAAACATGCCGGATCCATTAATAATTGAATCTAAATATTTGCTAAGAATCCTTTCAGCTGTCACACGAAACTATAAAGGCGCGAAGTGCAAATGCTGAAGCTGGACAGCTCGAGCGATAGCTCTATAAATCACATGACCCTAGATAGCATAGGCCAGCGTGGAACTGGAGAGCACGTGACCTTATAGAATCGGACTTCATGTAGTACGCGCTGTGGGTCTGCCAATCGAGAGACCCAAGTCCATCAACCTGCAGGGTCTGCTACAGAAATAAAATAGCCGCCTCCTTTTTCAGTAACGACGACCAAAAAAATCGTGTGATATTTGCTGTTCCCCGTATGTAGATCTATAAGCACAGTTATTTCGTTCCTAAGCGCTGTTGATTGCCATGACGTAGGTAATCGACACCGGCCATAGTTGGGAAGACTTAACGGTGGCCAGTGCTCATGTAGAATATATTTCCTATCAGAATAGACATTAGAGTTATTTAGAGCTTGGATCCGTATTCATGTTCCCTTATAACGTATTATCCAGGATTTCCAATTAGGAATAGACTAGGAATTGGTGTTGTGGTATATTGGGCCGTAGTTATAGTTCGCTCCGTAGGTCATATTAAACCTGCGAGATTCGAGTTGACCTGTAACGTGCTTTATCCTGGAACGTGCCAGTAGTTGAGTTCATAACGCAAGTATTATACGCACAATCTCCATCTGGTTGTTATCGGGGTTTTTACCTAAGTTAGCCATGGAACCCTAATACTATACAATAAACCTAAAGTTGTATCGTTTCGTTCTAACACTGACATCATTGACAATAGAAATAAATATGAGGACTTGCCCCGTTTGTACTTCTCCATTTTCATCACCCGTGCTTCGACTCATTGCAGACATGCATGAAGATTGGTACTCCGGCCCTTCGCCAACATGGCAATTTCCCAATGGAACTTTATTCAAGAAGTGTGAAGGAGAAGTTATAACAGTTGGAGAAAAGCAGTTCCTAATTACAAGGGATATGCATGAATCTTTCTGGCAGGGTGTTGAGCAATGGAAAGTGGTCTTTGAGGGAATCGATCTTCAGACATCTGAACCAGTTGTTATAAAGATTAGATATGTGTAAGTTTCTGTTTTCCAAAATACGTCTTTTTCTTTTTCTTTTCTTTTCTTTTCTTTTCTTTTCTTTTCTTTTTTTTTTTTTGATTAACAGAAATAACGCAATCATGGTAATAAAATTGACGGTGTAAACAGACTAGACCAACATGCTATTCCTCCAGGGGATCGCGGGCTGAGACGCCGCATCATGGAAAATTACTCGGCCGAAGTCGATTCCTTGCAATCATGTTACGGATGCAGATACTTCCCGAAATATATCGCCCATGAAGAAAAGCGACAATGCAAAGAAGAGCCTAATCCTGGCGCGCCGGTGTATATTGTTGTGATGAGTAAGATTGATGCTCTTCCACTTATTGCTCCGGGAAGAATAAGACCGACGGATATCTTCCCTGGACCACTAACTGCGGAGGACAAACAAATCATACGGATACAGTGTCTAGACGCAATTGTGTACGTGCCTAAGAAGTCCACGTTCCCGCTTAATCGCTGACAGGACTATTTTCATAGAGCTCTTCGTCAACGTGGCATACCTAGTTTCCTCACATTGTACAACGCATATTATAATATTCGAACAAAAATGCTGTGCGTAAGGCCCTGATGTTTCGCTTTCCCTAGCGTGTATGGCATTTATTACAAGAGCAGAACTGTTAAGGTATTCTAACACTACTATTCGGTTCTAGTTACTTTCTTGGACACAGTAGAATGAGCAGGGAAATAACGGAGTTTTCTACACCAGGTCCTGTGACAGAGTCCTCCAGGGAGTTTTTATATCTGATAGACAACCTTGAATAAGGAGTAGAGATATATCGCCGAACAGGAGAGGAAAAATCAACGGGATGAACTAGAAGAGCAACAGGCCCGGTTACGAAGGCAGCAGCTTCAGGAGTGGTCCGGTACGAACTACACGCCTCTATAATACACCGAACACTCTTGCAATGTCACAACGAGTGGAGAAGGACCAGAACGATTACATACACGAGAAGCCACTTCGAAAAATATGTTCTCTCAGGGAAAATTTGCCAAGGGTCCTCAGTTGTTGAGAAACAGGATAATGTCGCTATCGGGGATCAGCTTCATTTACTCACCATAAATCCCCTAATGGAAGGCCCAATCGAGAGGCAACCCAGTGTCCCCAAACTTCCTTTCTTTCTTCTTTTTTCGTCGTTGCTATCCCTCTCTCCTCTTTATGATTTTTTTATTTTTTATTTTTCTTTATTTATATGTATGTGTTTAAAAGATCTATCTTGCCAAGCCTAAAAGGAAAGGAACTTGAATTTAATCGAACGTTACGAAGGAAGGACATGAAAAAAAAAATTGTAGAACTGAGGTTATAAGAGCATTATTAGGCTGTTTCCTAGATTTTAGATTAGGGGATCCTGGCCTGTTTCGCGTCCAATTCTACAGTGACTTGCCTCCGAACGATGCAGTACGTTCTAGAAAAAAAAAGGCTGAGTCAAGCGAACTATAGAACAAGTAGCATGCAAAGATATGATTCATTGGTACATAGAAGCTCGATATATTAACCCCCCCCCCCCCCCCCTGAGCTACCGGATTGGTCAGCGCCCATGTTGTGGCCTGAGGCTGCGGTTATCTCACCTGCCGCCCGCTAAGATAGAAATCAAAAATGAAAAAAAAAAATCCCATCGCTTGATGGGGCTACTCTCTTCCTTTTTGTTTATAGTTAGCTTGTATTGTAATAGACCCTTTATTTTATCTCGGACTTGCTAAAGTGCTTGATTGAGGATCGAGTCTACTTAGGAGATGCTCTAGCTAGCTATAGTTAGTTAGTTACGACTCGCATTATGTAATCCAGCATAACTACCTTCGACGCCTCAGGCTGGCAGGCCGAAGCTCCCAATCGTAAGCTCCAGTTTCACTGTTTGAGCATGTGCGAGGTCGTGATCGACCAGATAACCAACTCCAGTGTGACCCGTGCAGCATGACCAGGATAGTGTCACCCTGTTGATGAGTTGATCTCGAGATCCTGTAATGAATTGCTGTCACGACTAAAGCTTTATCGTTGTTGTTACTGAACTAGATCTGCTCAGCTATTAACGCATATCACCGTTTCGCCCAGATGTCGGTGCTACTCCCACCCAGAGATAGGCGATTAAAGCCTCTTCCCGTGGAAGCTTCGATCCACAGCCATGATCCCCTGCTTTACATTGAGCGTCAGACAAAACATCTTCAGCGGAACCTGCAGACTCTCCTGGACGCCCAGAGCGAAGGCCTCCTAGCTGTCCTCTCGGGCTCTCGCCAGGATGATGCTTTATCCACAACCACTTTGAACCCGACTCCCTCAGTTGCCAGCAGCTCCAGAGCTCCTACCGTGCCTGTTAGACAGCCTGCACAGAACAAGATCGGACTGCGTGCGGCGAGGAAAGGGATCCTCAAGTCTATGCAGGAGCTCTTGATCCTGAAGGTGGAAGAGCAACGGATACTTGCAGTTCAGTCGGATGAGAGGATAGATGCGATAAGACAGGTTGATTATTTTATATCCAAGCAGAAGGGACTGGAAAGTACCATATCGACGATTCAAAATGATGGCGACAGTCAGAGGTGTCTTGAGCTCAAGGATGAAGCACGGAGGTTAGAAAATGACATCAGTGAGCTGGAGATCAGGTTATTTGAAATGAAGGCGAGACATCGCACGGTCGTCAACGAGATCGCCCAGGTCGAAAATTCCGTCGAAGCTAAACTTTCTTCCTACAAAGCCTCCTTGTCGCTTCTCGAATCCGAAGTGCGCAAATATCTCCGACATCCTCCCCTGGTCCCACTCTCCGTCGAGGCGACATTTTACTCCTTGAGTCCGAAACGGAGAACCCTAGAGATGGCGAAAGAACATTGGACTACGGAACGGAGTGAGCTTGACAAGAGGAAGAACGGTGTTCGTTTGGAAGTTGGGGCACTAAAAGAGGGGAGTGCGGTGTGGCAGGACGTCGTAAAAGACGTGACCGACTTCGAGAAGAGATTAGGAGAGGAGATGAGTCGTCTCCTTCAAGGGAATTCCCAGCTATTGGACACGCAGGACAATTTAGGAGAAAGTACTGGAGAGAGAGCCAAAGCCATTCTCAAGGATATGGAGGATACCACAAACCGCATTGAAGAGAAGCTTGATCTTGCTGAGGAGAAAGACTGGAAGTTGCTTGTCTGCTGCATTGGCGCTGAATTGGAGGCTCTCCGAGAAGGCAGAGCCATGTTACTGGACCTGTTCAACCTCTCGTCAGATAGTTTTCGAACGGCACCCGAATGCGAGTCAACAGAAGCGAAACCAGACGAGGGTCACGAAACAGAGGAAGGACACGACGATCTACATGGAGACCATCTTAGCATGGACAAACCGGAACCCCCTCCCGATCTGTTGAGGGATACGTCGCCTTCGCATGAAGCCACAAGGTCGGAAGACGAGGACGATGAACCGGACCCCGCGTGGCTACTCTCTGATCCTTAATTTCCCATCGAAAGTATATAATAGATCATGATATCCTTCAGCGCAGCGATAGAGCGAGCATATATGATTAACGCCTAAGACTAGTAAAGGCAGTGTTCCAGAATCAAAATTTCCTAGAGCTATGATATTCACTTCAATCAGAGTACCTTTTTGCGAGTCACTCGATCGTCCGTAGTCTCAGTGGTGATATTGTGGAAGCTTGCAGAAGTATCTACCTTCGCATAAATAAGACGTCGCGGACCGCGACCGCCCAATGGACGCTACATCCGGATTCTGCGCAACTACTACGCTCGCAGCTGCTCAAGCTTGAGAGCTAACAGCGATATCACCGTCTGCAGCATTTATATATTGCCGAAACTAAGTAATGCGACCCATGCTATAGGTTTGGCCTTCCGGCACGTCGTCCTTGCCATGGGTCTTCCGCCATCGCCCAGTTTCACATTTAAGATCCCTTCCATCCACGACGGGACCCAGCTCTCATGTCGATTATATATTCCACGACAATTGGAACAACCGGAAACCGCTGCGAGCTGGCAGAAGCGGGGTGCGATAGTCGCTCATCCATATGCCCCTCTTGGTGGCTGCTACGATGATCCGGTCGTGAGTACTGTGGGCGAGGAGCTCTTGGAGAGCGGATACGTCGTGGGGACGTTTAATTTCCGGTTCGGGCGACTCCTTTCTTTCTTTCCGTCTCATCTTCTGAAAGAGAATTAAGCTGCTGATACTTGTACTATGCTAGCGGGGCTGGGGATTCTGATGGGAAAACTAGCTGGACGGCGAAGCCTGAGTTGGCTGATTACGTATCCTTTTATGGATTGATGCTTTGCTTCCTCGATGGATTGAAGATCGGAGGTTCTACTTCGAGAATACGAGAATCGGATCCATCGGGGGAATCTTCTTCTGGTGATGTCGGCAAGAATCAATCTGAGGATTCCTCTGCGACCTTTTCTATCATTCTATGTGGCTATTCTTACGGGTCTATGATCGCGTCGCATGTACCGACTGTTGATGTCGTTCTGAGACTCTTTCAAGACGCTTCCAGAGATTCATTTGCTGCTGCTATTCGGTCCAGAGCGGATCAGTGCTCTGCGCACTGTAATAACAGTGTCCATACCGAGTTTCGACCGCACACACCAGATCGTACGAGACCGGATTCACGTCCGCGATCACCGCTTCCTGTTGTGCTAGGTCAGAGTCCCGTCTCGCAAAAAGAGCGAAAGGTCATCTTGGAGGGAGTGCGACGCAGTTTAGATCGAGCGAAACGGAAAATCAGTTTCAGTTCGAGATCTTCGGATGTTGGATCCCAAGAACGCAAGACGGTCGTTACGGAGAAACCCCAGATACAGATACCTAGAATATCTTATCTGCTGGTGTCCCCTATTTTACCTCCTATTAGCCAGTTCTTGACTATGTTCTCCAAGATTTCGCTGAGCTCAAGTGTGATTTCTGGGACGTCCGCTCAGGACACGTCTATTCCGTCTGCGAAGGCCGAAGAGCAGCTTTCTGCTCACCCGACTCTGGTCATATACGGGGACAATGATAACTTTACTGCAGCCGATAAGGTCAGAATGTGGTGTGAGGGGATAACCAAGACGACGGGATCTCAAATCCATGCTCGAGAAATTGAAGCAGCCGGACACTTTTGGCATGAGCAGCGGGCTAAAGCGCAAATGAAGGCTACGATCAGGGCATGGCTGGGTCATCTGCACCACGATAATGATAATACTGCAGGGTCGCTCTGAATATGGTGTCGATCTGATTTGCGACGGACACAGCGTGTACGCTCTTCGAGAGGAGAGACAAGACAGGTCTAGACGCTGGCTGTGACCAGTACAAGTACAGCTCTGAGATCCCTTAAACTTAAGCTTTGCGGTCAAAAGGAAGAAACGTATTGTATACACTTTCACCCATAGTCTTAGGATGCATGTGAAGTCTCAATGGTTATCCCACTCCGACGTAACTTCAGTGGCTGACACCGCCACGGGCTATTTTCATTCCGATTTGGCAGGCTGGTTCCAGGATGAGCTTGCAGGGATCGTAGATCGACTGCGTGGATAAGAGATCCAGCAAATTGATTGTACTCGACCTGACATGGATGAATGCAAGACTAATGTTAACATGGGACAAACTCCGCATAGAGGTCCGGATATGTAGGGATGTTTGTTTCACCCCATTTAATTCAACATTATCCAACTGGAAAGTAAATTATAACAGTGGCATCATCATACATAAAAAACAGTCAACGTAGCACGGCATTAATTACTACCCCGAGTCAGCTGCACCATCACTAGAGTTAAGAAGATCTGCGGGGTTGAAGCACGCGACAAATCGGGCTGCGTCGCTGGCGAAATCAGATGATAGACTGCAAGTAGTCCATGAGAGTAATGGAAGGCCACATCTGTGAGATCTGAGGTATCGATGGTTGTCATCAGACTGCGGGATTCCCTGCTGGAACAAAGTCGTAACTATAGCAGTTCTTTAGATCAATCAGCTGGAGACTGGTGCTTGCCGACTAACTTACTTCTCTCTAGTTAAGTGTTTCCCCCGCGTTGGGGAGGAGGCGGGCCGTGGCTAAGTGGCTTTATCTCCCCGCGAGTGATGCAAGGTTCCAGTCGCTTCTCAACAATTTCGGCTCTGATCCTAATCCTGATCCACGCCCCGGAAGATCCAAAGAAGTTGCAGGCCCTCGTGACGTTTTTTTCGGCAACACTCTACTACTGCAGATTCAAGATCTGAACAAAGAAACATCCTTTCACTCACTTTTGCACATTCTGTTCTCGTCAGTCCTTTGAAGGCCGCATGTCCTTATACACCCTTCTCTCCGCTCTGCCACACGCAGTCTTTCTTGTCTATCTCGATGGAATAATACAACTAGCCTGCACTATCGCTCCATAGACAGGGCCCACCATGTCACTTGTTCGTGACCCAACTGCGATGCACCCCCAGTGTCACCGCAGGACCAAGTTAGAGCCTAAGACGCAGACGCGACCGGGGTCTTTGGAGTCGAGCGGCCTCCGCAAATCAGCCTCCATCGCATCCGTCTCTTCCTTCGTGCGCAGCTCAGTAACATGGGCGACGGATACGCTACAGACATATCGGGATGGACTGTCCAGGGAGGAACGCGAAAAGCGGGCCCAGGTGGAAGATCGGAAACAGATTCTGTACCTGCGGATGCGCAATGTGAGTGGGATCTTGCGGGCGACGGACGAGTGCACTTGTAGTATTGGACTGACATCTCACGATCGATAAGGCCGTGTCGCTTGCAGAATGGCGGGGCTGCGCCTCCGAATTAGACGAACTCGAGAACAACAACGCCTGGAAAGAGACAATCGAGTCCAATGAATACTATCTGGATGTGATCCAGGAACGCCTCAAGCAGCTGGAAGATGCACGCATCAGCTGTGATGTGCATCGCATGATGTTCCTGGTCCGCACGGCACTGAGTCGAGATCTAGGAGGCATGAGCAACCCCAATCTGTACAAGCATACACACATTGGAACCAAACTATTGATAGATCGCTATATCAACACTGCTGTTGACACCATATCGACGCTGGTGGACCTTACAGTGAAGCGTCATGACCCAGAGGAGATGAAATACGTACTCGACCAATTTATTGCTGCTCGACAAGCCTTTGGTAGGAGTGCTTTGCTTCTGTCTGGTGGAGCAACGTTTGGCATGAACCATATTGGGGTCCTCAAGGCCCTTTGGGAAGCAAAGCTGCTCCCGCGCATTATGTCGGGAGCATCGGCAGGGAGCATAGTCTGTGCTGTTTTCTGTTCACAGACGGACGACGAACTGCCAGATCTCCTGAGAAGATTTCCGTATGGAGACTTCGCCGTTTTCGAGGAGGAAGGTCGGGAGGAGAACATATTACAGAAGACTGCGAGATTTCTGAAGCATGGGTCTTTCATGGATATTACAAACCTGGCAAGAGCCATGAGGGTGTGGTTGGGAGACATAACGTTTCAGGAATCGTATAATCGGAGTCGAAGGATACTTAACATCTGTGTTTCGAGTGCGGGTGTTTATGAGCTGCCACGGCTGTTGAACTACATTACCGCACCCAACGTACTCATCTGGTCTGCAGTGTAAGTCCTTCTCCATGGATTTCTCATATCCAGAATCTCAAAGCTGACGAAATGCAGCGCCGTCTCCTGTTCCGTGCCCTTGGTGTTCACGCCATTTGTTTTGATGGAGAAAGATCCGCTCACAGGAGAGGTCGCGCCATGGAATGATCTCCACAGGCAATATATCGACGGGTCCGTCGACGGAGATCTACCCATGACTCGCCTGGCGGAGATGTTTAATGTCAACCATTTCATCGTTTCGCAAGTGAACCCTCATGTGGTTCCATTCCTTCCCAGAGATGAGTGCCCCATCAGTGATAACACTAGACAAGCTTCTCCCACTTCGCAATGGTTGCAGAAGGCCACGAACCTCGCGACAGAAGAAGTCCTCTATCGAATGAACGTCCTCTCTGAGCTTGGGATATTGTCGAATTGCCTGACGAAAGCGAGCTCCATTTTGAGTCAAAAATATTTTGGAGATATCAACATATTCCCTGAAATCCCGTATTCGAATTTCCCGCTGGTTCTCAAAAACCCCACTACGGAGTTTATGCTGAAGGCGTGCCTCAGTGGAGAGCGTGCGACTTGGCCCAAACTCGCACGTATTCGGAACCATCTGGCGATCGAGCTTGCGTTGGATCGTGCGGTTCAGGCCATGCGGGCAATGGTCGCTCTCAGTCCGGTGCAGGCTGACCCGAGGTTCCACCTACAGTACAGGTCCGGGGAATCTTTTGACAGTAATAAGGCCTACCTCGGTCATCAACGGAGGAGCTCTTACAGCGATGAGTCTGAGAGATCCAGATACATTAAGAACCAGCCTGACGGTCGCCCTGCGTATCAGCTGCGCAAAGCCCGCAGTACATATTCTGCGGATAATGGCCTGTCTGGCACATTCCCGAATGCCAGTGACGCTTGATAATGCCAAAGAATACTTCTTCGAAAGAAATACGGAAGTTGCCCGATGGCAGCGCCATCGGAATGATTCTTTTAGCCATGGAATCGAGATGCACAATGATGCGGACATGTCGCCTCCGGGAAGGCCTGCTCTGCTCAGCTACAGGGAATCATAGGGCCCGTCAACGTGCGAGACATCGCTTTCTTGGTCGGGAGAACAGACCCCTCAACAGCGTCGACGACCTCCCTCGACTGGTAGTATAAACCAACCTAGCAGGTCATCGACACCCCGTTCTTCAACAGCGTCGACATCTGCCGTGGCATCTACGCCTAATTCCCACGATTCAGATAATTCTACGACGTTCCCGCTGTTCTTGTGCTGTCTTTTATCTTTCTCGCTTGCACCGGTACGGTTATGCATATTGCTGACCATGGACATATTACGGCGCGGTCCCGGTTTCATTATCTCGGTCGTCTGTACATAACATACTTATTCCCTTTCCTTCTACTCCAGCATGAATGGGCTGATAGAAGATCTGACGATCAGGCGTTTCGGGATTTCATTTGACTTGCTATGACTGATTGCGACAGGATGTGGTCTGTCCCTTCTAGACGGGTTCGGCTGTTCTTTAGATACCACTGGTGCGGATAGGGTTTAGACCTCGAGTGATTAATATTGATTGTGGTTTTGAAGGGTATGCATCGTTCGATACTCTTGTCTAAGTCGCCTATAACTTCAACTAGTACAGACGATGAGATGATCTGGTTTCCATCCCCCAGTGGAACGACTACACCCCGGAGGCATCGAGCGCTTAACCCGCAGAGACTTTTAGAAGCATCCAAGCACATAATTCATAATACCATCAAGCACGATATTAACCCACCAACTCAACTACATATTCAATCTGTCTTGATCTGAGGGAAAAAAATCGAGCAGCAATAACAATAACTTTAGCCCCGCCCAGATACCTATAACTTACCCCGCCCGCCATCTAATAATGTCTAAAGTTAGAAACGAAACCGAACGCCATGAACATCGCGGACCCAGCGCGGCGCTTCCGCACAACCCTGCAAGAGTAGTTCCTGTTCACCTACAACATGACGGTTCGTCGCCCATGCGATGGTAGATCCTGACAGGGTTCGAGACCGTGCAGCGGGAACGATCTTAGCTCGGCGCTCTAGAGCACCACCAATGGACGCGTGAGTGGCCGCTAGATACTGAGCACGAGCGCGAAGACGAGGATTGTGTTTTGTGCTCGTGCCTCGATGCCCGGTCCTTAATTAAGGTCGATCGGGGAATCCTAAAGCGAGCTTTTACCAATAACAGTCCGTTGCGGGTTAATGCGGTCATAACCGCCAGGACCTTTGCTTGTCTCCATTGATAGATGAGTTTGTTTTATGTTTCGTTTGGTTTACTCCGGAATCTAGACTGTTCAATGCCAGGGATGTCAGTGGTGCTGAGGATGAGATCCGGATCGGCGCAACGGTTAGGAATGGATGGTTCGTCCAGCTGGCGTTATGCTTGATACTATGTTTGTCTCGCTGTCTCGAGGCCCGTTCTCAATTGACGTGTTGTTCGACAGGATATGGAACTTTGGATAGTTGACCATCTTAAATAACTACTGTTTCTCGTCTCATTTCCCCTTGCTACTGTCTCTCTGAAAGATCAATCTTGGGGAGAACTTGGATTGTACATATCTTTCCTCTTACGGCCTTTCTCTTCTTCTTTCCTTTTTTGGTTTTAGAAATTCTGTCTATTCTCACACAGTCTGGGTCTAGACACTAGCAAGGGTCTTCTGTACTTTTGCAACCCAGTCCTTTGTATAACGCTAGGGACAACAGTTCGTTCCCTTGTCCGGCGTTTATACTATCAGGGATACATACATCCATACATAGTTACGCTGTGGTCAATTTTGGAAGATTAAGCGCCCGTATGTCCAGGGATCTTGACTGACTGTCTGTGTCGTGCTTTTTCGAGCTCCAACCTCTGTGTCTATTTCAATGCCTCGTGGGCCCGTCGAGGTGTACGGTTTGGTTATTGATATCCATTCACTACTGGGTACTTCATTACTGCTTCAGTTATCCTTTCTGGCTAGCAGCCTCGAGTGATTGCATCTATCTGCTTCAACATTTCACTGAAATACTTTTACCTTGCTTGACTGTCACCATCATGTCCAGCATCGTCAATGCCTTTCGAAAACAAAAGCCCCAAAGAGCACCTCTACACGCCCGATGGGGAGACGTCGGCATCACCGTCCCGACAGAAGGCTCATGGAGCCAATTCGACAACCCTCACAAAGCAAGTCGCGAGAGAGCCGGTTACGGACCAGGCTTTGTCCCCGACTGCAACGACGAGAATGATCCCAATCTGATCAATCAGCCTTCATCAAAGAAATCTACAACCAAACGTCATCAACTTTCGACCCCTCTATCGCGCATGCGCAGCATTACAAGACGCAAAGACCAAGAGACCAAAAGGAGTAATGGAACAAGTAAGGCACGGTTTTCGTACAAACCTATTGATCCGGATCATATGGTCGAGCTAGCGATGGAATATGGTGACGGCACTGAGATCCCTCCCATCCTATACGTACCTCCCAGCAAGGCGTATTACGAGGATTTGACAGTGCTGCAATCAAGACTGAGGTCGAAAAACCCGCAAGTCACTACACAACATGTGTCGAGAGATTCGTGGCCGAGGCCTCCCTGGGATTTTCTCAGCGATGATGACGACAGGTCTACAAGTACCTCAAGTCAAACACGTATCCTTCCATATTATCAGCCGGCGCCTCGCGAGGTTTCTGACAGGAAGAAAAAGAAGAACCGCAAATTATTCGCCCCCAAACCTGCAACATTTGCTATGGTTGAGGACGATGAGGACCTATACGGGTAGAAGACTGCAGATGTACACACATTGGCTGCATCATGATTTATTTGAGCATATCATCTCGCATTCAAGGTTTCAGCACTTGAGCGGGCGATAAGAGGGTGTACTGTCGTTTTACGATTTTGTTGTTTTTTCTCTGAATTTGTTCGTCTATCTTGGGCTGTTGATGGCCTTTTTCCACTATCGTTGTACATGATTTCGTATGTCCCAAATTGTCATTCGGTTTTATCTATCTGCGGTCGCATTCTTCTTAAAAAGAAAAGCCAATATAACTAAACCATGGAATGATGGTATTAATAAACGTCAGCGGGTAGTCAAAATGAACAAGAAACCTCGTAAGGGGAGGATGTTCATACTGTCTTAACAATCACTGGGCGTCATTGGCGAAATTCCCGGCTTTGCGGTGCGGCTTTCTCCGGGACCCAACTCAATGACGGCATACCAACGTCGCATCTTGATTTGCATTTTATTACAATTCTCCAGACTTGACGCAATGGGCCGAGTTGCGATTATATCTTTTCGATCTCTTCCATTCGTGAAGTTCTTCGCACCTTGGGAGAATTGGATTTCTCTAAGTAGGAAAGAAGAAAATTCCATCGGGGAGTCAATGACCAATCAATAACTAGAATATACATTCTACCACCATGGCCGAATCTGTCATTCCGTTGAAATGCGAATGCAAGGTAAGCATTTATTCCCTACAAGTGAGAAGTGTAATCGATAAGATGTTCTGATCCGTTTTTTTTCCCCTTATCTCTAGCATGATCCATGGGGGAAGAAAGGAAGCGACTCTATGGCCGCCCGTTTCTGGGCAAAGACTCCTCTTACGGGCGGCAAGATAGATGAGACGAAGCCGTACTCAGAGGTATGTACTCGTATGCACAGGGATATAATAAATGAGCACCGGCTTACAATAAAATAGATGTGGATGGGGACGTATCCCTCCACACCGAGTTACGTTCTTTCATCAGGCGAGCAATTGGAGTCGTACTTGAAAAACCATCCCGAACTTCTTGGAAAGAATGCAGTGGACAAATGGGGCACTGACCTGCCATTTTTGCCAAAGGTACTACTATCTGTCACTGACAGGCTCTACCTATTTCGTATAATTCGTGGAGTTGCTAACGATCCCATCCAGATTCTCTCCATGTGTAAGGCTCTTCCGCTGCAGATCCACCCGGATAAGGCCCTCGCGGAGAAGCTTCACTCCAGAGAACCAAATAAGTTCACTGATCCGAATCACAAGCCGGAGATCGCCATCGCCTTAGGCAAATTTGAGCTGTTCGCGGGTTTCAAGCCTCTGGCTGACATTCAGGCTCTGTTTCGACTGAAGCCTCTAGAGCATTTTGTGCCTAACAACCAGCAAAATTTCACCGATGAGACTCTTCGACAAGTCTGCCGGAACTTACTTCTGGCAGAAGATAATGTCGTGCAAAAGACCATTGAAGATCTCAAGAAGCTGCCAGAGTCGGCGTTTAGTAGCAAAGATACGGGAATTCCGGCTATGTTGGACCGTCTCCAGCAGCAGTATACTGAGTTCGACAATGGGAACCTCGTCGCAGTCCTGTTGATGAACTTCCTCACTCTTGACAAAGGCGATGCTGTGTATATCCCCGCAGATGGCATCCACGCCTACCTGTCGGGAGACATTATGGAATGCATGGCTCGTTCTGATAACGTGTTGAACACTGGATTCTGCCCCCGTCCGGAACGTGACAGCGTCGATGTGTTCACTCAGGCATTGACTTTTCATCCGCATGATCCTAAATCGGTCATTCTGCCCTCCAGTCCAAGCCTGAAGAGCGAGTGCGGAAAGACGCGCGAATACTCTCCGCCTATTAGCGAATTCAACGTACTGGCCACATGTCTGAAGAAGGGAGAAAAGGAAAATATAAAAGCTATTATGGGACCTAGTGTTCAGGTCGTCACAAAAGGCTCCGGAAGACTGACTACCCAGGCCAAGACAGTCCCTTTTAAAGAAGGAACAGTGCTCTTCATCGGGCAAGACACTCCGGTTGGGCTCGTGGCGGAGGAGGATTTGGAACTATATCGGGCCTATGCGGAGTAAAATATTAGAAGCGGTGATCTTAAACACAGTTCAACAGCTAATTTGAATTTCTATTTGCAGTTAGAATGCGCACAATAAAATGTTATCTGCGCAAATTACACAAGACAGATCGAATTCCTTTGCTAATGCCGCAGATGGGCGTCGGGCACACAGGTGGCACAGTAATTCTAGATACATACAGGCCAGCGAGGCACAGAACTAGGCAACTGGCACTCTCGTTATTATTGAAATCATAATATATCGAAGCGCATACGCGCCTATACGAGCCATTCGGAAGTAACCCGATAGAGTAGTCAATGTTGGGAAGAGACGTGGCTAGCATTACTGTGGACAGACAGTTTGCGGCACAGCAGCTTTTCGAAAAAGCCTCTCGAATATGCATTTGATGTTTTGTGCCGCCAGGTTTTCATACCTGCGCCGCATCGACACTCGTTGCAATAATGGTTAGTGCTCACCGCTCAAGATGGCCAACATTGCAGTAGTCAGGTCGAGTAAACCATCCAGAAATCTACCAGATAAGCCTCGGCGCGTCTTGAAACCCTCTATCTGTTTCGTCTTTCCCTGTCAGTTGCAGACCGGCTGGTGTTGGTTGGTATACTATTTGGGGATCGTCTTCAGCGCGCGCGATCATGGCCCATCACCCCGCTCGGTTTCATTTGCCTGCGAGCAACGTTGTTACTTACTTATGCATGCCAAAATAGAGCAAGTAAGCATGGTGGGATCGCGCTACCTCGAGCTAATTTTACTTCCAACCAACACTTGCTTGCACAGATGCACGCCGCGATTCTCGAACGGGAACCAACAGCACCTTGTCCTCTCTCACTGGGCACAGACTAAGAGGGGATGTAGACGCCAGCGGCGGGAACGATCGAGTTATCAGTTCTTAGTGGACAACAACGACTGTTCTGAGCCAGTCAAGTTCCTCAGGAGATGAATTGGCGCCTTGGTATACTACTAGGACATGGTCAACAATATGTCGCCAGTATGCTATTTTGGTACCCTTAGATCTAGCATATGCCTTTGGCACAGGCTAATAATGTAGTACATGCGAGGCGGATTTCTGCAGACAATACTGGTCTGCGACTGCTGGTGATAAGATGGAATTGTGAAAGATACCTAATCTTCTTAATAGGCAGTTTTTCCCTTTTTTTCCCTGTCACAGGATCATTACTACCTACCTCTCTACATTAGGCCCTTTGTCGGGTTGCACACGACTTACGTCCATCACGATCGGTGCATATCTCTGCGTTCTCTGCAGGAGTTGACTTGCCTAATGTACGAAGGTCTGCTATTTCCTTTTTCTAGCTGGTTTCGTTTTAGTACATTTCCAATCTTATAGTGTGAAGATTCTGTTTCTCTCCACTCCAACCACTACAGAATTACGACTTTTCACGACAAAGTGACCATGCTTTGCAGTTGCGTACGACGATACTCGATTTGGATTCTGTTCGTTGCCTCCAGCCAAGTAACCGCATTGTCAACACGGTTCCTGCAGCATAGATCCTCATGGCAGAAAACGGTCTTCTCGCGCGACGATAGTGCGGATTCTGGATATGATACCTCGAACGAAAACGCACAAGGTGCCTCGGGGGGTTCAGATGGAGGCATCAACTTAGCGACTCGCGATCAGATTATAATCGGAATCGTCATCGCTGTTGTAGGAGTTCTCTCGAGTAAGAACCAAATTACTATCTATTCACTGCGCTATGTGTATCCCGTATACTGATATCGTTGATAGTATCATCAGCCGCTCTGATCTTCATCAGGAAGAAAAGACGCTGGGACGCAATCGAAAGGAATCACGAACGGGCCAGAGAATACTCTATTCCTCCGGCCTATCGATACTATCACGCACAACCACTACTTCCCCGACCATCATACGATATGGAATCAACATCAACACCTCCACCCGCTTACCCCGGTTTACCACCTTATGATCCCTCTACGTACCGAAATCAATACTTCACCCCGATGGGGACTTACAATATCCATGCGGGAAATCGACCAGGACATCATCGGAATCCTAGCATATCCTCGCACTGGTCATTTGCATACCAACCGGCTATCCCCCTGTCTAGCGGATGCACCTCGCATGCTAGACCGATGCTTCCTCCACGATCGCATGCTCGTCCTCCTACCGTATTTCATTCTGCGGAGATTATGCGGCCTACTTCCAGCTTTGGTCCGAATCGACCTGCTAGTCGGTCGGATCCCCTGCCAATGACAGGAGTGAGAGGGCCAAGGAAACCAAAACCGGTTCTGCCTAAGCTTATTACGAACTTATGATCGGCTTTACTTGCATATTTCAATCAGTAAGAAGGATGGGACTGGCCTTTTGCCTAAGCCCTTGAGCGCAGAAACCCAGTGCTGGACTACGGGGTTCCAGTGCCTGTGATTATATATCCCCTATCCGTACGGAAGACAACGCCCTGTTCAGGGCATCAAACATCCCTGAGCTGCCTCATAGTACTACAACCGCTCACAAGAGTCTATCTCGCGCGTCTCAATAACGCATCAACGAAATATCCCCGGAGATAATCTCACAACCGAATCTGAATTGAAAATCTCGACATATCGTTTGAATCCTTTTAATCATCTAGCACCCCCTGACGACAGTGATTGATGAACAAGCATTGGCGCAAGGAGTTTATGGAACTGAGCGTTTGAAGGTTAAACCTATTATTTTTGTTTTGCTTTATTATATTATACGAGGGTCGGTTTCGGAGTATCATGGGTTTGGAAGCGGTCGTTCCGTGTTGCATATTATCGCAGACAGAGTATTCTGTCTGGAACCTACAATCTGGAAGTTTATCCCATACCATACCAATGTGTTTATATATATATACCATTTCATAGTTTCTACTGGGGAATACAGGATTATTTAGTCTCTTATACTTCATCCGTGGGTTAGAATATAAAGTTTATTCTTCTCGTCGAGAAGACTCATGTTCCTTGTGCTTTTATTTTATTTCAATTCCCGGAAGTCACTGAATAGATACAAGATAATAGGGCAAGAATTCACTATAGAAAGTTCAGGACCAAATTTGCAGGAATATAACAGAAAAAAGAAAGGGTATTTCAAGAATAAGCGAAGAGGCCCAGGACAACTAGGAACAAGTAAACCACTGCGAAACTTGCTTTTCGAAAACCTATTCCTTTCAAGAAAACAACATCAATCTTGCCAAGACCACCCAAGTTGTTTTTATGCACATGTGAAAACATCTATCAGAAGAAGAAGAAGAGGAAGAAGAAGAAACAAGAACATATTGTAGCGCGTAGCTATTGCTCTATACATCAGACCAACCAACCATCAAATTTTCTCATTTCATGTTTTAAGAAAAATGAGGAGCATTCAGGAACAATCCCATCAGGATTCCTCCCAGAGTACCAGCAATAGGAATGGTAGCGATCCATGAGATGAGGAGGAGTCCAACACGTTGCCAGTTAACTGCCTTGTAGGTGCCGTTGCAGAGACCAACACCGATGGTAGCGCCAGTGATGCACATCGAAGTAGAGACGGGAAGAGAGTACTGAGAGAAGACTAGGACCGTGATAGCGGCGCCCAATTCCATGGAGCATCCTAAGGGACAAATAAAATCAGTTGGTGTCATATTAGGGGAAAGACTGATGCAACATACCTCTGCTTGGTGAATGATACGTAATCTTGTTTCCCATCACTATGTTCAAGACCAACATGGTTAGTAAGGCCTCTTGAGATATCTTCCGGAAATTCCACTCACCCTTCATGATGTTGTAGCCGTAAGTAACCAGACCGGCTGAAATGGTAAGAGCAAGGACAGCTAGCTGCCAGACGGGAACGGGGGCTTTTGCAGCGGTGTAACTGCCGGTGGACCAAGCGGAGTAGAGAACAGCCCAAGGACCAACAGAGTTTCCGATATCATTGGCACCGTGGGCGAAGGATGCGGTGCAAGCTGTGATGATCTGGACGAATGAGTACGTGTGTTCGACTTCGTTGGGATATTTCTGAGCGTGTCCGTAGACGCGCTCCATTCGCCTCCCGTCCGGGGTGCCAGAAATGCCCGTCTGTGCCGCATGGATGTCGTAATGGAAACCATAGAGAGCACCACAGACCACCATGGCAGGGATCCGCTTGGCGAGGATCTTCACGTTTTCAAGTTCATAGATCTGGCCGGGGCCCATAGGGTTGTCATGAAGGGTGCGCATAGCCCAACCCATGGGACCACGACTCTGCCTCAGCTTTGCATGTAGCCTCTCTTCTCCTTGGGCCATGATCTCTTTGTACGTAGGCTGTGCAGTCTCGGAAGTACAAAGCTGTTTCTCGTTCTGGCCAATAGGTTCCTCCCCTTGGTCACTGACTGAGTTATTCGATTCGTCCTCGTCATGCTGAACGACAGCATAGTTGGGAACCTTGGCCCGCTCAGCATCAGGAGGAGCTGGGCGGCTGAAGAGAAGGGGGCCATAGATAACCATCCACCACTTGACGGTGTAGTCCTTCTTGATGACCTTCGAATAAACATAGGGGACGAAGAAGATGGCCGACAGGACAGCAACGCCACCGCCAGTGCCCATAGTGACTGCAGCGATATACCAGCCGGGCTTCTTGCTGAGACCAAGGTTGGGCGAACCTTTATAGACGATGGACAGCGTGCAAAGACAAGCCGCAAGCAGAAACCAGAAGGGTGACGAGTAGACAGACCATGGAACAGGATTCTTGCGCATGTGAACGATCACCTTGATGAGCATGAAGATACAAGCACCGAAGCCAGCTGATATAGCAGGGGCCATGCCTAAGCCGGCGAAGATGGCACCGAGACCCTTGCCATTGTTCCAGCCCCATTTAACCTTCGAGGCCCCGGCGGTTGCAACACCGACGCCAGCGACGGCGGAGACCAGGGAGTAGGTAGAGGATACATGTGCCGAGTGTCGTGTACACCACATCACCCACGATGAAGCAGCTGCGAGCGCACAGGCAAACGCAAGCATCTGGACGCCAGGGTTGTCACGGAAGGTCTCGTTGGGAATGATGCCATTCTTGATCGTATCGGCAGTTCGTGCGCCCACAGTGACAGCTCCCAGGAATTCGAATATCGTTCCAAGGACCATGGCTTGTCTGTATGAGACCGATCTCGACGAGACACTGGTTGCCCACGAGTTGGCGACATCGTCTGTTTAGGAATTAGTATGTGTACTTCTCATAACCACGTTGGATGGAAAAAGTCCTTACTTGCACCGTTGTTATAGGCATCGAGCAAGGCGAACAAGGTGCCAATGGCAAAGATGTAGGTGTACTGGTCGAGAACCATTTTGGCAGAAGGTGCACCGGTATCGACTGATGATAGATCCTGGCTACGTCCTCAAAGAGCAGACGAACACAGGCAAAGATCGAGATACATATACCACCACATGGCAGTGGCATGGCAGTGGCATGGCAGTGGATGGCAAAGATTGGCTGGTCAGAACTAGGCTATCATCCATGCCACGTTCCTATATCACCCTGAATGATTCGCGATACGGAACCCTACTCTATTCTTTCCAAGACGACTTGGCAATCGCCATCGCCTCTGGGCACTCAATTTGCCTTCTGAGGCGTCGACATTGGAACCGAGGCCGCGGGATGCAGTTGACAGACACACGACTTCATTCTGAGCGAATAGAAACGCGAAATAGAGAGAGAGAAAAGAAACGTCAATTATAGAGACACAGCTTCCCTCTACAACAATCATCTCATACGGCGTGCCCCTGCTTTGGTTGTTCTTGTGAATCTCCTGTTCGTCTCGTATTGTTTGATAACTTGGCGGGCCAAGACGTGGACAGAAGCCCTTGGCGGAGCGTAACTCTTGGCGTCGAAGATATCTAGAACTCTTGGCGGCGGCTTGGGCGGGCTTGAGCGGGCGTCGGCTCCTCCTATAAGACATTCCGATCCTCCCACGTGTTGGCCGGTTCTCTTTATCGTCTGGACTCTGGAGAGGAAAACGCCAACCCCACGGAACATTTACCATGTCAGCGGAGAATATTAATCTGAACAATAATAACGCAACGGTCGCATGCACCATGCCCGGACGACCGGAGAAGGAAACGTCTTGACCTGGACCACAATCACCCTGGAATGTCATCGTGAGCACTGACCTACGACCCCGATCATTGGAGCAGAACTTGTATGGGCTTCCACCGGCGCAGGGTCCATGACATTAGACAGACGCAAAGGCCAATTGGATATGATTGCACAGCCATCGCCTAGCCGGCGAATTTAACAGCAAGATGAGATCGTCACGAGCTTAGAAACTGGCCATACTGCATAGCTCAAAGCTCTCCTACTCTCAATTGCCATCCCATATTCCGTGACCATGATCTGTGGGACGAGGGACCAAAAAGGCGCCGGAGCTTTTACTCGAATCTGAAGTCCCAGCACGTGGGGTTGGAAATGATCAGGTCGTCTTAGATATCTGGGCTGATTTTGTGTCTCCGCAGTCGAAAAATTGTCTCGTATTTAAGTCTCCGTGTTCATATCCAATGCTCCAACCTTCTCAGTTCGAACACTGCGTTGACGAAGATACTCTTCTGCTCCTATGCTGGCCACCATCGCTATCCATATTACGTTGCATATACAGAGCCAGAGCATGTGCACTTCTAGATGTTTAGGGATCCCAATTTTCCGCAGCTGCGATTTGCTGTTTCGAGTGAAACATAAATCGGTCGTCTTCTTGGCTATTTCAAACAGTCATACCCGTCAGCAGGGTATTTCCCCCGGTGGCAAACTGTAGAAGGGTGATGGAGCTACTACTCTTCAGATTTGAGTTCTGTCCCATCATTACCAGTTTGTCCAATCTCTAAGCGGACTCATGATCTTTGTGGCCCATGCTATCTTCTAGTTCTTGTAGATATTCAGGGTTTTATTACCGTATTCAATGCTTTTCTACTATTCGTGCTTCCGTGCTCTTAGATCTTGACACTATTTTCCTATCGACTTATGATCTTAAAATTTATGTTATAGTTGTAACGCGAGGACCTGTGAACTCCCCCTTGCCGTTAGTTTTCCCGCATGCCCTCCAACCTGCAGACTATAAGAATCCATCCGCTCGCTGTCTCGATCTCTTTTGGACATAGCAGACAATCATGATTCTTTCGCCGAGTGGTCGTAATTATATGGCTCTGAGATTGTCTGTTTTAGTTTTGAACACAGAAAGGATTATCAGTGCCCAAATGCAGTGACGAGTTTGTCATATTGGCTCTGTACATGGGGCTTGTACTACGTAGCTGTATAGGGTCTCTACCAGAACGCCAAGACATCCCAACGACAGCTTTCGATGTGAACCGACCTTGTCACATCTATCGACCGCAACGATCTTTCACCCCTGAAAGAATCAGTTATTCATCATGGATCCCTCCACGCTTCCTTCTTTAAGCCATGATATTCTCCCATATAATTATCTACGGGAATCAACGATCAAGACGGTCGAAGACATGCGGTCCACTTGCCTGTCCCGAGACTTACCACGGTTTCAAATGCTATTCAACACGTGGCTCGCCGACAACTCTTGCCGCAACATAAACGAACTCAGTATGGTTATGATGGATGCTGTGGATTATGGCTGTGGAGGTATTGTTTCAGAATTATTACGCCGCGGAATGAAAATGCATTTTACCTTCGCCTTGAGAGCTATCAGTCGAAAGTCGAAGGACATCCTAAGTATTTTCCTTGAGCATGGATGGAACATAAACGAGCCGATCAGTGAGACAGAACCACCGATACTTGGGTAAGCATTATCAGGAGGTATGATAATTCACTTATTAACAGCACTTGTATCTGTAGGTATGCCATCAAAGACCCGGAGATGACTATCTGGTTACTCGATCATGGAGCTGATCCTAATTCATCGTGCTCGATTGACCTCACGCCTGTGTCTTATGCCGTCGAATATGCCTCTGTTGATATTATCAAACTGCTCTTCGACCGCGGTGCTGATATTCGCAAGGGACAACTCCTCCACCATGCCATTGAACGAGAAATCGACGTAATCGATGTGGTGGACATGCTTCTCAGACAAGGGGCTTCAATCAATGCGAAAATGTACCAGGACCATTATTTTTCCTGGAGACTATACTATTTCATGGGCCTTGGTACTCCCTTGCACAAAGCTGCAGAATTAGGAAAGATTGACCTCGTTCGCTACTTGATCAGCCAAGGAGCAGATGTGAATCTTAAGGATGCAATCGGTCAAACAGCTCTACAGTGTGCAGCTAAGCGTGGCCATTCTCATATTGTTGATCTGTTGCAGTCCGGAGCCGAGAAATGATACAGTTGATGCCTGTCGGATAATATCGGATAATATCCTGACCGTGAAATTACGGAGATTTTTAGATTAATGTCAGGAGCTTCAAGAAGGAGTCTGACAGTTGTTAGCCGGGATCATGTCAGTGTTTGGAATGACACTCGGATAGTCGTTCTGTGTATCATGAGAGTTCCAATTCTCTTGCGATGCGGGACGGTATTTTTATATTTCGCGCCAGTCAGCTAAGTTTGTCGAGATCATGAGTCCTACCTGCTATTCGACAGCAGCATGGTGTGATATATAACATTCTAACTCGTTGAATTTGTGACTTCGATTCCCCATTGGAGATTGCGTCCATTGCAAATATCATGTTTCCACGGACATTGAAAGGAAGATCTTGATGAGGAGGAATCGTAGCTCCGCTTTGAGGCGTGTACGGTGACTTTTAGATGAGAATGGTATATGATACTTGAACAGTTATTCGATGGTGATGTCGTAGTAGAAATAATTAGGAAGTTCTATCCATAGTGTTATGAGGTACAGTGGTGATTTGATTTTCATCACAAGGCAGTCGATGTGTGGCTGGCTGAAATGGGCGATCTTCTTCTTATCGACGCGTCACAACAGCTCCACAACAGCACAGTTCCAGCAATACACAAGCCCTCTGTGGCTCAAAATAAAATCAACTCGACGAGACTAGAGGGAACTTGATTTTCTGTTGCTATAGTTCATGCAAGGATCTTCAGCACTACTTTGCAAAATCAGGGTCTTAGCGGACCAGTCAAGAAGCTATCTAAGGTAACTGCAGATCTTCCTGCGGAACTACTGTACATATATCGTCTCTGCCTCACACTTGCTAGTCTAGGAACCATCAATATTTTCAATTTTCTTTGCTCCGTCGGCAGCATGGTCCATCTCAGTCTTTCTCTCTGGCGCTTTTGTCTCCTTTCCCTTCCGCTTGCCTCTTCCTTATCTATTCCCCAAAAGGCTATCGTGGAAGAGTCAGAAGATAGCACGCTCATCCGGGATCTCGTAATCGATGATGCTGAGCTCAATATAACTGATTACACGTCTCTGGATGAGTGGAACCCGGCAGAATGGGACTACGATGTTGTCATTGTCGGTGGTGGCCCTGCCGGGTTGGCTGCATCCATGTCTCTCGCTCGAGTTGCCCGAACATCCCTCTTGTATGATTCGCAAGAGTACCGGAATGAGCAGACACGATACATGCACGATGTATTGGGCCAGGATGGTAAGTCTTGTCCTTTCCATATGACGAAGGATTCCGGGCTGATTCTATATTTAGGTCAGGTACCATTAAAATTCCGATCGACAGTTCGCCAGCAGATCGAGCAATTGTATCCTGATTACTCTTTCTGGGCCACACGCAAGACAAAGGTTATTGGCATTGTTCCACTCGAAAAGGGATTCCGGGTCTACGACGACAAAGGCGGAAAGGTCACCTCGAAGAGGGTCATCATGGCCACGGGTATCAAGGACGTACTACCTGATAAGCCAGGCTTTGCGGAAGCTTTTGGCAGAGGCATGTTTTGGTGTCCCTGGTGTGATGGACACGACTATAAGAATCGCAAGCTAGTCGTGTATGGTAAGCTTGCAAGTGCCATTGGCTCTGCGCTGAACATGAGGAAGTTGACTACCGATATAACCATCGTTACTGGCGGCCCGCTAAGCAAAGAGGACAAGGAGGCAGCAGAAACACGTTGGCCGGGTTGGGAAACAGTCCTCAAGAATTCCTATAAGATCCCTATTCGGGAAAATGACATTACCAAGGTTGAACGTACTACGACGAGTATGGAACCCAAGGATGATCAGTATAAGGTCTACCTCAATGGTGGTGGTCCGTTGGACGCGAATGGAATCATAATCCACGTGTCTACTGTTCAGACGTCCAGTCTTCCCAAGCAGCTGCGTTTGAATATGGATGGGAATGGGGTCAAAGTCAATGACAACAAGGAGTCAAGCGTTAATGGCCTATATGTTGTTGGTGATGCCAACAATGATGGTAGCACCAATGCTTACCACGCCATGTGGAGTGCGAAGCGTGCTGCAGTCCACGCCCACGGTAGGCATTCCCAGTAGACTTCTTTCAGCAGATCTTTTACTAACCGGACTAGTCTCTATGTCGAAACAGGAATACCTGGACAGCGTTCCTTCAGCCATGGTGGCAGTGGCAGGAGGACATGAAGACTTCTACCGCCGCCAAATGGAAGAGCTTGAGTCTCATATTGGAGACGATGTCGAGCAAATGTACAAGGCGCTTGGTGGCTGAAATGTAAGGTCTCTAAATCGAGGAAAAGCTTTCAACCGATGGTAGACCGTCTAGTGAAATGGTTTCTAGAGGAAACCAAAGAGTATATAAGTGATGGCATGATTTTTTTGTATCCTATCATGTATGTACGTATTGCAGGACTTTAGGTCAATAGAAAAATAGTGTCAGAGGCGTCGCTACATGAAATCCCGTCTTATTGGTCCTTTGAACTGCAACGCCACGTGATACTTACCGCCTTCCTTTTCTGGAACCGTAAACACTCTCCTAGATACACGAGTTCGCGTCTGCTTCAATTAACTACCTATTAACTGCACCCCTTTAGCCGCGCTTCTTCCGCGATTAATTCGCCTATTTATTATTTATTATGTCTTCGACCTCGAAGACCTGCAGTAACTGCGCGAAAGATTTACCTCTATCTGAATTTGTCCCTCTCAGGGGTTTAAAACCCACTGCCGTATGCCTACGCTGCCGTGAAATCGTGAGTCCTCGTTTTCCTCGCCATTCCTGCGGCTAATAATGCTCCGGGTAGGCACGCCGATCACGGCTTAAAAGGATTGCTAGGGATGCTGCTTTGAATAAAGATTGTAGGCCTTCCCCTACCTTGTATTGTCGCGCCATACACAGTTCTGATAGCTTGAATCTGGCAGGTGTCCGGTGGCGTCACACCACTGTTCGACGCGACAATCGAGTTGCTCGTCGCGCTGGTGACGCTCCTCGTTACCTTCGTGCTTTGGCCCCTGCTCCGACAAAGTCACTTGCTCATCTCGCTGGCGATGGTCCTCATTCCCTTTCTTCTCTAGCTCCTGCTCCGACAAAGTCACCAGCTCATCGCGCTGGTGATGGTCCTCATTCTCTTTCTTCTCTAGCTCCTGCTCCGACAGAGTCACCAGCTCATCGCGCTGGCGATGGTCCTCGTTTTCTTCGTGCTTTAGCTCCTGCTCCGACAAAGTCACCTGCCACAACAACTAACAAGGAAGGCGATAATCGTTCAAGTGACATTACTTCTGAAAGGACTAATCTCACTGGCGTAGAGGAAACGTCCTGATATATCTACAGTTCCGCTGCTTAACGCTCAACGATCAATAAGGAGTCAGGTAATGCTTGCGCCAGAGACTTCTGTCTCCTACCACCTGCATATGTCCATCATTGGGGCTATTTTTGAGGCCAGACACAAATGATGGTATATCAAGCCCTGCAAGGCCAAGCACCCATCCTTAAAGTTTTTGGTTGGGTGGATCACAAGAGCCAGGGAGTTATCCATATGGCCTTTATTGAGGACGAAACTTTGCAGGAAAAACAGGGTAGTATGGGTAAAGATAAGAAATAAGCCGTCTGCAAGGAACATAAGGGCATAATGAAGGTATGGAGAACTTTGAAGCAAGATAGACATAAACATTACATCAGTGAGTCCCTTGCAGTACATTAAACAAGCAGACCTAATAAGAGACTTTCGGGCAGCCTAACAAGCAATCTAGATTTCGCTGGGCCATACTGCGACGGAATATCGCTGGGGTACATGTGCAGGCACTGGCGGTCCAGGTTCCAGGCCTCAAAGTGGCCTATCGTGAAGAACTCGTCCGGACCGGCCGACTTGATCACATCGAAGCTAGATTTGGAGATGCAGCCGTTGCTGCCAGGCTGGGCAGTATTTTACAGAAGTTGGAGGTGATGGAGCATTGGCCCCAGATATCACAGCACACATCGATTGGGCACAGGTTTAGGTCCGGCTAGCCGGTGTAGTCGCGCACATATCGTTGGACTAGTCACTGCACCGTGTATGTATAGCAGGCGCCGTTAGCGTAGGGCTGCAGCACTGGAGTAATCAACAAGAAGGTTTGACTGGTAGTAGTCGCATCTGACATAATGTGTATCCGCAACCGTCGTTTCCACTCGATGGCCTGTATTAGTTAACACATTCTATAGCAGTCTAGGTATTTAGGCGTAGACCTTCAAATATAGAAGCTTTATATAATGATTCCTTATTAGTAGATGCCCGATGCACTATATAACTATATAATATTTTTATCCTCGATACCTTCTTATAATAAGAAGAATAGAGTAGCCGGGTTAGCGAAGACCGACTACTAGGAGAGTTATAAGGAGCTCTAAAAACCATATCAAACATACAAGATAAGGGCAAGGCTTTGTCTTTATTTAAAAACGATATCTTGGGAATTTTGCCCGGCTTTATATATAAGACTATAACTATATAACTCAGTAATTTATCTAGCACCTGCAGTGTGCGAGGAGCAAAAATCCATATCAAATAGTGTTATAATCTAAGACCAGGCGAGTAAGTAATAATAACAGTAGGAAAGGATTTGTGACGTTAAATATTAGTGATTTGAAAAAGTAGAAGATCTGTAAATTATCTATGCCCTTGAACTTTATCCTAATTACTTACTTACTACCTAGGGTGTTATTTTGATAGTTATTTAATAGCTTTCTGCCAGTCGACCAAAAAGGAGAACTCCTAGTGCGGTCTATCTGGATCTCTAACATTATATTTAAGTATTATTTTTTTTTACTGTGAATATATTTACTTTACTTCTTTGTCGTGACGGACTGGTTCGAGCCCGATGAGACGCCGATGCAGACGTAGTCGCCGAGGGCGAGATACAGGCACTTGGAGCCGACGGCGGGATTCCAGGCGTAGAAGTCACTCAAGGAGATACCAGCCACGTCCGCCACGCTGGCACAGGTGTCATTAGTCACCACGAGGTGGAAGTCATCGCAGTCGCTGGATCAGAAAGAAGGTTAGATGCAAAGAGGCACAAGACAAGAGAGCGCGAGATTGGCCTTACCTGACCATGCCCGTCTGGATGGGGGACGGTGTTGAGACCTTGGTGCCCGACGACGTAGTCTTCGAGGCCGATCTTGATGCCGAGAACGGCGTAGACGAAGCCTTTGAGGCACGCGAAGCTGTCCACCCCGGCATGGCTGACGAGGTTGAGGCCAACGACGAGGTCGTGCTGCTCTTGGGGATCACCGAAGTGAGCGTAACCATGACCGCCGTGGTCTGGGTGGACGTCCACGTCAACGTCACAGTCCCATTGTCGCTGGGCCACGACATGGGCGTGTAGGTGTAGCCAGATTTGTTTGAAGAGTATGAGTATGGGAGCGACAGTGACCTGGGCGGTACGGGCGTGTCGAGCGTCTGGCTGCGCTTGGCGGGGCGTAGGAGCTCTTCTGCGTCCACGTCGTCCACGGGGAGGTTATCGTCGTAATCATCCTCATCGTCAGTTGCCATGCCTCCCTCCAGCCCCTGGCACGAGAGCTTGGGCCCGCCGGCCGACACAATGGCGCGCTCGACGCAGCCATCCTTGATAAAGTAGGGCAGGTTAAAGTAGACGTGCGCCAGCTCTGTGTCGGTAGCTTCGTGCCACTTCCAGCCCGTCAGCGCACCGCAGCCGTCCTCTTGCTTGTGCAATGCCTTGCCGCCGTCGGTGGCCCAGTTCTGGATATTGTAGATTTCAAAGGCCCAGGCGACGACCACGTCCCGGAAGACACAGTCCGCCATCTCCGCCGGTGTCACCACCACCGTCTGTGTCGGCGTCACCGTCACCGTCGCCGTGCTGGTGACCTGGGTGATAGACGTGCAGCCGCCCAGCTTCGTGCAGCCCACCTGCGACTGGCCCAGCCACGTGCACACGTTGCAGTTGCTCGTGATGGTCTCGTAGTTCATCCCGACACTGGTGGTCTCTGCCGGCAGCGCTGTGTAGGCGCATGAGTTGCCGGGGTCGACCGACGTCGTCTGAGGCGCAAACGTCGACCCTGAGCATACACAGTATTCTGGAAGAGGGTTCAGCAGGCAATGTCTATATGCATGGAGAAGGGTTTGGGGGAGGGGGGAGAACATACGCGCTGTGATGCCCTGGTCAGGATCTTGGCCTTGGTAGGTACATGGGATATAGGACGCCGCGGCCGACGACGTCTGCGAGACGGCCCCGGTGCCAGTGATGTACGTGTAGCCGAACTGACCACCAGCGCCGAGTCGCGGCGGGTCGCCTGCCGGGTTGGCCACGGTCCAGTAGGCATCCTGAAGCACTGTTGTCCAGTAGCAGTTGTAAGTGGTGTTGTAGGCGGTGGTGGTCGTGCCAGAGGCCTGGCAACCCGACGTCTTCTCGCAGGTGGCGCTGGAGCACGTCGTCGTCGCCGACGTGCCGTAGTTGGTGACGGAGCACGGCACCTCACAGTTGGTGTACGTGCGCGTGGTTGAGCATGAGGTCGATGTGTTGTCGTGGCCGTCGTCACCGCCGCCGCCGCTGTCGTTGTCGTCGTCGCCGCCGCAGCCGTCGCCAACACATCTACCGCCGCCAGGGCAGCTGTGGCCGATGCAGCCGCAGATACCGGTGCATGGCAGCGACGGTACGCAGTTAATATGGCACCGTGAGCCGCAGTGGCGCGTGCAGGTCGGCGACGGCGGTCCCTTGGTGACATGTACCGATCCGATATGCTTCGGAGGCGGCGGGTTGGGGGTATTGGTCGTGGTTGACGCGGCCGAGGGACCGGTATACGGGCCTGGCGAGTAGGTGTATAGGATGCCAGCGATTGTCGACGACGTCGTCGAGCTGGCTGAGCTGGCTGAACTGGCTGAGCTGACGGGGTTGGTGGCCCCAGTCAACACGATAGATGGCATATACACGCTGCTGGTGAAGTAGATAATGGTTTCCTCAATGTCGGTCCACACGACGTTATAGACATCGATGGTCTCCGTGGTGACTGGCGGGACCGTGATGGTGGTCACCGTGGTGGTCGACAACACGACGACGCTGGTGACGCCACTGCTGTCCGTCACGGTGGACTGCCACATCTGCTGTAGGGTCTGGGTGACGGGCGGCTGCGAGATGGTCGTCGGGGTCGACAGCGTCCATGGTGGCAACACAAAGGTGCACGGCGGGATGCAGGCAATGGTTGGGTCGGTCTCAGTGAATATGCCGGGGTCAATGAACACGACGCCTGAGCCGCCGCCCTCCTCGGTGCCATTGCTGTAGTAGCTGGTTTCGAGGTCCATGGCCCAGTCGGAGATACCTCCAAAGTTCATGCCCTGCACCCACGAGACGCGGTTGCTGTACGTCGCGTTGGTGAGGTAGGACACCCACTGCGTGCCGTTGTAGACGACGATGTCGCCGGCCTCGTCCGAATAGTACTGCTGGACATCATTGCCAGGCGTATTAAGGATCTGCTGGATCTCCCAGTTGCTGATGTAGCCAGCCGTGGCGGTGCACATGCCCGGGGTCGCGCCGCTGTCTGGGCCGACATAGGTGCACATCTGCGTGTAACAGCCGGCCTCGGTCATCTCGAAGCTGCGGCCGTAGAGGGGCATGCCGACCATGATCTTGTTGGAGGGGACGCCCGCCTTGGTGATCATGGACAGCGCGGAGAGCGTCTCGGTCTTGTTGACCTGGGACCGGAGACAGTTGCCATCGGGGCAGCCAGGGCTGTGTGGAGGTAAGCAGGGAAGAATTGAAAATGAAAACAATCAACAGAAAGAAAAAAAGAAAGAAAAGATCGAACAACTTACTCGCTGTACGAGTTGCTATAGTCCCACTGGCCGTGGAAATCGTAGGTCATATACACAATGTAATCGACAAGCTCGCCAATCTCCTGAATGGGAAAGTTGCGCAGGTACCAGTACGACGCCGGCGCGGCTATCGATACACTGTACTGGTCGGTGGGCAGACGCGCGCGAATCTCCTGCAAAAAGGCCAGGTAGTTGGCGCCATCCTCGGCGCTGCCCGCGGGGATGCCAGGGATGTCCGTCGCGCCGGGATACTCCCAGTCGAAGTCGATGCCGTCGAGGTTGTTGTCCTTGATGAACTGCACCAGGTTGCTCGCAAAGGTGGTCCGCTCAGCGGCCGTGACGCCCGAGCGGAAAATGGGATAGGTCTGCGGCGAGGTGGAAAAGCCCCAGCCGCCAAAGGACAGGATGTGTTTAAAGCCCCTCTGCGACTGCCACTCGCTGAAGAAGTCCTCGTAGTCGCCGAGGCTGACGGTGTAGTCGTCGCTGATGTTGGCAAAGGCAAAGTGCACATGGCTGTACCGCGACGGGATGTCGCTGGGGTACATATGCAGACATGGACGGTCCAGGTTCCAAGCCTCAAAGTAGCCCACCGTGAAGAACTCGTCCGGACCGGCCGACTCGATCACGTCGAAGCCACAGTTGGAGATGCAGCCGTTGCTGCCGGGCTGCGCAGTGCCCGGTGCCCCCGTGTCGGCCGGGGCGGCGGTGCAGAAGTCAGATGTGATGCCGCATTGGCCCCAGATATCACAGCAGGCATTGATCGGACATGGATTCAGGTCTGGCCAGCCGGTGTAGTTGGCCGTGGGCGTGGTATCGTTGACCTGTGGACCGCAGACGGCATTGGACACCGTGGCTGGGAAGGGAGGATTCCCTGGGCTGAGGCAGATCCTCTGGCCGACCAGCAGGTCGGAGCAGCCCATCCATCCCCAGGTATTGTTGTTGTTCTGCTCAATCACCGTGTAGCTCTCCTTGTGCGCCGTGGCAATCGACGCGCACGTATCGTTGGCCTGCACTGTGTATGTATAGCAGGTGCCGTTGGCGTAGGGCTGCGGCACTGGAGCGATCGACGAGGAGCGTACCGGTTTCACTGGTAGCAGTTTTATTTTAGCATTGCTGCTGCTGCTGCTGTTGCTGCTATTTCTGTCTGCGAGACAGTGGCCGGACGCCCATGTGGCCAGGGCCGCCTGCACGGACGAGATATTGCCCTGTGTGTCCAGGACGATGCCGAAGAACTGGCTGTTGTCTGTGCCACAGTACTGCACCGTCTGGGCGTGAGGTTTACTCTGCCGTACAACGTCGACCGCACTGCTCACATCGATGCCGGGACCAATATATATCCCAGCCACAGCGCCGCCGCCGGATGCCAACAGGCTGGACACCCACGGGTTGCTCTGCACATAGGCGGCCAGCTGCGTCGTCAGGATAGAGGTATCACTATCACTATCAATATCAATATCGCTATCAAGATTACCCCAGGATAGCGCGTCGGCCCGGCCCGTCGCGGTGGCTTTAACCCGGCCATCTACCGCAGCCGTGCAGGCCCGGATCGTGATATGTCTCTGGGGGTCATCCACGGGATTGTACAAATTCATGTCGAAGAGAACGGTCTGGTTGCAGATGGCCAAGACGTCGAGGCTGTGGTACTGCGTCCAGCCGGCCGGGTCGCTGCCCAGCACGCTGCAGGCGTCTGGACAGCGAGACTGCGCCGACGAGTATGAGTATACAGGGCTGGCATCAGACACGGCGAGCAGCGCCAGAAGGACAAAAGAGAAGAGTCGGCCATGGCCGCACGGCCAGCAAGAAGCTCGAGAGAAAGCCATCAGGTGGGCACTTTAGAAGAGGGAAAAGAAAAATGGGGAAGAGGGACAAGAGCCTTTATGGTCTGCTTGTTTCTTTTATCACTCCTGGTATGCCCCCTCCCGAACATCTAGAGGAACTAAAGGATACCGAAATCTATCAGCTATCTAGATTCCTTAGCTCCATCCCAATATTGCAGCTGCCCTGGAGCTGAGCTGAACCCCTAATCAAACCGTTACACGGCGTTACTCACGTCTTCTTTGATCCCATACAGGGGGATCAAGGTAGCTTCCCGTTGCAGTTGCTACCCGGTTCGTATAGGATACGAGCAGCGGAGGATACGAGCAGCGGATTGCAACATGTTCACTGCTCGCCCCTGCAGGAACCGTGAGAGGTGACACTGGGTGACTCGTGATACTGTACATACAGTAGTGTGCTCCGAGCTGATGAAAGAGAACATCTTCCGCGACTTGGAGCGAGATGTCGGATAAGGGTAATCGTGGGATAGACAGTCATACTCCCTCCTGGCCCTTCTCTGCATATATGTTGTCTTGACTGCAGTCTGTCCTTCGTTTGGAAATCGGAGCGTATAGCTCGCTCGCTTCCTCGCTCCCTCTTTACTATCCCTCACATACAGAAGAAGAAGAAGAAGAAGAAGAAGAAGAAGAAGAAGAAGAAGAAGAAGATGCTCTGGACTCGTCTCCTGCTCAGCGGCCTCGCCTTGGCCTCGGGCCTGGTCGACGCCCGTGCCATTGTCGAGAAACTGGGCTTCGACTTCACGCCCAACCTTCTCGCGCGAGAGTAAGACCTCCATATCCTTGTTCTCGCAGTGTCTGAACGAGATTGCAGATTCCTGAATATCACGTCTCCTCTGAAGCCGTTGGAATCCAGCGGCATCACCAGCAACCCGCGCTGCAACCCACCATGCGGTGCTTGCGGCAGCTCCTGCTCGATCTCGTCAGCCTTCAAGAAGCGGAGCCTGGTTGATGCGGTGGTCTCCAACACCACCTCAGCACCAGAGACGACAAACAGATTGGTCAAGCGTGTGCTCCCGAACGTCCAGCAAGAGGAAATCGGCAGATACCTAACACGGGCTATCTCACGCCTCAAGAACCCGTACAGGCACAGGAACACCAACCAGATCAGTCTTGCATATGCCAGTGCGTATCCTGGGAGAATTGAACAGAAAGAGATGAGACGCTGACTGAAAGGGGAAAAAATAGCCAACGGTGACGATTATACCTATGGCGTAGAGAAAGAGTTTTCCGACTACACGGAAAGCGATGTCCTCAACATCGGTTCGGAACAGCTCACCGGCTGCACGGTGATCACGCTCGTCTCAAGAGAGGCAGTGTACATGGTCTGTCCCAAAATGTCCGCCTTTCCGTTCCTTTCTCTCTCTAACAGGCTCTGCAAGGCGCACATCTGGGAGACTTTGGCTTTCATTCCCAACTGGAAGAAAGACCCCAATGACAGTGACATCGATGAGGATGCCGCCTTTGAGGAGAACTGCATCAACCTTCTCACCAAGAAGAGGAACAGATGGAAGGCCAAAGGCACGCCTATCACGCCGGAACTGTACGCAGGTAAGACTCCGTACCTGTTCATCATGACCCCGCGCGCGGATCCGGATCTGGACGACGCCGGCAATGCGCAGGTTCCCTCCTTCGATCAGCAGCGGTACCCGGGACGCATTGCCACCATCGTGAGCACCATCAGAGATCGGCTGGGCGAACAACCAACCGTAGTTTTCTACAATTATCTGCCGCCGGAGGAGGAGGACGACCCCGCCGAGACCTCGTACCAGGGGAAGGTGCTGTTTGAGTTGGATGCCAACGCAGATGGTAACGGCCGGGCCAACTTCCGCCTCTGGTACGAGGAGGCCACGGAGAACGGATGGGATCTAGGGCTGATGTGATCGCGGCGAGGAGAGCAAGCATGAGGGCCATCCCGAAATGTACTGGACGTTTCAATAGAAGGATGCTGTAGCGTTATTCTGCATGCCAGCATTTAGTTACGCTGAATATCGCTGCCGCTAAGGCTTAAGTTAGTTCTCAGGGGCATCTGACATGTTCTGCATCCGCAACCGTCGTTTCCACCTGATGGCCTGTATTATCGGTTAATACATTCTATACGTGTCTATTAAGTCGTAGACTTGAAACGCAGTAGCTTTTTATGATGCTTTTTTATTGGTAAATGCCCGGTGCACCATATGTACAGTATTTCCATCCTTGATACCTTCTTATAACAAGAAGAATAGAGGGGGAAATCGGGACCTACAGTCTTCAATCCATCCTAAATGTTAAAGAGAAATACTCTGTATTAAGCTAAATCCCTTCTATTTTATTTGATTAATCGTATACAGTTGTCTTGAGCTGACTGGTAGAAAACTTGAAGCAAAAATGTAGAGTAGAGGTAGCATTCATCATCTGCCAAATGACTGCCAGAGAGGACCACACACGTGCCAGAATCTTGAGAGAGGTATTATTATTGTAACACAAATCAAATATCGCTCAGTCAAATTTTGGGGGTCCTAGGCATCTCACCTCTAACTATTTGTTCTGCCCGGGCCACAAAGGCTAGACGCAGTACAAGCAACGGAGCTCTTCATCTTACTCTATGCTTTTCCCCTCCTCCACAGTCGCAGCCATGTCGCCATCTCCCTTCGAGACACTGGCTATTGAGCTGGTCGAGCTCATCGTCGCGCACCTGGACTGTAGTGACATCGCTGCCCTACGCCTGACGTGCCACCGCGTCAAGATCATCGTATCTCAGGGACGGTTCACCATCTTCTTCAAACAGCGCAACGTCCTTCTGGAAACGCGCGCCCTGCAGGACCTGGCAGACGGCACGAGCCAGGGCCACCTGATATGTCGGCTGCGAGATTGCACCTTTACAGGCGTCCTTGATGAGACTAAGAATACTGATACTGAGGCGGCCGCGGAGGAAGACCACAGGCGCCTTCTGACTGAAGCTTTCTGCAATATCAAGCAGCGCTCGCCTGCGGGCTGCCTGGCGACAGTACGACTGCGCCTGGTCGTGCGTCTGGCCGATGGCGCGCTGGCAGCGCCTGAAGACTGCCGATACGCTGCGGGAGGTCTCTGGATGCGCATCTGGGATACAGCGCAGCGCACATTCCGTGTCGTGATGGCAGCGTTGAAGGCGACACAGCTCGCAGTCGACTGTGAGTTGGATTTGTTCCACGGCCACACACATTGCTCCTTGACGAGTGACATCTTTGTGGCCAGTGTGACCACGTTCCCATGGACGGCCATCTTCGGGTCTCTTAAAAAGCTGAAGCTGAACATATCGTCGCCGCACCGCGCCTCCACAACAACAGCGTCGTTGGCCACAGACGACCTCGATGATGAATCGACTACGACCGACAGCGACGAGGCTGCTGGTCGACAGACGGAAGCGCCCGGTGCGCCGCTGAAGGAGACGGAGCGCCGCGCTTGCACCCAAGTTCTGTTCCAAGGCGTGCTGCAACTGCGGTCCCTCTTGTCCGAGCTCGAGACGGTCGATCTGTTTTGGTATCTCGTGGGACGACGACGAATGGCCGAATCTACCTTATTGCAGCCGCCCGCCGATGATACAGAACCTGACACAGGTGGCCCTCTACGTCTAAAAGAGTGCTGGCTAAGGGGGCTGGTTGTAGCTGAGGCCGACCTTCTCCGCTTTCTACAACGCACCCAGCCCGTAGCGTTGACATTGATTCACATCACGCTGAATCCGGGGACGTACGATGCTATATTCGATTTTCTGACCGATCCGGAAACCCTCATATCATCCTATCATCTGGACGACCTGTTTGAGAAAAACTGGGTCAAGACCGTGCATTTTGAGATTCCGGGGAGTCCCAAGTTTGCCTATCGCCGGGGTGGCGGCACGCCGAGCACGCTGTCGCGCCAGGGCGAAGACATCAAGATCCCCATCCGCTACCACCTACCCATCCATCTAGCAAAAGGGTCGGGGGACCATATGCGCTGGAGACAAGAGAGCAGGAGAGTTTATGGCCCTCCTTGTTGACACAATGGTATGTCTTTCTTCGAGTAAAGCTATATTCGGTTTCATACTGACTCAGTCCCAGGCGGCTTTGCCGTTGTGCCTCTAGACGAATGTTGCGGAGCTGATGAACCCCCCAGTAAGTAGGAGATAAATATGGCGTCAGCTGCCGCTTAAATCTACTATCAAGCGACCAACCTAGCTACCTACTAGCTAAGAGGTTCAAATCATACTATTGTTTTTATGCCTTTTAGGTTTCGACATATGTTTATAATGGCACAGGATATACTTATAATAATAGAACTGTGTTTTAAGGTATATCTGTCACCGAACTAGGAAGGAGCGGGTAGGCAGGAGCGGCCGTAGGTACCTACCTACCGTGTCCCTTCAAAAAGATTCCGGTATTCCTTGTTGATGGAAGCGGTTAATATGTTGGATTTGCTTCGACTCTGAAAGGTAGCACAACAGATAATTCGGAATCCCAGGCTCAGAGTTGCATGGAACGTAACCTATGTCGCTTATTGTCAAAGGAGGGGCAATGCTGATTCAAAAATAGGAACCAGCAGACACTAACATGGTATCCAGTTGGCTCTTTCTCACATCCATGCAATCTGCCTGCTGTGCCGCAAACCATCGAGTCTAGCGAATGTCCATCTATGGCAACCCTTGGGCTCGAACTAGAGCATTCCGCCGGCGATTAGAGATATCAGTCATTGGTTCTCCCAACACCTTGTCCCCATAGATTTGCGCCTGGCAGATACAACTCAGCCTCCCAGCTAGCAGTGCCGCAACGTTGGATGTGTGAAAATAGCCCCTGGTTCACGCAAGTCGCTTATCTCACATGGCTTGGTTCTGTTGCCAACATCAAGCCTTGAACGTGGCCAATTATTGATGCTCGAGGTCGCCTCGAAAGCGGGTAAAATATAGCTTCCAACATTATTTACAAACGGCGTCTTATTTTGGGCCCTTGAGCATGATGCGCTTTGTAGGTGTCAACCACGCCAGGCGGAATTTAGCCCTTGCAATCATACTCGATTGGTCAATCTTCTCCTGTTGAGAGTGCAAAAAGTACTAGATCTGCTGGCGCTTGAACAGTCCTGGCGTACTCTTTGTGCTACATGACGGCCCACCCTCTAAAAGTACGCGTCTGCCAACACTCCAGCATAGCGACCATCTGACAGGCCTTGGTATGCGAAAATGGGCAATCGATAACCTTGTTTGAGTTTGTTTCCTGCAGTGTAAGTTGGCCATATAGGCTGGAAGGCATGTCAGTATCTCGACTCCTGGGCTGGTCGTCGTTGTAAAGGGATTTCTTTGGATGAAACTGGCAGGGAATGCATACCCCAGTGGTCCTGTAGAGGCCATTGCATGTAGGGGAGCTGTTTGATATGCAACAATCCAGTGCACACCTGCCTGGGGTAGCCTGGATCAGCTGCTTGAGTTGGTATGCGGCCTTCCCTGATGACCTTGAAGGGTCAGGGCCCGGTCTTTCATATAACAAGAACTGTTAGACGCCCAAGAAATGTCGTCTTCTTCAGTCAATACTCTCTTTTATTGACTGCTCTCCGCTTCTTACATGTGTCTGTTAGAACTAGTACGATCAACAGAGCGACTTTGAATAGTTCTTGCTCGGGCCGTACTAGTACAGCCTGTCTCCAGATATAGTATGGATACCTGGTTAGGTCTCCCTGCATCCTTCTTGAAGTAATGTAGCTAACTCATACTTACTCTCATCCAGGTAGCAGGCACATCCTATATATTCGCTGTCACATTGTCGTATGCATCCGCATCTTGGACCAGTCATTCTTTCGATCTCTATTCATAACTGCGGACTTTCCGTTACACCTGAACACAACTCATCTCTCGACAAGTCATTCCGGTTGCTATATACAAATTGATGCAGGCCATTCGTGGCAGGCTGTTTTTTCGACGTGCCTCGGCGCTATAGCCTGCAGCCAAGGTCTCCTCTGGGTGGTCACGATGGGTTTCCTGAAGAGATTCGGGAAGACGAGGAATCTTCTTTCCCGCTTTCATTCGAGATTTGGGGACATCTCCATAACAGCTCCTAACTGCGGCTCTTGGAATCAGCGACCCTCTTCGGATACTGACGGGTTTTCTCAGCTGGACATCATATCTTCAGCAGACGGCCGTCCGATCCTAAGACATCCCAGTAAACCAAAGAAGAATCCGAGATCCAGCTTAATTGCTAGATTATGCTTGCGTGATCCCGGATTTCAGGAATCTTCGTCAGACCTTACAGCAGCTAGGCCCACTGAACAGCATCGCAGATGGCCTGGACCTCACTCTCGAGAGAGACAGAGGTCAAATGATGGGACACATCAAGACGGAAGTGACAGTTCCCTACCTGACAGGAGAGAAGGGAATAGATCCAGATGCTCGCGACCCATTACCCCAGCCAGTCACTTTAGAGATGACATCCCACCATCTCGAAATCGGAGCTCGTCGGGGCGTAGCGCGACCACTGAGAGAAAGGTAGAAGTGATGGGATCACCGGAGGAAGAACTGCCGCGCCGTCCACCGCTATCGATCACGTCCCGAATGCGCTCTGCCGCTTCATCGAATGCCTCGACGGCGCCAACTGTGTCATCCAGACAAACTACACAGTCATCAGCTATGTCCATGGGCTCCAACCGTACCAGCCCGGCAATGTCATCGACTTCCACGGGGTCGGTTTATCCTCAGACTCCAAAACTCATGAAGATCGCTTATAACCCTTCGTTTCACACAAAATGTTCCCGTCGTGAGAAACGGGAGAGAAAGACTGAAAAAGAACTAGTTCCCTCCTATGATGAGCTTTATGGTTGAGGGGATGAGTTTTCTAGATGCGATGTTAGTGACAGACATGTTTCGCATATTCAATTTTCTTTTTCTTTTTCACTATGGTCGATGGTTTCGACAAGACAAGTGATATGCTTATTTTGTCATTATAGCAGAGTTCTCTAGTCATTTCCCTGTACCACTTGGCGCCTAATTAGGTGTCATAGCTGGCGTTAAAGGCGTGTATTGTCATGTTAGTCCTAACTATTGCAAAGTGTTTTGAGTTACGTTTCAACAGCCACTGGTCCAATGAACCAGTGGGACAAGTAGGTACTTAATATCTCCCACCGAGGTCAAGTACAAAGATGATATTGTTAGTTTCGGAAATTCGGTTCTTAGTCCGCTGGTATTACTACGATTTTCGTGTGTCAATCATGTACATACTCTGAGAGCAAACCATCTTTATCTCTGATAGTTTTTGATATGACACTACGCCTACGGCTCCTATGATGACGTATAGTTAAACAAGCGACTATATTTCCAGCCCCATAATTGATATATGCCATTTCAATTTAGAACCGAGTATCCTTACAAACAGAGGGTATTATCAAGTGCACGCGATGCGCTTCTGACCTATCTCATGGAAAAACGCCCGAACCATTCTGCCCCCACCAATAGCCACGGGGAAATGCGCAGCGCGTTCTAAGATCGCCAAACTAACTAGTGTCCTGTTCAATTTTTGCTGGTCACACAGCCTGGCCTTGATTTTGGCCATTCGGGGGCGGGGAACGAATAAACGATGCTTGTTTACCTAGCGTCCGTGCCAATGCAACGCATATCACAGTCACAATGAACATTCTCTACTATGATTTGTCCGTACTTTTGATCCCAAGCGAGCACTGCCCAAATTCGGCCTGCCACTGGTCGAGATCTGGAGAGAAAGGTTGAAATAATACTTGCTTAGAGCAGATCCAGTCACAACTCTTTCTGTCCATCTCGACCAGCGAGAATGCGTCGCTGGAGGTCGCATGGACCCGACGCGAGCTTGGTGTGAATAATCCCCCCTCACAACACCCCCGACAGGACTTATTTTTCCATTGTCCGTATGGCGTGTGCTTAGCCATGCATCAAAGCGAGTACCTTGTCATGTTGAGAACTTGTGGTGACGATCCGGATATCGGCGCACACCCATTCCTCTCTTCATATATCGGCCAGTGCTCTTCTTAGCTCCGTATCTCTTCTTCGCTGTAGAAACTGTCTCTATATCATCAGTCTGGCCTGTTCCTATGCTGTAGACCTCTATACACAGTCAGGGACTGTGTCCGGCTTCACGCACTGCCTCTCTCAGTTAGGAGGGCGGAACGATGTTCAGCGAACAGCTGCCCCGCGCAGCTTTTCTCTTGTCGTTATCGTTGCTATGTCTTTCTTCAGTCAGCGACGGGCTACGAGTCACCAATGGCTCACCATGTACGAGCGTCTGTAACAAAAGCTCGACGAATACCACTCTCAATGAGATTGTCTGCCTCGACCAGCAGTTCAACACCACTTCTGTTGGGGAAGCTTTCAAAGACTGTATCGAATGCGAATTGGCAAGTACTTATGCGGATGATGAATCCGGCGAAACAGACGTCTCATGGGGTCTATGTACGTCAAACCATCGCGTCCTAGAAGGATTCGAGGAGGCTGGAAGGAAAATAGTGAATATTGACAAGAGGATTCAGACAATCTCCGTTATGCGTTCTCGACCTGTGTCTTCGGCTACCCTGGTTCAGTAACAAACGTATCGACGCCGTGTATAGTCTCATGCCAGGGTCTCTCTTCAGCGATCGAACTCGATCTGACGTCGCCGGACAGCACCACTTTTGATGCTTTCTGTGGGGTCACCACCTTTGGAGATAATACGGTGGATCAATGCGAATTCTGTTACGGGCTAACCGACAATCAAATTCTTATGGCCAACTGTACGCTATTGACCTTCTCTGATGTCGGTTTGTTAGATCGATGGGCTAATTGCGGACAGTCATCGAGTCGGTACGGTATGGTTGCCGGTTCAGGACAGTGTCTGGAACCGCATTCGCGATCAATCCAACCAGAATCTTTAACGAATCGGTTCTTCCATCAGCAACAGCGCCAATAACGACTTCAACCGCATCGTCGTCTCACACTATCAAGAATTTAACTCTCGTCATCGTCCTCCCTATCGTCGGGTTCCTTATACTCCTCTGCTTGACATGTATATCCTGCTTCTTTCTCATCCGTCACCGTCGGAAGAAGGCCAAAGCTCGAGGTCAATCGCAACATTTGCACGCGCGATGGAACGACACGACGATCAGTACGCCTGGCCAGCGGCGCAGCTGGAATGAGCCAACACCCTATCCGAATATGCGCACTTCGCCTGGTTATGGTCCTGGATTCGGGTTCGCTGATTATAACGGCCAACGGCAAGATGTCGGGTTCTCTGCCAAAGACGGGAGTGTTCAGTATGCATCACCGGTCTCACCAGCTCTTTCGGTACCTTCTCAGCTCTATCACTACGGAGCCAATCATCCCATGTCTTCGGAAGCGACATATTTCCCGCCTCCAATGAACCACCATCAGGAACAGCCCACGTCTCTCTGATACCATACCTCTTCTGTTTCTATGGAAAAGCGGTTTTAGACCCTTCGATGGTACGATACTTTGAAGCCGGTATTCAGTATGTCACCTCGGGGTGAAGACAGAATGACATGTGCACGACACGGCCCGGAGCCTGTGCTGCATGTCTGGTCCTTTTAGAACTATAAGCCAGGTCACTTTTTACCTTCAAAGAGCTCTCTGAGAGAAAGTGGACTTATCTGTCTTACACCAGTCTTTTTCCTTAACTCCAACACTTACTCTTTTAATAATCTTTCACGTGAACATGATACCCAAAGGACCATTCACTCCTTCTTTTGTCAGGTGGATTTCTTCGGCGGTTGGGGCTAATCATCTCATGCGGTTCATTGCGGGTATCGGTACTGGGAGTTTCTTTTGGTCAGATAATCAAGGTGTAAATAGGTGACATCCACATTGGTATACTCATGATTAATAGCGGCCCTCGATCGCATATACGATCATACGCAACGGGGTGCATTTTTCCACAAAGGCAAACCACCGCGTTTTAGATGGATGGAAAACGCAAATCAGGAAGAAAATAGTAAAAGAACAGAGGTAGACGGGTATTTAAGACTTCCATCTTCCAATACTTATTATTTTAAATAAACCTCGAGACTCGCACAGCTAAAGTTTACTCGTCTCCTCGTATCTTATAACCATTCTCTAAACCACCCGTATCCAATAATGTCTATGAAGGGCCCTTGAAATGTCTAAGATATCATGTTTCTATTTCCGAAAATAGGCATTCGATAGCCAATCTGCAGTGATGTCTTCAAGCAGGCGCAACCAGCCGTCTTGGCTGTTTGGTAGCTTCGACGTTCACAGCAGCTATGAGAAAACGATTGGTGGTTCTTAGCGCTGAGGATTTCCGGGTAATACGATCACTTGGAGGGGTCATCGTAATGGGGGCGGTGCTGGAAGTTGTTTGTAGGGCTTGCGCCGAGGCCTGTGTTTAATTAAGGTACTGGGACACGGGCAATACAGTGGACTCGATGGAGAAAATGATTAGTTCTGATTTGTGTACGCCACCGTGGACCTTGAATTTGTATCCAGTGTGAGGAGGTAAGTTCTAAGTAGTGGTCTCAGTTCTAGACTCAAGTTCAATCCAAACCTTCGGTTACTATCAATAGAATGTCGCGCGGAAGGTGAATAGGAATCGCCTGCTGGTTCCCTAAGGCCAAAAAAACAATATTTGAGTGTTTTGGTGTTATTCACTATCATCTCCCAAGAGGCAAGAAATTTTCCAGTGTGGGAGAGATATTCTTTTGGTTTAGTCGCCTGAAGTCGGCCTTACAGTAAAATTAGTCATAATGAGTCTATCTTTTCTCTAGTTGCGTTAAAGTTTCAGTCCCTTAGACACGTATCTTGATTGGCTACTGCATAGAAAAGATTCAATACCTGAATCTGAAGACTTAGTTCGCTAGGGTCTAAGAGCAGCTTTGCAATTTATAAATAGCTTATCATTTCTCAGTTTTGTCAATCTACTTTTGCCTGCCGTCCATAAGCTCACAAGGTTTGAAAGATTGCCTTCATTGTTCACATTCTTTGTACGGACGGGGTCAATCCGCGCCTTGGCACCGTTTATGCTCGATCCGACATCAAGAGAACAGCATCCAGCGCAGCCAATGGATTCACAACCGTACCCTATCCCAGCGGGACTACATGTTATACCCTCTCATCTCCTCGATCTCCGTCCGGACAACGAAATCGATCATGATCTCCTTCACCCCAAGCCCATCACAAACGAGAAGAACATCTGGTTCTTCTGGCATCAGGGCTATGCCAACATGCATCCCTACACGAAACGCAATATCCGCGCCTGGCACCGGCGCTTCTCGAAACTAGGCTGGACAATCCGCGTTCTGGACCGTCAGCCAGATTCTCAATTAAACGTCGCGAATTTCCTCGACGTTTCTGACCCAGGCACGTTCCCTCAGGCGTTCAGGGACGGTACCATCGGCGGAGACTACGCAGCGCAACACACCTCCGACCTCGTCCGATGGCCACTCTTGCTCAAGTATGGCGGTGTGTATGCAGACGTGGGACTCATCCAGATCGGCGACTTGGACCGTCTATGGCGCGAGACAGTGGGCGATCCGGCATCGCGTTTTGAAGTCCTCTCCTACAATGCAGGCGGTGCTGAAGGACGCAGTCTAACGAATTATTTCCTCTGTTCTGGTCGGAATAATCCGCTCTTTGCGCGATGCCATCGACTCCTATTACAGCTGTGGGCTGCAGATGGTGGGAAAACCAGCACGGAAGGCATGCATAGTAGCGCGTTGTTAAAAGGCGTTCCTTTAATGGGCGGATGGTTTACCATTGAGGAGGAGGACGGGACGGTTATCAACGTGGAGGATTCAGGGAAGCTACTGACTGATTATATTATTCAGGGACAGGTGATGACGATGGTCATGGGTCTGGTTGATGAGGAGGATGGATGGGATGGACCCAAGTATGTTGCCGAGCACGTCTACGGGATCGAGTTCATGGAAGGGTCGCAGCTCATCAATGTGTTTACGGAATGGAACGGCCGGAAAGCATTCGAGTTGATGTCGCTTCCACTGCCGAAAGAGGGCGAGGAGGAGAGTGCAGAGCAGAAGCAGGCTAGAGAGATTATTGAGGCTTGCTTGCGGAAGAGTTTCGGGTTCAAACTCGCTCATGGACTGATTCTGCGAGTGTATAAAGAGACCCTGGGTTCGCTATGGAGGGGCAATGAGGGATCAGATAATGTGCCAGGGACGTATGCGCACTGGTTCCGCCACGCAACGCTGTTTTGGAACCAGGACAGTGTACCTCCTGCGTTGGAGTTTAGGCCGATAGCGCCTTTTAAGAGGGGGCCACTGTTGAGGGTGGAGTAAATGATACAATAAAGACAGAAGCTGGATATATCACTAGACTGATAATATATATATATATATATATATATATATATTTTTCTGGTTGGACGGATAGTTTCATAACAGACTAATAAAATCGAGTAGGTAGCGTGAGTTGTCGAATCCAGAGCACAGAAGAACGGTCATAATATTGAATCACCTAGCTGATATATCAAGACTGCTTGGTTGCTTGCTCGATTCTAGTTAGGTAGTTATAAGGGTTTGGACCCATGTTTACTGTATCTCGTAACTATAAAAAGAATATCAGACCTAGGGGCCAGACCTCTAAGGAGTTCTCCTTTTTGGTCTAGTCGTGTAGTCGACTTCCGTCAAAGAATCTAGATCTAGATGTGATAGATCTCGCTGGTTAAATCTATTATTAGTGCCTCATTAAAGCAGATGATATGACAGATAACCTGGATGTACGCTTTGTGCGCCAACAGAAGTCAAAGCTTAGAGATCTGGCCTTCAAAAATATAATAATAATCTGTCTTCTTCACATGGAGAGGAATTTAAAACGAAAGAGTTGCGACAAAATATTACCCTTCCTTCCGGAATATTGGCCGCACACGGGTTGCATTCCATAGGTTACTGCACTGGTGTTAGATAATAATATATAACTCCGAGGTATGGAATAATTGGCGTCGAGGCCGGAGTAGGATATGTATTGTTATTTACAGCACGTGTTGGCTTCCCCATCCGGACATATTTAACTTACCATACCATACTTGATTACTTACATAGCTCCACGCGGTTGGCGGTAAGTCCCGAGGGCCCACGTGCAGGTACAAGTACCAGTAAGCATCGACAATAATAATAATAAACAAGTATGTACAGACAATCTACCTAGTTCTCACCTGGAATCGCTGACAGACTCTGGGATATGGTTGGAAAATCTCAATAGAGTAAGAACAGAAAAGCACGCAATGCATGATGATGCTGTGACCTGCAGAGTGGCAGATTATTATTTCTTCTGCATCAACAATCTCTCCGCTATCTACCGTGCACGGTCGCAATGCGCCGCGCCACCAGATGATCGGCGGCCGTTGGGGTTTAAACGGCCGACCGCATTCATATGGTCTGTCAGCCAACCGAGGCATTCCATATCCTGATCCCGGAGGCGTCGTCTCCAGACAATAATAATTCTACCTCTAGTAACTAAATAGTTGGTATATTATTTATTATAACTAGAGCGCTGGTCGCACCTTCCACCGGTGGTTTCTTTTTGAGGTGGCTCGTGTCAACTTCTTTGTTCGCCTGAAATCTCGTCGTTGGGGGATTCTAATTAGCTTCGACAAAGTTGCAACTCTCATGCCCTTTTATCCTTCCCTCATAGATTGTTCTCCTATTAGAATCTCATAGATTGGGATTGCCATCCATAATCCCAATTCTGCTCCAGACTGCCTATAATGGCGCACCTACTAAGCCTTCCAGGTGAGTACAGATCGATAATGAGCAGTGAGATAATTAATCGCCCCTGAGTCCAAAACTAACGGTCTGCTTCACATCCATAGACATTCCAATACAAGTCGCAGTCCCAGCGGCTGTCGCGTCTCTCGCCTATTTGGACGCCAAGCTCGCTTTTGCGTACGACTGGAGTCTCGTGAGCGCCCTGGTCAAATTGACAATTCGCCGCCGCTTGGCGGAGTGTCGCGATCGGTTGAACTTGTTCTTCGTGCTCGAAAAGCACGCCCAGTCCGCAAAGACGGCCGATCATCCGTTCATCGTGTACAACGGCCAGACATGGACTTTCAAGGAGACGTACGAGATAGCCTTGCGCTACGGGACATATTTCAGGAACACGCATCGAGTCCAGCCGAGGGAGATCGTGGCGATGGACTTTATGAATTCGTCCACCTTTCTCTTCATCTGGATGGGACTGTGGAGCATTGGAGCTGTCCCCGCCTTCATCAATTACAATCTGAGAGGGAAACCTCTTACACACTCCGTGAAGGCGTCGACCGCACGTCTGCTGCTCGTCGAGGATGAACTTCGCGATTCCTTTTCCCCCGAGCAACTGGGGGAATTCGCATCCCCCTCGTTCAGGGATGGAGAAGGAGGCGTCGAAGTGGTCTTCTATACGCCAGAAGTAGAATCTCAGATTCTCCAGACTCCACCCGTGCGGGAGGACGACAGTCTGCGAACTGGTGTGGCCGCTCGGGACATCGCTACGCTGGTCTACACCAGCGGAACTACTGGGCTCCCCAAACCAGCGATTGTCAGCTGGCAGAAAAGCTGGGCTGGCAGCATTTTCGTTAGCAACTGGTTGGATCTAAAGAAAACGGATCGATTCTATACGGTGAGTCGCTTGCATTATCCTTCCGGTGGACCATAGTACTCACGTTTGCCAGTGTATGCCACTATACCACTCGTCAGCTTCTCTACTGGGGTTCACCACCTGCTTGAATTCTGGGACAACAATTATCATCGGCCGTCGATTCTCTGCGAGGAACTTCTGGAAGGAAGTTCGCGATAACAATGCCACCATCATCCAATACGTTGGAGAGACGCTGCGCTATCTGCTCGCCGTGCCACCAGAAATTGACCCCAGGACTGGCGAGAACCTCGACAGGAAAAATAACGTCCGCTTAGCTTTCGGGAACGGCCTACGTCCCGACATATGGAACAAGGTCAAGGAGCGTTTTGGCATCGAGACCATCGGCGAGTTTTACGCAGCCACCGAAGGCACGTCTGGATCGTGGAATCTGTCTTCCAACGATTTTGCGGCAGGTGCCGTCGGAAGGAACGGCACCATTGCTCAATGGGTTCTCGGACGTGGTATTGCTTTCGTGGAAGTTGATCATGAAGCGGAAGCGCCCTGGCGTGATCCCAAGACCGGATTCTGCAAGAGAGTGCCGAAAGGTGAGCCCGGAGAGTTAATCTATGCGCTGGATGCGCAAGACCCGTCGCAGACATTCCAGGGGTATTACAAGAACGCCAAAGCCACCGAGAGCAAGATCTTGCGCGACGTGTTCACTAAAGGTGACGCATGGTACCGTACTGGAGATACAATTCGCTGGGACAACGAAGGCCGATGGTACTTTTCAGACCGGATCGGTGATACTTTCCGTTGGAAGAGCGAGAATGTGTCCACTAGCGAAGTTGCTGAAGTCCTTGGTGGGCATCCCGATGTACAGGAAGCGAATGTCTACGGTGTGGCATTGCCTCACCATGATGGACGGGCTGGCTGCGCAGCTCTGGTCCTGAAAAACGGAGTTGAGACTTCTACTGGTGCCCCCGAGCCTTCACAGGAATCTCTCAGTTCACTGGCGTCCTACGTACTGAAGAATCTTCCCAAATATGCAGTCCCTCTCTTCCTGCGCATCACCAGTGACATGCAAGCTACTGGGAACAACAAGCAGCAAAAGCATACTCTCCGGATAGAAGGCGTCAACCCGGGGCTCGTCTCTCCCAAGGACCGGCTCTATTGGCTGCAGGGTGACAGATATGTGCCATTTGAAAGGAAAGACTGGGACAGGCTCGATGCAGGACAAGTGAAGCTCTGAGCTGAAGGCGCCTATCCGCTTTATGATGCATGCGTTCCTACCTAATTATCGTTACGTTTTTCGGCGTTTGCGACTGACCGAGATACCCATCAAATGGCCCAATTCCCCCTATGAGAGCTTCTACCTTTCGTCTAGTGTGACGCAGGGTATGCATGTACGTATGTTATTGATATGTAAATATGAACCTTGTCTATCATTATTGTCTGTCCAGCTTTCGATATCGGTTTAGAAAAATGTAGAGAACAAACCACAGGCCAAGCCTTCTCTTCTCGGTAGTTATCCGAGCTGTCGAAACGTGACTTAAACGCTTTGGATACTAAGGAAATACCTAGGTAGTTAGAACTGATATGACGATTAACGCCAGCCGTGACACCCGAGTCCTTTACTAATTAAACGCCAAGTACAGGAAGCTCATGGAATATATCATGTCGGAGCCTGCATACGCAGGCCTCCTGTCGGGTCTCTCTCTTTTACTTGCTCTTTTTTCCTCTTCTAGATTTTATTTTTCTTTTTTCTATAACACTCTACACTTTAGCCTATACTATAGTTTATAGAAAAAAAATGAGAAATAGAAAGATAATATGTTATCATAAGCTACTTAATACAAATCTGTGAGTGTGTAAAATGAGCATTCTAAAAGAACCAGGAATAAACTTCATAGAACCGTGAGTGATCCCGGGGAAAAGAAATCAGCGAAGAGGAAGGCGTCGAGGACTAGTGGAGGAAGTGTCGTGCAACTCTCTAACCTTCGAAGAAGACCTTTGAGGCGATTGGTTTTCTTTGGTCCCGCGCTGTCGTGACGGAGATTGAGACGGCTGTCGAGAAGCTGGTTGGGAAAATACAGCCGACATCGAGGGGGACGACAGTGTCTCCTCCAGAAGAGGATACATATCACCTGACGCATCGTCATCATCGTCTAGTTCGTCGTCAGTCACATCTGCTGCGCCACTGATAGCAACAACTCTGTTCAAGACCCATTGCATTTGTAACAGCTCGAACGACGGCAATGGGTGGTTCTCCGGGTCCTCTGTGGTGATTGTAATTATGTCTCCAGACAAAATACATTTGTCTTGATCGCCGTTCCACAGTTTCGCGTTCAAGTTGCCATGTCTTAGATCAGAGGGAATCGATGGGGGCGTAGTCAACCGAGCGATTTTGGCATATTGGTATGTGGGCATCCAAAAAAACTGGAGGTCCATCTTTTTTTTGTCCTCCGAAGGTTCGAAAGGCTTCAATGCGAATCTTGCTTTGCCCCATAAACGATGGGCCGACGGAGAGAGACATATCAAATTTGCACAATGTTCGGTGCGATCACGGCCCGTCACTTGTCTCTTCCATGCTTCTATCTTCGCAGCACTCCAATAGGTTTTGAGCCTAGCCCAAAAGAGGAATTGCGTCGATCCCTCCGGTTCTTTTCCGAGGGCAAAGGGGAAAATGTGACATTTGTCTACGGGGTCTTGCACCTTTTCGATAATGCAAGCACCCCTGTCTCTCTCTGAACACTGTAGGTTATCAGCATTTATCATGAAGGGATACAAGGCGTCTAATAAAAAGTGAGAGACGATATGAAACAGCTCACAGTTCAGAAATGTGGGCCAAGTCATAATCTTGCAGAAGGGGTGAGATATGGTCAAAACTTACGGCATTCTTCGCAGCCTCGGAGCGCTGGTTTGTGACCGACGACTGAACTGGTCGAGGCAGCCGCGTGGGACTCTCTGTCGCTGTGCGTTTTCGAGGAACTGTGGTGGTGGAGGTTGCGGTGGAGGCAGGAACACGAGGAGACGTCCCTGATGAAGTTAGTGATTACATCAAGCATATTATTTTCATCAATCAGAAACAATACGATGAAATACTCACACTTCCTCAGATGCTCAACATCATGATTCTCGAGCTGCTGAAGAATATCCTCGGGGCATGTCTCTGCACGAGTTACGAAGCCTCGCAGTTTTTCTATATCTGAAAGCCAGAGACATGCCCAGGTTGCGCTGCTCAGCTTGGCCATTCCGGAGAGGGCTCGATCCAGATTTTCGATGAGCGTCACTCGTTCTTCGTGATGAAATTCCTCAAAGGCCGACATGTTGTTCGCCGTGATGATGTCGGAAATGATGACAAAATGACAGAAGGGATATAAATGAGGTTAGAAGAATGAGGTCTAGACGATAGGTCAGAAGGAAGCTCAGCAGGGTCTACACACAGCGAGGTAAAGCTGGGTAGCCGACGACGTTGCAAGAGTCAGGAAACCAGAGAATCCTTCTGCGGTGTGAAATATCGCGAAACTTATGACTGAGGAAAAAAAGAGAAAGAAAGAAAGAAGAGAGAGAAGTGCGGTATGATGAAGTGTGAAAGAAAAGAACAAAGAAGAGAGACTTCATACCTATAGGTAGGTACCTACCTGGTACCTAGTACCTAGCGGGTACATCCATCCATTCTGCCTATGCTAATCCTGATGTGGATTAGCTCTCTCCGCATTTTAGCGCGACCCCGGTTGGAGCGAGGTCGGAGAACCGGCAACGTTGCTTAGGCACCATATCAATCCGAAAGTGAGAAAGGCTTTACTTGATGAATAAAATGCAAGCAAAAGAGTACTTTAACATTCCACGATAATGACTGCCAAAATGCCATCAATGACGCAAATCACCCATTTCAACTATCCCTTCACGCTTCGAGCGCGTCATTTCTCCAGTTCTTCTATATACCGTTCATCAACATCCGATTCGTCCCCACTGTCCGCTGCTTCAGTAGCCTCATCATTTCTCTCCAAATTTGCATCTTTGGGTCCTCAAACCCGCACTCAGACTCTCGATGCAAACCAATTGCAACTACTCTCTCTGACTCTGAATCGTCCAACGCTCTATGCTGACTCTCCTCATCTATCCAATGCCGCACCACCTCCTGCGGGAACTCCACTCCCGCCTGGATATCACCTGGCGTACTTTACCCCTCCCTTTCTCGAAGGGGAGCTGGGTGCAGACGGCACGGATAAATCGTATAATCCAGAGTCACCGTTTACTAGACGAATGTGGGCAGGTGGAGAGGTGCGATGGCCACGGAGAGATGGGGAAGTGTTGAATCCTCTCCGCGTAGGACAGGAAGTTCGAGAGACGACCAAGGTGTTGTCTGCAGAGCCGAAGGTGGTGCGGAAAACGGGCGAAGAGATGATTGTTGTTGGTGTGGAGAAGATGTTTGAGAATGAAGATGGGGTTGCGGTTATTGATCGACGGTAAGTAATTACTTAACTACCTAGTAAGATGAGTTTAGCCTTTCACTAGCAGTGTCTATTTTTCCCTGATCAATTTCATCTTGTATTGAATATGTTTTGGAAGCTTGCTGACGGAAGTCTTCATACAGGAACTGGGTCTTTCGGAAAGCTCTTCCTACCGATGGGCCTAAACATAATCCACCACAGCCTTGCGTTGGTGTATCTTCATCACAACCTGCACCAGAACCTTCTTCTCCTACAGCAAAGGTACACGTCCGGACTTTGAAACAGACACCCGTCACCCTGTTCCGTTTCTCTGCACTCACTTTCAACGGGCATAAGATCCACTATTCCCTGCCTTGGGCACGGGAAGTAGAAGGCCACAAAAGCATCGTTGTCCACGGACCACTGAATCTAATTTCGATTCTTGACTTCTGGCGAGACGTTCGAGGTCAAGGTGGCAAATCAGATGAATTTTCCATCGTTCCTGAGAGTATTTCTTATCGAGCTACGAATCCGCTATACGCGGAGGAGGAATACCGTATGTTCCTGGAAGAGGACGGAAAAGAAGGCCGAGTACAGATATATGGTCCTACTGGTGATGTTGCTATGAAGGCGGAGATAAGGGCTTTTTAAGGCTGGTGTAATCACATGTTTTCACTGTTAACTGCATCTCTCTGTCGTTGGATCCGGTGCTACAATTGAGACAACTAGCATTATCTGAGGAGCGAAGCTCGCTGAGCTTGGATTCATCTAGCAACTAGCTCAGCCTATTTATCCCTGTGGGTGGAGGAGCCAGAAAGGCGTGGGAGAAACCCGACAGGAAATCTGCCTGTAGGCAGATTCCGACATTATCTATTAAGCTATATTTGAAATGTGGTTATTTGGATAATGATATCGGTATATACTTCAACAATCTATTGCGTCTAACGCTTTCAGCCTAAAACCTTACTGTAGTGACGTGGTCTCTTCAACCTTGGAACTGTCTCTGAAGTCCAAATCGGTTATAGTTGGCCGGTCCCTGCCTGCAACTGCCTGCAACACCACTCCGTATAAAATAAAAGTCCAGTTCCTTTGCATTATTTCTTTTCCATGTCTACATTTCCTGGAGTGCAAGAATTGTCCCTTAAGGCCCAACAGGACCTATAGACCTGCGGGGGTCTTTCAATGTTAAAGGAATCAAGTGACGCAGGAACTTCACTGCAACTTTACCGATAGGCTTTTTACCTTCATCTCCCCTTATGGTCAATTAACTGGTATGATGAGTGAAGCCTATCCAGCTACCTCTCCGTTTAATCTAGCTCGCATTCCACTATATTATCGTATGTCAAGATGCCCTCTAATGTCTTCGCTACTTTCTCCCAGACCAAACAACCTCTAGATGGAAAGCTTGCTCAATATCAACCACTACATCCCGAGGATGATACTGCAGATTTCTTGAGAAATCCTTTTCAAATACCTACCATTGGATGGGCAAGGCAACTTAGTAGGCTATAACTCCATCTGCTTGCCTTGGTGTAGAAGATTCTATTGAAGATATCCATAGCGCTAGCAGGGATGAGCAACAACCACTATGTGATCGCTGTCTAGCAAGAGATGGATATAGGTGTGTGGTGTCAAAAGCTTGGAGTTCATATTACAACCAACGCCCCTCTGACTCGATCGACCATCCTTTGAAAACTGCCCATATCATTCCGTTTTCTTTTAGGAGTCTTCCGGGAAAATGATACAGATGACCGATATAGGCATGCAACAATGTGGATTAACCTCAACCGATACTTTCCTGGCCTCCACTCACGTGTGGGCTTTTCTTCGGATGACATTATTATTAATCGAGAAGAAAATATCATGATGATGGCTGAAGGAGTCCATGGCCAGTTTGGGAAGTTTCACTTTATTTTCGAAGCGATGCAGACCCCGAATTGATATTTTCTCAAAGTATTTCCAAAATTTGCCCGCCGGTATCTAAGGGACCTGCCATCTGACAGATTCGTTACGTTCACAAGCCATGACGGGAGATATCCCCTTCTCCATCCAACTCTCCTTGCCGTTCATGCAGCCATTGGGAATATCTTACATCTAAGCGCCGGCGGAAAAACGATCGAAGCGCTTAAGCGCGATCTGGGAGACATGAGCGGGGGACTTGCTAGGGAAGGGAGCACGAGGATTGAGAATCTTCTCTCAGTGAGCAAACTCTCCATACTATCTTCTGGTGCGAACAGATGGGTAGACCACGAGGAGAACCGGCGACGCAACCCCGGCTAGGTTGCTCGCATTCGGAGAAATCAAATGCAGCCATCAGGAAGAGCATACCCACCCTCATCTTGTGCTCTGCACGTTGCTTCAAGTCTGCTTTAAGATCCTGCGTGCGCGCTGTCAATGTCTTTTCAAACTGGTCTACATCTTCTGTTCCCCTTCTTCTCGAAGATTCAGATAGAATTACCGTCCATTGCTCCAATACCTGCGTCTCATAACGCGTGATCTTACTGACATTGAAAGCCTCTTTGTCACCCTCGTGTGGTACCTCGTTAATGTCCGCGATTACATCAATGCTGCCTTTCATCAGATTCTCCCTTCTGAGGAGAGAGTCCGTGACCTGTTCTGTCTCGGCAACTTTTCCTATTGTCCTGGCCTTTTCGACGTTATTCAGTCTGGGTTCGCAGGCGCTGAAAACTAAATGTCGGGAGGGTTCAGCTTGATATCGGTAGATATTACTTATCTAGTCCAGAATCGACTTTCGACTGTCGTATGTGTTGAAGTACTTCCTTCTCATGCAGTAAATTGCACAAGCATCTGATGGAGACCAACTTCAGATGTCAGCTAGTCTGTCAGATCCCGCGGCTTCTGTTGCGGCGAGCTGCAACCCTGCTGCTTCCCTATACAAACCGGATACCGACTGCAACGGGAAGCCACCTAGATCCACCTGCATTGGATCAATGAAGACGGGAGTAGAGCCGTGGAACGGTTCGATCAGGGGTTCAATTCAGCTCTAGGCAGCTGCAATATTGGGATAGAGTCGAGGAGTTTAAATAGCTGGTAGATTTCGGTGTCCTTTAGTTTTCAAGCAATCCAAAAATCATTCCGGTTTCGTATGCTCCTTCAGAATCTTTGCTTCCGTGATCTTAGATCTTCACAAGTAGCATCATGTGTCATTTGAGGAACATGAACAATATTTATATGTTGTCTTTGCCCGGCTAGGACAGACTACGTATCTGAAGACCACGGATGCTGGCCTTCAAGCGAAGCGAGTCATTGATATTCTCAAGCATCAAGGAGAACTTCCCAGGAGAGCCTTTCGAGCAACTTTTAATTGTCTAAAGATGCAGTCTATATGTTGTTTTTATTGCGGTAGCTTAACACTTGCCGAGACAAGGTATCAGATCGGCAACTTGAAACGATCTAATTTTTAGCGTCACGTGAATAGACGCCCTGGTGGTCTAGTGGTATGATTCGCGCTTAGGGTCAACCCTTTGCTTAGCTATATTGCGCGAGGTCCCGCGTTCGATCCGCGGCTAGGGCCGTTCTCTTTTTTATTTTTTATTTTTTTTTGTCAGCTGAGATCAGCTCTCTGCTGAATATTAAATAACCCCCAAGTCTCACGATATAGAAAGAAGCATTACTGTGGTGCCGGATTAGCCCTACAGCTGAAACTTAGTCTACTTCCAGAATAGCGCCGGGTGTCTCGCTCGTAGAGATCAATATTGCAGACGAAGACAGCCGTCAGTCAGTTCAATATATCTTAGATATCATATGCTATTGGCGTAACCGAGCAGAGTTTTACCTCCTGTGGTTAGTTAATGCTCGAGTAGCCCGGACAAAGATGGCGGACCTAGAAGGGCGCTTTGCAGAGGAGCAGAATCATAACGCAGCCCCCGTCAGCGCGAATGAGAAAAAGAGAACCAGAGTCCAGTTCTCCTGTACAGCATGCAGGCAGCGCAAGTAAGTCTATCTGAAATATCATATCATATGTACACGATTCAAGTAATCAACAGAGCTAATCCTCCCATCCAGACTAAAATGCGACCGCATCTACCCGTGCAGTAACTGCACCAGAAGAGGGGATGTCGGCGCATGCATCTACGTCGGGCGAGGCCCGAAGGGAAGGGGCGCTCATCCCCGGGCTGACCTTACTCATACCCAGAATCGGTTGCATCACCTAGAAAATCTCGTCCTCTCGTTAGCACAGAAGAGAAGACTAGAAGGGCAGGATGTTGATGTGATGACTCCGTGTCAGCAGTTAATGCCAGAGATCAGTTCCCAGCCTAACGGAGGTCGGAATACTCTTACGGATCCGGCTTTATTGAAAGCATCATCGGAAGAGAAGAAGAAGGATCTCGTCGATTCTCCAGGAAGGCTCTTCGTGGAAGATGTCGGAACGAGTTATCTTGACGCTGCGCATTGGAGGGCAATACTCGAAGAGGTAAGCTGCGAGAAGACCGACATAACCGTGACGGACTCTGATTCAAGATGTTGTATGCCAGATCAACGATATCAAGGTATATATTCAAGAGGAAGATACAGTGTCTGAAGATAGTGTGGCTGGGCTAGACATCGGAGAGCCAGAAGGCCCTATGCTTCTGTTGGGCTTGGACAGTTCCATGAGCTTGGAGGACCTCATCGAAGAGATGCCCCCAAAACCTCTCGTAGACCGTCTAGTATCGAGAAGTTTGACCTCGAAGTATCCTTCTATATGTAAGTATCCAATCCAATGCGGGTCTACCGTCCAATTTTACTTATACCTATAGTCATGATCCACCAACCCACCTTTAAAAGAGAGGTACGTTTTCGGATTTCCCTTTGTGATGTATAGACCTCGACACTGACGTGCAGAAGTATGAACGTTTCTGGCGGAATCCACATGCAGTATCTGTCAACTGGTTGGCTCTTCTCTACGCTACAATGGCACTCGCTGTGGCTATATATCACAGGAGCAACGAACAGCTACCGGAAACGTTGAGAACTAACCGGGACGCTTTGAGTGTATACAAGAGGCATGCAGCTCGATGTCTTGTATTGTCCAATTACACGAAACCAGGACGATATAAGGTGGAAGCTCTGATGGTATATTCAGCCGCGGAGATGCTCACAGACGGCGACCCTCATTACAGCGTCTGTTTTATCCTCGGGATAACGATAAAGCTGGCCATGCGTATGGGCTACCATCGTGATTCCAAGCATTTTCAAAACATCTCCGCGTATGAAGGAGAAATGAGACGGCGAGTCTGGGCGGCTATATGTCAACTTGATAGCCTTACTTCGAACCAAGTTGGCCTTCCTAAGACAGTGCAACGTTGGCAATTCGACACTGAACTTCCACACAATCTGTTGGATGAGGACTTTGACGAAGACAGCCCGACACTACCGCCACCCCGGTCTGAGAATGAATACACGCCTGCGTTATATAGCATATGCAAAGCGAGATTAATGTTCGTGTTTAGCGACATTTCTGATCTCGCCTATTCCCGTGAACCTGCTTCCTACGACAAAATTCTCGAACTTGACAAACGCCTAGAGGAAGCTTTCGCAGCGATACCGCCACCCCTTCGAATACGAACGTTTGGAGAATCTATAACAGATTCAGCGGAAGTTATCGTGCGCAGACATACTCTTGTATTCCTTTACAATAAATCACGGGTTGTCTTACATCGGAAATACCTTACTGAGAATCGCTGCAACCCGCGATTCAGCTACTCCCGCTCCGCTTGTCTCGATGCCTCAAAGGAGATTCTCCTCCGCCAGGCAGATATCTACCATGAAGTGCAGCCAGGTGGACAGCTCTACGAGACGAGATGGTTTGTCCGTTCTCTACAAGTTCACGATTTCATACTTGCGGCTATGATAATCTGTTTGGAATTGATTCGGGACGATGCGCCTCGAACAGAGACTGCCAACTCCGACCAGGAAATTAATTTGACCTTGAAGGAAAAAGAGGATCTACTACACGTGCTTGAAATGTCACAGGATAGCTTTAAGCTGTGCATCCCATGGTCCAAGGATGCGCGTAAAGCATATGAGGCTGTGAGCGTTATGCTTAAACGCGCCAGAAGAGGCCAGCCCAGTGATCAGAAGGCAGATGAAGCAGTCTCTATAAACCCATCATCCAGCGGGTTGAACGCAGCAGGAATATCAAGTACTCCGTTGATATCCAGTGGTAAGTCTTCTCAAACTACAAAATGGCCAACATATGTGGAATTCCACCTAACCTCTTTTGTCGCTTTTCTAGGCGTCCCACTGCCACAAGACGGATCATATCGCCTTGAGTCTAGCGATGTTACGGTCGAATCCGGCCTAACGGGTGTCATTCCTATCGACACGGAGATAGACTGGGCGCAGCAGTTGTCGGCCGATTCGATAGGCGTTCTTGAAAACATGCTCGATACTCCAAATAATATTGACTGGGTGAGTATTCACTTTTACTGCCTTCTCACGTCGACCTCTTCTCCAGAGAGATCGCAGATGATGTATCCAATTTCTAATACTTGTTCTAGGGCCTCTGGGACGACCAAATGCAGGGAATAGAACGGGAACACATGAACTATATACATACATGGGGAGATGATCCCACAAATGGATTTCATTAGAGTAGCCATGACTATGGCAAGATGAGGTCATGAGATTGATGAAATCAAGCATCTAGAGGGAATATTGAAATATCTTGTATAAATAACAACAATTCTCGCTTTAGGTGGGCAATAGAACCTTCGACGCATCTCGTATGGTACATATTCGCGATGATGCTCTCGGCACGTCCCGAGCCAGTCCCGACCCCAGGATTGGCTCCGTCGGCACCGCCGCGATTCCGGCGCATTTATTGAATTAGCCGGCGATCGCCCGCAAGTCCGCCCAAGTTGACATTGAACGCTTTTGAAACTCTTGCCATTGGCTCTGCACCACAAATCTATATCATCTGGAGAGTCTGTAAAAGACTTCATCACGGCTTTTCCTTTTCATCTCCTACATTTCTGAGCTCCATCCACCGGTTCCCGAACTATGCGATAGCCTTCGAGAAACATCGCGCAACAAGTCACATCTCCGCTCATTAAACCCCATCCTTCGATCCTCTCCAGGGCAGCAACGCCATATAACCTTCTACAATGAACTCCTCATTACACCTTCCACGCCAGCTGCTTGGACGCAATGCAGTCAGAGTTCCGTCTCGCCGGCTCTCAATCATCGCAAAACGAACTCCCACCAGCTTAGAATCTCCATCACGACGACCTCTTCTTCAACAACAACGACAACAATCTTTCCTCCTCGCACAGCAACAATCACGACGCCACTTCCAAATCCCACCTCTCTCCTCCCTCTTCTCATCCAACAATAACAATAACAACAACAACTCCTCGGACTCAGACCGCCACCTCACCGCAACCCGCATCCTCCCCCACCCACCAACCCCTCTGTTTCGCGTCATTTCCTCCGTCGAATCATACTCCCAATTCCTCCCCTTCCTCAGCGCCTCGACCGTAACCGCTCGAGACCCCCATACCAACTACCCGACCCGCGCGTTTCTCACAGTCGGATACGGCCCGTTTAGCGAAACATTCACATCGCGCGTCGACTGCGATCCCGAGACATGGGTGGTAGAAGCGCGCAGCGGAGCGAGGTTCGACGAAGCGGAAAATATCCCTGGGGCTGATGAGGGGATTTTCGAGTATTTGGATACGAAGTGGCGGTTGATTCCGTTGGAAGGGGAGGGACAGACGAAGGTGCAGTTGGATATTCGGTTTAAGTTTCGAAATCAGTTCCATGCCACTATGATGAGTGCGGTTGAAGGGCAGATGGCGCAGGTTATGATTGAGGCGTTTGAAAAGAGGATACGGGAGGTGGTGGGTGGGAGGTAATAATGGTCTTGCTTTTGGTTAGGGAATGTTGGTATAGATGTGTATAGAGGGAATATATAGATTGTAAATTAGAGGATCGGTTCTTTCCAGTTGACGGTTTGTTTTTTATATTTTTATTTTCATGTTACGGTCGTTTTGAGATACTTTTGTCCTGGAAAAGCTAGGTTTGGTTTTTCCCTTTTTGCCCTCGTTTCTTTTTCTTCTATAGAAAGAGATCATTTGCTGTACATCTAGACAACACAAGGGGAGAAGCTATAAAAGAGACAAAAGACATGGCGTGTAGTATAATACAATAAATCCGCTCGGCCTGATCATCTGCAAAATGGACACCAAATCATAGCATGCCCAAGCTGCGGTGTCTGTTGATGGGATTCCGGTTCTTCGGGGCGCTCACAGCGTTATAGTTGTCGTAGACCACTTCCCAGTTGATCCTGTCCCACCAGCGCTCGAGGTACTCGGCCTTACCGCCAATACCGTAGTCCATCATCCACACGTGCTCCCAGGTGTTGACACACAGAATGGGCTGGACATCAAGGGCGCCCGGTGCGAGGTTCTTCTGGTTCTGGGCGTGAGCTCCCATGGAGCCTGCAAACTGATTGCCCAGGGGAGCGTCAGAGTTGTGGGTAGCCATGTCGACCGGCTGCCGCCGGGAGTGCGCAGCAGGGTAGGGAGAACCGGCGTTGTATGTGCAGAAGATGTTCAGGAGCCCTTCCCTCTCGAGGTTCTTGGCCAGCCAGACGAATCCAGGACCGAACATAGCGTTAGCAGTGGCCAGGAAGTCGAGCTTCAGAGATTCTATTGACGAGCACGTGTCGGTAATATCTTTGGCAAACTTCTCGGGAATAGTGGTCTGGGTGGGCGCCTGTTACAAGATCGCCATCAGTCATAGCTCCTCGAGAATGATATACATCCGGTATGGTCATAGCTCACAAGGCAATTGAAGAAAAAGTGGTTGTTGTGCGCCATGGAGGCGTAGTTGAACACGGAGGCCATCTCCGGCCGCTTGGAGTACTTGATGAGGAGCTCGCCCGGTTTGGCGTCAGCGTCGACAGTGTCTATTCAGAGACAAGCATTAATATCTTCACCCAGGAGCCCTTTGTGGTATTGTTGGGCAGCGTGGCCAGACGGCTAGTCCTCCACCAACTCCGCAACCATATCTTAACGGGGAACTCACCCTGCGTCAACAAGTTGAGCTTGTCAACCAGGAGCGTCTGGTACTGGGTCCAGGCGAAGTCAAAGCCCTCCGGAGAGAGCAGCTCTGGAACTCCATTCTTCTTAAAGTACGCATCGTGCGTCAACTGGGGCACACGGTGCAGTCCTCGAATCTGGGATCTGGGAAGGGCGGAAGCGGATTTCTAGCAACCAGGTGAGCGGCACGGTCGAGAAGAGAAGGCAGCCATTGAATGGAGGCAGCGCTTACTGTGAGAGAAGACACTGCGCGCAGGGAGCCCTGCGGCCGGAGGATTCGTCCAAACATTATGAGCAACGGTCGTGCGGCAGTCGCAACATCCCCGGATAGAAGCTGAGCTCGTCGATTTGGCGATTCTCTAAGAATTTCTGGCGGTTGTCCCGTTGCGGTTTAGCGCCGCTGAGGTAACCACCGCCCAACCAGCCGGCCAATCACAGCCTCACAACGCGACTCCTGCGGCCTCTTCTGATACTGCGAGGATCGACGATGTTCTTCTGCTCGTCCAACTACGCGCTCTCGTCCAACCGCCCATCCCCCGGGCGCTATGTTTGAGGCCCTCTGAGCCTGTGAGAAAAGAGCGCTCAGCCTGTGGAGATGAAGAGTCATAGCTCTTTGGAACGCCATCCCACCGGGTGGAGTCTCCGATGGCTGCGCTGTATACCAGTCGGCGCTTCTGCGCAGTCTATTCTGGGACTTCAGCGCCAACTTCCAGAACTGGATGTATCAGTGGATGTTAAATGAAGGCATGGTCTTGTGGGCGTCATATACCTGGATATACCCTGCATCCAACTGTTCTCTTTGTTCACACTTTGTATACTGAAATGTTTTGTCTTCTTCTTTGATGTCTATTTAAATCTAAACAGAGCTTCTGTTACTTAATCACACTCTTCTATTGCTTCATCCTTTTGTCTGTTGGATTAAATCTCTTCGTGACAAGCTCTCTGGATTTCCTAGTGTTACCAATATGGCGAGGTCGCTGCTGCATCACATCCTCGCCATATACTTGGTCTACTCTGTTCTCGATACGACCACCATAGCAGCTGCTGTTTCATCAAGCGAGGTATTAGCACTGCTGCAACGAGACACTGGTTCATGCCCCAATTCATTTGATCATTGTGCGAATTCGAAGTTCCCTGCAGATTTCTGCTGTCCATCATCGTCGACTTGCATAAGTCTGGACAATGCCAGCTCTGCTATCTGCTGCCCCGAGGGATCGGACTGCTCCTTCATCCAACCGATTACATGCGATATCCAGCTACAAAATGTTACGGCCCATCCAACAAACTCACTCAAGACCACCAAGCTGGATGACAGCCTTCCAAAGTGCGGAGATTCATGCTGTCCCTTTGGATACACGTGCCAAAACGACAATACATGTGCCCTTGACAAAGACACATCATCATCAGCAACTTCTTCCGCAAATCCATCAACCTCTGCTGCCGCTACATCCTCGACCCAGACCACGGTAGCAACTGCTTCCTCTGAGACCGGATATACAAGCTCTGTCACATCGGAAACATCAGCTCCATCCGCAACACCTTCAATCGCAATCACTGCAAATCCGTCCGCAACTGATTCTGCCAATCCAACAACGACAAGTCCCTATTCTTCGACTTCTACTTGGGATGCAACTTCTCTAGCTGGACTCTCTACGACTTCACCGAGTTTGACACCGAAATGTCCATCCTTTCCCACCAAGGCTATTATTGCGGGTTTCTTCCCAGGTCTCCTCTGTGGCGTCATTATAACACTCCTTGTGACGATCTGCTTCAAAAGACGAAGCAGGCGACGTGTTCCTCCTGTTTCGAAGATTCCCCATATCCGCCAACGAAGTTCTGATGGAGGAATCATCGGTATATCAGGCCCCATTATGACGGAAGAGAACTCCTTTCGGTCAGACTTCTTGCGCCGTAATGGTCTATCCCGAAATTCCGTAGGTGGCAGATCGATACTTCATCGTTCCAGATCTCGCGTCCGGAGTCTCTTCGCCACTGGGCCTCCTAAAGGGAACATCTATACCACCGACAGATCTGCTCCTCCACTTCCAGTCACGCCGCCCCGGCAGATCATCCCACAACGGCCGCCTAGCACCGAGAGCATTACGGTGTTTTCGCCAGAAGCATTTGCTTCTTCTGACGTGCTGAATCCAAGTCCATATCCTCCAAGACCGAATACGACATTTACCGAGATGATCGACAATGTGGGCTTCAAGAACAGTGATGGAAACCCGTATTATCGTGTCACGGAAACACCGAAGCCACCATCTCAGACACAGAGTCCCCCGAGGAGACTTGCTTAAAAGCGCTGGCACGTTTCTGCATTGGTGGAACGCGTATTTAAAATTTCTTTCTGTGGCTCAAATCTTTTGATTTGCTTTAGAACGCCCTACACATACAGGACCCTCGTCTAAAGTTTCGGACGCAGGGGTTGTCATTTTTCTGCTACATAGTTAGCGAGCTTATTCTAATTTAATAGACATCGAAGTATACATGCATTTATTTTGCGGTGGTAGCTCGAGCCTACTGTAGCATAGTGTGCAACTAAAATCTGCAAAAGTACATAATTTAGAGCTTCACCACGATGAATCTCGAGTTTTATCATTTCTATACTCATGGTTCGGAGAAGGGACCGGGTGAGCTAGCTAACTGGCTAGTGGACGCCGCGGAGACTAAATCACCACCTAAAGGGAGCCTCTGTATTAATGCTTCATCGCCGCGCTGAAGCCACTACTTCAATTTCCGACAGGAAAAGACTCCCACGGCCGGCACTACTGGTGCCTCCTTGACATTTCCCCAAGGCCATGCTAGCATTCTCTCTTTGAAAGGGGAATGCTTTACCATGCCAGATAAAGATGGAGGCGTAGCGTCCTCAACCGCTCCCCCAGGGCCCAGCACCGATACCACGAACGACACGCCAACCATGACCTCCGCGAAAACTGTCGACCGTGGGCCTCCTCCAGAGAAACCGGAGGCGATCCGGACACGGTCGCGAGTCATCTTTGCTTTCTGGGCCGTCATCATTTTCCTAGGTATACCGATATGGTGGAAGACAACCTCTATTTACCGGGCGAGCATACCCGTGGATGAGATGATTGCATGGGCAGATGGAAAGGTATGGCTTCGCATCCCTCTTGTGCTGGTATTATTGGATGTATATCTAATCAATGCACCCCTGTATAGGTCTGTCGCCCAGTCTTTCCTCTGGAAATAGTAGTCCAGACCCCTGCGATGCAAGCTTCAGACGCTCAGCACCTCGTCCGGACGACGCAACACGCCCTTGACGACTTGAACGAGTTCTCTGCACATCATCTTCGCCTGAAGCTGGCGGATTCTCTACCGCTGAATGATAATCCCGCGAATTTTAGCCCTTCAGAGGGGGACGATACTGGACAGAAGGCGGATGTTGCATTGGTCGTGAGGTTGTTGCCTCGAGATAATCTGGCCGCTCCAACTTCGGAGCTCCATTCATACTCAACCGAACTTGATATCTTTTATCCGCCGAACCAAGTCCCTTCACCTTCGTCGCCAAATCCTCCTCTATCTACGTTCATTGCACATGAACTGCAGAATCTCTTCAGCGAGGAGCAAGCAACAATCACGCACATCCTCTCACAGGGCAATAACGCCGGTTCCAGTCTCCAACAGACCACAAATGCGCAACAGCCGGCCAGAAACACCCCGTCCCCGCAGCTGATGGAAAGCATTAGCAGGCGACTGACGAGATCGCTGAAATATGCCGAGACCTATCATTTGACAATCTCGCTGTTTACTCCGGGTTACGACCCCTCGTCCTGGGATATCGAGGCGGCCATTCAAGAATACTTGACGCCGCTTCTGGATGCGCTATCGCCTATCAGCAACTTCTCCGTGGACACTCAGGTGCAGTTGTACGCAGCTTTCTCACCAACCGCTCCGCTCCCCGAGTACGATGAGTCGCAAGGAGCATGGACCCTAAAGAAAGAAGACCTGAGCGCTTTTATCAACGCTGCGGAATGGCCTCTTAGCCCCAGCATTGGCGCTGGTCCTACCATCGAATTCGTTCTATATGTACCGGCTCCTTCGCAATCCCCCTTGGTGGTGAAAGAGAGCGGCGCTACAAGTTGGTTGATTCCACAATGGGGAGGCGTCGCCATTCTCAACCCTCCTCTGACGCCGGAAAACCCCTATAACCCGCACCACCTCTCCAAGGAATCCCTTGAATCGTCCTTCCTCACCTTTTCGCATCAACTGCTTACTCTGCTCGGGACACCATCTACCCCGCCTTCTTTACCGTTCCGGCTTCAGACTCTGATCCGTATTCGCGCTGCCAACCTTCTGCTATCGGCGTCGTCCACGATGGGCTCTCTCGCCCGCCTCACCCAGTCTCTCCCATCGATCCCCATCCCTGCCACGGTAGCAACGTCGATCTCAACGACACTGTCCCATCTGGCAGCGACATGCACTCACCTGAAGGAGGGCCGCTTCTCTGCGGCGTTGGCGACAGCCCGCGTGGCCGAGAAGGAAGCGGAGAGGAGCTTCTTTGAAAAGAGTATGGTTGGTCAGGTGTATTTCCCGGATGAGCACAAGGTCGCTGTGTACCTTCCTCTGCTGGGTCCTATCGGTGTTCCATTGGTGATTAGCCTGATGAAGGAGCTGAAGAGGATCGTGGCGGATTGGAAAGCGAAGCGGAATCTTCGGTCATGAGTTTAAGCAACTAACTGTATTATAAGAATAGATTATTTTCTGCGATTTGCTTCTTAGCCCCTGGGAATATACCCGTAATTCAATTCTATGAATACCATTCATAATATCTATGATATCTACACACGAAAAAAAGCATGGGTATCTTTTTGACCTTCGAAACGCCTTCAATGGACCCGAAAAACCACGATACATATACACTCCCCCCAATGCGAAATCTCAAAAATAGCAGCATATGTAATCGAACGAGATCAATATTCCTTTTCGAAAATCTTCTGGATCGGCTTCGCGGCCTAGAATAACACAGTTCCGTTAGTATATTGCTGTTTTGTTCCGGGACCAATTCTCGCAGGATATACGCACATCAATGAATCTCTCTAGGTCCTGATCCAGATTAGCCAGATCATCTTTCCGTTTCTTGTTCTCTGCGATGAGTGCCTGTTTCCGCTTCAGAAGCTCCTGGCGCGCCTGTTCGAGCTTCTCCCGCTCTGCATGTTCATGGTTGATGCGCGCGATCATCAGCTCGTGAGGATCGGAGTCCTTGTACTCTGGGTGGATCTCTAGGAATTCTTCGACTGGGATTAATGGTAGGGATAGGTATTTATGACTGTTGGTTTTCGCGACGAAGTTGTCAGTAAGGCGAAAGAAGGCAAGAAAGAAAGAAAGAAGCAAAAGGTGGGAAAAATGACGGAGCAAACGCACTCATAGGATTCACAGGCCGCAATCTCATTCGTCAGGTGTCTTTGCTCGTAATATAGGTTCTGCAGCTGGAGGTGCAACCGATCGATTTCCTGACGAGCCTCTGCGGTCGCTTGTTTTGTTTGGCGGACTCCGAAGATCGCATCGCGATTCAATCCACGCAGCTGGGACAGTAGCGAATAGACTCGCTTCTGCTGCTTCGAGACCTCGAGCATCGCATTTTCCGGCGGTGGTGAGGAGGTTGGTTCGAGGAGATCCAAGAGCTTCTGGCACTCTGCAAGGGTATTTGCGCTGACGCGCAAGACCGGCAGGAGGGCAGGGTCCGTGACAATATCTGTGACGGTCATGGTGGCAGACGAGAATACCGCACGGATCGAGTAGGATGGAAGGCGGGAAACACGGCCAACGGAGAAGGAGGGCAGATCTGGAGGAGCTCGAGTTCGGATCTCGATTCACGGATGGGCTGGATGGGATGGGATGGGATGGCCTCGTGGCAGAGATGCGGTCGCTTATGGGTCGAAAGGAAGAATGTCGAGTGCTGCACCTAGCAAGGTGATTTGGACCATTGGAGACAATTGATCACAGCACACAGTTGCGTCTTGGCTGAAAACAGCAATTCTGATATCAACAGGTGGGGAAAGTGAGAAAAACACCGTTTAACAGTGTCTTATATGATTCTGAATCTCTGATTGACTGCAGGGGAGAGATAGACACGTTGGGGGCAAATTTCGCCCCTCTCTTGCTAACTTACTTCTTCCTGTCTCGGCGCTTCTCCCCTTTGTGGTCCCGCTCTCTCTCTTCCTCTCTCTATTATTCCTGTGCTCACTTTCTCCTGCGTATAACTATCCCTACTTCCCTATTCACTCCTTTTTGATTGTTGGTTATTTCAGCCTTCTGGCAGAACTTCTTTTTCTTTCGAATACCTCCTTGCACTCCACAGACACGTGTTTCTGCGTTATTCTCTCCTTATCGGGTGCCGATTCCGTGATCCGAGCACGGAGAACAAAGCGCTTCCCGCGGACCGACGATAACTAGTCTTTTTATCACTAAATAAAGACAAGAGAGCATGCTGCTGGCCTTTTCAAATCAATACCCAGTCAATTGAACGTCACCATGGCTTGCACGGCGCCTTCAATGACCGTCGAGTCGTATCCCGACGGGGAGTCGACCTCATGCTCAACCCCCACGGAAGAGAGCGCTCTGCTGCGAGAGCGGAGGAGAAGACATTCATTCCACGCGGCAAGAAGACTGTCTCGGGACTATGATGCGGATGCTATATTCTTAAAGGTAAGAGCAGATAGCTTGCCTAGTCGGTTATAGTTTCGGTTCTGACAATTTTTTTTTTCTTTCTTCAGGTCGAGCTCTTTCTCGCGGAATTGGAGAGGCGAATGCGGTGGCTGGAAGACTATAGGAAATCTCATATGGACCAAATTGATGCCAGTTTGAAGAGAGGTTATGCTACGCTGGAGGCTGTGAGAGATTCGTGCTCTCACGCCTCGGGCGAGCTGATGGGTGGCGGCAGGCGCCGGGCAAGAATCCTCGTGGAGACGTTGGAAGGCCGGTACAACGAGGCTCTGGCGACGAAGGAGACATTGGAGCAGAAAGCCCAGGCGGGTATACGCTTGATGGAATCCTTCCTGAGTGATATGGAATCCCGGGCCAACAATGTCCGCGATCGGGGTATCTCGGGTGCAATCGACGATGGCTGGAAGGCGGTCGACTCTGGCTTGACCCATGCTCGAGAGGTCGTCGACGAGGGAATTGAACAAGCTCGACGTGCAAAGGACTCTATTCGCGAAAGTATTGACCGTGCAATCGAGCTGGCTCGTGAAAAGCGTTTGATACACTACTCGGATCTGCCGCATCCCTGGCGGGTCAACCCTCACATCCTTCAGGGCTACCGCTTTACTACGTCCAAGGTTGAATGCGTTACCTCCATGTTCACCTTTTCAAATGAACTGGTGAACATCTGGTCCCATTTGATTGGGCTCTTTATCGTCTTGTCGATTGCTTTCTACTTTTATCCGCTCAACCCCAACTTCACCCTCAGCACCAAAACGGATGTGGTCATCGCCGCCGTCTTCTTCTTCGCGGCTTGCAAGTGCCTGGTCTGCAGTACCATGTGGCACACGATGAACGGTATCGCGTCGCAATCATTGATGGAGCGATTTGCCTGCGTCGACTACACTGGAATTTCCCTTCTGGTCGCTGCCTCCATTGTTACCACGGAATATACGGCTTTCTACTGTGAGCCTGTCTCCCGGTGGACCTATATACTCCTGACCTCTGCCCTCGGTATTGGTGGTGTCATCCTCCCGTGGAACCCAACTTTCAACCGCGCTGACATGAACTGGGCTCGTGTGGCTTTCTACGTCACCCTCGCCTGCACGGGCTTTGCTCCTTTGGCGCAGTTGAGCTACACGCGTGGTATTGATTGGTGCTTATATTTCTATGCGCCATTGATGAAGAGTTTGCTTGTCTACCTTGCAGGCGCAGTTGTTTATGCTTCCCAGATTCCCGAACGCTGGCGCCCGGGTCTCTTTGATTATTTTGGCGGCAGCCACAACATCTGGCACATTGCTGTGCTTGGAGGAATCCTGTTCCATTACCATGCTATGCAGCAACTCTTTGCTGGAGCTTTCGTGAGGGCCCAGCAGGAGTGCCCTTATCTGAAGGCTTGAGGCTATGAACTTCATGAGTGAAGTGTCAATTGCTCCACGGTCTAGCCTCTCGGGTGAATTGGTCCTGTTAAGTTCCCCACGCTTTTCACGCAGAGGAGATACCCAGCCGAGTGCTGCTAGAGTCACCTCTACCCGAACGAGACAACCCACGGCGGAATGGACCTTTTGGGTTCAATGGCGTCCGCTGAGAAGTCGGGTTTTTTGAGTTTTATGTCTGATGCCGCGCACTGATAGACTTGCATTGTCCGCTTTTTCACTGATGATCTAAATATTTGTCTGATGTCCCGAGACTAGAGCGCACCTTTGAGAACCTTGCCGTCGTTACAGGCAGCCACGCACCGCTGAACATATAGATATCTAACTTCAATCATCTGTACATATTGGCATCCTTAACCTGGTGGTTCTAGGTGACTTTTTCAGTACGCTGCAGCTATCCTTCTGTAGTATTGAACAGTGTAGTAGAATCTTAACTATACCGGTTTCAGATCGATGCAGACTTGTGTCATGATATGTATTCTAGATCCCTCGAGGCTCTATCTATTATTCTAGTCTAGAATTTATGCGGTGGTATATATACAATCGTATGTTTTGACTATCAACATCGTCTTGCTGCTGGCGTCTCAGGCGCGCGTGTCTGCTCTTTGCTGGCGACGGCTCTAGTGACCTTTTAGGTATGGGGGGTCTGGAGTCGAGCGCTTGCGTTGGTGTGTTTCTAGGATAGGGTTATGTCCTAGCATTGTCATGGAAGCATGTAGCTGTAGCTGTAGCGCTTTGCGCTGTAGTAGGTTGGTGTCCGTCTGGATGGCAAAGACTGGAAGGCAGCTGCTCGAGACTTCTCCTAGATAATTGATCTTGTCTTCCATGCGCATGAATCATGATTCTTCCTTTGAAGCCGAAGATTCCTGGGTGGAATCTGTGGTGAGCAGGTCACGCTTCTTGAAGTATCCCTGCATCCAGCAGCGGTACATCTTTAGCCTTCGCTTTCGGTTGACTAGCAACCTCCGGTCGACGCCCAGATTGAGAATCTGGAACACTCCATCATGATACGTCTTCCTGACTACTGTGCCCTCAGGATTTGTCTCTTCTTGGTTGTCGATTTGTATGCCCTTTTCTGGCGTCCATCTCCCCCACATATCTGCAAGTTCCTGCTTGTCGAAGAAATACACCCTCGTGCCATCACCACGGACATAGAAATTCTCCGCCATATACCGTCCCTTCTTGAAGCGTACCTGCGCCAGATCACCACGGCCGTAGTCACGGAAGAGGACTTCTCCATCAGGCTTCAGCACTCGGTAAATGTTGTGCAGTGCTTGATTCCACTGGTCCGGAGCCAAGGCAGAGAAAATGAAGATGAGAACAACAAGATCCACAGACCCCTCGGTCAGACCTGGTGGTAGCGAACCCTCTCCCTGTGCCGTAACGTCCCAGACGTCCGCGGTCATGTTCTTCGGGTTGTAATGCTCACTTTCCCGCATCACCTTGACAGCCGTACTGGAGAAATCACAAGCATGCACCATCAACTCCTCGTTCTCGTTATTCACCAACAAAGGAAAAGCGGTGTTGCCTGCTCCTGCGCCAACTTCCAGCACGACTTTTCGTCCGGCATCTTTGCGCGTCACGTCCGCGAGTACGGGAAACTCCTGGCGCAGCCATTTGCGGTTCTTGAAGAAGTTGGCCTTGTTGTTCTTGTAGAACAGGTTCCACCACTTGGCGGGATCGCCGTTGAATCGCTGCTGGTCGAATTCCGACACGGGTGCCTCTCTCTGTTTGGCGATCTGGAGTTCTGCGTACTGACGGTAGTCCTCGTCGGTCTCGACGTGGTCCCAGGCATTGAATTCCCATACGTCATCGCCCTCTTCTAGATAACGTGAACCGAACTGGAAAGGGTCGGTGCGTTTCAGGTTGTTATTCGAGTCGTGGGAGCGGTGCGGGGGAACCTGGGGCGGTTGGACAAGTTGTGCGATTGTGGCAATGTCCAGATCGGCCTGATCCACCAGCGAGGGAGCCATCGTGAAGGAAGGATGGCTCGAGGATGGCTCGACTCTTGACAAGAACGAGGGATAGGTGTTCGTGGCGGGGTAGCGAAAGGAATAACTAAATAAAACTATCAGGATGTGATAAAAAAGATCGCGGGACGGTAATTTGGCTTTCGGTAAGTTACGAGGAGTCCCTCCGATAAGGCGCTAGTAATACCCTATCGGGTAAATTACAGGTATGGTATGGAACGCGGAGCCTTATCGCCGTTAAGGTCCGGGGAGAGGCCGATCGACCAATCAGCAGACGGGATTCGTGAATGCGGATGCCTGAGGATTGCGGGAGTCTCACGGCTGATCGATCGCCCTTTGGCCCTTCGACCTTCCATCCTTCATTCATCTCTCTCCATGTCCCATCTCTCCATCTCTCCTTCACTTCGTCGCTAGTCCTCATCTCCTGTCTCCATTACGGTCGTTACTTATATCCGTTGCGCCGCAATTTTGTTGTCTGTCTCCTCTGGTTGCCGTTATCTGTCGGCTGGATAAGGAGAGGGCCGGTCGATTGATCGGACATGGTCCCTGGGAACCTCTCAGCTGGGTCGCTCTCAATCTAGGCGCTACTTTCGCTGTTACTCCCGCCTTGGGTATATCCGTACCCAGCTGAAATTGGTGAGGCTCACGATAAACTGCACCTGATAATCACGTCTGTATGCACGAAATATACGCATTTCGCTGCAAGCGGCTGGTCTATCGAACTATTGGCGCGTGACAGTCTTAATTGAGTGTCCTCCATGTCGTTCTTGAACTACCTATGCGGCTGCTTTGCCTGCCATGGTCCCGGCTGTTTATCGAAGCCTTCCGTGCAGGCCCGGCCAGAATATAATACTGCATCCATTCCACGGCACGATGACTCCAATGGTTCCCACGACGGTGCTGCTAACGAGGTGGTCATGGATGACGGATATAGCGCTGTCGCTCCGCTGCCCCGCTATACACCACGCCCTGTGAGCATCCAGGAGAAGACCCTACAACTACACATGCGCGATCCTCCTATCTCCTCGGATTCTCGGCCAATGGATGAGAAGAATCCTCGGGACTTCGAGGAACCGCGGTCTCCCACAGGATCTGATGCAGGATCCGATGCGTCGTCTACTATCTCCATGCCTAGTAGCTATGGCAATACTTCCACTGCCACGCGGGAGACCCCTCCTCCGCCTTACTCTGCCCATCCTTCACCTGCGCCTTCGCGACCTATCTCGATCTCTATGCAGGAGACGGGTGCAATGCAATTCACTCTCTACCCCGGTGTCGCTGATGAGCCTCCATTGTCACCACCGCCGATGATTCACATTCCACAGCCCCAGCCCGTTTTTCGCCGGCCGGAATTTCTTCATCGTGGCGTGCTCCCTGAGAACGACGACGTAAGCAGCCATGCACGAAGGCACTCGTGGGAGAGCCGATGAAAGAACCAATCACTTTTCCTCCTACTTGATCAATTGGCTCCTGCCATGTTCCTACCATCAACTTTCGACATGCATCTGAATATCCGTGGGGATACGATTTACGAATTAGGTCGATTATAGTCGGAGTCCTCGGCCCCGTCTCAGTCCTTGAAAAAGCTCTTCTCGCATTTCGTTACAGACACCCTTATTCCCGCATACCGACGAGGGTTTCTTCGATACTATCCCAGCATGAACAGCGACCAAATATGCTGCACATCGATGGCCATATCCCTGGATCAAATGCTGAAGTCTATTCCTTCTAAGAAGCGGAAAATGCATGCTGCCTTTCTTTGCTTCTGGCTGATCCCCACGCCCCAGTGCGGTGTCTTCACCCGCTACGCAGACCTTTTCTGTCCATGTGAAATGGGCCTCGCCTGCCATTGCGGTCACTCCCTTGAAATGTTTCCTTTTTGGAGCGTCATTTCTCATTCATCCATCTCTTCTATGGGATCTACATGTCTTCTAACATGGGGCTGTTGTGTGCAGCAGGAGGCAGAGACAGCGTGATCCTCATTGGCGGCCCAGTTACCATGCTGAGCTAGACCAGGTCACGAAGGTCCAACGCTCCTGCGCCCCTCCGAGCCTTTTCTGTGAGGCCTATAATAGACATACACTGCAAGTATAGCCATACAATGTGCGTTTATGTCATTAGATCAAGCGCTTGTTTTGTGCACTTTGGTGATAGGAGCATAGAATGCTCTAGTTCGAAGCACCTGATTATATCGTGTTGAATGTACAATTGATTAAAGTACCAGATTACAGCTCCAGTCTTACAGTCTGTTGAATCTTACATAGTATTGAACTACGTTTGTACTGGGCACAGACCTCCCTTGGCAGTCTGACTCGGTATTAATTCCAGAAGGCAATTACCCTCCAGCCAGACAATTAATAATTTACACCAAGGAAACATTAATTCACTTTGGAATTCTTTCATTTATTTCAACTTTTGGTTATGTACGCATGTATAGAGATAATTACATTTTTCACATCCTGAGCCAAAGAGTGATCGAGTGATATAACACAACACACAGGCACCAGTAAAGAATAAGTAGAGCTCTACCTTAATCTTAGTGCTTCTTAATCAGCGTAAGCTCATCACCAAATCCACTTCCATCACCCTTGACGAACTGCCACGTCGCCTTATTAGCATTATGGAAAGTGAACTTGCTAAATCCATAATCCTCCTGGTTCAGCACGGCAGTAATATTGAGAGTTTTCTGGCCAGGATCCAAAGTGGAATGACTCTCGATATTACCAGCCATACCATTAATAATATGCGTCAGCGACCTGCCTGTTCCGGTGTAGTAGGTGCTTTTATTGACGATGCTAGCGGTATCGATGGTTCCATTAGTGCCTAGAGGCAGAAGACGCTCGTACCAATGGATATGGCCAGCGAGGTAAGCGTCGACTTTATACTTGAGCAGAAGCTCTTCCCAGGCATTACGGACATCGCTTTGGTACGTGGCTGTTTGGGTAGAGTATATGGGTCGATGGCTCATGACGATGACCCAGGGAGTTTTCTGGCGGTCGATGGAGGCGAGGTCTTTGACGAGCCATTGATATTGCTGGTATGCTTTGTTGTTCTTGTATTCGTTATTGTCGATTTTGCCGAATGGACCGGAATCCGTTACGAAGGTTTCGTTTTCCGAGGGGAGAGTATCCTTCCCGTCGACGTCGCGGATGAAAGGCCATTCAGGGGAATAGGCAAAGTCGGTTTCGGCATCGAGAGCAATAAAATGTGCGAGACCGTAGTCGAAGGAGTACCAGAAGTTGCTGACACCGCCGGTTTCAGAACCAGGCATGCGGAAGCGGTTGATGTATGCAGTGAAGTTTCTGTGGGGTTTTTTTTTCTTATGCGTTAGTTTTGACTGTTGAGTAAAGTGAGGGGGAAGGTCTTATGATTATATATATTATATTATTACCTCTGAGAAGGAGGACAGCTGTAGTAAGTGAGAGCCGACTTTGGTGCGGTCGAATTGGCCTTGTCCTCGTTCATATAGGCCGTTAGTACATTGTTAGGGCCGTCGAATTCTGCGCAGCTGGCTTCATGGTTGCCGGGTAAGACCATGTAGGGAATCTTAGTGGTGAGGTTGTTCATCCACTGCTGCCATAGATCCCAATTGGACTCATACAACACGCTCATGTCACCACCTCTCGGGCTACCCTGGTTGGGCACTTCGCCTGCCGGTAGAGGAGTCTTGTAGTCATCCGGGATAGGACCTTCACCAGGCAATGAGGTCGAACTGCCGTTATAGCAGACGGGCCAGTCGGACGCGCAAGGCATGATACCGGAGGACCAGTCATCGGCATAACTATAATATATAGGGGTCAGCAGGTGGCGTAAGTTCTAAATAACTGGGATATCTCGCAGCACATGACATTTCGCGAAATTTCGCGAGTTGTTAATACCTTAAATCACCGCCGTGCCAGGCGAAAGCGAGCTCATCGGACGCCTTGTTGAGCTGCGCGAATGTACCCTGGGCATTGGTGTATCCCATATCATTGAGCACGGCGATCGAGAAGGCCTTTCCCTCACCGGCCGCACGAGCAGTCTTGAAGCTCAAGGTCTGGGAAGCCGTGGTGCCGTTGGCAGCGGGGATCTGATAGTAATAGGTCGTGTCCGGCTTGAGGCCCGACAGCTGGACGTCATGGAAGAACTGGCTGCATTGAGTGACCACGACCTCTGAGCAAGGAGGAGTACGATCGTAAGTCCTGCTGGAGCCCGTGTTGGTGTACAGCAGCCGGTTGGGATGAGTCCCCCAGTGCACCGCGGGGGCTTCCCCGAGTCCAAAAGGCGTCTGGTAGTGAATATTGACGCCATTGGGCACATACGACAGCGAAATGACATTGACGTTGTTCGATGGCTTCGCCGTCGCGGGCTTGACGGCCGGCGGCTCTACCAGGCGGACGAAACCCTTTCCATTGCCATTGATGGTGGGATCAACCCAGTCACCCACGGGCACAGCCGGTCCCGTATAGGGATACCGGGTGTCGACATCGCGATAGTGGTGACGGCCTGGCGCAGCGTTGGCGCAGAGGGCCAGAAGCAACCCTGCGGTAGCCTTGACGAACATGATATGAGGGCTTGAGCGAGAAGGCACGAGAGATGGGAGAGTCGACGACAAGCTGGGCGCCGTTCCCTATTTGAATGAATGTATTAATTATCATTATCTTGCATCATGATCCGTCTCCTCCTTTAGACAGGCAGCTAGCTAGCTAGCTAGCTAGCTATGCCAATCACTGTACATCGCGATGCAACATGAGCAGTCGAATGATAAGGACTCGGATCCAGACCGACGATGGTAGCATTCGTTGCGATCCTAGTGGGCATCCAATTGGGCGGTCGTTTATCGCACGTGGGGGAATCGAAGCATTTGCTAGTTGATATCTCCGCGCTAAGCAATTAGCTATTGTGAAATCGAGATCCGGTTTGCAAGCTTGCCAAGGTCGGGTTACATAGTGATTATTATTATTAGTGATTAAACCCCGATCGCAAATAGCCCTACATGAAGCCAGATTCTACTTCCTCTCGTGCCGAATATCCGTTGCTTTGGGAGTAAATCGTGCCTCATCCCGGCAAAGATAGCAAGACGCATGCCGGGAAACTCGACCATCGAATCGATCGATCATCCTATCATGTTAGCCCTGTGCCTGGGTATGGAGGAAGCTTGGCAAATGGACTAGATTACATAGTAAACTCTGGAGGACTCCAGGAGGAGAAACAAGAGGCGAATGATCACAGCTCAATTGCCAATTCTTCCTCCGCGACTCTTGATTTAGTTAAGTTAGTTCGATTCCTTCCGCAGCAATAATAATCATCGGCTTGCTCGGAAGAGCATCATAGCAGTGAATGCCACGAGGAAGTCAGCAACTCTCGCTACAATCCCTTCTGGATGTTTCTCCAGAGACTTTTAAATTTCCGTCGTGTAACAAAGACATTCGGTGGAACTTGCTGGAATTCAGTCTTCGGAGTTTAGTTATTGATACTAAGGGCAAAGCTGGACGGCCCGACCTATCTATATGTAGAACTGGATGGATGGAACCAAAATTTCATTCCCGTATTGTACAGTACATTTTGATCGAATAACAGACCCTCGATCAGGGGTAAAAAAAAATAAAAGTAAATGACTGGAGACGTCGTTCTATGGGATATATGATGAACCCGGAAAGACCTCGAATCTGGATATTCCTCTCACCCTGTAAGAGATCTGACAGTGGAAAGCCGCATTTTATTGCCATGACTGGCATCTGCAGGAACAATCATGTCTTCTTCATCGTCGTATAGGTCGTCATCCTCATCCTCATCCTCCTCCTCCTCGCCAAACACTCGCCGCCACACGCCATCCCAGAGCCCCTTCTTCGTCACGAGCGCACCGACCATAAGGATTGGCAGCTGCCAGACGCTGGCCCAGAACAGTCCACGTGCGGTGCCCTTGGCACCTTCATGCTTCATAAAGCGATAGGCTTCCCGGACCAGCCATCCGTTGGCCAGACTGCTACTGACCAAAAAGCCCTTGTCGACCACGCCAACCCACCACAGGCCGACCGAGATCGGGAACATGAGGATGGAATACCGGAGTGCGACACGTCCATTCCGTGCCGGATTCACCCAGGCCATCATCTTGTACCCCGCTGCCTTGTACTCTTCGCGGATGGTATGGGACAACGCGTTGAAGTGAGGGAACTGCCACGCGAACAGCAGGGCAGCGAGAAGCCATCCACCCGCACTGTTCTCGCCAAACAGCATGTCCCGCCAAGTATCATGGCCGGTTGTGGCAGTCTGACCCGCAGCAGCAACCCAGCCCATCAGCGGCGGAATTCCACCAACGATCGCACCCACCCAGGTATTAATGACGTGTATACGTTTGAGGGGAGTATAAATGAATCCATAGAGGACAATATTGGCCGCTGACAATGCAGCCACGGTCGGATTCGTGCCAACATAGAGAAGTGTCAGACCTGTAGCCGCAGTCCCGATCGCGAAGAGAAACGCCGCACGCTTGGAAAGCAATCCACGAACCAGGGGCCGGTTGCGAGTCCGTGACATGCGTGCATCATACTGAGGCTCGAAGTACATATTCCAGGTGTTGGCGCTGGAACAGGACAGAAACGTCCCCGTTGTGAGATAGAGGAAGGTGAGGGTGGATGTCGAAAAGGTGGGGAGCTGGGTCATGGAGGGATCGAGGGCGAGGAGGGTGGATATGGGGTAAAGGCCGTACGCAGAAGTCGTCGTCAGAAGAATGAGAAAGGAAAGGCGAGGTTTGGTGAGAGCGAAATACGCAGCCAGCTTCCGGCGGATTGAAGTTGTAGGGAGGGACGAGGAGATAGCGGACAGCTGCGCGGAAGCGTCCAGAGGGAGGGCATTTTCTGCGTCATTATTCCCGGCTTCTTCCTTTAATCGCTTCCTCCGTCTGTGTGGGAATTCCTGAGGAAGATCGGACGTAGTTGATCCTTTTACTGATCCTCCGGTCACTGTCTCGGTCGTCGATGAAGCCGATGTATTGATAGACGCTGCCTTTGCGCCAGCGGAGCCATTGGAAGTGGAGAGCGAGGCAAACAAATTCTTTTCCCCTAAAGCAACATTGGACGCATTATTCGAGGAAAAATACTCCTTCTTAAACACCCGCGGGGCCGTCTGTCCATCAGCCGTGCCGGACTGAAGGGCCGCCGAGAGAACGAAGCCGCGCGTGGAAAACCCCGGCTGCGGTCGTGCCAGCCGCGACAGACATCTCGAGCACACCAGGCGCGAGTCCAGCACCGATACGGGCCTCAGCAAAGAAGGCCGCAGGATCATGGCAGATCGAGGCCACCTGCAACCTGGGTCGACATGGGAGACTCTGGTGTAAAGAGAGAAAGTGAGCAAAAGCCTGGGATTGATTGATTGAACGGGATGACGGGCAGATTCTCCGCCGCGCCGCAGCAACCAGAGATGCAGCCGCTAAACCCGCCGGGGAAGAGTCCGTCCCCCGCGCTGATCTTCGATTCTGTATAGGTATATTTATGATTATTTACTAGTTAACTATCTGGTCACTTTTTGGATTACAACGCTCTACGCCACCAATCCTCCACCATGGACAAACTACAGACTGTCGTGATCGATCCCCTCAAGCCGTATCTCTCTCCCATCACCGCCAGTCTCCCCGCGCCCGTCCACGATGCCATCATCTCCCTGATCGGATCGCCATGCCACAGCGCGCTCGTCCTCGACCTCGACGTGACGGCCGACCCAGAATGCACGTCCCTCGCCATCTCCAAGGCCCTCGGGGTGGCAATCGTCTCTGCCAGTGCCATCGTCAAGGTCCCCCAGATCCTCAAGTTGATTGAGTCGGGCTCTTCCGCCGGTGTCTCATTCGTCTCCTACGCTCTCGAAACGGCCAGTCTGCTCATCACGCTGTCCTACAGCGTGCGCCAGAACTTCCCCTTCAGCACCTTTGGCGAAACGGCTTTGATCATGATCCAGGATGTCGTGGTGGGTGTGCTGGTTCTGATCTTTGGTGGAAAGTCCCCCGCCGCGGCTGCTTTCATCGCAGTCGTTGCGGCCAGTGTGTATGCGTTGCTCTTCAACCAGACGCTAGTCGATGCGCAGACCATGGCGTATCTCCAGGCCGGTGCTGGAGCTCTGGGTGTTGCCAGTAAGGTGCCGCAGATCTACACCATTTGGCGTGAGGGTGGTACCGGACAGTTGAGCGCATTTGCGGTAAGTACCCGAGAAAGAGACAGGTTCCTGTAGATGGTTTTGAAATATGAAGTGACTGATCTTGATATGTTTGTATCTAGGTCTTCAACTACCTCCTCGGTTCGCTCTCGCGCATCTTCACCACTCTCCAGGAAGTCGACGACAAGCTTATCCTCTACGGCTTCGTTGCCGGTTTCACTCTGAACCTGATCCTTGCAGGGCAGATGCTGTACTACTGGAAGAGCCCTGCTAAGCCCAAGGGAGCGGCGAAGAAGTCCGAGAAGACCGCAGAGAAGGTCCCTGTGGCGCAGAGCAGTGGTGTCTCCCCGAAGACGTCTGGCAAGACCCCTACCACTCGTCGGAGGGGCTAGATGTTCGTTTGGGGAGTTTCATTATTTTATCATTTATTTAATCTCAACTATTTTGCTTAGCAAGGGACTGTAAAGGCCCATAATGCTAATCCCTCGAGTTGTCCACTTCTCACTTTATGCCGCATCGTGTGGTCCTTCCCGTAGCTGCTCCTCTAGAGACATGACCAGACGGGTTTCTGGCGGGACGGTAAGACAGAGTAATCATCGCGTGGCCTGTCTCCCTGTATATGGTGTATATCAGGACAAATATCCGTCTAGCATTGCTCGTAATCATCTGCATCATGTAGAAAATGCTGCTTCCCCGACGAGCGAACAAGAGAATGCCTCGGTTTCCTATCCCTTGTGCTGGAACAATTCTCGCAAACAAGTCTTCAGATGCGAGCGAAGGAAGTTTGTTCAATAACACAAAAAGGCCTCAGAACCGCTACCGCACCAGTGTAACCAGTGAGAAGGGAGTCCGGGACCGGTGGACTGAGCCGCTTTTGCCATAGATGCAAAATATGAAGTGCATTTTCGTCCCTCTATATGAAGGACCTCCCCGCTGGTCTCCTTCATATAAAGACCGTCGTGGGTAAGGGCATCACTTCCTCAAGTTCAATCAGGGACTTGAATGGCAGTAAGCGAATGAACCTCGGGAGTTCAATGCGACAGAAAGCCACACAAAGTGCACATGCCCCCTTGTAGGAAATTCTTCCTTCATGTCTGCTGCCGTGACTTCGGAACCGCTCCTGTCATAATATATCGAAAGACCTCATCAATCGGCAACGTATTTGGCTCTGCCTTGAACTGCACATGGTTGCGCTCAGCAGCAACATCGAACTCCACACCCGCTCCCCCAGGCCTTTTATGAACTCCCACGATCTCCATCTCATCACCATCAGCTTCTTCCTCCCCTTCTTCCCCGGACTCCTCTTCTTCCTCCAATCGTCGTCGTAGACCAGTCACGACATTCTGAATACCCATCTCCTTCTCCTCTAAAGTGTAATTCCCACCCCATTCGCGTCTTCTCGCTTCTTGATTCGCCTCGATAGGCGCCCATTCCCACAGCTCCGCTAGCTCTTCCTCGCTCAACCCATCTTTGTCCTGGAGGGCTGAAGCACCAGCACTGCGTCCGCGAGAGACCCAGTCTTCGACGCGCGGGTCGAGTTTTGTGCGCAGTAATTGCTCGAGTGTACCTGACTGCGTGCGACCAGGGTAGTTAGGAGCAGGGTATGCGACGAGAGAGGAAAGGAGATCGTTGTGTTCGGACAGCTGCTCGGAGACGCTGACGAGGTTGTTCGAGATGATGCTAGCTTGGGACTGGAGTGATGCCCTGTTTCAGATCGATTAGATATTTTATACAATATAATGCGCAGATAACAGGCGTTTTTTTTCTTTCTTTTTTTATATGTGATTTTCATTTATTTGTGTTTTATTTAGGGCCTGAAGGGACGAGGAAAAAGGAACATACCATGACGGAAGAGGATCACTCTGGTTGAGACTCCCCACGAGCGATCCCAAAGAATGGGTCAGGTGTACGAGACGCTGGCGCGTCTGCTCTAGGACCTTTATCTGATCTGGGGTTAATGTCGCCATCCTCAATCGAGAGGTCTGGGAAAGTTTGTGGTTTGAGGGAGGTAAATTGCTGAGGAGGAGTGCAATGGTCCAGCGCAGACGTGGTTGGTATATCTGCTCGAGGCTTGGCTTTCCGACTCCGAAGCTCCCAGGCCCGCTCGGGCGCTTCTTCCCCACAGCTGCGAGTAAGGCATGTAGGATGCAGAGAGGGACCCGACGTGATCATGGTCCCTTACAGAATAGGTAAGTGTCTAAGGTAATGAGCTTCTTTTTATATTCTGAAAAGCCTCTAGACTAACGTTCCACATATCTCAAGCTCATATATAGATTCTTGACGCGTTAGAATCCAGGACAGGAAATATATAGAGTTGCTATGTGCTCCGTATGTCATGCACTATATACTTAGGCATATGATTCTAGACCCACGACAGTTCCACTAGCTGCACAATCGAAGAAGACTATTTTTTCTTCAGCACAGGAACATCCTCGTATCCATCTTCTAGAAAAGCTTTCAAAGCTTCTAGTCCCTGTTCCAACACCTGCGTTTCTGGCACGAAGCCAATCCGGACGTAGCCCTTGAAATCTTCTCCCTGGCCAAAACATGCGCTACCGGGCACGAACATGACTCCGGTACGCTCCAGCAGCATCTCGCAGAATGCGACATCATCCACTGGCTTTCCCATTTTATTGAAGCGGACAAAGGCGGTTGTGCCTGCCACAGGCTTAACCCAGTCGCACGCCCAGCGGTGAGATTCGACAAAGGCTTCTAGTAGGGCCAAGTTCTTTTTTGCTAGGCCAATGTTCCGCTGCAGGAGATTGCTCACGCAGTCTGGAGCCAGGGCGAAACGCGCAACTGCATCATCTATCTGGCTGACCGAGATGGTAGTATAGTCTCTTGTAGAAGCACAGGCTTCGATAATAGTCTTGCTGCGTGATGCGATCCATCCCACACGGATCCCCGCCAACGCATACGCTTTGGACAGAGAGCCGGTAGCCACAGTATTCTCGTACCCCAGGGACAGTATCGAGGGCGGGAATTCTTTATCGGCAGGGCTGATGGAATGAAAAAGAGGTCGGTAGACTTCATCAGAGAGTATGGTGATAGATTTAGACCCAGCGATCTCAACGATCTCCTCGAGAGTCGAACGGGGAATAACGGCGCCGGTTGGGTTTTGGGGGTTACTGAACACACATGGATCGTTAGAAGGTATTCGCCTGAGCGGGAGGTGAATTCAAGACTCACTTGAGGATGATCAATTTCGTGTTCGGTTTGATGAGCGCTTCCAGCTCCTTCACGTCTAATTTCCATCCGTCTGCTTCTTTCGATTTCCACAAACTCACCTCCGCTCCCAGAGACTCTGGCACGGCGTAGAGCTGTTGGTAGGTAGGATAATGACAGATGACATGGTCGCCTGGTCCGACCAGCGTATACAGAAGCAAAAAGTTTGCTTGAATTGCTCCTGCAGTGATGAGGATATGGTCTCGAGGTAGAGGAGATGGTGTTTTGACCGAGTAAAGGTTAGCCAGATTCTGGCGCAACTCGTCTGAACCACGGATCGGACCGTAGGTGAGTTTCTTTGTAGACAGCGCCAATGGATTGGTAGATTTATCGTCTGATATCTCCCTCAGGTCGTCTATCGAGATTGATGCGCTGCATGTCTCCGCGATGTTGTACTTCGCTGTCGTCTCGTACTTGTCCATCCACTATTGCAGCGGGGTCAGTGAGTGCGGGGAACATTGAAGCTTGTATTGCTCCTACAATACAGAAGGACATACTTGCTCAACGGCAAATGCTTCGAGTTTAACCATGGTCGCTCTTGTTGACACGGCAGCCTCGCGGGAGAAGTTCTTGCAGTACAGGAAGACGAATAGGTGTCATCTTTGGTTGCTGGGCCGGAGGGGGCGCTTTTGAACGAATACCGGATGCCCTGACGCCCTTGTCGGGACATCGCGAGGAACGCATCACGTGCCCGGCCCGCTCCCGTTAACCCCGCAGGCTCCCAGGCTCTCAGGCTTTCAGGCCCTCAGGCCCTCAGGCTCGCAGGCAAGACCGGGCGTTACCAGGGCAGACAGTTGGCACATCCGGACTTGGAACCGTCACCGCATATACTAGGTAGTTGTACCAAGCTAACTAACCTACGTAACCTGCGACCTCGATTCCTCAAACATGTCTAGCAGTCATTCAGTCATCTCATAGTCTCCCCTTTTGTCTCTTTGGTCCAGCGTTCCCCGGTTGCAGGAATCTGTGTCGAAGACCAGTAACCACTAATTAACTAGCACAGCCACGCGGCGAGCACTAATCATCTGCCATCCTACCTGCCTATCAGGTAACCTACGATCAGGCCGTCTGCGGTGCTACACCATCCAACCCTCCATCCGGTGCTGTCTTCTAGCTCTTGCAACCTCGAGACCATCGCCGCCGCTGCGTATTCACTTGATATTCATCGCCAGCAGGCCTGGCCGGTGCTGAAGCTCCTGATCTCTTGGCTGTACCTGCCTTGGTAGCTCCATGGTGTCCCGAGCTTCGCATTGTCCGACGTCTTTACGGCAGTGAAGCGACTCTTCCGCCTACAACGCTCTCGAGTGCTTGAGACCATCGCCAGCGGCGCGCTGCTATCCTTCTGCCTCCATTGTTCCGAAATTGAGGCAAAATGCGGCATCTGACATCTCTCTCATGGATATTGGCTGTCCTCTCCGCATCAGGCACGGCTGCGGCATCGCGCAATTACTCCAATCCCAATCTGCTTCCTCCCCTCCTCTCAGTATATGATGATCGACCACCAGAGTGTCCGCCCTGTTTCAACTGCCAGCTCGACGCTTTCCAATGTACTCAGTACGCATCATGCAATCAGTACACCGGCAAGTGTTCATGTCCTCCCGGCTTTGGAGGCGATGATTGTTCGGAACCGACCTGTGGTTCCCTTGCGGACGGGCTAAACAGAGCGCCACGACACGACAGATACTGCAACTGTAAGGATGGTTGGGGCGGCATCAATTGCAATGTGTGCCAGACGGACGATGCATGCAATGCGCTGATGCCAGATGGCGAAGGGGCTGTGTGTTACAAGCAAGGTCTGGTCGTGAACGAGAACTACCAGATGTGCGATGTCACAAACAGGAAGATCCTGGACCAACTAAAGGAACGGAAACCCCAAGTAACCTTCTCGTGTGAAACAGAGGAGCATACCTGTAACTTCCAGTGTACGTGTGGAGTTTGCATCCTTTAGTATACCTTATTATACATAGCTAACATTATCTCGCAGTTTGGGTCGACCAGAGGGAGTCATTCTATTGCGCTCTAGACACCTGCGACTTCAGTATCGAAGCTGACTATTACCGCAATGAAACCCACTACAAGTGCGAGAACATCCAGTGCAAGTGTATCCCCGGACGTATGCTGTGTGGCGAAGAGGGATCGATCGACATTGGCGAATTTTTGGAAGAGAGCATCCGAGGCCCGGCATCTTTCTCTACACTCTCCACTGTTGATGGTAGTGACAAGGACGGAAGTAAATTCCAGGAACCGGCGATGAATGATCTCATCAAGAGCGTCTTTGGAGACGAGTCCATTACGCTGAATTGCCAGTCCGGCGAATGTCTCTACAAGACTGATGTTCCTGGATACGAGCGTCCGGTTAAGAAGATTAACACACCCCTCATTGCCGGTGTCATCGCTGGATGTGCTCTTTTCGTCGTGGCTGTCATCCTCGGAGTATGGTATCTGTCCCGACGCGCGGCGTACCAGAAATACGGTGCTATTCGACTTTCAGAGGAGTCGGATGATGAAGATGCTAGACTTCTCGCCGATCATAAACCCGCGGCCCTTCACTTTGAGAACGTGTCCTACTTTCTAAATGGAAAGGAGATCCTCTCCGAGATTCAGGGTGCAGCTCAACCGGGACAGATTACAGCCATCATGGGCGCATCCGGAGCCGGAAAGACAACGTTCCTCGACATCTTAGCCAGAAAGAATAAGCGGGGTGTTGTCCGTGGTGACTTTTATGTCAACGGAGAGAAAATAAGCGACAATGACTTCAAGAATCTCATCGGTTTTGTGGACCAGGAAGACACGATGCTTCCGACTCTGACCGTGCATGAGACTATCTTGACCAGCGCCCTCCTACGGCTACCCAAGGACATGAGCAGATACACTAAAGAACAGAAAGTGATCGAAGTTGAGAAACAGCTTGGGATCTACCACATTAGGGATCAGCTGATTGGGTCTGAGGAGGGCAAAGGCCGCGGCGTTTCCGGGGGCGAGAAGCGCAGAGTTGGCATCGCCTGTGAACTTGTTACGAGCCCCAGTATTCTTTTCCTGGACGAGCCTACTAGTGGACTTGTAAGTTCGCTCTCACGTTTTTTTTTGACTACCGCAAGCACATGCTAATCGCGACACAGGACGCATACAACGCTTTTAATGTGGTGGAGTCTCTGGTGACATTGGCGAAGACTTATAATCGTACCGTGATATTTACTATTCACCAGCCACGCTCCAACATTGTAGCTCTATTTGATCGCCTTATTCTGCTTGCCAAAGGGAAGACTGTCTATTCAGGCCCATTCTCTAGCTGCCAGCAATACTTCGATAATGTCGGATACTCCTGCCCTCCTGGATTCAACATTGCGGACTACCTTGTCGATCTCACGATGCACGCCAGTATTCCGAGATCGCCTATCGACGAAGAACCTCTCGGCTTGTTTACCCACTCGGACCACTTAAAAACTGCGTCAAGCAGCCTGCGGGCTGTCAAGTCTATTGCCAGTGCGTCAAACGCCAGCTTTGATGACACCCTGAGGAATCCGCAAGACTTAGGTCGGCCTAAGAATAAACGACGGCAATCATTGAAACAGAAGCAGGACAGGCAGCTTTACAGCAGGAAGAAGGATACGGAAGCTCCCCCCACTCCGAAGACCGATGAGGAGGATGCAACCCTGGATTCTGGGCCAGAGAACACCCAACAATGGCTTCGTCTTTCTCGTCAGAACCGGCCTCAGCAGTCAGAAGATCCGGACCAGCTTCTACCAGCTGCTCCAGGTTCTAGTACAGATCTCGACATCCTTGTTGCAAGCTATGCCAACTCTGATGTTGCTCGTTCCGTCCATGATGAGATCGCAACTGCTGTTCAAGGTGCGACTACGGCTAATGGATCGGCGGATCTGCATCGGACGCCTTCGCACCAGATGAGAGGTTATAAGAGGATTGGTCTCCTGCAGCAATTTGTGATCCTCTCTCAGCGCACGTGGCGCAATCTATACCGGAATCCCATGCTCATGTTGACGCACTATGCGATTTCTATTCTTCTTGCAGTACTGTGCGGATACCTCTTCTACGGCCTGACGGATGATATCAAGGGTTTCCAGAACCGCTTGGGCCTGTTCTTCTTTATCCTGGCCCTCTTTGGATTCAGTACTCTGACCAGTCTCACTGTGTTCTCCTCCGAGCGTCTGTTGTTTGTGCGTGAGCGCGCCAATGGCTACTATCACCCGGTGACCTACTTCGCCGCCAAGGTCCTTTTCGATATAGTGCCTCTGAGACTCATCCCGCCTATCATCATGGGTATCATCGTATATCCAATGACCGGGCTGATTCCCGCATGGCCTGAGTTCCTGAAATTCATCCTGATTCTTGTCCTTTTCAATCTGGCAGCAGCCGGCATCTGTCTTTTCATCGGTATAGTCTTCCGGGATGGAGGCGTTGCCAATCTGATAGGGAGCTTGGTCATGCTTTTCAGCTTGTTGTTTGCTGGCCTGCTTCTGAACCATGACGCCATCCCCAAGGCCGCTCTCTGGTTGCAAACGGTAAGTTTTCTGCAACCCGGGACTACGATTCCGATTTTGATAATGTTTGGATGCTGATATGTGTAGCTGTCTATTTTCCACTATGGATTCGAAGCTCTTATAGTCAACGAAGTGACATACCTGACATTGATCGATCATAAGTACGGTCTCGATATCGAAGTTCCCGGTGCATCGATTCTGAGTGCCTTTGGTTTTGACACTTTGGCTCTCTGGAATGATGTGATTGGGCTGGCTATCATTTCGGGCGCCTTTATCGTAATCGCGTATACAGCGATGCACGTTCTTCTTGTAGAAAGGAGGTGATCAGCGCGGCTTACGAGTCACTATGATATTTCGACGTGCTCTGAAATTTGGAACAGAGTACCAACTTTCCACTCTGTTATCTGGCGTTTGTGGTCGATGATTATGAGGACCCGTCGACGCGCTGTGTTTATGAGCAAACTTGTCGTTACCGTCCCTCGTTTTCAACGTGGGAATAGCATCATGTCTATATATGTGAAGTACTCCCTTTATTTGTGACCTTAGGACTTGATTGAAAGTGTATCAGCTACGACCACGATGGCTTGCATTTCAATGTAGACTTCAAGCAGGATGGTTTTCGGATGGCTCAGTAGTGATGACAGGTATACTGTAGAACGCAAGAGAAGTAGTTCGACGTTAAATGACCAAAGACGGAAGCGGAGGATAGCTTGCCCGACTCATATGTAATAATAATAATAAAGCCAGTTGAGGAGACTATGGCTTTCGACAAGACGAGTAGTTAACTAACCAAGAAACATATGTAATCCTTATCTCTGTAGGTTCTCGACTGCCATCTCCGCTTCCGGAGTGAGCCTCCGCGGTTGTCCCCCACTAGCAGAAAGCTAAGACGCCCGGGCCAGCACAGACCTGAAGTTCACCGTCGCTGTCAACTTGGACAAGCATCACGTCCACAACTGTCCAGCTCACCTCGATCCAGTCCACGCCCTCCTACCTCGCCTTAATCTCTCCATCTCCAGTCGGCACCCGGCTGCTATACTCTGTTTCTTAATCACAGTATCGCCTTGTCCTCTAGTCCGTACGTTCTGCTGCTCAATAGCCGCTGTCGCCAGTCTCGTGAAAACCAGTTGAGCGCACGTCACACCTCCGTTTGTTCTTGAGCAACGGTCTCGCAGCGTGGTCGCACTTCCCGAGTGCATACAATTAATTACATACATACGGTTTCTTGCATCTGACTCTCCAACTTCGAGAAAAAGAGGTCTCTCCACAATCATGTCGGGAGAAGCGTGGCTTTACCTTCTGGCGGTGCTCATCAACGCCGTCAACCTATTTCTGCAGGTTTTCTTCACCATCATGTACAGCGATTTGGAATGGTTAGTACGCGATTGCGGTGCTTCTGGGGGTCATTGATGACACGCGCCCATCGCGATTTGCCATGGTGTGCGCTCGTGGAAATGAACCTCCATTATCACCATGCCCAAATCCGTGAAAATGGAACTTACGAGCTGACTCGACTGATATAGCGACTACATCAACCCCATTGACCTCTGCAACCGCCTGAACGCTTACATCGTCCCCGAGGCCGCGGTTCACGCTTTCCTGACACTACTCTTCGTTATCAACGGTTACTGGCTGGCTATCATTCTGAACCTGCCACTGTTGGCTTTCAACGCAAAGAAGTATGGTTTCGCTGTCGGAAACTGCATATGGGTTTATCTATCGGAGATGGTCAAGCTAACCGATGCCTTCTACACAGGATCTACGACAACCAGCATCTGTTGGATGCGACGGAGATCTTCCGAAAGCTGAATGTGCACAAGAAGGTAAGCTAGTACTAATAGGTGGCGGATTCTCTTGGGTTCTCTGATACTAACACTCGCTCCAGGAATCCTTCATCAAGCTGGGCTTCCACCTCTTGATGTTCTTCTTCTACCTATACAGCATGATCGTCGCTCTGATCCGGGACGAGTCGGAGTAAATGCCTCATTGAACAACGGATGAGATGCATACTGGTTGTACTGGCTGAGATTCTCTGTCTCCCGGTTCTTCGATCGAGTGAAAGGCAGAAGGTGGTTTCAACATGGACTCTGGGGTTTTACACAGCCCAGAGGCTAGGGTGTTAGCTGGACTCTCCCGCTGATACCGGTGATATTAGCACACTGGAGACAGTGAGAGAATCGCGTGTGGAGGGGGAGATGGTATGATCAACATACAGGGGGTGTGTACGAGTGAAGGATGAAATCCGAGGAAGGACAGGGTTTGCGGACATTGCTTGGTGTTTGACTGTGTCTCACTGGCGCTGGGACTAATGATATATGTCAGTGCAAGATGGATCTGGAAGACTGCAGCCATGCGTTCACGAATGTAAAGTTCTGTTTACTTATTATTTGTATATACCACCCAATCGGTTTGGTAACGAAGTTCTCTACGATACCCTCTTGCTCCGCTGTACTTCAAATTGCAATGTTGTATTTGTAGCTATAAAGCTATGTATTGAGCCTTACAGAAATGGTCATCCTGCTCTTCTCCCACGTGGCGATCGACTCTTCTGAGCTCTCTCACCATCTTGGATTGGATTAACGTCATGGCGGTGGAGCGCGTGCTATTTGCGCTTGGGCGACTTGGTGGCAACCGTAAATTACATTCTGGGATCTGCTTTGCTTGGCGGCGAAGCTTTCGATCGGAGATCAACAGCGCTCCCTCTCGTCCTCGTCGCACTTTGCAATAACGGCGAGCTGCGTCGCATATTCATTCGCAGATCATGGCTTCTTTACTGGGAGCCGATTATGACTCGTCCAGTGACGATGAAGTCAAGAAGTCCGTTCCGGCGGTAACAGCAGCGACCAAAGTTGTCGCGGCGCCAGATGTCAACGTAGAGGTTTGGTCCCCAGCTCCTAGAACGAGTCCCCTGCGAGATCATTTGGGAGCCGGCACGGTGTATATGTGATGATATCTAACAGACTCTGCAGGATCAAGCGCACATGCAGATGATGCTCGCTAATACGTCATCACAAGCCCTGACTTATAACGCGACATACGATGATCTATCTCGGCCGTCTCAGGGGCCTGCGAACCCTTTTCGACCAGCTGGGTCGGGTAACGGCCTCAAGCGCAAGAATGTACCGACTGGGCATGCCGAAGAAACTGCGATCAGTGAGGCGACTTTCCGTGAGCAGCACCGGACATTTCAGAGTTTGGGCTACACGCGCGACCCGACGAGGCCAGGCCAGTTTGTTGGAAGCCTTGAGAGTGCCGCGCAACATGGCGGGAAAGACGTGGTGCAGATGAAGCCCTCGAAAGAGGTCTCTGCAGCCTTGCGAGCTAAGAGGCAGAAGAGGGGTGATCCGAGCATCGTCGAAGGAGAGGGCGCCTATCTGGGTCCGTGGGCCAAGTACGTCGACGACGACCAGGTCTATGAAGAAGAAGCTGCAGAGGCTGGCCAGGAGCTAGCTAGTGACGAGGAATACGTCGAGGAATTACTTGCTCCGACAGATGCTGCTCCTATTCCCAAAGAAGCAACGGATTATCATGATGACTCGTCGCAGACGGAGACAACAGAGTTCCACGGTTCTGAACAGTTCGATTATCTGGGAAGGACGTATATGCATGTCCCGCAGGATCTGGATGTCGATCTGAAGAAAGAGCCCGGGAGTGTCAAAAACTACGTACCGAAGAAGCTTATCCATACCTACAAGTCTCATACAAAGGCTATCACATCCCTGCGCTTCTTCCCCAATTCGGGTCACCTATTGCTGTCTTCGGCTGCAGATGGAAAGGCGAAGCTATGGGATGTTTATCACTCACGGGAGCTGCTGCGAACATTCTCTGGTCATTCTAAGGCGATCACGGATACGAATTTCCACCCGACAGGCACAACGTTCCTTACCGCTTCGTACGATAGACAGATCAAGCTCTGGGATACGGAATACGGCAAGTGCTTGGGACGCTTCTCGACAGGAAAGACACCCCATGTTATCCGATTCAACCCCGATCCTGAACACTCGCACGAGTTTCTTGCCGGTATGTCGGATAAGAAGATTGTTCAATTCGATACACGATCGGGCGAGCTCGTCCAGGAATACGATCATCACCTTGCCGCCATCAACACGATCACATTCGTTGACCAGAATCGGCGCTTCATATCCACCTCTGATGACAAATCCTTGCGTGCTTGGGAGTACAATATCCCTGTCCCAATCAAGTTCATCGCCGAGCCTTATATGTACGCTCTAGTGCGTGCAGCACCACACCCCAACGGAAAATATGTCGCCTTCCAATCTGGAGATAACCAGATTGTCGTCTACGCATCGACCGACAAGTTCCGCCAGAACCGCAAGAAGAGTTTCCGCGGACATAACAATGCCGGATATGCGATCGATGTGTCGATCTCGCCAGATGGCCAGTTTGTCACCTCTGGAGATAGCGGTGGCTACGTGTGTTTCTGGGACTGGAAGACGGGCAAGATGTATCACAAGATCCAAGCCGGAGGAAAAGAAGGCCAGGCTGTCACCTGTGTTGACTGGCATCCACAGGAGACGAGTAAGGTCGCTACGGGTGGTCTGGAAGGAGTCATCAAATACTGGGATTGATTTTTATTTTGGGGGGTTCATAATAAGAACCAGAAATCCTGTTGTTTATTGCATCGTCACGAATCCGGGTGATGAACGTTTGCTTTTCTTCAATCTGTCACTGGCGTGTATGCCTGCATTCCCCTGTAAAGTTAGATAAATAGGCTGAAGGTGATATCACCAAGAATATCAGATACTGGTTGGGATATAATAGTGTCTTGATCTTGCTCAATCCAGTTTGTTGGATATTGCTAGTTTGTCCTGCGTGTTCGACATTATTAGAGACGATGTGTAGAGATCTCGATGATCATGTTGGAATTGCATGCCTTTCAAAGCCCCTTTGTTCAGTTGACTGTAGAACTGATAGGAGAGAATGTAGAGTCTGGTTCATGTAAGGAATCCAAAGTTGGCGAAACAGAATAAAACAGCAGAGACACTGTCCAATTACAATAAAGCCAATATTCCTTAATTAGTTTCTCTTCGACCCTTCTAACTATGAAAGCTTCTGCCATTTCTGACAAATCAGTTGGCTTTTGTTGAGCTGCATTTGCTATTATTTAACTAACTAGTTAAATATCTAGCATATTATTTTTAACCGCAGCGAACACCAGGTGGCCTGAGCTCCCCGTCGACCTTCCCCGGACGCCCATGAAACTTTCCGCCCAGTGAAACTCCGAGCCTCGAATCTAAGAATTATCAGATCTTCGAAACACAAAGCTTGAGCACCTTGCGCACCAGCTGGCTTGAACTTGGAATTTGAGAATCTTCTGAAAGAGTCGTTCCCGACCATGAGTCCAGCAACGGTCGTTCCTTCGCACTGCTAACAATCTACGCGCCATGTCTGAGTTGGCGGCGTCTGGACCTGTGTCGCTGTCGCGATACCGGCCGGTCCTTTACCTGCTCACCGGCGTCACAGCTGCCTATGCTCTCTTCTACATCCATAGCAACTTCATCGCTTCGAATAGCTCGCATACGTCCCTGCGCCGTCGGAATGCTGTCCGGCGCCACCGACGCCATGACTTTGACGAGGAGATCGTGGACACTCCCTCGTTCCGAGCCATCAGCCATCTCGAGCAGCTCGAGCGACAAAACGGAGTATACGGCACGTTCAGGATAGAGACAGAAGATGGAAGGCGCGTGGAGAGCGGGCTGTTGCCGTCGCTTCTGGCGACCCGCGACCAGTTGATGGAGGAAGTGGGAGTGCCGCCAGCTCATGCGGAACGGATGAGGGAGATGATGGAGGAGACGTTCTTGGAATCCTTCTTTGCTTTGGATTTTCCACCGTCTCATACAATCCCTCAGGGGAGTACGGAGAGGCATTACTTGATGGACGAGCTGCAGCGTCGGGGAATTTCGCGGATGGGGATCACGAGAGCTCTGGAACGATATAATGCGGATAGCAACTTCGGGGATGACTTGCGACGTCGTCGACAGAATGGAGAGAGAGTGACGCTTGCTACGTCGTCTGGAGCTGAGCTTACAGCACCGATGCGCAACCTTGATGGCGGGGAGACGACCATGGACGACCAGAGTGTCTTCTCCTGGAGGGATGGGAATGACGATTCTTCTCCTACGAGCGAGGGACAAAATCTTCTCAACCTGCTATACCACATCGCAGAGGATCAGGCTAGGAGGGATGGCTATATTCATAGAGGGGTGACATGCAACAGCTGTGGTGCGATGCCGATTCAAGGTATCAGGTACCGATGCGCCAACTGTATCGATTACGATCTCTGCGAAACCTGCGAGGCTATGCAGGTGCACATCAAAACACATCTCTTCTACAAGGTCCGCATCCCTGCGCCTTTCTTGGGCAACCCGCGCCAGTCTCAGCCGGTGTGGTACCCAGGAAAGCCGATGATGCTGCCTCGCAGTCTCCCACGGCCGCTGGCAAAACGATTGATCAAGGAGACGAACTTCGAGAATACTGAGCTCGACGCATTGTGGGATCAGTTCCGCTGCCTGGCCAATGTAGAGTGGTTGGAGGATCCGAATAAATTGTGCATGGCTATTGACCGGAAGACATTTGACCGTTGTTTCGTTCCTAACACGTCTATCCGCCCGCCTCCTCCAAGTCTCATCTACGACCGCATGTTCGCTTTCTACGATACCAACGGTGATAATCTTATTGGTTTCGAAGAGTTCTTGAAGGGCCTGGCAAGCTTCAATAACAAGAGTCAGGATGAAAGGATGAAGCGTATATTTAACGGCTACGATATTGACCGAGATGGCTACGTTGAGCGCAAGGATTTCCTTCGGATGTTCAGAGCGTACTATGCTCTCAGTCGCGAGCTGACTAGAGACATGGTCGCTGGTATGGAAGATGATTTCTTGGAGGGCGGTGCACGAGACGTCGTCCTCGGGAGCCAACCCATCAGTTCTGCATTCCCGGGTAGTATTCCATCGGGTGAAGCGTCAAGAACGGGAGAAGGAAAACGAACAAACCTAGAAGGGGATATGGAAATCATTGACGATCAAGGCGTCTTGCGTCAGGACGGCACTGACACTGGCGATCGAAATGGCATTATCGGGGACGCCGCTGTCCGTGAACAGTTTGGTCGCGTTCGTCCGGTATTCCCATCGATGGTGCGTCTTTCGAGCTCAGCGGCTCCTCATCAGTCGCCGCCAACTGTGGCTTCTGCGACAGAAACAGAAGACGAAGGTGACGAAGACGATGATGAGGAGGGAAGCTCGGATGAAGATGGATCGAGTTCTTCCGTCAACAGTGACCAGTGGCCCCCAGCAGAGCATATTCTAGAGGAAGATATTGTGAGTGCACTGGGTGCATTCGTCCCTATCCAAGAAGTCACGGATCAGGTGGACAGAGCTCGTATCGGAAACGCAGTCTATCAAAGAATGCATGATGAAGACCAGAGGCGTGTTGATGAGGCGCGCACCCATGGTATTCATGAGCGCTGGCGGCGAAGAGCGTTCTATACTGATGAGGAGGACGGTGCCACACCACCGGAAGGCTATCAGGAGTCCGACTTTGACAGTCTCAGCGACGACGACGATGTCGAAGAGTCTCAACCGGAGTTATCTTCACGTCTACCGTTTACTCGCTCGAGATCATCATCCAAGGTACGCTTCCAAGATGATCTTGTCGATGATTATGACATCAGGTCAAACCCCTCGACATCGTCGCGCAGCGTTCCTGTTGGTGAGCGCTGGGGTGGCTTCGAGATCCCAGAAGTAGAGAAAGATGCAGGCAAGGAGATATTGTATCAGGTTACGCAGCAAGGTCTCAACGAGCTTCTGGATTATCTCTTCAAGGCGAAAGAGGATCTTCTTATGGAAGCACGTCGCACGCGAGCGGAACGAAAGAGATGGGCACGGGAAATTGAACTGATTGAGCACATGGATCCGAAGAAACAATTCAACCGAAAGCAAGATCAAGCTGCCGACGAGAATAATGAAGGAGAAGCTCATGATGAGAGGTCGCTCCAACAACGTATTGCCGAAAAGCCCTTGGATGAATTATTGCAAGTAGCGGGGTATTCGGTAACGCCATCGTCGCCAGAACTCGAAGGCCCTCAGCCTGTTCTGGCCCCTCCGTCGTCTGAACCTGTTGGGGGTGATGATGATGATGTGCGGCCAGTGCATCTTCGTGCGCCTTCAGACGAGGAGTTGCCTGAGCCTGCAATCCCTCAACCGTCTCAGCCGGATCCTACTCTGCCCCAAAATCGCCCTGACGGAAGAGATATTGAACAATCCCCCCCTCCACCAGTTACTCCGGACGCCTCCATTGGTGGCGACTATTTCCAGCTGGACGATTCTCCACGCGATCCAACACTCCCTCAGTACCGCCCGAACGAGGAGGATGAGCAGCAGCGCCGTCCACATCTCTGCTTCCGTGAGGAGCTGTCTTACGCCTCAGCACCCAGTACAGCTCGAACTTTAGATACTCCCTCCTCATACTCTAGCTTGTCTTCTGCGCAGCCTCAGCAGCAGTTGCCATTGCGACTCCGGCTGCAGCCCAATGGCACACCTTCGTTGCCAGCACCACGATCTCCCGCCTCATCGTCGGCTGAAGCAGAGGCGACAGCTCCTAAGTCAAGTCCCTCTTTCAAGCAGCCTATCCACTCCTCACATACATCCCCGACTATACGGCCTCGACAGCCGCCGCTCCGCACCCCATCTCCGCAGACTCTCGCGAGGTGGGCCCTCTTGAACCAAGTCGAGCGAGAGGCGAAAGAACGAGGCGGTAGCGGTGCCAAACTTAATTTCGAGGAATTCAGCCGGAAGATGAACGCTGACCGTGGCCGAAGACTCGGGTTCGTCAGTAGCTGGATTGAGATGGCAAGCTTTTGATTCGAGTTTTATCTTTGTTTTCTTGTTTTCTTTTTTTCTTTTTTTCGACCTCCTTTTTTCGTTTCGTTGCTGCCCATACTCGATGTTCTGTGCCCTAGTGCATCTCTTTTGCTCATTACTTGCACGGTATTAACATCAACCATCCACTCATAGAAAACCTTGGGCAGCGTGCAGCAGGACTTTTCGTTTGCACTGAGGGGAAGAAAGCATTGACACTATCGATGGGCAATGGACTAATGAATTCTACGAAAGTGTAATTACTAGGTTAGACCCTAGCTGGCGGATGGGCATTACATTCACCGTGTAAAATAAGAACAGCATTTGCATTAGCCATGAGTACGCTGGATGCCTCTCCATTCTCGCGATTGGACCTTGAAAACAAAGTTAGGCAAGAAATTTCACAATTGTTCAAGTAATATCGGATATGAGCCGACAACGATCAGATTTAGAATATGACATAATTCCCAACTTCCTATAACCAAAACAGTTCTATCTATTACTGGGAGAGTATTGTACATGTATGTATGCATTTATACCTAAACGCCTCAAGGAAAAAGGAAAAAAAAAAAATAAAAAAGGAATCTCCATCTTACAATTCAATTTCCTCACCCTCCTCTGTCGTCGTGACGGGTTTGTACGCGACATCGTCTTTAGTCTTGGGACGGCGTTTTCGGAGCATGAACCAGAATATCGCACCGCATGCTAGTGCAATGAAGCAGAAGTAGAAGATGAAAGCGGTTATTTTAAAGGGGCTGGATCTGTTTTTGTGATTGTGAAATAGTTAGTATAGTCAGTTAGTGTGTGGGTACTTGATGCGTGCGTGCATGGGGTGATTTGGAGGGGGGGGGGATGAATAGATAGATTAAAATAAATTGAGATATTGACGTGGGAGAGCTGTCTTACTTTGTATTATGTTCTGTGGAAGATTCTTGCTCTGTCGGAGAGGTTTGTTCTTCTTCTGTGTGTTTCTCATCTGAGGGACCCCAGTTCGTATCATTTTTGCTGGTGAATGGGATCTGGACTGGAGAGCATGCCTTGAGGTGGTCAGATGGGATAGATGACATTGGTGTCCGCTCCTGGAGTGTAAGAGGGTCTTCCACCATAGTGGCGATAAGTCCTGCATGGGCGTGCCATTCCATGTGGCAGTGGAATATCCATACTCCTGATTAGTTATAGTTCCAAGGTTAGTTACAGATTGTCTGGCTGGGAGATGTACGTTGACAGAAGGTGGTGACGCACCAGGATTATTAGCTCGAAACCGGACGACGATGCTTCCTCCTGGATTCACGACGAGTGTATCACGTCGGATGGGGGCTTGAGGGAGATCATTCTCGGTTAAGCCTTTATCTTTGAATAGACCATCGCCGCGCTTTGATTGGAACACAGCTTGGAAGTGGTGGCCGTGCAAGTGGAATGGGTGTCGGCCCATGTGTTCGTTGTTAACGATTAGTTCGACGATGGAGTCCTTTTCAAGGACGAATGAATTGGTCGATGCGGCATAGGTGGTCTCATTTGCGGCATCTGTACCGCTCGTAAGGGCTGTATATAGAGTTGGCACCTCGGGAGGCGAGTAGCTAACGTCGTTGAGGAGCCAGCTGGAAAAGAAGAACGTTGTTAGTGAAGTAGAATGCGCAGTTAGAATGGGGGGCAGATACTCACTGCGTAATTCCATCCAGATCCCTGTCCATGTTCATAGTAAGGGTGATTGTACGATCTGGATGGGCCAACAACGGTTGTTCGTCATACGGCACGAGTGCCATATCGTCTATACTGTCATACCTGGACAGCTGCTGTGGTTCCGGGTATGATAGGCTCGAGTCATATACAAGCCACCCTGTCGTTGACATGCTGAAATGTCCATGGCCCATTCTCGAGTTCTGCATATACCTGTTAGCGAAAGTCGTTGGGTGGAATAGAGTTGTAAAGCGTACTGGATCCAAACTCGCGACGATGGGATAGTTCGCTGCCCGATCATCCTTGGTCTTCAGTAGGAAACTACATCTCTGGCCAGTAGCGAGGTAGATGGTTTCAGCGACAGTCGGCTTCGTGTAGACTCCATCCAGTTCCACAATGGTCATGTTGTGACCTTCCATCCAGAAATACTGGCCCATGAACGCTCCTATGTTAATCATCCGGACGAGATACGTCTTTCCTGGCTGTACCCCGATTTTAAGATTCTGGGTCTCGTTGATCAAGTTCGATTGAGGCAGAGGTTCCTGCAACATCATGTTCCCCTTGGCCATGTACGTTGGAAGGAGAGCGGACATTTGATCGTGATACCAGTCTGATAAAGGCAAGATCAGTTCTTCCTCATACTCACCCTTGAAAGGTGAGGCGTCATCGTATATGATCAACGGACCCCGCAATCCGTCAGGATATTGCGATTGAGTGTGAGAATGATACCAGTATGTACCTGGTTGATCCACCTGTTTACAGAAAATCTCGTTATTTCGGTCATCTCGTACAGCCTGCGACAGGCACACCATACCGTAAAGTTATACTGGAAGCTGGATCCTGGTGGAATACCGCACTGGGTGACCTGAGCTGGTCCATCCATATGAGAGGCATTCTTCATGAAAAGGCCGTGGAAATGAAGGGATGTCGATTGGTTCCCTAATCCATTCAAGACATTGACGATAATGCGATCCCCAACATTGGCCGTAATCGCGGGCAATGGCCACTGGCCATTGATGCCAATGGTTGGTCTTACGTGCGCACCATCTGGATTCGAAGACACCCAAGTGATATTGAAATCGTAAGTGACCGTAGCGCATATCGCGCTCGGAAGAAGCGCCAGCAGGGCGCACAGGAAGATCATCAGGGGCGGCGATGCCACGGTGTAAATAAATACCTGGAAAGCACCGCTAGGGCCATTGCAGGATCCTGGGAACATTTGACCCCAGGATAAATGGCCAGCAACGCAGTGATTTAATAGCAATGATACATTCTTCTTTTGTTCTTGCTGTCAGCCGTCAGTTTGTTTTTAGCTTTCCGGGCCCCCGATCCCTAGATTTGCCGCTAAAAAACTGTCCGAGATCAACTAAATGTCTCCGGGGCTCTGAGATGCGAAACAATTCAACCTTCTGCCATTCGTTCGCAACAAGGAAGCTTACGGTTACAGGCTGGCCGGTGCGTCCTAGCATTGGCAAATAATGGCTCAATAATCGTTTCATCACCCACCAACTTCAAGAACTCAGAGTGTCATCGTTCCTTGGAGCTGTTTGACGTGAACTGTCACCCCATACCGGATATGTAAAGCCGGGTCGTCCTTTACTGTAATAACTAGTGGACCATTGCAAACCGCTCATGGAACTAATATTAACAGCTATTCCGTTGAGTCGAATCAACATGTTCATCTCTTCCATCGCGAAATGAAATGGTCCTAGCCATTATCTGGCATTTGCCATTGATGAGCGCTAAACTTCTGAACGCATCGGCTGGGGACAATCTCAATGGCCCAAGATCAGCGACGTTACCTTGAATCAGCGATAGGTTTCTACGAAACTACTATCAGTTACGCCTCATCGATCAGAAAATAGCTGGCAGTGATGGAATTTCTCATATTCGAGGTAGATTATCCACTCGACCCCAGAACTGACGTTAGTCCATACTGACGAGAACAGCTGATTACCGATGACAGCCTAGGCTGTCATCGATAGAGGATATGTATAAACCATCTTGTGGACATGCCGGATGGTTTCGATAAGTTGGGATACGATGGCCGTTTGAAGACCGCCATGTTGCTGTACGTAACCCACTTGTGTCGCTATTCTTTCCATTCCTAAGCTCATAGAGTCAGTATCTGTCGACTCGAAATGGTTTCCATGTCCCACGACGGTTCATCCGCAACATCGTCAGTTGGGACAGATCCAGATTTAGGGTCATGTCTGTCGCAACAAGTCGATTTCACGATATTTACCTGCTAGCCTAGGTCGGCAGGTTTGTGGAAGCCGGGAGTCAACATCCATGATCCAGTGCCTTACCACATTCCATCGACTAGTCTGCCTAGCAACTCGGTATTCCCTTTTCATCAAGCGATGACGCCCTCGTAAGGAGATACTTAATCAGTGGAATTCCCTTTGTGTTGATCTAGCGTCAATCCAACTGGGAGATGCTGCAGAGTCATTTCACAGATCCGTGACAGTTATTTTGTTTCTGGCCATACGTCTTTTTGCCATGGGCGAAGACAATATCGAAGCACAGCAGCTACATATCATTGAACTGAATATGCTCTGCTAATCTACAGTCGACACATATTGCGGTCTGTAACCGGGAGCCTTGATATGGTCTCTAGTTGTGGCTGCACGACGGAGTTCTCCTGGTCCAGCGAGGTGGTTTTTGATACAGCTGCGTTGGCGTTTGACAGTGGCTCGGTGGTCTTGAATGCCTTCGATACGATTCTAACAGAGCTGACCACAGTAGATGTTTGACAAGACATCAAATATATATATATAAGGACCGGGGTTCGGTGTCATAAGATTCTGTTTCATATTGAGTGGTGATAATATCGGACAAGTACCTCGGCTTTTCGGCTTTTCAATCACCTAATAAAAGTTATTAACTATTGGCTATCTAAGTAAATTTGGGAATTGTACAGGGACTGGAATGACTTGGTCTTAGTCCGAGACAAGTGGTCTCAAGAATCACTTGTCTCAAGAATCACAGAAAAAATCATCTCTATACCCAATAGCGCGGTTCAGCGAATCGCCTCCGAGATAAAGCGTCCTGTTTGTTGTTTTACTCCGTACTACTCGTCCAATGAAACCCATGGTCTTAGCGCTACTGTAGATATTCGGTGCCAAGAGGTGGGCGATATCCTCGCTATACGATTAGGATGTTTCCGATTAGCACCGCTGATCCATACAGGATCATTGATCAAAGCTTCCATGATACACATATGGTGAACCCCGTTTCATGAGTAGGGCCGAGACAATGTTGTCGGAAGATGCCGTATGACCCCTTTGGTTCCTTAATCCCATCCTGTTTTTCTATTTTAGTTAAAACGGGCTTAACTAGCCGATTTAATCTAGGGGACTTGTTTAGCGCTGAGTGCTGTTCCTAGGAAGGTATACAGTTCACTGACACATAGGACGAAAGGTTCACTTTTCGGAGCTATTGCCTTTATGCGCGACATCTTGGGGCCTCAGGGTGACAAGTCATGCGGTAAAAGGCATCTTAGAGCCCGGATGAGGCTGGCACATTATCTGAAACGAGTAAAACACCTCGCACTACGGACGACGCCGGCGCACCTGCACATGAAAGCCAGAGACAAATCCAGTTCTGGTGCTCTCGTCTACACCGATGTAGTAAGCATAGTAAACTAAATAGACATGGCGCTTCGAGAAGTTGACCGGCTTGATACGATCGGTGCCACAGACCTGGGCCACTGACTGGTAAGATCAAAACGCCCAAGTATGATCTCGGAGTACTAACGTCTCCAAGCCAGCACGCTCACTTGGTCGAGCCCAAATCTCCGACGCAGGCTCTACTGCTCGCGCCCGCTTAGTTCCTATCACTCTCTGTTTTGCCAAGCCTTAGGGGAGTAATGGCGGAGCTGTAGGGCAAGTTATAAAGTCTGGCATAGTCGATTGATTCTTGATACAGGTCAATTCATTCATTTTTTTGTCACCCTTCTTCTCTCTTTCTCTTTCTCGTTTATTCATTCTTTACCTGGTGCTTGGCCACCTTTTTCAAGATGATTCCTTCTGTTTTCCTTATCTGCCTTCTCGGATCAGCTGGTCTCATCGAGGGGGCAGCCCTGAGTCCTTACTCGCAGAAATACAGTACCCCCCTCGAAAGACGCGCCGATTCAACCTGTCTGGCGAATAACGCAATTCAAACGGCCAGTAGTTCAACAGGACAGGAGCCTGGTTCAGATGGACTTCAGGCTGGACAGGCGAAATCTGCAACGTAAGTTCTTCGCTACCATATCATATACAATAGAGGAACAGCCATGGACATGGTAGTTGACAACTGAACGGATTTAGTGACGACGCAAATTTCATTAATTTCTGTTCAGGGCAGACTTTGACCAACGGTCAGCAAAAGAAGGGCGGATCCTGCAACGGCATCGTCATGGGAAAGATCCCTTCCAGCAACAATATGATCTCTGCCATGATCACGAATCCTCAACCGGGAGACAAGATCACCGCAGGGAACACATTCACCATCTCTGTACAAACCACGAATCTCAAAGCCGGTTCCTTCACCAATGCGCAGTCAACATACTATTCTGCTCCACAGGACCTGGATAGTAGTGGCAATATCATTGGTCATTGCCATGTCACCGTACAGGAAATCGGGAGCCTTACAAGCACCACACCACCGGATCCATCCACGTTCGCCTTCTTTAAGGGTATCAACGACGATGGAAATGGCAAGGGCCTGTTGTCCGCCACAGTCACAGGCGGTCTACCAGCTGGAGTCTACCGTGTCTGCACAATGATCTCTTCCTCCAATCATCAGCCCGTTCTCATGCCTGTCGCTCAACGTGGTGCTCAGGATGATTGTACCAAGTTCGAGGTTGTCTCTAGCAGCAGCAGCAGCGGCAGCAACGGCAGCAATACCAACAACAGTAACAACTCTAATACGAGCAACGGTAGCAGTAGCTCCAGCACGAATTCAAAAGTGACAGTCCAGTCCGGCTCTCTTGGTGGGGCTCCTCCTACGATACAGGATTCGGGGAATCCCTCCAGACCATTCTCTGTCAACGGGAACACCTTCGTGAACTCGGCTGCAGCCGTCCAACGGGCTTGTGATATCCAATTTAATCAGTGTGCAGACGCTGCCAACGCCGGAAAACTAGGAGGCAAAACCGTTAATGATTGCCAGATTCAGAAGAATGGCTGTAAAGCAGCATAGAGATCTAGCTCGACTTGTATATATTATCACTGACGGCACTTTTGGATATTCCGGGGTCTATGTTCGAATAACAGCTGCTGAGATTTATAGGGGGTGGGGGGGAAGAAAGAAGGAAACAGAAGTGTATCATTTTTTTTTTTTGCCATTATACACAGGAACAACCGAGTAAAATCTAAAAACTACCTAGACTGCCTTAAAATACATGCGTAATATTGGTTACAGTCCGGTTAAGTCCGAGTTCTTCGACCCAAGTCACAACTCAAGAGTGTAGCACCATGGCATAATCGTAGCCGTTGCTATATTGAACAAACGCTAATGTTTTCTTAGCTCTCTCCAAATGCGCCCGCAGGTCAGGTAAGATGGGGATAATTCCTACAGGCAGCGTCTTTGTACTCCATGGCCACGCTCTGGCCTAGTCCATTGTTAGATTGGAAGTCTAATCCAATGAGTGGTGTTCTTTTTCAATATAATATATATTTCGATAGGAAGGGTGTGTCTCACGTGTGAAAAACTACTAGTCGTGAGAGCGTGGCCGCACTACTTACAGACGTAAGTATTCGTCCAACACCGCTTCTCGGTGCAACTGTTGTCCCTTCTGACAATCGGGATGGGACCGTAGAAATCTAGCATCGACAGAGTCGAACCTAAAGATATGGGCAATGGACTACCAGCATTAAGCCATCGAACATGCGTGGTGTAATTTGCCTCTATTTCTTCAGCTCGGTTTCAGGCCGCCCATGGCTTTCGCTCTTTTCCTGTTAAGACTTTTGGCCCCCTACTTAAGTACTTAATTTTAGGCTGTGGTACATTACCTAGCCATCTACGAAGGGGTAAGGTATGCCAATTTGACCATAATCATATACATATTTCATATTTCCAAGACGCTCACTTGTCAGAGTCAAGATTCAGAATCTCGAGAATCCTTCAGACTCATTAGAATCCTCCTTTTTTTTCAATTATGAGTTCCTCTTCGACAGGCCTTGGCCTCAGAGCCGCTGGCATTCTCGACTCCAACACTCCCAATTACGGTCCCGCTTTCTTAGGCTTCCACTTCCTCTTTGCCTACGGCGTTCTCTCCTCACGGACCCTGAAACAATGGTACGGCATCGACCACAATGAGTCGCCACGCGAGGATCTGGTCAAATATGGCGAGGACGCGGTGCGCACCGGTAAAATCACACGCAGACAGCTGGATATGCTCAAGCGCAATGAAGCGGCGCATGCCAATTCGGTGGAGAACTTCACGTTGCTTGTTGCGAGCGTCCTCTTCGCTTCACACGCTGGCGTTCCGGCACATACAATTAATGCCGCTTGTCTGTCATACACTGTTGCGCGGATGATCTATGGCACGGTTTATATTCTTATTGACCATCCGACGTGGAGTCAAGTGCGCGGGATCACATGGTGGTGGGGGAATCTGAGTTGTCTGTTTCTGCTGTGGAAGGCCGGAAAGCGTTTGGCTTAGTTCATATATCGATATGGAGTATTCCTGCAGGGACAAGTCCACGGAAATCTTCTGATTCAGTGTAGGAAAGATCTGTGAAAGATGCTCCTCATGGTATAGGGTACACTGCTGCTCGGTCTGAGCGGCGCCGAAGAGTCCGAGATTGGCTCCAATGAAACTGATTACAACTCTAGAATATCTTATCAAGAGCTCTAAACGCGCAGTATCATGTGAATATCGACCAGGTTCATAAGTGGGATGGTTCTGCAATCAGTCAAAGGTGGGATGTAGAATCTCTCTTGTTTATCATCGGTCCCTCAGATAATGTTGATAAATTGAAATAGCAGTCTACTTATACTTACGCCGTTATCAAGCTGGAAACGTGAAAAGATCATCAGTCTGACCAGATTTTAGTCTACGAGATCGAAAGTATCTTCTTCTGTGCCCACCAAAATACAATTTGATAAGAGAATCCCTGAATTGACATGCAAAGTAAACATGGGTCTTGTTGAAGCCTTAAGTGATGCCATACTTACCCCTTCTGCGATTGGGGCACTGGCAGTGACCTTGTTCATGGTATGCTACAGTTTTGCATACACCCATGCTTCACTTTCAAATTATGTTCACAAGCTGACTGTTATGGTACTTATGGTAGCTGTATTATGTGGTCCCATTTACGATTGACCCGCTTGGCCTCAACAAATATCCTGGTCCTCTTCTGGCGCACTTCTCCCATCTCTGGTCATTGATACAGGCTCGGTATTCAACCTTCCAAATCCTTATTTTACCAGTCGACTAACTGGACTCGTAGAAGGCATCGGCTTTCCCAATCTGTCTATGATCTTCATTTGAAGCACGGAGACTTTGTGCGCCTCTCCCCTAATGAAGTTAGCATAGCACATCCAGATAGTATTAAGGTCTGATCTACCTCTCAGAGTACTAAAGTAAATCCCATCTCATGCTGACAGGTCCGAACCAGCATATTTTGGGCCACGGGAATGGTTTCATGAAGTCCAACTTCTACTACGCATTCGACAACATCGAGCAGGGGATCTTTACCACCAGGGATCGTGCCGCCCATAGTCGCAAGCGCAAGTATGTGGCTCATATGTTCAGTCCCAAAGCCATGGTTCAATTCGAACCATACATAACCTCTGCCCTAAGCACGTTTGGGCATCAGATGGAGAGTTTGATCGATTCCGGAAAGGCGGGTGCATATACTACCCTTACGATGTGTAATCCAGATATTCGGTCACGGGCACAGCCCGGGGAGGCCGGTTTAGACGCTGCAACGTGGGCTGCATTTTTGGCTTTTGATATTATTGGTGATTTGGTGGGTTCTTTTTGCTTTCGTCAATTTTGCCAACAGGGGTTATAACACGATTTATAGGCTTTTGGTGAACCGTTTGGATTCACGGCAGCTGGTAACGATTCGAATAGTGGAATTAGAAAGCTTCGTGATCGTGGAGAATGGTGTGCGACGGTTGGACAGATGCCTTGGATCAAGAGTAAGTGTTGCTGGATACACAGGAGACACGTTCAAGGAAACTAACTGTGTTAATGTTTCTGGCGAAAGCATGGACCCCTTACTTTTTCTTCGACAGATTCTTCACCACTGGTCTCCGAGCTGCTCGAGGGCTGGCTTCGATGGGAATTGCTTGCGTAGAAAAACGAAAGAAAGCCTCAGTGGACCCGAACAGGAAAGATATCTTATATTATCTCCTATCGGCCAAAGACCCAGATACCGGAGGCGACCTGCCCGACCGAGAAGTCAAGGCTGAGGCATTGACACAGCTTATTGCAGGCAGCGATACCACTGGAAATACAATCACTCATGTCATCGACATGTTACTGCGCCATCCTGACAAGTATAAGAAACTACAGGAAGAGCTTGATCAGGCATACCCTCATCCCCTTCCTTCAGGTCATGTTGCCATGTTCAACGACTGCAAGAATTTACCCTATACCGAGGCTGTCATTTACGAAACTCTTCGCTTGCGAACCACTGTCTCTGTAGGATTACCCAGGGTAGTACCGTCAGAGGGTGCAACAGTTTGCGGGAAGTTCTTCCGCGGCGGCACCGTTCTTTCAACGCCTACATACACCACCCATCGTGACATGCGCGTTTGGGGCCCCGATGCCTTGGAATTTCATCCTGAGCGCTGGCTTGGTCCCAACCGGGCAGAGCTGGAGAATAATTTCCTGGGCTTCAGTTATGGGCCACGAGCTTGTATTGGCCGAAACGTTGCGTTTATGGAACTCAAGAAAACCGTGGCGACAATTTTCAGACGTTTCGATTACCGTCATATCTACCCTGAGAAAGAAAGCTACATCCGTGAAGGATTTCATCTGAAATGTCAGAAGCTTCCTGTGTTTATTTCTCGGAGGAAAGAGTGAGATATGTCTTTACTAGCAAGGCCTCTTTCGATAACCTAGTTGTGGATGGGACCAGATTGTAGGTCAATGGGATATGTGCAGCAGTGTGCTACTCTCATGGAATATTCCTGATACCTTCTCACAAGTACTAACGAGTGGATCTCGTTAGATGTCCATATGTGGCTTATCCTGATAATCTATCATGGCGATCATTGCCCTATCCTAGAGCCTGCTTCTGTTCGTTTCGGGCCAGAGTGTAGTTATTAGTTCCAGGAAGCGGATCGTAACTAGAAAGCATATGCATTGTTTTTAGGATGACAGCTGACTTTTTCCAATCTGGTAAAAAGAAATATACAATTTGACTAAAACAAGATTCTTTTTGATTCATATAACAGAAATACTTTTCAACAGGGCCACTGGTACGGTACTCTGCAAAACTTCCGCTTACAGCGGAGACTTCTTGAAAACAACTGCCATATCGCTTTTTTCTTATATAAAAAGGGGATTCAAAGGACCCAAGAACAATTGTCTTGGAATGCAATATGACTCTATCCCACTCATCGTATCATTGCGGGTCGTATATATCATCAATCTTCAAACATCTAGCGGATCTTCCAAGAACTTTGTGTTTATCGATTGAGGGGCCTTTCTCGAATGAAGAAGGCACTGAAAAGTGCAAAGAAGACAATGCCGATCATGAAGGCGAAACCAATGTTGGTTGACGAGCCGTAGCAGCTCCTCACGATTTGACGAACACCTGGCTCGAGCGTCTTGATATAGTCGAGACTCTGTCGGACTCCTTCGACGATGCGATCAATATCCTTGCTGTTTCGCAAGGCATATCTAAGTCTCTCACGGAGTAGTTGCTGGATGACTGTAGAGGACAACGAGAGGCCGATGACTGAGCCCAGCGATCTGAAAAGATATGAGCATGCTGTCACGACAGCCTGATCGTCGGGTGTTGCATTTGAAACTACCGGTCTCCGTAAGTTATGGATTCCAAATCCTGTGGAAGGATACTTACTCAATCCGATCAGCGTCGTAGTAACGCCAATTCCATTTCCGAATCCTGACATAACCATGCCTACCGTCATGCCAGCCAGGCTTTCTGTGGCAGCCCCGGAAAAGAGGAAGATAAAAGTGAGACCACCAGTCAACAAAGCATACGCAATAACTGTGAGCCAGTAATACTTCCCTGTCCATCGCATCACGAAGCCACCGAAAAGGGATCCGGAAACGCCAGCGACAATAGAGGGTAAGAGGCGGATACCAGCACCGGTGGCGGAGACACCGTCCAGAGCCTGGAAGTACAGGGGAAGATAAAACAGCGCTGCTAACCAGCCTCCGAAGCTGAAGAAATTGCAGGCATAGCAAGCAAAGAGAGACCGGTCGAAGATGATATGACCGGGTGCAAACGGCTCAGCAGCGACATAGACCTCCACAATGACGAACAAAGCGAACAATGCTATCGAAATGCTCAGAGAGACAATGGTAATGGGCAGCTTCCATGATACATTACTGCCACGGTCTAGTCCAACGAGGAAGCCAAGCACGGCACCGACAAGGACAATGGCTCCCAAGAAGTCAATACGGCGTAGCTTTGTTTTCCAGTGGGTCTTGTCTCTGGCCGGTATTTTTAGCATAACTGACACGGCTATGAATGCTAGAAAGCAGAGAGGGACTTGTGCGAGGAAGGCCCTGGAGGAATCAGCAACTCGTGACATTTACGGAGCATCATTGTAATAACTAACCATCGCCAGCCGATGTAGTCCGCCAAGATACCACCTTAGCCACAGTTAGCACATGTTCTTGAGTAGGCCTTGCACTATAAACTAACCTAGAGGAGCTCCAGTGCCGGAACCGGTTGCATATATGATGTTAATAACACCCTGCCATACTCCACGGTCCCGAAGCGGGACAATGTCGCTCATCAGAATACTGACGACGGTTGTCATTCCACCGCCTCCAATTCCCTGGAAAACCTATAGAACAATCAGCGACCTGGAACCAAGCATTGATCTGTCATTTTACATACACGAGCTGCTATTAGTTCATTGATATTCCGTGCCAGTCCGCAGAAGAGACATCCCATTCCAAAGATAGCGTATGCGTAAAGCAGGCATGTCTTGCGACCAAAGATATCGCTCAATTTCCCGTATAGCGGTTGGAAAGAGGTCAGTGTCAAGAAATATGAAGTAGCAATCCAACTTGTAAGATTGAGTGCTTTGAGGTCGCTGCCAATCTTGCCATAACTGGCTACAATAATTGTCTGGTCTGCTGCAGACAGGAAGATCTATATATTAAAGTCAGATCCCAAAGCAGATGATACGCTAACTTGAATGTCATACCCCTATTGAAATGGCAGGGACTATATATTTCAGCAGCTGTCTAGCCTCAGGCACCGTTTCGACGGCTCTCTCCCTCTCGATAACCTCTTCACCTGTTTCAACCAATCCGGGGTCTGCAACTGCTCCCGTCGGTAAAGGATCGGCAGGAACATGGCTGTCTCTGTGCTTACCCAGCAACGGAGAAGTCTCCGTGGGCTGGTCTCTGAAAGTCATGACTGCTAAGATTCTAGAACCAGCATCCCAATTGCCGACAAAGATGGGCAGTGAAAGGAAGTAAGGATATCACGACATCGCGATTACCGGCGGACTCGGCCGATCTTGTATCCTTTACATCCGCTCTGGCACGTGATGATAAGGAACCCCGCGGCGGTTTGCCCGATCTTCCTAAAAGGGAAGTTCGGAAGGTCGGGCAACAAGCCGAGGAGAACTATGAGACTAGCAATAATTGATGACTTATTATTCGTTGGGGAGAAGTTCTGTTCAGATCAGACCTATCTGGGGTCTACCATAACCGACTTCTCGTGCTATGGTCAATTTCTTCATCCATCTAAGCTCCTCTTGAGTGAACTACAGTACATCCAGAGCACCTACGGAAAACATGGTGATCGAAACATTTGTAGACATAGAAAATGGCCGAGAAAGATAGAAGCATATGCGTGCGTCGTATGTGAGCTGTCGTATATAGTCATTGCTGCTACAGCCATCATGAGAAGCCAGAACCGTGTCTAAATCATGCTATATCCTGATCCTTGGAATGTGCAAGTTTGTCATGAATCCGTCTACCGTAATTTGCATTTTCCGCAATTCAGATGGTGTCATGCAGAAGTCGTCTCGGCAGCAGCACCATTCTGGGCCTCCTTCGCATCTGTTGAGGGCATAGGGACTGGGCCACCAGGCGAATCAGGTAACCTTGCGGTCAGCACCTCAACACCATCCTCAGTAACCAAAAGCGTGTGCTCAAACTGGGCCGACAGAGATCCATCCGCCGTAGTACTCGTCCAGTCATCAGGCCAAGTCTTGTCCCGGTGAGTGCCAATGTTGATCATTGGTTCGATCGTGAAGCACATTCCCGGCTTTGCAGTGCCAACTGCCTTGTTCTTTGCGTAGTGAGGAATGTTGGGTGCACAGTGGAAGAGCTGATTGATACCGTGGCCACAGTAGCTCTTCACCACACTGCAATTCCTGCTCTTCGCATGCTTCTCGATAAGATTACCAGGCTCTCTGAAGAGCATTCCTGGCTTGACTAGTTCTATTGATTTATCCAGACACTCTCTCGCGGTCTCCACCACTCGAACGGCGTCAGGATTTGCAAGAGCCTTCTCCCCCACATAGTATGTCTCGTTAATATCACCGTGGAATCCACCGTGGTAAAGAGTTACATCGATATTGATGATGTCGCCATCCTCGAGAGGTCGCTGGTCGGGAATACCGTGACAGATGGTCTCGTTGATAGAAGTGCAAACAGACTTAGGGAAGTGCACGTAGTTCAGCGGCGACGGGTATGACTGTGTGAATCAGTATCCCACTGCAAGAGAGAAAAAAAAAATAATGATCCATGAAAACACCTACATCTCTCTCTAGACAAGCCTTGTGGACGATTTCGTCGATGTAGTCCGTTGTCACCCCGGGTTTTACCGCTCGTGCAGCGATATCCAGTACTTCGCGTGCCAGGCGGCACACCTTCCTCATACCCTCCTGTTCCTTCTTGTTGAGAATGGTAATATTATGTCGACCGACGAACTTCTGTTCTGACCGGGGGATGCCATCGTAGGCATAGTCGGGATGGCGGATCGAGTCCGGAACGGTTCTGCGTGGGGAGAGAGGGTAGACAGGTCTCAACGAGCCTGTGAAAGGGAACGTGGGGAAAGGATTGTAGTGGCCGGTTGCTGGATCTGGTTCAGAAACTACCTTCGGAGGAAAAAGGTTGGTGAGGATATTACTCTTGGCCTTGTGGACAGTCTTATGGGAACTCTGAATTCGAGGATCAGTATGAGCCACAAGAATCTAATGCAAGAGTGCAACACGTGCACCTTACGGAAGTACAAGAAAGCCTACCCAGCTCCTCTTAAAACAGTCTTGAGAGCAGAAGAAGCTGTCAATGCCCTGCTTGAGACAAGTCGGACACTGCAAGGTCCCCGCACTATTCCCGCAGTCTACCCCAGCGCATTTCCGCGTTTCAACCTCGGCCGCCATGCTGTAAAAGAGTGCTGAGACAAGAAGAAAATAATAGGCTAAGCTGCAAAAGAGAAGCGCAGCCTAGTATACCAGTATCGTAACGCAGGCGAAAGGCAGAGCAAACAACACCGGGGAAAGAAAAAAGTCTCTGCCGGGCCGACTGCGGACTTTTGGTGGCGTGAGCTGGTTGGCGAACCACGTTCCTTCAGGCGCGTTAAGCGCCGCCCTTTACCGCTGGCCGCCTTCGCCGAGATAATCATGAGGTGACTCGAGTCCCTCTGCAGCACGCTTGCTGTTAAGGACGAGGTTCGTGTCAGACATGGCGGACGCCTCAAAAAAGCAGAAAGTCGTGATCGTGGGTGCGGGGCCGGTTGGCTCACTTGCTGCCCTCTACGCAGCATCAAGGGGCGATGATGTTGAGATATATGAGTTACGCGGAGGTATGTTGTGTTACAAACCATCCACCCTGCTGGGTATTTCATGGACTCGGACCTATCAGTACATCTCCTATCTGTTTTATTTGCTTTCTACGTGATTCAGGACCTTGCTGGATACCATAGGCAATTCACTTCTCTCTCTCAACGCCGTCTCCTCTTTCCACCAATTGTACACCTGCATGTTCTTTTCTTGGCCTTGGAACTGTGCGCCATCGTTTTCTACAACTTTCAGTCATTGATGTTCTGATTTCCTCGTGAGACGCGTCTCATTGCTTTGGGAGGTCAACTTATTCATTCCGCATTTTCCGTAGATCTCCGGGATCCGTCGACTATTCCGCTCAACTTCACCAAATCGATCAACCTTGCTCTCTCCGAGCGCGGTATCAATTCGATGAAGGAGTCAGGGCGACATGGCTTGATCGACAAGCTTCTCCAGGAGACCATACCTATGTATGGTCGAATGATCCATGGACGAAATGCTTCCGGAGAGCTATGGGGAGCCGCCCAAGCTTACGATGTTCACGGCAGAGTACGTCATCTTCCCAAGTAATCTGTCAAATCCCTTCTAGTGCTGACATTCAGACAGGCCATTAATGCGGTAGACCGTGGTTCTCTGAACAATGCTCTTCTAGACGAACTTGATCGAACGCCAAATGTCAAAATGTTCTTTAACCACAAACTTACTGGAGCCGACTTCCGCTCGAACAAGGCGTGGTTTGAACAGCGGCTACCTGACGGTGCCGATGACAAGTCGGATCGAGCACCTGAAGTTGAAGTCTCATTTGATATGTTAATTGGCGCTGATGGGGCTCATTCTGCAACGAGGTACCACATGATGAAATTTGCTCGTGTGGACTATCAGCAAGAGTATATTGACACGTTGTGGTGCGAGTTCCGAATTCCTCCAACAGAGGATGGAAACTTCCGTATTTCTCCGAATCATCTTCACATTTGGCCAGGGAAGGAGTTCATGTTCATTGCCCTGCCTTCTGCAGACAAGTCATTCACATGTACATTGTTTGCACCATCGTCTCACTACTCTAAGTTAGAGGATGGACCCGAGAAGGTTGTTGAGTTCTTTGACAAATACTTCCCTGGCGTGTGCCCAGATTTGATCACCCCAGATGCCCTTCAGGAACAATTCACATCCAACCCTCATCTCCCTCTCATCAGCATCAAATGCAAACCTCATCACTACGGCTCCAGCGTGGTGATACTTGGTGATGCTGCACATGCAGTGCTCCCTTTCTATGGCCAGGGCCTGAACGCTGGTATGGAAGACGTCCGGGTTCTGTTTGAGATTCTGGACAAACATGGCGTCTATAACTCACTGTATGACCCTGATGCTCAAAAGGCCTCAAGGGCTAGCGCCTTCCAGGCGTATACTGATCAGCGTGCGCCTGATACCCATGCTATTAATGATTTATCAAAGCGCAACTACCTCGAGATGCGCTGGGGTGTCAAGTTACCTCTTTACAAACTCCGTAAATATGTTGAGGAAACCTTGGACAGCTATTTCCCTCGTCTTGGCTGGAGAACGCAGTACTCTCGCGTTAGCTTCAGCAATGAGCGGTACTCTGAGGTCATCAGGGCTGCGGATAGGCAAGGGGAGATATTCACTGCATTCCTGGGCTCTGTGACCCTTTCGTTGCTGGGTTCTCTCGGGTTCATACTCTGCAGGTTTCGGACGCATATACTCCCTTCGGGGTTCGTTTTGTCCCCTCTACAAACCTTGACAGACATTTCATTCAAGGTATATCATGCCACTTTACGTGCGTATTCGTACTCATGATGGCCATTGGAAATCAGTCATTCGCCCAATCGTGCGAACCTGTAGTTGGATCTCAATGGTTGCAGGGAGATTGGATGATACTCTACCTCTACTATATATTATATCCTTTGTGCGTGGTGCTACACACAAAAAAGAGCATAATAGGAAGATGAATTTAGCGCACAGCTCTGATTTCCTCTAGCAATTCAAGTCTCCAAATCAACTATAACCTGCAATTTCTTATAATTAAACAGCGTTTCCCCTCATTATTCACTATCAGCACACTACAGCAAAATTCATCATGACGAGCGTCTAAAAGTATCCTGCTTCATCAAGTATAAAAGTCAAAGCCCTGCAACAAGAACATGGCCGGATGCAGTATTCGGTCCTCACGCATCGTTAACACCGATAACTTCCTAGCATTGAAACCTAGTCTGGTTATAACTTTTTGCTTCTTTTTTGCGGTAGGGCCCCATTCCCGCAAAAGAATGTCCGGCACCGTACACCCATAACCGCGGCGTACAGCGCTGCACTACCCAGGCTTGCTGAAAGAGGCAAGCTGAACCTTTCCCCTAGTAAATAGTCACTTGTTTACTTATGATATAAGAGTGAACACCGATGACTTAAGCGACTGCGGTGATGTTTCTGTTCATAGGATTGCAGGATTTCATGGGTTCAAATATTCCAGGCTGCGGAGAGATCTAGAGAATGCCACTGCGGGGCTGTGTATATTGACTGAATAGTCGATTTCATGATCTGATATGTTTTTGTATTAGCGATGGCGTAAGTCAGTCTGTAAAAGAGAGGATAAAAATGAAAGACAGTAAAATCGCGAGCAACGTATTCGATGCTAGCCCCATACGATGGCGACTCTTTCTTGCAATGTTCTCTACATCTCCGAAAGTAGTGTTAGTAGAACTATGAGGGGGCAGTTCCCCGAGTACTGAGCTAGATTAATCTGTCATCACCATTATGGTAACCGGGCATGCCAGAAGAGAGAGAGAGAGAGAGAGAGAGAGAAAGAAATATTCTGGTACCAAAGACAGACATTCAAATTTCCCTGGAGCTTACCATTTTTCCATCTTTCTTATCCAGTTAGTCATAGGTTCCGAATTGTAGCTCAACAGCTTCGATGCTCATAAAATCGGTGGACGGGAAAAAAAGCATGGAAGCGCAAACGTACGTCTGTGCTCTAGTAGAAACTTGACTCTACTACAAGAGTGATAAATACAAAAACAGGCCCCAGCACGGCATCTCAGGTCTTGTCTAAACAACCTTTCTAAGGTGACCTTGACAGGATGATCTTTATATAAACATCCCGGGACTGCAAAGTCAATGGCAGCGCAGGGAGACGCGACGTGGGTTTCCATTGAGACAATTGATCTGCTAGGACCGGCAGATCATAGCCATCGCTATTACTCCTGGCGTATACACGGAGCAGTGGGGACCAAATAAGATTTTAACCACGGCTTCAGCAAAAAGAAAATAAATAAACGGGACAAGGCAAGGGTTCGGTGAGAGAGCTTCAGAACACGGTCTAAAAGCGCGCCCCGGGATGAAATGTGCTTCAGCGGATGCGTGGGCGGTTGGCGGTCGTTAGTTAACAGACACCGGTTCCATTGGGTCAGCCAGATAACGGACTGTAATTGTGTGACCGTAGATGTTGTTGTGGTAAGTGCTTCCTTTATACAGCCTTTGGAAAGCCGTTGATCCAATCCGTTTCCGTTTGGGAATCAGGACACTACGGCGAAGGCCCAGCCTGGAGTATCTCCTATCGGGTATAAATTCCTTGGATATCCAGGGGTCGGAGACAAGAGTCCAAGGTCAGTGGGTAATAAGTTCCATGATGGTATCATCCGTTACCATGGGAAGAACATTCGGTGGCAGTAGTCCAAACATGAGCTCAGGAAGTCCCAAATTTAGCCCGATGAGCTCGTCTATCCTGGATAAGCATTTCCGTCTGGATATATAGGCGATCCAAGTATTCCATTGCGGTTGCATCTTTCAATATCTTTGCAACTTGAGTCCCGGCCGAGATCAGTTGCAAGACGTTTCTGTCGTCCTTGACCGGCCTAGATTGGTGCTTGGCAGCATGTCGCATCTCCAAGGAATTCTCCAGAACAGTAACTAACTGTTTTATCTGGCCATTGTATAATACACGGGCCGGGATGCGACGCTTAGTGGCCAATCTTTTCAAGAGATAAACCCACTCGGTCCATTCACGGTCTGCGGGCACCCTAACCTGTCTTTTGTCCGGCTCCACGGGAATGGGGAATTGATACTTCGCAATGAAATCGAAGGCACATTGAGACAAGCAATCATTAACTTGACAAAGGATTTGGTCTTGCTCCGAGATATCAAGGTTAGTAGGGAGATGAGGCAATTCTCTCTCCTGAGCGGCTATAGTTCGAGGCGAAGGCATATCCAGAAGCTGATGCGGGCCATCAAACTCATCGCGGTTCGATGGTCGCCTTTGGTTATAATATTTGACCTGAGGCCTCCCTTTACCAGAGGATCGTCGTTTAGATATCTCCACGGAGTAATCGGATCCTTCCAGCGATCTGGATGAGTCTTGATCACGCATGAGGGAGTCTGTAGATATGTGCCCGCGAGAGTCCCAATCTCCAAAGACTGAAACCGGACGCGGTGGCTGCCCAATGGGCCCAAAAGCGTCATGTGCGGATGCATGCGAATAGCGTCCATACTCCTCATTAGAAGTTGTCACTGCACTCTGGGAGTGACCATAGTCATAGGCCCCGGCTTGTCCTATGGGCCAAGCAAGTGCCTGCGGGTTCCTAGGCGTAGAGTCCCGGGGGTGTGGAAACGTCCTTTTCCCGCTAGCAAGGAGAAAGCAGGAAGATTTCAGTACAGTGCTTGAGGAACGGGTATGAAAGGTTATTATATACCTTTGTTGATAAATTATAGGCCCATTGGAGGAAGTGGTGTAAAGAGGTGCTGGCTGCGACATCATACTGGCCAGCAGTGTGAGTATAGGTCGAATTTCCAGCGCATCTATCCGAGTAAACTGACCTTCGACGAGGAGACATATCTGACTCGCTGCTTGCAGGGTAGAAGCCAGAATCGATGCTGGATGCCGTATCCGAGTAGGACCGGAAACCTCGAGGTAAGGCCATCAAAAGAGGTGAAACCACGGGAGGCATCGAGCAAATCAGTGAGTCTAGAAGAAACCCTCAAAAATAAGGACTAGATAGAACACGTATAGATCGAAATAATGCAATATATACGCCCTGGTGTCCTAGAACTGTGTAGTGTAGTGAAGGGATATTATATTCCCGTGGAGTGTGCTTAGGAGTCGTGGAGGCTTATAGTCGGGGGTGTGAATAGAGTCCTTGGTAACAACGCATCTATACCGAAAAGGCGCTACTAATGGGCAACTTAGTGGCAAAAGTGGACTCCCAGTGATAGCTCTCCACCTGGATCGTGTTCTGGACGATCCAGAAGAGTGGGAGCGATCCCAAGCTGTTCAAGCTGTTACCTTCACCGCCTGTTGACTAGATCGCCTGCCGGCCATGTTCACCGGGCAGCTTCGAGCAAATGCCAAACGCATGGATATAGAACAAACACAGTCCAATAAGGCGAATGTGCTAATATCAACGAGAGTCGATTTCCCACGATGAATGGCCAAGAGGAATATCTCCATCGGGTACCTCAATAATGCCATGGATAGAACCGGATCGCGAGGCGCCTAACCACTCAAACGGATCATTGAAGCATGTTGACACGGTTGCTAGCTGCCTTCTACCAGAGAAGCTTCAGCGAAGCACTAACCATGGTCCCTGGGAGCTTTGGGCAGCAATGAATAGCAACGAGGCGCCTGCGTCCACTCATAGCTTGCTGCTCCTTTGGACACTTGGTTCCTTGAGACATTTTACGGAGATTGGGGCGTGGCCGAAGAAAAGACGCTGGCGGAGAAAAGAAAAAGGCAGCCAGAGAAACGCACATATGTCGGACGCTTCAGAGCGATACCCGTAGTCATGATGTGGTTGCCGCTGATGATTCGCATGGCAACTGACTCGCATGCCGAGGACCACGAACGGTGCCCGTGCTTTCTGCTACGCACAATTTCACGGAGCTCCATGCGTAAAACTCGCCGTATGTAGACGCTGTTGGAAGACAATTTTTGACGTCCGATATACGATAGTTTTCCTAGGCACAATCCAACGAGAAATTAGAGAAACTATGCATGGCAATGGACCGTCCCACTTCGACACGCGAGAGACTGGAGAGTGCCATTATTGCGATGTGGACTGTGGAGAGCGTAGGATCTGCATCCCGTACGCCGGGATGCTTCGATAAAATTGGGCATAAATGCGCTGTTCGAGGCCCAACTAGCATTGTTGCGGAGGCCCGTGTTGCCCGAACCTAGGCAGACGGACGTCCCTTGGATTCGAGGGATGATACTTCACGAAGCAAATAATCTTTCATGCCATCTTCCGGCTTTCCTCGGATTCTCTATCATTTGTTTAGAGCGCTTCAAGGATGTCGATGTGAATTCCTCTCAGCCGGCGGCTAGTTAAGACAGGCTTGTGATGTCATAAGGAAACCAACAAGACGTCCAGGATTGACTATCTCGAGGAGCTTTACGCGCGTGGCATGGAAGTGAATCCCTGGACCAGCGGCTGCAGATGGCAGCGGTCAAACCTGAGGGATGAAGTTGCAGTTGCAGTGTTCATGGACGCTATGCAAGGCCCCGGACAATTAGCCAAACTGTCATTCTAGAGACAGCTTGGGAGAGTGGCAGGACGGGTGGACACAACAGCCTGGGTACGAAATCAAGATAGGGATGGTTTCCTCGTGGGTATTGCTGACATGGTGAGGCTGTTGATTCCTCGGTGGTGAAGGGATGAGGCTTAGCATTAACAATAACTAGATGACGATATTGGCGCAGTGGTCTCATTCATTCGTTGAGACGAGTTCCTGGAAGATAATTGTCCAATATAGGCGTTGATCTTTTACCTACAGCCTTCAATTGGCGTTTCGCCTCCCTCGCGTCGGGCGGTTAGACCGGTCAACCTCTCAAGCGACGAGCGTAATCCTGGGCTTCGATGAGCGGGACTTGACCCACGCATACAACCGTTGGCATCAGAGTACTCACCTCACAGCTGAGACGGATGGCATCCTCGATCCCAACACGGGCCTCGTAACCAAGAACTTTTCTTGCTTTTTCTCCGTTGGCATATCGGGTGGAGCAAGCATCTCTAACGCTACCCCTGCTGAGCGTTGTTGTTGCCCCAGACATCCACGTAAAACACTCTGAAAAGAGCCCTGCAGCCCAAGCTAGGCTTGCTGGAATATGAACCTGAAATTGCGGGATGTGCCCAAAATGCGCCCATATCGCCAAACAGAAGTCGCGGAACGTGATGGGTTCATTGTTTTGAATGAAGAATGCCTCGCCAGCAGCGGTCTTTGAGGAAGTCAGGTTCTCGGCCGCCAATACGTGGGCATCTGCAACATTCGTTACGTATGTCACGTCCCAAAGATTAAGGCCATCGCCAATGATGAAGGGTGTCTCCCATTTCTCGATACATGCATGAATGGCTGGGACCAATTGGTAATCCCCTGGTCCACAGAGCACCGACGGCCGGAGAGCGCAGACTGAGAACGTGGAATCGGATGCTTGGAGGACAATGGCTTCTGCAGCTGCCTAGAATAGAATTAGTAGATGATAAAACAGCCATTGCAACCATGGGAAGTCCAGACCTTGGACTCTCCGTATATGAGTGACGACCGCGACGTTGGCCAGCGTTCATCAATATTACAATAGGGCACGCTCATATCATCCGTGATTGCACAACAACTGCTGGTATAAACAAAGGCCTCGACTCCTGCTTGTTTTGCTGAGTGAAGTACATTGTCTGTACCTTCCACGTTGATCTTCCAGACCAAGTCCTTTAGCTTTCTGCCATACCTTTCTCCGAGCACGGGAACTATTCCTGCTGTATGAATGACAACAACTGGCTTAGTTTTCAGGACAACCTCTTCGATCTCACGTCGAGCCGTCACATCAGCTTTGATGAATGTGATGTTAGTTGGCAATTCATGTGTAGAATCGGGCGGTCTTATATCGACGATCGTGATAGCACACTCCGGGTGCTTTTCAGCCAAAGCTCTGGCTGTTGCGGAACCAACAAAACCGGTGCCGCCAGTGATCAGGACCTTGTTGAGGATCATTCTGCTCTTCTATGAAAACAAGAAGCAATGATACGTATGTACTAGCAGTTTAGCGATGTTCTTGACAAGGCATTCTCCTATCCGTTCAGTTTTGGCCAGCAGGGATGTACTTAACGGGACCGGCGATCGCGGGAGCTCGTGACCTGTCTTGCGTTTGAGATTGAACCCGACTCGAGACACCACCCTGGACTGTAAAGGTTTAGAGTTGCGACATAGCCGTGACAATAGTTGTTGCTACAGAAGCAAGGAAAGGAAGATCTCGCCAACGAACCTTTGCCAAGAGAGTAGATTTCGGCCGCTGTTTTATCTGCCATGAGCCTCAATGACTATGGACTACATCATTTAAGTCATCAAAGAACCGAGTAATTGATACTTGTACAAGGAGAGTTGGGCGTGGAAAGGTACAAAGTGATAGCGTTAATATACAGACCCATGATCTAGGTATATCGAAAGTCGCGGACCAAGAGACAATGCGACTGACCAAACTCCGAATCGATGCAGAAGACATCACATCCCGCATTTAAAGAACCCTGCACAAAACGAGACCTCCGACCTTCTTTTCCACACATTCTCTGGCTTCTAGAATCCCTCGGTCCGTAGACAGGAAAAGGCACTCTCCAGGAGACCGCAGGCCCTCAACGTATCCACTCTTCTCGCCCCGAATGATCTGGCGAAGTCCGGGGACATCCAAGTTTATTCTCCTCTTGGGCTTGCTGACCAAGGTCATTTTGCTCAGAACCGGTTCGCTCTGCCAATACTTCAGTCCGAGCCACAGGCGTCTGGAGGCAACGTTGGATTGCGTGATGGGCTCGACACCTTGCGACTCATCGTTCACGGAAGGATGACCAAGGAGAACATGTGGAGGCGGAGGAGTCGGTCCTCCTCGCACTACTGACGAAATGAATCCGGCATTCTGAAGGGCGAGGGAAAGTTTGAGGTGGAGGTTGGAGTTCGGAATGGATGTCAGACCCAGGCGTGCCTTGGTGGCATTGTTAAGGTGGGAGCAGACATGGGCCAGATTGACGAGCGACATCTTGAATCGTTTGATGAGCTGAATTGGCCCCTAGGGCCTCGTTGACAGGTGAACAACTGGTTTTCCGGTGTGCTGCAAGGAGCTGGTGTCTCTCGAGTATGAGCAACCCATGTACGTCTCTCGTAAAGGAGATCTCAGCGGAACACTTACAGCAATTAGTGAGTATCGTATATACGACAGGAGACAGCGCGAATATAATCTGGAAGCCGATGAAAACTATCGCGACAGCAGCCAGAGTTTCCCCGGACCTCGCGATGAAAATTTCGGAGAAACGATGCGACGAGCTCCGCGCCGACACGCTTAGCTTTAGCGGGGCGACACTTCGGGCAATCAGCTTCGTTATCAACCATCTACAGGCCTTGTATAAGCGCCGGGCCTCTTGAGCACAGCAACCCTGCAGGCGCTTCACAGCCAGTAAGTAGCCTCTCCTCCCTTGTCCCCTATAAAAGCCTTTGTATCGCCTCATTCCTGTGTACCCGTTCTTGTTTTCTCCCCATTTCCATTCTATCAACTAGTTACATTGAGCTTGAGCCTGTTGACGCCATGCCTCCGTTACCGGGTGAAGAGCGTATGCTGACACTGTAAGTTAGAGCCCCCGCTGCGATCATGTAGCTGATGCGTCTAGTTTCGCGGATATCCACTCTTATTTCGCTGCTCCAACTGCGAAACCTCTTCATCACCGATTCGACAAAGGTTCCTATCTCTATATCTATCATGACGCTGCGCGGCGTACAACCAGGATCGAAATTGCAAACAACCCAGGAACTCCTGAGCAGGATGCCTTCAATGGAGGTTTGTTGGCATGCTCTACTGTATCTAGGTGGGCTTTGAGAGACTAATGGAGCTTCAGCGCTGGACCACATCCGTCTTCAACACTCGACCAAGTTTCCTACTCGTTGTACATTGATTGTGGACGGCAACGCTCCGGGACAGACACCATCTGCGACTGCGAACCCTCTGGAATGGCGCTTGCCCTCTGCTGATCCCCGCGACGAGGGAAGAGTCGTCTTCCGTCTCCATACACTCGACATTTATCTCTGGACAGTGGATGATGCAAATCTGTTCCTTGATACTCTTGAGCATGTGCTCTCTCCGGGGCAAGTTGAGACGGACCGACATCCACCACTCTCAACCTCCCAAGGGGCAGTAAGCAGTGTTGTTCAACAGCTTGAGAATGTCGCTATAACAGACCCCGCCTATGCGAATGGACAGACGCGAAATTCCCGAACAGAACCACCAACCATGCCACAACAGGCGTCGCAATCTGCCGCAGAACAGCCCAAGGAGCAGACTGGAGATTTGAACTACGCACCACTTGCTTACAATCCTGCTGCTCCTGCTGCCCCAGAACCCATTCAGCATCGCGAGAAGACCCCTCCACCGGAAGATGGTGTTGAAGGTACCGGGCTTGCAGCGGCCGCAGCAGCAGATCACGGTCACCCATATGCCTCTCCACCGCTCTCAGCCGGCTACTCAACACCTCCCAGTCACCAGCTACCCTACACCGTTTCAGGTGCAATGCAGCCGAGCTATAGCTCTCCACCGCCAAGTGCAGGACCCAGCCTGGAGTCTTTCCCTTCTCACTCGTCCGTACAGACTCCCACCAGGGCTCTTTCGTTTTCCGGTCCCCCCGTAGCCGGAAATCCTGTAGCTGGACAAGGAACCATGTCTTTTGCTCCTCCACCGCTGGCTCCGAACTCACTTTCCTACAGTCAGCATCCTTATGCTCCGCAGTCCCTTTATCACCAGCATAATCAGCCACAGTATGCAGACTACTTACAGAACCAGTCTGTGTCCCCGTCCGTCCCACTTGGGGGATACTCGAATTTCTCGTACGAGCAACCTCACCAACACCACGGCGATCGCAGCGAGTACGATGTGCACAGCCAGGTTTATAGACCCACTGAGGCTGAAGCCAGTAGTCGCAATTACAAACATTCCGTGAAAGCCCTGAAGAATCCCGGTCGACCACACAAGTTGGAGGATAAAGCAGCGCGTCTCGAGAGTGGTGTGAACAGGTTTATAAAGAAGCTTGAGAAGAAGATCTGATCTGCACTCGATTCTCTGCTCTTTTCCATTTCTTATGCTTGTTCTTCCCTCATGTGCCTATCTGCAGCGTTGCATTGCCAGTTTTTAAGATCACGATACCCGTTGTAGTTTAAGTGATCTAGTCATCTTTAGCCAGTCTTTTATAGTCGATATTGCTGGTTAGACTCTGTCTCCATCACTGAGAGAAGGATCCCTCCGGCAAAGGATTTTATTATCCTCGATATCAATATCGCCTGGCTGCGAAATCCTCCTCTTCTGTGGGAGGATCCCCCTGGTATAAGATTTCACATTATCCTCAATGACATCAACGTTGCCGGCAGCGAGATCTGCCATCTTGCTCGTAGAGCCAGCCTCAAATTGCTTGCTCCGCTTATCCTCCTGTGAGATAGGAATCTCCTCTTTTGTTTTTTCAGACGAAATCGAGCCAAGTAGCACAGGAGGAGTTTCCATATTGGCTCGATCATTAGCCTTCATCATCAACTCACTCCTGTGCTTGGGATGGCAGTTCAAATATATCCTCCATTCCCTTGAGGTTAGATATGGGCGGATATCTTGTATCTCCCATTCTTCTGGCTGGTAGGAGCCAGTTATTGGTGTCTCTTTGGCATGGGCAGAGACCGCTATTGGTTCCTCCTTGGCATGGGCAGAGACGTTCTTAGCTTCCCCCTGCGTTGTTGTGACCTCCTCATACGAGAAGTCTATAACTGGGCATTTGCCCTCAAACATCCCGGGATACCATGGAGTGTACGGTGATGGGTAGGTAGCCATATCTCACTAGAGATGCCGTACAACAACGTGGTGATGTGGTTGACCAGACCTCCCCTTGAAAATAGGGGTTTCAGTCTCTACCTAGGAAAAGGACTTGGGTCAAAAATTTTCGACTTCAGTGCGACCACAAAAATCCCCAAACTAGGCGGATTTTGACGCTGAAAAAACCACTGTATGGGTAATTAAAACCCAAAGAACACGATGATCAAATCAAATTGGTTGTTCGACAGGTAGTCGTTGCTGTAGCTCAAGGGTTTGAACGAGGGCGGCATAAAAGGAAGCGGTGAGAAGCTTGCTTGTTTACTCAATAGCTAGGTGCCAATGTCACGTGATCTCATAGTGCACAAGGGGGTGTCCGATGTATGTATGTACCTGATCTCTTGCACGTTGAAACTCTTCCAATAAGATCATATCAATATTATCAGTATGTATGAACAGATCCCCCAGCCCGAGAACGTGAAAGCATGCCGTTAAGGACAAGAAATATCTATCTAATCAATCTCATTGAATAAATAATAAAGCTAAGACGCCAGAATAAGGTATACTCTGCCAGACACCAAGGGGGGAAGATTCCGAAAACAGAAATGCGGGCTAGACACACAAACTCTGTTGACCTACCAAAGGGCACCAAAACAAGATTCGAAAGGATAGGTTTATCAAACTCCTTACAGTAACAGAAGCTGCAGGGATATCCAGATCACATGAAGAGAAACAGACAAGTCCCAATTTCGAATGAAAACAGACGAAAAAGTGGAAGATGAAAGCGTAGAGAAAATATGGGACTCGCCAGGATCACGTCTCAATTACAGGAAATAAATTTGTGTTTGAATTTGGAATAGGGGAGTCAAACCAAGGTGCTTTCAAAAAAGATAAAGGTTACTATCACAAAGCTGCCTTGTAGGATTGTCTCACAGCTCAGTAGCTTTCCGTGATCTCGGTGAAAGCAGGAGTCTCTTGGGCTTCGACCTCCTTGATTGTCTCATCAGCAGGAGCATCGACCGCGGCTGCGATTGGGACATCCTTAGGCTGTTCCGTCGAAACTTCAGTTGGCTCTTCGATAGCGGTTTCAGGGCTGGGTGCAGAGGTCTGCTCAACGGCTTCGGCCTTGGGTTCTTCAGCGGGAACCTCTGCTGGAACCTCTGCAGGAGCTTCAGCAGGAGCTTCGGTGGAGGTTGGTGCTGGGGCATGAGGTTCTTCAGCAGGGGCTGCAGCAGGCACTTCAGTCGTTGCCTTGGTAGAGTCTTCAACAGCTGTTTCTACTCTACCCTCGGTGGAGTGCTCCTTCTCTGGCTCTTCTGGAACAGGTTCTGGTACAGGGACAGGCGCGGAGTGGACTTTCGATTCCGTCTCGGGCTGATCCTTTTTGGGAGACTGAGTCTCTTCCTTCTTAGGCACCGCCTTTGCTTCCTTGCCCCTGGAGGGCGTACGAGCACCTTGCTCGGATTTTGCAGGACTTCTCCGAGGTGTCCTTGTCGTCCTGGTCCTTGGGGGAGTCTTCGCTTCAACCTTCTCGTGAGTCTTACTGGCAGAGCTGGCAGTCGGGCGCATCATCCTTGCCAAGAAGCTGTCATCGACCGTCTTCGTGCCTACAGTACTAGTGCGAGACTTTGGCCTGTCACTGCCTGGAGAAGCAAGCGATGCTCGAGAGGGCTGTCGCGGAATATTCGAAGCGGGAACCCGCGGCGATGCTCCTGTTGCGTCCTTCTTCAGAGTAGAGGGCTTCCGCGTAAGACCACGCGAGGGTGTCTGCGCACGGTTTGGTGACTGAGAAGCAGCTCCTGTCTTAGCAGCTGAGGACGCGGTTGGCGCTGTCATAGAAGCTGGGAGGCGGACAGGGCGTGTAGGTGACTTTGACTGAGCCTTCCCATTGGGGGAAGACTTCGTCGTCGTCTTTTTGGCAGAGTCTCGAGAGGCTGGGGAAGATCTCGACGTAATCTTGGCAGGCGGGTTGAGCGACGGTCGACTGGGCTTTCCGGCTACTGTTTTAGTAGGTTCCTTGCTAGCAGGCTGCCGGCCAGGAGTCGTATCCTTCGATGCGCCTTGGGATGCCGTACTGGTGGATTTCTGCGCACGAGACGGGACCGGGGACCTGGCCGGCCTGGTAGGTGAGGTCTTTCCGTTGAGTTTAGGCGTGGAGTTGTCTCTAGGCAGAGATAGGCTCGATTGCTCCTTGGTGACCGGCTTTGAGGTTGTACCTGCTTTCTCAGCCACGGTCTCCGTCTTGCGTGCTGGCTGCGTCTTTTCGTCTCCAGGGGAGACTTCAGTGCTAGCCGCTGTCGGTCCATCTTGCGATTGACTCTTGTCGGGTACAGAAGCTTTGAGGATGTTTCCAAGCGCTGATCTAACTTCGGACGAGCCATTGCTTTCGGGGCGCTTCTCCTCTCCCTTGGTGCTGTCTCCTGAGCCATTTCTGGGAGGCACATTATTTTCCTTCTCCGACATTGCCGTTATCGTCGAATATGGATCGTCCCCGTCGCTGGACCTTAGTCTCGACGGGCTCAGAGGGGTCTCTCCATCGTTGGACTTTCGTAAGCCCCCAAAGGGACCGGAACGACCGACATTCTCGACCGCGATGAAGCTGGCTCGTACCTTGGAAAGCGGCCTTCCGTTGCCCGAGTTGTCTGAACCGGCCGGAGAGCGTCCACGGGAAGGAGGTGAGGTATTGTCATTTTGGCTCTGGTTCTCGAACTTCGCCAGCAGACTGCGGACGCCGCCTGCCGACGGAGTTCCCGACATGGCTGGTTCTGAGATCGAGGCAGACGAAGGGCGATGTTGCGTCAGAGGAGCAAGAGCATGGATAGGAGGGAGAACGGCAAGCGCTTAGGATGAGCCGGGGTAGATGAAGCTTAACAGCGTGTTCACTATATGGGTTCGACAGTCCGTGGGGACTATTAATTTAAGCGTAGGGTCAAGCGGAGGTTATGAAACAGCCAGAAAGGCAGTCGACTAGCGGGCAAGGGGCCTGCGGTTCCCTTAGGAGTAGTAGTCGGACAGTCTGAGAGTTGCTGGCGAAACGCGTCGGACTAACGTGATGTAAACAGACCCAGCCAGTGCAACGGTGACACGGTTAGTGGGGGGAACGCAGCATCTGGCAGCACTGATGACAAGAAAAGGGATAAGATAAGACGAGGAAATCGAAAAAAAAGAGAGGAGGCTCGGTGGGAAAAGGATAGATAGAGAGGTTCATGGAGAGTTGATGGCTGATGCAGGGGGGTTTGGTATAACTAGCGGCCTCAGGCAGCAAGTTTCAGGGGTCGGCGGATCCGCTGGATGGGCATTATTTTATTTTAATCCGTTTAATCCGTTTAATATAGTAAACGTAGTCGTCAGTGATCAATAATCATCCCAAAGCGCGGAATCCGGGGATCCGTATGAAGCTTCTAGGCTTCTAGCTAGAAAAATCCACGGCCGTTATGCCGCTGCTACCCGGTGGTAAAGACGATCGAGCGTTGTCCTCTTTCTGTTGCTACTACGGAGTAGTTAACTACTATCCGAATACCGCGGGGCTCTCCACGTTGCTGTCACGTTGACTGTCTGGATGGCGGTGGCTCTAATTGGCGATTTCTGTCGATCACAGAATTCTTGTACAGTAACGACATGACATGACACGCTGAGCAAGTGCTTGATTCTGTCTATACTACTGTATTAACTTACCACGTATGATTCCTCAGGAAGTACCATAGTCAGTTACTCCCGAAAAGGGCCATTATTCGCATCCACGACAGAACAGATAGCTCAACAACAACATGCCACTTCAATCCCCATGGCTTGCCCCTCTTGCATATGCAACAACGGCATAAGACATCTAGTCTAAGCGTCTAACAAACACTTGCATCCTCTCAAATTCCGCTTCTTCTTTTACCCCGGAAACTCGAGCGTAAACACTTGCCGGCCCAACGTTCTTCCGTGGTCCGAACAAAAGCCTCTCCTCTCCGCCTCCGAAAAGCGGACATCGCTAGACAAAGCAAAGCATCAACGATGGCTGCCAGAACGTTGCGGATAGGTCAATTGCTCTGTGATTTCTTGGTGTGAATAATCTTGCTGACGGAGATGCAGGTCTGATCCCTGGTGACGGCATTGGAAGGGAGGTTATCCCGGTATGTCGAGGCCTGATATTTCTATATTGCTTTGCGGCAGCTTTTTTCTACCCTTTGTCTCCGGTCGACCGGCCAGCCAGTATTGCGTGCATTGAACTGACAAAGGATTGTGGTTGTTCTTTCAGGCCGGCCGGAAGCTTCTCGAGTCTCTGCCTTCATCTTTGGGCTTGAAGTTCTCCTTTGTCGACCTCGATGCCGGTTTCGATACCTTCAAGCAGACCGGCACTGCTCTCCCGGACAAGACGGTCGATGTGTTGAAGAAGGAGTGTGACGGTGCGCTGTTTGGTGCGGTCAGGTATTAAAAATACATGTTCGATACTATATTAAGGGCAACCAACCTGACATGTGTCTTTCTCCAGCTCCCCCAGCACCAAGGTTGCCGGTTACTCTTCTCCGATTGTCGCTCTCCGCAAGAAGCTCGACTTGTACGCCAATGTGCGCCCTGTCCGGACCACCCCTGCCGCTGGCAATCCCATCGACCTGGTTATCGTCCGCGAGAACACTGAGGACCTCTACGTGAAGGAGGAGCGCACGCATGATACCCCCAACGGCAAGGTTGCCGAGGCTATCAAGCGCATCTCTGAGCGCGCCTCCTCCCGCATCGCTACTATGGCCGGTGAGATTGCGCTGCGCCGTCAGAAGATCCGCGACACTACTTCCACTCCCTCCGGACGCTCCAAGCCCATGGTTACCATCACTCACAAGTCCAACGTCCTGTCGCAGACTGATGGCCTCTTCCGCGAGACCTCGCGCCAGGCTCTGGCTGCCCAGAAGTTCTCCTCCGTCGAGGTTGAGGAGCAGATTGTTGATTCCATGGTCTACAAGCTCTTCCGCCAGCCCGAGTACTACGATGTGATCGTTGCTCCCAACCTGTACGGTGACATTCTGTCTGACGGTGCTGCCGCCCTGGTTGGTAGCTTGGGTCTCGTCCCCAGTGCCAACGTCGGTGACGGCTTCGCTATCGGTGAGCCCTGCCACGGCAGTGCTCCCGATATCGAGGGCAAGGGCATCGCCAACCCGATCGCCACTCTGCGCAGTGTTGCGCTGATGCTGGAGTTCCTGGGTGAGGAGCCCGCTGCCGCCAAGATCTACGCGGCCGTTGATGCCAACCTCGATGCCGGCGAGTTCCTGTCTCCCGACCTGGGCGGCAAGGCCACCACGCAGCAGGTCCTCGATGACGTTCTTAAGAGGCTGTAAAAGTTCATGTAATGTATTACGGTGTATAGTCCAATATCTCATCTGGGATGGCATTTTGGATCGATAAAAGAAAAAGAAAATTGAAGTGGGTCAATCGTTCCTATTTTCGAAGCGCGCATAAATGCGAGGAAAAGATCAGAAGTTCTATATCATAGACTCAAATCGCTCTATCCTGAATAACTTTTATGTAGACCCATTCCGGATGTATAGAAAAGGAATTAACGCACGCAGCACAGAACTGCCTCGCCCAAGGGTAAATTTCAAACTTATTCCACGTCGTCGAGGCTAAGTTCGGCCTCTTCAGGCAGACTTGCTCGGACGACCACGACTCCCATTGTCTTTATGTGTTTCACCATCGACGTTCCCGTTCGTATTCATATCCCCATCGGTGGCATTTTCCGGTAACCAGTCTCGTAGAAGAAGCGTGAACAGAACGACGAGGTAAACATGTCCCGTCTTGCGATTCTTGAGAACGTATCGTAACTTATGATGCTTCTCGTCAATGTACTTGGCTACTTGCAGGTTAAACCCAGGTAATCGAAGCGAGAAGTCTGCATATCGAAAAAACAAATAGTCAGTGAAAATCCTCCACTTTCCAAGACGAAAAAAAGAAAAGAGCAACTAGAATCAAGGAAGTATTTATTAATTACCCACCATTGAAGACTAAATATGGATTCCCAAAGTCAGCCATATACGCCCTTCCCGGCTGGAGTTCGAAGTTCTTTCGGTTCTGGTCCCAAAGGAAATGCTTCCTTCGCTGGTCCACTGTCTCTGGGATATTCGCTTCTTTCCTGACTTCCACACCGGAACCCTCCGCACCCTCTTCTATAATGCGGTCATGTATGGCCGGTGCCTTATTGTTCGATGATGTCTTATCTCCGATGCGGAACTGATTCCAGCTTGCGAGCGCAGGGCTGTAGAGGTATGGCTTGTCGGCATATGCGTCTCCATCTAGTGCGGGATCAAGCACCCATTTCACTATGCGCATTGCGGCATTGAAACCGGGCGGTAGACGGTCACGGATAGGACGCTCGAAGTCATTTCCGAAGATAAGGTCATCGCCGTTTATTGGGGTTTTGGGGACCAGTTGCATCGCAATAGAATACTGATCGTTCTGGTGGAGGGGGTGGGAGAAGTATGAGCTGCTCTTCGGGGAGCCATCGGGGTATCCTGTAAATACGAAATGAGAATAAGCCTCAGTTCTACAGAGTCGTCTTTGAGTGAGTATATTCGGCGCAGCATACCTGTATAGTCTTGGATGCGGACACACACGCTCACAATCGCGTGCTCGTTCTCGAAATGTAATGTCTGGTCCTTATTGACTGGGACAACCTGATGTGTCTTGGTATCATAGTCGGGGCCTGCTGTGACCTTTAATCGATATTTCTCATGCTCCCCGTTCGGACTGCGACTCTGGCTTCGGCTCCTCATCTCGCACTCGTGGGTATGCGAAGTATTACCTGCACCAGGAAGGAAAAAGGAGAACTGAGTTGAAGATGACCAGGCAAATTGTCGAGATTCACTATCTAACTATACCAGCGCACGCGACATATCAACCAGGGGGGTTGTTGAAGCTAAACAGGTGTGAGCAGCCTCGAGCAATTGTAGGGTAGATAATAAGGAAGGACGAAGCAGATCTGCGTCGTCCCGAGACAATAACTGTTTCCATTCAATGAAGCTTTCCTGATCTATTTCCCAGGCCACTGGAGCGCAATGGGTCGAGCCACGCCATGCTGAGCTAGTCTATCTCTTTGGCCAGAATGAGACATGAAGGCGACGTGTGGCGGTTGACAGCATCGTTGAAAGACGTCATCGTCACAGCCTGAGCGGGAAGCCTGCTTTTGCTCGATCCGGATTCAACGCTGAGGTGGACGACTTCGTTTTCCCCAAAACGGATGGAGGTCGATAAGAGCCAAAGGACAGTCGTTTCAGCTGGCGCGGAGACTCGACTCACTTGGAAGTCGTTGTTTTGCTTAAGCTGTTTTAAGGGAGGTCTGGACCCTCGTTAGTTAGTACATAGCCGCGCAGTCGGTTCCCATCTCATACATACGTACTGTACTTAACCACTCGCCCCATCACTATCTAGTTAACTGTTAACTACTGCAATCTCCACACATGGTTCGTTGGCAGATGGGAAGCAACCGCGCCAATAACGAGATATTTCGTTGTTTACCAAGGCCATTCTTCGAATACGTTCCTGCGATAATTGGAAACTGGAAGAGATTATCTCAGACTCAGCGACTAGTTATCTAGTGCAATAACATGTCACTCCAAGCTCTTCCAGACGAGCTACTCCTTCGTATCCTCTTCTATTTACAGCCGTCTTATGCTGATGCAGCTGCACTCTCCTGACAATGTCGGCGACTGTACAGTCTCTGCGACATGTCTAACAGATGTAAATATCGCCGGATCAGGCTCAGAGATGCATCCGATTTGACCTCTGCTTTCAAGATGCTCTGCGACATTCGCAAAACTCCTCGACTTGGACACTACGTCCGATATCTTGAACTTCCTACAAATTCAGACAAGTATATTTTTGGTCTTTCATCTCCGAATCAAATATTTCTACCACGGAGGTCTGGTGACCCTGAACAACCCAGGCGGACAATGGACAGCGTCGGGAATCTACTGTTATCACAAACCCAAGGAATACCGAGAAGCTTACCACGATTTGATGTAATTACGACGGAGTACGTTGGAGTCTTCATCCATTTTCTCCTAATTCTGCTCGGTTCGATGGAAATAAGGCTAACTCAGACAGTGATCTTGATCTTCTAGAGGTCATCCGTGCTCAAACACTCGCCATCCAGTTTGTTTCCGTCTCTCCCGCACTGAAATCCACTGGTCTTTTGCTCTAGCAAGCTGGATGAGGAGGAAGCACAGTTACCTCGGCTTGTCTTACGGTTCTTTTTCCACCTGCTGTTGCAACCGGTCAACGGACCAGACCACCGAACGCCACGTGAACTGAGGGTGATCTATAAGTGACCGCCCGAGTGAAAGCACGGGGTATAGGCCACATAATACTCTAGTTTTTTACATCCTTACTGTACGTTTGGCAGCTTCGGAATACTAGGATATACTAGGATAGAACCGGTCATCTCATTTGCCGATGTGGCATGAGGGCTCAAAACTCGCGAGATATATCCTTCCTCTAAGCACTATGCCTTTCGTGTATTCAATGCTTTCTAGACTAACCAATGCCCTAATTTTAGTCATGTGGACAATGAGATACTTACGGGCCATATCCCTTTCTAAGGTGGTATGAGTTCCACAACGCCAACGTCTTCTACGCGCATCATCTTTCCATTTATCCCCCAGATTCCCCAAATTCGAACGAACTAACGGCAGCATTTCGGATTATCATTTTCGCACTAGAGCAGGATCCATGGAATTATAGCCGACCAGTGCAGCCGCCGTCGCCAACGTACTTGAAGCGCCATATCCCCCGGGACCTTCGCAGTGGTCCTGATCATATACAAATGTTGAATGTGGGTTTTGTAAACAAAGTGACGATTGCACTTGAGATGATTGACTCATATAATAACATACAGACTGATGTGCATCTTATGGTTCCATATTTTGAAATCGCCGGACATATTATCTTTGAGTTTGTGGGGAAGAGGGACCTGTCTCTACTCGCGACGATCAAATCGACCAAGTGCGATCTATGGAAGGGAGACTCAATGTTCACGATGGAGCGATGGGAGTTTTGGAAAGATCGACTGCGATGGGTAAGTGAGCAGGATGAGCTGCTGGAAAGGACACGAGATGATGCCCGGAACCTGATACAACTGATGCAGGGTATTGAACAACAGAAACTGGAAAAAGAACTCGGCGGACAAGTTTTAGCTTAAACACATCTTAGAAGTCTACGTATACCTATATACCGCCTTGACCAGACATTGTACCTCTGAGACTAAAATGTCGTAGGTAGGTAAGATAGCTAAATATCATCGTCCTGAAACGAAGGAACGTTATAAAAGGAATTACAAATCCTAGGCCTGCGCCATGCTGAGTTAACGAATTGTACAGCCGACTTTGCGAGAAGCCTCGTCCTCTTGCTCTGAAATGAACGAAGTGAGAGGAAAGAGGAACCACGTACCGGACCTGCCAATAGGCGCAACTGATAACTAGTCTTGGTGAGATATAGCCTCAAGAGCGAGAGGTGACGGTTGAGAAGCCTGGATGCTAGCATCCATGGTGTCTAGGGCGGTGGACAAGAGGGTCATGCAAAGGAAGACGATTGTTTGGATGATCGCGGTGCGATAGTTGGAAGTTGAAGAAGGGGAAGGGACGTACATATAAGTCGTTTGGGACATTATTTCAGATCTTCCGGCCACTCAGGGGAGACCAAGTTCTGAGAAGTCTATATCAATACGCGAGGTAAAAATGCACATGCTATACGATAAGATTCAGGTATGATTAGAACTTCGACTACATGCACTACTATTTTCATTAGGCGATAGTCCACACACCTTGTCTTTTGGTGCATCTTTCGGAACTATGTAACCGTTGGATGACGTCGACAATCCATGCTGCGGCTCGGCCCGTACCTTGGAACAATGAAGATAAAGTCTGATGAATTCAATGAATAGCATATATTATATGTTACATTGGTCTTGTAAAGAGCGGGATATGCTGAAACATAGAAACACATCGAGCGTGTAGCCAAAAGACAAGCACCAACCAGAAAACAAAAGGGATCTATGCATAGTGACTGAACATCCGGAAATCCTGAAAAGAATGAAACGCCGCCAACCTGTATGCCTTACCCAGGACAATTAGGCCTTGGTAGTCCTCGTCTCCTCAAGACCTGGCAGCCCAGGGAGATCAGGTTCGGAGCTGATGCACGCCTGGCTTGCGTTATCATCATCTTCGAGTTCTTCTTCTGTAAGCACGCCGAAGCCAACACCGCTGTCAATCCTTCGCCTGTGCCTTCCCCGTCCCACTTCCACATCCACGAACCTCGTCATGCTAACGGGCGTGATGGGCTCGCTGCCAGGCATGGTTGCTTCTGACTCGAGATCGTCAGACATAATCTTCCAGTTCGCAGCACGGACCTTCGAACCCCGGCGCTCTGCGTTGATTGCTTCTTTCATGTAGGCGAATGATCGTGCTTGATCTGCAGCCCACTTATCCGCAAGCCTATTCCGTGCTCCAATTTCCGCCTGTAGGCGTTCTTCGAGACTAGTATTTAGTCGTCGGAGTTTTTCGACTTCTGACCTAGCATCGTCAAGAGATGTTGTAAGTTCAGAGAGGCGAACGTTCATGGACCCAATCTCTTGGTCGTGGAGCTCCAACTGCTCTGCTGCCTTGCTCTCCATGGCCTCGACAACTTGATTACGTTCTCTCTCTAGAAACTCAACCTTGGCAGTCAGGTCGTCGACCCGAATCTGATTCTGCTCGACGGTATCCTGCAACTCGCGTACAAGATCCACATTCTCAGCTGCGGCTGATTCAGCAAGGCGACGGGCCGTCTCCTCATGCTTGACCTTATTCTCAAGGATCAAGATTGTCAATTTATACCCTTCCTTGGATGCGGCGGCCTCTGCTTCCATGGACGTAATGAGCTTCTCCAATCCTCTCACTTCATCATGATACTTGTCTAATGCTGCGTTTAGCCTGTCAATTCCGACAGCCTGATCATTGCCTCGTCGTTCCAGTTCTTGAATCCGCATCCTTGCATGTAACATGTCTTCAGCAGACGAGTCAATAGTCTCTTCAGGATCGTGAATCTTCTTGGAGGCAGCCTCGTATCTGAATAAACAAGCGTCAAACTGGCCGCGCAGCGCCTTCTCACGGCCAAGCGTGCCTTCATGGAATTCTCTTTCTCTTTCCAGCTCGTTCGCGAGTCTTTTGACTCTTTCAACTAGAGCATTGAGGGTGGAGGATCCATCTTCCAGGCCTACACTGGGTGTCTCCCCAGGAACAGCACGCTCCAGTTCCAGTCTGGCGGAGCGGAAGCGCTGACGCAGCTCTGCAATCACTTCATCGGCATTACTACCAGAAAATCCCATGTCTGCAAGGGCACCCCGTACGGACTCGAGGGCAGAAGAAGCCTCAGAAGCGCGCGCAAGGGCCGCTTTCAACGTTGGAACAATCTGGTGCATGAAGTCAGGTGGCGGCGAGGAGAGGCGCGAGCCATCATTGTCATCCGGGTTAGAGGAATCGATATGAGCGCGCCACTCGTTGAATAAATCCTTCTTCTCTTGTCTTGCCGCTGCTAGGTCAAGTGACAATGCGACCATTTCTGCTTCCTGGTGAGGATCAGCTATGGACGCATGTGCAGATGCATCATTAGTGATCGGAATCGTGTCGCTAGTCGATGCAGGACTCAGTGGAGCGCCAAATTCGCGAGAATAGTAACTCCGGAGATCTGAAGAGTTTGACATAAGGATTGTGTCGTCGCTGATAACGCTACCATTTGTCATTATTGCATCCCCTTCATGGTCCGCCTGATGATCGAGGGCACCCCATGCGCCAGCAGTCGACTGTGAAATCTCGTGTCTTAAGCGGCTGACTTCTGCTTCCAATTCTGCGATCTTTCTCTTCGAGTCTGAAGAGATTTCTCCCCTTTCACCATGATTTTCATGATTTTCGGTCGGGATCTTAGTGTTCTTGATGGCCTCTAGCTCTTCTTTCAGGGCCGCGAGTTCCACGTCCTTTTGGCGCAATATCTCCCTGGAATTTCTCAGATTCTCGCGTTTCTCCCGCTGAATTTCATCGATTTCTTTACTCAGCCCAATCCTCCGTATCCGCCTCTGGGTCCTTTCGTCGAGTATCTGACGTAGAGGTGTGAACTGAAGCATGCGCGGTACAGGAGGCAGTTCGATAGGAAACGTAGGGTCTTGAAGACTCCGTGTACTCTCGACAGGTGCCGATTGTCGCCGCTGACGACGACTAGGAGTAAGATTATACGTTTCGTTTTGAGCGATGTCACACTCCTCAAATGAAGTACGAAGGATCGCCGGCGTCAGTCCGGTGGACCCCTCCTCAAATGGTTGTAACTGAGGGCCGGGGTCCGAAAAGCGCACTTTCTTCTTGTTGCGTCTCCTTGGGGTCTGACATGACGCGTTCACTGTATTGTTCTCGCTTGATAGCTCTTTATTCCTTCGCGTATTGGAACGAGTTATAGCCTTTGCCGTCTTCCTGTCCAAATCCTGCAGATCATTGTAGTCGTGATTGAGCGATGATATCGAGCTATTCCTTCTCTTGCGACGCGTAGGTGTTGACCTAAGTCTAGTCACGATGCTCTCGCTATCTGACGCCATTGTGGATTGGCGTTCTATCCGCCGTTGTTGGTCTTGGATATAAGCAGTGGCAGTATCTAGTCCGTTATCCACACTATCAGCCTTGAATTGGATGTGCTCCGAGGTGAGGGCAGGCAGTTTGTATTAGGAGCAGCAAGACGCGTGTATGTGATCGAGTAGGCGAAGACAGTTCACAATGGAATCTCCATTCCACAGCGATAAGAGATATACCCACCTCGAGGCAGAGACAGGACGCGGGTGCACGGCTTGACCCTGCAGGAAATGGTGCAGGGATCAACAAATGTAAAAAGGCTTCGGTGCTAAGGAAATGAAATGCGCGTAATGAATTCAATGCGGTGTCAGCATTCATAAAGAGGAGTTGGAGAAACAAGCGTAAACAGACAATTCTGAGAACGTGTAGGGAAATAGTAAACACGACGACCCCCCGACACGTCTGCTCCGTATTTGAAGGATTCTTCAACTCAAAATATCAACTATGTAGTCTATCCTCTTCGCATTTTCGCAGGCAGCAATTAAATCCCTCTGGGATCCTGCGGGGACAAGCCATGACCATATTACCGGATTTGGTCAAGGTAAACAAACGCGCAACCGCCGATGCTATACCCGCCAATCAGAGAGCTTTCTTCCTTGCAGCTTGGGGTTTGGCCTCATATTTTGGTGGAGCGGTCCAAGGCCTCGTTCTTGGAGAGTAAGCTTCTTTTCCATACTTATCGTGGAGAACGGACGTGTCGGACGCGTCGAGAGTGTGTTGATTGATTGGACATGGGGTTCTTGACGCTAGGAGGGATAAATCGCCTTGGCTCTTTGGCGGATTCCGACTCCTTGGATCATTCAATCATGGCGCGTAGAGTACATCATGTCCTCGAATCGCGCAACAATGACTTGCAACTACGAAGCGAATTTTTTCAATCACGATAGGAGTTAATACTCTTTTATACTGGACCTAATCACGCGGTGCATACTTAGGTTTCCCCTCCAGATTTTCACTACACTGAATTTTATTCAAGTTAACTACTTACTAAATTATTCAAATATGTAGACTCTATTTTGTTAGCTCTTAAAGATTCAAAACTATTAGAGTCTACAGTAAAGCTTAATTGTATAAAAATTTGCTAAAAGAAATATAAATCTCCTTTAGTCTTTTGATCCTTTTCTCTATTCTTTTGTTCGCTATAGTTTAACTCCGAGTTTAAGTTATTACTAATGCTATTCTATGACTATCACAGTCCTTTATTTAACTCTAAGGGGAAGTTCTGTACTCATACCTAGGTATAATATTCCTGCCGTGGTCTCCTCTGGGTCGTAGTAATATCCTGCCTAGGCCAATATATAAATAATCGATATTCACCGCGGAGTCATCTTTTGTTGGTCCATCACATGGGGGATTTGATCGGGCCAGGGGCGAATCACGTTATCTTGCCTTCCACTTGCTTCCTGGAGAGGTGGCAAGACATCATCTATCGGAGCCCCGGGAGAGCAAGAGCTAGTTAGCCATCATACTTACCAAGTTGGTGACACTGCTAGTTGATAGCCTTCAGTTTCTTCTGCCAAGTACGATCTACGACTATAACCTCCCACAACTCATACTCTTCGAAAGCCGACCTCTATTCAGTCTGCTGCCATTATCACAAATCACTCATCTCGACGTTGATAGGTCGACAGCAGAATCTCCCATCGGAATGGATGACGCTTCCCCAGAACCCGAGCGGACAGCTACCACAGTGCTAGTTCCTGACGAGAGATGCAACGTGCCGTCTCAGGAACGTCTAACTCTGCTTTCAGAGTTCAGAAAAGCGATGAAACGAGATAAGATACGAGCTCCGTTGTGGGCTTTTCTCCAAGTCGCGGATATTGCACAATTGCAGTCACTGGTCGAGGCAGCCGAGAATATCCCCGAATTCTATTTTTCCCTCCTTGAGGATACCTGCTTCAGCATTGTCTTGAATTGGATGCAGCGCAGACTTATTTCTCAGTCGGGTTTATCTGTGTCTGGAACGTCATCTTCATCACCATCGGAATCTTCCAAGAAAGGCCGGGCGGAGAAGCCGAAAAGACTCGCAAAGGAGAGAGATCAGATGTGTGTCTTGACGAAGGCCACTGTCTACCAAGTTGCTCATATATATCCCCACTCTCTTATCCATGCCAGTCCACGGCGCAGTATTGATGCGGCAGTGCCTGGATTCTGGAAGCTACTGTACGCATTCTTTGATGCGGAGAGAATCACGAAATGGCGATCTGAGATCTTCCGGGACCCAACAGATCCATCTAAAGCATTTGATGGGTGCTTTAATATGATCTGCATCAACTCACAGGCCCATGAACTATGGAATAGAGGTTTTTTTGCACTGAAACCGATCTCTCTTTCGGATGACAAAAAGACTCTAGTACTAGAATTCCATTGGCAGCCACGGCCCAACCATTCACAATTAGACACCGTTGATATCTTGAAGTGCCCAGGTTCGTCTGAGGGCCTGGATTCTGTGGAGGATAATGACTTGACAACTCGAATTGGCAATAGCAACAAGAGACGTTTCATCAAGACCGGCGATAGATTTGAACTACGGACTGACAATCCATTTACACACCCTCTCCCCAGCTGGGATCTTCTGGATATGCAATGGCGTTTGACACGGGTCGTGTCAATGTCTGGAGCGGCAGATGTCTACGACGACAATGATGATGACGACGATGACGATAGCATCGATGATGCTGCCGGTATCGAGGATCGTCCAGATATTTTTTCCTGGGTCCCATCGCCGTCGAGAATTCAGAACGAGTCCGATGATAGCGAAGACAATGATGAATTCGAGGATTCGTTTACTACGGCCTCAACCAACCCCTCTCCTGCCAAAGTACGAGAGACGCTAGGGAACACTGCCACGGAGGAAGGAGGTCCCATTGAGCTATAATGCTCTGTTTTTATTTGACTAAAAGGCGTCAGGTGTACCAGCTACTAACCGGTAATGGCACATACTGATATGGTCCACGGGTAATATGGGAACGGGAAAATGATGGTGCTGGCGGCACTATAATTATATGGGCTTTAGGTCTTATCTCACTAATAGTCTAATATAGAGTAGTAATAGGATAATATAGGATAATGTATTATTTACTTATATAGGCCTTTCCCTGACTAGCCGAACCTGTGTGTTTTTAACTGCAGGCCTAACAGAATTATTGCTTGTATTGGACCATAGCCAGAATGTGTGAGGTGACTGGCTCGCTTATAGGACCAAGCACCTTTTGAGCAAGGAATTAATAATACAAAATACAAATAAACCAGAAAGGCACACAAATAATAATACAAGTGTGAAGCAAAAGAATATCAGGTGGTAGGTAGCAAATACTGCTAGCAGAGAGCGCTATTGGGGGAAGCAGTCAGCACCAGGCAATACCAGGACTATCTCCAAATACCACTGTAGAGCAAGGTTATTGAATGCTGTATATACATCCATATCACACCTGTCTACAAGCCATGGCAGTTATACAGGAAGTCATTATGACAATGGGCGAGAGGCCCATTTGTCGAAAGGTAATTTTGCGGGTAATTCTCCTCTTTGAAAGTTTCAATAAACTTCTGAAAAGAATCGTGGAAAGTAGCAGGAACCATTTTGCTTTTGTCCGCAAATATAGTCGCATGCTTATTGATCAGGGCTATTGCCTCGCTGTTTGCTGTAACTTTATTAGTTTCACTTTTATTGGGTTGGAATAAGTAGAAGAAACTCACGATCAACCTCAAAACAGATGACTGATGGCAATAAGCCATTGATTTTGGCATACACATCATAGTCCTGCCGCATGCCCGCTCCCATGTATAGGAAATAGCGGAAGTCGACTAGACGACTAGACCAAAAAGGAGAACTCCTCAGAGGTCTGGTCCTAGCTGGATCTAACAGCATACACATCATAGTACTGCCACATGCCCGCTCCCATGTATAGGAAACAATCACAAAGACAGTCGCCATTATAGGCAACACAGTTCCCCTTTCGTATGTGATAGTAATTGACGGAAGTCGACTAGACGACTAGACCGAAAAGGAGAACTCCTCAGAGGTCTGGTCCTAGCTGGATCTAACATTATATTTCTGGTTAAGCGAAATGTTCTCCGAAAGGATTCTCTCATTTCGTGATTCCAGTACCTGTAATCTGCCATAGATTTCCTCCAAGTTGGCCCATGCATTTGGGAGGCATTCTGATTTGTAACAAAAGTATGATCACGGAAAGCATCGATAGATAGGGGCCCATCTGCTGCCGTTCGCAGCTTTTTTCGTGACTCGTGCTCCATTATGTCTTTAGAGTCAAATTCCACAGTTGCTGAAATCAACGCGGTCGCCAAATCCGTATTTCCGCACGTATTCTTGTCGGTGTGGGTTTGGGATTGTGGAAGTGGTATCTGTTTGGGCGATTGGCCCAGTTTTTCTCTTTGGCATGGCGACAATGAGAGAAAATTTGGCAAAAAGAGGGGATGGATGTCACTTCTGAGTACTAGCTTCACTCGGTCAAATTCTTCCCTTGGTTACAGCGGTGTAGATAGAGCCTTTGAAGTGAGTTGTAATAGTGAAGACCAGCTGAAAAGATCAGCTTTGGGCTAAGTAGGCAGCCAACCGAGCGGCTCGGTTGGCAGATTCGATTGTTTGGCTCAACTTCCCCATAGAAAAGGTATCTACTACAATGTAGATTGTGATGAAAAGAGGAATAATGACGGGGCGCTCATTCCAGCAGGTGATGGATACTGTGACTTACCTAGCAACGCTAAACCTCATAGCAGATGGCAGCGTGGACGCAGCTTGCGCGTAGTTAAGCTCATTGTCGAACCGATGATTATGATAATGCATGATAGCATGGAGGAACGAGGAACTAGATAAGTAAACAAAACGAAGTTTCTTAGCTTGTGAAGTTAACTTTCTGCTAGCAATAATAATGAAGATGGAACTGCAACTTCTCCAGGCGGGAGGATTCACGGTTCGACCCACCTGGCACAAAGACTGCGGAGATGGAGTCGCTCGCCGGCCAGAGAAGCTGTGACGTTCCGACTGCTTCCAATAAGTATTGACTCCGACGTCTCAGATATCTCTCCGTCTCTGAGATATACAAAAACAGTCATCGCGCTCATGGAGCAGTTGTCACATCCAGACTCTTCTTCGTGATGTCATCGGCATCGTCTTTCTGACGATCCCCGCAACCCCTCAATTACACTGACAGGCAAATCCGTGCCTGATACCTCCGAGCATATCGTTCAATCTGGCCGGGGCTACGAACTCTTCCATGGATTCGGCGCACGGTGAAGATGAGCCCGGACAGAGTCCATCACAGATGGATAATCCAGAGGTATCTACAATAGCAGGAGTACAGACTGAACAGCAGAATACAGACAGCACAGCCACTGGTACATTGAGCCCCGATAAGGCTTCATTAACAGAACGCAAGGATAAACAAGATTCAACTCATGAATCGAGATTTCTGAGTCTGCCGCCAGAGATCATAGATCAAATTCTCTCTTATGTTTCCGCCAGGGATCTCGCATGTGCCTCGACTACCTGTCGTACACTCGCGAACCATGGTTATAATGAGTTATTATGGGCAGATATTGTCAATGCAAATCTGCCGTCCAAGATCGACACTCCAGGCCCCTTTCCGTCCTTCCGAAGTCTATATGTCGCACATCATCCTTACTGGTTTTTGCCGCGAAATAAGATCTGGTTTTCCGATTCTGCGCATACGGGGAACCTGATCCTCACACGGTACGATAACCGGAGGGGGGTAATTGAAGGCTATCGAGTAGTAGCAGAGAAACGATCAATGCAATTTCAGGTGTGGGAATACGATCCTGAAGTTGTCATCCAGTCGTTCAGACCCCGGGTACGGTTATGGCTTGACGACCCGGTCATTCTACTCAAGAACACCACATGTGCTCCTCTAAGCCGGAGGCAGTATCTCCACGGGGAAATTCGCATGCCAATGCCTCTTGAGTCGCAGCATGTTTACAATTCTCTTTCATTATGTACTGGCGAAATACCTCCGGATGAGAGAGCCAGCCCCGACAAGCAGTGGCCGCCTCTGACCATCCCCTGCAAAAACCGTGTGTACCGGAATGGGGCTGCTCACTGGTCAGAATGGGACAGTCGGCCACAAAATATAAGGCAGGTATCAGAATCTGCCTTCCGCGTGAGACGCTGGGCGCATTTCCGCATGGGCCTCCCTATATTCGCGGCAGGAAGCAGTGAGACGATGTCGACATACGCAACGCTGGAGCCGGAGCTCTACACTCCCACAAGAGAGAAACCATATCAGGGAATATGGGTCGGGGACTACTCAGACCACGGATGCGAGTTCCTTCTCTTTCTTCAGCGAGACAAAGTAGCCGGATCAGCCTCGAGTGCCCTCGAACAAGCCGAAGACGGGAGCCGTATTAGTTTGCCCGAGAATGAAGCGGCCGAACAGGACGAACTTCAAGGAGGTGGTCTTATCCAGAGAGGTACTCTAGAAGCGATTAAGCTGACTGGAGATCCAAACGTCCCACGGGGTGAGATCTCGTGGATCTCAGAAGACATTGGGCCTGGTGGCCTAGTGCGGATAGCAGAAGAGGATCCGTTTCGAGGTGCCAGAATGGTGAGGAGTCGAGGCCATGTCGCGCACCTTGGCTTCAGAGATGGTACGTGTTCATTTTTCTTGTGTTTCGAATACAAGAAACATTTTTTCTATATTCTTGCGGGGAGTTTTGATACATGTGCTAACGGCAAGAACAGACAAATTCCTCTCCAGTCAGCTCATTCTCATCTCTCGAGACTGTGTAGCACATTACTGGGAGGATCTAGACCATATATCTTACTTCTACCGCGTCGATATTGACGAGTTACTCCGCACATGATTGAGGTGAAGGAATAGCTTTCCAATTGAAAAGTCCGGTTTCCTTTGCTTCCGATGTCCTGGAACTTTTGGTTGCACCTGCTTCTCAGACCAATCGCTGTACAGGTTGGCCAGTTATGGTTTCGAATGTCTCCCGAGTCACAGTTAGGATCTCCCATAGATCTGCATTCGATGCTCTTTTTCGCCGACTCAGTTCAAACGCCGGATACGTTAGAACTGAATATGGATGCGGCTTGGCCGCAGACGTGTCTACAACCAGCTTCGCCTTCTTGACAGGGTAAATCTCGCGCCGACAAAAGACGGCGTCTATGCCTTAACCTTGTGTTTCAATGGATATATTCAACAAACAAATGAGAGGTAGAAGAAAAGATGCATTGTTCGAACAAGAAACAAGCACTGGATATCCTGATAAAACGTTCCCAACGCCGGTTCCCACGCGGAGTCAAGGACATGAGATTGAATGATGCGCCCAAAGAAAACGAAGCTGTATCGTCACCTCTCTCTCTCTCTCTCTATCTCTCACTCGCTGCTGCCTTTTTCGCACAGCGATAACACGACCATCCTCCCTCCTATACCGGGTCTCCAAATCTCCTTAGCCTTATCAAACGACCGGGACTAGTCCACCCCGAACATCCGTCTCGCAGAAAATTCACCGTCTGCGCTCAAACCAGCCAGTAGATCCCAGAACGGCCACGGATTGATCCATGACCCATTCGCCAACACCGAGGTAGTTCTCGACCCACTTCTTGACTTCTTTGTTATCGGTGAGTTTGTCTGAATTGAGGCTGGGGCTGTGAAGGTCTCGCGCGTCCGCCAAAGGGGGTGAGCGCGGGACAGGGCAGTTAGTACTTCGTTTGATCTTTCCATGCGCAACGAGTGCTTTCCTATCGCGATAAACACTGCTGGGGTGCGAATAGAACAGAGGGCGCTACATGCGAGGAAAGAGATGGCAAGGAATGGAAGATAAATGGAGTGCTCCGGAAGCCGGGCAGAAGTTCAGAAGTAGTAGAACTTGTAGTGATGGGTAGGTAGCGGGGGATGGGAAATGAACGATGGGGAGGGATGTATTTACGTGAGGCCCGTGGATCGCTTTACTCCAGCCAGGAAGGCGGAGACTGTGAAAGGGAAAAAAGAAAGTCAGTTTAGTCATTCAAATATACTTATACACGATCGCATTTTCGAGACATGAGCTCTTCATCATCACCGCGAGGGAAGGGGGGAAGAAGGACATACTGAGTACCGCATCGAAAGCGTAATGGGTCAGGCGGCCGAGCTGGGCGTTCCAGTCAGACACTCCGTATAACCGCACGTATTCGCAGGTAAGAAACTTACCACCATGATGACGAGATTCTTCTTCCTAGCAAACAGACTCCGTAAGAGACAGGGGGGTGATATATACAGGAGAATAATAACAAGTTCAGTGTTCGATCGTCAGCGCTCTTTGTATTATTGTCCGGTGGACGGGGAAATCGGACATCCGCAGTTTTGGATCGATGACCTGCCACCAGCGCCGGAGTCAGCCCCCCCGCCGCTCCCCAGCCTCCCCACCAGATATGACACGTGAGCATTTTTCACATGACACCTCATCCTGGACCCATCACCTGCCTAATGCAGAAAGGCTACCGAAAAGGGAAAGAAGCTCAAACGAGATCTGCTGACTAACACGAAGAAACGAACTGGGCGGTAAGCGATACCACGTGACTGCGCCTACGCTCCTATTACGGAGTTCTTAACAGCAGCAGTTTGCAAACCGCAATCTTTCTCCGGAGTCCGATTTTTATTATTTTTTTATCGATAAGAAAGAGGGGGAGGGATGTTTCCCCCCTCGCTTACGATCCAAATGCTACCAATCACGTTGCAGCTCCGTTGCATCCGCTTCTTCCTCAGCTCGAGGAACAACCTGAAAAGACTCACCGCAGTCAAGAAAGAAGGAAAGGCGATTTTCTTGTCTCGTCTCGCCCGAGTCTGAACCTGAACCCCTTGGTGTGCTTGGCTGCGTTTCTGGTCGAGGGTTGCATGCAGTAGTTAATTACGGAGTCCAACGAGTATTTATTATTATTTATTGAAACTGTTCAGCTCCGGTTGTAGCTCAGTCATATTACATTCCCAGACGTTATTATTCACTCGAATTGTGATATCAGATTCTGTTTGCTCTCCAGTTGCGGGATTACTTCTTTGGACTGTTCCTGTGCCTGTGCCGCTCTCCCACGCAACTGTGTGACTTCGGAGTCACTTTGCCCGGATCATCGGCCTGAGACACCTGAACATCTGATTATCTCGCTGCTTTCTTTGAACTCGACAGGTGGGTGACATTGCCTCTCTTGGCTAGATGAGGCCCTTGTCGGCCATCGCCATCTATTATTATTATTTAGCCGTCACTTGCACAAATCCCCGTGGTCGGAGGCAGCAGATGGTTAGCATGGGGGCTATTATTTATTAGACTCTGGGATGCGCGGCACCCGATCTAGACTTTGGCCAACAACATTTTCTCACCCGCCCACATCCAGCCCCGTCCACCCCTCCTCCCAACGGACCTCCGCGCAATTTTATCTGTGTCATCTACACTCTCATCCATTCCTTACCTACATCTGCACGACCGTCTTTTGTTTCTAACATCCTCTACGGTCAGGAAGTCATCACCATGGCTGCCGCAACTTCGATCGATCACCTTTCCAACCGCATGAAGCTGGAATGGCATTCCAAGCTCAACACTGAGATGGTTCCGGCCAGGAACTTCCGCCGGACATCCATCATCTGCACAATCGGTATGGTGCTCACAGCTGCACTCTCCATTCACTCTCAGTTGGAGTGTAGCAGCAATTGCTGACATTTCTGACATTGCTGACACGAACTGCTCTTCTCAGGCCCCAAGACCAACTCTGTGGAGAAGATCAACATCCTCCGCAAAGGTGTGGACAATTACAAAATCCGTCGCAATGCGCCGCGAAGCTGACTCAAACAAATAGCTGGTCTCAATGTTGTTCGTATGAACTTCTCTCACGGCTCGTATGAGGTCCGTATTGTTTCGAACCACCGCTGGAAGACAATGGACTCACCCAGAGCTAGTACCACCAATCCGTCATCGACAATGCCAGAGAGGCGGAGAAGACCCAAGCTGGTCGTCCCCTCGCCATTGCCCTTGATACCGTAAGTTCTCAACTCTCTTGTCGTCGTTTGTCGACGCTTGAATGCCTGGTTGACATCCAATAGAAAGGACCCGAGATCCGTACCGGTAACACGGTCGGTGACAAGGACATCCCGATCAAGGAGGGCACTGAGCTCAATATTACCACTGATGACAAGTACGCGACCGCCAGCGATGACAAGAACATGTATGTGGATAAGCTGCTCCTTCCAACCCCTCCTTTCTCGATTTGGTCCTAGATAAGATGGGCCTTGGGAGTGTGACTGCAACAAGCGCAGACCTCCAACGTGTAATGTTCAAGGCAAGATCCTGACATTGTCTCGCTTCACAGGTATATCGACTATAAGAACATCACTAAGGTGATCGAGCCTGGCAAGCTCATCTATGTCGATGACGGTATTCTCTCCTTCGAGGTGCTCGAGGTCGTTGATGAGCAGACGCTGCGCGTCAGGTGCCTCAACAATGGAAACATCTCTTCTAAGAAGGGAGTCAACCTCCCTGGCACTGACGTCGACCTTCCCGCTCTTTCAGAGAAGGATATTGCCGACCTGAAGTTCGGTGTTAAGAACAAGGTCGACATGATTTTTGCCTCATTTATCCGCCGCGGAAGTGACATCAAGCACATTCGCGCGGTGTTGGGTGAAGAAGGCAAGGATATCCAGATCATTGCTAAGATCGAGAACCAGCAGGGTGTCAACAACTTTGACGAGATCCTGGAGGAGACTGACGGAGTAATGGTTGCCCGTGGTGACCTTGGTATCGAGATTCCGGCACCTAAGGTTTTCATCGCCCAGAAGATGATGATCGCCAAGTGTAACATTAAGGGCAAGCCTGTCATCTGTGCCACTCAGATGCTGGAGTCCATGACGTACAACCCTCGCCCGACTCGCGCAGAGGTATCCGATGTCGCCAACGCTGTCCTCGACGGCGCCGACTGTGTCATGCTGTCGGGAGAAACTGCGAAGGGTAACTACCCTAAGGAGGCCGTTACCATGATGCACGAGACGTGTCTGCTGGCGGAGGTTGCTATTCCTCACTTCCAGGTCTTTGACGAACTGCGTAACCTTTGCCCCCGCCCCACGGATACCGTCGAGTCTATTGCCATGGCCGCGGTCAGTGCCAGTCTCGAGCTGAACGCCGGTGCGATCCTCGTCCTGACCACTAGGTATGGATTATATTCTTCCCACGTGACTCGTATCCTGCTAACGAAATCAGCGGTCACACCGCACGCCTTCTGTCCAAGTACCGTCCCGTCTGTCCCATCATCATGGTCAGTCGCAGCGCTGCTGCCACACGGGTAAGTCCAGCATCTTCCTGACGACCAGACCAGACCTATACTTACCCATCGTACAGTATTCCCACTTGTACCGCGGTGTCTACCCCTTCCACTTCCCTGAGAAGAAGCCTGACTTCAACGTCAAGATCTGGCAGGAGGATGTTGACCGACGCCTCAAGTGGGGTATCTCCAACGCTCTCAAGCTGGGTGTCATTAACAAGGGTGACTCTGTTGTCTGTGTTCAAGGTTGGCGCGGTGGCCAGGGCCACACCAACACCATCCGTATAGTCCCAGCTGAGGAGAACCTCGGTCTGGTGATGGAATAAGTGATTCCTGATATACGACGATAGACGGATGATGCAAGCAAGACCGTCGGGTGACAAGGTCATCACTTGTCATAAAGAACGTAGGATGCAGGTCTCGTCCCTCTCTGCCAGACGTCTTGACAGCCATTGCGAGCGATTTTTCATACCTGACTGCAGTTCGAGTCAGTTAATGCGTAGGTCAGCGATAGAGGCTTAAGGCATCGGACCATGCGAAACGTACGGGGGCAAAAAAGGAAGACCTACGGACTTTCAGTGTCACAGGGATAATGATCTCCCTTCTGTTTGAAGTATAGTCTGCTATATTAGAGTCATTTCTGAAAGTGCAGCTAGATTGACACGTTAATACAATGAGTGCATAGACATGGCAGTTCGTTTCAGTCGAGTCTATTTGACATTTGGACGCAGTAGATAAGATATCTAGAGGCCAATGTCTTGATGATTGAAAGATTGCAAGCAACAGAAGGGGCACTCAAGCGGCACTGCTTCCCTGAACATTTCGAGTGCGTTGGGCTGGGCATTGCTCGACCGGGTTATGCAGTGAGTTCTTGACGAGCTGCCCCGTAGGCGAGCAAGTATAGAAAAGCGCAACCACAACCAGTGCCGAAACCATCAGGAATGAGAGAAGAAAGAGGAGAGAGGGAAGAAAGAAGAGGAGGAAAGTAAAGATTACACACAATTTCACCTCGCGATGATCCCCGATGCGGGGGTAAACCCGAAGGAAAAAGTAACAATAATAAAAATAATCATGAATAATAATTAACAGGACTGCGCATTCTCTCACTGGACCATGAGGGAAGGAGGGGACGAAAACTAAATTTCCCGAGGCGTTGCGAGTCCAGGCCTCGTGCGGTTCTGCTTTTCCCTTCCGTCCGTTCATCCCGAGTTCTGCCGAATCCTCGGCCAGAGATCGGGAATTGGTCTGTTTTTTCAGATTATGTATGATTATTTCTTCTTTTGCCGGGGCCGATTGGATTTAGTGGGTCTGTATTTAATCTATGGATTTGGCTTAGAAGAGATCTTGCAGCGTTGGTGATGTTAAGTAAATGAATACGGAGTGCAATACAGTACATCTTTCAAGAGTCCGGGATATGATCAGTAGTGCTTTGGCAAAGGGCACGGGGGCTTAATAATGATAATAATGCTCTACTCCGTATTGACTTACTAGTTATTAGTTAGTTTGTTATATTATTTACCCGCTAAAACTACCGTTTAATCACTTGCTGGGCTTCTCATAGAACCAGGCACAGCTGTGATCTATGTGATAACTAGTAGTTCTACTTCTATCGGGAGGGCTCCGCATCCATAATTTGATGAGCGAAAAGCTACTTGAACTACAGAAATAGGAGCGAGCATGTATTACAGTAACGAGCCGTGATTAACTTCTTTATCAATGACAATTACCATTCCAGCTCAGAGATAAGATAAAGAGTGTATTTTTCTCATTTACATGGTCTATTTCAACTGAAACAGATGAACGCGAAAGTACGATGGGGTGATTTATTATTTATGCTCTTGGCCTGCCCCTTTTATTCTAGATTCGCGGACACTGTCTACGGCAATTGATAGCCAATAATAACAGTTTACGATGTATATCTATAGCCGTTCTAGAAGCTTACCGCTTTAGCATGTAGTTGTAACTATTCCTTCGAATTTACAACATTCTCGACAGGTGGCTGATACGGAAAAATACGATACTTCTAGAGACCTGGGATTGTCTGAGCATTAGTAGACGGAAGTATTGTCAATTTCGTTTTATTTGAAAACTTGAAAGCGTTAAGTTGGACGCTGCTATGTCATATCGCCAATTTATGATTCAGATGCCAATGTGCCGCTTGGTTCTGTGACGCTATAAATTTCGTCTTTAATGAGAGCAGAACAAGAGAATCAGTACAAAAATATTAACCTAAAAGGCGATGCATCATGCTTGGAGTGCTGTGCCTACTTTGTATAGATACAACCAGTCGGCGGCGCGGTTAACCCGGGCCGAAAGAACGCGCGGGAATATTTCCGGAGATCTGCGCAGGATAGATAGCAATAAACGTGCCCAAAACAGCCCTCGAAATATATCACAACATGCGGCTACTTGCCACGGGAAGGGCACTACGCGCGAGTAGCGGCGCGTGGTCAATTACTTCCGTACGTGGGAGAGTTTGCGTTCCTCCGCGTTTTCAGTGTGTCTACGGCTCCATTGTGAGGCGCCCAAGATCGACAGTCGCTTCGACGAAGGAAGAGAAGGTCGAAGCTCCAAAATCCACTGTTCTCAATGGAAACAGTGGCTTTGTTGGGAAAAAGCAAGATGTCACCATTGAGGGAATCTCCTATCCAGCTGATCAATGGACGAATGCTACCGAAACAATCCTTTCCCATGTCGGCCGCCGACTATACCTCGACGAGAACCATCCTCTAGCAATCACCCGCAAGCTGATCGAGAGTCAATTCCCATCGCCGGTATACGGAAACTATTCAGAGCTAAATCCTGTCGTCTCGACCGCTAATAATTTCGACGTTTTGGGTTTCCCTCCAGACCACCCGGGTCGCAGTCGCACCGACACCTACTACGTCAATGAGAAGACCGTTTTGAGGACGCACACCAGTGCGCACCAGCAGGAATACTTCCAACGGATGAACAAGAATGAGAAGACACGGCCGGAGGAGACGGGTTATACTGTGATCGCTGATGTGTACCGGCGGGATGCTATTGATCGAAGCCACTATCCCGTCTTCCACCAGATGGAAGGCGCCCGGTTGTGGAAGCGTCCTGCGACTGAGCCATTGAAACATGCTACGCAGACTGCATCTGCCATCTGGGAAGATGTGAAAAAGATCCCTGCTCATGATGTGGTTGTGGAGGACCCTAATCCGACGATCCATCCGGAGCGCAATCCGCTACAGGCAGAATATCACAGCGCTGAAGAGGTGGAAGCCATAGCTGCTCACCTCAAGCGATCACTCGAGCGCATGGTTATCAAGATCTTTACCGAAGCTAGCAAAGCAGCAGGAGACGCTCAACAAGAGCCTCTGAAGGTTCGATGGGTGGAAGCGTACTTCCCCTTTACCAGCCCTTCGTGGGAGCTGGAGGTTTTCTGGCAGGGAGACTGGCTGGAGATTCTAGGCTGTGGTGTCATCAAGCAGGAACTCCTGAACAACTCAGATGTCCCAGAGAGAGTGGGTTGGGCTTTTGGTCTAGGCATCGAGCGTATTGCCATGCTCCTCTTCAACATCCCTGATATCCGTCTATTCTGGTCCCGCGACGAGCGGTTCCTCTCCCAGTTCAAAGCTGGACAGATCACTCGCTTTGAACCATTCTCTAAATACCCCGCCTGTTACAAGGACGTGGCATTCTGGCTACAATCGGCCGGTGGCAGCGCCGCGGGCGGCGCGGTGCCTTTCCATGAAAACGACATGATGGAAATCGTTCGTGATGTGGCAGGCGATCTGGTCGAGGATGTCAAACTCGTCGATGAGTTCACACACCCCAAGACAGGCCGGAAGAGCATGTGCTACCGCATCAACTACCGAAGCCTGGAGCGGACGTTGACGAATAAGGAAACCAACGAGTTGCATGAACAGGTCAGGCAGAAATTGGTAGAGAGGGTTGGGGTTGAGCTGCGATGATGCGGTATATATCGTTTATCGTACCTCTCGCCCTCCCTAGTGCTTCGAGCCGTATAACTATGTATTATTAGTATCGCTTCTTCTCCTGGAGATACTTTACCTAGATGTAAAAATGCCCGAGTCCGCTCTAAAATTTAATCCCCGGTGGAATTTTAGGAGAAGTTACAATAGCCAAATGCTTTAAATCATGCAATTGACTATAAAAGCGTACGAGCCACGTTCGCCACATGAAACCGACATGTCTTGAGATTCGTATCTACAGATTCTCTATCCCGGATAAGCCAGCGCCACAGCGCCATCCGGAGATGGGTAACTGTTCCAACTTCTAGTCGACTCAGAGAATAACGGGGACATAATAAGACAAAGAAACCAGAGTGCCCTATGGCATTCCCGCGCCCATCCCAAAGCCAGATGCAGAAGAAAACAATTTTTTTCATGAACAAACATGTTGGCTGATGCGTGTCATTCGAGTGGAGAGGAGAGGTGATCGTGTTAGATGGGGATTTCCATGAGGGTGAAAACAGGAAGACAGAGAGCAAAGAATCATCGAACATTGCGCTGTTGGCGCAAAAATGAACTGTTAAAACACACGTAGACGCAAGATTAGGTGAGAAATAAACCGTTTCCCTGTCGATCACCGTTCACGTGCTGCCCCGTCATCATGTATGGCTCAGGATATATTGTACAGACGTTGAGAGAAAAGTATTAGGAAGATTGGGTGAAATCCGAAGGCGAAGCTCGCAAACAGACTCTTGGGAATAGTCTGAACAAGCTTAAGAGTTCTTGACAACACCAACTTTGGCAGCCTATGGTATCAAATTAGAACATCTCCCATCGTGCATAATGTTTATAGCGGTAAAGTACTCACTCTGACCACCCGGCCATTGAGGATAAATCCCTTGCTCTGAGTGTACATAATCTCGCCGTCCTCCTTGCCTTCGGCCTTGGCCATGAAAGTAGCCTCGTGTCGGTTGGGGTCGAACTTCTGAGGCTTGCCGTCTTCGGTAGGCTCGCCGGGGTCAAACCTCTCCAGGCCATGCTTCTTCAGCGTAGCCATAAGGATGTTCTCAGTCATCTTCAAGCCATCATATAGGTTGTGCAGGTCCTTAAGAGACTCATCTCCACGAGCCTCCAGCTTCTCGGCCGGCACTGCGGAGAGGGCACGGTCGAAGTTGTCAACGGTATCCAGAAGATCACCAGCAAACTTTTGAATGGCAAATGTGCGTGCGTTATCGATGTCGCGCTTAGTGCGTTCCTGAAGGTTTCGGAAATCGGCCACGGAGCGAAGATATTTGTCCTGATTGAGCACATCAGGATTTTTGAATCCGCCACAAATTGGGGACCCCGCGAAAAATGAATTATTAGACCGCTCGATGCGAAAGACATACCTTCAGTTCAACGATTTCCTTCTGTTTTGCCTCCAACTCCTTCTTCAGGGCGTCTTCTTCCTTGCCTTCTGCTGTCTCGGTCTTCGACTCCTTCTGCTCTCCAGCATCCTTGGTTTCAGTCTTGCTCGATTCAGTCTCAGAAGAATAATATCTCTGTGCTGAACGGAGAGCGTATGCTCCAATTGATGGAGTGTGCAGTCGCAGCGGTGACGTCCGCGTGAGAGGTGACGATACTGCTGTGGTCAAAGATCGGGATGAGAGCGCAGACCGCATGGCCTGGCTTTGTCTGAGCAACGCACGCTGAAACATCTTATGTGGATGTAAAGGTAATAGGGAAAGACGAGCTTGAAAGTAAGAGGCTGTGTGTTTTATATGAGCTGTAGCATTCAATGTTGCAACTCTCGGCGGCCGAAAATTGAGCTCTTCGGGAAAACGTAGCCTCCGGGACTTACATAACCATCCCCGATAACCGGCTGTGTTGTCTGCTGGTGACCGCTGATCTCCGGAATTATCGCCTTCATCATATTTCTATCGTAGAGTAGTCCTTCAGGATACTAATGCTACATTTATTGAACCTGGCTCAATTATCCTCCTTGGCCCATGAACATTCCCCTTTGTCTGTGTCATACCACATAGTTCTTAGCTACTCTAGTACAACCTTGTTTTCTGGAGTATTGCTAGCTTAGAACAACCTCTTTCCAGAACGGTTTGGATCATGTTTCTGGGGCAGCAAGTCTAAAAATGAGGATTCTCTTGTTCTTGACTGCGAGGGACCACTCAGGACGTTATTAATCTATATCATTGCATTCGGCTGCAGGGTCGAGTTCCATGGAACTTGCATGAAGTTTATATACAACAGTCTGGTCACTCCGGAAATGTTGAACAGGATTGAGAAGAATCGAAAGAAGAATCAACAGAAGAATAATCTGTATAGGTGGGTCTAAGAGGTAAACTGCCCTGCTCGACAGAAATAAGAGCAGACGCCTTCCCGACAATCAGACAAAGATATATGAAACGCTAATACCACAAGAGCAGGAAATATTGAAATCCATAAGGTCAGAGGGCATCCTTTCGAGCGGAACTTGCATTCCTTGCCTCGGTCATAAGCTCCATCTCCTTTTCAATGTCTTCAAAAAGCGCATATACCTTCGCGTCAGCATATACCATCTCGTCCGCATAGATCTTGATAGAGTGAACATCCTTGCGACTCACTCCCAACTGAGTCTCTATCTCATCTGGGCTTGGTGGAGGACTCTCCTGAAATTTCTGGGGCTCGGGATTCGTCCGTTGCACCAAAAGAGCTGCAGCCATATGTTCGAGCAATTTCTGTCTAATACGGGTCCGTCGATTCTCCGCGAAGTCCAACTTTGCGACCCATTCGTCAATAGCCTGGTCCAGCGAAGCAAGTGCTTCCTCCTGCTTCAGCATGCTATCCATGCTATACTTTGATAAACTAGGTGATTTAAGATAGCTGATCATCCTCTCGTGCAGGCTGCGGCGTCCAGCGCGCAGTGAGTTGTGTGTGCTTCGAAGATAATCGCAGCGTTCGTCAAGCGCCCTCAGCTCCTTCCAAGGGGTTAGTCATGCTCAGGTCCTGCACCTCTGTATGAGGGGATCATGGTTACCATACCTGTGAAAGTGCCTTCACATCACTGTATTTCAGTACTTCGAACTTTTTCGCCTGTCCGCGAGCTTGCTCTTGCAGTCTCTCAACTTCTGTTGGTGAGAGGACTCTAAAGGCCTCCGGAGGGGCAACACCCAATGGGAGATTTGATGATGACCCTTGATCCTCAGAAGGTCGACGACGCTTGCTGGCTTTTCTTTCGACAAACCCATTGTTCGTTGGCGGTCTACCACGTTCCATGATTGGAGTCTGTGAAAGCTCTCGAATATACTCGTTTCGGGCCACATTACTTAGTTCTGTGATGGTTCCCATGAGCCCAGGTAATCCTCCACTCTCTTCTCTTTTGTGACGGTAAACGGTGTCAATGCTGCGCGAAGGTTTGCGGCCAATTGGCGAACGCTGACGTTCCACAGCGCTGCCTGCCCTTCGTCGGGATTGCGATCTCTGGACTTGATCTGTGATATGCCTTGGGGACGACGGCACTGACGAAGAATTTACTGGCGTTGCACCTCGGCTTGAGGGAGGCCTATGCACTTGTGAAGCCGTCTGCCCTTTAGGTGACGGTGGACTGAATTTGGACGTTGGAGCTTGAGTCAACGGTGGAGTCCGCACGATCCGTGGAGACTTCGGAGGAACAGCTGGAGGTATATCGGATCGAGTATCCTGCTTCTCAGGATTCGAATCTTTTGAACCAGGTGGACCTTTCTGTACAGACTCCTGAACTTCTGCTTGACGGACATGATCCCGCACTGATGAGCCATCTTGCTCAGATGTCAACACCACGGGTTCGGCAATAGGTTCAAGCATACTCTCCTCAAAAGGAGTCCTTCCCCACGATGGAGCACTGTTTGATCTTTCGTGAGCAGGAAATCTCCCTGGAACCGTGGCTTATATTTCCTGTTAGTACAAGTCTTCAAGAGTTGGGTATCGGCTAAAAACTCACGAGAATCTACATAATGCTCTTGCACTGTGGTCATAGGCCCGAAGCCCAGGTCCGGGAAACTGATCTTGCGACGCCTGACTCCAGAAGCCTCCTTCAGCTGCTTAATCTTTCTGCTTGTGACGAGCAGACCGCTATCTCGGAGAGACGGGCTTGAATGACTACTTGCTAATAGGCGTGGTCGTGCGACCTCCACTGGATTCCGGCCAGGAAGAGGTCCTTGTTTCTTTATTGTTGGCCATAGTTGAAACTTCGGCTTCTCTGCGGGGCTAGATTGTGCAGCTTGTCCATTGTTTTCCTGATCTTTATTTTCTGTCTGTTTCCGGCACCCGTCAGTATGCGACCTCGTCATGAAACCCAGAAGATGGCAAGGGTTCCTGACTTACCACCAAATATATCTCCTTGGCAACAACATTATTTAGTCCAACATTAACATCGGACTCATGTTCGTCCTGCACAACTGGATTCATCGCGCAGACTTTTGCAGAGCTGCAGATTGGGTGGCGAAGAAAAAGATAGCAAGTTGTATCAGTTATTTAGGAGGCCACGAGGACCGCACAGCCGTCAATATTATATCTTAGGATATAATTATGGGGATACGCGAGCGGGCTATAATAGGGCTTATTATAGACTGTATCAAGCCTCATGTCTACCAGCTAAACGTTGAAGGGCCCTGATTTTCTGTCACATTGAGGCACCAGATACTAGTGACGGCTTAGACGCTGCACTTGCAGCTTGAAACGACACCCATGCTACTCTTTGGGACTAGCTGCTGTACGACCGGAGTCTATACCGTTGATTCCGTAAGAGCATCCTGCCCTGATCCGCCTACGAGCGATGGGCTTCCCGCTCGCCACGAACCCATGGTTGGTGGTTTACATCAGACGTCCAATAATGTACACAGCCAGATCATCAGCCTATCTTTGAAGACTTGAATCTGAGGTTTCTACCACTCATAGAGTTTCAAAGCCATAAACCCCGAAAGGCCCCGCCAGTGGCCAAACCAAGACCGTCTCGTGAGAAACGGAAAGGCAAGACTGGGAAACGAATCCATGTTGTGGAAAAACCTAGCTATAGGGCAATAGGATCGCTGGATATCGTTCTCCACAGATTCCGTTATGGCCGGCTTTCAATCTCCATTTCGAGAACAGGACTTAGGATCCAGACCTTACATGGCAAAATTCCCGACGGCCCCTGTAACCGAGCTATGATTAATTACCCTGTGTGAAGGCTTCGACTTCGGGTACAGCAGCGGGTCTGACAGTACGAGCTATAGACGATCTCCAACCCCAGCCCACGCGGAAACGACGAGGAAGAGCAGAGAATCCATCGGCCGGAGCTCAATAATCTAGCAATCATGACTTCTGTTGTAGACTATTGAACGCTGATATTGAAGACCTAGAATGGCTTCTACCTCAATCCCTTCAGACGGCGGACCCAACATATGTTATATACGGTAATGAAGTATCAAGCTCCCGCATGGATTCAGATCGATAGAAGAGATGCCTCTGGGACAGAGTCATCGGGGAGGTCTCCGGGACCACCGGTTCGATTGCGAGACGTGGATCTGGTTCACGATCGACAGACTCCCTGTCCGCTCAGTGCTCACAGACCAGTCTGGTATAGCATCTCTCCAAGACCCGTTCTCATCGATAGCTCCATATCAAAGAACAGTTCTCTACATGCAGCGTGCATCATTATTAACCTTTTTTCTAAGATCGCACCGAGCAGTTAAGAGGTTCTAACTTCGGAGCGTCCGCTATGTCTCATCAGCATCGAGGCAATTGTGGTCTTGCAGGCCGTTCAATCCCCGCAAAAGAAAAGCTTCGAAACTATATTAGGGGCTGATAAGATGCCCACTGACCTCGGGAGGACGCCGACGTTGCCAGTTGGGGCTAGGGAAGCTACTAAAAGACCCGTCCTTTCCTAAGGGTCTCAAGTCTCAACGGACATCAGCACGGGCTGCACTTTTTCTCTAAGCCCTGGCGGCTTGGCGACACAAAACTCAGGGGACTGGTCTAGCAACTACTGCAGCAGATGTCGCAGAAATCCCAGGACCTTGTCATTCTAAGGTCCAACTCTCATCGTTATCCGGCAAAGGCGAACCTAGCGTCGCCCAAGGATCTGGTCCCTTCTCTTTAGTTGTGACGGATATGGCATACAAGTTTCCAAAGGATTGATGTGATAATGATTACGATAAGCGGCAAACACGAAATACTGACTCGAATTTTGACGTGACATCAAGAGATGTGTGAGACATACGTGCAAAAAACCATTTTTGATTTCCGGCTCAGCCGACAAGTCGTTTCACGAGGCTACTTGGAACTTGTAACAGCCACTGCCACGAGGACGCCCCGCTCAGATGCAGTAATAACAGACCAACCCTACTATGGAAAAACGCTGCCTCTCGAACGGAGTCAAAAACGTCGCAGACGACTCCTTTTGGATTTCTGGGCATTCGAAATCAGTTAAGACTCTCTTGGCCGTTGAAGTTAGCCTGGCAACCTTAGCCTGAGTGGGCGATCGTCGAAGAGGCTCAAGTTGAACCGGGAAGATCAGCAAAACAAAACGACGCAGCTCGAGTGGAAATATCATAATTGCCGTCTTAAGGACGGTTTGAGGTCTACGACGGTGGTTACAAACGTCGTCCACGCTTCGAAACCTCCTTTTGTTTTCTTTATGTCCCATTCCACTACAAATTTGAGAGACCCAGGACGACCCGATGCCTTCAATCTAAACTCGCTTCTCGCATAACGATTCAATCATAATGCAGGAGTCTGGAGAATCGTATAACGTCACCAAATGATAATTTCTAGCAGGTATAAGTTTTCCGGTCACAATTGCCCAATAGAGAAGAGTGGCTTGGATACTTTTCGACTCTATTCCTCATCGGCTATCGCCCCAGAATTTCCGTACTGTATGTGAATACATAGTACAGAGAATGCTTTTGTAATTGATTATGTGTACTAACCAGGAATTGAACGCAATGATAGACATGCTGTTGCGAGTTTCGCATCAGACCGTGAATAGCAACTAGACGCTGTCCATCGCGTCTCTACGATACAAGAATTTCCACGTTCTCGATACACGGACCAGCATGAACAACGCAGGGAACGAATAACAAATGGAAGTGATAACCAGCAGATGTGAGCTTAGTGTCAGTACCTTACAACTTACAAAATACAAGTACATCCACCTCCTTTTCTCTGTTACCCGCTTTTTCTTTGCGGACATGGTGAAACCGAAACAGCAGCTTTTTTACCAATCCATGTGTCCTGCAGATCCTCCGGACGGACATATTTCCTGCTCTAGAACGACAGACAAAGGCAGATATAGAGTAGATTGCTTGAGGCGTGAAAGGAAGCAGGGTCATTGTCGATCATCTCCCCTCGTCCGCGAAATCTGAATGTGGACTCGGAACAAGAACCTTCGAGCCCTAATGTCGCTGAGAGCTACGGAGTAGTACAACAGCCAAGAAGGGCTGCAGTTTGATCGCCTGGTCTCGTCGAGTTGATCAACGCACGTTAGATTGGTGTATTCTGCAGTCACGGGACTAACAGGGTTGATATCAAGTCTTCTCAACCAGGCTGAAAATAACATGGAAGCAGCTATGGCCTGCAGCGTCTTCTCCAGCAGGGATTGAGATCACGAATCGTGCATGGTCATTCGTCTATTCATCTTCGATTTCCTCCTGGTAGTAGCTCACCTACCTTGTCCGGGCACGGTCCAACACAAGCTCCCGTGGTGGAACTGGGGGGATCAAGGCGGGGTTGTGCTACAAAGGTGATTTCATTTCATTTCATTGGGATTGACGGTCAAATATCGCAGTTGCGTGACGGATAACTGCGATATCAGATTCCCCCGCGCTCTCTCTAGCTTGATGTTGTTACTCCGCAGGAGCATACCTAGTAAGTCATATCCTAATACATTGATCTACTCCGCCCTTTTCGATACTCTTGTTGTACGGTGTATACACAGAGTAGCTCCGGGGCTATGCTAACAGCAGATGTACTCCGTGCGGAGTATTCCGTACTAGCATCAATCACTGAAAATCATTATTGAAATCAGACCCATAAGAGAATATGCGCATCGCAGATCACCTCGTGCGTGATGGGTTCCGATGAAAGTCTATGTTTTAGGTTCCACTACTCCGTATAGGAGAAAAGGATGCAGCATGGACACAACAACATTACAAGGATTCCAGGCTTCCAACTGGCATACAAGGATTTCTCATAAGCTTCAAGCTTCGTGGTGGGGCCGAGAAATCGAGAGCTTAAAAAGATGACGTCCTGAAGGTGATATAGCAATCATCTCGTCCTTTTGCATACCTATCCTGGCGCAAGAAAGGGTGATTGGATCGTTGTGCGGAAAAGAAGCTCTCCTGTTCGTCCATTCAACCGCTGATCCTTGCTGATGGGATCTGAGACTCGATCACCAAAATAACTACCCGATACACGGGCCGTAGCACTGAACGCTATCAGGCACAGTCAGTATGGGAACTGATCGCGATCCCTGCTGCTATCAATGATCATTCCGGATTTCCCCGTGCGGTCGATCAAGCCTGATACTGAATGATCTTAACACACATATCTAAACTCAACTCTCTTGCCGACAGTCCATGGTTCGGACCGTGATTTCAGGAACCTTATCTCTTTCCCCGCACGATGATTGACAGATCGCTTTCTGATTGGGCTCTGCTACAGCACTGAAGGACCTTATAGATATACCTGTATTGCGAATCGATGTGAACCTGCGCTACATGTGTTGTGAAAGTTTCGAGGTCTCGAGGTCCCAGTGCGAAACACCTTTTCGATCCGGTGAAGCCGCAGAGGCCGTAAAAGACAACCTCAAGAGAGAGCTCCTTGTCCATGTTTCCGCTGGTCCAAACGAGTTGGGCGAGTCTGTTCCAAGTGTAGTTACCCGATCGGGAAGGCCTGGGCCTGGTCCACTCTTTTCGGCCGTACCAGTAGATTTCTGGCTTCACCGCCTAGGCAGAATAACTGTCTCGTGACAGCGCTTGGCGGCAATCCGGGCCAATCAACAGGAGGAATCGGGGCTGCGATACTAGGACATGTATCCACGCCTAAAGTTAGGTGAGAACACCGAAGATCATGTCTGGGGGCAAGAGGCTAGGCCTTGGAAGACATCTGATTGCCGTAGGATGATCAACATCTAGGAGTCATTTGTCCCGACAGGCGTGGATTTTCTGATCGCTCGATATCTCTCTGATTGTCATTGACCAGAAGGCAGAGCCGGGGACCGCCATGCACGTACCGTCACAGAGATGAGGTGGACCCAAACCTTCGTCGACTCTATACCTAAGTACTAGGTACATAGTATGCTGTCCCTGGCTCTACCTACCTGAGAAATCTGGTTGGAATCCCATGGGGTACGCTGCACTGCATTCTGTGTGTAACATTTACTGATCAATCTATCTTAATAGGGTAAGCAAATTACCTAGGTATCAAAACAGAAAGCCGAAAGTAGGCCGAGACAAAATGAATCGCATACAAATCAACAATGAGCGGGATTGGTCCGAGACAACATCTACGTTTTGCAGGGATGTAATCTGTCTACTACGTAGTCCCCGACGATAATAGGACTGTGAGTGGTCAATTACACCTCCTCCAAGGGGTTTGATGTTTCAGACCTGCAGCCAAAGCGGTGATGGCGGAGAAAAGATTGCATATTCCGCACACGTGCTGGAAGCTTCTTGCTACTCCTGATTCTGTTCAAGTGTCTATACTGACGCCTATATTATTATTGACAGTGGAGATGGTGATCATATGTACATACATGTTACGGAGTGTTCCGTGTACGGGAATCCTTGTCCTCCCATCTCTATTCGATACGAATCGAGTAACGGGTCTTTCAGTCCATGCGAAGCTTATCTGGTTAAGGTACCTTGCTCCGTCCTCCTAGGGATAACAGAGATGCAATTGAGGATTAGCATTGTCTCTCTCTTCACCAATACAGTTAAAAATGCTAGATATACATCCCTTGGTATCCCTCGAAAGTGGGAACCGATCACACCACAATTAGGATATCTGTCCGCACCTAGCTAAAATAGAATCCAAAAGATCTGCCACGCATGCATAATCCCCGAAGATGGCCACGAGGTCGGAAAGTCGCACTATCTTCTTAGAACACCACAAAGGCCAATAAGAGCAACATATTATTAGACCGACCTAGAAAACTATACCATATACCCTTTTGGCTTATGTTTACGAAGTGGTAACATTTATGCCTCACTTCAAACAGTCCCGGGTTCTCCAAATCATCCTTCATCTCAGTAGATGTGGGGTACGTTTAATTAGAAGAAGCATAGACCATCATAAGAAAGACCCAAAAGCGTCGCTGCCTGAATCATGCCTGCTAGTTAGGGTATTGAATATGACTTTCGTGCTTTGCCCAAGTCATCCATTTGAGGTACGCGGAATCTCGCTACATGCTGCTCAGTATTATACAAAATTAAAGTTTCATGATATGGATCGTGGCTAGAGTACTTGGATCTCCTTTGTCGATCTCGTATGTGCCGTCTGCGGCTAATACAGAATTGCAGATCATCAAGTCACTCGATGGCAGATGCTAACGGCCAAGTACCTACTATTATTGAAGGATGTGGGGTAGATATCATTCAAGCCTTAACTTAATGATACTAAGGGCATCCGATGGGTTGATAATCCTGAGATAGCAGAAGAAGGGGGAAAGGAAATAAGATGAATTTGCATTTCGTATTCTTCATTCCTATCCTAATCACACTTTACCTCTTTACATGTAGTAAGCACCTAGACAAATTTTGGTAATTTCTGCTCACTGTGTATTTGAGATTACCTTCATAATCATCTCTGATTTACCCTCATCGATTTGAGAACAGGCCACAGCTCTAACCTATCAAACTCGCATGCGTTTCACGTGCATGGCGAATAAAAGACTTGGCCACCCGGATACAAAACCATCAGAAAGGTCTCGACCATACGTAGCTATCTATCTTACAAGGGCAATGCTGGTAACGACCAATCTCATCTCATCCTATTAGGTTCTCGACACAGAACAAGCATTTTGACACGCCCCTTGGCTCGATTAGACCAAATCAATTGCCGAGTCTTATTACATCCAACGCCACATCTATGTAATAGGGTTTCACGCAAGTACTGTGCATCAGCCGAGATAGATACTAACGCTCCAGAGCGCAAAGAAACAATTAATCAGTCTCTATGGTACAAGATCATCGGTCTTTCTGCCACTGGATTCTTGTTCTCGTAAAGATATTCCCGAAAAGGTACTGTACAAAAGGGACTATCCCCACTGTCCATACGTAGCCGATCTTGTAGCTGTTATCATCACCATACGGTCCGAAGGACTTCCCAAAGAAGACGAGATGAGGGGGTGGCAAAGTAGGATGGGGTAAGAGGTTGAGGTGCCGATTTACCTGATCAGAGACTTGCCATAGTTAGTTTACAGAATTATGTGCGGGGATTTCCTTTGCTCGGGGCACATTTGATCTGCAATGCATTTTGTTTTGAGTTTCGAGATGGAAATGAGCTTGGATGATCCTTTTTATATTGCAAGTTGTGTGGATTTAAGTTTGGCGAGGACTTTTAGAAGTCAGATTAGTTTCTGCGTTTTGTGTGCTATACTCGACTTGATTATCAGTTCGTTATCAGGAATAACGTAACTAGTTGTGGTCATATCACTTTTACTAAGTAGAAGGTCTGTGGCATGTCACGAGATCCATTCACAGTCTTGCTAATATTCAAGTATATAGATGTCTATGCTGGCGTGATCTGTCACTATCCTCTGTTTACGGAAAATTCTTTGATTACCTTCATGACCTGTATTCTTTGCATGCCTGATAGAGCTCCTCCTAGACCTAGAGTCAAGCAAGCAGTCTACCAGTACGCTAGAGGTTTAAATCATAATCTTGCTTCCGTGACATCTGGGCCTCGACAATTTACAGATGCCATGACTTCTTGTTTATGTATTGCGATGAATATGTGTATTACCTTTTGTAAAGTCCTAAAGGGCATGGAAGCAACGATACGATTCGAACGTCCTAGCTAAATAGCTAGGTTGCTTGATTCTAGATCTAGGGGGAAGTTGATCCTGTATTTATCTCTTATAGCATACAAAGAATCTAAATCTTAGTAATCTAGTAGGTTCTATCCTAAATTAGGATATCAAATTACCTGCTGCAGATGGATGATGCAACAGATTACCTGTACACGCGCTGACATTTTCCCTCTTCTTGATTTGGAAGCCATAAGTTGCATATAAATTTCAATATGTTTATATCTGCTCTGACATAGTACTCAATTACGATATAATAAAGTATCAAAAAGTCAATACAGAAAGCAAGAAGAAGGAAATACATTTAAACTCCATCAAATAATGCCATATAAAACCAACACATACTCTAAACTACTCATTGAAAGAGGCCCATCTGCTTCCCATCTTCTCTCAATAGTACCCGCCTGCGCCTCCGCCGCCATAAGGTCCAGGCCAGCCCCCATGAAATCCGTGACCTGACGGTCCATATCCGTGTCCGTGTGGAAAAGAGGGTCTCCTTGGACGTCTATGCTCCCGTGCGTGTCGGAAGTACTCTAGAGGAGGAGGTGGTGGTGGTGGCGGCATCGCTCCACCATAACCCATACCCATGAACATTCTCGGATCCATCCCCATTCCAGGGCCCATCTCACCCATCGGCATATCTCCACCGAACAGGTGTGGAGGATGAGGAGGAGGAGGACCACGACGGTAACGGGCCGGCTGCATCCGATTCTCTGCCTGTCTTATTCGTCCTCGTTCTCTTATTCGGCTAGTCATCGCGGACCAGTAGTCCAAGTATGTAGGTTCTCCCTGGTCTCCCAGCCACCGGAGCATGTTCAAGAGCGTTCTGCCTTGTGCTTCCCTCCGGATTTCTCCGTCAGAGAGTCCACGGCCCCGTTTCTCGCGCAGAAACCGAAGTATAGCTTCCCCAAGGGGGAGTGCACGTGTGAACTTCCTGCCCTCGAACTCTACGAATACAACTTTCCCATCATCACGCAGCCATTGCTTGAAGCTTTCCGGGATGAAGTGGTCTTCGACATAGGGGTTACTCCCGCCAAGACCCCTCTGGTCTTCGCGAGATTGCATGGCATCTTCAAGCACCCTTTGACGCTCTTGAGGATCTGCAGTGAACGGTACCGATACTGCAGCAGCAGGGTAGGCACGACCATCCGCGGTGTAGCCAGCCAACAACTCTATACATTTCCCTTCGGGATCCGCATGTGGTCTGTTGTCCATGCCTGGTCTGTCGCCCGCACCTGGTCTTTGTTCCATCTGACCTTGGGTGTCTTCAGGTGCAGGGCCGCCGGGGCCTCCGACATCTGGATAACCGGCATTTGGATGACCAGCATTTGGATAACCAGCCATGTCATCCTCCATGTTGCAAGTCTGGGCGAGGTATGTCTTCCTCTGTGTCGTGGTAGCTGTAAAGGAAGTCAGAAAGATGTTTCAACACTAAAACGTTCTCCAAGACGCTGGTTGTAGAACTTGATCGAGCTGCTCGAGTAGATGATATTGATGTATGAGAACGAAAAAGAGAACTTGGGTTGAACGATCCTAACAGAGCTTTATATATTGAAGGTATTACTCACCCCTCGAGTCACAAAAGCATTCATAGTAGCAAATCCCATCGATTTCGGTGACGCTTTGACGGAATCACCCCATGTATATAAAAAATGAATAATGCAAATCCATTGTTCATGACTGTTCGAAGAACTAGTCATCGTCTTTGTTATACCCCCCAGGATGGAAAGTATGCGACAATACCCTCTCTGTCCATCTGTTGTAATATAATGATCTTTGTCCATTGCTGGAGACTGCCGTGAACTTCGAATCATCCCAATTGCCTTTGTCCCTAGTTGCTTCGAAACTTTAAGATACTCGGTTGTTCCTCAGGTGTCGCTTTATTTCATGAAGTGACAGGATATAATGGGAGTGGATAGTTCGAGAAGAGTCCACTTTCTTTATAGTAACAGGAGGCTTTGAAGGAGACATCTCTGCGTATTCATGGAAAGTGTTCAATGAAATACATATACTAACTATCTGCGTTAGTGGGATATTAGCCTTTCAGGGACCAGAGAAACGGAATCGAGACGCACGAGTTGACTGAAATTAAGCCACCACACCGGTACATGGGGTCATTAGCCAGATATCCATGAAGCAGAAATATATTGTCGACGGAATACAAAAGGTTGCAAAAGCTGGAGAGGAGGAATGGGCTCTTAAATAATACGTGATAGCCGTGACTCCTTTATTTGACAGAGGTAGTGAGCATATATTTATGTTTGCTGTCTAAACCTCAGAGCTAACCTCTATCCTGTTTCCAGTATGATAGCTAAAATGACTGCAAACAGTTTGTCTCAGAAACACCCAAATCTCCCAGTGTCGCACATACCAAGGCAGATATTGGCTGTGAAGAGGTCTTTGTTTGGCTGCTATGGAGAACTGTTTTATCATATGCAAGCAAAAACCAGGGGCATAACAAGGAGAATGCGCAATGTCACCTTTCTGTGCAATCAGGATTTCACTGACAAAATGAAAAAGAACTAATGGGGTCTCTTGAAGCGCCTAAGCCTTGTCAACAATGGCTGTTTGCTCCGGAGATGCCGCGGCGTTGCTTTAGTTAGATGCATTGCGGTCAGCCTTAGAGAAAGGACCAGGCTGAGCATTACCACCGGGCTTTAATTAGAGATTGCTGACCATTTTTGCCTCCTCAGTGCGCTGAACTTGTCATTTTCCGGAAGACAGAAATGATGATGCCTGTGTTGTCTCTATGTGTCGTTGTGAATAGGAGACGAAGGGGTTCATTCATGTGGCGCAGTCGAATAAAAGCGTCGCTCTTGGCCAGGGGCGCAGCGCGCCAGTATCGGCTGTTGCACAGTGGATTCCCGACTCTACTAGCAGGAACTAGAAGGCAAAGCTCTCCATTTGTAGTACTATTCAATAGTTTTCACAACAGAGAGGGTCGCCCTGGACAATATTCGCAATGTCTTGCGTGGATAGTTCCAGCCGCCATAGTGATGTTCCAAGCACGGTATACAATCCAGAATTTGCTAAAGACAAGGGCGCCTAAAGATAGCACACTGCAGAGAGTATCAAAAGGCAGTTCATTGTTTGGATGCAGATCCAATGGAGCAATCAATAGTTAATGATCGCCTGTAGAAACAGCGCAGCTGTGGCTTTGCAGTCGGCTACGCGCGCTTGCCATCAGGGCACCAGCCACAGAGGAACCACTGGTATGTGTGCCAGGAACTATGGAGCCGTGGTCAGTAATGCTTCAGTATAGTAAGGAGTAAAGCAGACATTCTATCTCAGTCTAAAATGTCCGGCGGAGTCGATAGAGCGCAAGGAAGCGGAGAAGGGGAAGGCGGACGCTGCTGCGCCTTGAGGCGTAGGGCATCCATGTGGACTTTGTGTGTGTCCAGGCCTCGCCACGTCCCATGATCCCTCACCACCTGCTGCTTCGAACGAATAATTACTTAAGTCCCTCTCGACTCCCTCTTCACTCTTCCATCACTCCAGCAAAGCATCCAGAAGAACGGAAAACAACGAGACATCAAGACATCAAGACATCTCGGCCGTATCATTCCCGCTCCCGATCGCTTATCTGCCCGCGATCACCGCTCGCCGATCTGGAAACTCTTTCGACCAGATTCCTCCCGTCGCGTTGCTGCTCTATCACCGCATCACGATAATACAATATACAGCACCTTCATAATGGCCGAAGTGACTGCATCTCCTCCTCGATCCCTGCCTGGATCGCCCACGTCCTTCTCCGCGCATCGTTCGTCGCATTCGTCGTCGCCACGGCCCTCGCTATCTATCGATCTCTCCAGTCTGCCTGCCCTCTCTCAACCGTCACCACCATCGAACACCCTCTTGATCACCGATTTGCGGGATCTCTATCTCTTCCAGCCCTCATCGCTGGATTCCATCCGCTCTCAGATCACCCAAGTCGCGCCCCTCAACTCCTTCTCTCCGCTGCCATCTATGAGGCGAATAGTATGCTCCTTCCTCTCAACAGACGATGCGATTAAGATCCGCCAGCTGCTGGACGGCGAGGCGCTCTTGGGACGACACGTGCGTGCGCGAATCTACTTTGGAGAACCCACTCCCATTTTGAGTGCGGAGGAGGCACGGAGAAAGAAGCTGCTGGAGGCGCCGCAGTCTCAGAAGCTCTTCTTCATCAGCCCGCCCCCCAGCCCCCCTCACGGCTGGACGATGCGCTATGAGGACCCGCCCAACAAGGAAGTTCATGCCACCGATCTGGCAGAGGCGCTTGCAAAGTTGAAGACCGCGCAGGAGCCGAAGGAGACCATCGAGCCGGAGCCGGAGACGCCAGTATCATTGGCCTCCGACAAGAGGACAAATAGCTGGCCTGCATCATTCTCAGGCACGCGCAGCAGAAGCAGCACGATCATCTACGACCCAGAAGCTCATGGCAGCAACCCACAGCTGCCTGCTGTCATGGTCGAGGACACCACCGATCTTGAAGATATCGAAATGGACATGGGCCCAATTGATGCACCCAAGAAGATCATGGCTCATACCGCGCGTCCGCCCGTGGAACTGATGGAGTAAGACATGACATTGTTTCAGTCTTGTTCACAACCTACTTTTATTCAGTTCTTCTATTCGTGATTCCCTCTCTCGCCGGCGTTTTCGAGCGTTTTCGGTCTCTGCATTGCATAGTGCCGTTGTTATTCGTCATACAGATGAGTTTCGACCTCGTTCAGCATGATGCCTTATAGTTGGTTCAGCAGTACAAAGCAGCGTTGGCACTGCATCCGGATGGCGTTGGTGGTCCTGGTTGTGATTTTTTTTTTCTTTTTTCCTCTTCTAATACGCAAGTTGCTTACCTTATATGGTAAGGGATGGTCACGCCTAGTTTATGTTTGACTTTATGTATATACGTGCATTCCTCAAGTGGCACATATACGCTGAATGCATACCCATGAAAATAGTAATCATTTTCTTCAAGTTTTCAGTCTTGAAAAATAGTCGGTAGCGGCATCTATAAGATTTGGACAACCGTAGAGTCAACTCGAGTCTTGTTTACGCTCTAATCGATCTGATAGTGCCCAATCTCAACATCCTGCAGAAAAAGAAAGCCCAAAGCAAAGTTCCAATAAAAAAAGATTCCATTATTCAGACCAATCACTAAGCCGCAAGAAGCATGTAACTAATTCTTCAATTTCCATTTCCCCATTGACAAATACTTTACTTGCAGATAAGTACTAGTACTAGTAGCCAGTACTACCTATCTCCTGACCTTTTCCCTATTCAGTCGAACAAGACAACTGCAGAATCCTTGACTATTTTCGGTCCCAAGACGGCTGCCAGTTCGCCTATGATTCCCTTGACTGATTGAGGGTTTTTGATATCGGAGGTTTCCCAATTGACGAGATCCTAGAAAGGGGGTTGGATTGTGGTTAGTTTAGTTAGGAAATAATGACTAACTTTTAATAGGGCATTTTTTTCGTGGTAGGGCTTGAAAAATCTTTGAATGAGCGTGACAAGATGGGGCGATTACTTACGATCATTTCGAGGAATGATCCATGGACGAGGAGAAGCCAGTGGTCCAGATCGAGCGCTAGTACTTCCTCCACTGTCAATACGCCAGGCATGTGAATATCGAAGAGGGACATTTCCTCGTCGTTCTCTTCGGATTCCTTTCCTTGGCTGGATTGATCTGCTGCTGCTGTCGTGGATTCGTCCTTGTCGCTTTCTTTCTGGGAGGCTAATTTTCGATCGCGAGACAGGGAGACGTAGGGACGCTCATCGAGTTTCTTCGATAGTTCGCCGTCGAGAGGATCCCAGGTATAACTCTCCGGGTCTGTGGAGTCGGTTAAGATCCGGTTAGAAACGCTGGGATGGATACATTATGTCTTACCTAAGATATACTGAGGTCGATAGGTTGCCTTGTAGCGCATTTTCTGGCAAGAATGGATGTAGAAGCCTGGAGAGTGCTCGCGTTAGGAAGGTCTAGCAAGGAAGTAATATTGTTCTTGACATACCCATGTAATAGTACTGGTAGTTGTTCTCAATGGCGAAGGCTATCTCTCTAAGTGCGCTCAGCTTGCCAAATTCCCAGTGACCAAACTCGGGGTCGTAGCTATGAAAGTCAGCGCTTCGTCGACAGAGCGTGGTAAGCTGAATACGTACAAAATATAGACGGAGCTCACACCGTGTGGAAGAAGATCGAGGACGGCTACGGCTATGAGTCTTCCATCCAGACGATAGCACTGGTGCCAGGAGCCCAGTTTCCGTTCCTTTCCATCTTCCTTGACCGTCGACTTTTTCAGACCAGAACAGAGGAATCGCTTGAAATCCGCCGATTTCCACCGAGATTCGTCCTCTTTGTGGATGGCCTTTTGATATTTGAGGAAGACCTCATATCTGCAGAATAGAATGAGATAAAGGCCGTCAGTATTGCATGAGAATGAGGTACATACTTGCGCTGAGAGATAGAGTCGCCCTCCGTGGTGACCTCGAATTTATGCGCTGGCTCGATGGGCCGTTTGGTTTCGGGATCAATCGGACGTTTCACATTCTCATATTCGGTCTCGTGGATGGCTGTGAGCAAGTCGAAGTTGTTTTTCCTGTACTTCTTCTCTCTGTTTGATTGCCCTTAGTTTATATTCAAGTCTAGGGATGCACGTTGGCGCATACTCTCTGGTCTTCGGACATAGTCTCGCAGCCTTGCGCATGTACTCCGGACCCAGAATGTATTTATTCCAGCGGTTGAGTGCTTTTCTTTGGTCCTTTCGAGGCTTGAACTCGGAGGCGTCGAGCCTAAAATCTCGACAGTTAACGAAGATATCAACCATAGTTATATAAGGCAATGATGCAAGATTGCGCACCTCATAGTGTAGTGCGGACAGCATGACCTCTGCAGGTTCTGCTTGTAGTACAGAGTCCCTGATCTAGATTCGAAAATCAGCATAATCGATATACATCAAGGCTATTTCGAAGTAGTACCTTCTCCAGCCGCGATTGACTAGCTCTTCGTAATGCTCCGGCCGCACTGAGACTGAACTAGCATAGTAAGAAGCACCTGTTGTCTCCTGGTTAGGAACTGGAAGATAAGGTCTAAAGCTTCTCGACTACGGAAGGACAAGAATTGCATAAAAGTTGAAGCGTTGAAACACGTTTCTTGCTTTGCTCCTTGAAGAAGGGGATGGAGTATGCCGTGGACTCCTGCATGCAAATACCTGTGGGGTAAAAGAAGCAGAGGGATAATACTGACTTCCTCTCTCTGATTTACAGTAACCACATGAATTGCGTTGGTAGCCTATTCTTGGGAAATTAGTAAACGTCTAGTATATAATTACAGAGCGCCATAGTGGTAATTATCTTTCCATGGTGGACTGAGAGGGTAAAACCAAAACAATGTGTGGTGCGGTCAAAGGGCGGGATGAGGGGTAACGAGGGGCAAATTGAATAATACCATATGTTGAGCAGTTCTGTAGAATGCGCGTCAACACTGGGCTCAGTGCTGTAGAAGGGGAATCTAGCCATGGCCTGGCTAATGATATGGCCAGCCATTTAGGCACGGGGTGGTATAGGGCTTTCCGACTGGCCCATAGAGATTGGTTTCCTTACCTAGAGGTCTGAAAAGCGACAGTTGCCGTGACCTCTCTGCATCGACTAGGGGCTCCATGGCTGACCGGTGTTCCCGACAGAGCCCACCACAAGGGTCAGAAACAAAATGTGAGGCGAACAGGCGACGGTGGTGCGAGACTCGAGAGTGATCTTATAGACGGTGTTGCGGAGGAGGTTCACAATCGCAGCAGCTCTGAGAAATCTTTGTGACGGCTTTGTCCTCCGGTGGTTTGTGATCACGGGAGCCAGTGAGCGCGTTGGTTGAAACTGTACTCTCTCTCTCTCTCTCTGAACGAAAGAGTTATTTCAAGGGATGTCTGCTTGAAGGAGATCAGTCTTGTAGTTAATGGTAAGATAATAGGCATGAAAGAAAACAGTGATGCTTCTAGAAGCTGGGCCCGATGGCGGTCAGCGCTACAATGGTACGCGCTTTATGCAAGTCGTCCTCCACATTAATGGACCACTTCTATCTCTACTATCATAACGAGAGTATGTTAGAATAACCACTACAGCTGCAACATCGCCGGTAATAATCCTGCAGTCAGGTACGTACTAAGGAAAACTTCCCTCTGTTTAATGCAGGTGTCTTGACTCATTGCTTAAGTATCCCTGTCTGCCTGCATCTAGTGGTGATCCTACGGTGCATGCCAACGGGCAAATCATATATACGCTAAGCCATCTGACTGATCAACTAGTTCCCTGGACAATCTTATGCTATAAGCAGTTGGACTTCAATAATATGACCGTCAAAAAGAACGACGATCTCAGATGAGTCTGGGTGGGATTGCTCGGGCATTATGCGCACCCGCACTCCCGAGTCGCAATGACTTCAGACAAGGAGTTTGGAAACGATGATCTTCGAACAGTCCTGGAGATCAGAGTCAGGTGCGGCCAAGACAGAGAACCTCTTGCTGCGTTGTCGCATTGAAACCCAATCGCCATGTGCTCATCAAAGGCAAATTCCCAGAGAGTCGCTAAGCCATCATGCTGTGTGTACGACTGCGGAGTAACCTGGCCCTTGCCCACTGCCCCCAACGTTCAAATAAGGGCTTTGAGTGGACACAGCGCCATCTTGCCCTGTTGCGGAAACCAGGCGGCACCCAGATCTCTCTTACGATGTCAGCGGTGCCGCCGTAAGATCGTCCTTGGCCCGTCCGAAGTACGGATACTCCGCAACCGCTTGTGGGATGCTTTGCGAGTTCCCTCGATAATAATTGATATGCAACATTTGGCCTTAGTTGCCCGCAGAGCAAGTAGCGTAGGTATTCTGGATACATTATTACATTGATCACCACGTCTATTATTGGAATGCGGTGGTTTGAGATGTGATACACGGAAAAGTCTCGTATCCTAGGGCTTCAGCCAGAGCGCCATCTTCCTGTCCGAACCGGGGCTCTATTTTAACGGAGCTTCCAGTGTCGTGCGAGCTATCTCCGGTTAAGTCTTGCTTGCTGACTGTCCGCTGTCTCCGTCACCCGGAAATAATCGCGATCTGGTCCAAGGGTTCCGTTGTACCGCATCCGTTGGTGGGCCTTGCATGCAAGCAAGGACATCGTTCATGACAGCCACCGTGTGAATGCGCCTCCAGACACCCGGGAGCAAGATCTCGTCAGCTCCAGCGGCTTTCAGGGAATCATGATCGGGGGTGGTAGTAGTCTAGAGACATCGTAAGAAGCGCTTGAGGCGGGTAGGATGCAGAAACGAGGGATCGGGATTTTCAAGACGGTCACAGCGCCGACTCTCCGGGTCTCTGGGAGCCCCTCACATCGCCTCCAGCTGGAGAGAAGGCCACTGATGACCGGAGCAAAGCAAAGGAAGCAATAGGAGTTGTCAGTAAAGGGCATGGCTGACTCCACAGGCAGCGCTGGGAGGGACCGTGGTTAGAGGCAGAGGCTTCGATAATTAATCAACGGACGAAAAAACGACCACCCCGAAAGACTGGCGGGAGACGAGCCTTACCGTCTCAATACACGCCCACGCAGCGCACCGCCAGCGAGACTCGGCGGCGGCGTTACCGTACAGTACACAGGTCTCCAGGCTGCCGAAAAAGGTACCAGGGTCAAGCACGAGTCGGCCAGAAACTTCTTGCCGGACCGCGCCGTCATATACCAAGCTGCTACTGAATTCCCCCCCCTCCAACCCGCTCTGTCTCTTCTTCCTTTTTCCCACTATCTTACTCTTTTGATATTTCCCGATTATGATGCCCTCTTTCACTTCCCCTTCGTGTACCAGGACCCCGTCCACCACGGGCTTGAACGGGAATACCTAGTGTCCGGTTGCCAGTGCGCAGTATCTTGTTCCCTTCTCGACCGCCTCGCACGTCTGCTATATCTCAAAATTACGGGCTTGCATCGGTATTACAAACTATTGCGGTCTCCCTAGCCTGGCTGCCTTCTGGAGTCCTTCTTTTTTTCCCTCTTCCCTCCGCGCAGCTCAGCCTCGTCCAAGCTGCGTGAACAGCGGGCTGGATTCCTCAGAGCTCGCGGTCGTCTTTTCTTAACCTTTCATCCTCACCCGTCTCGTGTGTGTGACAATCGTTGCGGAGCGGCGCTCAATTCAAGCCTCTCTGTTCCCCATTCCGTCGATCTACCAAAGAAGGAACCCTCGAGCCACGATCTGATAAATTTGAAGATGGCTCAAAGTCGCTCTATGGAATCCCGCACAGGGAGGACAAATCAACGTGAGTTTTTTAACTGACCCCAGGCACGTGTCAACCCTTCACTTTACGTCTCGGCCCCCTGCAGCAGGGATCGGTCCCTCATCCTTGTCATCTCAACGACGCGACACCCCCAATTTGCGCTGGACAGTTCAGAAAAAAAAATAAATAATTAAAAATTGTCGGGCTGAGAATACATGCTAACCGGTGCTGGGTGGTTCTCTAGGTTACGGTTCCAAGGGCGAAAGACTCGTGGCCGGTGTGGTCCCTCTCTCCGCGGACAAGACAAAGGTCCTTATGATTGAGTCTGCCGGGCCTGGAGGATGGGTTCTCCCCAAAGGTGGTTGGGAGACTGATGAAGGCACTGCGCAGCAGGCGGCCTGTAGAGAGGCATGGGAGGAAGCTGGTGTCATCTGCACGGTTCAGAAGGACTTGGGTCTCATACCGGATATGCGCCCCTCGACGCTACTCACCTCGCAGGCGCCCAAAGCCTCGTACCAGTTCTTCGAGGTCACAGTGGATCGCGAAGAGACGCAGTGGCCAGAAATGCATAAGCGAAAACGGCAATGGGTGACATATGCCCAAGCTGCTGCTGCATTGATCAGCCGCCCCGAGCTTTTGGAGGCGCTGAATCGCAGCTCGATCCAACGATAGCAACCGCGTAGTTGGTCTTTTGACTGCTCCAATGTTGCCGTTTCACCGAGGATCTCGTTATGACATCACACGACAGAAAAAAAGATCTGATATTCATCTTCCCTTCCTCAGGAGTCGGAGGGCTGCGATGTAATGGTGCTTTTGTGGATAAGGGTGGCTGTCATGGCTTTCCAGATCGTTCTATTTGATGATTGCCCACGACAGTTCTACCTATCGAGCCAGAACTGCTTTTACTATAGACCCGTGGCAGCGGGGAGAAAAACGAAAAGGAGAAAACAGAAATCCATTTGAAGACAACGGGATCCGAGGAGCTACATGAACCTGCAGTCCATTAACTGGTTGGGACATGAGATATCGGGGGCCACGTGTCAGGCTTCTAGTCAGTGTGTTCTACTAACGCACCCGGGGTGTCAGGGAAAGGAGTTTTGCTTTGATTTCTTTTGCAAGCCCATTTCGGTGTGATCTCTCACCCTCGCTCGGTGGCTTTCTGTGGTCAAAAGTTTCCCCTTCCATGGTTTCTCCACTTGATCTTGCTATAGCATTTGAAGATCTCAGCATAGGCGACGAGTCGCCGTTGATCGAGCGCTTTCTTCCCTGGGCCCTTGCTATATTATCCGGTAGTATTGCACCCTTCCAAGTATTGTAGATAGGCCTTGCATATCGCGGACCCAGAGAATCTGGGTATTGGCTACAACTGAACTACATTGAGCTCAGTGAGCACATTGGCACGTAGGCGCTGCATCGAACTAAGTGGCAGTTTTCTCTCTTAGAAATTGGCCAGGTATCTGACATGCTGCATTTAATGTCTCTGGATGCTCAACACCTAAAGACAGCAGTCGTTATCTAGGATTTTTCACCAGGTTGACAACGGGAGGATGGGCAGTGGGATCCCCTTATACAGACAACTAACTCATAGCCTACAGGTTCCACGTCGACAGCAAATAGATGAGAAGCACTGTTCTAGATGAAAGTCCATTATTTAAACGAGGCTGGTCCAATATTTTTATTCCACTATAGTGATAGGTCAAGCGTTCTCGATCTGACTGAGATATATGACCCGAATAGGTAAAGCGGCTCTTGATCTTTGGATCGCAACTTAAAGCTCAACTTCGGGGAGTCCAAGGCGGCGACCGATATCAACTCGAACTACCCCCATCTCCGCCACTTTCCCTTCCAGATCTGTCGCAGATATCGACTGCAGTCTCCAGTCCGGTCTTCACGTTCTACTCACCTTTCCTTTCATGAGCGGCAGATAAGCGCAAAGCACGTTCGACGGAGGTGGTCAGCGACCCGCGCCGCCGCGAATACATCTAGCACATCATGGATTATGAGATGGACATTGAGCCCACGGGGCCTCAGGTGACGGTTCGAGAGGTATAGGATCTTCCCATCTCTGCATTCCTTCAACAACCTCGAGTCACTCACAGATTACGGAGCCAACACCGGATGCATTGGCTGGGACTAACATATTCTCCCTTCCCAGGCCGAGCCCTACAGAGTAGACTTCAAACTGAGCTCCGTCGATCTTGCCTTCGCCAACTCTTTACGGCGGGCGATTCTCGCTGAAGTCCCCACGATGGCCATCGACTTGGTTGAGATCGAAGCCAACACCTCTGTCCTCCCGGACGAGTTTCTCGCGCACCGTCTCGGTCTCATCCCGCTGAACTCCAAGAACTGCGACCAAGACGTCGAGTACACGCGCGACTGCGACTGCGAGAACCACTGCGCACGATGCAGTGTGACGCTGACGCTGCATGCGCGCTGCACGGGCGACGAGGTCATGCCGGTGTATGCGCGCGATCTAGTCGTCAGCAGCGAGCGCGCGAACGAGTGGGTAGGGAGCCCGGTCATTACGGATCCCGAGGGCAAGGGACCGATCATCGCCAAGTTGCGAAGGGGCCAGGAGCTTAAGATGACTTGTATTGCGAAGAAGGGAATTGCTAAGGAGCATGCGAAGTGGGCGCCCACGGCGGCGGTTGGGTTCGAGTATGATCCGCATAACAACCTCCGCCATGTGGACTACTGGTACGAGGAGGATCCTATCAAGGAGTGGTACGTATATATTATCTCACTGGAGGGTCAGACGACGAGCGCGTATAATAACAGGACTTTTTATATAATTCAGGCCCGTCTCTCAGAACGCAGCCTGGGAACCACCCGCGGCTCCCGATCAGCCATTCGACTACGACGCCCAACCAACCACTTTCTACGTCGACGTTGAGAGCGTCGGCAACCTCGATCCAGACGCTATCATCCAGCAGGGTATCGTCGTCCTACAAAGGAAGCTCGCCTCCGTCATCTCCGCCCTTACGGGCAGCGGAGATGGCGACCGCAACGGCGTCGCTGAAGATGAAGACATGATGGGCGGCGTCCGCAGTCCTGACGCATATGAGCCTCCCGAGGGTATCGATGGCGGCTTCACGGCTTATGCTAATGGTGCCACAAGCGCCTGGGGAGGCGTAGGTGGCACGACGCCATATGGAGCCACGCCGTATGGACAGAGCGGTTACGGATTCTGAAGAAAGAGAGAGAGACCAGAATATACACAAGTCAATAAAAAAAGGAACAAAACTATGAACAGTACGAAATTACGGGGATAAGGAAGAGAGCACCAGCGAAGTTCGAGAGAAGCGAAAGAAGCGACTTGAAGTTGTCATTGGGACCCAAAACCCGACACACAAACGATACGACATTTTAAACTCACAGGGTCTGGTCTTATCTTCTTTAGATTATTCGAAAGGGCTACAACCAAAGGGGGGGCAAAGAAAAAAGGAAGAGCGAAGAGCCTGAAAACAAGCTTTGCATCTGGGACGGCGTTTTCTCTTTTTGTTTTCTCTTCCTCTTTTTCAGTGGTTTGCTTTGTGTTTTCTTTGTTCATGCTCATTTCAATCTTATCTTGAAACTAACTACCTAACTAACTGTAAACTACCCTTCTACGATGAAAGTTATACTTGCTCTGTTGAGAGAGATGGAATAGAAAAACAAATACATTACATATTCCCATTCCCCATATGTTGCATGGTCGATTGCTAGACAGGAAGAAGAAAAAGGTGAGAGACTCTAGGAGTTAATATTACCATACGCGTCTTTCGATAGTGCGTGTGGATGCTATGTACTCTAGATAGGTATTAACTATGTGCAGCGGTTATGTAGAAGGTAGCTAGGTAGATAGGTAGAGGACATCAAGCTCTTTGGAAAGATATCAGGATTTGTTAATGTAACTGTTCTTCTAAAATTGCAAGACAGAAGATACTACAGAACAATTCCAATGCATCCATCCATCAATCACAATCACTAGACCCCGCGGGCCCATGAATGAATGATTCAATCCGGCCCGATGTGTATATGGGAAGGGTAGGGTGAGGGTCAAGTTAGAAAGAGACGATGAGATCGAAAACATGGGAGGTGGATTACATTAGATCAACACGATTTGAAAAAAAAATCAAACAGAAAAAGATCAGCATGAAAATCCACACAAGTGATAACTATGTTGCGCCATTTCCCCGTTGTTGTAAAGCCCAATTCAATATCCGTCGCTTTCGCCGTGAAAAAATGTGTCTCTCGATCGCCGGAATCCGATGATGGTACCAATCTCTCGAGACGCCAGTGACCGGGCCAGGACTGAAAGAGAATAAGAACAGAAGGCCATCAAGCACAACTCGCCGACAACACCCTTTCCCATCCATGAAGTGCAAAAATAGGGGACAACCCGTGGTAAATGCAAAGAGGAGTTTTGTCAACGGAGCTGCTTTGGAACCATGGACCGGGGAGGGGAGTCCATGGCCAAGAGAAGCAAAGGAGACATTATACTATGCAGTCCGTCGGGGAAACAAGATGGGGTATTGATGAGTATAAACGCCCTAATCAGGAGACAAGAAACGAAAACAAGGAGCCAGATCAGCATCTTTCTTTTTTCGCGCTGATAGCCTCACCTCTCCTCGATGACTTCCTGCTCCGGTTCAGGGGTCGGCAGTGTTGAGCTCCCAGGCACTCTTCTCCCAGATCCATATACCATTTCCATCAGCTTGGCCTTCTGCTTTTCGCGCACGGCACGGAGGTAGTCGTATGCGCCCTCCAAGCCCCGGATCTGACCCTCAACCACAGCTTCGACAGGAGTCAGGGTCCTGCCGGCATTCCGGCTATTCGCGCCATCGATACCCATGAAGCTGACCGAATCGTTCCGACGTACCAGTGGACTCACCAGTTTCCGACGGAGGGTCTCAAGGCCGACCTTGAGCGTCAGCAGTCGACCACGGTGGTCCATGAGCAGATGCTTATTCGCGACGGTGCGGCTGCGAACACTGGCCAGGAGTCGCTTGTTCTTTTCATACTTGCGCACCATCGCCGCATCAGGACCCAGAACCCGGGTCCATAGCGAACTAAGCATTTCGCCTTCCGCACGCTCTTGCGCATCCGACTCACGGACGACTGTACGTTGTAGATTCAGGAACTGCCGGTCAATGGCTTCAAAAAGGGCAAACAGTGCCGTGGAGTGTGTCAATTCGCTGTTAATTGACTCTTCGAGCACGGAGAGAAACTCTGTGAACGTCCGCGTCAGAGTGGCTCTCGTCCGCTGCGCAGAGGTCGGTCCAAAGACGGCCATCACGATATGGCCCAGCATCGTAGGGGTGGTTGTGGAGAGATCACTGGGTTCTGCATCGCCTACGGTGGCCGAAATCCGCTCCAGAGCTCCTAACCGCGAGAGCATTGTATGTAAATTATCATATACAATGCTTGGTATCGCACTGGGCGGCTGCGAGGACAATGACTCCAGTTCGCGCTTGGCCCAGTCCATTACGATCAGGATGGAGTCGATGTCAGAATCAACGTTCGCAAAGAATCGCGTGAGCTCCAGCGACAAAGTCTTGAGAGATTCAGACAGTTCGTCCAGTTCGCGCACGATAAGCGGAGCACTGGTCATGTTGGTCCCGCGTACGGACTCCCCCAGGTCCCAAACCGCAACCCCTGTCTCCTGCAGAGTGCCAATCTGCTGCACGCCATTCTCCGAATAGTATATCAATGGCTCAAAGGAACGCGCCAGGCCAGAGAGTTTGACCAAGTCGGGCACCGCTTGCGGCACGGGAGGAAGAAACAGGGCCCGCATGAAAGCAATCGAGAGCAGCGCAACGATGACGGACAGCGTCGTCGTCGATTTCGAGCTTGTCATGCTGTCGAACTTGGATCGCGCATAGTTAAACAATGCGACAAACGGTTCACGGTGCTGGACTTCCGCCCGTACGGCAAAGCGGATATCTTTCCTCGTTAGTTATCCCGAGCCAGACAGGATCAGGGCCAAAGGAGGGACGAGTTTACAATTGCTCAGATTCTCCGCCCCAAACTCGACGCCGTCACCATCATTGCCCCCTCTGGGTGCTGGAGTCGGGCTAGGTGACCGCCCCTTCAACGGCGAGTCCGTCCCCTTAGGGAGCGGCACATTGGCCGGTATCGAGATGTCTCCGAGCTCTCCGACCTGCGCAGCGTCCTTGCCCGGCGATGTTGGCCCCTCCTGCGCATCCTCATACTGTGGACTGGGTTCCCGCGACTGCGATGGACTGTCGCGAACGGGCGGCTTCAACTCCAATCGATTGTTGTCTTCTTTGCGCGAGTAAGGCTGGTGCCGGTACCAGCCGCTGCCTGGAACGTAATCATGTCGCCGAAAGCCTGGGGGTGACCAGGGTTCTCCTGCAGTCGAAGTCGCATCGCCATCAGACTCTTCTGCCCGGAAACCTGAGTGCTGCGAGGGCAATCCAAAGAGGGGTGTGCGGTGGACATTGTTGCTGTTGGCCTCAAAGTCCTCCAGCGAGGCATCAAGGGAGGGATGATCGTCAAATACGTTGTCCAACTCGTCCATCATGACGCGCTGCGCCGTGCGCCGTGATCGATAATCAAGGGATGTTCCTTTCTCTCTGAGAACGTTCGCAGGGAGAGCAGGCGGAGAGAAAGAGAGAGGGAGAGAGAGACAGAGAGGTGTTGGTAGAGTGTAAGTACAGTACACTGGGAATGGTACTTGAGGGGCCCCGGGCGATAAGGTCGAGCGATCGTCCCTGTGGTCCCTCCTCTGAGCTGTCGGCCACCGCCAGTTAGCGTTTAGCGCAGAAACGAACGAACTAGCGAGAACAGCCCAACTGTGAATCGTCCTGTGTCTGCAGAGGATGCTGGCTAAGAATCCCGTTGTCCCACTTCGTCCAGAAGAGACCCTGGGCCGCTGTGTGGCCTTTGTGCCTGGGGATCGTGAAGTAGTTAGATGGTTTAAGACAGCAGGAAGTAGGAAATAAGGAATACTTTCCGATGAGACACAGATGGTGAGAGGTCGCAGGTACAGTACGTAGTAATAGCTGGCCGGGCATGTATGGATTCAAATCAAATCGTCTTGTCATTCCTGGGTCGATGCAGGACACATCCGACAGAGATTCCCCCTCCTCTCCAGTGGTGTCTGGCCTGCTACTGGCTGTCTCGTCGTCCTGCTGATGGCGCTGGAGAGAGAGACTGCGATGGTCTAGTCCTGGATTGAGTATAGACCGTCGTCATCCAGCCAGACGGCCTCATGGGTTCGGGTAAACGAAGGGGCATTGAAGGGATGCCGTCTTCCTCTGGCGTCCCTCGCATGGCGTCGGCAGTCCATTGCAGCGCATCCCTGGCTGGATGATCGTCCAACGCAGCGACGGGCTGGAAGCGAAGTTTAAGGTGGTGGCTGGTCCAATAATGCTGAATGGACAGAGGGTGTTGTGACAGCTAAGAAAAGAAGCGCCAGTGAGCGTATCCCAGACACTGCCAACCCAGTTTCTGCTTCCCCGCGGGAGAGATCGTCTGGACCATCGGGAATCGGGATGAGCCCGATGGTAAGGCAAACGCTTCTACTGCGGACGATTTTCTTTATCTTATCTGCTCTCCTCCCGATCACAGCAAGATCCTGCATGGATTTGTCGGGATGGTGCAGTCGTCGCGTTCTGGAACCATCGGTAAGTGCGTATGTGCATTGCTCTCCAGAGGAACCCAGCAGCCAGCCAGCCAGCAATAGCAATAGCAATAGCAATAGAAATAGCAGCCGGATCGGGGTGTACAAGTGGCCGACCTTGTCTTCGAGCTGTGTCATGATTGACCGGAGAATCGATCGTCTTGTTGTTGTCGCCACAATGACGCGCGCGACATAATCTGGGGAATTAAGGCGGGACACACTAAGATAAGTCATGAGAGGAGAATCTATTCATTATACTGTTTGTTTCTCGAGGGGATACACATAATACACGGGAACCAAACCACATAGGCAAATGCAAAAAACGCAGTGGAAATGGCTTCTATAACGCATCCCTTTTCCGACCGCCCAGCTGAATGAAGCACAGCAACAGAAGTCATGATCTATTCAAGAATAGAGGAAATAAAAGCTGGTGGATGGTAGTAATGTTACAGGCCCTCTCCGGTCTGGTCCGCACGGCCTTCCCACCGAACGCCCAGGAGAATCGGCGGCAGAAGGTCATCAAAAGAGGTTGTCACACAAGAAAAATCATGGCGGGCGACATGAACATGAAATTAGGTCATTTATTTGGTAGCCTCGCGGAGGTAGCTGCAGAAAGCAACGAGTCAGTATTAGGCCGAAGACGAAAAATCCGGGTCGCACATACGTGATCAGGTCGTTGCGGTCCTTGTTCTTCTTCAGACCACCGAAGGCCATCTTGGTACCGGGGATGTACTTCTTGGGGTTCTCGAGGTACTCGAACTGCAAGCTGGTCAGTCCTGTGTCCCGGGCGGGTCCGGCGACAGACGGGAAGTGCACGGTACATACCAGAGTCTGCTCGTTCCACTCAACACCGGCCTGCTTGTTGGCGTCGGTGTAGGAGTAGCCCTCAACGGAACCGGTCTTACGGCCAAACAGACCGTGGAGCTTGGGGCCGACCTTGTTGGCGCCGTCGGCCTCGACAGTGTGGCACTGCGCGCAACGGGTCTGTCACGGAGGTTAGCGACTGCGCTCAGAGACGACGACGTCTATCGCATTCATATCAAACTCACCTTGAAGAGGTTGGCACCCTTGCTGGCGTCACCTGTGGCAGCAGTCGGGTCAGCGTTCTGTTTGATTTTCTCCGTCTCCCCGGCTAGCTCGAGTTGCGCCTCGCGCTCCGCGATGACGATCGATATCCACGCCGTGTCCATCGACAATGGCAGCAGTAGTGTAGTAACTGGCTTTGCTCTTTGATCGCAGGAACAGAGACGGGCCAATGGCGGACGAGTGAAGACGGGCACGAGAATGCGATCCGGATGGGTTCGAAGGCAGCGTGCAATTGTCAACCCTCCGGAACCCCATGGCTGACCGGTCGAGCTCTCTCTTTGTCACAGCTTTCACTGCCATTGAGTTGAATCTCACCGCGACAACCGCCCGTTGAATTCACGGCGCAAAGCGAGCTAGCCGGGGCGTCCGCTCAGGTAGGCGAGGTAGGTAAAGGGAAGACAGCGACGAGTTAACTTACCATCCTGGAAACCGGCGTCCTTGCCCATTGTGAAAGTCGAAGGGGAGTGTGAGAGTAGAATACAACAAGAGAGGAGACGGCACGAAAGTTACAATATCCACAGGGGGATCGCAATTGAGGCAGAAATCAATGGAGAAAGACAGGATGGCAAGATTTTCTGCGGCCGGCGAGAATTTGTAGGCGATTCCCTGGCGATGAACGCACTGCGCCCGTCCTCGCCTCCCGTGACCGCCAGCAGGCCAATCAGACCGACGATGATTCAGCCGACGGGCGCGACCGGGAAATGCGCCAGTTTTCTTGTATGCTTGAGATCCCGGCGATTCTGCTTCTTTTTATTATTATTATTCTGCTGTTCTGGATGAGAATTATTTATTGTAGGTTATATTATATTATATTCACTATTAAAATGCGCTCAGACAGTCCCCAGACTCTCATTATCACTGTCTTGTTCAGCTGGTCTCTCCGTCCGGTCCTGTCGGATATCACTCGGGCCCAATGACCTCACCACGGGCAACGGAAGAAGCTCTCCAGCAAGTAGTGAAAAGGCGCTGTTAATTATTATTATCTAGTTTACGACTCGATGGCGCCCCTTTCCAGTGGCCGTTGCAAATGCCTGTCCGGCCATTTGCCATTCTTCTCGAATTATCTCACTCCACTCTGCTAAACCCCGTTGAGCAATCCGCCTCAGCCCGTCCCGGGTAATTCACTTCTCTCTCCCTTTCTCCCGGTCGATAGCTATCTATGGTCTTCTATTCCGCCGTCTGGAATTTGTTGGCAGCCTCCATTCTTCTTCCCAGCGATAATAATATGTGATGCAATCTGACAAGACAAGTTCCCGATCGCATCACGAAGAGAATTTCCCATAGATATTATTGCAAGTATCTAGCCAGATTGCCAAGCTGTAATACATAACTAACCACATAGCTCATGAGCTGTTGAGCTCACCCCAAGGTCTCACGGATTCTCCATCATAGGCCTGTCGCTGGAATAGTAAAAGAACTGCCATCTCGAGCATAGATATAGGTAGAAAGTCCATACGTGGAAGCATAATAATTATGAATCTATCTATAGTAGTAATGACTACTGCAGTACCTTACTCTACTCTACAATGTCATCGTAATCGTATCACGTGATGCTCCCTCCAACATCCGCGCGGAGAAAGAAAATCACTCCGCCTTGAACAATCCCAGGTAGCCAACTCCGAGCAGCCCAAAGGAACATACCCCCCAAGGCCCTTCATACAGGGCAATTATCATCCCAATCATGGCAACAACTGCAATCCCCCAGTTCCTCCTCCCGCGAGGCATCTCCCCATTGACACTCCGCTACTTCATCATCCGCCGAACGACCAAAACCACCACCACCAAACACTCTTCCTCCGCATTCTCCACCATCGCATCCAGACGCTCCTCCGCGACCGATGAAGGCAAAGCGCGCGTCCTCGCGCAGCCGGACAAGTTCCGCCCTCCATCCCATCCCTCGCGAAGGGTGCTGCAGACGCGCAATGGCAAATTGACCGCCCCGCCGGTGTATCAGTATGGACCGTCGTTGACGGAGAAAGAGAAGGAGGAGATGGCCAAGAAGAAGTATCCGAATATGTTCCCTCCAGAGGGGACGGTGATGCATAAGTTTTTGACGAGTCGGTGGATTCATGTTTGGATTGCTATGGTGAGTTTATTTCAGTTGCCTTTTTTTTCTTTCTTTTCCAGCTGGAAGCATAGGCTGCCATGGGAAAAAAAATGCATGATTTCATATAATACACATCAAAAACATACAAAACTAACACACGAAACAATCTAGTCGGTCCTCACCACTCTCGCCACATTCACCTTCACAACAAACTTCAAAGCGACCTCTCCATTCGCGCATCTCCTCCCACCCTGGTCCGGTCTGCTCACGCACCCAATCGACACCATCTCCCAGGCCATCTCCGTGTACAAGATGCACGTTCAGCACAACTCCATGCTGACTCGCGAGAAGCGCCATCGTCGCATCGAGGACGCCGAGAAGCGTCGACAGTACCGCATCGCGCATGGTCTGGAGGAACCGGAAGATGCAGGCAGCAGGCCTGTTGAGGACGATGCCTCGCCGATAGCGGGTTCAACCAAGGAGCAGGATAATACCTACGTGGATTTCGAGGGGAAGAGGAGGCCCATTAAGAAGTGGTTGGGTATTTGGTGAGGGGGGGTATTTTGGTGTCTTTACGTTACGCGGTATGATACTTTTCTCTCCAGGAAACGATTCGTTCCGGTGATAAGGTTGCGATTGCTGGGACGATATAGCGTCGAGTCATCCGCTATGAAGGACTTTCATCATCATCATCATCATCATCATCATCATCATCATCATCATCATCATCATCATCATCATCATCATCATCATCATCATCATCATCATCATCATCAAAAGTCGAGATGCGTGTCCTACTCTTCTGCGGGCTCCCTTTCTTCTTTACTTCAGAAAACCTACCTATGTATTTTCATTCTCATCACGCCTTCTTACTTACATGTACGATATACATGACTCTGGTCAAAAATCTATAACTATAGCATATTATAGTTCAGTCCATCCATCCATCCATCCATGCCTACTCTCACAATTCCTTTCTCCAATAGTCCTCTTCAAAGGAATATTTGCTCAAAAGATTGCCTCGACGCCACCATGATCCCAACTGTATACATAGAAGAAAACTGACCAAGGTTTTTTCTTCGGAATCAGGAAATATCTTTTCTATTACTCCTAGACTAAGTTATTTAATTCCTGCCAAAAGGAATGAACCTTTTTTTCTTTTCTTTTCATGCACACCCCATCCCTTTTTAAAAGTACATGTACATACATCTAACCCGTTCGCGATGCAGGAATAGAATCGAATCCGGAAACTCCATTTCAAGATGTTGTTAAAAAAAAAAAAAAACCCCCCAGAAGTAAAAGACGCGACGCAACGCCGTGAGGAGCATAGCATAGCATAGCATAGCATAGCAAAATATCAAACCCCAAAAGCGAATGGCTTTCGCGTTTTATATACCTAGTGAACTTCCACCCCCTCCAATCCCTCCATGACTTCATCGCCAACACCGCCCTTCTCAAGCACCATCTTGACCATGCGTGCAACCGCACTTCGCTTGACGCCACCTCGTCGGGGTCTCCAGACTCCGGAGACGTCTTCCTGGCTCGTAGAGGGGTTGAGGATCTGTGCCTCCTCTGCAGCTGCTGTGGAGCCTAACGTGGCCACGTTCTCGGAGTCCGGTACGCCGGGCTGCGTCAATCGTGATGGGGGATCGATGGTGCGGATCGAGAGTAGTTTCAGGCCTTCTGTTTCGTATTCGCGGGCGACGGAAATGGCGAGGACCGCTTCAGCAACAGCGATCTCTTCCCGGGTAGGGTCGAAGATGACATTGTCGCCAGCGGAGATCACAAGCAGAGTAATTGGAGGTCGGACTTGTTGCAGAGATGCGTTTGTGCCAGGTCGAGCACGTGGGTATAGGTATTCGGCGAGGTCCCAGTCGTCTTCGAAGAAGGGATCTTCTTCCCCGTGGGATTTGAGCTTAGGGAGCTTCGTGGAAAGCAGTGCAAGATGGGTCGTGAGAGAGAGCAGAGGCAGAGGGTAGGATGTAGGCGGGGAGAGAAGAAGGATCTATAATCACACAATGTTGGCATAACGGTTTGCGAGAACCGCTCAAAAAGCGATTGGAAAGAATGTCACTCACGTCGATATACAGCCTCCAGTGCCATCTCTTGTTGATCACCAATCTCCCCTTCAGACCTCCCTCCATAACATCGTCACCGTCGTCGTCGCGACCCTTCCTCCCGGATGAACCAACCAACGATTCTCTCATCATTTCGGACAGGAAGACCGGCAACGCATCGTCGTCCCGAAACCCAGGGATCTCAATGGACATCTGCACCCACGAGCCCTGTCCCGCCCTCGATGCGGATCCTTCTTTGCCCTCTCCATCCTCATCCCCTTCAGCAAAGTCTTCCTGGTCCTGCTGCTGTAGCTGCCTCAGGTCCAATGTACCCGTTGTCAGAACAGTCTTCTCAACCTCCGCCTTCACACCCACGATGGCCTCGGAGCCATCTGCAAATCCGATGCGCGCACTGCCATTCGCGCCTGGGACGATGCCCGTTTCTGCAATGAGAGGTCGAAACTGTGCCGGTGCTCGACCGTCTGGTCGAATCGGTCCCCCTGGGAGAGCGAGAGATGTGTAAAGGTAAGAAAGTTCGGCGGGGGAGAGCAGCGGGGCCTGCGAGGCGGACGAGGCTTGTTGCGGTGCCATTGGAAGAGCTCAAGTAGCTTTGTTTGTGAGACTGCCATCAAGTCAGTAGATAGAAGGGTAAATCTGAAAGCGTGGATAGTTACCTCCGTCCTTTTGTTCCAGGGATTCCCTTGGGAGGGGGCAGCGCTGTTGCTGCTGCACTGCTGCAGCTGGAGTGCGCCTTATGCGAAAATCTCCGGGTTTAACGTGCTCTTTCTCAGAGCGCAATATGTGCAGGAAGTGCGTCCCAACTTGGAAAAAGTAATGTGTCTGGACCGCAGCTTGGATCAAACAGAAAAAAAGCACCAGGCAAGGCGAAAGTCTTCGAAATGACGCTGTCCGTCTTCTTGATCTGGAAATTCCGGCGCAAAGTTGCGGTTTGTTCTGCCCCACAATAATTGTTGCCCTACTACATCCAGCGGCCAATCATACAACGAGGCTTCAAGTATGATATGTAGTTCGGTCGCTCGATCATCAACACACGCAGTAAGTCCATAGATCAAAGTCCAGTCCCCCAAAATTGCTATTCATAGTTACCAGGGCTGGATATGTTGATCGCTACTTATATGCTGAAATTCTATGATAAAAGCTACTAGAATCGCAAGGACACACGTATTTCTGTTTCATTAAGTATGTGCAGAGGCAAACAGATGCCCATGTAGGACTATAATTACATATAAGTGATAATAACGGGCACCACTGACCAGCGCAGTGGGCCAATACAAAGTATCAGATTCAGTAGGCGGATACATGACTGGAACACACAAAAACCTACGCCTTTCCTCAATGCTGCGATCAAGACCAAAGGAGCTCAGTAGTAGAGAGGGCTCGGAGTAAAGGAATGTACAGGGAAGTGGATGCAGTATATGGAGACGACACAAAAGGAAGGAATAAACGAGACGGGCCACCTGAAATGAGCAACTTCGGTAGATGCAAATGAACGCCAGTGCAGTAGTTTTCCGCGTCTGGCGCGGTACACAGCAAAAGGATATAGACTTCGAAATACACATTGTGGGTATGAAGCGAAAAAGAAAAGAAAGAAAAGAAAAGAATGGCTGGCGCAAGATACCGAGGTAACAAGTCGCGAGGCCGGAGATCTATAAACTGGCCTTTGGGGTATGAAAGTAAATAAAAAAATATAGGAAACACCCGGGCTAACCCTTGCCCCACCCCTGTCGATAAAATCACAGACGCAAAACCTCCACCGGCAAATAATGAGAAAGGATAGCATATACCGAACGCCTTCTTGGGTTATAGATCCGTATATGTGCGGTCTTTCGCTGTTTTTTTGGTGCCACCCCAATACCAGAACAAAAGGAACGTAAGAAAAGAATTGTTTCAAAGAGAGTCACTGCATGACCAGCGTCAGACAGGAAGAATGTTTTTAGCTCGAGTTCGTGCCATAAAGGGGCCGTCTGAACTATCGGTACGTAGCTCCAGCCGCGAATAGATCCGTTGAAGCCGTACTGTGCCACTCGCTCTCTTCGTAGGGAGGAGTCGGCCACTGACGATTCGAATTCTCGTCCCCTTTCATGCCAGTTGCCTTGGATCGCCTTGAAGGGGTCTCGCTCTGGCCGAAAGTGACTCCGTCGCGTCTCGCAGAAGGTGAAGGGGTAGGGTACGGATTGGACACCGAGCGGCTATCATTCTTCTGCGTCAAGCTTTCGTTGGAGGACTCCTCGTTCAGCGCATGCCCCTGAGCGAGACGCTTGGCAGCCTTGTGCGTTGAATAGAGCACCTCATGGAGCAGCTCGTCCTCCTCCTCTGGGGTCTCGTATCGATGAACCGGATGAGACGTCATCTGCATGGCTCGGCGCGTCCGACTCGAGACTGGTGCACTAGTTCCAGACAAGGAAACGGGGCTCTCTGGCAGTGATCGGACGGAGCCTTGGGGCATAGACTGGCGTTTTGCTTGCGAATTCGGTGCAGGAACTTGTACAGGGATTTCAGTGGTTTCGAGATTGTACTTCACATTCTGGAGCGCCTTGTCCAATTCAGAGAAGTCGGCGTTAGACTTCCCCTCCGCGTTGACTGAATCGAGGGCCATCGATGAACGGTTTGACCACGGAACGCAGCCGGCATTGGCCTCGATATCATCATTCGCAGCGGCAACCTGGTTGCGGCCGGACAGTCGACGAGCCCGTTTGCGCAGGTGAGAGAAGAAGCTTTCTTTCTGAGTACCAGACGGAGAGATCAGACCAGTACCGTTGAGCGCTCTCTCAGCCTCTTGTCGATGAAGCTCCGCATAGTGGTTGCCATGGGAGTTAACTGACAGCTGGCGGCCAATCTTCTTGCTGGCCGACTTTCGGTCGATATTGGCGATATTGGAGCCATCACCACCATGGGCAACGCTCGAGTTAGCCTGCGCGGTGACGGCGTTCGACAGCGGCGAAACGGGTCTGATAGAAGGCAAGATAGGCATTGGGGCTCCATTCGTCCACGTAGCGCGCTTGTTGACTGATGATCGACCTTTAGCCACCTGCACGTCAGGTACCGTATTGTACGTTACCACCGATGGCCGCAGCAGGCCGTTGTCATTCTCAGCAGCAACTGGTGCAGCAGGGCTGTCGGATCGTCCGATGAGGGATCTTCTAAACCAGGATGACTTCGATGACAGAGTTGGTGACTCGCCAGCTTCCTTCGACATAGACTTGAAGCTCTTGTCGGACTGTTTCCGGCCAAGCAACCGGGCGGTCGATGACTTAGGACGGAGGGGATCCACGGCATCAGCAAAGTACTCGTGATTGAGTGCCTGCGTCGATGTCGGTCTATTCTTGGGATCCCACATGAGACACCAGGTGACAAAGTTGCTAAGAGCAACCGGCCATTGAGGGGGCTGCAGGATGCTCTCCATCGAGTGCGGGGCCATCTAGGGAAAATTGGTTAGCTCACCGCTTTTTGTCTCAAATGGCTCAAATTACTTACCTTGGGGAACGTGAAGCCCAATTTCTGGGCCAACCGCGTACCATCTCTCCATTCACCACCTCCAATCTTTTGGCCGGTCTTGCTGTACCAATTGCCCGGGCTGCCCATGATTTCACACACGCGCCACACCTGGTCAACTTCATTGCCTCCAGGGAACAGCGGCTTCAATGTAGCGATTTCAACAGCCATTGCACCAACAGCCCACATATCAACGGGGGCGGAGTATTCACCCGCCCGCAAGAGGACTTCGGGAGCTCGATACCAACGTGTCGAAACATATGTTGTGTATGGTAGCTTCGAATGCGTCTCTCGAGCCAGTCCGAAATCAGCGATCTTCACCGTGTACGAAGGCGGAGTCGAAGGGGGAGTAACGAGAGTAGAGTATCGGCTGAAGGTGGAGTCGTTCGGGGCAGATGTCGAAACGAGGATGTTTTCGGGCTTAATGTCACGGTGGAAGAAGCGATGCGCGTGGATGTGGTCGAGGCCGGAGAGGATCTGGTAGAGAATGCTCTTGACGACCCTTCCATCCAAGTATTTGTGGTCTCTCGCCTTCATCAGCTGGTACAGGTTGCCATCCATGTACTCCATGGCGATGTGGAGTTTCTTCGTCAGCGGGTCGAGGAAGATATCGAGAGCCGGCACGAGGTGAGCATGATTGGGCAATGTACGCAAGAAGATCACTTCGCGAAGCTCCATGCACGGAGCGAAGGACTCAAATGTCTTCTTCATCGTCTTGATTGCGACCTGTTGGGTTGGTATTAGCACAGAACGTCATTCTTGGGCCAATAAGAAGAGACATTGCTCACCATCGTGCCGCGTCGTGCAATGTGCGAACCAGCAGTTCGCGTGCGTGCCAGGACGACACTCCCGAAACTACCATCTCCAATTTCCTTTAGCACTTCGAATTTCTCTTCCAAAGATGCCATGGAAGTTTGGGATTGCCCCCGATGGGGGTAGTCATGGGAGACCGTCATGATGGCTCTTTCTTTTCTGCCTGCAGATAAAAGGAGAGTAGATAACGACTAATAGGGGCGAGGAGTCAGTATTAACCGTGACATATAGATCTCGCATTGGACCAAATGGGAAGTAAACTTACCTCAGATGACCTTTTCCAGATAAGAAGATTGATAAATCTTCTATATAAACACTAGATTGTATATAGATATCAAACAGACACTGTTGTCATCGTTTGGCGAAACTGCAAGACGGCCCGAGATGGGGATGCAACAATAATTTGTGAACGAAAGGTAACTCGGACAAGATGCGAGAAAGATGATGAGGGTTGATTTGAGCTCCCACTCCGGACAATCGACGCGTTTTGCAGAGGGGGAGCGGTCAAGCAAGTCCTAGAAGAAGGAGAGGAAGGTGGAGGAGGGAAGATCTGGAAAAGGAATCGAAGGGACCCAGATGTTTGGAGACCAGAGCAATGGGAGCGGATCCGTCCAGTGAACACCGCTAAAGGAGAGATCGGAGTCCTTAGGCGCCCCTGGAGCGATGACAGCTTTCTTAGGAGGCTCACGACCGGAGCCGTGGAGACTTGAAGAGGCGGTCGATGACGGATCGAATTGAGGCTTGACTGGCGCGAATCTCTCGAGAAAGCACGCGGGCCTAGTGGATCAGGATTGGATTGCTACCGGGCAACGCGACCATCACCAGATGCCTATTTGCATGAATGAAGCGGGGGGGAAACGAGAGTCGACGATGATGCACGAGTGAAAAGGAAAGAATTCGTTGTTGACGACAGAAGAGGGGGACCCAAGGTCAAGACTGGGCAGACAGGCACGCAGCACGCGCAGAACGAGGCGGACGACCACGAATTCCAGCACGACTTGGCCAGGCACTGGAGAGAGCAGAAGGGAAGAGGGGGGGGCAGAAGAAGGATAGACGATCGACGAACGAAGAAGGAATGGGTAAGGGTCAGAGATCCACTGAGCGAAATAGTCGTAGTTGGCTCGAACGGCGTTTGGAGACGCAGCAAGTGTGCTGTTCCAGAGTCAAATAGCAGTCAATAATACCAGCGTGTACCGGCAGGACTGCGTACAAGTCTCGGAAGATTTCCTCAGCGAAGGACCGGGATCACAGATAGTCGTGAACGGGGCAGGCCTGAGCTGAGGGTCATCCTAGAGTAGATAGTCTTGCCTAAAATACTATTAGGGGGGAAGCCAACGGAGGAAAGGCGGATATGTGATTTGGCCTGGGAGAACGAGCGACGCAGGTGCAGATAAATTATCGGGGTGCGTTGTTAGAGCGGAAGCTCAGGGCATAGGGAGATCTCAGTAGTGCTGGATGGAGCCTTAGGGGGGGGGAAGAAAAGAAGGGAGAGTCATTACGAAGGCCTAATTAGCAGAGAGACTCAGTTTTACCCATATCTACTCTACGGAGGAGCAATTAACTAACTTACTTCAACTCTAGAGTCGAGCAACCAGCCTGTGAAGACGATACACGCGGGGCCCTGGCTGTCTAGTGCGCGCGACCAGGGGACAACGGAGGCCATTTAGCGTGGACGGGAAAGCTCCAGCAGAGCGTTGTGTGGCTCCCGGTACCGTATGTGACACGTCTGCGGTATGTATGTATCTACCGGCCGCCAGGGGAGCGTAAGGGACGAAGAGTGTGAGTTAATGAGGTATCTACTCTCTCTACCTCCAGCTGCTCCCAGCCTGCGTGGCTCAGGCCACTCTGTTACAGGGTCCAGACGATCTTGTGAGTTAATAATTAGTTACGCTATATAATAATACTTGTGACCAAGCAGAGGGTTTCTGGCCCCTCAAGCTCGAGTAAGCAACAGGAAAGCAGAAGGACAAGTTATCTACAATATAATAATTAGTCCAACTGCAGTGCTGATGGTGCTGAATGCCTGATGCTGAATGCCGCAAGTAAGATGCGGAGCCTGCACAATCAGGTCACACCACAGGCAGGCTGGCAGACCTGACAGCTTCAGGTGTGCGGCACCCAGAAATGGTCTTCCATGTGTACGCAGCACACTGGACCTTTTGGGTCCTGGACTAGAGTAAAGCTGCAGTGCTTGCCATCCTTCACGGTAGACTACAGCTGCTCACAAATCTCGCGAATTATCAGCAGCGGGATGAGGAGGAAGCTCCCGGAATGGCTAAGACGGGATGTGTCGAGTCTCGACAAGAGCAATTCGCGTGCAAGTGATCTCCCAAACACTACTCGAAACAGCACAGGTACGATTGCGTACCGCCTCTGTATCAGACCCTGGCGGCCCGTATCCATACACACAGTGGACCCGTTTTATTACACCATATTGTAACCACCGCTGCTCCGTCTCAGACGGCACTAGGCTGAATACATAATCATCAGTAATAAATAATAAATAATAATATACCGACAGCGAGGCCGTTAACGGGAGCAGGGATTCCCGCTGCATGCCTCGCGAATAAAGTCGCTTATCTATCCTGGAACATTGCTTGTGATTATCTGCTTCGACATGGGAGTCAACACAGCAACATATGGTACAGGCAACAATATCAGATAACTAAGCAGGCACCGGTCCAGATGGTCTATCAGCCCCTCGTCCTTCTGTCGTTGATATCCTTGGCGATCAGCCTACCAGAGCGCGTGATGCTCCATTCCTGGCTGTCTCTGATACCGGATATGTGGGATGTGATGACCCCGCGCCAGTGAAAACAATCATTGATTTCTCTATTTTTGCCTAAGCTAAGAAGCACTTCCAGATGGCCGAGAGGAACTTATTTCTCGACCGCCGTCATGGTGGCGAATTGGCGTCGTCTCGTTGCCGGGGACCTCGGACACTGTTATGCTTATTATTTATGTTGATGGTGATGTTTGTGGCAACAAGCTCCCCGGGATCGTCTGAGACTCTGAGATGAGCGACGCGCCACTTTTTGCAGCTTCTGACCTTCACACAACTCTCGTTTATCCATGCCCAACCTCTTCGCGACAGCGCCAGCAGCTGGTTGATGACCGGTCAGCGGATAATGCGCGAGTAACCATCTGATAGTCTCCGACAAAGCGCCCGTTTAATTGATATCAATATAAGTGGAAGGTTGCGCGCGCTCTTTCATGCTACTCGCGTTTTGTCTTGCTCTCATTTATGGGCGAAAAGGTCTACCCGGGATGGCACGAAATAGTGCCTCCTGTCCGGGGTTGTGTGTCCGTTCCTGGGCCGAGCCGTAATCTTACCTTGGGCAGCATCGCAGAACAAGGAAAAGCGTACGACAAAGAGGGCTAAAAGACAAGATGATCGGAGCGCGACCCATGGAAGCTGTTCACTCTGTGCCTGGCCTAAGACGATTGGGTAGATCCTAACGTGGATTCCGGATCCGTTCCCGACGGAAGACATTATTGGGTTCCTATCCCATTCTCTGGGTCTTTTCTTCACGGTCCGTCGTCGGGGAATGCGGATCTCCACAATATCAGGAACCGACTTGGTCTCTCAGATAGTGAAAACGGTTGGGCCAATTCGGACGGCCCGGTCGAAGTCGAGGGAAGTTTAAGGATCGTTAGGACTCGTTAGGACCCTCCGACCCAGGAATAGGGGCGCTAGAGTACGACTTCCTCGAGGGAGCGGTGATAGAGCCCATTGAACCTCCACTTAACCAGGCAGACCGCCTGTTATCAGACCATATCTTGTCTATCTGATCCCGATGCCCCTCCATGAGTCCATCGTTTCTATGAATCAATCCGGAAAGGTTAGCATATGCAGGTGAGTCGCTTTCCGTGCAAGCGAGCTGCAATGCCACAGCGGTGGAACGGACGGGAGCGCGAGATTAGCAATCAGACTCATGTGGATCAGCGGCCGTCTCACCCATGGAAGGTTCGTAGAAGCGTTAGAAGGACTTAAAAAGTTGATCTCCACTCAATCTGGATTCTGAGGAGCATTCTAGTACGGAGGTCTGCACTATTACGTGGAAGATAATGCTGGAGACCGTTGAAATATGCCGCTTTTTGATCAAAGGGCCGCGGGGATAGAAGCCGTATCTCTCTCTACCGAGCCGCTAGCTCGAGACTACGTAGAACGTGGGAGTCTTACCGGCGTTACATTCGAGACCAGGCATCAAGTCCTCGAACCCGAGGAGCTTAAGGGGAGCAGCCATTGCCAACCTCATATATCCAGCAGCTCCCGAAAAGGCTAGCAGCTAATAGTACCGTCATGAGGGGTCGAGCCTTTCTAAGGCCATCATAGACTGCGATAGACAGATATCTCACGCATTTCTACTCCCTATGGTTCCAAGTCTGCCAGTCTTCGTTTGCTGGTAATTGACAAATATGTCCTAAAGCTATTGATAAATCAAGAGATGGATTGCGATGTTGATATGTTCACCTCATCTCTTTTATCTCTACACGGAACCAAATCCATATTTCTATCTAATAATATCGTACATCCTACTCGAATCATGAAGTGAATCTGAACACAGTTGCTAAGCATTATTGGAGCAGATTCCTATATATTGCACCTTCCTTCTTTCCCTCGCTGGGTATTTTTGGCCTGTGGGAATAGTTATATCATGTCCGTGGGAGACGTCACTTCGCTATATCAAACCAACGTCCCCAATATGACTGCACCCTGGATTTCTTCTAGGACCATAGACGTCTAATGACTGAACAGTCTCGTTTGATCTGCTGTTTCTGTTTGGAAGATCGAGGGATACTATATCATCGACTGGTTCTGCTGTCGATACGTTGGTCATATCGTTTTGCGGGTGATTGGTTATACACAAAGCAGTCTTAATTGTGATGGACACCTGTTGAATGACAATGTTCAATTTCTATTCATAGCTAATCCAGGCACATGTCATGCTCTGTACACTCAGAACCAGATCCCCATGGATTGTATCATCCACCAAGGCGGTCTGCAATTGGTCACGGGTACCTGCAGCAAGTGTTATAAGAGTTTCGATAGGCATCCATATGCCACTATTCACCGCTGCAGCTCATAAAGACAACGGGAATCGCCTGATTCACGGCACTTCTGTTGCTAGGGATATCTTTCACTGGACCTCCTCTGATGTCCCTCTCTGTCTCTGTCATCAGAGGCTCACCATCTTACTCTCTTGAGTATCCTCTGAGCCAACCTGTCCGTCTCATCTCTCTCCTTGTCAATCAAGTCCTCTCTCATTGAAGAATCACAAGCCACGGTCCCTAGCAACCATGCCTCCCTTGCGTAGCGTGTACGCGGGTGGCTATAATGAAGGGATCAGGAGACAGTAAGTGGCTCTTATGTCTATCAACTCGCCCCTGTTGGGTTTGATATCTGACATCGGTCCAGGCTTGACAACATCGTGCTTCCTGATAAGTAAGAATCAATAACCTCTGCTCATGGTCACTGCTAATCAATGATATCAGGGTTAAGTGCGAGACATGTAAGAAAATTCGCATGCAGAGTGCCTTTTCCAAGAGGCAGCTGGACGTCCTGCGTAACGCCATGGTCCAGCTGGGTGCTACTGCCCTCAGTGGACCTGGATATGCGAAGTGTCGTACCTGTGTTGGAAACCAGACGGTCGAGATGACCTGTTCGAGCTGCGACAAAGTGAAGGGTCTTGACGAGTTTGCGAAGGCCCAGCGCCACAACCCCGATACTGCAGTATTGTGCCCTTTATCGACTATCCTTTTGGTCCCAAGGGTCAACTAACCCAGAACTTCAACAGAGATGCCTCAACTGTGTCCAGAATCATCTCGAAGCCGAACCAGTCCTTGAAGAGACTAGACTTCGCAAGGAAAACGACATCGAGTCTACCACTGGAACTGTGAGTGGTCGATGTCAAAGGAATACAATGAGTGACTAACTGTTCTGCCCTTCAGAGCCAGTACGACGATGGCACCACCCGCAGGTCCTTCAGAGACTTTAGCGTCGGAGATGAAGACTCCATTTTCAACTATGCTCCCAGTGTTGCCTTCACGGAAGACGAGGACGATGCTTCTGTGGGTGGAGGTGTTTGGGTCGAACCCGAACGCCAGGACGATAACTCCAATGCCAACGATGGACGTCCTTTCACCGCTTATGACTCCAAGGGCATTCCCCATCGCCGCATGGGCTCCCAGCCCCAGGCCGCCAAACCCGGCTTTCCCAGAGGAGGCAACTCTGGTGGTATTGCGACAACCGAGAGTGGTGATTTCCATGCTCCCAGGGCTCGTCCGCAGCAGAAGAAGTCTCGTGGCTTTGCGAAGATCTCGGTATTTCATGCTCTTCCCAGTATATTCGACGTGTAGCTCTCTGCTAACACACTCAAGGGTCCGCGCTTCAAACCTGGTGAAGCTCCCACCATGCGTATTCCCGAATCCAATGGCAAGATGATCGCGGAGAGCGACGATGAGGAAGGCCTTGACCCTCAGGACTACCTCTGAGCTTTTGGTCCATGGACCTCGCTACTGTTATTGCGGTTAGGGGGAAGGAGATACAGGTGAAATTACACCATCTCTGCGACTTTCGTCCATTTTACGGTTTCGAGATATATTACAATACTCGAGTAAAATAACATCCCGTTTTCAGTCTCAAAACTTCCATAAATAATATATCGAAGGGGCAGTACCATCCCATATATGCAGATGGGGAGTGTGTTGCTATTAATAGCCCGCGGGTTCCGTAGAGTGGCGCGCACACAGGATGTCTACCATATCTAGAGTAAAGGTACCTCGAAGTGTACTTAGACTAAGTACTAATTAATCACTGTCGCCTCCCCTTCTCTGCTGTCAAACGCGTGGAGTGAATCCGGCCCACGGAACCGCCCGAAGAACCAGAATCCATGGCATGTTGCCGCCACCGTCCCATGGAAAACCATCAGGACGATCAGATTCCCCATGTCCAGTTCCCATGGGTATGACGACCTATAATTATTTATTACATACTTCATTCACGCATATGAGACATAATATCTAGGTTGCGGCAGCAGCGGTAAAAAAATGTCTCTGAATGCAATGCTCTATGAAGTATGTCCTTCATTGCAGGGCGCAAATCGGCATGCTTCTGTGGGCTCGGCAACCCGTCTACTCGTCAATGTGCCAGAGCGGGGTTCCCCATAGACGACCTCGCGGACCGATATTTTCAGGTGAAGCTGGAGAAGGACGTCAAGGGTACGGGATCAAACCAAAAAATAAAAGTCAATGGTGGCTAGCTAGAGCGATCATCCTGTAAACGACTGGAGAATATCAACAAGAGCCCGCGATGATCATGACGCTGCACAGCGGATGGCGAGTTACCGTCGCGCTGTCCCTCCGCAAGTGACGTCGGTTATCGACGATGGCGTTTGCACCCTATCAGAGCCCCATCGAACTGTCCTCTTGTTCTTCGTGGATCTTCGTGCATGTATAGCCAAAAAAAAAAAAATCACCACCGTCGATATCTTCTATTTCATTCTCTTGTGCCGTCTGCCCTCGAGGATATTATTGTCAGCCTGAACCAGAGCGCCTGAACGCCATTGCTCACACTCCCGTCCTCCGGGACATTCTGACCCCTCCTTTCCGCCTGTATCAGTCACCTGCGCGGCAGCAGCTTTTCGTCCGTGACTTTGTTGCCTAAAGGATTTGTCCCCTTCGTCAGAAGATCTATCTGGTGTCTTCGTGTTTTCTCAGAGTTACAAACGAGATTCGACGTGCTTTTACTGGGTTTCTGGAGCAGGCAAATGCGCTGAACTGCCGCTCCTCATGGCGTACCATGACGGTGATTATCGCAGCCCCTCTGTAGGCCCCTACGAGCAGAGGACCTCCAGCGACGACCTCACTGGCTCGGACTCTCGTCGACATTCTGGCTACGCAACTCCATATCCCTCCCATTATACGGGAGATCGGATGAACATGCCAGAACCACGAGCACCATCACCTCATCCTTCGTCCTCCTATCAACAGAAGTCTCACGGTTATCAACAGTATGGTGATCAAGATGGATATGGGCATCAGCAGCAACAGGGTGGGATCAATGATGCGATCCATTCAGCATTCTACAAGACGCATCCATCGAACTACCTCAGTCCACAAGTCCTGAATCAGATCACCGATCAGGTTCTTCAGCAGCTGAAGAATACCGGCCTATACAGCACCCAGGAACAGCAGGGGTCCAGACAAAGCTCGAGTCCACAACCGGCGGGACGTGCAGAGTCATCTCATTCGGCGGCATCGATCCATGACGAAAAACACAATGCCAATTCGCCTCCTTCTCCTCGTAGGTCCCCTCGTGGGTACCCTTCACCAAAACCACAGACGAGATACCCTCCACCACCTTCTTCCGAGAGAAAGGAATCGCCTTCGACCCAGACAAGTGACACTCAGAAAGAGTCCCGGCCTAAGGCACCTTCGAGAGCACCTACCGTTGAGGAGTTGACGACGTTGGAGAAGATATGGGACAAGTTATTCGAGGACGGCAAGCCCACAAAGAGGCTGGGCCAGTTCCTCCGAGGAATAGCTGTTCATCTGGTAAGTTTCTAGTGGAGTTCTGGTACCTTTGTTTTCGGTATGCTCCGAGGTCTAACACATACATAGATCGAAGAGTACCCACCTGGTAACACTATCGTTGCCCTTCCCGATAAGCTACAGAAGTTCTATGAAGATACAAAAGTCGCATCAGACCCTTACCCATGGCATGGTTAGTTCCCTTTGCTTTCGTCCGGATCACTCTTCCTCATACTAACTGCGGATAATTAGATATCTTTGATGACAACACCTCGTCGATCTCTAGACTCTACAGAGCCATCGAGGCAGAGCACCATCTTGTTCAAGGGAAGCTGGACGAGAGACCTGATATCCCCGGCTTGACTCCGCGCGGATTTGAGCGTTGGGCTAGTCTGATGATCTTGGCACATCCTGAGAGGGAATTTGAGCGGCTTCAGAAGGCACTGTTGGCTATGCCCATCAGCAACCCCGATAACAGGAAGGAGAGATTCCCCAAGGAAATCCCGAGACGATTGTTTCCAGAGGCCCCGGATCTTGCTGTGAGAGAAAAGCTAGACAAGGCCATTATGACGCATTGCGGTGTGCCTCTGCCCCCCATCACAGAGGAAGAGCGATCTAAGGCAGCGGCGTCTCATCGTCGTACTGCTTCTAAAGAAAAGACCACTGCTGGCTCTTCCTCCACTACGACTACTACTGCAGAGCCTGCCCACTCGCATACAGAACGTGGTCGCCCATTGCAAACCGCACAAGCTTCTGCTGTCACTGATGATGAGGACGAAGGGGTGCCAGCGCGACCAATTGAACGCGAGAGGAAGCCATATGCTGCCCAGCCAGGTGGAGGTAAGGTCTATGGTGATTCTCCGCCGCCCAGACACTCCCACGCAGAGTCATTCTCGTCCGGTACGAGACCAAAAGAATATGTCTTCGCACCGACGTCTACATCGGGGCAGAGACCATACAGCAACTACGCCCAGGATCCGACTTACCCTCGTACTGGAGCGGAACCTGGACTATATCCTCCAACCTCGAGATATAGCCGCAGCCGCAGTCCCTCATTTGGCGCAGGTGGATCTAGTTATAGACATTCAGACGGCAACCTCTCCTCTAGTAACGGCGGCCATGGAGGATATTCAGGCAATGGTCCTTATTCTGCCTCGGCTACGTCTGCCTTCCCGGACGATGTGTTCGACGACGCCCATACTCGCCGCTATCATTACGATCGTGGTACGGAGGACGGAAGGACCTACGACACTCTCCGGGACCGGGAAAGAGATCGAGTGCGCGAAAATCCAAAGTACCACGGTTATCCTGCTCATGGAAACTGGAGCAGTGACGAGGACTACTACCGTGGGATGCTAGGTGGTCAAGGAGGTGGCCCAGTTGAAGGTGGTTCTTATAAGACCTACACATACAGATGATTTTCCTTTACGGGTCCGGATATGTGTATGTTCCCGTATGTTTTGAAGTCATGGTTCTGTACATGCATATATATTCTTTCCTTTCTGGACAACTAGGAGTTTTCGGCATATACGACGTTTGCTTGGAACTCTACCCCTTCCATCGAATCTTCAGAGATGGATGCCTTATTCAAGGTCCCTTGTCTATATCCTTCTTTCATTGTATAACTTCTATTGTTTGTATAACGATGATACGCGTTTGTTCAGAAGTTTAGCATATCTGTACGTAACCATTAGCGCTAGCTATCCATGATTGGCTTCTTGTTTTATTGCTAGTCACGGATACCTCATGACGTCTCATTTTTATATACATTTATTGAAGCAGTTGGTCTTTTTGCCTCGATCTAACTCTGTCCTCTTTTTCTCCACGCTTTCCTATACTTTCTTCACTGCCTCGCGACTTCTCCTTGCAGCTTCTCGTCCATTTCCCACTCCTTACGGATCCGCATCCGATCTCTCTCTTCCCTTTTGGCCGCCTTTCTTCTCTTCTGCTCCAGCCGCTTTTTGGCTCGAATGATCCGATCCTCTTCTTCGTCGGCCTCTCGGCGCAGCTGATCCACCTCCTCTGGCTCCAGAGTCCACGGAACTGAAAGCACATCGACCAAGTAGCGAGACTGCTCATCCCAGAAACGCATTTCGGCGTTCGTATCCCGGAGCAAGGTGAACCGCTCAAGTTGCACCTGAACCGTGGAGCGGAAGGTGGAGAGCGTGCCCTTCACTTTGAACACGACGCCAGGCACCAGGTCTGTGATATCAATACGATCCTTGGCCTGCGACGATATATGCCGCGTTTCAGCCTCTGGCAAAGAACCTGACGGGTCAGAATCCGGGCCTGCAGCGCGGGTTGCCGTCGCATTCTCGGAAACACGGTCACCTGGACGAGGCGAGGTAGCCTTAGAGACTACAATCTCGACAGTTTCGCCGCTACCATCGTCGAGGATCAAGACAGTGCGCCAGGCGTACTCGGTCCTGGCGACGATGACCCCAGCTAAGCAGACGAACTGTATGGGGTGATTGTAATAAAAGAAGATATTTTGGCCTTGGTGATTGTTAGCTTTGCATGAAGAATTCGAAGCAATGACGATTCTCCAACCCACCAGCGACCTCAGCCGAGAGAGAAAAGAAACAAAAAAAAACAATGTATCCTCTTTCATAGACACGAAAAGTAAAACGATTTAAAAGAGAGAAAAAAACCAACCTTCAAACCCCGATCTAGTCTTCAATCGATGCACATCCGTCACTGCCATCTTCACCCAAGTGAAATGCGTAGGTGAGGCCTTGTAGCAGAATGCAGGATAGAAAGTGAGTCCCACAGCATCGTCATCAGCAGCAGCCATGGGCTCATTTTTCCCTTCTTGCTAAATCCTATCTTCTCTCGGTGGAGGCTTGGACGAATGGTTAAAAAAGAAATCTCCTCGAGGATTTTCTTTTTTTTTTCGTTTTTAACACGAATTTCTACTCCATTAACACCGAGAGACGATAATCCTGAAGAATTCGCGTTGCTTTTTTCTCTATCATAAGAGAGGTCCTCTTAGGACAGAGATCCCGCAATATGATTGATTGATTGAGTTAACTATTACTTAGGAGACGCGTCGAGAGAATCACGATAGGGAGGAACGACATCACGTGATGTGGTGCTGCCTGCAGTGGGACTTGGAAAGCTATGACTCGCGCACTAATTAGCTTGGGTTAAGGTAATAATAGTGAGATCTTTCCTGCATTTTGGAGGTTGTGTTGTTAAAGCTACTGTTGGATTTATTGGTGTTGGTTTGGATTTGTGTTGTATGTACATGTACCTTGTGTGGAGATCTGTGTAACGGTGTTGATGAGTATATTATCAGGACTTTTTTTTTTCTTCTTCTTTTCTCTCTCTTTTTTTCTCGAAGATCCTTTCGAATTTACGGGGCTATGTTTAACCGCGATGTGTTATTATTGCTGAATCAATTGAGATAAATCTTTATATTCTACATCCGACACCTCACCGCAACTCCTCAAACAATGCTAAGATCGGTCATAACTCCAGTACTTTGCTCGAGTATATGCGCTGGCCGTCGAAGAAAAGACATCGCATACTCTCGTACCGCTCAGTAAACAGATACAGTATACGTCACGCTCGGACCCTATGACTGGACTCCTCAACCCATCATCCTCTTCTTCGGATTCCTCGGCATCTGTTCCTGCCTTTGTCTCTCTTCCGGAGAGATATCATCCACGTTCGTCTCATTTACCGTACCACCCGTAGCTTCTCTCATCTCCTCATCTCTCTTCTCATGCCCGGCCGTCGCGACAGCTAGGATCTCTTTCTCCATGCCTTCGATATGTTGCCAGGTGATCCCCGCCTCCGTCAGCTTCTTACACCCTTCTGATTCCCCGACGAATATGCCTGGCTCCTTGACGCCGAAGTAAACCTTGTCTATACCCTTATGGCCGCCTTGTCTGGTTTGAATAATCCTCTCCACGCATGGCAGGTTCCCTGATAGTCGTCGCCCGCAGGGTTCCATGGTCACGTACATGATCAGTTTCTTGTCGGGTTCTTCTGGGAGGACTTCGTAGACTCGTTCGTCGGGGACTGAGTGGACGGCAGCGTAGTTGGAGAGGCAACATTGCTCGGCATGCGTGTTGCCTGCCAGCTCGAGGGTGTAGCCAGTCGAGAGGATCCGGTCATTGACCGTCGTGTCGGGTTCATTGGCAGGGCGCTGGACGAGGATTGCACCGACGCGGAAGTTTGTCGGACGAGGAGGAGACTTCTCTGCTAGTGAGAGACATCGTCGTAAGTAGGCAAGATGAGATGGTGATGATGATGATGATGCGGGGGCGGGGTTTGCGGTAGGTTGAGAAGTCATTGTGGTAATCTTCTTGAAGGTACGAGGGGTATATTAAGATCTTTGATTTATTTCATATATGGTCATGCCTGTTCAATTTAAATTGTCCGTAGGCCTTGCGTATAGTGAGAAGAAATTAGACCTGCAACAGAGGTGACAGTTCCATATGAAGCTCGATCCTCTGCCCGGTGGAGCCCGAGTGAAGCTAGTCAGATACTTATGACGGCAGAGTGCGGAGCGGGAGATCTTCCGTGGTCGCGTCGCCGTCCGCGTTCCACTTAATGCGTGTTTGCGCCAGACAAGGCCCAGACCTGACAAACGACCAGATCAAATTACTACATCTCAGTTTGAATTCTGCTGTCCTGGCTGTCCTCTTCTCGGTTGCAATTATCCAGCATCAATTTGAGTCTATCGAGGACTTGTGCCCACTTATTTCAGGTCAACCTCAATCCCAGCTGAAGCCATGTCGCGCGACGAAGAGCTTACCGAGGATCCCCCTTCGTCCATCAACCCCTACGAAGTTCTTGGGGTAGAAGAAAAAGCCACGGCGGATGAGATCAAGTCAGCATACAGAAAGAAAGCTCTAAGACATCATCCTGGTATGTTCTTACCCCATCGAAAGTCTACAGCAAATGCAACTGGAGTGTGAGACTGACCGTTATTAGACAAGGCGCAAGCAGACCAGAAAGATGAAGCGAACAAGAAGTTCCAAGAAATCGCCTTTGCATATGCTATCCTGTCAGATGAGCGACGACGCCGGCGGTATGACCTGACGGGCAATACGTCCGAGACGCTCGACCTAGAGGACGATGACTTCAACTGGATGGAATTCTACCGCGAGCAGTTTTCGAGCATGGTCGACAGTAGCGCGATAGAGAAGATCAAGAAAGAATACCAGGGCTCTGACCAGGAGAGGCAGGATTTACTTGCCGCTTTCGAGAGGCACAAGGGCAATATGGACCTTGTCTATGAGACTGTCATGTTGAGCAGCATCTTGGATGATGATGAGCGGTTTCGCCGTATCATCGACGATGCAATTCAGAAGAAAGAAGTGACAGCCTGGGACGAATATGTGAATGAATCGAAAGTGACGCGGGATCGAAGGCTAGAAAACGCACGCAAAGAAGCCGCGGAGGCCGAAGAGTTGGCCAAGGACCTAGGCGTGGAGGATAAACTCAGTGGAAAGGGACGTGGAAAGGGCAAGAAGAAGAAGGCGACCAAAGCAGATGATAACGAACTCGCAGCCCTGATTCAGCAGCGACAGCAGAGCCGGGCTGCAAACTTCTTTGATGACTTGGAAGCCAAATACGCTCAACCCAAGAAGGGCTCGGGAAAGAGCAAGAAGCGCCGCGCAGATGAACCACCGGAAGAAGCATTTGCGGCAGTTGGAGCTCGAAAAGGCTCAAAGAAGAAGGCCAAGGCCTGATCTCTGTGTCACTGCCAGATGGACGAATGATTAGTTCCCATCGTATTCTTATAAGACGCTTGTTACTCTCAATTGATGTGAATCTTTTAGCACAGGAGTTTGGGATTTTTACTGCTGGGTGGATTATCTTGGCAGTTAATGTTTATGCCCTGTTTCGTTGATGATTCGGTGGATTGGGAAACAGATCCTGTATCATATCTATTGATATCTCTCAGGTATTCAGTTGGTTACATTTTGTCTTCAAATTGTACGTGAGTTGTTTTCATAGCCATATGTGCCTCGTGTGGCCATAGAGGTAAGCTCCTTCCAACATAGAGTGGACACATGGTGGTCCGCTACTGCTAGTATTCTCCGTTCTGTATCTGCTTTAAAGTCTTGCCTTTGTCCAAACCACAAAGAAAACCCATTGAGATACTATTACTATGCGCAGGAAAATGTCCCCAGCTGTGCAGTAATGGTTAAACAGTGCCTATCTACTCATGTGGTGGAAAGCATTGTTCCAGTTTCCATTGTATTCTACGATACCATCAAACACTATAGAAGACCCCGTGACGGCCAAGAAATACGCCCATTGTCCTAATATGCATGTCTCGCCTCTCACTACAGGCTGTGTGGACCTCAGCTTCAAGGAATTATCCCCTTTGCCGAAACCACTGCCATTTGAACGAACAGACAAATCCCAGCGTGACGGTAACTAGCCAAAAGCCACGCGCTGGTACCCCGAGCATGGTACCAAAGTTCGGACGAATTGCTAACGTAAAGCTGTCTTTAAATTAGGTCTTTAGAAAATTGAAGCCTTTTATACGTGCAGCTCCGTCATCAGCCATTCAAAACACTCATCACGATGCAATCTCACAGACGGGATAAAGTGTCTCTGGAGGCGGCACTGGACGAAGAGCGACGTGAGATCTTGGAGCTTTTGGAAGGCCGGAGGTCGTCCAAACAGTCGAGTTCTACGAAAAAGGATGCCCGTACAACGCCCACCGCCGTCGTGCGAAGCATGCTAGATGTCTCCCCCGATGCCCCGCCTCCGCGTTGTGGCTCAACAACCGCTGGAGCTGGTGGAACAGCGCTCTCGGGCCGGAGACTATCACTACCTAAACGAAGCTTTAGCGGGGTCCCTTCACCACCGTCTCCGTTGCGAACTTCTCGTTCCGCAACTGATTCACCGACAGCTTCCGAAGCTGCCTCGAGCGACACAGCATTGACCCAACGCAGGGCATCTGATGGCACAGACCACATTCCTAGTCCAAGGAGGAAAGTAATAGGAGACAAGCGGGGATTGGATCTCAGGGACTACAAGTTCGATATGCAATCCAGCATTCCGAACCAGGAGCAATCAAAGCGCGCCTCGCAGGGTGGTAAGAAGGTTTCCAGCAACAAGGGACTTCACTATCGAAGCTCATTGACAGCTGTGGTGGCGAGGGCTAATCCCACACTTCGAACAGGACCAACTGGGGGAACAGAGCCTGGCCGACCCAGTTCCAGGCTCTCGACTGTGTCTATTCCGCGGCTGGATAGATCAGCTTCGCCCATCAGTCGTACGCCAAGCCAGAGTTCATTAAATCTTGCGCCACCTACCGGGAAGCTTGTTACGGATAATGGGAAGTTGATCGATATGGACCGTGCATACACGCGTCTGTCGGACACTGCGCTGGCGGGGTCCAGTGGCAGTCTGTCCAACCTTGCGAGGGGCAGCGTGGAATCTGTCAGCGAGGATGGCGACGTGCGTCTAGAGAAGGACTACATTGAAGGCGGGGAGAATGGTTCCGGAACGATCGACACCAGCGAGGAGGAGATCGACGACACAAGCTCCGGGGAAGATGATCCTGGAACGCATCGGGGAAGGCGTCGTAGCAGGAAAAAGCTCACAGACTCGTCTACTGCCTCTGAGCACAGTGAAGGAGAGGGGAATGGTGTTGTCGCAGGAAGCGCAGAACCGAAAACTCTCCTTGAGGCGGCAGAAGAAGAGCGTGAGGGCAGCTGCCAGTATTGGCATAATCACTTTTGCTGACTCTCTCGCAGGCCAGAAGGTTGAATCTGCAAACAAGGACAAATCTCCTTCGCGTTCGGACTCGTCAAAATCATCAATGAGCGCTGCTGAGAAGTCTTCCTCCAAAAAGGGCGGCGTTCATCCGCGTACTAGTTTCGACTACACAGCTTCGACTGTCAATACCCCGTACGGATCAGACGATGAAGCAGATCTGTCCGATATTAAACAAGCCCAAAACCTGAGTATTCATCTCTCTACCATCGACACCTCGGTGCCTAACAGGGCCATTCGCACCGTGATCCGCGGTGACTTCACCCGACTACAGCAAGAAGCGAACGAGGGGAAGCGGCGACAGCGGAAATATTTGGTGGCAACAGACCTTAGTGATGAATCAGTCTACGCGCTTGAGTGGACAATAGGTACTATTCTTCGAGATGGTGACACACTCTTTGCCGTCTACGCCGTCGATGAAGAGGTCGGTACTGGGAAGGATGCAGAACTCGGAGCTGGAGTGCAATCCGTGCAGATCGGAGAGGGGGCAAAAGCGATGCAAGATTCTGCCGCGATTGTTGGATCCCAGACAGAAAAGACAGCCATCAGCGCAGCCACGTCATTCCTGCCACATGTGCTGGCCGCTCGGCTTGGTACTTCTGAGAGTAGGAGTGGCTCGGTCGATACACGGGGTCTTTCCAAGGCCGAGCTGGAGCGCATCCATGCTGTCGAAAAGATCTCACAGACGTGCATCAAATTGCTGAGAAAGACAATGCTTCAGGTCCGTGTGGCCGTAGAGGTCATCCATTGTAAAAGCCCAAAACACATGATTACAGAGGCGGTGAGTCCTTGTTCAGGCACTGTTTTGCTATGGACATTCTGGATCCAGCTGACACCTAGTCATTCAGATTGACGGTCTGGAGCCGACGTTAGTCGTCTTGGGCTCTCGAGGCAGAAGTGCTCTGAAGGGGTAAGTGGCCATACTCCGTACATTCTCTCCTCCCGACGGGTACTGATACATAGTATCATCTAGAGTTCTCTTGGGATCCTTTTCCAACTACCTAGTCGCTAAGTCCTCCGTCCCGGTGATGGTGGCGCGCAAGAAACTCCGAAAGCACGCCAAATACAAGAACACCCATATCCGTCTTTCGAACAACCTCACCACCCCAAGGAAGCTTGCCTTTGCCAAGGTTGACTAGGCAACTGTGTGCCTTTGAAGATTCCCTGATTTAATGCAATACCCCACTCTCGATTACGACTGCTTCTCATGCTAACTACTGGGAAAGGACTGGGTGACTTTTCAAAGGAGCGATGGGCATGGTTTTCGGCGCTTTCCGGTCATATGTTGAGCTTAGCCAGTTATTCGACGTCTGTCTGCATGGCACTGCAGATCGCTAGTCATAGCACGTATTTAATATCCAAGAGACATGGTGTGATTGATGAAAGAAGTCCATAACTAGTATTATACTATTATATTGATAGAATAGTACTCCCTAAGGCACCTCGGAAAGCTCGAAGCCACGTGATTGGGCTGCTTGGGCCTCGGGTTCCTGCCAAGCCGGGAGCTGCGTGTGGGGAAAAGCAAGCTGAGCAGAAGCTGGGAGAAGTCTCGGATCTGTCTGTCTATCGTCCACAGACGCTTCTCGAGTCTTATCCGTGTGAGACGAGATGTCAGCTCTTTAAGGATCTTGCTTTTCCCTTACGAGGAGCTCAAACCTCCTGTCTGCTTCCCTAGCACGACATATTCTAGTATCCTCGTCAGACAAGGCTGAGGTGGGGGCGACGAGCTCTATGTAACGGTGAGAAAGCCGATTGCATGGACTCTTTGCTTGCCTTTTTCGTCTGTCATTCTTGGAATCGGTGCTTGGAGGATATCTTCTATTGATTCTCATTGATTGCTCTACTGGAAGTGCCATAGTCGATATTGTTATTATGGATATGGTACTAATCACGAACTGGACGAAATATCTATTGAGCATCTCAGCCTGGGGTCCAAGCGGTACAGTCTCGTCATTGGAATCGCGTTGCATCCTTCCTTTGAACCACGGGACTCGGAAGTAGAAGTGGGAATCCTTCACTTCTCTATCTCATTTCATGTACGAGACTGTACGATAGCATTGATCTGTGGTTCGGACAAGGCTTAGTCCTGGTCGAGTCCCTGCATCTTACGAAAAATGGTAAACCCAGAGTCAGCGAAAAAGAATTGGATGATGTTCTAACATAGAAGCTAGATAACCCCGTATGCTTACTCGCTGCTCTGCCGATTACTGTCAGTGGCGCTTGTCCTTTCTGGACTTGTGGACCATGCATTAGGTGGATTTCCACCATCAGCTGCCGATTCGGACATAAAGACCATCCGTTCTCCAGTGGATGGCAACATCACAATAAGATACAAGTCACCACCTGTAGGGACATGTATGACTGTGTTCTCCACCCAAAAACAGTACACGGGCTATGTCCACCTCCCACCATTCACCCTGGCCCCGGTACAGCAGAACTACTCGATAAACACCTTCTTCTGGTTTGTCGAGGCAAGAGAGTCTCCCGAAACGGCTCCCCTAACCATCTACATCAATGGTGGTCCTGGCAGTAGTAGCATGGTAGGAATGTTCCAGGAGGTGGGACCCTGTGAAGTCGTCGAAATCAGCAAAGACAAGCTGGGTACGCAAGCACGGGAATGGGGCTGGGACAGAAGTTCCAATATTCTCTTCATTGATCAGCCGAATCAAGTTGGATTCTCCTATGACAAGCTGACGAACGGCTCTTTGGACCTTTTGTCGTCAAACTATTCGTTTCCTCCAGCTGATGTTCCGCCAGGGCAGCCTGCGTACACATTCCTGAATGGCACCTTCAGCTCCAATAATCCAGCAAATACTGCTAATACGACCGCTATCGCAGCACGGGCAGTCTGGCATATGTTGCAAGGGTTTCTGGGCGCCTTCCCGCAGTATAATCCTGGTTTACGTGCGAATGAGACTCAGAACGGGCCCGTTGGTATCAACCTGTTTACCGAGAGCTATGGCGGGAAATATGGTCCTGCTTTCGCTGAGTATTGGGAGGAGCAAAACGACAAGTTGAAAAATGGCACCCTGCCTCAGAATGGGACACTGGAGATCCATCTTGTATCGTTAGGTATCATGCAGGGCTGCATAGACGATCTCGTTCAAGGTCCTTTCTACCCGCGATTTGCTTATGAAAATTCCTACGGGATTCAAGCAATTTCTCTTGCGGACCAGCAGGAGGCGGCATCTGCGTTCGTTGCAGAAGGTGGCTGTCAGCAGCGGATTGAATCCTGTCGGGCTGCAGTGGCGTCCATGGACCCTGAAGGAGATGGCGACAACAGCGTCGCTAACCGGATCTGCGCCGACGCTCAGCAATATTGCAATGACAATATCGTGGGATATTACTCCCAGTCTGGACTCAGCGTCTACGATATTTCCCAGGCAGTTTTAGACCCCTTTCCGTCTAATACATACCTTGAATATCTCAACTCAGAAGCAGTGCAGTCTGCGATTGGTGTGCCTGTGAACTTCACCTCCACAAGCAATGCAGTTGCCACTGCTTTTCAGCAAACAGGCGACTACGATCGAGGTGGTCAGATCTCCGATTTGGCTTCCCTACTGGAGAGGGGCGTTCGTGTGGCTCTTATTTATGGCGATAGAGACTACATCTGCAACTGGGAAGGTGGTGAAGCCATCTCCTTCTCTGTAGCTGCTGCTTTGTCGTCTTATCTGTCGCCTTTTAATCTCGCCGGATACGCACCTATTGTCACGAATACAAGCTATGTTGGAGGTGTGGTGAGACAGGTCGCAAACTTCTCCTTTTCCCGCATCTATGATGCAGGGCATCTGATCCCAGCTTACCAACCCGAGACCCTATTCACACTATTCACCCGGATTATCCTCGGCTCAGACCTTTCGTCTGGTGAGCCTGTGGACCTGTCTACTTTCCGGACGGATGGCTACGCCAATGCAACCGCCACCAATACCGCACCCGCGAAGGCCAGTCCGACATGCTATCTGCGCAGCGTGGAGGACACATGTGATAGCACGCAAATAGACATGCTGGAATCCGGTCATGGTGTTATCATCAACGGGATCCTATACAAGGAGGAATCCGACTGGAAGTCACCAACGAGTGGCGCCAAAGACAGCGAAGGAGACAGCGAACCTATCGGTGTCCCAGGCACCGCATCAATTACCATTGGCCCAAGTTCAACGAACGAGCCTAGCAGCGATACAGATCGCGGTTCTCATCACGGCAGCACAACTACGACAACACCTGCAACTGGCGTCTTCACCGCAACCAGTACACCATCCATGGTCGGCCAACGAGCAGCAGCCAATTCTATCATCATAAAAATCCCTTCCCGATCGTATATATTTCTGATTATGTGGATGTCTTATCTACTCCAGATCATATTGTGACCTTGAACCTATCCCTCGCTAGCGTTGCATGGAGAAGCAGAGCGCAAAGGGACTGGGAAAAGCACAGAATATAAAAGCACAAATAATTGTAGGCAACGAAAGCGTGATTCTTGTACAGCATATGGAGTTATTAATATCATTAATCAATTCATCACAAAACAATTCAATTTCTTCTAAAGAAATAAGGGCCTAGGACGGCCAGTCATAAGGTTTTTTTTTTTAAAAAAGTCTTCAAGACTTCAACTATCAACTTCTGACCAATACTACAAGATACTGGACAGTCGACAGCTAATAGTCAGCCACTGGGCGGCAATGAGGTCCATGTGTTTCAGGGCAGCACCGAACTTTCTTATAGAGATTCTTATGCTACAAAAGACAGTGAAAGCAGTTATAGCTCTGATAGATTTAGCTGAGAAATAAACAAAAAGCAGTAAACGGGGAATAATCACAAATGTATATGCAACATCATGCGCGGGGAGGTGGCCCGCGACCCCGTCAGGGTGTTGTGTCACCTTTTCGCAGAGCCCCTCCCGTTTCCGATACAGCCGGTCCTTAGCCATCTCTGCATACTTCCTACTCGAATTTTCCGTTACGGAGGGGCGCAGACCCGTTTCACGGATGTCTAGTTTAAGATCCATGCATTTACGCGTCAATCAAGTTTGCCGACTGCTGCGCGGGCGTCTGCTCCTGCTCGCCAGAGTTGTCCCTGGTATCCTTGCCGGACTTACGGCTTTGACGGGCATAGAACTCGTCCAAGACCTTCTTGGGGATACGGTTGAGCAGCTCCTTGGGATAGATGCGGAGCAAGTTCCAGGCAAGGTCCAGGGATTCATAAATGGAACGGGATTCGTAGGGAGACTGGGAAATGAAAGTGCGCTCGAACTTGTCCAGGAACTCGAGAGAGAGCTTGTCTTCGGACGACAGGGCTTCCTCACCAACGACTGCCTTCATGGCGGCTATGGAATAGGTCAGATATTGTGACAGTTCAAGATGTAGGAACTCAAAGTCTGGGTACTAACCGGCATCTCGTCCAATGGCGTACTTGGCGTACAGTTGGTTGGAGACATCACCGTGATCCTTTCTGGTGTGGCCTTCACCGATTGCAGACTTCATGAGACGTGACAGGGAGGGTAGGACGTTAATCGGGGGGTAGACACCCTTGTTGTACAACTGACGGTCAACGAAAATCTGACCCTCGGTAATATAGCCAGTCAGGTCAGGAATAGGGTGCGTGATATCTGCGAGTGAGAATCAGTATGTTGATCCTGAGACAGGATATAGTTTACATACCATCGTTAGGCATGGTCAAAATAGGGATCTGCGTGATAGAACCATTACGGCCCTCGACACGGCCGGCACGTTCGTAGATAGTTGACAAGTCAGTGTACATATAACCGGGGTAACCACGACGACCAGGAACTTCTTCTCTAGCAGCGGAGACTTCACGAAGAGCGTCACAATAGGCCGAAAGATCGGTCAGGATAACAAGAACGTGCTTCTCAAGCTGGTAGGCATAATATTCGGCGGTGGTCAGAGCAAGACGGGGCGTGATAATACGTTCGATACTAGGTAACGGTCAGGATTAGCGTGTCGAATTGAAAATGTCTCATCAGTGAGCCCACTTACGTAGGGTCGTTAGCCAAGTTAAGGAAAAGAGTGACACGTTCCATACTGCCGTTCTCCTCGAAGTCGCGAGTGAAGAATCGACTAGTCTCCATGTTGACACCCATAGCAGCGAAGACGATGGAGAAGTTCTCCTCATGACCGTCATGTACATCCTTAGTAGGCTTATTGACCAGACCGGCTTGACGACAGATCTGCGCTGCAATTTCGTTGTGTGGCAGACCTGCGGCAGAAAAGATAGGGATCTTCTGGCCACGAGCAATGGAGTTCATGGTATCAATAGCAGAGATACCGGTGGAAATCATCTCTTCGGGGTAGACCTAAGCGCATAGTTAGACAGATCACGTCATATGAAAAAAGAGACCTTGCGGCTTACTCTAGAGTAAGGGTTGATAGGACTACCGTTGATATCCAGATAGTCTTCTGCCAGCACCTTGGGGCCCTTGTCGATTGCGCGACCTGATCCATCGAACACCCGTCCCAGCATATCTTCAGAGACACCGAGCTTCAAGCTGTGGCCGGTAAACTCTACCTTAGTCTGTCGAGTCATCAGTCTCCCTCCTTTCTGTATTGTCACTGTACGCAGAGCCAAATATATCGCACCTTCTTCACATCAATACCAGATGTGCCCTCAAAGACCTAGCGATCGCTTATGTTAACTATGATATCCACCTAGAGACCAACGCGCAACAACGGTGTGACGTTCGTACCTGGACAACTGCCCTGTTGCCTGTAACATCGAATAGGTCAGCCTTTAGTAGCCGAAAGATAATCACGTATATCAGCAACTATCCACCTACCTCTAGCTTCCAGAACCTGTCCGGAGCGCTCTGTGCCGTCGGGCAGTGTCAGGGACACGATCTCATTGTATCTGGGGAACTTGACCTATTTCGGGCAGATAATGATCAGTAATTGAGCTTCAAATGCACAGGAACATTATAAAGGTGACGCACATTGTCCAAGATGACCAGTGGACCATTGACACCTCCGATGGTATTGTAGCGGATACGGGGCTTGATGGAGGTCATCCGCGGGTCCACGAACTCAGGCATGATGACGACGGCGCTCACCGAACGCGGAGAAGCAGCGCAAGATATGAAATAATGCGATGACGGTGGAGGTTCAGAGTAGGGTCAGAGGAAGAGCGGAGCGGTGATGGTGGGGAGAGCTGCTCGATTGCCAGAGCAGTCGGGGAATTCAGGTTGAGATAGACACGGGCACCGCCATGGTCGATGATGGAGCTCCCGCAGTAGTAGTAGCTGCTTGGCCCGCGGGTCCTACCACTTCTTCACGTGACTTTGACGCGCTTCCATCTAGATAACCTAGTTAACTACTACGAATCAAACTATTACAATACAACAGCTGTTTCAACTTCTGCTCGTGGGCTCTGTGATGGAGACCACGTTTTGTTCTCTATTGAAGCGCTCTTGGGAAGAAGATGACTCCAGATGAACGCACGATACTGGGAACTACAACCAGAACATCATGGTCTGCTTCATCCATCTCATTGCTGCCCTGTCTGCCAGTTCTGGTAGAGAACAGAGGTCTGAAGGAGTTTAACCACCTTGCCGATTTCTATGGTGATCTATCTGTGTTAATACGGTTCAAATCTCAGGTGTATTGGCAAAAAGCAGGGTGCTCCTGTCATTGTCACTTGATATTCGTCTAGTCGAAGCAGTTGAAGACTGGTCATGTCGCTCCATCGTACGAGGAGCATGTTCATTTCATATTCCTTAGTTTCCATCGCATGGGGAACTAGCGATGACGATGATAAGCCCCATTAGATGGCAACTTTCGATATCGAGGCCTTACAGCCTCTACATGTTGTAACAGCCTCTGAACCCGTCATTGGATGCGAGGTTTACTTTTCAGATATTAACCGATCTATACCAACTGGCATTGCACGATTTACATCTGGGTCCTTTGGAGGAATTCATTTATAACTACAGCCACCATGCTGATATCGTGATTAGTGGGTGGCCCTCTTTACACCAGTCGCTGGAATGCCTATCCCGATCCGTCATTTATCTTCCTGTGGTGGTTGCGGTGCATCTCTGTCTCAATCCATACCTTTGACCGTCTTCTAGTCCCTATATCTATGTTTTCGTTCTGCTGTAAATCTGTGCTTGGGCTTTCCTCACAGATGCTAGCATATATCCGGCTCGTATATGTGCATACAGCACTCTGTCCACTCGTCGGGCTAGCCACTCAGGTAGGTATCCACATGATACGAGCAAAGTCACTGCACCTTGCGGCTATCTTATCATTGCGATTGATATATGGGATAAAAAAATCCAAAGGGCAAAAAGGAATCCACCAACGTCCCTGGGAAGGCTCGAACTTCCAACCTCTCGATTAACAGTCGAACGCGCTAGACCAATTGCGCCACAGAGACATGTGATGTTCATTGGTCCGGCATAGGTTTTATGTGGTGGCGGACAAAAGCGGAAATAATGAAGTTCAAAAAATCAAAAAAGTAAACGTCCCTGGGAAGGCTCGAACTTCCAACCTCTCGATTAACAGTCGAACGCGCTAGACCAATTGCGCCACAGAGACGTATTTGTGTGATCGATCGGCAACTTTAGAGAAATATTAAGCCGATCCATCAAGCGTACTTCCTTAATTACTCAATTCGGTTGTTTTGCTGCCGCTTTTGTTTAGAGGATAATAATACCGCAATGTACTACTCCGTAAATGATATCGCTATCGTGAATATACTTATTAGCTGAAGCTAAAGCTATACCTTTTTGTATTCGCCTCTTTATCTGAATCCTTCTTTCTGGTGCTACCGGCATCTCTTAAGATTTAAAGAGTGCAAGTTACTATTACTCGCTGCGATGTGGAAAGCAGTAGTAGTATCTGAGCTCTTTGTAGGTTCTGGGTCATGAATAAGCGACAGATCCTAGTAAGTTCAGGTGATTAACGAATTGTAGGAATATCAGTCTAACACTTAGCCTCTATTTTTGCTTCCATGCTCTAAGACTCGACGCGCGCACATACAGCCCTAATAAGGGAGAAGAGGCACGTGTATATAACTGCACGAGGGAAACCCCAGCTCCTGAGCATACTATGTGATCCTGTGAGACGAGTTACTGGATTGGTTACCCTCTGTTTTTAAACCAGCTATTACACCCATTCAGACCGAGTTAACTTGCTCTGATACAAGAAACAGGGAGTCACAGCTCTAGCCTAAAGCTTCGGTACCTCCTCTAGTGTCGATACATGAACCCATTGGAAGCTTCTCCGGTTCCTCGTTGTCTTCAACCTTCTTGTCGCGACTAAGGAAAGGTTCCTTGGAAGGTTAACATAGAGGCAGTGAGGTATTTGCAAGTTTCTCTGGTCTCGAAGATCGCTAGCGCATCTAGAATCGGGTACCTGCGTCATGCCTTATCCAATAACATAGCAACATAGAGAGCTGTTTAAAGAATCGAAGTCGTGATAATCATTTTCTCCTTATAAATCAGAGCCTGGAAACACCATACATCAAATACGTCTCTGTGGCGCAATTGGTCTAGCGCGTTCGACTGTTAATCGAGAGGTTGGAAGTTCGAGCCTTCCCAGGGACGTCATTTCTTTTTTGCTTTTTTTGATTTTTGAACTTCAACTCCACCCGTATCTCCACCGGGATGAGAGTGGCCTATACTTAAAGGAATTATTCACACCAGGGTATCTGAAAGAATACCCTACCGAACTAGCCGCCTACGCGCATCTGATGTCTTGTATGGTGTAGCGTAGACACACGTATTTATATCATTCAGTTGCTGGAAATCGAAAAGCGGCACCGGGACTATATTTACATTGCATGTGCATAATAAACAAGGGCACTTCACAGTTGTATTTGTTCATCTTAAACTTCTGGGCGCATTATTTTAATGCACCCGGGAAAATGTGATGACATTCGCGAGACACAGTTTAGAAGAATAAGGACCTCTAGGCCCATGGAGCTAACAACTATTGAAGAACCAAGAACCAAAATGATGGACGCTACGTAAGTTCTTCGTCTAAGACTATACAGATTCTAGAAGCGAGAAGCGCACGTGGCTGATATTTCCTCTCAGGCACCAACTCTACGATCACTCTTCGCACCACGGTAGAATCCTGAACTTGTCATTTTTCCTACATGAAATGTGCGTGAATAGACACCTATTGATACAATGAAGCCCAGATGATTAGAACACGGAATGTTGAGACGCATCCATTTAACACTCCAAAGGGCCACTCTCTGTCTTCAGGTCACAGCCTAAGTATATGCTATTTTGACAAAATATCTAACTTGACTTCCATAAATCACAAGGCAACCCCTCGTTTCTAGAGTTTTATCATACAAAACCATGGAACAGGCTTAACGAATTCACATCGAGGGTATCCGAAGATACACATTGCGAAAAAGTAGATTCCGCCTCCGTCGACCCGTGTCCTAAAGTACCTCACTGAGCCCTTGCGTATATCTTTTTTACGAGCTTCTCTAGGTGTGCTTTTCGCACTTGATGATATGAGCAAAACAGAATAAACTCCCGGCGGCTTTTAGTCTCCGGGACCCTGATTTCAAGGTTCCTGCTGTGATATCATCGAGCTATCATCCTCAAGGCTATCGCAGTCCAAGAAGGAACGAAATGTTGCTCTCAGAGTGATGTTGTTGGAAACCCGCGCCTGTAAGCTACGGCGACTTGACAGCTAGTACGCCGGCTCTCGATTCCATCTCGCCATTTCCCGACCACTACCCGCACTATGTCTCCTGTCTAGTATTTTGGAGATCATAACATTCTACTTACCACTTGGTGAGTTACACCGTATCCTTCATGCTTCTCTTGCTGGTGGATACGATGCCGTCTATCCTGACTAGGAGTGCTTCTCGACAAAAAAGACATCTCAAGATTAAACGGTCCATGTCTGTCTGCTACCTCGTAACATGGGATATGAACGTATGTGGCCACACCCCTCGCCCCTACCAATTATTGCCCGTCGTCTGGAAGCTCCTATTTCCATGGTTTCACCCCGTCACAATGACCTGTACTGCTCTCTACCACTGCCATCTGGCTCATATCATTTAAAAGGAAAAATCCCCTATTGGATACATTCAATGGTTTGAAAATGCGTTCCGATAATCTATGATGGTCAATTTCATCATTTCCGGTGTTGCATTGTATACATATATCTCTTCTCGGCCTCAACATCTCAGTTTCCTTGGCGAACAGCATCAAGTTAGGGCCTCTGATACTGTCAATCTTCCTGTCAGAAACCTCGAAACATCTCAGCGGTATCTCTGGGCAAGATGAATGCTTTTACTCTTCTCGTGGCTCTTGCGGGCTCATCATTCGCCCGTCCGCAGTTCGCTGCGTCCCCAGTTGGGACTTCTGCTTTGAATACTCACCCTTCTCCATTCAGTGCAGTGCCTCATTCCACCAGCTCTCATACTTCTCTGTCATTTCACACTACCTTCTCGACCAGCTCGACTTTACACGCCAGTCCTTCCGTCCATGTCTCAGTCCACCCTAGCTCTCCTCACGTGAGTACATCGACTACGGCTATTCCCAGACCGACGACTGCTCCAGAAGCCCCTGCTGCTTGCCCCAATCCCTTCAGGGAGACATCATCTCCAGCCCCGGGGGTTTCTCATACTACGCGGGTGTCATCGAGTTCAGCGCACCCGACAGTCACTGTTACTGTTCCAGCCGCATGTCCGGCAGCTCCCGCTCCTGCAACGATCACAGTGACTGAATGTCCTGCAGCCAGTGTTCATGCCAGTTCGCCAGTCAGTCACCCGTCTGTTGCTGCGACGAGCCCGCACATTGCCTCGTCCGTCAGTCATCCTGCCAGCGCTCCAAGCATTAGTCACACTTCTAGTCATCCTGCGAGTGCTCCAAGCATTAGCCACACTTTCAGTCATCCTACGAGCATTCCGGGCATTGGTCACACTTCCAGCATTCATACTACTGCGAGAATATCTACTTCGACGGTGCACGTTGTCCAGGCCACTTCATCCAGCTTCCATGTGTCGCCAACCACCCGGTCGCCCACCGTTTCTCCAAGGGTTACAGGCTCTCCAACACCCATATAGTCTATACATTCTCTACCATGGTGGGAATCGGGCACTGGGCGGCAATACATGTGTTGAGGGGTGGAAGGGTTTTCACGCACATAATACAGCACATGTTTTCCTTTTCCGGTGTATATCAGCCTTCTCTGCCATGTGAATTGAGTATGTGCATCGTACAAATGTCTTGGGGCTCTTGGAGCTTTGCGATGGCGCTACCATGTGCTCACCGGATCTCAATGTATCTCGCCTATAGTCCAAAAAAGTATCCTGATGTGATGTATAGCCTTGAACTTTTAGGGAGAGCTAAGCAATGATAATGGACTAGTACATCCTCGGTATCATTCTCTGGATTTCTCCCTGTGAATCTACTTCATAGACATTTGCTAATATCAGAGTACGAACGCATCTAAACGGAACAGTATTCGTCTATCTGGACCACCTGCTTGGAGATTGCTTGTGTAAGAGGCCTGCCCTTCTAATTGACCCCTAGCCGGTCTTTTTTGTGTCTGCTAGTGGACCTCTGTCGGCGTACAAAGCAAACGCCAGGTGATCTGTCAATCATCCATTTGTGGCAGATTCTTTGAATCCTAATTACGCTGGATTACTACTAGATTACTGGATTATTAGGATCTAGATTCTTTGTATGCTAGCGATAAATATGGGATCAAATCCCCCCTAGACCTAGAGTCAAGCAAGTAACTCAGATTCTGCTTCCGTGCTGTTTAGGATTCGACAACCTCACTCAAGCGAAAACATGGGGAAACTCCGTCAGGAGCTCCCCACATAGAGTGTCTGCAATATTATGTACATGGTTAGCCAACCGAACTAGATGCGGGTAAAAATATGTATCACACGAATATATATCTAGCCATACCAATAAACCGCTACAACATAGGGTCCCAACCCTAAGAGTCAAACATTGAGAATAGTTACAGCACACATCAGTGGAATAAAAAGGACAATAGTAACTTAACCTGCACAAAACAGATGTTGGAAGCCCTTATTGTCGACATGATACTGCAAAATTTCTTTAGATTGGTTAATAAGTTAGGTACCCGCCGATCCTTCCATCAAATCGTCTCTGTGGCGCAATTGGTCTAGCGCGTTCGACTGTTAATCGAGAGGTTGGAAGTTCGAGCCTTCCCAGGGACGTTTCTTTTTTCTTTTTTTCTTTTTTCTTTTTTCTTGATTTTCTGGTCCGAATACGTCTTAGTGTTAGCTACGGATTTTTTCTTGGCGGGTTATCTACAGAACATCTGAGGGACATCTCTAGAAACATAGTAAACTTGTCCGGTTGATTCTTTCTACATAGGTACTTTGATTGAAGGGCGCTGTTTTACACCTAGCACCGATCGTCCCCCCTACAAAGCAGCCACAAGGATAAGGGAATCAACGCTGTAATTCTTCATGTATCATCGATGACTTCACATGCAGAGTAGACGGTGTTTCCAAACCCCACAAGCATTTCCCGATATAGAAAGCCGTCGGAGTGGGCAGCCCTACCCTGCTAAGTAGATGTCGGGTTTACCGCAGACTAAACCGTGCAGGTTTTTCTGTGATAGAGACAGCATTTCATCGGCATTCGGATAAAAATTCCCAATAGAATTTCATTCACGAGTTCGACATTACCCCAACCTTCAGTTGCCGGCTTGTCTACCCGGTCGAGCCCAACTACATTTGCGCCGCACTCGAGAATAGCCTCGACGAGGGCAAGACCCATTCCGCCCCGTTGCGCCAGTCACTGTGAGATGGTGTGAAATATCGGTATCTAGCATGTAACATTCGAGTTAAGGATCACCTCACCAAGTATAGTCCCTTCGGAAAAGGGAGAATAGCTCAGATGAAGTGCGCTTTGGGCAATGGGCGCCACTCTCAGAGCAGTCTGTGGGCAGGTGACATGACGGATTCGAATATATTGATTTGTTGAGTGGGATGAGTGAGACCGGATCCCGTCTGTATATATGGAGCGGACTGGTCAACGATATATGTTTGCGCCGGGCAAGTAAGCAACTTCATATATAGTGAGCCTGTGCTGGTGAAAGAAGCTACCTAGATAATAGCACATGCTGGTTTCTCCGTCATCTTCAATTAGAACTCCATATTTTGAACGGCTAGAATCATCAGCTGAGATCCAACTCACAAAATGGAAAGAATCCCGCATGGGGCGGACCGACCGTTGCGAGCGGCCCGCCCGCCAGCCTGCAGTATGAAGCAGCTCCACCAGCCTTTCTTGAATTTTGGGCGCGTGGACCTGCTTAGATGGAGGATGAACTATGTAGTCAGTTCCATTAGGTGATCAAAGAAGTCAGCGGAGCTTGGAGGCAAAAAGTCTGATGGATTAGAGAGTAAAGAGGAGTAATAGGTCCCGAGGAAGCTTTTGAATGGACTATTATCTCCGACCTCAGCACCTACTAATTGCTCCCAGAAACTTCTGATCAATACATCATTACTGGAAAGCTTACGAGGCCCTGTAAATTTTGATGGTGCAAGGAGGATTCTCCCTGGGATGCTAGCCATTGAAAATGAGCTAGTTAGCCGTAGCTTCACCATCAGCTAGCCAGATATATTACGCGCCAGAGCATACGATTACTAGATTATTTGGGTACAATGTAATAATGTTTTATCTCCTGGGGGCTCAGCGTCCCCTTCCTCTTGGGGGTGGGGGGGAGAGAAAAAAAGGAAAGAAGCCCTAGAGCCGTTTCGACCTCATGAACATTGGTCTGTACCTAACTTAGCCTGAAAAAGATAGAAAAAAACAGTGTCTCACGACCAGGCAAAGCACGTGTCTTCATGTGTGGTACACAGTGACCAAAACATACATTCTTCTAACTATGTAAATGCTATTTCTATAATACCGGACACCAAATGCAAACAGTTACTTTTTAGCCCAGCCACGAGAACACCTACCAGATGCCATCACAACAGACCCATATAATCAAGCAATGCAGAAATACCGAGTTATAAAACTGCAACATCTAATAGAAAAGAAAAAAAAAGAAAAGAAAAGAAGCAAAGCAGAAGACAAAGTGGAAATCAAGCCCAGCACCCCACAGAGACATTCTAATGCTATTAGATCAGACATTACGTGCATAATTCATTCAATAAAGTTGTGTGTATGCATGCGTCGGGGCAAAATGAGCAGAAAATTATGAGAAACACCTGGAACAAGCCAATGAAACACTGCTTTACTCAGACATTAATAGACAGTCCAAGCTCCGCGCAGGCCGACTTTAAGCAATTTGGCGGCGGTGAAGCAAATCAGACCGGCAAAGTAGCTGCAAGTCGTGAAAGCGATGAGGCCCCAATACTGACCATCGCAGCGGGAGATGATCTCGCCTGCAATAGGGACACCAGTAAGGGTACTATTTTGTTTCAGTTAGTACTGCAGTTCCCTTCACATAAAGATTTCAGGGCGATGAAGTCTACTTACCCGAAACTGACAATGGTATATGCCGTCGCATAATATCTGCCATAGTTCTCTGTCTTGCAAAGCTGTCCGACACAGACAGGAGTCAGACTGATGTTGCTGCCACTAGCGAAGCCGAATATAGCACAATATACGACCAGCAGAGCGACGCTGTTGCCCGCAGGAAGCCAGAAGCAGGCATTGCACAAAACGCACAGGACGGAGGCAAGGATCATGGCATTGAAACGACCAAGGAAGTCTGCGACGTAACCGGGAAGCCATCTACCGAAGAAAGAGCCAGCGTTGAGGATGGCTAGGACCTGGTAGGAAAAGGTAGGCGAGATGTTGTGCGACAGGGCATAGGATGTTATATAACTCAAGGGAATGAAAAGGCCCCATTCGACAAAGAAGATACCTGCTGTCGTGAACGTGAAAATGGGATCCCTGAAGATACGGAAATCCGGAAGTATATTCTCCTTTGACGCTGGTTTCGAGGGCAGTCTGGACTTGACTAGTAGACATGCTGTTCCTACCGTGACCAGACATATCAAGGCCAGGACTCGAGTTGCCCAAGCAAACCCAACTTTAGGAAAGAGGTTATCCAACATCAGAGGGAACACAATGCCTCCCACAGAGCCACCAGTAGCGGCCATTCCTGTAGCTAGACCTCGCTTTTCATAAAAGAAATGCCCGACGGCCGCAAGGCAAGGCGTAAACAACAAGGACGTGCCAATGCCATTGAGGACGCCCAGAACGAGCATGAAATGCCAGTACTGAGTGCAGAAGCCCACGATGATAAATGAAGCCACGATGCAGATTGAACCAGCAAGGACAAGAAGTCGTGGGCCCTTTGCATCAAAGACTGGACCAATCTGAATTCCGCAGAAAAAGGTCAGAAATGCATAGACACCAAAGATCCAACCGACTGCACCTTCACTTTCGTCCTTCAGTTGGTGTGTCGAGACATAAGCCTGGAAGGTCCCGATAGTATTCATTGGCCCCAGGGAACCCACAAGGCCCATGAAACTGCCAAAGACCACGACCCAAGCCTGCCGTCCTCCTTCTGGATAAGTGTTTCCGTAAGGGTCAGTCAAAACTCGAGTCGTGGTTTCCATGTGCGAGGACGCATCCGCAATGGTCTCTTCGTCTGAATAATCGCCATCCCCGGACTCAGGCGTGTGGCTGCCGTCGAATGCAGGTACAGAATGATTCACTGGCCGTTCTTGTGAAGTATACTGCTTCTCATTCGAAGAATCAACTGCATGGCTGGGATTCACCTCTGCGCTCTGAGAGCCTTCATGGATGAAAGTGTCTGAAGATTTCTCGCGGGGGGACTCTCCATGAGACGAATGATTAGATGCTTGGAAAGAATCATCATTTCTGATCTGTGGCCCCGATGAGGTTCCAATGTAAGAATGTGTAGACATATGCCTTGTGCGTAACCTGGTGCCTCCAAAGAAAAAAGACCGGTCCTACACTCTCAGCCCTTTCTGTTGACCTGCAAATTACGTCGATGCGACTTCAGCTAGAACACTGCAGCATGCAGGAATCAAGACAGTAGTTTATAGTATTGATTTGACGATTTATCCGATGGAATAACGACAGATCCCCAGATCAGATCTTAAGAAGATGAAGACATACGATGAAAGAGAAATGCGACGAAGACGAACTAAGTAGTTAATAGTTAGTTAATGGCTAAGTTTTGTCACCGACGGCGGGTTTTCTAGTACCATCTTGTCTATTGCGGGACCATGATGTACGGGGAGGAACTCGTCCTATCATTGGTTCCCTGCCCGAACGTACCTTGGAGACCGACTTCAACATCGTGGGCGAGCCCGGACTAGTATGAATTTATTATGCTAAATGACCTGGATGGATCAGAATTAGGCAAATAATGGAACAGAAAGACTGGCCGAAAAGTTGCTGGCAAAAAGCCTTATTCAAGTCGGGGTAAAATTTAGCGCTAAAAAAGACCAAAGAGGAAGGTCCACCGCAAGCGCCACCCCCATCGAAGATTCGGTTCCGATCAGATAGTTAACCGCCGGGATGTCGAGTCATGTAAATGATTATTACTGCACAATGTGTTGGCGGAATGTGTTGCAGGTCTGACTTATGAGTAGCACACTCTAGATACAGATGGCTGCATCGGAAAAGGATTATCATCCATAAGGTAGACCTGCGGATTGCGTGCTGACTTTCTCGGTCTTTGGGCATAAGTAGACTGTAAGTAAGCAATCATCCTTGGAAACTTAAGTAAAAGTCGGTGTCAGATCACCTAACCTTAGTACATACATACAACGGAATCTTCCGACGTTCCACTTCCAAGGGATCCTCGACCAGAGTACAGATCAACACACTGGGCGAAGAAAAAGAGACCGCCAATACATCGCAGAGACGACATATGCGAAGATGCAGAGAAATCTCCATTAAAGGGTGGATTCTAACCTCACCGACTATGTAGTATGTACAGTACATACCTACATACCTTGATCCCGCAATCCAGTAATCCAAATGTGGAGAAGCAGCAAATCCTGTTTTCATGTACTTACATATTGTGTATCAACACTCCGCACTTTAAAGTCTAGAGCATGGTAGTTAATTAGGGATTGTGTGTGTGTGTGTAAGACCGGTCACCACAAGCACATGCAACCTCCGAAACATAACCCTCCATCCTGATTCCAGGAGAGGCTACGCCTCCCTTCATACAGTAGTAAATAATTCAAGAATTATTATTATTAAAAGCTGCACCGCTCATAACTATAACTATAACCTAGAGTGGAAATCTCCCGGGAACCCCAAGAGTGGGGTCAAGACCAACTAAAGAATAATATGGTACTAGACTAACTCATAGTTACATCGATGATCTGGTTACTTAAGAAAGTGGAGATCCATTGAGAGAAAAACTCCACCCGGTAATAATATACATAGTAACTACATAGTAGTTACTGTAATGATAATAATACTCGAAGCCCTACGAAACGATTAGTTAGTTAGTTTCCTCCAGAATCATTGTTCTCACTTGCTAATTCACTTTAACCTAACTAACTATCGAGTCCGTGTATCACCTTATAGATATTACTCTATATAATGTTAGATAATAGTTACTGTAAAATTACAGATTCTGCAATAGCACATAACTACTTTATAGTTATCCGTTGCGCTGATCTAGCCTCATATTGTATGCACATTGCACTGTCGATATTGATAAGCACCACACACCGCACACCGCACCTCTGGGCTCTTGAAATAAAGCCCTGGTCGCCGGAGCTAGTCTATCTATACCAGAAGCGAGGAATCTAATAATACATAACTAAAGTCGTCGTGAGTTATCTGATTGGAGTCTTTGGAGCGCCCTTGGCCCACTAGATGATCGCTTTCTGTTTTGTTCCTGAACAAGTGCATATTATGAATTATTGTTAGGGTTGGTCTAGGCGGAAGCTAAGATAAGAATGGTATTCTTGTCTTGACGTCTGGATTTGCGTAGTAGTAGTAGTACTTTATCTTCCAGGGACTGTTTGGATAGTAGATTGATCGTTAAATCATTCCATTTCATACTCCACATCGAGGGTATATATAAGACATCAATTATGTACATGTGTATTTTTGTTTCTTCTTCTGTGAAAAATGCAGGACATGCATGCCAGACAGGTATCGGCTCACACTGCTCAAACTAAATACCCAGCAGTCGATGCATGTAACGATGCCAAGAGTAGCGCTATGCAAAAGAAAAATGGCATCTTGATCACGAATATTCATGCTTAATAAGTAGACTCTTCTTCCAGAGGGATATCAGACCGAATGCGAGATTCCCAAGACTCGTAGATCAGGCAGATAAGATAAGGAATCTCCCTCTGCGGAAAGATGACGCTCTACAGAGATTGCTTGCCCCGCGTTTCGATAGGCAGCAGACACATGGCCACGAACGCAGCAAGGATAAGACCGCCACTTGCATATATGGGAGAGTTCGGGTTCGCGTTGGAGCCATAGATCGCGACAATGGGGGCAAACAGACCGCACAGACGGTTGAAGAAACTGGCGATACCTGTTCCCGTGCCGCGGTTAGGGGCGGGGAAGACTTCCGGAGTGTAGGCGTACAACACGCCATACATGATGTTCTGGAAGAACGCTTCCAGAGAAGAGCAGACCAGCTGGGAGTTGGAGTCTGTAGAGATCGTAAAACAGAAGAGGATGACACCTGTAATCACGGTTGAGATCGCCATCGTTCCCTTGCGTCCAATGTACTTGATGTCGACGGTATAGCAACCTAGGATGGAGCCGGGGACGCCAACAATGGACGTGATAGCATAGTTGCGGTAAACGATGTTTGTTGGCGTAGGAGCACCGCTGCCACCGGAGTTGCTGAGGTACTGGGGCAGGAATGCGTTGAAGAGAGGATATCCCATGCCGATAGTCGCCCAGCAGAACCACAACAGAACGGTGGTGAACCCGAGTCTCTTGGTCGCGAAGAGGGGACCAATGCGTTCTCCGGAGAACTTAGACAGGGTTCTTTTAATGATCTCTGCGTATGACAGGACCTGATTGGACGCTTCGTCTGGGTGACCGCCAATCTCATTGAGGATCTCGTTCGTGAGCCACGTCTTGGTCTTGTTCTTGTAGGCAATGCCGTGAACCGCAGAAACCGCTTCTTCCTGGCGGCCACGAGAGAGAAGGAACTTGGGTGACTCGAAGAGGTGGAAGAAGAAGAAGCGGCATACGAACATAAAGAAGGTCAGTGAACCAAGGGTATAGGTCAGGTATCTCCAACCCATGTTGTCCTCCTTTCTGCAGCAAGGGACACCGGAGGTCGTGTGGCATGACGGCAAGTCGGTTGAGCAGGAGTAATTGGGGATAAAAGCCCAAGCCAAGAGACTTGATATCAACTGACCGATCGGCCACCAGACGCTAAGCATAGTCAAGAGATTCCCCGAAGCAAAAGGCAGGAATTCCAGGAACAGTGCTCCGTCGACTGGCAAGTTACCACCGACACCCAGTCCCATACAAGCGAACATGGCGCAGGCTCTGATTACAGGAGGTCAGCGGTAGTCCCCGGTGACATTTAGGCTTAGCAGATGCAACATACCCTATCCACGTAGGACTTCCACCCACTGCGATACCAAAAACGCCGCACATGAACAGGGTCATATTGAAGGCTAGGCGTCGTCCCACCACATCGGACATGATACCCCAGAAAGACGCTCCGATACAAAGACCCAGAAAGAGGGCACATGTGGTAAAGCGCACGTGCGACTCAGAGACGCCGAACTCGACGGACAGCTGGGTAAGAGTTAGGGCAACACCCTGCACGTGATCAGTAAGATAGTTCCAACGACGTCCATTACTTCGCGATATGGATGTACCTGTAGCCATAGACTAGATGGTGACTGAGATTAGCAGCTGGTCGATGCCTGGTTCCATGTAGAAGAAGGCAGAAAAACTCACTTGTCTGCCAGCCAACCGAAACCGCACAGAGCGAAGAGCTCCCATTGATATCGGCCCATTCCAATGTCTTGGATGGCCCTGTTGATCACTTTGGACTTTCCTGTACAAGAACATTAGATCCATCATCTACTGGAATATACCACAGGGTCAAGAGGGGAATAGTCGCGTTGGGATAAGCGCAGGTTGGGACCGCTCCGGAGAGAGAAAAGAAAGGGGCTCAACAGGCGCTACGCGGCATAGAAAGACGTACGATCATAGGCACTGTCATGGCCGGACGCCGCGACATCATTTTCCACCTCTGCTCGGAGAGCCTCGATGGTCAATGTGCTAGTCTCGGGGAGTGATGCGGCACCATTCTCCTCCGACCCAACCTTGGCCAGCTTATCATCGTCCTTGGCCGGGTTGACATCCTTTTCTGCAGGAGCCAGATCGGGGCGATGACCCTGGGACAGCGGTATCACCACACCTGGAAAGGTGCGGTAGTTGTCCCTCTGGAAGGGGTTGGTGAAGAAAGGCATGGCTTCGGTTTTCTTCTGGGGGTTCACGGGCGCTGTGGGTAAGACGTCTGCTACCGAAATGTTGGCGCTGGGGCGATCGTGTCTCCTACCGATCCGGGCCGTTCGAAATCGCCAAAATCGTCGATGGGCTCGTCGATGGGTTCGGCGCTGGGGTGCGAAAATGTAGGCCTTGCGTTGGGGCTAGATCTAAACTTCGTGCCGGGAGGGGTGCAATCCGTCCGTTCGGGGAATAATCGATCACAATGTTGCTAACAATGTCGCTCTGGGCTGCTTCAGGTTTACCGGAAGTCTATCGGACTGAAGAAGCAGATAAAGGGCGGAGTCGCGTTGGGATTGTCGAGTTGCTATCACGGAGCTTCTCTAGGAACGCGCGAAGTAGATGGACCAGAACCTTTGTATGCTGCGAGTCTCTGGAAAACCCGAGTATTATAGGTATATAGAAAACAGAAATAATCGAAAGAGTAGTAACTAGCTCAGCATTGCGCTGGAGCCGGCTGACAGGGTATATATATGTGATACGGTGCAAGAATGAATCGGGAACAATTGCTTGATCAACCACTGCAGAAGCAAAGCTGACAGTGATTGTCAAAAGAATCCCGGGGAGGGTATAGATGGACAGGGTAGATGACTGTTGAAGAATGTGAGTATCACTGGTGACTGCAGAAGAGGAAAAAAAAAGGACAAATGCGGCGGGAGTTGTCAGATGTATATATGCGAGGGAATGCAGAGGATCTTTTTTTTTTCTTCTTCTTTTCTCCCAGCCTGGGATGTCATTGGAGCACTGTAACTGCCGTGAGTGTTCGCGTGAATGCTGATCCAAAGAGAGCCTTCCAGCTTGTGATGGGGCAGGGAAGCTGGGGTAGCCGGACACGGCACCAGTCGGAGAAAGCGACGACGGGCGGAGCTTGACCCAAGGGCGAAAAAAAGGGCGCCGTCTCTTTCTGCTGTGGAGGTCTCTCTCCATGGAACCGTCTGCGTTCCCTTCCCCGAGGGAAACGGTCGATGGCGGAGAGAAAGGAGAAGCAAGACTCAGTGGAATGGTTGTTTCATCAACCGTATCGAATATCCTGATAGAGGCAGAGAGTACAGAAGGGTCGAGCGCGCATCAGATTATTGATTCAGATAGATAAGAAATCGCCCGATGGAGAGGGCGAGAGAGACGAAGAACGAATTGTCGTCTCCGAAAGAGGAACCAATGAGAAAAGGAGATACAGATGAGATCGTAGCGATCTGATTGGGCCAGACCGCCCAGGAGCGACGCGACCGTGGATGACGCCTTAACCAGCCAGAAGCGCCGGATGGGCGGCTGTGGGGAGGGGTTAATTATCCTTTAGGGGTGGTCCTTAACTAACGTCCACTAATCTCTAGCGCTTCTCTGCGCGCTGAGGCCCCTACAACTGTCTGTGAGATTGGGCACAAGCCAGCATGACAGTGGAAACATGGTCAATTAACTACCATAGTCTAACTGTCTAACTGACTAGATACCCGGCTCTGTGCTCCTCTGCCCTGGCCTAGTGGTAGCCGCTGACCAGGTGGCGTTGCGTGGTCGAGGAATCTAGTTATCATCAAGAGAACTCAACTTATCATTATGGATCAAAGACAGCGAGAACCCATACTTTCTTTCTAGGCAGAAGGTTTCTTCTGGAGGCGTTGGTATTTATTCGAGTCTACTGGCTCATTGATTCCCCAAAACAGCTATCTATCCTGTGCCACGACTGAGCGGTGCAGTCCGACAGAACAGAAGATCGCAACACCCACGGCCCGCACCGATCCACTGCCCGCAAATTTGCTTTCTGTCGCATCAATCAAGCGAACCAGGAAATAATCCACGATCAAAAAGAACGCCCAGCCGTCATGGCCCGCCGCGTTCATTTAATTGTATTTGCACTAGAAGCTAATAGATGTCTATCGATGTTGGTGGAGGTTCATCTCTCATCCTACCCGAATGCGAGGGCCATAGCATGTCATCGCCCAGAGAAACGCAAAAGGTTACACTGCGACGGTGCACAATGCATCGATCTAGTTACTTGGAGGCTGAAGCACGCGAGAACCCTGCTAATAATGATGATGGTATCTACAGTATTGTTTTTTTGCATAAACCTTTTCCTCAGATCAGCGCGCACATCGGGAAAAATCACGTGGGAAGTCAAGTCATGACGTCCACCAACGGCGGCAACAAGAAAAGCAAAAGAGTAAGAGAGACAGAAGAAGACTAGAAAAAGGCATCTTTTGGGAAACTAAACTCGTTGCAGGAAAATTTTGTCGTTGCCATCGGTCTCTTGGCATTTCGGCTGTCGTTCCGCATGCGTTCGGCTCCCTGTGGTCCGAAATATCCAATAATCTTTGTCTCTTACCCTCGCTCGTAGTTGATCGGATGCGCTCAAAGCCTCAAAGTAGCTACTTCGTAGTGTCCGGTAATAATTATTCCTGGTCAGCCACGTGAACCGGGCGTAGGATATACTCACTCCCTGAGTCGTGGGTCGTAACTGAAGTAATCGAACGATTTAGTTAGCAGTCGAAAGAAGTTGGCACAACAGCCAGTAGATAGGCTGTCTTTGAGTTTAACTGGTGGAGCTCTGCGCGGTTGATATAAGAGCTCAGAGCACATCGCATTATTATTATTAACTAACCAGATGGTATGGAGTCTATGGACACGCGAGCATGCGCACTGTCCTCTGCGCTGTTGAAACGCCGGTAAACGGGAAGTATAGATCCAAGCAGTTAGTACAGCCTTGCTTTCAGCAGAGTACAGTGACACCCCTGTTCCTGCTCATCAACTCGTCTCTCGCGGCTTACCCTCGGGAAACTCAAGTCATCCCTGCTTAACATCCTACAGCGGAGTCGATGGAGATGATAACAACTCGCTGATAAGAGTCTATTATGCATGTCGAACCCTGCGTCCCTCTGGAGAGGAGAAAGGCATCACCTTATCCAACTGGATCCCAGATGAAACAGAATAAATAATAAGGGAAAAAGAAACCTTAGTTAAAAGGATAGAAGATCAGTGCGAGGACTCAGGAGTAATAAAATAATAACTAAACTGTAGTTACTTACCTGGAGTAGTTAACTATTACCTACCTACATACATTCATCAAAATCTTCCCCGCAAAAATAACAATCTGACACTTTCTCTCCCCCTTTTTTTTGTTTTAAAAAACAGTAAAGTAGACAATAATATAACAAGAGAGATACACGGCGCAAAAGACTCCAAGGGACTTCTTTTCTCCAAGCAGTAAAAATAAACACAATCGCACTAACCTGATTCGCGCTATAGAGATTAGCAGCCCTGGAGGGCATTAGCTAGGTACGTAAGGTTGCTTATCATCAATCCATTATTATTATTCCCCCCCCCCGCGGAAACTGACGTACGCTCTTATCCCTATCATTATTATCCTTATAAGTATGTAGCCTATAACTACCTTCTTCTTTTGGCTATCATCATTCCTCTCCTCCTTCCCCACTACCACGTGCTAGGGCTCCATCGCCTACAATTTAGTGGTCTGGTATGACTATTGTGCTTAGGAGAAGACGAGCTGCTCTGGGCCCAAGCCCTGTATTCCATATCGATTCGAGGATTTCTCAATCGATTCCTTGCTCCTAACTGGCCATGGGGGAAATAGGCAGTCACTATTGTAGTGCAGGGCCCGTTTTGTTTGATTGTAAGAGATCGCCGGAGAAGCATTGAATCTGGAACGAAATGCGTGAGCTTTGGGGTTCTGAGGTAATGATTACCTTCTAGAGTCAATCAGAAGGGGGTTTGCTGATAGTGCTCTGATCCTCGGAATTGTCGTAGTGTTTCAGGAGACTTCTAAATTGGATGGAAATGATGAATCTGTAATAACCTTTTTTTTTTTTTTTTTTAAATAATTGCTAAGTTGTTATATTGTTGAGAGCTTCCTGGGTCTGGCCGCGCACGAGCATTACTCCACCAAGACGCAAATTGGTTATCGATCCTTCCATTTTACCTTATGACATCTCAACCTCAAGTGCTTTGCTTATACATTATTGCTATCTATGCTGCACTAAGACTACGACAACTACGCTTTTAGGCGTAGTCTAAGGCCAGCACCGTACTATATAGCCTAGTAGCCACCGTATTCTTCTATCTAGTCTACCGCAGAAGGGGACAAAATCACGATTATGCAAACCTCGGTGACTAGCCATCGGTGGTATTCTCTGAGAGCTCTATGGAATGAACATTGCATGCTCTGCTTGAAGAAAGAACAAGGGAAGAAAAAATTAAGATGACATAACATGAAGCGAGCCAATACCCCGTGGAAACCTACAGGCCCGAAACCGGGTACCGCCCACACAGGAGGTGGGTTCTCTTTTCACCGAACAAGAGCAATTTCATACACAATAGCCTGACGTGTGCTTGTATGCAAATGCGGAATAGGGGAAAAAAAGAAATGAGAACGGTATGACAAATTAACACCGCAATAAGACAAGACAGGATATAAGACTGCCGACAATAGCTACCGTAACGCACGTGAACCGATAAAATATGGACAGCAAGGAAAGCGCAACACAACTCCCCACCCTTTCAAAGTGAGTCGACCGGCGATCTCTGAGCCGAAGCACCATCTACCCGACAGACATGCAAGGATGAACAAAAGGAGAAATTGACATTGAGATGGGACCTCCGCAGAGTAGATGGATCAAAGTGGGAAGATGCCTTAGACAACCTGGTCCTGTTGCTTCTTACCGCGTCTCTCTAGCAGTGTTGCATTGTCTAAGCTCAGTTCGAAAGGCTGTCTTGAATTCCGGGCCACACTTTGTCTTGCAGCTTGTGCTACTGCAGCGCTGTGCTGGCCGTAACCTGCTGGTTGTTGTCGTGCCTGCTGAGTCCGACCACCAGCCGCCGCTTGTCGGGCCTGCGCAGCAGAACTCGCACCGAGATTCGTCATCCGCAACTTGGTTTCCATGGCTGCCACATCTCCGGCCTGTTGTGAGGACTTCGGGATCTTCGCTGGAGGGTAGTCGCCATCCTCGGTGTAGTACACGGCTTCATCATCATCATCGTCGTAGTCTTCATTAAGGGGATTGAGTTGGGAGCTAAACCCAGTCGTAGGGTTTGCACCTCTGTAACCTTGTCGGAAGTTCTTGCGTCGCTTTCCTTCTTCCTCCTGTCTGTGAACAGCATAACCGACATCGAAGACCTCCCGCAGGTTCAGAGCACCAGGCGATCGGAAGTCCAGTCGACGGTCCGCGACCGGGTCATACAACGGCGCAGATAGTGGCTCTGCCTTCGCAGCCGCCTTCTGGCTGGCGTCCGCTCCCTTCTGATGAAGAGGAGTTGCCAACGGAGGAGCATCCGACGCAGCATGGGTCTCCTCGTTCGTCTGCCTGATCCACGGGTGTGCCAGGAACTCCTTGATGGTATACCGCTTGTCCGGGTCGACGGTCAATAGATGTGAAATGAGATCCTGCGCGGATTTCGAGATATCATCCCACCAAGGCGACAGGAAAGTATACTGGCCACGTGCGACCTTCTCGGTCAGTACTTGGATGCTCTCATCATAGAATGGAGGGAAACCGCAGAGCAGGGTGTAGAGGACACAGCCAAGAGCCCACATGTCGACACTCTTGGAGTATCGCTCATCCTTGACAATCTCAGGCGCCGTGTAGCCGACTGTACCGCAAGGAGTCATTGTCTGGCTGTCCCAAATGACCTTGGACAGACCAAAGTCGGCGATCTTGATCTGTCCGATTCCACCGGCACCCACACCGGGGATGAATTCGCCCTCGTCAACCTTATCTTCCTCACCCGGCTGCTTGGGCTTGGGGTTTTTGCTCGGCACAAAAGGGATAGGGTAGAACAGGAGATTCTCGGGTTTGATGTCCCTAGGAGGAAATTAGCAATGGCGTCTTTTTTTGTTAAACAAAGCAGCTCTTTATTGCTAACCGATGAACCACTCCGGACGTCTCATGAAGATACTCGATCGCCTTTGCGACTTGTACAATGACGTGACGACTCAGGTCTTCACTAAAGTAGGTCAATCTCACGATCTGGTGGAACAGCTCACCGCCGGGGCAGAGCTCCAGCACGATGTAATAGTACTGGCGGGATTCTGAGAAGTCGACCAACTTGACGATGTTGGGGTGATCGAGCTGGCGCATTATTTGAACCTCTTTGAGAATATTTGCACGCTGTACAGATGGAACCACAGTTAGCTTGAACAGCTACAGATGGACGAGTGAGAATGAGAGAAAAAAGAATCCAGAACACCAGGGTATCCATGTAAGAGAGTGTGTGGGTGCTGTTCGAGAGAGTAGCGCACCTCCGCGGCCTTTGGCTTCTTCCTGAATTCCGGGTGAAGATGAGCCTCGCCCTATATATCCCCGTGGGAAATGTTGGCGAATGTCCAATTTGATCCAGAATGTAGACGCTGACAGAACAGAACAATCACAGATGGAAGCAGGAGACAAGGAAAAGAAAAGCCTCTCCACTGGCAGCTTCATACCTGATTGCTGTTCATTTCAAATTTCCGGACCACCTTGATCGCGACCTCGCCATATTGTCCAGTGGTATCCTTTGCGCGATACACGTTGCTGAATGCGCCGTCGCCCATCTTCTCCACGAGGATCCAACGTTCCAGACCGGGGTACTTTGGCATTTTCGATCTGCTCTGCTTTTCCTCCTCGACGATCGCCTGGATTTCAGCCTCCCGATTCCGTGAGCTCCTGGACTGGCCGTCCGACTTCACGGCTTGGCCATTTCCTTTGTTCTCAATAGCATCCAAGTTGCCAGCCGCGGGCGGATACTGGCCTTGCTGCCGTTGTTGCTGTGCGTGGACAGCCGACACGTCGGTGGTGGGCTCCGCATGGGGGGTGACCAGGCGAGCCTGTTTCCCATGACGGATAAAGTTCTTCAGGTTCTGTATCGTACTCATGACCGCGGGTGAGTAATCTGGAAGTACGAGATGCGAGAAAAGGAAAGGGTATATCAAACACGCGGTAGAGGGGAACCAAACATGAAGCGAAGTCAAAAGAGAAAATGCGCGCAGGGAGTGAGTACAGGTGCAGGTGTATTTAGGAAATCTAGGAAACAGGGTGATCCAGGGGAGGGACAGTGAGCCTCAATAACCAGGCAGACAGCTACCAAAAGGAGCAGCAATTGGGTGTCCGGAAAGCTGGGGTGGCCCTTTTTTTTGCGGATGATGACGGTGACGGTCTGACTGATTGCCGCTCCTGCGCTGGTTGGCTAGAGAGAATCGAGACGTTGGAAGGATGATGTGAAGTCGAAAGTTTCAACCGTTCTTGGCTGAAAAGATTCCAATTCCCTCGTTTCTGGAGCAGACGATGAGACAGCGACAGTGAGATGGGGGCAAGGTCGCGGGCGTCACTAGCAACCAGGGAGCGGTTTAGGCGGGCCGCCGCACAAGGGACGACGTCAAAGGAGCAGCCGGACACGGCGTCACGAACAATGAGTCGCAAGAGCTTGAGTTCGAAAGTATGGTATGGAGAATAGAGACTGGAGAATGGAGAGTAGAAAGTGAAAATCGAGCAATGAGGTCAGTCGGCGGGGAACGGCGAGAGATAGAGTATCGAGTAGTAGTAGGCTTTGCGGGCGGCGGCCTATGACGACGATGCATCTCTGCGCGGCCGATGTCATTGCGCCAAGCCCCGTTGCCCCTCGCCGCCAGCCCAGACAATCTCCCTTTTGCTGCTTCCATGGCTCTGGGAGTCCGAAGAATGCTCATCCAGCTGATTGCTTCCCCTCGGATAGAACCTTCTGTCCAGATGCCTTCAGCGTCGTCGATGAGAGAGCCGTCTGGTACTCCCCCCGCGAATAGTCTCCCCGGTTGCTTGTCACCAGCAAGGACGATGATGGTCTTGTCGTCACCCCCGCCACGGCGATCCCACCCATCTGGTTTTCTATTCAGGTTCACTCCCGAGATTGGCACCGCATCTCTCCTGTTTTTGTGCAGTTTTCTTACGGCGCGGGGCCCGCTAGAGCTCGAAGCTCCCCCTGTTCTTTGGAGCTACAGGCATTGTCTAGCGTACAAAGGACACACAGGACAAGCTGCCAACGGTCTCGAACAGAACCCATCCAATGTCATCGGTACTGGCAACCGATATTGACATAGGAATTGCGTATACGGGGCCGTGGGAGATCGAACAGAGATCGAACACATAAAGGACAGGGAAAGAAAAGGACGACGGCTGCCTGGGAACGGATGACAAAAGAAGTCAAAAGGATAGTGAGCGTAGCGCAGCATCCCCTGAAGGGAACCCACGTCCTCGATGTCAAAGGAAGACGAAATGCAGATAGGTTGAAAGCAGGCAATAGCTTAAGAATGAAACAAAACAAAATCGCTTCTTGGAAAACAAACCGAAAATCATGGTCTTACCTCGAGGACGAGCGGCATCGTCACTAAAAGCTTTTTACTCTCGACGAGGGGTATCTGATGCTGCCAAAAGAGAATCTTGCAATGGAAGCGACCGTCGACTAGGCCTGCCAGTCGAGGAGCTTGGCGGTCGAAGATTGCTTTCTTTCTCTTTTTTTTTTCCCTTTCCTTCTCTTTTTCTGTCTTTTTCTTTCCTGTTTCTTGACACGGATCCGGAAGAAACGCGGTAGTTCTCAGGTCGCCAATAATGGTAGGGGAACACTCCTCGAAGAAGCCACGAGGCCAAATCCACAAAACCCCTCCGTCTCTTCGCGATGCAGAGCAGCAGCAATATATCTTTTATAACAGAAGTCCTGGGACGTCTTATCGTCCAAAAGATGATGATCACCGCAGAGTTCCACTGACGTTCTTGAGGGGGGGCGTGTGGCTGAGAGAGAATAGGATGTGCAGTACAATCGCTTACGGAGCGTCGCTGGGCAAGACGGGCCGGGCTGCTGGACAAGTGAGAGCGCTAGATTATCGCTGAACGAAAGACCAAAACTCGTTGATGCCCCGGGAAATAATCAGCACGGTTCCTGTGGGGGGAGACATCGTCATCGTCCAACGATTGCCACATGTTTCTCTCGACTCTCGAGGAACGCCCGCTTGGCGATCTGGACGATCCGTGATTCCGACTTGCCCGGCTCTGTTCCATGATATCATTACTGGCATGAATAATGAGTCTTTGCTCTACTCTATTCTACAGAATTATCATCGTCGTACTAACTTAACTACTACTGTCTGAGTGCTGGTAGTAACTTATCTGCTCTACCACCCCTTCGTGCTCTCTTACGTAGCTAGCAGACTCGACGACATCCCGTCACGCTAAATGGTTGATCTGGCTTTCGGCCCTGCCACTCTCCCGAATCTCCAGGGTCTCGAGAGTAACAAAAACCGGCGGGAACCCGTCCATCCATGGTTCTCCTTCAACTATGCTACCACAGGTCTGCTTGTTCCTGAGCGACCCGAGGGTTCTTAATAATAACGGCAGCAGAATCTGATGTTCAACTCGATGCAAGATCTGCCACGCACAAGAGTGATTTAAATAGTTACTCACCTGGACATCGGAGTACCCGAGAATCACTTACCATACGGCTAATAATAATATGGTATGCTGCTCCGTGCGTGATGACCCAAGGGCGCGTACACACTGCGGGGCTTTGCGGAGGCGTTGACAACTAGCCGCGTCGATTCCAGAGAAACCGTGGTTTTATTCTACTTAATTCTCTTGAAGCGGTGACCTGTCTGCAATGCAGGCACCGGTATCCCTATCTTGTTACGTTACAGCCCAAGCTGTCCGTGCAGGCTTAGGGTTGGAGATATTGGGTCTGTAGGCATTACGGAGAGTTTCTTACTATGGTATGTACCAGTATTTGCACAGTAGTACAGTACATACATACTGGTTCAGACTAAATATATCGCACTGCTCCGTAAATAGTTACAATTGTCCGAGCACCCAGCTCAGACAACCCGATAACTAGATTTAGAAGTCTTCGAGAAAATTACTATTGGAGCAAAAAGGGGAAAAAAAAAAGAAAAACATGATAGACCACTTTTCACGAAAATCAACTGAGATGTAGAGCGAGCCAATCGAGATCCACCGCCAGCTCATCCTCAGGGCGGCTCGCCTCATCACCTTGCTGTATCCGGTAGATCCCAATCATCCCGAAAAGAAGACAGATCCGGGACTTACCAGTAGCTGGGTTTTCATGCTGGCGCGTTGTGGTTGTAACAGTTAGTTCGGTCTGCTGCAAGGCAAGCGAAGAGAACGAAACGTCGTGTCCCTGCATCGCGTGTGGTCGTCGCAGAGTTGCAGCTTCGAGTCACTCGACAGGCGGCTCGTTCCCCTCTCCCTCTCTCTCTCGCCATCCACCGTCTATCTCAACTTGTCGTCTTCATCCTATCTCCATCTCACCTATCTCAACGGGGCTTCAAAATATCTGGCGGTAGTAATAGACACTATCGTTGCCTGTCCATCCTGTCGACTATTAAATTCTTCATCGCGTCATCCACTCAAGGATCCCCGAGTCGCTTTCTCCACCACTCACACGTCTTCTCTTCTGACTGCCGGCTAGCACCGTTTGCTAGACGAATCTTTTGACGAATTCCTGTAATACGTACATTCCGCTTCTGCATTCGCGCTCTCACCCCCGTGATCTCCAATCCACGACGCCTTCTGGGAAACGCGTCCCACTTTTTAATCTGGCACAGCGGACGGAACCAACCTTACAGGCGTCGAGACGCCTGGCTGCTCGCATACAGCATAATACTCCTTCGACACGCGACTAACTGGCCTCGAAGGGTCCTGATTGTCAGTAGGGCACTGGTGGACCTTTGAGAGAGGCTCTGTGCAGCTTCACTTTAGGCGGTGATCTCCTCCTTCGCTCGTTGTCGTTATGCCAGAGCCGTCTCTATGACCGGACGGGACCACCCAGAAAGAGGTATCCTGTGAAATCGCACATCGCGGACAGAGGTAGGAGTGTTGTCCTTGATCCAATACCATCCATCCGGGGTCTTTTGGCTTCCCACCGATCGAGATCTCCGAAATGACCGGGGTTGAGATCGCTGATGTTCCTCCTATGACACCTGCGCCCGAACGGCCGCTTCTGAAGGCTCATAAAGCTCTTCCGCGCAGGCGAGGCGTTTCCTCTCAAGAAAGTGTTACGCCAATACGAACTCCACCCTCAAACCGAGTCAGCAAGCCGCAGGCAGATACGGCTGTCCCGAGACTACCTCTGACGCCGCCTGGCCAGCCTGGCGAAGGATATATCAGAAAGCCGTCTGAAGGACGAGATGGCCTGTCACGAACTGAAGGTCAAACGGTCAGAGTTGTGACCCCGCCTCATCAGAGAATACCTCTGACTCCCGACACAACTCCACCTCGCATAGCGACTCTGTCACAAAAAGCTAGACCCGGAATGCAAATGCTGGCTTCGAACTCCTCCAGAGCGGAGTCTTTCAAGACTGCGCTGGAGGGATTCTCCGACGAAGACACGAAACGACCTAACCTCTCGTCCCAATCACTGTTGCGGATGAGCGAGGAAGAACTGTTGCCAGAAGAGACGATAGGAAGAATTGAGTCTGTACCGCCGTCAGACAGCTCCTCTGGCAAAGCTACCAGCTCAACTTTAAAGCATAGCCGCCACGTGGAGCACGCCTCGAGTTTTGGTTCATTCGATGGCGACTGGGTGAATAGACGCGAAGGAGGGACTGCCACATCACATGGAAGCCAAAAAACGATCGACCAACGTGGATGCCGTCCAAATGGGAATCCAGCTCAGCAGAATCTGGAGAATGGCGGCATAGATGCCAAAGCGCTGGCGGTGTCTCTTAGTCGTGAAAAGTGCTTGCGTGACAGAGTACGAGAAACACGCGACGCCCCCGCCAGCCCGTCGATAGAGAAATTTGGGGAAGATATCGGTTGGTTGTCTACGGAAGACCAAGCATACATAAACGAACGCATTCAGTCTTGGAGGATGTCCAGTGCATCAACTACGTCCACGGTTGAAGCTCTGGTAATTGACTCCCCTCCACGAGTCAAGCCAGCCCTACGTCACACGGAGAAGAGATCGTCCCTGCGCTCTGCCAGCTCCCCTATGCCGAAGTCTAATCGTACCTCGATGCTTCCGATCGCCGACTCGCAGCATCGGCTGGTGCACAAAGCGGCCCGCATAACGAACCACCATCGCTGGAGCACCGCGTCTGATCTATCCGTTCCAGTGAGCGTATCTTCGAATGCGATGCGGCAGAAGCAAGAGGTTATCCCGGTAGTCGTTATTCCGGAGAGACGCTCATCCCTGAAATCCTCAGCTTCGACTAGCAGGAATCAGTCTACAGTCCCTTCACGCGGATCGAGCCGTCGGCCAACCATCGCACAAGATAGTCGAAACGGCTCACTGGATCTGCCACGCCAAAGGCGGCGTAGGAGGTCAGATTCCACTCCGTCCTCCATTGACTCCAGGGATATAGGAATAAGAGGGCGCGTCTTAAACAGACCCAAAATTCCTCAGCGCAGCTCATCATTGTCCGCTCCTACCAGCAGGAACACTTCGCGGACCACCTCGCTCACATCAGAAAGCCTGCAGCGCCATACCCTAGCGACTGAGAAGGAGAATCGGAGACAGAAGGCGGAAGACAACAAAGAACCCACTGCCAGTGCCACCGTCCCTCCTGATCAGGATCTCAGCGTGGACTTCTCTCGTCGCACGTCTGTTTCGCAAGCAGCCGATGACAGCTCTGTCCTGCGACGGCCGTCTCTGCCTTACACACAACCGTCGATTCAGTCCTCTTCACCGGGGCCGGTGGAAATCCACGAAGCAACAGCTGTCACTCTATTCCCCCATAACAACAGGTCGCTGCTACTTGTTGAGCAGAATGTGCAGCCTGAATCCCAAGCTGTTCAAGCGTTGCGCACGTTCCCTACCTATGTCAACACCTTCGGAAGAGCAGAGACGCCGGAAATGATGCCACCGGGCCTAGCCGACGTGGATTCGCCTCTGAGGAATCCCCGTCCGCCGCCAAAGCCTCCAGTGGTCAAGATTATTCCACCCACGCCCATGGAAGAAATAGAACGTAGACTTGGCTCTCCGGAGCTCAGCAACGCTCTCGGCCGCCGGTTTCGTCAAGTCAGACGGGCCTTTACTGTCCGTCGTCTGTCCGAGGTCGGCTCTCCCTTCACTCGGCCTATCTCAATGAGGACTGCCAAGAACCGCAAAGCAGGAAAGGAGATGGATAGTCGCCTACATCCATTTTGGCGCCCCCGCGGATTTTGGGACGACTTTTCAGATTCTGATGACGAAGACATTGTTGCAGACAATAAGGGTGACAAAGGAGCGAGCGATATGATTATCAGCAATTCTCTAGGTATGCCTCAGAAGCGGGTGATTTTCGATGGACCTATATCCCTGCCGCGTCGAATGCAGACTGCGGGTCGTGCCAATGGGACAGGACCTCATGGATCGAGTCGAGTCAGCCTCGCGAGCAGGAGGAGCGTTGGCAGTGGTATCTTCAGACCACGATCGCCTTACAGTTCGCGCCGTTTGCGTACAATCTCCCTCTTTGGACTCCGGCTCCGATTCATCGGTTTAAGAGAGCTCCAGTGGCGTCTCAAACGTGCGCGCGACCAGCGCGAGCAAGCTAAATTGGACGAGAGAAGAGAAAAGTTGAAGCAAAGCATTGGCGACAGGGTCTTTGTGGATTCCAGCACTACTACTGGGAATATTGGGAACAGGAGAGCTATTACGGCCATATAAACCGACCTTCTTTGTCAAGTATTGGTCTGGTACCATGTTTGACGTTCGTTTCTGGTGAATCTCGTTATCCGCCTACTTTTAATATCTGTTGGAACTTTTCTCCCCCCCTATTTTTCTCTTTACTTTTTTCCCTCTCGAATTTTCACCTTCACGCTTAAGCAATGAGCCGTTTTACGTGACGGTATGATGTTAATGATGGATGCAATTTGCGGAATCTGTATGTTTCGGCTGGTTATTGTGTTTGAAACTGTTGGTTTGGACGGGTTTCCAGATTGGAACCCTGGATATTTCCCTGGTACCAGTCTCGACGGAGGATGGGGTCTTTCCCAACCTCCATGCATCAGTGACGGGAATTGTTCATGAGAAACGCGACCGGTTATGACGTCCAACGTTAGCAAGGATTATGACCAAAGAAAAGAGGAATGATGCTACGATTTACGAGACATATTCTCGAGTGCGGTGTCTTGTCTCTCTGACCGCATAAGGATTGTCATTTTAGGTTTTGATATGCCTGTCTTTTTTCTGCAAGAATCGCCTTGTATATTATAATTGCGGCATTTTTAACGTGGACTATTCTTTTCACTAAATTCCAATCTTTCTGGATAGATTACCTACAATATAACCAGCGTCCTGCTAACTAGTAGACATGATGTATTTGCCTCTAAGAGCATCTTACCCCCAAATTCATGGCATCAGTACAGTATCTAATGCTTCCAATCCAAATCCTGCTCTGCCTATCCTTCCTATGCATCCCGCTACCGCCGCCTTCCTGCCCTCCCCGCAACAGCCCTCGACCTCCCTCGCACCGCCATCCCTCCATACTCCGCCTCCCGCTCCCGCCTCCTTCGCGCCTCTTCGTCCTCCTCCGCCTCAGTCCCGAGACTCCTCTCCCTTTCCCCTTCCTCCCGCATCCTAACCCTAGCACGCACATTTTCCAGCGCCATCGGATCCAGAAACGGCTGCGGAGCACGCGAAGAGTCGAATTCGATAACGATCGGCTCGGGCATATCTCCTACTTTGGACTCGTCGCGGCTAGTAGTACCCGTGCTTGTGTTTGCGTTTGCAGGATCAGAAGAAGGCACAGCGGACGAGAAAGCTGGTTTCCGAATCTGGATCCCGGCAGGATATGCACTAGGATTGCAGGATGAGGATGATAATGGAATGGGGAGAAGAGTGCGTTTAGAAGGGATAAGTAGTCGTCGTGGAGATGTGGGTAGATGTGTTTTTTCTGATAAGGGAGAAGGAGAAGGAGAAGAAGAAGAAGGCATAGTTGGTGATGGGGACTGGTTGAGTTTAATATTTTTTGTTCTTTCTTTCCCCGGGAGAGTTTTTAACTGATCTGATTGATTAATTGATTCATTAATTAATCAATCGGTATTAACCATCGTGCTATGTCGTAAAAGAAGGGACCGACTCGGAAAAGTTGGTCGTCTTTGGTTTTATCCGCTGGCCGAATCTTAGAATTCTTTCCAAGGTCCTTAAGTATGCTTTGTGAGGAACCTTTAGCGTTGAAATTGCATGTGGTATATAAAATGGGAAGATTATAATAGTTTAGGTTGATTTACGATAGGGAGAAAGATGGAAGTGAAATACTATCTATCCATAACCTTAGGTAACTAGTTGTAGTTGAGTTTAGGTCACCTGACGACCGCTTTTGTACTTACTCCAAATATCCGCCAATAACTGCCATCTTTTTTGTTTTGCTCTTATGGAGGTCGACCTTACTACATAGCTCTCGAAGACCTAAAATGATACAGTTACATTAAAACCAGACAGAGAATAGCCAGACTACGCAAATATAAATCGTGGAAAAAAAAACATGGCATGACAAATCTCCTGCAAAAGAGGCCAGCTTTGGCTCAGACTCTGAAGGCAAAGATCAAATATAGCTCAGTTTTCCAGAACTAGTGAGTTTTCCACTATTCTCCTCGACCCGGTCAATCACTAAGCGGTGGAACTCTAGGGTAGAAACCTTTCAGCCAAGTGTCGAGGTCATAGGCTATATGCGCTGGCCCTCTGGCACATCAAAGAGGACCTGCCGGTATTACTGAAACTTGCTACCAGCGACCGCTGATGAGGCACGAAAGCACAGTTTGTATCGAACACTGGAGGGTTATTCTGGTTTGGTCACATGTTTGGTAGATGTTATGAATTGATTTGCTGAGATGGTTTTCTGGAAAGACAACACTACGTAGCTGTAGCTGAATGAAAATCACTGTTGAATAGGATTCCCCCTCATATCTATCGGCATATCTCTTCCTAAGCCGAGACGCTTTGAAATGCGTCGGTCAATGGGACCGAAATTCGCCTCACGGATTCGACCAAAGTTGTGGCTATACCATTCGACTGCCTGTCCATCCGGACAATTATCAAGGACATCATTGTCAACCTCTAAGTATCCTGTCATCAGAGATATCCAGGACCTCAGTGTCTCGCCCCACGCAGAAAAAGCTGTCTCTGTTCCTTCATCAATCGCAGACCTGACAAAGCTTTCCACTAGCGCCCCTTCCAATGGGTAGTGAAGATTGCCGTAGGTTTTATATCGTTCTGTTGGTGCTAGTTCTCTTCTTTTGCTCGAAGAGGGGAGAGTATCTTCTTGAAAAAGGTGCGCAAAGGAGTTCGGGAACAAGTAAAGCTGCAAGCTCTTTTCTGCTGGATCACCATCTGGATAATCGAATACTGCACAAGACCGATCCAAGCGGTTGTAGCCAGCATTTATTTCCTCCAACATCTGCTGTGGATCTGGATGGTTCTCCATAATTTCCGGAGGAGGGACACGATTTGGGACACTTCGGCAGAACCCTGCGCTTTCAAGCCTTTCAATGGCGGCTGTGTATTCGTCGTCCTGCACCACGATCATGGGGGCCTACAAGTATAGATGGTTAGCAGAATCATGACCAGGTTCACGCTTTACTACTAAAGGTACACATTACCCCAACAGCGATAAGAACGCCCAGATACCACATTGCAAGCGCTCCCCAAGGAGCCACATTGAACGGTTCAAGTGTTTTGCTTAGTCTTATTGAGAGCCTGTCGGGCTCGGTCTGTCTCATGCGCCTAAACATAGCTGTATTGGGCGAACAAATTCTGTCTGCTTCGTCTCGAACACGTGCAGCTTTTCAGTGGAACAAGGAATAACTATATGCTAATCAGGCGGAGGTTGGGAGGATGACAGATTGTAAATGGTTCGCGACGTAGTCTAGACTGGATAAGTAGTATTTAAGAAGGTACCTAGGTAAGTACCTAGATCACCCGCAATGCGCTAGTATTGCCCGGCTACCCTGAGTTTCAGGATTGTCCGTTCCGATGCTGACCTACAGGTTTAATTCGGAGCCTGACAGTTAATTTTATGCCTTCTTGGATGCGGTACTATATTTTACAATAGCTTAACAGGAAGAGGAGCCGTTTTCTCCGTTCTGCTTTCCCTGATTATGCTTCTGTATTGCTATTATATTGTCTATGAAATAGTTCTGTTGCACGCGACAGAAGTGGAAGAAATAATTTCTGTTGTATCGTTCTGAGTGAGAATATAGCAGAGCATCTCTAAGTAGACCCTTTGTCCTTGAGGACCATACATACGTAAATACGTAAACTCCTAGCCATATATTTCCTTCGCAGTGAAGCGTACTGCCTTCGGGCAAGTGGGCAAGTGGGGATTCTCCCTGAACACATGTGCAAGCCTGTTTTTCTGTTCTTTTCAGGCTAAATACGGACCTACCTTCGTGAGTTCGAAACAGCCCGAGGGCTTCTTTTTTATTTATTTTCCTTTTTTTCCCCTAAGAGAAAGCAGGGTCCTGAGTCCCTAGGAGATAAAATATTATTATATTGTACCCAAAGAATTAAGGAATTATATGCTCTGGCGCGTAATAATATATATGCCTAGCTGATAGTAGTTTAGTAAAGGCTTAAAGAAGCGTTATTGATTAATGAGAAGCTATAACTAGCTTATTATAGTCGGTCCACCCTCCCGCCGCAGAAGTAGGACCCGAAAATAGCTAAGCAGCTAGATCGAATACTTAAAGCAAGCTTTTTCCCGCTTCCTTTACCTTGTTCCCTGTCTGCACGCGATACAGGCGCCCAGAATCTATATATATTCGAAGTTGGAACCAAGACCACTTCCAACAAATTCTTCCTCTCACTTATCTCCGACTTCCTCAAGAAATAAACCTTTTTGGGGGGGTTCCGGGTTAATAAGACAAGCACTCCGTGGCCTGGCGGTCCAAGGAGCATGCCACTGATCCAGGATCAGTGGGCGACCGTGTAGGTCAGGGGGAGGCAGCAGAACTGCCCGAGTATGCGGATATTAAGGAGGAACTGCGCGGCGCGCTTGGCGAGCGTAGCGCAGCTCAGGATGTGATAATAGTCAGTCTCCCGTGGGGGTTTATCCCAGAGGATTTTGTTACGCTGATCGCTATAACTAGGACAGGTCGTGAGCACGTGGTTAACTATTTGCATACCGGCATCGCAGTGACACCGAGGCTCCGAGCTGAATCCATGGCGCCGAACGCAGCCCGATCTTGCCGGTTTGCATCAGTGTCGTGGGAAAGGCACTGCGCTCAGGCGGAGTCACGCTACAGGCGAACTAAGGCATACAAGATAGAGGATAAAGCATAGAATAGTAAGCAATCTGTAATAGCATAGTAGAGCTGAACTATATAAGCAGAAAGAGTGTGTAGTCTAAATACAGGGTGCTGGCGTGCAGCTGTATACTCGGGGCCGGAATAAGTAACTATCGGCCCTATTCGAAGCCTCAGGCATCAATGAGGTCATGGGTTCGCCGTGACACTAGGTGTCTGCGAATTTAATCAGACCTTAGAACCGCGAGTGAATTTATTCCCAAATGTGTGTATGGAGACATCTTTTTCGGTAGGTATCTTCTTGTCATTAAGAGTGGTACTATGCAGAGAGCCGTTATCCCGAACGTAAACTATCTCCTTGACCAGACGGACCCCAATGCGGGCATAATCCCTTGACATCCTTCGCGATTTGAACCAAGCATTGTTATGCGCAGGGCAAGGTTTTTGGAGACACATTTAGAAGACCGTCCGATACTGACGGTGTCTTTGTCCGAGGCAAAGGCCAGGGATCGAAAGGGGAGAGTGTCTGGCGAAAGTCTTGTTGTTGTAGGTTATATAGACCCTCTATTCTAACTCAGTTAGAACTGGGCGAAGCTCTTATTTCTCCAATCTTTCAATCTGGTATAAGCTAGTTCTTATTTTTTTATATATTTGAGCTTCTAGTATATTGGCAGGCGCTTATATCCTCCGTGTAGTATCTGGAGTCGGCAGGGATTTTCTCAGTATAGGTTGCCCTCTGGTTTCTTTAGGGGTCTTTTGCACTTCTAGGTGATATTAATAACTTCAATAAAGTAGTCTGGCACTTAGGGATTATATAGGATTATTATGTTATTATTTGTAGTAGTGTCTTTATAGTTAACTGGACCTCCCCTTAAAAATAGGGGTTGAAGCCTCTTCGATCGGACTCGGGTCGAAATTTTTAGTATTTGTGCGACCAATAAAACCACTAATTTATGATAGAATTGGACGCTAAAAATTCAATATATTGATAATTAGATCCTGTAGGATCGATTGGTCAATTCACGTCTAGTCATATCTAGACTAAAGCAGCCCCACACGATCTATGGTATTCAGGTCTCTCTCTCTCTTGAAGGCAGAGCTCTGATCGGGATAGAACTTACTGCTAGAGAATAGAAAAGGCCTAAGTCATAATATAAGTAATAGTAAATCGATAGAGCAGAGGATAAATAAATCCTAATAACATAGAAAATCGAAGGTATTCTTATTAAGATATAGAGAAGATCCAAAAGATCTGCAAAGCCTATAGGTATTTGTTGGAGACCCCCTTCGGTGGGCGCCGCAAACGCTCCTGCGAGCATGCGCTGCACCTGCTTATCGAACGGATCCACGCTGCCTGGCGGGCTCATAAGCCCGTAGCTTTACTGTTGACCTTAGATGGGGCAGGGGCCTTTGACAACGTTAATCACGAACGCCTACTTTACAACCTCCGCAAGCAAAGAGTTTTAGAGGAGATTGTCAACTAGATTAGCAGCTTCCTTCGGGACTGCTATATTATAATTACACTCCAGGAAGGCCCAATACTTGAACGCGAGTACTGCGAGCGTATAGTTTCTATCTAATCGTCGAATGCTAGCGAAGCAATGAAATACAGAGTTGTTTTTTATGCTCCTTCTTAGTAAATAATACTGTTATTATTGAATAGGGGGTAATTGCGCCTTAGGCCAGGCCCTGCTCTATTTAGTACTTGCCTCTGCAGCAGAGCACCTTCCTATACAGCGCAGCCTCCTCCGTCCTTAGGTCTATTCATAAGGGAGGAAAATCCAACCCCCCCTCCTCCCTTTTCCTATTCTTTTACACAACTCATCAGTGGCCATTCCACATTATCCACATTATCCATCTCATGAAGCACTGTTCCTTTTGCATCTTATCAGGAGTTACCGGCCGAAGGCTGATTTGGGAAAAGTAAGAAACAAAAACTGGAAAGTAAGTGGCTGCATAAAACGAGAGAGCTCCAAAGTTTAGAGTGATGGACGCAAATCCTTGCCCAATGATGAAGCTAGTAAAGAACAGGGAGAGTGAACTCACAGCCCGGAAAAGCCCGTGTGTCTCCTTGAGTGACACCTAACTTCCTGATACCTGCAGATGGCGTCGTCAGCCTGAACAAGAGATTGCCAATGATCTGTTCGTTTTCTGCGGATTTAAAGTTCCCGGTTAGTGCACTGTCTATAACCCCTTGATTGGAAATCATTGGCTCACTGTTGATAACTTCGCTAGTCTCACAGTATTCCACATTGGACTACTGGATTCTCGTCGATATTCCACTGAGTTAATGTTTGAAACTAGTTCGGACGAGCGGGGTGATTGGGAAACCTGGATGGGGTACAGTTCCGGTCCAAGAAGAGCAGCAATAGCAGCAGGTCTATGGTCAGCTGCACAGCGAGATATTATCAGGCCACTTAGCAAATACAAGACAATGTTCAGCTCAAGCCTACTTCTGCCACAATTTACTGTAAACGGAACGAGGGTCATTATCCTTATGTACGCAGATAAAACAGAAGTAGTACATGAAACAGTCTTATATTACCTACAGTACCTGTAGCCACTTTGGCTTCCTCCTCGTTGTCTTGTATAGGAGTAGCCACCTTGGCTTCCTCCTCGTCGTAGGTGTCTCACACAGGACCTCCCCTTAAAGTATCCAACACCTCTGAACAGTTGTTCAATTAACTGGCCCTATCCGTATGTCCTACCCCGAACTTAGCATGGGTAGTGGGAGCCATCCTGGCTTCTCCCTGCATCTAGCCGTCCATTCTGGATCTTCAGGCAGTGCCTCCTTCAATCTAGGACCAAGCCTGCAGTGTTCCCCATATTCAAACGTTCTTGGAGGCAACTAGCCTCCCACAGTGTCGGCAGAAGAGACCTTCGCTCCCTGCATCTTATCTCTTCCCATCTTTGATCTTCAGGCAATAATAGCTCCTTCGATATCATTGATCTTCAGGCAGAGCGTCCTTCGATCGGAACTAGAGACCCACAGTTGCTCGTACGCGGACAGAAACTCCAGGTATTCAAACTCTCGGAGGATAAAGGGATCAATTATTTCGAATTTGTGCGACTGCGAAAATCACCAAAACTAGGTAGACTTGGACGCTGAAAAATCACTCCATAAGCAAACAAACACCATAGAATAACATAGTAGAATCAAATCAAAGATACGACAAGTCAGTCAGCCTGTAGCTCAGGGGTTTGAACGAGGGCGACATAACCTGAAGGAAGCGGTAAGAAGCTTGCTTGATTACTAACTACTTAGGAAGCCACCGAAGGGGGTCTCCAACAAATATATTAAAGGCAGATTTAGTTAGACTTAGATCATATAATACTAGGTTATGTGACTATTTGTTATGTGACCATTTGTTATATGTACCTAGGTACCTAGGCTTTGCAGATCTTTGGATCTTCTCTATACCTTAATAAGAGAACCTTCGATCTTCTATATCATTAGGATTCATTTATCCTCTGCTCCATCCATCTACTACTACTTATATCACCTCTTAGGCCTTTTCGGTTCTCTGGCAGCGAGTTATGTCCTAATCGGAGCTCTGCCTTCGAGAGAAAGAGAGAGAGACCTGAATACTAGCTATAGATCGTGTGGGGCTGCTTTGGTCTGGGTACGACTAGACTTCGAATGTCGATCGAAAGGATATTCTTCAAAACTTATGCTGGTTAACCGCTGTCATTATGCCTCGTCGACACGCCCTCAAGGTTCGCTGTGAGTGTCAGTGGTTCGATAATGATGATAAGGAGCCAAGTGAACCCTCCGAGGAGCCTCCCACGAAGCCATCCACAAACAGTTTCTCTATACCCGACGACGATAAAGTGATCAAAATAGTTTATTGTTGGAGACCCCTTCCGGTGGTCCCTGCTGGGCGCAGGTTTCTGAGAAAGGGGGGGTGATTACAGTCGATACTCACCTCCATATGGAACTGTCATCTCACTCAGACTTAATCGATAAAACACCCTTCTACCATCATATCTAACGTTATGAATGAATGGTCACTCCCTCTCGATAATTGAAACCAACACGGAACCGCCATTTCTGCCACTGGACGAGATTCTCATTCGTCACGGTAAAGCTTGCACCTTCAGGTTGCACAACATGTAACGGCTTCAGATCCTTTCCGACAGGCTTCTTCAACAGATCAGGAAGATACTCATGTTCCACACAATGCGCCATAGGCGTTTCAGGAGGAGCGGTTCCATACTTCAGCCCATCTTCCGCTCCGCCAGATGCGAGAGTGTCCATGCGCACGATCTTGTTCTGGAATCTGTCGAGAACCAGCGAAATCGGAAGCGGAAACGCCATATTGGTTGCTAAGTATCTGGGTGGTTATGCGGTGCGCGAGCGTACAGATAAAGTTGCGAATACTTGGGAGTGTCAAGATCGGAGAACTTGTCTGAACCGTAGGGCCAAGTATCGCATTGAACCACGACGTCTTCAGGGAGGTGTAGTTTCTTGACAGCCTCTACGACTAAAGGGTCAATTCAGTGCCATATCAGCCATTTCTCGCGGGTCACCCCCTGGAGATTGTACATAATTAGCACTGTTCGCTCTTCTTATTCTTATAATTATGATTACTCTGCATGGAGTTACACATGCATAATATCCGACAAGACATGCGAAGCATATGATTAGGAAAGTACCCAAAACAAACCAAAAAAGGAAAAAGGAGAAGCTCACCTATCTATCGGCGAATGCTGCCCCTTCGCCGCCTTGAGCACCTCACCCTCAGTATCCGTATCCAAACTCACCACGCTCTCAAAAAAACTCCCTCCCATCTCCAATAGTATAAACTACCTCTACCAGACGTGGTACAAACGGTCGCGAACCAACTGGGACGCCTGCGCTCTCCGCGTCCAAGTAAGGCAGTAGTAATGCCTTGGGAGACTCACGGAGTGAAATGCTCTTGAATCGAATCGAGCATTTTGATCCTCTCTTTTCATGAACAACTCGAGAAATGATACGTGATGCTGTGCGGATTTCGTCCGGGTTGAGGTTTAGGAGGGGATGGGATCGGGTCGTTGTAGGTGTAGTTGTACTGGTGATATTTGCGGTAGCCATGGTATTCTATGCTGCGGGGGATGTGCGTAGGAAGGGCTGCTCTTCGAAAATGTGCCCTTTATATATCTGCAATTCCCACATCCCACGCAAGCACCCAGAATAGCAAACTGGATAGCTCATCAATCAGATAGGACGATATGTCCGATACGGCCTGTTGTGCCTATCAGAACTGCGATTGTTAGGCAGCGGGGTTCGGGGAAACGAGATAAGCAGAACAAACCCGCATCGACCTGCCCAGATGGATTGCTGACTATTGCATTCTCAAGACCTTTCCGCCATGATGGTTTGGGGCTTTCAGTATGAGTGGATTGATTCAGAGGCCGGCATTGACATTCAAATAAATCCCTGAGCATCAAGCCATACTTTCCCAGATGACCACCCGTTACGTTATCAAACTTCATCCGGGACTAAGACGATACCATTCCAGGATACTGGCATGAATCCCCAAGTGAGACGCTCTACAATGTTATTTACATAGGACAGATAATCATGGCTCTCAGACGTGGAGAATACGTTATAGTTGAAGTTATGACACTCTGGAAATATTCCCTGCTTTCTACAACCCCGGATCTCGGCTCTGAGAGCACTATTCTGGTTATATTGAAGAGAAGTTATTTATTATTGGCTGCATCTATAACAGATGGTATGGGGGAGTCCTGCCAAAGCCGACGGAGGGCCTCATCCATACTGGTATATCATTGCGCACATATCCTGGCCACATAATACATAATCGGCACAAAATAGATCAAAAAAGATAACATGACAAGAAACGGTCGTGGATATGTGATCAGAGACTGAATTTATACACGTCAATCATCAGAGGTAAAACAAAAAAGAAACTTCCGGACGCCTTCGCTCTCTCAAACCTCAGAAAGCAGGTTCAGAGTTGATGGACCTAACTGGCACAATATACAGAAATCGAGAAGCGCAGGCGGGCTGCAAACGGCCACCCATCAGAAAACTGGTGTATTATGGAGGAACGCCGGTCGCCCTGTTTTTATGCAATGCCCTGGGTTTCAAGGCCCTGCACTGCGTTGTACGAGTAAGGGAAGTCGACTAGCCCATCGAGAAGCCAGTTGAGAGGGTCAAAGACTTCGTAATTAGGCTCCATAAAATTGCTCGGCAGGCCAGAAACACCGCCGTTGGCAGGTGTCATCCCGAGGCCGGCTGATGGCATGGAGGGGGCTGGAGCCAGACTGGGATCACCACCACCAACAGCAGGAGTCGACGAGTTTCGTCCTGGAGCAGTGGAGGATGTTGCTGAATTATCCGCACTGGAGTCTGGGTTGGTCGGATTCTTGAGATAGGCTGTATAAATTGTTAGAAAAAAGAACACACAACACTACGTTTTCAGGCAGTACACTTGATCGTACCTTCGATATTTCTTCCCCTTGTCTGTGCATCTTCTCTCCATCTCCACACTGAATCATACACGAGCGACATGCTCATGCGGCAGCGCACCCTCAGCTGCAAAGAATCATCAATTTCGGCGTTACTGCCCGTAGGTCGCTGGCTAGGAGTTCCGCCAAGTCTCCACATTTGGGCAAGCACTTCAGCGAGCCGTTCCGGAAGATCGTTGTTAGAGACAGAGATAGCTCGAATGGCCCAGATGGTCCTGTTGAATAGATTTCTGCTGTACTCCAGATCGATGTGTGCCGCAAAAAAGCTCTTGCACAGTTTGAGAAGGGTGAAACCAGCAGCCAACATCATCTGATATATGTAATAAGGGGTATAAGAGAGCACTGGGCCGACATGGGTCTCAAGATTCAAAGCAGCTTCCAGAAATGCCGTCGTCGCGCTATGTAGAGACAGAAGACCTTCCCGGTAGTCTTTAGCTGTCGGGTTATCGAAAAAGGCAGACAGATGCAGATGTAGATTGGAGGCGCGCAAGTAGAGTTCAGTTATCGCTTGTAAAGTCAGATCCCGTACTCGCCACAAAGAATTGTGTTGACAAGTCTTACCGTCATTATCAGATCTAAGCTCATCTTCCAGATCGTCAAAGTCTCTGGACAGGAGAGAGACGACTGCAGACCGTTCACTGTCACTAGAGAGGCCAACTGGATCCCGTCGGTTGTTGTACAGCGCTTTTGTGATCTTATCGCAGAAATTCTCGATATCAAGCCTAGACCTGATGTCGCTGGGAAGCTTGAAATTGGGATCAGCGGATTCACCACTGGACAGAGTCCAGTCATACAACGTCGAAGGAGGTTGCCCGTAGCCAGTAGCAACCCTGGAAGAAAGCAGGTCAACACCCGTAAAATAATGCCGCAGGAGAACAAGGAGACATACCTCTGTGCGACAATGTTGCAGACGGCCCAGGTTCTCACTTTGTCTCTCAGTTCTTCCTCCATGAGTTCGATGCGGAACTTGCTGAAATCCTGGGTGTGTGAAGGCCGATGGAGACCAAGCTGCATTGCAACCTGCATCATCATTCCGCAAAGCATGAATGTAGGGTCGGTTGAGGTGCTGCTTGTGGGAAAAGGCCATGTGCAGAGTAGGCACAGAGGCTTAACCACATGGTAGCTCTGTGGGATGTCCGCTAGAGTACTCCAGACCAGTCTTGTGACCGGAGCAGCAAGTGAGTTTAGAAGATGAGAATCCGTTTGGTAACGACGGGCCCCGACACTTATGATTGTCCAGAAAAGCAATGGTGACGTGGAGTAATAGTCGTCCGGGGACTGGTCTCTGTCAAGGAATGGCAGAAACGGATGATAAAAGGTGAAGAATCTATACACAGTTAGCTGTTATGCAAGACGCCAAAATCAGGGCAAAGGAAAATCCATACAGATTGAACAACTCGGTCACCCTCTCTGGAGCCACCATAACATCTTCAATTCGCTTAAATTGATGGCCACCGTTCCTCATATAACTCGAAGAACCATCAAAGCCTGACCGCAAGTCCAGCAGTGATGCGACGGCCTCGTGTGAACCCATGTATTGGTCTGCGGACATTCCCGACGAGCCCTGGTAGACTCCGGCTGCACTGCTTATGGGCGTCGAAATGGACGGTGTCTCTTGCTTTGTCGGTGTCAGTTGCGGCTGCTGTTGATTCATGGACGCAGCAGCAGCAGCGGCGGCGGCGGCATTGGCGTTTGCAACCTGCTTCCTCAGCTCGATGATCTCCCGCTCCATTTCCGCATTGCGGCTGCGTTTGCCTATCCGCTTGAAGTTCGACTCGATTTTGCACTCGAGCTTGAGACGGCGACACCGAGAGCACGTCGTGAAGGGATCCTGAACGACATCGCACCGGAGCTGTGACCATGACCAATCAGTTAGCAACGCTGTTCGCAACTAAATGCTCTTCCTCTGCATCCAGACTATCCCGTCCAACGATAGCCAGATCCATTCTGCGCTCACCTTCTGCTGTCGACACTCATTGCAGGCCCGTTTCACTGGCTGCCTCCTCTTATCCTCTTGTCCATCATGGTCTTCTATATCGTCTGTACTCCCCGGGGAGCTATCGATCCCAGCCACCGAGACATTGCGCTTTTTCGCCTGTGGCAGACCCGATGACACCCCAGCAGTAGGAGAATGGCCAACCGTCCCTCTTATCGGACTGACTACTGCAGACGCATTGTTGTTCCTGTTCGGCCCCAGGACTTCCCCTTTCACCCCTCCACCTCCGATTCCGCTCGAGGAGCCCGCGAGAGACGCCACGCTGGGTAAGCTGTGAAACACGCAATGGCTAGAGCTCGGACGAGAAAAAAAAGATCAGCCGATCGGCCACGGACGAGCAAGAGGCCCAATTCGGTCCAGTCGCGGCGCAGTGAGAGCTATCTGGTATAGCTTACTCTGGACGATAAATTTATTTTCCTTTTTTTTTTTCCCTTCTCTCTTAGACTTGATGCCGAATGACTCGTTCTGGACCAAAGTCGGCGCCCCTCGACGATAGATGAGTAACCGGGGCCGAGTGGGGGTTGCGCTTTCCGATCTCGCTCGCCGTTTTCTGTCAGGTGACTCAGCCGCACGTGAGACTTGATGAGTCATCTATCTCCTATCTCACGTGATGCAAGTTATCTATCACGTTCTCCGCAGAGCCTCACTCAATAGTTATTAATAGCCCCGCAGATCCCCATGACCCAATGACGCAGGACTGCAGATTGACTATATCATTGCTTACTGCAACACTGCCTCATCTCGCCTCGCACGGCTGAATAGATACGGTTGCGACATTAGTACCTACTTATCAATTGCTTCTACTCTCTCTACAACTCTTCTGTGTGACTAAGTCTCTACTTGTGAATAACCAGGTTAGAAGACAACGTGTCGTGGATGGATAGGTACATAGAGAATACGACAGATATTATTGAACTGGTCTCGTGCTATTTTAAAACCGCGGAGCGTTGGGGGCCATTATTTGGTTGCTTTTTAGTCTCTAATCACCAGGCGCAGGGCTCAGAGCCTCAACATGCTCTACCCCTCGTTTTTCCAGCCTCATAAGGCGTGCTAGTCAGCCTTGATAGTTGAACTTTACATGCACCCCGAACTCATGCATATAAAGGCAGACATGGGTACTGCCAAGCTTGGAGTAAATAGATAATAACAGAGTCATATTAAAGACTTACATGAGCCTCTGAACCGTCCCTTTCGTTATTGATTTTGTCTCACAGCAAAGATTGGGCACTTTCGGCCGCTTATCTCAAGGATCAAGTTGTGCTTTCTCGACAGATCCTTGCTTGCGAGTATCATCAAGGAGCAGAAAATTGATGATCTGATCTTCCAACTGAGATGGAAGGAAATGAAGAACTAAATAGGCCACCTGCCTACGATGAAGTAGAGCACCTGGCTGGGAACATCCCACCTCTGGATCTGAGCAAAAGCGCAGGGTCTGCGCAGACTTCAACAGTCACCAAAGACCAGTGCATTGTCCATTTGAAGTTCCTTGCTGCTCTGGCTGATCTGCGCGACACCATCGGTAGGGAAGACAAATTATTCGGCATTAAAGATTCTCAAGCCGACAGGATTCAGGACGACACGCGAGGAGCCCTCGTGCGGATTAGGGAGAAACGATGGGCTGTTTATACATCGAGAGCTGTTTACCGTTTTGCGCTCTGGTGGGAACTCTGTGTGCCCACATCTGGTCCACTTCCCACTCTGGAGGACTTGACGAAGTCGAGCTATTACGCTGTCACCAATTGCAAGCATCGGGTGTCTTGGAATAAAGACAATATGCCGCCTCTAGGTGAGTTGAGCAATAGTGGAGTTGCTTGAAGTGGTTTTTATTTTCTTTTTATTTTCTTTTTGACTTCCCACTTCAAATTCGCAAGAATAGAGCGGTCCTGACTAACATATATTCCAGATGTCATGATGGTATGGCATGCATATATGCTCAATCCTAGATCATTCCTCGAGGACTGCATTCGCAATGCCAAAATGAGCTTTTGGGCCTCTGGATTCCCCTGGGATGTCATAAACGACTGTATAGATAATCAAAGTTTCAACTACGTGGTAGGAAATACTGCTAGGAAGAACTTTGAAGAAAAAACCGGTCTTAAATGGGACAACCTTGACGATCCACCCAATCGACCCGTCCAATGTCCATCCTGTCAGGTCCCCGTATTCGTTCCCTGGACCGCTGGACGGATGGGCAACAGTTCGTCGAAACTATTCGAAGATTGCTATGGTTACGCCGACAAGAACTTTCAGGCATACTGCCATGTTTGCAATTTCTCTATCAATCATGAGAAGCTCAGAGTCGCCAAGTTCAAGAGGGATCTGGAGGCATTGATGAGAAAACACCGACCGATGCCAGGTACGGTGTACACTCTCGAAGGCATTCCCGAAGCAGTAGTGCCGCAGCGACTCCACGGAGAGACCTTCCCAAACTGTCTGATGATGACTCTGGGAGATGATCTACTTCGGCTGGCTGATTCGAAATCAAACTCTTCCACTACCATGGTAACAATACGCGACTTTTTCGAAGACAAGATCAAGAACCAAAATATTATTAGAATAGCGAAAGATTCATCGCGTGGAGTACTATCACGCGATGAGAGGATTTGTTTACGCCGGATGATGTCCCGCTACTGGGATAACAATAGTCAGTTTGCCCTTGATCTTGTGGGAGCCGTTATCCGCCAAGGGACATTCGTTCAGAAGATGGATGATATCGACTGGTTGCATTCGCCTGCTCTTGTGGCGACTATGGATCGTCTTATAGAAAAATACAGGATCTTCTTCAAAATAATGACAGATCATCCAGGCCGTATGGCTGTCCCTACACTCGATGTTGATCTAGCTTGGCATACACACCAGCTTTCTCCCCCTCGATATTTCTCCTTCTCGGTAATGCAATCGTCTTTAAGGACTTTCATCGATCACGACGACAAGGTCGAGGAATCCAGACTCTCCGACGCATTCGCATGGACAAGCAAAGCTTACAAAAAGGTTACCAACGGAGGGATCTACAGCGAATGCACCTGCTGGTACTGCGAAGCGATTCGAGTCCCTGATCTCGGGGGCATCTTCGTCTCCAGCGCCACAGCTAGAGCCCGTGAAGCGGCTGAGAACTTGCATAACAGGCCCGACATCTCTTCAAATCCATTCAAAAATGCGCACATCTCCGCTCACAACGCGGTACATCCGCCAGGGACATCATTTGATCGAGCCAGTCTTAAGATTATTCAACTCAAGAACCTCCACGACAAACACCGTCGGAGGGCAGAGAAGCGAAAGCGCAAGTCTAAGCAAGGACAAAGCTCCGAGAAGAGTGCCCACGAGCAGCGCGCTTATCAAGATATACCCATTGTTTGGGGATACGCATATGCCCCAGGTCTCTATGGGCCGTACATGTGTGATCCAGGAATTAGTGCAGATGCTTACCCGCATAATCCATCATGCATGAACACTACTCCTGGCGCTGCTGGTAACTGCGTCGGAGGAACTTGCGGAGGTACAGTGGCCGCTGGCGGCTGTGGAGGATATACAGTGGGAGGTTGTTCAGGTGGTGTTCCAGGAGGCTGCGGCAGTGGGTCTGGGGGTTTTGGTAAGTGTCTCTGCAACCTTCGATAACTCAAACCAGACTGTCCGCTAATATACCTCTTACATAGCCGGTGGAGGCTGCGGCGGCTCTGGTGGTGGTGGTTGTTCTGGTGGTGGTGGTTCTGGTGGTGGTGCTGGTTGCGGCGGAGGTGGTGGGGGAGGAGGCGGCGGCGGCTGTAAGTCAACCTCCCCTATCCTTACAACTTCAATCTCGGGGCGACTCTGACCATTATCTATAGGCGGTGGTTGTTAGCTGATAAGAGTGAACGCTTTTCATGCTATTCTAACGAATGCTTTCTTTACGTCATGACCAGCAATTCCTAGCTACCCATTTATTTGATTCTCCCCCTTTCCTTTACGTGAGCAATCTTTCTGTTTCGAGTCTTGGTTCAGCGTAACGGAATCTTGCTTTAATTTCGAGTCCCATCTATACCTAGTCAATACGTTACCCTTGATTGTACCGTCTAGCCGCGTCAACTAGGCCCGAGAATCCGATCGAATGAATATTCTTTTGGGAGTCTACATCTACTCTACCTTCTATTCTAAAGTCATCATTACAGAGGTCTGAGAACATTTAGTGGAAGTGAAGCACTGAGACCGTATATCTCTGTCCTGCTGCGTAAATAATACAAAACGAATGAGATCGCCAAGATGGAAGGCATTGTAAATCAGCCTCCCTGAGTCCTTGCGCGGGGTATATACAAAACATCGTATCCTAAATGTATAGACCAAGAACTGTCATAATATAACATAAGAACATAAGCGAACCGGCATAAAGAGTGCCATCGATACAAGGTTCCTTGGCAATCACATCACCAGGCACTTGCTATTTCTTTCTCGTCGCTCTTGAATCGTTTGTTCGTTCCACTGCTCAATTCGTAGTCTCCACTCTTCACTCCTTCCGTCCCCTGGTGATCTTCCATATAGGGGGTCTGTCGACGCCCTATTACCGGGAGCCATAGAGCCCAAAGCGTCATGGGATCGTCTACGAGAATCCTCATCTGGTCGGTGAGCCCCATATTGGGGTTCAAGGCTCTGAAGACCATTCGGCTGATTACGGTGAGGTCGCCGAGCATGAAGATCTGGAGACGACAGCGAGTATGCATGGTAGTTTTCTGTTGAACTGTTATTTTGCGAGTGAAGAGGGCGTGGCGGGAAAAGTGAGACTCGACGTAGTTTCGAAGACAGCGTCGATTTCTGGTTTCGTGAAGGGGACAGCAGTCGTGGAACAAACAATCTAGGACGAGATAAAGTGCGCCTTCTCTCAATGCCTTCTGTCTGAGTTTCTCTTTGTGACTGAGGAAGAGGAAGCTCCAAAACAGGAACCACGCGTGGGGCTACCGCCGGCTCCGAGGGTATAGGAGCTGGTAAATCAGCTGGTTCTTGCAACGTCGCACCAACCACAGATTGCTCCATGGGTGATACTGGAGAAGCAGCAACAATCTGAACCGAAAGTGATTCTGGATCACGCACCTGGCCAGTTGGACCGGACCACGGCTCTGTATTCAGGTGCACATTATCTGATGGTCCAGCCGTTACTGTAGCGGCAGCAGTAATGGCACTATTTGGTTCAGGAATATAGTTGGCAGATTGCACAGAAGCTGCCCCTGTGAGATTATTGACCTCGGCAGAGGTGGAGGACCAATAGCCGCCTGATCCCTGGAGCCTTCCTCTCTGCCAGTCGTCCTGCGACCCATGATCGGGGATTGGAGATTCTCTAGAGCTTCTTGGTCTCCTGGGAGCCAGCCTAGCTCTAGAATTTGTGTTAATTGGACCAATAGTTGTTCTTGATCGCATGATTGTGTTCTGGGCAAGGGTCCCTACGCTGCTCGTGCCAGCCCTCTCAGATTGGGAAGGCAGCCCACCGAGGCTTTGGGCAGGGCCTGTAACAGCTGGAAGTAGTAGTCGCCTGAGATGTTCTGGGAGAGGTCCATCTGGTTCGCGAGTGTAAGGAGGAGGTGGTGGGACCCAGTTGTCTGCATCGCTCTCATGAGGAACCTGCGGTTCGATCACTGGATTACTCCCAGTGTCGCGATATCGCGTATTATATCGACTCCGACTTGCTGCTGCAGCTGTAGCTGCCCTCTGCAGGGTATCGCGTGACCTAGGTTGAGCATTGTCGTAGGGCACATCTAGCATTTGTGTGAGATGACTGAATTCCATGTCCGTTGGGGAGCTTGGCTGGGAACGGCTCGCAGTGCTGGTGGTCGAGAGAAGCTTTTGAGGGCTTCTCGTCGCAGCGGGGAATGATTCACGCGGCCTGCTTGGACGTTGGCTGGTACCATGTCGCGGGGAACCTATAAGACGGCGAAACTGGGTCCTTCTTCTCTCTAATTCCACTTCAGTGTCAAGACTAGGGCTCTGTTCTCTCAGAAGCTTGGGTTGCGTCTCTCCGACCTCAATCGTTATTTCCTTCATCTCCCCGTCAGTCGGAGATCGCTCAAAATCCATGATTAGAACTCTCCCTCCATCAATGGGGACGTTTTCTCCGCCTAGCATAGGTGAAGATACCCCGCCAGGGGCCACTGCAACTAGGCGCCTGCATCTCAACCCATCGCCCTGAGATGCCCCTCGTGGTAAAACCCATTTTGCAGCCGTTATCCCCTCCATATCGCTCAACTTATGCCCGTGCAACAGTATACCCGGTTGGTTGATTCGATCTTGGAGCCCGCTTGCATCATTCTGCATATATCCATGTTCCTCTTCGAAATTTTGAACGCCGTTGTCCAGACCGGCGTCAGATGTCTCGTTAGCCTGTCTGGATTGACTTAGAAAGGTAGCAGGATCACATTGTTCAGGTAGGCCATATAACCACAGACCCGAGCCTCGAAACCCCAGAGCAACAAGTTCACCTTCCGAGTCTGTTGCTGGGACCATGAGCGGCTCTGTCTCTTGTAATGACCCATTTGAATGTGGGCCCACAAAATGCACGCTTGCAGTTCGCGCGTTATTCACCCTCACAGCTCGAAATGTTTTAAGGTGGGTATCATAACCAATAACCCAACTACTATTACCATCCGGGTGGTGAGGGAGCAAGCACATGTGGCTGTAGCCCGAGATAACATCAGGAAAGAGTATCTGTCTCGTCCACATGTGACTCTGGGCCTCTCTTGTGGCTAGGCCTATCTCAGCGTCAGGGTTGAATAGAGCTGACACTGCGACGGTGCTAGGCTTGGTGACATCAGCGGACGATCCAAGCAGCAAGGTGCCATCGCATGAGAATGAGAGAATATCCACGGCAATGCACCTCACAGCTCGTCGCTCGCTTGCGAGAACATTCTCTCCTACAGAGCAAAATTCAATACCGCTGTCATATGCAATAGCGATAATGCTACCACTTGGAGACAGTGCAAGGGCTCGCGGGCTTTCATCCAAAGTAAGGACTTGAACATGCTTTGCCTCGTCATCTGTAAGGCGATATATATTCACTTGGTGTTTAGATGAGACCACAGCAAGAAGAGAGCCATCATCAAGGATCGCTGCATCTAACGGTCGTCGTAATGTCTTGAGTTCATGTTTCACACTGATGAAACGCGACGATAGATCAATGACGAATGTTCTAGAGGAGCTTAGGCTGAGAAGCATTTGTCCGTTGGAAGAAAATCGGAATCGAAAAGCTTCCCCGAATGGGAAGGCTGTGGAAGAGCTGGAGTTTGATATCAATTTAATCAGTGTCTTTCGCGGCCGAAGGAATGCTTCGAATGCATTCCTTCTGATCTCGCACGCAAATCTGGCTTTCAGTCTCGGAAGGTCATCCGAAGTTAAAGAGCCAGATATCATGCCACTTGTAAGTGAAAACGAAGGACAACGGGACAGGTGATAAGCGTAAAGCGGCGCCGAGTCTGAGAGTCGTTTCCATTGTCGGTTCAGAAGGCACAGTGACGCAAATGAATTCGCGTCGACAATGTAAAGGATGCTGGGTAGCCTCAGTAGCAATTCCACCGATAGAGATCAGAGGCGCAGATACAGAAATGAGATCTGGGCGGGTGGAAGTGGCGTTCGCTTTCTGGGACGGGTGAGCACTCACCGCAGAATTACATGCGAAGGTAAACGATGGAAAGACGAGCGCGTATGTATGTGAAGATCCGCAGGTATATCCCTTGACACTTGATGGCCGTAGCTTGGACCATCGACTGCTGCAGTTGTGGTCTCATCTTGAGAATGCAGCTGTTTGGCAACTGTGCCCTTGTCCTCTTCTCTCCCAGACGAAAATACCCTCTCGGGCATGGTCACAGCGGACTTTCTATGTCCACTATCGGACAGAGGTATTGTGACTCAGTAGTGTGAGTTCAGATATCTGGAGCAGGACACATGACGACGTCAAGAAGGTCTCATTTCCTGTCTCTGGGTGACTGCAAGAGATAGACCGCTTTCCTTTGAATAATGGATGTTCACTGTGGATGTTCGCTGTGGCTGTGTCATGTACATAAAGTCCTATGCATGCATGGAGCTCCGTTCCACGTTGCACCGTGCAAACGACTAAGACGCCAAGAGTCAGGTCTTCCGAATATTCTCTAGAGGAATTGACGATGAGAGAAACACTAGCATCAACTCTGGAGATGAAACGCGGTCTGGAGGTGAAATATAAATAGAGCATTTAGGCTCGTCACCTGCAGGGCTCTCCCACCCGGCGTGCTGTGATTGGCTTGGAGCAATGACTAATCGATGACTCATCTGACTTCCCCACGATCGCGATACCGAGATAAAGATGATGATAGGCTTCAAAGACTGTTCCAGATGTATGCGTATCCTTACAGCCAACAGTCTGAGCTACGTCTCCGTGAATATGCTTCTTCGAAGATCGGCATGTGTGTCGCCTTGAAGTTCTAGTGGCCGTTGACGATTATGACTTCGTTCACTTAGATCGCTTGACCTCGGGTAAGGCCCGAATTTTCTCCAACGGGTGAATAGTATTGCAAGTACAGGGCCATATGGCCCTTTTGTGATTATGCGCGTGTTATCAACAAGGACGAATATAATCTAGCAAGCTATGTCGAATACTGTGTCTGTGCAGAATGGCGTGGCCCCCAAGGCCCAGCCAGTGACATTCAATGCTGGGTCACGGCCCTATCGGTCACACAAAGTGAGGGCTTGCGATCTATGTCGGAAACGCAAGGCTCGATGCACGGTTGATATCCCAGGGCAATCATGCCTTCTATGTCGGGTTCAAGGAGCCGACTGCCATTATCGAGAGGAATCGAGTCAAGATTCCTGGCCAGTGGAGCAACTGGCGGCAGGCCAGAAGCGCAAGCGCACGCCAGAATTGACGCCCACACCACCCCAGGATGGAAGTAGATCTCCATCGGACAGGATATACGGCCACTCTTTACTCCACAGGGAAAGTGGTCGCCAGAGTTCATCAAGGAGTCGTGGACCTGAGGACCCGAAAAATGAATCGGTCCACATTGTCGGCCCTGTCGCAGCAGAGGATGCGCAGGTTATTGAAAAGTTCATGCCTCCTGAACGATCCAACAAGTCCCCGGAATCAAGGAAGAATCCTTACAATGTCTACTCTAACGACCCGCGGAAACCAATCCTCTATACCACCGTCTCAAGACGAAGACAGGGTATGCGCATGGGCAATCCTCCGGGAGAAAATCAGAAAGAAATCTTGGAACAGATCCTTGGACCCTTCAAGGATGACCTTGTGAAATTGTAAGGTCCCCATTATCCATTTTTGTGTTATTGGTTCTCTAATATTCCGTGTAGATTCATAGAAAGATCCAATCAGTGCTTCCCAATCTTTGACGGGGAAGCCTTCTGGGAGTCATACTTATCGGGTTCCACAGATGACCCTCCAACAACGTTGTTATGCCAGGTTTACGCGATGTCACTGGTATATTGGAAACATACGCCGAAGCTTGCACGGCATCCAAAACCAGACGTCCGGTATGCGGTGAACCTCACAGTGGCGGCGCTTCATGAAGACTTTTCAGCGCCAGGCTTGTCAACTATCGGTGCCGCTCTGATCGACCTCACGGGGAGACCAATCTTTTCCATGACTGGAAATGCAATTAACTGTGGTCGTACAGTCTCTCTCGCTCACTGCCTTGGACTAAACCGTGATCCGAGCAATTGGAAACTATCCGCTCAAGAGAAAAATCAACGAATTCGGTTATGGTGGGGAGTTGTTATCGTTGACAGGTGGTATGCTTTATCGTAGAACTGCACTCGGAGTGACCTCAGCTAATGCTAGGCCAGGGGGAGTTTTGGGCATGGAGTACCGCCCTCGATCTCGAAAACCCAATACGATGTTCCTCTCCCGACAGTGGATGTCCTAGTTCCGTCAAATGACCGAAATCCCCAACGTGTGAAGAGAGCCTATTGTTACATAGCATTATGCCGGTTGACCGAGATCTTGGGGGAACTGCTGCCACTTGTTTATGGCCTTCAGCCGAAATCAGTGAAGGAAACATCTAAAAGACTCCGGCATATACGAACTAATTTAGACACATGGGAAGATTCTCTTCCAGACTGGCTGAAGTCTCCACAGCGATCTGATGCACCTGTTAGTGGTGCCTGCAGTCTACAGCTCGGCTTTCTAGCTCTGAAGATGCTCATCTGCAGGGTTGAACTACATGTAAGATTACCCGTGGACTCCTTGGGATTATTTGAGCCGCATTTGACACATTTTTCTCAGGAAATCAACAACTCAGACACCGAAAATCCCGAGGCTAGGAGATATTTCCAAACAGAATGTCGAAAATCCGCAGAGGAAATTGTGCAATTCATCTCATCACTACGAAAAGAGAACTTTCAAGAATTTTGGCTACCATGTATGTTGTCATCAGTGGTCTCCATTCCGGTGTGCTAGGTACCTGACAGCTTTTCAGATAGCGCATTCCACCTCACGTCAACCGCGACATTGCTCGTCAGATGTGCTCTGGAAACGACGGACCCTGAAGTTTCTAGGTCATGCCTTGCCAATGTCGATTCCTTCCGCTCCGTGCTCCGCCGTGTGAGAGACGAAGAGGACTGGGATGTCGCCGACATGTGTCTCGACCATTGCGACAAAATTCTACACCGAGCTCCCAGCAACAACAGTCATGCAGCTGGCAGCTCGGATGTGCGACTCACCACTGCCGCGCCTGAACCTTCAACGGTCAACCCAGCCGCTATAGCACTGCCAGAAACACAGACGCACAATGAGATTGTGGACGATATGATGTCTATCTCTGGAACATTCGGGACTATGGATGGCTTCCCCTTTGATATGACAGGTATCTGGGACGTAACTGGGTTTCAAGATGCCAATTTCACATGATCTCGTTTAGCCCGCTCCGGGTTTGGTGAAGCTATTTATTGTACCTGTCATATATCCGGCCATGCATTTTCTGCTATATCTCAAGCGAGATCTTTATCATATGTGTATTAATTGATCTTCTAACATGTCTGTCTCCGATTGAGAGCAGCGAGCTATTTCAAGTTTCACGACATCACCACGAAAGTTCAACCTTAGTGCTGGAGCGAATACAAAAGAAAGCCAGGCATCGATGCATTACCACCGCAGTAAAAATTGCGGTCATTGTTTGAAGAAGAATAAGATGCAATACTTTGCAATACAACAACTCTCCTAATAATGAGTACCCGTTAAGAAATCGAATCGCGCCCTCTCGCTTCCTTACCAGTGCTGTCCTTGTGATCTGGTCATTGAAAATATAGTACGTAGTAACAAAGTATAGTATGGCAAGTTCTCTCCGGGCCCACACCAGTAAGACGCAGTCACGCCACCACCGCTGGGTTCTAAGGAGTGAAGGAGGTACATAATTGCGAAAAAGGAACACGGATGTTGCAATAATAGAAACAGTCTAGCCAGGAAGAAATACAATCGTCGCCTTTCATACTTTGCAGGCTTAGTCCTGGAAATAACTTACTTAACACACGTATAATCATAATCCGACAGGAGTCGGCTAGTATAAGCATCATCTTCAATCTTTCATTCCAAAGAACTCCATCAACCGCGAACCCCAAGAATCACCCCAACAACAACAATAATAACAAAATTAGCCCTTCAGGTGACAACTCACTAAAATCAAAATAATAAATAAGCAATATTAGGAAAAAAACAACCAAGCTGAGTCAGCGAGTTCTAGAACCGATTCTGTTGACGTAAAACCACACGCCGATTATAACGACTCAAGACGCCGTCTCGGTTTCCATCGGCTCTCTGCGCTCGCCGACCCACCGCTGTACTTAAGGCTTTCTCCGAAGATTCTCCAAATAATGGGAACCATTGGTTCTCTCTCGTGGTAGCTTAGACGCAAGTTTCCGTGTGATTTGATAAAAGAAAATGCGCAAGGAGAATTAAAAAAAAAATTTTTTTTCTTTTGGTTTCTGTCCCTGAGGGGAAAGCCTATTTCTTGTTGTTTGATGGTTAGAAATACTATAGAGAGAGGCTGTTGTTGGAGATCGCGCTCTATGATTATTATTGACTAGGTTCATTAAGGTCAAGCATTATTTTTCTCCCCAGCATATATTCATTATTATTCGTGCTCTTTGAATATCAAGGGATCGCTCCCCCGCAGCGAGATAGTGCCTCTTTCCTACGCCATACTGTTACGTATTGGATCCACCGGCGACACGAGGAGTCATAACTACTACTAGCTGACGGTTTTACTTATTATTAACATACGGATAAGATAAACTTGCCTGTAGCTGCTCGGACTGTTTTGCGTCTTCTTTTCCTTCTTTTTCAGTAATCTTTAATCGGAAACAAAATCTACTGGTTGCAGTCATGGCGCCCAGCATTATCAATGATGTCCCAGGGACTTCGGTTGCGCTGAAGAAATCAACATCGACTGGCACGAATAATGAAATTACGGCGGAGGACGGACCGACCTTCAAATATACATCTACACAGAAGTTGAAAAATGCGCAACGGCAAATTGCCAATGATTTCCGGTCTGATGTGGTTACGGTTCCGACGGAGAGTATGATGCAGGTATGTATAGCACCACGAGTCTACGAATCTGGAGCTAATTGAAAAAAATTATAATAGGCCATAATCGATGCCTCCGTACAGGATGATATCTATAATGAAGAGGGAGATCCGTCCGTCAACGCTCTACAGGACCGTCTTGTTGAATTAACCGGCAAGGAAGCTGGTCTATGGACATTGTCAGGAACGATGGGAAACCAGATCTGTCTACGGACACATCTCACGCAACCACCACACTCAGTACTCCTCGACTATCGAGCGCACGTCCATAATTGGGAATCCGGTGCTCTTCCCGTTATGTCCCAAGCGTCTGCGACGCAGGTATACCCTGCTAATGGGGTACATCTGACCCTGGACGATGTTAAGAAACATATCATTGCGGATGGGAATAGTACGTATAATATAACCTTTCATCTAAACAGGAGCGTCGGGAGAAATGGATAAAAAAACAGAATCTGACTTCGCCTCAACAGTCCATTTCCCTCCTACTCGCGTCGTCTCCCTTGAAAATACACTCAGCGGAACGATCCTCCCCCTGAAGGACGCAAAAGAGATTTCCGATTTCGTTCGCAATTTCCCCGTCCCGGAAGGCCAGAAGCCAATCGCAATGCACTTGGATGGAGCACGTCTCTTCGACGCCGTGACCGCAGAAGGAGTCAGTTTGAAAGAATACTGCGCCTGCTTTGACAGCATTAGCATTTGTCTCGCAAAAGGCCTTGGAGCACCTATGGGTAGCATCATCCTGGGCTCTAAACGGTTCATTGAACGTGCCAAATGGTTCCGAAAGATGTTCGGTGGTGGAACGCGGCAGGTAAGTAAAACATATTTTGTCCATAGACAAGACAGGTCTCAAATGCTGACAATTATCAGCCGGGAATGATGGCCGCCGCCGCTCACGCTGCTCTCGAACATACCATTCCTCTCCTTCCCGGCGTTCATGCCCTTACCAAGAAGACCGCCGCTTCCATTGCTGACCTGGGCTACACCATCAGTCTCCCCGTGCAGACGAACATGATCGTTTTGGATCTCGCAGCGGACGGTATTCCCGCGGCCGCATTCCTCAACTATGGCAAGAAGCACGGTGTTACTGTCTTCCCCAGTGGACGGTTAGTGTTCCATCATCAGATCACGGAGGATGCGGCATCCCGCTTGGTGGATGCACTGAAAGAGCTCATGGAGGATAAGAAGGCCGGGAAGGAGCTGGAGAGCTACAAGGTTAGCGGAGGATATGTATGATTTGATATTTAGTTAGGGTTGGTTTCCTTTATTTTCATTATACCTCAGGTTTGATTATATAATGTCTGAGTCGGGTTATTTTGTCTCGATCATGGGATCACGAGCTTGAATGTAATGAGCTTTCAGCAATAGAAGTGAGTGTAACGAAGGATACGACAAAGACTGAGATGGGTGTAGTTTCAACATGGTCGTCGGTGCCACTTCATAAGTAAGGGAATGCAGATAAAATGATATTAGAAAGGAGTTTAAATTTCTTTTATACACGAGACTAGAAGTAATCAGGCAAGCAACCATAGTTTACAGCGACCATCCGAATGCTAAATGGTATGATCTAGGACCTTACCCCAAGAACAGCCAGAAATGCAATTGCAACGACCAGAAAAGGCAACCGGGCCTCAAGGCTACCAGTCAGATAGACCGTTAAACCGAGGCTGCCAGACGAGCGAACAGAGACAAGAGGAGAAATGATAACAAGTCGTGAATCGGCCTTCTAGAGGCCGCGTGTGAAGAGTCTTTATTTTTTTTCATTTGGACTCACCGGCTCCAAAAATGCTGGTGAAGCCGCTCTTCATGCTCTTCATCTGCTCTTGACGGGCCTTCTCTTCTTCAGCAGCCATCTCAGCAAGCCACTTCTCACCATTTTCACGGATCTCCTTCTCAATCATCTCGTAGTTCTTCTGGCCACGCTCGCGGATCTGGTCCCAGAGCATCTTGCCCTGTGCAAGACTGTCAGACGTGCTCTGCTCTCCATCCAATGGGCTGCTAGGCTTCAGCCCGAGGAGCGAGACAAAGCTGCCAACACCGCGTTTTGGTCGCTTAGACTGTTCCTGTTCGAGCTGCTTCTGAAACTTCTCACGCATAGCCTTCTCACGCTTGGCAAACTCGATCGGAATGTCGGTGCCCTCGAAGGACTTCAAGACAGGACGCACATCTTCAATTCCCATTCCTGCAATGTACTCGAGGAGAGGAATCAAGGCAACCAGTGTCTTATCCTTGGAGTCACCCTTCCACTTCGGGAGAATGATGGCGTTCTCGGGTTGTAACCGTGCGTGGGATTCATCGGTATCAATCAGGATAACCTTCGACAGGTCTCGGTTCAAGTAGGCCAGATCCTAAGACCAGTTAACGCGACGTTCAAGTGAACTTCGGGGATTTACATACCTTGATGTATTCTCCATCCTTGTACTTGGTGGCTTCTCTGAAAAGGGGCCATCGAATGATACGGTAAGGGTCAAGTTTCCTAAGCACCTGGTCTGCCATCATGCTGGGAACAGTGGTGAAGAGCACGAGTTCGTAGTATTGGTTCAGATAACGGAGGAAGTAGTCCACCCCAGGGCGTTTGGCAACTCGCCAGCCATGCTCACGAGTCCACTCACTGTGAACCAAAAGATCCTCCAAACTCAGCACCAAGGTGTAAGGTTGACGAAGGTTAGGGTCCTCATCAGGAAGCAGCTTCTGGAAGGGAGGGTCCTTGTAGTAGCTCGTAATGTCGTTCATACGAGCCTTGACTCGGTTATACCAGAGTCCAAGACCCCATCCCGAAGGTGCGTCGGGGTGAGCCTTCTCCAGTTCCTCAGTCTCCCAGTTACGGCCGAGATACATGGTTCCCACGACGGCTCCCACGCCCATCAGACCATATACCAGCTTGGCCATCTGGGCTCTTCGGCGGTCCAGAGAAGACTCGTACCGGTCTTTGCCATCACCACCGCGACCACCATCCTCACCTTCTTCCGCTTCGTATGGCTCTTCTGTCAGATTCAGGGCACGGGGTCCTTGGCCCTTTGCCCGGTTGGCAGCATCCAGCTCTGCCGCCAATGTAGAAGGGATACCTTGCGTAAGGTCGGGAAGAGGTCGTTGGGGTTCGTCCTTGGGACGCGCCGTTGTTTCAAATTCGGACTGTTCCGGGGTAAAGTCCGGCTGAGCTCCTTGCTGTCCGGTTGATGCTTCACTCACTCCAGCTCCTGCTCCTGCCGACTGTGGTGGTGTGTTCTTCTGTGATCCTGCATTGGACGCAAACTCAGCCTGGTCCGGGGGAAAGTCTGGGCGATGTTGTTCGTCTGCAGATTGCGACGGAGAGGTTGGATTCGATGTAGCTTTACCTGATTGAGTAGCATTCGATTTCTTGACAGAATCAGGAAGCTTGTACGACCCCTTCGGCTTGTTGTTCTTCGCGTACCATCGGGGCTGCTGGGCCGGGACAGCAAGCCGGGCGGCTGCTGGGAGGACTCGAGGCCTCGAAAGAAGAACGGCACGACTGAGCATGGTCTGTGGTGATATATTCAATGGGAGATCGAACGGGCCCCAGTGGTCATGCTCAGCCTAGAAGGCACGTTGATGAGCAGGATTCCGAATGGGACAGACGACAAATAACGTCTGGACTCTGTCGTCTCTTTCCGCTGCATCATCAACATCGAAAAAGTTGGAGCTGCCGTGGCGGCTGCGGCGGGCAGTAAAGCCCACTTGCGCAGTCCGCATAAGAACTCCCGTCTCACTCGTTTTTCTCTTCCTTTCTCTTCTTTCTTTTCTTCTCCAGTTATATGAAAGTTGAACAACCCAGACGTTAAATTTGACCCAACAATTCTTTCTCCATGGATGCCGGGTTGTATTAGCTGGGGAGACTGATGAATCTCTTCTGTCCCACCCCCAAGAGCGGCAGCTAGGATTCCATTGAGCTGTCAGCCCCGTTCGTGCGGATACAAATTTTTGCTGATAAATCCGTATTTCTCAGTTGCCGCGCGCAGAAACTGACATTCGCTTGTTGAATCGTCACTGCCGCAGTTAAATACTATCATGCAGTAAAAGAGAAAGAGAACTGCTCTCTATATTGTCTATCCTCTGGCGTACATATCATATAGCAGCACGTCATTGCCATGGCCGCCACTCTCGAGGAAGCGATGGAGAGGGTGAGTCTCCAAGGTTCAAATGGACGAGCCAGGAGAAAGAAGGGCGAGCCGTCCCCTCCGTTTCGTTTCTTTGACCTGCCCTCGGAAATCCGCTTGAGAATCTATCATCTGGTCCTCTTTACGCCCCGGAACAGGACCGTTTCAAGGCGGTCCACCCGCTGGTTCCCAACGCGATCAAACGGCAATGTGGGATCTTCTGCGAGGGGCAAGGCCGTCGCGCCAGCTTCTCAGCGCATTTCTCTTTTCCTTACTTCGCGCCGCATGCACGACGAAGCGGCTCATTATTTCTATTCAGTGCAGACCTTTCGTATATTTCCCGTCCAGGATTACAACCGGATGCCGACAATAAGGGCTCTGTCACCACGGTACCGCGCCATGATCAGTACAGTAGAATTGATACTCGGCTCCAGCTGGACTGCGCCACCGAAATCATGGGCCGTAAACAAAGGCTTGGGTTTGCAGGACATGGTCACTATGCGGATGCTCAAGGTGTTCATACAATGTGATCCTTCGCATCCCGCCTTTGAAGGCTTCCGGATCTCGCGCGATTACTACACGAACTTCGCAGGGAACTTGCTACGGCAGATCCTTCAGAGCTTGCCAAGCGTCTCCGAGGTCGAATTCGATGGTTGGCCGTCTGTGGACAAGCATGGACCGTTGATGAACAGACTGTTGCTGGAGGTGAGGTTAGAACGGAAGAAAATCCATTGGGGTCCCGAGAGGGGCTGGTCAGACTTCGATGACGGTTATGAAGATGAAGAGGAGGAAGCTTCCGCCAGTGATCTAGACCCAGATCACTTGATGCGTGGTATGCACAGCGGTCGTTTGGTGGAGACGTGATGATAGTCGTCTACGTGCTGCACGTTACGAATCATGACAAAGAGTTCGTCTTAAAGCATATTTATTGGTGTTTATGCATCGGATATATTACAAACAATACAGGTGGGTTTGTACAGTAGTTATCTTAGCGAAGTGGTGTATAGTTAGAGCCTTAGTTTTATATAGCACATTTGGCTACTTTTGTGTATCAGCTCGTTTTACGACGTAGAACTACTGAGGGAACCATCACTAGGAACCACATTTGCAACAAGATCAGAAACTACAACCTATGGATGCACTTCATAGGTAGCTGGGTTGGATTTTACGAGTCGGATAGCCAATGCGTCCTCTAGTGACTGGTACACCTCTCGACTGTACTCTATAATTGGGAGTGTGAATAATGATAGATTTTACCGCGATGGATTTCGTCTAGATTCCATACGTTTACAAAGAACCCAAAACTCGAGTATTTGATGCCACGGTCGACAAAACAGAGATTCATTGTATCATGCATGACTCATCTATACCTCCTCATCAACATCCATCAGGTTGCCGTCCTGGGCGCCTTTACTGCTGGTCTCCTTCGCTACGGATGCTTCCTTATCGATCATCTGCCGCGAAACAGCAACAATGTTGTCTTCGATGAGGGCTTGGCTGACGTCTTGGATGTCTGTTTGCCGTTTGTTAGCAACCCGTAAGAGCCACCGGAGGAAAAGAGAGATAACATACGCTTCTTGGGGTCGACCTTTCCGACATATCTGGTTTTCAGCTGCTCCTTGCTCAGCTCCGTCTCTTCCTTGACCCGCTTCTCGTAGCCCTCTGCGAGCCCGACGAGCTTCTGCAGTCGGTCAACATTATGTTTGCCTTCTTCGCGGAAGTCGTTCATCTGCAGCGCCTCCGTCCACACATGCTTATGCAGATTCATCAACATGTTCTCCTCCAACCCAGTCTTGCGGTAGTTGATGGCGATGCTGTAGTAGTGACGGTTTAGACCATGGATAAGTGCTTGGATGGACGGCTTGTTCAGATGTCCCAGGTTAGAGGTCGTCTGTCGTGGCTCCTGGCCCATGACGACCGTCTGAGGCGCAATCAAGCGGAAGGCATCAATGACGACCTTTCCCTTCACTGACTGAATGGGGTCGACAACAACAGCAACCGCACGCGGAGTGAGTTGCTCGAAAGATTGTTGAGTGTTGATATCGACAGAGGACAGCCAGCAACCGAAACCAGGATGCGAGTGATACCAGCCTACAACGGTCTCCGGTCTAGCCAACACAGGACAGTTAGTATGATTCATGAAGCCATATCCTTTAGGGATTTCTCAAACGTACCGTCCTGTTTGTCGCAGCATCTCCATCATCTTGGTCTGGAAAACAGGGTCGACAGCCTCGACACTAACACCCGTACCACTCTGAGGCATGGCAAAAACATCCACCACCCGCACTGTGTACTCATCGATGAATTCCCCCAGCATCAGACCCATGACTTCCATAGGTACACCTGCGCGGCCGTGTCTGAGCATCTTCAGCAAGGCCAGCGACGAAATGTGTACGGTCTCCGCATTATCGATCAAGTTCGGGGTGTCCTGAACAAGCACTTGTTAGTTCCGTTTTCCTAGACACTTTGCACACTACAGCCAGTATCTTTAGGGATTCTTGGCGCTGGAGCAAGTTGGTCGCCTGCCATAAGGATCACGACCAGGTGATCGAGGCAAACAACATAGGCTGAAAGGTGACGCAACACCAACTTACCGCACCAGGGGCGGCCGCACCCATACCCATGCCATGAGCAGCCTGGAGCATCCGGTTGAAGCGCTCCATGATGGAATGTGAGATCGGATATCACAGGTGTAGCGACAACAACTGAGAGTAGGTCGAGGATAGCTTCCTTCAAGGGAAGCTTCCAGAGATGATAGGTAAGCAGGTAGACCTTCGCGAGCGAAGAAGGCGGGATGTGAGGGTATCTGAATCAAAAGCGAATGAACCCGGCTTCTGATGTGTCTTCACCAAGGAGGATGAATCAGAAGGTGGAGGGGGAGTGGTCGCAGGTGGTTGAAGCTGTAAGCTGGGAGAGGCTGCTTCTGGCGTTGACGGAGGCGATCGCAGTGCCAAGCGCTAGAGCTCCGCGGGTCGCCCTGCCGTGGGCTCCTCCGGTTCCGCCTCCCCCAAAAGTCCTAGAAAGCTACGAAGACCATCTTTCTCCCCTCTGTCCTCCCACTCGCTCACCTTCAATCCCTTCCGTGAGATCCCAATCTCGCTCAACCGCAGGTGGTTCCATCCACTTTGGTTCTGGATAGGTGAATACGAAGGTTGCTGTGTCTCCCAGCCATCGCTTTTATGCGACGCCTCCCACTTGTCTAGACCTAGATAACTTCCGCTTCGCCGCCTCAGTCCACTCGTCTTCTCCAGGGTTCTACGTCGTTTCTTCTGCGCTGTCTACTTGATCTCGTCTATATACACCTTTTTTTTCTCCTATCGTGACCTCCCTCAAGGACGATTTCACGATGACTTCCGCCGCCGCGGGCGTGGAGCCCATCAGCTTCAACAACCTGGGCGACAGCAATAGACGAGTCGCCTACTTTTATGATTCGGATGTCGGCAACTATGCCTATGTCTCGGGCCATCCCATGAAGCCACACCGTATAAGGATGGCTCACAGTCTGGTCATGAACTACGGACTATATAAGAAAATGGAGATCTATGTGAGTGATTCTTTCCTGCCGCTCCCACACGTTTCGTCGCGGCTGCTAACTCGTGACTTCCAGCGTGCGAAACCAGCGTCGAGATATGAGATGACCCAGTTCCATACGGACGAATATATCGACTTCCTCTCAAAGGTCACTCCCGACAATATGGACTCGTTTGCGAAAGAGCAGGGCAAATACAATGTCGGTGATGACTGTCCCGTCTTTGATGGTTTGTTCGAATTTTGCGGTATCAGTGCCGGAGGTAGTATGGAGGGCGCTGCGCGTCTTAATCGCAATAAATGTGACATCGCTATCAACTGGGCTGGTGGTCTGCATCATGCCAAGAAGAGCGAGGCAAGCGGCTTCTGCTATGTCAACGGTATGCTTTCAAACAGGTGCGCAGTGAGATGTACAGTTACTGACAACCACAGACATTGTCCTTGGAATCCTGGAACTTTTGCGATTCAGGCAGCGTGTCCTGTACGTTGACATTGATGTTCATCACGGTGACGGTGTCGAGGAGGCTTTCTACACTACGGACCGCGTGATGACGGTCTCGTTTCACAAATATGGAGAATATTTCCCCGGTACCGGTGAACTGCGCGATATTGGAGTCGGCCAGGGAAAGAACTATGCTGTCAACTTCCCGTTGCGTGACGGCATCGATGATCTTTCTTACAAGAGCATCTTCGAACCTGTCATCAGGAGTGTTATGGAGTGGTACCGTCCTGAGGCCGTCGTTCTCCAGTGTGGTGGCGACAGTCTTTCTGGAGACCGCCTGGGATGCTTCAATCTGAGCATGCGCGGTCATGCAAACTGTATCAACTTTATTAAGAGTTTCAACCTGCCGACTCTCGTCGTGGGTGGAGGTGGCTATACCATGAGGAATGTTGCTCGAACCTGGGCCTTCGAGACCGGAATTCTCTGTGGTGAACAGCTAGGATCCGAGCTCCCGTACAACGATTACTATGAGGTATGGAGTTCCAGTTCGCATATATTGAACTATCCACTAAAAAGATCATAGTACTTCTCCCCGGATTACCAACTCGACGTCCGACCTTCAAATATGGACAACGCGAACACCAAAGAATACCTGGACAAAATTCGAGCGCAAGTCGTAGAGAATCTCAAACGCACTGCGTTTGCGCCATCTGTTCAGATGACGGACGTGCCTCGTGACCCCCTGCTCGGAGGCATAGATGATGAGGCCGATGCCATCCTTGACGACCTGGACGAAGACGAGAACAAGGATAAGCGATTCACGAAGAGACGCTTTGACCAGTACATCGAGAAAGCGGGCGAACTCAGCGACAGTGAGGATGAAGCAGAGAATGGAACGAACGGGATTCGTCGCCAGCCAGGTGTCCCCAAGCGACGGAACAGACAGAGCTACCGCAACCTCGATGTCGCAGATTCTGGGCCTGACAGTGGCCTTGCGACTCCAAGGGACGTTTCATCGATGCCCGAGGATGAGATGGATTTGACGGCCGACACGAAGATGGGCGAGGCAGCAGAAGCCGGCGCTGAAGAGCAGCCTTCACCTATCCCCGCTGAACCGGCATCGCGAGCGGAGGAAACGCCTGCCGCAGAATTGAATGGCACGACTGGTGAAGGAGAAGCTCCTGCTGCTTCCGTACCTACTACGCGCCCAGCTTCACCTGTCGCCCAGGATGAAGACACGACTATGGAAGATGCGGGTGCTCCGGCCCCAGAATCAGAGCAGACCGAAGCGCCCATTAACGGACCGCAGGAAAAGACCCCCCCAGAGTCTCCGGCCGCAGCTGCTCCTGAAGCTTCAGAGCAGCCTACGTCTCCGGCAAAGTCCGGTTCTCCAGCCCCTAGCGCCCCTCAGCCCGCAGAAGCAGCAGAAGCAACGGGAAGTGCTGCTGAGGCACCCAAGGAAGAAGAGGCACCTGTGAAGGCAGAGGAGCCCGCTCAGCCGGAGGAGAGCTCTGAAAAGCCGGAGGAATCGACAAAAACCGAAGAATAGACTTCTGCTGATGATGGGGTGAACTCTTCTTTCCTGGCTCCGGCGCAACGGACAGTGGCAGGTATGGTGTTGGTCTAGGTTGTTCTTGTATTATTTCCTTGCATACAGCGTTTCTTTTTTCTTTTTTCTTTTCTCTTTTCTTTTCTTTCTTTCTTTTTCTGTTTCTTTTGTTGCTGTCTCATCCCCGCCTATATGTGCCCAGATATTCAGGAGGTTACGTCTTAACTGTACCTTTTCCTTAGATCTTGTATTTGTATTTCCATATCTATGTGCTGCTTAATAGCATTGAGCGCTCTAGAGGGCGCTGACTACTCTGGAGTGCTTAGATGCTTGCTGAATAGAGCACGTTATGCTCCTCGATAATGGCGCCATCTAGAGAAAAGCGGCATTTGCAGTCTAATATTTCGCATCGTAAGGATCAAGAGAACACTAGCAGTAACCTTAATAACTGGCAGCGACTTAGAGTAGACAGATAATAATAATACTCTGTATAGATAACTAACTACTGCTTGTACTCTCTCGCGCGGCGATATGGACCTATCCGAGAAAGGGCTAGTCTTAGGGCTTCACACGTGACCCTACTCCGCGGGAGCCAGTAAGAGCGGCTGCCAAGATTTTGCACACTACCCACACTAAGCGAGATCGAGCAGGCTGGAAATTCAACCGGAGCGAAGAGTCCAACCTCGACGTCGCCAGTTCCCTCACGACCTTCCACCCTTCTTTCCCTTGCCAGTATCCGAACCCGTTTGCGTGATACCTAGCCAAAATGTCTACCAAGAGAGGGTGAGTGCTCAATGACTCTGATTTTCCGGGGGATTTCCATGTTCGAGCGACGCACACTACGCGATCTATGGGCTTGTGGTTCTTGCTCGTGCGGCAGCAATTCGAGACAGGAAGAGAGAGAGAGATGGGCCCAAATATTGGATGGGGAAAAAAAGAAAAATGGCTGGTTTTTGTGCGATGAAAGAAGAATGATGTACTGACATGAATTTCTGCTTATAGTCGTGGTGTTGCCGGCAACAAGCTGAAGATGACTCTCGGTCTGCCTGTGTATGTGCCTCCATTCATATATTCCACTTAAGCCCCGCACAAATTTCTCTCGATGTCGACAACACTATCGCCTGTGATTCCTCGATTTCATTCCTGTGAAATTCCATCCGCCGAAAATACAAACACAGCTCACGCATCGGCGATCAAAAGCAAAAGAAAAATTGAAGGAATGGTTTCAACTGACTTTATTCGTCTTATAGCGGCGCCGTGATGAACTGCTGCGACAACTCCGGTGCCCGTAACCTGTACATCATCTCCGTCAAGGGTGTCGGTGCTCGCCTGAACCGTCTGCCCGCTGCCGGTGTTGGTGACATGGTCATGGCCACTGTCAAGAAGGGAAAGCCCGAGCTGCGAAAGAAGGTCATGCCCGCCGTTGTCGTCCGTCAGAGCAAGCCCTGGAGACGAGCCGACGGTATCTACCTCTACTTCGAGGACAACGCTGGTGTGGTGAGTGGATGGATTCCTTATCTGGTCATCGTGGTATCTCGTGGTGCTGGATGAATTTTGGATATTCATGGCTGGATGTGATCGGAACTCGTTTGATTTGGGTCAATACTTGACGAGGATGGATACCCTCTTCCTTTGGGATTCTTCCAGCACCACGGGGGCCGTGAAAGACTGGCACATACATGCAGCTGAACAAGTACTAACCACGTTTCCAACACAGATCGTCAACGCCAAGGGTGAGATGAAGGGTTCGGCCATCACTGGCCCCGTCGGAAAGGAGGCCGCTGAGCTCTGGCCGGTAAGCATCTCACACAGCATTCCACCATCCAGGACAAAATCAATTAACTCTGTCTCTTAGCGTATTGCCTCCAACTCCGGTGTTGTCATGTAAAAAGGGAAATCTGAATAGGAAAGAAGAAATGACGCGATACCAGGTCGGAATGGGGGAGTTGTCCACATGAATCTTCTTTTAGCCGAATTCATTTTCCTATTACCAGTTATTCCTCCTTTTCCCGCTCTCCCTCTTCTCCTATCCTGGCAGAAAAAAAGCAGTGTCAAAAAATTTCAATACATCCACCAAAAGAAAAGGATCCATACATGTGCCTACGCTAGTTACGGAGCCAATGCCAACTCGCAGACACCGAAGATCGAGGTTATTACCCGACTTTGGACCAGTCGAACAAGGGGGGATTTGAGTGGAAGGGGACTCGAGTTAGCCCTTTTCTTCGTTGTCAAGGGAAGAAAGGACAGTCATCAATGAAAGAAAACCCTCCGTAAAAAGATGCGTTTCAGTCTTAATATCTGTCTAACATGCGTAGTTTCGTGATAAGAGTTAACTACTCGATACCAGCTGTAAATGGAAATCTGATTTCATATAGTAATCTATCGTACAGATGGCGCTGGGATATAGTATAATAACACATGCCAGGAAACTATACCCGACCAGTAATTCTTTCGATACTTATGTATATACATGCAATGTAAACGTACGCTCCCCATTTTTGTTTGCCTCGAACCCTTTTGTCTCGACCCTGATACTAGGAATAAAATATACACGAAACTCGCTGCTTTTCTTTTCCTTTTCTTTTATCGATGCAAATGCGATGCATCATTTCCTTTTCCCCTCTTGCACGCATTTCAGTGACCCATCTTGTACATGTTTTGCATCGTTCATAGCAGTCTGGCTCTTGGCTTTCTGGTCTGAACGAGCAGGCAACATACCCTCAATGAGGCCGAGTAGCATCCAAATGAACAGAATGACCAAAGTTGCAATCCCAACGCCATGGACTGCCCACCAGATGTGCTGTACGCCAGCTTTGCACATAACGATATCGTACTTCCATTCATTGACCGCGGGATCGAAATCAAACCATACCGAGAGCAGACCTGCATTACCGCCATATTCACCCATCATGGCGCGGAGCGTCACTTCGCGCACGGATGGAGTTTCCTGGTCTTCGAGAATACTGGCAGACTTCTCATATCGTATAGCGTCCCACTTCCAGGATAGAGTCGAGGCGGTTGATTCTTCTCCTTTCTCTTCTCCTTCGTCGGCCTTGGTATCTATCTCAATGGATCGATTCACGAAATGAACCACGTCACATCCAGTGTGGTCATGGCCATTTAAGATTACCCCATTGCGTCCTCGGCCCCCGGCAGGGACGTTACTATCACCGCTCATCCCGAAGATGCCTTGGAGAATGGCGCTGGCGCTGGCGTGATCGCTGAGATGATTCTGCTCCTTCAGCCCGCCTTCCCTGTATCGCGGGACACCGTCGTCTCCGTCTTCGTCGTCGGACTCGTGGAAAGAGAAATACGGCGCGTCGGTGCATATACCTTCCCTTTTATGCAATGGGACATGTGTCAGAAGGAGAGTAAATGAACTCTCGTCTCCGACTGGGTATGAACGGTGTGAGATGACATCGTTGATATAATCATAACTTTGGCTTTGGATCTCCTGCGACAACGCCGGCACGTCCAAGGTGAGATCGTTCAAGTTGATAATGTGCAGTGTAGGTATTTTCGTCGTCGTGGAGGAATGATTTGTAGTAATAGCATCTACACCGTCGAGTGGGTGCTGGAATCGTATGTCCCAGTTGGCACGACCGAAGACGCGCTCAAATCGCTCAAGTCGCGCTTCGCTCACATCTCCAGCATATCCGATATCGTGATTCCCAGCAATGTTGATGATCTTGCGCTCCCAGCTCGAATTATACCTCTCTAAAGTCTCCAATTGCGGTTGTTGTTGTTGTTGCTGCTGTCCTTCTTCTGCTGCTGCCTCCTGTAGGTTATTCTTATCATTATTATATCCCTTCTGGCCCGTGATTGTAATTTCATCATCGACCCTCTCCCCACCGGCAAAGACTCGATTCCAATATCTCCATCCGCGCATCTCAAACTCTTCATCCGTCACCCATTGGCTTCCGATCAGATCTCCAAGAACCGTGACGTGCGTCGGACGACTCCACCAATGCAGCGTCCGGTAGATATGCGCGAGGTAATAATCGTTTCCAAAGAGATCTAGACGTTTCCTCGCGGCGCGCAACGAATCTGGTATATCCTCCCAGATAATCGTGCGTAATGCAGATTGAACCGCTTCAATCACGGTCACCGGGTCCGATTCCGACTCTGGGTCTAATGACACATTTCCCACTGCTGTTTCCTTGATAGTATCCCAATGTCGTATGAGGCGCGGTACGAATTCATCTTCTGGACTTGGTAACGAACTGTCGCCTTCGAGTTGGGGGTCCGCGAGGACTAGTAGACGAAACACAGCGGGTGCCTCAGTTGTCGCGTGATCGGGCACGATATGCTGCAGGAGTGTGTTCACGAAGCCATTCGACCAGAGCGAAGACTGTCGCGCGTCGCGACTGGGGAGTGGAAACGCGCAGCCATGAAATATTGGGTAAAGGTAGAGGTATATGGTGGACGCTATTGATAGCGGTAGCAGAATGACGAGGACCCGGGACAGGAGGGTGCGGAGAAACATAGAGAAAGGAATGTGGTTAACGAGGCACGAATTTGAACATTGAAGAGTCCCATCACTGACGAAAAGAAAGACGACAAAGGAGCGGATGGAGGCCAGAGGTGCAGATGCTGCCGGTGGTAATCAGCGCGAAGTTTAGAAAAGGGGAAGCAAAGGGTTTCTGGTAAGTAATTATGCCGTCCCAACGACAGACTGCGAGCCGAATACCGAGGATTCGGCTTGCCGAGCAAATGGATGGATTCCACGAACACGATGAAGAAGAGTCTATTACTTGAGAATGCTCAATCTCGAATTCGGCTACAATAGGAATACTGATGTTGTTTTTTGATTTTTTCTCTTGAGAACAGGAATTACAATATGGCATTAAATAATCGAGCTATACGTATGCGTCATGTTTCCCTGTGTCTAACCAAGGGGAGTGTCCGTTAAACAATCTCCTTCCATTCGCCAGTAATGGAGCTATATAATGTGCCTTCCTCCAAAGATTATATTTGATCATGTCATAAGAACCGAAGAAAATAGAAAGTCGCCACAGCGACCTCCAAATGAAGGGTATATCTCGTAGAACGCCTTTGTAACTAGTTATTCCGACGTTTCCAAGGGTGTAATAAAAGGGGCGTAAGACCGGCCGCAAATGCGGAAAATATGGTTCAGGAATTCGAAAGACGTTCCAGCAAAGCGCTGAAGGCCGTCAAGAAGAATAGAAATTAGTAATTTGTCTCCGAGCGCTGCTCTGATGTCGTCGACTCGGCAAGGGATTCTGGAAGCAGGGAACTGGGACCGGTATCGATTTTCGCAAGACTGCTAAACTGTGGTTTCTCGCCATCGCTTTTCTCACCGTCCAGAGACTTCTCAAAACTGAGACCGTGTATCATTAACCCTTTGTCTTCATCCTTAGAAGAATCGGTAGTTTCCTTAGCAGTTTCCTTTCCTTGCTCAGTCAGCCCGGGCAGCGGAGGACGCTGGTTCAAGAGACGAGCTTGCTTCAGACTGATGGTCTTTTGCTTGTTTGTCATTTCAACCGGCAAATTCGGGTCTCGTTCGATGGTTGCTTTCATCAAGGCAGCCATCCACAATCGCCCCTGCTTGATGCTATCCACCTGGAAATAATGGATTGCAGGCTTGGTGAACTGCACAGAGCGGGACATCTTCGGCGGCACCAATTTGAAGATGAAGGGGCCATCAGCTCCTAACTTGGAGCGAGATGTGATGTCGGAAGAACTTGCTTGGTCGGACACACCCAGGTCGACAGAGCCGGAGCCAGTTCCCGGAACCGGAGATGCGTTCGCACCGGTAATAGTCGCATGGAGCGCAGTAAGTGGTTCTGAATCTGCACGGAGAACACGGTGACCCGTGATGTCAATGAGCCCCCGTTCCTCCGTATCATCCTCTGAGTAGTAATAAGAGAGGCGACGGCCGCGCAAGACAAAGAGACGCGGCTTCCACGTAGTCATCAGATGGGACGACTTCTTCTTCATCCACCCGCTAAACTCACAATTCAACATCTGCTCCTGGGGCGTCTTCTTTTCAAGTCCACGTATGTAAGCGCTTGTGTCCTTCTTCGACTTAGGTGCGGCCTTGGTCGAGGTTCTTGGTCGAGGTATGAGGAGGGCATCGCCTGTCTTGCCAGAACCGTCAGTGCTCTGGCGCTCAGAACTCTTGGACGTTGCAGACGGGGTCGTTGATCCCGTTCTTGCGGTTGACAGGCTCGATTCCTTGACCGGAGACGTTGGCGTATCGGGAATATTTGGAGTCTTTCCGTTACTTGTTGAGGCGTCCGATGCTGCGCGAAGGCCTACAGCACGACGGAACTTAGGCCCGACACCCTTGATCTGTTGAAACGGCATAGAAGAAGAAGAGCGGCTGGAGTTGTCGCCGTCGGTTCTACCCGATAGAGGAGAGAACGCAGAGAAGAATCCAGAACTGGGAGCCGGCTTCTCTGCCAGGTTAGTCACAATGGGAGTGGTCGAGTTGGAGCTTTGGCTCTGTTTTTCAGAAAAGCGACCGCTCGAGCTCCTGAAGCGACCTTTGATGGAGCCACTGTGATAAACTTTGGCAGCCGAGGAAACATGTAGCATATCCCTGATCGACTCTGCGCTACTGAAACGAGAATGTCGCTTGTTCATCGGGCTCTTCCGAAGGGATTCTTCATTATAGCTGGATTTCCGGGAATGAGCGATGCTCTCCACCATCGACCCTCGCTTCTGCAAGACTCTACGGCCTCTGCGCGATTCAACTTCACCTCCAGAAAAGTATCCGCGGTCTAGCTCGTCGAAACGGGCAGCAATCGAGATCCCAGAATCGAATTCTCGCGAATCCGCGCCATGAAGAGCCTGCGGAGGCTGTTTCTCATTTGATGGGCCGACGGAGGTTCCCGGACGGGAGAGTCCTTGTGCGGCCGTCGACATTGTCCAGCCCCGGTCGAAAGAAGGTTGTTTACGATGTGGCTGATCCTGAAACACAGGGGATCCTGTCGTGTCGATTGAGGAGTGACGGCGGGTGTGGTTGATATCCCGAATCGACGCTGCGGACGGTCTCGCAAAGGACGTCAACGGAGATGGCGGATTGCTCCGCTGGCTCTGTCTCGACTGCACGGGGGTGGAACTTCGCGCTTGATGGTAGCTTGAGGTTTTCTCAGACAAACTAGGAATGCGTGGGAGGAAAGTTCCATTGCCTGCCCGACTCATGGCGCGTTCGGGAGAGGCATCGCGGCCGGAGTAGCTCGACACTGACCCTCGAGGCTGTCCGAATCCCTTGATCTCTTCCTGGAAGGCTTTGATTTTGTGCCATGTCTTTAGTCGTCTGCCCATAACACCGAAGTCGAACTCCTTCATAAACAAGAACTCTTGGTCCATTTCCAACAAGACATCACCGGTGATCTCCTGTTCTTGGAAAATATCACAGTGCTTCTGCTCGACACCAATATTCCGTAGCTGCTTAGCAGTTTCGATGTGGCTCCATTTTCGCACCTGTTCCTCAGTAGGCTGACTTTCCTCTTCCTCATCGGTCTCATGGCCGTGGATATAAGATAGCCGGTGGCCGATGTGGCTGCTGTATTCGCTTCCAGAATCGTTGACGGGTTTCAGCTCCTGGCCAGCAACACTATGGCGAGGCGTACTGAGGTCGGTTATATGCTCGTCGATCACACTCAACGTTTCGTTCATCACAGGACTGTCCTCTCCGTTGAATGGGCTATGCAGCGAATCCCTGATCGTCCTCTGGATTCCGACGGCTAGAGAATTCGTGGACGGCAGTGGAGAAGAGCTGGATCTTTTTGATTGCTTTGGGGATTGAGCAGCCGCGGGGAACTCCAGAGAGGAGGCCAGTATCCCTGAAGTACTCGCGTGTCGGGACCCCTGAGGAGTCATATCTGCATTGCCAGACCCCGGGCGGCTTTCTTCATCGTCTGCAGTGCCCACAGTCGAGCTCGGGCTTGCGTCTTCTGTACTGTCTGCAGTGGAAATGATAGATGGAGCAGGCTCAGTCATGACCTTGCGGATGCTTATCTTCGGTGCCGGGGTTGTGTAGACTATGACACATTAGCTGCCAGTCATCGCTCTTAGCACTGAAGAGAACTCACTTCCAGGGAAAAGGCCCGTTGTGCCATTCGCCATGTGCTTCCCAAGATACCATCCATCCCCAAACCCTTCATCTAGCTCCACCAGTTCGACCTTGTCGCCACGACGCAAAGTGAGTTCGTCCGCTCCCCGCGCATCGAAGTCATCTAGGCAACAGCATATGTCAGTACATTCAGGACGACGAAAGCAACAGGAAAGTGCACAGTTGCGAAGCAGCGTAAGATGCGCCACGAGCGGGGAGTCGCAGCGCCCAAGGCAGACTTACGAACAACAAGCAACAGGTCTCCAGGGCGTACCCCACGCGGTGGTTCCATTTGAGCCATTATTGATAGTATAGATCCCTGCGACAAAGGCCCTTAATCCGTGAAGTCGACCGTCAAAGCGCACCGCTGCAATGATCGAATGGGACGGATGATGCGGGACATGGAGCAAAGAACCCGGCCCTTTCAAGAATTTTCGGGGGCGTTTGTAGACAAACCCGGGCGATGTTTCGTTCTGTTCCAAAGCGGTTTGCCGATTATTGTGGATAAGCCACCAGTAATGGAAGGGCCAGAACGCGGGACGAGAGGCGAGACCCGTCTGCTGTCAATCTTGTTCTCCGGGACAGATGAAGCAACCGAAGGGACGAACAGAAGGTAACAGCAAGATTAGAATAATTATATAGAGCGTATGCGCTGGACAGGATGGTGGACCGGGGGTTCAAGGGGTCCGCCGGGGTGAGGCCCTCTCCGACGATAGATATCGCTTAGATGATGAGGCGCTTTGCTGGACGCTGTCGTGGCCCCGTCGCAACACGCAGGGGAGTCGAGAGTCCGAATGAGAAAGCAGCAACGACAACACGAAATAAAAATACAACAAAGGAGAGGCTGCTGAAACGAGCGCGGGCGTGTCGCCGGGTCCTGGTGGCGGGGGATAGCACAAAACACCGGATGGACGCTCGTCTCTGGCGAGAGAGGGGGGAAAGATCAGGAGTTCACACGTGCGATCGGGGCGTGGCGCGTTAAGTTACTAGGTGAGTATTAGTTATATGTCACAATGTCGTGTTTGCCGTTGAGTCGCAACAATGATAGTAACAATGTGACCGGGAGACATTAAGTAAATAAATAAATATGATGTTCCTGGCCCTGACTAGCCCTGCACAAGAGTCGACAGCCAACAGTCCACAGCAGAAGGACAGCTTGCTGGGGTGACGAGACCGTGGACTGCGATCGAGACCGAGGCTGAGGAATCTGACGAAGTTGACGATGTGACGGAAGCAGACGGAGGCTTGACTCTGCGAACGTGGTCAGTGCCAAACAGTCGAAGCTCAGACGTCCTAATCGCCAGGGGCTTGGAAGATCGCCAAGGATGAGCAGAACTGCTTGGGGGATGGATTTTCTCTCGACGAGCGCAAAATGCTAGCAGATCGATAGTTGCCGGAGGCTTGCAAGTTGTTGGCCCACCGAGTGCGGCGGCAAAAAGGCCTGGAATTGGATCGAGAGGCGATCGACCATTAATTCGACGGAGCCGGAACGAGAGAGGCGAGAATGATAATTCATCGACTTATAATAATAATAATAATAATAAATATAATAAATATAACAATACTGTATCTGACAGTTATGACTCCTATACCATAGACTCTTAGCAGTGATGATAAGGATCATGGTGGCTACTCTAGGCTGTCTTAAGACGGTGAGTATAACTAGCGTACTGGTAGAGGAGCAGCATTCTCTGATATCTATCCCACATACTTTAATTTCGCCTCTCCTAAGTTATCTTTTTTCCATCCTATGCTATGCTCTGCTCTGCTCTATCCTGTCCTACCCCCCTTTTCTCCTCGAAACAACGCGTCAGTAGACGTAAGAATAGACGCTTCTCGCTTTTAGAACACACTTAACTACCCCTCCCATGCTTGTCATCCATTACGGCTTCTTCCAGCGTTTTGCGCCGTCGTCCAGCGCTAACCTGGAGCCAATCGCGTAGGCAGAGACAGCTGTCCGGCGTTCGTCTTTATTTTAGGACGATGATATGCCAACCATAAGAGATGCCGCCCAACGGTCGTTCTCCCCACCGCAGCCTGGGGTCTATGGTAGAAAGAAAATCAACAGACATCCCAGCGTTTGTCCTTTTATTATTATTAGCCCTCATGTAACATGCAATGATCCGGAAAATCACCCAAAGGAACTGTCTGAAGCTGCTGTATCGCTCCGTCCACAGTGGAGCCGTCGAGCGTCCCATCCAAGTTGTCGTCTAACTTGGCGTGTTGAAGCAGTTCCTGAACCAAGCGCTTCACCCACTACTGCTTGCCCACCGCCTGGAGGATCTGCACTTTCGTTTGACAGCTTCATTCACCGTTCTTTGCGATTTGGCCAGGGCTCGATCCTTTTGGTTGAATTTCACCGTGCCCTCACTTTCTGCTCTTCTCCCCAAGACACCGCACCACGGCGGTCATAGAATTAATCGGCTTCGATCTCGAATTCTGCGCCACTCACTCCTCACAAGACCATCAATTTCCACGGTGATCGCCTCCACTGCTGGGCGATTCTACCATGTACAATCTTCATAATGAGTTCAAGGGAACAGCAGAATGGCCAGACGTTTAATACAGCAGCAGGACGGGCTTTTGAGACTTCCAACTCTACGCTGAACAAGTTTCTAGGTGGCACGCGGAAGGCCTGGATGTCAGGAGGTGCTCCTCCTCACCACCACCCACCGACGCCAACGCGAAACAAGGTGAACAGCCAGAATAGACCTGTGGGCGCGCCTGGACAAATATCATCTCCCGCCAGCACAACGCCCGCAAATGCCCAACGGCCGTCCAATGGTCCTGCCGCACTACAGACCGTCAGCAGCACCATCACGACAGACAGCACGCCCATCTCTCCCATCACTCCAGTCCAGAAACACTCCAACATCCCAGTGTCGATCAAACAGTCGCCTCCTTTTGAACCACCACTACCGGACCGTGGTCTTCCTTCCGCAGCCCGAGATGTCGGCCAAATCTCAGTCCTTCCGTCGCCTGAACCAAGCAATGGTTCTCGCACGAGTCCTGCCGTTGTGGTCGACGCAGAGAGAGGCAATAGAGAAGCGGAGTTGATGGTGCTCCAATCCAGACTAGGCCAGGTCGAATCTGTCTCTGCTGTGAATGGAAGTCAGGCGGGCAATACAGAGAGTTTCGCGGCCACCTGTGAAGCAGATTTGGCTGCGTCCGGCTCTGTTCAACCTCAGAGTATGGCTAGCCTATCGACCCATCAGGCTGTACACAGGGATAAGCGGCCGAGGATCGAGACTGCTCGTTTGCCAGTATCACATACGGCGCCGTCCCCGGTTGGCTTGGCGGAGAACCAGACGTTTGGTGCGAGTTCTCCCTCAGCGTCTTCAGACGACAATTTCTGGGATTGCTATTTGAGTGCATTATCTCAGCTAGAGAAAGCCTCGTGGACTTTTTCTCTATCCGAATCAGTGGAATTGCCGCGGGTACGACTTCTGCAGGAGGCCTGCCGATCAAAAGACCTGTTCTACGTAACTCTGCATCAAGTATTTTGTCTCCATACATTCGCGCTATCAGAATTCGCCAGGTTAACTGGCTTTTCAACCTCTCAAGCATCCGCGCTTGAAATCATCAAGCAGCTTCTCCTAGACAATAGGCGACTCTCCGGGGATTTCCTGAAGTGGTGTGTCAACTTCCCATTCCCAATGTCCCGTATGTTGCAAAATGTGAAGTATAGAGGTACTTTACAGCAGATCGGACAGTCTCTATCACTATTGTCTGTGAAGTGGGTATCCTTTGAGCAAGAGATAAGAAGACGTTCATATCCTCCACTTATCGATGAGTTGGTACTGCAGTTCCATATCACCTCATCCACGCTGCAGAGCGTCATATTTACAGCCATATGCCGTCGCCATCTACAGGCAAGAGATGATGATCGTCTTCGGCAATTCCTGTCACTTTTTGAACGCAACCGAAAATATTATCTGCGTCGGTTTGCAGATCCCCAACATCCAGTCAGCACGGAGCATATGCAGAAGGAAAACGAGGATCTTATTAGGGGATATCACTCGCTCTGGGTACAATTTGCTCCCAGAAATGAAATCCATCCAGCACCAAGTCATTCGCCGGTAGCGACACAACGAGCAGGGCAGATGGCTTCTGGAGCCGTTCCTGCGGCCCCCGCCCATGCTACTTCTCTAGCAAGGAACAGTGTACGACCATCACTCCAGTCACCGCCGATACAGCAACTCCCTTCACAATCATATTCTCAAAGTATTGCTCCGTCCCAGGCGCCGCCTGCACACGGCAGACCAAATGCGCCAGCCAATCCTACTGGATTGGGTCCCAATAACCTTGTCTCTCCTATTCAGATGCCAGCAGGCCAGCATATTCCTCAGGACCTATCTCCTACCTACTTCCCACAGCAGGGCGTTGCCTCACAAGGACAATATCAGAACTCGCCTCAGTTCCAGTCTCCTCACTATATGCCACCGGCATATATTGTCCCGAGCCAGCAAATGCCATCACAGATGACACGGACACCTCAGATCGCACAACCCTCACGAGGACGAGGCCGTCCTCGTCGTGTTCCATCACATATCCAAACCAGTGCACCTGTTCCTGTGGTCTCCAGTTTACCTGCCGTTAGTCCTATGGATAACCGGTTTATCCCGAATTACCCGGCCACGCAAATGGTCCAGCGACAGCCCGCTGCGGCTCTTCCTTCTCCGCGACAAGGACCTATCGATCGGCATCTGCTTCCGGCACCAGGCGCTCTTCCGCCCCCTCGTGCCCATCCTAGCCCTCTCTACGCCTCTATTCATCAGTTGCACCTGCGAGATCCAGCCAGGAGACTGGTTCATCAAGGGCCTAACGGAGAAGAGGAAGGAGAGCTCTTCCAGTACCTGCATTCTTTCGCCGTCAAACCAACTTGTCTAGGCCAGACGGAAATCATCTTTCGATTCACGTTCGATGTGTCCAATGATACCTTTAGAAAACTGCCCCAGGATACAAGGTTTCCAGATGGCCGGCGAGCGACAAGGGTACTATCTAATGGCAATCGCCTGTATCGCCTGCGCTGTGTTAAGGTGGCTCCTTCATCACAGGACATCGGTGAGAACTCGTGGGCTATTGCTGAATCTGTATGGCCCAGTGTCTTTTACCTTCATGTCAACGGCAAGGAAATGTTCGTTCGCCGAAAAGCGCACCATGCCAAAGATCTACCTCTGGACATCACGCCTAACCTGAAAGAAGGTAACAATGAATTTACGCTTCATTTCTTGCGGAGTCCAGAGGAACGCGGTAACCTGGTCTATGCTCTAGCCGTTGAGGTCTTAGAGATAGCTGATCTGGAACACACTAAGAAATTGGTTCAGCCTCTTGCGGCACCTGAGTCACGCCTTCAAATCCAGAAACGGCTTTCGGTCAGCACTGCTGACGACGAGCTGTCTGTCGTAAATGACTACATAGCTATCGAATTGGTTGATCCATTTATGGCGCGGATCTTTGATGTACCGGCTCGCGGCAGAACTTGCAAACACCAAGAATGCTTCGATCTCGACGCCTTCCTCAGTACCCGTGTTTCCAAAAGCGGCAGCGATCCTATGAAGGAAAACTGGAAGTGTCCCATCTGCGGAGGAGATTGTCGTCCATCGAATCTTATCATCGATAACTTTCTTGCTGACGTACGAGCGGAGCTGCTGCGTAGTGGCAAGTTGGAAGAGACTAGGGCCATCCACGTCAAAGCAGACGGAACATGGCAGCCAAAGATTGATCAGGACCTCAAAATAGAAACCAGAGTCCCTGCGAAACGTAAGCTTTCGGAGATGGGCGATGTGACACCTCTTAGGTCCAAAAGTGAGAGCACCGGGGGCACTCCACGAGTTGCCAAAGCTGCCGAGATTATTGAGCTTGACTAACCACCCAGCTCCATATCTACTGTGCGGGCTAGATGAGACGAGAAGTGGTCCTCGTCGGGCGTCTGTCTGTATGGTACAACACCTTAGCATTGGTCGGCGCATATGGATTTGGCTCTGTTTTCTTCCAATTATTTGCGAGTTGCTATGTATGGATACCCCAAAGTCGTGTGTTTCCTTTCGGTTATATTATTTTCTCGACCTGCACCAATCCAATCGTGCAGGTTCTTTTTTCACTACTTGCTAGAAACAAGGAAAAGGCTATCTGTATCCCCTGGTATTCCTTCTGTTCTATACCCTTATAATCATGCATATACACATAAGAAAACCGAAAAGGCAGGAGTATAGAGCGCAAAACAGAAGGAGAGAAAAGAAATTAATCACAAGACGAAACGAATTTTTTATATTAGCATTTTACTTCTCTTCTTCCTCTTCTTCTATATTAGCATACGCTTTGATCACTTCCCCCATTTTCTATACGGAGGTAATCACAGAGCAAAAGGTCCCTGATGCCCGAATTTTCCTATATATATATATATATATATATATATATATATATATATATATATATTGATTTCTATGCCCTTATATTTATATATCCCTGATGATAATAGTATAATGGTGGTGGAGAACCTACATTGTAGATTCGGGCTAGATAGTAGTGGGATTTTCTCCCAAGCAACATTGCATTGTATGATCGGGCCCCATACCATACCTTAATGTATGCACACGAGAGGAAGCTGCTTTGCAGATGTGGTTTACAATCCACAATGCTTCATTATTACTGCGATGAACATATTTTTATAGTTTATAATAAAAGCCATTAGTTAGTTATACTGTATTTAATGTGATAGGGGACAGAAATCACTACTAACTACTAGGATGCGGTGGAGCAAGAAGATTGAAAAATAAAAGATATATATACACAAAGAAAAATAGGCCCTGCCTTTTCATTTTCTTTCGAGTATTCTTCATATATCAGATTCCATGGTCGCCTGGTTTTTCTTGGCCGTTATCATTTGATCACAGAACCAATAAAGATTATTACAATAGTATACATGTCTGGTTATATCGTCATTGTGTTCACGAAGTGAACATTCACAGAGAGGTATCGGCACGGCCGAACTTCATCTCTGCTGAGCATATGGTCCGCCTGAAGCCGCCCTTTTTCTTTCGTCCCTTCAGATCATTTTCTGACGCGTCTGGCGTGACTGACGAGATTCTCGATCACACCTTCGAAGGCTTCTTTCTCGCTAACCAGACCGTCTCGTAGCTTGAGCCAGTATTCGAGAACCTGGCTTGCGCGATTCGTTGTGTCCTTTAGCTCCTTGACGTGCGTCTTCAATTCAGCATCAGTAAAACCGTCCAAAGCGGCATCCGTTGTGGCGCAGAGTCGATGCACTGCCGAGAGATCCAGCTCAGGGGGAGGCGGCGGCCCGCGTCGTCGTGTAGACCTCTGCTTTGCAGAATCAGAGGCATTGGCGGACGTGGATGACCCGTCCGCTTGGCCGTCCTTCTTCTGCTGTAGATTTTGGGATGCGTCAGCCATCTTAGAACCGTCGAGATCTATAGACGGCAAAACAAGTTTCTTTTGCTTCGACGCTGGCAGAATTTCGTCAAGATCGACCGGCACTCCCAAAGACACGAGGAAGAGTCTACGGATCCGAGACTTGACCCAGTTCGGTGGCTGCAAGGGTGGCGGAGCAACCAGCTGAGACCATAAAGAGAGAGAGCGTTCGCTGGTGAAGATGGCGGATGAATCAGGGATCGGGTCAACAGGCGGAAGGTTTGTGATTGATTTTGCATTGGGGAATAGGATGTCAAGATGGCTGTCAGTGGCAGCCGCTAGGTCGGAGAGGGACGTGAAGGAGTCGAAATCGAGGAGTGGAGGCTGTGTGACGGGTCCAATTAGTTATTGATATTTCATATTGGAATTATAACATGCGAAGAAGACCATCACGAATAGCCATTGCGCTCAGATTGATGCTTGTACTAAGACTACTTACAACAAAGGGGGAAGCAGGTGGTAACTGAGGCGTCAGGGGGGCAGTGGATTCTTCTTCCACGGCTTCGACAAGGCTTTCTTGAAAACCATCATCGAAATCCCCAAAGTCATCGTCTGCTGCAGCCTCTCCTTCTTCAAATTCATCAAAATCGTTCATAGAGGCATCATCGTTGTCGCCATGGGGGGGTTCTTCATCCTCTTCAGTTACCAGTGTCAGCACGATCCGTAAGATTACGTTGGTCCCGACTATCAGGGCGCTTTTCTTGCCCGATATTGCGTCCATGTCCATACCAGATTGTAATGGACGAGGTATGCCAGGGAAACCGAATTGTCCAATGGTCCCCCGTTCAGGAGAAGTTGGGCTTACCGGGAGCATCCTCAACCGTCTCCGTTGCGTCAGGTAACGCATCGCTCGGACGTCTCCGGTGAGCATGCGGGGCAGAAGTTGTACCATCAGTTGGAATACTGTCCACCCGTGAAAGTAGCGTCTGAGGCACAGGGCTAGGTGGAGTCTTTTGCTCTTGCGGCGAAGCATCGATAGAATTGGACCGCGAGCCAGACTCAGCCGCCCTGAACACAAGATCCGGAGCAGCATCTGCTTTGCGGCGTTCGTAGGCCTCTGTACCTGGAACTTCTCCGTAGCTCGGGGCCTCTGGGTCGACCTTCTCAACGAGCGTCCGGGGCACTGTATTGCCGCTAGGGACTACATCCGGTTCAAGCTCGACTCTCGACCCTCTCCTGCTGTGTTGTCCTTCTGGAAGGACTTCGACCTCATCGGGGACGGCGTCTTGTTGTCTTTTCTCATAGGCAGTAGACCCAGGGACTTCGCCGTAGCTGGGTTCATCGTCCACTTTCTCAACTCTGGTTATCGGTACAGGGGACTCGGCCCTGGATGCAGGACGGGAGACCGATGCCAGTCGTCCTTCGCTAGCATCTGAGAAGTGTTCTTCATCGCTCCCTGAAGCTACAAGACCACAGTCAGTTGGCTGACGCGCCATCAGGAACTGGAAGACGCGAGGGGAAGCGTACCTGGCTCCTGAGCCCCCGGATCCTCGAGCTCTACGCTCTTCGCGGGGGGCTCCAGGTAGGTGCTTGATGGGCGCGAGGGCCGATCCGACATTGGCACGCACAATTCTGGGTCTAGCACATGCAGAGGATAGAAAGAGAGAACGACAAGGGTATGAGCAGAAATGAGAAAAACACAAGAAATGCAAGAAGAGAAGAGCACGACGAAGTGACGCTGTTAGATACGTTTCAAACCAGATCGACGTCGACGGTCCAGGCTGGCCCACGGGGAAGCGCCTGTGGCTGCCTGAGGCTGAAACAGCTTAGGCGCCAACCGCCGCAAAAGAGCGACAAGCGCGTTCTCCCAGAGAGACAAAACGATTATGACCGTTGGATGAAGGGAGTGAACAACACATCTTAGTCCCCTTCAATTGTTTTTCTGCACCGCGAGGGGCGCTCTCATATCTGGGTGCAGTAAGTCTCTTAGTATCTTCTATTCTACCCCGTTCTGTCTGTTCTAACTCAGCTTTTTCTTCCAGAAGCTACCCTACTTTGCGGTCCATCAGCGACAACACCATGTCGAACAACAAATTCTCCTTTGGCACTCCTGCCTCCAGCGGGGCTTCTAGCGGAGGTCTTTTTGGCACAGCAGGGTGCAACAACCTCTTCGGATCTAATGCTCAGAGTGGCTCAGCAACTGGATCAAGTGGTGGTCTGTTTGGCAACGTTGGAGCATCCACAAGCGGAACGTCGTCTCCGTCATTGTTTGGGACGGCGCCCTCAGGTGCAGGTGCAAGTGCAGGACAGACTGGTTCCCTGTTTGGAGGAAGTTCAGCTGCTGGTGGTGGTTCTACTACGCCTACTTTCAGCTTTGGAAAGCAGAACCAGCCCAGCTTCACCACCCAATCGACGCCACCATTGTTCGGCGGTGCTTCTCAGACGCCCAAGACGAGCGAATCTTCTGCCCCCGGTCAGACGTCGACGAGCGGCGGCCTCTTTGGTAGTGCCCCCAAAACTGGTGGAAGCTTGTTTGGAAGCACGACTGCAACGCCCACTACATCCGGTGGTCTTTTCGGCAACAACACATCGACTACACCCGCCGGTCCTCCTCCGCTGGGTAGCTCCACTGGTCAAGGACAGTCTCTCTTTGGGAATGCGGCACAGAAACCAGGAAGCTCTAGCGGTCTGTTTGGAGGCCTAAATACGTCGACTCCTTCATCAACCCCCGCGACTACCACTGCCGCGGCCACGCCTGCAACTACACAGTCTCAACAGACCGGTGGCCTATTTGGGGGTGGTCTATTTGGAAACCTGAACAAGGATAAACCAGCGGAGACACCTGCGACGAGCAGCGCAGGGACCGGCGCGAAGCCTCTGTTTGGAGCGACGCCAGGTGCACCAGGCGGAACTACGCCCAGTACACAAGCAGCATCATCACCGTTCAAGTTTCCTTCTGCTGGATCTACGGACTCTCAGACCACCCCGAAACCTACATTCTCTCTAGGAGGAGCCGCCACCTCCCAGCCCGCTTCTAGCACCCCTGCTACATCTACTGCCACTCCACAGAAGTCCCTTTTCCCTTCACTTGGCGGAGCAGCTTCTTCAGCTACTCCATCCTCGACTCCTGCTACAGACAATGCCGCGACTGCGACGTCAGGCGGTGCAGCTGCTGCGAAACCCGCCGCCAGCACTGGAGGCCTGTTTTCCCTTGGCAAGCCTGCCGAGACAACGACAGCGACATCTCAGCCTGCAACTACGACCACGGCTGGAACGACCACTAGCACCACTACAACTGCGCCAGCGGCAACGGGTACCACGGCGACTACGGGTACTGCTGGTACCACTACTGGTGCGGCTGCCTTTGGCGCTTCCACGGCTGGTCCGGCACCCCCGGCGCAATCTCGTCTAAAGAATAAGACGATGGATGAGATCATCACGCGCTGGGCTACTGATTTGACAAAGTACCAAAAAGAGTTCCGGGAGCAGGCCGAGAAGGTTGCGGAATGGGATCGGATGCTCGTGGAGAACGGCACGAAAGTGCAGAAGCTGTACGGCAGCACTGTAGACGCTGAGAGAGCCACCCAGGAGGTGGAGCGCCAGCTCGCTTCTGTTGAGGGCCAACAAGAGGAACTGAGCTCGTGGCTGGATCGGTACGAGCGTGAAGTCGACGAGATGATGTCGAAGCAAGTCGGACCCGGAGAGACCTTGCAAGGACCCGACCAGGAGCGGGAGCGGACGTACGTATTGATTTTGTGTGTTTTTGCTACCGTTGAGATGGTGTTCTAACATGCTAGCAGTTACAAACTCGCCGAGAAGCTGTCGGAGCGTTTGGATGAGATGGGCAAGGACCTGACCAGCATGATTGAAGAGGTCAACGGTGCAACGGCCACGCTGAGCAAGACCAACAAGGCCGACGAACCTGTATGTTATACCACGATGATTTGCATGACTGTTATGATAGCTTCGAGACTAACCCGGGGGTGTCTCCCACAGATCTCCCAAATTGTCCGTATTCTCAACTCGCACCTCTCCCAGCTGCAGATGATCGACCAGGGCACGGCCGAGCTGCAAGCCAAGGTGTCCGCCGCCCAGAAGGCCGGCCAAACACTCGGCTCCCGGCTCAGCATGGGCGGTTATGGCGGCTACGGCAGCAGCAGCATTGGCGGAGGCTCCAGCGCCGCCGAAGACTTTTACCGCTCCTACATGGGTCGCAGGTGAGAGGTGATCCTGTTATGGTTTTTCTTTTTTTTTATCCCCCTCTGTTAGGTAGTTCGACACGGGACCGGCTATGTTTTGCGCGCGGTGCTGGTTGACCTTCTATTGATCTGGTTGATAACGACTGAAAGAAAATATATGTTGGGGTTTTCTTTCCTTTTCTTCTTTTTTTCTTTTCCTGCCTCATTTGGACGAATGTGCTGCTACTGGATGTTCTATTCTAGTCTTGAGTGACCAGTTCGTTGGGGAATCATGTTGAGACTCGTAGGTCGTTGGTAGTAACTAATAGGTGCCCTTTTTCTTTTTTGTAAAACACACAAAACATAGTACGTAGCAGCGCTGCGGTTGTCCTGTAGTTTATCACATGTTAAACTCACGGGGACTTCGAGGGCTGGAAGGTTCTCAGTTCCTCTGCGGAGTTGTTCCAGGTATTATTGGTAGTAGGATCATATTTATTTTCCAATTGGATCTTACGAATGAAGCCTCCGGGCTACTATTAGGTTTTATATTTAGCAGACCCAATTGAGATGCTTTCCCTTTCCGGAACGGGAAGCGGAATGCAGGTGGTTACGGAGTAATGACATGACATTACTATATCCAAGCAAACAATCATCGTTTGATAGCTAGCTGGCTTGAAAATCACAGAGATATAAAATGAGGAAATAATAGTGACAATTAGGAGTGGAGGAGGGACAGGATCTCTCAGACTGTTCTGTTTCCTGGGATAGGCCCATTCGAGACAAAAATGCCAGTCCCGATGCAACCGTCTCCCATGACTTGATTCACCCACATTGTTCTCGTGGAGAATCCATCGCCATGAAATCTCATGAAGACGTTTCACGCGTACTCAAGGGGGTAAAGGAAGAGGATGGACGGGCAGTTGTTGGGAGTCATGCGGACGTTTCTTAGTTCTGCTCGCCGCCCTGGCTGCGGGTGAGCTCGTCACTGTATTGGATACTTTGTCAGCGGGGGGATTCTTCTGGGTATAAAAGATATACAATGTAAATAAGGCCAAGGCGTCACGTACATGTGCTTGTCGAGCTCGTCGAGGTGAGCGCGCTGCTCCTTCAGCTTGGCCTTGAGGGCACGGAGCCTAGAGAGGATGATGTCAGCTATTGATCCAGAGACACTTGTGTTGTAAAGAGAGAACACTACTTACTTCTCCATCTCCTTCTCGCGGACGTAGAGGTTCTCCTGGGCAGCCTCGCGGCGGGAGAAAGTGTCACTGCAGGCAGCAGTTAGCATTGCGATCGAGTCAAGGTGCTGTCAAGGCATTGATGCTCTGCTGAAGCATAGTATCTCATCTCTCGAGCTGTGTAGATCAAGTAGACGATGGGAAATAGCAACAACAGGAACAGGGAACGTACTCCTGCTGGGAACCACCCTTGCGGGGAGCACCGAGGTCGCCCTCGCCCATTCTGGCGGCGGCAATGGAGAATGATCGGTTAACGACGGGGGTGCTGGTACGCAGCAGAGGACGGGCAATGGCGTGGCGGAACATGGTGATGATGGTGGTGATAATGATGGGATAGGGAAGAGGAGGAAGGGAGCTTTTATCAACAAGGACAGGATCGTGTGAAGTCAATGGGGAGAGCGGATGGGCTGACGGTCCCCTGCTTGGACTTGGGAGGCAGCTATCGAATGACGTTGTCTCGGTCCTGGCAGGCAGAACGATTATGTCAGCCAGAACACGGGTCAACTTAACTAGTCAACTATTTGGCTTGGCATCGAGATTCCATGCAGCAGTTGGAAGGCTACAGAATGTGCAGTTATAATTTAGTTGGTTATATCCCATTATTCAGTCACAGGTAATAATAAAAAAGAGGAAGAAGAATAGAAGGGAGAACAAGGCAGAAGCCAGTACTGACAACCTCTGATACTTGAGATTGGAACTACATATGTAACAACATACAATGACAGTCGATGGGATGGGATGGGATGGTCTAAGTAGTGTAGTCTATGGTCTAATGAGAACGAAATCGAGATGACAACGATCATCATCAGTGTGTAGTAGTTATTGTCGATATCTAGAGTATATAACTGAATCTCTCTCGAGTAGGAGGGCGGTGGAGGGGTCACTGGATGATAGTTGCTCTAGGCGGCGGCCCACAGAACCACAGAGAGAGAGAGAAAGGGAGACAGAGAGAGAGAATGTATCGAAGTCAATCAGAATGATTATGGTGTCTATGGTCGATATGTAGAGTAAATAATAACAATAATACACTCGAGAAGATCATAATAATAAATCCTGGTCGCAACGCCTCTGATATCACCGCCAAAAAACGAGGCCGCGAAAGCGTCTTTCATCATCCACCGCCCGCCAGTCACGCTCCGGGTCTGCGGCCTTCCCCCGTCCAAGATCCGCTTGTTCCCTTTCGCACGCCAACCAAAACGCCAAACCCCGTCCCGATCCCAAACTTGCCCTCTCCTGCCAAACACATCAGCCTCTCCAATCTTCCCCCTCTCTCTTCTTCCCTTCGTCAAACCTCCCCAACGACATACCGATACCACTCCCCCATCTCGCTGTCCTATCTCCAAAAAGTCTTTGATTCTTTCTTTACCTCCTATCTCTAACCTCCCTACGACTTTCCTCGCGTTCTTCCAGGTGAGAACCCCCCTCTCTCCCCCCCCCCAAATCTCGACCCTTCCCCCCCCCCCTTCTCCACCGTCCCAAAGTTATCCCACGGCTCCCGGCCAGACCGCGACTTGCGCTGCTTCCATGTCACTCGATGAATCGCATCGTCTGTCCTCCTCGTTTCCGTCCTGCTGGCTGCTAGTGAGAAAGATTATGGGCGATCGTGGTGGTGCAGGGAGACTGGATGCGAGCGTATGGAGCGGTGGTGACGAGAACCGTGTCAACATGGACTCTCTGGCTGTCATCCATGGCTCATGTCCACCACATTGCTCTCCCAACAGTGTCGCTCGAGGAATACGAGTCCAGGAAGCGGCAGTCGCGAGCTGGAGGAGGAGAATCGCTTTTGAAAAGTCCCCTTTCGCATTGTCTGGGTCTCAGGAACCCGACGGATATCCTGTCCCGCCGCGTGTCGGGGACGCATCGTCTTCCACAGCAACAATCAAATACTAACTCGCGCACGCGTAGAAATTTCATTCACAATGGGTTCGAGCCACGAAGATGCCGTCTATCTCGCCAAGCTCGCCGAGCAGGCTGAGCGCTACGAAGGTCCGTACTTGTTTCCTTCTTTTGCTTCTGTGGGACGCGATGGTTGACTGAGGGACAGAGATGGTGGAGAACATGAAGGTCGTCGCCTCTTCTGACCAGGAGCTCTCCGTCGAGGAGCGGAATCTGCTCTCTGTCGCCTACAAGAACGTCATTGGTGCTCGCCGTGCCTCGTGGAGAATCGTCACCTCGATCGAGCAGAAGGAGGAGTCCAAGGGCAACGAGGCCCAGGTTACTCTCATCAAGGAGTACCGCCAGAAGATCGAGGCTGAGCTCGCCAAGATCTGCGAGGACATCCTCGAGGTCCTGGACAAGCACCTCATCCCCTCTGCCCAGACTGGCGAGTCCAAGGTCTTCTACCACAAGATGTGCGTTTTCTTTCCGGATCCCATCGTGATCGGAACTGGCGAGATCTGACTGCGTAAACAGGAAGGGTGACTACCACCGTTACCTCGCTGAGTTCGCCGTTGGTGAGCGCCGCAAGGCTTCCGCCGATGCCTCCCTCGAGGCCTACAAGGCCGCCACCGAGGTCGCTCAGACCGACCTGGCTCCTACCCACCCCATCCGTCTGGGTCTGGCCCTGAACTTCTCCGTCTTCTACTACGAGATCCTCAACTCCCCCGACCAGGCTTGCCACCTGGCCAAGCTTGCTTTCGATGACGCCATTGCTGGTACGTAGAGTCGTCTTGCTCCTAACCGACACTTCAGCGCTGACCATCATGCAGAGCTCGACACCCTGAGCGAGGAGAGCTACAAGGACTCCACCCTCATCATGCAGCTTCTCAGAGATAACCTGGTAAGTCCAATTCCGTCACCCTTTGAGGCGCAAATATGCATACTAACACATCATCTAGACTCTGTGGACCTCGTCCGAAGCTGAGCCCGCTCCCGAGTCCAGCGCCGCCGCCCCGGCCGAGAAAAAGGAGGAGGCTCCCGCCGCCGAGGGCGAGAAGCCCGCTGAGTAAATTGGAGGCACCTTTGGAACCGCGTCATACGGCGGACGAGAGATCGAGAGGAGAGGAGGCTGCTGCTAGCGCATGGAACGAGAGCAATGAGAAAAAGAAAAAGAAGAGGCCTGTTCGGTGGTCCTCTCAAAGAGCCGCAGGAATTGGGCTTCTGTTTTCCATTCTCCTTTAAACCCCTTTCTGAAGCATATTTTCTTCCTAATGCGCACCAGGCCTTGCTGGTACTCCTGTTCCCCGACTCTGGATCCTCAGTTTTTTTACCCCCTTTTTTGCCCCAGCGTCCAAGATTTAATTTATTTTCTGATTGCCTCGCCTGCCCCCCATATTCAGCCCCCCCTAAAACCCCAGACGCTCTAGTCTCGATCTCCTTTTTTGAACCCTTTGTGGTGTTATCCTCTGCGGCTCTAAACTTGCCGTGAGGTTTTAGATGTCAGGCAGCAGTGACTACAACAAACTAAACATATTACATTCGAATACTCTAGATCCAGTTACCAAGTCGTAGACTCTAGTGACTAATCCTTGACTTCCTCTGTTGATGTTCATGCCAATTCAGGATCAATGGATTCGAAGACGGTGGCCTACAACTAAACAAGGTCCGTCAAACAAGAGAAGAATATCCTCCCAATGTGTATATATCGAGAAATCCATCTCTCTCGCCCATCCTACGTCGCGTCATCACAATCATCGAAACCAAACTATACAACAAACACCCACCACGACTATACAGACCAGATATCCCATCGGCACCGGCACCATAGACACCAACCAACAGACCGCAAAATTCCGTATACACGTAACGACCTGTAGCTTTCTGCATGTCCATTGCTGACCGTCCTCGCGGATTAACTAGTTCGTTTCTCTACTGCGGAATCAAGTACAGGAAGCGACGGCGGTGGGTGATCCAATGAGGAGGTTAGTTTAAGTCTCCTCTTCTGAGTAATGCATGTGCAATAAATACAAAACAAGATACCATCTCAGTCATATCCATGAACGGTTGGCATCAAAAAAACCTACCTGCCACATTGGCACCACGTCCGTATTCTTCTGTTATTGTCAATTGTGGTCCTTTTTAGCGGATAGTTTGCTGTTGGATCTCGAATCTCTATTATGCCTTTGTGTGTATCTTTGTTACTTGTTATTATTGTTTACAATATGGGCAGCAGGCTAGATTCAGTATTTGGAAATTTGAGGCTGTTATCAGGGTTTTTCGTGTAACTGGGTAGTGGACGACTCGCTGTATTTAAACTATCGTCGGCTTTGGACATTTCTCATTCTTTCGATGAACTGCCATGAAACATGTACTCTCCTCAATGTCCGGGTATACAATAGTCATTCCGGGCCGATGGCCGAACCATAACTATACAAGGCAGCGAAAATGAAACCGACTTAGCTCGCGACAGAAGTATAAAGGGCCGATGAAGATACCATATGTTTTTTATTTATTTACTTATGACCCGCTGCTTTCCTTTACAGGAGTTGAGCAGGCTGGCTCACGTTAGAGGTGATTGATATTCTTGAATGATATCTAGAAGGCTTTTATTACAATTAGAAATGAGTTCATACGATCACTTCTCTCATATATGGTATATAACTTCACTATGTGTATGGTACGGGTGATAATGACTAGGTACCTAGAAGACGTTACGAATTAAGTATAATGCTAGGATGTATGTAATTAAGCGTATTCTACCAACGCGATGTCGAAGCTTATTTCGATATCGTTGGATACCTACCTAGGTATCAACCCCATCCCGACGACACCTCCATTCCTTTTAAGTATGGCCCACAATCTTTTTCGGCACGTACGGCTCCTCCAGATACTGTATCTCCTCCTCAGTTAACGTCTTTCCACGTACATCGACCGCCTCCTCTAAACGACTGAGACTACTGAACCCGACAATCGGGACAGTGCCCTTTTGAATGATCCACGCCAACGCAACATGGCTCATCTTCCATCCCTTTTTATCCGCTAGTTCCTGAACCCGCTTGACGATCTTCTCATCCGCCTCGGTCGTGTCCTTGACTAGGGGAGTCGTCTCGGAACGAGTCGTCTCGACTGATTGCCATGGCCTGGCGAGTAGACCGCGGTACAGCGGTGCCCAGGGGATAAGTCCGACTCCGGTCTCGTGGCAGTATTTGATCATTTCCCGCTCCTCTTCTCGGTAGCAGAGTGAGTAGTGGTTCTGCATGCTGATGAATTTGGTCCAGCCGTTCTTTTCAGCGGTGAATTGCAGCGTGGCGAATTGGTCTGTATGTATGGTAGTCAGCGAGAATGATGGTTTTGATGCACGGGGATGATGATGCTCTTACAGGCCCACATGGAACTGGCTCCGATGTAGCGCACTTTTCCGGATTGGATGAGATCATGGAGGGCTTTCATTGTCTCTTCGGGGGGGACGGTGGAGTCGAATCTCTGTAAGAGAATGATAAAAATCGATCAGTACATACATGTCTTAAATGCATTTAAAAAGCGCTAAACATAATATTGGGGGGAAAGAATGGACAACATACATGAATCTGAAGTAGATCGATATAATCTGTCTGCAGACGCTTCAACGAAGCATCGACAGCATTGAATATAGCCGTACGCGACAAACCACCTTGGTTGACATAGTCCTTGCTGGCCGCCATCTCCTTCCCATATTTCACATGGAAAACAGCCGGTTCTTCACCCACAGTTCCATAACACTTGGTCAGGAGAACAAGCTTGTGTCGAGGCAAATCGTACTTCTTGATGACCCGGCCGATAAACTCCTCGCTGACACCGTTCGAGTATACATTGGCAGTATCCCATGTGTTGAGGCCGCGATCGTATGCGCCCTTGAGTAGGGTTTCGACCTCTGCCTCGTTGTCGTTGACCCATGGTTGCCAGTCCTTGTGTCCGAAGGACATGGCACCCAGAATGGGGACGGAGACGCGGAGGCCAGACTTGCCCAGCTGGGCGTAGGAGACCTTGGTAGCCTCGCAGCTCTGCTTGAGACTTAGGGGAAGCGTAGTCTGTGCCATTTTGTTCAGTCGTTCGGGGGTGTGTCACAGTATATACGAGCAACGCAAGCTTGTCGTACAGGCTTGACAATTCAAACCTTTCAATCGGGCAGTCGAGGACAGAACAGGATGAATCCACGGGATGGAAAAGGGCCGAATATAAAAAGCAGCCCTTGGAGTCGATTGCGATTCTGCTGCCTAGTAACGCTACCACCAAGGTTCCTATATATACCTGCCGGACTGGGAAAAAGCTCTCCTAGACCGATGGATCTGGATCCCTGTGTGAAACGTACACTTATCCGTCTTTCTGCCAATTGCAAAAACATCGTGAAGCACGTCTCAGACGATTAATAATTGACCCCGGTCACACATAAACCCCGCTTCCCCCGCGTCACTTCGATGCGCGGTGTTAAATGGTGTTAAGACGGTGTTAATGCTTGAAAGAGGGGCTCAATTAATACTTCTTTTTATCTTCGATACGGTCGATTCCGCTAAAGATATATCTGAATGCTGAGCGGGATTCCTGTCATGGAATTGAAAGCATTATTGCGAACGGCTATCCCCTGTTGCGACCTCGTGGTTATTAGACATTGAGCTTCAGATGGTTGCAATCACGTGAAAGTAACCAAGTAGGTACCTATGTGTTCAGATATCGATGGAGCTCGAAAGACCTGATAGCCAGAATGGATGTTATTCGCTTCTCTCGAAGATCCTTAAGAATTGATGAATGGTAGAATTAAGAACAACGTGCTCCTGTTGATGGAACAGGTTATGGATTGTTGTATGTCAGGCCGGTGAAGCTTGAGGGCATCCTGTTGTCGTCAAAGGTGTCTTATTCCTTCTAACATGCGAAGAAAGTTAGCAAGGTTGAAGTGTTTATCCATGGGAGCTGCAAACTCAGAAATAATGGCTATAGTTTATAACATACCTTTCGGTGTTTCGCTCAAAATCCGTTCTAAGATATAAGTTAAGGCAGCTGAACCCTTCACTACATCGTATAGAGGACTACCTCTTCAAAGTATACTATCAAGGAGTATTAATTCATGTTCTTGGCCCTCGAAAAGTGTCCCGGCAAACAAACAATCGAATCGCAAAGCATCATCTAACACTAACAGCGTCAATGGAAGCATGATATCATGAACCGAACGCTAGAAAACGATACTTTGACGATCACGGAGGGTAGGGTCGCTGCATCAAAACCAGATTCAGAAGGATTAAAGACGCATGAAGCAATACTCCATACAGAGTACAGAGTACCATTGAGGTTTGGAGCAATCCTCGACGTCAGCTTATCATCAAGAATATCATCAACCAGATCTCATCCCCCCTCCCTCCTCTCCCCGCAGTAAGCTCCGTAAGATGAGAAAATAGTTCCATGATTAATGCCAACTATAAAATGAGTACGTGTCAGATGAATCTGTCCTGTGATCGAAGATCCGGGGATACCGACAATATATCCTAAGGATGGCACCTTGTGTGTATGTATGTATGTACTGTATCTACAACCTAAGCCTAAAATTCAGTCAGCTTTCTCTGCATAACTACGGTAGGTAGTTAGTTAGTTAGTCAATAACCCCAGAACAAATGGTATACAATCAAACATTTATAACCCCTAATCCCTACCATACAATCCGACGGAATGCAGCGGAACTGACAAAGTAAATACACAGCGAGTAACTAACTTAACTCATAGTCACTTCCCAGTAACTGATTGGTCTGTCAAGACACGAATTAGGAAAATCTCTCAATCACGATTGGGGGAGACTAAGGGCCAAATGCCGAGCATGATCTATTCACCATCCAATAACTATTTTCCCTCATGAGAATTGACAATTAGTCTGTTGTATCTTTTTCTTTTCTTCCCCTAGCCTTCGTTCACATGACGCACAATAATGCCAATAACTTATATTTGGTTCCACAAACAGCGTCATGTTTAACTCTATCTATCTACCTTAGACACGCGGTATGGATTCGGAAGGAGGGCTCGTGACCTATTATTATTCTACATATAATGGCAATTAACCACGTATTATTATTTATCACTCCTCCGTAGTTAAGTAGTAGTAAGTATCGTATGTACATATGTCGATTTCTCGCCTTGGAGAATGAATTAATGATCTTCATTCCTTCATGATCGGTAAGATAAATATGGTACATACATAATACATTCAGCTTTGAAGTAATAGGGTGTCTTCCTTCCTTCCCCCCGTTTCCGACAGCCGTGAACCCGAAATATCCAGCCATTAATTATTCTCTCTTGTTTTTTTCGAGATCCACTTATCACTTATAGAGTACTTAGTTAAGTTATTCTCAAACCAAAGAATTCCTCTTGAAGCCATGCATTGACTCAAACACCGCAATTCATTACGGTACGTTACGTAAATATCTACTCCCAACTTCCTCGACGTGGAACAACCAAATCAAATAAAACAAAACATCCCAGTAGATACTTGAAACCCCTACTCTAAACTCAGCTATATTAAGCGGCTCAGCTTCTCCCCTAGTGTTGAAAAGTATTCCGTAAAATGAGCGGGAAAGGCGGGGGGGAAGTGTGGACCATAAGTTGATTTTCATGTATGGTATACGTATACGTATGTATATACATCCCTGCCTCAATGTCTCAGTGGCGCCGGGCCATGATAACCAGTCAGGTACGCGAGATGCGTTTTTCTTTTTTAACTCCAGACGCCGCCACCCACCCTTCTGGGATCTTTGCGCCTTGCTAGGAACAAGAAAGAAAAACAAAAAGATAAGTTCGGATTTGTGGAAGGGTTTTGGATTTTTTTGGGAATTAATTTAAATCAATTGGCTGGTTGATTACGAGGCGTGATTTGCGATTCATGCCCCGGTGGCCAACGATTATTGTCAGACTCCGCTGTCAGCCAGGTGTGGGAAGGGGGGGCGTTCGAGGGAAGAAGATCTGCACTTGGAACGAGGCTTAATGTTGATCGATGACGGTGATTGCGATGGTGGGATCGGCGATCGGGTCGGTAATACTCTCTCCTTGGATGGCTGGGTATGGGGGATGGTGAGATTCTTCATCTAATAGTTGAGAAGTATCCTGTTTGAGATAAGACGAGTTACGATAGTTAATTACGCATAAGAGATATGGATGAAGATGAATTTTTAAATGGCTTTTTATTGAAGTCATAATAATTCGCTGCGCTATGCCATTGTTCTTGTGGAGATCCGGATGAAACAAGAGTGAGGCGCAACCGCTGAATGTTCGAACCAGAGCTCGAAATGGGTTCTTTCCGAAAAGGGGGAAATGGTTTTGTATAACAAAAAAGGTGTGGAGCGCACTTGGGTGCACAGAGAAACAGTCTACCGGCACTGGGCCCAAGGTTAACGAAGAAACAAAACGGGAATTCAGGTGGTCGCATATCATCTGTATGGTATCCATAACAAAAAACTTCCCAAGTGACGTCGGGCGCCCCGGATCGACAGGCCCCTAAGCCAATCATAAAAAAAAAAAAAACAATGTATCAAGCAAGGACGCGACAAGGGATATATATATAGGCAACACAACCATTGGCAGCTCCATGAAAATGCTTCCCCGCCTTTTTTGCTAACCAGACCGTGACAACGTAAGTGGCAAATATGGCATGAGGCCACCGATCTCTGGTGCCTTTCCGGTCAACCTAACGCCTTAACGTGCCATGCCAATAACAGACAAAAAAAGCTCCGTGGATAGATAACAGTTCCAAACCATGTACCGAAAGCAGAGAGAGTAGTTCGCAAATATAGACAAGACAAGCGAGTTCAGCCCATTTCGGACGACTCGGAAGGGACGACGATCACGCCGAGGAGGTTGGATTTGTCTCCTTTTCTTTAGAAAGAAACCTGTGTTTGAAGGGGGGAGAGAGACGAAGGGACGAAGCGACTGCCAAGCCACTGAGCGGCGTGTTCCGTTAGCGACACCGCGTCATGTGCCATGACGTCAGCCGCTCGCTCCGTTGCCCAGCAGTTAGTTGTTCACGGCGAACATTCCACATGGCAAAGCGGCTCTTCGGGAGGTTGGCGTCCCTGTGGCGATGGTGCGTTCCCCGGTTCGATAGCGGTAGGTAACACAATGTGAGGTGAGACTCCAGCCGTGTTGATGCGACGGCATTGGTGCGCAGCGGAGAGGTAACGGTAGTAGAGGCGATGTGTGACGAGAAACGTGAGAGCTGATGGGGGATGGTTCCGGTATCCGATAAGTGAACGATGTCTCCCACATCTCAACAGATCAGGACCGACCCGTTTACTTGATAGGGTGGAAGGCTGAACTTCTGCGGCTGACATGCAGAGACCACGAGACCACGGCCGTAAATTGGATTCCAAGGCAATCTGAAGTGTCCGCCGCAGAAGTTCTCCAAGAGGCGAGCAAAAAAGATGAGGATGGATAGGTCGCTCGGTTTATTGTAAGATCGAGAGGCGAGGCCGAATTCGTTGGGACGTTGGCAACGTGCATATTAAGGTATTAACGTAATTATCGACGGTCACCGTGCAATTAGGGGTAGGGCGACTCCGTCCCAACGTCCCGAGACAGCCGTCGTATGTCTTCAACGGATTGTCCTCTCGCTGCCGTCTTTATCACGATCTTCTTCGAGTCGACACGATTCCTTTTCTTCACCCCTTGGACGCCGGAAGAGAGTTATTTCGCAGACTTCTTCGTCTTCGCACCCGTTGTCGATGTGATCTCGCTCTTGGTCATATTCCGCGTAAGGCCACCAATGTAATCCTGAAGGAACTTGTTTTCGCTCTCCAGCTTGTCGTGATCCGACTTGACCAACTCAATCCGCTCCGCCAGTGCCTGCAGTGACGATTGTAATGTTCTTGCTTGTCTGCATCAACAGTCAGCCAGCCATTCACACGTAGAATACAACGCTCTCCAAAGCTCTTGAAGACACTTACTCCTGTAGCGTCTGTCTGGCTTCCTTTCCCAACCGTTCCAGGTCAGCGGAGTTGCGGCGGGGGCTCATCGCACGAGCATCATCCGGGGGGAATTCCTCCTCCTCGATCTCGATTTCAGGGTGGTCTCGCGGGACTAGTATTGAGGCACTGGGCTTCCGGCTGGCCATACGTGGCCGCTCTGCCCGCGACCTGCGCTCGGGCTCAGCGTCAGAGATGGAAGAAGACGACGATGATAGTGACGATGTATGCATGCGAGTATTGTCGTTCGGATGCGGCATCGCCGGTACTGGAGATGAGCCTTGTAATTCACTGGGCGACGATGCCATATCTGGGGGGGGAATGATGTGTCTGGAGTTCTCTTCGAGAGAGAAAACTTTGGATGGTCGGACCCAGGGGGGGATTGCGGGTTGCGGGTAGACGACGATGTTGGACGGGGAGATCAACCACAGCCAAACAGATGAGCACCCGACCTCGAACACGGCGCCAGGATCAGAAGCGCTGGTCCGAGGAATTGAAATCAAAGTCGAGGAAGTTTTATGCTGTGTTGGACGCACACGCGTGGGTGGGAAATTGGGGAAAGAAAGGAGGGGAGCAGAGCAGGAGAGAGAGAGCCAAGGGGCAGAGAGACAGATTTTTGTGTCGACGACACGGGTACAACGTGGTATAGACGGCGTGGATGGTGGCCAACGCGAATGGCGGGCTTTTTGAGGGAGGACAGCTTTTTCGCTTTCGCCGTTCCAGCGGGGAGGGGGGGAAGAGGAAGGGTAAATTTAGTGTCTTGACGAGCAGTGGGTTGACCCCATCGGGCGGAGTACGACTACTTAGTATTAGTACTTAGTGACGGACGATGGACCGAAGGAGGTTCGCGGGTTTAGTAGTGTTAAGTGGTGAAGAAAAAGAAAAGGAGCGGGTAAGTTAATTATTAGTTAGTAGTAGTAGTGGTCGTAGTGGTCGTAGTAGTTTTTTTTTTTTTGCTGCTGGGACTCGTGGCGGCCGACGGTGCGGTAGAGCTGCCAGCGTGTGAGAGTTAAGTCTCTCTCTCTCTCTCTCTCTCTCTCTTGGGCTGCGTGAGTTGAGTGAGTTAACTTACTAGCTAGTAGTGAGTTAGTTAGGCCCTTTGTTAGTCGCTCGATGATCCTCATTACCCACCATACAGCTGACTGACGTTCCAAGGTTCCTTTGAGCGACAACACGGCAGACGCGGTGGCATTCCCCTGCCGAACACGCCCAATAGGACTCCCGCCAACGCAGCAGATCTCGCGGATTCTTGAGGCTTTCCAGAAGCAACGCTTTGCTAGTGCTGGCTGCGTTGCTTGGATCAGGCGGCACTGCGCCGTCGACTGTCCTGGATAGCTATCCGATAGTCCCAGTGTCGGAGGACGAGCATGGGAGCCGCGTTAAGTGTGACTCGACTCCCCTACTTTCTCTCTCTTTTTTTTTTTACCACAGATACTACTAAATCATTATGGTATTACTATATTACTACTATACTGACAGCGTGGGCCTTCTCACCGTGGAATCGTGGACAAGCAGCGATGCGAATTAGCTACTCCGTATCCGATTACGATCGACTTGGCTCTCTCCCCCAAGCCCTGCGTTGGTGTAGGATCACCCATTCCCACGGGTACGACGGTGATAATAAGGGCGACCGAACGCGTCTGAAAAAACGTCCTGAGACGCAGCAGGGATGGAGGATCATCCCTGGCTCCTAACGGTTGCAAAAAGACGATTTGATTCTTTTTGGCATCCCTCCACCACGCAGCCGTCGGCCGATACGCTATAGCGACCATTGACACCGTTCCCATGGTCGCGGCGGATAGACAGCGCTCAACGGTGGCCAAAGGGCAAATAGCAAGCATCGTGCAGCCCATAGTCCGTCCGCCGTATCGTCTCCTACCGATCTATAGGGACATACCTTCTTCTTTTGCTCTTTTCCCCTTTTTGCTGCATTCCTCTGGAGGCTGCGTCAAATCAAGCCCACCAAGAATTCTTCGACAAAGCGAGTTATGACGCAGCATACGGCCCGTGTCTACCTACATACATACATCTGCAACAAACACTGGAGTTCCGAATCATCCATAATCATCGCTATCCGCGTTTCCTCTTCTCCCCCAGATCTGACAATCGTCATTGTGGAGAGTCTGTCCCGCGAGCAACCACAATGTGATACGACCGTCATCGCAGTCTGCGGATTGGCTCTGGTTTCCTTTTTCGCTAGTTCCGACTGGTGTTCCGCAATCCGTTTTTTCTCGCCGCTCGCCTGTACCCGTCGGACCTGAATCTGAATCCACGGTGGGCCCCCGCGCTGCCGCTTCTTTTCCAGCGGCCACGTCCGCGGTTTGACGATGCAGTCAAGGCAGATTCACACAGCTCGATGTTTCGTAGGCGACAATGCTCTGCCATCCCTCCGCCGTATCTATCGTTCATGAGCCTAAAACCCCAGCCGCATGACGCACCTGGAATGGAAATGATGTCAGCCTTCCCAGCTGGCAACTGGCAAGGCTGGCACGGTGATCTATCTCCTTTACTGAAACCAGCCCACAGCTGAGGAGTTCATAGTTGTACATGTACAAGTACATACATACTTATAGATCGGGTCTTAGTTCGTGGCGTTTTGGTGACAGCTTAGCTGCTTACTCTACTGCCATAGTGTTATCAAGCGATATCGTTTGGAATCAGATTGCCACGAATTCGCCCCGACGGTTCCGACAGTCTACGCCCAACGCGACCCTCTCCAAAAGAATCAGAGTCATCGGGGAAAAAGGACGGGGAAGAGAAAAGAAAAAGAAAAAGAAAAACGGCCGCTATTTTTGGTGTGGTACTAGGTGCATGTGCAATAGTGACCACTATTATACTGGTTACTACTGCCGCACCAGTAAGAGTAACTCTTAAAATGCACCCAGCAAGGCTCGCAAGAAGTCAAGCGGTTGTGGTATCTCTCGTTTGCTCTGGACATTATTATTCAAACCCGTATCTATCTACTCTATCTACTCTCAAAAAGACTGCCCCACGCAGACCCTTGCAGTCCGTTGAGAGAGCTTTGACAGTACGGAGTATTAATTAATGCCGCCGGCTGCTGCTTCCTGGTGACTGGAGCATTTCATGAGATGCATCAGTGGCCAACGGGCGATGTGACCCCGGGGAGAATGATAAACAATAGTCCAGCAGTCAATAAATGACAATGATAATATCCATGCCCACCTGGTATGCCGCAGCAAGGAACGGACATGTAACAAACGTTGTCGGCCACTGAGATGTGTTCCGTCCATTCCCGTCTCTCCAAAGCAGTGTCCATTATTATTATCCAACAATATTAGAGGGTTATTGCAACGACCCACAGTGGTAGTACAACATAAGGGATTACTCTGTGCGGTAAGTCTTAGCATTTTTGATGATTTTTAAATGGCAGGCGGTCTGTGAAATTTTGAAGGCGGTCTGTGTAAGGCTTTTATTACGAGACACCCGCCTCATAGTATGAGGCACCCATTTCATAGCGAAGCCTACCTGAATAGGGAAGCGGTGAAGCTCGGTAAAGCTCCACCCACTAATATAGCGGTAACATATAAAATCTATGTGGGGAATTGCTTAATAATTGTATTCGGATTACAGAATCTTTCTCCATCATGTGATGTCCCGTTTAGGATTTACCAGCAGAATCCCTTATGTTGTACTACCACTGTGGGTCGTTGCAATAACCCTCTATTGTGCCTGTGCTGCTGCATCACCCACGAGGATGATCAGACTCGTGACCGCCAACGTACAGCAGAACAACATCGGCCAGGGCTCGGACTCTGCAAGGTGGAGGCAAAACAAAGCCCCCCCAGATCTGTCCACTATCTATCTACTACTGCATCCAGAAGAACCACTGTGTTACTTGGTCGTGATACACTTGGGATTTTCCTCTAGTACGCTCACTGCTCTGGCGCGTGACTGATTTGATTCTGACCGAGCATCTCCTAGTGCAGGTTCCCTTTCACCACTGAAACCGTCGAGGATTAATTGCCCTCCCCAGTTGGAGGGTCCTGACTCGACGATCATTGCCTTGTGGTCCATGGAATAATATAATAATATCTAATAACTACTACAAATGCCGATGATTTAGCAATCTGGAAACAGGTGAAACAAGAAGAATTTCCGAACTGCTGGTCCAAGAGACGACCTGGAAACTTCTGCATCCCGTATTCTCCCCATCGTCAGACAGGAAAACTGTGACAGATCATCATAACTCGTCCGTTCATTCGACCTCGCGGGGATCTACAGTGACGGCTCCATTCGATTTCCTTCATCTCCGGTCATTTTCCCCCTCCCCCCTTCCCTCTCATTGCAGTAGGGCTATGATGATCGTTTCCCGGTTGCTCTTTTTTTTTCATTTTGGAGAAAGCGACCCTCGCTTCCATTTCCCAATCAAGTTCTCTCCTCTCTCAAAACACCATGAATATCCCAGCACGAGCGATGACTCGTCCCCGGCTCCCGTAGCGATCGTCCCGGAGGAACCATCGCACAAGCCTATCGGAAAGTCGGAGAGACTTAGATTGCATGCCAAGGCACTAGATAACCGCCTACACGGGCGTTTTCTCTTTTACTGGTAGACCGTCGCAATTCCCCATCCGGTCACTTTCACCAATGATGCCAGTTTCCAACAGCGTGGACGATCGCCAAGAGTCGCTTCCCTTTGACCCTTTCGCCCATTTTTCCGCCGGAGTTCCTTGGAACTGTCGGAGAGGAATAGTCGTTATCACGGCTGACCATCTTGTGCTGACTATCTATCTAGGACGTCCCTGTTTGTGGACATCCTGCAAGACGAACCTCCGACATGTAGGAGAATATGGTAGAATTCTGTCTAAGAGCCCAGTGCGGTGGCCCATCGATGGCAAATGAAACGCAGAGAACCAACAGATGGAAGCTTTGACAATAAAATACGAGTAGTGTGATACAGCTAGAGTCTTCGCGAAGCGCGTGTGATCTCCATCTTTCTAAACCACCAGTGATCGTGCAACGAGGGTCTCCACGTCGACAGCGTGAGAGAGGCAGTCCCCGACTGGATCGCGGCTACACCCGCTCGTTTGCGAAGCCATTCTATCTTAGGAATCAAATTTCCGTCATTTTGTTCGGAGTTCCGTGGGGTGTTATATTATTATTATTATGATTATTCGGCCCAAGTGCCACTCTCCTCGACTTACTCTAATGAGCGCTGATAGAATCAAACGTTCAAGAACATGACAGCGGTGAACCCTGTTCAAGTGGGCGATAGTATCGTGCCCGCTACCGATGTGGACGATATGCTACCCGTCAGCCACAGCAACGCTAGATATTACAGATTCCTGCGATACAGGGCCCCTCATCTGGCGCTATCTCTTAAGTTATCAATCATCCCGGCTCCGGAAGACGGCTCGTTGCTTCCTAGATGCATGTCGATGCAGCTTCCCTGCCTTCCATGGACATGGAGGGAGTGGGATTACCCAGGGGGAATGATTAAGCCTTTTGCAGCTTGAGATCTAATCGATAAGTTAACTACTATGTTGCTGAATGATACACATCATGCGGGATATCTATACCATACCTTCGATCATTCCGTATAGGACGGATTTTATTAGCCCCGGGCTATTATTACGATTGGAATGCTAGATATATCCCACATGTTCGGTGATCTACTCAGTGGATTCATTCTCTGGCGCGGTTTCGTGTCTGAAACTCTTAGCATGTTACTGAATCTGCAGCCCTAGAGTGGCGCTCTCGAGTTTCATCGACATTTCCATCGTGAATTTGAAGATGGGAACATATCTCTCCGCTGTCAGTTGAGAATCCGCTAGAATCATACTGTGGATGATGTTCAGGCCATCTCCAGCAATCACAATCAGCCAAAGCTCAGCGCGACCCCTCGTTCGTTGTCATCATCCATCGGGATTAACTAATAATAATTTCTGTCAACCATACCCCGTCACAAAGGAGTCTGTTAGCGTTTCACAATTACACCATTATTCCTGGGTCATTCGACAGTTCCCACGAAGCATTTATTACATATTATTATTGTGGGAAGAAGCGGTAAAGAGATCATCACCACGTCTTCTCGTGCCTGACCCCGCAATGTGAAGTTGAGTTTGCCGGGCCCAACTTTGCAAGCGATGCCCAACCGCGCCCTAGATAAACTACTAACCTCTATTGGCGCCAATATTCTCCTACCTACGGAAAATACATTGAATAGGTAAGATTCATGAGATACTTCAACTAGACGGTCACGCTCACCGTTCCTGGCGTCTGCTGATACTAGATAGATACTCGTTGGGGAGTCCGTGCTCGATACTCCATCGCTGGCACGGGGAGATACATCAATCAACTTCTCGTTGCAAGTTTTTCTCTCTTTTAGATCGTCTCCTTGCGTTTCAATTTGCGACTCGGAAGAGACCCCGTCGGGCCCGAGCCGCGGGAAGGACTCCATCAAAAGAACCACACCGAAGAACTTGAGCTCGTGAATTTGATGCTGATACGTCTTTGCCTCCAGCAGCTTCAGCTCTCTCTCTCTCTCTCTCGCTCGATCCCTCTCTCGACCGGCCGGTGAACCGCGGCAAATGAAGTGACGGCACTATACCCCCCAAAGATCGGTCCCAAGGATGTCGGCTCGGGACGGCAAAGTTCTGTGCTCCATCGGGCTCCTCCCGACCGTACCATACATCCCGGTTCCTTAAGAGGAATGAATGACAATCAGTCTTACTCCATACTTATTATTCTCCGCTCTGCTAGACTGCGACGTAGCCATGGTTCGCCACATATTTCGCCGAAAATTTCACTAAAAAGGGTCCATGAGACCTTCCCTTTTCGGTCTGGGCAAAAAAAACACGAATCGACTGGGGTACATCTAGTCAGTAGTTAACCTCAGATCCTGAAGGTGATAGTAAAGAGGATACTGCATATGAAGTAAAGTAATAGACGATGCGTAGGACAGATCAGCTACGGGCATGTTGCTTGGGGCAAAATATCCACTGATGACACAACTCGAGGTAATACATACACACATATCCTTGCCACGTCGTCTCACCCTCGTATGTATGCAGCATACTTGTTTTCAGTAAATTTCTATCGACTTCTGCATATTCAATTCTATCTGACTAACTAGTTGGATCGTCAGGACAAACAAGAAAGTAAGAAAAGAGGCTAGCTGCGGGCCAATGATGCGTACTGATATCTACTAGTTAGTACTACTATAATACTCACAGTCATTTGTCCTTAACCCCCGATAGTTAGTTATTCTGTTTATTAGATCATGTCTCGTATCTTATTGATTCGTGTTCGAATAGAAAAAAAAGGTGAGCAGAGTAACTTAGTACCCAACCCAAATATAGACAAACAGCATAAAATTTCCTCCTCATCTTTCTTTCCCTATCCATTAATAGACAGAAACAAGCAGCATGTATCATGCAGACCAAAGCACATCGTTCGTCATCCATCCCACAATACCCTTCTTCTTTCTTGCCTTTTGGCTTTCTCTTTCCAACGGGTACCCATCTGAAGTAACTATGTGCAGTACTCCATATGTATGCACAGTATGATACTACTGGTCAAAAATAGCAATTACCCACCCACACATAGTTAGAAGCGAGAAAAAAAATAACCTCAATAATAATAATAATAATAATAATAACGCTTCAGATGCATCATCAATACGTATACTATTTGCTAACTAGTTATTGCTATCGTTATGAAATGCCATTTGATACGATAATGAATACCTTACCTCATTGTGTCTATGAGTATTATTGAGAAATGGTCTGTCTAAATTTATCGTTGGGTGGAGTAACGAATTATGTGGCATGGTGGCTGGGTGAGACAGACGGGGGGGAGAACAGATGTGATCAAGTTACAGTAGTATGTACATATCTACGGGGATCGAGATGATCTAGAAGTACTTAGATAGTAGACTAGTTAGTTATTAACAGACAGAGTACGAGCCGGTTGTTCTGTCGACTATTCCCTGCATCCTACCTAATTATTGATTGTAGCTACTTCTCTAACTAGTAGTTACCTGGCCCTTGGTCCATTGTCATCAAATCGTCCTTACCCCATTCGGTGACATTGGTCCGAATCTCGAATCTCCCCTTACCATACAGAGCCGATAATAATAATATTAATAGTAACTAGTTACTTTACTGTGCTATATAATAGCACGGGAGGGAAACCCTGGCCCAGGGAATATACTTCGAGACGCACCTCGGTCATTATTTCTAAAAAAAAAAAATCCCTCCATTGTTTGCGTAACGCGTATTTAGAGGCTAGAGACCTTGTATACTATGTTGAGCTATTTTAGTTTCCCTTTCATCCGGGGTGATTTAAATTTTATAGGGAGTCTTTATTCATATGGCTAGGGTACAGTATAACTATATAGGTTTAACTAGAAGCTCCGTTATGTTCAGTGATAGGGGTTACTAATAGATGTAGAATATTGAATGATGGCATGGAAGCATGGTCTGACCAAAATGGCTTGAATTGCTTGCTTGCTTGAATCTAGGGGCGGGGGAGGGGGAATTTGAACCCATATTTATCTCTAGCGTACAAAGAACCTAGATCCTAGTAATCTAGTAATCAAACGGATGATTGACAGATCACCTGGCGTTCTCTTTGTACGCCGACAATAGACAATCGTAAAGTAATAACGTTATATGATCCTGAGCGAGCGACATCAATCTTCAACAGAACAATCCTCTTCATCCTCTTCAATTTGTGCCACTCGATTCCTCCTCTTCATCATATTCGACGACCATGACCTTTCGTCCTTGGTACCATGCAGGCGCAATAAGCTGGCACGAGTCTGGAACACTGATATCGAACGGAAGTCCCTCAGTTGAAGGTGAATAAGTTATCTCGATAACGACGTTTACAGAAGCTACTCAGTTATTGATTGTGTGTGATATTCCGAGATTTGGAGTCGTTGAATGACACTGTCTACATCAGATCAGGAGAGGGTACCCGAGAGAGAGAGAGAGAGGTATCGATGTCTGTCTGGCTGATTCCAAAGATCCATCGGATTATGTGTGATCTCTAGAACAGTACAGGCCACTCCAAGGGGTTTGAAATCCCTAGCAGCATAATGGAAGCCAGCGACGTTCTTTGAAAAGGCGAGTTTGTTGCATTAAAGGTGATAGTTAATGCTGTGACGGAAGTCGACTGTCACGACTAGACCAAAAAGGAGAACTCCTCGGAGGTACCTAGATCTGGCCCCAGGTCTGATATACTGTAAGCTGCTTGGCTGCACGGGATCGAACGGCAGGATCATCGCTGTTCATATCAGCGAGCATATCTGAAAAGCGGTTAAGTGGCTCGAGCATGTCAGGATCAATCGTAGGAACGAGTTTTCGCCGCTTGTTTGACTGGAAAGCCTGGCTTGGCGCTTTGCCTGACGTCGACGACTGCTGTTAGCTCTGATAGCTGAAGTGCTGAATGCTTGGTAACTGGTGATGATCTCGATAATGGTAGTTATGGAAAGGTAGGTGTAGGAGGAAGCTTTGCTCCTCCTCTGAGGAGTAGGCAGCCATTCCAAACTGTCACATCGTGTATGTAATATCGTGTTAGAGCCAGCTAAAACAGTGAATATATTCCAGGAATACATGTACTTCCCGATACACCTTGGCTCCTGGAATTGGAGACCTTTGGTTGATTCCTGGAGCTACCAGCCTTACAGGGGAGATATGTAATCCCGCTGCTGCGGGGCTATGTATAAAAGTTGAAGTCAGTTGAATAAGAGCTATTCTACTATTCTCCAATATAAAATATGAAGCTGAATATTTCTCTCTCGACTAGTATCTAGGTCGTCGAGTACGATCCTTTCTCCGTCTACGTAAGTAAGTAGAACAAAGCACATAGGTATTGTCGCTGCATTGCCAAAAATAATAATATTAAACAAACTAGTGCAGTAGTGAGTGATATCCCCTGACGTAGTAGTATAATGGGGATCCATCGAAGTACTCGTAATTATATCGTATACAATTTCTGAGACAATCACGGGAAGAACAACGGGATAAGTTACTGGCATCCGCGAAAGAGAAATGAGAAACAACTAAAATAAACCTGGGTCAAGGACGGGATATGTCTTACACGAAGCCGTTATTTTATGATGCATCCCGCTTTAGATGTGGGGGAGTAAGATATACTTCCCGTGTGTTCAACTTATTTCTTCTATATAGAAGATCCAGAAACCCGAGTAGATATCTCGACATGAAGCTAGAGTAGGTTACTGTTTGACTAGCTAACTAGTTATCTCACGCTATATGCATTTGCGAAAGGCTTGGCCCTTTTCTGCGAATGATCACTGATTGATTCTAGTGTAGGATGTGCTCTAGTATAGTGAGTCAGATGGCCGACTTCGCTCCCGTTCGGTATCTCCTCGAGTCGAGTATGAGACATTTTCCTATTGGGGCCGGATATCAAATGAGCTCTTTCCCCCTAGGATGGTTCGTCTATAATTTAGCTTCAAAAGACGCGTACAGTAGGTAGTATACTGCTAGTACTAGTAGGATCCCAAAAGTTCGGAAGGCGTTAGTGGAGAGTACAAGCGGCACGGGCAAAATGATAAAACGGTAACGTGTTTCACACATTAAATAGCAGACAATAGAAACTGGGCTGTAATAATATAAGGTGATATATACAAGAATAGTAGAAGCCATCGAGCGTTCTAGTAGACTGTCCATCCTTTGACTGGTTAGGCCGTAATCTTCAAACTGATTCGAAGAATATCAGGATAGAGACGGCGAGGTCTTCCACTGGTATAAGGCCCTCAGGACAGCGACGCCACCGGACTGCGTCTCGACGGTACGACCACGTCCCCGATCATTCACGTCCTGGTGTCTTTCCATGCGACCGTCGGTGCTGGATTCTAGCTGACTGCTAGAGTGGCGCGATGCGCTTCCTGCAGAAAAGGTGTCGCGTTTCTTATCTAGTAGCGTGGTGGCCACTTGACCGGCGCCCAAAGCGAAAGGATCAGCATGAATATGAGTAGTTGGGCCCCAATCTGCGCGCGATTCTTGGTCGTTACGGTAGTCGTCGGCGCCATATGGCACAGTCGCGGCATCAGGGGCATGACGGCCATCGTCCGGGTACTGTCTCCCCCACCACATTCCGAACTTGCCTTGGTTGTCTTTTGTTTTCAAAGCGGCTTCTGCGTTGTACTCGAGCCAAGACCGATAGCTTCGACATCTGGCTTGATGCCACTGGAAAATCAGTCTGCGATCGACTTCCGATTGACCGCCGTTCAGCTCCGCGACGAACCGTTCCTCGTGTGGGCTGAGGGGTCGACAGAACTCTGCGAAGTGGTGGAAGAAGATGCCCTTGAAAGTATGGCTATTCTGGGAGCAACCACCAGCAGAGTCGCACACCTCCTCCAGCACGCCCCCACGCCCTAAACCAGCCCACGCAGTGCTCTGCTTCTTCGGCCAGCCTGTTGCCATGATCACCTTCAAGATAAGGTCATGTCCGTCGCGCAGATAATCCTGGGTACCAGTCGCTAGCCAGAGTCCTCTCAACCCACTAAGGATGACACCCTGGTTGTAGGTGTAGACCATGGGGTTGAGCTCATCGCATTTGCCACTGCCTGGCTGTTTTGCATTTCTCCATCCGCTAATATGGAATCCATCAGCATAGAGGCCACGATGACCGATCATATTTGAATCCTTCAGCCATTGATAGCCCTTGACGGCCGCCTCGAGGTGAGCAGGGTCGCGTTCGTAATGGAGCCCATCGACGCTGGCATCGGATGCTAAAAATGGCGAGTCGATTGGATCGCCTGGAAAATAGATATACATGCCAATGCTGGCAGAAATAAATAGCTCGTTCGTAATAGCGTTCTTGTATGGCGTGACATGAGGGCTCCAGACCATTCCACCATCGCAGAGCGAGGTATCCCAACCTTGTGCAGCCAGTTCATAGAACAACCGCGCTCTGTGAGCAGCCGGGGCACGAAATTGGACACCGTGCCATGCTCCATACAAAGTACTGGTCGAGTTGGGCTCCAGACTGTAGCGCAACTCGGAATGCAAGTCTTGAAACTTGATATTCTCCAACCACCCCAGTACAACCCACAGCATATCATCGAAGGCCTGATTTCTCAGACTGAACGCATTCTCTCCGAAGTAGAAAGCTAGCGTATGGTCGAAATATCTGTTGACTGTGTTCTCGAATGCAATCGCAGTATGCGATGCAGTAGACGCCAGATCGTGGGCCTCTCCGATAACCGACGAAAAGGAGGCCGCGAGGATATGATTCGGTGTTGCAGTCAATGATGAGAGCGCCGCAGAAACTTGAGTTCCTATCACTGCAGCGGTCCAGTCGATGCTTGTCGGCCATGTGCCCTGCCATTGTTGGAAATATTCCCTCTGCATCACATTGAGGGCATTCAGCAGATCCCGCAATGTGAGACTCACAGAGATAAGTGACTCCGACTGCGACTCTTCGAAAGACCGATTGCTAGCACGAGGCAACTCGTCCTTTACACTCTGTCCACGGTCTTCTCCAGATGCAAGAGGTTGCTGCAGTTCAAGATCGCTCTGGGGCCGCTGCGCCAGCGCATTGGCACCTGATAACAGGGAAAGAAAGCAAACTGCGACGATCGTGCATAGGATATTCCAAGGCGCCATGGTTCTTTCGGGACCGAAGCGACGAGGGCCCATTTTGGTAAGCGAGACTCCTTATCGTCTTGTAGGCTATCTCGTAACTGCGCCGCGATTCCGATAATCCGCGATATCCAAAGAAATAGACAATGAAGCAACGGTCACGCGCGGTCGACGCAAGCCAGTGCCATCAAACGAGGAGCGCCGGCGACCGACGGCAAACGATCTGCATCAATCCTTCGTGAGGCAGAAAGTCGAAAAAGAAGAATAGAGAGGAGAAGATGAGGTTGCCCTGGATGGCGAAAAGAGAGCTGTCGCCGAGTCGCTTCCGTCGAGCTCTGCGGGGAATGTGGGGAGTTAAACTTGGCTGGCCGTCTCAGGCTTGCTCTGGCGTCTCCCTGGTTAGTAGTCAAGAGACCGCCGCGTCTGTTGGAGCATCAACAGCAGCACCGCGGTCTTGTCCTGGAGAGATTCTACAAATGGTGTGTTCTTTGCCATGGCGTATTCTCTGACAGCGTTTTCTGCCAGCCACGCGTCGTTGACATGTTCTGATTTCATACACTGTTAGAGTTGATCATGCAACCATGACTCCTTGAAAGCCCTTAGCGCATCATAGTACCCAATTCAATTCAGGTCACAAGTGTATGGACACTTCCTCAGAAAAAGGGCAGTCAAGTTTTGAGGAGCGATACTCGAAATGCCCGGCTCTTATTATAAGCTTAAAGGTGTCGCGTGCTCGGTGATCTATGTGCCATATGTGAGAATATTCCACTGGACTAATGACACCCGATACTCAGGTGTCTTGGCATCATGTTGGAACATTACTGGTAAAATAGATATTATTATTACCTATTAATACATCTATAACTACCGTTCATCACAGATCTGCGAGCAGCTCACTGCCTCAGTTGGACTCTGACACACGTGACCAGCTCATCCGGCTTCCTCTGTACTGGACTGCTTAACCTCGAACAGGTTGGTATATTCTGCTTAAGTCTTGAGCATGGGAACTGGTAATAGGAACAATGTCATTTTGGCATCGGGATACCTGAATTAGCTGGATAAGGAGTAATCATATGAATTGGCAAAGAAAGAGGGCCTGATATTCTGCTCACTGTTTCCTACATTAACGACTACTATCCACTACGCACGATAGCCTTTCCCGTAGTCTCAAGTAGCCACGTCGGAAACTGACGCCCTCTTACCACTACTACCAGATATAAGTTCTGCATCTGTGGCAGATAACACCCAAAATGTGAGATCAGCTTAGTTTTTGGGAATCGAAACCTTGTGGCATATCATGCAAGGAATAGAAATATCAAAGACTGTACTTTGGTATTTCAATCTATATGGCTAGGAAGCAATTCAGAAATCATGTAGTCTAATTGCATGGCGTTAATATGTTTGATAAGCAACATCTAATCTATATTTATAGTGATGCGGGTACCCGCGATGGTGATGGTTAAGATGATCTAGGATCAGGTGGAAAGAAGCTGAATTCTGGTAGCTAAATGCACTAGACTATGGGTGTACACTGCTCTGCTGAGGTGACACCTCTTAGATCCGTGCCATATAGACTTTTCATTTCCTCAGATCGAACCCAAGCTTTAGCACAAAACTAGTTTTGTCATAACGAGCTTCACGCTGAGCATGTGGAACCAGCAGCTTTACTACCAAAATCGCAGCCCACGCCGCAGCTTCCGTCGTCGTTGCCATAAGCCACAGGAACATTTACCCGTCCAAAATTTATCAAGGTTTCATCATTGCTCTCACAGATGCCAGAGACTGTTTCCTCATCATTCAATTGCTCACAATTTGCGTCGCCGATATAACCCCAGCCGGTACAACCGCAGGCATCGGTCATAGCAATTATGCACCCCCCAAGCTTGCCGTTTGAGAGGGTGAAGGTGGCAGCAGAAACGAGGGCGGTATTGGAGGTCAAAACGGCAAGGCCGCTAAGGAAAGCGGTGATTGAACGCATGATTTCTTGAAAAGTGAGAATCTGTTAGAGAGAGGGACAAGGAATAATGTATCAGAGAGTGGACGAGACGTACCGGATAAGTGGTGATTTCTTGACGAGCACAATTGTTCTGGGTCTGTATCCGCTTTCACAGGAAGAAATATAGGCTGTTGCTGATGTTTTTAAGAAGATTCAATATAGGAGATATGAGTCTTCTTATATCTAGTTCTCAGACCCTTTTAAGGCCACCCGAAAAAACAGGATTGACAATCTGGACCGTTGTTAGATACCTATGATTTGGCTGTTTAGATGAATCTAAAGGGCCTTCGCGGCCGCTGCAATGCAACGAACGCGTCTAGAGATGTCAGACTCTAGACCCTAGACTCCTCTGGTAAAAAGACCACACAATACACCGTATACGCTGCTGAGATAGAGGGATCAACGCCGCACTTAAGCAACTAGAAGCTCATTTGGGGGCTCAGGCGCCCGAAGGAAATGAGGCTGTCACTATCTTCACGGATAATCAAGCAGCAATCACCCTGCAGGACCCAATAGCTGTAGCGGCGTCGAGTCAGTATTGGTTATTTTTATTTATTTATTTATTTATTTTTATTTTTATTTTTTTTTTCAGTAAATACTGCGGAATATTCTTGAATAAATTGATCGCCTAACGGATCGACAGTGCCAACTCCGAATCTAACTGCTCCTCGGTCATACAGGAATCCGAGGGAATGAAGCAGCTGAACATTCTATCAAAGATGTCGTGGTACTAGCCGGCTAGAGACCCAAGCCAGCTAGCTCAGAGGCAAAGACAGAGAGAAAGACATTGGAAAGAGCAGTGGCTACCTAGCACAGGCCCATAGAAGCGTGTTGGCAGGCAAGTCTCGCCAGCTAGGTTCTTGAGCTATATTCATACGGCTCATTGCCGGCAAAGTCTGCAATCTCTATATGAAACAGAATAGAATAGCAATGTGTAGCAAACCCACAGGGGTCCTTTAATTGGAGGTTATTTGACGTCCCAAGTAAGAAGCTCCTTAAGCTCCTTAAGCTCCACTAGGGGCTTATACAAGCAGCGAGCTTACCCACAATACAGCTCTAGATACGGAATACTGCACTAGGGGAATACTTCACTACAATAAGAAAGGCGGATATTGCAGTAACTAATACCATTGCGGCATAAAGGAAGGGGATACTGACCATGTTCTTACCAAATATCCTTTATACCGTACCAAGAAGCACGAGATACTCTAGAGTGCGCCCCTGAGGAAAACAAATTCTTGTTAAATCCTTACCTAGGCACCTCTCCTCTAACGTGCTATGCAGTTTAGTCTGAATATCCACATCTTAGGGCAATTCCGCTGCCTCCCTATGACCTATTAGATTAGATAACTCGCCGATTCTGAATCAGCACTAGCTGGTTCAATTAGATCAGTTACGCTCCTAGAACTACCAGGCCTATAAGAGACTGCCTGCAATTTGTTTATTAAACATAAAGAGCATATGTGCGCGTAGTCCCTACCCAAGAGTCTTACCCCCCGCACAGTACGCTAGCCGCCTAACCTTGCCCTTGCCTTGATATCTTCCTGCCCTCACTGACCATCTTATGTATAAGCTCCCTACCAGCCCTTCACTTGTGTTACCTGTTTCGCATGTAAATAAGCCCGGAGGGCAGCCGCTAGATATGTAGTTCGTAGGTAGGTAGGTAGTCAGATTAGAGTTACTTAGTCTTGCGAGGTCTGTGCCGGGCGCGAATGGTGGACCGGCAGAACCACTGCCCACTCGGCCGATATCTAGGGCTGACAGATGCAGAAATGACTAACTAGCTATTAACTATGTTACGGATACTAACTACACAATATAGTACATAGTAGCTATCTACTACGGACTAGGTGTTTATTTCGCTAGGTGTTTATTTCGCAATATGTGCTAACTCCTATGCTGTATATGCAACGCAACATCATTACCTAGTCTTGTCGCAGTACAATGTCCCTTTTGATCCGTCGATGTTATCGCGTGGACATTAGGTCCCCCATGTGTCACACCGTAAGCTGAAGATGTTTTCAGGGCGATGACTAACTGATGCTTGACCGTAATTGAAAGTTTGATATCGGGCTTCTAGAGTCCAGGAAGGCCGATCGCGAAGCACAGCCGGTTTCCAGGAACATGACCGCAGCGATCATCGCGAGAAGGAGACCACGGAGGCTATCTAAGTTGAACACGTGGCAGTTAAGTGGTTAATGCTCCCAATTTATTTCGGGTGCATGGTAGAGTGCTTGCATAGTCCATTTGGGGCTAAAACGGTTAGAGCATATTATTAGAAGCGCCAAAACTTCACACGGTGGCTCTGGATTGGTAATGTCTTTCCTTTGCTTGCGGATAGAGTTGCAATGCTAGATGTCAGATGCAGACAGTTTTAGAACTGTTCACATCGATACGAAAGTCGAGAACTGCCGGAAGATGCGACTCGAGGCTCGGAAGGAACAGCGGGGGAAAAATCCAGTATACAAACAGGCTTCCAGGTGTCCGTTGATTTTGATCGGTAGTTTAATCATCGTGGTATTCGACTCTACCAGCCGCACTAAATTGGAGGAACCGATTTACGCATCCATTCGTTGTTATACTCGGTCAGAGAAACGCAAACACATAAAGCCCGATTTTCATTACGTATCATGCACATTATCTCTCAAAAAGCTTTTTTTTCTGTACTCTCATTGGTGAGATCGTATCCTCCCGCTGTAGTCGCGGAATTGGGAATATATCTTTGGGATCTTCAGTTATAGTTAGCGGCTGATGGCTGCAAGCAAGTCCTTGGGTTACATACCTCGTTCAGCATCATCTAGAGTGCCGACATATGTCTCGAAGTATCTCCTGCAATATATCCCTCAGACACACGTCAGGATGTTGTAGCGAGAAGAGACAATGTCGGCAAAGGCGAATTTATATCCATATCTGGCAGAAAGGTCTCGGCTGCCAGGCCGCGCCATACCTTCCTGACGCGCAACTTGTGAAGAGGCTGCGCATTCAGAAGCGTGAAAGAGGCGTGAGCGAAGTGTTCAAAGCGCCGATCTTTTGCTTTCTTAATCTCTTGCACCATCCGCGCCAGGGCTACGGCTTCTGTCACGACTCCTGCTTCTTCCTCGTCCACCCCGGGCACCCTTTGGTGCTCCACCCTTGCCCTTAGATGGCGGAGGCCGCACAAATGCATAGTCAACCTGGATGGTCTGGTCGAGGAGCTTTGCTCCATTCAGGGCCTTGATAGCTGCGCTCGCTTCAGGCAGGGTAGAATATTCAATGAGGGCGTATCCCTGTAGAAGTGGCGGACAAAGTTAGCCATTCAACGCCCACCGTACTCTCTGCGCACCGTTCTATGCAATACAAAAGACGACCGCGATTTTCGAAAGTCACGAACCTTAACGTAACCGGTCCTTCGGTCCAAGTTCAAGTTGAAGTTCTTGATCTCGCCATACTCCGCAAAAAGGTCCGTCACGTCTTCCTCCGAAGCTTCCTCATGGATATTTGTTGCGAGAACGATCCATCCCTCAATGCTGCGCACTGCAACTGCTCCTGTCTGCGTTCGCGGTTCAAAGGCGCCAGTAGCGGAGGCTGGAGGGGCACCGTCGTCTTGCGACACGGGCGGGTCGACTTCCATTTCAGCGGACATTGTCTGGGATGATGTCGGTATGAGATTCACAAACAGACAGGTCTAAAATAAACAGTGCAGATTTTCGGTAAGGAATTTGAGGTGTCTATCCGTGACACGTTGGGGCAAAGTGAATCAAGACCCGTTGTGCAACTGTTGCGCTCACTCAGGAAGTGGTTGAAGACATGGAGTAAGCTATGCTTATGTAATACAGCATAAGTTCACTAACGAGGAGTAGCTCATACTTTGTTCTTGAACGAGGATGACAAGAATGAATTATCCTAAGTTTCTAGTATGAATATGCTAGGTTCTGGTAGATCATGGTTAAAATTCCCAGGCGATGATTTCATCCTTCTCTGCTTCTGTTTACCCCAAATCTTTGAACCTAAATATATATTTAGAACTATACTACGGACAGCTCCATTCTTCTTATGACAGTCAATACAAAGCTTATGTTAGCTAAAACAATATCCAGAGGTGCTTCGAGGCAAACTTCGCTACTTTATGTCCTGTCACAGGAGGAGAAAATGCGAGAAGTAGAACTACACCCAGCATTCTTTTGAATGACAGACTTTTGTTGTACGATCTCTATCAAAGAGAGCTTTTGTAAATGCATGTATTGGTCACAACCCTATGCATAGAACAGATATCATGACCCGATGACCTGATGACGTGTGACTTGCTGCCATAGTCTAAAACACAAATCCTCCCGAGACATAAACTGTTATCAAGGCTCGAATTAGCAAGTCAAAGCCCACAAGGCTAGGTGAACGACACACCTTCTGTACAAAATATGGGTATGAAAGGTTATAGAACCCTTCTTCTCTCTGTTGACGTTGACTCGTGCCTGGGCATCAGTCTGTCAAGCCCTCTGCTAATTCTAATCCTCGTATCCACGTAGGTTGCCAATACTTGTTTGTCCTGAGAAAGATTGGTGACACGTAGAAACCATGCTGAAAAGTGATAAAGTGGGTTTCAACAAGTTACAAGCCAGATTTTGTCCTCGGGACAGACAATGCTATATTAGCCATTCATTATCATGTTAGAGGAGTAGGATGCCAAAAGAACAAAGTATCTTGATAAAGGAACACAACAAATAAAGGCTATACTTCTAACTTAATGTAGTAGTCTTAATTTGTTATGTCTTCTGATAGCTGCGGCGGGCTCCGCCTATATAGGGAGAATTCACTGTGAACAACACTTGAGTGAAATCATATCAGCATGGCGGTTGTTATGTTATTCCTTCTCTTTCTGCTCCTTGCAATATGCTTGAACAACCTAAAATCTTGTCTTGGGCATATTATAAACCTCAATAATCACAATCAGGAGAAGTACAAAAACTCTGGATATCTCTGGTGTATAGCCTCCAGAATGGCGCAGACGTAAGTCCCAACCTCTGTCGAGAGAGAGTTTGACTGAGGACTTATTGTGTCATCTGCAGTTTGGAACCTGGACCGTCTGGTGGGAACCAGGCAGTTCGGATCGTCAAGCAGATCGAGATAGTTATTCGCGGCGCCAGAGATGACCAGTATAATATGCTTCATTGCTCGCATAGCGAGCTCGACGTGCATTTCAACCCACCGCGCCAGACTGTCACGGTCTTCCAAACAACGAGACATCCAAATGATCCATACGTATCTCATACAGTTGTCGTGCGTTTCACTAGGAGGAATTCTCGATTCATTAAGCTGGACCACCTCCCTGACGGTTCTCTGCTCGTCAACTTCGAAATTCTGCCGTTTTTGAACATGCAAAATGAAAGAATCCTGAGCGTCGAGCACATCTACCATGGCTTTGAAGCAAACGTGCTCAAGAACCCGTTGGATGAGGAACTTGTTATGTGCGATTGGTCCTCCAAGCAGCTGCAGATGATACTTCCCGCGGCAAAGTTCTTCTCCAAGGACACCGAAGCTATAGCGCTCTTGACGTTCGGATGCATCACACTCGATGAATACTATGGCATGTTGCCGCACTTCAAAAGACCGACTCCGCCTCCACGCCCGCGGTTCTATTTCGATGATGACATGAGAGCCGCCCAATTTGCGGCATTGAGAAGAGCAGCTCTTAGAGATCGAAATGCCCCAGGAGCAACTGGATGGACTTTGTCGATGGCGGAGGGCTTCCTTGGAAAGCACATGAAGGAAGAGAAGCGGCGACGCAAGTGAATGGATGGATAATGAACTATCTTGGCAGAATCATAGTTTTCTCGTGTCACGCAGCCGAGAATGATAGGATACAATGGCAATAAGCACAGCGCGGTGTGTCGAGTATGAAGTAGCAACGAACGATGTGAAATGAACCTTATCTCCATGTAGTATCCTTGATATAATTATGGAAACATCTAAGTATCATGGAACCAGCACAACGAGAGTAGATTATACAAGGTGATATTGGAGGCGTCCGGTAGTAGAGCTACTCATGCTCTAATAAACTCCAAATTAGCCCCAGTAACTGACAGACTGATTGATGATAAAGGGTCTCATGTATCGACTGTGGAGTCAGGAAGTAAAGAACAAGATGAATGCGACTAATGGGAAAAAGCTACGATTGCTCGGTAGGGAGTAAAGTGATGTGGATCAGAGTATACAAATATGAAACAACCAGTGCAACCAAAGGCACTTAGATTCGAACTTGTGTTCCATCATATCATCCGACTTGCTTTAGAGTTGTGGTAAGTGAATGATAGCCGTCAATGATAATCTTGAAGGGCCGTTGATCGCAAGTAAAGGAATATGCAAGTTACCAGCCGACTGCGCCATATGAGGTCTACAGGTAAGGACCTTGAACCGACCCACCACTGATTATACGTGGTGGAGAGTCCATTATTATTATTATTATTATTATTAGCGAGCTAACGCCTGTTCGTGCCAGTAGTGTTCTGCTGTCTCATCGGGATCATGCTTCTCAGCCAGCAGTTTCGTACACAGATGGTAACTTAAGCAGATGCCCCTGAGCATCTAAACCACAAAAAGGAAAGCAAGGACCATGCCCTCGATGGCAGCTCTTTGAGCGTCTAGATGGTCTCTGGAAGAGAAGAACGCGTGAAATAAACATAAGCCTGGTTGGTCTAGATTTCTCCCTTGCTCCCCAGCGCTGCACGTGATATACTGGAGGGTTCCATCTCCGCACCTCAACCCCTTCTCCCTTGATCGACCACTAACTAATTTATTTATCAGATGAAGGTGGAGACGTCAAACACGCACATCCCTTCTCGTTCCGTAAGGACCCGGATCTCTTGCTCACGTCTTGCTTGATGACCATTCCACTTTTCTCTGAGGTCCATACTCGGAGCCCTGACCCTGAGGAAGCATTGCGCAGGCTGCGCAGCTGAGCGTTTCCACACTTCGAAAAGACTGGAGTTTAGAAGATGATACTCTACCCGCTAATATGTGTACCTAACACTATAGGCTGCTACATGCCCGTTGGCGCTAGACTCTCGCGCGATGCATGTGCGTATTGAATAACTCCCTCCTTCGGTAGATACTCGCAGCATGGCTGATCCTACTCTACACAGGTGCCAAATCGATCCATGCGCATACTCTGCGATCCTGACAGCACAGGCCGTTCATTATTGCGTTGATTAGGGCTGGGCTATTTTAGGGCGTTCGGTATCAAAGCTGTTCCAAAGCTGTTCCGTCCTTCTACGTACAAGACCTCCAATTGCCGGAAGCTTGTCAAAACCAAGCTCACAATGTTTCTCGTTTTCTTTCTCTCTCTCTCCCACTCTTTTCTTTCTTTTTTTTTTCTCTTCTCTCCTATTATATTTTACTCACTAGCTCTGGATCTGTCTAGCCCTGGAAGCCATGCCAGACCTCCGCCTTTGGTTGAATCATGCTATTAATACCGGATTCTCCAAACAAGTCGTAGCACTAACCATATAGCTCCTGGGGCTTCATGGACTAGCAGTGGAGCAGCTGGGATGGCACATATAGCAGACGCTAAATGTGGACTCGGAAAAAATATCATCATGTGGGAAAAAAAAAGAGGCCCCTCTTTCGTGAGGAGTTTTTTTGTGGCCCGGCCGTGTGCCGGGCTTCCGTAAGGCGAATATTCCATACTGATTTGGGTGTTATCGGCATACCACTTATCTACGGACCTGTTGTCGATAACCAAATCGCCCATGGACATATTCACACCACATACACTACCGCGACACCATCGCACGAACTCCGGGGTAGTCACTACTCCAGAATCCCAAGGAAATTGACTGCAAGCGCCACGACAGGAGATCCCGGGCTCGCGCATCTTGGCCATCTTGGCGAAGGCGTTGAGAGACTGACCATTATTATTATTTCGACTGAGTTGTTCTCATTTAGTTGGCCAGTCGGTTGCTGGTGCCCCTGGGCGATGGTCACGGGCGAATCAATCTCGAGCACGCTATCTCAGAACATCAACACTCTACCATAAATGTGAAGTGGACTAGCCGAGTCTAAAATGAGCCTAAATATCCTAACGACAAAATGGAGAGCAGTGACTGGCTGGAAGAGACTGAAAACCTCTGTCGGTTTCCCGTTTAGTGGCATAAACAGCAGCCACCACGACGCCCCTTTTGACCTGGAGTATCTGCTAGTTATGCTCCTCCGAGCTTGCTTTCAATGCGCTACCATCGCGCTATCTTGGCGAAGGGTATCTGCCATCGATGGCTCCCAATCAGAGGGTCGTCTCCATCGTCGCAGTGGCGGTCGTCGTCCCAGATTAGCTGCCCAGCCGGCCTTCTAGATGGGCCCTGCTCTCTGGTGAACGCTGGAAATCAAGCTCGATACAACATGGCCGGCCGAGGTCGCCCTCTTCTCCTTTTCCGGCATGGGCGATGCCGGGTCCTTCGATGTGACGGAAAGTGAGAGACGGTGGTCTGCCAAGCTGCTTCACTCTCTCCGCAGCATGTCATTCTACTCTTTCAGTTTCCATCGGCGTTGATCAACTGTCACCTTGTCACGCCTTCTTTGGCCAAACCGGCTTTTCGTTCTTTACTGCCCATTTGTCGCTCATTAGCCATTTCTGTCGCGCTGTGATCATTGTGTTTCTGTCTTCCTTTTCTTCTTCCCAATCCAACCGGCGGCGGGTTCATTCGTTTTTCGTTCTTATTGAACGTGTGCTTGGTTATCAGACGGCGTAGCTAGCAACTCGCTGCTCCCGCCTGGTCGTGCAGATCATCAGCCCACTATCCTGAGCAGACGATCGCTTTGGGAATTGATCCGTACAGAGAGATAAGCCATTTGAAGGAACCTCGAATTTCCTTGCTCTGGCATCTAGCACTGTATCCCATTACGCCGCCTTGGTGTTTATACGACGCTCGTTACGAAGAGGAAACATTGGAACATACGTTCGCAGGTGACATTCATTCGTTTTCGCTTAATCATGAAAAAAACGATCTGAGAGATCGGAATTACATTGAGAGTCTCGAGTTAGATACTGAGTGAGATTCGGCGCGCACCTGGCAACTGAAACCGAAGACCTAACTGGGTCCTTTCTACTGGGGTTGGATATATCTTTGAAGGTATAGGCCATCATGTGGTTACAGCTCATTTCAGTCCTCAGTCTGGCGACATCGTCGCTCGCTGCCAGTACTGAAGAGTGGAAGGGGAGGTCAGTGTATCAGGTTTTCACGGACAGATTTGCTCGTACGGATGGGTCGACAACAGCACCATGTAACACTACAGAAGGGCTATACTGCGGTGGAACATGGAGAGGGATCATCAATCATCTGGATTATATCGAGGGCATGGGATTCGATGCTATCATGATATCTCCTATTGTCCAGAATATTGAAGGCAGGGTGTCCTACGGCGAAGCCTATCACGGGTACTGGCCTCAGGATATCTACACCTTGAATGACCATTTCGGTTCTCACCAGGATTTGCTCGATCTTGGCAATGCTCTGCATGAGCGCGGCATGTGGCTAATGATCGACACCGTGATCAATAACATGGCCTACATAACTAACGGCAGCAACCCCGCGACTTCCATCAACTATTCCATCTTCACTCCTTTCAATAACGAGGATTACTTTCATCCTTACTGTGAGATCACGAACTACGAGAATTATCCGCTTGCCCAGAGATGTTGGACCGGTGATGATATTGTACCGCTGCCGGATCTCAAAACCGAATCCAGTGATGTTCAAAGTATCCTGGAGAAGTGGATCCAGGGGATAATTTCGACATACTCAGTCGACGGTCTGCGTATCGATGCTGCGAAGCATGTCACCCCCAGTTTCCTGCCGAATTTCTACAAAGCCGCTGGTTTGTTCATGACCGGAGAAGTCATGGAAGCAAGTGCAGAAATTATCTGTAACTATCAGAGCAACTGGATCCCCAGTGTTCCTAACTACCCAGTCTATTATGCCATGCTGTCAGCCTTTACCGAGGGCAACATAACCGCATTGGCGGACGAACTGGCCCTCATGAGCTCGCTGTGCCCGGATACCACCGCATTAGCATCATTTTCCGAGAATCACGATGTTGGCCGAATTGCTTCTATGAACCCAGACATGTCGGTAAGTCCTACTGGACAATAGTACTAAACTCGAGAAGGAAAAGGAAATACTGACGTCGAATCTTTATAGCTCGCTAAGAATATACTAGCCTTCACTATTCTTGCGGACGGAGTACCCATGATCTATCAGGGCCAAGAGCAACATTTTACAGGCAGCGGCACACCTGACAATCGGAAGGCCCTGTGGCTTTCCAACTACGACACGAATGCGGAGCTTTATCAATTGGCGTCGATCCTCAACAAGATCCGTAAGCAAGCCATGCGGATCGACCCCGGCTATCTGGATTTCAAAGCGTACCCTATCTATTCTGGATCCAGTGAACTCGTGATTCGCAAAGGCAGTGAACGCCGACAAATCATCAGTGTTCTGTCGTCCAATGGCGAGAACGGTGGTGCATATGACCTAACGTTACCCATTTCCTACGAACCAGGTAGTGTAGTCACGGAGGTCATCAACTGTGTGAACTATACCGTCGACGATAAAGGTCAACTCCAAGTGCCAATGAACAAGGGTCTCCCAAGAATCCTATTCCCAGCCGATCAGATGGGTGGAAGTGGGCTCTGCAATATCGGTAACTGGACCAACTACGGAAAGGCCAAAAAGGGTAACGGCTCTTCTGCTGCTCCAGATACCCGCATCTCGCTCAGCGCATTATGCTTCGGCCTCTTTATCTCTGTTTTCGGCAGTGCCTTTGCGCTCATAGCCTGAGGACACCGCCCATTATTTACAGGAGTCTATTTTCCATATCCGGCGGAGGGTGTTTTTGGTTCGTTTTCCTGTTTCGTTGTACATACATATGCAATGGCAATGGTCGAGGTCTCCTGGATATTGGATTCCGTCCCCAGAGCGGCCATTTCTTCGACCTTCTGTCTTATGGCTGATACGTTCTATTTTGGTCTATTAGCTTCCTCTTCTCCGATCATATCTGCAGCGGCGTCATTTCAAGACGCGTGTGTGGGTCTTGCATTTCTGCCACTGCCCCTAGGGATTACCATACTACCCTGTTCTCACTCCTTCATCCCTCATACCCAAAAAAGGCATATAGGGAGACCCCTTCTGTCTGTCATTCCATATTGATATATACGTTATAATTGTTATGTTACACATAGGGAGGATTAATCAGGGAATGATACGAGAGGAACGATTTTGGCTATAACATTTCCACTTTCAAAAAGAATCCAACAAAAACAAATATGAAAGCAATCTAACTAACTGTATTAATTACATCACGCACGTTCTATCTATATCCATTCTATCTCCGTCCTACCCGTCGGCACTGCATGCAATGCTGGTATCTACGCGTGAGAAAGATACCTGTGACGCCAACCGGATCTGATCGGGTAGCTTACATATACTCTGTGTTCCACTGGACGTGCTAAAGGCGTGGAGTGTTGTGGGGACGCGATTGACTTAATTTAAGAAAAGATATGAGCAAGTTGTTTAGTATATGTGATCTGATAGGTTGCAAATGAGAAAAAATGGGCTATTATTGTCACTACTGGTATTGTCAATAGAACTACTTGTTTCGCCATTTCATATTGCCTATTATATGCACGTTTGCTAGATGTGGTTTATTTGATGTTTAGGCGATGTGCATGCAAGACATCAAGGGGGACGATCATTTTGAAGAGATACTATGTACAGAGATAGGGCTGAAGTGAAAACAATTTCTTCGTCGTAATATTACATAGAAAGAATGAGACGATGATCTCGAGCTTTTCTTTCCAAGATCCAAATAACACCGATTTAGCGTATAATCTAGATTGTATCCCCCAACTAGCTGGGGCCGTGTTCCTTTAAAGAACAGTCTTCTTTGCGAAGATCGCCATTCACTTGCGGTTCTGGCGCTGCATGCCCAGGATCTGGACCATGCGGATGAAGATATTCAGGAAGTCAAGCTCCAGACTGATGCTCTCGTTGACAACGTCCCTCCTGACAATGCCACGCTCGGCAAGACGCGCGTGGTGCAAGATCTTCTGGATGTCGTAGAGGGTGAAGCCACCGAAGACAGCAAGACCACCATACAGCCAGATACGCTCAGACCACATCAGAGTGCGGGCAGCGGTGGCGGGAAGGACCAGAGGAGCGAGACCGGAGAGAGCAACGATGGTGACACCGGCAAGAAGGGGACCGCCAAGGTACAGGTACTTCTCCTGTTTCGCGGTGGCACCGACGAAAGCGATCGAGCCCATCATTCCAACGGTGTAGAGACCAGCGCGAGCAAGGATAGCCGGGTTGACGAACATCAGCGGGGACAGAAGAGCAGCCTGGGTCACGTTAAAGGCACCCCAAAGGGCGTACTTTGCGATATAGCTAGTGATGCAACGTTAGCTCCTAATTTCTCCTGCGAATAGGATCGATGTACTTACTTGTCAGGAGAAGTGTAGAGAGTGCCGTACATGGTACCAATGCTGGCAACCAGACCGAGACCGGCCACAGCCCACGGGTTGGTAGCCATCAGACGGAACGACCAGCCGTTGGCGTGCAACGCTCTCGCGGCAATTGCAATGATACCGACTCCCAGACCGGTGTGCAGGAAAGTGTCATTCAGGTAGCTCCGTTCGTAAGGAGGCATTCCGCCATCCTCTCTCGTTTCGCGGTTGAAGATCAAGTTCGCAGCGACGACTGTTCCTCCGACGATGGCAGCTCCGTAGAGCAGTCTCTGAGTAAGGTTGCCACCCTGGGGGACGCCGTAAGCGGGCTGCATGTACGTCCGGCGGAAAGCATCCTGGAAAGTCTGTCTAGAGCGGCCGAAGATGGACGATGGCGCAGATGTCGATGCCTTGGGAGCTGAAGCGGGTTTGATGGGAGTGTTGTGAAGGAAGCGGACAGGATTGTGGGAGGCCTTGGAGACCTCCTTTAGAGCTGTCGAAACAGCAAAAGGACGTCTGAGCATGAAAGCCATGGCTGCGACGACTGAAGGTTGATGCAAGAGAGACGAAGGGAGCGGTTATAACTAGTTAAATAGCTACCCACTTCGGGCGATAATCGATCATTAATCGATGTGACGTCCGCTCCGGGTATCCGAACGTTCCAGAAGCGCTAGACCACTTCCCCACGTGATCGTGAGTCACGGTCCCGCCAGTCCACGTGATTCGAAGTGGGATGCAGAGAGTGCCGGGAATAATAGCGTGTATTGCATTTATCTAGGTATTATTATTCTGGTTGTGGAGGAACAATATTATTCTGCAAGCATACAAGAACAGGTCGACAGCAACTGAAGCCATTATGTCGCTCCTTGAGACCATCGATCTGTCGCATCTGCCCCCTTCCACTCCCGTGCATATTGCTCTCTATCGAGATGTAAAGAATGCCCCCTTCCTCAGGCAGCAGCTTCTGTCGGGAAACACCGAATTCGAATATGCATTTATTGATGCGAGCATGGTACGGTTGATAATTCATCTCGTCAGTCTGGACTTCGAGGTGCTAACGAGATATAGATTCTTTCGAGGACGCACATTCTTGCAGCTACTTTCCGGGCCGTCAATGATTACCTAAACGGGCGACTAAAGTCAAGAAACGTGCATTCTGAAATCGTCTTTAGCCTAAGTCCAAACAATAATGTTTGTATATTGGTGTCTACAAGCCATGAAGTGATACTGACTGGCTTGCTTTAGATCGCGGAATCGTTCCGCAAATTTGGCCTGACAGATGCCACGAAGGATTTGTTGGTGATCAAAGTCTCTGTGAGCCCAGAGATCACCCATGATTCAGTAGCTCAGCACCTGGAAAAGGTTGTTGAAGGCAGCCCTGTTCCCTTCAGTGATGAGACATTATCCACCATATCCGATGTCAGCAAAATCAGGAAAGCATACAAGCTGGGAGCCGCGCCCGCGAAGCCTACAAAGGCTACTTCCGATCAGGTGAATGGAACCCACTATAGCAGCCAGAAAGATCTGCAGGTTGCACTCTTGGGTGCGATTGCATTGCGTGGAGCTACTTGATCGCCCTTGAGACAGTTCTTCGACCCGTTGCCTACTGAGCGGTTGATATATGCCGGGGAATAAGCAGAACCGGGCTGGAAACCATTGCTTGACCCTTCGAATCCGGGAAATTTACTTATGATGGCTCCCATCTCACATGGCAAGCCGTGGTTCTTTCTACAGTGATGGAGCTCCATTGGATATTGGATATAAGGAGTCATTTACTGCAGGGGCGACATACAATCAAGTTCTTCCGCTTTTCCCTGACTGCCAAGACAGACAGCCATTGAGCAAAGAAAGCAAATTACGGAACCCTGCCTCAATTACCTGACTGCATCCAGGTAGGAGGGTTAAAAACCACAGCAATACCGTGCAGCGGTAGCTCGCCTGTAGATTCAGGCGCAAGTGGCATTCGCATCGGTGTACATTGTATATACCTAGATGCTAGTTAGATCACTGAAATCACTTGCGAAGCAAATTCTTCTTTCTTCCGGATTTGTACTCGATACTGGTTCAGTAGATAAATCTTAGTTCGTTGGATGCACAATGGAGATCGTTCTAAACCGAGAGTCTAGAATCCTGATGCTTATTGCTTATCGCTGCGTACCATCGGTTGCCCCGCGACCCGCTATGATCCATATCGGGTAATCCTGCAACTTTGCCAAGCCAAACTTTCTGGAGAAGACAATGCCGCGCCACGGACACACTTGACAACCTCAGTACCTGGAGCTCTGGAGGAGCATACAGACTCTCTATAATGAAGCCTCTAGCGTCCAGGACGACTCGACTATTTACAGCCACGACACAAGCTTGATTCTGCGAGGATTCGCCGCCATGGCTGCGACGGCGGAGGTAGTTATCCTCCCTTCTTCCTCGCCGGCACCTATTTTTGCTCAATCTCCCACCCCTGTCTCATACAGCCCTGAGCGACTGTTCGGGCTCTCTCCTCGAGATAACTCTTCGCCTTCGATGCTTTCTCCCACGTCACTTTTTAGGTCTTCCCACTCTGCGCGGGCGCAGAATAGGCGTTCGAGAGAAGGATTCGCGGGTGGCGATGTGCGGTCTCAGAACCCAGGAATCGGCTCAGAAGATATTCTGATTATGAGTGCTGCACCCGAGGAGCTGAAGGAGAAACCGAAACGGAGAGCGAAAAAAGGAACGCAAGGAAAGGAAACAACCGCGGTGAATCTGGACCAGCTGTCCCTTGAGACTACTACAGAGGGAATAAGAAAGCCGGCTGAGGTGAAGAAGGGACGGAAGCGGGATACAAGCAAAAAGCAGGAAAAAGGAAACAAGACTCTGAAGGGAAAGGTGGCAAAGGTCGGAGCTGGGAAACTAAATAATTATTCTGGCAAAGCAATGCTTCCCGATCAGCCTGTTGAGAACGCTTCAAACTCTGGGTTTGATTGGGAGAAAGACGGTCTACAGCTCGAAGAGGCTACGAAACGCAGGCTGGATTGGACACCGACAAAGAATTCAAAGGACTCGACGAAGACGACGGCGGCGGAACTCGTCGGTAACATCGACACTAATGGCGATGATGTGGGAGGATCACAAGCTTCCTGCAGGCGCAGCTTTGGCAATCTGCTCTCAACTTACGGGTTCGATGGAGAGAGTCGTGCGCCTGAAGACGCTGTCCGCAATCTAGGTGGTGAAGGCCCTACCAAGCGAAGACGGATAGAGGTATGTGGTTCGATCACGATAATACGCCTCTTATTATACTAAAATGACTGTTTAGTTGGTGGACTCCAATGTCTTCACCTTGCCAACCTTTCGCCGGCTGGACACTACCGATGCTTCCTCTGGCGACTCCGCAGCTGAAACAGCCGCACAAGAGATTACGAAGAAACCGCGAAAGAAAAAGATGACGACTATTACAGCTCATGCTACTGCGCGATATGTCCCTGATTACGAAGGGGACAGCAACACTCTTAGTCGATATCTGGTAGTCGATGAGTATCAGCCGACAACTGAAAAGGCCACCAGCAAACAGAAAACGTCCAAAACAAAGAAGAGCCACGGCACGAAGGACGAAGCTCAGGGGTTTACTGTTGTCCATCCAGAAGCAGCTTTCAAGTCACTTGAAGACCAAGAGCTTCTGTTTGGCACATGCAGCCAACTCGAACGAGAGGAATCCCCGACATTCGTCCGCGAAGTCCAAAAGGCAATTCGTGCTTCAGAAGCCGATATACAAACGGAGGAAGGATACCGCCCAACCCAGAGTACAATGTCTCATGCATCGGGCGCCACCACAGTGTCGCGATTTACAGCCTCTAGGAATCTGTGGTCTGTAGCTGCGAGGGATTCCAGCGGATCTCTAGTCCAAGCGGAGGTTGTGGACCTTGTGGATTCTCCGGACGCCCCGAAGGTGTCGTCTGAAATACTTCACCAAGGCATTCTTCCTGTGGGGAGACAGAAAAGCCCCCCGCAAGATAACACGATCGGACTACAGTCAAGTCCTGTTGCAAGTACCGAGAAGGCTGGTTCAAGGAACGACAAAAGCCTGTCCCTCCAAGCTGCGAACCAGGGCAGCTATATTTCGCAGTCTGAGCATCGTTCAGACCCGGAATTAGCACAGGGGGTGAGTGAACAAGAAGTAACCAGGCCTGAAATGCCCCAGTATACCGGGTTCACAGACGCGGAACTTGCCAAGAAAATAGCTTCATATGGTTTCAAACCTGTCAAGGGCCGTAACAAGATGATCGAATTGCTTCAGAAGTGCTGGGAGTCTAGACTACCAGACTCGGTAAAGCATGCGAAGCAAGTCACTCCGGCTCAATCAAAGGGATTGCCTGGTTCTGAAATGACGACCGTGTCATGCGAGACAGGAAATAAGCCGCAGGCCCGCAAACCTGCAAAGGCCGATTCTGCAGGGTCTCAATCTAAACGAACCGCTGGGCGAAAAGCGGACCGGGCTGCAAAGCCAGCATCAAAACGTCCAAGCAAAAAGACAACCACATCCGAAAACCAAGAGAAGCCAAAACCTCGCTTTCAAGATGTGGAGGAGATTGAAGATTCTGAAGAAGAGCTGATTCCCTCTCCAAGTCGCATGTGGAGCCGTTATATTCCTCGTGATGCCACACCCGTTTCTCTCCCCTTATCTGCGGTCCCGAGTCCTGCGCGGGAGCAGAATAATACAAAAAAACCCTCTCGCAGCTATCAACTTCCAGAAGATTTTCCTGAATTATCTACGAAGGTGATGGAAGCCATCCGTGCTCAGCCTCGTCGACCATCAGTGAATGGTCGTCCGTGTCTTACCTGGCACGAGAAGATCCTTATGTATGATCCCATCGTACCTGAGGATCTTACTGCGTGGTTGAACACGGAAGGGCTCAACCTCGTCGGCGAAGACGAGGAAGTCAGCCCTCACTTCGTGAGAAAATGGTGCGAGAGTCACGGGATATGTTGTTGCCCGAAAAAGACTTAAGTCGACCAGCTCTGCTTGTGTATTTATACATGGACATATTTTGTGAACTCGATGGCACAGCTGCCTGTCGTTTTCCTGTTATTTCATACCCGCATATCTCCCACCGCATGGTGATTACTGGACGCATTCGTCTTCTGGAATCTGGGTGGTGTTTGGGTATTTCTTTTCACAGGGTTATAAGGATCGAGATTATATATGCCCTTTCTTTCTGGAATACTGAGATTACATATACCCTTCTGGAATAGATTATTTTCGTCTATGTGCTTTGCATAGCTCTCCATGAACGATGATAAATATGGCAACAACTATCTACCTTGAAACCTCATATTCTCATAGTCCAGTAATCTGACACAATCATATATAACTCTCAAAATCTCGGGATAAGCTACAGAATCACTAAATAACAAATAAACTATTCTGACGAACCTCCTGCACCATGAACGCCAAGTATAGAAATGGAAAACGACACCGGCCATGCAAACCTCATTTGGGAAATGCTGATACAGACAAAATGATAATATGACGACCAACACCCATACATCTTTCTCGTCCTATAAACGCCGATCGAGAGATCACGATATATCAAATCCAATTCCCCAAATCTTGAAACCATTCACCACGCCAGTTCAAAGTTCACAGTCGATAATTTGTATGCATATACTAAACCCCCCTCCCCTCGAGGGCACCCAGTTTCGCTCAAAATCTCACGGCTGGTAATGCTGCTGCCCATAAGACCCACTAGATGATGGATCATACGATCTCTGCTGCTCTTGTTCCTCGTTTCCAGCGGTTGCGTGATCCTGCTGCGACATCTGCAGTGGTGGCGGTGGTGGGAGATCAAGATTCATCCCTCCTCCCCACTGAGACTGTCTTGGCATAGTTTCATGCTGCATGAATGCCGATGGCTCCATGATGGACATCCGCTGAGAGTTGTACAATGTATCTGATAGGTTCGCGGACCCAGTCTGCCAGCTACTGTGGTTGCTATGTTGCTGGGGTTGTGGTTGTGGTTGATTCGTTCCTCCAGAAGCTTGCTGGGAAGAAGAAGAAGTACTACTCCTTCCGTGGTGGATGAAGGGAGAGGGATCCATTGATGTGATTCGTTGGGTGGTGAAGATGGCGTCTGGTGATGAATTCATTACTCCTGAAGGCTGTTGAGTACTGCCGTGCTGGACGAAGGGAGAAGGATCCATTGAGTTGATCCGCTGGGGGTTGAAAATGGCATCCGTCGCGTTCTCAGGATGCCATGGTCCAGCCTGTGGAGGGATATTGGTGTTGGTGCTTCCTGTGCGTGAGGCAGTCTGGCCTTGGACTATATGGGGGATGTGTCGGAACCAGGGGAATGGGTTTCGGGGTCGAGGTTGCGTTGTTGATGGTGGTTGTGGGTTGCTGCTAGATGCTGTTGGAGCTGGTAGGTCCCGGTAACTTGACGACGATGGGTCTTGGGCAGTGTTGTTGTATTGCTGGAGGGATTGAGGGGTCGGGGCATATTGATAGATATATTGCTGTTGGTCTGCTGTTCAAGATTGTTAGTCCTCTGCTTCGATGGGGCTAACTGTAGTTAATACCTACTTTGTCTTTCCCCTGTCCCAGTCAGTGTAGGATTTAGTCCGTATAAAGCTGGCATCTGCATCGAATTCTTGGAGGTATAAATCAGTGATATGTATCTCCCTAAAATATGCACTGTCTAGTGGTGGTGCTTACTGTAGATGGAGGTGGTAGACGCATCTGCCCAGTGTTTTCAATAGAACGGTCCATTCCAGACACGGACTGTTGCTGGAATGATGAATTGTGTGCCTTCCATCACGTATTAGTGATATGCATCCTAACTTACAATCAAATAACTAGAACCGTAGTATACTCACCGTCTGTGTCGCTGATGGCGGCGGAAGAGCAAAATCACCAGGGGTAGCGGGAAAAGGCACCCTAGAATACTGTCGTTGATACTGCTCCGGAGCGATCGGTGCATGCGGCGCAGCATATGTATTTCCAAAGCTGCCGTATTGGCTATTAGCCACGGCTCTTAACCTATTCACCTCCGCATCCATAGAACCAACGAGTCGCCAAAGTCGACTATTCTCTTCGACTAGCAACGGCGTTATTCCTCGTCTATATGTCCGTTTGGAGTTCTTATCGGTTAGCCAGCAGGGCACGCCGCGACCTTGGCAGTTCTTGCAATCTCCCGGTTCATCGTCACATCTCATCTTCTTCTCCTGTATTTTTTAAGAAAGGGATCTAATTAGCAAGGAGAAAGAGGACAGACGCATATACCGCAAGGTCTCAATATCAACTTACAGTACAACGATCACATGCCTGAGGACACCGTTCCGCATCCGTGAGCCTTTCACGTACCCTCGCCGACCAATCTGGCGATGGGGCATCTTTAGGACGGCGAGGTTTCTTTTGCTTCTTACGTGCAGGCTCTCCACCACCGGATCCCTCTGTTACAGCTGCCGAGGAAGCACTTGTTGGAAACGCAGGAGGCGCCGCTAAGGTTTGTCCGGGAGCTGTGAGAGGAGCTGTGAGACTTGGGATATTTGCGGTCGTTGTCTGCGATGATGTAGTTGTAGTTGGAGCAGTCCTGAGATCTTTTTAGTAAGTATATCTTATCAATGTCTCTTATCCCCCTGATATAACCCTATTCATGGAGCATGGGAACATTAATCTTCTATCGATGGAGTGTACGCACCCTTGTTCTATATTCTCTTCTTGGCCCCCTTGGCTGAGTTGGTCGCTGTGACCATGGCCAGGGGAGCTCCCACTGCCATCTTCAGATTCAGTATCATCCCTTGTCCTCTTTCCGGTCATATTCAGCGGAATGAAATCGTATATATAAGACCTTGAAAAGCAAACCACAGCAACAATCAATGAACGGGCAGTAATCGTCACTCCAAAAAGGAAATAACCGAGTCAACAGCACAATAGGGATGTTTGAAGGGAATCAAAATATGAGAACGATGACTTTGCAGTTTCTATGCAGGAGAAGTGCCTCCTGGAATCCTGATTGATTTCGGACTCTATATAGATTGCATGGGAAACAGCGAGGAGTTCTCCTGATCGAACTGGACAGCTAAATACGGTTGGAAGCACAAAGCGTATGTCGATTGAGCTGGCCATATTGAAAGTCATTGTCTGTATGATAAGACCTTTGTTTGGTTTAGTATAGGGGATATATCTGCGGTCTATGAGGAAGACATAAAGCGAAAGCCTGTATCTTTGTTATTATGATTAGACAAAGTTATCATTCAATAGTGGTGCTTTTTTGTTTGAATGTGCCCTCTTACCTTGAACTGTTTTGTCTCTTCAAACCAAGCAACAAAGCCTCTATTGCTCTCAGTGAGAAACAATAGACCAGAGACTAGAATAAATCTCTCTTTGTTGGCATATGGTTCGTTTCTGTGGTCTAGAGGCGTTATGTCAGAGTAGCAATATGCTCTGTTCCTACCCCTTTGTGTAGCCCACAAAGGTTATTATCTGCAAGAAGTATTATTGGAGGTGACTCAATGAACTTGAAGACGCAAGTCTTTGGTAATGATTGTCTATATCGATCGAGTGAGTCCAAGTAGTATCCAATCCGAGAAGTGACGACTCTTCTGATCCTGAGATGAAGCTAGCCGCCATATGGCAAATCTAAGATAAGTTACAAACCGAAGCCAGAAAAATGTTCATTGCATAGTTGCTTTCCCGCCACTGAAATGAAAGCCGAACCCTACCAGAATGGAGCGCCCGATGTCATCTGAGAACTCCCACACCTCAATTGGCCAAGGAACCGAACCAAAGCAGAATTGAGACAGAGCCAGTGTTGCTCAGGAATAGAAAATGATAAACAACGTCAAGAAAAGGGCCCATCGGATACCCGACTGAACCATGAGAAGTCATGAATCATTATACATCTCGACAAGGTGTGAAAACAGTTAAATATCAACGACAGGAACGACGGCAAATGTGCACGGTACAGAGGCTCTCCGGGGAATCATGCAGGAAACAAAAGGGAAAAAGAAATGTCCAGAAGGTATATGTCGAGGTATGGGTAGATCATGATGCCAGAAATATGTCACGATATTTTCAGGTTCGTAAATCAGATAAAAATCTTCAGCTCAGGGGCATAGTGTGTCAAAGCAGTAATTGTCAGGATTTTGTGAGGGGGTCAAAGAGTAGGGTTTTCGACTAATATTATCGGAAGTTCTTGCCGTTTTGAGCAACCGTTTGAAAGTGTATTCTGTTTCTGTACTTCAGAGGACCACCACGCTCCAGCCAAGGCGTGAGATTCTTGCACTGGCTGACATCGAATGTTTCCAGTTGGTTACAACCTTCAGCGACGGCTTCGACTCCCACGCCTGTGACACGCACGCAGCCACGTACCGAAAGCTCCCGAAGAGACAGTAGATGGAGGCCAATACTGCGCAGAGACGGATCCGACACAGCGGAGCCGCAGAATGACATGTTGAGGTATGTCAATTGAGAGCATTGCAGGGCAAGGACCTCGGTTGCGGTGTCTGATAACGCGCAGCAAAACGACTACGGGCCCCCGTTAGCTATTTGAATAAGCCCCTCAAAAGACGGAGAACTAGTTGGTACTTACCAGATCCAGTTCACGTAACTGCTTAGCTGCGTTTGTCAGGTAGACTATGGCATTATCCGTCAGATAAGTACAGTCAGCCAGACAAAGTCTCCGCAGCCTTGTAAATTGGGCATTGCCCCAATATTGGAAACCTTGATCTGTGATAGTCGTACAACGTGTCAAGTCGACTTCTTCGATACGAGGTGCAGCGTGAGAAGCAATATGATGCATTGAGCGGTCAGTGACATGTTTGCAGTAAGACAAGGTTAACTTCCTCAGCTGAGGACAGCCGAAGACGACGCCAGCAGGAGTCTGCATTGTTGGCTTGATGATCGCCTTCGAAGCCTGAGCGTTCATAGTCTGTTGGGCGAACGTTGCAGCTGGTACGACCCATCCTACGATGCGAGCTAAAAGAGTATCGCTGACTTTTCTGCAGTTGCTCAAGTCCACTTCCTGGAGCCCTGTTGCTTTCCCAGCCATGTCAAGGATCGCAGAAGCAGTAACATCCCAAACGCTTTTCATCTTCCAGGCTTTAACATTGACACCGCATGCAGTCGCTAGTGCGCTAAATCCCTCGTCTGTCACGTGGAAACAGTTGCTGAGATCGACATATTGAGGCCGCTCGCCGACGAACGGACAAATGATGGTGATGAGGATTTCATCCGTGACCTTTCTGCTATACATGCTAAGGTCCAGATATCGAAGGAGATGAGGAGACTTTGTCACAATCTCCATCCAGCGGCCGCAAACGGCTCGAAGACGAAGAAGGTGATGAAGGTCAAGATGCTGAAAGACCCTTACTAGAATACTCTCTGGGAGGATCCCTTGGTCATTCGAGCGCTGCTGGCTTTTTTCTCGCTTCGCATTGCTGGTAACATCGAAAATGGGGAGGTGAGTCGAACTGGCCGATCGCGAATCGCTTGGTGATGATTGTCGATGGTATTCCCCTGAGGCTTCCTCAGGGGTGAGCGGCGCAACCGAACCCCGACGAGATCTCAGTCGTACGTTGTCCAACCCGACGTTCAAAAATGGGTCAGGGTCTGATGGCTTCAAGACAGGACGGTCCTCTATCCGAGAAGGCTTAGACGGACTTTCCAGCTCCGTTTCCGTCAGCGTCACCAGAGGCATAGACTGCCTTCGAGAAGCCGCAAGTTTGATTTTATCATCTAGAGCAAGCTCGTTGATTGGTGGTGTTTGGTCGACTGTATCAGACATGACAACGTCTCCGTCAGATGCTGATACCAGTCTCTCCTTAGCAGTACGCTCGACTTGTCGCCGGACATCATGGGGGCATCTCTTCCAGAATTCTGCCAACACGTCTCCGCTTATCATAAGGCACTCAACCGCAGTTACCGAACGTACAGTGGCTGTTCTGCGGGGTGCTAGCGACAGACTCACGACCTCCCCAAAGTACTGGCCCTGTCTCAGGCGAGCTTTAACTTCCATACCTTTGTTCGTAAGTTGTTTCTGCCCGTTACGTGGATGACTGTTGTCAGACTTCTCATTGATGACTTCTACTTCACCACGGACAATGAAGTAGATCTCTCTACCTTGCGAGTCTTGCTTAATGATATCTGCGAAAGGGGGGTACGAGCGGGGTTGCGCGTTAAGGCCCAGGAAATGGAGTAAATCGGGAGGTAACCCTGAGAACAGCGGAAGCTCCTTCAGCAGTAGCCGGACATTCACCATGCCATTCGCCAAGGCACTTGCCGTTGATCCATCGGACAACCCTGGACTAGGAGATTTCCGCTTTTTATTTATGCTGTTGATGCTGAGATCCTCCTCGTCAGCGACAGACAAGTCTCCTGAGAAACTGTCTCGAACTCTTTTCGAGCCTCTTCGGTTGATCTCAAAGGCATCTGATGGAGGTGTGGATTGTTGCTTTTTCTTTTTCTCCAGTATTGTCAACCTTTCCTGGGCCTCGTCTCTGATGGCACGTTCTACCTCCGGGAATCGTGGGAGTATCTTCCTGAAATCCTCCTTGGTCAACACAACCAGAAGACAGCGCGTCCGGGCGATGATTGTTGCAGTCCGGGGACGATCCATCAAGACACCGATCTCCCCGAAGAACGCGCCTGGTTTGAGCTCTGCGTATACACTTTCGCAGTCCCGCGACGTCACTGCCACTGCACCCCTCACCAGCCAATACATGGCTTTAGCCTCATCGCCTTCTGTCAAGATGTAGTCGTTGGGAGAGTGCAACTGAGGGCGGAGATGCAATCCAACTTCGGCCAGGAAGGAGTTGGGAGTGGATTGGAATAGAGGAAAGGAACGTATTCGGTCGACAAGGTCCAGGGGCATGCCCTGTATCTGGGAGGATGCCAGTGGTGATGGGCGCACCGGCCGGCTAGGATTCGTTTCGGAATTGAAGGAGCGAATTAGGGAAACCGTCTCTGACACCGGGGCAGCGGCCTTGGTAGACCCTGCGCCGGATCTGCCATGACGGCGCATGATTATTGATTTGGTTCTCGGAGGAGAAATGTCAAGAGTAGATCTCTTGGTGCAGTTAGATCAGGCACATCGTCGCCCGGCTGAGAGCATTGGGTCAATGACGTCGATGGAAGAAGAAGAGTCACCGTAGGGCAGCACACATCGTCGAAGCCCAGTCGCAGCCAACTTTCCGCTGTCCGTCCAGAAAGCAGCCCGGGGAGACAATGGAGATGGGGTCTGATGTCGCTGCGACGGCGGTCTGCAGAATGTGGGACACAATCGATTCACAGCTGGGGGGAATTACCGGGCCGCAGACGGTGGAGGACGAGGACCACGAGCAGATGCCGACAGCAGCTTTGATAATAATACCGGAAACAGTTTCATGCGCGACTTGCGGTGGTAATGATGCAGGGAGAGAAAAGAGAAGATTCCTTGGGGCGATTCGACGTCGGTCCTGAGGCATGAACGATAGCTGGGTTGAAGCTTAAGCTCGTTGAGTCGACCAGAGGTGGGGGAGCAGCGCTGACGAAACGCCGGTCCACGGAGGGGCGGAAAACGATGCTTGCGCTCTCGGTGCTAATCCCAAAGGTTGTGGAACAGCGCAAGTGATGGCCAGAACAATAATAACAATAATGATGATGATGATACCTGTGCTCGATCTGCTCTAGAGTACGCCTTTCTCGACCTTCTCGATTCGGTAATCTCGAAGCCAAGAGAACTAACCGGTCATGTGCGAGCTCAGCTAGGTACTGTCCTGTCCTGTCCTGTCCTGTATTAATATTATTATTTATCCGTCAGCTAAGTTATCGGAGAGACAAGAACGAGGCGCACGGGAGGTTAATCTGGTGGAGCATTCCGCCTTCTCCAGATCCAGAGCACGATCAAGTCAAGTCAAGTCAAGTCATGGGTCATCACTGGTCGAGTTACAAGGCGAGCTGAACTTCTGAGGCATCAGCAGCTTCCCGTGCGCACCGGTTCGTTGTCTGTTCCGTGCGTCGATCGAAGTCTCAACGGTTCTCCAGTTGAACTCGTTTCTGACCGCTCTTACTGTCACTTCGACTTTGACTCCACACAATTGACGGCTGTCGCGGGGCCGTGCAGGGTCCACCGGAGGCCAAAGTCCACGGCGGCAACTTCAGGTTGTACCGTTGTAGTAGTGATAGAGCTTCGCTTCACTCTAGAACCGGTATTTCACTGGAGGGAACAAGCACTAGCAACGATTCACACCTGAGATATAGTAGTCTCGCCTGTGTTCATATCACCATTTGGAAACATTGCAGGTAGAATAATCCGGCGAAACTCAATATAAAGCAAGGTCGACCGCGCCAGGCCGAAGAACCACCTAGTTAGCAGTCCAGCGTGAACGCTAGACTAAGATATCGGACGAATTGGTGGATATCCGTTCCCTGAAAAGGACCAAAGCGAAGTCCAGGAAATAATAGTAGTTACAAATGCATTGGACGTCTACGAAGGACTCCTAGTCGAAGACTAGAGTAAGTCTGGCACGTGTAGACGTCTTGCGCTTAGAAGCTATTCCGCTGCGAATAACTACCTAGGTAACTATCATCTCCTCGATGACCAAGGCAACACGCCAGAGAACAGAGCGTATCTCCATCTTCACGTGGTTCTTACTTACTAGAAACCTCCAGGCTCAAAAAATAGAGGTATTGGAAGCAATTGATAACGGAAATGGCTGGGCAGAGTAACTACCAGGATAATGACATGGCATTGAGATCTATGACACTGGATCGTATGTGGCCTCTCCTAGAAATAGTTACAGGGTCCGAGAACCTACTGCATGGCATCGGTCTGGGCAGTGCCACAACCCGAACCCTCGCAGGGGGCTGGTTCAGCATACTTAACATCCCAGCCCTTGAAAAGCCAAGATGACGTGAGCTGTACCGGAATATTCAATAATGCTGCAGAACCTAACGACTCTCGTCGGCCTGGATAACTGGGCTCTTTTAGAGTAATGAATCTAAGCGCCTCTCGAATCTCGTCAGCTCGCATCCGCGATTCCGGTTCGTATCTAGTATTGGCTGCTTTCCATCCAGTACGAGTAGGAACAGAAATATGGCATGCGATGTATCAGAAATGAAACCTTTTCAAAATCTTCATTTTTGTTTTCTTTTTCTTTTTCTTTTTCTCCTTTCAGCTGTAGCGGACCCCAAAACCACCACGAAACCTATTACTGTAAAGAAAAATCCTCCGTTAAAGTTCGGAGTTAACAAAAATAGACGTAAACAAATACTGCGTTACAAGCCAGGAAAAAATTTGCAGGTTTCATATCTATTCAAGCAATTTGCCGGCCACTATTATACTCTCTTCTTGCGACTTGTATGAGCTCTGCAGGGGAAAAATGATTCATCAATCAGTTAAGGCAGTAGATTCCACATATACTGAGAAGGCTACCGATGTACTGTCCTTCCAAAGTCCTCCTATTTCTAGGCGGTTTCGCATAACTCGCGTGAGTATCAAGGACTCATTTCGGAGGTAACAGTCCACATGGCTCGAGCCTGCGTACACCTTTCGGGCGCTTCCGGTGTCCGTGGATTGCTAAACTCTGGGGTATCAATAATGACAGAAGAGACGATAGGTACCGAAGAGAGGAGTGCGCTGTGTTTCGTGACTCTCCTAGAGTCTCAGGCGGGTCGCAGCTAGCGTGGCAAGTCGATGTGCTCCTCACTTTATGGAGACAGCAATCGAGCTGCATCCGTCCATCCATAAAAGCCCTCAGAGGGCTTAACGGAGAAGTAGACGTAAGCCAATGTACGTTTACCAGAACATGGCTCTGGGTGTCAAGTGCGCCGCACTAACTGTGCTGGCAGTATGGCCTCATAGAACGGTGTCGCTTTCGGGCCGAGACTGCTTTTTGCCGAGTATGAAATTAACATATGCCGGGCGGTTTCCTTTCATGGATTCAAGCATATCTTGCATCAGACCGTACGCAAGACTCAATTTCAAACCGAGTTTCGTCGTACGTGCGGCGGTGTAAACGTCGTGACGAGCTGGAAACACCGTTCAGTCAGTTCGCATGCTAACAAATGGACATATGGAAGTAATGGTGGACCGACCTAATAAACTGTAAATCCCAGAGAAAGACAATCCGGCCGTAACGGTCGACAGGAAGTCCCTGCGATCATGACGTGCATAATCCACTGTCTCTTCGAATAGACAGAACGCCATAGCTCCCGCGCCGAGCTTGAATCCCAATTTCATACCATCCTTAACACCACCAACTATGGACTTGTAGTTCTTGCTCTTGTGATACAGGAACCATCCTGTCGACGTCGTAGGGAACCGATGCGCGTTCTCGGCTCGAAACTGGAAAGCGGCCTTTTTACTGCCGTGGGAAGCACCAATTGCCATTCCCACGCCGAAGGCAGAGGCGGTCGTATAAGGTAAACGGTCTTTGATTTCAATTCCAAGTCGAGGAGGTGTATCCGAATCAAATAGCTTGTACCAGTGTATGATCTTGAACAATGCCGAGTTCTCGTCGGTCTGCGGCGGCTCAGCCTGCAGCGTCGCCATGTTGAAGACGAGTTTGCGTTCCTTCCGATGTTCTTGACTCCTGCTCTCCGAACTGCAATTCGTCGCTTCTTTCTCTTTCAAGAGGAAATAGGAATAGGTTCTAGGCAAGTCTCTTTGGCCTGAAGCTCCGCATGTTCTGAATCGGAGACTGTGCGGGTAACGACCAAGCTTTCTGAAAGGTTGTCGGCGGAACGCGACCCCAATTCTCCGATCTCATCTCCGTGTCAAGACTTCCCCGCCAGAGCGCAAATCCGCAGCGGGCAGATTTGAACTCTACCCTACAATATGGTAAGATCATCACTATTTCCGCCCCTATATCTACATCTGCATGGATATAACTGACCGGACGAAAGGCGAAACCAAGTCCTCTCAGCTGGACATTACTGTTCAGAAAGCACAAGACAACTGTGCTGCTCATGCTACCGCCGAACGAAACTATTACGTCGGCGAAAACTGAGCTCCTCAAAGCTCTCAACTCGCGTGGGCTAAAGGAAATTAACGGTGACTCCGTTCCTGAAGATCCGTCTGAGATCGAATTCGGAGTACCCGTGGACAAAAATGAACTTGAGAAAGGCTGGACGAGACTGGATGTCGAAGTACCAGGACTAGCAGAAAGCGGCACCAAGAAAAAGAAAAAGAACGGAGGGGAGGTTACCCTACAAGGAGCAGATATCAAAGATGGACAGTCTATTGCGTTCAGATTCCGCAAACCTTCTACAGAAGATGCAGGGAAAGATCAGCTTGATCTAGACTTGGAGCTCGAGGATCCCAGCTGGGACGTCATCGTTCCTAGCCTCGATGATGAGGAGCCGGAGTCTTGAAGGGAACAGACTGCAGTAAGAGATCCTATGGGTATGAGGCACTTCATGAGGGGTTCAATATCTGGTTTAGGTTGGCGTTCAATGAGGATTAACTACTGTGGATATGGCTGAGATAATCAACGTTTGCTATGAAAATGTTTGTATGATAGTAGAACAAAGCAAAATCAAGCATTATATTCATCCATTCCAGAGCAGACAAGTCATTCGTTGTCGAGAATCACACATCGAAGGACACTAACAATGTCTTAAGAGGAACTTCCTCTGCTCAGGACCAGATCCCCATTATCGACTATATATTTCATAGCATCTTGCTTCTCGCTGAGGACCACCAGAGTAACGTCACAATCTCGCACGTAATTGTTCTGGAGAAAAAAAAAGAACTTAAAAATACGTCGACGCCATATCTAATCGGCCCTTTTGTCAGGACCGCGGAGTATGTACTCTAATGATTGATATCGGTGTCTTAAGTGCGTGGCAGTTGTAAAGGTGTACTGATAGTTGCGGGAAACTAGTCAACCAACGCCTGTAACTTGTATTTCCACTGGGTTTTTGCGGTAGCCACGCACAACCACTCCACGTGCTGGGTTGCCCGGAGCAACCGGCGATGGAACAACATTCCATGCATCAACAAGCCACAATTGACAACTGGAGCGACCAAACAGCAGCTCTGAGGCTGGAAGGTCCACATCAACATTCCCCCCGATCCAGCTTCTTTTGTGCTTCTTTCCCTCATTCTAGTGACGATATCTTCTTAGGTCGGGGACTATACGCCTGGTAGGGGGTTTCGATATCCGACTTCGACCCCTTATTGACCCTACCTGTCGCCAACGTTGAGCGCCGTGGAACTACATAATGGCTGGTTCGAGCGGCGCGTCATCGATCTCGGTGACGGTCAGAGTCCGGCCGTTTACGATTCGAGAGGCTGCACAGCTTGCAAAATGCGACGATGGACCACTGTTTCTTGGGGACGGCTCCCTAGCTGGCGTTCCCACCCCGAAACTCACCCAGAAAGGCATCAGACCTGTGGTCAAAGTCATCGACGATAAGTGCCTGTATGTCCATCTCCTACTGACGTGTCGGCGTGGAACTGACTTCCTTCCAGTGTCTTCGACCCACCTGAAGACAACCCCGTCCACAAATTCTCCAAGAGCGTCATCCCCAACGGAAAGCGTGTCAAGGATCAGACATTCTGCTTTGACCGCATCTTCGACGAGAACGCGTCCCAGGGCGAAGTGTATGAAGCTACCAGTCGAAGCCTCCTCGATAGTGTACTTGACGGATACAATGCCACCGTTTTCGCCTATGGAGCAACGGGATGCGGAAAGACGCACACTATCACTGGAACCGCCCAGCAGCCAGGAATCATCTTCCTCACCATGCAGGAGCTCTTCGAACGTATACAGGAGAGATCGGAAGAGAAGGTGACAGAGGTTTCCCTGTCATATCTCGAGATATACAACGAAACCATCCGTGACTTGCTGGTTCCGGGAGGCAGTAAAGGCGGACTTATGTTGCGTGAAGATGCCAATCAATCTGTCTCTGTGGCGGGACTATCAAGTCACCACCCGCAAAACGTGCAGGAAGTCATGGACATGATAATGAAGGGCAACGAATGTCGAACCATGTCTCCAACCGAGGCGAACGCAACTTCTTCCAGATCTCATGCCGTTCTCCAGATTAATGTCGCCCAGAAAGACCGCAATGCAGATGTCAATGAACCGCACACGATGGCTACCCTCAGTATTATTGATCTTGCAGGGAGTGAGAGAGCTAGTGCCACTAAGAATCGTGGAGAGAGGCTCTTAGAAGGTGCAAATATCAACAAGTCACTGCTAGCTCTCGGCAGCTGCATCAACGCCCTTTGTGACCCACGGAAGAGAAACCATGTTCCCTACCGAAACTCGAAACTCACTCGTCTGCTGAAATTTTCTCTGGGAGGAAACTGCAGGACGGTGATGATTGTTTGCATTAGCCCCTCCAGCCAGCATTTCGACGAAACACAAAACACTCTACGATACGCGAACCGCGCAAAGAATATTCAAACGAAGGTTACGAGGAACGTGTACAACGTGAATCGACACGTGAAAGACTTCCTTGTCAAGATTGATGAGCAGATGGCTCTGATAAATGAGCTGAAGGCACAGCAAAAGGATTACGAATCGGTAGCTTTCGCCAAATTTAGGAAGCAGAACGAAAAGAAAGAAGGTGTTATGCGGGAAGGAATCTCTCGCATTCGGAATGCGTATGAGCATTCGGCTTCTGAGAGACAGGAAAAGGCGAACAGCATGCTTAAACTGAGACAGGTGTCCCGCAGGATCGGCGTGCTGTCTTCTTGGATAGCTGCTTTCGACGGGGTGTGTGCAAACTGCGAGCGCGAGGAATCGATGTCAAATCTCCAAGCTATTCGAAAGACGGCACAAGGTATTCTTTTTGAGCTGGAAGGGAGCCGGCAGCATTATCACCAAAAGCTGGCAAAGAATAACTGGGAGCGCGGTATCAATTCAGCGCTCGAGCATGGCATCAAGCTGCTTCAAGAATTCGAGACCAGCGACAATACCGACATCGCGAACCTGAAGCGTGAAGTAGAGCTCTTGAAGTTCACTGCTGAGCGTGAGGCCCTCACTGCTATTGCAGAACAGGAAAAGGCAGGAGACGTGGCGATCGTCCAGATGCTGCTCCAAGCTCATTTCGAGACTATTTCTTCAATCGAGAACATTATGCAGCTCAGTGAAGAAGAGGCAGTTGAAGCAGGCAAAAAAATCTTGATGAAAATGCTCAACTCATGTTCAAGCGCAACGTCAAATGTGGTGAAGCCTGACGAAAACTTGCCTCAGATTGACTTGTCTTTCTCCCCTCCGAAACCAGCACCCGCACGCCGCAAGAAGCTCAGCCTAGCTGGACCCAATCCAGTCCTGACACTGAACACGAATACAGCAATTGCACCTCCCTTGATTTCTCCGACGAAGGGCTCACCACGTCGACGCAAGCTCGGCATCGCCAGGAAGGGTGTCAGCTTTACACCGAAGAAAGCTCAGTCTAAGACGGCGAAGAGAAGCGTCCGATGGAAAGATGATGAACAGGATGGTTCTCTGGCCGAATTCGAGAAGACGCCGCAGAAGGCGCAGCCAAATCCTGAGGTCTCTTCTGACGACACATCGCTGCTGAGAGCATCTCCAATACCACGTGCATCCCCAGCACGAGGTATCCCAATTCCCACTCGCTTGGCCAGTCCGTCACTCGGTTCCTCGCCAATTTCTACGCCACCAGAACCGACATTGAACATTCAGAAGAACAGCAGCAGATTCACGACTGGTTTCCTCTCCAAAAAGTCCAGCAGCTCCCCAATTCAGCCGCCAGTGGCAAGCCTCCCCTTGTCCGACAATGATGGCTCCCCACTCCGGGATATCGAAAACAGCAGTTTCTTCAACCGCTCTTCTCACCATCGCTCTTCTCTCGACCGCCCCTCCAGGATAGCGGTGCGAACTTCTAGCGGTAGTTACACCAGCAGTCCTAGTCGCGTCTCGGATACGGAAGACAACTGGAAGACCACCAAAGCAGACGCAATAACGATCAGCGCTGCAATGAGACGAATTTCGAGTTCTCATATCGGTAGCACAAATTCAGCCAACGTGAGCCGTGCGCACCGCCGTCGAAGCCCAACGGCGGCTTCATTGGGCACCTCTCCTAATGAGAACGCCATGTTCACGGCCTCCCAGGCTCGCAGGATGGTGAAGAGTGACAAAGAACATGACGTCAAGCCCAGCGTGCTGGGACCTCGCACTGTCCCGATCACAAAAAGCACCGGCCAAAGACGCACCACTCTCGGGGATATACGACCGAGAGAAGTCAGTCTGACAAGCAGGGATGCCATCAGATTGAGCACAATGGCGGCAGGGGGCACTGGCGGTTCTCGCAGCAGTCTCATGCCATCCGGCAAAGGCACTTGGAGATAGATAACTTGTCCATTTGATTTGGGGGTCTCTGGCGAACGTAGATCATGACAGGTGTTTAGGTTTCTTATACCAACTTTGTTTTCATTATGACATTGAAGGGTTATTGGTTCAACCGGTCGGTTTGGAGTCATGGTTTCAGGAACGAGAACGAAGGCATTGGTGGGCTTGACGTGTTGATGACACCCGGTCAGCATTACTGTCTGTCCCCTCTAATAATATTTTGTTGCCTATATTTTGTTCTTATCCCTATAGTTAACTTCTGCACTGTAAAATATCAAGTCTCCGTCCTGGGATCAAGCAACCAGCAACCGACAAAAATCACGTGCTCACTGCAGCTTCCTTCAAACAAAAAGGAGACAATTTGAGTTGCAAATTCTATCTCCATTTGATCTCGAAAAAGAGAATTGCAATGTGGACTCAGCAGCTACTTGCAATGGGCGCGAAGTAGTTACCTAGTTACCTCATTAGAGCTTGTCGGAGGATTTGTCATGCTGCAATGACGCCACTGGCTTCACCATCGCATAATTGTCGATTGCCTGGCAGTTACTGTCCGAATCACTATCTTGTCTAAATCTACAGCTTCACGAAATCTGAACCATTACTGAACCTACAGAATAGTCCCATCGTGCCTTTGAAGCATATTTCTCTCTACGCCGACGTTTTTGTAACGGTAATAATAGCATCCCCGCTTCCGATAACGATCGATCGCGACCGCCCCTCTCCGCGACCCAGCAAAAATAAAAAGGGAAAATTTCCTGGGAACACCCAGTACGTACACAAATAATAGATGGCTTTCGCCGCATCTGCGATTGCACCGACTCTATTCTCACGCCTCTTCCGGCCTTTCTCGACTAGCTTTCCATCCTTTTCTCTCACATCATCTGAATCGATCGCGTCGCGAAACATGTCGGACAACGCGCAGAAGGCGACCCTGGCGGCTGGTTGCTTCTGGGGAGTGGAACACTTGTATCGGAAACACTTTGGAAATGGGAAGGGACTTCTGGATGCCAAAGTTGGATATAGTGGTGGACAGAGTGATTCGCCGACTTATCGCGCCGTGTGCTCGGGGACGACTGGTCGTATGTCTACCAATTATACTTCCTTCCCTGCTGAGATCAATTCCGTAAAATAGTTCTAACAGATATGTTCCCTTTTGCGGGGAAATAATTAGATGCCGAGTCGCTACAGATTACCTTCGATCCCTCGAAAGTCACTTATCGCCAGCTCCTAGAATTCTTCTACCGCATGCACGACCCCACGACGGCGAACCGACAGGGTCCAGACGTTGGCACGCAGTACCGTAGTATCATTTTCACGCACAATGACGAGCAGGAGAAGACCGCGAAGGAGATCACCGAGAAGGTTGAGAAGGAATGGTACAAGAAGCCCATAACCACGCAGATTGTGCCTGCAGGCCAGTGGTGGGATGCAGAGGAGTACCATCAGCTGTACCTAGAGAAGAACCCTAGTGGCTATGAGTGCCCTTCTCAGTATGTGTGCCCGGATCCTTTAGGGGCTGGATATGTTGTCTGGCAGATGCTGACTGTTGACTCCCGCGTAATATAGCTTCATTCGAGATTTCCCTCCTCTCTCGGAGTGACTAGCCCCTAAACTATGATAGATGGGGCCGAAACATGACAGGGATATACCGATGCTGCCCGTTGAATGCTCCGAGGTATATAGTGATCTCGAAAGAGATGGGGAGACCAGGTTGCTTCTTACGGCGCCATATAATTGACAGTCGGTGAAGCTGTACAGGACTTGTTTACCGGAGCATTCTATCTAGCAAGTTAGCAAATTACACCTTTGTTAAGCGATAGGAAAGCTCTCTTGGTGGAAACTGGTCTGTCATGTTGCCCAAACTCAAACAGCACCTGAGAGCCAGATATAAATACTAGTGGGCCTTTTTCTATGATCGATCAACGACATATCTCATATTCAGGGCTGTTTTCCACTGTTCATGGCAGGTGTGAAGATCCTAATCCATCATCATCATCATCATCATCATCACGTGAAGTGGGCGGGAATGCTCCGATACAGTAAGACAGCGCAGACCGATAAGATCGCCCAACTACAGTTCATCGAATCAGCCGGACTGCAGTAGAATGAGGGGTATGCAGTAGCAGCGTAGTAGTGAGCCCAAAGAACGCGAATTTACTAATACATAATCCCTCCTCACGGATAAGATCCGGTGGAGACAGACTGGGTCCAGCATGCAGGGCATGTTGGGATGAGATGAGATGAACTGCTGTTCTCTGGCCACGCCCGTGGTCGATTATATCCAAAGAGATCTAAAACGATATTATATTTTCATGTTTTGTAACAGATGTTATTCTATTGAGTGATATGGATATTTAAGCAAGGAATTGCAATATCATACTGTAGTCACAAATATTCAATCAAGGCGAGCATACCTGGGTGTTCACTGTTTCGTCATCAGTTCTACAGTACCTAGCTAGATGAGTGTCCAACTATCGAATCTCGAGCAACCTCATCTCCTAAAATAGGAACTACATAGGTATCCGTGTTACCAAAATATTGGTCTTGAAGGTCTCCATAGATAAGCATACAACCGGGCCGGTGATAATTGACATGGCACGCCTCCGATCACCTGGAAAGGTTGCTGGCCGGCCCGGACATCGTCCCGGTGACATAGGCGATCGTATCTGCAGATAACCCTGTACGCTTTGTTCCTTATCCGGCGTATCTGGGACGCTGTGCTGGTTTGCGCTCAGTGATATTATATAACCTTTCGATTGCGCTGATGTTGGCATTAATTCCCGTCCTCTTAGGAGTACGAGTTAATTAACGGAGTGCTCTGTTGTTTGTAGGTTGCGATAAGAACTGGAGTTTATACCTCTATCTTGCTGCTTGTTCAAGAGCTCCGTCGAACCGTGGTTTCTCTGTACAATCGGTGTATCTGGGGAAAGTGCAACGCTTACGGAGAACTATATTTCTATATTCCTGAATCTTGGTAAGGCCAGTTTCTATATAAGCATCGCACTTGTCTCCCCAGCAGTGCCAATCTTTTACGCTCAAGAGGACGACATATTCACAAGCCAAAATGACAGATAAGTGAATGCAAGCCATGATAAGGAACAAACCGATTCTTTTCCCTGGTCGAACCCTGACTGGCGGTGTTCAATATATCAACCTACACGAGTCTGTCGATTGGATTAGGAACACGAGATATGTATCACACATTGCCAGCCATCGTCCTAGACGATCCTATGTCCCGAATTCAAATCTTCTTTCGATAAGGAGATCACACGTGGAAGTACGGACACCTACTCTTGAACGCAGCAAGAAAGAAAATCCGCTTTCTATCCTACCTCTCAGTTCCGTTATCAGATCATTGTTAGTTACGACGGTTTCTTCTTCTCCAGTCTTGCTGTCACCATGCATGCGGTTGTTGTCATTTTTGGCCGGTTCAAAATCAGCTTTGCTGGACCCCGACAGAAATTCTCTCTTGAGATATATTCTCTCAAAGACAGTCTATACCCAATTTTGTGCTGGTGGGACTCCGCAGGAAGTCAAGGCATATATCCAGAACCTGAAGAGCAGGGGTTACACAGGAGTTATTCTCGGATATGCAAAAGAGGTTGTGATGGATGAAGATGAAACAAGTGTCAGTGGGGTGTCTATAACAGGAAGGATTGAAGATGCTGCCGAGGAGCAAAAGAATGTACGGGAGATCCTTGAATGGAAAAACGGAACCATGAAAACTGTCGAACTGGCAGATGAAGGTGATTTTGTGGCTTTGAAGTTCACAGGTGCTGGTAAGCAAGCCTTGCAGCATTTGCTCCGCAAGCTACCTCCTTCACCCCAGCTGGAAAAGGCCATCATCGAGATATGCGACACGGCGAAGCGGCGTAATGTCAGGTTACTGTTTGATGCCGAACAGCAGGCGCTGCAACACGCAATTGACGAATGGACACTCGAGTTCCAACGTAGATACAACAAAAAGGAGGAGCCGCGTGCGTTGATATACGGAACTTATCAGGCATATCTGCTCTCGACGCCAGCAGTCCTTGGCCGTCACCTGGAAGCGGCGCAAAGAGAAGGGTTTATCCTAGGTGTGAAACTCGTCAGAGGTGCATATATAGGCAGCGATCCAAGGCATCTAATATGTCGGACAAAGGAAGAGACGGACAGACAATACGATGGTATCGCAAACTCATTGATCACGAGAAGGTATGGTGAAATCCTTCGTGCGCCTGCAGAATTATCGACAACCGGTGCCAACCAAGGACCATTTCCGTTCCCTCGTGCGGACCTCATCCTTGCAACTCATAACCGCGCCTCAGTCAAGAAAGCAAGAGCTATCCGTGATCAACAAGTCCGCGAAGGCCAACCTTTGATTGAGATGGGATATGGCCAACTGCAGGGAATGGCAGATGACATCAGCTGCGAACTTGTCGAAGAAGGGAAAGAAGCGCGCGAGAGCCATGTCCTAGATGGGGAAGTTCCAAGGGTGTATAAGTATCTCGTCTGGGGTACTGTTGGGGAATGCATGGAGTACCTGGTTCGCAGAGCGCAGGAGAATAAAGACGCTGTTTCAAGGACAATGGATACCAGAAATGCGATGTCAACAGAATTGAAACGGAGAGTTTTGAGAGTCAGCAAGAGACCATGACCTATAATAATCGCGAAGACGTTCATATGGTTTCTCTGAAGCTATTCCTCTTGCAAGATTTCTTTCGTTGCGAGTTCTCTCTCAAGATTCCATTATAAAGTTCAAAGCCATAATAATGACTTGCATCGCGTTATGTTAAAATTGCTATATAAGATTCGCAGTATATCAGTGACAAGGATGATTTGCTAGGAGTGCGGTGGGCTCCCTCGACGCAGCAGAATAAGGAGCGCTCCGCTCAAACACCACTCTCTTTGTTCCTGACGACAGGCCACCAGACCTCGTCTCTCATCCGATATCAGTTCTGCAATATTCATAGTGAGAAGCGATTGAAAGTTTCATGGAGTCTCTGAATTCTGCACGAGGCTCCTCCAACGTCTGATATGAGTCTATGAATTGGGCGTATCCTCTCGTATGTTATGCTCCTCTGACTTCCCTGCTAGATTCTTCGCTTCTTACCATATTCATCCTTCAATCTAATTCTTTGACATCTAGAAGCAGAAGGCCAGACTATTCCACATTTTGGTGAAACTATCGGCAAAAGGGTGCTCACTGGCCTTCGTCTAGTCAAGCCCAACCTCGCGTCCAGGTGCAGTGGGATCTCTTTGATGACATACACATCCCCGCTAACACTTTCAACTGCAATAAAGAACATCTCAATCTGTTTTTCTTCTCAATCATCCCGTTTCTCAAGGGGAGCCGAATTTTGTCTTAATCATGGTCCATACTATTGACGGCGCCATGGCGGAGGCCTTGAGCTGCCTTCGTCTGGTTTCCAACCAGGTTGGTCTCATACACGGGTGACAGGTCTCCCTGGCTAGATTGTACTGACACGATAATACACGATCATAAGTTTCGCGCGTATGGCAGAGCTGAGGCCGCGAACGCTCTGGGAAAGCTCAGCGTCGAGCTTGTTAGCGCCTTTTCTGGAGCTGTCCAGGATCTTCCTACTGAAGCTTACTTGTTCAATGACAATGTATGTCCAGACAATGCAAAACCGGCGCGTGTCAATGTATTTTGTGATATCGAATGAGTTTGACAGATATATAGTGTCCTGCACGTCACGCCAAGCAAGAGAATGAAGAGAAGGAAGTCAGTGACATACCTTCTCTTGGAACTCATGAGAAGCAATATGTGGTAGGAGCAAGCACACCGAATGGATGAACTTTGAAGAACTAGATGAGAACTGATCTGTCGTGTAGTTCCCCTTGGTGCCAGAGAAGCTGCAGCAGCCGATGATAATACCACCCTTCAAGGAGAACTTGGCTCCAGTCGCGACGCCAATTCGACCTATTCCATCAATCGCAGAAAGCATTGCGCAGATCGCACAGTCAGCGCAAGCCCAGATAAAGCCACCCACTCCCCTCATGGAGATGGACCAGAAACAATCTATGCTCACTTATTTAGCCCTGGCAGAGCAGACCATTTCTGCCCCAGGGGCAGTGATAAGCGAGGAAGAACGCAAAGCTGGCGTCGTCTATCTGCACGGAAATGTGTTCCAGAACTTCATCCGTTTTGTCACCGCGCGCATCCACGAGGGACCGCTGCAGGAGATCGTGATCGAATCGACCCAAAAGACTAAGATCGTATTCCTGTACGCAGCCAATGCCAGGGAGTTTGTCAAGTCGAATGAGCAGAAACTGGCCACCACGGGAGTCTCGCGCTTCGGTGCCGGTTACACGGTGGAACTAGTAGAGTCAACCGCGTGGAACGATAACCAGTTCATGATGATCCACCCGTTCAAGGAACGCCGGCGTCTCACCTTTGCGAGACAGAAGCTGTTCTCGCAGAATCTCACGGCTGCCAGATGGAGAAGGGATATTGCGGAGATCGTGGGGCCCCATAATATTGATTTCCTTTGGATCTTCAATTCTGGGAATGGTAGGTTTCTCTCTCTCCACGAACCGTTAGGGCTTTTCTTCTTTCTATCAGATCAGCATGCTGACTTGGATCCCGCAGCAACGGCTGTCTTTACCAGTACCGTCGTCGCCAGGAAGGTCCTGGAGAGATTCAAGAAGCTGAAAGTCTCTCGTGGCAGCGTCTACCAGGGTGTGGATGTATCTTACTCCAGCGATCCCTGTGAAAAAGAGCTGCACTTGACCACTCAGGCGAAAACTCCTTATCACGCTTTGCAACTTCCAGCCGGCCCATGATCATCACATACTTCCAAGTTGTTGTTATTATTTCAGAAAATTGGTCGAAGCCGATGGACCCGTGGTTAGGATTGGTGTTTGGGGTTGGTGTTTATCTATTGCTCGCGTTGGGAACGTTGACTTTGCAAAACAAATGGTGAAAGGAAGAATATTCCACGAAGGGATCGATACATCGCGACTCCAGGACCAAGTAACGGCAGTATGTACGTACTTTATTTTGAAATCCAATGGTCTTGTGTGTTAATGGCAATGACATTTACAAACCGCTCATAGAATATCCTAGAATCCTATGCACTATGAGATTTGATTTGAGATCGTATACTATCCTCAATCATACATGGAGTGCACATAAATCCATGAATACTTCCGTAAGGAAAAGCGGTTAAGAGAGTAAGGGATGCCGCGGCAATTTCCTCGCCCCCTTGCTTCTTTCTCGGTGAGTCACTCTTATCGGTTTGAAGGTCTCCTTTAACCGCGCAAGCATTGACCTCAGCTGGAATGGTGCTAAGCTTCGCTGTCAATCTGTACCATAGCGATTCGCATGTCTCAAGCATTATGCCGCGCCCTCACAAAATGGAGAGGATAGGCATGAAGAATGCACGGCACCCCACCGATGGTTGGTTTAGAGTAGGTCGGCACTTAAATCATCGATGCAAAGCACGGATATGAAGTCATCGATGGGACTCTAGCAGGTTTACCGTAATAAGAAGCGTTATTCCCGCAACAGCGTTGGGTTGACTGTTTTTGCGGTGCTTTTATGGGGCAGATAATGATACCTAGTGTCCAGTGTCTTAGATCCTTGGGGGGTTAGCACGTGTTCCACCTCCAGTTGCTCCCAGGGGCAGATTATCCTTCAGACGAGGTCCTTGCGCGAATATATCAACGTCGATCCCCCATTGGGATTATCACTTTGATTCTGATCTGCATTTAATAATGGCAGAAGATGGGTTTCTGTTCAGCGCAATGCTATGCAGAGCTTTGGGGGAGTGGGAATCGGTGGCATGATTGTGCAACTAATCGATCGATATGTGATAATTAGCCAATCGAAGCAGAAAGTGTCGGACACACAGAGGAACCAACCTTTTAGAGAAGCTTCGAGGCAAAAATGTATCTAGACTGGAGGAACGGCATTCGCCGCTCAAGGACAGACAAATTTAGCGGCATCCGGCACTTTCAGCAGCTTGATCATGCGGATACGCCCCCAACTAAGAATAGCATAGCATGTCCGTATTCCATTGCTGGATTAACTATCTGGGTGCCTTCATGTTCCAATTGCCATGATCCCCTTCTTTGGCCACCTCAGACTCAGACACGGCAACGGATGGACCCTTAACTGGCAGCAATCGCGAGGGGGTAGATATGGTAGATCCATCAGGAGTCTTTCGGATGGTGATACTGTCGCAGTGCCCTACGAAACCCCATGGTTCGTGGGTATTGTAGCCCTTTGCGACCCCAAGGTTCAAGTTCTCATATCCTGCTAGTTTCAGAACAGTTAACGGGGTAGCCACTGAAGTGGCGGCTTCGGATCCGTTGAACCATAAATCGCGTAGCGAGATGCCCGGGTCCCTTGAAAGTTGATGCTGGTGGCCAAGTAGGTTAGCCATGGTCAGGGATGAAGAAGGGATCCTACGCGACGTTTCTAGCGCTGAACTGGCTTCCGCCCTAGCCGGAAGATGTTCAGCGCAACTCAAGGGCTGTCCAGAAGATCCAATAATAATAAAAATGATAGACCAGCAGGCAATCAACCAGCCTGGAGTCTTGGACTGTTGGAGACGGCGTGCAAAGCATCTCCCCACAATAATGACCTCCCTAATTTACTTGCCCAGGCCCTGCTAACTAGTTCGTTGACCCAGACCAGACCACTTGCTACATTAATATTACTTCTGGGCTTCGCCTTTCCCCTCGTTTTCTTTCGTCTCTTCCTTTTCCAGCTCGGTCAACTTCAGAGGAAGAAGGCAATCCACGTTCGCTCCCGCTGTACTTTGCGGCCCTCCATCGCGGCATCCCATCGTTATCCCGCCGCCGTCTTTCGTTAACAAGCCGACTCAATCGTTACTGCCTTATAATTGAAAACGTCCCGGAGCCAGACGTGGTGTTGCATTTTTTTTTTCTTAGTACATTCTTCCTCGTATATACGCGCGCAAGAGATACCCTTCTGTCAAAATGGTTCGCCTTGCTACGACCTTGCTGTTGGGCGCTCTGTCCGCCTCTGCTGTGTTGGCCGACACCACGACATGCAGCCCCGACAATAAATGTCCGTCGGACAAGCCCTGCTGTTCGCGTGAGTGACAGACGATACCGGCCCAGTGGGTTGAGAATATAGCAGCTGATTGCATTTCGACATATAGAGTATGGTGAGTGTGGCACAGGCGCATACTGCCTGGGTGGATGTGACCCACTCTCGTCCAACGCGCTCGACTCTTGCACTCCTGCGCCAATCTGCCAGAGCAAGACCTACAACTTCGACAACCTCGATGGCATCGAGGCGAACACCAAGTACCTGGGTGATGCCAGCAAGGCGGACTGGGTGTCGAGCGGCCAGCCGCTGTCGAGCAACGGCTCGCTCGTCCTGACCATGGCCCCCAAGACCGTTGGTACCCTGCTGGCCAACAACCACTACATGTGGTACGGTAAGGCCACTGCCAGACTGAAGTCCAGCCGCGGCCAGGGTGTTGTGACGGCTTTCATTCTTCTGTCTGATGTCAAGGACGAGATCGACTACGAATTTGTCGGTGCCGACCTGGAACATGCGCAAACCAACTACTACTTCCAGGGCATTACGGACTGTAAGATCGTGCATATCCTACTTTGGGGGAACATGCCTTACTGATTGTTCATTTCGCAGATGATAATGGAGCCAACGCTTCTGCTTCTGACACTTTCGACGACTGGCACACCTACGAGATCGACTGGACCCCAGATCAGATCACCTGGTCCATTGACGGCCAAGTTAACCGGGTCAAGAAGAAGTCCGAGACATGGAATGCCACCGCAAACCGTTACCAGTTCCCGCAGACCCCCGCTAGAGTTCAGCTGTCTCTCTGGCCCGCCGGTCTGAGCACCAACGCTCCTGGCACGATTGCTTGGGCTGGTGGTGAGATCGACTGGGACAGCGAGGACATCAAGGAGCACGGTTACTACTACGCTCTGTTTGACCAGGTCACTATGGAGTGCTATGACCCTCCTGCTGGCGCCAACATCCAGGGCAACAGCTCTTACATCTACACTAGCTATGCGGGTACCAACAACACTGTCGAGATCACCGACAAGCCTACCGTTCTAAGCTCTTTCGAGGCCACCGGCACCAACATGACCGCGGGTGCTTCTTCGGCCTCCTCGAGCGCCTCCAGCACCGCCAGCGGTGATGACACCGTCCCCGGTGTCAAGGGCGGTTCTGGAGCGGCGTCGGACAGTGGAAGCAGCAGTTCGAGCTCGAGCTCTGGAACGAGCTCTGGAACCAGCTCTGGTTCTGGATCTTCCACCACTGGCTTCACCCAGGGTGGCTCCCAGAACAACGGCGCTCTCTCCCAGAACGAACGGGTGCTGAGTGGTTCCCTGTTCGCCGTTCTGGTTGCTGTGGTCGTTCTGGTTGCTATGTAAATTGTACTTTTTTGCATGCCTAAGGTTTTGGTAACTCCTCTTTCATGGACAAATTTTCTTTTCTTGAGAATGGGGTTCAGTTGTCAATCCTTATTCCAAACTTTATCGGGCAATATACTCCCCCATGCGTGCGCTTTTGAGAGTTCTCTAGTACATTTTAATACCCTGGGTAATCAGTTATGAGCCAGTATATTCATGTCTCAAGATGTCATAATACCATGAAGTAAGTCCTCAATATAGAGGCAACCTAGTTTTGATCCTTCCATTACATTTTGTCACGTCCGGGAAGACCAAACCGGAGATCCTACTTTCCTTTTCTCGAGTGTGGTCTAGCGAGTTATGATCTACTTTTGACTATTCCTGTTTATTATACGATGATGTACGTCAGTTTCTGCTAGCAACTGAATGTTATTTCAAAGGAGGCAACCCCCGGATTTGATCTGCACTGTGATATCACGTAAAAAGCTCCTGACAACACTGCCAACCCCTGGGCCGCATGGTACGGAAGAATACACGGGATAGCGCATACTAATTAGGCCGATCTAGACACGGCTAGTAACATACCCCAGACGCTTATGGAGTAAATCAGTAAGGATCAACCTCATCTCTGATTATGTTACCGGTTATCTGTTATTCTGGTAGATGCCATAACAGGCTATGCAAAGCTGCTGATGATCCCGGCCGCGACTGCCTGGAAATATTTCGAAGATTAGTTGAACACTTCTGACAACCTCTATAAAAGACATGTTGGGTATCTGCCCGGTCTTTGCAACATTGTCCATGTCATCCCTAAGCCTAATTAGGGGTTGTAAATGGTAAGCCTGGGATCTATGGAGTACAATGGAGTGGCATCCACTCAAATCTGAGTCGGACCGTTAGATCTGAAAGAAACGGCAGCTTGCAGCGGACCGTGTCAGTATCCGCAAACCTTCTATCCCTGTTTCCCGACCATATGTCTGAGTCCGGATTATGATATCAATGACTGCACATAATGGTCCTGTCATCGTTTCTGTCTTGCAATATAGTATAGATGGCCATTCTTAGTCTCCCCATTAAATCTGTCCACAGACACCGCTTTCAATACCTGAACACCTACACCTTGGTGCCACAGCTAACGCCTGATTCCCTTTGTCGTTTGCTGCCTTCTCGGTTGCTTTCTGACAGGGTACCTTCATTTATCCCTCCGGTCACACCAATAGCTATTCTTTGCTGACAAGCTTGAATGACGTGGATACACTCTTGAGTTCTGTAAAGATGTGGGCGAAGATCTTACTGGCAGTCCCAGAAATGTGTAATGGCGATTGATTCCAACCTCTCAAGAGTGTCTGGGAATAAAATACAATAAGATATTTGCTTTCCAATACATACTGATTCTCTTTTGATTCACTCGTTTTCATGTTCTTCTGAATCATGCTTTGATCAAGGAAAACATTTCCTTCTTCTTATTCTTCTCTCTCTCTCCATTCAAACAGCGGTGTTATACCTCTGTGCTTATGGGCCGCATCATTGACTTCATCTGAAAGGGAACAGCCAGGCAAACAGTTAAAAAAGATTCGTGGACATGAAGTTGACTACTTTTGATCCAGGGGATAAAACCCATGACGTTGTACCTTGTTTTTTCTCCCCCTGTTTCTTCTTCTTCTTCTTCTTTCCGTTTCTCACTCTCTTGAGCCTGTTTAACTGATTGAATTCTGACGAGTTCTGAGACCCTTTCTATTTTGAAACGCTCGGTTAGATCTTGTGTATTCTCCGCAGGAAAGGAGCAAAAGCTATTTTTGGGTTTCTTCATCCCCGTCCAGAAGATCTCTGATATCTCATTCAGTATATCCCGTCAGAGGAAAAGAGACAACTCTGGGGGAAAAGGGGAAGACGGCACTGATTCTACAGTCGTCCATTCTGACTTCTATTCCACATTTCCCTTCCTTGCGTCTTTCCTCGAGAAGACGACGAAAAGCTGAAAGACCGTCGAGCTTATTCATTATATGGTCAACAACCGCCCTTCCTATCCTTGTCCTCAAGGAGAAGAAGAAGAAGACAAAACGAAGAGCCTACCCCCCAATATGTGTAGATACATAGCCTTCACCCACTCAGGCTGTGGACACCTTTGCTTCAAAGTCGCGATATTCTGCAACTCTCTATACAACGAACTTCAGCGAATCAACGATCCTTACCAACGCCAAATGTATGCGCTCCCATTCGATCCGCCGGACTGTCGGCCACGACTGGGATATAATATCATCGACTACAAACCAGGTGGTTGGCGATATTGTCCGACTTGTTTGGAGAACCTGCTGGGTGGTACGCCGGGTTTCGCTGGTTCCTATGGGAGGGATTCTCGATGAATACCTCATGATGGACATTATGGATCATTATTTGTTTCTGAGAACTGCGTTGGGGCGTGGTTGCTGGTCTTGGTATCCGGGTTAGGTTATCAAGCTGGGAGGAAAAAGGGTTTGGATAAGCTTCTTACATCTGGGCATTAAGTTTTTGTTAGGAATACCTACCAGAGACTAGGATCGTATGATCGGATCGTCTTTTTTCTTTCCTTTCGTTGATGATTGATCCTCTCTGTACATTACGTGGAATTGTAAGATGATAAATAAGTTCGTGTCGGCTTCAGTTGGTGATAATAAGTATTTAGGATAGATGAGACTATTATTAGCATGTGCGTAGATATTCAAGACATCTGAATATTTTCAGCTTGTATTTATTCACAACCCACTGATTTATACGTCCATATTCTAGGGGGGGACAAAAACTCCTTATGCGGTATCCACTGTGAGAGACGGCAACGATCCATCATCCTACGACCAACGTGAAGAAAGCTTAGCCTGAGAAATCTTACGGAAATTATCGAGAAAATGCACTGATATGACCAAAATGGAACGCCTAGCTCGGATAAAACAGATCAAAAGGATAAAAATTAGTGGATCGCGCCGCAGCCACAGCTTCGGCTGTCAATATGCGTAATCTCATCATCTGCGCCGGCTTCTGTGGAGCGTTTCTTGAAATCGCCATGGTAGGTGTCAAGGGCATCAGTTCGGACGTCCTCGCCGAGAGGATTGCCCATCCACAAACTGTCGCTGCTCTGGAGCTTCTTGGTCACTGCGTCGACGTCGACGTCGAGATAGTTGGCCAGGAAGTGGCCCACTTCAATGTTCTCGTGGTTACCGACCAGTGGCCAGGCATCTGCGCCGGAGGAGGCATAGATGTTCACGTCAACGCCTGCAGATATGTTAGTTAAATCATCCAGTATCATCAAAGGGCTGTTCCAACTTACCGGAGTGACCGTGCGTGGACCAACCGATCTGCGACCTTCGGCTGATGATATCAGCGAAAACATAGCTGGCTGGCCATTGCGCATTACTCTCGATTATAGCGTCGACCTCTTCATCAGTAGCATCAGAGATCCCGAGTCCCTTCCGCAGGAGCTCCTCTCGGATATAGGTACGCTCGGTCAGTCTGTTCCTCTTCTCATCGCTGCGAAGATAGTCGTTGAGCTTAGCGTGCAAGTACTCAGAGGAGTGGCTGGCGTTGGCTAGTACTCCTGGAAGCCACAAGTAGTCAGGATAAGACTTGTGTAGCTGTCTTGCTGCGGCAAGACCGCCAGTCTCGTGGTCAGAAGTGCTGACCAGCACACCGGGGGTCGAGTCATTCTCCAGGAATTCCAGAGCCGCAGCGAAGGCCTTGTCGTATGCGAGAACTTCGTGTACCTGCGCAGCTGGGTCATTACCATGTCCAGCGTGGTCGATACGCGAGCCTTCGATCATAATGAAGAATCCCGTGTCACTGTCCCTGGTCGCCTCGCTAAGCGTCTTGAGGGCAGTGCGAGTCATCTCCTCCAAGGACGGGTATACATCGTTGGCGTGGCGGCGGTCGATTTCATAGGGGATGTCTCCTTTCGCAAAGAGGCCCAGAAGAGGCAACTTAGCCTCAGCACCTCCATTCAGTGCATCGAATTCATCCCGAGTCTGGATATAGTTGTAACCGCCCTTCTCAGCGAACTCAATCAGATCACGGTCATCGGCACGGCAGCTTCCATCGGTCGTGTTTGGCAAAAAGTGACAGCGGCCACCTCCAAACATGAGATCCACGGTCTTTCCCAGAGGGTGATCCCCAACCTCCTGTGCCGCGATGATATCCTCATAGTATCGCAGATTGGCGTGGGAGGCGAAACAGGCCGGCGTGGCATCGGTGATCCGCGTCGTCACGACCAACCCGGTCTTGTATCCCTTCAGGGCAGCTGCTTCAAGGACCGTACCGCAAGGGGAGTGATCGGGGAGGACAGAGATAGCACCGTTGTAGCTCTTGAATCCACACGAGAAAGCCGTAGCTCCAGCCGCAGAGTCGGTCACCAAGCTCGAGCTCGATCTCGTCCTCGAGCTACCGATGAGATGACGGTCCAGTACCAGAGTATCATCCACAGGCAACCCCTCCACCAGCTGTCTCCAGCTCCTCGTCATCTCCAGACTGGTCGGGCCCATTCCATCCGACACCATGAAGATCAAGTTGCGTTTGCCCGTCGGCTTGCCGTTAGGGCCCCACGACCCCTTCGAATCGTGCTTTCCGGTCGATCCATGCTGCAGAAAGACAGAGAGAATGATGACGGCGACAGTAGCTACTAAAGCCCAGGTGAAAAGACCAATCTCTCGCCAGAGAGCCCATCCACGGCGCTCCTGACCGCGATTCGTCCGCTGTCCGGTCAGAAGAGCATCTTCCTCCTCTTCGTTACGGATGGACGACCCATCGGTCGATGGGCGGGGAACCAGCAAGGGCTCCTGACGCGCCATCTCTCAGAAAAAGGGCAAACGAGAGTGTTTCAACGAAAAGAACGAGTAGAGTATTATGTCTATCAGGGAGAGGAAGCTCGATGGAGTTGGGAGGCCGTTATGGCATGTGGTTCACTAAGGGCTTGGCGGCAGGAGGACGCTATACAATACCCATACATCACCGCGATACCGATGGTTTGGGAACCACCAGCGCCGATCAAGTCCTAACTGAAGCTCCTAGTTAATTTTATTCATAGATAATAAAGCTGGGGATACGCTTCTATTTATCCAATAGGTCCACGCCTCTAGATGAAGAATCAAGCGTTCCTGGAAGAGATGAGACATAGGTTGATAGTATACAGTATTACTATAGATACCAATTACGAAACGGGCGTGTGACAGCACATAGCGCCCCAGCCCCCATCAAAGCACCAGCCAGGCACAAGTATCTAACTATCGTAACTGGTGCCTGGTGCTAGGAACTAATTAGCATCGGACCAAAGAGTAGAGTGCAATAGTTCGACACCGCTCATTCATCGTGACCTCCATCCAATCGGTATCATTGCTGCTGCAACTTCAGTGACACCGCGCTCGGTTGCCAGCAGATTGAACTGAGCAGCTGCATTCCTGGTATCCTGTACTTCAACCCGAATTCCCAACAGATTGATGTGCTTTCTTGTCTCCGGCGAAAGCGGTGCCATTTGGCCTCCGACTCCAAGGATGAGTAGATCTGGAAAGAGGTGATATAATTGTTAGTAACGAAAATAGAGAGAATAGGTAATGAGACAAGAGGTCGAAACACACCAGGTCTAGGCCACACCAAGCTCAACAACCCCCATGCTTCCTCCGGGACCTCAAATTGACCCTTTGCATTGAGCATCAACCCCTTCTTATCATCTCCCTTGTCGTATCCCTCCCACGGCCGCCAGGAGAAAGCCTCTCCGCCTACCAGCAGCACACCGTCACCGCCGGTGATCTTGACTCCATTATCCAAGTGGAATCCATCGTCCAGACAAGCGTCGATGGCTGTACTAGGAGCTGGGATATTGCCGAAAACATTAAGCGCGCCAAAGTCAGTCTGAGTCTCTTCGTTTGAGGGCGGTCCGCGATCGCGATTCTGAGGTTTCGCTGGCTGGGCGCGAGGAACAATCCGCGATGGTCGACGGGCAGTGTTGCTGTTGTAGCGGCGTGGAATACTGGCTCCAAGAGATCGATAAGCCGGATTCACAGGCGATGCGATAGAGGTTCTGAGAGCAGCATGCGACGCAGTCCGACTGCATGTGGCAGCAGCGCCTGTCGAGATAGAAGCTCGCAGGGCGCGCAGGAGCTGCGGCGACGGGGGCTGCATTGGATTGAAGTATGTGGTATAGCTTTCACAGGAGAGGAGATAAAGTATAGAAGAGAGTTCGCAATTGGAGATATGGCGTGGTTCCACGATTCGAGTTGTTTCCTGCGTTCAATAACCTATTGGTAATGCTCCAGAGTTATGTGGTCTGTCGGCGCGCAACCCGCTGGGAAAACTCCGCTGCCTTAGCGGAACACGACGTCAGCGCAAAAATACAGCCGAGGATATTATTTACCAGGAACAGCACAATAGTCCACGTCCGGTAATATCAAATAGAGAGTAACTAGGATGATCACGCTGTCAGTAAGAAACTGAACATATATACAGATAATTACACTACGCTCTACAGGAATTTGAAGAGGAGAAATTGCATAAAATCTCATTTATTCTTTTTTTGCTTTTGAGTCATTGCTGAGAATGCCCGGGGGAAACGTCCACCGGTTCTATCTTCTACTTATTATTGTCTCCACCGTCTCCTTCATAAAACAAGCATTATTAGTTTTTAGCGTGATTAGGTCGAGGGCCCGACTTCGCTGGCTAGCAAGCAGCAGAGCCCCGGTGCCCAGAAAGGGGCCGTAGAAAATGAGCGTCTCTCGTACAAGTCGTAATGCGGTTCACAATGTCGTAAGAAATGCACCAGGCAGGTTCACTTCGAAAGCAAGCCCGAAAATAATCTCCATCCCCAGGTGTCAGACGTGAAAATATGGCCGTAACTAGCTCGCTGTCGTATCCCTCTTGTCAAATATTCTCGCACGGCAGTGACTCCAGAGTCGCGAAACCGCCAAGACAAACCTACGATGAGGCAAATCTTGTGCAACTCGCTTTCAGATTCAGTGGTCTCGGGATTTCTGCGCATCTCCATTTCCCGCATCGCCCTCGCGACCACCTGGGCCCTGGACAGCACCGTTGCGCTCCTCATCAGACTGACTAGAGCTATCATCTCCATTAGCGGTGGTCGATGCACTCCGAAGACGTTGCGCGCGATCCTGTAGGACCTGCGCTTCAGCAGCTGCCTTCTGTGCACGGATTTGTTTGCGCCACATGCTCGCGTAGCGGCCCTTCATAGCAAGAAGCTGATCGTGTGTTCCGCTTTCGGCAACCTGGCCGTCATGGAGGACGAGGATTTGATCGGCAGTAGTAATAGTGCTGAGGCGATGGGCAATGACCAACATGGTGCGCCCACGGGATAGCGTAGATAGCGCGCCTTGGATATGCTCCTCTGTTTCCGTATCAAGAGCAGCAGTAGCCTCATCAAGAAGAATTATGCGAGGATCCTTGAGGATAGTCCGAGCAATAGCAACCCGCTGCTTCTCGCCTCCACTCAGACGGAGACCGCGCTCTCCAACCTTCGTCTGGTAGCCGTCTGGGAACGAGAGAATCTTGTCGTGGATGCTAGCAGCCCGGCACGCTTGGTAGACATCATCGTCGGTCGCGTTCGGGTTCGCATACTTCAGGTTGTACATCAAAGTCTCGTTGAAAAGGACAGTGTCCTGCGGCACAACACCAATATGGCGTCGAAGAGAATCAATCGTTATTCCCTTAACATCCTGACGGTCCACCAGGATTCGGCCTCTGTTAGAATTGTAGAAACGGTAAAGTAAGCGGAATACTGTGGATTTTCCACCCCCTGACTCTCCAACGAGAGCAGTAGTGGTTCCAGGGGCGCAGTGAAAGGTCAGACCGTTCAAGGCAGGTTTCCGCGTATCGTATGAAAATTCGACATTTTCGAATGAGATATCGCCTTTGCAAACAGGCATCGGGGCGGCTGAGGGACTATCCACGACAGTGGGTTGTTCCCTGAACAGCTCGAGCATTCGTTCAGAATTAATCAAGGCTGACTGGATAGATCGATAGAAGGTACCGAAGAAATTCAACGGTCCCTGTAACTGGGCCATGTAAGTCAAAAGCGTGACAAACTGGCCCACTTTGCGCTGTCCAATCGAGACCTGATAAGCGGCAATAAAGCAGGTAATAAGTAAACCCAGCATGAACACGGTGTTTTGGCAGGTATTCATCAGAGTAAGCGAGAACAGAACATGATATTCGGCCTTCTGGAAGTCCTTGACAGCCCCACGATACCTATTAAATTCGTACTGCTCCGCATTGAAATATTTGACTGTCTCATATGAGACCATGGAGTCGTTCCTAGTGATCGCGTGGTTAGTACTCTTGAAAGGCGTTACTAATGTGAGCTTCATTGGGAACTTACTTGACGGCATCCTCTTGCCTTGAAGCATTGACCATCTGCCTCCGGATTTCAGCTCGCCATTGAGCCATTCTAACAGTCACATACAAGTAGCAGAATGTGACGATGGCGACGACCAATGCGTAGTAGGCGTCGAAAGCAACGAGGAAATAGCCAATTGCAACACAGAGATCGATCAACATAGGAACAACCTGGAACGTGACCTGTTCGAGGAAGGTGTTGATGGAGTTTCCCTTCGAGAGGGCGGAAAGAACTTCTCCCGTCTTTTTACCCAGGTGGAAGTCAAGGCTGAGTCCATGGACATGCTCGAAAGCAGCCGTAGAAAGCTCCATGTACGAATATTGTCCGACAGGGATCCACAGACTGGAACGGAGGGACCCGATGAGACCCTGGCTTCCCTGGAGCCATCGGAAGAGGATATACAGACAAATATCGAACCACGGAACCCGGAAATCGCCACCTTCTTCTCTTGACAGTATGTTTGTGATGATACCGACCTGATATGGAACGAGAACGTTGACGACACGCTGAAGGAGGATCAAGCCAAAACAGACCACCACAATAATCTGCAAGCGTCGAGACTTGGCGGGCCAGAGGTACGGGAAAAACAAGGAGTATCCGCTCAGATATTCCCACCAGCTGGTAGAGGGGATCGTAGTCGGGCGCACCCAAGGATCAGCTGGCTTGGAAGTGCTCTGGTTTCCATTGGCTTGCGTTGAGCCATAATGATTGTTTGCGACACCGGTTTCTGCGGCTGAGTGGTTAAGCAGTCCAGTAGTCTCACTGGGTGAATTTGCTAGGCGGGTAGCTGCTTTCCGTCCTCGGATACCGGACATGGAGTTGATGGCGTAAGTTAGAACGAGGGCCATCAGGACCAGTATACGCACTACACCGGATGCCACTTGCATAGACTCCCATAGAGTGATGCCTCGCACCAGAGGACCGCCATCGGGGTCTCCCACAATTGGTTCATGATGAGGGGTCGTATAGATCGATAAGGAGACAGCAAGGAGGATGAGTTCTAATGGAATTGCTGCCGACCATGGCACCAGCTGTGCAAATGTTGGCGCTGGCTTTGTGTCCAGTAAGGATATGAGAATGACAGCGTAAACGAAGAAGGATCCGATAATGTAAATCTAGACGGAAATTAGGAAGCTACTTCAAGACGACGCCGATTTTGATCTGATACTTACCACGTATGACTGACCACACCACCAGTGCTCCGAACGACAGAGGATCACGTGCGTCATAACAATCGCAGCGTCTGCAACGAAAGTGACCAAGACCGCAACGCTCAACCACTTGAAAAGAAGCTGCGTCCATGGACTGAATGGTCGAGGTTCTTTAGTCACGACCATCGTACTTCTGGTCCGCTTGGGAAGGGGCCTGCCACCAGGCCCAGTTGTGACGGCACTGCCATTTGTGGATAGACGTTTCGCAGACCTCACAGAGCTCACGATAAAAGAGGTGATGAACACTACGAGCAGAATGATCGGCGTTCCAATGTGGAAATATTCGAGAAGCTCGCGGGCGGTATCGTGAGACACCACAGGCTGAGAGCCAGGCGTTGTTGTAGTCGAACCCATGGTCAATTCCTCCACACAGTTCCACGGATTCAGATAGTAATCTTTGTTTCCATGACACGACGCGAACCGCACGTGTTTTGGGGAGGATATGCGCAGGGGGGGCGATATGGAAATTCTGGCGCTCGCAATCGGAAAGGACAGTGACAACTATGCTATTGTCTCCTTGGGGGGGTGCTGAGACACTAATCCGCTCAGATAATTCCGCGCTTAATAGAACGAACTGGGCGTCAATGCACAGTTAGAAAGTTGGATGAATAGGTACAGCGAAAGTGAGATCAACGAGGGATGTGTCCAGCCTCGTGCGTACGGCAGAAACGAACGGATACGCGAGCAAGGTCTTTGAAACAAGACTGCACCACGCCTAGGACGCGAAGAGCCTGCAAGCGGTAGAGGTACGGTTCGATGGTGGAGAGAAATGGTTGTGGCTCAGCAGGTCCGTCCGCCGGCGCGGGGAGCAAGAACAAACGCTCCGAGGACGGAGACTGATAGTACCGCACGAGGATCAAACTGATCAAAGATCCTCGAGGACAGTACGAAATGAATGAACACCAGATGAAAAGGTAATGATTAGAAAAAGAAGAAGGAGGAAGAGAAAAAAAAGAGATGGTGAGAACGCTCGAGAGCTTCTGGGAGGTTAGGGTTCGATAGTATCATAGACGGATCCGTATCCCAGCCCAGGATGCCCAAGCAGCAGGCCAAGCTAAACTAACAGACTGGCGGGGATCAAGCTTGGGACGGACTGGCTTCCGAGCTTCCTTGTTGGCAATGCCAGCCGGGGAGGAAAAGAAAAAAGTGCCACAGCGATCGACTAGATGCTGGCCAAACACGGATCTCTAGAACTCTCCAGAGGACAGCACGGGCAACAGAAGGGAAGAGGAGATGGTTCAGACAGGAATTGCGCCAGGGTAGAGATGGCAAACAAGTGAGAAAGAGAGAGAGAGAGAGGGTGTCTTGGAAGAGAAATGAGATTCACGCGAGCTTCAACTCAAGATCGCCACAGAATCAGATTGTGAGCGGTGAGCAGCCGTAAAGCCGGCAGAATGGGCGATGGAGCCAGATCGGCGGCGAGAAACCAGTCAGTGAAGAAGCTGACAGGAACTGCCTCTAGTGGATTTGACCTGCACATCTCCTGCATCAGGATTCAGCAGAGCACTCATCAGAAGATCAGGGATAGTTCTCAGCAATAATATCTCTGTCTATTTCCCCGATTGCAGCTCGGGCTAGTGATTGCATTGGAACTCCCGTGAGACTTTCAGAAGAGGGCAAAATATCCTCCTCTTCTCTTATCCTTCACATCCCCTTCGCAGTCAAGCAAGGCCGGGGATTGTCGTGGTCTCACAGCGACGCAGCGTCAATAATAATAATAATTAGACTCCCAGCCAGCTCGAACTATCTTCCCGACTGGCAGGACCGTGGGACCCAACGCCTGAGCTTCCCCGGAAGGCAAAAAAACCAACGAACTAGAGGATTATTCTTCTTCTTCTGACAAGCTGAGCTGGAACATCGTCGACGACATCACCAGTCCACACTCGTCCCACCTTGGTGCACCCACTATCAGCCCCAGTGATCCAGGCCGATAATCGATAGTGGTTGACGCGGTGGCCGATCCGATCTGCCTAGCCGGCCAACCGATTTCCCTCCTGTCTGGCCTATTCTGCTTCTCTGTCCGCCGCGGCGGGTCACAGCAAGCACAAAAAGCTCCGGTCTGCGCGCTTCTTGCCGGTGGCTGGATGCTGAAGCTGCTGGGCAGCAGTCGGTCGGACAAATCTCATCGGTCTGCTGCTGCTCCCTAAGTACCGCCCGCAGATCGGTGCGTCTGCTGCACTTCATTCCTGCCTGACCGATCTATCCTTCTCGGGTGTACGCTGAAGATTCCGAAATATTCTGTGCACCTTTGCTACAGTCGCTTTACGAGTCACTGCGGGACCGGTCGCGGGCCAACTCAAAACTGCAGACAGCGTTTCACGCCTGCCAGCAGCTCGTCGGGCTCCAAGCGGCTCCAAAGACTTTGAGTTGTAGCAGCCGTCGTGTCCGTCGACTTCCAAACACACCCATCACGCGTGCTCGCCACCGTCTGGTGGATGGCCAGTCGACTGTTCGCGACAAGCTCCGCTCCAGCCCTCGTCTCGCCTTGACAACGGGCGATGGAGCGCCAATCCTGGTTGGGTTGCTCAACCTCGACCTGAGCTCATCATGGCTGATCAGTCGCGATTGCACACACGGTCGAGTTCCGCGGCCCCTCCTCCGCCTCCTCCCCCGGCACCACCGCCGCAACAGGGCCAAAGGTATACCAACAGAGCCACGAGCGCGTTAGCTCGATTTGCTCAGCCATTTCTGTCTGGCTCGAGACCCCCGAGTCCGTATAACACAAGTCGGGACGAACCTTCGCCCATTACACGCCCTGCGCGGGCCAGATCATTGTAAGGCTTCCCCGCCATGAGAAGAGCCGGCAGCTCCTTGTTCATCAACGTCAATAGTGCAACACAGAGAAACTAATTGAAGACACAGGCCGGGTCTCTCGCAGACGATTATCCATAAGACGGGGCTTCCAGTCACTTCGCTGGATATATCTCCCCAGAAGACACATGCCGTAATCGCTGGCCGGGAGATCCTGAAGACGATTCGCGTTTCCCCTGATGGGTGCTCGGAGGAGTTCGATCTCCGGAATGCAATTGTGAACTCGTCTGTTAATCAAAATTCTTCAGCGCTCTCCGCCAGGTACAAGGATCAGCTTTCCGTGAAGGACGTTAAGTGGTCTCATGGCGAGTATGACAAGATTATTGCAACAGCAGTGGCCAATGGGCGCATTGTCGTCTACGACTTGCAGCGTCCGACTTTGGAACTTGCCCGCTTTCAAGGCCACAGTCGACAGGTTCATAAACTAGCTTTCAATCCTCATCTGCCCGCGTGGCTGCTTTCCGGCAGTCAGGATGCTACTATCCGTATGTGGGATCTGCGCATGGCGTCCGGAGAGCGCGGGGTAGCTACATGCAGCAGTAAGGAACGGTACAATGGGAACAGCGATGCTGTTCGCGACATCCGCTGGTCTCCCACCGATGGGGTCATGTTCGCGACAGCCACAGACAGCGGAGCCATTCAACTCTGGGACGCACGCAAAGTAAATGCCCCTATGATGAAACTTGCTGCTCATGACAAACCGTGTTTCTCGGTCGATTGGCATCCGGACGGGAAGCATTTGGTCAGTGGTGGAACTGATAAGCAGGTGAAAGTCTGGGACTTCTCGTCATCTGCAGAACGCAGACAGAAACCGACCTTTCAGTTCAGGACACCGCAGGCTGTGGTGAACGTAAGATGGCGCCCGCCGTATTGGACATCGGAATCTCAGGGTCCAGGTGACTGGCAGTCCACTCAGCTGGTAACATCCTATGACAAGGAAGATCCACGTGTTCACCTTTGGGACCTTCGACGTCCGCATATTCCGTTCCGCGAATTTGATAGATATGGCACTTCAGCGGCCGATCTTCTGTGGCGCTCAAAGGACTTGCTATGGACCGTGGGAGAGGCCGGTGTTTTCACCCAAACTGATATTAGATATGCACCACAGGTAGTCAGTCAGCGTCCAATGTGCTCCGTAGGCTGGAGTCCGAATGGGGAGGTGCTCACATTCGCTCAAAAGCGTCCGCGACGGCGCCCACTAGGTGTCGACACGGCGGAGTTCCTGGATATTCGAGAAGAGCACAGCAGTAGCGGTGAGAAGCTTACGAGCCAAAGTCTGACAGATGACAGCCTTGATGAAGCTGTAGTCACAGCTCCTATACGTAAGAGACACGGTGGAGCTGCTGGTAAAAGAGGATCGAAGTCGGTAAGCCATACTCCACCAACAGCAGATGATACCCCCGAGCTTCTGTCTCTGGAGAAGTCTTTATCAAGGAGCAAGGCCGTGGGGCCTTGTCAAATTGGGGTAGTTGGTCGTGTGCCTGGTGTCACGGTCAACCCGGAACTCTTTCGGTGCCTGGCCGAACACTACTCACCCCTGATAGAAGATCCTGATGATAGCCGGATGCATGAAAATGCCCTGGAGGCTTTGTTGAAGGCATTTGATCACAATGCAGAACAAGCAGAAAATGTTTCTCTGCTAAAGCTCGCTCAGACATGGCGGATTGTGAAATATGCTGTCGTCCAGGAGCTCCAGCTGAGAGCACAGAGACAACAAAGGATACGGGAGCAAGGGAACAAAAATGCCCGCAAACGACAGTCAGCAGATGTGACAATCACTGACAAGACCCGTAAGCCTGAGGAAGGGCGATCTGATAAGTTGAAGAGTCGGTTATTCAAAGGCGTATTGGAGACGGGAGGCCACATGGGAGTTATCCCAGACGCCGAGAGCACGTCCAACATGACCACCCCTCTTGCGCAACCACTGCCAGACTCACCACCTGGTAACCAAACCGGTTCAAGTCCACATCTTGTTCCATTGGAGGATGGGCTTGTGGATTTCCAGCCACTTCCACCATCCGTTATAAGTTCAAATTACGCTACTATGACTTCTAACGAACTTGCAATCTCCGATCTTGATGCCCAGTCAGGGACGCAGTTTGAGCCCCAACCATCAAAGTCCAGTGAAGATGTACAGATGTCTGCCAGCAGTGCACCAGCCAGTCAATTGCGTGACGCGTCTCTTCATGATATGGGCAGCGATCAAAGATCAGCTCCTCGTGCCATCGCAGGTCGGGCTGATTGGCATCTACAAGGTTCCGGAGAGTATGGCAAAGGGGCATCTGAGGAAGACTATGACCAGAAGATTGAAGACAAAAGAGCAGCAATCCGCGATTACAAAATCGCACCCAAGAAGCTTCTCACGTATGAACCCCCTGCAGGTGACTTCAGCAAAGCAACTCAACCAGGTCAAGGCTCTGCGGATAGCTTCCCCATGTTCTCAGCTTCGACTGATAGTTCGCATCGTGCAAAGTCAATGGGAGGAGCGTCGTTCTCTCCACAGCTGAGACCACGGCAGACGGAAAGTGGAGGGTGGGATACCGAAGACACCGAGGATCAAAGTGCTCGGGAACCAATAAATGAAGCACAGAGTGGCTCGGAAGTGGACTATCGTTCCGAACAAGACAAAGATGAACTTGCCCCGAACATGTCGTTCGATGAGTCAGTTTCTGATACCGATCGTGTCCACCTCGAGCGACCATCAAGCCCACCCCCGCTGCGAGTAGAGTCGAATGGCGTGAGCGGCTTCGAGCTAGAAACATCAATCCACAGCACGGATACCACAACCGCAGCGAGAACAACTGCATTGCCCTCAGCTTTACGAAGAACACATGACCTCGATCTGACGTCCATCCCCATGTCCCCAGAATTGACAGGGACCAAACCTTGGAGTGCTCAATCAATACTCAGAGAAACGATCCGATACTACCACAGCAGCACTCCAGTTGACGTCCAATCCGCAGCCCATCTACTCCATAAAATGCATGTCCTCTTCTATGCCTGCGAGGAGATTCTTCCCTACGAGGAACGTGAGCTGATCTTAAAGACCTACAACGAGCATCTTCTGCGGCAGTCCATGTATGTGGAAGCCGCTGAGCTTCGACTCATGTGCGTGCCAACGTATCCGGCTGTCTATGACTACTCTCAGTCCGATACTTTTATCAACGTGTACTGTTACACCTGCAAGAGGCCATACGAGAATCCAAAGCGGGATAACCGTCGCTGCTATCGCTGTCAGACTCCCCAGGAGCCTTGTTCGATTTGCATGAGTCTTGATCCACCGCCAGAGTGGACGGTACCGCCTCCCGAGCCGCAGAATCCAGCTACAGGTGTTGACGATGATGATGGACGAACCGCTAGTTCCTTTGCTTCCGTCACGGAAGCCATACCTGCCTCTGAGTTCGAACAACTTGACCAAGCCGTTTCCGATTCATACACTCCTCCGCGGCCCTTTGGCTCTTCCTTATGGACCTGGTGTCAAGGGTGTGGCCATGGCGGACATTTGGCCTGCATGACGACCTGGTTAAAGGATGTCTCTATCAGCGAAGGTGGCTGCGCCACTCCTGGCTGCCTACATGACTGTGGACCTGGTCCACGCCGTGAGGAAAACCGCGCCCAGCTCGAGGAGTCTAAGCGTCACTCTTCCGGGAGAAAGGGCAATGTCAGTTTCGCCAGACATGACTCTTGGACCACGAGTGAAAGTAAAGCGGTGCAAAATGTCCGCAGCATGCTAGGTGCCACCACTTCAACCAGCGGAGCAAGCGCCCTAACTGGCTCAACTTCAACGGGCGTGATGTCTCCGAAGAAAGTCAGGCTGGTCACACCACGTGAGCAGGGCAAACGTCGAAGTGGCACAGTAGGCAGCGGAAGCAGCGCCTTTGGCAGTAAAGATAGAGAGGGATCTTCTGATCTACTGGCTCCGGTGTCGGAGTCACAATAACGGGCTCAAGGAGAGCCAGCGTGTGACTATTCTATTTCTCTCCCTGTGTTATTATTATACCCCTTTTTTCTCGGCTTGTCTTTTGAAACATTCTTGCATCGCGACTGGATTGGCGGCTGTGGTTGGTGCCTTGGGGTTGAGTTTGAATTACCTGCTGTTCTCTTGAGTCGATTGATACGACCTGATTCCCCAACCTTCGGCGCCGTCTTCGGAGGTGCCGGCATGCATATCCTCTAATTCTTCTAGTAGATAGATGTATGAAAGATTTGTGGTATCGAAGAGTTTATGGCTGTTGATTCTGGATAGCCAAAAACAAACAAAAGAAAGAAAGGGAAATATACGAGTTGCAATGCATGCACGCAGAGAAGATCCGAGACATTCCAGAACAGTAATAAAAAACTCAAAGGAGCTATCAAAATTTCCTTTTCTTCTTCACGGGAGCTTTGCTCTTCGCCTCTAACTCCCTCTTCAACTGCTCGCGCTTCTTATCTGCCTTCTCCTGCGCCGTCAGCTCGCGCTGCGGCTCCTTTTCCTGCTTTACGGCAGGCGGGGCTGCTGGGGAAGAAGACCGAGACAGAGCCCCAGCCTTGGGAGCGGCAGATACTCTATTTAGGTCATCTTCTGCCTCAGATGCTGTCGACTCAGCAGAAGACGCAGGAACATCATGCGCAGGCCGAGAAGGGATTGTCTTGTTACGGGCACCGCCACCGATCATTCCGAGTTTGCCGCGAGGTTTTAGTTTCTGGGGTGACGGGCTTGCTGAGCCAACATCTGTTGTTGCTGATGGAGCTCTGTTTTGGGATCTCTCTGGTGGAGGAGAAGGTGGGGTGGATGCTTTTGCTGCTTTCTTTCCACCTATCACGCCCAGTCCGCGAGGACGGGGTTTGGGAGCTTGTGCTTCCTCTGCTCTTTGCGGTTTGAGGCTTGGTTGTGGTTCAGCATCTTCTTCGTCCTCTGATGCGGTCTCCTGATCGAGATCGGGTTCTGGGACAGGGGAACGGTGAACGGGCTCTGAGACTTCAGATGCAGTAGAAGATGGAGGGCGTGGAGGAGGCTCTCTCTTTGCTGGCTTTGGGCCCCCAATGACCCCCAGTCCTTTATGCTTCGGCTTTAGTACGGTCTTCTCAGGACTTAGGGATGGAGACACAGTAGGTGACTTGCTTAGTGCATTACTACGGGATATGGGACGCTCTTGCGGGTCTTCCTTTGCACGTTTTAGATGTGGAGGAGTCGCTTGGCGCTAGATATCATTTCAGTTTGGTGAGCCTCGAGGTCTGATGTAACGGAGTAAAGGGACACATGTTATACCTGAAACTCGTCATCGCTATTCTCGTCATGTTTTGTCTCTTTTCCCTTCTTTAAAGGCGCGGTATCAGCCTTAGATGTTTTCTTTTTCTCTCCTCGCGATTCTGGAGCCCGGCTTCCAACATTGACGTCTTCCCACCACGTATCTAGGGCCAGGTCAAGACTTTTCAAGTCTAAGGAGCCTGTAGTGTCCGAAAGCTCTTTAACCAATTTCGGAGCGAGTTCCGCGTCGACATTTCCCTTGCTGACTTCATTTTTCCAACCGTGTTCATCAAACGGTGCAACTCCTCTGATGAGCTTTTCTGCTTGTGCTCGCGTAGTACCTCTCTTTCCAGCACGTAGACCCGCTGTCCCAGGAAACACCGTGCTCAAATCAAGCCCGGAAGATTCGATCTTATCGAATATTTTCCCTATGACCCAGTCTTTTTCTTTCAGGTGGTCGAGCAAGGATCTCTGCTGTCTTTCGCGGTTGGCCTCCTCCCTCAGCAGTGGTAAGAGAAGCTCTCTTGTCAGACTCCTCTGCGGGCCGCGGGTCATGTATAAGGTCCATTGTAGCGCGTGTAAAGGGGCTGGCAGTTTCGTTTCCGTGATCAACTCTAATGAATTGCTCTTTGCCCCCGTTTTCAGGGTGAGGCTGCTCCCTTCAGCGCCACATAAGGCATCTTCTACTTTTTGCAAGAGAACCTTGAATTGTTCAGCATCTTCGCTGGGGTCGACACTAGTCTCCCCCTCTTCAGCTCTTTGTATAACCTGTTTGCGGTTGAGACGTTCCGTCCAGATATAGGTTAGGTCCGTTAGAAATATCTCATAGCCTTGAGAGCTAGAAATATATTTGAAGAGAAGTGGAGGCAAGTTGTCTTTTGCGGGCAGTGGTAGCTTCTGCCAGTTCTGAGGCATTGCTACGATGGAAGTGAATAGAAGTAAATGTCTATCATGACGAGGAGAAAGCCCCTCCTTAATACCAGATGGTGTTTGTAACTGCCTAATAGCAGATTCGAAGTAGTGATAATACGACGTCCACTTAATTTAGTCTTGCCTCTGTTTGGATGATCACTGCACGGACCAACACAGGAAACTTTGCCGCCCGCTCCTAACATTACTTATGCTGTCATGGTTCTAGGCTCACCCGTCGTTTTCTTATTCGTCTATGCGAGATACTTCGACCGTTTCTACCTGAATAACTCCTTTACGGCGCGGTAGGAAGGACGAAAACACGCGATGTCGACGCACATCCCAGATAGAACCGGTTCAAAGCGCAGCCGGTCTCGGTCGCCGCCGCCGTGGCGCCATCCGCAGAAGCTTCCCCGCAGAAACGATGAAAGAGATCACCAGTCGCGCAGCTATGGGAACCGAGGAGGAGGCCGGGGTACCAACATGAGAGAACAGTCTCGATTGAATCAACTCCAGGAAGATGAGCGGATGCGAGAATGGGTTGCGCAGGAGGATACTTTCGTCCTCAAGCAGGCGAAGAAGAAGGCAGAGATTCGAGTGAAAGAGGGACGCGCAAAACCCATCGACTGGCTCACTGTCACGTTGCGCGTTATAGATCCGACGAGAGATCCTTTGGATGACGAGATTGCGGATTCAGAGCTTGATTTGGTTCACCCCGATGGTGTGTTTGAGGGTCTGTCACAGACTCAACTTGGAGACCTGGAGAAAGATATCGATACCTTTTTGAACCTGGAGACAAACCCGAAGAATAGGGATTTCTGGAAGGTAAACCAAGCCCATCTCGGGTTAAAGCACCATGGATTGATAAACTGACGTATTTGCAGACAATGAAGATCGTTTGTCGAGATCGCCAGAAAACCTCCGCTCCTGAAGGCCGCGCTCTTAACTCTGTCGCTGCCGATATCAACAAGCTTCTTAGTCCAAAGTCATACGAGCAATTGGAAGTGCTGGAAACCCAGGTGCGGCGGAAGCTCGACTCAAATGAACCAATCGATACCGATTATTGGGAGGAACTCCTGCGTAGCTTGACGGTGTGGAAGGCGAGAGCAAAAATAAAGAAGGTCTACCAGGCAGTCATATCAGGTCGTGTTCGTGCACTGCGTCAGCAGCAAAGAGAGGAAGCTGAGTCTGTCCGCACAAAGTTGGCCCCACTGGCTCCTGTCATTAGGACCGATGCTGCTGCAATGACCAATGTGGATGAGGAGAACATGGATCTTGACCCTGAGCCATTGTTGCAACTGCTACCAGAGGATAAGGCTCTCGGAATTTTGGACGAGGATGCTTTCCTTGATCAAGTGGTGAGTTCCAGTCCTTGCTGGTTTCCGATATAGATGGTTATTTACTGATTTTGACAGGCCCGTGATCGCGAGCGGATATTGAAGATGGGATTCGTCCCGCTCCGTCAAAGACTGTCAGAGAAGAGTTCTAACCAGGTAGTGACTCAAGCAAAGCAAACACCAGTTGCTGCTGTATCTACTCGTTTCTCTGCGATCCCGAACGACGACTTCTCCCAGGCAACCAAAGCTCTTTATGAAAGGGAAGTGGCTCGAGGGGTCAGCGAGAATGAAGAAATCTTCACAGGGGAGGAGGCCGTCAGCACACTCTCGCTTCCAAAGTGGGCGAATAAATACCGTCCTCGGAAACCCAGGTACTTCAACCGCGTGCAGATGGGCTACGAATGGAACAAGTACAACCAGACTCACTACGATCATGACAATCCTCCTCCGAAGGTCGTTCAGGGTTATAAGTTCAACATATTCTACCCCGACCTTATCGATAAGACCAAGGCCCCAACTTATCGCATAGAGCGTGAACACGGCAGGAAGCGCGGGCAGTCCTTTGTCCCTGCCGGGGAAGAGGATACTTGTTTGATTCGTTTCATTGCCGGGCCGCCGTACGAAGATATCGCCTTCCGAATCGTGGACAAAGAATGGGATTATAGCGCCAAGAGAGAACGTGGCTTTAAGAGCAGTTTCGATAAGGTATGTACCACCAGAAGAATGTTGTTTGAGAGCATTAACTAATGTTGCCTTCGTCCAGGGAATCCTGCAACTGCATTTCCAGTTCAAGAAGGCAAGTTTCCTAGTCTATTTGATGCCATTCACCAAGCTAATATTTGTCTCAACAGATCTACTACCGTAAATGAGCACTCGGCCTTTATATGGGAGCGCCTCGTTATTATGTCTCATAGATTGTTTCTTTTTACGGGCACACTATTGGCGTTTCACTGGAAAATCTTTGGCCTGGATATTTTTGTTGATTCTCCAGATACCTTATTGTGCGGCTGGGATATGTCACCCGGTGCAGACCATCCTCCAGCGCATCACATAGTCTATGGGCTGCTCGGCTATGATATCGGTACCAGCAATGGAACCATTCGTATGAACCAATGGACCCTTTCCCGTTTTCTAGGCTGCGATTCATAGTACAGTGTATCTATCGATGGAAGAGATCTGCATTACTCTCACAATCGCGCGTCCGTTTAAAGGCAGTCTAGCCCGGGAAGGCCGTTGAGATCCGCGACAGGTCACTCCAGCTTGAGCTTCAGATTTTATGTGGCTCACAGGGACTATACTGCACGTCACTCCTGGGAAGGTATCAGATCGTCCCGGTGGCGAGGGGCCCCTAGCTCTTGCTAGCTCTTGATATTTGGATTAGTGCCAGGCCATAGCCTCACACCAAGTTAGGCAAGCTGATGGCTGTAAAGGGCGAATATGAGCCTTCCAGAAGGCTTCAGATGGTCTCCTGTCATCCCTTGGGGTTGACGCCCGGGGAGAGCGGAGAGAGACCATTGTTCGGTCACCTCCTGCAGCTGTCCGCACACCCCTCTGTCAGGTGTCAGCAACCTCCTTACCAGATCGTTTCTCTCGTAACTCACTGACCGCTCAGATACAATGATGCCAGCCTCTTGTAGCACCGGATCTAGCACCCTGGGCCGCATCAGTCGCCATTGGCTTCACCCAGGTCCAGCGGATTGCTGTTTCACAGGGCTTTCCGCCCTAAGCTGATGAAGAACCACAACATCGAAAGACACTCACCTATTTATCACCCACTTTCCCTTTTGTTTGCTTTAGACTAACCTGCACATATCTGGTTATTTGCAGTAACCATGTGCCTTATGAGCTGGCATGTCGCGTTGCAAGCCCTATTGATGGATTAGGCTCCATGAGCCCTTGTGACAACTATCTTCTTATTCTTTGCATTATCTATGACCCGCAAATTCCTCCTTTTAGAAAGTCTCCTCAACGTACTTTTTCCTCCATAATCACGTCCCCTATCAACTCTTGACAATATGGCTATGCAGAGACATCCAGGACTCATTATCAGAGAGCCAGATCTTTCACTACGCAAAGGAGAAGTTATAGAGAGGGATGACGAAATGGACTATCCAGCCTCTTACAGTTTGCAGTACCAAGATGTACTAGAAACTGGAGGATATCCATTCCTGCAGACAACGTCCGCATCCTTAGTGCACTTGGGACAACCTCTGACCACAAGCGCATTACGCGATTTTGATTTATATTCAACATCGCATACTTGGACAACACCTGATTTGGCCTCACAGCTACCAGAGCAGATATCGCTGCCCCTATTAGATGATGTCGACTTCTGGCAATCAGGAGCAGTGCAGAGATCAGTGCTTGAATCACCAGGAGAGACCAATTTTCTAGCGACTGATGCATGCGGCGACTTCTCAAACAATGGAGACGGTTATATGAATTCCCCGTCTTCAACTCAGTCCTTTACGAACTCCCTAACTCGCCCTGAGCCATGTCTTCAAAGTTTCGACCGCCTCGATACCTTCCTCGATCAAGGATATTATCCAACATCAACCGACTTCATTCGGGATGAAAATAGCCACCTTGTCTTTCCGTCTGGGGCGAACAAGCGGCAGCGGGAACATGTTGTCGCTCCGACCTCGCCTGCTCTTTCGACCTCCTCTCATCTATCTGTTGAGTTACAGAGTGTTGCCGGACCCCTTACAGTGGCCTCACAGGGCGCCCGGGATGGTGACGATGTGGACGTTAGCTCTATTGATATGGATGACGATAGCGTCAATGAACCATATTCGGCTCTTATTTACAGAGCATTGATTTCGGCTCCGGGAAAGAAGTTACCGCTTCAAGGTATCTACAGTTGGTTTGAAAAGAATACATCCAAAGGGAAAGATCAGAAATGCAAGGGATGGCAGAATAGCATCCGTCATAATCTATCGATGAATGCGGTAGGTGTCCCAGAACGATAGTGCATGTGATAGTACATTCGCTGATGCTCCCCACTATCACATCTACAGGGATTTGAAGCTATCAAAGAGGAGACGGCAGCTGGAAATAAGTCCGTTAACTACTGGAGACTGACAGAGGAGGCGATCAGATCCGGCCGCGTGGAATCGACTACCCGATATAGAAAACAGGGAAATCACAAGAAGTCAATGAAGTCGGATCATCCTGCACCGCAACGCCAGCGCTCCGGGGCCAGAGGCGGGAGAGCTGCGAAGATATCTGCCAGGAGAAAACGTGCCAAGCAGGAAGAGCAAAAGATTGAACTATACCGCCATCCACAGAGTGGAGCAACCAACAGTCTCCAAGACCAAGGTGGCCACGCTGCTACTGGTCAATATTTCGCACATGCGGTAACCCCCATAACCCCGTTGGCAGCTTCATTCCCAGAAGTTTATGGCATGGAAAGTGTCATGGGTTGCACGGATGTCCCTCTGGACTCTCCTCTCTTCTACCAAGATTCTGAGCCTGGAGCAGACCACATTGCATTCAATACTGGATTCCCCGACTTGACCGAAATCTATGGAGTTTCTAATAACTTGATACAGAGTTTGTAATCATGCGTCGGTTGGCTTGCTATTGTTTTCTACTGCGAGGTTCTTTGAATAGTTGTCTACATTTTATTCCTAGTTTCAAGCTTATCTCCTTTCACATCATTATTTGCCCCCTTAGACCTTCATCCCTGTCCTTCTGTTTTTACCTGTCATGACCCCAAGAGAAAGGATTGTTGCATAATTAGGCGTGATGTCCATGCTCATGCTGTTTACATTTACTTGGGATGTTTAAGCGTGGCGACGATCATGTCTTCGGTTGGATTTTGGTTCAGACGTCTTATGAGCTTATGATGTGACGACTGCACCCGATGTCTCGTATTTACTTGTACAATAGTCATATCTAACCCATCATGAATCTGGTCTAGTCCTCAGATGCTTGGGTATTGTAACAATACAGCTGTATACACCTGGAACGGGCTTCTGGATGCCGCGTAGCCATTAATGGCCTCCAGTCATTGCGGCATTCTTACAAGAACAATGCCTTAGTGTTTCTCTGCACTACTGCGCTAAGCCAAGGAGGCTCTTTGTATACAAGTAGCAGATTCATCTTCCCATCCAACCATGCAGTTAATAGTTAGCTTAATATAAGATCTATTATAATGAATCACCTTCCCGGGGTCAGTGCCCCTCATCTTCCGAGATTAAGGGTACACCCTTCCGAGGATCTACCCGACGAAGAAAAGATCCAACATCTTCTTTCGCAGATCCCGCCTGTGTACTGCATGTAGCGCCCGGTGCACGGTACAGTTAGCGGTCAATCTGCCGGCTAAATTGCGGCGCAGAACTCACCACTTTTGTACTCTACAAACAGGAGAAAGTACATACCAGTTACAATGCAAGGAGCACGGGTAGTTGTAGTATAATTCAATTCCGCATCTGTCAGCCCTTTCGGCCAAATGGCGGCAGAAGCACGGATACGATGAAGAAATAGACTGACAGCTGACATATGCATGAATAACCGTGGACAACCCAATATTGGATCTTAAGGTGCTCAGGATCAGCCACTAACACTCGCCTTCGATCACTACTGGCTTCGTTTATGAATAAACCCAGTTGTTGCATGTGCAGATTCTACTAGCTATATCTTCCCTTCTGAAAAGGAGGCTCGCAGAGTCACAGCTGCGTGCAATTTACCGTGCTTGCCTGCTGCTCGCCTTCTTTTTAGTGCGAACCACAAGATGCTGGCCATTTAGCCAACTACTGCAGGGCGATTAATGGGGCCGTCCCGAATCGTCAGTTTCGGCGTTAGCTCTGAAAAATATCCAGCAGCATGTCGCGCATTCTTCCCAGCATCGGATTCTCCAATATAGAGACTTCACGGCCCGGACCGTGGCGGTGGCTATTCACGGGTCACCGTTGAAAACTCCACTGCCCAACCCTGCAGCCACCATGAGGCTGACCTGTGTCTGGCGCCAGCTTGCCTGCTGTGCAGTCTTCAAGAGCAGTGGCAGTACAATATATTCACTGTATAGAGTGAAGCAAGCTAAGCCTTAGGCGCTGCGAGATCTTGTCATTATTTCTCGAGCTGGAGGAGAGCAGATCCAATATCATAACTCCTGGCCATCTTCGAAGCCGTCTTCAGCAGATAGATGCCGTGTTGAGCACTCTTGACATGTCAACATGGCTTGATGATCCGTCAAAAAACTGCCCCTCTCACGGGAAAAACCCCAGCTCCTATCTCGCGAATTCTATGAATGTTGACCATGACACATCATGATCTAACAGCCCGGGATGATAGCAGCCACTGGTCCTTCTCTCTATCACTATTAGGATGACAACCTGGCCTTTAATCAGTAGACAATCATGATACGGACTTCTCTGAGCCGCTACTGGGGTTAGATCACAACCCGACCTTCTTTCCGCGCAGATCTTTGGCAGGCGCCTGCAATGTGACACTCCAAGTGATAGCTCCACTAGATACCGACTCGCTCGTGCGGATAACGGCCTCCAGGAACCTTGATCGAACCTATCGGAACCGCATTAGAGTACCTGAACTCCTTTTATCCAGAACCAGACTCTGCAGCAGTGTACAGCCGGACTCTATCGCTACTTTCGCCCCTCTTCTTTCCGGCAGTTGGCTTCTCTTCAAGGGGAAGAGTGTATTTCCTCGAAGAAATACGAGCACTCGGAGACATGATAGTGGCGACTGCCGTGGCAGAAAACGAATTCTCACTCGATCATTTTCTGCATTATGTGACAGTGCAAATTTCCATTGGCCGGTCCTCGTCGACACGAGCCGTCGGCCATATCATTACTTCCTAATAATTGCCGCGGTAGGCGCTTTTCAGGGACCCCTGACTCTCATCCTAGCACCCTCACACAATACTTAATGGGCTAGCCACGCCTGTGGCATACGTAGCCCTTAGCGATTAAGCAGTATAGGTGACAGCCGCTTTGGTACGGGAGAGAGACATGAACATGCCGAGTCCCCGGGCCTAGCGCGCAACGCCTGCAGGCCTAGAAGATGGGGATCGTTAGAAGAGCATTACTAAATTCCTGGGCCTCCCAAGGACCTAGACCTGGGTTCACGATCATGCAAGGATCACCAGCTGCTCTTGAACAAGACTTTCAGGCTAACTCGGAATTTCTCCTTTTTCTCCGGTAGATGCGGAGTATATCTCGTCAGGGTCGTTCGAATCCAAGCTGATCATGACCTTCAACGTTCAACCTTCAACACTTCGAAGTATGAACAGATCATCACTTACCTGGAAGACGATCATGGAGGGGCTTTGCTAAGGGCCTATAGGACCTATCATAGGGATGATCCACAAGGATTAACAACCAGCCGGTAACTACATGGGGTTGGAAACCAACCCCGTCTGTCATCCCGTATCTGCAGGTCCCTCAAATCATCCCATGAACCTTAGTCCTTGCCGTTGTATGGGACCGTGCGTATCTGAGGGGGGTCAATATTCATACCGAGGACTATGGTGCGCTCGCTGGATCTACTCATGCAGGTTTCGCTGATACTCGAGGGGAATGGTTTGGAAACCGAGGCCTTTCTAGCTCCAGCTGGTCTCATGGACAGACACCAGTTCTCACGTCCTCTTCTCCGTTTTGTTTCCGCTCCCAGAAAGAGCAGCCATGGTCCAGAACTGGGCCGTTATACCATATACTAATTGAGAAACCTGCGTCATCCCATTTCCGTCTTGGTATACGTGACTATATCGATGCATGAACTCCCTGCGTGATTCCTGGGATTCACCTGATCCTTGGTCGATCAGCTATTGAGATGAACTGCTGTTCCTCGACCGTTTCCCCCACGTCTGCGTAAAGATCAACCTAGATCTTCCACTGCTCCAGTCTCCCCACTGTGCGGGGACGCAGTCACCAATGCGGGAGACAACTAGGGGGGTTGGATAGATGCACACTTGATTCCTTGCACCGTAAGCTGTGAGTCGAGACCCAGAGATAATATCCAAAATATCCAGGATTGTCTCTACCATATACTAAAGCGCCATGCCTTCGTCCGCACGCTGGTCGATGGATAGACGAGCCGGGCCTGCGGCGACTCTATGGTATGGTAGCGGGTCTGGTATACCGGTGATAATATTTCTTGTTCGCCTTCCTTTTTTTTTTATGTTCACCAATTCATCTTCTTACTCATTATTACGAGATCCAGTGATAACCTCGACTAACTCATCTTCAACGACATACCTATTTAGGTATTGTAATATACATAGTCGCATGCGCCACTCGACCCGCTAGTATGGATGAAAGACTTGAGATTAGCCACTTAAGGTAGCTACTCCCTATCCCAGCTATCCCACACGCGATGGTATGATCCTAGAATTAATGTATTGCACCCCGGTAATTAGTCGCTATCGTTTTCTTTTCCTTTTTACGCTGTTCGCTGCCAGCCTCGCGGAATGATGGATCGGCACTCCAGACCTTAGGGCCCATGCAAGAAAAAAACTATATATGCACGTGCGCATTGCCTTTACGGATGCCTGGATTTAGCGGCGTGCATGTAATGGGAGCACGCTATTACTTCACTAATTGAAAATTATGGACTACGTCGTCTCCCTTCTTTCTTCTGCCGTGTACGTGTCCATTTCGATACTTACTGTTGAGAGGGGAAGGGGTGGTGGATTTCAGGAATGTTATGCCGGAGTTTTTCATAGCGAGGCGTGTATCGGTTGTGAATGTGGTAAGTCCGTATTGCGTGGCGCAGGCTGATCCAAGGTCCCAGTTAAGTCGTGAGGTCTGTCGGCTCGGCGTGTAGGAAAGGACGGGGAAACGAGGACAGGGCAATACGTAGGGAAAGAAGGATGGCCATGTTAAGCTGCGAACTAACACCATGTAAGAGAGAATGGTAGTAAAGAAATTCGTCGACACGATTCATTTTTTTCTATATCGGCGAATGATGGTTTTTGTAGACAACCGATCCCGCTGAAAGTGAAGAGCTGGAAAGCCCGTCCAGATTCGCCAGAGATTTTATTCGTATGTAGCAGACTCTTGATCAGCGAATCTGCCGAAAAATGGAAACATTCATTCGGATAGCCACACGACCAAAAATTCCATATTTCTGTGTCCGTATGCTAGCCGTTCCTTTCCGTCTTCAACTGTCAGAGAACTCCGTCATTTCCGAGCCCTGTTCACCTTCCGCTTTCCCAGGAGAATCAATTACCGAGACCATACAAAAAGTGCATTTTTGTTTAGCGCTTCTTGGCAGCGCTGGCGGCCTTCTCCTGAGACTCCTTGAGGACCTTCTTGACGATCTTCTGCTCCTCGATCAGGAAGGCACGGACGATGCGGTCCTTGACGCAGTTGGCGCAGCGGGAACCACCGTAGGCACGCGAGACGTTCTTCTTGGGACGAGAGACCTGAGCGTACTCACGGGGGCGGAGGGCAGGGACCTAAACAACAATCCGATTAGTGAGCTGCCTTAGATGTGCCATATATTTCGTATTCCACACGACGTCGTGGTTGACAAGGATTGTTTCGACACATTGACCGATGCCACACAGAACAAGCGATTGCAGCAAAAGCGCCCAGAAACCAGATCTCTCCTTGATTTAACGAAAGGTCGCACTCACACCAGGGAGCTTGATGCCACAGTCACCGCACTTCGGGGCAGTACCCTTCTTCTTGATGTGAAGGTATCGCAGCTCGCCGCCGGGAGTCTTGACGACGCGGACCTTGTTGGACCGCGTGTTGTACCTATCCGCAGAATCTCATCAGTTTCTCGTCCATAAAAGATTCCACCTCGACGAGGTTTTCAAAGGTGTCGATGCGGGCCTGTAGAATGGGTTCAACGTACGGGTTCCGTCGGCGCTGTGCGAGAATCTCATCGTTAGCATTGATCTGGATGATAACCCATCTGTAGACAAATTTCCGGATGCTTATTGACTCACGTATTGCAATCTGTTGGTCGCCATTTTGACTGTCCTCGAACCTCTGATACAGGTGACAAGGAATTCGGGGAGTTGGCGGCGTCGTCGGTTGTCGTCGTTAACCTCGTAGAATTCTCGAGTGCGGTGCGGATTTGTGTGGGTTTGGCGCAAAGCCCTGGACAGCCGCGCTAGTGCGTTTGGCGAGTCGCGCTAAGACGAAACGGACTAGCGCGATTTGTAACTTTGAGCCGCCACCTGGGAGAGCAAAGGTCGCCATCACGCAGCATCCAGGAAGAGACAATCTTCATCACCTCTCGCCAGAAGGGGGATCTTCCAGGAGTCGAGTTGTCATTTTTTTAGATTTCAACTTCATCTCTATCCCGCGATCCTTTCATACCTTGTGTCGCTTCGATACTCGTCGTGCGATAGCTTTGAGGTTCCATGCAGAGATCGACGTGAAGTGACGCGACTCGACTTGACATATAGGCGTACAAAGAGAGGCTGTTCCATCAACCATCGCCAACATGGCGTCTCTGCCCCCTCCTCCGCCTCCTGGATGGGGAGCAGCTCCTCCTTCAATGCCTCTGGCGCCTCCGCCGCCCGGATATCAGCCGCCAGCCGATCCGAAGGTTGCGAAGTTTGCACAGAAGAAGAATGAGTGGCTACGATCGCAACGTAACCGGTTCGGAGAGAAGAGGAAAGGTGGCTTCGTCGAGACACAGAAGGCTGATATGCCACCGGAGCATCTGCGGAAGATTGTGAAAGATATCGGCGATGTGTCGCAGAAGAAATTCAGCAGCGACAAGCGCAGCTATCTAGGTGCGCTGAAGTTCATGCCTCATGCGGTTCTGAAGCTGCTGGAGAATATGCCTATGCCTTGGGAGTCTGCTAGGGAGGTCAAGGTCCTCTATCATGTCAACGGATGTTTGACTTTGGTCAACGAGACTCCCAGGGTTATCGAACCTGTCTTCCACGCCCAATGGGCTACGATGTGGGTGTGCATGAGAAGAGAAAAGAGTGACAGGAGACATTTCAAAAGAATGCGCTTTCCGCCCTTTGATGACGAGGAACCGCCACTCTCTTGGTCGGAAAACATTGAGGATGTTGAACCCTTGGAGCCAATCCAGATGGAACTCGATGAGGAGGAGGATGCCCCAGTCATCGAATGGTTCTACGATCAGCGGCCGCTTCTCGACACGCCCCATGTTAATGGGCCCAGTTATAAGAAGTGGAACTTGACACTACCCCAAATGGCGACCCTTTATCGTCTAAGTCACCAGCTATTGAGTGATGTGGTTGATAAGAATTATTTCCACATGTTCGACCTCAACAGTTTCCTTACTGCCAAAGCCCTCAATGTCGCCATTCCCGGAGGCCCGCGATTCGAGCCCTTGTACAAGGATATTGATCCTAATGATGAGGATTTCGGCGAGTTCAATGCTATTGACCGCATCATCTTCCGTGCCCCGATTAGAACGGAATACAGGGTCGCCTTCCCATATCTCTATAACTCCCTACCAAGAAGCGTAAAGCTCTCTTGGTACTCTTACCCTCAGGTCGCCTATGTACGTTCTGAGGATCCTAATCTCCCAGCCTTCTATTTTGATCCTGTCATCAACCCTATTTCCTCCCGGTCTGTTGCACCCAAGAATATAACTGTCAGTCATGAGGATACGATATTCGGCCCGGGTAACAATGAAGATGATAGCTTCGAGCTTCCAGGAGAAGTCGAGCCTTTCCTCGCCGATGAAGAGCTTTATACAAGCGACACGGCATCGGCTATCGCTCTTTGGTGGGCTCCATACCCCTTCGACCGCCGCTCAGGCCGGATGGTTCGGGCGCAGGATGTGCCATTGGTGAAGCAGTGGTATCTGGAACATTGTCCTCAAGGGCAGCCGGTCAAAGTCCGAGTGTCTTACCAGAAATTGCTGAAGACCTACGTCCTTAATGAGCTTCACAAGAAGAAACCCAAGGCGCAGAACAAGCAGAATCTGCTCAGGACTTTAAAGTCCACGAAGTTCTTCCAGCAGACGACGATCGACTGGGTTGAGGCAGGTCTTCAGGTCTGTCGACAGGGTTTCAATATGCTTAATTTGTTGATCCACCGCAAGAACTTGACTTATCTACATCTCGATTACAACTTCAACCTGAAACCCGTGAAGACCCTTACGACCAAAGAACGCAAGAAGTCTCGTTTCGGAAATGCCTTCCATTTGATGAGGGAAATTCTTCGTCTTACGAAATTGATTGTCGATGCCCAGGTTCAATACCGCCTAGGAAACATCGATGCTTTCCAACTTGCCGATGGAATTCTCTATGCTTTCAACCATGTTGGACAGCTGACTGGTATGTACCGCTACAAATATAAGTTGATGCATCAGATTCGATCGTGCAAGGATCTGAAGCACTTGATTTATTACCGGTTCAACTCCGGCCCCGTCGGAAAGGGCCCCGGTTGTGGTTTCTGGGCCCCGGCTTGGCGGGTATGGCTGTTCTTCATGCGAGGTATCATACCACTTCTGGAGCGATGGCTTGGAAACTTGCTCTCTCGTCAGTTTGAGGGTCGTCACAGTAAAGGTGTTGCGAAGACGGTGACTAAGCAGCGTGTCGAGTCACACTTCGACTTGGAGTTGAGGGCCTCGGTCATGGCCGATCTTATGGACATGATGCCCGAGGGTATCAAACAGAACAAAGTGAACACTGTTCTGCAGCATCTCTCGGAAGCATGGAGGTGCTGGAAGAGTAATATTCCTTGGAAGGTTCCTGGATTGCCGGCACCCATTGAGAATATTATCCTTCGTTATGTCAAGGCGAAGGCGGATTGGTGGATCTCAGTTGCCCACTATAACCGTGAGAGAATTCGCCGAGGAGCTACTGTTGACAAGACTGTTGCGAAGAAGAACCTAGGTCGCCTCACTCGTTTGTACCTAAAGGCGGAACAAGAGCGACAGCACAACTATCTGAAGGACGGCCCTTATGTTTCGTCTGAGGAAGCTGTCGCTATTTACACTACGACTGTTCACTGGCTCGAGTCCAGGAAGTTCTCGCCGATCCCTTTCCCTAGTGTTTCTTACAAACACGACACGAAGATTTTGATCCTTGCCCTCGAGCGTCTGCGTGAGGCGTACTCGGTGAAGGGTAGGTTGAATCAGAGTCAGCGTGAAGAGCTTGCTCTCATTGAGCAAGCTTACGACTCTCCGGGAACTACCTTGGCAAGAATTAAGAGATTCCTTCTTACCCAGAGAGCTTTCAAGGAAGTTGGTATCGACATGAACGACAACTACAGCAGTATCAACCCAGTGTATGATGTCGAGCCTATCGAAAAGATCACTGATGCTTACTTGGACCAGTATCTCTGGTACCAGGCAGAGCAGCGTCATCTTTTCCCAGCCTGGATCAAACCTTCTGATTCCGAGGTCCCTCCCCTTTTGGTGTACAAGTGGGCTCAAGGAATCAACAATTTGTCAAACGTCTGGGAGACGGCTGATGGCGAGACCAATGTCATGATCGAAACCGAATTATCAAAGGTCTATGAGAAGATCGATCTTACCCTGTTGAACCGCCTTCTCCGTCTTATCATGGATCACAATCTGGCAGACTATATCACGTCCAAGAACAATGTTCAGCTCAATTACAAGGACATGAATCATACCAACAGCTATGGTCTCATCCGTGGTCTGCAGTTCTCGGGCTTCGTCTTCCAGTACTATGGCTTGGTCATCGATCTGCTGCTGCTCGGATTACAACGAGCTAGTGAGATTGCTGGTCCACCCCAGAGTCCTAACGATTTCTTGCAGTTCAGGGACCGCGCAACTGAGACGAAGCATCCCATCCGTTTGTACACTCGTTATATCGACAAGATCTGGGTGTTCTTCAGATTCAGCGCAGATGAATCCAGGGATCTTATCCAGCGCTTCTTGACCGAGCAGCCTGATCCCAATTTCGAAAATGTTATTGGCTACAAAAATAAGAAGTGCTGGCCTCGTGATTCGAGAATGCGCCTCATGCGACACGACGTCAACCTTGGTCGCGCAGTCTTCTGGGATCTAAAGAACCGCCTACCTAGATCCATCACTACCATCGAGTGGGATGACACTTTCGCCAGTGTCTATAGCAAGGATAACCCGAATCTTCTGTTCTCGATGTGTGGTTTTGAAGTCCGCATCCTCCCGAAGATCCGTAATCAGAATGATGAGTTCCCGGTCAAGGACAGTGTGTGGTCTCTAGTCGATAACACGACCAAAGAACGTACTGCCCACGCATTCCTTCAGGTCACTGAAGAAGACATCCAGAAATTCAACAACCGTATTCGACAGATTCTTATGTCTTCTGGATCTACGACCTTCACCAAGATAGCTAACAAGTGGAACACCGCTCTGATCGCACTTTTCACCTACTACCGAGAGGCTGCCGTGTCCACTGTCAACCTCCTCGATACTATTGTCAAGTGCGAGACGAAGATCCAGACTCGTGTGAAAATTGGACTCAACTCCAAGATGCCTTCGCGATTCCCTCCTGCCGTGTTCTACACTCCTAAGGAACTTGGAGGTCTTGGTATGATTTCTGGTTCTCATATCCTTATTCCGGCCAGCGACAAGCGCTGGTCGAAGCAGACAGATACCGGCGTTACCCACTACCGAGCCGGTATGTCGCATGATGAGGAGACGCTTATTCCTAACATCTTCCGTTATATCATTCCGTGGGAGGCAGAGTTTATCGACTCTCAGCGTGTCTGGATGGAATATTCTCAGAAGCGCCAGGAAGCGAACCAGCAGAACAGGCGTTTGACGCTTGAAGATTTGGAAGATAGCTGGGACCGTGGTCTTCCACGTATCAACACTCTGTTCCAGAAAGACCGCAGCACACTCAGTTTCGACAAGGGTTTCAGAGCTAGAACCGAGTTCAAGCAATATCAGCTGATGAAGAGCAATCCGTTCTGGTGGACAAGCCAGAGACATGATGGCAAGCTCTGGAACTTGAACGCTTACCGCACGGATGTCATCCAAGCCCTCGGTGGTGTAGAGACTATCTTGGAACACACCCTATTCAAGGCTACTGCATTCCCGTCTTGGGAAGGATTGTTCTGGGAGAGGGCGTCCGGTTTCGAAGAATCAATGAAGTTCAAGAAACTGACCAACGCTCAGAGATCAGGTCTTAACCAGATCCCCAATCGTCGCTTCACCCTCTGGTGGTCGCCGACGATCAATCGTGCCAATGTGTACGTTGGTTTCCAAGTGCAGCTCGACCTCACTGGTATCTTCTTGCATGGCAAGATCCCCACACTGAAGATTTCTCTGATCCAAATCTTCCGAGCTCATTTGTGGCAGAAGATCCACGAATCGGTTGTCATGGATCTGTGTCAGGTGTTCGATCAGGAATTGGAACAACTCGGTATAGAAGCTGTCCAAAAGGAGACCATCCATCCTCGTAAGTCGTACAAGATGAATAGTTCTTGTGCGGATATTCTGCTTTTCGCGACAAACAAGTGGAATGTTACGAGACCGTCCCTGTTGTTCGACACGAAGGATGTTATCGAGCCCACAACCACCAACAAGTTCTGGGTTGATGTGCAGCTAAGATACGGTGATTATGACTCTCACGACATCGAGCGCTATGTTCGCGCGAAATATCTCGACTACACCACGGACAGTATGAGCATTTATCCTTCGCCTACTGGTCTGATGATCGGCATCGATCTTGCCTACAACCTTTATTCCGCTTATGGACAATACTTCCCTGGTCTCAAGGCTCTGATTCAGCAGGCGATGGCCAAGATCATGAAAGCGAATCCAGCTCTATATGTCTTGAGGGAACGTATCCGAAAGGGTCTTCAGCTCTATGCCTCCGAGAGCAACCAGGAGTTCCTCAACTCTCAAAATTACTCGGAGCTCTTTAGTCCCCAGATTCAGCTGTTCATCGATGATACCAATGTCTACCGTGTAACAATTCACAAGACATTCGAAGGAAATTTGACAACGAAGCCCATTAACGGCGCTATCTTCATCTTCAATCCTCGAACTGGTCAACTCTTCCTAAAGATCATCCACACTAGTGTCTGGGCTGGACAGAAGCGTCTTGGTCAGCTTGCTAAGTGGAAGACAGCTGAAGAAGTTGCGGCTCTTATCCGTTCTTTGCCTGTCGAGGAACAACCTAAGCAGCTGATTGTCACCCGGAAGGGTCTCCTTGATCCTCTCGAGGTCCATCTTCTGGATTTCCCTAACATCTCCATTCGTGCCTCGGAATTGCAGCTTCCTTTCCAGGCAGCGATGAAGGTCGAAAAGCTCGCTGACATGATTCTTCGCGCGACTGAGCCTCAGATGGTTCTTTTCAATCTGTACGACGAATGGCTCAAGTCTATCTCACCATACACGGCCTTCTCGAGATTGATCCTCATCCTTCGTGCTTTGCATGTGAACCCTGACAAGACCAAGATTATCCTCCGGCCCGACAAAACTGTCATTACGCAGGAACACCACATCTGGCCGACATTGTCCGATGAGGACTGGATCAAGGTCGAAGTTCAGCTGCGTGATCTGATCCTCAACGATTATGGCAAGAAGAACAACGTCAATGTCCAGAGTTTGACAAGCAGTGAAGTCAGGGATATTATCCTTGGTATGGAAATTAGCGCGCCGTCTCTACAGCGCCAGCAGGCTGCGGAGATCGAAAAGCAAGAACAGGAACAGAAGCAACTCACTGCTGTCACCACAAAGACACAGAATGTCCGTGGCGAGGAAATCATCGTTACGACGACCTCTCAGTATGAGCAGCAGTCGTTTGCTTCCAAGACGGAATGGCGCACTCGTGCCATTGCTACTTCTAATCTTCGGACTCGTTCCAACAACATCTATATCTCTTCTGATGACGTTCGAGAAGATGGATTGTATACATACGTCATGCCTAAGAACATACTCAAGCGGTTCATCACGATCGCTGATCTTCGGGTTCAAGTAGCAGGCTATCTCTATGGTACCTCGCCACCAGACAACGACCAAGTCAAGGAAGTGCGCACCATTGTCATGATTCCACAAGTTGGTAATACGCGCGATGTTCAGCTACCGCAGCAGCTGCCCCAGCACGATTACCTCAAGAATATGGAGCCTCTTGGAATCATCCACACAGTGTCTGGAAATGAGCCCCCCTACATGACCGCTATGGATGTTACCCAGCATGCTCATCTCATGAACGCGCATCCTTCTTGGGACAAGAAGACCGTAACGATGGCCGTTTCGTTCACCCCCGGATCCGTGTCTCTCTCCGCCTGGGCTCTCACGCCTGAAGGTTACAAGTGGGGCGCTGAGAATAAGGATACTACTTCGGATCAGCCACAAGGGTTCTCTACGAGCATGGGCCAGAAGTGTCAGCTCCTTCTCAGTGACAAGATCCGTGGTTACTTCCTTGTCCCAGAAGACAATGTTTGGAACTACAGCTTCATGGGTAGCGCATTCGGAAGTGTGGAGAAGAGACCGATCTACGTCAAGATAGATACCCCGCTGCGTTTCTATGATGACCAGCATCGTCCTTTGCATTTCCAGAACTTTGCTGAGTTGGAGGATATTTGGGTCGACCGGACTGACAACTTTGCATGATATATTATAATTCTGGTCTGTTTGTGTTTTCTATTACGGATTACTCAGTGGCGTTTCCTTCATAATTTGGTGATATCGAATACTCGTCTGATGGGCAAATGACTGTTTGGTTTGGAGGGAGTCAAGAACAAGTCTTTTGTACTTTTCTCTTTTTTCACGAAAGCCGGTTCTTGTAAAGTAGCCATATATCATGTAGCACGAAAAAAATCAGCATCTGTTTCTATAGTTTTTATTCCTCACCTGATATATACGTGTAGTGACCATTAACTTGCTGTCTATTGCTGGAGATTGTGAAATTGAGGGGATCTTAGAGAAAGTTAAGCAAATAGGCACATTGATCGACTAAACCGGCAAGTGGTTATGCTCCAGATTTTCCAGAGACTGATGAAACAGCATAAGTCCCTGAGAGGCGATCGTTGTTTGGAGTCGCACTGGGTTGTTTCAGCGCCGGGTAAACAAAAAGGCAAAAGAAACAAGCTCTTTCCTGCGACATTCCAACAGTATGTCCAGGTTCTGGAATACGCAAGCCTGGGAGATCCGGACCATCCAACTACTATCCACCTTGATTCGACATCTTTACTTGTATATTATTACAGAGTCTATCAGTTCATGCTGTGGGTCTAAATTAAACGCGGACGATGGGCGGTTGATAATGGAAGAGCCCCACAGATGCGTCGACAGAGATAGAAAAAGTACGGAGTAGACTACAAAGAGTCTACACTAAAACCGAACCCTTGGACTTGGAGTCATTTTTACGTCCGGCGTCTCCACAGTGTTATTCAGACTTTTTTTTTTGGCATAGTTACCTAAAAATAGGGTGCATCTACTAGTTACTGCAGTGCTGCACTAACTGTAAACCTCTGAGGGTCTAGCGCTCTACGTATTGGACCTGAATGATTCGCGAAATGTAACGTTATGGATTAGTCACGAAGGAAGTCTAGAGGATGGAGAAATGAAGTAGACGTTACCATGAGATTTGCCAACTTGGAGTATGTTTACAGTGATCGAGGATCTCAAATTTCCATGTTTATCCAGGGGAAGAATGCGGTGTATGATCATCCAACGGGCTGAGTCGTATGGGACGAAGCTTGGGCCATTGTTCTCAGAAGCATAAACGATGAAATGTGATCGTCGAAATAGTTACACAAAGTCTGCATAGATAGGGGATGTTCCCGGCTGTTAGACGACCCGTGGGGGTGGTCCAGTGAAGCCACCTGATTTTAGACACCTTCTAGAAGAAATCAGTTCAGCAAGGATCGTGACTACAGAGCAGGGATAAAGTGATGCTCCTGTTTCCGATGAACTGCGAACTACGCCGTGATCCACTGCTCGATCATCCATAAATAGCTACTCGACGGCAGACTAGTGAAGCTGATCCACAATATATCGCAGGACATAATTAGTAGTTGACCCTGCTTGTCGGTATTGTCCACGTCGTCCCTACATAGGAGAGCGGGAAGTTCTTCGATCGTGGCTGAACTGAGGGGCCGATAGAAGATCCATCATAGGGCTAGTGTTGGACTTATGGCAGATTAGATGAACCCAATTAGTGGTTCAACTGGCTAGTACGAATAAATTCTCCCAAAGAGGTTGGTCGCATCTTCCTCCTGATGGTGAAAGCCCACATGCGGTGTAGTCTAAATGCCATGATGCATTGATAGCCTTTTAAAAGCATGACATTCCAATCCTAGAGTGTGGAGTATCCTTATTCTAGAGGGCGATTTACTTTTTAACGAAGGCACCGTAAAAAAGAGTAGCTGGAATAGAACCCCTGAACAAAAAGGATAGCGTGGAACTAGATATGCATGTTTCGAGGTAGGGCCAGGCAAGCGATAAGACAGTGTCCTTTTCTCATGAAGAAACATTTTGCGTAAGTTAGCCATGCATTGTATTTGTAATTAATACGCAGTGTATTGACTGAAGTTGTTCAACACGGCACATCGCGATAGAATTTGCCGACACACGGTGGCGTAGTAGCTCGAGCTATCTTAGGAATATGGCAGCGCCATGACCTCACAGGGTCCTACACTATGATATTCCCTGTGAGGAGTATGGGGTAGATAGCGTACATCGATACAGAGGAAAAAAATTATATACAGAAAGCCCCCCTGAACGTGCCGTGGCGGATCAGCACAACGGACGAAACGGACTCCTGCTTGTATCAACGCTTGTATTTGCCAGATTATCAATAATATAGATAGCTTCAAAGTGAAAACCTGCCGCCCTGTAGAATTCGAGCAAATGCTTTTGCCGCATAAGAACGACGGAAATTAAGAGATACGCGTTACCAGCCCCCAGGTATCTACGCATGAATCTACCAGGGTTAACGGAGATTGGGAACGTAACACAGACAACATTTGAGTCAATGCGTAGTCTCGCCGTGTCTTTTAGGCTGCTGCCTGTCCCTCCGCTTCCATCTACATAGGTATCCAGAAAATTCTGTGAATCGATCGCTATTTGATACAGCGACTATCTATTCTAGTTCCCGTGTTTGGGCGGGTCGATCTTTCTACAGAGACATCCAGTCCTCGGTACCATCTAACCAAGATATACCTACAATGATGATCAAAACGCACAAAGAGAAGAAAAGATTTGTCATATTGCCTTGATGCAATAGCGAGCCATGTCCCAAACAGACTGTCGTACTCGTATCGAAGATACAGGATTTACGTATTATTACCGCCCCTTATACCGATGTTTGAGGCGCCAAGTACGGTACGGTGGGTTGGTCGCGAGGTCGCGAGGCGGCGTCTCGCGAGGTGGCGAGATTTTTGTTACCAGTAGATTACTAGTAAATTACTATTTTATATTAGAATTATACTAATATATACTAATAAAGATTAAAATCTAAAATTTTTAAATCTCGCGGGGTAGTAAATATAGGTAAATCTTATCTCGCGGGGTGGTAAGATTGTAATTGCTGTATTTTATACTAAATATTATTAGTTTTATTAGTAAAGTTTAATTACTATTAAAACAGCTTAGTTATAAATTACTATTATACCGCCCTATAAGACTATATAAATAACTATTAGATCTGTATTAAAATTAAGCAAATATAGGCTATTAATTTTAGCTAATCTACTAGTATATACTGGTAGATTTTAAAATCTATAGATACAAGAGATTAAATATTATTAAAGGCAAAAGATAAAAGAGAGTTAGTAAGTAATATCTCCTAGAATATACTAGGTATTACTAGTTACTAACTATAATAACTAATTAGAAATATTTAAGATAAATTATAAACTTTTAAAATTATAATTATATATATATATATATATATATATATATATATAATTATAATTTTAATTTAAATATTCTATTTTAATTTATTTTAATATAAACTAAATATTACTAATATAACTATTAACTAATATATTTATATAGCTCAATCATTTTTTAGAGATATTATAATTTACTGAAATATAGTAGTTATTATTATAATCTAGCAGTTAGGACCAGTAATTATTATAGTAAGCTCACGGGAAATAATTAGCCTGATAGAAGAGTTCCTATACTAAGCTTAGTAAGCTAAGGGTTTATATAAATAATACAAATATTTTAATAAGTAAAAAATTTAAATATACTAAAAAAACTTCTAAAACCTTTTTATCTTTAGATATTATTTTTCTTTAGCTATTAATAGTCTTATTAAGACTATTATAGCTTTAGATCTATCTTAAAGACTCCTAAAAGTTATAAAATCTAATAATATTTTTAACTAGAATTAAAAAGATGATTATTTAGTTTATTCTACTAAAACTCCTAATATCTTAGAGATATTAAATAAATTCAAGCAGAAGCCTTAGGATAAAGACTCTAATAATAAAGATTTTTTAAATATAGTATATTAATTACTATTATATACTAATCTTTACTATAATAATGTTTATATTACTAATATTATATTATAATATTAGATTAATAACTAACCTACTACTAATATATTTAGTAGAGAATTTAATAACTAATTATTAAATCTAGAGGAGTTATATCCAATCTCTACTAATAATTTATTGGAGATATTATTTTTTTCTAGATTAACCAATATTAAACTAGGCATAAAACCGCTTTTTAATATTTTTAGTTAAGCTAAATACCTCTAATATTCTTAGATAATACTAGAATATTTTAGTACTCATCTTAAAGGTGTTGCTTATTATATAAATATTAATAACCTAATATAATCTATAATTAATAACTATTATAGTTAGGTAAATATTAATCTATATTAATAGCGGTTATAAGAGTATTAATATATATTAGGTTTAATATAGTAAAGGTTTAAGAATAACTAGCAGCAGTAAGACGAAAGTAATTATATATATATTATTTCTTAATAATACTGAATATATTATTAAGAAATAGCAATGTTCTAGTATTTATTGTTGTCTATATATATTAGAATATATTCAGACTCTTAATTATACTAAAGCTTCTAAAAGTATTTAGTTACAACTAGTATTTAATTAATATAACTAAGAAAATATTATTAATAACTAAACAGATCAGTAATAATTAAAAGAAACTAGCAATTAATTCTATAATTCTGGGATTTACTAATAAGACTATAGATATCTTAATTCCTGCTATAATAAAGGCTTAAAACTTAGATATAATTATATAAAGGTAAGTACTAATTTTAATTAGTATAATCTAATATATTAGTAATATAATTACTACTAGGACTTAATACTAATAATAAATCTTATTAGGATCTATACTGGCTTAGGTATAACTAATAATTCCTATCTAATAATGCACAGCATTATTTCCAGTATCTTCTAAGAACACTAAACTTTAACTATATTTACTTGTATAAGTTATATAATTTATAAACTAGTAATTCTAATCCTACCAATACTATTAGTTATACTAGTATCTCTACTAATACTACTTTAATAATAAACCTATAAATCTACAGTTTAGTTAAATTAGTATAAGTTTATAGTAAATATTATAGTAAAGAAAATTTTTAATCCCTATTAAAATTAACTGGATATAATTGCTAATATTAAGTACTATTATATTACTAGCTTATTATAGCGTATTTAGTCCGATTCAAACAGTTCCATATAATGTTCAATTTTTATATATCACACCTAAAGACTATTAGCAAGTACTATTTATACTGTTTATTAGTTTTAGAACTTATTAATATCTACCACCTCCTATAGTAAAGGTACCCCATAATATCTAGAATAATATTACTA